CAGTGGCAGAGAGGGCTAGGACGGTCCTGATGGTGGCCATACGCACTGTGGGAGCAAAAGTTTCGACATAGTCGAATCCAGGCCGCTGGTTATACCCCTTGGCCACAAGGCGAGCCTTGTAGCGCTCCAGAGTTCCATCAGCATGGCGCTTGGTCAAAAACACCCACTTGGAACCTATAGCCCTCAATCCAGGAGGTAGCTCACATGTCTCCCAAGTCCCATTGGCAATGAGGTTGTTGAACTCTGTAAGTGCAGCTTCATGCCACTGGGCAGCCTCAGGTCACTTCATGGCTTCTGCATAGGTCAGAGGATCAGCCTGGCGAGTGGAAACAGCCATGGCAAGCTCTGGCTCGTCATCCTCATCATCACTTGGCTCAGGAGAAGGTGATTTGACCTTCCACCACTCACCTGGAGCCTTACCAGCTGTAGATCTGCCTGTGCGTCGAGCTGGAGGCTTAGGCTGAGGTTCTGGAGGTGGTGAAGGCGAAGGCGAGGGTGCAGGTGGAGGTGAGGGTGATGGAGGTGGAGCAGAGGCAATCCTAGGAGCTGCTGAAGGCGCAGGAAGACCTGAAGGATGGGCTTGATTGCGAGTGCGAGGAGGACGTCTTTGAGCAAGAGGGCGATTGTCTGGAGGAGGAGCAGCAGGTGCTGGAGGGTAGTCAGCAGGCTCATCCTGAGCAGGTGCCGGGACCACTGCAGGGGGAAGAGGCACCACAACCTCCCCCCCAGGATGAGGCGCTGGCACATCATCCTCATCTGCAGGGTCAAACCAGGGCACTATGCTGGCAGAAGAGGGAGCCGGAGGCGAAGTTGGTGGGAGAGGAGGGAGGGACAAAGAAGGTTGCTTCTTGAGTCCAGGGTAGAACCGTTCGTCAAAGTCAGCGCGTTCAGAGATGATCACCTTCTTAGTGACCGGGTTATAGAACTTCCAACCCTTGTAGCCCTCTGGATATCCAATGAAGACACACTTCTCCATGTGGGGTCCGAGGTGGGAGCGCTTGTCCTTCTGGATGTGGACATAAGCGGTGCAGCCAAAGACACGAAGATGAGAGAGGTCGGGTTTCTGTCCAGTCCAGCCTTCGTATGGGGTGATCCCAGAGAGAGAGGAGGTCGGACAGCGGTTGATGACATGGACAAAGGCATTGAGAGCCTCCCCCCAGAACTGGCGTGGTAGATTAGCCTCGGTTAGCATGCAAGTGATGCGCTCCTGGAGCAGGCGATTGAAGCGCTCAGCAGTGCCATTCTGCTGAGGCCTGTTGCGCACCGTATGGCGGCGCACAATGCCATGCTCTACACAGTAAGCATCCATCTCCTTGGACATGTACTCGCCTCCCTTGTCATCCTGCAGGATCCCAATCCTGAAGCCCTTGTTGCGCACATAAGCATGGTAGAGCTTGAAGGCGTCAAACTGCTGAGACTTGGTTTTCATCAGCACAACCACCCGGTACTTGTACTTGCCGTCAATGTAGGTGACCCAGTAGCGAAAGCCACCAAAGGTCTTGACATCGACAGGGCCATGGACGTCCGAGTGAACAATACCGCAGGTAGTGGAGACAGACGAGGTCGAAGATGGAAAGGGATTGGCATGCATCTTTCCAGATAGGCATGGCTCACAGATGGGATCAGGTGTTGCTGACGACTCAAGCTTGATACCAGTGGCCATCTGATGCGAGATCAGCAGCTTGACACTGTCTAGACCATGGTGGGCGAGACGGCGATGCCAGAGATCGAGTGTGAGAGGAAGGGTGGACAAGGAGGCGGTGTTGGCATAGAGAGTGATGGGTAGGACCTCTCCGGCGATGTGGGCAGTGTTAGAATCATCTATAGGGGCATAGAAAGCGAGTTCACCCTTGTGTTTGAAGTCCATACGTCGACCATGAATGTGCACATGAAAATGATGAATTCGTACGAGGTATAGGACAGATAAGAGATTGCTCTTTAGTGCAGGGACATGCAGGACTCGACTAAACTCCACAGGACGCAACCTCTGCCCCCCAGAATGCGGCGCAAAGCGCACAGACCCCATCCCAGCGGCATAGACGATAGTGTTGTTGGCAAGACGAATGGGGATGCGGCAGGGGGTGTAGTTGCGAAGCCAATGGCGATGAGGAGTCATATGAGACGTAGCTCCTGTGTCTGCAGTCCAATCCATGTTAGCGTCGAGCTGGAGGGGTGCAGTGAGAGAAGAGGGGTCAAGACTTGCACTTCCAGCAAACTCAGAGGTCTCCCCGGGCGAAGATGGCTCATCCTTAGCAGCATTGGCCTTCTGAGGGCGCTTCCTACCACCCTGCTGACGCTCCTGACGCTTCTCCTGGGCAGACTTCGTAGCGGCAACCTTGGCTTCACGAAAGCGGAAGCAGGAGTCGATGGAATGACCTGGGAGGGAGCAGAAGGCGCAGGTAGAGGTAGAGGCCGATGCAGAGAGGGCTGAAGCGGCAGGAGGAGTCTCAGACTTGACTCTGCGCTGCTGGGTGATGTCCTCAGTGATGAAGGCTTGCAGGAGAGTGTCTTTGTTCAGCGTAGAGGCGATCTGGATAGAGGTGGTGAGGTTGCTGTACTCATCTGGGAGAGCACGAAGCATAGCCATGCATGCGAGCTCATCGTCGAGATCCTCAATGGTGAAGCCCTTGGGTCGAAGATTTTTGATCCTGGTCATGGTCTGGTCGACCCTGGTAGACAGGGAGGCAAGGGATTCGTCCTCACGCTTCTGGGTGGCAAGGAGGTCGTCATAGGCATTGAAGCGAGCACCTGGGTGCTGCTGGAGGTGCACAGAGGCGAGTTTGGTCCACATGGCAACAGGATCATCATCGATCCCCACCAGGTGCTGCCTCTGGTCCAGTTCCACAAGGAGGAAGAGCTCACCAGACGCTTTTTCAGCCCTGACATCCCATGCATCCATAGCAGCATGCTCAGCTGCACTAACAGCCTTCTTATCGGCCGCCTCAGGCCTCTTTTCCTTCCCTATCACCAATCTCCACAACCCCTTGCGCTTCAGGGTTGCTCCAACTTCTCCAGACCACTGTGGGTAGTTGCCAGAGGTCAGGAGCTTGACCTTGGAGTAAGCAGAGTCCTCAGACATGCTGAAAGCGGCCAAAAGGGCAAGAATGCGATGTTGGAGAGGAAGTAGTGGATGGATCAAGATGGATCTTGGTAGATGGGGGCTTTAGAGGGTGCTGAAGAAGATGAGAGTAAAAGCAAGAGTGGATGGCAAGAATTGCAGTCAGGAGAGGCTGAAAAGCGAGCAGATGAAGCAGATGTAGGCAAATCTAGGCAGAGATTAGAAGCCGGGGCCCATAACCTGTTAAAACCAGGGAATAGATCAACCTGGTAGCTGACAGAAGTTCTGTACTTCAATGTAAGCAGCATATATTGGTATAGGAACTTGGTACTAACCTGTACTTCAATGTAAGCAGCAAAGAGATGCTGAGAAGTGAAGTACAGGGAAAAGCGGAGCTGTGGGAAAACAGCTCCTTATAAGGAAACAGGCAAAGCGCCCAAAGCGAAGTAGAAACTGCAAAGTAGAAGTGGCATTGGGTGGAAGGATGAATAGGAAGAGTTAGAGGATGGGGATGGTATGTATGGATAGCTTAGGTGAAGGGGATGTCAGAAATGTATAGAAGGAGAGAAGTAAGAAGGTGGAACATCACAGAAGTTGAATATCTCTAACAATATATTGTAAGACATGCTACGGATACAGGGCTGCAAATCTATTGTACTAAGTGTATGATTGGCTGACAATGCGAGTGAAATATTTTCTGTTCAAACAAACCCAATCACTGACTCTTGCCTGCAATGCTCCCATCCACCGTTGCTTATTATCAGCCTTGTCACACATCACACTCAATTCATTGTTAACAGGAATTGAAACTTAGGTGTCACACCCAAGACCACTATTGTTACCATACAAATAGGTACAGTATCGGGCTTCTACTGTACAGCTAATGATTACTTAATTATGGCTGACCTTAAGAGTCAGCCACTGAGGCTGGTAGTAGCCAGATTTCTAACTTGTGCATAACTGTAGCTTCACTCGATACACTGAGCTTGACTTAGCTACCATGCATGTAAGGAATCATCCGATGCAAGTCTTACATCACTCCAGTGTCAACCAGGTTCAGGAAATCAAGGCTGGAAGAGAAGTAAACATACACAAGAAAACAAGCTGTAGAGATGCACCACAGGGAGGCCACATCAATGAAGGAGTTGAACATTGAGAGTGAAGTCATTGAGGCTGCGATCGAAGTAAATATGTGCAGTGTGACACCTATGTCACAGCTTTCACCCCAAATGGTTAGGGCCTGATCGGTGCAAAAATGTATTTGCGATATTGCAAAACAAAACTGCGAGAGAGACCATGGAGATATATCATGCATGACGGGGTACAGGAATGAGTGACATCTTGTTTTAGCAAGTGATTGACCCTGCAATGATGATGTCAATAAGAAGACCTTACAGCTAGATTCAAAACAATAGGCCCCTCCTCAAAAATTACATTCAGGTTGGTAAGGGTCGGTAGCATCAGACTTGCCTCGCTAATGAAGAGCCCAGAGATGGATGAGGGCAGCATGGCTGACCAGCACTGGATTCTTCCCCTGGCATGTGTTCAGTAGCCCTCAGCATCACTGCTGCATTAGCCAATGCTGTGTGTGATTTTTTTTACAGGGGCCTATCATTTTTGAACTTAGCTGTAATGTCATTGCTTTCCATGTTAGTTTACTGTGATAATACCATCTAAACCTTGAAAATGTCCTTCAGACTCTTTCAGGGGAGTATGGGAGTGAAGAATGAAGCACCTGAAGGTATTCCCTTTGCACCAAAATATGAATTCATCCATTATCACGGATCGTCACATGTTAGTAACCATCAATATTGAGGCCAACCAAACGACCCCGTTTTGCATTTCGTTATTGCTTTCAGCCCAAAAACCACCATCACATCATTTGGCGGGGAAATATCGACGATATCGAAAACACATTTTCGCACCGATCAGGCCTATTTGCGCGGAACAAACAAACGCTGTGCGCGTCGAGTGTGCAAAGTAATATGCAACGCACTGTAAGGATTCTTACCGATCGCAACAGCAAGAACAACCTTGTCAAGCGAGGTCACTAATTAGAGTTCTGCACCGCCGTTAGAAATTCCTGCAGTCAACCCTCAAAGTGGAATGTCATGAGCATGGCCACAAATATTACCTTTCACCCAGGTCAGCTTCAGAGAGGCTACACATTTCTATGTGCAGCGCCAATGATAATTTTTTTCAGGTTCAATCAGCCATTCCGAGCGGTCACAATCGCTTAGACAGCGGGGAGTGACGATATGGTTCACCGGGCTTAGTGCAAGCGGGAAGGTTTCGGGTTTCAATTGACTCTGACATTTATGAGGTGCTCAGGTATGCTTTCTAGTCTACGATAGCGTGCGCTCTTGAGCAGCACCTAATGCACCTGAAGAAGTTCTCTTACCGATTGGATGGCGATAACATTCGGTTCGGCCTGAATAAGGACCTGGGATTCGACGAAAAGTCGCGAAACGAGAATATCCGCAGAATCGGCGAAGTACGTGTTCCCTTAATCCATGCTAGCATTCGTTCTTCTGAGTCTTGCGCAGGTCTCAAGACTCTTCGCCGATTCGTGCTGCATATGCTTAACTGCCTTTATTTCGCCTTATCGCGCTGATCGTGCCATCGCTCGTGAACTACATAACGAAAGTGGACTGGAATTCATCGAGGTATTTGTAGATGCACCGCTGGACGTCGTAGAACAGCGCGACCCAAAGGGGTTGTATAAGAAAGCCAGAGCCGGTGAAATCAAAGGTTCGTCTCATTTACGGCATGCGTTTTATTGTGCACTCGTAACGCGTGATCGTAGACTTCACTGGCATTTCTGCTCCATATGAGCCTCCAGTCGACCCTGAAATTCATTTGAAGACAAATGAATCCGATGTCACCGACTGTGTACGAATTATCACCGACTACCTCTCGGGAAAAGGATACATCTAGATCACTAGAACAATACCATAGATAAAACAATCAGGATTCTAGAACATCTTCTGTACCATTCACCAACGCAGAAGTTGCAGCGCTTGCCTCGGTGAACACTGCACCGTCTGTGACAACATGCTGATCCTCGGGCTCTTGCTCCTCCACTATTGCATCCTGACTTGTCTCATCGAGAATTTGTGTCAGGCCCAGCTCCACCATCGATAGCCACTGGGCGAGATCATTGACTGTTGATGCGAGATATGCGTGCGTCTTCTCGTGTGATTGCGTCAATGGGCTGAAATCCAGTGGTTTCACAATTGGACCAGACATGGGGTTCGAAGACATGGGAAGCGATGATACGAATCCTTGGGATCTCGAGCGGAAGTGGCCCGGTGACGGTGCGATACCATCACCAAGAGATTGGCTTTGAAGGGATGAGAGTGAATTCAGGGATGTCGTTGAAGACGAAGCTGACGCATTAAGAGGCCACGGACGTGAGGGTGGATCAGTGGTAGACATGGCATAACTAGTTGACGGCGGTGAAGGTTGTTGAGAGTGTTGCAAGAACGGGGATGGGGGTAGAAGATCTGACATGCCAAGCTGGAGTTCCGAGGTAACAGCAGGGATCTGGAATGCATTAGCTTGTGAAGGAGAAGGTGCGGAATAGATCTCACCTTCAGTACATCCTTAAGGCCAGGGAGCCCATGCCGCGAAAACGGCCCAGCATCTGCAGGATATATAGCCTGCCCTTGATAGCGGCTGATTTCCAAGACAGGTGCAGAACCTTTCCGAGTGATGGCTTGAGGGCGAGGAAGTGAACCAGGTGAAGGGAGGCGTTTGGGAAGAATGGAGGCATCTAGTGATGCTGCTGGGTGATGAGAAGATCCAAGGAAAGGGGAATTAATCGAGGTTGATGTACTTGGGTTGCCAGAAGACAAATCGGGGTCGAAGCCGGACGAAGGACGGGAAGGGAAATGGAAATCAACTGAGGAAGCTAGGTTTCGATCGCGGTGTACTCGTACCACTGTACGAGAAGCCGACTCTGCAGCGCTACTCTGAGAACGTTTTCGGGTTAAGCGATGCCCACCAGGTGTAGTGAGTGGCTGGGGCTCGGAAACGCTTTGCTGCGTGACAGTGGCTCCTGAGTCAGGAACAGGAGGAGGCTCAGGGGATCCGGTAGGGTCACTGGAGAGAAACAATGCCTGCTGATTATGGGAGTCGTTAACCACGTCTTCAACAACCGAACTTGAAAGTGAATCTTGTGAAAAAGAGAACTCTAAGTTGAGAGATGAAGTTTCGTCAGCATCTTGCTGAGGCTTCGCTTCAGAAACCGGTTTCCGAGGAAACACAAAGTCAGAGGTCTGCTTCACTGTACTCATCTCATCTTTACCGGTCTTCGTTACGCTGTTCGAACGTCCGCGAGCTCGTAATGGTGTCCGACTTCGAGTCGGCATAGGAAGATCAATTGGGGGTACCATGGGGAAAGGACTGGTGTCATTTGTGTCATCCTCAAATAACATGCGCAAGGTCGGAGGTACTTTCGACGTTGGGGGCCTCACTGTCGAGTACGACGCTGAATCGTCATCGAACACATCTGGTGGAGATAATGTGTCGTGCGACGCGAAGTCCATGGCCGATCTGCCGCGAACCGTCTCGAATTCCCAACCAGTACTTTCCCTCTGAACGTCGGTGAAGTCTCTCCTGTGATACAAATATAATTCGTGAAGCGGACGTGAAGTCGGTTAGCCGACTTACTCCTCATTCTCCTCGTCTTCCCAGGGCAGCGACCCCATCATGCTTGCGCGGGTGTTGCCCTCCTGTACCCAAGCTTCATATCTCGTAATGAGATCCGTCAGAATGGAATTGGGTGTCTTCAAAATGGACCTTATGAGCTTTGTCTTCAGTAGCTCATCTGCGGTCAATCGCTAAGTGCAACGCATGTTGGTTCATTGAATGTTAAACTAAGCAATATCTCAACATACATCTTTAGGTGACTCTCTAAGACACTGAGATACGAACTCCCTCAGTTCCTTGCTGCCTTCGCCCTCAATCAGACGGGGCGGCTTCATGCGAGGAATCATCTGGATGAGTTTGGCCTGGTCGAAAATCTGAGCATGAGGGACGTTCCCTTTAACCATCTCGTAGATCGCAATCCCAAGACTCCATATATCGGCTTTGGTGTCGTATGCGGCAGCATGAGCGACTTCCGGAGCCATCCAATGGGGAGTACCGATGAGAGTATTTCGCTTGCTGGAGGCAGTCACAAGGAGCGCAGATACACCAAAGTCACAGATCATCACCTTGCCGGTAGCAGTAACGAGGATATTGGCTGCCTTCAAGTCGCGGTGGATAATTGAAGACTTGTGAAGAAACCTGAGACCTTGAAGAACCTCGCGGATGATGATGACAGCATACTTCTCCTCAATGATATTGTCTTTGCAAGCCTTCATAAGGGTACGTACGCTGCCACCTTCAGCGTACTCCATGACGATCCAGACACGAGGGCCATCCAGGTAACATCCGAAGTATTGAGTGATATTGGGTGCGTCTCGCAGCTGTGTTAAGAGAGCGACCTCCCGTTGTATGTCACCAACATCGTCATCCTCGGTGTCGAGATTGATAATCTTGAGAGCGACAACTTTGCCGGTTGGAATGTGGATCCCCTTGTGAACGGAACCGTATGCACCTTTGCCAATAGTTTCTAGTCGTGTATAGAGCTGATGGACCGAGGGCTGAGGCATGAAAGGAGGAAGAGTAGATATTGGTTGGCGAACGCTTATGAAAAGATATTTGAGAGTGTAGTTTGATCGTGCAGTTGGCGTGAAGCTTCACTGAAGCACTACTGAAGCACTATTGCAATGCGACGCCGGTGGCCGAAAACAGAAGTGTGATCGAGTCAAGCTGAACCTTATTTTGCTTCATTACTTGCATACCACTTTGTTGCATTGCTTAGACCGCCACTATTCAGGAATCATGGACTTTGAGGAGACACCCAGCAAGATTACAACCAAGGAGTTTCTAGCCGTTGTTCTCGCAGGCTTTGGCAATGAGTAATGAGTATTGACTTACTACCACCTCATAATCTTCTAACTTGGGACACATAGACTAGCCCCGTTGACAAGCAACAACGGCGACGAACCATGTCCCAAGGCTCTCCTTCCTATTGTCAACAAGCCAATGCTCGATTACCCTCTAGCATGGCTGGAAGCATCTGGGATTAGAGGTGTTCGCATTCAGCGCATTCTAGCATACATCCTCTGACCTGACTTTAGATGTCCTTCTGATCTGTCCTGCCCCTCACCGTGCCTCAGTATTACATTATATCAACTCTGATTCATCGGCATCGTCGTTCCCCTCACTCAGGATTGATCTACAAGCCTTTGACGAGTCAGAGAATTTGACTGTCGGTACATGTCAACTTCTTAGACACTTCGCCCATCGGATCGATCAGGATTTCATTATTGTCCCCTGTGACTTCATTCCCCCGCCTTCCCTGCCCCTATCTAGAGTCTTGAACAAGTTCAGGACAGAGGCAACATATGATGGCGCTATTGCCACCACCCTCTTCTTTGAGCAACCAAAGCCAGACAAGACCAGTACCCCGGAAGAATGGAGATCAGGTCCTGCATCTACTTCCGTTGTCTGGGATGAGAAGTCGGGAACATTACTGCACGTTGATACGCCTGACGAGATCGACGATGACCCAGAAGAAATGGCTTTGAATATGAGCCTCTTGCGAAGGTACTTCAAAAAGGTTCCTGTCTTACCGCATATTCTCTACATCTCTCTGCAGATATCCCCGTTCAAAATTGTCGGCTAACCTACAAGATGCCCATGTCTACGTCTGTCGAAGAACTGTCCTTGACGTTCTGAAGGAGAAGCCGCGTTTCGATTCCATTCGTGAAGAATTCATTCCATGGTTATGCACGCCTCAATACAATTCCCGTAAGCGTAGTAAATACGGCCACAGTATGTGCCATCCTCGCTAAATCCATTCGGCTTGAGATGCTCATAACTCGTCTAGTATTGAACCCACTGCATAACCTTCCGTCGCAACGTCTCGCGCTGGAACACTGTACCTTGCATACCGGTTTACCCTCAGCCTATGAACCCCAGTCTGCTCTCTCATCACCCATGGATGAAGTTGCTCCCACTGAAACATCAAGTCTGCGAGTAGGTGTCGTAGTCCATCGCGCCAGCGCAGGATACACCGCACGAGCCAACACGCTTCAGACTTATCTTGAGCTCAATCGACACGTACGCTTCTATTCATTTGACCATTTAGGCTGAAACTCATGAAACAATGCATATAGTTCCTCTCTCAGACAACATACGCCCTGCCAATAGACTCAGAGAGTCGGTCACTGATCGATCCCAAAGCTCAAATCACTTCGGATTCCATGGTGGGACATACGACAAAAGTTGGCGAGCGGACAAATATAAAAAAGTCGGTCATTGGCAAGCACTGTGTCATTGGAAAGTACGTCAGAATTGTTGGATGCGTCATTCTTGACCACTGTGTCATATCCGATGGGTGTGTTTTCCATTTGAGTTATCTTCGTCGGGCAGATCTAATTATGCACGTCTTCATAGTGCGAAGTTAGACGGATGCATACTTGGCACAAATACCACCGTCGGTGTCAAGTCGGAGTTATCAAAATGTATCACCCAAGCAGGCTACGAAGTGGGTGATGGAGGTATGCATTGTTGTTTCCCATACAGCAAGTATCTGACAGTAAAGCACTAGAAAATTATAAAAACGAGAGGCTGGACGTGTCAGATTGGGCAGCACCTCAGCATGACGACGATACATCCACTGAAGAAAGTGATGAAGAGTAATGTAGACGATAACCCTGTATCGTTAAACACACATGATGTATCTTAGATTCGCAAGGTCGAGTACCTTGACTGTATCATGATCATAACAGTGGCATAATTGTATCAGAGCATGGAAGTAACATTGAACGAAAGAAGTATAGAACACGAAAAAAAGAACCTTTAACGATTTCTCTGAGCGCCCGACATCTGGTTACCCAATCCCTGTGCGAACCGAGCTCCTCGTCCGCCCCGTGCACCACCACGTAGACCGCCACGGGTGCGCTCTCCTCTTCCTCGTCGTTCTTGGGTCTGTTCACCAGGTTTGCCGCCCTTCCCTCCATCGCCACGATCTTGCCATGAAGTCACTTGGCCTAGCTTCTGATCAAGAGCCTTCTCATTCTGTTCAACCAATGCGTTGACCTTGTCTGCAAGGATTTGGGAGAGGTGTTGCGAACGTGAGAGCTCGATTCGATGGAAGACAATAACGCCAGCTGACTGATCGAGGGAGGCAGAGAGCTCTTCATTCCAGATCATCTTGGAGACGATGGAAGTCACCGTACGCAAGGGCAGCGAGAACGTTCGTGAAAGGAGGGAAAGCGAAAGGGTGCTGTAGTGGGGTGCATAAGTAAAGAGGTAAGTGCGCAGACCTTCTTCCTGGATGCGTCTACCGTCCCAAAGTAAGTATTCATCATCATGGATGTATAATTACATGCACTTACTTCGCAAGCATCTCCTTGACCAAAGCGCTCTCTGGCATCAAACTCCAGATCTTGATATCCTGGATGAGGTCGCGGCACTTCTCCCAGTCACCATCCTGGAGCGCCTTGCTCGCCTGCATGATGTGGTCCCTAGTGCTCTCTGGAGGACCAGTGAAGACTTGACGATCAGCAAAGTCCATCAAACGACGGAAAGACTTGGAAATCGTCTTGCGCTTCTGTTCTTCCGAATCGATGCTGGCCAAGAGCGGGATCTCAACTAACATGCTGGACACGAGGAAGGCAGCCTCGAGAAGTTCAGTATTGATGTGCATGTGGAAAGGAAGCTGACGTTGACGTTCGGCCTTCTCTTGCTCAGGCGTCAACACCTGGTATCGTTGTTGGTGGACACCTTGAGCGAGAAGCTCCTTGACACGCTGAGTGGCGAAGATGTCCTGGAGGGTGAGTTGAGCCTCTTTGATGAGACCGCACCTGAAAGCGCTCAAACCCAGTTGAACGACAGTTCGGTTGTAAAGGATCTGAGTAGCGACGTCGGCAGAGTAAATGGACTCCTGCAAGTGAGACATCAGGAGCATGTCTCGTGCGGTGTGGAACTTGTTATGCAGGGCGTAGTGGAAGATATGGGAGAGCATCGCACGAGTACGCAAGAGTGAGTTGTTCGACTTGTACAGGTGGACACAGAGTGAGTGGATGAGATCTGTGGTCTCTTCCGATGGGTCAAGGACGATAGAAGGCTTGATGTCGGCAGCAGCAACTGCTGACTCTAATGCGCGTACAACAGCATCGGGCTGAAACGCATTCTCATTAGGACCGTCGTGTGCGAGACGTAAAAAAGTTGCCTACCTTGGAGTAGATATGCTCCAACCGCCTCATAATCACCCGACTCAAAGGTTCCTGGTGTCCGAGCTTCTCGTACAGAGCCTGTGCGCGGCAGATAGTGGAATAGAGACCTTTCTCATCCTTCAGCCTATCAACGTATTCGGTACCATGGGGATCGATGTTTTGCAAGCTCTTGGTGAACTCATCGTCCAGCCTATCGACGAAGCTTATAATGCTACCGCGTATCCGCACAACACCATCCTTCTCAGTTTCGGGTGAACGCTCAGCCAAATCGTCGTAATCCTCAGTGGATTCTTGTATCGAGTATGCAGGGTTCTGGGCAACGATGGCGACTAATTGATCGACTTCTCGTTGGGCTGAGAGCCAGAGGTCGATGGGCATATGAGTAGACACGGAGGAATTGTAGTCGAAGCGACATGAGACCAGAGCCAAAAGAACCCGAATTCGTTGATAGTTTGTAACCGCAACTTCCAAGAGCTTCTCCAAAATGCGAATTTGCTCTGAACGGTCGGTGTTCTAAAGCATAGTATGAATATCAAATGATGCCAGTAGGCGCAGTAATGACACACCTTTTTCCCTCGGGCTTCTTGCACAAGCTGCAGGTTTTTAAAGATACTCTCCGGCGTGAACGCCATTGCCTTACCGCCCTTGCCGACGGTAGTGAATTCTTCATCCTCCTCATCAGTCTCTCCTACAAGCCTCTTGACCTTTTTAACTTTGGGGGGTGGGGGCTGGGCCTCCGCGGCTGCATGAGAGGCGTACTCTTGTTCAAAGCGCTCCGGGTCCTGATACATGTGTGAGGTAATTCTGTGGTTATAAAGAGACGATATCCGACTCACGGCATGATATTGCTTAATCTCATTCTCGTGCTCCTTGGCAACCTTCTTCACCTTCTGCTTCATGGCGGTAAGAGCGCGAGCATTGCTGGCGTTCATCTTCTTTTTGGCTTCCTTCTCTTTCGCCACAGCCGAGTTGAGGGAAGACTCCAAAGTGACAAGGGTGCGGATGAAAAAGGGAGGGACGGGCTCGGAGACATTCTGCTGTCTCTGCACCATACGGACAAGTTTATCGAATTCTAAGGACGATGTCACCAATCAATTCTGGCAATAACATAAGAACGCAAAGCTGACTCACCGGAGGAAATAGCGACCCAGTCGTTGATTTTGAGCGCATTGTCCATGAGCTTCCCGCTCGCCTCCATCTCATCCAACCGCTTGTCACGCGCACTCTTAACAACGCGCTTCACTTCTTCATCGCTTTCCTCTTCTTCAGACTCGGTGCGCATGAAGCGGGACTTCTTCTTGATCTGCGCCTCTTCCTCGGACATCTCCTCCTCCTCTTCTTCTGATTCCTCCTCTTCGCTAGATTCATCTCCTGCAGAACGCAAGAATTTGGACATTGCTGGCTTAGCGGGTTTGGGGGCCTCGTCCTCGCTAGACATGAGCTCCTCCTCAGAGGACTCGGATTCGCTGTCGGAGTCACCGGCTTGCCTGAAGAAACGAGACATTGTAGTGGGTATTGCCTGGAAGTATGAAGTACAGCAGATGTGTCCGAGTTTTAGAGATACAGCAGGTCGTGGTTGACGAGAGTAAAGGACAAGCGCGACTCGACCGTGCACTGAATAAAGTTTCTCGGCACACTCCGCCCAGCTATGGATGTACTCGAATAGGCAACTCTTGTCGTTCAGAGGCCAGCAGCTAGTCCTTTCCAATTCCCGGACGTTCTCGTGCAGGCGAATCCCTGCCCGTAGCGCTCACGACTCACAGAATATAACAAGAACAAGAGAGCAGTGCGTTACTATTACAGCTATTCATATAGGATAAAATTACAATAGACCCAATAAGTGTCTTTATATTGCACTAATGCTGTTTGTGACGGTATTGCTCCGCCAAGTACCTAAGAAACACGTCAACGGCAATGCTAAACATTAGGCTACAAAAACGCTTACCCTTCACCGCCCCACAAGGCAAGTAGAGAAACCGAGATGGCAGAGACCGTCCGCCTGTCCCATCGAGGAGCATCCCAGTGCAGGTATGCAAAGTAACCCAGAGTGCCAATGATACCGGCGTTTACTGCAAGAAACAATTAGAATCACCGTCACAATAAGAAGATTGCTACTCACAAACACCGACCAAGCCACCTAATGCGCCGGGTCTAAGGATATGTTCACGTGCCACTCTGTATAGCGCTGCGCCCTCCTCTCTGGCCTTCTTCTCCTCTTCCTTTCCAGCAGGAGTCTCAAGGTACCTTTCGGCAGCATACCCTTCAGCACCGAACAACGTCAGGATGCCAGCAGCAGTGGACGCGAGTAATCTTGTATCTTGGCGCACTTGAGGTTTTGTGTAGTACACATAGCCAGCACCAGACAAAATTCCGATGTTCACTGAAGGAAAACCTGTTAGTGTTGCGAAACGGTGCAACGAACAGGGGTGGGCTTACCGAGACCAAGAAGACCTCCCGCAACAGTAGGGCGGAACAAGTAGTGTTTCGTGACATTCCAGAGGTGGAAACCTTCTTCCTTAGCCCGATGCACATGCCGGTGAGTTTTGTCCTTTTTGTTTCCAATGGGCGGAACCACTTCAGGCTTCGACTCGGAAGTGACGGTTGCTGGATTAGACTTGAAGTCGGGGGATACAATGTTAACCTTCGTAGCATCGTCTACAATATTATCTGCAGATGGCGGTTCTGTGTTTAGCAGTGCGGGATCTGGATGGGGCTAATAAAATGGTCAGAACTTCCTAGATGATGGTCGTGTGCACCCAGACTGACCTGCTGGGAGCTGGGCTCAGCATTGTGAGCGGTGACGGAAGCATAAGACATAGTGTCAGGGATGTGGTCAACGACGACGAAAGTCTGACGATAAGGCTGATGAGGGCGAAACTGAGTACAGAGAGCCGAAGAAATGGCTGGCCTTAAGTAGGACGGCCCCTCTGAGGAATGACATCATGGCCTCATTTAACACCAGCCTGCACCAGAATTCGTCACCTAGGACGGCCCGGCCCGTATCTCTCCGTGATATTAGGGTATCATTGCGAAAAAAAACACAGTATACTAGAGGTGGGGATATACAGAAGAACGAGAGTATACAGCAACAAGAAAATACCTCCACTGACCGTGTCCGTCCACATTAATCAGAAAACGTCCAACGAGTGCGGGCAATTCGCTGCCGTATGTCCCCGCTCCTCGCAATCCTCACAGAATAAATCAGCCGCCTTCTCGTTCTTCCCTGCCGGCTCATCATCCTTCAGCAGATCACAGCTGAATATGTCGTGTCCTGGTCGTTCGCAAATCTCGCACACTTCTTCTCCGGCAGCAGAGCTCTTCACGACTGATTCGTCTGATTTGTCCGATCGGAGGGTTGACGTCGAGCTGCGAATACTTGTGCTACTCCGTTCGTCGACGTCAGGTAGGCCTTTGGAAGATTTCTTCTGACTTCGAGCCAGGCGCTCCTGAAGCTTCTCGACTTCGAGTTCAAGCTCGTCCTAAAAAGGCAACGTCAGTACAGTGACAGCATCTGGAACTATGTTGACGTACCTCCCGATAGATCTGCGGAGTGGGGAATGATCTCATGGTGAGTGAAAATCAGTTCGGAGAGTGGGGATAGCATTACCTTGGATTCGATCAAGGTTTCCAGTTCACCAATCTCCTTGTTCAACTGGTGAACCGTACGAGCACTCTTCATCTCCGTTTCCGTAAGACGTTTCCGCATTTGTTCAAGCTCGGACTGCGATATATACAGTCACAATACGGCATAATGACAAGAACTTTTATACTTCACTTACCTCATACTTCAGCTTAAGCTCGCGAATGTTCTGATGCATTGCCGCTGCATCACCAGGCACGTCGGACAAGGCCATACTGTCGTTAAGCATGGACTCTTCTCGGAGCAAACTTTGCTCCACATTGTCTTCCAGAGTCTTCATATCCTATGTAAACCATGAGTTATGTACTCAATCCTGGAGACTACGATGTACGCACCTCACGAAGCTGCTCAATCTCAGTGGACAACAGTCTATTCTCAGACTCAAGAGCTTGACTACGTTTGACAATCGCACTGTTCTCCTTCTGTAGCTCTTGTACAATGTGCCTGGGCCCATATCAGCCATACATCCCTTCAAGGTATACAACTGGAAATGCGACATACTTGAGACCCTTGATCTCCTCTCTTGCAGCAGTGAGGTCATGTTTGGACGGAGAAGCCGAGGTCTTGACAGTTTCCTGTTGAAGTCCATTGACAGGCATATCACGGTTGAGTCGCTTGCGGACCGTTTCCAGCTCAGTGCTGCGTTCTTCCAGCTGATACTGCAACTCGGTGACAGCCTCGCGTTCCTTCTGCAACGCTGCCTCAATCTGTAAATTGTCAAAACATCTTAAATCATGGTCGCGGCACAGGATGTAATGAAGCGGTGGCTTACTGCTGCCTTGTCAGCCTTCGCATGATCCAGTTCTTCCTTGAGAGGATGCAACGATGCCACGGAACTTGCACGGGAACGCTGCTCCGCCAATTGAACCTTGAGCTGCGAGACTTCCTGCAGGAGTTGGGATGACTTGGGTGGACTACCACCAGCGCCATGAGCAGCAAGGCCTTCGAGATGCTAAATTCAACCCCATCAATCCAAACACATCCAGTGACCAAAAGCAATGCGACCTACAGCGACTTCGCTTCGGAGACCTTCGATCTCAGCTCTGGCATTCTCCAGCGCAACAGTGTTTTCCCTCAAAGCCTCCTCAATCTCCTCTACTCGCAAACGCGCTTGCCCCTCAGACTTCATAACGCGCTCGATCTCTTTGCGACCATCATTGACCTCCTTGCGCAACTCATCTTCACGCTCCTTGTACCGTACAATTCGTTCACGTACGGTCTCTTCTTCTCTATCCGCAGTAGCACGTGCGTCTTCCAACAAGTCTTCGAGGGAGCCAATCTTCTTCTGTAGATGTTGCACTTGGATACGAAGGGTCTCGTTGTCGATCTCAGCAGCAGAGGAAGCGTGGCGTGCGGCCGATGTCGGTGACGTTGGACGGACTGCATTTCGGAGTTGTTCTTCGAGAGAGGCAACGAGGTCTTCCATTTCGTATCGCCTGCTATCAGCGACGCTGAGGCGCTCCTCGTAAAGAGCAATTGTTTCCTGAGCGGAGTCGAATGTGAATAATGCATCAAAGATGTTGCGGGGCAGTCAGTACTAACCTGACCAGCTTTGCGAAGCTCATCAACTTGCGCGCCAAGCTCCCTGCGCTCCTCTTCGAGCTCAACATAGGCTTTGTGAACACGAGCCTCCAACAGCGCAATTTCGGCATTCTTTGCCTGAAGAAGATCATTGTTCTGGGTCTGCTCTCCCTCTTTGGCCTCGATGAGCTGCTTCAGCTGGGTCACAAGGGCCTCCTTGTCTTCGAGTTTGGATTGAGTATCCCTGACCTTCGCCTCGCCCTCACTTCTGACCTTCCCAATATTCAGATTAACCTGCTGCACAGACCTCTCCAGGCTCTCGATAGTAGCATCACGCTCCTTGACCAACCTCTCAGCCGACCTTGCCGACGCCTCCAACTCGGTAACCCGAGCTTTCGCTTTGTCTCGCTCCTCAGTGAGAGACCCCAGCCTTGCAGCAGTAGACTCAGCAGACTCAAGATTCCCCCGTAACCGTTTATTCTCATCCTCGGCTGCATCGAGCCTCGCATTGAGTCGCTCAATTTCATCCCGTAGTTCGGTATTATGCGCAGCGCTTGGTAGAGGAGAAGGCATAGCAGGAACAGAAGCAGATGAGCCTGGACGAGACGAACGATCACGAGACTGCATCAGTTCCGCAATCTTGTCCTGCAATGCTCGACTGTTAGACTCCAGATCTGACACAGATTCTCCTGTACCAGAACCAGAGCCAGACCGGTTCGTGTGAGACGGCGATGCTGGTGGAGGCATCGCAACTGCACTAGGCAACCGACCCTTGGGCGTCGAAATTGAGGAACGAGCTCTCGACGGTGTACCATTTCCAAGACCGGCTACCCGTGCTTTTGGGGTCTGGAAAGGTGACGCAGTGGACCGTGTGGGTGAATTGGCATTTTGAGTAGGTGAAGTGATGCCAAAGAGTCTTGTTGGGCTAGCAGTATCAACGAATTTCCTACTCGGACTTGAAGCAAGGGATCCAGCTCTGTGATGACCATTACCCAGCTGCTTCGCAGTCATACCAATGTATCTTGAAGCGCGAGAACCTGGGGTGATACTGTTCTCCTTCATCGTTTGTTTGATGGGTGTCTTGTGCAGATATGATGTTGAACTTCGCGTACGTGTGGCTGAAGGTGTTCGCACTGTGGTAAGTATACGTGGGGCAGTAGGCGTGACGGCAGGTGTCTTTCGACCAATAGAAGTAGAGGGCGTTGAACGACCATTCATGAACGAGGGTGTTACACGACCGCTAGAGATGGAAGGCGTCTTCTGAGCAGGTCGTCCAGTAACCTTTGCAACAGACGAAGATGGGGTAACGCGTCCAGATATCGAAGGTGTCATGCGCCCGTTCCTCACGGAGGCCACGGATGAGGGACGCGAAATGGAGCCGTAGCTTACGGTAGGAGCAGACAGCTTAGTCGTTGCGACAAAAACGCCACAGAGTGGTGGGCAAGAAAAGTATTGCTTCCTGAAACCCAATAATAATGTTCAAAACATTGGACGTATAAGGATAGGGACGGCAGAGGAACAAGCTCCGAAATGAACACTAACCCTGCAACGCTTCCATCGTTCTTGCCCTTGCCTGCGAAACCCCCAGAGAGCTCAACGCCAGCCCAGAGACCAGGTTTCCCATCGATCCCGCCCAGGTATCTCAGAGTACCTTCAAAACCGAGAGACTCTATGCGGACAAGATCTCCGACATCAAATGTTCTACCGGCGCGGCTTGAGGATCTCGCAAAGGTGTCAGAAGTTCGACTAGGAGGACGAGCAAGGGAGGCAGATAGCGGAGGGTCAGATGTCCTTGGACGGCCAACAGATGATGATGTAGAGGCGACAGAAGGTGATCGACCTACGACAGACCTGCGACCTGACAGTGCAGAGAAGTTGGCAGTATTAGGGGAGAGACTCGCAGTGAGAGAATCAGAGGTACGGTGTTGATTTGGGTCATTTGCTTTGATAGCTTCCGCAAATGCCTGCGCGATGTATTCATCGTCGCCATTGGACTGTGGAGGGTGGAAAGTTGCGCTAGATGAAGAACGGAGCCGACCAGGTGTGGGTATGCTGCTTGTTCTACCTGGAGTCGGAATGCCCGTCAGTCTAGGCTTTCCGGCAGATGGTGTGGACATGATTCAGAGACTAGCAATTGAATTAGTGAGAAAGTGAAACCGAAAAAATTTGGGAAAAGTCGAGAGAACTTGAACGCTTGCTCAGCAACCGTACGAGACTGTAGCAAGCAAGGAAACGGTGAAGGAAAGTAGATGAATGTGAGCCGGGTCCAAAGAGTGACTTGTAGTGCTTTCGTAACAGAAATCGTAGCAATTGAGGAGAAGAAAGCTGGCGAACAGAGGATTCGTTCAGTTGGGCTAGCTAGATGAGCGAACCAACCAACCTCAGCCCTACCCTGGGCGCTTCCCAAAATTGCCAAAAACACGCTTCAACGCGATCGGACACATCCCCGATTGACGCCTGCAACTTCATTCACATAAGCTTCCGCGACGACCAACTTCGCCATTAAATACCCTCCATCTCTTGAATGCCCTCGACTACAAACACTGGTATGTACACTGTGCCCAACTTTCTATTCCCCACTAACCCATTTCTCAGTCATTTGGTATGCACGTCTGGGAAAGTTCTCATGCAGATGCTGACCACCATGTAGCCCTATTTGCTCTCGCGATGTTCCAGAAAACACAATCAATGCTCACATTGACAACGGCTGCTCGGATGCGGGACCATCAAAGCAGCAACCCCTTCCAGCTACCACGGACAAAGTTGGTGCCAAAGTACCCGCTCTCGCATCCATATTCGTGAAACAGGACAAGAATATCACTCCTTCACAGGCTCAACATCCTGCAGGCCCGCCTACAGTTCGCAAGACTGACATTACAAAGAAACGCAAGGCGACGCAGGACGTCCCCGCCCCTACGAAACAAACGCCTCAAAAACGCGCCAAGGCATCAACATCCATAAGTGCACACAAGCAGGCTGCTGCGCCGCTACCCGAGAGGTTAAGACCTCAATCTCTCGCCGAGTTTGTTGGCCAGTCTCACCTCACAGGGCCAGAGTCACTCCTCATGACGTTGACACGGAATGGTTCGCTTGGAAGTATGGTTCTATGGGGTCCACCAGGGTACGTCATGTTTATACCGAGCTTTGCAATGCATATCTCATTACTTATTTAGATGCGGCAAAACGACTCTTGCTCGGCTTTTAGCCAAAGAATCTAACGCAGTGTTCAAGGAACTTAGCGCTACTGACTCTAATATTAGCGACGTTCGCGCAGTGGCCGAAGAAGCAAAGAATGTGCTATCCCTGACATCCAGGTTCTGTTTTATTCACATGTTTCATTCATTACCGAAGTTAATACTAAAATAGGCGCACTATCCTATTCCTCGATGAAGTGCACCGTTTCAATAAAGCACAACAGGTATTGACCCGGTTGAGTCGTACCCACTCGTTACTGATTCAGTTTACAGGACATATTTCTGCCTTTCATCGAGCAAGGCGTCATTCAGGTCATTTCATTCTTCTATAACGTGTGTCTATTTGCTTACATTCGGTAAAAGCTCATAGGCGCAACTACCGAGAATCCTTCATTCAAGTTAACTGGCGCACTGATTAGCCGTTGCCGGTGGGTATCAACGCTATTGGATTCCAGAACCATAGGCTTGACGGATTGCATTATTTTAGTGTCTTTGTTCTCGAACCGCTTACTGAAGAAAATATCAGACGTATAATTGTTCAAGCAATCAAGAGGATCGGTAGCTCACTCCCTGATGCTGATGGTGCAGACGAACGTCCTCCCGACATCATCACCTTGGCCTCCTCCAGTCAAGATACGGCAGCGAACCTGTCTCAGTCAACGACCGCTACTATGACCGAGCATGATGACCATCCACCCCCGCCATTCCCACAGTTCCCGCAATGCACAGAAAAGATCATTTCCACCATAGCTTCATTATCCTCGGGCGACGCACGTACCGCACTCTCCTTACTCGAACTCGTTCTTAACGCTCCAAAGAATACAAATCCGGAAACCCTACTCGCGCAACTCAGACAATCAGTATCTACCTCTTATGATCGTACAGGTGATTCTCGGTATGACATGATATCCGCATTGCACAAATGCGTCCGAGGAAGTCAAGGTAGTGCTGCTATGTATTGGTTAGCACGTATGCTCTCAGCAGGCGAAGACCCCATGTATATCGCGCGAAGGATGACCGTCTGTGCTAGTGAGGATGTTGGGCTCGCAGATCCGAAAGCGTTACCACTAGTAAGTCACGTCTTCACTCGTCTTCTAGCCCGTCATGAAGCAGTGTTCTTTCTTCGTAGGCTGTAGCGACCATGCAAGCATGTGAAATGATCGGAATGCCAGAATGCCGAATCAACCTGGCTCATCTGGTCGCATACCTTTCTGAAGCACCAAAGTCGACTCGTGCATATGCGGCGTACTGTCGGGCGGAAGAGGCTGCAAAGGCCAACCCGATACTACCTGTCCCTCTGATGGTCCGTAATGCTCCTACTCGCCTTATGAAAGATCTTGGATATGGTACTGAGTACCACTATAACCCTGACTATATGTATGTTCTATCTCTTTGGAGCTCCGGTGTCTGCTAATGCCTTCATGTAGACACCCTGTAACCAATGAATACCTACCACCAGAGTTACAAGGAGAGAAATTCTTGTATCCAGCTGGTGATACTACTGGAAAGCTGTGGGATGAGAAGGCACTTCAGACATGGGAACAGAAGGAGAATGGGGAGCAGAAGTGGTCTGGTAGAGAAGATTACCTAGATCTTCAAGACTCAGACTCCCATTCTCAGGATGTCAAACATTGAATCATACTCCAGTGATGTCACTATAGCCATCCATCCAAGAAGATTACTACATGTACATATTACCAGTATGCTATGGATATAATAAAGATCTTGGTTCATCTATTTCCACATCCTTCCAGTGCAGTTCTTAGCTTCACACTGGCATGGAGCATAGATTGCATCATTCTAGAACAACATCAGCAACTCTCAAATGGCACAAAGAAATAACCAACCTCTATGTTCTCATTTAACTCTTCTGCTGTCATCTCCCCAAAGTAAGAGAAGCAGAGTTCTTCACCCTTTGCTACATCCCTACAGGTGAATATAGTGAGGAGAGGTTTTTCAATATTTGCCTCATTAATATAACAAGGATTGATCACACAGTTGGGATCACAACTGTGGTTCTGTGGAAAGAATTAGGAGAATGTCACATCCAATATGTCAAAATAAGACTTTCCAGGTATCTGGTGAACTGCAAAGCCATGAAGTCAGTTTCAATTATATGGCAGCTTCACTCTACCTACATTTCCGGCATGGTATGCATCTATGCAGAATTTGGGTTTCCATCTCTTGTTGTTTGTCTTTAGGTACCAGAAATCCAAATCAAACAGATAGGTCCTTCCAAACTGATTGTACTTCCTATATTCTCATAGTCAATCATCTCACTAGTGAACACCATATTAGGGACAGTACTCACTTCCCCCTCTCTTGGGCTTCCTTATCAGTTAAAAACTCTCCAGAATAGATACCAATAAAAGAATTGGCTGGTACATCTTGACCTGCAAAGATTCCTGCATTCCAGAATCAACAAGAGAAGGAATATCAATTGATGACTTAGTACACACCCCATCCTTTTTTGGGAGTTTTCTTGATCTGGAGGCTCACATTTCTACCTTTCTGCACAACCTGTCACAATGACAATGTGAGAAAACTACAGGCATCAAAAGTCAAGGACATACCCTGTTTTGGCATAGGAAGTCATCGCATCCACAGAAAACATTGCATTCAAAGATAGGATACTGATGGACGACGAGCCTTCCATCCTTGTCATAAAGGAATCCATAACTACGCAGCTCCGGGTCGTCGAGATACTCCCTTTGACGCTTTGCACAAGCGCAACTCCTTGGATTACAGAGACCCACGCAATCGCAGCCCTTAAGTGCATCGAAATCAGGCCTAGGAGCTTTCGGACTATGCCACATGAGATTAGTATAATGGAATTCGTATGCTGGCGTTGGTTCCCTGTCTATCTCGTTGACAATACTGATCGGAGGTGCGTTAGGTTCCTCCTTAGCAGTGTTTATACTGATAATGGCCGCAAACAGCTTGCGTTGCATGTCGGCGGCGCTCCTCGCAGCAAATGGTAACGCATTTAGCCTATCCTCAAGCTCGTGAGGAAGGTCTTCCGCAAGTTTAGTCATGTCCGCGAACTCCTTGGCAACGTATTGACCGTTCCGACGCCAGGAGAAGTGGGTCATTCCAGTGATGTTCAGACCAGCCAATGACTTAGCGAATTCTTCTGATGTACCGCTACTGGAGCGCGAGATCGGTTGTCGTCTGCGAGGAAGCACATCAAGAGGATCGGCACTGGTCGATCTGGAGTCATATTGGCTGGATTGTTTTGACCTCTCTCTCGACAATATACGTCTCGAGCGTCGAGTGCTACGTCTGAGCCTTCTTGGTTGAACATCCTCCTCCATCTGCCGAAAAAGAAATCAGTTAAAAACGCGCTTAAGCTGATGGAATATACAGACCTCCGAATCAGACTGGCCTGCAACGGGGGGTCTTGCGATCATTGTCGACACCTCGTTCTCTTCGGACATTCTGTTATCTGGTTCCAAGGGCGAACTAGGAGGAGCGTTCAATGTCTTTCCCCTGCTCGTCGTAGGTGAAGAGCTCCAACGAGCGGTCGCTGGTCGCTTCATATCCTCTAGGCTTCGAGGTGGCTCTGCTGCGGCGTTAAAACAAGAGACACCAGTGCAAATTGGGAAGCACGCACCTAGAGGCGACCGTGGAGGAGATGCGGCCTCATTATCAGACAACGTTAAATCTACCACCTTCCGAGCAGTGTCCATGTACGCTCGGTTGATTACGTCGGACAACGATTCAATCGCGGCTTCAGCATGTTGCTGCGGGATGGAAGATGCTGATGCGAGAGACTTGACGGGCGACTTTGATCCTTCTAACTGAGGCGAACCGAGCTGAAATGCAATCACCTTCAGATCTAGTAATGGTCATGAACAATAATTGACCAACCGCTGACGAAGTCGGACCTGATTGGAGTCTCAGGGATTCCTTAGCAGGATCGGAGCTAGAAATAGATGAAGTAGACTGCACTGCACTCGTATTCGCTATTGGAGGCTTTGACTCCGACCTAGTTAGTGACGTTGGTGCTTCCTTTTCATAGACCTCGCTCGGGTCATTCGCGTGAGGCGGCGTATGTTGTATGTTTAGGAGACAAGAAGCAGAGGACGCCAACTTTGGGGACAGAGATTCGTCACCGACTCCTTGAAGATCCAGTTCAGTGCTGTTCGCCAAAGATTTCACAACTTCTGGAGCCGTAGGAACTGTCTTGTTGGAGCGATGTGGAAAGAACGAGCCGCCAAACAGGGTGCCTTTCATCTTGAACTTCCCACTACGGTCTACTCGCTTCAACTGCAATCGAGGCTTAGCAGATCTAGGTACGACCTCAGATTCCAGTGGCGACGATTCAAGCGACATTCCATCCAGAGCCGGAAGAATGGGATCAGTCGATGCACTTGCGATAGAGACTGGTTTGCTCATACTTCCCGACTGAGGCAGGTCCTCGTCCATAGGTGGGAGGTCGTCATCATAAAGGTTTTGCATGTCTTCAGGGATGGGCTCGGGACTGGCTACCAGCGGTGACTGATTGTTCAAAGATGAACTCGTAGTCGACTCCTGGTCTGGCTGACTGACTGAAGGGATCTCACTTGGCAAGCAAGGTGCATCAACCTCTATCTCTGTGCACGACGTGTGAGATGCTTCCTGAACGTAGTTGACACAAACATACCCTCCTCGCTATCACTGATCGTAATAGGTGTGTCCTTGCTCTTTCCCAGTTCATTGTCGAGCATCATTGTATGACGACGCTGGGCTCCGGATGGCCCCGCAGAAGATGAGACTGTTCAGCAGGAGACGAATTAGACGTCTTAGAAATTGTATTTTACTAAAGGCACACCTTTCGAAGTAACATTAGAAGAATCTGGTTCCTCATCAGAAATGAGATTGATAATATCAGCAACAATAGACCCAGTTGTAAGCCTCCTTCCAGACGCTATTCAGACTTCATCAGACAGAACTGAGTATAACGATTAACCTCTTTATACCTCGAGACGCGTTAATCCGCTTAGCCTGTTTCAGTCCGGGCACTGGAGGAGACACATCGTCATCGTCTGACGACGACGACAGGTCTCTCAAAGGCGCAAGTGGCTTCTTTTTCTTCACAACGCCTGGAGGAATAGCGGTAGGAGGTGAAATTGGTCTTCGACGTGTTGTGAAAAACGTCCCACGGGGTCGGCGCCCAAAAGGACCACCACGTCCAGCCACGCTCTTGCGAGCAATTGGAGGGGTACGTTGACGCGTCGAAGAACCTGAACTATCCGATCGTATAATGGACTGAGACGTTGAACTGTCTTTACGTCTCAGAAATGGTCGACGGGCAGTATTTGGTGACCGACTCTGGCTCACGCCAGGATCTTCTCTGTACTGCGATGGGCCAGCTACTGGGCTGGCGCCAGAACCTAGGAAAGAATGACAATGAAGACTTATCGACGCGAGCGCTGTGCTCTGGCACCCACCGCTTGTTCTCTGAGGTGGGTCGGCATCGCTCACTCTGCTCCTCTTTGAATAATTGGATAGAGGTTTGTCGGCAGCAGAAGGTCCTTTGCGCTTCCGATTAGTGACAGGTAACGGAGACGGGGTCTCTTCAATTTCATCGACCATATCATCTGCCTGGCTTGAATCCGGAACCGTCTCGTTCTCAGACGAAGCGCGCGAGCCAGAAGGTGTGGACCCTGTATTATCAACACGAGGTAAATGCACAAATCAGCTACAGTCTGAATGATTAGCTCAAGGTTTCTACCTGGAAGTACCGTCCATCCTGAAGGATGCTGAGCTCCCGATGGGCGAAACGTGTTCATTCCAGCAGTCGCGACTCGGGATTGACGTTCAAGCAGGCCTGCGATAGACGCCCAAGACGTTACTGTGGACAACCCCGATCTGTCGAAATCATTTGCACCCATTTCACTTTCGCGAGTAGAGAGAAGACGTTTGGATAATTGTGCGGGGAGGTTCAGTAATGTACATGGGATAAGTATGCTACGAAAGAAGGAAATCTATGGGTCTACAATAAAAAATGATAGTGTGTGGATGTACTGGTCTACCATGAAATATGCAAGATAACCAATTGCAGAGGGCCGATCCAGGATGCAGGAGTGATTGCGAGGAAATGCTAAAGAGTTTCGGTGCACAGTCAGATGCGAATTAATCGGCGCCCGTGCAAAGTGGATGTGGATGCGTTGAAAGGTGAATGACAAAGGAATCGCGAAAAAGCAACAATGCACACAAGCTGTCCCAATGAAATAGTTCCAATGCCGAAGTCCAATTGTCTGTTCATCATCGAATGTGACTGTCTGCTTCTTGGCTGTAACGATCTGACGGTGACGAGGGTTGTCTACTATGTCGTGGATTTGTATACATCGACACAGGTGCGGATGGGCTGGTCACATAGCTAAGGGTAGCGTGTGATGATTCTACGGAACCTGATGGCGGTCTTGAATGTTGGAAAGACCATCGCCGAGGAAGCGTCTCTCCCAACGTCGACGATGCTGTAGTCCCCGAATATTGACTAGGCCGTTCGCTCATTTGGCTCACGGCGCTTAGTGGTGGACTGCGCCATGACGCTGTCGTTGGTGTATGCGAAGGTGCAGGGTTCCCCGGTCTTGCATAGAAATGTGAAGAGGATGCTGGCGTGACACTGGCAGTTGGGAGTTTCTCTTCATCCTTCTTATCTTGTCCATTTTCCACCGAGGCAGCGGACGAGGATGCTCTACTGGGTAAGACAGTAGTGCCTTCCTTGCGTGACCTGCCTCGAGCCCATATCCACAATACGAGATTGTAGACGATGTTCAGGAACATGACTACCACGGATATTGAGAATATCACTGCGATGACAATTCCGATGACGACTCGCGGAATTGGTGCCAACGCCAAAGATTGAGAGAATGCAATGGTAAGTCCGGTGCATGCCGTGCGAGTTAACGAAAGGTAGCCCGCAAATACATCTGCGCCACGAGTACGATGAGGCTTCATGACGACGAGAACGCCGAAGAAAAGGCCTTCAACAACGAGGATGAGGATAGCTTGCACTTTCCCCTGACCTTTAGCGAAGGCAGTAACAAGCGCCTTGACGAACATCGCAAGTAGCACTATGCTACCATAGTAGAACCGCTGAGGCCTATAAGGAGCTACCAATGGTTCGATGGACGAGTGATGCGATGAAATGTCTGGGTCTGATCGTCGGCGGTAGAGAGTGTACAGCGCGAAACCGAGGGCAGCTGCGATAGCGAGAAGGAGGATGACCGAAAGGAGAATGGATAGCCATGAATCTTTCAGCGTCCATTGGTAGAACGTGAAGACAAGCACGGGGGTGAGAATGATAAGGACAATGCGGAGCCCCCAAGCCCGCGCAAATGTCGGATATGCAGCAATAGCTGAATCTAGTTTGTCTTCTCTTTGCTTGGCCCAAGAAGTGCGGCGCAGGGCAAGGAGACAAAGGTAGCCCAGTCCAAGCGCGGCCACGCAGATTACAAGGATAATTAGGTTAGTGAGGAATATTGTCATGAAGGCATTGGGAGTATCGATACCGACGCTGGTGACGTAGATTGGAAGTCCAGCTTGAAGGACATTTGGCGAATTCTGGGTAACAGTGACAACATCACCGCCTACGAGGAAGTTGCTGCCTGCCAAGGAACTGTTCGACGCGGTTTGAGGAACATCCGCTGCCGTCGCTCCATCTACGGCACGAGCGATGAACGAACGAGCAGCGGGTTGATTGTACGGGCTGATCCTCCGGTTGACTAATGAAATAGCGCTACCACCGCCGGCGTTCTCAAACTTTCCTCCCGTAAGTTGGCGCATGTGGTCAATAGACCGCTGCATGGGCGAATCGTTGGACACTGGGAAGAGGCCCAATGCCCATGAGAAGTTCTGGGTGAATGCTTGGTAAACCAGGGGATAATTAAGGCTCCACAGCCCAGAGACAGCGATGGCTTGGAAGAGGAACATCACATCCAGAAGCCTTATTGGCGCCAAGGAGTGGGGAATGTATGAGTGCCATACTGCGGAAAGGAACGCCAGGAGACCAATGCCTCCCGTAGACCATTCGACTGCCATTTGACGGGCAGACCAGCCATTCGAAAGAGTAGACTGAATGCACGCGCGAAGCTTCCCGCTTGAACTGTCGGTGAGGGTGAGCTGAGCGAAGGCTTCGAGATCAGGAATTTGGTATGCAATGCCAGGGATCTTCGAGGTGACCTGGTCCCGAACAGAGGGAGGAAGAGTTATTGAATCCGAACCCGTAAAGTTGTATGTGGGTAGCGGACAAAGAGCGCCACCGAAGACGGAGCAGAGCTCGAGGGTGAGATTGAGGGGTTGCATGCCATAGACATTGACCAGAAGATTGGCGGTGACATTAGTGTTGCGGATCTGTCTTACTGTGAGTCGTACGAAGGTTGTTGACATAGAAGGGGTACGTACGACACTGGCGATAGAAACATTGAATGAAACTGATGAATTCTTCTCAATGTAGGCGATGTCGAACTGCTGGACTAGAAGACTTTCCGGAGGTGCGCAATAAGATACTGAAGACGTGACTGTACGGAGACGTCAGTGCATGTAGTACAGCGTAGAACAGCGGAAACACACGCACATAACGATCGCTCGCGAGCTTGAGTGGAGGAAATTTGGAAGAAAGCGAGGGCAAGTAAAGGGAGTCGCAGCCTGGCGACTGAGAAAAACATGAAGGGCGACCTGAAGGGAATGGAGTGAAATGCAATCGGGAAATTGCGTCCTTTAAATTATGGAGAAGTATGAGATGGTCGTGTTGACCACGAGGACAAAAGAGACCATTGTTGCACGCACCCGCAAGGTCTATTGTTGTTCTCGAGTCGTGTGGCTGTGACCTATAGCGGTGTCGTCAAGGGAAAAGAGTAAGATGCACGATGGAAAAGAATGTTATAGGTGAGTGGTGGTTGCTGGACATGCCCTGGGCGACATCGTCCACGGTGAAGAGAAAGATTGGAGCTCTGGATGTCCTAGTCCTATGCACTCCTGCCTGCCGATCCCTGAGCCGCCCGTCGGATCGTTCGGCTCCAGCTCGGGTTGCTTCAATCCGCTCAACGGAGATCGCAGCATTCACAAAATATATATAGCTCGTATAGCGAGGCATATATTCTAAGAAAGCTATGGTACATTTCAAGGGCCCCTCAACTCGCCTTCACCAGCGAAAATCGGTCTACAACTATCCGTACAACATCTCGCCATTCTGTCATCGCACCAAGTCCTGTCGAATAAAGTAAATCAAAGCGTGTGAGAGATCCGCAAAAGACCCACCGACGTCTCCACAGGCTAGAGTCTTTCCGATGGGTCCTACGACATTGTACCCGATTACTTCCTTCAGAATGCGGATGTGCTCCGCAGTGAGCGGATGCTCGTACATGAGCGTGTTCATGGAAGGGAATACGTATGTAGGTGTTGTAGGAGCCAGTGCACGCAAGACCGATGTCTGTAGCGTAGCCACAGTCAACTAGCGATGCATAGGAATGCCTATGAACATACTATAAGGTTGTCACACAGCCCTTGGGCAATCTTAGACAACGTGTTTGCAGAACAAGGCGCAATAAGGACAATATCCGCCCATCGGCGCAGTTCAATGTGCAAGATGGGGTCACCTATCTCGAACTTGTCCTAGGGAATAGTAAGAAAAGTCCATGCATCGTGCCACGCTGCGTACATCCCACTCATCATCGTCCGTCCACACACGGGATCCCGCTTTCTGCACGTCCGCTTTGGAAAAGAAAGCCAGGGACGGTTTCGAGGAGACTACCTCGATCTTGACCTTCTGATACTGTGCACGGCATCAATGGCCTGTAAAGATGCGAAGGCCAGGACACAGACTGAGAGCAACTCAGAGACTATCAGGGGTGCTTTGATGGATGCAACGCTGCCTGTGGTTATTAGCAACACATGGGTGTGCCCATCTTCTCGTTCCTGTGCGGCTACGAAATTCTGCCGCATTGTGAGTGAATGTCGGCTGGATGAAGAGAAAGCCGACATATGGAGAGCTGCCTAATTGAGCAGCTACCGGATTGACCCGCGGCGGGGATAGCCGAGCAGACGGGCAGAGTGCTGGACGTTTGCGCTGAGAGTGCATCGTTCGTCGTCGGCCATCGTCAAAATGCTGCTCTCCTCCGTCCGTTCTACTCTCGCCCATGCTGGTCTCGGTCGACGAGCAGCGAGTACTCTCGCTCTTAAATATTCCAAGGCCCTTTTTTCTGCTGCACTCTCCAAGTCACCGCAGACTTTGAACAAGGTCCAATCCGAGCTTAACACCATTTCTTCTACTCTCAGGGATGTCCCAGAGCTCAAGTCTCTCGTTACCAACCCTACACTTTCCAGCCAGGAGCGTGCCGCTGGATTTAGCGCGTTGTACTCGCGTGCGGAGGGTGCGAAGAAGGAGCCTATTTCTGAGATCACCAAGAACCTCTTCTCGGTGCTTTCGGAAAATGGCAGGTTGACAGAGGCTGAGGGTGTCATCGAGGGATTCAACGAGCTTTTCTCCCAGTACAAAGGAGAGGTCACTGTTACCATAACCTCCGCTGCGCCTCTTCCCAAAGATGTCCAGTCGCGTTTGGAGTCCACTCTCAAGCAATCGCAAACTGCTCAGAAGGCCAAGTCGCTGAAGGTCACTAATAAGGTCAGTGCACGAGCGGTTCATGCACACTTATAGCCCACTCATGAGCCGTCCATAGGTTAACCCTTCGATCTTGGGCGGTATCGTGGTTGACTTCGGTGACAAGACCATCGACCTCAGCGTCGCATCCCGTGTCAACAAGCTTAACAACCTCTTGCAACGTAAGTTACCTCATCATACCATGTCTCCGACCAACATCTCACTCTTCCCCTTTAGAATCCGTATAATACTATCTAAACATTGGCGGATTTAGAATAGAATGTTGATTTCGGTTGCTGCATGACCTCAATCGCGAGCACACTTCATGTGTGAAACAATCACCGTAAGATGCGCAACAGCAACGCATTCTCGGTATAATAAGTGAGCAATATACACAACAATAATTACATCAGATCTACGACTCCTCGTCTGGGCGAGATAACGGCTACAACCTTGCTTTCAAAGTCCAACAACTCACCACCTCTAGTAGCAACTAAGTCATGAGCAGACTGGGCCTTGACTTTCCCGCCAAGCAGCTTCTCCAAGTTGGTAGATGCCAGAGCGAGGGCTTGTCCCTTGGATAGACGACCTCCTGCTTCGATTGCAATCTGAACATATAGTGGGCATGATGAGTGGCAGAGGTCGGGAGTATGTTACGAAATACATACCCAACCGACATCGAAACGCGTGTTCTGGGCAGCCCAGTTCTCTGTGATACCAACGCCGACAGTCACATTGTGCTCTAATAATGTGAGGATTGAGCTTTGCTCAGTCAGAGGAGGTCCTGGCGAACTGGGTATAGCAATTAGTATCTGGTTCGTTAAGGCCGAGAATGTGACGACTCACATTCTTCTCTGCTCCCAAACGGCGGGGAAAGGCCTTGCTGGTACTTGGATGACACCGACATCTGCGTGAGCAAGGTCCTTGGCTAGAAGGTATGCTTCGATGCCTCCACTGATGGTCAGCTTGACCTTGGAACGGTATTGCTTCTCCACTTCTTTCTTCAGTGAGACCAAAGTGGCAATGACATCTGCGCTGTCTGCCTCAACAACCAATGTCTCCTCGCCCTAACAGTAATAAAAAATCGATGGGCAAATAGAGGGCATGTGCCACGAGACATTTACGCACCTCCGCAACGTTCTTGAACCACTTGCCCGCATGGCTATCATCCGGATGAAGCAAAAGGTGCCTCAAGGTTCCTATCTGAGTACTCACACTTGGTGATCCGAAGTGCCTCACAGATACATGCAGGGCATTGACATCCTGGATCACAGCACCTTCACTGAGCTTATTCCGAGCAGCAGTGGAGAAAGTGGTGCTGAGGCCAGCGAAGAATAGGTCGTGAATAGGCGCGACAATACCGGCTGTCACACCTGCCCTATAAGCGAGGCTACACAATGCGTTAGTGACGATTGAACAGGATGATAAGAAAGTTGTAAAACTTACAGGGAATCGCGACCCCCGAACTGAAGTCCATCTGAGGCACGTATCAGAGCACCGTCGCCACCTACAATCTTAGGGACCGGCTGGTAGAGTGGATCAGGAACGGCACCGTCTCTTGTGGATGGTTCCTCGTTGATTTCTTCTAAACCAATCGGAGCACCATACGTCACCAAACCAGGAGATAGAGCACCACCATTGAGGTCAACTATAGTTGCAGATGATTCGGACAAGTCCATGCCGCATTGTGAAGAACTTCCGAAACACTTCATAATGCCCTTCTCGACAACGACAATGCCATAGGAATTAGCGTCCTCAGCTAGGAAGACTTCATCGACAGAATCATTTGTGCGAGCATAGACGGATTTGACGCCAGTAAACACGACAGCATCGTGGGCTGCTTCCTCCGGCTCCAATGGTGGCAAGCCTTCATAATTGACCTTTCGACAAAGTCAATCGTTGAATAAAGCGTGCAAAATCAAGATAGGCGCACAGTATCTTTGGCCTCTTTGTCAAAGTTAGGCACCTTGGGCGAAACCTGGAAAGCTTTCGGTTTCTCGACGACATGCGGCGATGAAAGCTGCGGAATGCCATCGATGAAGACTTGAATGGGCGTTGCACCAAGTGCCAGAGGATGGCTATCCCATATGACAAGATCCGCGTCCCAACCTGCAGTACGTATGATGGGAACTCTCCAAGGCTGGCACCAAGTTGTGACTTACCTTCTTTGATATAACCTACTCGATGACCCATACCCATCACCTCCGCAGGAGTACTCGTCACCGCAGCGATTGCCAAATTCTCAGGCAACCCATAGAAATGTGCTTGTTGGGCTTCGAATAAGAGGTCTCTAGAGTGGAACGCAGCGGAGCTGTCGCTCTGGTGACAATTAAGTTTTAATTGAAGTTTTCTTATATGTAATTTACACCACCTTCATGACAACGGGAAGGCCATGTTGAGCCAGGACCCGTGGAGCGAACACTGAACCTCTGTATGCCTCTCGTTTGTATCTATAATAGAAATGTTGAGTTATGATAACAAAAATCGAGGATGGTATCGGAACACTGACCTTGCCACCGCCGCGAACATAGCTACAGCGGGTGGGTGCTCTAAGAATGGCACATTTATTCATTACTCAACTTGAATCGATAAAGAACCTGTTCTCGTACCATAAGCCTTCTTGAGCACGTCTGGAACCTGTAATACCAGCAGTGAATTATGACGCCACCTAGAGAGGGCTCTTCATTGCTCACCAAGTAAGCTTCATGAGCGTGATGAAAGGCAGCTACCGGGAACTGAAATTCTTGACTAAGCTACAAACCCTGTATGAACGACAATACCCCAAAAGAGCCAAAAACATGACAGTACCCGAACGAAATCATCCAAATCCACTGCCTCATAGCAGTGAACTTGAACCTGTTTAAATGAGTTAAAACCTCGAAGTAATGAAACAAAATCATCATGTGCAGACCTTAACTCGCCCGCGAAGAATGTCCACCATCGCTTCCCATTGTAAGTCTTCAGGGAATGGTTCCTTGGTCAACTTAGCCCAATCGCCATCTAGGACGTCGTTGCAATATTGATCCTGGCCATCCTTGATCTCTCGAGCCTTATTGTATCTATTGATTATTTCAGAAAATCTTGTTCAGACGGTAAGCGAAAAGGCTCACGCTTGACGAAATGCCCAGACAGTATCCATGCGGGTATACCCATAAACACCATCTCCACCGATGTTTAGCCGTTATAAGCCCAATATGTTAAATTCCACTCACTAGGATTTTCCCCTGAAAGGACGAATATTAGACGTTCTCAGCATAGTCAACACTTTAGAGCGGTGTAAGAACACACCACACGCATGTCTTAAGTGAATGCGATGATTAGGAACTACATCAACAGGTAAATTAGTAAGTAATGCACTAACTTCATTTGACGCCAGCGGGGTCGCTCAGCTTCCTCCAGGAAAGAAGAGTTGATTTGATAGGGTGGCTCAAGTAACATCGATGAAGGAGAACGTTCGGGGGTAGACCTCAGTTTGACTGTGAAACCTTGGCCGCCTACGTAACTCAGGTAAGGAGTCTGTGTAAAAAAGAATATGATTTCCTATTCAAGTTCATCATACCAATTGCATTGGCTGATCCTGGTAGTACTAGAGCCGTTGTGACACCTCCAGCAATAGATAGAAGATATGAATCATCGTGTGTATTCAATCCATCCAACGCCCTGAGCCATGGTTGAATAGGACCTAGAAGAGAATTATCGTCCTGCGCCCCGTTCAAATCCGGAAGAGGCGAATCTCCGATATGAGAATGCAAGTCGACAATTCTAACGACACAGTTACAGTGATTATGATGACACGTCTTCCACCGATGAATGCGCATACCCAGGTGTTATCCACGCGTTTTTTGCATCCAGAACAACTAGGTCGTCTCTGAGCATTTTCAAATGAGCGTGACCGACGCGTCCAATGCCTTTGATGATGCCTTTGTCGAGTAGTATGTCAGCATTGACTACTTCAGTGCCGTTCGCGTCCCCTGTCCATATTCTTGCATTCTTGATTAGAGTAGGTTTGGTTCCTTCCACGAACCGGTCCGAGTAAGAACGTTTGTGGAAGTCGCGAGATGGACCAGGCTTAGCATGCAGAGAGCGGCAACGAGCGAGAGAAACAGTAGCGTGAGGGGGAAGCCGAGCAGTAGAATATGTAGTCCAGAACCCTTGACTCAGATAGAACAGGAAACCAGCAACAACCAGGAAAGAATAGACATATAGCATACGAATGTGTGGTGTGAGGATTCCGCGCCTGGGCCGCTGAGAGAACTCCAGAGTTTCTGGGAGACCTTTAGTCATAGCAAACGTAAAGAGTGGCTTTTCTCAATAGCGTAGGGTATATATGCAAGACAACCTATGAGCACCTGCGCCGCGCCAACCGTCCTGGTGGTCGTGGGCTGCGTGAGGCTACACGCATGAATACTATACGAAATCAAGCTGACAGTGAAGAATTCAAACTCAGCGACCTCTGTGGGTGTCAGTTGAACCTGTCCTCTTAAACGCAAAAGACATTTGCTTTGGCCACAATCGCGTAGGATACCCATTCACTAACTTGTACTCTCTCCTAGCAGCTCCACGTTGCAGTGATGGCAGACGGCGCGGCTTCTTCTTCTATGGAAGTCGATGGCCTTGACCTCTTGGTTACGTCCACCACACATGCGGAAACCACCGTCGTAGTATCAGAGACAGACAACCTACCTTCCAGTACACGCTTTGCTGCATACAATGTCGGATACGTGTATGATCCGCGCATGATGCTACATAGCTGCTCTACTGGTCATCAGGAAGACCCAGACCGAATCTCTAGAATTTTTGATACGCTCAAAGCTGGGGGATGCATTGCTCAGATGGTACCAATTCCAATCAGGGAGATCCGGCGTGAAGAGGTTCTCCTCGTTCATAGCGAAAGTCTCTGGGACAAGGTGATGGCTATCAGTTGTAAGTGTCGGAAATTTCTAGAAGGTCCCTTCGTAAGGCACCAAAACTAATACATGGTCTCGACAGCCATGACCGAACAAGACATCGCAGATTCAACAGCCTACTACGATGAGCTTTCACTCTACGCTCATCCTAGTACACCTCTATGTGCTCGTCTGAGTTGTGGTGGGGTAGTGGAGGCCGCCCTTGCCGTTGCCCGGGGACAAGTGAAACGATCTTTTGCTATTGTGCGGCCACCTGGTCATCATGCAGAACCAGACGAACATATGGGTTTCTGCTTCTTCAACAACGTTGCCGTTGCTGTAAAAGTTGTTCAGCTACTGACACCAATCCGCAAGATACTGATTCTAGACTGGTGAGTTGTTTCGACATGCGTCTCGTTGAAGCCATGTTAAAACCTGTTGAAGGGATATACATCACGGTTCGCCCCCACTTTTTTATAATAGGACTCTTCCTGAGAGATTCCACAGGTAATGGAACCCAGCGTGCCTTTTATGACGACCCTTCTGTTCTATATATATCCCTGCACCGTTATGACGGAGGGCAGTTCTATCCAAACGGTCCGTTCGGAAGCATGGTATCTTGTGGGGAGGGACCAGGTCTTGGCTAGTACGTTTGCTAGTCTTAATAACATTCAGATGGCTCAAAAATTCGTAGTTCCGTCAATATACCCTGGCCGCAAAATCATATGGGAGATGCGGACTATATCTACGCATTCCAACACGTCATAATGCCCATCGCAATGGAATTTACTCCGCAACTCGTAATCAGTAAGACTTTAATTCATGGTTGTTGATTTTTCTCTTCCTCTTTCTCATCAACCTTCTCTCCCTTCAATCGCAATAGTCTCTTCTGGGTTCGACGCCGCTAAGGGAGATGAGCTGGGGGAATGCGATGTTACACCGGCCGGCTACTCTCATATGACGCATATGTTGACTAGTTTGGCTAACGGAAGAGTGGTGGTTGCTCTCGAGGTACGCCCTTATGCGCTGTTTCTTTCCACCTTGAGAGCTTTACCTTCCTTTCCTTTTGGCAGGGCGGATATGACCTTGAGGCGATTTCAAATTCTGCATTGGCAGTAACACAAACTATTCTTGGAGAAGCACCTCAGCAATTGGATCCAATGGTTGTTTCTGAGGTTGCAGCAGAAACGATCTGGCAGGTCGCACTAGAACAAAGCAAACATTGGAAGAACATCAACCCCAAAGCTTGCGATCCATTACAACGTACGTTAGGCTTATATCGAGAGAACAATTTCTGGCTGAATAATCATTACTAGCTGAGGACGACAGTGTTACTTTCTCAATTCCAGGTAAGTACATCTTATTGAATTTCTTAGTCAGTTGACTCATGACTGCGACAGAACTGCTCAAAGCCCACAGACAAGATTATCTCTATCGACAGCACGAGATGCTCCAGGTTCCCTTCGCACCTGAAGCGTTGGATGAACGGTTCTCCGCCCAGGCGGCATGCACGTGAGTACAAACATCAAACGTCTGCGCGTGTAGCTAATGGTCATATCAGCGCGGATGTTATGGACAACCAGACTTTGGTTGTTTTCATTCACGAACTGTAAGTTCTTCCAGAGGCCATTGTACTAGATGTTTCGTTCACTGTTCACTTCTAGAGGCAATCTTCGCGTAGAGTTGGACTCCGTCATGGAGTGTAACGTGCAAATGGAACATTCCTACATGGTATCCGAGATTTTCCTCATTCGTGTCGTAAACCATGATTATAAAAACTCCTATACAGATCGACATGTCTAAGGACCTCATCGGCTGGGTGAAGGATTCTGGATATGCATTGCTTGACATCAATGTCTTGCCGAAACCTTTCGCGACTAAGAAAGTGAGCTTTCTTTCTCTGGAAATTTTTATTATAATTGAACTGATCTCTGAGTAGTTAGCACGCGGATCAGGAAACTATCCGGGAGAGCTTATGACGTATATTTGGGACAACTATATTGAGTATGTCTGCTTAATAGCATCTTTGTAAGCGATCCTGACGTGTGTTCCTCTAGGATGGTCAGTGCCCGCCGAGTCGTCCTTATTGGTCATGGACCGGGCTGCGAGGCTCTTATGTATCTCATATCTCATCGCAGTATGTCCTTTTATATCTTCTCTGATGATTGTATTCTGAGGGATATGACCTGTAGCCGTCGCCGTTATGCGGATGGTGACAGCCGTTGTTCAAGTCGTTGGGCATTCCAACTTACCTGCAACCCCTCGTGATGCAGGAGACATCATGACTTGGTACCACAAGGTTGGCACATAATAACATTTCAGGGAACTTACGCCTGACGGCTATCAACAGCGTTCACTCGCCATCCTCCCTGCCAACCATCGCGTATTCACAAGCGGCAAAGTGCTAAAACGGCATGGAAACGTCTTACGTATGGGTATGATATGCCCTCCTGGTACTCACGCCCACCCGCTCACTCTCTTCGTACTCCAGATGAGACAAAGCCAATCAGAATATTGCACACCGCCCTACCGACTATCTACGAGTTCATACAAGCCATGTTGGACAAGTCATCCCCTCAGAACGGTACAAGAGACTCATGACATCCGTGACCAACAGTTTTGAAGCAGGTTATCGAATCCAGTGTCTCCATCTACACAGTAGTCCAGATGGTATATATGTTGCCCCTTTGGTTATCAGAGGTTTCTTCATCAAAAAATATCAACCAAGCCTCTCCGAGATGAGATCACAGCGGCCACTTTGCTATTAAACTCCAGCAGCCCGCCGCTTTGAGTCGCAACAAGATCTCCCGATTGAGAACCGCTCACACCAAGCAATTTCTCTACGTTCACTGAAGCGAGAGCTAACACTTCCTCCGTCGACACACTTATTCCAGCAGTCAAAGCGGCCTGGTGAGAAGTTAGAACCTGAGTGATGCACATCCGTGATGCCAATACTTACCCAGCCGACATCGAACCTAGTGAGTCTTGCCAGGGAAGGGTCTATAGCTCCGACAGCAACTGTGACCTTGTGTGCCAACAGGGTTGACAACGCCGTACCGTCACTTAGAGGAGGCCCTGGAGAACTAATGTAGGTTCAGCCCCGTTTCGCCCTAAACTCCTTCTGCCACAACTTACATTCTCTTCATCTCCCACGATGACGGGAACGATCGTATTGGCCGCAAGATCACCCCAATGTCGGCGTCTGAGATTTCACTTGGAAGCAAGTAAGATTCAGTTGCGCCACTGAGCGTGAGTTTCAAGGGATGGAAGGTCGTTCCCTCAATCTCGCGTTTGAGCTCAATGAGGGAGGCGATAGCGTCCGCACTATGGACATCAACGACCAATGAGAGTTTGCCCTAAATGATGACAAGTTTAGCAAGAGCAACGCAATGCGATATTGGTGGGCATGTGCATACCTTTGTCACTTTTTCGAACCAGTATCCTAGTTCACCCTCGCCATTTCCTAGTAACAGATTTCTTAATGCGGCGACCTGAGCGCTGACGCTAGGCAAATTGTCTGAATGAGATATGGCAACGTGGACAGCGACGACGTTCTGTACGACAGCACCCTTCTTGAGCCTATGTTCCGAGCCAGTGGAGAAAGCAACGCTGAGACCCGACAGAAGACCTTGACTTTGTGGTGCCACAATGCCAGTCGTGATACCAGATCTATATGCCAACCTTACAAACATGATCGAGATGAGCCTTGAAGCTTGAAGGTCTCGCGCAGCCTGATGGAGTACTTACAATGCATGACGGGTGAAGAACTGCAAGCCATCTGCAGCCCTAATTATAGCACCATCGCCGCCGACGATGGCGGGGACCTTTGAGATTAGTGGGGCTGGAACAAGCCCGTCTTTTGTGGACGGTTCTCCTTGGATGTCCTCCAAACCCAGGTTGGAACCGAAGGTCACCAAGCCTGGTGAAATCGAACCACCTTGTAGGTTGACAAAGGTAGGCTTTCCAGTAGTATTTAGTTCCAAGCAGGTTGAAGCTTCGCCCATGCAGATTATTTCGCCGCGCTGCACCTGAACGATGCCATTATCATGGCCTCTGCGCAAACCCAGCACTTCCACAATGCTATCTCCCTTTCTGGCATAAACATGACTGACGTTCGTGAAAACTACAGTCCCTTCGCTTGTATGATTAGGTAACAAAGGCGGGAGGCCGTCGTATTCGAGAGTTTTGCGAGCTTCCCGTTCGAAATCAGGCGTCTTCGGGATGTTTTGAAGAAAGGCAGGCTTGTCCACGACATGAGGGACTTTAATCTGTGGGATCCCGTCGATCCAGACCTGCTTTGGAGTCGCACTCAGAGAGAGAGGATGGCTATCCCACAGCACAACGTCTTGTGAAGTAAATACAGTTCAGACAGACAAAATAGAAAGAGCAAGGATGTTTTACCTGCGTCGTATCCTGGGACGTTCGTGAAGCCCAGTTAAGCAAAATGTAAGCAAACCGTCAAGAACTACCTTACCTCTCTTAAGAAAACCGATACGGTGATCCTCTCCAATGACTTCGGCAGGCGTACTGGTCACGGCAGCCAATGCCAAGTTTGGAGGAAGTCCGAAGTAATGGGCTATCTGAGCTTCATAAAGCAGATACCTTGAATCCAATACCGGGTGATCAGACTATGACATTCAAGTCAGCATGTTTGATTTATAGAAAGGACGAAACTGGAACCTTCATGATAACTTGAAGCCCATTCTCAGATAAGATCTTGGGTGCAAACTCTGAGCCTCTGTATGATTCACGCTTGTAGCGTGCCTTCGTTGAAAACAGTGCAACAGCCGGTGGGTGCCCTAAGATAAGACACTCATTTATTGCATTTCACTCAGTCCATGGAGATTACCACGAACCATAAGCAGACTTGAGGGTGGATGGGACGAGGTAGGTCTCATGAGCATGATGGAATGCAGCAATCGAGAATTTGAATTCGTTGGTGATCTTGGCAAAAGCCTTTAGTACAACGGCTGGCATAAAGAGCCGATGTTTCACTAACCCGAACCATGTCATCTAAGTCAACCGTTTCATAACAGTGGTTGTGGACCTGTGCATGTCATTGTCAGTGGTCATAGTCAATGATGAACGAAGCAGACAGACTTTGACACGTCCTCTAAGGACATCGACCAAGGCTTCCCATTGGTAGTCTTCTGGGAAGTCTTTGATCTCGTCCCACTTTCCGGTCGAAGCTTTCTGGCAGTAGGCGTCCTGTGCATTCTTAATTTGACGTGCCTTGTCGTATCTATATACGCGTCGTAAGAACAAATCACCTCACTAAAGTAGAAGACTTACGCTTGTCGGAATGCCCATGTCGTATCCATTCTTGTGCCTGAGTAGACTCTGTCTAAGGCAGCATAAGTAAAACATACGCAAACCTTACCAATTAGCGTACCAGGATTCTCGCCTGTGTGCAAGTGATATAATCAGGTCACAGCTAGATATGACCTGAATATGAAGCCTACCGCACGCATGCCTTCATTGAGAATATCATGAGGTCATGAACACGAGACACAACAGCCAGGGACCACTTACTTCATTTGTCGCCACCGCAGCCCATGTAAAGGATCATATTCGGATGTGTTAGTAGAATAGGGATTCTCCAACGTCATCGCTGTCGGCGAACGCTCTGTTGTTGGCCTAAGCTTAATCAGTAGTCCCTGTCCGCCTGACGACTTGTCAGCGCCCTCGACCATGTAAGAACGGTAATCCTGTACCTATGGCGTTCGCAGATCCTGGAAGAACCAAAGCAGTTGTAACACCACCAGATACACTTAAACGATATGCATCATCGTGCGTATTAAGCCCATCGAGAGCACGCATCCACTGCGTAACAGTTAAAATCGTTCTTCCCAGAGACGAGATGAAGGGACCAACTGGGAGGACGGGACCATGATGAGAGTTTCCATCGCTGGATCCCCTGAGACCGGGGTTGGAATGTACACCAAGATGAGAATGCATATCTACAACTCTACGATCATGTTAGACCCGTTCATTGTGATGGGAGGACTGCACTTACCCAGGCGACAGCCACGCCCCATTTGCATCAATAGTGACGAGATCATCGAGACGAGCTACGAATTCGCGGTCAATATCACCAATGTCCCGTATGATACCTCCATCCAGCAGGACATCGCCTGTGAACTGTTCCAGGCCGTTCAAGCGTCCAGACCAGATGGTCGCATTCTGCGCAACTATTGATAAGTACCAAAGACGGAAAATCTACGTTGACGAACAGTAATCAATGTTGGGTTTGTACCCGCTTGGAACCTATCGGACTGCTTCCGTTCATAGAAATTCGCAGGCGTATGGGGCTGAACGTTCAGCATACGACACTTATCCAGGATCTCGGCCGCATCGATAGGTATATTTGACAAGGGATCGTTTCGAGCAGGGGCATAGAGAAGCCGTATAATAGAGAAAACGGTACCTGTTAATAGCAATACCCACCCAAATATGATACGGAACGTTGATGCGTTTCGTCTGGCACGATCATTAGTCGCCAGAAGGTGATCTATCTCCCCCGTGATCGGCTGTGGCAGAAGACCCTTGGTCGACATGGTGGGCAGAAGTCAAGTCGGGTACGCTCAGTCCAACTTCGAGATACCACGAAGGACCATATGGCTCTCCGGTCTGCTATTCCTGATCGCCCGAGCCGAGATATACAACTCGCTCGCACGATCGTCATCTCAGATCACGCCAGAATAGGACACTCGGATGGTTCCGACGTGGTTCACTTGAGGACAGCTCTTTGCTCTTTGCACCGACAAGTTCACGCTTCAAGGTTTATCAGACACTCCCATACATTGCACTTTCTACGATAGAACTCGGCAACCGTCTCTGCTTCGTGCCCACAACTGCAGCTTTCCTAGCCAGAGAGTAAATAGTGACTGGCCGGCTCACGTCAGCGGTACTGTGATGGCACAACCTGTAAAGCCTCCCGTCGTACAGCCTGGCACAGGCAACAACATCATAGTGAATCCTTGTCAGGTACGTTTCCATGGTTCCAGCTTGTCCTCTCCCTTAAACCGACCCAGCGAGGGAATCCGATCATTGAATGTATACGAAATGTGGGCAAGGAATTTGGCGAGATCGTTGTAGACTATCAAGTAGGAAGAACGACTGGCATTCTTTTCCTAAGGTGATATCTTTATATGTACAGCCATGTACGCTAACTAAGGCGTCATGTAGTCTGCGATACCACCGACTACACCCAGAGTACATCCATCAACGTATACAGAAGCTCGGCCATGCTTACAATCTGAGAGTGCTCCTCATCATGTGCGACGTGGTGAGTAATCTTATCTTATTGCGATATGGTTTTCGACTCAAACTCCCACTCAGAGTGAGCATCAGGAACCTATACGTGAGCTGACGAAGGTACCGTTCACGTATCAGTCTGTTGAGACATCTTATTCATCTTCTTCCAGATCTGTCTTCATAACAACATCACTGTCATGGTTGCGTGGACGTGAGTCGAGAATTGCGTAATCTTGAACGGGGTGTTCATTTTACTACAACAGAGCGGAAGAAGCTGGTTTTTATCTCTCAACGTTTAAACAATTCGAACATAAGCCTCCAGACCTTATCAAGGAACGAGTCGACAAGGACTACGACTCAATGCTGCGCACTTCACTCACAAGCATAAGCAAGGTGAACAAGACCGATGTTGAAACCCTCCGTACAACATTCGGCGTATGTTTGTCGCCAACAATAGTAATTCATTACTCTGACCTGTCTCCCAGAGCTTTGCAGATATTGCGAAAGCGTCGTCTGATCAGCTACTGAACCTTCCTGGGTTTGGTCAAGTGAAGGTGAAAAGGATCAAGGACGCTTTTGAGAAACCGTTCCGAAATAATGCCACAAGTGCACTTCCATTCGCACAATTTCAGCCTACCAGCACTACACAAGTTGCCAGTACTACTGCAGCTGAAGCCTTGGCAGAAGGTGTCCTTGAAGTCTCAACAAATGAACCGGCACCTAGTCACCCTGCAAGAGAACCGAGACCCGTGTGGGACATCGAGCTCGACTTGAACGAATCACTTCCGCCAAGCCCAGAATCTGGTCCACTACCTATACGCCAGGTCGCAATAGGGCAAAAACTCACCCGTCAACGATCCCCCAGTCCCATGTGGGACATTGAGTTAGATCTTGACGAGGCTGATGTTGAACAGTCTACCGCTAAGGACAAATTTGGCCAGCCAGCACTCCTCTCTTGACGAAAAGACTTTGCTCTGGAACGAGATAAACAAAGTAATGTAACTTTCGTTAGTAATGAATAGCGGTCTCTATAGTACTTGCACCCCAAGAAGAAATCAGGTGATGGTACTGTCCTGGAATGACCGTTCATTCACATCACATGTCACAATGCCTCTGTGAATGGCTTGGTCACTGGTCACAGAGGATGGTGAATGAGGGCGCCAGAGCAAACATGAGCGCTACATGAGCGCTACATATCAATATTACCATTTTTGGTGGCCCTACGGGGCTTAAACTGGCCGTCACAGGTCATCGACCCTCGTGAATGGCGATTTCGATCGTCACACGTCACAGGCCGTGAATGAACGGTCATTCCAGGACAGTACTCTACCAATGTCCTACATGTAGGTGCTAGAAGGCGGTCGAGCGAATTATTCGTGTATTATGATAGAAATTCAAAGCCATTATATGTAAAGGGCAAAATGATAACGAAGAGCAACCGATAGCAGCGAAAGCGAAGCGACGAGATTATTACTTTGGAGTTGAGAAATACGAATGCAAGTTTTTTGGTCTCGGCTTCCCGCTGCCAGAACGTGAGCCTCGTTGTAAGCACGCTTGGCGTTGATAATGAACGCGGAACGAGAGTTGCTGCAAAGCAGCCTTTACTCTTGAACGATCGAGATGAGCAGCGCGGGTATCGACTGTTGATGACAAAAAAAAAGCAAAAGTTAACGCAAGCGCTCGGAAGAGGCTTCAGGAATACACACCAATCCTGCCATGCAATAGATCCAGCTGTCTAGTCACTGTTTCAAGATCAGATCTTTCTCTGATTTTGCTGGGACTATCCAAAATCGAGCTCCTGGGAGCATCCCGATTCGCAGCCCTTTCTTCTTCAACATATCCATCGATGTCGGTCAAAGCGACACCCAAAATCTCCACATGACAGAGTAGTTCTTCATAATACTCTGGTTTATCTGAGTTCCCGGGAATGTCGAATAACCCTTGTGAGCCCACAGTCGGAGATAGAAGTTCGATGTAAGGCTTGAGTGACGGAAGGTGGATATAAGGACCCTATCCAACGAAAATGCTGAGATGAAGAATGCCAATAGAGGACGAGCTATACTTACGACAGCGGGATCATTAGGGCCTAGCAACATCTTCCGCGCAATCCATCTCGCTATTCTTGTAGACTGTAAAGAGCCTCTGACGAACATCGAAACGACGAGTGATTTGTTGATAGGTTCCAGCTGTGTAGCATAGCTGAGAACCTTCAATGCAATTTGCTCCTCCTGTTTCCAATCCATCACTATCAGTCAGTGAAGGTCAGGTCACCGGGACTGCATACTCACGCAGGCAGCATCATTGACACTCGAGCACAAGTCTTCAATTGTACTTCTGATATCTCTTGCTAGAGCCGCAGAGGTGCTCGGGTCAAGTCCAATGAGGATCAAAGCTAGTACAACGTCCGGAATTGCGTCTCTCTGAAACGCATGCATGCTATAGACCTTTATCAGTCACCTCTTTTTTTCTTCCACGTAAGAAACATACCTAGCATACACAGACATAAATTGCGCCATCCGAAATAGCGAGCGTTCGCGGTCTTCGGTACCAGGTCTTGAAGTTTCCACCCCATCAGGAACGGACCAGCCCAAAGCTTCCAGCGTATCTCGCCTAGCACCGAGATGAGCCAGAGCAGCAGAGATAATGTCAAAATGTATTGTATTCAATTCCGACGAGATGAATAGGTCTGGACATTGACAGAGAACGGCGCATGCTTGTGCACCTAACATAGGTATCGAGATCGAGAAAGCTACAAGCGTCATGTCATGAAACTCCAGCTCCATTGGTGGAAACGCAGTGAAGACATACCTAAGTGGCAAACCCACCGTAGTAGAGGGGCACAGTGTTCCGACTTAATTAACTCCATAGAGTCAGGACGCAGCAGCAAACATAGCCGCCTGATATCTACAGCACCATTAATCAACCTTCGTGGAAATAGTGACGGAAAACGCGAGGACTCACTCCTGGCATCCACGGCGCTTCGCAAAGCAGTCAAAAGCGGAACCTTCTCTTCACCAGAAGTCGCCTCAGGTAACGACGGCAGATCATCCACGCCCATGTTATCATCAACGGGGACCATATCCCACAGCACAACCCCTCGTACGGCTTTACGTTTCTTCGTTTTCTCGTGGGCCGATGCTCGATCCTTCGCAAGGATGCTCCCAACAGCCGTCCCATCTTTTTCTCCAAGGATTTTCCGGCACTCATCTTCCTCTAACGCTTCACCCACCTCACCCTCGTCGTCAGAGTCACTATCGCCATGATGCGCCGGCGCACGAGCTGGGCTTGATGACTTCAAAATAAGTCGTCTGGAACCTTGCCTCACGATGTTCATAGCAGCTTCTTCGTTAGCCCAATCAACCTCGGAATCAGAATCAGGCTTCTCCTCTTCATCCTCCATCTCGTCCAACAAACTCCTTTTTGACTTCGTCTTTGGCAAGTTGACGGCTTCCTCAGCTCTGCGAAGAGCATCAGACCCACTACCTCGCTTGTCAGCGATTTTCTTCTCTTTGAGAAGAGCGTCGAGTGGGTTCGCTGTTTTCTTCTTTGCTGCAGGTTTCCGGGTCCGTGATTTCAGAGGTAGAAGAGAGTACTTGGAGGTTGAGGGACCTGCCTCGGCGTTGACGTGAGGTGAGTGTCGACGAAGATTATAGCGTTTCGATGCGTCGTTAGGGGTGGGAGATGCACCGCTAGAAGGCTCAAGCAACGGTGAGTTGTCACCAGAGCTGAGTGCAGGCGGCGATGAAGCTGCTGTCCTATACAACGAAATTGATGTTAGACAAGTACATACTCGAACAGGCAGAAACGACTTACGCCTTGCCTTTACCCTTCTCATACTTCTTGAAAATATTATCGTCAAATTCCTCATCGCTGCTGTCCTCAAGCTCCTGGAACTCCAGAGGGTTGTCCTCATCATCCGAAGCTAACGCTCGTTCCATAGCCTTCGCTCGGATCTGCGCAATGATCTGAGCTGTCTTGGACTTCTGGTCAAGAGCGATTGGCGTTTTTGACACAGATCCTTCCAAAGGTATGTCGAGCGATGGCGGCGTGTGGGGTCGAAAAACATTCTCCATCGAGACATCTTCTTTGATAGAGTCTAGTGACTTCATGGGTAGCGAAACATCCTCAATAAATGTATCTTGAGCTCCCGAAGGTTTCCCAGGAGTCATAGATGATGATGAAAAGTCCTGACTTGTATCAAGTTGATGTTTAACTTCATCCTCAGAAGCAAATACTTGTGGACCAAGGTCATCATCGACCTGAGATGTAGGCACGAAGGACTCCGGAGGATCGACATAATCGAGACCTCCATCAATATCCATACCGTCGACCGTCAGGTCAGGTTCAGGAGGAATTGATTCTTCCTCGGGCAGCAGTTCAAGTTTCGTCGATGGCTCTTGGGACGCGTGCACGGAAGCGTCACGACGCCACTTATCCACTGACTCCATGACCTCCACTGGGTTTCGGTCAAGAGGTTTGGTAACAGCTAACTCGCATTCGTCCGACTGACTGCTAGGAATCAACTCTTCGGCATCGTGCCCTGAGATGGTATATCGTCGTGCAGGGCTTTGAGGATTGACACGACGTTTCTTGACTGGGGTGGAGTGGGCACTGTCGCGTAGTTTGTCAACTGGCGAAGGTATATTAGGTATATTTTCTTTTGGAGCTAACGGTGCCGCCGATGAGGATGTTAATGTGGAGAGTCGGGAGAGAGAAGTGGTGGACTTGGCCGGTCCTGGCAGGACGGACAAAACCTCTAGGTCGTCCTCGCCAAGCTCATGCTCACGTTTGCGCTTCAGAGAGAGTTTTGACTTTGCTAACTGTAGCACTGGCGGGGTGCGTTGAGACGACCTGGTCGTGGGCGGCGGATTGAGATTGCGGCGTCTGACTGAAGTCTTTGCGACAGAATTGGTGATAGGACGCGGTCTGAAACCCTTCTTAGCAGAGGCAGACGTGGACTCAGTTGTTATGGACTGTAATGTTGTTTTCTTCTTCGACATGGGACTATCCGATACGACGATCACCGGGCTGGGATTACTCGAGAGTGACTTGAGTGCGCTTGACTCTGGAGTGAGGAGAGTTGGGCTGCCTGAAGACAAGGATGATAGGGACGACACGTCCACGGAAGATGAAGTTTCCTGCTTAATTTCGGCAACTTTGTGCACAGGTTTCCTTTGACCTGTTGCACTTTTCGAGTCACCGATCGTGGACTTTGGCGTGTGAGAGGAGGACATGTTCATCGTCGGTGCAGATGGCGATGATGATGGTGGCAGAGAGGCAAGAGAGGAGGTACGCTGGAAGAAGTCGGTGACCTTGCGGCTCGGCCGCTCTTCTTTCTTGATCTTGCTCATCGTTGGTGACGGCGACGGCGACGGGAAACTCCAAAACAGGCCGAACGCGCCTGCCGTGACAGCAACGCGTGACATCATCGTGACAGCACGCGTCGGCTGAGGACCCTGGACACCGGCAAGCAGGCACAAACACGACATGTACGACTTCCTGGAATGGCCTAAACAAGCACTGCTTTAAGCTGTTCATGGATTGACGTTTGCCACGAGCAGCCAATATTATTCTGCATACGACCACCACAACCTCCGTCTTTTTTGTTGTCTCTACCATTCAAGCATCTGAGAGATAGCTAGCACAAGCTATTCTCTCATCGCATTCTCAAAGCTACACTACATGTCATGCATGTGCGCCATGCCCAGCGAAAGCACATCGTACACTCTGTCCGTCCGTCCAGACCATCCCGTTAACATTGGACTAATTAATTTCACTGACCGCAGCTCAACACCTTATTGTATGAGCTGCATACACTCTCCTTCTTCCTCTCGCCGTCCATATGGGGCTACATATGTCGGGTTTCTTCCCAATACCAGTTCGCACGACCGCGAAGCGACCCTAATAGGACCCTCAAATTCTGGTTCTTCCTCATTCTCTTCTTCAACCTGGGTATCGTCTGGTCACATATCTTTGAGGGTGCCTCACCCGGCCGATCAGTCATCCTCGACTTCGTTGGCATGGGTGAGTAATATGGGAAATGTCGCCTCACATCTCATACGAGTGCTAAATGTTAAATTAGCGAACCGTCCTTCCAAATTGCACCTTCTCTCTCTCGACTTCCTCATTATATTCCTCGATCTCTTGCTCGTCACCATTGCATATGAATCGGCTGTCGCTGCAGAGCAGCCAGAAGATACCCCCGATCCACTATTACATATACCCAACCAACAACCACCCGCCTCTCCATTGTCAACTTCACTCAATGACACAGAGAAATCACAACAAGAACCTCCATATGTCCTTGATCTCAGAGTCTCTACCATCATGAACCGACTGAGGAATCCTGCCCCATCACCACCACCACCGCCCGCACCTGACCTGCTTCCACTGCCTAATATCACATCAGTTGGGTCACAGTTACGCTTCTTGACGAGAGCAAGGACCAGATTGCAAGAGCTACGTGTAAGAGCGGCTGAACAGGCCGCTAGGGACCCGGAGGGTGAAGAGGGTGGCGAGGATAGGCAGCGAAGAATACCTGGCGGTTTGGACGTTAATGAGGGAACGTGACGCATTTGTATCTGAAAATATCGTACTTTATAATATTGATATTGGTTTGCATTGCTGTTCCTTGTCAGTTTTTGTTTTGGACACTTGTATGAATGGGCTAGATGAATCCTGCTCACCTCAGTCACCATTTGCGCTTCATCTGGACAAGACATATATCTAGCTCAACCGACGGAAGTGATGCTGAAGTCACGATGCTTACCACTTGATGTAGACAAGCACTGAATCTTGCGAATTCCTCTTTGCAAGCATCTTTTCTTACGTCTGTGTAAGTTGCCAGAATGCATTGCCCGTAAGCGGAAGCCTGCGCAGAGCATGTCACAGTCGAGGCCACAGCCAAACGTCGCAGAGGTGTTATTGCAGCAGCAGCTGAGGGTACCGAGCTCATGACTGAAGAGTACTGAATCGTAAGAGCGAAGATAAATGGATTTATGATGTAAATAAACTAAATTCTCGGCTATATTTCGGCAGATCCCTACTACTCACAGCTTGCTTGAAGCGTCCGAGTCGAGTGCCTCATTCTCTGACTGTGAAGGATATTTAAGGCTTTCAACGTCCTTGATTGAAGCTCATCAGGAGAGTCCCCGGGAGATCTTAGCTTATACCACCACACTACCTTCATATCGACGCGACCGCAGTCGCCCCCTTTCACCGGACTATGTCTCTCAACTGAACCGCTCAAACTCTCTCAACTTTGGCTTCCGACTCTCTGGATCTACCTGTCGACTATTTCGCTCTAGTCATATATCACTTTACTCTGTTCCGCTCTGCCTAAAGCATGCTAGACTCTATCCTACTCGTGGTATGCATCTGCATCGTCGTAGGTGTTGTTGCCTACCTCTTCTACTTCAACCGTTTGATTGGGTTCCTCCTCGGTCTCTTCTGTAAATTGGCTTTTTGGAACTCGGGTGAATCGAGTATATGGGTCTCAATTGGTAAGCATTTTTTCTGTCAAACATAAATATCTGTGTCGGGCCTCTGATGTGGAGGCAAACGCGCCAGGTTCCATACATTTCTCCATCCTCGCAGGACGAATCTCTTTTAAGGATCTACGGTACCACTCAGCAAACCAGACCATACTCGTGGTGAAGGGTCAAATTAGTTGGAGATATTGGATTCGTGCACCAGCCGAAGAGGACGACCTCAGTCATGCTCGGGTCATTGGTGAAGGCGCGGAACGTGAGCTATCCTGTCTCTTCTATCGATAGGTTTTGATGAGTCCACTTTCTAACCGATGTACATGTAGTCAAGCCAAACACGCCACTTTCATGTCGTGTCAACGTATCATTACGCGGTCTAGAGTGGTTCATATACAATCGGACCGCTGCCTACGACAACATCATCTCTGCTATGGAGTCCTCTGCAGCGCATTCTCCAGAACAAGACCCTGCAAGGCCAAGCGGAGAAGGGAGGGCCTCTGTACGCAAGATATTCAGTCGTGGTTCGGCTGCTCCGGATTGTACGCATATTACGCACATTGCATGTGCATCGCGCTGATTATTTCGGTTTATCTTAGCTTCGATTCTGGGACCTCCGGGGTCCTTAATATCCTCCCTATACCGGAAAGCTCCTACATTTCTTAAGCGAGCTTCGTCTTGGATACATGCTCAATTGCCCAACTTGGATCCCAGAGACTTACTTCCTGTAGGACTGGAAGCATCTACTGCCGCAATCACATGCGGCAATCCATCCACACCCAACTTACTCGTTGTTGAATTCTCCAAAGCCAGCGGGACTTATGGTATAGTACCAGTGAGTAACCACTTCAGTCTTGTGTCTTTGGCTCGTCCTCACATACAGCTCTCATAGGCTCGGTCGAAGCACGATCTTTACAAGCAGGTACTCAACTTAACCTTCAGAGATGCTTCTATATGCTACGTCGACAACAACAATTACCAAGGGAACATGAGCGAAGAGGGCCGAAAAGTTCGCAACTCCATACGTCGCGGCCAAAGCCCCCTCCTTCGACGTCTTTCCTACCTCTCATTCCCCATATTCCAGAAGCTTTGGCGTCATCTCAAACTCTGGAGGGTGGCGGCGGACCCGTTCTCTCGCCCTATCAAACCAATTTTCCCACACCCAGCTGCGGCCTGGAACAGACGCAAGGCAGCCAAGTCGGCTGAAGATGCTACGCCGGTTGGTGCAGATTTCTCGACGTTGGAATATGCAAAAGAGAGCAAGATATTAGAATGTCCGAGGTTGGAACTTCTATATTATGCGGATGTTGTGGGGATTGTGCCTGTTGTGCCCGAGGCGACAGCTGCGCTTGACCCGCAGGATATTGGGAACGGGGATTTACCACCTGAGTGGGGGATTGACTTAGCGTTAAATGGGGGCTCGTTGCGATATGGACCTTGGGCTGATCGACAACGGTGAATTGAAGACCCAATTCAGAACATATTTGTTTTGCTGATCGTTAAGCGGCATTCAGCGTTCATCTGCAACAGACTTTTATGCCATCTGCCTTTACCGATACCACGCCAAATCCTCACCTGAAAACAGGAGATGTTAGAGTTTGGACGAACTTCAAAGTGTTCTTAGAACTCAGAGAAGGTGTTGTCCTGCAAGTACCATTTAGAGAGGCCTCGAAGGTGAGTAACTTCCTGCATTTTGTATCTTCATGGTCACTGACAGCTTAAATATTGTACGTAGAATTGGATGTGGGATGGCAAAGTAGAGGTACCAAACAGGCCAAGAATTCGTGAAGCTGCGTCAATACATGTCAAGACTGGCGATACTTCGACTATAAGCTATCTTATGCCGATGGTTGCCAATGCGAAAGGATACGAGCCTACCCTGGAAGTCCATCTGGATACAGTGTCTGTTACAACCAGCCTCAACGACATCCGACTTTTGCAGGCGGAATCTTGCCGAGTCCGAGGCGAACTTCCATCACCTTTATGCTGGAAAGATGCCCGACAATGGACATTCGCGATTACTTTCCGGCATCCGACCATATACCTTCTGCGTGATCATGTAAATATGCTCACGGATCTAGGTCGAGATTGGAGTGCAGGTCCACCCAGTGGCTACCATCGCTTCATTCCTATGCTATATGCGATCGAGCTTGATCTCCAAGGCTACGAGATCAATACATACGTCAATGACCAGAATATCATTGACAAACCTTTAATTAGGGAGGAAAACGGTGAGCAAACCTCTTTTGCAACTCTGAACGAAGGCTGAACGCCTGAATTTCAATTAGCTTTATTAACCCTCCGTGGGACTCGGTTGATGAATACCGCCAAAATCCCTCTGACGAAATTCAGACCAGTCTCTACCGCCGTGGCATTCTTTATGGATGCTCCTGACATTGCAGTGAGCCTGTCACTTCCTAGATGGAACACGCACAATCTCTATCCGGGCCCGCATCGAAGTGACATAGGTCGTGTCGGCAGGCTGCGTTTGGATGGATCATACAGATATTATGCAGAAGTGCATCCGGAATACGTGGATCAGCTAGTGCTAGACTTCACTGTAAGTTTCTCCTTCATAGCTCTACGAGATGCCTGTTCGTTAACATATAATCAGGCTCGCGATATTGTATATAAGGCCTGTGGGTGGACAATGCGCCACTTCATGATCCTGCGCGACAATTACTTTGGCACATTCACGCATTTCTCCACCCTCATCGAGTATCTTCAGAAACACCGAGCTGGAAGGCCTGTTGGAGATCCAATTGATCTGCAGTATAGGGCAGGAACTGTAAGTTACAGCTTTCGGCGTGCCTATTGCACTGAGACTCACCCCATTGGCAGTCGAATTCAATTCATGTCCAGTTGGGATTCGACCTTGATTACGGAGTGATGGTTGTACCAGCCGGTCTACCAGGCTATGAAGTCTACAACCTCAATGAGGCATATAACTTGGACAATATCGACATCGGCGCATCTCTGGTCTTGGTCTTACCGACTCTACAGCTTCAGTTAAGGACACATCAGTACTACATGGGTGCGTGCATAATCAAATCGTGTTGCTCACGAGGTTCACCCCGCTTTCAGAAATGTCCCTCGATATCGATACGATCTTCGGGCACGTTCAAGAACATTTATCTGAACGTCTGGTGCTTCACCCGACCGCTCGCATATCTGGCAACGAAGACTTGGTCCTTGATGGTACGTTAAACCATAAAATGTTAATTACAATATTCATGAAGATTTCATTAGGTCTCCACATAAATGCCAACCGACTATTTGGCCCACAGCCGCATACGTCAACATACGTTTGCATATGGGAGATTCAGCTATTGAGTGTCAAAGGAATCCTCTCCACTTTGAAAGCGCGAATACTTCAGGCTGCTGGCTCAGCATTTGGCTTTGGCTTTAGTGACCCACTCAATGCACCCGCCGCTGAGTTCGCCATACCTAGCGATCCTGATGGTAAGCCTAGCCGCATTCCCTGTTTCGAAGCCATGTCTGAAATCGGACTGTTGCAGTGACTTTTCTAAAGATTTCCCTCGGCAGTGCGAACATCGTGTGGATTGCCCCAGATGCAGCCGTTGACATTTCGCTTCCAAGTGGCATGCGATTCGAAAGCAACGATGCAGCAGGGAAGTCCTACGCCAAAGTCACCAGCGTTAGGGTGCCATCGATGACGGCCAAAACCTTGCTTGCCTCTCCTTCCCTGCCGAACGTTTGGTATGAGGCTGCAGAATTTGCCGCAGACGCTTACCTAGATATATACTCTGCACCAACTGGGTGGCGAGAAAAGGCAACTGTGCAAACTGCGTTCATCGCAGCTCAAGACAGCCTGACTCGTCGCATCGCATTTCTGTATGACCCTGAGGCCAATGCAGGCCCCGGTAGTGCGTACCTCGCTTATCTTTATTCCCGATTGTGATGGACACTCACTGAATGACAGGACACTCTCTATTTGATACTGATATGTATCTACCGTCGATTCGCGTCCCGAAGTGGGTGCCGTCGCCTGCTAACGCCCGCAGTCCTCAACCACATACAAAACCTTACGGACTTGAACAATCGCGTGTACTTGCTGAGACGGAATCTGAGGACGAGGAAGGAAGTCAAGTGGTCAATCTCGATGTCAAGCTAGCGTTAGTGATCAATCAAATCCCTTCGTTAAATCCTGTACTGATTGTGTATATCAGCAACTCGCACCCTCCCCGTCGGGTGAAAAATAGCGACGAGGGGGAGAGTATGTCAAGTGGGGACGAATCCGACAATGACGATTTGACCGACTTTGAAAGTGATAGCGAGGACACCGCTTCAATAGGTGCGATTGTGGCTAATTTCTTGGTGGTTCCTAACTAGACAGATACTGCTGTTATAGATCATGCACGATCTACCTGGTCGCCCCTTCGGGAATGCGCAAAGTGGGCTGCCCGTTATTGGGCACCTGCTTTACGGCGACCTTCTCTGTGGAAAGGCTCACCATACACCCTTGAAAGAGTAAGCTGCATCTTGTTAGAAAACCATGAATACGCCATTAAATAATATTCAGAGAAACCCAGTATCTAGGTTTAGAACGCCAGTCACAAAAACAGAACCTATAGAATCTCCCTTCATGAGATCGATTGTGAAGGAGGATGTTCTAGATGCCTACGATGTGACGGTCTTTCGTTTCAATAACAAGCTTGGCATTCGGATACAAGTCACACCACTCTTGTTATCTGCTTTGAAGGCTCTCACGATGGAACTTAGTACAAACGTTTGTCGCTTCACCCTCCTACACTAATACTGGAAACTAATCTGATGCGAGCAGCGGCTTAGTCCAGAACTCCGCATCGATGCGGTTGTTGCTAGCCATGTGAAGTCTTTGTCCTCCCCGATGCCGAGTACACCGTCTTGCATGGCATTCGATGCACGCGTACAAACCATTGAACTTGATTTCACCCAGCCCTACGCGGAATTACATCGTACTCCGTCGGAGAGCCGTGGTAATTCACCTGACTTGGGTCACCATCTGTCCACCATTGGCCTCCGAGTGGTTGGTCTGAGTGCAAAGGGGGAACGAGTTTCTACTTCGGACTCCTTAGGAGGCTTCGCCCTTCACTCCGCATTAGACACACTCTGTTTCCACTTACGCGGGTTTCCCAAACCTAATGTTCCAGTCGAAGGGCAAGACAGAGAGCCTCTTCTCAAGTTGAAACGTTCCAGCCTGTCCATAGCTCGCAAAAACGTATCCGCTTCCTTAGGACAAACCCAGATTGAGCTGAACCATGCTCTTCCTGAGCTTGCAGCCAGCTCGATGCTTTCGATCCTACAGTTTATCCAGAGGGTATCAATCATCTTCAAAGAATCATCTACATCTATGCGGCGTTTGTCTGAAGACTTTTTATTTGACATCATTCATTCCTCTCGAGGCAAGCCGATCATGGATTCTCTTTCAACATTCCAACCGTCGTACCTCATCCAGAGTGGGAGGCCGCGCCAAATCAGAACGGATCTTGCATTCAAATATATTGTGCATCTGCGCCTCTGTCTCCACCATTTAGAGTCTTCACAGCGTCAATCACTACATCACACCTCACAGGAATATCACTCAACGCTAACTTTGGAACAAATCAAGTCTGAGGTCGAAGAACAGCTTCTACAAGCTGGCATGGATTTTGAGGCAGATGCCTTCCCATTGCAAGCTGTCTTTCCGGACACTTTTCCAGATACATCATCTCCTTCGACCGAGGCTGGTGATGGTGGGTCATCGGCTACTGTTCGGATCGAGTTTTTACAATTTGGGATCTTGCTCAATCATGACGCAACGTCTTTTCGTACTGAATTCCGAGGCAGGGAGTTGGTACTGTCCGGTTCCACACGACGTGCCCAATGGATGCAATCTTCTAGCCCTACTAAGAACACTATGGCATGGTCCTCTCACGACAATGTCGGTGCTACCATTCGTCAGATTGTTATTTCGGTATCTTTTGGCGACGTCTACTTCATGTTATATCCTCAGATTCTGCCATTTGTTCAAAACTCTATCCGGGCTGCAAAAGCGTTCCAAGCGTCGCATTTGGAAGGACAAGATCGCAGCGACAATGTCGACGAACGTTTGAGCACGGGTTCCACTCCTCATCAATTACCGATGTCCGTTGATGTTGTTCTTACTTCCAAGTCCTTTCGAGTCAAAGCTGCTGCAGAAAAGTTGATTATAGATTACGCGGCCTCGGGTGTTCTTTACACGTCTACTACCGTGACCGATCCCCTAACGGTAACCTCTACAAACCAGTCACTCTCTTTCTCGCAGCTCAAGCTACAAGCGTGTTCCACGATGGAGAGTACGAAACTTAGGGAAAGCTCAGTCCTCGCCTTACTTACTTTGCAAAACGGTGGACTTAGCACTCTATTCAAGGCCATGCCACATTCCGCATCGTCCCTCAAGGTCGTGTTCAAGCTCGGCGGTGCTCACTTGAATGTGCCACGGAGTGCTATGCGGTTGTATCGATTTGCGGAAGAGTGGAAAGCAGACTATTTCCCTAGCTTCGATGCCACGATGCGCGCAATGTTGTCTGAGCTTAGAGGGAAAAGGCAGAATGGGGGCGAACAACCAGTTCGGCACGAAGAGACAATGTTTATGACGATGCATTCAGAAGTCACATCGTTGCGTGTCTCATTACAAGTAATGCGTGGAACATGGCTGTCATGGGAAATATGCCGCACATTGGCTTACTTCACCTCACCGGAACCACGGAAGAACGCCCAGTCATTTGGACTTCAGATCGGATCTCAAAATTTCACCGTCCAGTCTCGTTCAAAAGGAGACTCAATGTCGGATATACAAGTCAAGTTTGACTTACCAACCTTCACTTTGACTGGTCACCACGATGGAAAGCGCATACACAGTCTTGCTCTGGTGGAATTTTTCCACTTTACTATCAAGCCTAGTCATTGGGATACTCTGCTTACTGTGCAACAGAAATTTGGCAATGACTTCAATGATCTATTGGTTCTCATCGAAGAAACGCGCGGAAGGAAGGATTCTAAGCCTAGCCCACTGAAACCAACTTCGTCCTGGAAGTATGACATATTTGTCAGAGTCCAAGGTTTTCGAATCGGCCTTGAGGATCGTGCGTCTACACTCTTTTTGGAATGTGAAGATATCACCGGAGGAATAAGTGATGACGAAGCCGGCTACAAACGACAGCTCAAGCTGTTCGATCTCGCTTTGTCGTTAGCACCACAATCAGCTGTGGTCAACAGCAAGTCATCTTTTGACAGAGACCGACGTTCCGCATTCGTAATCATTGATTCCCAAGTAATCATGCATACTACCAAACAGAGGAAACATCTGGAAATAATGATCGCCAAGATTCATGCTGTGATGCAGCCAAGTTCTATCGGAGAACTCGGTGACTTCGTAGACCATCTACAGGTCAGTTTAACATATTGCTTTAACTTTGTGGAACTTACAGGTTATAGGCCGAGGTCGTGATTCGCCAGGAGCAACGCGCTAACGAGTTAGCTGAATTCAGGGAGAAGACTCGCAGCGTGATACGTACTTTCGACATGAAAATTGGTGAAACACAGCGAAGCTCAGACTTCGCTTGGTGGGACGAATATAATATTGATTTAGCAGTTGGAAATGTTGGAATTGCATTCCCACTTGCTGTGAATCAAGACCTGCAGCTTCCACGTTCGGGTAGCATTGATTCGACAGCCGTCCGCGCGTTTCTATTTTCAACTAAGTCTGTGGTCTTCGGGGCTGAGCACGGAGAAAGCGGACAAGTCATGGTCAAGGATTTTTCTTTTCAGTTTGTCCCTAGGTGGGCGTGGCCTGAAACATCTTCTCATTTCATTGTGCTTACGAATCCCATGCAGTTTCAGGCAGTCAGTGGGCTCCGACTTTTCTGGCCCGAGCCACTCAACACGAAATCGTCTGATTTATCCAGAGATGACCGCCAAACTGAAGGTAGAACGGCTTATGGACTCGAGGCGTATTCGTATAGGCGCCGACGTCGACGGTTTCATTCTAGACGTCGATTCCTCCATGCCTGACTACGTATTCTCTCTGATCAACGTCTATCGCGAAGGGAAAGAACGAGTCTCCAAGCTTGCTAGCACAATGCCTCGATTACCAACTGAGGTCGACGCTCCGACTCATCCACGATCAGTCCTAACTTCAGACCAGTATGACACTATTCTCACGTCGAATCTTCTGGCATCCATGGTATTCGCCAGCGGGAAAGTGCGGATGTACAGCAAGTTGCGGCGGCCAGATGTCCCTCGAACCAAATCAGCCTCTTCAATCTTGGATGGTCATGAAAGCCAGAACATGGAGCATGGAGCTGATATATTCAATCTTCCAGTGGTGTCTGTTTGGTGTGAATATCGCGCAACGCCAGCTGCTGCCAAAACGCGGCAATCCAATCACTCGAGCCAGGCATCCATTCTCTTGTTCAAGAGCACAATTCACTCAAGCCAGAACAGTCTTCGCCCCACACTCTTGCCCTTCCTCACCGAGTTCATTGACCGAATAGAGACTCACTTGCGGAGAAGTAGTTCGAAAGGCTCCCATGTTCAAATCAGTCCTCTTCATGAACTTCATGGAGTCACACATTCTACTCCCGTTGAGAAGCCCAACGCAGTAACGGACACAGTGTCGAGCATGCAGATCAGTTTAAGCCTTCGTATTGATCAGTCCAGGCTTGAATTGACCTGTCAACCAGATGTGAACGTGGTTGGAGGTCTGCATTGGGATAGTGGAGGCTTTGTCGTCAATATTTCGCCTGGAGCTCGCCAAGTGACCTTCACGGGCAGTGTTGGGGGATTGACTGCTGGACTCAAACACGGGTTCTTGAGCGAGGACTGCGCCAAGTTGGATGCCCGTAATCTAGCATTCACTATGACCTTCGCAAAGGTCGATCTTGAATCTGGGAAATCGACAGCCTCCATCTCTGTCGTGCTTGACACTGAATTTTCAGGTGCGGTTCGCTTCTCGCGACTTCAGGACGTCTTGTGCTTCAAGGCCGTCTGGCTGGACCGAATTCCACTGCTTACTGTACAAGAGAGCACCGCTCCAAGTACAATGTCGAGGTCTCCCAGCGATATATCTGTTCCTGAACCACCTAAGGAAGAGCTAGTCACCGCTGTTCTGATCCGTTTACGTTCTGTCAAACTCAACTTAGATTTCGGTCAATCGATAACGTCGACGAAGTTGACACTCAAGAATACTCTCGTTCGGACGAAGGTGTCTGACCTCAGCGCTGAATTATCATTCTCCGTTGCCTCATTCGCCGTCGTTGCGACTGGCAACCTCTCAGGACTTATTCGGGTGCCGGATTTCCGTTTCGAGACGACTCGTAGGAACGAGAGCGCCTCGCGACATGACAAGAATGGCGTAATGTTATATCTTTCAATGACTAGTGGTCCTTTGGATATTGAGCTGGATTCCGAGTATCACAAGTTGCTGTTGTATAGGTGTGTCATATTCTATGTGCTAGAGATATCATTATTTATGACCTTGCATTTTAGGGCGGATTCGTTTGAGGTCATGATTTTCGATGACTGGTCGAAAATCACGGGAACACTCCCCTCCACGGAGCAACAAGTTGACTTGCAGTTCACAGTAACTGGGACTGACGTTCTCGCTGTGATGAACGTCGGCACCATTCCAAAGTTGGTCACGTATGCGAACAAATTCAGAGCCAACTTAGAGGCTCAACGGGAAGGCGCTAGTCGTGAATCCCAGGCATTCAGAACAGCATTTTCTTCTGAACCGGATAATCCCCTATCCGCTGTTGCCAATGCTATGCTCAATACTGCGAAGAATCGCATGAAGGAGGCAGAGAGTGGGTTAACTTGCGTGGTGGTGCAACGTTTGAGTCTGAAGCTCAAGTTCCTTCACCTCGTCGTATTTCCTCGGAGCATGCGTGACGTCGAGCTTGCGCGGTTCATCGCCTCTGACGTCCACGCCCATTTGGATCGTACTGTGGAGTCGGACCTTTCGCCAGCTAATCGTGAACTTCAACTTTCATTTTCCTCCATGTCGATTTCGCGAATGGGTCAACTGAACTATTCACTCGTCACTCGCGAGAAGACCTCAAACTGCAAGGAATGGCTTGCTTCGTTGCTCAAAGGTGCTTCTGAAGCGACCATTTTTGGTCTGCCATCCATGAACATGTGGATGCTCAGCGAGGAGATTACAGAGAGAAATGTTCGCACACTTGTCTACGACTTCAGCAGCACATTTACCGCCAAAAACGGAAGCAAGGACCCGGAAGATATCTATATCACTCTCAACATGTCACTTTATTCCTGGCTCACAGTGTTACGCAAGACCTTTGCCAGGGAGATGGATCAGGTACAGGCATCCGCTGATACGCGGAACACAACCAACGGGGCCGCACCTAGCATGTCTTCCTTCCAGCGAAAGCGAGCAACTGCCGATATCGCCGGACAGTCAAACCATCTTGAACTTCCCGAACTTTCCACGGGGGCCTCCAAGACGGCACCTCCACTGTCACATTCCCGGTCGCACTCAGTTTCTACACCCTCCGCGAGCAGTCGTCCAGATGACCTTTCGCTTTCATCCCCAAATCCGGCAGCTTCTCTCAACGGAGGGACCTCCAGTTCACTTACGGCACGAGCAATCCCGGAAGAAGGTGCTGCGAGGAGTTCGGATGAGAACAAGCGTGCTAGCATCGTGTACAAACCTCGTAGTCGTCACATCGAACGTCTCACAATGCGTCAGCTGGGTGAGGCAACTCCAGATGTGATGCACCCTTTCTTCATGAAGAAGGCAGGTTTTAGTCTGGAGGACTCTCTGCCGCAATACGTACATGAATATGCGACGTTACCTACGGAAGAAATCATGAAGGTGCTGCTGCGGCTATATAGTCGGCAGTTGAAGGTGAACCAGTCTGCGCCTCCAAAGTAGTGTGGTTATTATTGAGACTTTTCACTCTTTTCTCTTTTCTCTGGACATGGATCAATCAGGGACGGAACAGCTGTACATAACTTACTGGTATCTATTTGGTATAACTTAAGAACCTCCTAAGTCGCATGGAATAAGCAAGCAGGGAACCTGTCAATAGAAGCGATCGTACACTCGATATGAAGGGATCTACTTCGTAGAACCTGTCGTGCCAACAGCAGCAGCATTGAAAACACTAAGGAGGGCAAAACAGCCGTAGAGCAAACCAACGGGGTATGCGACTAGCAGTCTCTGATCTGACATTTGCAGAACCGCAACGAAGATACCAGAAGCTGCATACGTGCACCAGAGTATTGAGAGCACGGAGAGTACGTATCCAACCATGCCGCTAAAATATGACTGTCAGCAACTGTGATGAACTGGGTACACGAATGACCTACTCTAGCGTGACCATGACGCTGAGAGCACCAACTCCTACCATAGGTAGTAGACAGTAACCCAGTACCGAAACAACTCTATATGCATCGATTCCTCTTTCTGACATTAGGTTCAGCAAGGTGTATATTGAGGCAGAGCCCAATAATCCGACACCATAGATGTAGCCGAATTGAGGTTTTCCGGACTGTCAAGCAATATCATGTTCACGTCCTCTAGGGTCAGAAAATATTCACATACAAAGAGCAGAAAAATGCCAAAGCAAATGATGAAAAGCAGGGGACCTGCGAGGTCGGCATCATCCATGATTCTTTCGTCCACCCTTTGGAATGGATGGAGCACAGTGAGAGACTTTGCACGTATGTGAGAGAAATTAATCCCGAGCTCTTATGCATGTAAGTTGAATTGAAAATCCCAGCAGCTAACAAAGCGGCATACCTTCTAGCAGCGGTGGCTCGCCCTCCAAACCACCTGTCCCAAACGCGGTCCACCACCCTCCAGCGGACTGGATGTTTCCTCCATATGTGGGCACAGCGCCCTGCTGAGCCATACTCCCTTGGGCACCAACGTTCCCCTCCAAACTAGATCGCGAACCGGGATAAAAGGTAGTGCCAACAGGACTCGGCGCGTAGAATTGAAGTGGTACACCTGGTTGTGCTGCCGCAGGTTGTGCGTAATATTGGCCCTGCTGAGGTGTGCTTCCATAGGGATTGTTATCTTGCCACATCGTTTTAATGTGTTATCTGAGATGCTAGATATGAAACGAAAAGAAACAAATTGTTAACAGATGTGGAAAGAGGACACGGTGGTCAACGAGGACATAGAGCAGTGAAGTAGCGAAAGCGCTTAATACGTGGAGTCGCATGGCTATAGGCGCCCAAAGTAGTGAACTATTTCGAGCGCTCATTGGGCTTGGGACGGACTTTCATCTCACCATGGTTAGTTTTCTTGTACTTTCTATAGACGGACTCATGTGATAAAATTTATTCTTTTTTGCATGTGGTGCTTTAGCCTCAGGTATGTATTCTAACTCCCGAACGCGAACGCCTGAGCTTATCTCGATCTTGTAGAATGAATATATTGAGGAGCATATCAAACGACATGGACGACGGTTAGATTACTATGAGCGAAAGTGCGCATTTTTTTCCGATCTCTTTCGTGTATTTACTAATGATCTTTCTACAGGCGCAAGCGTGAAGCACGTGAAGCACATCGTTCGTCCGCAACCGCTCAAAAGTTATTTGGTCTGAAAGCCAAGCTTCTTCACGCTAAGCGACATGCCGAGAAGGTTCAACTCAAGAAAACTCTTAAAGCACATGACGAGCGAAATGTCAAACAAAAAGACTCCGGCTCTGTTCCTGATGGTGCTTTGCCCACATACCTTCTCGATCGCGAGGGACAGAAGGATGCCAAGGCATTATCGACTGCCATCAAGGAGAAACGAAAAGATAAAGCTGCCAAGTATGCTGTGCCGTTGCCTAAAGTCAGAGGGATTGCGGAAGACGAGATGTTCAAGGTTATGCGGACTGGAAAGAGCAAGAAGAAGGCATGGAAGAGGATGGTGACGAAGGCGACGTTCGTTGGAGAGGGTTTCACGAGAAAACCGGTGAAAATGGAGAGATTCGTCAGACCAATGGCACTTCGGTATAAGAAAGCAAATGTCACACATCGTACGTCGCAGTTTAGTCCTTTCCCTTGGTTCTTTTTCTAACGTCATGTCGCAGCTGACCTCAAAGCAACATTCCAGTTGCAAATCCTCGGTGTCAAGAAAAACCCACAGTCACCAATGTATACCCAACTCGGTGTTCTTACCAAGGGTACCGTTATCGAGGTCAATGTTTCGGAGCTTGGTATGGTGACTGCTGGAGGAAAAGTTGTATTTGGGAAGTACGCCCAGATCACCAACAATCCCGAAAATGATGGATGCATCAACGCCGTTCTACGTATGTCCTTCCGAGTATCTTTCTTGCTAAACGATGTTGATTTATTCTTTTGCAGTTGTTTGACGACGCTCGTTAAGAGTCATAATGGCTGTATCTCGTAGGTTTATGTATACTCTTACCCCATGCCCATACGTGCTTTGATTCTACATATATGCTGCACTAATAGACGGATGTATTATTGGATTTCGCGGATATCTCCATACTACTACCACCGCCTTGCATCAACGAGAAGCTGATTTGAGCCGAAAGTGCAACGCCTTCCTAGGAATCCATAAAAGGCAATTGCTTTGGATTCTAATAGGTACAAACAGCACACACAGCATCGAGCGGTCATGCACACGTGGAGGTCGGCTGCGTAATTGACTTTACACAGATTCAGAGCATCGTGCAATGTATTTCGGATATCGGTACCTACAAGGAACCATATAGTGGTCGCTTCACTCGTGATGCTCACGACAAGACTGCCAATCGCAGATAATGCAGTTCAATATGACAAAGTCCGAGGCCCAAGGACTGCTTGCCAGCGACGATTAGTTAGCTACGGTCCGCATGACTTGAAAGGAATGAATTGATGTGTAATAAATAGGTAAAGCGGTCGAGAAATAGAACCGGATTAGTCGGCCTGCTGCTTATCGGAATCATATGATAAATGGGAGTCTGTCGAAGTATTTCCGAGCTGGTACGAATCCGTCTGAGAGGAATACTGTTGCTCCGCCGGTTACTAAAGGTCCGATAACGACGAAGCTAGTGACGGACTTCGCCGAGATCCACTGCAGGCATAAGCATCGTTCGGTCATTGTCTTTGGTGTTAGTTGGACTGGTGAAGTGCTATGCTCCAAATGGTCTACAGCGAGTTAATCTTGGGCGGAAATAGGAACCGAAAGCCTCGTTATCGAGGCTGACCGAGCGATAATGTGGGCAGAGGGTTTATTGTCTCGACTTCTGAAACAATAAGAACGAGGAATGATGGCAAGTCAACAGAGTCGAGGTATATTTGTACGGCTCAGGCCCCGCGCTGCACGACGACACGATGATAATGGCGTACGTATACAGGTCTGTGGGATTTCCCTTCGATAAAGATCTTGCGGAACGTGACAGCGGACGCTAGGCACAAGCGGCGGACATGAGGATCGGAAACACGGACGGAATCCGGTGCTAAGCAGTATATGAGCACCTTTTGGAGTCACTAACGCGATTGAATTTGGTATTTTCGAACCGAGGGCATGCCAAGATTATGTGTCTCGCGGGTAGGTCATGTTATCCATTTCTCATACCGTTGACACACGAGAAGTCGCATACAATAAGTGAATAGTCTTGCCCAGTTCTGGCTCGCTCGAAATCGCTCGATCGACTGGAATCTGCGGATGCCGGAATAACGGCCGCTGGTCGTGAGGGAAATAATATCCAACTGATGCCATGTGTTAGGGGTTCGCCGCTGAATCATCTGGAACTTTAGCTAACCTATCCATAACGCCATCGCGACCCAGCTGCTACGCGCCTGCAATTTTTTAGGTTTTATCGATGGCTCGATAACTTCATGCTCGATGGGCCAGAGGGTCTATATACGTTCCTCTTCGTGAATGTTCTCGTGGTTCGCTTGGACAAGCACATTAACACGCTGATGCATCATGTAGAAGGGCTTTTCGATCCTGAGATATATTCAGTAATTATGGGGCCCTTCAAGGACGTACCGCTCTTTCCCTAGGAACTGCTATTCGAAGTTCAGGGTGAGTCGTCCGAGTTGTCAGTAATGGAAACACTGACTCACTCATTGAGATCGCTGGTCGTGGCCGAAGAAATAAGTAATAACCAACCAGAAGGTGAGGCCTCGGTCCTTACCTGTCGCCGTTCCTCTGCGTGCTGATGAACGAATCTACAGCTAGGAATATGCTCGCTGAGAACGATAATACTACCAATGTCATATCCACGAACCCGTACATCGTCGCAAGTGACACGCGATACCCCGGAGCATCATGTTTCCTCTACATACCAGCAGAGAGCCCAAATATGGTGTTCGTCGACTCCTACCACGTCGTGCGTGCCATCGCTGAGTGGCCAGTATGGCGCACGCCTGCGCTGCCTCTCCCACACCACCTGAGCTTTCGTCTAGAGGAAATTCCGGGCAGGGGCGTTGGAATGATAGCCACCCGGTCGATCTCAGCTGGAGAGCTCATATTCAGGGAGCGGCCGGTGTACGCCGCCCGCCGTGAAGTGAACTGTGCGGCAGACCAAAACGACAACGGGATTTTCTATAGAGCGGCAATCCATCGGCTGTCTCAACAAGCCCGCAGGTCCATCCTCGGGTTGCAGAACGCATTTCCACCGCCATTTGATGTTGTCCCTGGTATTCTGAATACAAATTGCTTGGAGATTCGTATCACGGAAAAGCCAGACCCAAAGCCGTCTGAGTCGTTCGTGGGATGCTTTCCAGTTATCTCGAGAGCGAACCACGACTGCGCACCTGTCGCAAATTACTTCTTCAATTTCGGGACGTTCGAAGGAGAGTTGCGAGCCATGAATGACATCGCCGGAGGAGAGGAGATAACGATCACGTACATGGACCTTTGTTTACCCAAGGCCGAGCGGCAGGCGTACCTGTCGCGAACAAGGTACTTCACCTGCGGTTGCGCGACTTGCAGTACGCCTGCGGCGGAACTCGGGCAAAGCGATGCACGCAGGGCGCAGATAGGGAGGTTGATCGAGAGGCTGGATACGTTAGATACACCACACTTGCCAGAGCGAAGTTCGCTCGACGAACTTGAAAGAGCTTTGGCAGCAGCGGAGGAGGAAGGCCTTGTCAAGGAGTACGCCCGTGTCTTGCTCATTGGAAGTCAAGTTCTAACCATTTACGGGGACTTGCATATCGCTATGAACTGGGCACAGAGGGCCAAGCGGTTATTTATAATGGTTGAAGGAGCAGGATCTTATAACGTTCGTAGGCTTGAGGATGCGGAGCGAGTGCACAGCGCAATGGCATCCGCACCTCGAGGCTTGAGGATATGACGTTGAGGGATTGGTGACGGATCTGTGGCGACCTAGGCGCCGCATTGGTGATATAGCGATTAATAACCATTACGAACATTTAGGGTACGGAAAACATAACAACATACCACCATTCATTCCTCCATCAGAATTTGTACGTAAATTGTTGATACCCAACATATGAGCATTGAATTCCTCTTGTTGTCGTCCTTGATCCTCTTGAACATAACGTAACTCACCAGAACGTTGAGGCAGGAGCTCGGGCAACCATATTTGTCGCTGTTAGAAACTAAAGGCGTTGCCTTATATGTCACTATCGCTTAGCCTGAACGTTGAACTCGTGCCACGATGTGTGCCACCTTTTCGATCACGCGAGTGGAGTGTTACACACGGCTTACACGTGTAGTCCACGTTGAACAGTAAAAATGATCTCATATGTTCTAGACACATCAAAATTTGAATGGACCTAAACACCGACTCGCCGCTTCGCATTGACAACTATTGATAATTCGTCCCCACCCGGCAACAATACGTCATCATTTCCTCGCTAACGGTCGCTAACGTACAGTCCACACCACTAGCGTATTCCCATGGCATCATTTTATAGACCCTAGATGTATCTAGTCTGGGCTCACATGCTCCTGGATCTAGGATAAGCGAGGTGGATATCACAAAGTGGGTCCTCGATGTGAGGACCAGCGAATGCGGTACCAATGATGACATACGCGGCTAGTGTCAGCCAGAGAATGGAAGCGCCAATTCCAAGACGTTAATTTAAAAGAAAGTGTGCAAAGGTCTTCGAAGGATTTTGTCGAAATCGGCTACGTCGGAGTCGTGGGTGCGTTGAAGTTAGAAAATTCCTGGATGTGTATTCTAGAAAGAGGCTGCCTTTAGTTGTACTTCGAAAGAATACCTAAATCCGAGGACTATCCAGATCTGAATATTGTCCTGACTGTTCATTTGTTAGGAGGGGGGCGAAGCGTGCAGTGCAAGGAAGCTGACCGGAATAGCAGTGTAACAAAGAAACGAAGGGATTTGGGAATTAACACAAGTCGATTCGTAACTCGATGATTAGATGGCAGATGATATGAGAAGAGGGTAACTTGAATAGTGAGACTGAGATTGACTTCAAGAGTGAGACCGGAGTCAGGGATGATGCAGAACAGGACGTGTGACGATGTCTGAGACTTGGATGAGAAAACGAGATGTAGTATTCGGGTGCCAGAGTGCGATGACTGATACGATTCCAGAAGAGTTGGGTCCAAACTCGAGCTAGGATCCGAGCCGGAGCCGAGAGAGAGACGACCGATAGGATGCAGTGAGCAGAGGCAGAACATGTTGATTACGAATAACTTGTTCCGGGCTGACGGAAGGAAGTGGGAACGTTGAAAACTCCGACTCCCATTGGCCAAAATCGGCGATACACGCAGGCCGACCGGATAATTCGCGCGAGATTTAGTCCAAAGCAGTATCCAAGTCGCCATATTCAGGCTGGTCATCGTTAGGTGAATGATACGACATTGGGAGTACCACCAAGAAATGGTCGTCAATGTAGATGTATAAAATACATGTCGCACGGACGACCCTTGGGTGACAGTGAATGCGGATCACGGGTGCTTGGGATTCTCCAGTGCAGAACGATGAAGAGAAGGACGAGACTCTGGAACATACCGGAAAACCATGGACACGCCAAGGACAGAAATGGTCGTCTGGGGTGAAGACGTCTGCTATGATGCAAGTGACCTTAAATGTGTACTCAGAATATCCAGAGACTGGCGACGCACCTTGAGGAAGCCCTTAAACCGCTTTCAAAAGGACCTCTTTGGCAACTCATATTCTCCCAACATAGGGTGCTATTGAACACTATAAGCGGCTCTGAACTTCATTAGAAAGGTGATCGTATAAGCAAGGAAGATGGGGCAGAGCATGGAGAAAGTAAGCGTGGGCAAACTATCCTATGGGCCGATAGAGCACTTTTCTAGCTCTCGCAAACAAGGTGGGGGAAAAAAGAGAGGGGGGGAATCACATTATCTTCCAGCAGGGAAGATGGTGAATTCAACGAAGCCGGACGCGTGGAAATGCATACTTTTGGTATAGTGTTGCCTAACTTGCTCAGAATCCATCCCTTGACCGCCGCGTACCCCGCATTAACGCGCGTGAGCGTTATGAGACGTTGCCTGTGCAAGATGGTGAGTCTGGCGCTGAGATGACTTTGAAGAACGGAAAAGCCGAGACGAGACATGATGGATGATGGGCAACTCGTAAGCGTTGAATTGTTTGATGTTTGAAGCAGAACCATGGCAGCAGATGAGACCCTCCCGTTGGGCGAGACACAGTGCAGGGTCCCGAGACATTCGAGGGCACCAAACAAGAGAGCGGGGATAACGGTCAGCGCAGACATCGCTGAAAGAGTCAAATGTTGGATGGAGATGCGGCAGTAAATGCCAAGGCAATGTTTTGCCTATCCTGCGGGGATTTTAACAAGCGGTATCGGGTCAAATCATTAGAGTGAGTACTAAGGAACCTACTAGATGTGACATAAAACTGGCCATACCGGAATACATGATGACACACGGGATGGAGTGCTGGTGATCGGATGTCGTAAGTGAGACGACAGCGAAGGCGAGTAAGTCTTTGTCGTCTAACGAAAAAAAAGACTTGACGAACATTCTTGCCCGAACGAGCAGGAGAGACAGCGATGGCAGGAGAGACAGCGATGGCAGGATCGCGGAGAAGCAGCGACCGAATCGGGAACAAGGCATGGAGGGCACGTGTATATGAAACGGTGACAGAGTGTGACGGGTGACAGGAGTGATGTTCGGCGTCAAAGGGCAGACTGCAGCGCTCGGGATGTGCGCTTGACACTGGCAGGCCTTGAGTGCAGTCCTTCCAAGTCTCTTGCTCTGTCTGCCCTTCTTCTCCTCTCTGTCCATGTCCCTCCCCCTCCTATAACCTTGGTATCCTTGACTTTCCACCTTTCTCTTCCTCTCCCTCACGCCCTCGATGCTTCTTCTAAGACGAGACCGACGACCCGCAGACGACTCTTCTCCTGGAAACTCTCCCATAGCTTATCGTCGTACCAGTATTCCATCTATCAGTGCCATTTCTATCACGTCTTCGCCTTCTTCTTCCACTCTGTCCTCTGGCAGTCAGCGCAGAGCTCCTCTCGCTACTTTGCATACTCAGCCCTCTGCAACCGCTGCCCTTGACGACCAGATGTCCGCTTCTTCTTCCTCCCAATATGCCTACTCAATACAGGACACATCAATGGCCTCCGATCCCAAGCAGGATCTTTCCCGCTTGATATCGCGCCCCATTGCCACTAATCGCTCCCTCAATGACGATCCAAACAGCCTGCCACCCCCCAGGAAGAGATCCATACCCGGCCAGTGCGCTCTTTCCTTGTATTCCGTGCTTGGAACAAAGCATGTATTGACGCTTACCTTTGTCCTCTAGCAACGGTTCAAATCGTGCCACGCCTTACCCGCAGAGTCGTTCTACGCAACGACGTCCTAGCAACACCTCTATTGCCACCGCTTCTTCTGGTCGCCGTACTTCTCTTCCTGCCATTCATGCTCACGCTCCTCCCGTTGTCTCCATTCAAACGGAGAACACTTTTTATCCCCTTCCAAATACTGCCGATGACTTGTACTCAGGCTTGTCTACCTTCACCTTCGGAGTTCCCCTACCTTCCTCTTCTTACCCGGCCGACACCTCTGACATGATCAGCCCGTTGACCCAGGTTCCGGGCAACATCAACCTGGATCGTACTCCTCGACCCTCCATCTCAGGTCCCAGTGGTACAAAGCCACCAAACTCATACACCAAAACTCGGCATGGCAAACAGAAAGTCAAAGACCATTTGGACCCAGATATGGGTGATGACGAATACGAAGATGAAGATGACGCCGTGAGGCAGAAATCCCGCTCTAAAATGCGTGCTATCGACGACGGCTCTCGACGTCCCTCACTACCGACAAACGTCTACATTCCAGATGCTTCAGACCCTTCAGCACCTGCTTCTCCTGTTCAGGTACGACAACAGAGATCTCCTGGCACTGGTTCAGAATTGGACAGCGGCGTGGATGATTCTGAAGCTGATCCTGAAGATGGTGATCAGGGTGAACTGGACACTGACGTTGAGTTTGATCTTCAGGGCCACAACGCTGTCGATGATAGTACCATGCTGTCCGACTCGGCATCACAACACACCTTTGGTGTTTCAGGTGGTTTCGATTATTATGGTTACCGGCAAGGCAACATCCTCAACTCGGAACGAATGAGCATCAACGAGGAAGATGGAGAAGATAGCGACTCCAGAGATGTCTCTGTCTCACCTGTTACGTTCTCCCGCCACGAGTACGATAGCGAGGGTCCGGAGGTAGATACGTTTTATGTTGGGCCTGAGCAACCGTCACCCGAGAGGCGCGGTAGCGTACCATGGAACATCCCTGGTGCTGTACCTAGAGATAGCATTTCTGGACCCTCTAGGGATCGAGAGGACAGTATGGCAACAATAACTGCTCGACGCGCCAGTCGAAGTATGGATGACGACCTAAACACGAGTCCCGTCGACCTGTTCAACAATGGTGCCGCCAGTCATCCCGAAACCAAAGCCGATTTTCGAAGTTTAGAAGCTCATGGTCTTGCTCAACAGGATGAGTCTGAACAGTTGGAGTTCCAACAGCCACCTTTTGCAGACGATGAACAGCAACCTGTTGTTGAGGGTCCCGCCAATGACGTTTACCACGGTTTCAACATGGATTACATCCTCTCTGGCCCGCAGAGTGCATCGTCTCGACGATCATGGGCACCTTCCATGGTCCATCCTGGTTCATCGATGGTAGAAGGTCGACGTCCTAGTACTTTTACTACCGCATCTGGAGAAGACGCTTTCACGAAGCACTTGAGAGATGCCGATGATGCCTACAACGAGAGGCGGCTGGAATGGAGTTTCAGGATGGAATCGAATGATGGAAAGGGTCCCCGAGCGTCGACGGCTGCGCTTGGCCCTCTTAGCAAAGCGGAGATGCGTAAACCGATGGAGCCAGGTACTCAGGAGATCTGGAGGCAAGCACATATTGGTCGCTTCAAGGTCGATCGTTTGCTTCTGAAATGTAAGCACTTCCCCTCATGATTATCACTTTTGTGCTTAACTCATAATGTGTCTTACTTTATAGCTGACCAACCTGACAAGGCACCTCAACAGCGTGTTAACATCAGACATATCGCCGATCCCTTCTCCCTCGAAAACAAACGCGGTGGCCCTCATTCCGTCATTCATAAACACTCGCGAGCCGTCGCTTTCTCCATCTTCCGTGCCCATAGTCTCTTCAGTCAAGCAGCACGTCGACGAACACCATCCCACATGAGCGCGAGTATCAGTATTCTCCTTGCGACCAAAAAGGTGCAAGAACAGTATACGAGCACGCGAACGACATCGAAGTTGAACTCACATGGGTTGTTGGAGGATAGGCCTCACAGACCCGGAGCAAGCTTGGCCGGAACGACTGCAACGAACTCTTCGAAGGACAACGTTAGTCAGTCTTCTCGATCCGGTAGAAGCAAGTCCCGAAGGCGTCATGAGGATGGGAATGCATCGAGTGCTACTTCAGGTGTGGGAACTTCGAGCCACACCACGAGTGTGCAATCAACTGCTTCGACCAGTGCATCGTCCGCCATGGCCAAATCACCCTCCCGCTCCCCTGAACCTTCCTCGTCGCAACCACAATCACCTGTTCTGCGTCAAGCTGACAATCGCGGTCACGCGACCTCACTCTCTTATAATGTGACAGATCCTTTCCCGTCGCCTGTCGAATCACGCCCTTCCGCCTCGTCTCCTACAAATACGAGTAACGCCCCTGCCAAATCTCCATCGGAGCTGACACAGACGTCAATGTCTTCGAGGACAGCGGCGCTTACGGATCGTATGGACCTCGATGATGATGAACTTGACCCTCCGAGGACTTCCCATGCAGAAGCCTTTGCTACTGTGGATTCGTCGTACCTCGAGTATGTGCGTGGACGCTCGGAGCAACGTCCGCAGGAAGACATGTCGTCGCATTCTTTGGTTGGCGCTTTACGCAGGAAGTTGCTGGGGCAAGGTGGAAATAAAGTCAGTTCGAGGCCGACAGCAACAGGCACTTCTACGGCTGCTCTTGAAGGGAACTATACGCCTCCTTGGCTAACGATGGCTCCACGTTCAAAGCAAGAAGAGCGGGAACGTGTTATCCAGACTTTGAACGAATCCTTCAAGGATGTTGGTCTTCTACCTTCGTTCAAGCCTTCTAAGCCTTATAATCCCAAGCATAAATCTCGGAAGAACGCGTCTAGTACAAACATCTTCGCAAACGTTCCTTCGGAGTCGCTCTATATGTTGCTTCCTTTATGGCCCGGTGAGACGGATCAAGCTTCCGCTGAACAGAACGAGGATCCAGCGACGTACATCGTACCAGTGGAGGAACGTCAGTATCTTCTTGTTTACTACGTGCCGTTCCAAGAGGATCCGAAGAAGAAGAAGGGGGACAAGAAAAGGACTAGAGCGGAGACTCACGTTCTCTCCAACTCATCGTCTAGTCATAATGGAGCGCACATTTCCCTTTCCTCCTTCCGCGTCTGTGCTCGCCTCGTTTGCTATGCCGACCTACGCGAGACAGGCGTGCGTTTGCCTGACTATGGTCTTTCTGTGACTGGCTCTATGACCGAGGCAACCAAGTACCTCCCACCGAAGTCGATTCGAGAGAAGGCTTTGGACGACGTCATCATTGGTGTGTGTCATTCTCGACGAGCGGGCATGGAGTTCCTGGCTGAAGGTCTGACCGTCCTCGGTTTGTGCAAACCTCCGGAAAACGAACCTGTTTTGCCCATCAAGGAGGAAGATCCTATCGAGGAGGTTGAATCGTTCCTCACACCTATCGGGCGTGCTGCCGTCGAGATGGCTTGGTTGGGTTGTATGGCATTGACTTGTTTCTGAAGCTATGGTTCTCCTTTTTTTTTTGCTTGGTTAAACGACATGAACGGCATGTAGAATCTTCCACTCACCTCATGTGTCCCTCATCTCTCTCATCTCTTTTTTTAATCTCCCATCTCTCATCATCTATCTCATCCTCCCGTTCAACATATATTTTCCCGATCTCTCTCTTCACCAGTGTATCAATTCTTCGAACGAACGTTTTTTTCCAATGGTTCAACCTCCCTCATGCCCTCTCTGTTTGCTCATTGTGATACCCTACCCTCTGTATACATTCGATTTCCTGACTTTCTGTCGACTATTCCCTTACATCGTAGCAATCTCTCTGACTGGAATAGATCTCTGTATTTTTGTGATCATTGTCAAATGGGATTTTGGAGTGCATTCCGATGTTGTCTGAGTGACTACCTTATTTGCGATTGAGAGGACTAATCAGGCAAGCGCGTTGAAGCTATGGCACAACAAGTCCAAACAACTCTCACCCAAGTGTGACTCGATCAAAGTGTTTCCGATGCAAGTTAATATTTCGTCCAAGGCACTGCACCCTCGGATTGTTCACGCTCACCTCTATTCGATCTCAAGAATACACTTTCAAATATATCATCTGGCTGCCAAAACATAAAAGACGTCTGACACTCGCACTTGACGTTAAAACGCACACTTCAATCTGCAGAACCTTACCAAAACGTTGATACAGGGCTTGCCTCGAGCAATGCAATTCGAAATCGTTGCGAAATGTCCCACGACAAAGGCCAGGGTATCTAGATTGAAGCTTTCTCGTCTGTATTCATTTGCTTTGTGAATCGCGCGGTCCTTTACTCTACTCCTTATTGGCAGATGGAACGACGGCTCTTCCTACCTTCATGCCGGTAGCTACACAAGCTGCGATCAAAGGCCTGACGTCGCAACAAGTCGAGGCACTTGGGATTAACTTGATATTGAATAATACATATCACCTGAACCTGCGCCCTGGTATGAAGATCGTGAAGGAGGCAGGAGGAGCCCATAAGTTTCAAGGGTGGAACCATAACCTTCTTACTGTATGTTCGCGTACAATTTAGGACACGCCTTCTACTGATGCTTGCCCAGGACAGTGGCGGATTCCAACTAGTGTCTCTGAGCAAATTCACGAAGATCACCGAAGAAGGCGCTCTATTCTCAAGCCCCTTTGACGGTGAACTGACCATGTTGACGGTAAGCTTTGTGGTTGACCTTAACAAGAATACCGCTTAACTTACAAGCACCTTTTGTTCAGCCAGAAGAATGCATGTCAATACAACACACGATTGGTGCAGATATCATTATGCAGCTAGATGATGTAGGTGCGGCCTCACCTTTGAATCGCTTTATCGACAACTTAGCCTACTTTTTTTTTCAGTATCAAGTCTGACGACTGGACCACGGGTTGGCGAAGCTATGTGGCGAACTATACGTTGGCTCGATCGATGTATTGAGACGCACGAGAAGTCCGGCAAAACAGAGACCCAAAACCTCTTTGCTATCGTCCAAGGTGGACTTGACCCAGACCTTCGAGATCAATGTCTAGATGAGATGATCAAGAGAAAGGATCGTGTCGCGGGATATGCGATCGGCGGGTTGAGTGGAGGAGAAGAGAAAGGTCTGCACCCTCAGCGATTGACGATGTTTATGCACATTAATATTTTATTTCTAGATATATTCTGGAGAGTGTGAGTCGAAGAATCAGACAACCTCATCATACCTGATGTGGCTTCGCTAGAATCAAGCAATGCACAGATAAACTACCTGAAGATCGTATGAGTTTTAACCTGATGCTCCTTTCCTCGTTCTAACCTAGCTTCGTTAGGGCCAAGATATTCAATGGGAATTGGCTTTGCGGAAGGTACGGCTCCTGCCATCGCTCACTTTCTGATTGCTTAATCAAGGGTAGACTTGCTCGTATGCGTGGCGTTGGGTGTGGATATGGTAGGTTTTGCATCGTCCGGTAGCACATCTGGATACTTATGGTTGAAAAGGCCGACTGCGTTTTCCCGACACGAACAGCTCGATTCGGCGTGGCATTGACATTCAACGGACCTCTAAATCTCAGTGCGTATCATGCATAGCTGAGAAGACTACCATGTCTAAACTCTTTATACTCAGAATCTAGCAAATATGCGACAGACTTCGGGCCCATCGAGAAAGGATGTCCTTGTCCAACATGTTCCGATGGTCAATCTCGTGCTATGCTAAATCATATAGTCACTTTAGAGACTGCTGCTGCTCACGGTACGTCCTATCATCTTGGATTGTCACCTAGTCTTCACTCACCCTTTGAACAGCCATCACTCAACATAACCTCGTATTTCAAGCGCGGGTGATGGGTGGAGTGCGAAATGCAATCATCGCCGGAACATTCCCCCAGTACCTCAAAACCTTCTTCGCTCAGTATTTTGGTAATGAAGGATACCCTGAGTGGTGCGTAAATGCTCTCAGAAGCGTTGGCGTAGATCTACTTGCAGACAGGCCAGATGTTCGGGTAGTACCAGGACAGGGTGCAAAATGGGATAGAGCACAGCAGTAGACGAGGTTTCAGGACGCACGATAGTGCAAGGCACATGTCACTGAGCCGGCAAGGAAGTCTACAGACCATCTTGACCCTTTTCACTGAATGAGATAGAAAGTAACGTTCTCAGTCAATGTTGGGGCTAATGACTGGTGTACACCCATCGAAAGGAGGGTATATATGTCTAAGAGAGTAGCTATGAAACTTCAGAAGGAATATAATTATAAAGAGGTGATACACGACAAAGAAGAACAAGTATTGGCAGTCCAGATTGTTGAATCTAGATGGTGTCATTCTCAGCCTACTGTGAGATTATGAATAGCCTGTCTTGAAGTCGTCAAGGGGTCAGATGGAAGTAGGAAATCAACCATATAGTATACCAGATCTAGATTGTAGTGAGTCTATGGTCGACTCAAATGTTAGGGCGCACTGTGTGCCCCACTATTAGTTATAAGGACAATCTTCAAGTTGAGTCACAGCCTTAACTTGTCGTCCAGAGCACAATGTAGAGTAGCTGCCGTAACGAGTTTGAATGCCTGTGATCAGTGCTTTCCCCTCAAAACTGGGGACTAGCTGTCATTTACACAGTCATGGAAGCTCGGGAGTTACCTGTGGTTCTCAACTCCTAATTAGGTCTCTTCGATTTCAGCGCTTGCGTGCTTGAGCATTGAGACCTTTTACGATTTGTATCCACACATACATTCTGAGGGCCATAACAAGACATGCGAATTACGTGTTGGTGCGTCGTCTGTTACAGCAATTGCATAAAGATAGGTCGACAATATTCGAGAAAGCAGATATAGCGAACCGACTTGGAGGCTCGGCAAATATCGGTATGTGAACACAGGGCATGCAACTGTCATCGTGACCGCTCTTGAGAAGTATAATGTGGACATAGTCACACTAACGCATGCCAGCCGCTGGCGACCTTCAGAAGGATGTGGCGTAGAAGTTAATAGACACCTCCGGCAAATTCGAATCTCCTCTGATCTAGGCATCCGTCCGGAATATAAGTCGGTATTCTTCTCCGCATGTTCAGTTGCTCGTCTAACATGTCATTGGTGGCTCGTCCCAGCCGTCGATGCATCGAGTAATGGAGTACCGACTTTCAGGTTCAAACATTCAGTACTGTCACTGCTGCAGGGAACTCACCCCACGGCCGTTCTGAAAGACCGATGGGGTCTGCACCCTCAGATGTCATGGTCACCTGTTCGTTGTGCTTAATGAATTGTATCCAAACCGAGGGTAGGTTGAATTAGCGCGGGTTTGCCTATATAGCTCTGGATGATTTACAGGATTTGTTCAACACACACCTCCGGACATACAGACGAGAAGTACAACATGCCTTCAAGGACCATCTTCGTCTTCTGCGATGGCACTGGAAACGACGGAGCTCTTTCTGTCGGGGAATCCGGTAGGCTGTTCGCCACATATTGTCACTATTCTCGTCGTTCAATGCTGCTTTAATAAACAGACGTGCGCGCCGCTGTAGAACGTGCAGCCGCTCAAGGTGGGACAGCCGTGCCGGCGAGTGCTGCCAACAGTGGTCGAACGCGTGGTGAGTGGGAGACAGAATATAAAATTTGCTTCATGGTTCACATTCATCCTCCTTCATAGCAGTTGGTGGCGGTGGAAGCGGCCATCAGAATGCGACCAACGTTCTACGACTCTGTAAGCTCGAGAATATTGATTCTACGGACTCAATTGATAACGATCATGCCACGCTATTGTAATTCTCAGCTCGTGCCATCAAGCCTGCAACAAAGTGAGTAACTTCCACTACGTCCTCCATTCATCAACTAAATCATGCCAATAGCAATGGAGAAGAGCAATTAGTCTTGTATCTGAGCGGAGTTGGCAGCGAGGCCGACTTCAACGGTGAAGGCAACGCAGCCACCGCCTCTTTGCGTACGTCAATATTTTTAGTTGATCAACATCGAATAATAATTGTGAATATACAGAGGCTCTGGGAACCGCTGTTGGTCAGTCAAGAGCCTTATGCCCGAGGTAATGCTGCTGATGCTGTCTATTATTGTCCAGCAAGCAAGATACGTGACGGATACGTCTATATAGCACAGAATTTGCAGAAGGGCGATCGTGTCTGCATATTTGGGTGGGTGTTATCGGTCCAATTCTATTTACTTTGCTTTGATTCACGCTGACACACTTTGCAGATTTTCCAGGTTTGTTTCTTCTCTCATCAATATCAATACTCTTATCCACATAATGCTTTGAAGGGGTGCATATACGGCTAGGAAGCTTACTGCCTTAATTGTACGTGAACGCTAACTTTTTGCGTGGAATGTCACAGCATCTGATAAACACCATAGGAATCCATTGGACTCTTGGAAACACAGAAGCTTGGATTCTTCTTCCAGATCTGGAAAGAGCTCTACGATAATATTCAACCCAACATTCCGCCCGGCACACGTGTCGTGGGTCGAGACTTCACTATCCCGTTAGCATAGTGCTCATTACCGTCCTAATTTGTAAATGCTAATTATTGAAAACAGTTGTCGGTGTATGGGACACTGTCGGATCTGTCCGTGGTGCCATCGACGTTCTCAATATCAAAGACAATTTTCTTCCGCCGAGCATTGACGTCGCTCTCCATGCAGTCTCTATACAAGATAACCGGGATAAGTTCTTACCCACCCTCTGGGTAAAGCCTCCTGGCGGGCTGCGAAATGGCCAAATCTTCAAAGAAGTATAATTCCACCTTAAACCCTTGTAGTCCATCTTCTATCTTCTAATATCTTCATGCTTTTACCAGATATGGTTCCCCGGTGCCCATGCAGACGTTGGAGGAGGCTATGAACGTCACGAGCTCTCTGATATAGCTCTGTTTTGGATGGCGGTACGATAAGATGTGTCAGATCTAAAGACATGATGTTTACTCACTTGTTTGATCGTATTTACAGGGGGAGATATCTTCGCTGGTGTCTAACAACATCATCAATATCGACCTTGATTTCCTAGCTTCCATTCGTCAGCCCAAACCTGACCCATGGGGAACCTCGCAGCCCAACAACACCTACTATAATACGCCTTGGTGGCAGAAAGCCATCATTAGGCCAGAGACTCGCCTGGATAGCGGACAGATCACGCGTGACGTGCTCTTCCATGAGAGCTTCAAATCTGCCCCTACCACGCTCACTCACCCTGATCACATGGTTACGATGAATACTCTCAAGCAGAAATTTGGTACCTCTTGGTCTCCCACTTGCCCACCTCTAAATGCTTTTGAGCAGCGCTGCAAGAATCAGTGGAATAGCACGGTGCGAACTTATTCCTATCGAAATGTGAATCAATTGATGAATAGTATGTCTTCTTAGCTCGAGGATCCCGGCATTCCGTTTGAACGAATGGACGATCTGTTTGATAGGTCATTTTTGGATGAAGAAGCCCCAACCTGGGTATGTGGATCTCTGTAGAGCGGTTCGTGACGCCTAACGCAGCCCTAGGTCGCCAACAAAGTATCCAAAGATGCCGTCGCAGGTGGTTGGGACGCGGACGCCTTACCCCTTTGGGTTGCTCGCGCTCCATACCAAGTAAGTAATCCTGTCGCTATTCGTATTATTCTGAACTTATGATACCATCACAGGGAGGGCTTCGTGAGCCTATCACCTGTTCTCTTTGCTGAAATCCATTGAACATAATCTTTAGATCCTGGAAAGGCTTCTCTCTCAATTTTCTCTGGCGTTATGATCAGCTATGACGGCAAAGAAATCAATGTGAGCGACTTCTGCCTCGTTGGTTTGAAAAGCCCCTAAAGCTCATGACGATCATCTTTACAGATCAAGAGTGGTTACGAGGTCTTGTCGGCCGATGTCGCAGCTATCGGTTGGAAAGGATGTAAGGGACCCTTCAGTTTGTCGAAGTTGGGAGATGCTATCCCAGTGGCGTGAGTTCGAGTTCTTCCTCCCTCATGACCGTATATTGGTCCACACATGACATCCACAGCGTCGGTTATGAAAAGGATGGAACGCCCTTGTATTCCGTTCGAGCCATCTACGGCAATGGAGTTCACTGCGGGAAAGTCAAGGACGGCTCCACTGGTAATTCTCAAGCAGTTCGCCAACACGGGTCACTATTTTCTTATCAATATTATTTCACAGCTATTATCCCGTATGGAGAGTTGGAAGTTTTCGTGGATATCTATCAAGTCCTCGTTTGGGATGACTCTTTTGGCGATTGGTTGCAACGAGTTTGAATTGCCGAATGCATTTAAAGTGGATTTATACCGTCTTGATACCATCTCTCGGGTCCAATGTGATCCTTGTATGTACTAGTAGCGGCCGTGTGTGGACATGTATTCGAGAATGACTGAATGACAATGTGATTGTTGGCTTGTGATTACGAGGCTGAAATGTCCACCTTACAATAACATATCCTCTGTTTGTTCATGAAGTCGCAACAGAATGACAGTATTGCAAGTCGGACAACTCCCAGACCTTGCAAGCGGTGCTATCATTGCTCGTTCTTCACCTCGGTTCCATCCATAGAACCAGCACGTTCGACTGAGGACAACCTGGCAATGCTTAGCAGTCGACAGGACGACTGAGATGATCCTGAACTATGGCGATGAAGAGTACACATGATAGGGTACAACACAAGATAACACATTATCGTCTGCTTTTCCTACCTCCATGCCTGGCATTCTTCTCTTTCCTCTGCTCTGCAATCTTCCTCGTTTTCCGGATCTGATCCACAGTCTTAAGTTCGTTCTTGACCCTGCCTACTGACTTTCCTGCCGAGCGCTTTCCAAGAGCGGTGCTCTTCTTGCCAGACGGCGGTCGACGCTCGCCCTCGTCTCCACCAGCACCTCCACCCTTCTTCTGTTGCTGTCTAATCTTCCTCTCATAGTCCTTGCTAAGCTTGTCCAGCGGTTTAGCCTCAACAACCTGATTGTGTTTCCACTTGCGTCCTCCAGGCCCGAACCCGCCACGTCGATGCACACTCTCGGATTCGAGCTCCCCAACTTTGGGCAAGCTGACACGACTCTTCGCTTTCCATTCATCGAATCGTCCGCTGCGATATGTTGCAGGCAGTTTCTGACCACTCTCCGTTTTGACGAGTTTCACGTTGTCTGCACCTTCGCCGGTACCTTGGGTGAATCTCTTTTTCTTCTTGTCCCATCTAAGTTCACGACGCTTGCGTTCCTGAAGAGCCTCATCGCCAGTGAGGTCGAAAGTGACGTTATTTGCCTGTTCAGCGAAAGTAGCTCCATCACGAAGTGAATACCTATGGGTGACAGTTTGGGTTAATGCTCTAGCCAAAAAGGAAATTTCAACATACCCTTTTTCGTCAATGGCACCTTTCTGATAGTGAGACATATAGAATTCGGAATCACGATGGTTCGTCCTCCCACGCTTGCCCTGTTTACTACTTGAGGGATCAAACACCGCCTGAACGAAAGACAATCAGTATTGGAAATAATGCACCAAAACGTAGGTGTTGCATACCGCGATGGTTTCCTCGTCAGCCATTTCCATTTTCCCGCCTTCCTCGCTTTGTGCCTCATCTTCACCGACCTCCTCTACAATCGGCTTGGCTGAACTTGAAGCATGCGCAGCACGTTCAACAGCCTTGCCTAATGCTTTCCTTCTCTGCTTCATCAACGTCGCAGTCTCCGTATTTCCCCTTGCACCAATCTCCAATACTGTTTCAGATGGCCTGAACGAATTCACAGCCTGTAGTAAAGCCTTCCTTCTCTCCTCCTCTTCCAACATCTTCGCAGCACTACTAGCATCCTTGCTTCTGAAGAATATAGGATGTACGCCAGAAGCGGTACCGACGATACCCCATTTACCCTCCCTGATCATTTCTTTGGTACGTTTGTAGCTGGCTTGACTCGCTTTGCCTTTGCTACGCTCGTACATGCCATGACCCTTCCTCATGACTTCACGGAGAGTCGGCAGATTATGATTCTCTTCGTCCAGCCTCCTGATGTATTCGACTTCCCCGTCGACCCGATCACGATCAAATGGGCCAAGCACCAGGGACTCGGTATAGACTCGGTCCCCACCGTGAGTGACTTCGCTCTTGATCGGTCGTCCAAGGAACAACTGAAGGTCTAGCAAATACGGAAGTTCTGTGTTGGTGACGAATGACCAAGCCCAACCTTGACGTCCAGCACGGGCCGTTCGTCCAACTCGATGAACGAAGACACGAGCACCTTGAGGGAAGTCGTAGTTGACTACGTTCTCGAGAACCGGGATATCGATACCACGAGCTGCAACATCCGTTACGACAAGAACGCTTGTGTGTCCTCGACGGAACTGTTCCATCTGTTGAGAACGCGCCGTTTGGTCCAGGGAGCCATAGATATGGGAGACGGCATAGCCGGCAGAAGTGATGAGGTTGGTAAGGTATTCAACATGATGCTTTGTAGCTGCAAAAACGAGGGTTTGATGGGGTGCAGTAACTTGTTCGGAATACTTCAGTTTCGCCTTGCCCTTCCCTTTATCTTCTGAGTTCTCCTCATCTTCAGGTTTGGAGGAACCAAGAGGGACACCGATAACATCACGGAGCAATAAGAGAAGACATGCATCTTTTTCCGTCGGTTTGACGGAGAAGAAACCCATTTTGAGGTCGGGACTGATTTTGCTTTCGGCATCGAGACGCACAAGCTTCGGGTTCTGAAGACCCGCTTTGGCGAATTCGACGAGGGACTTAGGTAGAGTAGCAGAAAAGAGGAGGGTTTGACGAGAAGCGGGAAGTTTATGAAGGATTTCGTTCAGGGCAGTTTCGAAACCCATCTCGAAAAGTCTGTCGGCTTCATCAAAGACAACGTACTGTATTGACTTGAGATCAAGGTTCATTTCAACGATAAGATGCAGAAGTCGACCGGGCGTTGCGATGATGCTAAGGTAAATGGTCAGTATCGCGTTCATAGCATGACACAAGACATTCCACGTACACATCTGGATTGCTTGTGATCATCTCAAACTGCTCGTCTAGTCCCTCGCCTCCAACGACCAAGCCCCATCTAAGACTTTGTCCTTTCTTGCCGTCTTCAGCATCCTTAGTATCACCTGCATGGTCCCCATCACCGGCGTGCCAACCTCTGGCCAGTTCCTTTCCGACCTTGAGGACTTGAAGTGCAAGCTCACGAGTAGGAAGGAGAATCAAAGCGCGAGCACCAAAGGTCGAAGAGTGCCTTCCACCCAGGCGTTGTACGAGTGGAATAAGATATGCCAATGATTTTCCTGAACCAGTACGGGCCATGCCGACCAAGTCTCGAGGAGGGTTTGTGAGTAAAGCAGGGATCGAGAGTCTTTGTATAGGTGTGGGTATACGGAAACCCTGCAAGGTCAAAGATCGCAGAAGCCAGGGGTATAGACCTAAACATAATCCTTATTATATTTCAGAACAAAGCAGTTTAAATTTGTGAACGCACCCATGTTCTGAAAGCTGCCTCCACCGACTTCACCCTTTGTGATTTTGGTTTTCCCTTTAGTCTTCTTTAACATATCCGTTCCACCCTTCTTATTTCGTTTTGATATAGACTGCCGTATGATCTCCTGCAGCTCTTCATCATCCTCTTCATGGTCGGATTGCTGCAAGCGAGGTTTCTTGCCGACAAGTGCAGAGGAGATATCAACGTCTGAGTCAGATTCAGACACTCCGTCATCTAAAGAAAAAGCAGCGTCGTCCTCGTCCTTTTCGTGGGTGCGTTTCCGTTTCGAGAGGGCCATGTTGAAAGCGAGCCTGCAGCTCAACAACTCCTTCCAGCTACTTACTTTGCGATCGAGCTTTCAGCAAATCCTGCTTACGTAAGTGAGGTTACACTTCTGTCTCGATTTAGAAAGTATGCTAGTTGAGACGAGCCACCAATCTTCTGAGTTTTGTGTGGCTTTGTCTACTTCTTTTGCCGCAAAGCTCTAAGGATGTACTGAAATTTCATAAAGCTTTCATTTCACCAGTCCTCAGCTCCTGAGAAACGGTCGGTCAATGACTTCGCGAAAAAGGAACTCAAGCACAGACTGTCGAGGTGTTGCAGATGTGTCAGTTTGCATTTCTGTTGAAGAAAGTGCTTCCTTTATTATTGTACTATTACACGTCTACATCACCTCATTACTGCGGTTCGGTTTGTTCACGATGAAAGGGAAAGCCCCCACTTGTTGAGATTCGTGAACTCCCAGCGAACCTGCCCTAAGGTCGTCACGGGCCACGAGGACAGCGCCAAAGCCGCGCAAAGTAAACAAGGCTGAGGCTGAAATGTCGAAACTCGAGAGCCCGTCTCTTGCTTCCTCTTCCCATTCTACAACCCCTTCCACGGTGCCAAAAGATCTTGTCACCGATGTTTTGCCCAATTTCACACCAATCGACGCGCCTTCACCTGCTGGATCCGTCGCTGTGCCGACCCCAGCTACTCCCGTGAATGGAACGCATGAAGACAATGCAGGCGAAAGCAGCAAACTAAATGGGATTATTGGAAAACAAGTTTCGAGACCGAAGATCGTGCCCAATGTTGAGAAAGTAGTATTCGAGAGTCGGAAAAGGAGTAAGCTCAAGGGCAGGAGCTTACAGGACGAGGAAGCTGCCGCTCAATCCGCTGCAAGGTACCGTTTTCGCTGATCTCCTGACGTTGCAATACATTGAATGTTAACACTATACAGAATTGCAAGCAGTCTTGCCGCAGATCAGAACGCTGCCCTGAACCCAGACGTGGACACCCCATTCACGGACGCAGCCGATGTTGTAAAGAGGCTTCTGCCATATCATGTTTTCCAACATCCTGCGGAAGATCTAGCTTCTATGAGTCATGGTATTGGTAAGGGTAAGAGGAAAGCCACAGAGGAGGATCTTCTACGAGAGGAAATTGCTGGTATGATCATCGTGTCCATGTTCGTTTCCTCTCTCATGTGACGACTATACAGAAACCAAATCTGCACTTCAATGTTGGAAGAGACGTAGGACTCTTGAAAGGCGTTTCACGGAGGCGAGGACCAGTGCGGCGAAGGTACGTCCTGATAGTGTCTGGTCTGATGACCAAAGTTAACTTTAAGACGCACGTAGCGTTCTGCACCAGATGATCAGGCATACGTTCTGGCACAAGCTATTCTTGAATCAGATCGACATGAGAATGCCGCTATCAATGCAGAACTACGAGCGGCGAAACAAGAACTGGACAGACTAGAACGTGAAAAGAAAGCAGCGGCCGCAGCAGCTGCAGCAGCCGCTCATCCACCTCAGCCTCGCGCAACATATTACCCTCCACAGACAACTGCTCCAACATCTTCGGCATATCCGACGCAGTATCGAGGCTACACATATGCATATGGTCAGGGATACAATTCCCAGTACACATATTCTCCATACGCGACGAATCCTGTACCGCCGAATGCCTGGAGCACCTCCGTATTCTCGCAGACCCCTCGAACTTCATATACCACGCCTTCGTCAACAACGACTTCGACAAATCCCCCTACATCGGTTTCAACTGCAACCACAGTACCATCATCCACTTATGCTTCGGTTTCGTCTATTACACCACAAGCGCCGGCAATGGCACCCTTGACGTCTACGTCACCTATTCCTGTTCAACTTCCTGTGACTTCTCTAACCGCGCTCTCTGCGCTTGGGATCATCCCTGTCCCAGTTGCGAATGCACCACCACCCGGACAACCGCAGCCTGCTGCAGTACTAAAGGGTACCACTCAGAATGGGACGATGGTCAGCTTGGAGATCAACGTTTCATCTTTGCAGCAGAACCAAATGAGCGGACTCGCATTCATTCTGAGTGCATTAACATCGCGGGGATTGAATGTCGATGCTGCTGTAGCAGCTGCAACCGCTCCAGCAGCTTCCAGCAATGTACGATCTGCAGCTTCTCCGAATACCACCGGAGGTACACCGCTGGTGACGAGTACTCAGAATGCAGACGGTAACACCCCGTCCAATGGAGAACCGTCAACATCTCACGAAGGATCAGGGGTATAAGGACAGGTGGTCTGAGTGTGTGATTGCTGGGCTGATGTATTTCTGTTGGTGAACTTTGTTGTTATCTATTACCCTCTTGTAGCGTGTCCTCCCAACGGCCTCTTTAGCAATCATACTCAAACCAAATTTTGAGTGCTGTTTCTTGACCATGCTTTCCGCTTTTGTCAACTGGTGTAGCGGTCAGATCTCGCGGGGATTAGATAGTCGCTCATCCGACGCCATGTGGCCGAGCTGCCGCTCGGTAGTAGCCCTCATTTCACCACCCTCTTTTCACAAGCTTTCGTCGCTTGGGCTCTGTTCTCCAAGGAATTAAGTGCCCTGGTCGCTATCCTCGTCGCCGTTCTTGTGAACGAGGATGCAGGCGAGAGCGTTTAAGAGATACGCCAATCTTCAAGATGAACGCCAAGAGCGCCATAGAACACCGCAGTGCCACCAGAAAAAAAGAAGGGTGGCTCCCGAGTACACGCATCTTTGTACATGCTGAGATAAAATTGGTCTTGTCAGGGCTGCATGATATATACCCACCTCTTCCATCGGAGCAGGTCAGCATCTTTTCCATCTTCATACACGTATTGCACACAGCACGGTCACCAGTAGACCAGCATACCCTTCACCACGATGTGAGTACCATGGCCACTCGATATGTCTATATAATCTCCTAATGTGCCAAACCTAGACCCAGTGAACAAATGTCTTGCACAACAACTCAACCATTCATATTCAGCCAACTGCCTACCGAACTCCTCCGCGAGATATTCGAGTATGCCGCCTGTGACACCAAGATGGCTCTTCAGCTCTCCCTGGTATCGCCCTGGGCGCGCCACTGGATAGAACCATTCCTCTATCATACTGTCGTGCTGTCTACAGCACCAGCGCTCCGATCCTTCGTGTACGCGCTCGAACAGAAACAACCGGCTTTCGCACATGACCGGGTTAAACACCTCGGTATCTTCGCACATGGGCCTATACAGGCCATCGAGCATGTCCTTGATGCATGCACCGGCATTGACAGCCTTGCGTGCGGTTTTACATTAGCGAGTTCCAAACAGTTGTATCTCCATGGTACGATCCAAGCACCTGATTGCCCAAAAGAGCAGCATTTGCTCGGGCTTGCGTGTCGCGATGGTTGGGACACCACTGTCGTAGGACCTGCTGTTACGCGCCTTCGCGTACATCTTTCATCGTCACCTAATGCGCTACCACCGTTCGCTCTGCCATCGGATGATGCAGACAAAGCCGTCGGTTGGGACGTCCTCTCAAACCTTCAAGCCCTCACGCACCTGGCTGTCGTCTACCGCCCTTCACAATCATACCCAATTACAGCCCTATTCGTAGATCTCCAACATCTGCTCCACCCAACATATTTAGATAAGACAATCGAACGCGCGCATCCTGAAATCCAACTCATTCTGGTGCAAGTCGTGGGATTGCCCTCAGCCCAAATGTCTGCTGTGGGCACGCTCAACACGGCTGCACTCGAAGCAGGCGGATCGTCTCTAAAGATCGTCGCTGAACGTGCGCCCTCCAGCCCTGTTGTTCAATGGGAAGACTCCGCCCGTACAGGAAAGAGTGTTTGGCAAGGAGCAGAAGAAGTCGTTAAAGATCGAGTGACTCAGGAAGCGAAGAGGAAAGTGGACACAGCGCCTATTTGAACAAAACATACCTTCACATGTCGACGCCACATTCACACCATGCTCTCTCGGTGTTACTTATAGCACCTGCGATTGATTCTCTATGTATGGTAGCGGTGATGATAGCTATTTGCAAGACGAGACTATTAATAGGGATATACTGTACGTCAGTTTTGAGATGGAGATATATATATTGATACAAGTATAACACAGCGAGATTCCAGACAGTTCTTGTAAGAAAGCATACAATGAGGCAACCGTGTTATGTGACGACATAGAAGAAAAGAGACTGCCACCAGGGTGTAGATGAACATATGTGATCAGGACAGAACAAAACGTAGAATAAACAACTTTCCTAACACGATTGGGAATGAAAGTTGGACCAAATTTGAATCCAGGGCTTAATGTGGCCGGTTCCGGTCAAGGATGGACGTGCATGACATTTCGTGTACAAGAAGTCTGTTAGTAAGACGGTGCACCTCGGTAACCAAGGTTTTGCGCCTCCTTATTCTCAACGGCGGTGTACAGGGTCCCGTATCCCACAGTCAGCAGTTCTTCAGGGGACGTGACAACGCCACTGAGGCCACTTGGACCCACACGGGCGACAGTGTGAGGACTAAAGGAGGAGTTTCGACGGGGCTTGTCTACGTGGGACGCGTATTCCCGCCAAGATCGCTCTCCTCGATAGACTCTGGGTGTATGCCGTCAATGTCTTGGCATAAGGTTGAATAGACCAAGAAATCTTACCTCATGTTTTGTGAAAGGCTTCCACCACCCCATGCTTGCTGAAGGTTCCCCTGGCTTCGGGACGTGTGAAGCATCGGAGATGTTGGAAGTCGTGTGCGAGCCATTGCAGGACTGACCATTGGCGTCTGACTAAATATCTCCCTGAGATGTCCAGAGTCGCTACGCTCGCGTTTCAATGGAAATGCGGAAGGCGCGAGGGCCTCCTCTGACTGTCGAATTTGTTGGTATAGTATATAGGGAGGTTGCGGCATGTTACCAAAGTGAGGTGTCGAACTTTGCTGATCCATTACGAGCGTCGAATCGGCAGTATACGGACGACGACTCTCCGAGAAAGACCCAAGGTCTGAAGACGATCGGTAATGGCGTAATGGTGAGATACCCTCGGGATGTATTGCACCAGTAGGGGCCAACGAAGCTCGGCGTATGATGGCGCGAGAAGTCGGCTGATAAGATTGAGAGAATCGTTGAGCTTGACTAGAAGCAGGCCTCGACGATTCCCATGACTGCGCAGGATTGAATGGATAGAGTGCGTTCGCGAGAGAAGAACTGGTATCAGACGGTATCGGAGCAGAAGCCACCAGTGAATTAGTATCAGAAACCGCATACGCGACCTCCTCTTCGGGATTTGCGTAGGGGGCGGACATGGAAGATGGTGGAATGTTCAGTGAGAAAATCGAATCGTCGAAGGTATCCGGCCTTGCGAAGTCGTATTGAGTATCCATGTGAGAAGTCCTATCCTGACCATCTGACGTATGAAGATCTGCTTGGTGCGAGAAGGAAGCATCATGTGGAGAAGCATCTTCCGGAGGCAGTGAGTCCTTAATTTCCTTCCTGAAAGAGAGACATTCATGTTAGACTAGTTTCGCACACCTATAATAATGACTTACAGCCATTGACGAGCAATCTCGAAGCTCGACGAGATCTCCTCAAGTCGCGCCATGAGCTTGGAGAGGTTATCCATCAAATCGTTCATCCGGCTGGTGAATACCTGCCTTCGTTCATCGGACATACGAGGACCCTCCGCCTTTTGTATAGCTCTAACTAGCCAGATGTGAACGAGGAGGACACCGGCGGAAATGTAACATGAGTTGGCCAGACTAGTCATGTTAATCATCCGACGGAGTTTAGTATTGGTCTCCCATATAGCGGCTGTTGCTTTTGCGGCATTGGTGCATATTGAGAGGCAAGTCCATGGAAAATCAGGTCGGTCGACGAGGTTATGTCTCTGCTGCGACTGGAATGCCGCTAGATCATGAGTCGCCAAAGGCATGGGAATGAATGGACGGTGAACTACAATTGTGACCATGTAGTATGTTGTGACTAGTGTAGTAGCTTGGCTTGCGAAGAGAGGGTGATCCATGTTCGGAGACCATCTCACTGTGAAGTGATAAGTACGTCTCAAAACATACTGCACCATGAACCCATAACGCACAATGGTTTGGAAGTTCATCCACCCATGTAGTCAGCGCCTCGTTCAACCTGGTGAGCGTATCCTCTCGCCATCGGTTTCCCACAAGACCAAGAGGTGCTTTGGATTTCCCAAGTGCATACTTGAACCATAAGCATCAGTATGGGGATTTGATATATACAGAAATATTACTCACAAGTGTACGCAAGGCGAAAGCGGCGATCTGAGTCAACTTTATCCAACAGTTGAAGAAGGCGGTAATACAAGGCTTATCGGGGGGCTGCCGAAATGCCAAAGCAGGGTCCTCGTTTTCCCAGTATTCATCGTCAACTTGCAGCGGCATCTCTAGATCGGAACTGTCCATGCGGACTTCAGCACGACATCGAAACAATGTCAAAGATGGATGAACATACTCTTCGTCTCTTGATGCGCACGATCGACCATTGATCATACTTCCAATGTGATCAAAAGTAACCAAATTCCAATACGCCCGCTTCCACAGTTCATCCTCAATGGTTCTCGTTCGACCATAGACTTTCTTTCGATGTGCGCCAACATCCTGTGCCTTCCGGAGGCCAAGGCTGACAATCTTCCAAGCATCACTGTAGAATGATGAACTGCGAAGAAATAATCCAAGAAGCTGAGAGCCAAACCATCAATGCGTGGCCGGGTCGGGGTCAACCATCGGCGGACTTACATGATAAGATTGAATTTCGAATAGACAAGCCGGCAAGATCACTTCAGAATGAGTACGGTGAATCTCTGGTGATCAAATCAGCTTACCGCTCCGCATTTTTTAAAAGTAGAACTTACCAAGTGCAACGTGTATATACTTCCACCCTGCAGAACCCCAAAGTGGTGATGTCGGATCAGGCGCTTCGCTCAGTCCCTTGTCGTCATCCCATAGAACGCCCAGATCCTTGCTCCATCGGGCTCCGACTCCAAAAACAGACATGCACAGGCAGCCAAACCATATGTCGCGTTCATGCAGACCGTTTTCCAATTGTTTGTCGAAAGTCGGCCGATGGAGAAGTGGGAAATGCGCGTTCATCATATTGAAATAATAATCGCTGAGACTTCGCGCAAGTTCCGGAGGCGGAAATCTCCTTCTGAGAAGGTCTCTCGTCGCAGAATCAGACAAGGAGAGAGTAGCCTCATACTGAACAACGGTGATGTCAATATTCCGTGTAAGCATGCCGTTACCGGCCACTGAGACTGACGAAGAAGACTCACTTGGGGCGAGTTCCAGAAATATGGTCTACGGTGAGCACCTATTTGATGGGGATTATCATCATGGGTCGACTCTCCAGCCACTTTCGAAGCCTCATTTTGAAGCTTTCGGGCCGTGTTGATGAGTTTAAAAGAACTACTCTTGCCGTGAAATCTCCACTGGCTATCCGGTACAGTCCGATTGTCGTGCGACTCGAGAGGCTTCAAGCTGAGACTCTGCATCCCCCGAACGAGGCTAAGCTCGCCGTAATCTTCGCTATCAGAGGAAGACGCAGAAGATGGCTCATCATCCTCCGAAGAAGCACCCGAGCCACGGACATTGTCTCTGCTAGTTGCGTGCGTTAAGGCAATCATGATGGGCCCCGAACCGGGGTAGGGGGCAGCATGACTGACTCCCGACCCGCCGGAGACAGCAAGAGAAGGTTGAGGCGGGACTAACGAACTACCCTGTGACTGCGAGGAGGAAGTTGTCTGACGAGACAAAGAGGATTGCATCGCAGGCGACTCGCTCTTCCACGAGTCTCGTGGAATGGGAGGACCGATTTCAGGAGTGAAATCAGCCTCCGGACGTAGCTGTAAACACATTCCGTTAGCGTTACTTCCCGCCGTGGTGAAGAACTAGAATATACCCTTCTCAATACGGCCTCCATCTTCTCAATGCGGTCTTCAAGACTTTGAATATAGCTATAAGACTACATCTCAGGCTTTATTTCGGATTGAAGGTATGTAACGGACCACGAACGCTTTTGGTGGGCCACGAGGCTTCGAGACCTCGCTGTTGAGAACTCATGAGCGTAGTTCAACAAGAAACATGCCAGCGCCACTCACACATAAGTGCATTCCCTGCCATTCTGTATGCAGTTGGTGCATTTGTAGCCCTCCATCTTCGGCCCATCACATTTTGTCTTTCTACGACGGCAGAAATCACATGCGCGCTCAACTTTACGTTTCTTTGAGCCGCTTCCATCGACGGAGGTGTCGAGCGAATAAAATGGCTCAGAGGCAGTCCTGAAGGCGGCCGACGACCTGATCTGAGATGAGGACGTGTGATTAGCCGAGTTAACAGTGGTTTTCGAAGACCGACGCGAAACCGGCTTTGGTTTAGCAGCAGCGGCCATGTCTGGAACTGCGGGAAGAATGTGCTAAGGACGAGTGGAGGGGAGAGTTTTAAACATGGAGGAGGAGACAAGCCCAGCGCCTGGCAGCTGTCGAAATGGCCTGCCAATTCGAGTGTCATTACTCGCGCTCTGATCCTTCCATCTCTGATGTCCTTTCTCTGACAACTTCTCCGGCACATCTGTTCTCGCAATACATACCCACAACGCAATCAACAGTCTGCAATGTCCAACACAACCTCAAGATACATCGGGTCCGTCGTGAATGTTTGAATGCCATTACCGCCATTCCCAGCACAGCATCTCTAATTTGGCTCACAGTTTGAAATCATTTATACTGCAGTGCTTATGTCCGGCTTTGACGAGACAGAGCTCTGCTCGGAGTTGGTCAGGTTATGATCGGACCCTAAGCATCCTGATGCGCCTAAGTAAGCACCGAGACCTGCATAGTGCACGTACCACGACTACTATAAAATGGAATCTTTGCACTACACATAACACGTCTCTGCTGGTGATCCTTCTTGGCTGCTCAAGGGGAAGTCTCGTTTTCGCTGTGAAAGGGCCAATTCAAGACGGCCCAGCCAAGCGGAGCCATGTCGAGCAGTAAGATGAACCTCACTCCGGAGGAAGAAGAGAAATACAACCGTGTACGCACAGCTCATGCATTGCCTCCGGATACATATGATGAAGCCAATCAGCTTGGGGCAGGAATGAGAAGGGCCCATAACCACTTCAAAGAAGAATGTAAGCGCCCTCCAAAGGACCTGTCTTTCATCTTGTTACGATCATTGATGTCACCACCTTGGTTCAGTTAATTCCCTCTACGAGGTCTGCTCTAGATTCATTTGAACGCTTCCGCCAGCGAGCATGAGTTTCAGTGACATTCTTTAATTAACACGTAGTTGGCCGACGCCTCAATTGGTCAGGGAGTACCGTTAGGCCTGTACCTTCGGCAGGTGGATATGTTGAGATATCGTACTTTACCATTCAACTCAGGATTATTTTTGAGAAAATCTGACACACCGACAGAATTGACCGCTCACCGTCCTGCTGCAGAGCGTACGCTTTTCCCGTTTCTTGGCAAACGCATGCCGTCGTTCAAAGAGGGCGAAACTCATTTGAAGGCCCATCATGTTATCCATGAAGGGATGTTGGTTCTTCATATCGTCGGCGCAATGATTGTTAACATGTGGTCATTTGTATTAGGTCTTGACCAACTTGGGACCCTTGTGCAAGAATCCAGAGGAGACCCATCTACATACTCCCCACAAGAAATGCGGAAATGTCTAGACAGTTGGCGTGGAGACCTTTTCAAACACCTGGATCAAAAGAGGTTCGTGGGCTTGTCCTCACTATGTCATGAAAGAATATGCCCTCAGAATTTTGATTCAAGGTTGAAGGTCTCTCCGGAGAAAACATGAAAAGATACTGGACTTTAGATGAATTGGATCTACTGCCAATGTGATACCAATGAGTCTCATCGGTAACGTTGCTCTGACCGTTGCCCGATCATGTTTCCCGCTTGTCCAAATAGTCGCTGCAAGTATTCGGCCTCCGGCTTTGATTGTAGGCAAACTATAATGAGACTGTCTGTGAGATTGAAATTATGACCCACCGAGTGCCACACGTCCTGTTTGACATCGACTATCATACATAACTGTCGAGGTGACACGGAAGAAATGAAGCACATAAAAATGATCGCATTACACAGATGGCAGTGAGATACAACCTCGAAATCAATAGCCAGATGGCAATAGAGGAGTCGAAGCATCATGAAATGTCACCCTCGCCTGATACTTACTGTTGCTTTGAAGTTTGAGAATTCGCCGATTCAAGACCGGAGCAAAGAACATATCGACATCAGGAGCATCAGGTTCACACTACTTCTTGGTAGTAGTCGGAAAAGCCACGGTGAACATTTAGACTGATACCATGCGTTTTGGTGGCCATAATTGAGAAAGAGTCCGGAAGACTGTCAAGCATATGAATCCTTTGATGGTGATAAACCCATTCAGTCGTGATCAGATCATGATCGACTTGATCGATGCCGTAAGCATGCTTACACTGCGCCTGCGACAAACTGGACAGGTTGCACAGTAGTTATACAATCCTCTGACTATGACGGCTATACATAATATCATTGCACGTTCACAAGATATACCTTAGGGACTTGCTCGCGTTCCTTCCTGATAACTACTGCACGCTCGAAATCCCCTTGAATCAGTCCAAAGGCTCCGTATCATGTCGGCGGAGACAAAGAAATCTGTTTTGACTACTGCTCAAGAAGAACGAAAATGGAACCATGTCAGTGCTATTGCCATGGGGCTATCTACTTCTGTTGATATATATGATCTATCCCTACAGCTGGGCATGTTAATGGAGAGGTTTCACAATCACTTCAAGGTCGAATGTCAGCATATTCCCACACACTTCATCGTGGTTATTGTAACGATCAGTGATGGCATTTCCTGCTGCAGTCAACGCAATCTATGAGGTCAGTCTTTAAATATGTAACCACCGCCCTATGATTCATGCCATCTTTCGCGCCGGCGGGACAGATGGCAGACGGTTCTTTCGCCAGGAGAGGATTGTCGTTAGGACTGTATCTCCGGCAAGCAGAGGAATTGCGACGATGTATGTTCTCACCTTATCGTCATTTCAAAATGGTGTTGAAATGGATCATACAATTTATAGACCTCACAACGCACCATACCATTGAGGAACGACATGTCTTCCCGGTGCTAGCGAAACGGATGTCGTCGTTCAGCAACGACGAAGTGCACATCAAATCCCATCATGCTATTCATGAAGGTTGGTGCAGTAAATCTTACCCATAATGAGGCTAACGCGGCGGCCGTCCTCTAGGGCTCAACAAACTTGGTGAGATTATTCATAAGTGGAAAGCGGATCCGTCAACGTATTCTCCTCAAGAGATGAGGGACTGTTTGGACAGTTGGCGCGAGGTGCTGTTCAAACATCTGGATGAGGAGGTATGTGCTTGACCCTTTTCATTAGTGATATTGCTATAGTCGCATTTGCGATAGGTTGAGGATCTGTCGGGAGACAACATGAAGAAGTATTGGACCTTGGAAGAAATGGATCTGTTACCGATGTAACTTTAGCATGATCGTTATGCAACGTATATATAGCGTACCGTATCTTTCCGTGATATTGCCCCAGAGTCCAGACACACTTCTGCTATCGGTCCTGGCCGGGAGGAGATGTGCCTATTCATAGCCGACACTGATCGCGGTAGAAGCTTGATTGTTTCTGTTGGAGAGAGAGAGGTCAACAAATATAACCAAGTCATTTCTGCTGTTCTGGGTGGTATTTGCTTTGTCGTTCGATGAACATGATTAGCGCCGATAAAGCTTCTGGATTGTAATGAAGACAGGGAAATGAAATGCGCACGATGATAAAATCACGTTCTCAACGATGGAGCGGAACTGAGAGCAAGGCCGATCTCATCAGCGCGACTATGGGAGTGGCTGATCACCGATATCTCCAGCTCAGGGAAATATGGTCAATGAACATATCATTGGATTGCAATGACGACCCGCCCGCAGCGAGGAAACAGAAGTATATAAGGCGGACAAGACACCAAATACAGTTGTTCTGCAACATGAAAGAGTCAACAACGCTAGACAAAAGCGTAACGTGGTACACTCACAAAGATACACGCAAGTTAACCTACAAAACATTCACCCACTTAACTCGTCTTTGCTCCAGCAGCGCCATCCGATGTGGTCGCAGTAGCCTTCATAGCGTCCGTATGCTGCTTCTGAGCAATAGCGCTCCTGATTCTCTTTAGGAGATCCGTAGCCTGAGTGACTTCCTCTGATTGACTTGACGCGACAACCTCCATCAATTCTCGGGCATGGAATAAATCGCCACCGCCTTGCGACAGATGGTACCGGGCCACATAGACACTTGACGTTGCAAATTCTCCTACAGTTTTCTCTGAAATTAAAATCAATAAGTTAGGACAAGCTGGATGCATAATGTGAAAACTCACGAGACGCCTTAGAGATATCGACGACTCGCTGGTGGTAAGCCGCCGCTTCACGATACTCTTCGAGGTCATTGTGTAATTTTGCCAGACGCAAATGGATAGTTGTCTCTTTGGGCCCAGCACCAATCAAAGCGCGTTTGTTACACTCGACAGCTTCTCGCAGTCTTGAAGACAAAGAGACAATGGCGTGAATAGAAAGGAAAAGATGTTGGCGATTAGCGGCAATAGAGCGGCGAGAGAGAATGGCTCACCTGCCCATTTCCTCATAGCATATCGCCTGCGCTTGCCACAGGCGGACATCATACGGTCTTCAGGAACCAGAGAATTGTTATCCACAAAAAGATACGAACGGGATGACAACGGCGAATCCACGAAGAAAAAACAAAGATACAGTCAGGCACCGCTATGACCGCTAAAGAAGCTGAGAACATGAGCTTACCGCAGGGCGGTTGCATGTTGATAATAGTACACTGCATATTGATGCATACTCAGCAGCTCATAGGCCTGTCCGAGGCCGTACCAGGCGCGATAATCTTTTCGGTCGACATCTGTTGTGAAGAAGCGATGTCAATCGCAAAAAATAGATTAAAGATTGAGAAGGGACATTATGTCATGAACAGAACGTACCTACGGCCTTCCGATATGCTTCTATGGCAGCATGAGAGTTCTTCATCTCAACATATTCGTGACCCATTAGTATCCACGCAGCGAGGTACGTTCGATCCAGCTGAGTAGCACGTTTGAAATACTTGATAGCTTTCTCATGGTCCAGGTGTAGTGAATAATGGTTTCCTGTCAATCACAAGAACAACGCGTGATGTCGTCGTGGCTTATTCTTTTCTCTGACAAGGAAACGATATGAAACTTACCAACCAAACAACATATTTCAGGTCGGTCGCGTTCCAGCGCCAGCACCTCATGCGCCAACTTGGATAGCTCAAGTCGTTTCTCGGAAACGTAGAGAACATTAGACAGGATGTCTATGTCATCGATCCTGAAAGGATCAAGTTCCCGTATTTTCTTAAACTGGGTTTCCGCCGATCCATACTCTATCGGTGGTACAATATCACCGAACACCGAAGACGTTCATCAGAATGATTGTGGTAAAAACTTGGAGGAACCACAAACCATGCATATGGTAAAGGACACATGCCCGTTGGGCCATTAACCACGAACTTTGAGGGAAGAACTCCTCGCTTAAAAGCTTGTCACAGAGTGTCAGTTCGGCATCCGAAGGATTTCCTAGGGTGTTCAGGGTCTTGATCTGGAAGAGTTGTACGAGTAGATGTGTCGCTGGAAGAGGCAATAGCGGAATGAGCGAGAGCAGCTGTGGCGATTACCTTCAGTTACATCGTCAACGTGCACCCATAAATAAGAGACTACCTCGTCACCATCCTCTAGACAATCTCCAAGTAATGTCCAAACAGACCAATTCCAAGGATATCCAGCTATCGATAATAGGGCCGTTTCGATAGCCTCTTCTCGGCGAGACAGCCGATGCAGAAAGATAGCTTTCCTACAATAGGAACGGGATCACATCATGTGGAGTCAGAACTTCTGAACAGACGTACAAAAATAGGAGCCAGGGATCAGTCGCATTCTGCACTTCTTGAAGGAGGTTTACGATAGACGGGTTCACAGGAGTGTGAGGCTGATTTCGAGTCTCTGTATTCCTTAGTCACGTTGCAAATGTAGCATTTCCAGTGCGACTCACTGTCCATTCGATACCACTCTCTCAGTGCATTCTTCTCGCTAGCCTACAAGAAGATTTTATATATGCTCACAGTGCGTGCAAGAGATTCTTACCATGAAATCGCTATAGATACGCAGGAACGAGGCCTTGGCACTTTGGCAGTCCCTCAACCAATGAGCAACTCTGCTGAATTCTTTTGCATCGAACATTGCTCGTGCAGCTGCAATGTGGTCGGCATCAAGACTTTCTAGCTCTGCCTGGCGGAGGCGTACTTCGGGAGGTTGCGATCGTAGCTCCGGAGCGTTTTGATGTCGTGGTGGGAAGAGCGGTACCTGACGCTGGGTTGGATCATGCTCAGTGGGGGCATTGCTATCGAAGGAAAGTGACGGCCGCGGCGAGCGCGAACGAGCAGGAGTGGACGTTTGGAAACTGGAAGCTGCTATGGAGGACTGCGCTTGTCGTTTGAGTTTCGGAGTCGAGAGAAGCAGTTCTGATGCCCTATAAACACGTTAGATCAACTTCTACAATGCAATGATTCGTTGTCAGACTCACCATTTCGATGCCTTGTAGAGCATTCTGTCTGAGCATTGACTCACTGCATCCCGGAGGGAGGGTAGTGTTTCGGCATCCATGACAGGTATTTAGAGAATTCTCCTAATCAAACTTTCACTGTCAAAATAAGATGATTACGACCGGGCTCAATGCTTATACTTCCTGTCTGCTGTAGCAGCAGTGGCCGTTGTAGTGTAGACGCGTTTGGGCGGTAACGCGACTATAATCGCGTCCCGGCCCGGTGGATCCGCCTTCCTCAAGATTGGTTGCCAACCGATTTAGTCTTAGTTTCGACTCAAGGTGCAGGCTGTTCCCAAGCTGGAATATCTTCGTCGACCGTCCAGGTACAGTTGACCTCTTCCCGAACTTGTATTTCTACATGGTGCTGGAGGTTAAGACGCTGAATTCCACTAACCTTCTTCAGTGACACCCCTTGACACCTCTCCCAGAACACTACCGCTACCTCTTGCACTGAAGTACCCAGCTATTGACCTTCAGCGTCATGAGATGGTGTCTGTTGCGCTTATACTACTCTTTGTGCTATCTTGTATTGTATTGCGGCTGATATCCGTAATCCGTCGTACGAGAACGCGGTTCTCAGACGCGCGACCAACACCTCCCAAGACATGTTCCTTGGCCGTGTTCTTGGGTTCAGGTATGTTGCATTAGACGGCAAATAGGTCTGTACTCTAATTGAAATTTTGGCAGGTGGTCATACGAGTGAGGCCCTCGTTTTGTTGTCCGCCTTGGACTTCTCTCGGTATTCTCCACGAAAGTACATCTACAGCCAAGGCGATATTCTCAGTGCCAAGAAGGCGGTCAATTTGGAGTCGCTTAAAGCCCCCGAGTGTACTTCGCACCCCGTCAGCATGACTCTTTACAGTCGGACCGTTCGAATCTTTGTACTGATTTGTAGAGCGTCCCTCAGGTCCACAGCACAGACGCGACCACTCCATATACACTCGTCTCCATCCCACGAGCACGCCGTGTGCATCAGAGTCTTTTCACGACTCCCGTGACAGCTGCACGCTCTCTCATCACCTGCCTGTACCACGTCACGATAGCCCCCTTACTCTCTGGTCACCCCTTTGCAGATGTCCTGGTTGTAAATGGACCCGGAACATGCTGCATGCTTTGCCTGGCTGTCTATGTTAACAGGGCACGTTTCCCCTACCCTCCGGCCTCTCTTTACGGACATTGAGAGCACCTTACTTTGACAGTTCTTTGGATTCCATTCTCCGAAGATGATATACGTCGAATCCTTCGCTCGCGTCAAAACCTTGTCTCTTTCTGGGAAATTGTTGCGCCCATTTGTGGACAGGTATGTTTAATCTATCTTACTTCCGATCTGCCACGCAGTATCAGATCTCCGTCGTGTAGATTCGTCGTACAATGGCCCGAGCTATTAAATGACGGTGGCCGTGGAGAGTGCCGTGGGTGGCTTATATGAAGTTTGACGTTCATGGAAATCCCTCGGTGAGCATATTTGCATTCAGCAGAGAACAGAGGGCTGCGGAGCGTGATGCAATCTTGCCTGTGTCCTGCGCAATGAGTTTGAAACTGCAATGCTTCTGAGACGACCAGTAAATATATTTGTCAGCCATAGGTATTCTACATTCTTCCGGTCTCGACGACCTAGATTGCTGAATTCACCAATTTCATTACACCGAGACCTCTGGGCTAATTTTCGATATCAAGCAGCCTTGCATGTCAAGATCCACAAGCAGATAAACGCTATGCTGAATTCATCGAAGAATAACATCACTGTAGAAAGCACTAATACAAATAGACAGTACACGAAAGCACAACCCACTACACCCTTACTTTCGGGTCCATCTATCTTCACCATCATTCCTCCCTCGTCGCGTTGGACTGGCACTACGACCACGTTTGCCGGGTTCCCAGCCTCCGCCTCCCTCAGCTTTTGGTGGATTCAGACGCCTTTCGAGCTTCTGACCGTGTCTTAGAGACGATACAAGCTCTTTTGAAGCAAGTCGCAGATGCATGAAATTGCAGAAACCACCGCGATTGCATTCACCATTCTCATTTTGCCGGCAACATGCCTCGCGGAAGTCTGTCACGGGTGATAACTCTGCGTACAGTGGGCGGCCTAAAATTTATGTCGTCAGTAATTTTTCGTAAGACACCAAGGAAACTCATGACGTACCTGCATACCACCGATCGTTGAGGTTGTCCACCGCTGCTTGTGCTTCAGTTTCCCATTCATAACGAGCGTACACGTTACCAATGAGATGGTCGCCAACGTTGTCACATACCTGAATAATCAATCGTGAGTCTATTATTCCAAGAGAGAAGGCGTGTCAACTCACATGAAGCTCTAATAGATGTCCGAACTTCGCTAATTCGCAATAGAGATCCTCGTATACGGCATCGAATCCCTCCTGCAGCTCCTTCTCTGTCAATTTGCAGACGGGGTCATGAGCAGGGTTATGGTAGACATTTGGAAGGAGGATGGTTTGCGAGAAAGCAGGTTTGATGTGTTTTCTGGAACATCTATCTCCGTGGCGACAAGCACCGATCTGTAAAAGCAATGTTAGGATAACAGTCCAAGCATAAAGAACACGCAAGTACGTACTTTGTAATAGAACGAGCAGTTGACGCGGTCCTGCTCAGTACCGAAAATGTTGGCCTGAATCAAAGCTGTTAGTGTGATGCATACAGAACGAGAAATACCCCAAACGTACCAAATGTGAAGCCATCGTAAATCAATGAGACCTGGCTAGTCGTCGTGAACAGTGACCAAGCGCGTCAATCGTATATATAGGTGGCTGAATTTGCTGAGTCAGCGTCGGAGCCCGATTCTCTGTCACGGTTATCACGGCGTCACACTGTGGGTCCAACTTTGGTCGGCATTCGACGAATCACCTCGAATGTACCAGAGCAGATATTAGGACATTCTTTTGACAAGGGCACTAGTAAGTATGTAACCTTTGTCATGTCTGAGCCTAGTAATCTCTTATCCTGTAGGTCGTGAATAGTCAACGTACTGTACGTGTAGGCCCGAAAATCAGTTCGACCAATACGATGCTCACACACAGAATACCCTTGCAGCTGCCATCATGGTAAAGGTCGAATGCAGTCAATGCTTCTATTCCGTACCAACCCGCTTGTATGACTAAATGGTCTCCATCCGACTATTATCCATTCTCTGTTAGCCTCAACGGATCCTCGGTACGTTTATGTATGTGCTCATACTCTATCATCCACTTTTCACCCTCTACGAGCCGTCTCTTTTCTTACCGTAGAGTAACGTGATCTAATCTAAGGAGTGCTTTACACTCCAATTTTCTCCCGACCTTTCGGGCAATGGGCGTATTCCTTCATACCGCCGATGCTGCGGCAATGATCAGGTCACACCCTCTTCACGCGCTCTCTCCATTCTCTGACTACTTTCTCTGATTTTGTTGTTCTATTTTTCGTCTTCTGTTATCCCCAGTGTACTATCTAACTTTCTGGGGGAGTTGGACTCCAGGCACTGCCTCGATTCCTTCTTACGACAACAAGACCCATCTGGAAAAATGATAGGTTGCGATACGATTCACAGCCTCATTCCATAGAATCGCTCACCACCGCCGGGCCAATGGATATCGTGAGCCATTCGCCTCAATTGTAGCTAGTGGAGTACCTTGTGTAGAGAAGGTACACTGAACAGTACCCGACGCATCGCCGGTCCGGTGGTGTCGGTCCCTTCCCTTACAGTACCTTCTTTTCCTCCCTGGTTGTCTGGGCATGTTACAATCCTGTCTTGGCAGTCTTGGCTTTCCAGAAGCACAAAAACTCTTGGAAGATACGATGGGTTGTGATACGGACGATATTCGGGAAAAGATAAACGATTGAAAGGCACCCTTTGTTCACCGAATACCACAGAGATCGCTCGTTTGCACAAGCGAAGGGATCCCGCGAGCCCAAGGGGTAAGCCCGGTCATTCCGGCGTGCTTCTTCACTCCCATAGTAATGACAGGGACAAGGTTCTCGTGGGTATATCGTCAGGTATAATCGTTACCCTATCACCCTTCTAGTAGCCTTCACCCATTGTATTCACCAGGCTAGCAATGATGGGATTGGCATGCACCCCGATCACTGTTTTTTTTCTGGAGTCAGCGCAGCTTGAGGAACCTGGAGATAAAGCCCCAAGTGCACATGATTACGACATTGACCACTTCAAAGTAAGCGTCGCTTGATATCTAACACTAGAACAGACTCCGCCTCTTTGGTATCTTGAAAGCAAGCGGGCCACAGTTCAGACACAACATTTTGGTTGACTTACTGTCCATCTTAAAACTCAGCGAACCACGAAGCGATTGATTTGCTCACGGGGTAGTCACGAGCGGTTCAGAAGGACATGTTGAACCTAGGTCCTTGACATCTTTACATAACGCTCACCCGTCAGTTTTCCGCTGACTGAGCGATGGAAATAGGGTATGCTCCAAATAAACCGTGTTTCCGTATGAATATTGTTTATTCGCCGAAACTGTTAGATATACAAGAGCGCTAAACTCTAAATGCTACAATATAGAGCTGTCCAATAATAACCCCTCTGTACTCATAGCATATAGCTTCACGTCGACTGCTACCGTCGCCCAGATTGTGACCAATCTGGCCGACGAGTTACTGGTTCCCATGACATGAACGAATCATCGGATGGAGGTGACGGATAGGAGCTCGAATGCGCCCTGAAATCCCATGGTCGAACACCATGCAAGGACTGAGGGGAGACTGTGGGCTCCAAGGCCATACTATTCCCTGAGCGTGATTGGGAATAAGGCCCAGTCGACATTGTAGACATTGGCAATTGGTGGGATGTGAACGTGGGGAAAGACGTCGAAGGCGTGCTGATGTTAGAAAGGATCTCACTGAGACAACGATTCCGATTCAGTTATATTAATTGGTTAATGACATCGAAAATGAACTCACGTGGTGAATTTATCAAGTGCAGATATTCGTTGATGCATAGAGCATTCAGTGGAGCCATGTGTATGCTTCGGTGAACTTGCGAGGATATCTGCAGCCCGACGAAGGCGGACAGATAGTTCGAGCACAACGCTATAACTCTTAGAGTCATGCAGACAACCACAATGACCGCCCGCCTGGCCATGTTGATCGTTAAAACAAGGCTCAGAAAGCGGGGTTCCATCGCATCCAATGAGTCCATCTAAGATGCCATTGAGACCGGGGGTATCAGAGAAGTATGGCGATAAAAGGGAAGAAAGGTCGCAGCCATGGGGGATGGAACTAAGCATATGCTGAGGGCGACCGTCTATAGGGGTCAAAGCGAGCGGCGAAGGAGGCGTGTTAATAGGAGACGGGCTATTTCCAGAAGAACGGGAAGAGGAAGGAGAAGACAAGGGGTTGTGTGGAGGAGACAAGTGGGATGTCGAATCATTGAGACGATAGAGTTCAATGATAGGAGAGGAACCGCCTGACGACCCTGGGCGCATTGCGCTATCGTCATTGGCAATCTGTACTGTGATTGAAGGGGTCGATTGTTTTGCATCTCCATCGCATCCTGCCGATGTGCTCTGTGCCCATCGCGGATGCGGTTTGTTCTTCAACTATGAACCTGGGGTGAGCAATGCACACGAATAACGTCAACAAATGGACTTACCTCTCTGATCACACTTTCGAGTTCTGCAACGCGCTTTTGGAGCCGTACCTGTTCGTCTGGGACATCGTTTCTACATGAACGTACAGTGAGGACATGTTAGAAGACTACGAAAAATTGCTATGTGCATACCGTTGATTGGGATCGTCGACTTCGTAGACGCAGAGGCCCGTCTGTTATGAGAGTCAGTAATAGACAAGTGTAAAATGGTGGTTCACGTACCAAACCCAATTGTGTGCAACGTCCGCAGGGTCGCTTGCGGTCACACTAGATTGGTGTCAGCAAAGGGAGGCTTGCTGCTTCAGCAACAGTCATACCATTCGTTTAGAGGTGTGACAGTTTAAACATGACTGCGTCATGCGATTCCGACGTTTACCTGTTGGGGATAAGACATTGCCGTGTAAAAAGCACGATGAAGACACTCACGACGATGGTCATCTTCAGGAGAGCGTTTTGTGGAGTCGGCCGAGGCCCTCTTCTTACGGGAGGCTGGTTCAGCGGACATGATGGCAATAGGAAATAGTGGGCAATATGGAATATGACTGAGGGAAAGAGACGAGGAATTACACATTGGTCTCAAGAGGGTAGTTAGTTATATAAGTCCAGGGCTTGGCATCGCTAGAAGGCCGTCAATCGAATCGGCGCAATGTGCTCCCAGAGAAGAATCTGGGGCTGAGAAGCGTGTAGCTACTACCTCATACATACAAGCGACCCGGTGGTGGTAGACACCATGACCAGATATGGCGGGATCACAGGGGAGTTCCGAGCCTGCCTGTCATTCCCAGCGTCCGTGAGCAAGCTTCGGAGACCGACGACAATCAGTTGCTTCTCACCGATACGAGTTAATTGACCTAGCAGTGGATAACATCGGAGGTTCTACTGCGAGACGTTGCGTTTGCCAAATGCCAAGCATATCCCCACGTCAAGCTTTGTGACAATATTCGGTTCTGGACCTGTGGTAAGACCCCGGACACTGGCAAGTCATTGTTGCGGGGAATAAGATTCCCACTCCATCGCTCTGGTTGTTGATGGACAGGTAGCGCGAGTAAAGGGGCACTGAGAATCAGATTATAGGAAGACCCTCCCTGATAGACTTGCCGCATGAACCTATGACTGATATGATGGCCGAATGAGTGCTTCACACCATGGTTAGTGCCCGATACCTGGTCGCAGTCAGTTGTGGGAACCCGTGGACATTCAGGTCTGCGCTCACAGGAAATTGAGCTTCGTTGAGCTGGAGCAGTAACTTACTCCATCCTCCAGCGTTCCGGTACGGAGGTTCAGATACCAAGAGACATATCGTCGACAGTCATCCATTGACCATCGCAATCAACATTTTCGCTATCGAAAATGACTGCGGTACACACCTATGATGTAATCTGAGCAGTACCAGATTATTAGCAGTGCTCTGACCCTGCACAGTAAGATACAGGACGGCGGAAATACGATCCATCGTATCAAACTTTCCACGGCATACAGCATTCACTAGTTGATGAGAGAGGAATGTTATCCGGAGGGAATAATACCTCGAGAAATACATCATAAGCAGTAGGATTCTTGATCAGAGCAGTAAGAGGTGCAGACAGGCACAAAGACAATGTTGAGGGTAGAAATCGTATGTAACGAGAATCACTGCGGTTGCCTTGGCTAGCAGCTAACCGAATGACCATTTGACGATCTGCCGGTTCAGTCAGAGCATTCACGTGGGGGTTGAGAGCCGTAGATACTTGGCCTCTTGGCTAAGAAGCCGGAGGTGACGCTGTAACCTCGGTGCGGAGTTTTTCGTCATCCTCGACATGCGCGGACGAAGATTATCTTAACCGCGATCTGTGGATATCCATGTTGAGTGCTCAGCATCGAGTATAATAAAAAGGCACAAAACGCGTAAGTAGGCCGAATCCTATACCTGGGCGCGGAGGCATTGCCATAATACATGGGAAAACAGAAGCGTTAGCAGATATGGTGACATGACTTCCCATAACTTACAGGTCGGATATCTTACAGAGCGACAATTCGCGACAGCCTTGCAAAGGGCCCAGAACAACTATGAGAGCCAAAGCCCTTGGCTGTACATTGGCCTGTAATATATGAGGTGGACGACGAAGTGTAGTAGTCTCCCTACCTTCGAAGTCCTCAACGTCACAATGCTGCTGGAATATCAAGCCAAGCCCGATAAGCCTGATACGATTCGTTCGGTGTGGAGTAGAAAAGGATATGGGAAACCTTAATCAATAGTGTTCTGATTAGTAGAGCGCCCTGAATAGCTCGCCAAGTGTCCACAGTAAAGCCATTCTTCGAAAACCATACGAGCAAATCTTCAACGTCAACGACGATCCGAACTTCACAGCTTGGCGATGATGCACTTGGCCACAACAAGATGCCGTACATGAAGCGAGCAAGTAGAGACTGTCGCACAAAATCCGCGATGCCCTAGGACAGATTAGTAAGGGAATATACTAAGGCTTCGATCGAGAGCAACGACGCGACCCTGTTCATGCTGTAACATTGAAAGGGCGACATGCCATGAGAATACAGGCATGACGAGAGAAAAATTGGTCCCTTCCGATGAAGCACAAGCTCGTGGAAAGGGTTGCTCGGCTGACGGTCACTGAGGTAAAAGTGATGAAGGGCTCGAATACAAAACACCATGGCGGTGCTTACTGTTATGACTTGATTGGCCGGCAAGAAACGTCCTGGCATGTGGTCAATGTTGTATCCCTTCGCAAACCTAGAGTCTGGTCCAGTATCAGGACCCTATCATGGGGAACCATCCATAGAATCCTCGTTGTACTGGTGACTAGTACTGCGAGAGTTACTGAATGCATTCGGTCAGCATTTTAACACGCGGTGTCTTCCATGACTTAAGACCGTGATCAACTGTCAAATGGGAGGAGCCAACCAGAGAAAGGGTAGCGGAAAGAGAACCGAAGCAGGATCACAGAATTCCGCTGCTGCACAGACGACAGATGACCAGGTAAACCACGTTCCATCGCGCCATAACCAGGAACGGTTTACAATGGAGACAATCAGACTGATAAGACAGCAATGGCTGAATATGAGCGACGTGGAGAATATGGAAGGACAACGAGCACAAGGCCAGGTGGCAGATCAAGATGAGAAACTGTGTATAAGCGCTGACCTGGTCTTGGCAGGAATTCGAATTGAAAGCGACAACGGATTGCTTAGTAGAAATCCGATGCCACCCAGTCGGTACCCGAGGTCTTGGGTCGACATGAGATCCCACTGATTTAACCGTCGACGGGATCCCAGGCCCGTTCTCATGAGCACAATGAAGGCACAACGCCTTGGCATACGCCACAATGCCTCTGCATTATGAATTGCCTTTCTTGCTCAAAGTGCCAAGGTCTACAGCAACGGATTCAATGAGCCAAAATACATGGAAAGCGCTTTAAGGGTGAACCACACCACAGATATGCGGGGTACCAACTTGCGACGGTCAAGTGTTAGCACTCATTCCACCCTACTGCCGAACCACACATCCTTCCATATGAGGTAACTTAAGTTATTCAGCGCGTAAACTTACACAGGAGCGTCCGCAGATAGAGTTGATATGACCGGTATGTTCACGATTCTGCGTTCAGCAAGGGAAGCAGTCTTTTCGGGCTTCAAAGCACGAACCGTAACGAACTTCCGATGTCAAAGAATCGATTCGGAATGCCTGAGGTTACAACATGAGATCTAGACTACATACTGGGGAAAACTATGACAACAGACTCTGGTGGTGCGACAGAACTTTTCCGCTAAGTCCATACACGATCCATCCATTCAAGCAAAGGCGCCGCTGATACCCGCCAGCCAGGTGAACCACCAGGCCCGGTAGAGAGCGGTCCAGCCCTCTTCCTGCGCAACCTTCTTCGTGCAATCAATTAGGCCGAGGTAAGGGTCTTTCTCATGTCGCAGTCTACAATGAATTGAACATTATCAGTACGCCAGTCCCGCACGATAAGGTGATGACATACCCGATGACATCTTCTTCAGAGCCAGAATATTCGACGTATTCTTCAGGAGACACGTCATCACCTTCAACTTCTTGTTCGACAGAATTATATTCGGCAGCGGCATGGTTACGCTGGATAGCCAACTTTGTAATGACGACTTCCAGCGGACAAAGAATGGCCGTGCTCAATGACGCAATGATAAGGTAGACGGCAAACTTGACAGAATTGATCTCGTATCCGACTTTCAAGTCCGGGTTCTTCGGAATGAGCCAATTACGAAGGCTACCAAGGATCAAGATGGTGAAGATGGCATGGTGTAACTGCGCAAGGAAGAGGCCTGGCGTCAGATAAAGTACCCATGGTCGACGGCGCTCAGTGGGCGTTAGGAGCACACGCAACGAATAAAGAGGGCTCAACCAGGGTAGCTTGTAGGGCGTAGTGATAGAACTACATAGATTGTGGGTCAACAATGTCTATGATAACTTCCCAGGAAGTAACGTACCGATAGGTGATGATCGTGGCGGGAAGTGAGACAATAATCAGGAATACACAGTAGAACAGGAGTTCAACCACTCCAGAGGCCGGCGGATTCGTTTTGCTACGACGGTATCGGATGTCATCACTCAAAGCAACGACAGCAAAGAAAGTGAGAACCATCGTCTCAATGAGGGTGGGCACTGCGCTTGCGTCAGCGACTGCAGATTATGGACCACGTTGAAGTACGTACTAAGTCCCTTGAACAAGCCTGGCCAACGCTACTCTGCCATGAATATAGGAGTTGCACATTACCACGCTTGACTCACCTCAATGCGCTTCACCCTAGCAAGCATTCCAAAGAACGAAGTAACCACAGGACCTGTATGAGGTTCAACGTTTCCTTCGTCATCTAGCTGGAGACCTTTGGGATTATAGTTCGCCCTCAAACGAACGAGTGCGCCAGTGAGTGGGACTGTTATGACAAGCCCTACCAGCACTGTCAGTAGGACTGTTAGAATGAACACGAACATGGCGGTGTGCTATGAAGAGGCTCGGCTCGTTGCCTGCAACGAGCCCGAAACTGTAATCCGCAGCTTGATATCAAGCGCCTGTCGGCCGCTGCCGTCTTTTGTCTCTCCGCCCAATCCGATGAGCCGACGTATGCGCCTTTCTTCTTAACCACCACCATCCCTTCCGCCTTCCAGGGCCCCCACTGCTATGCCAGTCGGAAGTGTCAATATCGAAGAATTTGGAGGGTTCTCGGACCCTGTGTGACTGTATTCTAACTAAGTGTTGTTGGGTGAGTTTTGTTGGCCCGTCGAGCAGGGATGTTCTCATCGCTCGCATCGTCTTTCATCTGTTGTATCTCCTGCAGGACCCCTGATTGTCCTCATCTCAATGAGGCGCATGCCTCGCAACGACATTTCTGTATTTCCGATTCCTTGGCATGGCATATACGCTACCCTGTCTGGCATGAGCGACAGCGTGCAAGTTCGATGTCGGTGTGAAAACCATTTGTCGGGACGTGTTGGTTTTCAGGTCCCGAGCTGCTGATGAAGTCTTATCGCAAGATAAGATAATCAGTATTTTCGCTTCTCGCAGAACTTCCCATATCCTTTGCACCGGTGAGCGATAAAGTGATTTGTGCCTCTCGCATTTTTGCGTTGATTCCCATAAGCTTCACCTTGTTCTCCGCTGGAAGCATCGGAGAACTACTTGGACTCTTTGCAAGCGACTTCATGAACATACGGGCCCTTTATCGATGTTCTTGCTTTTGTTTTTCCGCGTGGCCCGTTCCATTTCACGATACGTTGGGCATGTCGATGCAGTATGGCTTCATGCTACGAATTGCTCTAGGCGCCCACCTCACCATTGGGCGAGTTTCGCCTGTTGATTTTTTTCCTGGACGATGTATTGTTGATTGTGGTTACTCGGTCACGATTTTTTCTATCTTTATTCCCGCCATGGTCGTTACCGTTTGTCATCGTATTTTCTTGTGGCATCTTCTCGAGACGTTGACGTGGTCACGAAGGCACAGTGACCTGGCTTGCTTTTCATGAGTAGGTTCGAACTCACAGAAGCTTAACTCACGGAATACGACACTCTGATGTCGATGGACTTGATCATGGCCATGCTAGCATGTCGCTGGTTGTAGTCTGCCTTTCTGCCATTTCTTCTACTGGTGGGGTTGCCCATCTTAGTAAGTTTGCTGATTATGTATTCATTATGAACAATTTAATCATTCATGTTGTTTAGTTGCATTATAACTATGGACCGCAATGCGCTCCTGTGGAGTGAAAGATTGAGGGATGTCTTCCCTGCCTGTTCGGTAGATGTATCGTTACCCTAGTAATCGTACGTTAGTTTGTTGTGCTCCATGTATGATAAGCGTACCCGACGAATAGACACATTTACTCTCGACACGTCTACTCTTGAGTTGTCCTCTTTCACTGGTGGTGTGCTTCTCTGTTCATATATTCTCTGTTAAATCGTCTATCGCTTCTTGCAGCTCCTTTGACTTTGTAATTACGAGGTTGGAGCATAGTAGCCTTTTCACTGTGGTTTACAGCCACACTGTATTGACTCTCCGACGTGTGGCCTTTGATTGTCCTTGTCACGGTTGACCTCTTGCCACCCGCCGTGCACTGTGTCGGCAATCCTCCTTCGCCCACACTTACAACCTATCACTTCTTCTCTCGAGCAAGCTGTACCATGTCGAATGGGCAGGCTGCTGTCAGAGTCAGTATTATAAATAATTTTGTGATTTTTGTGGTGGTGGCCTTACGGGCGTTGCGTCGCCTTGTTTGTAGAATGCCGCTATAAGCAGCCTCAAGTTCAAGAAACTCCCTAACAAGGATTCGCAAGCTTCTTCCTATCCTTCAACCTCTTCATCGTCCCCATCGTTGCCGACTGCTCCGCCGCCATCGTTCAACACACCCCCTCCGCAGTCTCGCGACGCTACCTTGTCATCGCGGTATTTCCCCGCACACCCGGGCCATGCAGGCAATGTGCTCGTACCAAGTTCCAGTCCACCACCTGCCGATGTTGCCTATCACTCACATGTGCCGACCGATGGGTCCGAAATGCTCGACGTGATTCCTGGCCTTGTGTCGGATCCCTGGGGCCACTCAAGCCGATCTCAGTTTGCCGATCTTCTCTCTACATCGAGCGGGTTCACTGACAACCGCGACGGAGCAAACGCGTCGTTCACGCGTCCTTTGCAAGGTCGTTCTCTGGGAACACCTCCCGCTCAAGTTCAAGATGAGCATCGCGGGGAACCTCCCCGCAAACGCATAAATCGAGGTGAAAACCTAGGATCTGATCCGCTAGACCTCTTCCTCCATCCGGACTCTCCTCAGTTGCAGCGTCCTGGTCTGCGACGCAAAGTCAACAGTCGAGTTGTATCCTCTGCTTCCGAAGATGAATCTGTCTCAGACGCGAGGAGCGGGGTTGCAGGTCCATCGCAGCCGCACATACATCGAGCATCTCACTCCAATCGACCTGAGACACCAGCCTCTGACGTGTCCGGCGCCGATAATGAACGGTTCACAAAGTTCAAGATGATTCACCCATTGCATTCCCCGGCGCATATTCTCGCGGCATGGAAACAGGCGGGCGGAGACGAGTCGAAAGCCAGTGCGCTGCTGAACAATCCTTCGTGGAGTCCGCCAGCTCCCAAATCTCCAACACAACAGCGTGCCCGTGTCGCAGCAAAGACAGGACGTGTGAAGGAGTTGGACCAAGCAAGAGAGGCAGAACGAAACCGTCTGAAGGATCTGGGAAAGAAGTCGTTGATCCACAGGAATCGGATTGTCGAAGGCAGGCCCACAATCAACACGACGACTCCGCCGGCTTCTAGAGTGACAATAGACCTTACCAAGCCCTCTCCTCAGACTCCGGACAGTCCAGAAATTGTTACAAAACGGCCCAAACGATTGAAACGAAAGATTGTCTCGTCAGACTCAGAACCCGAGTTTGTAGACAGTGAAGACGAAGGTCCATCAACGAGACAACCGACGAACGGTCGCTCGCACGAAATGAAGGCTCTAGATTTCTTTAACAATGGGACGGCTGAAGCACTTCAAGAAGTTACAGGTAATGACAACCACTTCGTTCGCTTTGTATCGGTCCTGACCTTTTTTCCCAGGATGTACCCTAGAACAGGCGAACAAGATAATAGAACTTCGCCCATTCGGCTCGATAGATGACCTAAATACCAGGCTCGCTCAAGGTCGCAAGAAACCTGGTCCCGCCGGCATCAGCTCACGATTGTTCGAAGACTGTACTGCGATCTTTGAGGGTTACGGCAAGGTCGATAGTATCCTCCAAGAATGTGAAGATATAGGCACAGAGCTCCGCAACGAAATTGCAAGTTGGACCGCCGGCTCTCCATCTGCAAAGCGCTCAGGATCGAATTCTTTGCGAGGCTCACCTCTTGGTTCTGACGTTATGGAAGACGGCGCATTGACTCTGCGGTCTCAGGCGGTTTTGGCTAAGAAGCCAAAGTATTACATCTCCACCCAGCCTTCGGCGTTGGAGAGTGGCGTCCAGCTGAAAGAATACCAACTACTCGGCATCAACTGGCTGAACCTGTTATACCAGAAGAAACTCAGCTGTATTTTGGCCGATGAGATGGGTATGTGTGCTGTGTTCAAGTATTGTGTCTGACTGAATGTCGCTATGATACTAGGCCTAGGAAAGACCGTTCAAGTTATCAGCTTTTTTGCACATCTGCGGGAACGGGGTCCGAAAGGGCCTCATCTTATCATTGTGCCGTTCGTACAATCATCATTTCTGTCTTGTAGTGTATCTCATGCGATGCTTGTTTCAGTGCATCAACGCTCGAGAATTGGCTTCGCGAATTCCAGCGTTTTGCCTCAGATATTCATGTCCAAGCGTATTATGAATCGAAAGAGAAACGCGCAAATCTGCGTGAGTATCTCAGGCAAAATCAAGCTAATCAGGTGGAAAACGGTTGGGAAGTGTTGATTACGACATATACCATTGCTCAGGGAGATGAGAGGGACCGGAAGTTCTTCCGTAGCATTGAATGGGATGTAAGTTGACTACCGTCTGTTCTGCAGTTGTCTGTCTAATAGATACTCTCGCAGACATGTGTGTTCGATGAAGGACATGTCTTGAAGAACTTCCAGTCGCAAAGATACAAAGCCTTACTCAGATTCAACTGTAGATGGCGTCTTCTACTCACCGGAACACCGTTGCAAAATAACCTGCAGGAACTAGTGGTACGTTGTCATTTGATCTCTTCGTTTACTCCGATGCTTATATGTTTGAAGTCCTTGATGAATTTCATTTTACCCGAGCACTTCGAAGGTGAATTGGAATCCCTTCGGGCAGTGTTCAAAACAAAGGGTGATACCAAGGTCACTTTATTGGCACAAGAACGTGTCTCAAGGGCAAAGAAAATGTTGACACCATTCGTCCTCCGTCGTCGGAAAGATCAGGTTCTACAAGACCTTCCAAAGAAGAGCGAGAGAATCGAGTGGTGCGAGATGACTTCGTTACAAAAGTCCATCTACAATGAAGCCCTTCGGCGCTCCCGCAAGACCGTCTTCGACGAGGAAACTCCCAATGCAACCGACTCAGCGGAAACCTCCAGTAATGGTGCGAAGAAGGGCCCTAAGAAGAAAACTCGTGCGACCGCACGCATGAAGGACAAGATGTACGTTGAGAACAGCTCGAACGTGCTCATGGACTTGCGTAAAGCTGCATTACACCCCATGTTGTTCCGACGGAGATTTACGGATGAGGTCTTGAGCTCAATGACGAAGGCCCTGTTGAAAGAGCCTGACTTCAAGAAACGCGGGGCGCTTTACGACCTCGTTAAAGAGGATTTGTCTCTGATGACTGATTCGGAGCTCCAAGCATTTAGTCAGACCTACAAGGTGCGTTTGTGCTCTGCAGCACTATTTGAATCGAAACTTATTTCTACCTCATTAGTCTACGAAGAAGTACCTTCAACGAGAAGACTGCTACTCACAGGCGGGCAAAGTCAAAGTGCTGCTGAAGCTGCTGAAGGACTACCAGCAACAGGGTCGTCGGATTTTGATCTTCTCACAGGTGACGCAAATCCTACCTTTTTGACTTCGCATACTCACATCCATTCTTGCAGTTCACTCAAATACTCGACATTTTGCAAAGGGTGCTTGATAGGGAGAAAATGAAGTACCTAGTGTTGACCGGATCGACGCCTGTGGACGTACGTCAGTCGTTGGTGGATGAGTTCACCGAGGATGAGTCGATACCGGTCTTCCTGCTATCTACCAAGGCGGGAGGAATGGGTATCAACCTGACTGCTGCTAGCGTTGTCATTATGTAAGTCGTTCTTTGCAAACAGGTTGTGGTACAGCTGACCAATGATACTTGTAGGTTTGATCAGGACTTCAACCCTCATAACGACAAACAAGCTCAAGACCGAGCCTACCGCATTGGTCAGAAACGAGATGTGGAAGTCGTGAAGTTGATCACTAAAGGCTCAATTGAGGAAGACATGCTACAGTTGGGAATGACCAAGCTGGCCCTTGATGAAGCCGTTGCTGGAGAGGAAGGCGAAGAGAGGGTCGAACAAGAGATGAAGACCTCACTGATGAATGTCGTCAGGCGGAAGCTGGAAGGTCTTAAAGACGATGGAGAGTCTGAGGAGCGAGAAGAAGGAGAGAAGCAGAAGGAGACCGGGATGGATATTGACGGTGATAGCAGCCTCAGCGAGGTGGAATGAAGAACAGTTGATGTGGACCTTCGGATACGGATCGTACCAGATCTTACTTGTATATGTACTCACTGCGATACAGTACCACTATAGATTATATACCTGGGGTTATCTTTGCATCACTCGGCGGTCTCACCTCATCCTGAGTAATGAATCTATTGAAAAACTGAGAGTCCTCTGATCATCCTGTCTGTACTCGTACGAAAATATTCATTGTCTATCCCTCGCTCTTTGGAATCCATCTTCACAAGAGGATTACGGACGACGTATTCTAAGAAGGGACCAGAATAGATCTGACGTAGAACAAAGCGCAAGGAGTCCGCGTTTGGATCGCTGAGCATAACGAACTTGTACCCAGAAAGAGTCTCGTAGAGATGGAGCTTATATGTCGAGGTCTTGTAGTTGACGAATTGTTCATCCCTTGCAAATATCAATATCCACCGGACATAGGTAACTGACCTCAACTTACTTTCCAGAGAGCTTCTTGATCATATTCCTTAGCGACAAGACGACACCGTAGACTAGTTTGGCCTCTTCATCGAAGGAAAGACCGGACTGAGCCTGTGGTGGCTGAGGGGTGGTGGTTCTTTGCTCCTCATTTACAGCAACCACTACGCCTGAGGACGACGAGAGGGTATTCCTCGGGCTACTATAAGTGGATATAGGGTCACTGGTGGAAATGGTGTCTTGCTGTGGTTGCGGATATACTTGATGGGAGACCGCGGGGAGGATACCACCTTCCGCGGCTGGTTTCGGCAGCTTGGTACGATGCCAATCCTGATAATAGACACAAGTACAATGCCTGAATTGTGGAATGTTAACACAGTAACGTCGGAGCGAGGAGTAACGTTGCTACCTGTCATAGATGTAGAGACTGTAAATCGTCATGGTATAGGTTGACCTTGGCTGTCTGTCGTACAGTTAATTAAGTGCATTTACAATCATTTCCTGAGACTCCTTACAGTGGACGACAGCTCTACAAAGCGTCCGTGGTTCAGTGTAGTTTAGTATTTTGGTTGAGCGGCCGCGACAGTTATGGAAGTACCGGCGTTTAACGTTTCTTCGATCAGATCGGCGACGCGGCGTGGTGAAAGGGACCCAAGGGTGAAGCTTTGAAGGTTTGAACGCCAACGTTCGCCGTTAAACACAGCATCCAGGGCTGCAGAGGCCCGCAGAAACTATTTTCCAGCCAACAAGGTTGGAATCTTCTATATATGTCGAACCTACATGAATAGCCACATTCGTGATCTAAATGCTCCGAGCCATCGTGCATTTGGTTGGCAGCATACTTACCATAACTTACCAGTAGGGCATCACATCGTGTTCACATCTGATGGCAGCCACAGTCTATTCCGAATATGCAACAGGTACACGCTGTTGTATATATAGAACCTTTGTGAGGACACACCCGCCCTTTTTCTCGAGTCAGTCATCATTGTAGGAGCGATCCAGCTTATCACTCTGTATTGCTAATTATCCTGCTCCGTCCCTAGGCTCTTTGGCTTCCCTTTCCGCAGGCTCTTTGCTGAGCGTCGCAGCATTCCAGCATGGTCGTGATTACGCTCTACCGCTACATAAGGAAGCAAATTGGAAAAAAGAATGGTCCTGCTGCGCAGGATGTTGTGCCGCCTATGACTGGGGCATTTTCAGGCTCGTCAATTCCTCAAAGAGATGATTCTGACACCACAGAGCAGAATAACAGTGGCTCGTTGAAGTGGAAGATCGTGCTCATGATCGGGTTAGCTATCCCTATCTTCCTCGAAACATTAGACTACACTGGTACATCTTCGTTCAGCTACAGTGCATCATATTGCTAATACTTACGCGTCGCCAAATAGTCGTTGCCACTGCTCAAGTTCATATTGCCGTACGTAAAATGGATGTTTGGTCTGGTATTCCTGTCTCACAATATTCGCATACAGTCTGCGTTCAATCGCCTCGACTTGCAAAGGTTTGTTCTGCAACCTTCTATCTCAATTCGGAATGCTAAAGCGCGGCAATCGATCCTATGCAGTTATATCGGCACGGTGTACCTCCTGACATCAACAGTATTCCTTCCTCTGTTTGCGTCCATCGCGGATGTGTTTGGCAGACACTTGGCATTGCAAATATCGCTCTTCTTTTTCATGGTTGGGAGCGCGATTAGTACGGGCAGTCACAATATGCCAACCATGCTTGCCGGACGGGGCGTGGCTGGTGCTGGCGCAGCAGGTTTACTAGCGGTACGCCACTAACTACCGAGCGTTTATTTTGCTTTCAAGTTGACATGCGTATCAGGCTGTTCGGATCATCCTCACCGACTCAAACTCATTGGACGATAACAATTGGCAGCAGTCCTTGCTCTTTGTGTTATACACAATTGGATTCTGTTTGGGCCCATTCATTGGTGGTGAACTCGTCACTGTATCCTTCCGATGGATCTTTGCTATCAAGTAATGATAATAATCCCAGCACGTCGAAGTGTCATGCTCACTTCGATTTATTAGTTTACCCTGCGCCGCGGTTGCGATGGCTGTCGCATTTTTCCTGCTGCGTGGACGTGTCCAAGGTGGGCAGACGGCCGAAGAGCTCCCATCGTCGTCTCCAGACGCTTCCGCCAAGCTATCTTTCCTGTCTAAATTTCTTGAAATCGACTGGGTCGGAGGCGCTTTATTCATGGCCGCTGGTATACTCATTCTACTCGCTCTTAACTGGGGTTCAACGGAACAATGGGATACCGCAAAAGTCGTCGTGTGCTTCGTCATTGGTGGTGTGCTCTTGTTGGCCTTTCTGTTCTGGGAACATGTTCTCGTTCAGAAGGCAAACTACGGTGGTACATCGACATTGCGCCGTGCCCTGTATACCGGGCCAATGATCCCACTCGCGATATTCAAGTCTCTAGACGTCTGTATCGTGATGTATGGCGTGTTCGTGTCAGGCATGATCATGCTGGTCATGTTCTATTTTGTGGCGATTTTTATGACCATTGTGACTGATCTTCCCCCTAATGAAGCTGGCGTTCAACTGTTGTATTTTGCTCCTGGCATGGTAAGTCGACATCAAATTTACGTTCAACGTGACGAATCCTGATGGATTGAACGCATAGGGAGGAGGGTCCATCATCTCCATTATCATGATCAGACGGCTGAGACAGGTGCGTATTGGTTTTCGTCTCAGATGCGCAAGTGATGTTCAAGTCGTGGACAATGTAGCCCAAAATTGCAATCGTTCTCAGTGGTGTTGTGAATACGGTCGCCTTAGGTCTCATTTCCATGGGCATGCAACAAAACAAGCAGAACCTAGTCAACGGGTATGCACTTCCAACGCACAAACCCCATGTCTTTCTTACTAAGTGATACAATTGCCGTTCGATTAGGTTTATGGCTATGGCTGGTGTCGGCGTTGGACTTGGCATAGGACCACTCGCAGTCCAAGCTAGATTCACTCAGCCCGAGGAACGTGTCGCTATTATAGCCGCTCTCACCCTTTTCGTATGTATCCTTTCACTTCACCCATCTCGCTCATTGACATCTTCGTCTCGCAGTTCCGTTCCTTTGGAGGTACTGTCGGTCTTGCCCAATGCGGTGCAGTGTTGAACGGCAAAGTAAATCACTACATCACCCGGTTGGTCACTTCGGGCGTCATCAGCGGTGCAGCCGCCCAAGCCATCGCAAGTGCTTCTAGCAGTTCCGATCTCAGTTCCATCCAGAGTATCAGTTCACTCCCACCAGACATCCAAGAGTTCGTGCGGGACGCGTTTAGGGATGGTTCACGATGGAGTATTATCTCGCTCGTCCCTTGGGCAGCGGTGGCAACGATATCCAGCTTGTTCTTGTCGAGGATCCAAGATCGCACGCGGGCTGGGGTTGCAAAAGCCGACGATGAGCGTCCACCGGTAGAGTCGTTGCCCAGCAAGGAGAAGAATATTAAAGTCACAGCCAACGATCCGGGGTCGAAGGCCGAACCCGTTAAATAGGACAGGGCGGACAATTGAGCTACCGTATGTTAGTGGGCTTTTTTCATTTGGACGATATGTAGGGTGCATTTTGGATAATTTCTTTGACCTTCTATGCGATGGACGGGTTTGGCTAATGATTGGGCATCGTAATATACCCGCTTCTCCTTCTCCTCAACCCCACCCAACGGGCCTCAAAGGATCTTAAGAAAGGTCAAAATCCACGAAACCATACCAGCAAATGTCGCCTGAATCTGAATTGAAAGGATTCCTCATTGATTTCGCAGACATTCTACATATTTTCTTGACTGCGCAAGAGTACTCATCAATAAGGCGTATGTGTTGCAGTCTTCGCAAGTCTCACGAATGTATCCGCCCTGTACACGAACCCCATTCACACAACGGATTTGACCGGGGGACAAATATGTATTCATTACCAGTCCAACTCAGGACACAGATCCTACATCACAAGTCGTCATCGTCGTGACAACCCGCGTCCGTAACTGAATATGCTGTGTCTCAATCAAATGCACCACCTCAACAACAACGCTCCATCATTGATCATCTGCTACCAGCTCCAATCGTCTGTCAAACTTTGACATCTTCGAAATTGCCATTGTTCGACTGAGCGGAGTGCGGGGGCTGCGTCGCGGCTCCGATCCCTCCTATGTATCCTGTAGCTTTCTCATCGTTGGCGTTATAGAGAGGGATACCGCTGAGAGCTGTCAAGGGAGCAGCTGGATACCCTCCAAGGGGTGCTTGTGGGTAGACTGGAGCAGAGATCGGGGCTGCGTTGTTGTAGTAGTAGGCTGCAGCTGGGTCAGAGGGGCCATTTACCAAATACTACAATGTTGTCAGTATTTCAAGAGCCTCGCGAGAAGAGCATGCGTACGTACGGCAGGGAGGTGAGCCGCAGGGTGAAAAGAAGAGACAGGCACATAGGACGCTGGAAGCGTGACTTGCAATCTCTGTGTAACCACATTTAGAGTATACATCGGAAGGTGCTTAAAAGGCACATACGATGGTGTTGCCAAAGATACCGATGCGAAGAAGCTTGAATGTCGGCACATCGACACTGCCTGAACGGGATGCCCGATCTTCCTTCTCCCATTTCTTCAATTGCTTATTCACATTCTTCCGACCCTTTGTGAGACAAAGCATTATTAGCATCGCGACGTATCACATCTGCAGTAAAACCACACACAAGGTGTTTCCAGGTTATTATCGGTACGTAAAACAGTAGCATGACGGCAATCCACGACGCCAACGCGATGAGACGGGCTTTCCAGTACCGATCAAATCCACCATGCCAATAGTGGTGGAAGGGGAAGTCTTTGTCTTCCTGCTTTTCTGCTTCCGATTCAGGCAGATGATCAAGTGCAACGTAGAACAGAGCAATGGGCACTCCAATAGAGCAGCTATGCCAAACATCAATAAGAGTCGAGGATGTACAGAATTTGACGCAACTTACACAAAAAGCAATATGATCCAGATTATTTGCATATTCCTCTTGTAGTACCGAGAGGCTTTTCGAGTTATCGCCGGGAGCCTGGATTCCCAGACTTCTTTCGTATACTACGACCTAATAAGAATTGTAACCTCACGCAATAGAAATGTGCACCAACATAGCTGCGTAACTCGAACGGGACGTCCGTTGGAGGGTGTTCATGAGGGATGTATCGCTGTACAAAATTGAGTAAACCAAATCGCTGATGGGTCAAAACTCATACCAAGACGACTGTGTGCATATTGAGTCAGAAATGTGTCGCTCAACGAGTTGGACGTGTCCAAAGGTCGTAAAGTAAGCAGGGAGTAATACAATGCAGTCGAACCAGCCGACTGTGAAGAAAAAAAAATGAACGTAAATGAACGTCGAAGGAAGGGTCCCGCCGGCGAGGAGAAAAGGCCATGTTCGAGGGATGAACGCGTTATATAGGGCGGGATGGCTGTAATTGCGGTGTTGATGAGTGTCGCACAGGGTGACCGGGCCACTTTGCATCACTCCAAAAGATCAGTCAGAGCAGATGATCAATCGATCATGGGCAAGCTCAGCTTCACAGATCCCGCCATCAAAATGTTATGACAGTTATTCCGATGGGTACCAGCTTCAGTAATTGAAAGCGAGCTTTTGTCACCGTGCTTTCGCGTCCACCCTTTCTTCACGGATGCCATTCAGTAGCAACAGGTAAGCATGACAAGGCGAAGTATTTTGAGCCTCAGCTAAATTACAGAGGATACTCATTGCAACTTAGTAGGGCACCGGAAGACCATCGTTCCTTCGTATACTAGCACACGAGAGGGATGGGAAACCACATCTTGCTCAACGAAAGAGTATGGTTTGATATGCAAAATGATCCAATTAGATCGTCTGGTGAGTTCGCTAGTCATACGCGCTGACAGACGCGTATCTCAATGAGCCCACCACGGCGCGTCGTACGATTTAGGACTCAGGCCACAGGCTTAGCTCCCGCCTTCGTCTGGCGGCGTATAAATACATATTGTCCTCTGAAAAGAGCTTCTAGCCTTATCTTCCATACGATATGGCGGGTGCAAACTCAAAAGGCGGATCAGGCACGCCCAAAATTCCAAGTGAGACAAGTGACGGTTCGAGCTTTGTGACAAAATGGCTCGGTCGCGCTGTCCTGCTTTGCTTTTTCTTCGCAATGTGCAGTTGGCTGGATGCTATCAAGGTATATCCAGGTCATTTCTAGAATTTATGCTTGGAATATCTGACACGCGACTTGCGCGTAGCATCGATGGTATGTCTTCACGCCTGAATTCCTTCACGAACTCGCGCAAGATGCCATTGCCTCCGCCCCCGCACCAGACGACATTCACTACATGATCAACCATATCGTCTCCAACCTAACTGCCACATACCCCTCGGATGTAGTCGCTCTCAATGCCAACTCTAGTGAATGGATGTTCAATAACGCCGGTGGTGCCATGGGCGCGATGTATATCATTCACGCTAGCATCACGGAGTACCTTATTATTTTTGGTACTCCACTTGGTACGGAGGGTCATAGTAGTGTGCTCGCCGCCGATAACTACTTCAACATCCTCGTCGGTGAAGAATGGGCATTCGATCCACCGAAGTTGGAGAGGGAGGTTTACCCTCCGGGGAGCCTACATTATTTGCCGAGGGGACACATGAAGCAGTATAAAATGCACGAGGGATGTTTCGCCCTTGAGTATGCCAGGGGTACGTTATTGTATTGCAACTCATGATCAATTCCGCTCAATAACAGCTCTGGTCAGGATGGATTCCCCTAATGTTGCCCTTTGGAGCGATGGATGCGTTAACATCGACCCTGGACTACAAATCCTTCTATCGTACAGCCGTCATTACCGGTCGCGAGATGTTCAGAAACCTTGCACTCCTGAAAATATAGGACTATTTGACTTGCTGTCAATCTACCGCTATCGTAATTTGCTGGACCTGACTGCCAACTTGGAAAAGAAATGTTTCTTCCTACAACTTCGATCGATCGTGTCGATGATGATCTACAGTGCAATACCTCCTGAGCCGGTCAGGTCGCTTTGTTAAAGGAAACGCGTAATTCAATTAGTCCGACAACGACATGTACTTCCCGAAATGCTGGCTATGCACCGCATTGACAAAATTAGGATTACACAGTTCGCATCTTGCCAATTGGAAGTCGATACAGCCGCAACGCGAAATACTCCCTTGTTTTGCCCCATCTCTCCCGAGTATCCGCAAAAACATCAACCTCGCTCCATTCTACATCAACCCCAACATCGGCCAAGTGCATCTCAGATACGTGGGTATAAACGTCGTAGAATAGGGCGTCTATAGGTGAATGATCAATATGGAATGGAAATCGGCAAGATGAAGACTACTTACTCATTGCACCCAAACCGTGGAAGAAGCTGAATCGAGACTCGGGACCTTCAAGAAGATCAGGAAGAATCTCGAAGAATTTGTGCAATTCTATACCGGAAGAGTCAGGAAGGTGATAGATATGAGATAGTTGAATGCATCATACCAAGATAATCTTCCGAGAACGTGTCAGTATAGACGACATCGAAGCCTGGTATATGAAGGGCCTCAATATGGTCCTGCCACTTCCCCTCTAGGATGGTGACACCCTTTTTGTCGTACCACCCGGTTTCTCTCATGTGTTGAAGTACATCCGGGTGCGCTTCGATGATGACGTGCTCGGATGGTGGGGTGAGCAACACTTGAAAGAGAGAATCGATCTAAGCCGTAAATATTAGCATGAGAGAAGTACAATGAAGGATGTAAAGGTACATACTATTCCAAGCCCGAAACCAATATTGAGAACTTTCAGTCCCCGACTTAGGTTTGGATGATCAGAACAAAGTTTTCGAACCGTCTGCTGCACTTGGCACTGTCTCCATTAGTATGAACTATGGAGAAAATATCGAAAAAGGGATTCACTGATGCCTCGTTCCCAACCCATCATGACACCGACTTCTTCGCCGTCTTCGAGGGTGAGAAGACAGATATCTTGTCCATGTTCATCGGTGGTATAACGCAGTTTTGATGTGAGGAAAGTATCAGTAGAGCCTGCTGCTGTAGTATCCGAAGCCTTCAGGACAAGTGAGTATGGCGACTCGATTTGAACGTCCCGCTTGGACAGCAAGGTCAGGAGCATTTCTAAAGCAGATAGTTATGAACAGAATTAATGCCAGGGATTCCGAAGAGCTTTTACCTGAACGGATACCAGCGTCTCTAATAAGCGTGTAACACTCTTCGTTATTTAAGGATAACGCAACATCTCCTGCGCTGTTATGCAAGTTATCCACTAGAAGGTGGCTAAGAATCACGCTTCGACCAGGGTATGCAAAGCCACTTACCTGCATTCCATACTGCACCCTCATCTAGTAGATATTTCAAAAGCTCTGCGTTCTCAATATATGCTGCAGCATGCAACGGAGACAGCCCCTCATCATCTTGAAACCAAACAGGAGCTCCTGCTTGAATTTTGTCTACGATGGACTGGAACGGTGCGCGATCGAGAATACTGTCGACGAGATCTTGGCCCCTTTCTACAAGTTCGTTTACTGTATCTTCCATCGCTGTATCAGGAGCACCTGGTTCCGGTGAGGACACCATGGGAAGCCTTGAAGTTAGAGCTTTTTGCCAGGAACAGTACAGAGCGAAGATGAAATTCGTGAACTTCGATCCTGTCGATCATGCCTCCGGCCCGCTTCTCCCGCAGCCTATTAAGGTAGCGTGTTCGAGCTTTGAGCCTTCCTCACTGTCCACCGCGACATTGAACACTCTCTACTCAGCAAATACATCTCTTCCCGCAAAGAAGTATCAATTACAACGTTTCATCAATGTCTTCCGTATCACCATCCCCAGGTCCCTCAACACCCAATGTACGACATGCACAAACCGCTGTTGACCGCCAGCGAGCGCAACTCGAGAAATTGCTGAAAGATCCAACGAAGCTGGCATATGTCCCCCCTCCACCGAAAGAAAAGGGCATTCGGCCTCCACGAGAGATGATGAAGAACGTCCAGGGCTCCAGTGCGGGTGCAGGAAGTGGGGAGTTCCATGTGTACAAGGCTAGCAGACGGCGAGAGTATGAACGATTGAAGCTGATGGACGAGGAGGCACAGAAGGTATGTTTCATGGCGCTACTTCATCTTACTTGACCCTGCTTCAATGCATCTATCTGTTCAGGAAACTGAAGTAGCTGAATTCGAGAGGAAGAAACGCGAACGCGAGGAACAGGCGGAAGCAAAGACAGCAAAGAACAGGGCTAAACGACTAAAGAAGAGGGTCAAGGCTAAGAAGGGTTCGGACAAAGCAGAAGATGGTCCCTCGCGAGCTAGCGTGCCGTCAGATGTGCCGCTTAAGAAACGACGTCTGGTAAATGGCCAGGAACTACTGTTCAGGAAACCTGGAGAGGAGAGCGACGACGAGGGTGAAGGTGAAGATGAAGTCGGACCTGTTCGATCGAATATAGATGGTCGTGACATGAACGCTGCTTCGGCTGAACCAAGCCAACCAGCTGTTCCTATAGTGGAAGCACAACGGATCACAATTCATGAAGATGATTGAACGTTCGTCTCATGCTTGCTTTGTATGTGATTTCTGCTGGTGTATCGATACTCCAGCTTGTGATATGTTTCCATAGGTTTCCATTACTTGCGGCGTTTTGGCGAATATACTCCTGCTGATACCTCTCGCTACGTCGTATGACATGGAACACATCGTGTGAATGTTTACATGACCGTGTCCGTATGTTATCACCAGTGTGGTTGTCTCGTTTCACCAAGCATGCTGTCACTCCAGGAATTCTTCCGTTCCTGTTTGCCGTGACTGAATATCGGATTCGGCCAGGTTGAAAGAAGCGCAATTCAACGAATCAGGGAACACGAAGGCTCCACTTTATTTTGCCTGCATGCTTCGCAGGATGGTCATAACACTCTTATGCACTTCGCGAAACTACCAAATTCATCCGAATTTCATCCTTGCCTCATTCGGCTGCTACCATGGAGAGCCTGCCGCGTTTTCATGTGGAGCTCTCACGTCCGAAATACAACCTGTCTTTATCCAGGTTTACCGTATGCAGCAACTACAACTGAACACCTTATACACAATGAGATCATTCGAACATACAATTTTTTGGTATTTCCGTCCCTTTCAGATATTCACTTGGGTATATATTAAGTTCGCCAGGACTCACGTTATCCCTTGAGACCCAATCCAAGCTTCGACTGACTGTTTCTCCCATTCACGTCCCCAAAACTCACTCGCTATGAAGCTCTCCGCCACTTTGACTGCCTTGGCCGTCGCAGCCTGCCAAATCGCTCAGGTGAGTGTGTCACCGGTATAACAGCAACCACAGAGTCGGGATATACTGTGTCCTCGCACAGGTTCTCGCTCATGGAGGTGTCCTGTCGTACGACATCGATGGTACAACCTACGACGGGTACGTATCTTGGCTCTCTATCCTCCTCTCTTTCACCATCTCTTTGGTTTTTTTACATGGACTGTGCTGACTAGTGCACTAGGTTCAAAGCATACAACACGCCCGTCGGGCAGTCTAGCATTCAACGTGAATGGGACACCTACAACCCCATCACTGACCCTTCAGACGCCAACTTGGCATGTAACATTAATGGTGCTTCTTTGGGCGCCGGGCAGCTCTCTGCTACCATTCCTGGTACGTCTAGTATATCTCGATTCGTGAGTATGTGAGTTGACAGTTTTCCGTTTGATAGCTGGCTCGAAGGTGACCGCACAATGGAAGTGAGTAATGTCTTGACAATGAGTTCATGATGAGATGAGGAACTGACTGATTTTTGAACTTGTTCATCGTAGTGACTGGCCCCACACTATTGGTCCTGTCATGGTCTATATGGCTAACTGCAACGGGGCATGCACCAACGCCAACCCATCTTCTCTTTCATGGGTACGTCCTCTCCCCCTTCCCCGCTCGTCATTCATCACATATCATCGTTATTGACATACACACTCCGACCTAATCTCTTACAGTTCAAGATCGACGAAGCAGGCTTACTTTCCGGTAACCTCGTCGACGGCACCTGGGGTCAAGGCAAACTCGTCGCCGATGGTAGCACTTGGGTCTCAACCATCCCAGCTTCCCTCGCCCCAGGCGAATACATGCTCCGACACGAGTTGTTAAGTATTCATACCAGCAATCAACCACAGTTCTACCCCGAGTGTGCACAATTGAAAATCACGGTACGTAATTGTTATTCTCTCACATCAAGCTTTTTTGGGCGGCTGGTGATCAGGCTGGACGGAGTTCAAGCTGAGACTGATCGTGAACGGGACTTTAGGGATCGGGAACTGCTCAGCCCTCAGGCAATTTCCTTGTCAAGTTCCCTGGAGCGTACAAGGCTTCTGACCCTGGTGTTACTATCGACATCTACTCTGAACCTGACCAGACAACCTACACTATTCCTGGACCTGCTGTCTGGCAGGGATGAGTAGTGCATCTTGTACCGGGTATGGGGAGGCAAATGCTGTAGGAAGTGCAAAGGAAAAGAAGCAGAAGAAAAAACTTGTGTATTACCGAGTTCCAGATATCTGATTCCTTGTCGTTGTCGTTGTCGTTGTCGTGTTTGCAATTGACAATTGAGAGTTGATGTCCAAGCACACGTTTTCAAGCAGTATAAAATCAATGAAATCATTGCAACTGAGCGGTAACATACGGAAGAAATAAATGCATAGGGGACAATGGGCCAGACGATTATGGAGTGTCCACGACAGGCAATACGAGAACAGAAGCATGACGCTGCATCTTATCATTCACTATTCCCGTGTACACATCTCCTTCACTCTCCCCTTCGTCTTCCCAGGTGTCCTTCACGCCACTCGAAGGCTCGTCCCTTTGTCCGATGAACTTTGAAGCAACAAGCAAGACAGAATCTAGATCCAAAGAGAAAGAAGTCGCAAGAGGGGTTTCCAGAGTCATACTGAACGGATTATGTGGAACAGCACCAGTAGGAGGAGTAGGAGTGGCAGGTCGAATAAGATCGCAAATGAAAGAAACTGAGTCATTGGAGTCGTCGGAGTCCATATACGCAGAAGAGGTCGCAGAGGAAGTAGAGGAGATATCCGAATCTAGACTTGTATCCGAGTACTCTAGAGAACAAGAGGAAGGTAACACGGGTTCGCCGATCTCCATTATCCGTCCTGTCCAGCTCATAGTGGGGATCTTGAGATAGACATCAGCCGGTAGAACTCTGGCGTTATTAAGTGTCCGAGCGGATAAGAGGAGAGTTGAAAGGGAGGGAGGGAAGTTGAATAGGTTGGAATTGCGGTCGACGTCCTCGGAGGGCTGTAGTGTGATCGTCGGGAGCAGATCGGCATCGAAGAGCCAGGCGTTGGACGATAATAAGGAAGCAGACGAATGGGCAGAGTGGAAAGAGTGTAGGGTGGATGAAGAATCGTCAGGGACTGGTTGGATTGGCAGCAAAGATGTAGTATAGGGTAGACAAGCACCTGATGTGCCTTTGGTCCCTTCCTTCTCTTCCTCTTCCTGATCATTCTTCTCCAACTCGACTGGTGTCCTTCCTCCCTTGATGGGTTCGGCCTCCTTGATATCCTCTGTAGAGCAAGCCATAGGGAACGTATTCTCAATGTCGTCCGTATCATTTACACGGGTGCATAAATGGTAGAACCCTCCAGCAAGGACTACAAGCAACATGGCCAAGAGCGTGAAGACGATGATCTGTCCGGCGATGGAGAGGTTGGAGGATTCTGCGACGATAGCATTAGATCGCGTAAGGATAGAGTGGGAGTCAGAATTGGAAGTCATGACTATAAAGATAGAGCAATAGCTAAAGGAAAGTATGCGGTGGGCGTAAAAGAACGTGGGTAGGATCTATAGAGTATATAGAGGTTAGGGAGCAAGAGATGCTGAATGCAAGGGGTTCCAAACAATGAATCTAACCTCCAGGCGGATGACATGGCTGGCATGCACATTTCAATATAGCCCATGATGGACGAGAGCAGGTTCGCCAACTTGTCCAAGACAGACGCCTGACTCCCGATTGGGACGCGTCGCGTCGCGTTCGATCATCAACTCTTCAAAGCTTCGCGACCACCAAGCACCATGGATTCAGCCGACTTTTCTGAATTCTCTATCCCCTCACACGACTCTCGCATTCTCTCAGAGTCTCTCGTCTTTCCCAGCTCAAGTTCTCGCTCAACGTCACAAGCCGACCCAGATAATTCTGACCTCTCTTTATCCGAACTTTCTCTCGGTACTGGTCATTTACAATCGGGTGCACGGGAGAAAAGACCATTTAGTTTACTTGCCAGACCTATACAGGATGAGAGTGCTGTCGTTGATGATGATGATGCCCAGGTGGAGGGGCAAGGCGAGGGACACGGAGCGGAAGGCGGAGAGATGGATGCTACAATGACTCAAGAGGACATCGAGAATGCTAAACGGTTGGCCGCGAGGACCAGAGAAGAGAAATTACAACATGATCTTTTCATTCTCAAAAAACTCAACGCAGCCTTCGAAGTCTACAAAGACGCTTTACGCGAAACGAAATCCGCCACTGATGTACGTTCTCTGTTCGTGTTTGGCGCCTGCTCCACATTACTCACCAGCTGCGATACACATAGCGAGTATCAGAGCAATTAACTCACACTAACGCCCTCCTTGACAAATACACCACCATCCTCCATAGATCCGAGAAAATCACAAAACTTATACTTGATGAACGCTGGGAAGGCGCAGAAGGAGACGAAGCACAGCTCGAGCTTGAACGACAAGCTGAATTTGAACGTCGACGGCGGGAAGAAGAGGAACGTGTCTTAGCCGTTCAAAAGGAACGTGAACGCATAGAGAGGGAAGAGCGGGAGCGGAAGGAGAAGGCAGAAAAAGAGCGGTTGGCGAAGGAGAAAGCCGAACTTGTCAAAGCTAATGCCCTCAGAGGAATTGGGAGCAGTGGAGTGAGAGGAGTCAGAGGGACAAGAGCTTCTATGAGAGCTGCTAGTGCTGTACGCGGCGGTGGCAGAGGTCGGTGATTTCGTCCTGCTCAATGTTCCCGAGGCCTCATTTGTTGATCGCGCTCTTCATCCTTGCAGGACGCGGTACCCCTCCCTCGGGTTTACCTACTAGCTCTAGTATGTCGATGCGCGGTCGACCTGGTTCATCCGCTTCTGTTCGGAGTGGAAGTAGCGCAAGCAGAGGTATCCCGAGGAAAGTGACATAAGGAACGGGTGTTCATAATGCTCCGTCCTTTAGGTCCGATTTCCTCCTTTCATCATACTGCCCAGCCTCTGATCTTCCTGCAGAATTGTGCCTCTCGTGTGTATCTCCGTGAGCTACGACAGATGTCACGATCGATGCGGATGCGCCAGAGACTACACGTCCTTTGACATGATGACTAGTTGCTTCGCGCCATCGGAGGTCTGAGAGGGCGCTGCCGGGATATACCCAACGCGTTGCAGAAGAAGAGGAATTGCTGCATTCATTATCTCCCCACAGAGCCTGACTAGCTCAGGACTGGTGGGATGCTGTCGCGAGGTGCAGGCACTCATGTCCGACGATTTACAGATGCACCTGTACTCTCGGCGCCTGTATAAAATTCAAATTTTCCAGGTGGGACAATCCGCATGCCTTGCTTCTCACTTTCACTGCTTCCATCACCATCAAGATCCGGTGAACAACTGGATCAATTCAATGTCCTCCGATGCAAGATGAACAATGACAAGTTAAATTACTCTACCAGCCTTCGTAGACATGTCACCGCACGCCCTCACACTCTTTTTCCTTCTTTCTCTTCTCTCCTTCTGTTCATCTCTTGTTACGTTCTTCGGACGTTGCAGACAAAGGACATCTAGCACCTAACATACCCGATACAGCTATGTCTACAACTCTGACCTGCATTACCCGAAGTGTTCTCCTTCTGGCTGTGACCTCTGTATTTGCCCAAACCGGTAAATTCAACGTTTTTTTTGTTTACTACATGTTATATGAAAGCTCTTTTAGATCCCGACACCAGTGGTCCTAGTGTCATGGCTGAATCGACGTTCATTACAATGACAGTCACTGTGCAGCCTATTAGTACAATTTCAGACCTGTCCACTGCAAGTCATCCAATCCGAACAGTGCCAGCACAGTCAACAGCAGGACTGCATCTGTTGCCCTCGCCCATACCGATCTTGGCCTCTCCCGAATCCGATAGTAGCCCTAGTGTTGTGGCAACATCCTCGTTCATTACAAGTGAACCGACCATAACAGACCCGCCGACTTTCAATGTGCCATTAGAGTCGACAGCAGGACTACAACTGTTTCCCTCGCCAATATCGTTCTTAACCTCCCCCGAATCCGATAGTAGTTCTGGTGTCCTAGCCAAACCCACAGGTAACTCGATCATAATAATCCCTGCGCATTATACTCCAAATGTGTCAGGACAGTCATCGGCCGCCCTGCATCTGTTGCCCTCCCTAGTACCATCCTCGTCTTTCCCGCCATCCCTGCCACAATCCCTGCCACAATCCCTGCCACAATCCTTACCACAATCCTTACCACAATTTCTGCCACAATCTCTGCCACAATCCTTGCCGCAATCCCTGCCGCAATCCCCGAATTTGTCTTCTTTTTCTTCCCCAACCTTAAGTATTCCGCCTAATAACCGAACCACATCTACCACCATCAATCCCTTGTCCTCGCCGTCGACTACTGCTCAATCGCAAATTCAATCGACAGGCATCGCAACCCGCACCATCGGGTTCGTTGTCCTTGGAATTGCATTATCCGTATTTTTGCTCATCCTATTTGGTGTCTGGTTATGGAGACGCAAGCCTGAGACGCGGCAAGCTGAAGCAAGATCTAATACTGGTAAGCGCAGCCATATGCCGCCGTTCTTGTGCTTGTAACTTACGCTAATGGTGTCGCAATTTAGATTTATTGGGCGATAATAAACGACCGGACCTTGAACGCAATGAGGTTTCGACGGTCACCCCATTCCCTGTCTCCTTCCCTACCTCCAAGCCAAACTTGGATCCTACCTCACAGGGACATGATTTCGACAGACTTGACAACAGTAAGTATAGGTGTCTTACAACTCGCTTCCAGTTAAATGCTCGTTTGCACACTTTGATACATGATTCTTAGATGACCCCGGGCTCGTGAGACGAGCGTATACTGACTCGACCGAACGCACTCCTTCAGGACTTCAAAATCCAGCTACATCTATTGTCGGAAGCACGTCTGAGGCTACTGCAGAAGCTACAATTGTGTCTAGTCCACTGGCAGCACCTTCCAATTAGCCTTCCAGTAGTGATACCGAGCCCCCTCGAGTTCAAGTCGCATGTTCCAGCAACAAACAAACGACCAATGCTATTACACGCTTTGTTGCCCGACCAGATACTGTGGATAGCTTCTGAGCAGAGGTGCTATCGGGTGCTATCGCCAGTTCAATTTGACGCTCTTCGTGAAGAAGCGACTTGAAAACACAGCAGACGGGTTAACTGAAGGTCGGAGGGATGAAGTTTGGAATGTCGATGAGAGTGATAGCGTGATGCCTCCACCAGCGCGTGAGGATATTGCACGTTGGACGTTCCCAGAAATTAATCAGGAAAATTTTGGTAAAGTGCCTTGTGCATGATATCGACGCCACATCTTCAAATATTCGACCGCCAGTCCGCGCTGTCCCACACTCTGTTTCTCGGCCAGGAATATTCTTGTTTGTTCAGCCTAAGGTTGAGTGCTGGTACGAAGTCAACGCGGGGACGTGAAGCTGACGCTGGCATTAGATTGGCCGGTGGACAGAATGATGATGTCTGGCACGAAACGCTTCCCGCGTATGGCGAACCGTCTCTTTCTGTCAACTCACGTCCTACGTATGTTGGTGCCTAAGAATGCGTCGAGGACCACGCTTTTGGGGTCTAGATGCTGTGGGTCTGCTCCTGTCATATTTATTATTACCTTGCGGCAACTTTGCTGATTGATCATCTAAGTGCCAGCCCTGCCAAAGTCCGTTTAATGCTCGCACACCTTTGAACGACATCAAATGATTGCTTATCCCCGTTTTGAGGCACCACGATTCTGATGCCATCCGATTTACTCGCGACAGATTATAATTCAAAAGACGGAAACATCTTGTACAGCTTGTTGAGACGCCATCAGGGCTAGTTCTATATATCACCGGTACGTTGTGTGAGTTGCCCGCACTCTTTTGTACGTTCTTCCTATCTCTGCCGTTAGCCACAGTCTAAGGTATTCTATCAGCTCAAATTCTATTCCGCCATGTCAGAGCTAGGTCTAACCCCAGATGAGGCCATCTCGACGATGTATGTCAGTTTAATCAAATATTGAAATAACAGACGGAATGCTCATGGACTTGCCTCAGTTCACAAACCTATGTTGAAAACTATATTCAAGTGGCAGCACTAGGTCTGTTCTATTGAAACATGCTTCTACTTTGCTCAAAATAACTTGTGCTAGCTCTAATAATATATGATACTATCTTGACATTGTCTCAAGAATGGCACTGCATCTGGCAGAGAAAATTCACTAGTGCCACTCTGCTATATGTGCTGATTAGATATGGTACTGTTCTGGACATGTCTCTTCAAACTTTTCAAGAATTTTGGATGCCCACAACTGCTTCTGTGAGTTTTGCAGTGTGGGTTCTTATAAATTTGATTCTGAACTATTCTGTAGAGGTATTATCTTGCTTTTTGCAATTTAGATTGATATCAATCAATATTTTATGACAGCTGTGAAGCTGTTGCTATTTTGGAGTACATCACTCATCTGTTGGTCTACTTTGGCATTGCAGGTATGTATATATTTCTTGGTGTATTATGATATATATTTATAGTGATGCACCCATATAGTATTTAACTGTCTGCGCATTTGGGCAATCAGTCAGAGACAATGGTACCCAGCCATATCTGTGTTTTTGTTTAGCATGTTTGTTCCATGCATCACTTTGGTATATTCTTTATTTAGAAATTCTTAAAGTGATGTTTACCTTTCACATCTTTATAGTATAATCTATCTAGACCACAAACCTGGAATGTAGTTTCATCTGGCCCTTTAAAGGGCTGCTGGGACATTTCAGTCAATGTCTACCAATAGTAAGTGTTGATACAATGTTATTAATTGTCATCTAACATTTATGTGATCTTTCAAGCTGTTTGTTGTTAGCAACTTTCTTTCTGATTTTTGCTTATCATTACTTCTATAGTGCCCATCATAACTCGAGCAATATCAATAGGGGCAGACCTTCTAGTACTGGCATTTACCTTACTTGAAACAGTGAACACCTTCAGAATCAGCCAAGCCCAACATATCAGAACTACACTAATCACACTGCTGATATACAATGGTATGTTACCATGTTACTACACTTTCTATAATAACAATCTTATTTATACATATATGTTCTCTAGGAGTGCTACAATTCATGTTTGTTGTTTCTCTCAATTATATGAATAATGCTTATCATTTTTACTTTAGAACTTTTGTGATACTTAATACTATTGCAGTGATATTGGATACAGTCTCAGTTGCCATTGTAACAGTAGGTGTTTTCAAGCATCTTTATTTTCATAGTGCTTATATTTATGCATCATATAGGAAGCTAGCAGTGCATCAGGATTCATTCTGATCAATGACTGGTGAGTAGTTTTGGTCTATATATAATGTAAATCACTAACTCTGTGCAGTATTATCTCTATCATTCTTTCTAGGTTTCTTCTAGACCTGCGCTCCATCTCAGACAGTGATAATTCAAGCTCTGGACAATATAGCTCTAGTATTGACTTTGTCAGCTCAATTATTGGCAATATGGGTGCTACAGTTAGTGCACCATGGGCAGTTGAAGAAGGTGAAGATAGAGATGTAGAAGAGGATTAGTCTATTATATTGATAAAAATGTTGCCATTCTATATTGAAAAACCTAGTGCATAAGTGAGACTTGCTGTGATCTACACAAGATACTAGCAAAGATACAATAGAATAAAATAATCATCTATTCATGAAACAATCTAGAGACTAGAAGCACACATTACATACTACAGCAATCTAAACTAATGTTCCAAATTGTTTGCATCATAAGGGTATCTTTCCATTCCTTCAGTCATTCAGTCATCCATCCGTAATAACTTAGTCTCTCCTTCCCGCCCCCAATCCTAACCACACACTCCAGCGCCCAACACCTCCCACACTCAAGCCATAGACTTAGAAAACAGCCTGCCCAATTCCCCATACAGCCAACAACATCAAGCACGCACAAATCGCTAACAGCCTCGCTTCCTCTCCTGCGGGCCCTTTCTCCATCAACACCTGTGCCCAAGTCTTTTTCGGAACATCTGGGTGTCCACTCGGTCTCAACTCGCACACCCACCGCTTGCCCCTCCCCAACCTGCCTGAACTACTGAACCCGCAACATCGTTCCGTACTAGTACAGCCACTAGTGTTGTCGCTGAAGAAGTTGAGCAGTGCCAAAAAAGTCCAGCTGGGGAAGGTGGGAAAGTTGATGAGCGGGGAATGAGCAACGGGAAGGGCAACGTGCATATGATGTGGAGGAGGATGAAGGGAAGGTACTCCCAAAGGATAGAGCGGAGACCTCCACGCGATCGCGCTTAACCTCGCAAGCAAGTTCCCAAACCCACTCAATCCTCCGAAGCTCCCAAAGCCACCTATTCCAATTAACCCACCAAAACCAAGCCTCAGTGCGTCTAGAGGGGCAAATGGGAGGAAGGGTATAGAATATAGAGAAGCAAGAGGCATAGAGGGAATGTAATTCCGGCGTTTTCGTTCCCAGCATATGAGCGATACGGGGATGCCGTGAGGATCACATACGAGTTCGTAGTGGCCTACTTCAAGTGGTTCGACGTCTCCGTAGAACTTTGAATCCACTGAGCTAAACCCGCCTGAGTTGAATGGATCAAGTACGAAGGCGGAGGAGGCGGAGGGAGGGGAAGGAGACGAGGATGGGGATGGTGGGAGGTAGGTGATAGTAAATGTGTGCAAGCGGGGATTGGACAGTGCGATGCGCGAGGCTCCGATGTGCATAGGCTCATCCCCGGGCACTTTGACAATAGTGAGTGAGAGGGAAGTGAGTTTCGTCAGTGTTCTCAGCGTGCGCGAGAACGATTCCTACAGAATCCGCATTCATCATCTATACAAGTAAGGAAAGGCGACTGCACTCACCAAATAGAAACTAGGCTTACACCCACAAACCAACTCCAACCTCTCCAACCCCGGACAACTACTCACAATTGTCCTCAACACCCCATTACTATCGTACCCACTCTGCAACCAAAATCCAATACTCAGGTTCCTCAGAGCATGCATACTCCCCAACACGCTACTAATGGCAAGTGGGGTGAGGTCCCGCAACTGAATGGGGCTGGGGAATCGGATCGTTCGGAGCGTGTGGGCGAGCGGGGAAGTGGGGGTAGGTGGGGTATTCGAGTTATTATTATTCTGAGCATTGTTAGCTTGGTTGGGAGCATTGACAGCGTTGACAGGAACATTGGGATCGCCTCCGCTCATCCCGCGGCCTGCCAAAGCGCGCAGATGATCCAACGAACCACTAAACTCACATAACCCCGGAAGAGCCTTCCCATCCAGCGTTCCCAACTCTCCTGGCCCTACACTCGTGTTCCCAAAGAATGTCGTCGGGCGTCCATGCAAACTCAAGCGCTTGATGTTGACGTGTCTATCTATAAAACTCACCAATGGAGTTGGGCTTTGTGACGTGGCCGGAAGGAGTTGGGCGGTTGGGGAAGGAGGGGTGACGCTGACGCTACCAAAGGTGAGGGAACAGAGTTGGGGCCAAGTGGCTGAGGCGAGACGGGTGATATCTATTGGCTCAGATGAAGATCCATCACCTGTGATGGTGAGATATTTGAGATCTGGGGAGTGCGTGACGAGCATGTCCCAAAGTCGATTGAAGACCGGGTTGCTCTCTGCATCGTCCGGTTCAGCGACGCGTAAGGGAAGACTTAGAATAGATAATAGAGCATACCGCGACTTGGGACATGTAATTGTTGAGCATAAAACCCATCTCTCAAGACGAGCGAGAAACCCTCTAGGTCTCTGAAGTTGAATAACTACAATTCACAACTTCAAAGTCAGCATATATGCGGGTAGGAATAAGGATGACATCTTACATGACTATGTGGGCTAGGCAAGAACGAGCCAAATGTCGTTCCTATATGCTTCAAATTTGGGCAACTACACCACACAAGAAATACAATAAGTATATCTGTTTACATACGAGAAGAACTCACCACTTCCTCAAAATATCCCACATCCGATCATCGGGCAACGTATCCTCTCCATCCCAAACAAAACTCTGCAGGGCGTCCATCTTTGGTGCTGCAGCTGTGACAAGCACGGACGCGACATGAGGATTGTTCCATGTTCGGATATACTCGGGTTTTCTGCCCTGACGACGATATTCTGGTCGAATGACGAGAGATTGGACATGTCTCGCAATGTCCGGCGAATGCTTCAGCATCTGGAGCGTGGCCTCGCATTGTGGAAGACCTTGGAGTTGTACGTGAGCGTAAATGGAAGGAAGGGCTTTCGGGTAGATTTCCTTGCACTGGTATGATCGGGGCGTTACAATGATTAACGTGTCAATATGAGCTAAATCTGAGAACATACCGTGGCACTCAAATGAAGTCTGTCTGAAAATGTGTTCAGGAAATTGGCGATCTCGAAAAGAATGTCTGCAGGGAGGGCAGGGAGAGAAGCTGGCAGGTAAGATGGGCTACCATCATGACGGGTATCTGTAGCGTTATAAAAGGTATACAACATGGCCATGACTCCAATTCTGTATAAAGGATGTACTATCTCTGATTGAAGACAAAGGTGGTGGTAAGAGGTCAAGGAGGATGACGGGTAGTAGCAGTACTTGTGGCAGGGTGTTTATTGTGCGTGAGACTTCGGAGCTACCGCCGGCAAGCCAACGATCGAACGACGTCACGGCATCTTTCTCAAGCTGTACTGTACGGCGCTCCGGCGGCGGCGATTCTTGAACCCCATTCGAGACAATCAGGAACAGCGCACTAATCGCAAATATCTGTGACATGTTCCAAAATGATAGCGCACAGACTTTGACACTGGTATACAGATCCGGTCAACTGACTGGATGGAAATGCATCAAGTATACAATGATGAGATGAGATTATCACATATAAAGTCTTCGCCTCCATTCTAAGTAAGGCGGCATGTCTAATACCTATATGTCCCAAAAGCCCAAGTGTCACCGAGTTGAATTGCGAGTGTCCAAATGCGAAAGCAAAGCCACAGTGCAAATTGCGTATCGAACATTGTCGTGAGGGTAATAAAAGAATTCGACAAGGGGGTTCGGTCATCATGACCTGACAATCCGTCAGCGTTCGTCCAAGACCCCAAGCCCGAAACAATCCGAAGGAAAAATAGGAAACAGACGCACATCTTATAATGAATCTCTGTTTCCTGTGTATCATGCGGCGTCCGGTACGCAATCGTAATGTCCAAATCACGAGGGTTTCGTGCATTGGGAGCGCAGGACAGTCGGCCCGTGATCTGTTCGCCCTCTGAAACAGTGAGCGTGTCTGGCGTGTAGAACACCGTTTGTCTGATAGATCCGGTCAACAACACGACACGCAGGAAGGAAGGAGCAGAGACGTACTTCCAGTGGGTGTATTTTGCGTGTGGTCCAGTGGAGAACCTGACCTTGGTATGTGTACACTCGAAGGAGACGTCAAACCACGCGAGGAATGCATGTACGTCTGTTTGTACCATGAAGCGCATTCATCAGACATTCTCCATGGAATCAAGGAACAAGTATAGGCGCATTTACTTACAGTCGTTACGGGTGGAGGTCAAGGAGAAGGGAGCGGTGAATGTAAGGTCTTCTTTTTTGGCGGTAAGCAGATCGATGCTCTATAGAATAAGTACACAACACATCAGAAGACTTTAACAGACAAAAACAGGAATACGAAACATACCTTGATGAGACAAGGGTTCGTAACAACCGCTTTGAGCTCGACGGTATCCACCAGAGGTTCTCTCAGTGCAATATCCTTGATGCACGAGTAGTCAAACCCATACACATTATCCCAGACTAAAGTTTAATTCGTTCATCCTCATCAATTGACTTTCCACATCTAACCAGTGGATGACTCACAATTGATTTTCTCTTCTTTATAATCACTGTCCTCGATGGCAGCCAGATACATTGTTGCCTGATCAGGGAAGATGAGGCCTCCAGGCTTGAGGTATTTGTCGCGTGCAAGCAGAACGGTGTCGAGCATGGACTCGTATAAGAGGAAATAGCCCATCCATTCGGAGATGATGATGTCGTACTCTTTTATAGGGAGTTCGGCTTCTTCGAGTTTGCCCTTCACAAGGGTGATTTCTGACGAAGAGGTAGATATTATATGTTACCAGATGGAACGGTAAAAGGCAAATGGGACGTACTGTCTTTGAAGCCATTCGCTTCGACAATTTTGATAGCTTGGTCAATTATATTCGACATATCGATCTATGCATCCAAGTGTATTGTCAGTAAAGTCCTCATTTCCCTCCACTTCATCATTCTTCTCCCAATCATAAAATCAAAGCAAACGAGAAAATACACACCCCGACAACATGAGAGGCCCCAGCCTTGGCCGCGAACATACTCAAGATACCCGTTCCACAGCCAACATCGAGGACAGTCTTGCCCTTGAAAAGATGAGGATTGCTTATGATCGCGCTGCGGTAAGAACCCGTGCGGACGCTGTCTTTGAGCATCTCTTCATGGATACCTGGTAGGGTTCAACGTTGAGGTTTATGAGTAACCGCGCGGTCGTTTCCCGTATGTCCAAGGGAGAAAATAAAACAGACCAAAGTGAGCGTAAGAGTCCGCATAGCTGGAAGGAGCGTGTTAATCGCGGCTTTTACAAGGAAAGAGGGAAAGCAAAGCTGATGAACGTACTAATCTCGTGAAGTCATGTTCTCGGGTGAGACAAGATCCTCTTGCACCGTCGATGGTCCCGCGTTTGACATTTTGATATGTGTGGTATCGAAAGTTGTACTTCTATAGATCAGGCGGAGAGAGAGAAGCCTAGGCGAACGGGATAGGAAGGGAGGAGAAAGAAAGAGATCTAGCTTACAGAAAAAGAAAAAGTATGAGAGATCTATGAACCACGTGGCAAAGCTTAGCTATTTTCGATCGATTTGGTTTCCTGCAGCTTGGGCGTCTACATTTCGGCTCGCTTTCTCACGAGCCACGTGGAGAATTACGTCCACGCACACAGATGTCCCAAAGCGGACAATGCGCAGCCTCGCCAGCTTCGAAAACCAAGTAACACTCATATGCCGACCCAGCGAGTCATCGCCCTAAGGGCCCGTCGACTAGTACTAAAGTGTTATTAATGGCAATCATGCGCAGTCGTTGCTTTTGCTTTTGTACCTCTTCAGAGTCCTCATGAGTCTGAGATAGCTCTTGCCCCGAGCCCTCATAGTCTAGTCACTCACACTGAACATTCTCGGCTTGTTCTCCATACTGCATCTAGTGCACTGCCTTCCCGCAGCGAAGTCGCTACCACTTGCAACGACCGGCCCCGCATTTTACCAATTTCGGGTCATCCGAGGACCGAACGCGACGTACCGAACACAGCGTTGTGTCAGCAATCCACTGCGCGCATACATCCTTTATAAGGTCAACGCCTGCCGCGAGACATGATAGTCAAAGGAGACGATTCTGATTTCAACAAAATGGTGAGTGTATGCTGTTGCGCACTTTGTACTCCTTGTACTGACTATAGTTTTTGGATGTGTGGGTAGGTTACACAAAACGATGGTTTACCTACATACGACATGGCTACGGGCCAACCTAGCTGTACGTCTCCCTTTCTCCGCAGCTGTCGGTCTCCGTCGTACTCATTTGTCTGTTGTAACTTGGATTCAACAGCTTCAGGACCATATGTCCTTGAATCAACTGCCCAAGCCAAGGACGTGAAAGTACCCGTCCCACCACAATATGCACCTCCCCCTAGTCCAGGGGGTCCCTCGAGGCCACCACTTCATATGCCACCGACAAGAGTATACAATTACGTCAACCCTAACACGCACGAACATGTCGCTTCACTTCTACCTCCCGATCATCCCCAGATGGTCTGCTTGCAGGAGGGAAGGCACGTTAGAGAGACGCGGTTCGGGCTTTTAGGTGCGTTGTCCATGTAAACCCTCTGAAAGATTCGTTAGCTGATATTGTTCGTCTGTGGTTCAGGTATACTTGCCGCGGTATTCTGGTTCCCACTAGGCATTGGCTTGTGCTTATTGGACCGGAGAGTCAAGTGCAAGAGATGTGGACTTGTTATCGATGAGGGTTTCTGTTATTGAGATCCTCTCTGTCCTTTTTCTCTTTCTCCTTCGTGCTCTAATGTATATCTACTTTCACCTTTTCCATTCTTTCAAGTATGTTTTTATGGACTCTGTGCTTGGGATTTTTTTTAGTGTACTTTATATTGACCAGTATACCACACTCTTGATACACCATCTGTCTACAACCGGACTAGAGAGAGACACCCCCCACCCACCCCCACACCCCCTGAGATGACCGGTTGTCCATTAATAGATTTAAACATGCCCTTCCACCCAGTGTCCACCTTTAAATCTAGGTCAGTTCAGACGCACAACGCGCTTTCTCTACACCGTGCTTGCAAGATTAAGGAGGAACGGACCTCCAGTTCATTACATTGCTAATACACCTAAGGAATTAAGTACACTCGGTCGAGAGCCAGCTCACCAAGGACTAGCTATAGTACGTAGGCCGGTATTAGGTCATGAAACACATCAAGCTAGCTAAATTTTTGAGGATGCTCATCGTCCAATATCTCCGTATGCCGGTGGAAGCGTCATGCTATCACTCTCAACATCGTTCCAAGCTTCATCCCTCGGTCCTCCAGTTAACCGTACACCAGCGTCGGCTTCTCGCCTATGCCCTTGAGTCACCCCCTCAGGGACAGTGTTCGGTTGAACCGGTATTGCGTCTCCTCGGAAGTTGTCCGAGACATCTGGTCGTGCGACAGAGCGTGTAATGGCATTGGCTGCTTGTTTGTTGCTAGAAGACGCAACAGCTTGGGTCGGTTGAAGGGGATCGGTATCATTACAAGAAGGCTGATTGGAAGGTGTCGCCAATGGACTAGACGCAATTGTAGCGCCTGCAGTGGTTTGAGATGGGCTTGCGACACTAGGTATAGCTAGGTTTTCAAGTCCTGGCGCCGAAACGCGTTGAGTCAAGTCATTATACGCGAGTCTCAGGAGCATGGGGTCGTCTAAGGAACATGCATCAAAGTGTGCAAATGAGCATTTAACTGGTTGCGAGTTTGTGAAACATTTATGCTTACTGTCGTTAAGTCTTTCGAAATCATGTCCCTGTGAGGTAGAATCCGGGTTTGGCTCGGGGGTAGGGAAAGAGATAGGGAATGGGGTGATTGTCGAGATGTCGTTATGCGCAAGGTCCAAACTTTTACTCTTTTCCGATACATCTAAAACGAGATAAACTAAGAGAAAAGAAAAGCGTTGAATAGAACGGTGCTCACCAACTGCTGCTTGAGCCCGACACCTCTTCCGACGTCTCCATACTAACCACCCAAGGAGTGCAATAACATGCAGTGAGAAGATGACAACTCCAAGGACAATGAATCCGATGGTAGACGCCTTCAGGATTCCCGACTCGGAAGCTGAAATGTTGTCATACGAAGATGTGAGAGGTTGCCAGATACTCTTTGAAGAGGACCAGCTGACCTGTCGTTGTTGGCGAAGGCGGTTCAGTTGGGACCGAGGCAGACACCGAAGCTAAAATGTTGTCATATGAAGATGTGAGAGGTTGAATACTGTTTGATGAGGACCGTCTGACCTGTCGTTGTCGACGAAGGTAGTTCGGTCGGGACCGAGGCAAAGGGACCAAAAGGATACATGGAGATAAAAGGAGGGAAACTATGGTTTGCGGATCCAGACCATAAACCCAGCGTCCCAGTGGTAGTCGGTGCTGCATCCCGAAGGAGAATCATGAGGGGAAGAGTAGATGCCCTATCGAGTAACTGCAACGACCGTCTCCAGGACTAAAGATACTTCTAACGACGCAATGAGGCTTTGCGGACGCGGGTATAAAGAAGGGCAAGCCTGAGAAGAGTGAGCCAAGAAGCGATTTGTCTATGAATGCCGGGAACAAAGTTTGATGCTCTTGTACTCCAAGGTGTTAGAGTGATTCTGTGCATTGCACTCGCAGGATATATCCGATTCAAGTCAGGCGGAGGAGATACCAACGGCGTCGTCGGTGTTGTCTTCTGCTATAAAGATCGCATCCACGGCCGTGACTGCGAATTTTGATGATACAGCACCGGATCTGTCTGAGTTTCTTCGTTTCATGGTAAAGAGTTCTCGCTTGCCTGCGTGTGAGCATGCTATATTCAGCCATACCATCTCCCCTTGTTGACATACCTGTGTACATCGATGATATAGCAAGGCTGCTTTGCACAACACCACGCGCTGCAAACCATGCCATACAATCATACGTACCAAATTGCATCGCCATGTACGTAGAAGTCAGCACTTATCTCCGGAAGGTTACACAAAAAGAAGCGAAGGGTCCAAACAGTCATTAGCGCCTGAAGTCCGCCCACGCCAGGCTCGGAGGATGTGTCTCATGCCGTTATTTGGACCCCATCTTGAACCACGAGGTGACTATGTATGGCTCAAAGGAAGGATATTGTCGGACATCTGCGTACGCGGATGGAAGCATCGCCAACACCATCGTTCCAGGTTTCGTTTCTCGGCCTCCGAGCCAACCAGACACTGGCACCCGTGTCAACTTCTCGACTGTGTAGTACCAAATATCAAATATTTACTTGAGGCAAGACAAAAGTGACTCGAACTGAAAAGTTCGGCTTCAAGAGCAGGAAGTCCACCGAGGCGGGTCGTGATGCTTCTCGAACGTTGGATGATTGAGTAGCATTCGCGCCAGGATCTGTGACATTTGAAGCGAGGAGCGTAGCGGACACCATGTCGTTAGAGTGAATTGCTTCGTTGGCGGTAACATTATTGTTCTGTAAGGTGGACTCATTCAAGAGTTTGCTGTAGTGACCGAGTATGGCCGCGTCAATTGCTCCGCACTGGTGTTCGATCAACATGTACGCAAAAGTCGGGTGAGGGATGAATCTAAAAGATATGTCATAACAACCTGTGAGGGTGGAAGGGACGGAGTGGGAAGACAAGAAGGCGGCATCAACAAAATGTCCCTGAGCTCCTCGAAGTCTTCAGAGTCTACATATCCGGGAGCAATCTGACATCGTTTACTGCATAGCAAATACAGGAGCTGCAAAATGTAATGATCAGTCTAGTCTACGAATAGCCTTGAAAAGTAATTGGAACACACAGTAACGATTGCGCCTCTGTCTCGGGTATCTGTGAATATGTTGACCTGCTGAGAAGCACCTCTTGCGTTGCGTTTACATCACACGAGACCAAGGCGACCCGGGGAGTTGTGGCTGGAATTCCACAAGATGCAAACGAGATGTACAACAGACATTGAATAAATGGAACAGGAGAAATCCGAGACCTCGAACGTCAGACCGTAATCATAGCTTCGAATAACAATGCAACACTAGCCGCAACCATTGGATAAACGGTTCTGCGAGAAATGTACTGCAGGTCCATCTTGTCAAGTGGAATTGAGCCCATAACTACCATTGACACTGCGCCCTTCGCCATCGCCGTTGCTGTTGGCTCCGATTAACTGGTAGGAGACGTACGCCTGACACTGTATTTGCCTCCAGGCAAGAGCAAGATTAGGCACAAACGTCCTCCTGTACCCGAATTTGTAGTGGAGTTTACAGGTCGACACCGCTATATTCTATGCGTTCACGCTGATCCAGACAGAGTAGAAAGCGAGCAGAGACAATAAAGCGCAGAAGAGAAGACACGGTTGTAACATAGGAACATCGGGGACAGACTATGGCTGCATCGACTCTGCAAAGCTTACGTGGGGGAAAAGACTCCCGGATTGCTGAATGATAGAGCAGTGGAGAGGCGTTAAGATGAAAATCAAAACAGACAGGAGGAAGGCGTTATACTAGAAATACACTATAAATGGATTCAACGGTAATAGGCCCCATTCACACGGTAAATATTTTATCGATGAGTCTATCAGTACCATTTCTCAGTTCGATAACGGCGACTCTAGATCTTGCAGCAAGTTCCATTTGTCGGTAGTTTCAAGAAAGATATGCTCTGAAACCAATACTACATTATAATCTGATATCGCTATTCGCATTGTCATTCCAGGCACCGCCCGCATGAGTGAGGCCTCCGACAGTTAAGTAAACGCCTGGATGGCTGCACGCCTACGCCTTCGCTCTAGCGAGCGACAGATCTTGGGGCTACGTGTGTTGTCTGATTGTGCAGTTACTCGTGCCGGGTCACAGATCCTGGTAGATGGCTGGCTCTGCGGAGAGGCCAGTAGCTTTGTCGCAACGTTCACTTCGCTCTGGTCTGTCCGAAATATGGGCAGAGTGGTAGTTGGGTTCTCAGGAACTAATGAAATGTGTTCAGCCCACTCGCTATACAGCCTCGCATGCTTGGGATGGTCTGAAGAATAAGGATTAAGTTAAGATGAATTGAATGCATTAAACCATAGAAGAATATGCGTACCAGAGCCGAGTCTGTTGAAAGTGTCACCCTGTGAGATAACCTGAACGGTTTCTGGGCCAGGCTCGGCAAAAAGGCATGGGGTGATACCCAATTCATCATTATGTCCTCGCCGAAGCTCTGGTTATTCGAGGGAGCCAACGATATCGAAAGCCGTCAGCAAGCCAGATTCCATTTACAAGAAATTTGTATATCACCACACTCACCGACTGCAGCGTCGACTTGGCCCTGCCGCTTCTTGGGCTTCCAGAAGTGAATCCCACGCATAATGAGGAGAAGAGGAGGGCGAGTAAAGCACACCGGTCTCACGAGCTGCGATACCTCTGGAATATCAGAAGTTAAGGATGAATATGGCGATAGGAAAGCAGATCATGTCAGCATGATAAAGACACCATCGACATATTTATGAAGGCCTGCAATGAAGTTTGACCTACGGCTGACGTCCGTCTTCCCAGAGTATTGGACTGATTCTGGAATTTGCATTACGTTGGTCGAGATCGAATCACTGGGGCGCGGCCAACGTGTATAGCATCGCATACATATGATGAATTATCATTGATCTCACATTCGCATCCAGGGATTGTGAAGTGACGCTTTGTTGCTTGATAACATCTCCGAAATTTTGTGGTATACCTACCAGTTACAATGGATTTCTTGCCACGTATCTCGATAACATAGCAGAGTTGCATTGCATACCTAATAAGTCTGCTATTAGCCGTTGAGAACTTATTGAAAATGGGATGCAATACATTTTTACACACCAAAGTGCATGAGTAGGAAGTACAGTAGTGACTGATGGATAGAAAGACAAGATTACTAGCGCCTAATGAGGCCTAACGTCGCCATACGCGGGGGAGAAGCGTCTCCTCATCATTCAATCTAATTCCAGCCTCGGCTTCTCGTCTCTGCGTTGACTTCACACCAGCACTTTCAGCCTCAGGCTGAGCAAACAAGGACGTTCCTGGATGAGAAACAGAGTGTGGGACACTGGCAGCGTCGACCGGCAGTCGATTTTTTGAAGATGTGGCGTCGATAACAAGGGTGTCAGAGACCTGCGATATCAGAAACGGCGATGAAGCGCGAGAAGACAGGTATGATGCAGAGTCGATGGCGAGGCGTGCATCCTGATTTGACGACCAGCGGTTATGCTTGGGACCAGTGCCAATACTCTCGCCTGACTGCCTGTACTTTGTAACGAGCCTTGAATCATCTACAATGAACAAGTCTAAGAACGTCGAAATTGTGCGAGCAGACGGGCCACACTAACTAATGTTACCAATCATGCGATCTTCCGATGGACGAGTTTGCATAGTGGATCGTCCATCAGGCATTTGAACGGTCCTTAGAAGTCCATCCTCAAGGTCAGATTGATCGCTCTCATCCAATAAGTCTACAATGGTGCAATCACGTCAACCACGGTTTAATACGCATGAAGTTTCGCGGGTTTATCGTACCTACAGTTGAGAGGGTAGGTCGCCGTCTATTTCTCCGCCACACCCAAAGAGCAGTTGCAATCACAAGTAGTAAGAACAGCACAGCCCCAAGGACAATGAAACCAATCAATTTTGATGAAATGCCACCAGCAGACACCCCAGAGTCAATGTTACCTTGAGAAAATCCCGAAGAAGTGGCGGACAAAGAGTCGATACTATCGGTGATGACTGGCGTAGGAGAGAAAGTGGACGGAGCTAGCGTTGAGAAGGGTGGAGATGAAGACGACGATAAAGATGATGTTGTTAAGGACGGTACAACAGGGATGGTCGAAGAGGCGACAAGAGATGAATCGGTGTTCTCAATGGACGAGAAAGGAAAGGCAGGGTCCGCAATACAGGCCCCTGCGGATAAGAGCGCCAAGCAAGGCCACGATCAATGCAAGGCAGATGAAGCCAGGTACGTGATACTGACTTGAAGGTGAGCTGAAGAATGGACCTATACTTACTTTCCTAGAGAAGATGTCGATGGCAACTATATCAATTGCAACGTCTACATTCTTATAGGCTTAGTCTCTGCCCACTTGAGAGAATAGGTAGCACGTACCACGGCCTACTGCGACCTTCCACTGGAATGCGGTGTCGCCCAGCGTTATCTCCTTACCCAGCACACCATTGAAAAAGCTGCGACTGGTAAGAGTCGCATTTTGCGTACTTGCAAGACCACACTTACAATTGCTAGGAGGCAAAGTAAAAAATGCATGATTAGTTGGGAGGCTGTGAATAAATATGCATCAGGACGTACTAGCTTGTATGGCGCTGGAAAATGCGATCCCTTACAATTAGCATGATGAGGCGGGTGATCATTCACGTACAATTCCCGCCGACGACCAAGATGGGTGCAATCTCACACATATGAAATTGTTCACTACTTGTCCGGCCGCGTGAGTGAGAAAGTTCGGTTGCAAAACGAAACATACTGACAGTGTGCGAATCTCCAATGGTGATGTGTTAGGTGCCCCTCGATGCGATTGTCCCTGAGCGAGTGCCACCATCGCGGTCCAAAAGAGAAGAAGTCTTTGACACCGTGTAGACAGTCGTGGTAGCCATACATCCATCAAGCGCGAAATTATGTGTAGTGGGGACACGATAGTAGTCTACGAGGGCAAAAAGGGTGAGTAACACACAGACGATACGGATGAGAGTTTATAGTGACGAAAGCTTAAGACAATGGTCACTGACGTATCTTCATCTTCCTGATGCCTTTGATTCGTCTACGGCAAAATGATGGTCATGAAAACGAACTGATCGGAGCCTTGTTTTCTTGTTCTGTATGTGCGATAATGTCTCGATGCCATTCTAGTGTAGCTCGTGACACTATAGTCTGCTGTTCTGCTCGGCTAGCGGGGATACATTGGTGCTCGACGTCCAAAGCAGGCCAGTCAGGGCCAGTCGCACGTCCCATTGGTTTTTAACGCCCGCTGTCCCCTCTATTGAGTTAGATTTGGCAAGATGTATCCGACGAAACCGACACACTAGCAAGGCGTCTATTGATGTTTTGTGCTTAGCCATGGGCCAAGACATTGTATGTGACAAGTGGCGCATGCTTGCACGAGGATTGTCTGTCTCGGAGGGCCATGCAGACGTTATCGAACCTTCGCATCGTGCCAACGAACTTGTCTAGAGGGAGGGCAGATGATAAGACATAGTACCAGGATATTCGGCCTCTGCATAACATCTTCACGGACCTCGTAGCTGCCGGGGATAACGCAATTAAGTACGTCAATGCAACACAATACGCACAGATCCATGAATACGGAAATCAACATGATACAACAGCTACTCACTGGGAAGCATCGAGTTACTACGACGAAACCCTCCACATCAGATAATGAGTCTCGCTGGTCGATGCGTAAACACCGATACATTGGTCTAAACGACATTTAAGATCCAGACTCAACGCCTGATATCACCATACGCAGGAGGCAACGTTTCATTATCGTGCACCCAGACATTCTCATTCGGTCCACCAGCCAATCTGACACCAGCATCGGCTTCACGTCTGCTCCTCAAATCCAAAACAGCATTTTGAGGGTAAACAGAAGACGAAGCTTCCGCGACGTCCGATCGAACAACTGAATGTTCCACGATGTCAACCAGTTTGTCGGCGGAGGGAGCAGTCACAGAGTCACTGGCACCGGTAGGTGACTGGTCAGTTGTCAAAGGGCTGACGGTGCGTTCCCTGAGGACAGCTGTGCCTTTGTTAGAGGTATTTGCTCTTGAACCTGAGCGAACTGATCCTGTGGCGATTTGTTCACTGGAGTTGTTGTACATCATCACAAGCTTTGAATCGTCTGTGAACAAAAGTTAGCACAACTGCAGGACTATAAAGAAGACGGAAGAACTGACTAGACCGTTCGTACATGTTTTCCTGTGATGGGCGGCTCGGAGAGGATTCTGGAGCAGGAAACGCAGTGATCCTAGCAGGCTCATCTTCAGTTTCGACTTCCTTTGTCTCATCCAACAAGTCTGAATCAACCACATTAACATGCCATTCGCCATTGCCACGAAATTTAGTACGTACCTATAGCGGCTGCTGAGCGCTGCTTCTTTCGCCTCCAAAGCCAAATTGCAAGTATACCAACAGCGAGCAAAAAGAGTATCACGCCAAGAATTATAAAGCCAATGACTCGAGGTGAGACACCGGAAGAATTACCGTCAGAAGCAGGGTTCGACGTGGCGGCGGGGGGAGGATTCGTAGTTGACGAAGTGGCGAAATCGGTGGAAGATATCCCAGCAGTGAAGAACTGGGAACCGGTCAGTGATTGCGGTGTGATGATAGCAGCAGAAGTAGTAGGTAGGCCGATATCTGCCAGGCCACATAGGCCACCTAGAGGACAACAAATCAATTGGAAATGACTGAGATCAAGACAGAAAGAACTTGCCAGATGGGGAGCTTGTGAAAGTACCGGTGGACACGGTTTCGGCGTATGGAGTAGTGCTGTCAGATACGACCACCTCAATCGGTGTCCCTACATATAACGCCACTTCAGCCAAGATGACATGTAGATAGGTATCCTATGTACATACCGGGTGCAACATCAACAGTCCATGAATATGTATTGTTCTCGGATCCAAGTCGTATTAACTCCTGCCTGTTGCCGTAGAAAGCACTGCAGATACGTCAATCAGCAGGACAATCAGTCAAAGCTTTCAGATGACAGCGCCGTAGTTAAACTTACAATACCTGGAAGGGATTCAAAATGTTCAGTGAAATGCGTTATCAAGGCCGTTTGCGCTGCACATACCAAGTTGTACGGGGCTGAACAAACGTAACACAATCCTTCAACCAACGAACGTGTTGACACTAAAATGAAGATAACATACGTATACCTCCTGTGACCTTGAACTGTACCTGTTGACATAGAGGATAAAATCCACTATTCACACAGGTGAATGGGGCGCAATCGTCTGCCAGAGAAAGTCATGGCACTCACGGAGCACCAATAACCAATGGTATAGGGGGTAGCCCGGACCCAGGGAACATTATATCCTGAGCAAAAGCAAGTTGTGCCGGGGCCAGAAACAAGAAGCAACGAGACAAAACATCCAGCCATGGAGATTGTAGGTCCATTGAGACGACTGCTGATTCACACTTGAGAAGCAGACTTATCGACGTCCGAGTGGGATGCGTTAGAGGGCCCGGGGCAAGAGCACAATCGAGGAAACGAAGCAGAGGTGTATGAATGCGGCTGTTGAACATTGATAGATCCTCGTTTTCTTGGTTTTACGCTAGGTGCATGGCGGGTTCCAGTACATGAAATATTGATGCGCATGCTGATGGGCCGAGTCCCATGGGATAATCCACACAAATACAGAGCTAGCGTGGTGTCGTATTAAATGTGGTATGCGGTGGTAGCTCAGTATGGATCGGCAGATGACGAGTTTATGTTGACAATGAGGCCTGCTCCCCAGGAACAGCAAGTGCTTAGTCGATTGCCAAGACATGCTGAAAACCAAAATCACAGCCGGTACCCTGAATTGTGCCCTTCTACGTGAGCCCGTGTGAGACCGAGTTGAACCAGATAATACGCACCTACAGTATGTACATAATGGCACTTATTGTGGAAGAGTATGCTTATCATACGCAAATGACACAGGCACGCATACCGGTACAATTACGGGAATGTATGCAGTCTGGACTCTGAAGCAAAGGTAGCCTTCTGGGTGTCTCCGTGTGCAGGAAGCAGTGCAGCTGATAGTCGCCTAGCGGGAGTCAACGTGTTCCAGTCTCCGAGATGGTGCAGCGACTGTTGCATCCTCTCCCGCGCCCCACGTATTGTCATCGATGAGCGTGGTTGTGAACATGAAGCGACTACTAAACTATGCAATGCGTGAATGATCGAAGAAATTTCGCAAGCAAACCATGCGCACTGACATCTTCCATCGTATATATTGAGATACACGAAAAAGGTCAAGCTTTTAAACGGGGAACTGTGCGATGTTTAATGTTTCATCTTCAGGAGCAAGGTTCTCCTTTCTTCCGGTGAATCTAAACGTGATAACCGAATCAGCTCAGAAACCCGCAGAGCTCAAAGGTGACATAGTACCGATTGAAGCTCCGAGACGCTACCTCGTCCGTCCTCGTAACCAGAAAGATAGCCAGCAAATCCCCCAGCGCTACGAATCCTACCAGAAACCGATCGACTTTTTCGAAGGGATCTTAGATGCGGAAGTGGGCTCCACTATTACGCTTCCCGATGTTTGTAGGCTCGCTGCTGATAGCCTTGAAGTGGTTGAAGATCCCGGATAATCAAGCGGGTTGCTAGAGTTCGATACAGAAAGTGAAACGAGGTTTGAAATTGTGACTCTGACAGTAGTACATCAGTATGCACTCCCTGCTACACTTTGCAGCCCCCCCATGGACAATCGTACGAGGCTGAATGCCAGTATCAGAGAGAAAAGATATGAAGAATCCACCTACAGGCCAAGGATTGAAACATTATCCTAGATATTTCGGTGGTTCGTACGATGTTCACTATCCATTCGTATGCATTCGTCGGCGCAACTGCTTTTGGGAGCAGGCCATTCATCTGGCTGCCAAATGTTAAATTACTGGAACCTGCTATACTTGTTGTGACTACAGGACACTCCCATACTCTGCAGGCACGGGAGATGTGGTGTAAAGTTTTATAATGAATAAAGAGCTTAGCTCAGACGTACCACATGATACAGTGCTAGACATGTCCAGACGCGGTGTCTTGGCACACCAGTGAATTTGGTCCGAGGGGAACAACGAAACACTCGAGGATGACAACTGAAAGACGCTAGCCGCCACGAACGTAAGATCAAGAAGGCGAAACATAGGAACATGAGAGACGGGAGAAGCAATTGTGTGCGATCAAAACTATAAAGAAGGTGGGGCTTCCGGTGTCGACAAATGCGACAAGGTTGATAGGGAGTGAGGACTCGGAGTATAAGAGATGGGCGGGCAACAGTCGCTCGGCAGGTTGTCAACGATTCGGAAAACGAAAGGTCGAAGATTGTGTTCATTCGATTGCAACCGCAAGAGCTCGATCCCATGGGGTCCATAGGTGGCTTAGATTAAAAAAGCATCGCTCATTCAGTAGTAATAGACCACGGCTAGCCATTCAACTATGTTGGCAAGGGACCTCGGAGATACAGGCAGTCCCTTGAAGACTTTCCTCTAAAGACCTGTGTGCAAATGGTTAAGCGCAATCGGACCAGCATCAGACATTTATTTCAAGATGACAAGGAAAGCAGAGAATTCTAGCTTGCGAAGAGTTTAACCCGTTAGTTTGTCGCTGCTAGTCTAAAGGCGTCGTTTGAAGTTAATTGTTGATGGCCAGTGATACCTTGAAGTAGAGATCCCATTGAATAGAACATGCCAGATCTTGGAAGTCTGTTGAACATGAAGTTGTAGAGTGACCACCAGAGTCAACATACATACAGTGTATAAGAGAGCCATTAGGGTCGCAGACGCGCTTCCCGCCACCGACGCCTGAGCACGTGTCTCAGCCAATCACAAAGGGGCGGAGAGTGAATATTTCATTTTCAGGCTCTTCGCTCTCTCATCGTCGTCGTTGTTTCCGGTCACTTACCACCGTCCACCACCTCCTTCACCCATGGAATCTCGCAAAAGACTGCGTACAGATGATTCTGACGCTCTTCATGGTGCGAAGAAGAGAGCTCTCGCAAGTCCGAGTAATATTGACTCTCCGGGATATCTTAATGGCGCTCTTCCTGCCACAACCGACACCGACGAACCCAAAGATAGTGACAGCCTTGAAGTGAGTTCAATTTCCTGTAGTTTTCGACAGGTCTCTAACGTTTCTTATGTATTAAGATGTTCCGCAAAGACGCCATCTATAGACGAATGAAACATTATTCGCGAGAGAATGAAAGGAGTCAGGCCAAGATAGTTGAGCTGGAAAGACGACGAAGTACATGTGAGGCTGGCTTAGCTGCTCTCGAGGCTTGCTGGACTCAGGTACATACGATCGGACATGATGATTATGTAGTTTCTGCTAATGCCGTGCAGCTGGTAGATACCATTCGTTCGGTCGTCCACAGTGACAGTCTTCCTCCAGTGGATGTGGAAACGCAAGGTAATGATTTCTCTTTGCTCGCATTGTAAGTCCGCTGATTCATCTCTCCATAGACATATTTGACCTCTCAGCTCATGTCTCAGAAGATTCGGACTCTACCTACGTAGATACATTACGGACTAAAATGCAAGCCACTCAACAGCTTGTCACAGCATTTGTTCAGTTGGGTGCGAAAGGGGATTCGGGATTACTCCAGGATGAGATGTATAGGCGATGCCAGAGAGCTCAAACAGAGGTGCGAACGTGTCGATCTATATAGCGAAAAATTGTTTCTGACTGTCCCTGTGTAGTGCACTTCACTCCGCTCAGAAGTCTCTCTTATACGTGCCAAACTACGTAATGCAGAAGAGGAGAAAGAACGCTTACATGAACAGCTAATCGCTGCTGAGAAGCGCGTAGACCGTTTGCAATCCAAGACCATAGCAGCGCTGTATCCACCTCAAGGGTCTGCATCACCGCCACCGCCGAGCGACAAGGAGCAGCATGTAGCAGTGAAGGACGAGTCATCCCCACGAGATTCACCGTCCTCTCCAGCAGTGAGTGGTTCGGTCCTAATTGGTGGGAGTTTTCGACCATTTCTGATCATGTTCCTTTGCCTCTAACTTGTCTTTAGCCCTCCGGATCGCAACCTCCACCTGTTGTAGTTAATGGCACCGATGATTCGGCTGATGATTGGAAGGAGATTGCGGAATTGCGGGAGGCGAACATCGAACAGCTTCGCAAGGCGAAGTCAGAATTAACGGACGAAGTCACGTCGCTTCAAATCAAGGTAGGCGGATATTCACACCATAAAGACTTTCAATGCTCACTTTTTGATATTCTATAGATGAGGATACCTCCGGACGATTTCATCCAGCAGACTCATGTATACAAAGTACTTGTTGATGAAGCGTCACGTATACACCATGATAAAGCGGAGCTGATCAAGGAGGTTGAAAAGTCGAAAGCAGAGATAGAGAACCTCCAAGTCACTCACGAGAAAGAGAAGGCAGACCTTCAGGTAAGTTCATACGTTCTGTAGTCTCATTTCCCGCAGGTTGACAAGGTCATCGTTAGGCGGCGTATGACAAGCAAGTAAGCGAGTTTGTTGCCATGGGTAACAAACGCGATACCGAGATATGTCGTCTTCGAGATCAACGAGATCAACAGCTCAGCGAATTGAACGAAAGGAAGCAGAAAGACAATGTTAAGATAGCTTCGCTCAACGAGTTCAAATCACTCGCTGAGTCCCGTGGTGTAAGTCTTACCCAATAAGCTAAAAGTCGTGTTGTGACTGACCTAGATATCCCCAATAGGATCGCATTAAAGTTCTAGAATCTGAGGTTACCAGGCTGAAGACACGATTGGCCGCCGAATCGGGAGATGAAGATCTTATGACGTTCCTATTCCAACATGGTGCTGAGGAGATGTCCTACGTGGAAGACCTGAGGCAGAAGCTTCGGTGAGTTCTTGTCTTCGCGCCGAGCTCGCCCAGTTCTGTGCTTACCTATGCCTTCGCCAGTGCTGCCGAGGATCGTGCTACTTCATTAGAGCAGTCGCTCTCATTCTTCCAAGAGGAACACCCAGACGTTGTTCAGCATATGCAACGTGAAGTGGAGGCTAAGCAGGAGCTGGCGGAGGTTTCTCGACAGTTGAAGGAGTACCGTTCAACGTTGTCCAGTTTGCCACCCGACTTGCAGTCTTTGACAGAGCAACTGAAGCAGAAGGATGAGGAGATTGAGCAACTGAAATCGTTGGAGAAGCAGCGGGAACAGGTGTGTAGAATGTTTGTTTGTTTCCATACCCACAGATTTGATGATATCTGTCAATCTAAACAGGCTGAATCCTCGCTGTATGCCGAACTTGACAGACTTTCGGCTGCATGGGAGGCCCTCGATCGACAGGTCAAAAGCAAAGTATTTGACCTTTCTGCGATGGAGGAGCGTGTCGTGAAGGTTGGCCTCGATGTACGTCGCCAAGCAGTTCTTCAACTTTGCTGACCACTGACTTGATCAATACTGGAACACAGAAAGCGAAGTCTGAGAACAAGTTCTACTCCGCGATGCGAGACAAGGAAGCTATCGAGAACGAACGCAAGAATCTGTCTCGTGGTTATGAGAAACAAACTAAGCTCATCGAGAAGTTCATGGAGACGGAGAAGAACTTGCACTCGCAGATCGTGAGTCAATCTTTGGGCAGATTGTTAGAGGCCTGCGTGATCTTACCCCCTCTTGTGACAGTCGACTCTGGAGAAGGAAGTCTCCCTACTCAAGAACGCATTGGAGGCACAGAAAGGCCACGTCAAGCTCATCGAACACGAGATTTTAACGTGGAAGACACGTGCAGAGGGGGAGCGGAAACGTGCTGACGATGTGAGTCTCTCATGTGCCGCATGCCCTTGCACGAGGTACTAACGAAACCAATGCCTGTTACAGATGCGAGCAATGTATATCGATCGAGAACATACACTTGAGCGGCAACGCGCAGACTTCAGGAAGCAAGAGGAGTCATTAGCGAAAGTGAAGAGGGAGACAGAGAAGCTGAACGCTAAGCTTCGTGCTTCCGAGAAGTCGCATAGCGGTAGCACTAGCTCGAGGGAAGCTCAGTTGAGAGAGGAGGTTGAGAAGTGCATGGTGCGTAGATTCCCTCTTGGCAGCGTTGTGGATCTGATACTGACTCATGTGCTCAGACTCTACTGCAATGTTCAACGTGTAAGATGAACATGCGTAATACTGTCATCACGAAGTGCATGCATTGTGAGTCCTCAACCCCATCGACATTCCACATTATACTGACTTCGTTCTGTGTACAGCTTTTTGCAGGGCCTGTGTGGACAGCCGAATATCAAGTCGACAGCGCAAATGCCCTGCGTGCAATCTTGGATTTGCTCAGAGCGATGTACAACAGCTCTTCTTTCAGTGACCTGGTCTTCGACATTTTTTACTTTATCGTCCTCATTTACCTTGTCTGTTTGTTTTCCTGGGTTTTGTCGTACTCTCTTGCAGATCTTCTTGCATTTATTTTATGCTCACGTCACGTTGCGAATACATTGTCTCGTCTAAGCGTGTAATAGAGATCCTGAAGGAAGTGATATAATCCACACGAGCAAACCTCGTCTGAGGAGGATGCTCGCATTGGACCGTGAGGCGACATCTCGTCCTACGATAGCTAAGTACTAATACACCCGATCAGCCTATTTATTATACAGTGCCTTTAACGTTATTACATCCGCAAAGCTAGGTACACAGAATGGGAACCAGTTCAAGAAACAACGGCGACGGCGATGAATGAAAATTGTAATTATGACCCACATATCAAGGTTCCTCGAGTTAATGCTTTAACGTGACCCTCATCGAAACTTCATCTCCCACTGCTGCCGGAAGTCTCTCAGCCCATCCAACCTGAGCGACCGTTTAAGAAATTTCTGGAAAGCACTTTCATAACGTGCAATGATGGGATACTGCTCGGAACCATGTCCACGAATGTTCAAACAGAAGCGTTCAGCCTCGTGCTCTGGGATTGGCGAATGTCCCGCCCACTCGTATTTCTTCCGACCCGTCCCAGAGACAGCTTTCTCTTTTGTAAGTTTTGCCTGACCGCCGCTGCGAAAGGAAGCCTCTGTCACGAGATCCATGAAGATGGCCAAGTGCAAGGGCTTGTACGTATGTCCATTTGGTAGCCTGATGAAAGGGCAGACGAGGGTATTGGCGTTTGGCGAGAGGGAGATCTTGACTCGGGCTTTGATTTGTAGTGGTATGATAATGAGGTTCTCGTGACGAAAATCTTCAGTTGCCAGTTTGTCTTCTCCCTCACAGTAATATCCAACCATGAAGCCGTCCATCACTGGCTGCTTAAACGAGCATTGAACAGCAGCAGTCCGCGACCACAATTCTGCCAACTCCTCCGTGGTTATGCACGAGATATGTTCGTCAACTTGTTTAAAGTGTGTGAAGTTGAGCCATACATGAGAAGCCCATTTTTTCAGGTCATCAAAGGTTGATGACTGGACTTGATCGGTCTGACATCCCAAGCCCAGTCGTTCACCAACTAGCGTCGTGAGTAGATTCCAAAGGGTCACAGGCCTAACAGCCTTGGTGAGCTTGTCACCGGGCCCGTGGGTGACCCGCACAAACTCGTCGACTAGAGGTGAATCCACGTCCCTCGGCAGAGTTGCGAAGTCCCGAGCTATGGTGAGCAGAAGTCTGTAAGATAGTTCACCCATCAAGCCGGTGTCAACGACAGTCCCCTCCAGGACAAGCTTGTTCAAGAGAGTCTTCACGGCCTCATCGTAGGCAGCAACGTTGGCATTCATTTGTTGTGCGGCTGCGATAGCCAGCATCGGTTCGGACGGTGCTCGCGTGATAGCCACGTCGTTAACCACATCGATGAGCAAACGCATGCGGCTTTTGACAGCCTCGAGAGCCAGGTGGGTTGAAGCCTCATTGTTATGTGCTAGCTCTAGAAGGATGCGCTGAGAAAACGCGGCAAAAATATCTTGTTCCGTGTCCTGCAGTTGCTGTACGTCCCAGGATCTAAACAATTTTCTCTGAGCTTCTGCCGGTAGAAGTTCTGTGGGTAATGTTGCCCAATACTACACATTTGCTCAAAACTGTAACGTAAATTTCAATTGTAAAGCCAACGTACAGGACGCCCATAATATTTCAGGTTCGCCAAAAGGTGGGCATCCCCTGGATGTTGTAGGGGAGGCTTGTCACTGATCATGTCATCGAATGAGATAAATGGCCAGACTGCAAGCGGCCTATATAATTCGTTGGATAGGCGGTACGAAGGGGCCGGTTTCCCTTGAGGAGCGAGGTCGAATATGATTGAGCTTGTGTCGATCAGGAAATGCCAGAAAGTGAAGCCATCCAACTCTGCATCATATTCATCACCCGATTTGATGATATGCTGCAAAGCGATAACCGACATTCTGCATTCTGGGAGCTGGATTGATGATTGCGCTACTATGGGACTTGCCCTGAAACCAGTGACATGATTCAGATAGTTGGCTTCGTCGAAGGCTATAATGAAGGTTTCGTATCCCAACCGGCGTAGTTCCTCCGCGAGCGCCTTTCGCCGATCATGGACAACATCGAGGTAAAGCTGTCTATACCAGATGAACAAAGACTCTGCAGAACTAGCATTTGAAGAGCGAATATCCTTGATACGTGAATATGTATCATGCAAGATCTGTTTGCGAACATCAAATAACTTCTCAAAATGAGCATGCCGTGAGTTGGAAGCAGAAACAAACTGATACCAATCGGACGGCAAAGCCCACTCAGACATCAGCTCTACAGGGTCAACGGGTGCGACCTTGCCCTTCAGCGACTGTGTTACAACAGTAAGAAAGGCTGCATAGAATACCGCCGCCATCTCTTCTCCCTTGATAAATATAACCATTGTAAGAAAATTTGGGGAATCACAGAAAACATTGCATACTCTGAAGTCGCCGGGCAATCCATCGGAAAAGAACCTCACAGCAGGTATGTCTCGGGGAGGCCAGCCCGATGTCGGCTCGTCATCAGCACGGAAGCAGATCGACACGAGTGGGATCTAAACGATAAACCATTCAATATCTCAGATGAAATGAACGTCAACATGTACGAACACTTTTAGAGAGCTCATGGACAGCTCTAGACTTTCCCGTGGCGCTGGAGTTGGTGATAGCAATGATACGTCCGTAGTCAAATTTTGGGTCGTATTTTGTCTTGTAATGCTCTTCCAAAGTTCGGCATAAGTTACTAGCAGTACTGCCCTTGTAGTCACAATCAAATGCCTTGCGCAATTGATTATGAATCCCTTCTCTAATGGAATCTCAGCCAACAAAGTAAACGCCAGGAGGAAGAGACGTACGCAGGAATAAATGTTCCCTCTCGAATGACTGGCGATGTCACTTGAAATTAATGACTGTCAGCGCATAATTCACGACTGCCATGAACACAAGTAAAGGACGGACCGGGATAGGCCTCAGCTACAACAGCCAGCCAGTCTTTATTAGCATATACCATTGCCAGAAGTTGAGTATCCTTCACAAGTCTCTTTCGTCTCTTGCCATCTTTGAACATTCGATTCCAGAATCGCGTATGCAGGGAATCAGGGTCAAGGTTGATCTCCTCCACGACAGATGCCACAGCATTAAAGCATATGTTCAACCCTTGGCCCATAGCGCTACGCTGGTCGTCCTCGATACTCGAAGGATCATATCCAAGCGGCTGGGCTTTTCTGACGATGGTACAAATAGCGGAGAATGGTGCTTTGATAACCAAGAGGGTACTAGGATGGATACCAAGGTTGTGGGCGACGTCGTCATCATCAATTTCCATAGGAATAACGGACATCAGGGAGATGATAAGATTGTTGAGGGCAAATGCTCGGAGGACACTGCCATGGGGCTTTCCAAGTGACTAAGTATATGTAGACCGTCTTCAGACGACTCGCAACTTATAGGGGTTCCCTTCCCCTGCTTCTGCGGTGGAAGAGTGTCGTTCAACCATATTGGTACTGTCCCGCAGTAGGATTTCGAGACTCTTGTCACGGCCGCATGATTCGACGACGTGTCTCGTGGTTGTCGTTCCATGTGCGCCTACTATGTATACCACGTTCCTTGTCAGTACACCTCTCCGCCTTTTCCTCATGTTCGCATTCATGTACCTCCTACCCCGTGCCGTTTTGTCTGTTTCCTTCAGCCTTGACCATGCATCTACGGACCGTTTACTAGCCTCTCAGCTCCCCGCTTTGGCCAGATTTTTCTCGCCACGCCACGAGACTCTCCCATCTGCGCCTTGAAATAACTTCAATGCATTCATAGACGTCTCAGGACGCGTTCTGTGCCTTTTCGAACACGCGGTGGAGGTTTCTTATGACCTCCGCCCACCGTTCGCCAGCCGAAAGGAAGTACGTCAAGCACCGCTCTGCATCATGATGTGTACCCATTATGGGCCCGCGACTTCGATGTTAGCGTTGGCGGGGCTCATCGCGAGCGTATTTAAAGCACACCTCTCGTGGCATGCGTCGTAAGTGCTCTTTCTTTCTTATCGACAATGCGGGCCCAGCTGTCTCTCGCGCTCTTGTCCTCGTCACTCAGTGTCTCAGCCGTCAATGTATCTGTTTCGAGCACTCCGCCTGGAACGTCTCAAAACTTATTGTCTACGCTGTTGTCTTTCTCTATTGAGCAGGACAGATGGCCCGACTGGACTGGTATTGACCGTCGCAATCAGTTTACATTCAACGCGCTTGACAATTACGCTCAACTGACTGGAACGCCGTCCAAAATTAGGGTGGGTGCAGATTCTGAGGACCATACTACTTGGTCCCCAACCGTCACTGTGAGCTAATAATAGCATCTGTCGCTGCTCCATTGCTGAGATCGCCCCGTTCAGATCAATTCGGACTCGTTCCCCCCACCTAACAGTGTAACGCCGTATCCAGAGGCTACCCAGATTGTTGTTGGTGATGGCTACTACCAACTCTCCAAGTTCCTCCTGCCAGGTTTGTCTTCGTGAGAGTCATTTTATTATTACGTTTGATCTCACCTTTTCGCGACGTTAGGCACGCATATGACTTGGGGCGTGAACCTCGGCCTGGATAATGTCACTAATGCTGTGAACATGGCAAAATCAATTGTCAAGGCGTTCGGTGCCTCCGCCGTTAAGGCGGCTGGAGTGACTTTGGATATGATCGAAATTGGTACGTGTGTACAAGGCCTCATGAAAGCCTATTGGTTGAATGGGCTTAATTAAGGAAACGAGGCTGATCTCTACAAGAACAATGGTTTGCGGCCATCTAATTGGACTGTCCAACAATACGTAGTCGACTGGGAATCCCTTGCTGGCCCAGTTTCAGAAGCCGCCGGTCTGAGGCGGGGTGGAGTGACCTTCCAAGGAGCTGCATTCGCTGGAACAGGTTTCACTCCGAGGCAGATTTTTGACTTGGGTATCCTCGATGGCACTCCCGGAAAGCTTATCACGACGTACGTGCGGCTTTGTTCTTGTCTTCTCTCCTTGAAGCGATGGCTAATGCAGAAGTACGTCATGTACAGAATATCTCAGCATCGTTACTCTGGAGCATTCTGCAGTGGCGGCGACTTTGCTTTGAGCTCGTTCATGAGCAAAGCCTCCGTGAGATCTAATCTCACGCTATGGCTGCCTGACATAGCTGCCTCGAAGCAACATGGATTGCGTTACATTTTGGGGTGAGCTCAAGTTTTTTTCGGGTTATCAATTGTACATGCATGGAGTTACTGATGAAAATTATAGTGAAACCGGAAGCATTGCATGCCATGGTGCACCCGGCGTTAGCAATACGGCAGGTGCTGCGCTTTGGGTTATCGACTACGCATTGCAAGCTGCCACTCTTGGCATTGAGGAGACCTTCTTCCACGAAGGTATCGGATACAAATACAACTTCGTTAGTTCACATTTTGTTGAACTGAAGGATTGTTGTTAATACGCCGTTGCTCATCTATTAGTTCCAACCCATCAGTCTCAATCGCTCCGTTGTCGACGGTTCTCCACTTGACCCTCCTCAACCACCCCATGTCATGCCCAGTTACTACGCTGGGATCGTCATCAACACTCTCATTGGCCAAACCGGATCTGCCAAAATCGTCGAGCTCGTTGTCCCTGACGATAATGTCAGCGGGTATGCCGTATACGAGAAAAACGTTCTCAAGCGTGCAGTCTTCGTCAACTTTCACGCCTGGCTCTTGAGTTCGACTGGCACTCGTCCGTCAGTTCACCTCGACTTGTCGTTTACGTCCGGATCTGGTGTTAAGAACGCAACGGCGAAACGACTAGTCATTCAACACGCGGATGATACTCAAAATCTCACCTTTGGAGGCCAGAGCTATGAGACTAGTGATGCTCGTGCTGGCGGGAAGATCACGCAAGAATCCGTAGATATTAGCAAGGGATTGGATTTGCTGGCGACTGAGGCGGTTCTACTGAGTTTCTAAGTTTTCAGGTCTTCATTGTCACTGCGATACCCGTTACCCTCGCTTTCATGTGTGATACCGATATCATGCTGCTAGTCTGTTATCAAATTCAATGACCTATCTTTGGACGTCCGCCATTTGAATAGCTCATCCGATGGCCAAAGTGTGAACCTTCCACAACATTGGTTTCTTCATCGGACCATCCGTCATAAGATTGGTGTATGTTCAAGTTACAATAAGGAAGGGAAATAATTGAACTGGAATGTCAACCATGATTCTGCGCAACATGTAAAGGATCGGAGACCTGAGACTCTCGGTCCTGACAATCTTGACATCCGGCAGGTGTACTGGAATGTTCTGAACGGCCTGGAAGAGGTATGTGGGCTTCACGTATATCGTAGGGGGGGAGAGGGGGGGGGGGGTAGCTCCAGATATCCTTGGATGTCGTTTTCGGCTGTACGCAGTATTCGAAAACCCACTTTGTATCGCTGAGCGCTGAAGGATGGAATAGGTTGCGCACTCCGGTGAGTCTCGTCCAGATACCGCAGTCGTTCTTTAGTAGAAAAATGTTGACGCCTTGCGACTCATACAGAGAAAATCATAGCGAAATCCGAGCGTGTCTCTACTTGTATGATATTCCCGACCGCTGTCTCTAGACCGCGTGATCTTCAAACAGACCCAGGTGTTTGCATTTAATCGGTCTCAAGAAGGTATGCCGCCAGTAACTTGTTTTCCCCCCTCCCCACCGACTACCCTGTAGCCTTCAAGACATGCGTAAGACATCCCTCCAAAACACCAAGTTTATGAAGCTGAGGAAACATCTCCCATATCTTTGGTTGGGATGGCCCCTTGGTAAATCCAGAAAGAGTTGCTCTGATTGTGAGTTTGGTGACATCCATGTTGAGAAGTGCAGGCTCCAAAGTATTGGTGTAATCCAGCCCTGCTTCCACTTGATCCAACTCTACCACAAGATTACCAGTCCTGATGGTTGCAAGTGTATCCAAGTACCATGATAAAGTCTCCTCTTGGAAGACTCTATACAGGTCCAATCTTAGATGGCTCAGCTTGTAGTTGTGCTGCAAATCAAGAGCTGAGATCATGTTTAGCTTTCAAAATAAATCTGGAATTGAAAGGATAATTAAACTCACCATAATTCTTGGGTTGCTCACCTGTGGAGTCTATCCATGTTACACTAGCAGTTGTCAAGGATAAATATTTGAGTGTTGGGCCACAGGCTTTCAAGAAGTCATTCAAGCCATGGATGGCATGACTTGAACACCTTGTCATGGTTATATGGAGGGTGTGGAGAGTGTTGGGGGTATTGCTACTCTGGATGAGATAGCTAAGAAAGGCATGGCTATCACTGGTTCCTGGTTCCTGCAATTCCAATTCACATAAACTGGGTCCTAGCTTTCCTTTGCAGATTTTTTTGAATTGGACAGGTGAAGTAAAAGGAGGAATTTGTATGATTTTGAGCTTCTTGATCCCTGGGAAGCCATGGACCAGTCTCAGAAATTGAGAGGCAGGGCCTTCCTCCTCCACATATGAATCAATGGAAAGCTCTTCAAGCACTGGGCGGAGGTGCCTGCATGCTCTGGTGACATCTAAATTGAAGTCACTAAACTTCTGTCCTAAAAATTCAAGTGACAGAGTTCTGAGATTGGGGAACTTCACTGGTGGAAGTATGCAGCTTGAGATCTGTCCTTTACCAGGAAAGACACATTCCAGAGTCTCGATATACTCGGCATTCTTTGGTCTGAGGTGCAACAAGGTCCGGGTGAGCTTCTGAGTTTGCGCTGTATTCCGGATCTTGATATCCCTGTACAAACACCCCCTAGCGTAGGGTTCCCAAGCACTGCATGTTAAACAACAAGCATAAAGGGTGATTTGCTAAGGAGGAAAGCGGACATCAATATTAGGTTATCCAAACAGAGATTCAAGATATACATACCTTCATCTGGCCTGCGCGGAGCCAAAGGTAGTAGCCGTTCACTATCATATCGAAGACAGCGTGCCAGACTTCCAAGGGAAGATATCATGTATTACAATTTCATTCTGAGTCTGCCATCTTGGATGACTTTCCTTTTAGTCCTTTTGGAGACGGTTTGACAGTCTCAAACTCACCAACCTTGAGGGAATATCGTGATGGTCGAATACCAGCAATCGCTGGAATTCGTCGAATATCAAGAGATGTTCAGCGAATGAATCGCTCTAGATCTGCAGCGGCTGAAACATTCGATTATCATGATAGCCGATGATCCTCGTCCTGTTCTTTCTCCACATGCCTTAAGATACCATTGACTGTTCTTGATTCGATGACAACAGCTCCCATTTAAATCTGACTGTAAACAATTGTCATGAAGAGATGATAGCGTACAGCCTGGAAACATCCAGCCAGATGACTCAGTGAACCGTCAAAGCATGACCTCATGACCTCCTCGAACCGGCTGAACTCATCTCTTACCACATAATAACTGCAGGTCAATCAAAGTAGAAAGCTATACAAGTAGTACGAGAGATGCCAACACTTCCTGTTGGCGATGTTGATCCTTCGCACTGCTAGAGTACATTCTTTCACCGTCACTCATTCCGCGAACGAGGCTGGGAGGACGTGCATACTAATGCAACGATTCGCGGCCTCGAAAGTCATCGCTCTTGCAAACAGAGAACCAACCCAAGACAGGTGTTCATTTGTCATATGGACCTCCTGGAATGAATGTGGCTCTCGAATGGTCTCGGGGCGTCATGCCTTCTATTCGCCATACCGTCTGCAACCTGTATTGAGAACTCACCCTTATCTCATTATTTTCTCCATGCACAGACCCCTCGCCCAAACCTACACTGTTCCCTCACAAAATTGTCCCTCCCAACCGCGCCGCACTTGTGAAGAGTTAATATGGTCTGATGAGTATTGATGATCAACAGCGTGGGTCGACAGGGTACTGAAGATGCTTGACGGGGAGAGGGTGCTGAGGGCGAATGATCTGGGCATGAATGTGGCGGCACGATGGTGTTATCGTTGTCCATTCAAATGACTCTGTAAACAAAGTTCCGGCATCCCATAGCAGCATTCACTATGCAAAGCATGAAAGCTGCCCCCGGCAACCTCAAGTAGTCTCCAGTACGCAGACCAATGACGGGTCTTTTGAGGGAGGGAGAGATGACCCGTATAAAGGTCTGCTTCAATACGCGCCCCTCATACCGTTGCAGTTCATTAAGGATTAGCGCTCAAATGCCGGGTGATCGCCAGGCTTGCCGGATGATCGCCAGGCATGCCGGATCAATGCCGGTGGCTGCAAAAGTGGCTGAGGACACTTGATAGAATTTTACGAGCTACCACCATGTATTGTCTACAACCGCCTCAAGAAACAACTTGTTTCTACTGTCCCAACTGCATGGTTTTGCTCCCAGCATTTTTAGGTTCACCCGTGCAAGTTCAGACCTCGACTCCTCAGTCTTCGATCCCACAGAGAGATCTGTTCTCGCCGCAACTTGTCCATGGTTCGTTTGGATCCCCAAGTACCCCTACGGCAACCAATTATGCAACGTCAAGTCTTTCAAGTTATTTAATTACTCCTACATCTCTTCAAACTGTCCCCATACCTGTGACACCAAGAAAGTCCTCGAATCAGCAGTTTCGAGACCCAGAAAATGTTGATCCATGCACTCCAACAAAATCTCCTATAAAGAAGCGCAGGAGGAGGAGCCCATCACAGAAGTTAGATGATATTCTGCATACCATCAAAACTGCTCACTGGACTCTAGGCCAATTCTTGTGGTTTCTCTTCCATGTCCGAGGGGAAAATAATGAGAAGATATGCCATTTTAAAGGTCATGTGAGAGCCGTGTCTTACTTTCTCTCAGGACGGGATAAGAATGGCTATACCCCTACCCTCATCATCCATGACTGGTTTCGTAGTGCAGATGGTTGTGTTGCGCCTGATTCTGAAGAGTCAGGACTCATGTACTCTACTACAATGCCATATACTCAGATTAAAGGTGTTCGGACTGGTCTTTCATCCTTTGCAGCACAAATTGTTCAGCGGAAGCTTGTCCGAGAGGCTGAGAATGCTGTCAATCCAAATAATGGCCTACACTCTTCTCGGTCAAGCCCAAACTGCCGGAAGAAACTCCAGTGGACAGATATTGGTGCTGCTACTCTGCCTCACATTGAAAAAATCATACGAGAGCATCAGCCATTGACGGTGTCACTCTTGCTTGCAGTTGCTGACAGATCTCATATGCGAGAGTCTTTAGTCAAAAGAGTACAGACATACCGTCCACCAAATATGGTCAGTTCAGGCCGGCATTCTTTTGACTTCATGGAGGAACTGTTCTAACAGAACATGCATAGGTCATCACACATGCTATCAGTTTTTTCGATTATTGTCGGACTAATCGAGCCAACTTGCTTCCCATGACTCGGGGTCTATTGTACTTTGCTCTGTCTGCACCAATCGACCTCTTCCACTACAACTCACGAGTTGTTACAATGCCCAGCTATAACACTACATACAAGACTCTCGAGGACATGGCTAGATATGAGGCAGAGCTTGTCTGTGCTCATGGCCGCGACCCGAACACTGCAGGGAGCATATGCGCTGACAACGTCCAAAACTACTTGCTGCAGCGTGATGCTCGGATTGGACGCGAGAATACAATCAATATAGGAATCGCAGCAACATACATCGAGGCAGTTGAGATGGACATGAAGGCATTCAGTTTGGAGGAGAAGCGGAGGTGTATTGCACAGAATCTACGGAAGGACGTTTCAGTCGAGGCTCTTCGTGACCTCATTGATAGACGACACTGGGAAAATATTGGCCTCCTTCACTGGCTTCGAGTGCTTACGCACTATGTACCGGAGGCTTCGATTCACAAGGAGCATGTCTCGCTTCTATTTCGGACACGATGTAAGAAGCAGACAGTTCCAGTTCAAGCCTCAAAGATCCATCCACTCGCAACCAGTGGGAAGAACGAGACAATCATCACTGAGCTGAAGGATGCCCTTGTTGACCTCCTGGCGCAAATTGGCCAGCAGCGTGATGATCACCTGCTCGATCGTATCCTGCTCTTAGCTGGAGATGGTCTTACGTTTGAGAAGATTCTTCTTCTCAAACAGTTGCTGCAGTTCCATGATAATGACTTCGACACACTATCATTCATTCAGGCAGTACTTGCAATGTGGCACACGGGGTGGACTGATCTGAATCGGCTCATCGAGTCGCACTGGGGAAAGCTATCCTCACACGATCCATCAACACTTGCTCACAATGCGGCAAGAATCAAACGTCCAACTCCTTCGAACCTGAAGAAGGTTGACTACAATTCCGGTATTGACCTTGTCTACCTTATTCTTGATGCTCGCATGCTGGATTGTTGGCGGTATGATGCTATGAACTATCCTTATGTTATGTCTCTAATTGTACTATCTTCTAGGTTATACTTCGGTCAACAAGATATATTTGAGTATTTCAAGAAACTCTCCAATGAGAAGAAAGTTCCCGCATTTGAAGATCTGGAGGTGGCTGCGAGGAAATTACACCGAGCGTATTCAAGTGTTCGTGGAGTTGAATATGCCACAGCTTCTGTCGAAGGTACTCAGGGTCATCAGGCTGCATGGCATCGAACAGTTCCCCTTGGATCTCCTTGGACACCACCCACTGCATTCGACAAAAGTACATGTTCCAACTCGGACAATACTCAGCAGAGAACTCGGAGCAATTCACTGCAACCAAGACCGCTTAAACGAAGGCGAACAGAAGATGAAGAGACTGAAACAGATGATTCGCCGTTCACAGGTGATCGCTGTCTTATGCAGTCAATTGTCTTCATGAGAGATGCCCTTGTCTCGCGCGAGTTCACATATGCATTAGCAGAGGGTGACGTTGGTCGAGTGTACGAAGCACTAAAGATGAGCGTTATGAAATGAGGTATCTTCAATGTCAAGCCTACTGAAGCTGGCATTACACTGCACTGTAGATCATGCTCTTCACGTTTGCGGGATCAAGCCACTCAAAATATACGACATACCTCCTAGAGTTCATCATCGATCTGGAGTATGAATCTACTCCAGAGCTTCGAGCTGCTGTACTCAACAGTCTGGTGGTCAACTTATCTGGAAAGGGAGGACATTTCTGTGCTGCGGATTGGCTTCAGGAACGTAATAACAGAATCATCCAGATGATTGCAGAATGAAAGGGGGTTCAATACAATGCAAGATACCTTCGCAATGTCGTATCTCGCAATGTCCACCACCTTTCACGTCTCCTGGATGATATTCGCAGCGGTGTTGACCTAAAGGATCACTCTGCTAAGCACTGCAAGCCGCACGAAAATGCCGAGCTCACAATCCTCTTGCAAATCTTTCGTAGTGAGGAGATCCACTCACGACGCCCTGGTCGGGCATACGACAAAATCATGGATGCCCGAGATGTGGATAACTATCGCAGTGGCCTTGACAATCTACGTAATGGTCGGCTACAGAGGTTCATCACTGAAACCTTACATTTTCGACATTCCGATACCACAAGCTCCGATGGAACTGCATTGCTCGCTGACCTAAGTGAAGCTCTTATGGAGGAAGACTCGGAGGCTTCCAGTTTGCTGGATCCTTATAGCATGTGTTCTGTTCACTTGGAAGATGGAACACTCGTCGTTACGAATGACGCATTAACAGACAGAGAGATAACAATGATGATTGGTGAACTAGAAGGTATGCAAGCACAGGACAATGACAATGGTGATGCCGAAGATGAAGATGAAGAGAACGAGGATAGTGATGGATATAGTGACAGCGCCGATGAAGATGCCTTGGAAGAGGTGGAAGTGGACCCACAATCGATGGACCTCTCTGACAATGAAGGAGACGGGGCTTGACTTATTTGTGTTTCCGCCTTGTTCTTACAGGAATACGGATCGTCACCGCACTCACTTGAGCGGCAGGTTGTAGGGGTACGGTCCGTGCAGGTATGACAATTGTTCCTGGGCTTCGACCAAGTATATTATTTTTTTTTCGTTGCTTGCGTGCTTCTTCAGTTTTGCGTGCCAGAGTAGCTTTCCGTTTTGTAGCGGCAGCGACCTTCGCATCTCTTCGCATCTTGTTAAAATCGACATCGAGCTCCTGTATTACTCCATATAGCTTTCCAAAATGACCTTCGAGTGGCAGATAGTGTGATAGGAGCTCTGCAATGTTGTTAGCACTTTCGATGCTGGTGAAGTTATTGAGCAAGACCTTGACGAGTGTGTCCGGCAGGAACTCTTCTGAAGGCAGCATTGAATCCATACATTCATCGGCATCTTCCCATAATTCCACTCGAAAGCGAGTAAGGCGCGTACTTGCATGACGGCGCATAACCTTAGTGACCCGTTTGCTAGCAGGTATCTTGACTTTTGTTTTCGCAGATGGCGCTGATGTCATTTTCTCGATGACTTCGGGAATACAACCTGAACAATTGCATTGCTCTGGCTTTGGCACTGGAGGATTTACACGACAGGTGCTACAGCCACATGGAACCTCTTCGATGGGGTTCCCATAGAGCTTGTTAACGGCGTCGACCTTGCATTTAGCCAAAATGAGGTAGGCAATGCTGGGGTCTATTGTCGTCCTTGCATCCTTCCCCATTCTACCCTGCTGCCCTTCATCGTCGAGAACCTTAAGGGCCGTCTCAACGGCCGTTGAAGGTAAATATACAATCACGCGTGAGTTCCTGCCTTTTCCGTCACGGATGCGACCACCCCTCTGAAGAACCATATCAGACGTGGTTGGAATATCCCCATAGAGGACTACGTCATCGGTGTTTGCGACATCGATCCCTTGGGACAGCGTATCGGTAGCGATAGTGACACGAGAGCTTGTGTCGGTGTGCATGAGCTCGAGAGTGTCAGCATTGTATGACGGCCAGTTGAGTGAATTGTACATGCGGATGCGTTTACGTCGATCGCGAAGTTCATACGCACGCCGCCACAGGTACGTCATTACACGAAAGCCCAGGGAGATCGTCGTACAGAAAATGATTATACGCCGTTCGCTTTCGAGTACCCAGTCAAGTTCAGGAAATTTCAGAGAACGTGGACTTGACGACATGGTGCGGAAGAGGAACTGCAGATCAAACCGTGCATTGGAACGCCGTATGAGATGGTAAGAATCGCCGAGGCCGAGGAAGTCGCGAACATTTGATGTATGGGTCCCGACACGCAGAGTGGCTGTCAAAGCAATCAAAACGGGTGTTTGAGGTAGGCGCATGCGAACGTCGCCGATCTGCTTGAACACAGGTCGAAATGAGGCGCCCCATGTGTCTAGAAGGTGGCTTTCGTCGACTGCGAATGCCACCACACGCAGCTGAAACTCCTTATTGTTGAGAAGGTGCCCGAATTCGGATGACTTTAGCTGCTCAGGTGCGAGTAAAAGAATCGACACCTCTGAACGAGCTGTCGTCCAAATATCGGTACCGCTTCGCCGAGCTTCATCGACTGTATCTGCATTGATTACCAGTGTTGACAGTCCGACTAAATTGAACTTGTGCTCCTGAAAGTATTGCGACTGAATGATAAAGAGAGACGGGAAAATAAGTGTCACATACCATGTCATGTTCAAGCGCTTTTGTTGGGCACACAACAATCATGATTGCTCATTTCTTCATGCGCTTCTGTGGGCACAAAGAAGAGTCGGACGCAATGGCTTGCATCACGAGCATGTACATGGTGAGGAAGCCAGTTTTTCCGGATCCCGTAGGGGTCACGGCCAGGATGTCGATGCCATCCAACGCTTTGCGTACACCTTCGAGCTGGTAGTCATGTGGTTGGTACGGCAACGGTGTTTTAGCCAGAATCTCTAAACAGAGTGAACGACCTTCATTCGACGCGAATTTGAACACAGGCAGTCTGGGTATGATCGTCATAAATACATTGTAGTAGTTGACAAAGTCTGCACGAAGCGCGGGTAAACGCGTCTGTGGCTGCAAGCCCTAGGTGGACGCGTTGCGGAGTCTGAATATTTCTCGGTTAAGCCCGAAAGTGGTTGCAACGGTAAGAGGGGCGCGTTTAGAATCAGACTAAACCTCAAGATGATGAAAGAGATTCCGATAACTACACCATCCAAATCTGGACACTTTTACGTAATTAAGCAACGATATCATGGGCGCTAATGCATTGACAGCTTGACCTTGCCGACGGTTGGCTTGCTGGATGGCCTGAACCCCCACTCTACACACACTCTCACTCATCTACCACTTCGCTGACACCATGAGTTGGGCAGGGTGAGTAGCATATACTCCGAAAGTAGCTGAAATACCGAGATAATTATGTACAGATTCAAGAAGTCTATGAACCGGGCAGGAACCACTGTATGCGTTGCTTGGGCGTCATTGAGCGGTACACTAGGGACCTAACACCGATCCTCCAGCTCCTGCAAAAGACCGGGCAGATTGAACGTACCGTTGACAGAGAGTTCGCCGATGAAGAGGCTAAGTACAAAACGTACGTTGGTTATATTGGACTTCGGGTAGCCACCTCACTAACCGCTTGGCAGTTTCGAGAAGGAATGTCAAGCGTTGCAGAAGGATAGCAAGGGATACCTGGATGCTATGCGAGGTGCGCTGGCGCTGCACTAATATCTGTCTATCTTAGGGAGCTGAATCATTTCGATACGTAGCAATGACTGCTGCACAAACCCGGCTTGCGGAAACCATCGATACCTTCTATGGTGCAGCGGATAAGGCTTCCGAGGGCGCAATGGCGGCACACGCATACAAACGAGCCGTCGACGACCTTGATACCGGTGTTGGAAGGGAACTAGTATGGTCACGAATTATGTGTGGCTTTCTTTCAGCTCATACATTTCTCTATAGGATGCTCCGTACCGGACCACTGTGATGGAACCATTAGGCAAGATGAATGCATACTTCCCCGTCGTTAACGAACATATTGCGAAACGATCGAAGAAGGTTCAGCTCTCGTCCTCACTACGTGTCAATTATATTCTCATCTTGATTATTCAGCTCCTCGACTACGACGCCGCTCGTAGTAGAATGAACAAACTAATCCAGAAACCTAGCGAAGACCCCACCAAGCTTCCGAGGGTAAGTCTGCATGTGTCATACTAGGCGCCGCACAGAACTTAATGGTCGGAACACAGGCACAACAAGAGCATGACGACGCCAAGGAAGTCTTCGACATGCTCAACGAGCAACTAATAGCAGAACTACCTCAGCTCTTAGATTTGCGCGTACCATACTTTGACCCTAGCTTTGAAGCGATGATCCGAATGCAATGCAAATTCGCGGAGGAAGGCTATGAGAAGCTAAGCGGCGTGCAAAGGCATGTATCAGTCTGGCTAGTCGATTAATCAGTCGCTGATCTCTTTACCTCAGGTATTTCGCAGACAACGTTCGCGATGACTATGCAGCTGGTCAACTGGATGCTCAAGTGGAAGGTGTGCTGCAAGAGATGCGCGAATTGTCTATCTGTGGTGCAAGTTGAAGACTTATCTGACACTTGGAGGTTATGTACAGTACGTAGGATTAGGGATTACATCTATTGCACTTCAAGTATCCGTGAAGACGCTGAAGGAAAGTATGCCATATGCATGAGTGATCAATAAGGAATGTGTATGCGCAGACCAAAACGCAAGGAAGCCATTCCCGTACCATGTATGTGTGAACGTTTACAATCACCCCGACAGTCTGGCTTCTAAAGAGGTTCCGCTATTCAGACGTGCCGACAGTGACTTATTAGAGCCACCACTGTTCTGCTGGGCGTTGGGCTTGGACGTTGTCCGCGAACCGCCACGTCGAGGAGCAGAACCTCTGCCACGACTGCCGCGTCCTCCACTCTTTGCAGACCCCTCGTTCCTGCTTGATCTGGAAACTAACTGTGCATTCCCCGCACCAGGCTGAGGTTCGCTCATACGGAACAACAGATTTGGCTCTTGTTGACGTTGTTTGGATTCGCCACCCTGCTGCTGTGATCTAGATGACTCCCCGCCACGGTTGCGACCAGAAGGTTGTCGGTCTTGAGTAACCTGAGATGGTCCCGAGGTGGTTTTCCAATGATCGGAGGTAGTATAGGTTCCATCAATACTCTGAGGAACGTAATCGGCACTAGGGGCCATTTTCGCATAAGTGTCATATCCATATCTTGGATAGTCACGACCGTCAGGACCTGCATCGGCATACTGATGATAAGGATGCTGCGACTCAGCAGGATATTGCCCTACGTTATCACTACGGCCCGCTGACCACATATAACTGGGTGCAGGGGCAGGATCAAAGCCGTAACCTGCGGGACCTCTAGGATAATCTTCCACAGGCGGCATAGGAGGCGTACGAGCCAAGTCACGAGAATCCGCCAACGACTGCCTATACTGCGAAGGGGCGCCCCAATCAGGGCTCTTAGCGGTAGGACCTGAAACTCTCGCCCGACGAGGCGGCTGTTCGCTCGTAGACCAGTCAAGGTCACTATCACGAGGCCTCTTGCGGTTAGCCTCTGCGTTAGGGGAATATTCGAGCGATCGTTGGTCAGGAGAGGCTGGCGGGGAGTAGTGATCGGCACGGCCTCGGCGAGGTGCTCGAGATCGCGTAGCAGGTCCTGATGCAGAACCCAGAGAATAGTGATCATGGGCAGGAGACCGTCGTGGCGGACTTGGACTCCGCTCGGGTGATCTCCAGGGCTCTCTTCGGCCGCCGCCCTCAAACCTCGGATCGTTCATCCAGGGGTCAAGTTCGATAGCAGCGTGCATACTCGGAGGCGGTGGATGGCGAGTTGGTTCTGCGTTGTCATCATTAGCCTTTATTGCAGTAGAACGAGGCAGATTGGAAGCGGGCTGATGGATTTGCTTCCGTTGTTGTTGTGGCTGTTTCTGTCGTTTCTGCTGCAGCTGCTTTGTCCCAGACGAAGATGCTTCTACCTTCATAGCGCCAGAAATTGTGATAGTTTTCGGCCCTGAAGGTGCGGCGGAATTGGATGATATGGAAGTGGAAGCTTCAGCGACGGATGAAGGACCCGAGTCTCGACCTGAACGGTCACGGTCACGAACATTGAAGTCCGACGCAGGTTGAGTAGCGCGTTTGTTCTGCTGAGCGTTTTGGGGTGGTATTTGTGTAGTCTGGTTGGAAATATATGAAATAGACGAGGTTGATGGAGCGACCTTGAGCTCAGGAGCCGTAGAAAGAGTCTGTGCTGGTTGTTTTCCTTGCGTAGTCTTCGGACAAGAGAGAAGAACGTCAGGCAGTGGCTCTTGTTTGACTCGAACATTGGGACTTGCGGTCGCCGAGTCCGGTTTCGTAGTTGCCTGAGGACGTGGAATGGGCATAGCTATCTGGGCGGACGATCTGGAATCCGAAGGTGACGTTGAGGCCTTCTTCAGAGGAGGCCCTAGTGGTGGAGGCTTTGGCGGCAAATTCGCCGCTGCGGCTTTGGCGGCCATTGTAACCTTGCTGGTAGGAGCATTGGTCGCGGGTGTCTTGGGCTCAACAGGAGACTGCGGCTGAGAAGTGCTTGCAGAAGTAACAGAAGTGGAAATAGGTAATAATTTCTTCATCTTCATGCGAGTACCATCATGGCTACTTGCAGATGCAGAAGTAACGGAGGCAGTTGATGAAGAAGTCATAACGGTAGGACTTTGTACGATCGGAGATGCAATTTGTACGGAATTCGATACGACCGCAGTGGGGGCGATAGATTGTGTAACCGCGCCTAAACGCTGGACATTGAGAGAAAGAGCGCCATGAGGGGCTTGGGAAGGAATAACAGACGGAAGCGGAGTAGCAGACTTCGATTTGGCTGGCGTAGCATTCTTGCCGTCTTCTTTCGATTCCATAGTTGTTGATCCGCCGGTCGCTCGGAGAGCACGAATACGAGCCCCTTCCTCAGCCTGCTCCTTTCGCTTCCTAGCTTGTATTTGTGCTTTCTTCTCCGCCTGCAACCGCTCGAGCTCTTCACGTTTCTGCGGCTGTTCAGGAGTTTCCTGTGTAGGAATACTTCCATGCGACTTCACCTCTGCAATCACAGGTTTGGCAGGGATGTCGGCCTTGAGCCCCGTGGGGCTCATTTGCCTCACCGCAACCGTGGTCGTACTTGGTGCCGTAGATGGGGAAGAATAACTGTGCGTCGACCCTGTCGCGGTGGGATTGGCAGGAGCACTACCTGTAGCGGTGGAAGCTGGAGGGGGTGATTGAACCTGGGACGAGGGACGCTGGCTAACGCTGGGTGCAGAGGGAACCTCTATGGTTTGTGTGGATGGGCGTATTTTCACCTTCGCAGTATCTTGCTGCTGTTGCCTCAGAGTCTCCGCATAAGCACGCTCAGCGAGTAATTTCTCCTGTTCCCAACGCTGTTCCTGTTTGTCACGAAGACTCTCAACCAACTTGAAAGCAGCTTCTGCCGCATCAAGCACCCGGTCAGCTTGCTCCTTTTCCCTCTGTGCTGCCCGCACGGTCTCATCGTGCCTTCGCAGAAGCTCCTCGCGTTCATCGCGACAACGTTGAAAGTGATGTCTAATGTCATCCCATGCGGTGCGCTCATTTGCCAGGCTTGCTAGTTTCGCATATAGGTCGTCGGCAGTTACATGCGGCACAATGTTAGATGAGTGAGACGGAGATGGAACTCGAGCTACTGGAGCCATTGCTGAAGCATCGATTTCCATTGTATCAGCGGACTGAGCAGCAAAAGGCTGTGTTACGCCGGCATCAGGAGCGAGCTGCGACGGCATGTAAGTTGAAGGATAACTGGGTTGCTGCACAGATGGCAGAGACTGTCCTGAATGAATAGAGTCGCTCTGTGGTGCAAGCGGTGTGGAAGCAGCAAGGGTAGAAATAGGAAGACTTCGCCTGGCTGAACCAGAGGATAAATTGGGTACCAAAGCGGCTGCACGACCTGGCACTCCAAACGTTGCACGTTCGGTGTTGACACTCACCCCTGCCAAGGGAAGCGACTCTACCTTATTAGATTGATTGCCAAGCCTCTCACTTAAAGAAGAGAGGGCGGGGGAATTCCCAGAGGATGAAATGGCAGGACTCGGTTTGTCCTTAACTGGTTTCTGAGATAGTGGAGAAGGAGACCGTCCGACGTCGACCGGTTGGTCGGTAAGTCTTCTGAGCAAAGACGGAGGCTTCCCGATAGTGCTGAAGGTAAAATCTGCGGGCAACAGACACTGAGAGGAGGTGGCGGATGCAGCAGACGACTGAGTTTGCATCAGAAGAGCAGTATACTTTGAAAGTACTTCGATAATTCAGGAGTAGAAGAACGTTATAATGACCAGTATGATAGCTTATTGACAACAGATGGATTTGGGTATGGTTTCGATCCTAAAATCTGTTCAGGATGTGTTGTGCACACAAGCAATTAACACCTACTAGGGAGCGAGAGGTTGCTTAAGTGCGTTCCAGGTCCATCCATTCATTGCATGCCGGAACAGAAAAGGGGAGAAGGGGAAAGGGACAAGCAACGCTTGCCATACCACCATCTTCAAATATGCACGTCGGCCCACCGGTGCTGCCTTTTCTGGAAGATCGCCGGCCGACAGTACTACTCTGCCTAACGCGTTTCGCTAAGCTGCTACTCACTCACTCACGGCGGTATTACACCGTTGTTAATCCTTCTCTTCGCCGTCTTCTCGCCTTGGGGCTTAGAGAGACTGGGTGTAACACATTGCAGGCTCACTCATTCAACAGCTCAAGCCAAGATGTCCCGGGCGACACAACGCAAGGCCTTGGCAGCAAGCGTGCTGTTCTCTCTACTGTCTTGTTCGAATGCATTCTATCTTCCGGGAGCAGCACCTCATGATTATCGCAAGGGGGAAGAGGTCAAACTCTTTGTCAATGCATTGACACCAATGCTTGCATCAAATGACCATGCTAAGCTAGTACGTTTCTCAGACAATTTCAGTCGATGTTTCAAACGTTCATTGCCTGCACCTTCGCCTTCAGAGATCTCTTATCAACTGTACGTTTGTATGTATGCCGTATTCAGAGACAACTGACATATCTCACTTGTTATACTTAAGATGATTATTACAACCCCAGTTTCCACTTCTGTGAACCGGAAGGTGGTCCGAAGAGCGAGCCCGAGTCTCTAGGATCAATTCTCTTTGGAGACCGTATCTTCAATTCTCCATATGACGTACGCCCTTATTGGAAAATACTGTTAAGACCTTCTAACCGATTAGTGTTGCTAGATCAAAATGCTGGAACAAAATACGACATGTCAAACGCTTTGCAGGCAGGATGTACCCGCAGAAGATGCCAAGTTCATCAATGACCGTATAAAGGAAGACTACGCGTTGAATTGGTTGGTAGATGGCCTTCCAGCGGCGGAAATGAAGGTTGACAAGAAGACCGGAGATATTTTCTACGACATGGGCTTCAACCTGGGGGATGATGAGGATGAGTTTATTGACAACCCCGCCCTGAATAATCACTATGAGATTGTTCTAAAGTTAGTCGAGCTTATTTTAATTGCAGGACGACAACTAATTTGATATCGACAGGTATCATTCACCAAGTCCCGACGTTTACAGGGTTGTGGGCGTACTCGTATGGCCTAGCAGGTATTTTTTTAACATGATCTGTATGATATGCAATTCCTTCTGATGTATTGTCTCCAGTCTCGGCGATAATCAGGACGATCCAGCCGATTGTGACGCGACAAACGTGAAACATTTACAGCTCGACGGGAATTCCACTAATAGGGTGCGGTATTCTTATAGAGTCACTTGGAGTGTAAGGCTACTTTGTTATATGGTTGTCAACTATCCTGACCAGATTTTAGGAATCAGACACGCCATGGGCTACCCGTTGGGACAACTATTTGCATATATTTGACCCAGTGAGCTGATTCGATTATCACCTATTCTGTTATCATGCTTATATTCTGGCAACAGCGTATCCATTGGTTCAGTCTGATCAACTCGATCGTTATTGTCGTCTTCCTCTGTGTAATGGTGTCAATGATTCTCCTCAGGACGGTATCTCGCGATGTAAGGAAACATAATCCTTTCCATTTTTCATGTTCGCCTCACATGATCATCAGATTACTCACTACAACAACATTGACCTAAGTGTAAGCATGAGTTTCATTTCACCTCCATAATCCTAACCCTGTTGTATGCAGGAAGACATCCAAGAAGATTATGGTTGGAAGCTAGTGCACGGGGAAGTCTTCCGCACCCCTCAGCATCCCATGATTCTCTCGGTCTTGGTTGGCAATGGTGCACAGCTCTGCGCCATGGTAGGTGTTACTCTAGGTCAGTTGCTAATATGGCTTCTCATCGTCTATTCCGAGTTCGCTTAATCTCTCCCAAAGTATTCGCGCTCCTCGGATTCCTTTCTCCTTCGAATCGCGGCTCTCTTGCCACCGTTATGATGATTTGCTGGACACTCTTTGGCGCAGTTGGCGGATATATTTCGAGCCGCATCTATGCATCTATGGGTGGCACTGACAAACGGAAGAACTCATTCCTTACTGCTACGATTCTTCCAACGTACGCCTCTTATTCGTCATGCGCCGTCACAATAGTCGACTAACGGTGGAATGCAGCATCGTATTCGGTGTCGTTTTCCTACTTGATCTTTTCTTGCTTTCGGCTGGATCTTCGGGTGCCGTGCCTTTCGGTGAGACGCTCTATCTCACTTTTACCCCACGTTTCACTTACACCCTTTGGTCAGGTACAATCCTTCTGATCGTGGTGCTCTGGTTTGGCATCTCCGCTCCTCTGTCTGCTATCGGCTCCTACTTCGGTTCAAAGCATGGTGCAATCACACATCCGGTACGAGTGAACCCGATTCCTCGTCAGATCCCGCCAACGCCAAGATACCTGCAACCATGGGTGCGTCTGATGTCATTTCAGTTTATTTTCTGCTTCTCACATACATATGTTCTTCTATAGGCTGCTGCATTACTGGCTGGAATATTGCCCTTCGGCGCGGCATTCGTCGAACTTTATTTCGTTCTTTCCAGTCTCTTCGCTTCAAGGGCATATTATGCCTTCGGTTTCCTCGCCTTGACGGCAGGAGTAGTAGCGTTGACTACCGCCACTGTCTCAATTCTTTTCACATACTTCATCTTGTGTGCTGAAGAATACAGGTACGTCTCCGTCGAAGCGTTGCTCCAATGTGCGTGGAAGGATGAGACTGACAATGATTATCAAGGTGGCACTGGCGTGCCTTCCTCGCAGGTGGTGGTAGCGCCTTCTGGTTGTTTGCCTACGGGGTCTTCTACTGGGCCTCTCGTCTCTCCCTGGGCTCCTTCTCAAGCGTTGTATTGTACATGGGGTACCTCCTCCTTCTCTGTCTCTTCGACTTCCTCATCACAGGTATGTACTGACTGATACTCCGAACTATAAAAGACATTCATTTTGACTTCCTCTCAGGTACTATTGGTTTCGTGGCGGCCTACTGGGCTGTTCGAAAATTGTACAGCGCCATTCGCGTGGACTAATATCTACATTATTGATGACCTCCCAGGTAGCCCGGGGCTACTTATCATTCGTTTCTATATACTACATCGTACGAGAAAAGTATTACTGGACGCTGTCCTTCTTGTCGCATACCTCCCTATATATAGACTCAACTTGGATCTACTTTCCACTCTGAAACTTAACATCGACATAGCAGACATTCGATCGAAACACAGGCTATCCTGGACGTCTAAAGCGAAACATCGTCCGTCGATATGTGTTCCATAGAAAAACGACAACCCCGATGACGAGTGGAAGTCCAAAAACGATGGGAAGTAGGATCTCCGGTATGAGCAGGATATGATGTTTGCCTATGCCACTGCTGACTACGGACGGTTGAACTTGAAGAACGGGGAAATAATACCTGTCAAAAATGGTATGTTTGAACTAAACCTCATATGTCGTTCGAAGCTGATAGAACACTGACACTATTCCGAGTAGATGGAGTTCTGGACTTGTCCCGGGGAGCGAAGTGGTCGATTCGGTTGCATTCGGGGAATGCAATATCATGAGAACAGAGTGAGTGCCGTTCTGCATGGTTTGGTCAAAGAGGACATCGCACTCTTCCTCTGTGGATGCCGACAAATCCTGGCTGAAGTTCTGGGTTCCATTGATCAAGACCTCCAGTACACCACCAGAGCGGGTCTTGATGCCGTTTATTACAATTCTTGAGCCTATAAAATTGTGTATCCTCGAGCAAAGCCTAAACTAGGTTTTGGCACATACCGATGAATGAAAACGTCGCTTCAGCATTGATCTGCTTCGTAAAACGATTCGTAGTCGAAGTGCTGATACTAGCGTTGCTACAAGGAGAATTGGACACGCTTTCCCACGCAGTGGTTGGTACATAAAGCACATATTGACTATCCAATGCTATTGAAGCCGGAATATCGACAGTGGAATTGCGCCGAATAAGCATGTCGTTGAGGGGAATGACGGGGGTATTCAGCAAGCTTGGCATGCCCGAAAGCTCCCAGTCATTGACTCGGGTCAGTGAAACTGGAAATAGAGCAAAATTCACAGCATCAAAGGCGGAAGCAGAAGTCATTGATGTATAAAGTGAATAGAGCCTGCGAAGATCATCCAAGGTTTCTAGGAGTTGTTGACAGTATAACTAAGTAGCCTTCATGAGACGCGTAACCGGATTTGGGAACGAACAAAGGGAGAATGGACGGTTGTCATTGATTGGCAAGCACCACCTGCTTTGAGCTACCTGATCTCAGTATAACTAGTCTGTTATCCAAAAGATCCTCCCTTTGAATTGTCTGTCGGGGTTCCGTCACAGGGCGGTTGTTGACATACAAACCCTTCATTGCGACGAGTTGTCGGGCAGCAGCTAGTGAAAAATGAGATTAGATCATCCGGGAAATATCGCTCCGTGCACCGAAACTCACAATTAGAGGCAGCTAATCCGTATGTAAAAGCCAATTTGGTGACGGGTAACGACAACAAATCCGCTTCAGGAAGGAATCGAAGCCTCGGATCACCATCCAATGCCGCGAGTACTTCATTAGCCTTCAGGTCATGGAGATCACTTTCGTACAAGACCTTCGTAACCACTTGAGCCTTTTGTACGGAGGCAGCTGTTCCAGTATGTCATTCCAGGTTGTCTCCCATAGAAAGGTTATTCACGAACCTCCGTGTACCATCTCTGTAACTTCAGAGGCTAACAGCTGTTGTGCGCGACGCGCATCTGGACTTGCCTGCGCACCAATGAAGATGAACTCAGGAAAGGAAGCGAGGATAAATAGTTACCTTGTGCTCGTGCAAGGTGTCTTCTATGGTATCGATAGGAAGTAGTGTGAAGAGTTTGAGGTATCGGCCAACATCGGTATCTGGTGTCCGGAGGAAGAACTGCGGAAAGCTCAGCAGCGAAATTGGCAACGTTTCAAAAAGCTTACCTGGTAGAAGTCGAAGACACTGGTTACCTCTGGGTCTAGTGCAACAGCATTTCCGGCACTCTTTCCGAATTTCGCACCGGACGCAGTTGTCAATAACGGAGTGGTGATCCCGAACGCCTTATCTTCGTGAGCACCATCCGAGCCCACGTGCGGATCAATGCGATTTATCAAGTCAATGCCAGCAACAATGTTTCCCCATTGGTCAGAACCACCGATTTGAATTGTGCAGCCTGAATCTTTGTGCAAGACGTAGAAATCATACGCTTGTAAAAGCTGATAGGTAAACTCTGTGAAAGATATTCCCTGCTGCGACGCCAGACGCGCAGAGACACTGTTGCAGACGATATGAAGCTGCCAACGCGGTACTCGGTAAATCAAAACATACCTCTCTCGTGAGAGCATCGTATTGACGCGGGCATGCACCCCGACAACGCGCAGGAATTCCAATAAGCCCATACCCTTGAACCATTCTATGTTGCTTTTGATATGTGGAGTCTCCAGGGCTGTGTTTGGCAACGAGACATATTTTCTGGCGTAGCTAGAAGCGCTGTCGAAGAACTTCGTAACAGCCGATCGCAGCTTTTCGACGTTACGTTCAACGTTCGCAGCATCGGACAATGGACGCTCCGTATTTCGACCAGACGGGTCTCCAACTAGGCCTGTTGCTCCGCCAATCTTTTGAAATCAACGACATATCCTGTGATAAGTAAGAACAATAAACATACCAATGGAACGACTTTATGGCCACGTATATAGAAGTGGAAGAGAGTGAGTAAAGGGAGAAGATGTCCGACATGTAGATATTCAGCTGTAGGGTCTACACCAACATAGACAGCTTGAGGTTGCCTTAGAGTTTCTCGAAGCTTTGTCTCTGAACTGAGCGATGTTTAGAAAGTAATCATGCACCCAACCGCTTTCTATGCTTACCTGCTGACCTGGGATACAAGCCCTCTGGCCTTTAAATCGTCCAAAACGTCATCATGTAGGCCTCGGATACATGTTCTCGATAAGTGTTTCTCCCGTGCGATGTGCAGGACACGGTATCTGTAACGCTGGATTCGGAGCGAAGAGAGCATTACTACATGACCGTGAGGGTACTTTTCGAAAATCTCAGACATGTTGCTGCACAAGCGCCCACAGTGATCGAACTTGAATGCATCGCATCCACCAACCTCTGCGTCTTTCGAATACTTACTGTCCAACTCACTTATCCTACTTATTACGCTGGTACCGAATATCACGTGTATCCTGCGTATCCGTATCTATGGCGTCGCAGCCTGAAAGCCACATTCATATGAGTTACATGCGGGCGATCGTCTCTACAATCTCTAACGAATGCGAGTCGTCGGTCTCGATTGGTTCGTTATTGCCGGGATGTCTGGCAGGACCATGTTAAAGTGTTATCTGCTATGCAGTCTCATCCACTGAACATGAATTGCAGTTGCTACGAGGGCCACTTCAAATGGCTCAATACGAATACTCCACTATAGTTTGTTATCGAGCAAACAAATTCAGGGCACGAACATCAATCATACATTCTTGCATCTCCTCGTGACGTGAACTAGGGTCTTTCGTTACCCCATCTATCGCAGAAAACTGATCGCATTTCGTAAATCTATGACAATATGCGCTCGCAGGAAGTGTCAGCGTGTGTCTTTACCGACGATCGCGTGAAGACATTCTTCACGAGTAGCCCCCAATTTGGTATCGCTTCTTCTCCTCAAGAATTTGTGGCGTAGCTCGGTCAATACGGGCGTTGGTATTAAAGTCGTTCGAGGGATGAAAGAGGGTCCTCTTCACCTTGGCATCTTCCTAACTCATAATGACCGCTTCTCGCGCATTGATGTGGGGCGTCATCTGCCTCGCGTTTTCTAACTTTTATTATGTGGTGAACGCTGCCAAATGCACTCATCCAGTGGTCAGAAGAGAGTGGCGTACTCTATCAATCGCTGAGAAGGCCGAATGGATCAGAGCGGTCAAGGTATCACTTATGCTCTATGTCCAAGACTAACTTACGCCTCATACTACTCATAGTGCTTGACAACATTACCGCACACGGATGCCTTGACGCCCCTCGTGAACCCCTCCGACATCCCGCCCGTCAATACATCTGGATCCTACTACGATGATTTCGTTTATATCCACATGGACCTAAACACGCATGTGAGCGAGTCAAATATGCAACGCCCTTCCGCGCTAATGGCCAATCAGATTCACAGCACGGGTTTGTTTCTGCCATGGCACCGGTGGTACGTCTCAGTGTACGAAGTTGCGCTCAAGGAGAAATGCGGCTTCAAGGGCGTTTCTCCATACTGGAACTGGAGCATGGGTACTTGATCCCCACCTCTTCCCCTCTGGCTTTATGAGCTAATTGTTATTCAGATGCGTCGGACTTTGAGCACGGCACTATCTTTCAGGAATCCGACCGTGAAATTGGACTAGGCGGATGGGGCGACCCGTCCAAAGACTTCTCCGTGACAGATGGCGCATTTTATGATTTTACGCTTTCATATCCGTCTCCGCACATCCTCCGGCGCAATTTCACCCTCCAACCCTACATTGGATTTGGGGACCAAGAAATTTTCACGGACCCCGCGAAATATGCCAACACTAGCTTTACGTTCTCAGAGATGCGAAAGTTGACTACTGGTTATGAGGGGGACTTCAAGGGCTTCCAGAAATACTTTGAGGCTACCGAAGTGGGTGGACCAAGCTGATTTTCTGCCTGATTCATTTTTCTAATGAACGCTTAGGGTGCGCATGGATCAGTTCATCTGATCATGGGAGGGTATGGCCAAAGGTCGATTCTGATGTACACGCTCTAATGACTGGTTTCTTTCAGTGATCTTGGTGGGTCATGTCCAGCAAGTGCTATAAACTGCACTGGTGGCCCCACTTTCTCTGCAAACGGTTCGAGTTTAACTTTAGTCTTGTTCCATACCCATACTAAGTGTTCTTGATGAATCAGAACCTATGTTCTGGCTACATCATGCGGTTCGTCGCGTCGCAGGTCGCACTGCTCACAACTCCGGCTAAATCTCCTGTTCTAGATGGTGGACAAGGTTTGGTACGATTGGCAGCGAAAACATGCCGTCAATTTCTGGGCGTACGAGGGAGGGTCTGTGCAGAACTTGACCTCTCTCGCTGCCATCGACGAGTATCCTAATGGCATGCCGCCTGCGCTATCGGTGAGTTCACATTCACGATGCTGTTGGAGTACATGTTCCGCCGCGTGCTGATTTGTTGATCTTTCACAGCTCAATTCCATAATTCCATCTGACGGGTTGTTCCCTGAGGTCACAATTGCAGACGTGTTTAATACGACGGGAGGCTATCTCTGCTACGTGTATGAATGAATGATACCTATTGTGAACTTCCTAGACTAAACCTTTTGGTGTACTGAAGATGTTGTATTCCAACTTGTTCTGGTATTCTATTTAGCGTTGTATGGCATACATTTGAATCAGAGCAATGTTGTTCAATGGTCCCTTCCTTTATCGCTCAAGCTCCTTCAGTATTTACCCTTGCTACGAGTTACAGGGTCATCGACGGAGTGTTTGTTTGCTTGTGTTAGCATCTAAAGTGATTGCCTTATTAGGCGACGGTACGGCATGCACAAGGAGGTTCGAGCCAAGGTTCGAGCCTGACCTCGAAGGCACCTCTGGAGGTAATTTCATATTCAGAAAGAAGGTCCTAGACCGATGTTCATGTGTGCCGAATGTTGCCTGTGAGTATCCATTAGTACAGCACCAACGCGCATCTGGAAGGGCGTTGAGAAGTGAAGATGGTAGGTTTTGCCAAGGTTGTACAGTGCTTTGCATAATTCCGTGAAAGTCGCGGATTTTTTTCTTCTGTTTGGCCGGCTTTGATCACGCCAAATAGCGTGACCTATGTTATGCACAGTGACACCGTATGATGCATCCCAGTTGGCAGTGGCGACGCGCGACTTGCTCAACTGTGACTCCTTCGATCCCTGAGGCCATGTGCAGCCTGCAGCAGCCTCAAGAATATCACTCTATGTACTCTCGTCATATAACCTGTAGAACTGTGGGGGCACTATGAAGTTCTAGCTTAGTGTGTCTGTCACTCCATAATCTATGTAGCTCCGAAGGCCGACATTCCACCTTCAACAAATTCACCTCAAGCTATGTTGGTACCATGTTTTCGCGTAGGAATAATAAGAGCCGTGCCTTCGTGACTGAGCCCTCAAAGATATCTGGTGCAATAATCCCTTTGCTTGTGAGAGTTGAAAGGACAGAATAACAAATACCCTGGAGGAAGTTGCTTGTTTGACACAGGGTGTTCTGAGTGGTGACCAGTCCATTCACCATTGTAATGTCTGGTTGTCATCGTGGTAAAGCGTAAGCAACTTGGTGAGCTTCCGAGTCTGTATTGCTTTGCTCACTTAGGTATGTTACAATGAAGTCACGCTGTTTGTGTAGAACAAACTCGGTCAAACAGAGAGAAAAAATTCGCGACTTTCACGGAATTATGCAAAGCACTGTAGACCATGAATATTTGTTGTTGTTGCTCGCCTAGTGTATACCTGTATACGTCTGTCGCACGGACACTCGAATACTGTCTGCTTTGTATCTGTAGCTCTGCTTGCGCCGTGTGAACTTTTCTCATTTTTCTTGCCCTCAATGTCGCAAGTGAGTATGATGCATGTATTACCAGGATGTAGTACGTATATGAAGCAATACCAACGAGTATCAACGCCTGACCCAGGTGAACTAATAAAAAGTTAACATCAACGAAGCCGAACAACTTGAAAAGAAGAATATGCGTACCGCCTTGCGGGCCTTGCGCCTACCAGTCTTCTTACGTTCGACAGCACGTGGGTCACGCCTGAGTAGTTTAGCTGAAGGAAATGGTATATGAGCAACATGCTCTCGTGATGAGGGCAAAATCGAGACGCACCTTTCTTCAACAATGGCTGAACCTCAGGCGCGTGTGCGACAATTCCCTTGGCAACACCGAGAGCAACGGCGCCACTCTGACCTGTAGTACCTCCCCCACGGGCGATGGCGAATACATTGTATGCTCCCACGAGCCCCGCAAGTCTGAACGGTCGCATTATACGTTCGCGATCAAGGCTGTGAGGGCTGTTTAAAATAGGGTCAGTATGCGCAATTAAAGATGCACCAAAATGTGCGGCTCACAAGTACTTGATGAGGGGAACATTATTGATGATGATATTAGTTGCAGTTACTTCTGTGGGTTCCTCTGTCTTAGCGAGAGGTTTCGGTGAGAGGAAGGGCGTGAGGTCCGGGGATGTCGCCTCGTTTTGCGATTCGTTAACCTCAGCAGCGGGAGGTAATGGTGCTTGTACCGAGGGTACCGATGAGGCGGCGGCCGCGGCAGGTTTCTGCGATTTGCCTTGGACAGGAATCATCCAAACACGCGCTGAGCTCTCCTTCCGCCGCCCAATAGTGTACGTTCGGCCATATTTGTCAAATTGAACAGGCTTCTTCTTTCCTCCAGCAAGGACGGCATCCCTGTTTTCCCTCTGGAACAACACCGTCACATCACCTATACTCTCCGCCACCTCAACGCATCCAGCAGTATCCGCAATCTTCCTGAACTCCTCCAACTGCGTAAGCAGACCAACAAGACGCCGATATCGCGCGGTGGTAAGTTTCGTCTCGACCTGGAAGCCCAACTCATCTTTGCCTTTCCATACTGGCGTAGACTCTGGAAGTGCGTCACGAGCGAACTTGGGTAGCGGAAGAAGTTGAAGATTTTGGAGGATGTTTCGTGAAGTCGTGATAGCAGATTCGAGTGTGTTCACGTTCTCGAAGTAGGAAGGCAAGCCAGTGTAGAATGTCGGAGAAACAGGTCTTGGTTTGAATCTTGGTATCATGCTTTGGCCAATATTATTCGCCGCTGCTGGCGGAACATAGCCCTGGGTGGCATATGCTCTGCGTAGAGGAGCCCTTGCCTGCTGGCGAAGCACATTGAACATCCTCCCCGCCGCTATACAGAGAAACTCGGTCAACTCAAAAGCACCAGACGCCCAATAACGCTGGCTATAGAGCCGTGCGAACGACCTTCCACATGCGTCCGTTATGATCGGGTTCAGAAGCGCTCATTCTACGTGCACCTTCCTCGCCATGGGCAAGCTAATCTTCAACTAACTCCTTGCTCAGGACGGATCTTCTGGTCCTCTTTGAGTCTTTGTATGATATATCTCTAACCACGCTTGGCCTTTATTTTCTGGGGCTGTTGAACTTGTCTTCGCCTTCAAAATGGCTGAACAGAACTTCTCAGGAGCACTAGCCACCTGGAAAGGTACGGTAGATGTCATTGGCTAGCAAGCAACAGAAGTCTCACATATACTCAGACATTAATTTGTCTGAACTCCAGAAGACCTTGGATGCCCAAGGTATTGAAATTGTGGAGAACCAGAAGGAAAGTGTCATAGGCCGTAAAGCACTCGCGGACCGGACGAAAGGTACTTTGGTGTCAGCCCTGCATATATTATTGTCATGTTGAAGAATGTCTTGCATAGAGTTCAAAAAGATTCCAGACGACGAGAAACTGCACGCCTTCAAGAGTTTGTTGAAAGGTGTGGCCTTTATGTATGTTACCCGCAGAACCCTATGTTCAGGCTAGTGTATACACACAGCGTACCAAACGGAGATCGATAACCTCACGAAGCGTTCTAAGTCAGCCGAGAATGCATTTCTGAGTGTCTACAAGGTCTTTGCAGAAGCTCCGGACCCGTACCCTCTCCTAGAGGCAGCCGTAGACCAGACGGTGAAGGTTGCAGAAGCCCGCGAGCTCGAGGCGGAACAGGAACGACTCAAAGAGGAGAATGCAACTTTGCGTAAGCGTCTCAGCGAGACCTCTTCCTTGGAGGCTACGAAGAAGAAAGCAGAAAGCCGGGTTGAGCAGCTTGAGCTAAAGGTGCGTGTCCACTTAGTTGCTTGAAACGTGTATTCATTCAAGAGACAAAATTAATCAAACAAAACAACAGATGGACGAACTGATCCAAGAGAAAGTTGTGCAAAAGGAGAATGAGCTTAATGCGACATATGACGAGAAGATGCAAAATTATGAAGCCAGGTACGCCTCACCTTGCAAACCAGAAATTAAGCCCCCGTTTCTAACTTTATGTTATCGTAGGGAGAAGGACCTTCAAAGCCAACTCACCTTAACCAGGAACCAGCTTCGCGACCTTCGCACGTCAAACGAGTCGAACCAAGCGAAACTTCTTGACCAGACTCAACGTCAAGGTAAGAATCCATGTCAAAGATTTATTATGCCTATTCTCACGATGGGAAAATATAGACCATGACGTCGTTGCTAGACTTGCTGAACTGGACATGATGGTCGCGGACCTCGAGCGGGCAAACAGCCGGGTAGTCACTGTCGAAAGGCGAAACGTGCGTATTCATTTTCCCGTGGCTTCGTCAGAATATGCACGGCCGCTGAGTCCTTATGAATCCTTTAGGAACTCCTCCGCGCGGAAATAGAAGCCATGAAGAGCGGAAATGGTGGCTCAGACCGGTATGCGTTGTTCAAAGCCGGCGTAATGCGAAGCTTCTTACTAACTTCTTCGACGCAGGATTAAGGACTTGGAATCCAAGATCACTGAGTTGGAAACCGAGACGGATCGACTATCACAAGCTCTAGATGCTCAGAAAGCCGCAACAGCTGACGCTCAAGCCAAAGCTGCGAGGCAACTGGAAGAAAGCGCCAAGGAACTTCAAAAGAAGGTCATTCACTCATCAAAGAATTTACCCAAGCTTTTTACTGATGTTTCCCGACATACGATAGACCGTTGAAGTGGACCAAATTCGCCAGAAGCTGAAGCAATACAGTGACTACGATGAGATCAAGCGTGAGCTTGAGATCATGAAGGTATGTTCCCATTCATGGCATGATTCGGCACACTCCTGACATGTGAACCATCAGTATGTCGAGTTCGCTGGCCTCGAGGAAGATGACGACGACGAGCTTGGACCGCTCGTTGATGGCAACGGCGATGCACTCGGTTTGCATCTACCAAACCCGAACGCAGACAAAGCCAATGCTCAGCGTGGTAAATCTCTTGAAGTCTTGCTCGCTACCAAGAACAAGCGCATCCTCGAAGAGCTCACCAAGTTCCGAGTACGTTCGATATTATCTATGCTTCGGCTGTGGTTGACAGTGATACTCATGCTCCCACGTAGATCCTTCACGGTGAACTAGAAGCATCCCTGTTGGCTTCCCAGACCCAGTTAGCGGAGACTGAGTCTGAGCTACAGAAGCGGAAGGCGCTCAATGAACGACTTGAGAACGACCTCGTACAAATGGACAGACATAAACCGAATGGTGACGCTAGTGGTTACCATACGCCAGCAGATTCAAGCACATCCTCTGATGCATTGGCGGGCTTGGAGCTGGGCAAGAAAGATGTCCCTGCAAGACAGGGACACATACCTTTCGCACCGTCCGCGGATACGTCGATATTGCCTATTGTTACCAGTCAGCGAGACCGGTTCCGTCAACGAAACGCCGAGCTTGAAGAGGTCAGTTACATCCTCTTCCTCTTTGCATGTACATATCTCACACTGGTGTCATAGGAACTACGGAAACAGTTCAACATCATTTCCGAGCTTCGATCAGAGGTACGGCGATCTCATCATCTCTATACCGTGTGTTCATACATATACCAACAATTTTGATAGGTCAAGAGCTTGCAAGCTGACAACCTCAAGCTATATGAGAAAGTCCGATACATGCAAAGTTATAGAGAAGATACATCTCTTAGACCCTCAACTCTGGATCCCATACCCTCATCCTCCGCTGGTCGGTCGGATGACATGAGCAAATACCGTACACGATAGTAAGTACCTCCGCACCTTGGAAAGACAGATTGATGTTCACATGTTGAATAGTGAGGAAGCGATGAATCCATTCCAAGCCTTCCAAGGGCGAGAAGCGACTAGAGCTTACGACTCGTTGAATCCGCTAGAGCGTGGTGTTCTCATCCTCACTCGAGCAATCCTAGGCAATCGCAGGACACGGACTGCATTCATTTGCTACGCTATTTTCTTGCATGTTCTGGTCATGTTTACAACGTACGAGTGTACCACATCATCGGGGTCTGGTTTGCAGAAGCAACCCAACCCTTACAGCTCATAAGATATACCTGCCAGCTTTCAATACGCTTTGTAGCATCGATAGTATTACATCTCATTATTAGCATATTATCGCATTCGGAACGGACATTGCTCTGTATATACAGTGAGAAGTGCGTGAGAAGTCCGTGGGTGATATGCATAAGTACCAATGTAAAAGAAGAGGTTTATCGCCCTGGGGGCCTCGCAGTAGCAGCACGCGTACGCCAGAACGTAAGTGCTTTGTCAACGCCATCCAATATCGGTTTCATAGCCTACATGCCCCCATATTATTCAGCTGGAGTCGGATTTTACGGAATAGTTCTACGTACCACCTGCACTCTGGATGGGTCGAAACCTTCCTGTGATGCTGCTCGAACCAGCGCAGCCACTTTCTCGTGAGTCTTCTCCAGATATCCAGCCATCTTCGCAGCCTTGGCAGCCTTCTGAGCCGGATTTAGTGAAGACGCAGTTTGATATTCTATTGGAGACGGGTATATAGCGAGCCAGAACTGTCGAAGGAACTCATTCGCTGCGGTCTGACATGTTGTCATCTGTCTGAAGAGACCATCTGGAATGTCATCTACGGAAAGATCGTGAATAAGACAACAGGAAACGGACATGCGAAATACTCACTTTTGCGTTTGGTGACTTCAATACGAGCCGCCACGTTTTGAGTCATCGAGAGCAGCGCTGCATCACCAGCTTTCCGATCTATTTTCAACTGTGATGCGCCAACGATTAGTCGACTTCAAGCAGAGCTGAACCAACTCCCTTACCTGACTCAATCTAGATTCCCAACCATTTACGTTATCTTTCGCTTCTTGGACAGCAGCTCCGACATCGATCTGCCAAAGGTTATTTGGCGACGTGGCAAAGATTGAACTGCACGGATTAGGCTCACCTGTGCCCGTTGCGATGTATCCATGGAACGTCCCTCAAAGTACCGTCGTCGATCCTGCATGTCAAGCAGGATCCCCGGAGAGACTTCATCGCCGTGCAAATCTTCCAAATCAAGTTGGGCGTAAAGCTAGAGAGGTCTCAATCAACTTGCTAAAGCATGCCTGGAAAAGTACCCACATCATTATTACCGGAGTCAATCTTCCGGCGTTTCGCTGGTTGCTCTCCTCTGACATCGGATGAACATATAAAACAAAAGTCGAAGTCAGACAATGACATACAATGTAGTGTCCAGCAGTCTCCCGGAATGTTCATTAAACTTCCGTATCAGCGGGAGAACTGCCCGTTGCTTCCCAGCTTGCATGGTGATATCTCTCTCGTTCCCTGTCTATATGTTCTCGTGAAAAGATGATACAGGTCGCAGGAAGAGATATGGATACCTCGCCGTGATCCACTGCAGTAGCAGCTAAGTCGATGAACATATCAACGCCTTCATCTCGTAACTTCCTTGGCTGAAGTTCTATTGAACGTATTAATAAGCTGCCACTGTATGTCTATGCCGGATCTGCCACCCACCATCGTCCTCTTTTTCGAGATATTTGTCAAATATTGGATCGTCCTTGACAACATGCTGAGCAGCAGAAGAACGAATTGAAGCCCTATGTGCATTGAAGAGCTTAGATTGGAAATAGCGTTTCCAAAACTCAGCTTCTGAGAGCTATCGAACCAGTGTCATCCAGTGAGTCTGAACCGAACATCCATACAATATGAACGAACCTTGTTCGGTACATTGTCAGTATACGCTTTCGCGACGACTGGATACTCTTCGAAGATGTCATGGACTAGTTGGGGTGTTATGACAATCTTCACTTCGCCATCAACGGTTTGAGGCCGTGGATCCACTAGTTGCCCCGGTTTGCCACGCTTCTGACTTTCAGCAGCTGCCTGCGCAAGGAGTAGATGCTGTACGTGATTATTAGTATATGTACAGAAGTAACGGACATATTGCAAGATTCACTTCTCGGCCTTCCCAGAACTCGTTTTCCGATATTTGACCAGTCATGACAAGCTCCCGATGAAGTTGAGCAAGTTCCGGCGTGCTCATTAGAACCTTCTTTCGAAGACGGAAGTCATGTGTGGGATCCCCCACAGGTGTTCCAGGGCCACGAGAATCACTGCCCACCGAGGGTGCTCTCGAAGTGGAAGCCGCTCGCGAAAGCGATGGAGCTGGACGTGGTACGGGGGTTCCAGGCACGCCGGGAGTCCGCGGGGGACGAGTACCAGGCGCAGGTGTAGCGACGCCACTTCGGTTTCTGCTGATGATATTCGTAAGTTCTGCCTTGAACTTCTCGCGTTCTGTCAGGGAGGCTGGTTGAGGCGACGTGAACGTGAAGTTGTGACCCGCGTCATCCGACACTAATCCCAGCTTCAGCCTAACCTGAGCGGCACCTTCTTTGCTGCAAAACAAAGCTTTATACGCTTATTGTCAACATTCCGACTATGTTTATGAAACAAAGGCACCGACTGACATGCAGCCTCAACGAGCGGAACTTTGACAGATGGTGCTTTCTTTCCATCTTGTGTCCATTGTAGATGAGTACTTGTGAGTTCAAGGAGGCCAGGTAATTTTTTATATGACGCCTTCGCAGTGCAGATGGTAGCGGTACTTGTGGAAGGCATGTCTGGCTCCTGCGAGCGCGTCGAGGGATGTTATGTTAGGTAAGCGTCGGGTGTTGCTTTTTCGGGATACGTAGAATGAATTTGTAGTGAGCGCTTCACAAACTATTGCTTCTCATCCTCGGCCAAGTGACTCGAGTGCGGATATGGATCTAAAGGTCGAAAGACAGTTGATCGTCTTCGACTTCGACTGGTACGTTATGTAGAACCTTTATGTTCTCATGCCTCTGTCTTACCAGTTTATTCTGCTAGGTCTCTGGCAGATCAGGACTCTGATAGATGGATTTTTGAAGTTCTTGCGCCAGACTTACGAAGAAAAATGAAAACTCTCAAGGATGAAGTCCAATGGACTGATCTGGTGTAAGATGATACTCCCTACGTACATTTTTACTTTATTGACGTGCGAAGTGCATCCTCTCTTCGCGAGTTACACGCTCGAGGAACGCCTAGAGAGAGCATTGAGGATGCCCTCAAAACTATGCCTTTCGTCCGCATCACTCTCGATTCACCTCTTTCTGGTTCTCATGCTTTCATTCTAATAGCATCCTGCCATGACTCGAGCCGTAAAAACGCTGAAGGCCAAGGTTAACCCCGAAACAAAGTTTCTCTGTCTTTCCAACGCCAACTCCGTATTCATTCCTACTATTCTCAAGGTAGGATTTTGAACAGTTTTCCCGAACGCTCGGTGTCTGAACTGAGTTTTAGGAGAAAGGTCTCGAAGACTTATTCGAGGAGATCACCACCAATCCCGCAGAATGGGATCCTTCTGGCCTACTAAAGCTTCGGCGGAGAATCGATCCATCCGGTCCCCAACACAATTGCAAAGTTGGTTGCAGCCCGAATATGTGTAAAGGTACCGATTTCAATCTCGTTAGCATTTCACGGGAGCGATGACTCAATGAGAAAACAGGCGAGGAATTGGATTCATTTCTTGCACGTCATCTGCCAGCTTTTGATCGCGTCGTTTATATTGGTGACGGTTCAAACGATTTCTGTCCAATACTTCGCTTGCGGAGGTACGTTCCCGTCTGGTGCTTACTCTCATCTTTTCACTAACACCACGATTCTTCGTAAACCAGCTCGGATGTGGTACTCTGTAGACGCTACCGTGGGTTACAAGGCCGCATTGAACGCGAAGGCAAAACGGCAGGCCTGAAGGCACACGTTCACTATTGGGCAGGTGCTTGGGAAGTCGAAGAGTTGTTCCAACAGCTCTGATGCGATGAGCAGCGTTGTCCCAAATAGTCCAATATCTGCACCGTTTATCCGAGATATGTTCGGGGGCATTACAATAGATACAGCGAAGAGCCTTGTGATTGGTTGAGATGAACGCAAGAGGCTACAGCCGAAAGAATTTACATAGGTGAAGCTATTTAGAAGAAGAGACTACACCAGATGAGCAAAGTCCATAGGCGGCCCTGCGCGCCATAACTTGCGTGACTGTAAGAAGTGATTCTGCACCGATGAATATGGAATGCAACGTTAGAGCAGAAATACTGTGCAAATGGGGAGAAATAATGAAATGATTCATGGCATCTTGAACGTTCTGGACATTGTGGAGGAAAGAATGCAGAAAGGAGGTCAGGTGGCGGGACAAGATGAATATTCACAAGGCAACAACGCTTCACTGGGTCCACATATCCATGCCACTTTTTCGCCTGGTTTCCTTGGTAGATAGAGGAGCCTGTGATGTCGGCAGGGTATCTGCGGCAGAGAACGGATTGCGCTGCTGGCTGTTGCCAGCGGCACCCGTTGGCACGACACCTGCTCCGTAGAACGACGGAGGTACAGCCTGTGCCGGAGCAGTAACCTGCCGTGGCTGAGGGTTCTGCTGCTGCGATGACGAGTTATACCCTCCGTACTGATCGGGCTGCATGGGAACATAGAGGGTACCGATATCTGTCCTTCTATCAAGAGAATCGAAAGGCGAAGTAGGCGTCTGCTGTTGAGAGTATGTCGCAGCGTATCGATTTCCGGCGGTGGTCGAGTTACTCGCGTACGCTTGTTGGGGAGGGTTGGGTATGACATTGGAAGAGCTGGCCCCGTAGACATTAGTCGGCTCTCCACGCGCAGCGGCACGGACATTGGACATGGTCACCTCCCGTCTATCGTCATCTACGACCATCTGATTCGTGTATGAGTGTGCCAGGTTCGAGCTGGGAGGATGGTACCGAGTGGAGCTGCCCGAATATCCCCAATTCCCCATGCCCTGCGTAGCAGCCAACTGAGCCTGTTGCTCAAGATACTCCAACTGAGGGTAGGGCTGAGCAGCAGCTTTTCCAGATCTCCGTCTCTCCCACTCCTGCAAGGGGTCATCACGTTTAAGCACAGGAGTCAGAGCCTTCCGGCCACCGATGACATCCTGATTCATATGCTGCAGACGAGCCAACGCCGGAGGTACATTGTCCATCATATGATTGATGGTGTTCGAACGGTTGCGAGTAGAGGTGGCAGCTTGGTAGGCATTCGGCGGTGCAGCAGGAGCCAGGTGTGAACCGACTGGGAACGATTGACCGTATTGCGAGGCATTACCGCCGACACTGAGATGACCATGGGAGGCCTGGTGATTGAGCGCCCGCTGTGTCGAAGGGAAGTTCGAAGTGGAGCTGTTCTGCTGAACGGAGTACGGAGGCGGCGGGTTCTGCGGTGGCTGCTGAATCTGCGGTTGAGGGGGTGGCTGTTGTTGTTGGGTCTGCGGGGTGATATACGGATTACGGTATACGTTCTGTGCAGCTTGCGATGCAGCCTGCGCCTGGGTGTACGCTTGATGCTGAGCCAACTGTTGATTGTATGCAGCTGCATCATGAAAAGCACGGGTACCCTTTGGTTGTGAGGGAATGAGACCTCCGTATGGCCGTTTAGGATCCGTTCCAGTCGAGCTATTCGATTGAACTGGTTGAGCAGTTTGTTGTCCGGCGGGCTGGATGAATTGAGTGAGTGAGAATCCTCGGTTTCCGCTCGCAATATCGGGAAGACTTACCGTCCACGGTTTGGTCCATTTCTCACCGGTGATGAATGGATGCATGCGGGCCTCTTGTGGAGACCAACGCTGTATTGGGTCCATATTCAAAAGTCCCTGGCAGAAGTCGATGAAAGCAGCACGATTATTCATTTCTGTAAGAGAACTTAAGTCAACAAGATTCCGAAAGTACCAGCTATAAGACATACCTTTCTCGACCTCGTGCGACTGACGTGACGTTGACTTGACTGTCGACATCGGAGCCTGCTGGATGATCTCAGGAAGGGAGTTCGCTTTAAAGTATTGCTTCCCAGGTTGCTCCTGCGTATTGTGTTCTCGGGAATACTGTTCAAGGCTCTTGAGCTTGTATTTCTTCTGACCATATGCATCCGTATAGGTGTCAAAGAACTGGCTCGTCTGCTTCCCCATATCAAGCATGTATGGCGGCGGGTAACTAGAATAACATATATGTCAGTGATAAGGCACAGTGATTGCACGAATGCGGATAGAAGGGATAATAACGCACCCTAACATCTCAACTATGCGGGTAATTTGATTGTACTCACTCGTCCCAGGGAACAACGGGAGACCGAGGAAAAGTTCCACAGCGATGCAACCCAAGGACCACATGTCAATGGCTGCTGTATACGGTATTCCGAGGAGGACTTCCGGCGACCGGTAAAATCGAGATTGAATGTAGGTATATACAGTTTGCCGTTCATGACAAGCCGATCCGAAGTCAATGACCTTGATTTGTGGCGATTGCAAGCTATGGGAGCATATAGTCAGAAGAAGTAGCCGTTTGGTTAATCGTGGAGACTTACGACTTCAGAAGGATATTCTCCGGCTTCAGATCGCAGTGGATTAAGCGGGCATCTTTTAGTACTGTCAAAGCGTCTAACAGTTGTGCCGTGAAGACCTTCACAAGCTGGGTGCTCAACCCTTGGAACTGGTTCTGTTTGATGAGCTCGTATAGGTTTGATGACAGCAGTTCGAACACAAGGCACAGATGGTTCTTGTGAATGAAAGAGTCTCGAAGCCGCAGAATGTGATGTTCGTCATGGGGGTCGCATTGACTATTGAGCTACGGAAGGTCTAGTTGAACATCGGGCTGTTCAAAAACCCGAACCGTCAAGGGACACATACCAGTTCGAGGATTGTCACTTCCATCATACTCTGATTGAAGTAAGCCGGCTTGTTCTTGACTACCTTAACGGCGACAACTTCGTGCGTCTTCATGTTCTGACACTTGACGACCTGTCCGAAGGTGCCTTGGCCCAAGATATCCAAAATCAAGTATCTGAATGTCATATCAGTATCGTAAACACACTACTAAACGCTACTTACTTGTGGCCATCGTCCGTGCCCAACCAGTCATTGACATAGAGGATATAGTCGTAATCCTCATTGTCATATCCGTCATTGTGGATGGGCTTGCTTGGCTTTGTCAGAACTCGCCGCGGGTTGTGGGTCGATTCATATCTGAACTGAGGATTGCAAATATGGTACGTCTCGAGGATATTGGTCGTCAGCTGCCTGGCAGGCTGTAAATAGTCACATACATTAGCGCGATGCATGCACAACATACGGCCGACAACCGGTGCCGTGAAACCTTAAGACGTACCGAAAGATAGATGCCACTTGAATCCATACGCCTGCCCGCGGGTTGGACATTCACAACCGGTCGCAGATCACGTTGATCCCTCACTCGTTTCAACCCAGATGCTCTACGCTTTGGAGGTGGTACTTCCACCGCCATCGGCTGATGATCTTGCCCGAAGAAATGGACCGGAGATGGCTGCTGCGAATGATGACCATAGGACAAAGGTGTAGCAGGCTGAGATACTGAAGATCTGCTCGAGCCACGTTGCGCGGTGAGACCATGAGAGGTAGCAGGTGCTGGACTCGTTGTGTCCATGGGGTATGGGGGAGAGTAGACGCCAGAATGAGAATAAGCAGTAGACATCGGAGGCGTCACAGCTTCGCTCTTGACCTGCGACTGTCCCCGTGAATGCGCTTGGTAGGGGGGCGGAAATGGTCGTTGATGTTCAGAAGTTGTAGGAGAATAAGGGTATGCGTTGTTCGAAGCTGAGTTGAATTGTTGAGGAGAATAAGGGTCAAGAAGAGGTTGAGTCTGATTGGTCCCGCGAAGTGGTGAACGTGCCGCGCGAGTACTCGAATCGTGTTGGGTATGAGCTCGTTTGGGTGGATGTGCAGCAGGAGGACCAGGAAAGTATGCATCTTGATACGGGTCTGGCGCACTGGCGCTCGCACTGTTCACATTGGGAGGAGTGCCGGTCAAATTGGATGGTTGGTGGTAAGCAACACTCGAGGGATAAAGAGAAGGTTGAGGTAGATTCGTCGGCGTACGTCTCTGAGTCGAGACGTTATCCACATTGAAAGCACCCTCTAAGTCATCCTGCAAATGATGACGGCGACCCCTCGATCCAGCAGTACCGGTTGCACCTGCATTATACGACGAGCTTCGAGAAAGCTGCGAGTTGCCTGGAGTCATGTACGGCAACGTATACTGTTGATCCTCGTCCAAAAGCTGGCTTATACGAGGCTGCCTGGAAGAGCCTGGCGACTGATGAATGGCTGCAGGTAATCGGTTGCCAGAGGCGCCAGATTGGGGCGGTGGAAGCTGGTTTTGGCCCTGAGGAAACATGTAGCCAGATGCCTGAGCAGCAGACTGAGCGGCCTGTGCAGACGAGGACAAGGCGTCGTGGGGGAGTTGAGTAGACCAACGGGGGAGGTCGAAGTCGTCGTTTGTGCCAGTCATGTAGGCCAAGAGTTCAGGTTCCGACATGTATTACTGATTGACAGCGTCCAGGTAAAGGATGCTAGTCGTTCTGGTTGTTGTTGAGATGTTGGAAGAACGACTAGAGGTGGTCGTGAAGGATGGTGGTGAACGACGACAAGGGTTGTAGCAGAAAGGCACAGGCGATTGCAATTACGCTGGCCGATCGTAAAGGTCAGCGCCGAACGCGCAGGCGGTGGCTGCAGCTGGCATACTCTCGGCTATCGCAGATATCATCGATCCTCTTTTTATCAAGTCTACTCATACAAGGCTGTTGTAATAGGGTGCTTATTCTAGAGTCCAAATACACATCTCAACAACCAGTACTCTCGCACCGCACCTCAAGTCAAGGCGGTCATCCTCAACCGGATATCAACAGACCATCAACTCGGCGCGTGCTCCATAACCTTCAGGTGCTCCACAACTGCCTTCTCTATTGCTAAAAGTATCTTGGGTCCATCACCCATAGCTAAGAAAGATGGTGGAATGTCTACGGACAAGAATATTTGCTTTTGGAAGCGTCGAGCTGAGCAGAGCTGTCAGGCGCGAATTCTAACCAGCGTAATGAAGACCTGGGTTCCAGGATTGACTCACCTAAACGCTGAGACATGGCAAGTGCGACATCAGAACTCGAGGAGCGATTCAAGGAAGTAGCAGCAGGAGGGATAGCCACCTGCATGGCCCGCAAATAAGTGCCTCAAGTTCGGTTGCAAAATAGCAGACCTATGTCAAACACATATGCATCTTACGCGTACTCACATTCTGGCTTGGTGGCATTGCACAAGCCCAATCTCTCAATAGAAAGCCCCTCATTGGGGCTATATGAGCATTCCCTTCTGACTCTTCCGTCGCACCAATCCAGACCATGTAAGATCCAGTAAGCCGAGTCACCTGCAACACCAGAGCGGGAAGATACGGTTGTGAAGGTGGAATGAACTTGGTCTCAACATGGATACTGCCAGAAAGGTCTACTGAAGTCGCGGACATGGAGGTCAGTCTCAGACAAGTAAGAAGACTTCAATGGAAGCGCTCGCCCAATAGGGTAAATCCCGACGCGGAACCTGGTTCATGTTCGTTCCCAAGGATGTCGATAGTTGCTATGCTCCTTGGTTCTGACTATCATGCAACATGGCAGTCTCGTCCAATCCTAATAATGGGCAGACCATTACCCACATTGTGAGCTTTAGAGACGCAGAAGGCGTCGTACGTTGCCCCACCCATCAAGAACCTGCACTGAGCCTTGTGAGTAAGACTGCTACTAATCCGAACCGGTAAGACGTTATGCAGCCATTTTTGGATCACAAGTTCAGCTCAATCGACCTCTTCATAGTGGGTTCTACAAGTGTGGTCATTCTCCGGAAATCGATCGCTGCAGGTTCTTCAGTTAGTATCATCAACATATTTTAATCATAGATAAAGGCTCATCTCGCACCAGAATGGGCGGACGATCCCTCCGTCGCAGAGCCACCGAAAGCCAATACATCGGATGCATCTGAGGAGGACTTGCCTGTGCAGTCGGTTGAAAATGCTCGTCTCTCCACAAAGAGACCCTACCCAGGAAACGAAGAAGGTCCTTCAACCCCTATGCCCAAGCGGATCCATACTACTCCAGGATCGCAGTCGGATCTCACTCCCGCCCAACGTGAAAAGCGACTTGCAGCTATTCAAGCCGCGACGGGCCCGCAGAGTGGGGAGTCAAGCAGCCAGGAGTCCACAGAAACCCCAACTCGTCCCCCAAAACGCAATGTAGCCGGCACATTTGCACAGCCGCAATTCCGCCCTCATGGTATTCAACAAGCCATGGGTGAAAGGCAGGATCAGGTTCGTGATACATTCATCTCTGACGAGGACATACCAGTGAATGCGATTGCGCGTTAGACCCACGCCATGGATGCTGACGAAGAGGAACTCGCCTTCTGGGGATCGTCATCCCTTCACCAAAGCCAGGACGACGGCAGAAGTGAAGTTTCTGTTGCCCGTTACCTTTCCTCCGGTTCATCCACTTCAAACCGGTTACCGGATGGGGAATCCGAGATTGCTCCCGCCCATGAATCAGAAGAGCTCATGCCTGACTTGTGTGCTAGTGAACCAGAGCCACGGATCGGGTCTATTTCGACCCCCCGAGGGCGTTCTACACATGCACACTCTGGGAACGAACAGAGGGAACGGACCATGTTGTTGACCCCGCCACCGAGTTCACATCCGGAGCATAATGAGAGATACGGGCAAGCTGCTCGCGTGTCTGATGCTAGATACACTCCCACTAAGTCGAAGGGTAAGGAACGAGAGATACCCACCAGCGGTTCCCAATGGCCGCCCATTCAGTCGGACCCTGTAAGGACCCATTTTATTCCATGACCATATTATGAACTCTACTGATATTCTGCCCGTCTATCATAGGACAATCTTTTCGACGACTCTTCAGAGACGAGCTCTTACTCTGACTCCGACGCCCCAGCTTTCACGGTTGCAAAGGGGGATCCCATTGCTCTACTCAGGGCTCTAAGCAAGATCCCAGACCACCTCACGAGCCTAAAACAGAAGAATAGGAAGGCAGTGAAGTGCATCAAAAAGAAGAACCAGCGCATTGCGGAGTTGGAGACTAGAATGAGAACCCTGGAGGATGAATTGGAACGGTGTGTCTATTTTTCTATTTGCTTGCCGATTCTTTTCCCTAACTTTTTCTCGGATCGGACAGTGAGAGGCAGCAGAGGATTTAATTATTCTCCACGCCTTTGGATAACCGCCGGCAACAACTAGCGATTGCGATGAACTCAACTCCTGCGATACCCCCCGATATCTCCCTTATGATCCCTCTTACTACGCCCAGCTTGCGGGATCGTGCGACACCCCCTAACGAACTACGACACCAGACCTCTTCCCTTCTGCTCTATTTAATATTTGCTTCTTCTGTATACCATGGCGGATGGACTGACTCCCAACGGGTTGTAACGGAATGTGCTACCACTGTGCCTCACCTAGCAATTTGTAGTTACAAAGTCCTCGGACGACTACCTCGTGTATTTTAGCTCACGTCTTTCCCGAAATATTCAACGCCACCGCTGTCTCGTGCATTCACACCCCCGACTCCATGGCTCTGGGTTGGCGGTTCGATCTCATGCGTGGCGACCTGGCCATGTTTCATGACGTCGACCGTTAAGTTGAGGAATGCTTGGTTATAAAAAGCCGCACTGTTGACATATTCGGGACATGGCGGCGAGCAGAGCACCGTTATCTATCGGAACAAACAGCCTACTTGCAATCCACAAGAACGAACAAGCCCCAAAACTATGAGACGCGTTCTTCATATAGCACTCACATTTTTCTAAACGTCGGCGGCGAACATAATAGGTCAAAGCAAAGGGAGAGGCCTTGAGGACCCAAATTGAACGAATATGAGGTGATGATGGATTTCGGGCAGGAGCATAGCGCAAAGTATCGTATTACAGTGAGTACAACACTGGCAGAGCGTACTACTACGAATTCAAAACGGAGGCCCGCAAACACAATGAATACAACACACCGACGGAATCGGAAAGATGGGACTGGAACGACATCTCCAGCAAGCTAAAGTTCGATAGACCTAACAGGAAGCTTGAACAAAAGTTTTAAGAAGCAGTACCTGTTGGAGTGGGATCGGAGATGCTGCCCGGCCTGCGACCAAAGGACGTCTATCGAGCGGGAAGGTTTGAGGGTCCTTCATCGCGAGGACTCTCAAAACACTAACCCTGGGTCGCATTGAGGTCCATGTAGATATTCTGTCTCCTGAAGCAGACTTGCATCAGGTCCAAAGTGTCAAAGGTAGTGCCAAACCGGTGTACATCTACCTCGCTAGCGGAATACTGAACACTTGACGTGGAAGCCAGGCACTCGACCATGGCAAGGACGGTCTGTCGAGGTTCTGGAGATCTCTGCACGGGGCGCCGTCAAGGTGGGTTCGTACTATGATAGACTGGCGTAGTTGCCTTGACTGAAGAGCGCTTCAAAGTTCGATATTAGGATCGGCAAAATCAAATGCTTCCCATGCATGGTAAGCAATCGTCCGGCATGTCCATTGCCAACAATGCATGGTTAGGCCTGCTGCTGCGGTATTGATGAATCTGCTTTATTTGACAGGCCGACGTCGTCGAGACATGTGGATGAAAGTAGGTAAAACAAAGTGGCGAGAGAGCGGTTGGGGCTAGGGTGGTTAACAGGAAAATCAGAGGTGTACGCGTATGGTGACGGGCCTGAGCAGAGGCGGTAAGTTTAAATTCATCGAACAGTTTTAAGACTCAACTAAGACGCTTTCCATTTGTATTTGAGGAGCCAACTACGATTCGTACCCTCTAAAGTTCGAGTGTTGAATAGAAATTGGTAATATTCGGGTATTGCAATCCGGATATAGATACCATACCCCTATACATAAAGACAACGGTCATTAGCGGGCAGGTGAAGGGTGGAGAAGGGACCATATATTGCCATTTGCAAGGAGGATATGGAGGTGAGAACGTGTTTGAATATACCGGATTTGTTGAATCCCAACACCAAGGATCCTATTTTGAGGGGTCCTCTAGTTACGAGAGCACATTGTGTCAGTATATCGAGCGACGCCTGCTTGACAAGACATCAATATGGCATGGGCAAGAAGGGGTGATGCTCTGTAGTCCCATTGATTGGATCGAATACTGAAGAGAAGCTTCCAGTAAAATAGACGGCCCGTGCCTTCTGATCAATGTTAGTATCACAAAAGGTTAGATTGTGAGGATGTTCCTGGATGTTTTGCGTCGGACGACCCGCGTATACGCATCAAATTGTCCACCTACAGACACAGACAGATCAAGAAAAGCAACGGGGAGACGTCGGAAAGCCCTTAATGACGCGAGTGGCATACCAAGACAAGTGATGGAGAACACAAAGCAATTGGGAGCGTACACGATCGATGCTTGACAGGCTAGACACCGTGAGTACAATGTCACACAGTTCCTGAATATTCGACAATCCTACTCCACATGCATTCGGAAAGGCTACCCAGCCAGTGAGAGCCAGCGGATTTGGATGTATACAAAAGATAGAGTCCGAGGGAACATATAGACTTCGGATTGATGAAAGTCAACTGTCGTGAGAGGAATTCCTTGCAATATCATTGGTACGTCTGAAAGGATTAAACGGCGGACAATGACAAAGAGAATGCTGACCTGAAATACGTATGTGAATCACGAAAAGGGATCTGCAAACATATGAGCCTGTGACATTCACATAGATAAGTCGATGAAATAATAAACATCGTCATCGTCATCACGGATGTGACAATACAGGGTATACGTGCAGTGTCATTGAAGAAAAGTACAAGGTTCGAAAAAGAACCAATATACATGTGGCGCGCAGGAAAAGTACATATCTGTAATCGCTTGTGTGGTGAGTTGCAGTCGCGATGGAACATGCCCAGAAGAGATGCCATCCTCGACTGCAACAAGTCCTCAAATTCTATTGGACAACGGACATAGAGTTCAAGCAGAAAGATAGAAGGTAGGGCCGCCGATAAATACGGCAAATGGGAGGGTGAGAAAACGTTTGTAAATCAGATAGGTCATACTGCTTAGCAGAACAGTCGCTTCCACCACAGTTTAAAGCGTATCCACCAGCTGCCTTGCCAGCCAGGTGTACGTGTCTTGAAACCGACCCACATGGTCCCGGTGCCGACCCTAATCTCCTTCCTTTCCTCATCATTTGCCATAGCCTCTTCGATGTCGGCTAGCTGTGCAGATTTAGACAATGTAGGGAACGTTGGCAATGGATTGCGCGCAATGAATGCGGGGAACACTTTCAAAAGGGCTAGGAACTCCGGGTCCGAAAGGTCTGGAACTGTCCAAACCCGAAGATATTCTTCCGGGTCAGGCAGGTCGCGCCCAGCAGAAGCAGATGAGAAATAGTCGGTAGGATCATCGCGCGACGTATTGGGAGTGGCAGGTTCATCAATTGTTGAAGAACCTGAAGTGGAGAGGTGGGCGGTGGTATTCCCGGATGAATAGGATGTCGAAAGTGGAGGTGTGTCCAGGAATGGATCACTGGGTGCCCTGGCACGCTTTGGCAATGTCGTAGATATTATTGGTGGCGATTTCTGGGGATGTGCCGGTGCCGAAGGGCCAGAAGGAAGTGGTTGAGATTGTGACCGAGAGTGCACACGTGAGACAAGAGGGAATGATGAATAGGCTGTGGAAGGTGAACGCCTGGATGACAGGATTTCTTCGAAGCCAAGGACCTATTGGTTTTTGTGCGCTTTCATCAGAGCCGTACTCAGCCGTACTCAAATGGCAATACACTCACTCCTTTGAGAACATCTATAGCGTCAAGCATGAAATCTTTACCACTGTAGCACGGACGAAGCCGAAAGAAGTTTTATCAACTCTAAACCGTGGAATCGTAGTTGAAGTACTCACGCTGCTTCTTTGAAAAGAGCATCATCGATTTCCCATTCTATTTTCCGTCCGCCCGCACCGCCAAGGTGTTCTGGAATGACTTGCAGTCTCATGACAGCCCAGAGACCTTCGAAAAAGAGTTTTGTACCCGGCATACCCATTGTACACCATGTCCTTACAAATCGTTCTAGTCTGTCATAACGCTCTTTCCGAGCAAGAGGACCAGTAGGCTCTGCCCTTGAATGTGGCATCAATGATCCACCAGGTAGCGTCGCGCTGAGGTGCGCTTGAAATTCAGCGTTGCGCCGTGCATTAACGCTGGCATGATACGCGGATCGTATTGATGCCTGTAGCCGAGCAAAAGGTGCTCGTTGAGAAGGGGGTAGAGTAGCTAATGTTTGCGTCATAAGACGTCCAGCGTTGTCGTTCTGATCATAATACCTGGGACGGTATTCAAATCAAGTCACTCATGAAACGTAATTTGTCGAAGAAGTCTTACCATGCTCGGCAATGCTCTGCGAAATGCTCGAGGTCAGCACCGCGCGCAGCTCGAGCAGGAGTTGGTGCCCGACTGCCGCCTGAAGGCGGCGGGGTCATTTGCATGCCATTTCTAGTACCTCTTGACCGACTTCTTCCAGTAGGAGAAGTCGGGGATGTGAATGGCGAGTATTTGAGTCGTGTAGGTGAGGGGGAGATCGCGGGGGGTAAGTCGTAAAGGAGAGTTGAAGGTGAATTGTATGATCCTGAGAGGCGTGACGGAGCGATGTTGTGCGTACGGATTGGCAAGGGTGGCGGTCTAGGACGAGGTGTCTCCAATTTGTATGAAGACATTATTGCATACTACAGAATTTCTCAACAGGTCAACGAAGACCAACGAGATTGAATGTCGGAGATTTCCAGACAAGGAAGGTCACGGCTATGTACGTAGTGATCTGGTGAACGAATGGCGGATGTGAGTACGTTGACCGAAGCAACTTCGTCAACAACGAGAACAGAATGAAAATTGTAGAAAGTCTCAAAAGCGGGATGACTGTCGCTGTGTATGCGCGGTCGTCGCCGCTAGGAGGAAAGGCGTTTCGTAAACCGGCATGTGTACATCCGCCTGCTACCACTCGCCAAGCATAAACCCGCTTACGTACTTGATCACTACCCAAGCAAGGTAATCGCTCCAATTGCAAGTTGCGAGTTCAGCTTGGCCTCCTAACGTCATCTTCACGGCGACATTCAAAGCCATGTCTTTTCGTAAGAGATATGGCGCATGAATGATCTTGAAGCTTCTAACTTTATAGAAATAATTCCGCCTGTTTGGCTAACACTTCCTTTAGACTGGTCCTCGAAAACTTAAGACTCTGCCACATTTGGAAAGTGCGTTGCCATGGTTGGTGGAAACATTCGACCACTCTCTTTACTAGACAAACTGCCCGTACCGTTCAGCGTGTAAAGGTGCAGGCATAGATCTTCATGCACATATCCGGATCCGAGGCTTGTCGTCCTCGCTGCGCGGTTACCACATCAAGATTACGGTGGATTACCCGGTCGAATCCTGTTACCTTTGATGTATTCGTCTTAGCTGTGCCTCCAGGCTGAAGAAGCGAAATGTCGTTCTGCGCAAATGGATTTGTAACCTTCTGCATAGCCCAACCAATATGCAAATACATCAAATTTTCAAAGGTCAATGTCCCCGCTAACATTCCAGGTAATTTGGACAATCCAGCCGCGTTCTTTTCAAGGTGCGACTTCGTAGACTGCTCATCAGATCATCCGACGTCGGCCATGATCTACGTATGCCATTGTAACACACAAGGTTTCATGTCAAAGATACGCTGATTAATTCGTATGGATTTTTAGCAGGCCCTCTGCTTGGTGGGGAAGGGGTGACGAACCGCATGGTGTGTGCATCGGGCTACTCGCTAACTGTCCGAATCTTTTGTAATTATCCCCGGGAGCCATTTGTGCAATAATCCAGCCGTATTGGTATAGTTCGTCCATTTCAATATTTCTTCCACTGCTGGGCTTAATTTATCTGCTCATCAGAATAGATACAGGACTAGTGACCGCGGCGAAAGTCAAATTACCCCGCATGTTATGGTATCTTTCTCATTTTATCCGGTCAACCAGCTGAGGCAATTCAGTCACTCATTTTGGACCCTGCAGTTGGCGGCTGAGTTCACGTTGGCCCCAGATATGTGGAAAATATAGCAGATACTACCATCCAAAACATTTGACTCTCCCTACCGTTACGTGGATTATAGCTCCGAAGGGGTATAAAACCATCGGTAGTGCTTCAAATCATCCGTGCGCGCTCTTAATCTTCTGATGACAAGTGCGCATCTTCCTTCGGGACCGCGCTTCTCACTCCAGGACTGCCGATCTCATTTTCAGAAATAGGCCATCTTCAGGACCAACTGGTCTCAGTAAGCTGCATCGAGTCAGCTGCGTCTGTCCGTCGGCGCCCCCATACGGCCAAGGCTGGGTGACACTCTTCATTCTTCGTATTGAACATCAATCAAGGTTCCCGGTGCATCAGTTCCGACTCAACAAATCTATGAAGGGTCATCACATCTAGCTCTGCTCAATATCTCCTGGATATCTGTAAGTGACGTCCTCCTAACACGGAATAAGCTCTCAACAGTCAACAGATACGTTAACCCGTCCTCGGTGACAGCAAGAACTTTGAACCATGTGCCTACTACCATGTAGTAGCAGTGTCTGGTCCCCCTCAGTCATGACTAGCCTAAACTATCTATGTTCACTAAGCTACAAGATGGTCGGAGATGGAAGGTCTTTACCTCCACTCTTTCTCCATTGCTTTGAGGGTGACAGAAATTCCTCGGCAACTATCTGTCAAAAGTGGCGATTAGCATGCGATGAATCCGGCTATTTTCCAGTTGCGGATACACTCTACTTCCATGGTCGAGAAAAGGCTGCACTTCGCGAAGCTTCTGTACCGTTATCCTGTGGCCCATTCAAAGCCATATAAAGAGGGACCTATGACGAATGTTTAAGATGTTTATTGTAGGCCTACGCAATCTGTTAACGTCAACCCTACATCATGCGACCCTTCCCAAAAGCCACCGTAATTGAAGGGTTTCCCCTGACCCGTTCTTGTCTGGGCTCTGCTGGAGAACTTACCAATATCCGGTCGCCATTAACTCGCATGGTGCACACGTTCAAGGTTTCTACTGATCCGGATATTGTCCAAGCGCTGTCATCCGGTCTTCATGGGGTCAATATCTTACGGCATGGTTAGCTTCAGCGTTCAGTGAAAGCAAACTCTATCATGACCTTGAAGCCTTGAAGACGCCCCTTGTCGGCAATTGTTGGTCACTTCGTTGCCCTAGCAGTCAGTCCGGCGGCAGCTAGCAGATATATATACCGTATATCAATCTGAGTGCCCGACCTTTTCTGTTCTTCTCTCTGGATGTTTTTGGATTAGACTGAGGTACGCTCGGAGACCATGGGGTTGCAATAGCGTTTGCTAACTGCCATCATTCCAAACACGTAGGCGGCGTTGTTCAAAGATTGATGAATATCAAAGATTCAAAGCTCCTTCTCTTTGCAGCTGATGTTGACGGCAGCATCTGACCTATCCTAGGCTCAAGCCGACTTTCGGCCCGCTCATTCTTCGACTCTAGATACAAATGCGAGAAGCTCGGGACTGGCTGCTGTAGCCAATACAACAATACGCTAGCAAGTTCTCGTTAGCCAGCGCGTTTTCGAACCGTGGATCGCCATTGGCAATAGCAAAGTCTTACTCACTTGCGGCCGCCGGATCGACAACCTTCTTGTGAGTACAGACGCAGCTGTCGTCCCTTTTGCACCCGTCAGATAGCTGCTCTTTCGTCATAGATATGCCCAAGTTGACCTTCTTCTGGACGTTCTCTTGCAGTTTCAAATCGGAAAGCCAATACAGTTAGCATGACAGGTGGTCAGTTGATTTGGGACAAAACATGCTGAGTGAGCGCGTTCGGAAATAAGCGTGTCGGACTGTATCAACTGACATCGGATTCGGCGTGGTTGTGCCTGGTCTCTTCATTTAGGGACAGAGGGCTTGGCAGTGTCCGAGAGCCCATATCTTTGGTGCCCGAATGTGCGTTCACGTATCGTCACCGGTAACCAATGATCTGGAAATCTCACGTCCCGCGAATGATTTACCCTGTTCTAAAGATGACTCTAGTGACTGAAAAGCCATTTCGCGAACGAGAATTTGTTGGCGTGATCTGATGTTCGAAATTTGGGTCGAACATACATACATATGTGGTAAGACTTGTGGTAGCAAAAATCATCGCGGAAGCAAATACTATGACCCATTGGGCCTGGCCGAGGTAATCGACAAACGCCCGCATTGATAGCTGCCAGTGCAAAAGCTCGATAACACACTCGATCAACATCTTGTGTTATCTTAAGACGCAAGTCAAAGTAACTCTTGCACGATGCAAGCACCATAGCAAGGTCACCACTGACAGGTATCTTCCCATTCACAACGACTGCGCTTAGACATGTGGTGAACAGCTGTGAACGTTTTGTGGCTGTCTTCTGCCAGTGGGTACCGATCGGTGGGGCGGTTTGATAGACAAACATACTCTCAAGGTCTAAGGATCTGTTCCCTCGGCCTAACCGGAGGCATCCGCTCACCTTCTGGCCCGAAGGACTGTCACTCGCTCATATCCTCGCTCAAGCAATAGCCTATCGCTGTTTTGTGGTCGGTGAGGTGGTTACGACTAGAAAGAGGTACGATCCATACGATCCTAAACTTTAGCGTGAGTCCAAAGGATGGACCTGGCTGGAAGAAGTGGAGCATTTGAGGAACGAAAAGAAGTCAAAACTTTGGCCTAGGGAATATCTGGCTGAATGAGGCAGCGAGTGATCATGGTAACAGTATAGTTTAATTCACGTTTACTCACCGGTTACTATCGTCGACGGATACAAGTCTTCGAGACCTGTAGATCACAATCTGCCACAGAAGTAGAGCTCTCTGGGCAATCCGTTACGTTTCTCTTACCGGAGCAACAAATGTGACCGGACAATTGGAAAATATTGGAGTTATAAAGACGTGTATGTCGGCTGAAGGTATTTGTGGAGACTTAGTGTTGGTATCATTCGTCGAACTTGTTCTTGCTGCGCAGCAGGGGAACCTTGTTGCGGCTGCGAAGAAGCCGGCTGTCCGAGTAAAGTGTGCCATGCGGATGAAAGACACCGATGTCGTGAGTGGGCTTTCGGGGTTCCGGTGAGCCCCGCTTCGAATACTTCCACGAAACAATTCAAAACTGTGGAAGAAATAAGCCTTGGTTGTGAAAAGTAGACCATGTGATGAATCAAGGAAGCACCGGGTCAACTTGATATGAAGAGCAGCAACGTCGATCGTACCCAACGAATAGGACCCGTAGACAAGAATAATGCAGCTGTGTGCAGGATTGAACAAAGCGGGAGTCTTTGACCAATCAGCGAGGTATTCAATGGCGGTGTCTATTAGCAACTGAACTTGAGCGGATAAGTAATTTATCAGAGGCCGTTGAAGCTACTACTACTTGCCCCATCGTTGAAGATGTACTGGACGTGCAGGCGCATCAAGGGAGTCGGGCTAAGCAAGGGACAGTACCCAACTATGAAATCCAAGATTGCACGGTAACTCAGTGGAAACATGCATTGTTGTGAGAGGCACGGCTTTTGTTTGGCTTGAGATCCACGATCTATGGAGTTTTCCAGATGAAGATGCGGTGGAAGGGATATCCGCCGACAGGATAACGTCAACCTGACTAGATTTGGTGACAAGAAGCAGATATGGACGAGAGCCAATCGGGGCGAAAGGTACAAAACTCGGGACGGACGAGTTTGAGAAAAAGCAAGAGTGCTGATAGGCTGAGACACATGAGAGGGTTCCGTAGAAGAGAGGAGAAGAATACGAATCCACGAGCAAGCACGAGACCTGGATGGATCGAGGGAGATATTCCCTGAAGGCTCGCGCGGAAGACGCGAAATGCGGTGTCTGAAGGAGATTGGTCGAAGGGGACCCGGTATTTTGGGCGGACTGGACTGACTTGGTTGCGAGCTGACATGGATGATTGATGTGACAACAGGCTGAACAAGATGAATTGGTCGGGAGTTGAAACTAGAAACAAACGCGTTCCTGCCATGATTGGAGATTGAGGACTTACGGAGATTTATAAGGGAGGCTCTTGGCACAGGCGAATTCGCCACATTGTGTCTACCTCGATTCAGCTGTGGGCAGCAACTGCTACCTGTGTGCTTGCTGTGAGGTAATTGCTCTCTGCTGTATATTGCTGCTCCTATCCCCGAACGCCTTCCTTTGTGATTAGCGCGGCGACGACAGACCGACGAATAACCGGCTTGTCGGAAACGTACTATTTCAACGAGAGTCGAGTGCGCGCAGCCAGTGGTTACCGTTTGAGGTGAGCGGCCGTGCGATGAGTCGAGTGATGAATATTCGATGAATAGTGATCCTAGCACTGCACCCGCCGCGTATAATACTCGACCTTCACAGACCGAAGCAGCCCCGGATTTTTCTTTCTGTGCCCTCCCGTCAGCTGTTCTGATTCTTCGTCATCTTCGAACATGGCACAAGCAGCCTGGCTCCCTCTCTCGGCAACAGCCGAACGCCGATCAGAATTTGGTATGAATGATCGCGAGTGCACTCCTCGTCCTCCTCCTCTTCTCCTCCTCGCCCAATCTGACCTCCTCGTCGTTGCAGACATCCTCAAGGCCTCTCCCGTCGGTCCCCACCGCCCTGACCGCAGGATGTCCATCGACTTTTCCTCCACCCCTACCCCCCAGGGCATGTACTCTCAGCCCGACCTTGACCAGCCCTTTGGTTCACTGCAATCCAATGATCTCAGTCACCAACACCCCTCCGCTCACATGCCCATGAACGGCCATGGTCTCGACCGCAACGACGCGCTCGAGATGTCCGACCACAATAGCTACGACATCTTCTCCAGTGCTTCTTCAGGCTCGCTTGCTAGTCAGCGATACCGGACCAACGCTTCATCGTCGTCGTCGCTTGGTCCCAACTATGGCTTGGGCGTCGATTCCATGTATTCTCAGTCCTCCTTCTCTGACCCACTCCCTCCCTTTCCCCCTCCTCCTTCTGGTCATTACGACCTAATGGGCAGCTTGCCCTCTTCGTATAGTAGTGGCAAGCCTTCACCTTTAACGCCGAATGATAGTGTTCCCAGTCTTCACCACCCTTCGAGCTTCCCATTCTCAAATGGGCATACGAAGGACTACTCTCATCCGTCTTTCTCTGACCCTCTTCTTGATCGTCGTCTTTCGACAGTCAGCAGCTACGCTTCAGATTTTGGCGATGACTATGGTTCGATGGGCGTCAACCCGAACATGGCTTTGGGTGCGTTTCAACCCCCTTCCGCAGTTCAACAGTTTCAAGATAGGATGGGTCGTATGCCTGACGCACGCTACGGCGCGGTCCCTCACATGCACCAAAATCATGGATCCGATCTCATGAGGGGTGTAGCACCTCAGGCGACTCACTCGTTCAGGCCAGACAACGGAGTATCTTTCGATGACATGCCCCAGTACATGACACCTAACCCTCAGGTCGACTTTCCGTTACGCATGCCCAGCGTCGACGAGAATTTAGCTCGTTTACGTCTTCAAGGGGCAGGTGACCTCCAGTCATTCATTCGGTATGTTTGGAATCCCGGTATAGTTCCCCTTTACTACATTTGACTGACTGCGTGTCCCAATTTGTCGCGTAGTCCATACTTGGATCAGTATGTTCGTACGCCGAATCGCTTGGCATTCGGCGAGCGTACTGTTATTGTTATGTCTTCTAAGGTCGCTCAAAAGTCGTATGGAACAGAGAAGCGGTAAGGCGGCTATTTCGGGCACGTATCCTTGCGCGGTTCATGTTACTGATTCTTCTGATGGTCTGTTTAGCTTCTTGTGCCCTCCGCCAACAGCCATCATGATTGGTAATTCGTGGTGGTCAGACGTCGTCCGTAGGGGTGAGGACCCTAAGCTGTGTCCTCCTCGTGTTGTCATTTCGATTTCGGGTGAGCCCGCTCCTCAGGAAGGTTCGATCGAGTGGACTGGAGCCGCCGGGAAGGCATTTGACGTGAACGACCCACCCACCGGCACTACGTACATTGGTCGCTGCGTTGGCAAGCAACTATTCATCTCCGATGTTGACGAGAAGAAGAAAAAGGTGGAGGCGCTAGTCAAGATCATGGCTCCTGCCTCCGATGATGAGCCCGAGAGGGTGATCGGTACCTTCCCCAGCAGACCCATCAAAGTCATTAGCAAGCCGAGTAAGAAACGTCAAAGCGCGAAGAACCTTGAGTGTGCGTTTCATTATTCTGGTTGATCAGCAGATAGGCGAACCACATTACTGACTCACCCATGTTTTCGCCGTTCAGTGTGCATTAATCACGGATCGACTATCTCGCTGTTCCACAGGTTGCGGTCACAGACCGTTTCGACAAAGTATCTTTGTGTCTCCGGTTCAGGGTCATCGTTCAAGGGCTCTGATGGTGCTCCTTTGATGGGTCTCGATCAACGGTCTCGCACCCCAACGCCCTCCTTCATCGCTCGTACGGCTTCTTGGGGTAAGTTCTGTGATGAACGGCTCATATATCATATGTTTTCTGACATACATCATTCCCAATAGATCCATTCATCATGTACATTGTCGACGTCAACAAGCCGGCAGGCGGCATTGACACTCCGCCCCCACCGCCTCCTCAACCCGATTACCCCTCTCCCCCACCTAATGCGATACCCTTCACGAACAACGGCTCTCAGATACCCATTTACTACAACCAGACCGTCGTCCTTCAATGTCTTACTTCCGGTGTCGTTAGTCCCGTTCTCATCATCCGCAAAGTTGATCACCAGACTACCGTCGTCGGTGGTGGCTTGCAGGAGGGTGCCAAAGGCATCGCCGATCATTACTGCACCCCTGGTGAAGTCTGTGGAGACCCTGTTTCGCAATTACACAAGATTGCCTTTGAGGTCTATGATCCTAGCAAAGGTGCACCGGAGCCTGGTACTCCTGGACAGAGTGGTGCTTTCTTGTCTTGCATGGGTGAGAAAGTTAACACCTATCGTCCCGTTGAGGGCAGACAATGGAACAACCCACCTGCGGTTCCGCAATCTGAATCGCCCAGCGCTGTTCCTAGCTCACCAACGGCCTCGACGCCAGCGACAGCGACTGGTGCCGGTGCAGACTACTTCGCCAACGGCAATGCTAGCGGCGGGGGGTCTCCTGCTCCCTCTGACTTCCCTTCGAACGACGGTGGTAAGGTGAAGAAGGGCAAGCGTGGGTCATCGAGCGGCGGTGCTCTTCCTAAACCTGCATCGCAAAAGGGTCGTCGACGACCCACGTCCTCAAGCTCTGCTGGAACTGGATCTTCGGGTCGTCGTGGCTCTAGCAGTGACTCGTCAGCATCATCGGGTGCCCTTTGGCAAGTCGACATCGGCGAGACCAGTGTGTGGACAATCGTTGGTACCGATCAGATCCGTTACAACTTCTATGTTCCGCCTGTACTGTATGACAACCCCAACGCTCCTCAGACTGGTTCGTTCCCTATCCCCTCGAAGCCTGTCACTCCCTTCCCCGGTGTCGTCAAGTACCTTCCTCCCGATCGTGCAGCCGAAGCACCAAAACCTTGTCCACAATCCCGAGGCTTGATGACGAAACCGAACCCGCACGCATCGAAGATGCTCACCGTTTACGGCGAGAACTTCTCTAAGACAGATCCCGTCACTGTCTTTTTCGGTTCAGACCCTTCACCTTATGTGGAGGTGAGGTGTCAAGAGGTCTTAGGTTGCTTACCTCCAGAGACGGGCGGAAGCAAGCGCAGACCTATCATTCTTGTTAGGCCGGACGGTGTTGTATTCCCCTCGAACACTTATTACCCGTAAATCTTTTTTTCATATCACAATGCTTATGTCCATCTTCTCTCCCATCTCTCGTCTCTTGCACGTACGTTTGCCTGTTTCCTGGTTTGCATGTCTCTCTGCCCTCTATCTCGTATGTCGCATTTCCTCTTTTGGTTTCTCCGGATTGTTTTGCTTGTGTTACGCCATTACCCCCGTCTCTTGTCCTCCTTGCCGCTTTGTGTCTGCATCTAGACGTTTATATATGAACTGCCGATGTACTTGTATAATAGAACCTCAGGAAGACATGTGTATAATCCCTCTGCAGTACTACTTATATCCTTCTCACCTCTCATCATCATTTTATACGCCAGAACGTGAGGAGGATTTAGCGCAATTTGTCTTTTGAGGCATGGTATGACGATGATGGGTGCATATGTGTCCGAGCATACATGCCATTATGCTCCTATCTCGCGCTTTTGCCGCCAACAACAACCATGTCAATTTACGAGTCGGTGCTCTCAACCCCTCGCTTTCTCTGGGATCTCTACGTAGAATATCTTTGGAACTATAAACCAGACTCGTGGGTTGCCAGTGGGGCGTCGACCTTCCGCGTTCTAGCGTTCCTCACCATCTCTCCATTCATCGTGTTGACACTCCTCGTGAGCTTTCTATTTCCGCGTCTTCGCATTGTCAGAACCGTTCCTCCTGCTCACTGGCTCCAAAATACGCTATACTCTTCCTCGTCTAGGATGTTATCTCATATGTCATTGCACGAACGCTTGGAGTCATCGACGATACGAAGGCGGCTACTAGCGAGGATGTAACTGACACCGGAGGTGTAACTCCAGGCGAAGCACCCATTATTCGCATCCAAGAATCCGACTCTTCATCGAGGTCTTCTAGCGAGGAAGTTGACAAGACACCTTCACATCCACCGCTCACGTATTTCGAGAATCCAGTGGAAGGAGAGGGCAATTTGAAGTTATCAGGAGTTGATATGTTCTCCCCCGCTCCATCTCAACCGCCTTCGCCAACGCTATCACGTCGCGATCTCACCATTCATATGACGCACCAACTGCCGTCAGGCAAGGCTGGCAGGGCGCGTGGGTCCTCCATATCGCAACCTTCTCCATCATCCACTACTAGCAGTGGACATTCATCATTCGCGATGTTGGAGAAGGAGTCCGAATCAGAAGACACCAGTGTACGGATACGCCAGCGGAGAGGGAAAGGCACAGGAGATTCGGAATCATGAAATGCAATTCAAAAATAGCAATAGACAACGACGGAGGTAAGAGGAACAAATAATCCTACAAGGCTAAGAATACACGGATATAAACACAATCTTACAGATCGACAAGGCACGTAGTCCACGCTGCCGAGGAGAACGAGTCCATGAGAAACTACCATCCAAATCTGAGCTGGTCCCTGGTGAAGGTGGGCGGCTTCCACTGTAGATACTCAGGGTGTATCTTTCGCTTTCGTTTCTCTATCGCCTTCTTGTGTCGTTCCTGGAGGCTTTCAGGAATAGATATCACGTGCTGGCCTTTATAATGTTTGAAAAGTTGCAGCGTGGTACATCTGAGAGAGTTGATTAGCAATGTAATAAAAAAGGGGTGCGACACCGAAGGTCACTCACGTATTCATAACGTCGGCATGAGTGATAGACGTCCTTTGTGCGATATCGTCGATGCTGATGTCGTCACTCGTACTGAGTAAGAGGTCAATAATCGTCTCGGCCCAATACGCTCGGTATCCCAGCAAACCGAGATCGCTGAGAGGTTTCTCTGGGCTGCCGAGCTTGCCCTCCTTCTTGCTGAGCTCGTACGAAAATTCGATCAGCAACTTTCCATAACCGTGCCTTTGGTGCTGCGGTAGTGTGAGGATACAGGCAACATTGTAGTTGTCCGCCGATTCCTTCTCTTTCGAGAAGTATCCAATGATATGGCAGCCAGTGGAGTCTCTGTGACACTAAAGAAAGAAAAGTCAGATGGCATCCGTAATTAGCACAAAGCGGGGACCTACCATAACGTAGTACATGAAGGGAGTCACATCATAGTACAGCGTCTTACTAAGGATATAATCAGGTCAGACTCCTGGGATATCGGAAGGGGAGTGGGACGTACTGGTCAAGGAAACACTTCGACAACAAACTGAGATTTCGGCACCATGTGAGCTGCCGCTTGCCGTCGAGCTCAAAGAACGAAAGGTCTTCGTGGCGGTAAATCTCGTTCCCAGGTGGATGTAAAAGGTTACACCGCTTGCGATGTCGCGACAGCATGAAAGGAGACCCAAAGTACGAGAGGCAAAATTCGCAAATATACAACACGGGTAGATGCGCGTATTCTTGTGGGTATGGACTGAAGTACCATGCATCTACTTCGTGTTTTCCAATTTGCAAGCGGTTCAGATTCTTCACGCGAGCGATTTCGGATATGGACTGAGTCATCGACCCCGACGTCCGCAATTTCTCTATTTCTTGCTCTTTACTGAAGGCAGAGACAGGCAGCGGAGGTGATGGCTTGTGACTACCATCGAGGTCGAGCACCTCACCCTCGTCATCTATGTCCATGTCCCCATCTGCGTCAGCATCTAGATCCTCCTCCTCCTCGACCTCTTCGTCTGGAGGTACCTTTCGTTTCAAAGTAGGCGGAGGAGTAGCACTGACTCGCTCATCGGGGGTAAAAGGACCAGGAGTCCCTGTATCAGCCTTGACAGCGGCGAGCGCATGCGCAGTGGCTGCTTTCTTCAGGAGCGACTTAGACTTTGGCAGCTTGCCAGGGGCTTTCTGAGTAGCTTTCTTAGTCGAAGGTGGCGCCTTAGGTCGGGGCCATTCCATGTCCCGACTTAGCACTATTCTTGAGCCAGAGATCCATTCATCCAAACGTTTATTGAACTGGTCCCAATGGACGAAGAATTCGAGTCTGTCCTCGGGTCTCTGAGATTCCTCCTGTTTGATTTCATTACGCAGTCGGGAGCCATAAGGAGTAGTAGGCCTGTCTCGTATGGACAAAATCTCCACTAAACGTTGTTCCTCCTGTCCATCAGAACTAGGCCGTCGTGCGTAGACCTTGCAGCCTACGGAAATTGTCTGTGGGTGAGCAAAAAATGAGGATAGTTGAGTGAGGTGGCAAACTGAAGGACATCAAAAGACGACTCACCTGGACGCTATACGTCCCACCCTTGGACACTGGGGCAGGCTCTAGCGGACTATCATCCCTCGATGTGCCGTGAGGAGCCATTGGGAAGTCGTAGGAAAGTCTTTCAACGACAGTTGTGGCGACGGTGACTTGTTGAATATGTTTGAATTTCTAAACATATGACTAAGCGTCGCGGTAACCAAATGAGGCAACCCTGGGCATGCAGTCAAAGTTTAAATTCCAGTTCCTTTTCAGGCTCAGCTGTACTGCTTCCACCGCCTAGAGCTGCTGCAGCTGTCTCCCCAGAACGTCTGGCTTTGAGACTAAATTCGAACGGTCCTGCGTAACTTACGCTTGAACTGTACACGTACTTGGACGCATGGGGATCATTCGTACCATTTCCTCCAGTCGGCTCCGCATTTCTCGGTATGATGCTCATTCTGTTGTTGCGCTATAACCTGCAGGAACCTTACGTGGTTGGGATTGCAAATACTTACTTGTAAGTTGACTGTCTTCGTAATCAGGCGCGACGGCCGTCTGGACTCCTCAGACGGTGCCGATATTTGTGCATCTCACTGAGACCACGCCGTAATTGCTAGCCCACGTTCGGGCCCCGACCACTGACAGGATCTGCACGGAACAATACAGGGACAACTCTGAGATGTTTGAAAGCATATCAAACACATCCCCGACGTCGGACGGTAAACCTAATTCCGTCGTTTTCACTTGCTTACAGCCTCTTACGGCTATTTTTGTCAGAATTATCGAGTATGTTAACTGCAATGATCGTCCGAGTCTGCCACGCCCATTGACATCGGCCGCCAGACGCTGCTGATGTTCCCTTCTCCGCTATCTCAAACCTTGCATACCGCGCCTTGGTATGCCGTACGCCTCTTCAAGGTTCTTGGACCGCGGTACCCTGGTTGATCTTTGCCGAATATTCTCCTTCGAATATTTGCTCATTTACATAACGAATAACGAATATGCCTCTAACGCCGACCCCAGAAGTACCCGTCGCACATCAACCCACGGAGGAAATAAACCTGTTTTCACCTCTTTTCGCCGAAGTGGTCCTACAGAATGGATCCTGCGCCAAAACAACGTTCATCGTTTCTTCGAGAATCATGAAGCATGATGGCGCAGAACCCCGTGTCTACCGAACGCTTAACCCGTGCTCCAGTCATTCACCCTAGAACCGGCGTGCTTTCCATAATTCCATCAGAATTCTGTCCATTCAGCACCCACAACGGATTGTTCATCATGGAATTCCCGCTCATCCACTAAATCCCGACGGAGAAGGTTTGACTCCGTTTGAGTTACGCATTCGGAAAAGGCCATGCCTATTGCCACCAGGCTACTCAACCCCGTCCTGAAGCCTTGATGAGGTAATGGCCTTTTTGCTCGGATTTGATAATTTGAACTCGGGGGGTTTCACGCTGCTGAGTAAATGCAGTGCATCGTTCACATTGCTGCGGTAATGTTCAATGTAAAGATCCAAAGCTAGCATATTAACTTTGCTAAGGAATAGGACGTATTGGGCAGAAGGAAGTATTGCTGCCCAACAGAGAATTTCAGCTTGGAGTAAAAGGTCTTATGGAGCTAGCTGGGCGGATAGCACACGGCAACCTAGGATCTTGATATATGGCGCGATGCCGACTACACCGAGCAAGGTGGGTGCCTACTCATTTCTCCCCCTAGTTGACCCTAATAAATTCTGAACCATGAACTCTATCGCATGGTCCCTGTTTCTTTGGTTCGACTCTTCTCTGTAGTCAAACCTGACGTACTGGATCTTGCTATTTCCCATACTGCAGAGCGGCATGAGATGGACCCCGGGCCCGTTACTGCGGTACTCTCAGTCCCCATCCCGGTCGAGTCATGGCAATGCCACTGTGCCTGGTTCCTCCATTGCACAACAATGGAAAATTAGTCACTGTCCGTGCACCCGGGCGCGGACCCTCCTCCATGAAGGTACCCTCTCATATGACGAGATTGATTCCCTCGCCGGTTTGGTCCTTGATGTTACTTATGTGTCTTATCCCGTCTCTCACATCGATTCCCAGGTGACATCCGTCCATTCATGTATCTCTTCCCCAGTTGGGTATCATTAATTTATGACTCTCCGTGCCAGCTAATGTTTGCTTTCAACCGTATCAGACTTAGTAGATGTTCATGTATGTCCATATGGTATTTTTGCGCTGCTTATCCGTCGACACAATGTTACACACGTCCGGAATTTTGATCATTCTTTGTGTAACGAAACGATCATCGGTCATGTTTACTCCTACGGTGTGTCTCAAATAACAAACGTCGCTGGTGGCTCCGATAGCTTTCAAAGACACCGTCAACTTCCAAACTCTCTCGATCAAGCTGATCGTGGAGAGATCGGCACGTGGTCGGAGGACGTCGATGGCGTACACAAGGCTCCTCATGTTGTCCTGCTCGCCGTGTATATACAGTAGTTTACCGCCCTCGACCTATACCCATTCAGCCCTCTGAATTCTGTATTCACTCGCTGAATCCTTCCGTCCTACCTATAATTTCTATACTGGAAGTATGCTTTCTGCCGCTAGGTGGTCATCCATTGCTCGCTCAAGGGCACCCGCCAGCTTGAACGGACACCTCGTAGCGCGTCGCGTTGGACGTGTTCGACTTGTTCAACGATACCAGTCAACGGCATCGGGGGGATCCAGCAATGCCTCAGGTAGCGTTGTTACACATGCCGCTGCCGGTGTTGCAGGTGGTATGGTAGTCCTCGGCGCAAGTAAGTGTTCCACTTAAACATTGTGGCGAAACGCATTCATTGATGCAATTCTTGCGACACAGTCTATTCATACTACCATTTCTCGGGTGCCAAGAAAGCGGTAGAATCTGCCAAGTCTGCCCACCAGTATTTCCAACAAACGACCCAGTCTATTAAGGAGAAAGCTCCCAAGAACCCGAACGAAGTTATTGAGTTTATTCGTAGAGTCGCAAAGTCACAACTTGGACTTATACCCGGCGCATCTTCTTATGTTGACTCCACTCTTGATACGCTTGACGACCTTCGCGAAACACATGGCGACGACGTCAACAGCATCCTTACCGATACCTACAATGAAATCCAGGATATCTTACAAGGTAAGGATAGCGGTGCAGACTTGCAGACTGGTATGAAGATCATTATCGTCGTGAAGCAACGCATGGGTGAACTCAATGAGGTTGCAAGAAAGGCTGGGAAAGATGCGTGGGGCAAGTTCGAGGAGAAGAACCCGCAGATGGCGCAAGTTCTGGGCTCGAGATATTACGAGTTAAGGGAAATGGCGGGTAGGAGTGGCCCAGAAACGAAGAAAATATTCGAAGAGACTTCGCAGGAGGTATGTTCACATTTCTCTTTGTTATGCTCATTCCGTTTTTGATCGTTGTTGACCTTGGTTCATGCTCAGGTGAAGGATATTCTGTCAAAGGGTTCAACACCAGATGCTATTAAGCAAGCCCAATCTCTCGTCAAAGATAAATCCTCCCAAATCCATGATCTCGCTCAGAAGACATCCCAAAAGACATGGGATAAGGCAGTTCAACAAGCCGGACCCTACTTGGAGAAACTGCCCGAGATCAAACAACTCGTCTCCGAGAACGCTTCGAAGTTCGTCGCAGCTGGTGCCGCTAGGGTAGGCAGCTCGAAGAGTGAGGGTGAGGAGGTACTATCGAAGATCAAGGAAGTTGCAGACAAGGCCGGTAAGGAGGGGCTCCTAAGGGATAAGCAGAAAGTCGAGGATTTGAAACAGTTCATCAAGACGAAGGCCCAGGAGGCGGAGCAGAAGGTGAATGACCAGTTTGCCGTAAGCTGGGAAGGCCTGCAGGAGTGGGTTAAGAGTGTGCCAGGGGGCGAAGAGGTAAGTCTCTATTTGTTTCTCTGCATCTTGCTTCATCGAGCTGACCATTCTATGCGCTACTTAGACACCAGAAAAACTTCCGGACATCCAAGCCTTTGTTGAGCTTTCGCAAAAGCGCAGCGAAGACGCGACAAATCTGGCGAAGGAGACTTACGATGAAATCTTCCGAGTCTTGCAAGACAAGAGTCGTAAGGCGAAGAAGATCGCTGAAGATGCCAAAGAGGAGGCGGAGAAATCTGCGTGATTTGGCCCTTATGATTGGACTTCACGGGCTTTCCTGTGTATGCGTGTGTAGAAAGCATTGTATTTGTAGATATTCACCACTCCAACATTGTATACCGTAGAAATTCGATATCCACCACTCCAACATTGTATACCATAGAAAATCGATGTACTATCATCGCACTGAGTCTGTAGGAGTTTGCGCGGCGTCCATTTCTGTTTAGCCTACGCGATTACTCGACCCTGTATCTCCCACTGGCACTCTGTCGTTTCTATAACTTAGATCCTTTAGTTTGTGCCAATCATCGACTTTCCATCATAAGAAATGCATGCTCCAGGTACCAACATTCAATGATAATGATATTCAGCCCTTCTTTGCTTAGAGTTCATGATCCATATATCGCAGGCAGGCACATGGTAAGAATGACAAGCGGAAACCATACCCAGATCTGACATATCGGCTTCAATAGTCATCTTTTGCTCTCGGCATGCACAACCATGCGCCAAAAGTGGTGTATCCATTACTATAAAAGGCAAGAGCTTTCAATCTTAACAAAGACAAATACAGTGTTCTAGGTGGTATTATCAAAAGCTTAGTATGGCTGACTAGATATGAATCCTCATGCCAGGCTGTTCTTCGAATCTCTAGAAGAAAGACTGTGAAACCAAATCAGTTTGCCTAAAATTTCATAAGCAGCTTCGTTGTTACACCTTTGGCAATTATGTCACAAAAAGGAGCCGAGTTAGTTATGTTAGACGTACGTATACTTGTGAATGCACTAGCCATCAAGTGAATGTAGTCTGGAAGAACACGAGATACGCTGTGTTAACTTGATCATCGACCTCTGACCACATCGGACGAAATTTGACTCAATATTAGTCATTAACTGGACATGGATTCGGAATTCTGTTGCCGACGACTTTCCTTTTGTCAGTGAGAACTACATACGAAAATATAAACAGTTGCCTATCGTACTCAAAGATGTTATACCTGGCGGACAACGGCCAAAACTGATCAAACGGAGTCAAAGCGACGACGAAAAGAGAAAGGGAAAAAATGGGCGCCTGTTAATTTAAGATGAGTCGGTCAGCTCGTCGATAGCGCAACTTGCTCCTTGTACAAAACTCTCATCGTCGCAGCAACAGCAGCGACCACTTGTCTTTCTCCTCAGCCGACTGTCTCGTATACTCTAGTCTCTCAGTAATCCTCGTAGAGTCGACCACGAATGCATAAAAATCCGTTCGCTGTTCCTTCGTCATACACCCCTCAACAGCCGCCCTTGCCTCCCGGTCCTCCTCCTCCTCAGCCAGCACAACCAGACTATTCTGCTTACTGGGCTGCTGCAGCGGCAGCTCAGCCCAATGCATATACTCCTCAATGGTCTGCAGGTCAGCCAGCTCAGGCTGCTGCTCGCCCGACACCTGAACAGTCAGCTCTTTATGCAAACTACGGCTATGGTCCTGGACAACAGAACTGGCAACAGCAGCAACAGAGACAAGCTCAACCTTACCAGCCACCTCCTCCTGTAGCTCAACCTCCGCCTCCGCCACCACCTCAAGCAACGTATAATCCGTATCAACCTCAGACGGTTGCATACCAGCAACCTTACATTCCGCAGGCTGCACCTCAGCATGTTCCGCACCAACCGCAATATCAACCGCCTGTAGTGCAAGCACCTCCTCAGTTCCAGCAACAGCATCAGCCTTACTTTGGTCAGCAACAACCGCATCAACAACAACAACAGCAACAGCAAAATCGTCAGCAACACAACCGGAACCAGAACTTGCATCAGCAATCATCCCAGCACTTGCCTCCCGCAAAACGGCAACGGTTCGGTCCTGCTCAATCTCAAGGGCAGATACAACATGCTCCGCCTACACAGCCTGCTCAATCTGGTGCGATCGGTGGAGGTGTTGGTGTGGGTGTTGGCGCCTTTCAAGGTCCGGGTGGAGGTCGGGGTGGAGGACCTGGTGCCAATCAAGTACCTCTAGGTGGTTCAAGGGGAGGCTTTGGAGGCGGTCGTGGCGGAAATGCCATGGGTGGGCGGGGAAGAGGTGGCCCAATGGGTATGAACAGAGGTGGAAGCAGGGGACGGGGTGGTGGCTTCAATAACATGGGTAACCGCGGTCCCAGCCAGAGTGGCGGTAGTTTCAGAGGCCATGGTTCTCATCGTGGCTTTGGAAACCGAGATAATCGAAGAGGTGGTTCGTTCAATACCGGCGGACAAGGCTTCGCTCATGGTCAGCAGCAGCAACAGCAACATCATCAGGGCTTCCCCAGTGGGGGTACGTCTTTCAGAGGTCGTCATGGTCCAAGCCATGCTGGTCGCGGTGGCAGGCATGATACGGTTGCCCCTCATGGTCCTAAGGACAGTACTGCGTCCACCAGCGTCTCGGTCGGTAAGAAAGAAGAGAATCGAAGGACACTGACCGATTTCAAGATAGTTGGACTCGAGCTTCGCGATCTCAGCTGGAGTTGGGGTGTTATTCCACCCCCATCCGAGTCTGACGTGAAGGAGGAGCGTACAGAGGCTGAAATGCCTAGCGCTGAAGAGCCTGCCTCTGAGCAGAAGCCTAATGTGTCCGCTGCCTCCGATGCAGCCACTCATGCTGCTGGGCCTTCCACTGAGGGTACCACTGCTGCGACGGAGAAGGACACTGCTGTTGTCAAATCTGAAATAACGACAGCGCCGATGCCTCCTCCGCCATCTCGCATTCGTATTTATTTCCACACGCCAGTGACTGCTGATGACATTCACTCTCTTACTCCGCAGTCTTCGCTTTCTCTTGTTGTTCCTTCGGATTCTGCTGTTCGCAAGGGCAAACGTAAGAAACTCGATGACGATGATGCGGACATTGAGGATGGTCGGGGTCCTCCCCCGCCTCCTCCTGGCATGGACCATGACAGTATGAGCATTGCTCCGAGTGTTGACCGTGATGGTACCGAGACATTGGCTGGACGCGACAGTATGGCTCCAAGTGTAGCAGAGACAACGAGCGAGGGAGATTGGTTGATGGCCGCTATTGCTACGGACGATGGCGATAGCGGAGAAGTCGGTCAGAGCTCACAAGCCACTGAGCTTGAAGAACCTCATGATGAGGATGCTGACGCCGACGCGATCGGCGAGGAATATGGTAAGCCTCAGTGCTCTCATTTGAATGACACTTCTGGCGGACATGAGATTGTTGTTTGCATGAAACGTCCGCATCGCTAACACTCTTTTTATAGTTGAAGGCGAGGGTTATGAGATTCACGAGGATGTGACTATGGGGTCGATCGATGACCACCACACAGATGCACATTTCGAGAGTGGGCCTAATGAGGTTCTGGGTTCGAATGGTCATCCTGATCAAAGCCATGAATTACCCTCTCCGAATGACGCAAATGGCGTCTATGATTCCTCGGAATCCGTCGAGTCGATGCTGAAAGCATCAGGACCCTCTGAGGCTACAGAGCCAACTCAAAGTTCTTCTCAGTCTCCACATGATCTCAATGATTCGTCTTCCAACCTCGCCGTTGGCGCAGTTTCTGCTGATTCCGAGGCTCCTGATTCTCTTTCTAATGTGCCCCAGACTCAGCCTGAAGGCAAGAACACTGATACTGATACCTTCCCCGAATCACAGGTTCCAGCACAACCGAATGGAACTCGGCGACCGCTACAAGCTATGGACTCTCTTGCATCTACTGTACCCGATACCAATGGCCAAGAGGATACCTCTCCGTATACGTCTACAGTATTGGAAGGCAGTCCAGTGCCCACTGCCGCCCAAGAAGACGCTCAGACTCAGCCAGTGGAACGGCGATCCTCAGAAACCCAGCATAATCAGGTTGAACTTGGAACCCCTTCCACGAGCACGGCCGTTTCTGGGTTGAACGGCACCCCTGCATCACAGGTCCATGCCAAATCTGACGTCAAACTGCCGTCCGCCAATCGACTGTCAATCTCGTATGCCGCAGGAACGAGGCGAATGGTAATCGACGCTGAAGTTGTCGATAAACTTGTCGTAAGGCGGGACGATGGCCGTATTGAGGTTCACCTTAACATCGCAAGAGACGATGGCTCGTTTAAGGGTATCATGGTGAGTATCCGCGTTCGATTCATTCCTCATGTTCGATCTAATCATCATGTTGTTTAGGTCGAAGCGTTTTCTGATTCTTCTTCATCGTACACGCCATTGGATATAGCCATACCCAACTTGAACGATCCTACGATACCACCCTTCAACACCGCTTCGCTTCCTTTGAAGACGGTCCTTATCGCATACTTGGATAAGGAACGTCCGTTGTCAGAACCGAAGTGGGTGAAGACAGGTGATGTCCAAGAATGGCTCAAGACCATGTTTGGTCGTATGTTCTGGGCCGCTGGCGATGCGGCTGATGGTTGGGAGAAGAAGATCGAAGTCGCTGACCCTGATCCAGTACGTTGTCCTCAGAGCTTTCCCAAGTTTTACATACTCACATGTGTCTACATAGCCTCCAACTATCTGGACCCTTCTTGAAGCATGGGCAGGCAATTCAAACATTGGTACTCAAACTGAACGTCAACGCTTCTTACGTATACACATGTCCGAAACAGACAACATCTTGGAAATCCTTCTCCGACTCGTCCGAGGCGAACGCGCAAGTTACTCCCAGAACGCCCCTGTATTATCTGCACCTAACTTATCGGGCCCCCTCCTTTCTGCACTATCGCTGGGTTCAGCGCATGGTGCCCAACAGACACATGTCTCGCTCGCCGTCTTGGCAATTTTCCGGCTTGCCGTGGAATATGCGAAGAAGGCAGTAGGTGATGGAGGGAAGAGTGAGGTTGAGGAGAGGGTTGGGGAGATCATCCGATGTTTGCCGTCACATCTCATCTACAAGAGTCTCGACGGCATCTTCAAAGAGTGGAGGGTAGAAAAAAAAGGCGGTAGATAGTAAGTGTTCTATCTATCAAGATAGTTCGCATGCAGCTTTCTCTATCAGCATGTTTTTCTTGACGCAGCAATACCAATGTGCTGAGTGTTTGTAAGGCTACTTTTGTTGCAAGGTTCATGGAACAAAGATAATACACATCGAAGTATAGAAGTACATGCAGAGTGCTTTTGATACAGTTCATGGCCTGATGTGTATTCCATGCTCCTATGGCGTTTGACTATGTCTTTCCGTCGGCATCAAGTGCCTTTTGGATAGTCGGTACTGACAGTGACATCCTTCCAATCCTCGAGTCTCTGCAACGTGGTGTTGCAGACGCTCTTCACTACATCGTAAGAATCACTTCCAATGGCTACCACAGTGGGGAACTCCCTCCCAGCTGCGACGCCCTCACCTTTGATAATATCGATCATAACCTCAACACCTTTCTTAGGATCCCCAGGCTGTTTTCCATTGTATGCTAAACCGTGACATGAGTATACTATCGGTAAAGGCCAATGTTTTCTGCAATGATGGGGCTTACCATTGAGGCGAGCGAGTGAAGATTCCATCAGGTCCCTGTAATCTGGAATACGAGTCTTGTCAGGGCCTCTATTGTCTGTTGTGAGGAGCCTGGTTCGGAAGTAGCCTGGTTCGAAGCAGATACTACGGAGTCCGAGTGGAGAGATTTCTTCATGCAAACTCTCCGAAAGACCTACGTACGTAAATCAACTCGGGTCCCACTTGATGAGCGTATGCAATGAATCATGGCGTACTCACCACGAACTGCATGCTTTGTCGCTACATAGAGACCTATGGTAGCCGAACCTCTGTAAAAATGTCTCGTGAGGTGCCGAAGACATTAAGTTGGGGATTTGACTGACCTCCAGCCGCCAACGGAGCCGAGCCAGACGATAGTCCCCGATTTGCGTTCGCGCATATATGGAAGAAAGGCTCGGTTAATGTTGAGAGGACCAAACACGTTCGTACTGTAATGAAATGGATGATGAGAAGATGGTCAGTGATCCTATAGAAAGTATGTACTTGAATTGATCAAAGGTCTCGTCCGGGCTAGAAGTCGATATAAATCAACGGAACTAACGAAGTCCGAGCAATAACTCACGTATTCTCTTCAAGTGTTCCTATTTCTATGTAACCTACATATGATGTCAACAATATGACAAAGGGGTCAAAGTTGAGATCGAACCGGCATTGTTGACAAGGACGTCAATACGTCCATGAATCGCAACGGCGTCTTTGGCAATCTGCTGGAGAGTTTCCAAAGAAGATGTCGCATCAAGTTCAAGGACATCTGCTCCTTGCTCTTTCAAATCCGAGAGTTTGGCAAGGGAACGAGCTCGTCCAGTCGCGATGACTTTGTCTCCACGCTTCAGAGCAGCTAGAGCAAGGTCCCGTCCTAGTCCTGACCTGTAAATTCATGATGTCATGCTTACTTCTCACCTCTTCTATGCATGAATGGCAAGAACGTACGAAGTTCCAGTAATCAACCAAACGAATTGCTTTGACATACCGCAGAATGACAGACTATGCAGTGTTCCAGTACAACCCAGAAGAGAGGGGTTGAACGGGTTGTTGAGGGCCGCTCAAGCATGAACATCCCGCAGTATTATGTACTGCTGAATTGGAGAGCACGGCTAGGTTTCCAAGGCGCGTATTCTAAAACAAACCACCACTCGCGGTCCCACGATAGCCATTTAAAGCCGGTGTTAACATTTGTGGACAGCTCTCGCCTACGAAGATTACAGAATAGGCAACATTGGATGCCTTCCCGTAGCCGTTTAGAACGCGTTCTAAACAAACAAAAAACCGTATACAGTAAAACCTCCTCAGACGCTTGCTGGCCGAGGAGCCGTCAAGCGGTACCACAAAGTCGGAACAGAGGAGGGGTTTCTAAACCTTGAATCTGAAAGAGGCGGGGGTACCTCCCCCCTTCCAGATGTAAACTGCTCTAAAAACACAGTATTTCGCCTCTGCCAGCTCCCTGCCACTGGCCCCTCACAACTCGGCGGGCTTCTTTTATGGTAAGATTTGCTGACTCATTGGTTTGCAACAATGTAGCTACAACTTGAACGCCGTATGTTACACAATGCCTAGTGTATCTGTTTGAAGTCCGCTTTACGTCTAGAACTCGCCACAAATCCTACGGAAGGCATCCATTCTTCATTCAATAATGAACTTTCAACATCGTGAGCCCGTTAGGTAAAGGGAAAAATTGGAATAAAGCTATACAACACTCAAGAGTCACCGCCCTCGGAAATTAATCTATCAACCTCCTGAAAAACAAGTCTGAATAGTGGATGATTCCTATAGATATCCTCAATCCTTTTCTTGTTTTGTATCCCAAGCGGATCGTAGAAAAGGTGGTAGTGTCGCAGATGATCCAATGTGAACCATGCCACGAACGACGCAACGGCAGTCGATGCAGAGAGGCGTGAAAACAACACCCGATGAGAGAACAGCCGGATTGTGATGGCTCCGACCCATGAACAAAAGATAGCGTTACGCATCCGCTAGAACATGCTTTTCAAAATGTATCGATAACATTCATGTCGAAGAATACGACTTACAGTAAAAAGAGTTGGCTTCTCTAGATCCACCCAGTTGGCCAAGTGAGAGATACAAATATCAAAATCCCTCCCACTTAGAGGTGCACCATGGCCCAAGCCCTTGCCGAAAAGAACGGCACAAAAGGCCCATGTGTTTGGAGTACACCACATAGTACGAGTAAGCATCAATATTCGTGCAGAGATACCTACATAAGGTCCAATAAGCAGCGTGATCGCAACTGCATTATAGAAGAGTACGCTTACTTTCCTGTTCTGCAAACTTCATGCGAATCTCTTTACAGGTAGATAGCGCATCTTTCGGTAACGTAGGCGGCTCGAATGAGGCAAAGTATAAAGACATCGGAGGCAAAAACACGCTGTGAAGCTCATGGTTCGGTTCCGCAACTTTGACAATAAAGCGTTCGAATTTGTCTTTGTTGAAAGCGTTATACGCAGTTGCGGCGAACACACTGCCCAACCATAGTCGCTTCACTCGTAAGTTTGACTGTCGCACAAAATATTTGAGGGAATAGCATCCGATTAGACCTGAGGCGCAAAGGCCGAGCCCAACTCGGGAGGCGAAACTGAGGGAGGTGTCGTCTTTACGGGCCTGAGAAGTTTGACCAGAGTATAAGAGTGAGCGTAATGTCACGGTCAATCCGTGTCATAGAGATATTTACAATGAGCTTGATTACGGCCTCTTCTGAGTTTTCCGAATTCGAATAGTTTCCGATTGTGCTGCTCAACGAGTCGATGGGATCGAGATCATGATCACTAGTGCGATCATGGTTGCGAGCATCCTTCTGGGAAACCATGATAGGCAGAACAAACAATGTTATAGCATGTGTCCTCTAATGAGCTCGTACGCGAACGTTTTCAAATTGAGGGAGTGCGTTAGGAGTGCATAGATGGCAGAAGAGAAGTTATGGTCAACTCATGTTCAAGTTCTTTTGGGCAAGACATGTGATCGATCACATAATAAGTGCTAAAGTATCTCGAAGTGACAGAAAAGCTCATAGTATATACTACTAGTAGCACTAGGAGAATCATTCAGAATGCTCCAGGAGGATGACACCCGGATGTTGTACATTTGGATAGTTCCCGCAGCGGGAATTTGATTGTCTTAAGATCACTCGAGTATAATCTTGCTCGCAAGAATCTCTCTCAGAAACCATACCATATGGAAGATCATTTGTACACGGAATGCACGTGAGACCACTGAGTGTACATCGCCACCAACAAGGCAAGAGACGAGCTGTTTTGAGGCATGAAGAACTGCCCACTCATGTTATCAACCACATAACATTCCCCATGTCGTGAAAGGCAGTTGTGAACCTGCAGCTTGAACTGGAGATTGTGAGCAACATACTTATATTTCTACCAGGATTAGTCGAACAATCCATTGTCTTCAAGCCTTTTATTGAGCTTCTGTATGTCAGATGCGAGTAGTATGTGGTCCTTGTACACTTTCGCCACCTTCTCTTTTTGCTCGATCCGCGAAGGTTCATAGAAGGTGTAATAGCCCCGCACTCGGTCCACAGTGAACCAGAAAAAGAGCGACGAAATGGCAATCGGCGCAGAAATACGCGACAACCATCGTCTGTGGGTCAACAGTCGGACGATGACTGCCCCTGTCCAGGAAGCAACCGCCAGATCACGTTTCCGCTGAATTGCGTATTCACTCATCGAGGCGGTAAAGAGTTCTTGATGTGGCACTCACATCTAATGGCTGTCGTCCGAGCGGCAAGTCCGCCCAAAGCGCCAGATTGCATATGCATATATCGACATCTCTGGGGGCTACACCGGCACGCAGAAGGCTATTGGCGAAGAGACACCAACAAATGGCTCTTGAATTCTCAGATGACCACGCAGCACGTGTTGCTTGCGATATGCGTTCAGTTATGCCTGGCGATACGATTCAATGCCCCCATATATGTCACAACTAGAAAGACATTCTCACTTGTAGTGGCACCAGTAGTTGTGCTGCGAAAATCCCGGTAGTAAGAGATGAGTTCATCATCTAACTTGGGAAACGCCTTTTGTGCGCTCATAAGATTCATAGAAGTGAAGAACATTATAAGACTCGATAAAGATAGGGTTTGAAGTTCGTTGTCCGGCCGGAGCGTGCGTACGAATCGATTCTGTTGCACTTCAGAAGCGATGGCGTCATATGAGAGTACACCAAATGTACTGCCGATCCATACTCGTTTTCTGAGGAGGTTTGAGGGACGCACGAAATACTTGAGAGTATAGCAGCCGATAAGGCCAACAGCACCGATGACTAGCCCTTTCTTGCTTTCTTGGCTGAAGTAAGTATCACGACTAGGTTTCTGTTTCACCTAGGAGTCAAAATAGATTCATCGAAGATGTACGAAAACTGACCTGAAATAAGGAAACAGAATCTTCCAAACGTCCTAAACTTGAATCGGCCCCAGCCGTACCGAACAATGTCTCCATTGATTCCAGATCATCATTGACAGTAGGATCATGCTGTTCGCGAGTGTTTTTCTGAGAGTTGGATGCCATGGCAGAAGAAACACTGCCTTCTGCGAAGTATGTACTGTACGTTAGACTAAGATCCGCAATGAACGTGGCAGAGACAAACCTGCATTTCCCTACATACTACAGGCTCAGACATGTGATCGATCACACGGCACTTTAGATCATGAAGTTTATTACGATTCCTCGAAAACGACAGACAACGCTCAAGGCATATACGACTAGGAGAATCACTCAAAACTCACTTTTATTCAAGTTTTGCTCCATATGTCAATATTAGGCTTCGATGATCACTTCCTTTTTCTGCTCGATCAATAGAGGTTTGCGAAAGCCGTGAACTTGAAAGGTGCGTGGTTGGCCGGCAAAGCGAGTAAGGGTATGAAGAAAAAAGACTAACTACTCTCTGTTGAACGTCAATGCTATCAACCAACCAATTTCCTCCAGTCTAAGCCTTTCCTGCATTCGTGAGAATTTCTCTTAGGAGACACACTATATGGAAGATTGTTTATGGACACAACAGTATTGAGATTACTGAGCGTACAGCGCCGCCGACGAGTCAAGAGACAAGCCGTCTTTCAGGGAACGACAGCTCCCAAAACACGTTATCAATCACGGTGAGCCAAAAAAAATCCAACTGTTCCATTACAAGAGAGGTATACAGAAAATTCATCCGGAATCCACACACACCAAACTGAAACGTCATCATATCGTACAACTATTCACGAACCTCAATCATCTCCACCCTGCATCTCCACGTATATCCGGACCATGCCTATCCTTCCGGCTCGGTATTGATATCCTTTCCTCTTCCTCTTCACGATGAGGCGAAACTCGCCTAGAAAGGTCTTCACCAGTATTCGCACGTCGCGTCCGAGTAGCGAGCAAATCCGTATCAGAGGCACTCGCTGTCAAATAGGAACGTTGTGCGCTCTTCCCGCGCACTTGCTTCTTATGAGATATAAGGGCGCCGAGGGAAGCCGCGAGAGAGCCGGTGCGAGAGGGAGGTCGACTATGCGGTTTATCTTGGTCTTCGGAAAATGCTGGAGTGTTCAGAATGGGGATTGGGATGGGGGAGGTAACTTGAAATGTGGTTGTCTCGGATCCAAGGGCGGGTGAGATATTCACGCTAGTTTCGTTACGAGAACCTCTACGCTTGCTCGGTGGATTGTAGTGTGCAAGTCGAGATCGACCTTCTGAGTCTACGTCGAATTCATCGTAGATCTCCTCTCCGATGAGTTCTGTAGCGGCACGTGAGATATAGTAAACGGAATGAAGAAGCCAATAAGCATACCTTCAAGGACATCTTCGAGGGTAATGATACCAAGAGGCATGATAGCAGGGTCAACACTTTGGAGTAACTGAATCGAACTCATTAGCATATACGACCTGCAAGGAATGGTTGTAAGTACCTCTTCGGCGCCTTGCTTTGGCAGTACAGCATCATCAGGCATACTCTGTTCTCGACCGACACTGGTGATCTTCTCCCAAGTGACTTTCGTAGGGGTTTTACTGTCACTCTCGACCTTCTCCTGGATTTGAGTCAGTGCCCCAGATTTTTGACCTTCGCCTTTCTCGGCGTCTATATCCTCATGAGGTTTCTTACTCTTCTTATGGTGTCTTCCCCATTTACGTTTCTTTACATGCGCATTCAACGTCCCCTCTTTCGAACTTACTTCGTCATCAGGTGTACGTCCCTCGCCAGCCGTTTCCTCACTCTCGTCACTGGAAGACTCACTAGACGAACTATCGTCCATACCAACTCGGGCTTTGAGACGACGCGTAAGACCTTTCTTGACATCATGTTTGACGCTGGCGGCCTTCTCATAGCTCATGCGAGAGACAATAGCCATGTGTGAACGACCTTCCTGGAACGTGTCTAGGATCTGGAGCAGTGGCTCGTTGCTGGGAATGAAGGGAACCGAATTCAGGTGCAAAGAACGTAAGGGCGTGGCATCTAACGCAGCATCAGTTTCTCTCCGCTTCGGAAATTGATAAAACGTACCTTTGGGATCAAGCATAAGGCACTAATGATGACTGCATTTCAGTAGCATGCCTCCGGGTATTGATGCTGAAACGCACCTGTTTGACGAGCAAGATACCAATGATCTTCTTTACTTTACGGGTTTCAACGGGAAGTGCCAGAGGTGGGTTACCCGGACCCTCATAAGGCTGAATTAAGACAGGAATTTCTACTTCTTCGTATACGGGGACCCGTGAATGTCCCGTGTCATATATTCGCTTCATCGTGTCATTATCAAGTTTGTCATCAATGCTGAGCATGAAGACCTTATCGATAGGCGTCATCGCTTGACGTACGACCTGAAATTACGATTATTATTTTATGCATACAAAGTAGCGATCAGAAGCTTGCGATACCTTCTCTTGGAGATCCAAGGTGGCGCCAATGATGTTTACGGTGTCACTCTTGAGGTCACCACCCAGCTCACCGGTGGTGGAGTGCATCGCAATAAGTTCCTTTAATTCTGGAAAGTGACACGACGGCGTGAGAAGCCTCGTCATAGCGGAGTAGCTGGAACGCTCACCTGCACGGCGGTACATGATGCCATGATGTGACCCCAAGAGCCACTCTAGTAATTTAGCAACAGGCCAAGATACAATTCCCTGTATGAAAAGTTCAATATTGAACGAAGATAGTTAAGGACGAAATTTAAAAAAAATCGCACCAGAGCGTATATCAAGATTTTGACAAACCAGGCCATATGAGCGCCGATAGCAAGACCATATCGGGTGCACAGAGACTGAGGAATTATTTCAGAGAAGCTGCAGAAGGATGAATAGTGAGTAAACTCTTGGAAATGATGTTATCAGAAAGGCACACATCACAATCAGAACCGTGCTAGCTACTACAGCCTCTGGGCCGCCACCAAGTACTGGGTCAGCAATTACCGGGAGCGTTTCGTTCGCTATCATGTTTGCCAAAATGAGTGTAATAAGCAGCAAATGTCCATTTTTCCGAATTGGCTGAATCTTCCTGGCATACTCCTTTTGCTTGCTAGCAAAAAGAAATGCTGTTAGTGAATTTTATTTCTAAGAAGGATAAGGGCACTCACGGTGTACCACTAATACTGAGGACATGGAGCTGGGTCTCATCTAAACTCATATAACCCAGAGTCAGACCAGCAAATAGACCCGACAAGAGCACAAGCACGGGAATTAGCACTCCATATGCAGCAAGTTGCGCGCCATGAACCTTTGCCCTTTTACTCAAGACATGTCGTTCAGGTTGGTCATGGTTCAGTATACGGCTGACGAGCTTTGGAAGTTGGTTGACGATGAACGAAGCTACCGGATATAGAAGTCCAGAACCGCGAACATGATGTGATCGTATGGGGGCAGGTACCATGCAGCGGAAGAAAGTCTTGGGCGACGGAGACAAGACAAGGGGAAACGCTGGGAAAAGCAACTCAAGAATCTTGGCGGCCAGCCTTTCAACTGCCCCAGCTTATGAGCCTCCGTGTCGCTCCAAATGGGGCAGGCGCCCTGTAGCCGGATGCCGACCGAGGCCGCGGCTTCTGACCGTCATCACTGCGCTTGTGGTAGCAGTGAAGCTGACTCTGCTCATAGCATTATGAAGAGTATTATGGAGTGAATGAACTGACAGACGCAAGTCAAATTGTATCGCCACTGAAAAGTCTTCGAAAAAAATAACGGTATATTACGAGTACCCGTGCGCCTTCACCCAAATTCTCCCAGGCAACCCAAATAACCCACCCCGCCTGCACGCTTCCTCGAGTACATCCATACTGAGGTCAGCACCCATAGCTCCACTAATATTCACAGCTATCCCTCGAGGTCGACTAGGGTCATACGTCACGGACGTCTCAACCAATCCTGTGATAGGTGGCCGTTCGGGTGAGGTCATGACTATCTTGCTGCGGCGCGGTGTATTAAAGCTCGCGTCATCCATGATCGCAGGAAGGTCTGTGGTGATATAAACGTTTACTGGGATTCGGCGGGGTGTAATTGTCCCTGTCGTGGCATAACAGTTGTTAGATGAGCACAGCTTGACTCAGATATGTGACATACCTTTAAACACAGCTTCGAGATCTTCTTCAGTAGCTTCGACGTCCTCAGACTCGTCTGGTTGATCTATATTAAAACCTTCAGCTGCCCAGTGGTACCCTCGTAATATTTCGTTCAGCCAGCATTGCTCTTTGACAATCTACACGGAAATTATGATGAACTAGATGTCGAATGACGAAACAAGGACAGTCGTTACCTCTAGAATACCCCAAACTTGCTTGATGCTTTGCGCTGGAATTCGTTCCAGAAGGAAGCCAGGTTCATCTGGCACTGTCAGCCGTAATAATAAAGGTGGATGCGACGATGTAGGAGAAGTCTGCAAATGATTGAGTTACGGCTTGCAGCTACTTAGAGGAAACACTCACGTAAAGGCTAGTATAACGACCTGGAGATATTCCATCGTCCGGATTCACCTATAATATAAAATATTATATGTAAGCCATAGAGTATATCGAAGCATAAATAAAGGACTTACGATGAGGTCAACCCAACTCCCCAACCCGACTGGCATGACGGACACAGGCTCAATGTCATCCAGAGTGCCCAAAGGATTGACAAGATGCTCAATATCCCTCATCCTCGATTGACTCATGACAACTCCACGATACTTCCCTCCTTCAGTGAAGTCCAGGTACCACCTATTGGTCTTACCAAACTCTGGAGAATCGATTGGTTCAGCGACCTCTGGGAGTATTGAATCGAACTTCGCTCCCTCTGGCTCTAGAGGGAAGCTTGGCCTCCCTTGTAAAGCTTGCATAGTTGGGTCGAGCGGAAGCAACGGAGAAGGGGTGGTGGCGAGGACTAAGGTGGCGCTAGTTGTACCTGGCGGACGAGGATGCGAGGTGGCTTGAGACCGTATGATAGGGAATGGTATATCGAGTGGCGGTAATGTGGTCCTCGGAGAAACATCTCGGTTTGTGATAGGTGTCCGAAGAAGGGAAAGATAAGAGAGAGGCGACAGGTGAACTAGAAACGAGATGGTCGGGGAGGTAAGGTAGGGTAAGGGAAGCGCGTGAGCACGCATGAGGAAAATGTCCAGCGGCACTGTTGTCGAGGAAAGGTCCCTGCGGAAAACTGAGCCCACAAAAACAACTAGAATAAAAGAGTGCTTACGAGGCAACCTTAGCAGCCTCCTTTACCGCGAGCGGTTCAAGGACGTCTGCAGCTAACCGGTCTATGCCATTGAACCAATGAAGACCACTGTCACCTTCCCTTGCGGCCAACTGGTCCAACTTCATAAGATACTTCATGTGTTCCGCAATCAACGAACCTAACCTCGCGGCCTCCATCGTATCCTGGTCTTCTTCTTCCTTCTGAACTTCCCGCACATACGTACCCAAATATTCGGCTAAAAACCCATCAAGCGAGATAGACCCGTCTGTCGTAGAGCTTGCGGTACCGTTAGGTACGGCATAAGATGTCTTGACTGAAATTATCCCAAGGATAGGGCTCAAAGGATTCGAACGATCAATGGAGAAATCGATATCGACGACAAGGATTTTGCCTCCGAGAACGACGACCATGTGTCCCTCGCGTTCTTCTTCCCGGAATGTCTCCATCCCTGCTAAGGTCGCCCATTGTTCTACTTGTGAGACGCACCAGTGGATTATGAGAGCACGTTCCAGAGGTATATCTTCCCCATAGTTGATACCAGTTCGTTTACGCAGTTCGATCATGGTCTGACGCATGTTTTGTTCAGACTATTCTGGTTACAACGTTTGAGCGGGATGACTAGCGTTAGGAAATGATAGGGAAAAATCTGACCGTGGACACCTTGTGAGCAATCGAGGAGTATTCTCTAAACGAGCTGAGCAGTTTCGTATCTGCAAGAGGCAATGTGAGGAATCCATTGAGACTCTCGGCAATGGCTGTAGTAGTATTCAATATAGTTTGTAGTGAAGATAACGTTGGTTCTGGGGAGGTGGAGAAAGGGTGCAGCGAGTGATCGGAGAGTTCACTGTTTGTCTTGAAGTCTTGTACGACGGACTGTACCGTCCTCGATTGGTACGGGATGTTAGACATTCTTCACACACAGATGAAAAGCTAAGTTATGTGATACGTTTGGTTCACTGTTCCGCAGGGTCCCCGATATGCCGGCTGCAAGCTGCAGACTTCACTGGTAATTGGAAGTTTGGATAATTCTGAGTCGAGTCCAGACAAGCATATGCCGCAGAATATGCCTTCTGTGGACAGTTCACAAGCTGTAAATCCACATGATTCAACCTGAGAATTAAAAATAAACTCATGTCACCAGATCATACCAAAGTCGAGCCTTCAGGCAACAAGTGTTGGCAAGCCGTACGCGTAAGTTTGTGAAGAGGCCAGAAGAATAGTCTTAGACGCGTTCAAACCCGCGAAAGCCGTGTAAGCGCCGCAACGGTAATAACGGCTACCGTGGAAACTCCTCCCCGAGAAAGTCGGATTTCTCATGTATTGCGCTGTTCCGCTCATGCCTTGACTAACGTTGCTGCTTGCCAGGGTTCCAAGTCCAATGGTTTCGCCGTGACCGTGATATTTCTACTATATTTCTCAGCACAATGCTTACTCGTGCGCATGTGCTTTCGTGCTGGGCCCCGTAATCTCATCCGGCAAAGCCAGGACTGGGAGGGGTATATAAGGTCTGTATGGTTTATGTATCTGCCCCCAAGTTCTTTATCTACACTACACTGCTTAGCATTCTTTCCAAACAAAATGTCTCACCAACTTGTCTGGCTCATCACTGGCACTTCGTATGCGATAATTTTCACATTCATAAAATGACGAGACCAACAACTTAATTTTTTTTGCCCTACTTTGTAGGTCGGGTCTCGGCCGTGACCTAACCCTCGCTGCTTTGAAGCGCGGCGACAAAGTCATAGCGACTGGCCGTGCCCGCTCTCTCTCCAAACTTGATGACCTCAAGCAGTATGGCGCTGACACCCTTGAACTCGACGTGACTTCTTCCTTGGAAACCCTTCAAGATATCGCCAAGAAGGCCGTCGCGATTCATGGGCGCATTGACATCCTCGTCAATAATGCGGGTTAGTTTATGCCCTGACACCTTGTGTTCGGGTTTATGCTGACGTCTACTTGCTAGGCTTTGTGGAACTTGGAACCCTAGAGGACCTCACGTATGTGTGGGTATGTTTTTATTGTATCATGTTATTGAAGTGATGTGCCTAGACATCTGGAGACATACAATCAGTTCAAGTGTGTTCTAATCATCACCCTCTGCTTTCGTCCTACTTATATGGCTATCTGCAGTACCAACGTGTTTGGCCCTCTGAATATCAACAGGGTATTTCTGCCATACATGCGCGAACGCAAATCTGGCACCGTTGTTTGGCTTGGTTCTATTGTTGGTTGGATGTAGGTTTTATTATTACATTTCATCTGTCCCAAAGTAATACTTTCTAGCGGTTTCGGCAGCATTGGCCTGTATGCCGGAACCAAACACGCTGTTCGAGGTAGCTTATTCTCATCCGTAGAAAGAATGACAAACTCATATGTCTCGTAGGGCTTTCCGAGAGCTTACATCAAGAGATTTCTCCTCTGGGACTGCGGAGCATTTGCTTTGAGCCAGGATACTTCCGAACGGACTTTTTAAGTGAAGACAACCGTGGTAATGACAAGACTCGTATCGAGGACTACAGGGAGATCAACGAAAGGAACTCCGCGCTCTTCAATGGTACGTACCATTTCGCTTGGATCTTTGATACCTTACAACATCTGCCATAATCACAGCTTATAATCACAACCAACCTGGCGATCCTAAGAAGGCCGTCGAAGTCATGATCGACGTCATTAAAGGAGACGGTGCTGCACGGGGTAAAGAGTTCCCTACTGTCGTTGCGCTCGGAAGCGACGCATATGATGTTATCAAGGGTGCTTGCACCACGGCATCGGACAGGTTGGAGGCTTGGAAGGACCTCACAGTTAGTACAGACTTCCCCAAAGGGAACTGAGGTCTATCGGTCGAAAGATGTTTGACTTATAATAGTGTTGGCAATTGTACAAGCGTTTCTATCTTCCACCCATGGCTTTTGAAACTGAATGCCTACAAAACGGATGCCGCGCCGTTCATCATCATTACAGAGACTGCTGTGTTCCATTAGGACTCTAAGTATCTCGCCACCCCATCCGAAGGTTGTCTTAGGCTTAGATCACCCTCCAATCCCCTAGAGCTCTATGTCCGGCCGTCTCCATGTGAAATACGTGCACATGGCGAGTGCAAACCATGCCCAGTGACCAGGCAAGTGCTGAAGAACGTCATTTCCTACGACGTCCTGCTTACTCTGACGATGCCCTTCCGATGTAAAGCACTTAGCGAAACTTCGATATCATGCTTCATTGTTTGAAAAAGCGCCTCGGGGTTCGAGAGCGCATTGCCGATGCGAACAATGATGAGAAGCGTCTTGAGGCAACAGACAAATGAGCACTGTGAAATTATTGAAAGGTGGGACACGTCCACCGGGCGTTCTGTCAAGATGTGAAGATGGAGTTCCAGATGAGAGAAGACGTCAGAAGATATCGTGGCTAAGATGGCGCATGTTTCTGCACAGATACTATCTGCTGGGAAAAAGAGTTGTAACGTGCGGAGACGGACGAGATTTGATAGATCGAAATTGCTGATATGAACTGTGTAGCATAACAAACACGGTCAGGTTTGGGTTTCAATCTAGAAATAAAATATCATACTTATATCTTTGAGATAATAGAATGCAAAGCTAAGTGCGAAATATTGGAGTTGAGGACCAATTGATCGGCACAATGTTGCAGCCTGAAGAAGGTCTTCTTTTCCGCCCACAGCGACCGATAACAGTCTCAAATCGTGGGTGATATTGGCAGACAATAGCCAAGAGATAAATCTCCGTAGGCTCGATGCTTGTCCTAGACGAGGTGTGAATGCGCACGCAAGTGCCTGTATCGATGGAGAGGTAGTTGCACGGTCGTGTTGAGAATGAGTACCAGTAATGTTGAATGATGAGTCGAGCAATACCAATCGCTCAACGTAAGGGAAACAGAGAAAGATATCGTGAAGGTCTTGCGACCAGACCATACTGCTTTGGAACTTCAGCTTGCGCAGAGTCTTCGATACTTGGACAAAAGGAATGTTCAAGATGTTTCTTGTGATCATCCCATCGAGATGAAGTTTGCGAAGTCGTGGCAGTCGGATAACGTCCGTAATGAGATGACTGAGCCAAGGTGCAGCTCGAGGAAAGACCATTCCTTGTCCTGAACGTGTCGGTCTAAAGGGTAACTTTAGATCGACAAGCAGCTTGTTCGACCCGGGGGGCCTATTCGAGATTTTGAGATGGGTGATAAATGCATATGTACTTGGTTTCTTGCGAAGAAGACGTGTGAAATCGGAGGCGCCCTCCTCGCAGACAATGCTGATCCTTTGCAGGATGAAGCGTTGTGAAGCGTTGTACCAGGTCCAGCAGGTCAACGAACAGGCTTTCACAGCTTCAATCCCGCCGTTATATCCTCGGTCACCGTACACGCACGAAACGATGCAATCGACTACATCTTGTGTGTGTACGGCAGCATATTGAGGGGATGGCCTGTCTCCATGTGCTCTTAGCTTCGAATACCTGCAGTGCAAGATGACAAGGTCAACCTGATAATAACACTAAAAGCAGAAGTCGAAAATTTACTGCATTGAACTTTTGGCCCATAACCAAAAGTGATGAACGACTTGCGACTTGTAGTAGAACAAGGGTCTGTCGTAGATATATCAGTTCTAGGCTGGCACTACTTGGTCGAGCACTGCACAGCCCTGAAAAGCTATTTCGAGTGTAAGACCGGGAGTATCAAATGGTCGATCGATCATTGAATTGTCCCTGACCATTAAGTTCCTTGCAAGGCTAGAATTTGAAAGTCCTTGGCATGAAAAGTGACAAACTACACATCATGAAAGACATGGCATAGACAGTACGTAGCCCAAGGTAAAAAAAAAAATCAGTCGAGAACAGGGTATTATGAATTACAGAATAAGGTTGCATATGGACTATTTGGTATAAACCAATCGTACATCGTCGAAGGATAGGGAAAAGAGTGAACGTGCAAGAAGAAGAAGCATACTAAGGAATAATCATGAGAGAAGTGCTGAGAATCATTGGACCGCAATGCAGCCAGTTTACATCCGATAACTGCTCCCGTACCCACGTAAGGGATCAGAACTCCTCGAGCGGTGGTGGTGCTTGTGCCCGCCGGATGACCTTCGTCGTCTAGGTTGTTGTTGAATGATGACGGTGGAACCTGGTGGTACATTGGGTATATTACCTGCCATAACGGTGTTTCCGTATCCTGTTGAAGGGTACTGAACACCTGCACCCATATATGGACTGCTTCCAGGGTAACCAGTAGTAGCTCCCGGGTATCCAGTAGTAGTGCCAGGGTATCCGGTCGTATTTCCAACGTATGAAGGTGTGCTACCGGGATATGGTACTGAGAAACCGCCAATCGGGGCACCGGGAATCACAGGGTTGGTGTTGTATGGTGGCTGAGAGCCGAGTCCGCCTCCAAGCATGGATGGTGTGCCGCCGTATGAACGAGGCAAGCCGCCACCACCATAGTACGGACTACCGCCGGCACCGTAACCAGCGTTCATTGGATTCTGGGTAGGGATAGGCACTGGCGTGGCATAGGGCGTTCCATAAGGTGTTCCATATGCACTGCCAACGCTAGGTGCGCCTCCAAGCATGGATGGGGCTGAACCAATGGATGAATGGCGACGGCGGCGCCGATAATCGCGTGAATCGGGGTAGTCACTTTCGTAGTCATCGTCAACAACAGAGCCTCGTCTTCCTGAGTAACCGTCCCGGTCCTCCATGACCTGTTGAATGCAACAGATCAGTGTTCAAAGTTTAGAAGCCACGCAATAAATGATGTGATGAACGAACTCGATAAGCTATTCTAGAAGCTGTCAATGCTGCACTCTCCAATGCTTCGCGAAGGCCATAGGCGTCCATTGCCCGACCAGAATACTGCCACAGGTGACTGGCTGCAAGGACAAACGACACATTCAGAATTCGTGTTCCAAATAAACACGTGCTAGGGACAGACCTTCTGCCGTAGCGATACCAATAAGTCCTTCACGTTCCCTCTCAATCTGGCCTGCGAGGCAGTCGTACATGACGCTGTGGTGGTGCCGCCACACACGATACGCTTCGTAGGCTGCTGCGGAGCCAATATCGGTAGGGAGCGCCTGGGATAATGGCACTAGACCGCTGTAGATACGACGATGCCATGATTGAGCTTCGTGCATGCCAACGCCACCTGTACCCCCATATTCACGGGCACGGCTCATGACAGAGTAGAACAGAGAGCTGGAGTATAGAGATCAGTTGTAGTAAGGAAGTTGCAGACAGACGTCAACTTACGGGTCGGGGTTGATCGCATGTGCACTGTAGTAGTCCCAGCCACTCCCTAAACCAAGTGATCAGCGCAGTGAGTGGCTATACAAAGACTACAGCTTACAGTGTGGCTGAGGATGGATGTTAGGTATCGGAGGGGCCCCGAATTGCAGCTGCAATCGATGGACTATCAGAAGAGGATAAGAAAACGCAAATAGTATACTAACCTGGCTTTGGCCCCAGCCAGGGTATGAGGTCTGATAATACTGATATGCCATAGCCAAACGACGGAAGTCAAGGAGCCGTGAAGGATCGTGGAATCAAAGCAACAGTGCGAAAAATGAACCGGAAAGACGGGTGAGAGTGCTGGAGAGGTGGAGTTCCAATAAGTTCCGTTAAAGCTTATATACCCATCTGCTTGACGTCACGCGCAATCCGAAATGAATGGCTCAAATGAGCTCCTAGCGCTAAGTCCTTCGTGAACATAATAATAGTCTCTTCTGTGTGTGAGAAGCGTGCTTGGCAACGAACACGATCGTGGAACGCGTAGAAAACCAGGACAAAGAAGCAGATCTCAGAATACTATCCAGAGCTTATTGTGAACGCATGCTTTCTCCTCGTGTATGATATCGGATAGTGAATTGTCAGAGCAAGAGCAACAATCACAGCCAGAAAGTAAAGAAGAGTAATCATAGCTTGAGGAATTGAACGTTGAACGCCGACCTGTGTAAGATGAAGAATAAAGAACAAGCAGGCCAAACGGCGCGTCGCGAGTAAAACGCGACAAGAACGAGCGCCGTCACTGTCACTTACCGTGACTTGAGCGTCTACAGTTGTCTTTCCGCTTTTGGAGGCTCATTGGAACTCATGCATCTCTGGCATGACCGGTTCGTTCATTACTCTCTATATTTCGCGTTGTCTAATAAACGCATGTAATAGATTACTCAGTTTTTGCGAGCTCTGACTTTGATCCAAACGAGTATGCGAACGCAGTTCTAGCAGGCGAATCATACCCTCCACAACTCGGAAACTTAAAGTCCAAGTCTACGAAGACCACCGGACTTGCACCTGCTAATGAAGACATCTCCGTTGCAATTTCGAAGTTGAACTTCAATATTGAGGATGTGGAGAAGCAACTGAAGAATGTGGTCAGTATCTTATCTTTGCTGTGCGTGTTGTATATCCCATTCAAGCATGAGGGAATTAACGTTAGCCTATATAGGTAACAACTCATCACGAGGAACTGCTCGTGCAAGCGGCAGGTGTGACTGAGCTTGAGGGGTCCTTGGGTGCTGTACGGGGAGGCCTGAACGATTTGGATGGGACTCTTGACAAGTACGTGTTAATGGATTCTCAAGCGTCGGGCAGTTCACATAGTTCCTCTTGCCAGGCTGCGGCTCAAGATTCGTGCGCCATACAAAGCTCTGCAAAGCCAAGTCTCAAAACTGGAACGGATACAGCAAGCGTCTGACATCCTCAGACGAACTTCACGTTTCGTCATTCTAACGAGACGGCTGGAGGTCCAACTGGCGGAAATGGACAAGGCTGAAGCAGCAGAAAGCAAAGCTGATACAGACGTGAAGAAACCTGTGAACGGTGACAGTTCACATTCGCTGTCTTCTCACGCACTCGAAAATGAAGACGAGAAAGAACGGACGATTGCCAAAGCAGCTTTGACCATAGCCGAGTTGAGTTAGTCCCGTTTTCTTTGTATGCCCCAAAGCTGCAGCTGCTGACGTTGTTGGTTAGCTGCATTACTGGAACCAGAATCTGAAGCAAGCAATGAGCCGTCTTCGTTTAAGGCCATTCCGTTGTCCTCCATCAATGCCGTATCAACCCATTTACCCTATGTTGAGACAGCACGTTCTAGGATAACGGCAGACATGGAGTCTATGGTTATCACCGGCCTTGCTACTCTGGTAAGTATACGTGGGCTTGACTCGAGACAGATTAGTGATGGCATTGGCTTTCAACAGAACCAGTCCATGTTGGCTTCATCCCTCCAGACCGCACACAACCTCCGAGTGCTCCCAGACCTAGTGAACAACCTCGTATCCGACCTTTCGGATGCGGTCGAGGGAAGGATCCGATTTGCCTTTGACTTGTCTCGGATTGCCAAGGAGATCCTAGCGAAAGGTATGCCACTCCTCAGTCCGCCCTTATATCATGTTTTATGACTGGTGAACAGATCCAGCAGCCACGACTCAAAGCAGTATGCTGTACAAGTCCCGGGTACGCACTGAGCCTACCAACGTGACAGCACCACAATGGACTGCCGCTCTTTGGAGTAGTTTGGAAAGTCTCGTCGAGGAGATGGCTGACTGCTGCGTGAAGGTTAGGCATTTGGTTCATATTCATCGCGATGTGAACTGATTCGACGTCCTCAGGTCTACACCTTGGAGAAAGTTCTCAAAGTGAAGAAAGATCCTGTAACACAGGTGCTCTTCTTGGATGAGGCTATGAAGGTATGGGCACTCTTGTCCCCATCTTATTGCCAGGTTGGCCAACCTTGTGCTTGCATAGGTATTAGAGAATAGACCTAGTGCGATCTTCTGGGGTTCACTTGGCCGATCATTGGAGAAGCAAACTCGTGACGCAGCTAAAGGTACGATCTTTCGAACTTGGTTATCGTAGATGCGCTCCTGACATTGTACGCATAGCCTCCACCTTCCTTCAGCAAACACTCAGTGCCGGATACCCTCGTTTGCTCCGTCTCTTCCACTCGTTCTTTGCCAAGATCGCAGTGCATACGGACACCGTATATACCCAGTCTCAACAAAGGCATGCGTCTCAATTATCATTGCTTAATTTGCTTTCGATAACATCTTTCACTCTAGCCCTGAGACGATCCTAGTCCTCCGAGCACTCTCCAACTTTGAATCCCTCTACCTCTCACGATCATCCAACCGTCTGAATGAAGCTGTGGGCCAAGCCTTCGCAGGAGGCGTACGTTTGCCACCTGGTATGAACGAGGGAATCAACCTTGCGCGCACCATTGCGAATGAGTTAGACTCAGCAAAATTCGATCCTTTACTCGTCAAGTCGGTCGCAAAATATGTGGTGTCATCCTTGGATATGTTCCTCAATAGGATTGATGGCATGGTAAGCGGTTAGCCTCTTTGTACCTTTTTCACCCATGATCGACAGTCGCTGCAGATATCGAAAGAAAGGGCTGCCGTGACTCTCATTGGTCCTACTGCTACGCCTCAGCAAATGTCAAACGGGCAGCTCGGGACGTGTTTGTATCATTGCTACACGCGCCTTGAGAAGTTGGAAGAAGAGTATACCGACAACATTTTCGCTGTGCTGAGACCAAGTATTGAAGTACGTTCATTCTCTCAGTACAATAATATTTCAACTTATGTATGCGCATTCTTGCAGAGATTGCGAACTGCATTTAACCGACTTGTAGACCCTCTTCTCGCGGCCATCCGACGTGAATTAGGTGCCATCATAGCCAAGTTGCACCGAATGGATTTCGGTGATTCTATGGATCGCGTGAGCACTGGTGGACCTAGTCCATATATGAAGGATCTTGTCGAAAGGCTCAATTATATCAAGTCGGACGTTCTCAGTCAGTACAATGTCGGAGAGGTCGGTCAGGATTGGTGAGTCTCGTGTGCCGTCTTTTCGGGGGCACCTCGTTGACTGTTCATACGAAAGGGCTCTGTCGATTGTGAAGTATGTGATCAAGACATTTGTCTTGCATGCTTCCATAGCCAAGCCTCTAGGCGAGAGTGGAAAGCTGCAGCTGACGAGTGACATGACTGAACTTGAGTTCGCTTTGAGTGCGCTAATGACCGACAAGGGACAAGCCAAGGCGGGCTCGAATTGGGAACGGATTGGTGACGACTACCGCGTCCTCAGAGCAATGAGGTTTGTGATCAGGTTCTCTATCTCAGAGACAATTCTGATCATGCAATCACAGACCGCTCTTGTTCCTAGAGAACAGCCAGCTAGCGTCTCCTCAGCATACGGCGGCTCTTCCTCCTTTGATCGTGCTCCATCATATTCTCGTCCGGTCCCCTATTTCTCTCCCCCATACTTTGCATGGATGGGCAGAAGCAGAGTATGTACGTTGGGTGGATGAGCATTCTGAACAAGAGGCTTGGTCATTAGTCGAGGGCGATTTGTCGCATTGGGAAAAGGTGACAGAAGCTGAAGGGCATGACCCATCGTCTGCGATGGAATATGTCCAATTAGCTCGTACTGTACTAGCTAATGCTGCTAATACTACTGCATAAGTTATACCCTGTTGTATTGTACCTAGTAACTTACATGATAATCCTGTCTGAACATCTCTTTCATTTCGGCCGAAGATCATTTCGATCATTATTCATGATCGACAGCCACGTGGAAAAGTCCTACTTGAGTCAAGTTGCAATTGACTCCGAACACTTTGAAGGGAAAATTACCTTCGACACACCATCATGCTGGCACTCAGAGCAAGGGCGGTCGCGAGGTCTGCTCTCAAACCACGTCTACTGTCGTCAACAGCAATTAGATGTTCAGATCCCGAACATGTTCCAAAACCTCCACCGCCAATCGATGACTCTACATCTGCATTGGACTACAAGCGGACTGTGAGAACTCGACCACCCCCTCTGCCTGCAATGGACTTGCCAAGGTCTAGGACTGCAGAAGAAGCTGTCACAAACATTCTCTACAATACCCCTCCACCAAGTTTGCAACCCTTCAAAAAGTATGTCATCATTTTCACGACCTAACTATGAAACTAATATTTTATTTTCCATGCAGGCATGTTCTGAACTGCCTGGTACAAAACGAGCCAGGAGTATTGTCTCGCGTATCTGGTATTCTGGCAGGAAGAGGGTTCAATATTGATTCATTGGTTGTATGTCGTACGGAGATTCGCGACCTCAGTCGTATGTCCGTCGTTTTGCGTGGACAAGACGGCGTAGTCGAACAAGCCAGGAGACAACTTGAAGACTTAGTAAGTTATGCAGTCACATTATTTCTCAAGCTATGTCTGAATTTCTCTCTTTCAGGTACCTGTATGGGCTGTCTTGGATTATACGAATACCAACTGTATCCAACGCGAGCTCTTACTCGCCAAGATCTCCGTCTTGGGGCCAGAATACCTCGAGGACCAGTACGCCGGAGGACCCACACATGAACCCCGCCGCCAGAGTCAAGCTCCTGACGTCCACACACATGACGCTTCTAAACTCGAACGTGAAGTCAAACTCGCCCACAACTTTGAACGCGCTGCCCATCCTGAACAAGAGACTCCCGCTCCTACGCCTTTGACGCCTTCTGAGCTGTTGCACCTCAAGAGCGACAACCTGCAAGCGATCTCTGTTTTGTCTAATCAATTTGGTGCTCGCATTGTGGACGTCAGTGAACATAGCGTTATCGTAGAGTTGTCCGCAAAAACAAGTAGAATTGAGGCCTACTTGAGCTTGCTCAAGCCTTTCGGCCTTCTGGAATCTGCTCGTACCGGTGAATTTCATCGATTTCTGGAATTACGGGATGATGAACTTACTGAATTTCATACCATAGGTCTCATGGTCATGCCTCGCACTCCTCTAAGAAATCCTGAAGACTCGGATGATGTCGCTGCCGAAGACCAAGTGGTAGATGCTAGTCTCCTCCCCCCCGGCTAGTCATGGATGTATCGGTAGCTTGGCAAAAGTACAAAAGTAGACATCTACCTTGTTTGCTCTATTACACCTCATCTCGGAATCAATGCTATGTTTGCGGATTGGGGATTGTGAGATATCTCAATAAGTACAATGATACAGTAATCGCTAACCATATTGTACATGATTAAAGCCGTTCAGGGTAGGGACCAGGACGTATTACTGGTATTGCACGTCTCCGATGTGCAGAGCTGTTGTCATATGGGATTGTGATCCACTGTCTCTCAGGTCGAGAGGGTGCCTCTTGTGGGAGCCTTGAAGACGGGTGTACTTGCACCTCAGTCGAAAGAATAGACGGATGCTGCATGTCTTGTGAACGAGGTTGAGGAGGCGTTGGTGAAATCTCTTCCGAGGAGTGGCTTAGAGACGTCGAAGGAGGAGAAGCCTGTGAAGCGGGAGCCATCTCTTGCATATGACTGAAAGGAGACTGCGCCCTTGCAAACAATACGCTAACATCACGTAGCAGAGTTTGCAGACTGAGGGCTCTCGCTTTCCATTGCGACAAATCTGTCTCCACTACCTCCAAACGTCTGTGCACATCGTCCATTTCAGAAACTCTGCGAGCTTCATTGTTGCGGATTATGGCCTTTAATTGCTGCAGTTCAGCTACGGCATCTCCGTGTGGAGATGACGGAAGGAAGGTTTTCTGGATATGCGCTATGGAAAGGGTATCAAGTCAAGTGACTGTTAGTAGTTGTGACCCAGAAAGACCTACCTCGATTAAACGGAATTCTACACCCTGGACATCGAGCGGATGGCAGGCGGCGAATGCAATCGTCACAGTAGACATGACCTAGATATGCACATTACGGTAAGGTCGACGTCGAACCGTAGGAAATTGATACCTACCACAAGGGTCAATACGCGACCAGGCATCGCGAGTCTCTAGACAAACGGAGCAAGACATTCCGACGTCGACGGAAAGGAGGAGAAGGGGAGACCTGATATAATATGAGACTTGCCACTGTACTTACGGTAAACGTTATCATATTAAGTGCCACTCATCGATATCACATGGCAGATTAACAACGACGCGTGAATCCATTGCGATCCCCTTTTTTGGCCATTCTTTTGTTCAGGAAAATTGCACGGGGATATGTTCCGATACGGAACATACCTCGACTTACAACGATGTCGAAAGTGTACTTCTCATCGGTGGGCTTCGGTGCTGGCATTTTCTTTGTAATGCAGCACGCTCATAGACGAGGTTGTCTGGGTCCTACTGAGGAAAAGCAGTTGTTATGCATGTTAGTTGCTAAGTTCACAATGGGTACATCATGACGCAGCAGTACCTCCCGAAGCATAGAATTTAGAATATCATGAAAGTCTGATGGATCGCAGGGCAGCATCAGTAACTTGATTAACTTGGAAGTGCCAAAGGACACCTATGACGTCAGTCATACAGAAGTTCACATGTCGAAGTACATAAAACCAGGGTAAGTAGTTCAAGTGGTTGTCGATTTCCGAAGCTCTTGTCTAATATGCTAGCGAAACCTGTCCTGATATATTGAAGATAGCAGGATACCACCTAATCTCATACCGGCAACATCGACATCCAATATTACACTACACAGCGCTTCTCGAAATCAGAAACCCCAGGTACAGCTAGGAGACTTCTCGCAACGCGTGCGGTTACTCCCTAGATTGGGAGAACGGGTACCAAACTTGCTCACCCTCAATCTCCTCTTTGCGCTCCTCCACCACCAACAAGCATGCATTGCAAACGTACTTGCGTGAACTCCCATTACCAGACTTTAACCTCCACGTCCCATGTGCTCCATTAGAGAGACATCCATGATCAGTGATAGTGGCTACAGGCGATCTTGGCGTTCGGTTGTGTTGCACTTGGATGGAGGATTGAAGTATTTGACGTCCAGCAGAACCGTATGAGGGCGCTGTAGCATCAAAACGTGCACTATCGGAAGACGAGGGTGAAGTAATACTTACTCTGGTATGCGGACACGCATAGGCATGCTAGAAATACTCTCGTTCTGCACATGTTGAACATTTGGCCCTGCAGGTGAGCAGCAGTAGATTAGCTCAACATCGCAGACTATAGTCGGTGAAGCTGGGTGTGGACTTACTTGTGAGGTTGTCAGGATAACTTATTCGTTGACGACGTCCGACTTCTCTACGCACAGGTTGCCTCTCGCGGGCTTCCGCTGACTGCCCAGCCCAACTGACTGGGGGTATCGCTTGCCTCATTCTCTGCATAATGGTAGATGAAGTACTTGAAGAGAGGGGAGATGCCGCTGCTGCAGGGCGCCCCAGCGTAAAAAGGCCGGCGAGACTACTCCAGCTATTCCTATAACACGCACAGTAATAAGCAGACAGATTATTTACAGACATGGTAGGCGTACTTACTCCGTTTGAGGTGGTGAAGGAATATCTTCATCCGACTTTTCATCTTCGTCCGTTGAAGATGCACCTAATTCATCTGTCACGACACTTCGCCCTCCACGTTCAGGACCGGCAGATTGTCTGGGAGAAGCGACTGAGAGGACCCAACGCGCAAGACCAAGCACAGAAGACGTTTGCCCGTTTTCCCGTCGTAGGCACCTCAACTGGTCTTGACTCTCGGCAAGAGTAGTCGAAACATCGTTGACCTGATTGTAGAGCGCAATGACCGTCTCACGCAGATGTTCCGTAGCTTCTTGCTCCTGAACCAATTGTCTTTGCAATTCTGCGGCATAGGCATCTTTCTGCTGGATTTCTTGAAAGAGGGACTCGATGAGCGCTTGTAATTCGCCATTTGTTTCCCTCGTTTGATCCAGCTCAGTGACAATATCCTGAGAGGGCTGCTGGGAAGGAATGTAGGTTATCAAAGCATCGTCTATTGTCGAAAGAAGTAATGGTCAATATATCAGACATTCTCTGAGGGCCAATTGAAGTCGAACTACCTGGGTCGAACTCAGCTCTGCACTGGGGACACCGATGTCCCAAGCGCATCCTAGCAATATTCTGAAAGCATGAATCACAGCATACATGACCTATTGACTATCAGGAAGCACTGCCGGACAATACATAGGAAGGCATACCACAAGTGATCCGAAGAAGGGTATCTTGACCTTCGAAGCAAACGCAACAGGACATTCGGAAACAACTAGATGATATGAAAATGGCACCACTGTGAGCATATGACTACCCTGCGGCTCGCAGGGTAGCAAACAGTCTTCACCCAGCGGTTTACAAGGGTGAGGTGTGGAGGTGAGAGGACGGAAGCCCAAGTTGATGGTAGCTTTACTTCGAGGCTTAAATGCGTTTGATTCAGCCACTTATCGATGGGAACGTGGACACTGTACTGAGCCCGAGGAAAATCTGCTGCCTACTTCGAAAGAAAAATTATCAGGTAATTACTATAAACACAGGATACGCAACCAACCCTACCTTGCACGGCGACGTCTATCGAAACTATTTCAACTCTGTGGTGTCCATCATCGGGATGTAGGCATCTTCTTTGTATTGTTCTAGTCTACCTATAAACAAAGGTCGTGCCGAAATTATTGTTCTTGAAGCTCTTGCTTGTAGGGCTTGAATTTGTAGCACAAGTATTCGCTTCCGGCAGGTCTGCGACAAGAACGGGAGAGACGGATGTGTTTTAGATTGCAAGTAAAGCAGAAGGATCAGTACAATGTTGAATAGCACGCTCTAAGCAAACGAAATACGAGAACAAAGAGAACAAAGAGAACAACGCGTGACGTCACAGAAACGTGACAGGACTGAGAAGGCAGCGAAGAAAGCAAACGAAGAAATGAGAGATCTAACAACTGACGGGAACCCACACGAGCACTCCATCAACGGTGGACTTGCGCTCTTTTACCATAATACGACAATGTGCGCAAGTGAATTTTCTCATGAAGCCGTTGGAGCCTGCTGTGCTCCAGACATGTCCCGTCACGACTTCACAGTGGGGCACATTTTGGGTTACGACTGGGGCCATCGGTTTGGGGTACGCTTGCACCGTGAACCTTGATTCAGTGGTAGGTCTATGTGGAGCATGATCCCGGAGGCGAGTGGAATGTCTGAGTCTAGACGTTGGCTGGAATGCAAGTGGGGAGAGTGGACCACTGAGAGCGCTGGCACACGAAGCGAAGGAAGTTGAACTGGAGGTGCTTTCACGACGACTGCCAGAGAATTGTGTCCAATGCGAAATCTGAGCGAGATAACCCGCGCTTGTCACTCACCTCCTAGAAGGGCTGACTGAGGAAACACTACCGCTCATCAATGCATCTGAAGCTCCTAATTAGCTTCATCGATTGAACATATTTGGCACAAACGCGCACCCGCTGCATTTTCACTTCGTCTGAAATGCCTGACGTTGCGCACAAACTCATCATATCGCGCTCTCCAGTGCTCTGTCAGACCCCTCTGCTCAGAGAGTTCCCGGTCCGTAGTCAAAGCACGAAGGCTCAAAGCAGAGGTGACGATAGAATGCAGTCGCGCTTCGTAAGAAGCCGCCTGCAGCTCCTCACTAAGTCGAGTAACCTCTTGTTCTCGTTCTTGTCTGGTGCGAGAAAGATCCAGTTGAGTGGCTTCTAGACGAGCTGTAATGTCATCTATTTGCATTTGCATGTCCGCGACTGTAGTGCGCAGGTTTGTTTCGTTCTGCCGTGCTCGAGTCAATTCGTCATCTAACTCAGCAGCTCGTTTGCTGGCAGTGACGCCGCGTCTGTTCCAGTATCTGTGAAGTCTCCTTGAACCACCCAGGCTTACAGAGAGTTCCTGTACTCTGTTTGGTAACTTCAACAACTCTCTAGGAAGCTGCAACTGGCGTATATCGTCTTTAGTTTGGAAGAGACGATTTCAACAGGTGGTCGTCACAGGCAATATTTGAGAACGCACTGCGGTCGATGCGAACACCGCAGTAAGGGCAATTGATAGTTGACGACGCGTCGTTTGCGACACCGGCGTCCTCCAATCGGGCTTGGGTAGTTTGTACATGCGCTGTAATACAATGTTCACAAAAAACATGTCCTAGAAACACCGATTATGGTCAACATGTTTGTTGACGATGAAAAGACTTACCGCATGAAATTGAAGACCATATTTCTGGAGTCTTCTTGCATATCGGACACGACATTTTACTAGTCAAGGGAAGGCGCGCTTGACCCCTTCGGGGGACGCGATTATGGAACTGAGATATTGCGTATTGTATATACAAAATCAAACAAGCGTGGGGCTAAAGACCTAAGGGTGGAGGGTGGTGAGAGGAGGAACGAAGGGCGGGAAGCAGCGTCGGTGATGCGTGTTCGAAAACGAACCGTCGCTGCGACCGAGGTACCCCGACGTTGTCATGCTTTGCAGGAACAGATTCAATGATGCATATGTAGCATAGTGCTTCTCTCAGATGTATCTGACTCTGGGAAATATGATTTACTTGGGAAGTATGGCAACCAAATACACATCAGACGCGCCTTACAATGTCCACCCACATAGACCGGATGCTGAGCGCTGAGCGGCGGAAAAGTGACAAGGTTTGTATTCGTCTAGCCGGTATACAGAGATACATCTCTTGCAAGACGAAGCGACAAGGTTTGATTAGATGTCTGAGAAGCGAGAAGCTAGGGCCTGTTTGGTTTCAATATATAGCCGATACATAGACAATGGTCAAGTCGAATATACGAAGCTGAAGCGCGACCCAGCGTTTTTCCGTTGTCTTCGTCGTTGCAGGACACGACAACCTGTAGCGAGACCGACGACGTGGGGCATTTTCCGGAGGACTTTCCTTTTTTATGAATTGACCGGCGCATCCGGCGTTCTAAAGGGGAGGGCACGGGCGGGATCCGGACCGAGGCCGACCGGCTGTGTCGAGTCGGTATGGGTTGTCGAGCAGTGAGACTCATTCCCAACGCTTTGCTTTTCCAGATCCCTCTCGACATCGTTGCTTGCAATCCCGCCAACCTGGCTGTCGACGTCGAATGCTTAAGACTCAGGCCCCCTCGCCGTCGCTTGACACAAATTCTCAACATGCACCGTCTCTGGCAGACCTGAGCAGGAACGCTTCGGTCATCTCATCTTCATCTAGCTCAAGTTCCGTTTGTGATCTTACTCTCCAAACCCCTACACGACCTCGTCCTATACGAACTTTCTCCTCTCCCCACCGACCCCTTCGCTCTAGAAGCCCTCAGTCACCAAGTACGCCTCGGGGATCCAAACCACCAGCATACCTCGCCCGAGAGTTGGGTATTGAAGAAGACTCGGAAGACAGAGCAACAGAGCTCAAACCGACTGAGCTCAAGCCACCTGCTTCTCGTGCCCAGTCGAGGTCAAGGAACAGTTCTGTCAACGGGCGTATTAGCGCCAATGACTTCGAGTTCGGGCGGGTGCTTGGGGAGGGCTCATATTCCGAAGTGGGTGTTTTTGCCACGTTACTCCCGGGCAATTCGTGACATTCTCTGAGTAGGTAAGGCTTGCTAGAAACAAGAACAATGGCCAGGAGTATGCCATTAAAGTCCTGGATAAAGGCCACCTCAAACGTAAGAATAAGTTGAACGTCGCTATCTCGGAGAAGAATACACTCGTAAGACTCGGTTCTGGACATCCCGGTATCGTGCGACTACATTCTGCATTTCAAGACGACTGGAGTCTATGTAATTACTTGTCATTGCGCTGAACGGGAATACCGTTGCCTGACTTCTACAATGTAGTCTTCGTTTTGGACCTCGTAAGAAATGGCGACTTACAATCCCGCATAAAACGCTTGGGATCGTTGTCAGTGGACTGTGCAAGATATTATGCTGCGCAGATCGTAGATGCACTTGATTACATGCATTCCAAGGGCGTGATTCACCGGTGAGTGGCTCAATGACGTGTTTCGCTGGTTTCGTGTTACTCAGCGTCGCCCATACAGTGACCTAAAACCGGAGAATCTGCTGCTGGATGATGATTTCCGTATCAAAATTACCGACTTTGGTACTGGGAAGATCCTCGATGCTGGAGGTGCGTGCTAAGTCGTGAGCTGTACTCTTATTGTCTCTGACCCACGGTGTAGGCGAGCGTGCGAAGACGTTTGTCGGCACGCCGGAATACGTTTCTCCTGAATTGCTTGAAGTTAGTGAGACAAGTAGAAGGTAGATACCATGGAAAATCCTCCATCGCTTTCAAGTTGTTGATCACCTTCATACTTAGCTCTGACCTATGGGCTTTGGGTTGCATCATTTATCGAATGATCGCTGGTCAATTTCCTTTTCAAGGACTTTCGGAGTATCTTACATTGGAGAAGATCAAGATACTCGAATATACTTTTCCGGAGGGTTTCGATGAACAGGCAAAGGACCTGGTGCAGAAACTCCTTGTATGTCTCTCTACCACTCACTTGGGTGCGAACACTTCAATAATCGGTCCGACTTTCGTAGGTACGTGACCCAACACAACGTCTTGGGGCAGGAGAGCCAGATAGTCCCAATAGCATGAAGGCACTCCGCTCACATCCGTTCTTCAATACAATCAACTGGAGTACTCTTTGGACTGGTAAAGCGCCTCCATTGGAACCCGGTCTTGTTAAAAGGGAACAAGAGACCAGCGGACGGTCCAGTTTGAATAATTGGGAAGATGTTGGTGCCCAATGGGACGAGATGGTTGATGGGGCGGCTGATGGGGACGACATGAGCTGGGCCTCGGAGGGGGACGGGGAGTACCAGCTTGGAGCACCATCAGCAAATGCTAATGGTGTCAGTGGTGTCAATGGACACCACGCACCTGAAGAGGTTGGGCCCAAAGACGAGCGCAGACCGTATCAATTCCCAGCGTTACCTCCGCCGGATTCACCGGATCCTGAGCCACAAGCACAGCTCGAAATCGTACCAGACCCACAAACATCTCCATCATCACAGACAAATGGCCAGAATTGCTCTGGAGTTCGTTTTGCTAATGAGGAGAAGACCCAAGCGGAGAAGGAGGCGGAGGAAGGTAGGGACACGGTACCACCCACGTTGGATGACATTCCCGTGGCAGTGCGAACTCAACCTATTGATATTCCTCCACGGACGATTCGAGACTCGTATTCTACGGGTTCAACTACAAGCTCTTCGGACGGTAGTCCCGTGGATAAGCTCGCGAGTGCCCTTGATGGCGTCGAGTTGAACCGGGGTCGAAACCGTGCTCAGACACCTATCCAGGGGCACGCCCCGTCTAAGGATGAAGAATGGTAGGTCGTGCGTTGCCTTCGGCCCATTCCTGTTTTCATAGTCTTTATAGGTCCAACCTTCTACAATCAGGTGAAACGGTCATATTCAACGCGAATGTGGAAACAAGTCCTCTCCGTCGTCGAGCGAGTCGCCTCCTGGCTATGGCAGTGGCACCGAGACGAAAGTCGCGAGAGTTGGTGCTCACAGATAGACGGCTTTTCTGTCTGAAACATAAGCCTGGGAGGCCGTACTCCGTCAGATACGAATTTCCTCTACGACTTCCGCTTAAAGAGAAGGAAAGCAGGTATCATGTTACTGGCGTTGAACCGAAGGGCGACCGAGAGTTTGTAGTGTTGACGGTGAGCATATCTCCTTTTGACACTGTTGTGGACAGTGGGCTGACTAATATCCTGCAGCAATCCAAGTCACACTCCTTCGTCGCGTCGAGTCCTTCACTAGCTTCCATATGGATCCGCAAGATCCGGGAAGCAATCGAGAATGAAAGTAAACGAAAGGAAAGAAATAGTCAGTCCAATGAACGGACGTGAAATGGGTTGTAATTTGTTTTCTCTTTCTCAGTATCCTTATTCTCTCTCTTCAGTTGGGACCAAGAGACTTTCGTAGTTCCATCATCAACTCTCTCATTTCCATTCTCACTCACTCACTCTATCTTACATTGTAGGCACATTGTAATAATGCTTCATAGGTCCTTTCACTTGAGCCTTGTATTTTGTAGATCGTAACCTCGTCTTGTTCAGTTTTAATTTTGTCTTTTCTGTGCATCGTGCTAGTCCTCTTAACTATCCTTTTTTTTCTCGCATATCTGTCCAATCTCTTTTCTTGCTGGTGGTCCAGACTTGCTGCATCATGTAACTGATAGCACTTATGTATTTAGGATACGAATCAACATATACGTCCAATCTTTTCGACACCTCCGTAGTGGTCAACATCTAACGCTCTGCCACACATCGAAGACGATCGTTGTAGGCCGCGAGCAACGAGACTAGACGATACCTTTAAGAATGTCCGCACCCTGTGGGTATCATTGTAAGCTTGCTCTCGCCCTGAGTCCGCTTGAACGCACCTTTTCGCCAATTGCGTATGCCAACGTTTGCGTGTTGCAAGAGACCTCTAAGGGTAAGATGGAACAATCGATCTGTCATGAGTGTTAATCCAGGTTTTTCATCTGCTAAAGGTGAATAATTTGAAGTATAACATACCACTCTGAGGTTCTCTGTACCATACACCAACAGCTTATGATCAACAACACCTCCATCATCCTTTGGCGTCATTGCGCAAGTCCCAACAGGATGCCATATAGTCTCAACAGTCTCCCGAACATACTCCTTCAAGTCGTCCTCGGTGGGCTCTCCAGGTGGGATGATTCTCTCGACCACCACCTCTTTTACGGGGGACGTTTCGTAGAGCTTGAAACAGAACTGAAGCAACCTAATCAAAATCTCCTCATCAACGGGATTCGTAAGGTAGTTCTGCTTGATGGTAGGCTGTTCGAAAGGCGAAGACGAATTGATATGGACAGAACCACGAGAAAATGGGTGCGTGTAGAGGCCACGCAATGAGAAATGACGCTTCGTCGGGCTAAAGTCCGCTGTAAGTCCTGTAGGGCTCAAATTGAGCATAGCTGCACCGAAGAATCTAGCGATGCATAATCATGAATTATGTATTTATCGATCAAGCAACTGTTACTCACTGAGCCATAGCGGCTGTGGGATCATCAACCCATTGTCTGAGCAAATCGTATTGCTTCCGTAAACCCCGTTTCACGCTTTCTGGGGTGTGTGCGAACACATCCGGCGACGAGGCTTCCAATCGAGCCAATGTCTTCCACTTCTCGATATCTTCCTTGCTCGCGAAGGCGGACGCTGGTGCGAAGGCGGTAAAGTTGACAGGCATACTTGTAAAGAGTCCCTTCTTTTGTTTACTGGCCACCATGAGACATGACCCTAAATAAGTCTACTGTATTCCAAAGTTGAACAGTACGCACTAAAGTTCAAGGTGTTCGTTCGCCACTGCTGGATCGTGCAGCTTATCATATGTCTCGATGCTCATGTCTACCTCAGCGCTTGCACCAACGCCCGCATGGTCCTCTAGAAATCGAGTATCAGCTAGGTTACAGCAAGTTTACATTGTTTCTACTCACGTAAGTTTTCGCCGACGCCAGGCAGATCAATGACACAGTTGATACCGTGTCTCTCCAGAATGTCCTTATTCCCGATGCCAGACAACTCTAACACCTGTGGAGACTGGATGGATCCTGAATTTTAATGTCAATATAACATGCTCATGGACCGTTCCTTCAAGACGTACCACAAGACAGTATAACTTCCTTCGATGAATGAACCACGTGAGTCTGGCCATTCTCGACGAACTCAGCACCGATAGCACGATGCAAGCCTTGACGAGACGGTTCAAGTATGATCTGCTGCAATTTTAGCTATCTCTACAAGACGAGAAAGTGAAGAGCGCACCTTCGTAACGTGGGCCCCAGTGAAGACGAGGAGATTGGGTCTCTGAGCGTTAGGGGCGTAATATGCGTTAGCAGCATAAGACCTAGTTTTAGTACCCTTGTCAATTGAGACGGGGACCAGCAAGCTGCCAATTGTATTGCCTCCTCCCTGATGCATGTGACGTCAATCACAGAAAGTGTATCAATGCAGGAGCACGCACTGCGTCGGGGTTTCGAGGTACTCCTAGCTTCTCCAATGCGTCCATAAACACTGAATGAGTGTGAGACATCATGGTGGCGAACGACTTGGCAATGGGACCTGTAACAGTATATAGTATTCTAAGTGTCAAAATATACAAGACGGTGACCTCACCTTCTGTTCCGTGAAAAGCAGCATTCGGGGCAACCCCGCGACTTTCTGCATCTTCCTTCGTCAAATCGGGTGGCTGTAAGTGCTCGCTCTGCGTAAGATTGTATTACAGACTGTCAAGATGAAGAAGGAAACAAGGATACGGACCTTCCTCATGTATTTCCAAACGGATTCCCAGTTCCAGCCTGGATTACCCAGGCCCTCTAGGGCATCGATCTCTTTCCCTGTTGGTCTCACGGAGACCATGAAGTTGAGCTGTCAATGAGGACATTGGAATTAATGAAAGGATTGATATAGGATCACTTCTCGTACCGAAGACGATCCTCCGAGACCCTTGCCTCTGTTCTGAACCAATTTACGGTTCTTAGTGATCTCACGAGGCACAACGGAGAAAGCCCAATCACGTTCGGGATTGCCCATATTACGCGAAAGAAAACCTAGACAGTTATTAGAACATTCAAAAAACTTCATACGAGAAGTCGAAATTAGTGGCTTAACTCACCTGGAACGTTGACATTCGGGTCATCTTTGTGGTATTGCCCCGCCTCGAGAACGCCAACCACACAAGTAGGACCCTCAGTAAGCCTTCGCAGATGTATGAATACTAGCATAAACAATATCAACAACAGTACTCACCGAGCAGCGACTACCAATCCGGCTGTTCCTCCTCCAATGACGAGATAATCAAGATCGGCTGCAAGAAAATCTTCGGCTGAAACCATACCCATGATAATAAGAGACGGTGTACGATAAATAGCTGGGACACCACGAGAGATGATTCGCATTATCTATGCTTCTTATTGAGCACCAGAGTCCGTAACGGACACTGGACCTACATGTTTCAGAAGGGTTTCAGCGGCATTTGAGGAGAAAGGAGATAATTATCCGAACATGTCCGGCCGCCAAGATACCTCTATAAACACCGTATATGTCATTGTTTTTTCACCTCATCGCGGGGGAGACTAGAATGAGAACATACACCGCGCCAGATGGCGTGTGCACAGCTGGCAGATACCTACCCATTTCGCGAGCTGATATCATCAAAGAGCATGAGCTTTAGCAATCAACCTAATTTCAGCTATACTTCTATTATGTGTCCCAGTACGCAGTGGGTAGATCTATGGACCCACTGGAGAAGCCCCTAGTTAGGACGTCCGCCGCCTAAGCCCGTCTCTGTTTCAGGACCACTTGTACTGCGGATTGAGCTGGAATTTTGCAGATCAATTCACGAAGCGCTATATCTACAAGCTGTAATGAAGCTGAGTCGTACCGCAGGCTTCAACAGGTGTATGGTCCGAAGCTCAAGATTGAGCGAGAGGCCGAAGGGTTTCCACTCTATCACCATCCGAATCGGAATCTATGAGTCATCCAAATCTCGTCACAGAGATATCAAGAGTATTTCAGAGAAGATGCGCTTCAACATAAAGACGTGGCCACAACATTCAACTTTCAAATGCAAGAGATCCAAACCTTCACTTCACCAAACGCCGACACGCATCGATCGATTGGATTTTGATGCGCCAGGCGCGATCGATCGAAATCAAGCGCCGTTAACGCTCACAGCACACGGTGGCAGTTACCAACTGTGACTGTAATGACCACCATGAGGTTGGGCTTCTTTGTGTATGTTCTCTCGGACACTTCCTTGTGGATCATGACATCTCCCCATCTATAATAAGTTGATGTAAGCAGTACGTTTTGTATCGGCCTTCAGCCACTGCAATGACGAAACCGTAATGAAACAGTTTGACATGAAACGGCGACAACGGTTTACGACGGATCCTGACTCTTTAAGGGAAGACCAGTTCTTGCCAAGAATATCTAGACCCACCTTTTCTAAAGGCTGTTCCATGACTACGCCCAGATGCTCATTGAGAAGATAGGGGGACGTTGGGTAAGACAGTGACGTCTAAGTATGAATACTGTAAAGATGTTTGCCGCATCACACGAATCTGGGGTAGAGGTCGTCTCCTGTAGGAGTCTTCAAGACAAAAGTGAGCGTCCATTTAGCCATAATTCACAATGCCGCTGTGCGAATTCTACTAACTACATGGATCAAATCGTTATAATCACACACTAGTTTTCCACTGGACTCTGTTAATGCTTTCATTCATCGTCCAGGTATCAAACATTAACGTGAGAGAGGGATAAAGCTCTCGAGAGCTGAGCCATTCAACGGGACAGCTCAATTGTAATTATACTCCGGATCGGGAATTTCGTACCTTCTGCCAAGCGGGCCACTAAAAACATGATATGTCTCCTTTTATTCTTTGGGATTACCCATACATTGTAGAGCTGTATGTTCCTGCTGAAACTCCTTGGTACCTCACCAGTATTGATTTCAGGAGCCAATCAATGAAGTTCTCGGTGCCCACTGCGTAGAATCACCGTGTCAATCTCATCCCGTTTTGTTCCTTGCAAGTGACTCATTATGCCAATCGTCTCTACAGAAGAGTTCATCACCTCAAAGCTTGCTTACCTAGTCATTGGCGGAGGTACAGCAGGCCCCATCGTCGCGGCTCGGCAAATCAGATCTGGTCTTACTCTTCACTCGCGCATGCTGATACTGTGGATCCGCGTAGCGTGACCGAAGATCCAAATTGCATAGTTGGCATCATAGAAATTGGAAATTCTCATAATGATGACCCCATCGTCAAGATCCCAGGTGAGTCGACCGAACGAACTAACAACATTGGGTTTGCTGTAGTTCATCTCTTGTAACCAGGCTTCATTGGTCGCAATTTGGGTAATCCTGAGTTTGATTGGGGATTTATGGCTATTCCACATGAGAATACGAGCAATCGTACATTGTTTCAAAGCCGAGGGCTCTTCTATGGCGAGTCAAGTAACTACCTACGTTCGTTCGAGATTTTCCGAACATGGTGCGACTTTAGGTCAACTTCTTGGCCTGTTCCAGACCGACGAAATCAGAAATTGACGCTATCGAAGAGTTGGGTAACCCCGGATGGAACTGGGAGTCTGTAGGGCATACACCAAAAAGGTTTTCACCAGATCATCCTTTCTGTGTGCTGTATATTCAATGTATGGCTGGTTTCTAGAGCGAACGTCTCCAGGTTGCTGACTTCACCGATTAAGAGTCAATGAAATTTGGCGCGGTCCCCAAACTTGGTTTCTATGGCACGGATGGTGAGATGAGATTACTATTGTTTTTTTCTTAACAAATATAAGGGGGTGTCACACGTCTAGGGCGAACCGCTAAATCCTTCTCCCCCAACATTACCGAAGCTCATCCTGCTTTCGCGGACGCTTTTGAAAAGCTTGGATGACCGCGAAATTGAATTGACCTTTTCAGAGATCATTTCTATCATACCTTCACGGATTGTGTCTCTAGTTTGACACAATTGAGCTCGGTATATAGGAACGTTCCGATCTCCCCATATATCGAAACTCTCTGGTAACTTATCAATAGAGGTCATCTCAGACATAAAATCTTCCGCGATGCTGAGGAAGCGATATCGCCACAGCTGAGTCCATTTAGGGGACTTGCGCCTCACCCTCATTAATCATCCCTGGTTTGGACGCTTTGGTTTTCTCATTGAGGTTGAGTAAATACTATCAGCTTTCTCAATGATAAAAGACACATTCAGTCGCAGTTTTTCTCTATAGGGGTATAACGATTTTCGTCCAGAAATACCTAGCTACTAGCTACAAATTCTACGAAATGAAAACACATGTGGTCTGTTCATTCACGTTGCCGGCCCAGTACGACGGGCCCAAAATCACCAGCAACAATAGCTGCGCCGTCACCCAACTCAACACGACATAGAACCAACTCTTCTCCTCTTCCAATGTCACCACTTCTACCGCAAATGTGCTTACCGTTGTCAAACAACCGCAGTACCCATCCGCGAGGCCTTGCATCACCGCACAAGCATTCGGGCTAAGCGGACTTCTGAGTCCTTGCAGGACATGGAACACCCCCAGCATTGCCGTGCCGAACATGTTCGCTGTAAACGTCCCCAATGGAAATAATGACAGCGCTGGGTTGAGGTATATCGACAAGAGGTAGCGTGACAAGGTGCCTGGAAAGCTAAACAACAGCGCCGCTGTTGCTTGGTGTCGGAACTTTGCAGGCAATTCAAAGTATGCAGGGTATGCTGCTGCATATATTAGTACTCCCAATACCGATACGCTATAGCGAACTATGCGGGGTGGTGGGGCTAATTGGATCGGTGGTAGGATGCGTCTTCGCAGAATTGATGCACAGTGGGAGCCGAACATGACGGCGGCGAGTGATAGTGCCAGCGTAAACAAACTCTTTGTTAGGCCGTCTATGACCTATGTCGAAATTCAGACATCGCTATGCCAGAGGAAGATAACACTGACATCACGGAACCAGTCTCGAGGTTCCTGATCAACATTTAACCATGATTGAAAGACATCTAGTTGCCACCCAGAAAATGTGGTCAACGATCCACAGAATCCGGTAGTCAATGCAGTATACAGGGGACCATAGCTAACACGATCAACGATAACGTATCGTCAAGAATCAAACAGGTGAACTTACAACTGACCAAGTGGATCCTTAATACCGACTCCGAATCCCATAATCACGCATCCCATCACCTGCACCCAGGCAAGCGGGAAGATACTCTTACCGTCATACCCCGCTAACGCTTGAATGCCCAACCTCGCCAAGACGCCAAATATCGATGCAGGCATCAACAAGGCAAGGACGTGAGGTGACAATGGGTGATATACTTTTGCTGCGGGGAGCTTTCCCTCAGGTGACGACGTGCGTGAAGGTGGTCTGTCGATTGAAGCGAGAGAAGCTGCACTCTGGATTGACGTGTGGTGGCTGAGAGCAGAAGATACGGATTGGCGGCGGTGGCGAAGCGCAGGATAGCCTTGTACGCCATGATGGGCAACAGGGCTTGCAAATGTTGTAGCCGTTGGAAGAGGATCGAGGGTATCGGAGTCTGCAGACTTTGGAGTCTGGCTCTGGTCTTTGAGCTCGACGTCGCTCATTGTGTCCTACTTTCCGATACAACTTGAGTGAGTTTAATATTCATATGCGCTTCCGGCCCTTACGTCTTCGTCAAAAGAGGTACCCACCTCGTTGCTTTGCAGGCAGCTCACCGAGCCCGACCAGAAGTAGAGGGAAGGGTCGAAACCGTTCACTGAGTCTACACTAAGTAGCGAATAGGTGTAAGTTACAGTACATGGGAAATGACGATAAGTTATATCTGGACACAATAGTTCCAGGTCTTCCCTTTTATGGGTGTGACACTCGGGGCGAAATCCGGCGAGGGACGGCTGTGCTCTACCGCATCCAGAACCATTCAAAATACTCAGTGCACGGTACAAGTGATCGTGTCCAAGTGTGCCGAGCAACAGAGATGATGTACAGCACTTACTTGTTAAGAAAAGTAAATGATAAGTAATCGACGCGGCAGAACGGGAGCGCCTCAGAATCTTGCAACATTTAACGACACTGACCTCATGCTCGAGCGTGATGACTGTGATAAAGATAACACTTCAGGATGCAAGAACAGTGCGTAACGGCGGAAATGAGTTTGCGACGGAAGATTCAAACAATTTGAAATTAATCTCGCCTCAACTGAGGAAGTAACATCAAGTCTGATTCGTAGAGTATCTCGTTCGGCGACGATGATGCCTACTGATGTTCCTTGTCGGAATGTGCATCGAGACCTTCATATATACATTTGTAGGTGACAAGCCGAATAGCCAAATTGAATACCGAAGTGCGCACGCTCAGACGCAGATATACTCGGAAACAGAATAAGACTGTACAAGGGGCTTTGAACGCGTCCAAACCACACAACCGCTCGGAAGCAATAGGATATTGCGATGACTGATGGATCCATACTGCATTTGTGCTGAATCTCTCTACCATAGTGAATGTGACGATTTGTGCAGAAATCTGGACAGCATCCGCAGAGTGTCCCAAGAGGAGTGCATAGGGAAGATCCTCTCAGAATTAGGGGGCTCACAACGGGTTTGAATCCGGCCAGTACCGCAACAGATTTGCATGCTCGATCGAAGGGTGCACGTCTAAACTCGGATGTTTCGAGAGCAACCCCACCAGCCCTATCCATCTCACCAGAAGACACGTCATTAAGAGAGTGTGTATTTAATTAGTGGTAGAGGGCTCACTTCATGTCTGGGCCCTCCACTGCGTTGATGGCGGCAGAGCATACGAGCAACCTCGTCAACCAGCCCGTCCCGTCCCGTGCGAATCAGATATCGATGAAATACTTCAGACCTAGCTCCACGCCGGTTCCGTTCATCTCCCCCGGAAGAGCCCGTCGTACACCTTCAGCGTGATCGTTGATCGCCTTACGTGGGGTGTTGGGATTTTAGCAAGGGGAGGACCGTAAAAGAACGACGCGATTGTCAAAGACAACATACATTATACCGAATGCTCCCTGATTGATCGATACCCAAAGTCAAACAATGAACCCGGAGCTTGCTGACACGCTCTACCAGATCATTTCTTCCGTTCAGCCTAAAAGCTAGTAGACGGGTTGGACGTTCTTATCGAAACGTCGCACTCAACTCAGACCATGTGGAATCATTCGCGGTCACATGAGTCGCAACGCGAGTGGCGTTGATCCCAAAAGGGTACGCCTATATAAGGAGGGAGGGTACTTGCGCCCCCTTCTGCACCTCGTTCTGCATCCACCGCCTTTGTTAACCTTTCCCTCGTACGAGAGAACTTGCACTCACCACCGTTCTTCATCCAAGCTTCTGCTACTTGTGTTGCACTACCCACTACAATTCTCCACATTCGATATCTCTAGTTACGCCACGATGGCCACTCAGACTTCACCCTCGCTCGCTGGCTTTGATGCCTTCATGGTGAGTAGTGGCCACACATACGTACAGAACAACGACTGACACGAACCTTGATGAAGGTCAAGGACATTGGTGCCCCCACATGGGAGGACTGTAATGCGAGCTCCGTCGGCGGGGCCACCACGTCCGATGAGCAGTTCCCTACCGACAAACGCCACAGTCCCCACTACTGGACCTACACCCCTCCGAAAGAATCATCGCGCTTCGCTTTCGCGCAGAAGCCCGTGCGACGCACCACGGCCAACGACATCTTCCAGTGGCCACCTCCCTCATCTTCGCCCCCCTTCCGTTTTGACCCCTTTGGTGACAGCGAGGAACCAACGACCACACCCATCCATTTCACACTGGCCCCGGTTCGTAAGAGCCCTTACACCCCCCTCGCATTGTACGACACCGGCAACACCATCTCCCTCCCCGCTATGCCACTCTGGTTAGCCGATGATCCTAGCCTTGCGAATGAGACCGTTGAGTGGCCGAGCCCGATGGCACAACCACAAACATCACAGAAAGAGCCATTGCTAACAGAGAGGCCAACACCTTTCTGCCCTCTGGCTCACTCTGCGACGCTTGTGGTGTCACAGTCGAGTGTGGCAACGGCCCCATCACTCTATGAGGACAAAGACGACTTCGTCCTCCGTGCGCTCCGCCTCCCTTGGTTGGAGGATGGCTTCATCGATGGCGATGAGCTCACTTCGCCATCCACTCCCTTGTCCACACCCCTGCTCTCGCCTTTGACACTCGCAGACGACGATGAGGACCTCCCTATACTGGAGAAGGGAGTGGAGTTGAGGGGATTTGAGGAGCCATCCCCTCTTGCCCGTGACCGTTTATACCTGACAGGGTGGTAGTCGTTTTGCAGAACACTGGCAGTACCCGGAAGAGAAGGACATTGTACTTAGCTAGTTTTCATTTTCTTGAATCGCCTCGTCTTGTACTACATATATAGCTCCGTGAATATCAAATGCCTTTGTATCGTGTTTGTCGGGAGGTCCAGAGTGCGCCATAGTTGTGGTTTACCCTTACGAAAATGCTTCTTCCTGTGCTTTGGTCGTATTGCGCGACACCGGCGTGTGGAGCCAAATAAATAGCTTGCGAAAACAATGAGGCAGCCGGCGTGTCTTCAGCAGAACCTACCTTACCTATGACAGGATCGACCTTGACGACGATGAAGAATGGATTAGAGACTCTTTGACTCTTCGTCGAAAAATGAACCACGTAGGCAGAAGGAAGCGCCAACGAGAGCTTCGAAACGTATTCGGTCAGACCCAATGGGCATCTCGCAATTTCTAAGTTCTAATTGAACGCCATGAGTGTGACGCTAGCTATGAATACAGACTATGATATGGCTCTAGATGGCTGTTGAAGAAGGTTGAACATCCAGGGTAGGGCCAGACTATGCTGAATGTCCGACTTTCTATGTTTGTCACTGGGAATGTTGGTTGAATCAGTTGATAAGGCGAGATATGACTTCTGTACGACTTTGATGGACTCATTCCACTTTTCAATTTAATGCGACTCGATTCTCGTCCATACTGTATATCCCTCAGCCGTCTCGATCCCATTATACTGATACGTTCGCCTTGTCCCCCATGCTCGAAACCTGCAAGAAAGCCCACACAGTTCCCTAAAACCCCGTTCACATGCTTGTCCGGATGTCACAGGAAGTCAATCATCTTGGGCGCGGCGATAGATAGACACCTGGATACCTACTTAGTATCTTAGTATCCATATGTACAGTAAGCACAGCTGTATCGCTGTATCGGCGCAATCTGTCCAAGAGCCCATGCTAGTGGTACAGGAAGGTCTTAGCCTAACCTTGTCGCGTTGACATCCCGGTGTAGAGATCATGATCGACCGCCACCAACACCCGCCCGCCACTGTAAGGCCATTTTCACTAGGGACTGACAGATGACGTCGCTGACCGGAGAACATGTGAGTATATGCACTCGAGTAGCAACTCCTGAGCCTCAAAGTACAATGAGGCTTGAGGAAGCGATGAACCAACCTTCATAACACAATCGCCTACGCAACTAGTCAAAGGCTGTTGGATTGTAACCAAGGACATTCGAAAAAAAAACTGCTATGATAAGTTTATGATAGTGATGTATCGATATCAAGAACCAGAGTCAAATGCAAGGTGCACGTGGGGTATGAATGGGGAAGAGGTATGTTAGAAGTCGAAGCAAGGTGGTGCCCGGTTCAAAGAAGAGAAGTCAATGAAGACAGGCAAGCAGGCGGGCAGCGAAGAATGAACAGGTAGAGGTAGAAGATGTGGAGGATGTGGAGGACAGGAAGGGTGTAAGGGAGGTAATGGAGGGGAGGGGAGCGGCGGAGGCGAAGGTGAAGTTCTATACTCGTACAACCAGCCAAACTAGTACCAAAGTCCACAACCGAGAAATGAGAGTGGTTGATGATCGTGTTCTAGTCTACAAAAGATGGAGTTAATAGTCCCAAGCACTTCTAATTTATGACCACAAGCATCGGTAGTATCAGAAACACCTGAGCAGGAGAGAGAAAGAGGGAGGGGAATAATGTTCGTGGCGTATATGTACGTGTGAAGGATGGTTATCGGTGTCCAGGAGCCCTTTACAAGCAAGGTATGACCGACTTGCGTGCAACAACGGGGCAAGCATCGGCCGAACATTAGCGTGGGTGTCGGTGGTAGTCGAGATAACGAAGGAGGGGGCCGGAAAGGCATGTTAAAGGCACCGAAAAGGCCTTAGTGCTTGCGGCCCTTCTTCTTCTTGGCACCGTCCACGATACCTCCCGCTCTGTTGATCATCCTTGACAGTTCGCCCTTTGCGTACAGATACCGAATTTCTGGTATTGAGCCGATGGTGTGGCCACCAATGAGGAGAATGGGGAGGTCAGATGTAGATGTGAGGCGATGGAGCAGAGGTGTAAGGACAGATTCATCAGCTACGGAGAGATATCAGTACATCAAGATATAAGTTGTCTGATGGCAAAAACAAGGGCATGGAACTAAAAGACATACGTCGTTGGTCGACATCTATTATTGTGGGAGATGGTAAGAGGTTCATATCTTCAAGCATTTGCTTGAGTTCTCGTGAGAGTGGAGAATGGGTCTAGATAGATGAACGGCGGGACGGTCAGAATTCGCCGAAAGTACATCCACAAGACTACATGCCTTGGCATAAAGAAAGACTGGGTTGCGTGCCCAAGTCTCGTTCACTAATGCATCAATCTCCTCCAAAGCATGCGGACTCTGAGTATCAAAGTCGAGGACCAGCTGTGGGTCGATAGGTTTCGAGGGGTCGACGGATGATGGGATCACATTCTGAGGCAAGCTGGCAAGGAAAGCAGAGACAGCCGCAAGTTCCTGCTCGCGATTCAGTCTAACTGCTGTTTTTGCCGTACCGCCAAATGGCGACTTATGTCGCAAAGCGGCGAGTCGACTTGCTTGTTGAGAAAGCCTCGACAATCGTTGACTTCCGAGAGCGGAGCGCGCATGGTCAGTCTCCCCAAACGGAATAGGCGAGAGAGACGGTTGGGCAATGAGGAGGACGTATCCGGATACGACGACGAGTGCAAAGAGAGCGAGAAAGGTGATACGTTGCCAGAACTGCCGTGGTTTTCTGACAGAGTATTGGAAGGAGTTGAGGGCGGCGAGCGGCGGGGTCAAAGGAGGGGAGAGAGGAGAATCGCCAGGGTGGCCCATGTTGAGATGGCGGGCAGAGTAGGTGCGACGGTGAGCCATAGAGCTGAAGGAGCGTGGTACTTTTATTAGGTCCTGCTAAGAAGAGTGAGCGAAAAGAACAAAGGGCCTATCCCCCGGCCTATTGCATGGCACCAGCCTCTCCAATCTTCCGACTCGCCGACTCCCCGGCCTAGACCCCGCTTATGGCATCTCCCTCCCACGCATCTCTGTCATTTTGCCTACCCTAATATCGAGATTCTGTTCAACTTGACATCTTCTGCTTGACAACGCATGCTCAGGCTGCTTATCACTTCCATATATATGCTAGCCAAGGTACCCTAATGACGACGAGGGTACTTGAGAGCTCTTGAGAGTCACCGAATATCATCAAAGGCGACTGGCTTAATGAACATTCACGTCTCCTCGGTCTGTCATACTGAGACGTCGGAGAACGACGCTCATTGTTACCGTGCACAATGTCAAGGAGTGCCCTTCTATTGTCCCCAGAAGCGCGGTGGCGTGTGAACTCTGCACGAACATTGTACTGCAGGTCTGTCTTTATTTCCTCAAGCGATGCTTCATCTACACTATTTTATTCTTCTGTACAGACTTCATTCGTCCACTGGACCACTTCTAGTTTACTCGCGAATTTCATTTCGCACTTCTTTTCATCACAACACCTGCCCATTTGGGGCTTGGCACTTCTCCCACTTAACGCCGTGTAATTATGGGAGTTCTTCCCAGGTTCTTCCCGCTTCCGCCTCGTTGTTCCCTCAAGGTTGGTGAACATCTCCGCTTTCACGTTTCCTTTGTTTCGTTGTGTTTCCGTCGTCCCGTACGTGTGCGTGCATACGTGCATCATGAATGAGGGTTGTAGCTGCAAGAATGTTGTACCCACTCCACGACCCGCAGGCTGCCCGTTCGACGACGACGATGCCGACGTGATCATTCAATCATCCGACTCCGTACACTTCAAAATGTACAAAGTCATCCTGGGCAAAGCTTCCCCCATATTCAAAGATATATTCTGCCTCCCGCAATCTCCACCATCGGAACGCAGTCCTGATGACTTCTTCCATGGCCTTCCCACCGTCAAAGTCTCCGAGGACAGTCACACCCTCTTGCTTCTCTTCACGTTTTGTTACCCTATGGAAGATCCCGTTTTAGCATCTATCGATGACGTACGTTCTGTTCTAGAGGGTGCGCAGAAATATCAAATGGACGCTATAGCAAAACGTGCGCGGGCCTCATGGTCCGTTGTTGCTGCAGCTGATTCCTTGAAAGCATTTGCCGTGGCTTGTAGGATGGGCTGGGAGGACGATGCTCGTGTTGCCGCACGCCTCACGTTGGGAGAGGCATTCTGGCCTCTGGAACCTCCCCTCCCAGTGGAGTTCAGATATGTCTCATCGGAGAACTTGCTCAGGCTTATTTCCTATCATCGCAAATGCGCCGCAGTAGCTTGCCAACTGGCAGACGACTACCCATGGGCCAATCAACTTATGAACTCGCTTGCATGTCAACATTGCGATAAACTGTACAAGGGATCGACTCAAGCGACAGGATTGGCAGATTGGCTTCGCGTTTTTCTGTCTAGCGCGAAGTCAGTTCTGGTCACTCGACCTTCCTCGTCTGCGGTTACCAGTGGAACATTCGCGTGGGAGACTATGCGAAAATCGTACGGATGTCCTCCTTGCGACCTTCCAATGCATGTCGTCTACAAGATCCACACCGTTGTCGAGCTATTTGGCAAGGAACTGGACTCTCGTATTGCGTTGGTAAGAGTCATGGTTAATTCTCTGAGGAATGTTCTACTTAATTGGCATTCTCCGTTTTCCTTTCCCCAGGTCACGCTTCAGCTTCAGCTTTGAAATTAATTTACTGTGGATGGCGTTGAGGTGGCTTCCCAATCTACGTACAGCCACACGCTCAAGCGTAAAGGAATCTAATTCCAATGTAGCAGAATTAGGTTTACTTTCCAGGTCGCACTCCGTTGACATCGGCACTGGTCTTGAGAAGTTGCACGAATTACTCGTCGCTTCAGGCAGTATTGCCCCAGGACTAGTCATAACCGCATTAGCATAGTCACAGCAGGAATGCGTATTTCCTCTCCTGCAATGGATTTACCTGGCCTGAGAAACCCACCTCGTGTTGCCTGCGGATAAAGATCTTCTGAACCTTATCATTCTCTCCTGACCCAGGATCGCCACCATCGTCCATTCCGTTCATCAACTTTCGCCCCTCCCTCATCCCTCTATCTTTCCAGAGCACCATGTCTGCGAACGACGCTGCCGCTGATACCACGGGAAACGAGGAGTTGAAGAGGCTTGCGGAGAACTTCCAGTCCGATGATGCAGATGTCATCATTCGCGCAGGAGGCGTCGATTTCGCCACCTACAAGTTCATCCTCAGCCATGCCTCCACCATATTCAAAGACATGTTCACCCTTCCTCGCAATGAAGCTGCGCAGGAGGGTTTACCTGTCGTTGAAGTGACGGAGGATGCCCAGACCATCCATAACCTTCTCTCATTTCTTCATTACAACACCGAGGACCCTGATCTCAGCGATCTGTGCGCGATCCATCGCATATTGCTTGCCTCGCGCAAGTACGATATAGCGAAACTCAAGACACGCATTGCGAAACGGCTGCAGGCAAAGGCGCCTGAAAACCCTGCGCGAGTCTTTGCCATTGCTTATCACGCAATGCTGCCAGATGTTGTTCGCATTGCGGCGCAACACACACTATCAGTCGAACGATCAGAATTGATCCTCAGCTTCACACCCGAGAATCACAGTATATCTGCGGAGGTATTCCAAAATTTAATTCGCTATCATACCCTATGTGGAGAGGTGGCGCAGGCACAATTGGGGGCACAGCAGGCCAGTAATGTCTGTACTGGTATGCCATCGGATTGGTCTTGGTTTGGATGCGCAGAGTGCCAACCTCCGACTTTGGAATGTCCCGGGGGGTCGAGTCTTGTCAGACTTAGATTGCAGGGTTCTAAAAAATCACGTTCGTTGGAGGTCTATCCAAAAAAGTGGTGGCTGGACTATTTGGCCTATCTTGGGGAGAAGCTCAAAGTGCAACCTGCATCTGTGGACTTCGCCGATCGCGATTTGCTACAGAGATGTTCACATGTCTCGTCCAAATGTGCGACGTGCGGTCCTAGGGCGATACCTGACTTGATGAAGTTCGCTGGGCTGCTCGAGGCGCGAGTGAAGAGCGCGGTAGCGAACGTAAGTAATCCGGGATTCATTTTCGTAATCAACTAATTGAAGTGGGATACTCCTTTTGACAGGTTGAGCTAAAATTGGATGACAACGATTTTATGATCTGAACGAGTATCTTTTCATGGCCAATTATACTGTCCTGATTGCTTTCTTCGCGGGAGAGGCGTCCCGTTATTGACTCTTTTTCTGAATCCGCTAGCCAATGAATAGTTGCTTTACGTATCGGCTTACGGTGGGGACTTGCCACAAGCGGATTGAAATGTACATGTTACCGAATCGCAAAATCCATTGTTGCCTGCTACGATGAGGCTTTTTATCACGCCATGTAAGGAATAGAGCTAAGTGGATTTGCGAGGATATCACACCGAGTTGATCTCTCTCGAAATACCAGGTTGCTGTCTCTACTGACTTAAAACAGCACTTGATTGCGAACGGAATGGCTGTTATTTGCACATGGTGAGTACAGATGGGCCTTATAACGAAATTCAAACTATCTAACATGTCTTAATACATCTATTCAAGCTCGACGTGTTTCCCTTCCAGGACCAGTAGAATGGTGTCCATCGTCCCAGATCGGTTCGGAGAAGACTGTCTCATGTCGCCTGCGGATGGACTGTCGTAAACCTCATGTTCCTCTGCTTACCAGGAGCTTATAACGCCATCGTCCATCCATTCTCTCCGTGCACCTCAGAGAAGAAGACCAATAGCCTTCCTGTTCTCTGCTGTCCAACGCTCGACATGACTGCTACCGACATCGACGTCTCGTTGGCTGAAAAATTCCAGTTCGAAGATGCAGATGTGATCATTCGTGCAGGAGGAGCCAACTTCTCTGCTCACAAACTTATCCTCTCGCTTGCATCCCCCGTCTTCAAACACATATTTTCCCTTCCCCGCAACGAGAGTTCGCAAGAGGGCGTACCCATCGTTGAGGTGACCGAGGATGCACAATCCATTCACGACGTACTTTCCCTCCTTTACCCTAACATCGACGATCCCAATATCAGCGATCTGATCGTGATGCATCGCGTTCTGCTTGCTCTACGCAAGTACGAAATGTTGAAATTAAAGGCACGTATGGCACGACGACTTGAGAGGGCAGCATGGGGCAAGTCAGCGCGAATCTTCGCCATTGCTTGCCATGCAGGATTGGCGGATACCGCTCGCGCTGCTGCTCAGGGTACATTGTTACTCGAAAGGAATACCTTGATCACCAGCGTCATTCCCGAGAACAAGAAGCTATCTGCGGAAACATTCCAGAAATTGCTGCGATACCATATCGAATGTGGAGAAGTGGCACAAGCGCAAGCGGAAGTCCAAGCTGGCGTTACTCAAAATGTAGCACGTTCGGACTGGCTCTGGCTGAGATTCCAATCTGATGAATGCCCTGAACCGCTGATTCGTCGCCATGTTTGATGTCTATGCTAGAACTTCCGTTGTTATCATATACGATGAATTTGAACTTCACACTGCACAGTTTACGGTGGCAACATGATCGCGCTATGTAAGCTTACGGCCGCATAGTCGTTCAAATTTGATCGGATCGACGATTTCCGACACGTGCGGTCACATATGGTTGAACGTTGATCGATGATTTTCGAGCCTACGAAGTCTCTTTCTTGACCTTCATCATCCTTAGACCGTCATATGATGTTTATGGGTCTGCCTAGCCATATTATTCTTCCAAGGTTCAACTCATTTACGTACCAGCATGCGGCCCATGCCACTAGGGTTGAAACCACCACGAATTCTTCCCACAGTGACGGCTGTCAAAGTTCCTCGTACGTATCTTTGCACAAATATAACGTCTTCTGTTTCCCGATGGCTGAATGAAAGAGGTCATGAATTGCGTCTCGTGTACGCCTTGAGCGTCGAAACGCGTAAGGGAGCTATTCCTGTCGTGTCAACAGCCTCCTTCTGCCTGAGAAGACAGCTTCATGCGAGGTGTCAGCTGCATCCTCATGCAAGCTTTGATCGATAACGCTCTCTATTACTACTCACTGTACTATTCAGGATGGCAACGACAGATACTAGTGCAGCAACGACGGCAACTCAGGAGGATTTCATGAAGCTGACGAATGACTACCAATTCACTGATGCGGATATCGTCATTCGCGCCAGTGGGGTGGATTTCTTCGTCCACAAATTTACTCTCGCGAATGCATCACCCGTATTCAAGGATATGCTGTCGCTACCATCCGACGGTCCTTCTCAGAAAGGCGCGGATGGGTGTGACATTGCAATCATCGCCCTCGATGAAGATGCACTCACCTTTCATCGGGTGCTATGTCTTTATTATCCGCATGCACAGGATCCACGGGATCTTGATTTGCGTTCGCTTCACAGTTCTCTACTTGCACTCCGCAAGGACGATATGGAGAAAGGTCGAATTCGTATGGCGAGAGAATTGTTGGCTCACGCCATCAGCGCCTCTATTCAAGCGTTCGCCGTAGCCTGAAACGCGGGACTGAAAGAGACCGCACGTTTCGCGGCTCGTTGTCCACTCAGGCAGACTATGATGGCTACCGCCACCAGAAGTATCTCATTACAACCTGCCGCTATCCACCTTCCAAAAACTGATTCAATATCGCCTGCAATGCAGGGAAGCTGCTCTTTCAGAGGCTGTCACCAATTTGGGTTGGTTGAGTGTAAGAACCAGTATGAAGGAATGGTGCTGGTTATCGTGCACGTTCCCTCAGTGCGCCCCTGCACCCTCATAGGTGACCATACGCCGCCATAATGGCATCACCTCTCCCCTCCAGTCTGTGCTCCCCCCAAAATGGTGGATGGACTACAAAGACGCTCCGGGGGATAGATTAAGGATTCAGCCTCTGGGTGTCGATATGACCGATCCCAGCCTGCTCAATGACTGTGTACAGAGAGCAAAGTTGTGTCCCATATGCAGCCCGTCATCCCTCATAGACGTGACGAAATTCGCAAGACTTCTTGCAAAATAAGTTACGTCTGAGGTAGAAAAGGTCGGTCATAGCACACGCCTCTATTGCATTCACTTTATAAAATCATTTTTAGGTCAGAGGATGACTCTATGATCTAATTTCGATCAATTGGAATTTTCCGGTATTGATTTCAATCCAGAAGAGCAGCTTGCGCCTGGCTTCCATAGCAGTCTACATTATATATAGCTGCGACTAACGAGGGAAGGACAATATGAGCTCTTTCCCATGTAAACTTAGGTCACATATCATCGTTCCTTCAAAGAAGCTGGCCTCGTGTTTGCTGCAGATGCTCAATCGCGAGCCCTATCGCCGCCTTTTCACCGGGTGAGCCTATTAAAATTGCCCCCCCTCTCACCGGCATCTTCTATACCTCTTGCACTCTACATCCCCTCTCCTCTCTCACTTTTGCTTCCAGCGCATCCCCCCCGCCCTCTTCATTGTTATCTCACGACATGTCTGTCAGCGATAACCCCAACAATGACGTTCCGGGAAATGACGAGTCGCAGAACCTTGCCGATAATTTCCAGTTCGATGATGCAGACATTATCATCCGTGCTGGTGGAGTTGATTTTCAGGCTCACAAATTCATCCTTTCCCATGTCTCCCCCATATTCAAAGATATGTTCTCTCTTCCCGGCAATCAGACGTCGCAGAAGGGTGTGCCTATCATTGAACTCGTGGAAAGTGCCCAAGTCATTCACGACCTCCTCTCCATGCTCTATCATTCCGTCAACGATCCTGATTTCAACAACCTTAATGATATACACCGCCTTCTTCTTGCTCTACGCAAGTATGATGTGGAGAAAATATGCATGCGAGTCGCGAAGCAGTTGGAGGCAAAGGCAGCCGAGAGCCCTGGTCGCGTTTTCTATATCGCCATGAGCTCAGGTCTAGTGGACGATGTTGCTCGCACGGCTGCATGGCACATGCTATCACAGAACATTTTTGATCTTGCCACCACTCACGTCCCCGAATACAACCAGTTTCATGTTGGGACATTTCAGCAGTTACTTCGATATCATGTCAAATGTGGAGACGTAGCTAAGGAGCAATGCAGTAACCTTCGGCCACAGGGACTAGACTGGATATGGCTCCAATGTAGGACATCTGACTGCAAAGGATCTTTCAGTGATCGTTTCCCCGATACCAGCGATGACCGCCTTCTGTCTTCGAGAAACCAGCATCCGAGTGTGAAGCGATGGTGGTTAGACTACATCTCTGCCCTCGGTGAAAGGCTGAAAGTCCAGCCTCTCGGCATTGACTACAGTGACGAGGGCTTTCTGAAGAAATATGCTGATGGTGCATCGAAGTGCAGCATTTGTGGACCCCCTGCCATGTATCAGCTGACGAAATTCAATGAAGGATTTGAGAAGCAGGTCAGGGCAGCAATCGAGAATGTGAGCATATTACAGCTTTTGTGCATTTCCACTCCTGTTGAATTTAAATGGTTCGTAGGTTCCCTTGGAGCTTGATGAGGATGACTTTTTGCTTTGAGCTACACCTTACACATGAACAATGCCAATGTAAGAATGTCTTCCAATCATGCATGTTTTGGAATGCTCACTTTATCATGCAATATTCAACTCTTCCTCTAGTCGACAGCGACTTCTCGATTCGAACGTGGGATGAGATCTTATTCCATTTGATATGTGTGTTCTAGAACTTCAGCTATGTGGTGCTCGATGTGTAGTGTAGTGTTTATTCTCACATTGGTAAAATGTATACAGTCGTTCTGCATCGTCTACTGAGACATCGTACACACGGCTTCGTGACCAAGACTGAACCCCCGAGTTGCAGCCATCTTAGTAATTATACATCCACATTTTTGCTAATGTTACAGTATCGCAAAACACATCCTTCCATTGTCAATACTACAAATTTGCAGATGCCATACCGTCCCTGCTTAACGGCGATACCACCTGTTTACGAAGCCGTATCAGAAAACAATACATTTACACCACACCTTGACATCTCGATATACTCATTGAAACAAAGCGACTCTGAACCCAAATCCATTGATACTATAGCTGTATCTGCATCATCGGTGAAGATTAGACAGGATTTTCAGCAGCATGAGTAATTCGAAGTGAAAGAGCCTGCAAGAACACCATTTAGGAACCAACTCATCATACCCCGAATAAGAGAAATTCGTACCTGTACACCATTGAGATTGTAATAGCGCATAGGCGCAGCATTGTGATTGTGGGGGTTAGTTTCGATGCTGATCAGCTTAATGCGATCCAGCTGACAAGGCTGCAACTGTGTTCGATATGTTATTAGCCGGTCCAATCACGCCAATGTTCAATGTTTAAATACAGATAGCACTCACACTATATGTTTCTAAAGCTCTCATGTGCAGGATTCGCAGGCCATTCCTAGGGGCTAAGTCATTTGGACCAGTGCTGGGGTCAGCGTAAACCTGGATGCACTGAACTAAAGCCTGCACGTCGATGACATTGTATCTAAACATGTCGTGAGGACCTCCATGCGGGTTTTCTTCCTGAGAGATAGGACGAATCCCATCTAGATCTGAAGGTGCAAGCTACGTAGAGGATCAGTGCCTAGTCGATATGAGATCCATGAGCTACTGCTTACATTATATTGTTTCTGAGCATCTTTCCGTAGGATCCATAGACCATTGGGTGCAGCAAACTGTTGAGCCATCGTTATATAGACGAGTGTGAAGAGTGAGATGCTACAACAGTTTGCGACTCAACAGCGAGCTAGAAATTCAGTGAAACCTGAGCTATCGGGAGCAAATATATAAAAGGAGGCAATGGATCGAGAACTATTGAGAACTATCTACGGTTTGAGTCTGAGGGGCTGTAACCACTTGCACCTGCTAAACATATGATCGATATTAGGTTCGATGTGGCTGACCCGCCACTGTCAACTGGCATGAGCGGACTTCCTAAAGAGGGCGTATATAACCTGATTCAATTTGGTGCTTCAACATTGCCAGTGACTCGCCCAAACATACAACACGGATCATGATCAGGTGGAATGATTGAGCAATACGGTACACTGGAGTCAGTAGACCATATCGTAACAACGACCATGCAATACTGATGCCACTGGATTTTTTAAGTGCATAGAAGTTCCAATGAATTTGCTACTTACATACCGCAGCAGCACCTTCATGGCTCATATTCTCGAAGATGTTTCCAGTGTCATGGTAGTAATTGTCGTAGCCCACAAGGCACTGAACCTATGAGTAAATTTAAGTTTTGGAAGTGAGGCAGCAGGAATCAACTTTATTACAACTCGTCATACCTTTAGTTACTAGAGTCAGATTATTGTACAAAATGACATAACTACTACATACCAGCCCAACCAAAGATGCCGTTCACTGCAAAATAAGGTGTCATGGTATCAGTTCATACTTCCATGTTACTGCCTCGTATGTTCAAGCGACTTACATTTTGCGGCGGCGTCTTCATAGTTCATACCATCAAATGCACCATCTTCTTCATAATAGCCCAATTCAAGCTCCTCGTCATCGTAAAGGCCAGCAGGCTCAATTTTGTCAATGTCATAATCATCAGCAGGCTCAAATTCTTCGATGTCATTATAGTCAGCAGCCTCAATTTCGTCATCATCATGATGATCAGCGGCCATCTCCTGAGCTGCAGTTGGAAATTTGGCCAGTTCAGAGGAAGAGGGTGCCGCATTTGGGATCGACCCAGCCAGAGCCTTCGAAAGGGGAGAGTCACCAAAGCGAAACTGTGAGAGGGGCAACGACCCATTTACTGCAATTGAGAACAGAGCCAATACGCTTATCGTAACCTCATCCACATTACTATGGGACTCAGACTTCATTCTAGGATGACCTGGGTTGGGTACGATCATTCTGATGGTGTTGAGTGCATTCATTTCAGCAGCTTTAAGCTAAGAGTGTGTACATTGTTAGTTTGTACATGATATGAATATCAGCAGAAATGAACACATACCTCAATTTGCTTTGTGGCATGCTTGCTCTCAATCTCGTCAGGCCCCTCCTCGGTGTTACAAGTGTTGTCAGTGGATGTTGCTCTGCTCCTATTGAGCTGAGGCTCGACTTCATTATTGGTACAATTGTTACTATCCTTTTCATACGGATTGTAATGAGACTGAGCTGTGCTATTACTTGAGGCCACCATGTTGAATAGTAACGTTGAAGATAGATCGCAATGGTAAAGAAGCAAGCTCAGATTCAAGCTACCCCCTATATCGTGCATCTGCTATTACTCGTCTCCTGTAATTACCTCCAACGTGCTCATGAACCTGCCTAATTGACTCCTAATGGGTCATCTTCTGAGTCCGCAGTGGCTGGTGCCTCTCAGATCGGAACCTACTATTGACTTACTCGGATTTCATTCTGCAGTGCCAACCCTATTTGTGACTTTGGATACACACATGTTGCGGACCTGCAGTTCAGTGAACTAACTATGTATGTGAAAAACATTATTTAAGGTTCAATAGAACAGTCGAAGCATCTACTGTAAGCCTCATGTTCATTCTGCTTCATATAGTGGCCATATTCAGCATATGACAGATCTAAGCTGAGCTGCGATAGCGAAGCCATTCCACCATGCAATAGCATCGCGCCCTTCCGACCGTAAACCTTACCCGGCCGTCTCATCCCCACTGCCATCTCCTCATCATGTCGACTTCAGATTCGCACTTAGGGCAGGTATCAGCCCAGGATGACGTTCCGTCCTCTGAGAAGCTTCAGCAGCTGGCTAGCGATTTCCAGTTCATCAATGCAAACTTCATCCTTCGTGCTGGAGGAATCAATTTCCACGTACATAAAGTCATTTTGGCCTGCGCATTGAGTGTGTTTGGAGACATGTTCTCCTTGCTGAAGGGGGAGGATATGGATAGCACCTCTTTACCAGTCGTTGATATCAATGAGGATGCAGCTATCCTGGTATTGAGGACCGTGTGCCAGAGACCCTGGAATCTATGCATCACTTATTATGTGCTTTGCGAAAGTACGATATGGAGGTACCATTGGGGAAGATGGGCAGAGCAATAGAGAGCACGTTCATCAAGGCATCACCAGCCTGCATCTTCACGATAGCTTATCATGTTAAAATGGGTGATCTTGCGCTTGTAGCTGCTCGCGAGTGTTTGAAATGGGCCATGACTGGTCTTGTGACCTCCGACATCCCAGAACTTGAGCACATTCCTGCGACTGCATTCCATGATCTTCTGCGGTACCATGAAGAATGCAGGGTAGTAGCCCCAAAGGTGGCTGCATGGACATCTGTTAAATCATGGGATTCAAGAATTGAAAGCTGCATCTGGTTTATGTGCAGCTTGTGTACCGTAGGGTCTTATGCGTTGGGCGCCGGCTGCACAGGGAAGTATGCCAGGGATTGGTGGTGTAAATACTTGCAGAGTGTTGCTTCATCTTTGGCCATTTCACCAACAGGCATGGTTACAAGTGATCTCGTTATTCAACAGCAATGCGTGCAAAGGGCTAGCACTTGTTCTGTGTGCGCCGCAGGTTGTTTGTTGCATTTGGCTTCTTTTGCAGCCCTCTTTGCTGATAGCATCGACCTTGAAACATCACGGGTAAGCCTTTTCATTTTACATGGTTCATAAACTTAGCTAACACATACAACATGCTGAGAAGGTTAAACTATGCTTGAATTTCTAGCGTTTCCTCGTCTCTTTGAGAATGGGCTCCTCCCATTTAGCTTAACCTCTTGAATCCCTGCAACGTCAAATGGGCCGACGTTCAAATGCTGCGTAACTATCTCAGGTTGTCTCCCTTTCTTGTTTTGACTGGTATATCGGAGTACAGTACTTCAGTTCATTTTGGTTTTGATATCTAGCTTGTAAAATGCCTTTTCCAGTTTCAAATGACAAGTTATTCATTATTCATCAGGTTAGATACAGGATGGGCTTGGTGAGATAATCAATGCGGGCGTTCTCCACGCCTGCGCTCGAGTTTGGCCATATGAATCACCATAAATGTGATCAGGAAGATACAGCATTGGTGGTTTTGGACTACCTTCCCAGGTTTCATTGAACTTCTCAGATTGAAGTTGTGGGAAGGAATACAATAGCCTCTTTCAAAGTTTAAGGGAGGTCTGAAATAACACGATGCTGTGTACAACAACAATGGCTTAGATCTACCAAGTTTGGACATTGGAAACTGTGACTGTGACCAAGGCTTCGATAGGCGCCAAAATCACGCACCAAATGCATGCGGGGGCATTTGCTACTAAACCGCACACTCTGGTAGTGTGGTTCTCTCCCCCCTTCAACGTCCACCCTTTCTGTTGCTAGTTTATGCTGCTGTATTGTCATCTGCATGCCATGTCTCACCACACACAGAAGCAGCATGTGCAACCTACTCAATAACCTCCACAGATAGTCTTCCAGGTGGTGCCAGCTTCCTCAGCAGCTCCCCCACTGACACATGTTCCTTCTCGAACTAGACCTAAGGGCAACAATGCTGAGAAGAATGAAACTGAGGAGAATGAAACTGAGGAGAACAAAGCTGAGGAGAACAAAGCTGAGGAGAACAAAGCTGAGGAGAACAAAGCTGAGGAGAACAAAGCTGAGGAGAACAAAGCTGAGGAGAACAAAGCTGAGGAGAACAAAGCTGAGGAGAACAAAGCTGAGGAGAACATACCTAAGGGGAAAGTTCACTGGCGGGGTGAACGCTGTAAGGTGTGCACATGGTGCACACCCTACAGAGCATGCATGCATCAAGACCACAGCAACACAACAACACTTATCATCAAGACAATATACCACTCCATTCTCAGCATGACAATACCGTCTCGACACCATTTCCCTTTTCTCTCTCTCGATCTCTCTATCTCTCTTTCCTCTATCTCTATATCATACAAACAAAGTCAACAAGCTTTCATTCTCATCTTCTTTCCTTCACCTCATCTTTATAGATAACTAATTCACCCATATACACCATCTCGACAAACACTTTCCAAACACTCGCATCTTTATTTCTCTTCTCTCCATCTCTTGTAGCTAGACTTCCCATCTTCACGATACAGAAAACAACAACACCATCTCACACTCACCATCTCGACACTCATCAAGATCCATCTCGACAATCCTCAAGCCATCTCGCATCAAGATGAACCAAGTTCACATGACGGAGGGAAGGAAAGGAAAGGTTACTGAAGAGGCTTCTATTTAGATTGACAGGACATCCCTACGATATGGTAGACTCGATGTGCAGGACACCATATCCCACTCAGACCTGAACCTGAGGCAAGTCTCGAGGAGACTTCAGCTGGCAGGACGCACCCATCACACCACTCTCTTGGATCTGGCAGCCCTACCCCTCTGTGCGACGGCCCTGGTGATGATGGTTGCGATTCACATGAGGAGTTCCCCTCTGAACTGTACTGGTACCAATCTCGATTACTCTCTGCCTCAAGCCCACAATCCTCTGGTTCAAAGCTGTGTATCATCTCGACAACTCATCCATCTCGACCAACTCGTCGTTCAATGCGGCCTGCAAGGAGACAAGGTCCTCAGCCATATGATACGACTCCTGAGGACGTTGTCCAGCCAGGCCAGCAAATTGTTGTGCCTTATCTATTGCGGCCAAGTATCGCATCACTCGAAGTTCTAGACATGAATCAGCCTCAAGACATACCACTAGATCTGATGAACAACCTACCAGCTGGTGGCCCTCCATGTGCATAGTTGTCGAGATGACAGAATCCGAAGGAGGTCCTCTCGCGAGGACCATGAACAGGCTCGGTGACCAGACAGAGGTCCTCGATAATTACTACTGCCTGTGCAAGGACACTCTCATCGAAAACTCGAGGAAGACTATCCCCATTCTCGCGAATCTCGTCATGACAAGACTGCACCAGTTCCTATTAGAAAAAGTCATTACTTGCCCCTCCATCGGCATCGAGATGCATTCCTACCGTATAGGCTTGAACTCTAGTTATCCAGGCCAACCAATCGAGAGAGTCACAATCTTCGGGAATTCCGGCGAGATTGAGGAACAACATTCGCATAGTCACACACAAACGTTCGACAGCACATTCAGACTTTGTGTCAGGTATCGAGGCAGCATATCATCTAAGAGGATCAATCTGGGACATCGAGGAGAAGACTATCAAGGTTGGGAGGTTGTCGAGATGCAGAAGGGTATGAAGTCCCGAAGGAGGGGAAGGTCCTTTCGGCTGAACAATCCATGCAGGAAGAGGTCCGGTGGGTCTTGACTGAGGCAGAAGGTTGACCACGGCATTGAGACTTGCGAGAGACCGGTTGAAGGAAGGCCCCAGGGAGCCAAGCCAGGTGAAGACTGATCTCGATGAATCAGGAAGGCAGGATTGAGTTGGAGATGGTTTGGTTGGGATGTTTTCGTGATGGGACTGATCGAGATGGAGATGGTGGAATGGAACACAAAAGGACGAAGAGGTTTTGAGAAGGAGGACAGAGACTTTCCCCCCCTTGACTTAGGACTAACATTCCAAACACTCAATTCGCGACTACGAATTCGAGGAGGCTTCGACATCAGTATCTTTTCGATAGGACTATATTTCTCTCAGCTTGTTTAGATATGATTTCTGTTTACTCTAATACATCCCCACACTTTACAACATACTGGCTGGTCTTTCAATGAGGTTAGGACTTCCTCGCATTGTCAACAACCGTTTCGAGATACCTTTCATACCCATCTCGAGGGGATTTGTACCTGAGGGCTCTTGTTGGGAGGTGTGTCATATTGCTTTCGAGATGAAGGAAGGAAAAGAGGTGGTTACAGAGAGGTTCATTGCTTGGTTTCTGAGGGATAGACTTGACTTGGTCGAGGGAGATTCTCGAGTTGAGACAGCTGTACCAGTGGTTGGGACTGTTGAGAGGTACGCACAGGGAGAGGAACTCATCGCGACTCATCCTTCAGGACTTGGAGCTCTTCAGCTGTACTTCCTGTACATCAAGCATCTTCGAGAGACAGTTGGAGGACTTGTTGCCCTATCAGACACAGGCAGGATCAGGACTTGGGAGTGTGACATCTCGAACGCACTCGACCTAGGCAGTGGTACTGTCTACTGGATCTTGAAGGACCATTCTGTATACGGTTTCTTCACCCATACTCTTCAGTATTCTCCTCGACTACTGAACTAAATCACTACAGTCACAAGTAGGACTTCACCCCATCGAGAGTAGTCAGAGACCACTCTCCTCTGCGACCGTATTTCATCTCGGTACGCATCAGCCTTCTACACACCTTACAATGCATGCATCGCATTTTCACCTGGTTTTGCAACAATCCTTCCGAATGCCTCCGGCTCTTCTCTGACTCTTCACAGGTGGCCAAATCAGAACAGCGTGCGACAGTTACTGGTGGTACTAAAGTGCAACTTCAAAGTCTCTACCTGGCACTATCAAAATTTGTCTTTATGATGGACAGTGACAGCAGGAAATCAGACTATGCCCGTCGGCCGAAGTGGTATGCGAAGAAGATCAGGCTGCGGGTTCAAGAGTATGTTTTGACATTTGTATCATCTGTGGTAAATTCTAACATAAAATCCGCTTCAGTTGTAAGAGAAAATACAAGAAACTTGCTGCTAAATTTCGGCCTACTGGAGCGGGCAATACACTGCAGCAGGCTGCATGAAATCCTAATTTCATTCGTGCATTTTGGCCCATGCTACTCATGTATGTGCTTCTGCTGATAGTTCTCCTGTAGTGACTGTAAACGAGGAGTGGGAGTGGTTTGGCGACTTTCATGAGCTTTGGGAAGGCAGGCCCAACCTCGATCCCATTCTTGGTGACTCGACGCCCCATCAATCACTCGCTCAGACTGCTGCCACAGAGTTCCTTCCTGGCTCGAGTCGCAGATTAGATGATGATCATGAGGTAGATGGTGGCTCAACAGAAGCAGAAGAAGATGAGGGTGTGGGTAAGCATAACAGCAAGAATGAAGATGAGGATGAAGGAGGGCGTGACTTTGTGAGCAGTGGGAATAGTGTCCATGATGAGGAGCTGATACCAGGGCAGTTGACGGCAGCCTCACTGTGGCCTCCTACAGCTGGATTCGGCATCAACGAAGACTACGGCGAAGGTTTATTCAATCAGTGTAAGCATTTAGAAACCGCTTGCAGTGCAACTCACGTACTAACCTCACATTCTAAGTCAATGTGCAAGCTGCATGATCACCTGGTCTCCCTGCCAATGACCATGGTGCACTTCCATCATTCAATGATATCTCTCTTCAAATCTCTGCCCTGCACAATGAGCTAGCACATACATTCGATTGCACCAATTCTGCCAATCCTGCTGATCCCACTGATCCCGCCAATGCATTCATCAATGCCCTCAGTTCTTATAACTTCAACGATTTTTTCAACATGGATAGCCTACCCATTGAAGACCATTTGATCAACAATGAAGGCAGCCAACTCATCGAGCACACATCACACCTCGGTACATTTCGTAACCATGATATCATCACTTTAGATGAGAGCCCACCTGCTCCTCCAACACGTTTTCCTTCTTCGAGTTTCTATCAGTCCTCTGTTGCATCAAATTCTTCATCATCATTCAGAAGTCCTGCCAATCCCTCACCTTCGTCATATTCCGCTGCTTCACCATCATCAATTTTGTTACCATTCTCCCAAATGCAGATACCCACAGCAGGCTCCAGAGAGGATATAGCCTCATCACCTCTATCTCCTATATCCATGAGTGACGGTGGCCTGCAGATGGTCCCTTCGTCAATGGACACTGGATCTGTCTTGTCTCCACTACCCACACAGCCCTCTCCATCATCGATTCCCATTCAGCTACCTCCAGTGGTGGCACGTTCTTCTGCAGGTAGAGATGTTGATAAACATCCTGCCATTCATGCATCTTCCAGCCTATGCTCAAGCTCCTCATCTCGGTGGTCTTCATCTCTGGCATCTGCTAAGATGTCTGCTAAGGCACCTGTCAATGCGTTATCTTTGACCTCACCATCCACATCAATGAAAGACATCACAAAGCCAGTGAAGAAATGCATCAAGCTTGAGGAGCAGATCTCGGACTTCAAGACATCTATGGATGCTATTGACAACAAGCAACAGATACAAGTGCTTCAGCTCAAGATGAAGAGTGCAAAGTATCATCTTCACAGCCAGAAGCAACAGTATCAGCATGAGCAGATGATGCAGCAGTTGAAAAATGATGAGCTTATGAAGAGAATGCAGTGCATGCAAATGGAGCTGCAGTACCGTCAAATGTCAAACTCTGCGTTATTCATGAATCTCTTCATGAACACTTCTAGCACTGCATCTCCTTCGATCTCTTCTCCTGCTATGGGATCTGTCTCCACATCTGTTTCGGCATCATCTGGTCTATCTTCTATTCCTGTTCCAGCAGTCTCTTCCACCTCTACAGTGGGAATGGGTCCATCTCTCTCTTCATCATCTCACTCTTCTGCATTACCATCAGGATTATCGACCAACTTTCCAGCGATGATGCCCATGAACTTTCCCACAGTGCCTAATCTTTTTGGAATGAATTCTTACTTTGCTAGTCAGATGGGTGCAGGAATGATGCCATTCATTCTGCAACCAATGATGAATGCAATGCCGGGATTCCCTATTCATGCAAATATGATGCCATTTTCTACCCAACTGCCGTCTTCTTTAGTTTCTTTACCGCCTGCATTTGATGCTTCAGGAAACAGTATCAATGCAACTACATCTGATATTGCATCACCAGCAGCGCCGGATGTGGGTACAATGACTGGGCTGGGGGAGGGCGACTCTGATCTGGGCATGTAGTATCTTCGCTGTCTTGTATCATTCAATGTTATGTAGTATTCATCGTACTGCAACAATACAATGGATGTTTCGAATCAAATCCACCATAAGCTAGGTTGAAAAGGGATGTACGCAAAGAATATGACTCAACAGCCTGCGACGAAAAACAGATCCAGAGCTAGGATAATCTGATTCTTTCTCAACATCATCGTGTGAACTGTCTTCTGTGCCGTCCTCCTCTGTTTCTTCCCTATGATGGGCTCTGTCTCCCTCATCTCCTCCAAACCTTCCAATGTCACAAAGTGTATCTTGCCAGGGCTTGTCGTCACTCTCCTCAAGTTTCAGTATCAAGTTATGAAGAATTATACAGCATCGGATCCACAGAATGGCCCAGAGGTACCATTTGCAATTGGAAATATGAACACGAAGCTCTCGTAGTGACTGGAATTGCTCCTTCAGCAAGCCATTAGCATGTTCCACCTGGACTCAAATCTTTGAGATGTAGTAGTTATAGCGCTTCTGGTTGCATGATAATTCCTTGCCAGGCAGTCTCTTGAATGGCAAAGCCAACCAGGTTTCAGGAACATAGGCAGAGTTGGCCCAGGTCCATTCTCTGGGTTCAAGAAAGGTATGAGGATCTTTATAGAACCATGTATCTTGGAAGGCAGTTGAATCGTGTGCACTGCCTGTATGACTAACAATGTAATCAACAATTCAGAGACTATGGACAAGGACTACAATCTATGAAACACACCCAGTCATGGTGAGTAGTATGATTAGTTTTATTCAAATCACTACTTGCCTGCAGTGCCATGGCATAGTCCTTATCCTTATTGAACCAGGTCTCTCCAAAAAAACCCAGCTTTTGGTACAAAACTATAGGTGTTCCATCCACAGCCATAAAACCATTCCGCCACTCTTCGCATTCAGACTGCTGGTATGAAAATGCTTTCACAGCTTCCTTCTCTGCTGATGTAGGCAAGTGTACGGCCTCATCATGCAGATCCAAGAATGCAATCGCCACTCACTTCATGCAATTATCAACAGTGCCTACTGACACTCCTGCCCATTCAGCTATGTCGGCCTGCAAGGCTGCATTTCCGTAGTGCCCAAGACGGTGCAGAAAGATAGCCAGCTGGTAATTTACCAGCATTTGCGCATTATGAGACTGATTATGGAAGACAGGGTGGTCTTTGATCATGGTTAGCAAGGCGTTGAATACATGTGGGCTCATGCGAACATTGTGATGGAAATTGACATGACTGTGAGCGGCATACCAGTCTAGGAGGGGAAAGTGTGGAAGGGCGCCCCACGGCTGGGGCCAAAATGCGAGTGTGCTCAATCTGGTTATGCAAATTGGTATACTTCTGAAAAACCATTTTCAGGATGCCCACGAGTTCAACGGTCACATCCGCAGAGGCATGCGAGCTTCCGCTCACAGTTGACATTGACATTGCAGAGATCGATGACGCTTCTGATAAGGCTGACAATTGTGAGATGGATGAAACAGATGAGAGTGACATCCTCTCATCAGTATCGCTACTGTCCACTAGACATGCACTGCATTGATATGTGAATGGGCAGAAGTCTCAGTTATACATACCACTCAAATGGCTAACTGCAGACAGGGGAGATTCTACAAAGGTGATTAGCCTTCGAAGTCAAGCTTATCTCTGACAACATACCAATATCATTATCATCACCCAATAGCCCTTCCACGATGTTCTGCATAGTGGCATAGAACGCACGATCAAGCGCATCCAGTGTTGCATCTCGGAGGGAGGGTGCATGACGAGATTCACGGACAGGTCTGAAGACTGGCATATCTGTGCAGAGAGGAGGGAGAAGCCCGGGGACTCAAGTTCTATTGATTTAACTTATATACACTCCAATGATAGCATTTTTGGAACATGGAACGTTAGGATGTCTTTTTACACAGATACCTGTTTTGGAATGTAACGGTAGTCACACTATCAAATGTCGAAATTCAGCCTATTTTGGAATTTCTTCATCTGCATCTGACGAACTTTGAACAAGGCTAATGACGGGGTTTGACTGACTAAGTCCAAGCTGGACCGCGACGCCGAGATCTAGACAAAACATTTCACGACAACGGAAACCTCAACATAGTGAACCCAGCATCTTCGTCTGATCTATCGCTTGAGCAGAAAAATCCCAAGTCGGGTATGAAGAGGACAGCTCCCCGATAAAGTAAGACAATGCCATGAATAAACAAATATACCAAAGTCCGAATCCAGAATCAGGAAATAGTTAGCTCAGAACCGTTCCCTCTTCACCCGCACCTCCTGCTTGATCTCGTCGTTCTCGAGCTGATCCTCTATTGGTTGTGTTCTCACTGGCTGTGCAAGCGCTGCTTCGGAGAAGTGTTCACGAAGACGATTCGACACTTGACGTTGGATCTGACATGCGCAAGTCAGAAGGCGATGGGAGGTAAGGCTGCGACCCTAATAGACTCACCTCATTGCCAACAGTGCGAAGAACTTGGAATACAGGGCCAACAAGACCCATTTGTACAATGAACCATCTGTAGTCCCTCGAGAGTCAGTGAAATTGAAAGCCAATGAGAGTATAGTGACGTACGAAGAAGCCAAAAGGACTAGAAGCATCGCGAAGTACAACGGATTGAAAAGGACCACCATGGCTTCATTCCAACCAAGCACGACCAGTACTCCGTACATCCAGTACGGAATTTGAGCCATAGTCGCAACAGTGCTGCGCTTGGCTTCAACGTAATATGCATCAGCATCCTTGCGGAATCGGTTCGTGAGGTCCACGGCTTTGGTTTCTGAGAAAATAAGGAGCGTGGATGGGAAGTCAAAGTCATCGGCTTCCGCGGAAAGTGAATCGGATGTTTCAGATGGAAGGGTATAGGCGAGCGAAGGTTCGATAGGGGAAATTTTAGAGTACAAGGGTATCAACTCAAGGGTCTGTAAATCGTCGATAGTCAATTATAAAGCAGGAAAAGATAGGAACCACGAGATCACGAACCCGATCCTTAGCTTTCTTGAAAGCGCCATCGATATCATCCTCAGGTTTCCAGACACGAGGGACACCATGTTCGTCGTATCGGAAAAGCTCCTCGAAGTGAGTACGCAGCTTAGCGAGGAAAGCGGCATCGGAGGTTTGCTCATCAATCTTAGAACGCAACGCTAACCAGGCGCGCTTGCGAAGTGTTGACAATGCGGTGGCGTTCTCTTCGTCCGTGCAGCTGAAGCCTGCAGGAGGAAGGATAAGTCAGCTGTCCAGAATGATTGACTAGAACATGCACGTACTCTTCGCCTTCGTGAGATAAGACGACTCGGCCTTCTCCAAGGTTTCCCGGAACGCCTTGAGAACCTTGTCCCACATGTCGGGCGTAGCTTTGTTAAGGTACAAATCAACGGGCTCTGATATGTTCCGCTTGAAGTTACGCTGCAAAGGGACATGAGCTTTCTTGACCAATCACGCTTACTCTACAACTGACCTCAATCACGTTGACCATCTTCTTGGTCTCGTCCTTCCTACATTGATCAGCCACATTCTTGACCTCTTCACTCAGCAGAGTGAACTCCTCCTCATAGCTCCAATCGGTATCTTCTAGCGAGGCTTCCTTGGCGCCTTCCAAAAATCGCTTCTCGCATCGAGTACGTGCTGTTTTGACGATTTCGGCGAAGTCGTAGGAATCTCCACGCATTCCATCAACCATTTCCTTTTTGAACGAAACCAAGCAGGCTTTATGCAAGTTTTTCAGTTGGCCAAGGAAGAGAGGCGAGATGGTCGAATCGATGACTGAAATGAGGTCCGCGCGTTTGCGCTTATAGACACCCTGGTGATAGCGCGACGCATCCCTGTCATATCGAGCTAAGATAATTTCAGTCAACGTGAATTCCGTAGTTCAGATATAGGACTTCCTACCAAGTGCGCCAGCCTTCCAGCTTCGCATCATGTTGCCAAGTCCCTCGACAACTTTGCCAGACTCAATTGGTTTTCGCTGGGGCTTCGCCTGTTCATTGAATTCGGAGAGTGCCACTGTTGCGATTTCGTCACAACGGAATTGTGCCAGCAATTCCTGTTGCGTGGGCAAATCCAAATCCTTGTTTGACTGAACTTGTTCCTGTGACATGCTCCGAATAAGTTTGAGAAATAGATCAAGTGAACAAAAGGTCTTACCCAGATATTCTCCATGTAGAACGCAACACCATCAGCAGGAATGCGCTTGTGATACATCGGCTTGAAAACATAGTCTTCCCGAGACTTATCAGTAAATCTCTTCCTGAGGTCTTGAACTCCGGCTTCGAACTTGTCCGGTACGAGAATCTTATGTGGTAGAGCGGCGAAGGATAAATCGAAGTAGTCAGATAATTGGCGGTCATTCAACTCCGGCGGCTTCGAAAGACTCCCCCAGATTTTATTCATATCTGCAGTTAGAGTAGCTTGGAGGTTCGCGAGTGGCGTGGTGCCAATGTGATCTCGGATGACGAAGAGAAGCAACGTTCGCTGGCTCCGTCTACAAAGAATCCAAATTTGAATTATAGTAACAATGAAGGTACTTAATAACTAAACGTACCCATCGGCAGATTTCTTCCCGAACAGGCCTAGGTTGACCTCGAAGACGGTCTTTAAGAGACCCATGTTAGCTCCTTGGTAGAGACCAACTTGGTGCTCCCAAAGGTTGACAATGAGAACCTCAGAGGACGCCAGCGAAAAGAGTGCTGATTTGCGCTCGAAGTCCTGTATATCCGTCAGTAGGTTTCAAGCACCAATTCATGAATTATATTAACCTGATCTTCTCCACGTTCTCTTCCGTCTGTTCCTTCCACATCCATCACCATGACGTTCATTCCCTTCCCTCTACACATCCAAATACCTGAAGACGAAAGTTCACAAGTGGTACATTATAGTATGGCAGTCGATGTGCACCTTTGGTAGTCTGCTGCCTTCTTGTCTCATCCATTACATCGAAATTAGTTCCACATAGGCGGTTAAGGAGAGTACCTAAGGCATGAAAGGTCAACGATGGTTCCTCAATTATATCAAAGCGATTACTTTTGCCCGTGGACTGTGAGCCAAATACCGCAACGATGTCATAGTCGAAACCGGCGTTCTGTAATCCCCAACGCTCAATCTGGGGTGTCAAATCTGAGCTATAGCACATGGGGTCAGGAAATAAGCAGTAAGAACATGCTCGTCCTTCGAAACATACGTGAAGCGTTTCTCATCGTCAATGATTTGAACCCGTTCTATACTGGGGTCATTGGAGGTCGCGTTGCCATTTGTGTGGTAACCATTCACTGCAGCTACCGCCTTCGTAGCTGTTGAGCTCGTTAATGCCACAGACATACTGCGAGCTTTCAGTGGTCGTTAAATGAGTGGTCGTGAAAGGCGAAGATGAAAGTACAGCTGAAGTGCTGTAGCCTGTTGGCATCAAGCACCGAACACTTGTCGCCCAAAGTGGTGTCGTCTGTCCCCACGTGCGCTAGCCCTAACCCCAGGGAAATGCAAGCGCTCTTCTGTCTCTGACCATCATCTTCGCGTTCGCAGCTGCCAATGCTTCGGCATAGGCTCGCGACTGTCAAGCTCTGGATGCACATATCTGATTTCACTTCCTTTGACCTGGAGAAAGTCTGATATATGAACCTTGCATTTGTTACCACAGGGCCGGGACTCTTAAGGGGTTTCACTCGGAATGACTATATGACCGACTGAAAACGATCTGCTGACGGCCCTCCTGAGGTCCGCTCAGGTCTCTCACAGATTGCCATTCTGGATGACTTATCAATGTTCTATTGATATGCTCCTGACTATTTATTCAGATCCAGTTGTCGTTACTTGCGTGCCTTCATCACCCCCAGGAGTGAGGGCGACCTTGTGAATTCATTCCTAACCACTTACAGATTTGTGTCAATATGGACGCTCAATTCACACATAACAAGGTTATTTGGAGGCCTAGGGATCCATCCCGTTCTCGCATGGACTGCTTCAGACGTGTGATTAATCGCACACGAGGTCTACAACTCAGTACGTCGCCCGCATACCATTCGGAAATGTCAGCGTAACAAGTCACCACTCAGAGGATTTTCATGATCTACACAAGTATTCAGTTGACGATTACCGCTTCTGGGAGGATCTTTGGGCATATACAGGCATCGTATATACCGTACCTCCTACGAAGGTACAGCCCGCGTGGTAATCATTGGCATTTTCATCAACTCACTCATAGTTAGATCATCACAGAGGGTCGCATAAGGGAGGTGCCCGAATGGTTCTCCGGTGCACGTTTGAACTATGCTGAGAACATGCTCCGTTCTGATGGCGACTCCATTGCTTGTACTTGTGTCCGCGAGACTGGACAAATTGTGCATTATACCTTCCGACAGTTGAAGTCATTGGTACGCGAAATGGCAGCCGCTCTCAGAGTGAATGGCCTGCAAGCCGGAGACAGAGTCGCTGGTAAGGCTTTCCCATGATATTGCGGGGTATACTTTCGTGCCTGAGTTCCTATCCTCCAGCGGTCGTGACCAACTCAGTAACTGCAGTCGTAGTGGCCTTTGCCACCGCTAGTATAGGTGGTATATTCTCGAGTACCGCTCCGGATATGGGTGTACAAGTGAGTCATATATCATCTTTGTTCTGAGGAATCGCACCAACTAGTTGGTAGGGCATTTTGGACAGATACAAGCAGATCCAGCCGAAGTTTGTCTTTGCCGAGACTGAAATCGTCTATGCCGGAAAGACGATAGATGTAATTCCTAAAGTCACCCAGGTTGCCAAAGAATTGCTGTCTGTCGGGCTGCAGAACATCATTCTACTCCCCAGTACAAAGACCGGCAAAGAACCATCGACTGCTTACGTCCCCAGAAGGTGTGTGCTATTCACATTCAAGACGTATCGCTCCCTGAGCTATTTTATTGAAGCATTTCCCTGTCGGCGTTCCTCGCCAGCGGTGATGGGCGTCCACTCACCTTCGAACAGTTACCTTTCAGCCACCCGCTGTATATCTTATACTCCTCCGGTACGAGTGGTCCACCCAAGTGCATTGTTCATTCGGCCGGAGTCTGTACCCTTCGCTTTGAGTAATTATCTTGGTTCACTGACTTCCTTCAAGGGTATCCTCCTGAATGGCCTGAAAGACTGCAGCCTCGTGTACAGTATGACTAGTGATGACACTTACTTCCAATACACAACGGTACGTGGCATGGCGTTGTGTTTCAGCCTCACCTCAAAAGATGTCTAGACGGGTTGGATGATGTGGAATTCCTTGGTCAACACGCTTGGTTGTGGCACCCGTATTGTCTTGTATGATGGCTCCCCGTTTCAACCTGACGTTGAAACATTCTTGAAACTCGTCAGTGACCAAGGGTACGTTTGGCACCGCATTGTCTCATTCTGGATGGCGGTCTAATTATGTTCAAGAGTCACAATATTCGGAACTGGACCTCGCTTCTTGTCTGAAGTCAAAGGGCAGGGGATTGAACCATGTACGCGATTCCATAACTTCCTATTTAAGTTTCGTATTGTATCTAATGCTATTCTTTTTCAGTGAAATTGGCACCATTTGATTCCTTGCGTTGTATTCTATCCACTGGGGCAATCCTCACTGCACCTATGTTCGAATGGACTCAGCAAGCTTGGGCGCCGGATGTATGGGTCCTTTCGGTTTCTGGCGGGACAGACATATGTCAAGCATGTAAGCCTCATTCTCTTCAGGTCCATCTGTTCGAACGTAATGTGACCGATCCTTCAGTCGTCGGAGGCGTCCCAATGCTTCCAGTTCATGCCGGCGGTATGTCATTTGCATATTTGCTAGATGCCGTTACTCATCTGGAGCACTGCAGAGATCCAAGGGAAATCGCTTGGCATGAAGGTGGAGATCTTCGATCCGGACGGGAAGAACATCGAAGATACAGGCGAACCTGGTGAACTAGTCTGCACGCGTCCCCATCCATCTCTACCAATATGCTTCTGGGGCGACAAAGGTGATAAGAAGCTCAGGGCGTCTTACTTTGATACGTATCCTGGTGTTTGGCGTCAAGGTGACTTTATCGTGAAGAACCCGAAGACACAAGGGTTCGTGATCTTGGGGCGCAGGTGCTTATTGATCCGTAACTCAATCGTACATGTGTCTGACAATGCTTTACTATTGGTAGCGATGGTGTCTTGAATCCAAGTGGCGTGCGACTTGGTTCTGGAGAAATCTATTCCGTAATGGAATGGTTTAGCGACGTGCTCGACGATACTTTATGTGTTGGTCAGCGCCGTCCAGAAGATAAAGACGAGCGAATTCTGCTCTTCGTCAAGATGCGTCCTGGTCATACATTTTCGGAGGATTTGGCTGAGAAGATCCGAGTTGCCATCCGTCAATCACTTAGTGCCAGACACGTTCCTGCCTATATTCTACCTATTGAAGATATTCCTGTGAGTACATCTGTGAATATCATACTGGCTGTACATACTGAGAGTACCACGTACATACAGTATACCGTAAATAACAAGAAGATCGAAATCGCTGTCAAGCAAATAGTGTCGGGATCAAATATCAAACCAAGCGGTACCGTCGCGAACCCTCAAGCACTACAGTTATACTACAAGTTCCGTTATTTGGAAAAAGTCCTGGAAGAGCATAAGAAAGATAGCAAGACGAAAGCGAAGCTTTAGCATTGTAGATGAACGAACTCCGTAAATGCATACGAAATATAGCATGATCTCTGCATAGAAAAATCTGGTTTTTTGGCTCAGGCAAAATCAAGATCTAACTTAACCTACGATGCCGCCGTGTTAGCATCAGACCTCAAAGTTGTTAAAATAAGTTGCCCACATTTCCTGCAACTTCGTCCACTTTCTCGGCAAGTATTTTGCTGAAAGCCATCAAGTCATCTAAGCAAGCAGGTCCGCATGTGGGACAATCGCGAACAGATTTTGGAATCCTCTTCCAAGCTACAGCAGTACCGATTGGGCGCTTTGCCAGACATTCTCCTGCTTCGGCCATGCAGTCCACAAACCACTGCCGGGGTGATGTTCTACCTACAGTTCCAGGGATAACAACTGCCTTAGCTTCGCACGGTTTGCATTGGGTAGGCCCAGGTTTGCCATTGCGGCATTGCCACCAGCACGCAGAATATTCTCTAACCCAGGTGAACTCCTTTGTAAGGGCGACCGCAGCGTTTGAACATTGTTCATGATAGCGTAAAAGATACTGTAGCATGTCGGAAGGCATAAATTTGAACTCGGGAATATATGCTTGGATAATGTCTCTTTGAAGGAGGCGTAGAGTGTAATGAGCGGCTCTTCGCGCGAGTGAGACGTGCTTGAAGCGACATGCAACTGCAAAGACCCGCAAAGGGTCAGATTCCACAAACTTTCCTAGTGGCGACATAAGACGGTCCACTAAAAAGTCCATTTGATATTTGTCAGCCGCCTGCACGATTTGGTAGATGAAGTCGAGTTCGTTGAGCTCAGTAGAGGCCGTAGGGTAAGTGGCACGGAGTACCCAGTCCATGACTGGGGAGCCTTCTGATACGGTAACGACAGGAAGTTCTGCATCCTCCTGTACCATCTGTGGGAAAAGGAACATATCTGAAAAGACAGGAGATGCCATAGAGAGGATGAGTTTGTGAACTTTGAAGTCTACATTATCGCTAGAACGAATAATAGCGTCAGCACGTGGGTCATCAAAAGGACTTCCTGGGGTGATTTTCTCGGGGGGCTCCTCTGAGTTTTCACGAGTCTGCATATCACTACAGTGATACGAAGTATGAGGCGATGAAATGAGGAATAAAGTTGCAAACGTTGAACGAATCTCAGTTTCGGGATCCAAGAAGAGCAAACGCGCAAACACAGACTAACCGCCCGGCCCGCTGATCTTGGACACGTACACGTGATGAAAACGCGTCAAATTCGTGTCGCGTCGCCCAGCGTCGATCTCTGCTTGTTTTTCCTCTTCCTTCAATCACACTCACGGACCCTCTACCACGCTTTCTCTGAATAATATTCTCCGTCGCAGAGCCTCGTGCAAGATATATTTGACTCACGAAATTCGAGACTAACCACATCAGTTCAGTAATTGCCGTTAACCTCATTTATTGGTTCCACTCAACCACGTGAACGTCGTTCCAACACGCCTTTCCAAGTCGTTATTCAGTTTGTAAGTATGTCATACGCTCTTACAATCGGGGACGAGTTATAACATCAAGATAGTCAGGAAATCACCATACTTTTCAATCTTATGAAAGTCCTATGCGTTGCAGAGAAGCCGTCTATAGCTAGAGCTATCACTCAGATTCTATCCGGCGGTCAATTCAACACCGTATGCGCCCATGCTGCTGCTTTATTACTGTGCACTTACCGCATTGTAGCGCAATAGTCCGAACAAATACATCAAAAACTTTGATTTCAACTACCCACAGACGAACTCGCAATACACAGTTACTTCTGTAACTGGACATCTGCTCGATCATGATTTCGATAGAGCTTACTCGGGATGGCAATCCTGTGACCCTCTCCAGTTGTTTGAAGCACCGATCCTAACCAATGTCAAGAAGGACTCGGAGACGATCGCCAGAAACCTCACCCTTGAAGCCAAGAAAGCTCAGATGGTGATGATATGGACGGACTGCGATCGAGAAGGGGAGAATATAGGTGCTGAGATTGCCTCGGTGTGCAGGAAAGCGAATGGACGTCTCAGTGTGCGGAGGGCTAGGTTCAGTGCTATCATAGCCCAGTAAGTTTCGTCCTCGGCTCCTCAGGACTGACTTAGTTATGGTGTACGCAGGCAAATTCACAACGCGGCTCAGAACCCCGTTCAACTGGACATGGCGCAAGCGAATGCTGTAGAGGCACGCATATTGCTTGACCTCCGCATCGGGGCTGCATTTACCCGCCTACAAACACTGACACTACAACCTCGGTTTGAACAACTGAAGGACGTTATTTCATACGGTAATGTGGACGTGCTACTACACCGTACTCTCCGACTAATATTCTGCAGGACCATGTCAGTTCCCGGCACTAGGCTTCGTGGTTTCACGATATAATCAAGTCAAGTCCTTCCGCCCCGAGCCATTTTGGTACATTCACTTGGCACTGTCTCATGCGAATCAGAACGGCACCAGCTCGTCTACGACGATAGAAGACGAAGAGAAGGAGACGATTTTTACATGGCGTCGAGGGCACTTGTTCGACATGGATATCGCGATCATACTATACGAGAACGTACTCGCGAACCCTGAGGCCAGAGTGACCAAGGTGATTCAGAAGAATACGAAAAAATGGAAGCCGCTGCCTTTGACAACGGTCGATCTTCAGAAAGCCGGTTCAAGGTTATTGAAGATCTCACCAAAAACTGTTCTGGACGTAGGCGAAATGACTCAATGCCATGTAGGACTAATTCACTGACAAGATGTCCATAGATTGCAGAGAAACTTTACCAACAAGGGTTCCTCTCCTACCCACGTACCGAAACAGACCAGTTCGATCCTCAATTCGATTTTATGTCGCTCATCCAGAAGCAGAAGTCAGATCCAGCTTGGGGAGGGTTTGCCACTCAGTGCGTCTTTTCCGTGCTGTATCGTATACGTGTTAAATCTCTCAATTTAGGCTCGAAAATGGCGCATTCAACCCTCCTCGACGAGGAAAGAAGAACGACAAAGCCCATCCACCTATTCACCCGACAGCATACGCCGGAAACCTGACGGGGAATGAGAAGAAAGTTTATGAGTACATTGCACGCCGTTTCTTGGCTTGTTGTTCGAAGGATGCTCTTGGTTGGGAGACTACTGTGGACGTTGTATGTGGCGGAGAGGAATTCTATGCGAATGGTAAGAAATATAGTCTCTTGGTTGAAGTGCGTTCTATTAACGTAGTATTCAGGTTTGATTATCACCGAGCGGAATTACCTGGATGTCTTCCCATATGACAAGTGGTCATCGAAAGAGCTCCCACATTTCGAAGAGGGCGAAACATTTCAACCTTCCTTATGTGAACTCCGTGATGGGAAGACAACAAGGCCGAGTCTACTCACTGAAGCCGACCTTGTCTCCTTGATGGACAAGAATGGCATTGGTATGTGTCCGCAGTTTCTTATTGGAGATGTGTATGCTTAGTTGAATCAGGCACGGATGCTACTATCGCTCAGCATATACAGACCATCATCGACCGCAAGTATGTTATCGAGCGAATGCAAGGTACTACCAAGTACCTTGTACCATCTACACTTGGCGTAGGTCTGGTCGAAGGCTACAACGAGATTGGACTCGAGCGTAGTTTAAGTAAACCACAACTTCGTCGTGAGGTAAGTTGCACTCAATCTACTTGCACTCTGTTCGTTGTATGTGCTGATGTGCACACCCATAGACTGAAAGGCAGATGGTTCAAATATGCGAAGGCACCAAGACTAGAAATGACATGTTGACAGAGAACGTAGAGAAGTACAAAGACATGTTCATCCGGACGAGACAACAGTTTGCTCGCATTGCTGCAGTATGCATTTTTGGTCCAGTATCATCCACACCTTACTAACTGCTCGATTCAAGAGCGTCGGTAATCGTCTCCAAGGCAATGAAATTGACTACGATTTGGACTTTGGTGACGATGACGGAGGTGATGGAGGTGATGTTGGGAACGGCGGCGGCGGCGGAGGCGGTGGTAGAGGAGGAAGGGGTGGAAGAGGCGGTCGAGGCGGAGGTGGTGCAGGTAGGGGTGGTCGAGGAGGAGGAAACGCACCCGCGCCAGCCTCCCGTCGAGGAAGGGGTGGTGGACGAAATGCACCTGCACACCAGGATGACGACGACTTTGGTATGTTCTTTCCCCTTGAAATGGAAGGGCGGTCAAAGACCCTGATTATATGCATCTGCCTTTCCTAGGATTCGACGACCCTCCACCTCCACCGTCCGCAGCAGTTCCGGGTGCACGTAGCAAACCACCATCAAAGCGACCAGTAGCCAGTATGTCTACTGGTGCAGGCCTATCCTCAGCGGCGGGTCCCATAGTAACCTGCGAGTGCGGGGTCCCAGCAGGGGAGCGGACAGTCGTTAAAGAATCTGCCAACAAAGGTCGTCGGTTCTACAGATGTGGAAAAGAAGACCAAGGTTGCAATTTCTTCCAATGGGTTGACGACGAGGGTGCTCCAAGCGTACAACGTCAAGCAAGTACATCTTCTACGCCTTCATACAACCCGACACCAATCATACCGGCAAAACGTACTGCAAGTTCACGCAGTGGGACTGTAGTAGAACCTCGTTGTCAATGCGACAACTATGCGAAGTTGTTGGAGACGAAAGATGGGAGGAAATATTGGAGTTGTGCTAATGAGTCCAAGCGATCTCGATGTGGGTTTTTCGAATGGGCGAATGATGAGGATGTGGTGGGGATACCTGTTGCTAACAGGAATACCTTTGAGCCTCGCGGCGGAGGGGCAAAAAGTACAAGCTTTGGGAACGCAGGTGGAGGAGGTGGAGGAGGTGGAGATGTGTGTTACAAGGTCAGTTACCTATTGGCTAGAGACCGCTTTAACCGTAATGTCTGAACCTTGAGCGTTTTCCTACAGTGCGGCGAAACGGGCCATTGGGCAAATGGTTCGTCTCCACTGTTGATGTACATGTGCTCACAGAAGCACTGACAACTTCATACAGCTTGTCCTGGCGGTGGAGTTGTCCCACCGAAGAAGGCCAAGAGTTTCGGAGGAAAGTCGACGAACGACTCGTCCAATGCGTGTTTCAAGTGTGGACAGGAAGGTCATTTCAGTAATGGTAATATACAAAAATGTCCATATTGTATCATGAATCACACTCACATCTCTTTCTAGTTTGTCCCAATGGTGGAGGCAGCAGCAGCAAAACGAACGCGGGTGGAATACAATGCTATAAATGTGGAGAACCAGGCCATTTTGCTAATGGTATGAATAAATCTTTTGATAATCCTAAACATGCCGTTGGTTGACATACAAGGGCAGCTTGTACAGGTGGAGGTGGTAGCAGTTCAACCACGTCCAGACGTTCCTCTTCCACCACAAGAGGGAAAAGAGGACGTCCAAGAGGTGGAAGTAGTTCCCGAGGTCGAGGTTCTCGGAAGAAGACGAAATCAGAACCTGTGGATGATTTTGACGATGACATGGACTGGTGACATCCTTTTTTGGTCGCTCACATTGCTTTGTTGCTTTACGCTAGTTTATTGGATTTCGTAGATGCAGATTCTTGGTTATAATCTCTTGTACCATGGTCACTATAATGTAGGACATTTTGGGGTGATTCGGGGAGGATACGCGCGGAGGTATATTATTCAAACTTGCATCACAACCTTATCTCATGCACGCTGTACTTATACAAACTAGAAACAACAGAACAATGTACAAACGAACGCACGGGACCAATTGAACTGTTCAAGTTCAAGCCTTTGACACCTTAACAGCGGCCCCGTGCTTCAAGGCGCGACTGTAGGGACAAGCCTTCACCATAAATGATGTTCGAGTCAAACTTCGATGGACCACAGGACTAGTAACACGACACATACCTCGTGCGCAGCATCGAGAAGCGCTTGGTCCTCAATTCCTTCGATCTTGAGCTCCACTTCCAGGGCAAATCCGGCCTTATCCTTCGGCTTGCCGATGTGGACCTGGGAATGGATGATGGCGTTTTTGGCGGATTCTGCCTGTCCTTTCTGGCCTGCTACCAGTTGCAATGCGCTAAGGAAACATGCTAGATAACCATATATGTGATGATACATAACAGTTAGCAGAAGTGCAAGGGTCCATATGTGACTATTTACCTGCGTAGCCCATGGCAAAGAGCTGTTCCGGATTCTGACCATCACCCTTCCCTCCGAGGGATCTGGGCATGGCAAGACGAAGTTTCAGCCCGCTATCGTCATCAGACTCGACCTCGCCGTTACGACCTTGTCCGCGAGCAGTTGCGTGTGCAGTGTACTAGGAGAGCGGCGGTTCAATCTTGGAGAGTGACACTTTCCATGCAGTTCCGGCTGACCTTGTGGTTCTCCAGAGTCATCACTGTTCGGCGGTGGATTGAAGCGGGTCTTGACAAGGGTCGCATAACAGAACGCGAATTACGAACGATTTGCGAGAACATGCTGGTTTCTAGTGGTGGTGGGCACGGAAGAAGCGTGAATCAAGGACAGTGCACAGAATGCTATCTTATGAAGCGTGAAATCACGATTGGGGCCCCCATCTTTTCGGCGGGGGCGATGAGAATGCCTTCTTGAATCGACATGACATGATTGACATCTACAGACATTGCGTGGGAAAGTACATCCAAGTACCTCAAATCAAAGAGAATCAAGGTATATGTCAACGCGAAAAAGAACCATCTCAGATGCAGCTGGACAAGAATGCACAAAAATGGACTAAATCATCAACAGATGCGTAAGTATCTCAACTGAATATCACCAGATGCTGCGTCTTCTGAGGACTCGGGATAAAATCCTCACGGGTCTAGACAATCTGACGCACTGGTAAAGAATGTCAATACGGGTGTATTTACTGTACATCTTCACAGAAAAAGAGACGTACGTTTGGGCAACAGTAGGTCGAACCATATCCTTCCCCACTAAGGCGTTCAAAACGAACGTCTCCATCCCACGCGTTCTCAACTCCTCCGCAATAGTAGCAATAATGTGCCAATTCCTCCTCCGATAATAGCAGTTCCACTTCAGTAGCCTCTCGCTCGCCACCTTCCAGGCCATTCATTATCTGTTTTTTTCCCAGTGGATTTGAACGGCGGGCGCGGCTCTCCTTCAAGTATTGCAACAAGGATTGATCCATCTTCAGCAAGGTTCCGCGAATCCCGCTCCAGGTCTGGATCAATCCACAAGCAAGGTCTCCCCTCTGGGGATGTTGGGAGTAGTTGCGATGCTGCTGTTGTAGAGTTCAAATGGGCCACTTCTCTGTATGGAATGTGTCCAGAAGAGTATGCGTATACAACGAAATATTCATTGTCATCCTTTCTAGCAATCGCAAAGTCAAGACGTCCTGCTGCGAGAACTCGGTGGTTAGAGCTGAACCTGTACATGGTGGCTGAGTTCGGTATGGACGGCGAGAAGGAGGGAATAAATGGAGGTCTGTAATAATGGATACATCGTGGTCAAGGCTGTGATAGCTATGAATGAAGGTTTCAGCGGTCGGTACGTTATAATTCACCGGTTATGGCCCTTACTCACGTCTCTGTCTACGCTTTGCAGCGCCTTCAGACTATTATCCTCGGCCTCGTCAAGTGGCAAGACTGGGCGTTCCTTCTAAGACAGTCATGAATTGCTGACATGTATTTGGCTGTACTGTCTTGCAGTGGAAAGAGACCAGCGTGTCGTGACCGCCGGAATCTTGACAGATACAGAGACGCACATGAAATTTCTGTTTGTAAGTTCAGGACAAGCTCAGACGGGATAATCATGTGTGTATGCTGACATTCCTAAGGTTACTGTGTTCTGTACATGTACTGAGCTCTCCGTATCCCGGTTCTTACCCAGTTTGTCTTCAACCCTCGACATCCAAGATCAACGCCACTACTCGTACGCTTTCCGACATTTTGCCCAATTCATTCCGTGATAGAACTTGCTAAAATCCAGTTTCATGACCTTCTTCTCCAGTACGATGTGGTTCCTAGGCCAATACAGTCCAGCTCTACTTTCAGGAGGGACCCAAAACAAACGAGACTGGCCGTCTGACGCATAGACCCAACCATCTATCATCTTCGAGCTATCCTCGAAAACGGGAAGACCTTCAGCATCCAGGAACGCATATGTGAGCGCGCCTGATGCCTTGGCCTGTGGTCGTAGGTCAAGCTGGGGTGTATCAACATAACGGATGCCCTCGGGGGAGAATTTCACAGAGAATATCGCATTGGGTGTGTCCTGTGTAAACGGAGCCGTTACATCCCACAAACGCAACGATGCATCCGAAGAACCCGAAACGAGATGGTTCCCCTTCGTGGAGATTGCCAAGACTGGAGCACTGCTCTCCAACGGCCCCATGAAACTCCCACTGCTGCCCACCGACCACATCCTCAAGGATCCGTCTGACGATCCAGATACGAATTGATCAGAACTGTATGAAGAGAATTGCAAGCAATTCACTCGCTTCGTGTGCTCAGGAGCTGGGCTCGGACGTGATGCCAATTGATTCATTGCATTCCAAACGCGAATAGAATGTCGACCACCAGAGATGATGCAATTACCATTGGCTGCAACTGTATAGATGAAGTCGGTCGACGATGGATGGTATTCGCTGTCGTCCGAGTCTTCCTCATCATAATCGAACTCCTCGTCATCCTCCTCCTCTTCAGCTGTGCCATCGACAGTCGTAAGGTAACCAAGCTCGTCCATCGAATCAGGGTCAAGTAAAACTGGCAGGTGGTGAGGGTACTCTGTCAATAGGACGCCCGTATTAACATCCCACATGCAAATGACGTCTCCAGCTGCAGCAACAACGCGTCTATTGTCATTTAGAACGACGACTGAACGAATCGATCTCTTCACGGGCCCTCCTCGTTTGTTGATACTTAGCATCCTCCACTCTCCGGACGGCAAGTCCCAGATGAAGATTTGTCCGATATTGTCACCAGAGACCACACGCTCGCCTTCTGGAAAGAATGTGACACATTCCACAGAGGTACAATGTTCACCGTGCTCGAGAGGAGTTTTAGGAGAGATCTCTTCACCAGTCCTCGAGTTCCAGAGGCAGACATCCCGTCCGTACCCTGCAGATGCAAGTATCTCCCCCTGAGGACTGAACGCGACGGAAGTCACGTTCTCGCCATGAATGATTGGGGGAATCATTTCAGCAAAAGAATCGGCGTCCCAAAGTCGTACAGTTCCATCCATAGAGCCTGTCGCGATAAACTGTCCACCCCGAGAATATGCAACTGTAGTGATCGCAGCATTGTGTAACTTCGGCTGTGCCAGTGACTCCAAGTCGTCGTGCACAGTCACATCCCACAGGCGAATCGTTGCATCAGCGGAAGCCGATACAACGAAATTGCCATCAGGAGAGAATGCGACCGAATGTACGGACTTCTTGTGACCTTTGAGGGGATCCATGCAGAGTATACCAGTGGCGGCGTCCCAGACGCATACAAGGGCATCTTCCGAGCCTGATACTAGCCATTTCCCATCGCGAGAGAAGGCAATGGTGCGGATGAAATCTTTGTGCACCTCAAGAGGAATCACTGTCATCAGACTGCCGCGCATATTGACGTCCCCTAAGTGGATGCTCTCGCCATCGGTCACTGCAAATCGATCGCCGTCAGGCCCAATGCTCAAACTAACCGCTTTGAAATCAAGTTGGAACCGGGGGCGCCATTCCATTCCCGAGTTCACGTCCCAAAAGCGAAGGGTGCCATCCGTGCAGCTTGTGACGATGTGATTAGGATACGCGGGAGAGAAGGCGAAGCAGAGTACTCGACGATCATGCTTTTCTGCAGAACGAGGTAGCAGGGTTCTAGTGTTGTCATATCGATGTAGCCTTCCATGATAATTGAAGACTAAATGAGTGCCGTCTGGAGAGAAAGCAATACTGGCTCCGAAATTGGTCATAAAGTCCGGGTTAGTCTGTAAAGGAGGATTATAACGCCGCAGTGATTTATAATCATCTATGTTGTGGTTGTCTGCCACACAACACTTGCCGTTGAATGTCAACCAAGCTATAGTTGATGACGAGCTATCAGGGTGAAAAGCCACCGCGAGTATGCCTCCACGCTCTTTGACATGTTTGTATCTCAGCGATAACAACGGTATGCCTGACATAGCACTCCGCATGCGTATGGTACCATCAGCAGAACCTGAAAGTATTCGTTGGCCATCGGAAGAAAAGGTCGCGCAGCACACTGTAGAATCATGTTCGGTCATTTCAAGGCGGAGCCTTGGCCAATAGTCCAGTCGGCCAGTTATTACACTGAGCGTATTAGGGTATTCACCTCGAAAGTGTTGAGCGACTACAGAATGCAGAGGTGAAAGGGGGAGGGCTGAGAGATAGATGTGAGGTGCACTCTGTGAAATGGGTTCCATGAATGTCATTACGAATCTTGCACCATCGAACAGGAAGGCAGATAGCTCCGCATCGTGACCCTAATTGTAGTCAATAAAACAGAAGAAATATGGATACACGGCAAAAACTCACATGTATCCATTCAGCTAGAGGAAGTAACATCCCCGGCGCAAAGCGGACATACTTAAGGTATGACATCAGCTCGAGCCATTGTAAAAAGAACTGTTCCAAGAAAGGCCGCATTATTTCTGCAAGTTCGGCGTGATAAGATGTATTATCGACGATGTCCAGAATGTGGTAGGCCCAAAACTGACACGAATATATCCAAGACGTCGATAGAGCTGTTCCCAAATACTCCAATAAGCCAGGGGTTTCGGAATTCAGGCAATGGGAGGAAACCATTGGGCAAATATTGAACAGGCGATGGCCTTCCTCGTTCATCAGCGTGAGGCAGGTCCGTGCAAAGTTGAAGCTCTCATATGCGACATCGATAGTATAGTGGGACCGCTTGGAATTTTGGACGTACATCGAAAACGACAGGTGACAGATACGGTACCATTGACCGCCGGGTGAGCCTTCGAGAGAGATTACTGGTCCCAGATTTCCGATAAAACTTCGAACCCTGGCAAAGTCCGGAACGAAGACTCGTAAGTCATCTGGAGATATAGTATCTTTAGCGAGAACTATGATTGCGAGCACGAGTCGCAATGTTTGTTCCTCTTTGCCTGTGAGCCCCTGGAAACAATGATTGAGAACCTTCTCGTAGAGATGATCTACTGGAGTACCATCGTCATCAGCGTCCCCGATTGTGCCAGTGGTAAGGACGTCGGCGAGGCGCTCCTGGCAATTGCCTTGGTCAATGAAGTTTGTAGCAGTTTCCGCCCAAAGAAAGACACCTCCAGCGATGTCGATGAGCATGTTGATCTTGGACTTCCCTGGCCAACCAGCTCCAAGCTCGTGGCGAGCCGCGGTATCAGCCAATCGAGTTTGAAAGAAATGCCTCATATCGTTCATGGTAGATTCATGAAAAAGCGCGAACTCTCCTGTTTGTAGACGAACTTTTCCGCAGACAGAACCAAGTTCCTTCTCAATGACGGGGTATTCCTGGCTCGATACAATGAGTCTATATTCTCGTGGCAGCTCAGACCATTTCCGCAAGGTGCCAAGGAGCGCTGACCACTGCCTATGAGATCGTATTTCATCGAGCCCGTCGATTATTACAATGGGTGCATCAGAGGAGATACGACTTTGATTTTCGATTAAAGGTCGCTTGATGAACTCGTCAAATTGGGATTCCACCTCAGCTTCCGGAACTGTTCCCAAGATAGCTCTTGACAGTGTCTGCCGAACTCCTGGAAAGATCTCCACGAGGTCAAATGCAATCGTGGGCCAGACAGCCAAGGGATCCGCCAACCTCTCATGACCTGGCTTAAAGAAAAACCAGGCGCAACGCTGTCGATATTGATACAGGACAGTGGACGCGATCGTAGACTTCCCAGCACCAGCTGCGCCTGTCAACCACAAAATGTTGGGGGCATCCGGATTGAGCAACCAGCTGTCTATTGCGGTAAAGACGTCTTGTCGTGTACCCGGCATGCACCTAGGTCCGGATTTTCGATGCTTCGCAGGATCCAAAATTTCACGTAGTTTACCCCGTTCTCTAGACCAAGCTGTGAAGCGTTAGTCAACATTCAAGAGTAAGGAGTCCATGTACTTACTTTGCTCCTCAGATATAGAAGTACTGAGAGCCAGATGGAATTCAGTTTGGAGACGATTGAAGTCCTTGACGAAGTCTCCCACAGTGGCACGAAACTGCGCCACAACAAGTTGTTCTGCAGAAGATTAACACCCGACCTTGTGAATCAGAGCGGGACATACCTAAACGATTCCGCTTGAGATGGTCATTCACGAACTGTGCCGCTTCCAGGGTCGATTCCATGACTTTGACCAACGTTTCGTAAAGGACATCGGAGCGACCAGCATTGTCTCTAACCGCCTTGACACACATAAGCAGAGCGTGCATAGCATGTCCAAGCTCTGTCAAATCTCCATCGAAGTCCCTCTCGTTCTCCAGCAACTATGGTCAATGTTGCTTAGAGCTACTATGACGTTGAGGCAACAGATAGTAGCACACCTTGAAAGGAACAGAAAGAGCGGTGACGACGGCCTTTGCGATGGGATTCATCTGTTTGATGACAGTCAATTCAGGCACGCGACCATGCGGAACACTTGAGCCCTTACGTCTGACACCGACTCAACAACCTTGAGAATGTTACCCGCGATGTCCAAAGAACCTCCAAAGCGATCGAGGAATGGTTCTATGCTCTTGATCCCATCGAAAACATCTATCCTTGTATGCAATATACTTGCGTCTGAGAGTGCCTCATTCATCTGTCTAGCGTCAGTCTCATCGTCGGACTACAAGGGCTAATCAGAACTGCCCACAGTCACAATCGAAGCGGGTGACTCACTCCCAAGAAATAACGGAGCTCAAATGTGATAATTAGCTTATATGTTACGTCTGGCGACAATTGCTCGACGCGATGGTAAATGAACGAAGACGCTTAAGCAAGCCAGTCAGGTTACTCTGAAAATAGGTATATAGTTGAATTGACGTACGACCGCCGGTGCCATCCATATCTCTGCGCTTGTCCAAGCAGAATGACAGTAACTCGCTACCCTTGACATAGACTATCCCAGGGGTCGGGGCGCGTAGATTGAACATCGACATTCGGCTATTTAGAACGTGCACCAGAAGTGTCCTTCGAGGAAAGAGATTTCTGCAACGAGATGGCTTGAGTCTGATAATTCAACAGACAGACAGACATGAGACGAACATTCCAGGCTCCAAAGCCCAAGTGTAAATCGTTTCGGTGTGATCTTTGTATACGGCATCTTTACGAAACTGTTGCGGATGGTCGATGGAGAGAGCAAGAGACCTTGAAGGCCTGAACGACTGGCCCACTTCGATATCCAACCCTGTGTTACTCGCATGAGTAGGTGTCAAGCGATGTGATACCATCCACAATGACCTGTGATCCTGAGGCTGTAGACGCAATGGTGAGCAACGTATGATGGTGGCTGGACGATGGAATACCCACTAGGTACCCAAGGGTAGTTGAGGAGCGCGATCGCTGGACATGGAGAGTGAGAGAAGATAGCGTAGCACAAGGGAAAGCACGAGAGAGCAAAGTCAAAGCGGATGTTGTGACGCCCTGTCATACCAAAAGGGCATTTCTGCATCACAAGGACGCCACACGTACCCGGACATCAGTCAATCAGATAGTGAGTCAATGTACATATTGAGCCACCTTAACATCTGCCACATCTCCAAGCAAAGCCCTGCAGGGTCGATTAATCAAAACCACGAACGAGGTGATGCCCCAAGCGGTCGATGGCAGGTTGCTTGAAGGATTTGTTCCCAGAAAAGTAAGAATACAAGGACCGGAAGTCAGGGCGAGGGTTCTCTGTGGGATAGCTTGCGGAGGAGCCCGAGACCGGGCAGCTCCTTAACCTCAAGCTGCCGTAAAAGCTGATCCAAAGGAAACAACGCTGAGATACGTTGATATAACTTCGGTTTCTAGGTGTAGAAGAGAATAAGACCTCCTGATATGGGTCTAGGCGTTGCCAGAGGACTACATAGTAGTAAAATTGGATAGTGAAAGTAGAAGAAAATTTGCATGGACAAATCACCTCTGTGGACCTACAAGCTCAAACAATTATTGTTTGGTAGAGCACGTGGTTGCTGGAGGCACCATGGGTGCTCTCGCCTGAAAACCTACGAAACATGATAGTTAGAGTTATCATCGTGAGGACTTTGCAAAGAATTTGAATTGTGGCAGCAGTGGTGCATAGAAATTCGGGGTCAAGCTTCATTTTCTCTGCGGCGATCAAGTGCCGGCCCTGAACAATGCCATTTTAGGGCCAGCAGTAGCAAAACACTTCAAAGTAGCACCAAATTCAAGACGTAGAATGACAATTTCACTGCTAGATTTCCTAGGTATGCTCACTCGGGGGCGTAAAGCTTGATAATTAACGGCATCTGCACACCCTTCTCCGGCTCGCCAGCTAGCATAGGTCGAGCAATAATGCCTTGCTGGATTGCAATGTCCTCAACAGGGACAGCAAGACTGAACTCGAGCGTCCGTAGGAGAGTGAATAGAAGGGCCTTCATCCTGTATAAATTATGTGGTGAATACTGGACTCATCCTTTAATGCGACTTGGATGCTTACTCAACAAGCGAGAACCTATAACCAATGCATGCCCGAGGTCCGTCCAGAAAGGTGAGCATATGACTCCAAATACCTGGGCTACCTTCAATAGCTTCCGGAGGGTTCACCCACCGTTCAGGTCTACTCCTTTATAAGTGTTTGTCACATACTATCAAGGCTAAAGCACTCACTTGAATTCCTCGGCATCCTCGCCCCAGATATGCTTCCACCTGTTGATCATGATGATGGGAATCATTATGTCTTCACCCTTCGCAATCCTGGGTAATATGTTGATAGGTTCATTAGCCATTATATTCTTATGTTAAGACACACTTGATGTAATCCTTGACCTCGCCACTCCTATCGGTGTATGGTTCCGAAAGCGGGATCACATCGTCCTTCTGAGCTGTCCTGGCGCTTTCAATGACTGGACCATGAAGTCTAAGCGTCTCCTTGATGACGAAATCAAGGTATGGAAGAGAGTTGAGTTCATCCATAGTAGGTGTTTCGGTAGGCATGATGAGGGCTTCTTCACGCAGTTTTGCTTGAACCTGAGGCGTTCTCGCAAGGTCAAACAGACACCAGGTAACAGCAGAGCTTGTTGTCTCGTGACCAGCTACTAGAAATCTGTAAAACTTCTGAGTCCACAAATATAAATAGACAGTTGGAGTCGGAGGCTCACGTTGGAACCTCTATGGTATCCGAATCGGTGTTCCTGAGTGATCAACCACTGTGTGAAAATGGGATACGCACGAGCAAGTACATCTTCATCACTCAGCCTCTGACTCTCCGGAATATCGGACGCCAGATTGGCTCTTATGAGGAGCGACAACAAGTCCCTGTCATGCATCTCACTAGTCGTCATACCTCTTTTGTCAGGTGGATTAGCGGAAATAAGGGCATCCTTCTTCTCCTTGATCAGCCGCATGCCAATGCGATGCATGATACTGCGGGCATGATTGACTTGGCGAGTACGGCTGGTAGGCTGTCTCAGACGTTAAGGATGTGAGATGCAGCCGAGGATGCAGATGTGGACTTACAATGACTCGGAAAATGGGGAAGAAGATTTGTAATATGTGGAACCACGTCGGTTGAGCGGAGAAAAGGGTTCGAAATGCCAGATTAAGTTCGTTGCGTTCGCCGTTCTCGTTCAATGCATTGAAATAGTAACCAAACCCTGATTGAAGGTATAATCAATCACATCTAGAAAGTGTTGGGTACACATCTAGCACACATACCTGCTAATCCAATCACATCCAAGGTCATACGGCTCAATCCTTCCGTCACATTAAGCCTCTTGGATCCCCCGTTTCCTGAAATCTGCGCAGTCCATACATCACGAAGCTGCGGAATGTCGATTATGGTTAGTTTCTATAGTCACCTAATTTGATGCGGGACTGAAACGCATGCCACATACTTCGAGGGATTTCTCTATGAAGATATCTGTGAGGTCACGAATCTGAGCTGGGCCAAATGCAGGATTCTGAAAGTATCTAGTCAGTTCCTGTCGATACGTTAGTATCATGCGGACTATAATACTAACCATAATTCTCCGCTAAGACAGAGCATGTCAGACAAACAGGCATGATAGAATGATAGAATGATATATATACCTGCTGCTTATGCTGATCACCTTTGAAATTCATTATGTCATGACTGCGCCTTCAAAAAGCGTGATACAAATAGAGTGGCACATACCTTCCGTGATCAATATTCCTAGTCAAAGGACCGAATGACATAGAACAACATCAAAATCACCCACATGACGAACTATCTGATCAACTCACCATTTGAAAGAAGATGCCCCAAAGCATTACGAGCCATTTCCGGCTTATAGTAGTCAGCGGAATGTAAGAGAACGTGGTTCAGAGCTCGAGGATCCACAGTAGTCAAACGGCTTTTCTGTTGGGTCTAGAATGTTACAGACAGAATGATGGAGGATAGCGGGGTCCGTACTCTAAACAAACCCAAGGTGACTACATTCTTGCCATAAGTCTCGACCCATTCTTCCTGCATCTTCCTGGGGTCACTTTCCTCTTCAGCGAAGAAGAAACCAAGAAGCCAGCTTGGATTCGGAGGACCGGGTAGAACACGAAGCGGAGAGCGGTACGGACGGCCAATCAACTCTACGAGCTTCCATAGCGACAGTAGAACGACAGCAAGCACTATCGACAATGCAAAGGGACCCATGCTGCGTCTGCTTTAATCCGAGTTCAGGGGGAAACAAAGGCAGCTTTATATGCCTGACGGAATATCGAACCTGAAATTTGAATTACCGCTTTGATGAACACCAATATAGAGGCTGACTTTCGGCGCCGTGTCCAACTATACCAATAACTCAGAATGTCTGCCGCATGTCTTGCCGACGAAGGAGTTCGATGACCGCAGTGCTTCAATCAGTCTAGATATCCTGTGGCGTAGCGTGTGTCCTTTTGCGACACTGCCTGTGGGAAACTCGAAATTGAATATACCACCCGCCAGTTTCGGAGAGATGTCATAAACATGCTGACTGTTCGTCTCCATGAACAAATATGTTGTATTGTTCAGGCTCAGAGGAACGGGCCTGTGCAAGACAAATGCACGCCTTGAGCAGACACCTAATCCACGGAAGCATCAGACAATACAACTTACTAGACTCGGACGTGGAGGATGGTTTGGGTTTTGCTTACGCAGAGTTGATGAAATATCTACAATTTAAATTGAAGCCTAACGTTTATCGGTGCGATGGCCGAGCGGTCCAAGGCGTGTGACTCAAGCGAAATAGCTTGCCTGCTTTGCGGGTCTTCTCATCTGGGTATCCAGGCGTGGGTTCAAATCCCACTCGCACCATTTTTCTGTCACTCTTAGCTACCTCTGAGCTCCTTTAATTTGCATCTCTGGACAAGCTGTTCACAGTGGATGTCTTGTGGCTCGAAGTATTTCACTGTAGCGGTCACTTTTCACCACCTGGTACTTTTCGTGTTTCTCGGTGATGCGGAGTTGTCATACGTCCCAACGACAACCGAATGTCATGTACGTTAAAGAGCCCTGGATTACATTCGACGAGCCAGTCAACAAAACTTCTCTGGAGCTTTCGAATATCCCTTGTCAACAACCCGTGATCACGACCTTCTGCAAGCTCGCAAACGACATAATCTCGATCAGTGATTCTACTTTCATCTCTGTGTTCCCGGGATCTGCGAAAGACATCCCAGGATACTAGAATTATCATATCGCTCAGCATCTCCAACATATACAACGGACTTTATACATACGAGCAGGAGAAAGTTGATAATACAGTAAACGCAAGCAAATTTACAGAGAGGAACAAGTACGAACTAAGCCTAGAACCCACTAGCAGTCACCCTCAATTGCTCCAACTTCTTCAGCACCTCTCCAACCGTCCTGTCCAACTCGTTCGCAATCGCACTCTGTTTGTTTGCGGGTAACCTCGCATACATCTCACAAAGGTCACCATCCACCACCGCCTTCACAGGAACGTAATAGCCTCGCCACGCCAGATGATCTCGTCCTACAAGACTGATCTGTTCCGTACGCATATGCTGCTCCAACGTCGAGATGAAGTCGACGTCCTCTTTGGATACGAACGGCACCAAGATACCAATCGTTCCATGCAGGCCAGTATATAGGAGAACTTCACGTCCACCAGCGACCATTGAGACCTTGTGAATGGCCGTGACGATATCGCCAACATGGAAGTGTGCAATCATCTGGGTCTTGTGAGGTGCACCCGCAAGAAGGCCCTTCTCGTGTAGGATACCAGCGCCAGTTGGGTCGTCATCAACTTGGTCGGAAACTTTAGCGTCAAGACGGTTAACAAAGACATTGCCGAATCTGTCACCAGCTACTACGGTATTGTAGTCGACCATGGCTGCTGATGAGATCCAGCGTGGTTGTGAATCATCCGCGAAGACGAGAAGGCGGTTTTCTGGAGCCTTATAAACGGCGTAGAAGACAGATTCTTGCATGTCTCCGACTAGGATACGGGAACCTTGTGTATTGAGGGTGACGATGGCCGATGAGAATGTCTAACGCAGGGTAAGAAAATGACTTCGTTACGAGATGTGATCATGCATACCTTATTCTCCACTTTTCGCAGAAGCTTCTTTTTGCCCATATCGTACAGCCTCAAAGATTTCCCAACACCAGCAACAAGCCTGCCTTGAAACGCGAGTACAGCTAGAGGGACATCATTGGTCTCAGTCTGCATGGAGATGCCCCTAATTAGTCAATGCGTAAAGTGTGTTCAAGAATTGGAAACATACCTTGTGCAATAGCTCCAAACCTCGGCCCTCATCTGTGAAACTGTATGTCCTAAGGAAGCCGGACGTGCATGATCTCGGTGCCAAGAACGTGTCCTGAGCAGTTCCAACAACCAAATGAAGCTCATTATTACGGGCCGCAAATGGAACGACTGCTATTGAGAAAGCAGCTTCATTGTTATCCAGATGGAGAACATTGACAGTTTTTCCCTTTTGAGTATGGTGTCAATAGCAGATTGTGTATCCATCGATTGCATTCGTACCTCTACAGGATCGATAACACGAATGGCTGAACCCCATGTGCCAGCCGGTGCTTTCGGACGACCGAACTGCTCTGGAGGCAGGTCAACAACTTCGTCGTCTATCATTTTCCCCTCTTGGCGCTACAGGGCGTAAGTCATTGATTGGCGGAAGTAAGCAACATAACTCACAAGCTTCTCCAGCTGTTGTTTGGAAGCAGCCTCTCCCATGACACGATGATCACCTTCAATGAGATAGAAGTAGCCGTTGTGAGGGTGCGTGATGAATTTGCGAGGCGTGTAGGAAAGGGGAATAGAGTCTTGTTTGAGCTTCGTTCCAAGCCGAGGTATCTGGAAGATCCTGGAAAGAGACACAAATTAGCAAATGCTATCCAGAAATGATCGACCACAAGATAGAAAGAAAGCTCAGTAGGAACAATTGGTATTGATGTATGAAGCATTTCGACGTGGGTTGCAATCCAACGCCGATGTCTCGATGATAGGATATCATCTGGTAAGAGATGAAGCAACTTAAACGCACCGAAGTACGCTTCCCGAGATTCCGATTAGACCCTCCGGGCACAGCTCCGCCGAGAAACTCCATGCATAGTCGAGGTTCTCGAAAATGAGAGGCGTGAAGTGCATGAGATTTTGATAAGTGTAGTTGAGCCATGATCGTGATGAGAGTGCCAGAATACCAGGGTTCTTCTGGACCATCACCCGGACGAGTTTGATTGGACGAGTTCCCAAAAAGCTAGACCTAAAGTTAGCATGCACCAACGAAAAATTGGAAGCGTTGCTTACCGAGTTCGGGTATCTGTTAACTGTCCATTGACGGGATCGAGGACAGTTCGTAGCAAGACACCATTTTGAAGGCCGATGTTGACGAAGGTCGTCAGTTGCGTCTTGTTGATACCAGCATCTAACATATCGGCGATGCAGATAGAAGAAGGGGGAGCAGTCAAGGCTTGCAAACTAATCGTTTCAAGCGTGCTTTCGGGATCCAGGGAGATGATTCGTACAGTCTGGTCTTCGCATCCAACGGCCTAGAGAAGAGTAAGATGAAGCAACGATGTAATGTACGAAATACGCACGAGGAACGGTGTTCGCTGTCGACCCTCGGGTACTTCAGCAATACTTAGTGCCAGTACTGTACTGCCCATTGCCTTACGGTCTTGATATTCGTTCAGCTGCCCGTCCAGATCCAACTCGAAATATACCAGCTCCGCCGAGCTAAGTGCAACAACTACCTGCCGCTTGTTGGTTGTAGCGCTGACGATAGTCTTGCCTTGGGGTACTCTCCATTCGTTCACACGACGATCTGATAGGACGTGACGAATACCATGGGGATGGACCTGAAGGAGAGCATCGGCACCAATTTGTTGGACTGCAAGCGTCGGCGCTGACGAAAGGAAACCAGTATCTTGTACTTCTTCAATCGTCTCGCCGATTGACAGTACGAGAGTACCGTTCACGAAAGACAATATAATGTATGAGTCGTGTTCATCTATGGGTGCATCCATGAGTAATGAAATATAATATGATTGCTACAAAGTGACAAACCTTCTTCCTTGAGCTTCGTTGTCCAGACTGCATTCGGGATACCTGGCAAATCCGAGCTGACGACTTCCTCCACTTCCAAACCATGTCGCAAAGTTCTCAGGGTACTGCGAGCACCCCTCCCACAAGCAGAGAAGATCTGAGGAGAGTCGGAATTAGGAAGCACGTTCAGAACTTTTGAGTCAAGAATGGGGTCCAGTGATTCCAGTTCATCCACCAACGTAAGATTGTCAAGGGCTCGGGGGCGGAAGTACGCTCGCGGTAGAGGGAGTGTTGGGTCGGCCATACCATAGTTAGGATAATCTATTGACGAGAACTCTGGTTCGTTATCATCATCGCCCAACTTCTGGAACTGATACAGATAGCTGGAGATCCAGACAGTTAGTACTATGAATGTGTGAAAAAAGCTTGGATACAAACTGGTTGCCGAATTCTGAAGCGACGAACAAGAAACCGGATTTGAGAATGCAAAGACTGATCGCGACTGGTACTGTGTCGAAGTACTTGATCTTGACTGCCTTGACATCTTGTTCATCATGTTCAATTGTCACTTTGTACAAGTCGCCTTCTTCACTTTGTAGAAGGAAGAAGAATGCGCCCTATCCAACGGCTCAGATAAAATTTGGACGAAGGATTAAAAGATATTCACCTTCATCTTGTGCATAACTGCGGCAGTGATGATAAGTCCACGTTCAGGGTCTTCGAGGGGATGTCGTCGTCTTGGAATAGGAACACGATGCTGGGGTGCATCCATGTGTCGGTATATTATGTGGTCTTCACAGCAAACCAACACACCAGAGGGCCCGTCATAGCGGTCTGAAGAGGCTAGTTGCCCCCCAGGAACCTGAACGAGGAGGTTCGCTCTTGGGTCCGTAGGCTCACTCCACTTGCGCACGACGTGATTCAAGCCCAGGTCGAGTTCATAGTAAGTCAATAACTGAGAATTGGCGCGTTAGCGCGATGGTTGTCGAAAAATACGCGATCATACCTTTTCAGCATTGTTGAAAGCTTCCCCCGTTGGATCCTGATCCGACTCGGTGTAATCAACCTCTAACGCAGCAAATGTAGGGTTCTCGAAGCCAACGTCCAACCCGATGATGTGGTGGATGATGGCATTGTTTTTGTGTGCCTCAAGAGGCGAAGAAATAGTCAAGTTCGCTGCAGCGTCGCGGTTGAGAATGTACACCAGCTTGGCCTTTTCCACAGCAGAGATCATAACGGCCCGACCTTTAGGATCAGCCGCCAGATATTGTCCGGGGACAATCCGTCGAGCACCAGATTTGCCATATGTTTCCTGGTGTATCTTAACGAAACTGCTCGTCTTGGGATCATAGTCAAGAATCACAATACGTCCCGAGTCCGACCCTACGATTGCATAATCTGAGAAAAAGGACTGTGTAAATTACGGCAAGGAGAGAGAAATACGTACAATGGCTCACCCTTGGTTCCTCCAGTTAACCGGAACGCAGCGAGGGAACGGATGGACCCAAAGACATCACTCGCGATGACAGTAGAAACTTTGCCAGTTTGAACATCAGGTCGTAATAGCTCCAGTCGTGTCCCGCGAGAGACTATAATCTCCTGCTGCCTAGCCCCAGAGAAGTTTCCAACAATGGCCTGGGTGATTGCAGTGGGAGGTTGAAGAGTCAAGTTATACAGATGCATTGTCAATGCTCAGAGCGATTGCGCCCAGTACGGGGTTTCAGTGTAGGTGTTTGCAGAGCGTGCTCAAGCCTAGAATTTCACTTGAACAGAGAGCAACTGCGAAGTCGATGTACACTGAAAGATACAACGAAGCCTCAAAGTCAATGAAGGATGAACTGCTGAATAGTGATCGAGAACAAGAATCTAGAACTACATTTAGGAAAAATTAGATTGAGAATCATTAGCGCTGGGGCGGTGGCGTAGTTGGTTATCGCATCTGTCTAACACACAGAAGGTCCTCAGTTCGAACCTGGGCCGACTCATTTTATTTTCTCATTCTGTATCGCCTTCTTATCGGTTTTAAATTGCATTGCATGAGCAACCTACCGAGGGCATGCTGCAGCTGCCGATCGCATGAATTAAGTTCTACAGGTGGGAGGTCCCGACTCCCAAGTGACTTGGTCTGCCTGCTTTTGCTCTCATCTGGATATCCAGGCATGGGTCCAAATTCCGCTCGCACCATTGCTTTTTGCTCCTCATGGTCGGAAGAACGACAACAAGTAGTGGATAAGAATGGGAGAAAATACTGTTGGGGAAGCACCTACCCCTTCTTGGCCTCGCGACTCAGGTGATACGTTATGCATACGACCAGACGTGAGCTATTGAAGTGCAGTAAAACCATGTTGAAACAACGTCAGTGTACCCAAGCGGGATGATAACATCGTGACTACATCATGCCTCGATGAATAAGGCGGCCCACATTTTCACTTCCTGCAATCCTCTCCAGCCGCATAATGTCGTACCTTGAGTATATAACCTTGCACATCACGTCGGATGGCTCTACACCGTCATCGAGGAATGGGTATGAGAGGAACTCCGTGTAGAATTGGGGATGATCGGGGGGGCCGTAGAAGATGAGGTTACGAATACCTCGTATTTTGTACCTGAATGAAGACAAGTTATTGCAGGGACGGTTGAATGTATTATCTGAAGGTTACGTACCTTCTGAAGAAGTGGAACCGCTCGCTCACAAGGAGGAACGACTTCCGTCCAGTGAAGAATGCTTGACGAGCCCGTGAGATGTCCTGATTACTCGAATACCTGCAGGTGGCGAAGGATGTCAGCGCATAGTAGAAGATGAATTACATAGCGTGACTGACTCGGAAAGAACAGCAAACGGGACGCCGACGTTCTTTCTAAAGTGATTATGCACTCTGATAAAGTCGAAGGAAGAGGGGATAAAGACGACAGTGTTGACGCTTTGAACAGCAGACTTCAAAATCGCAGGAAGTAGCTGCCGTAGTTGCATTCAAGAACTTTTGTTAGCACTCTGCCACTTCTCACAACGGAGTGGAATACATACCTGCGTCGTAAAATATTGGAAGCGTTTCTCAGGCTCATCCTTAGGGCTGATACAGTCGACCTGGTCGAAATCCGGCTGAACGCCCTCAGGCACAGCAATGGGATTCCAACGCCTTTCAGTTCGGATCTTGCCAGCGACGTTCTTCAAGTTATGATTGAATAAAGCACGGGTATCCGGTGTCTCATAAGCCGTGAGCAGGATAGATTGACGTAGATATGCGGCACTAGCACAAACATTCATGCATCCTCCGCTTGCAGAAAAATTAAAACTTACTGGCCATCCAGGTACCACGGCTTGATACGAGAGAAATCAACATCATGGGACTCCTTCGGCATTTGGTTCATTTGTGAGATAATGAACTGGTGAGATTAGGTCAATACAGCGCAAAAGTGAACATGTACTAAATTGACGAACCTGAACGTGTTCCCAATTCTGCATCGTAAGAGCATCCATTTGATCTACGATGAGCATTTCAATCGAAGACAAGAAATCGGCATTCCTAACGACTTCACTGTAAGTACGCGAGCCCTGAAAATTTTCAGAATCACCCACTTCTCCTTCTGGATCGACATCCTCAGCCCAAGCGGACTGGCGAAGATGATATCACCCCCGTAGAACTCCGCAAACAACTTGATACTCTTCCGAGTCATCTTGACGCCCACCCTGAAGCTATCATCAACATTTCCCTTGAACATCTCCACATGGTCCTTTGGGTATGTCCCAGGTTCGGCACTAGCTAGTTTATCGATGGCGCCAGGAGGCAATCCATACTCAGATTCGAACCGAGACCGGTTTTCAATCTGGTATGACGGCGATGGTGTATGTGTCGTAAGGGCTGAGAGCCATCGAAGTGCAAAAGAACGGAAGGGGAGCAGAACGAGAATAGAAGGACGAGTAAAACCTTGGTCCTGAACGTCTTCTGGCGGTTCGGCACCTGATTTTGATGCGTTGGAAAGTCGCTCATTGTTCTTGAGGACGCGTCGTCGCTTTCTAAGCAGCCAATATTTTAGTTGTTGCAAAATTGGATAAACAGAAGGAAGAGAAGAACTCGTACTTCGTTATATGGTTGAGAGCGTGGAGCATAATGGCTTCCCGAGCGTGTTGCTGAGTCTCGAGCGCGGTTCTCGTGATATAGAGATCTTTATATGAGCTCAACATTGCAAGCAAATCGTTCTGAAGAGTAGCAAGTTCTAGGAGAAAGGTTGAGTAAACATTAATTTTAAAGTAACCACGAATACAGACCTTTCGGCAACTTCTCTTGCTTCTCTTGGAGAGGCCCCTTTAGGCGATCTAGTACCTAAGGAGCAACGCTCAACATGATGTAGCTTGGAATGATATGCAACGTACTGAAATCTGAGGCAACTGTTTGGCTGCCGCCGCCGCTTCCTCCGTCGAGTATTCAACGACATTGCCCAATTTGCCTAATGCCCCCTTGGACGTTTTCCAGGCACGTTCATCGACAGCGTTACGCTTGTTTTCCGACAACACCTGCGAGTCAGGGCCAAAATGTGTCTCATAAGGGTCGGTGTTGTTCTCTGATGAATACTCATCACTCAGTGATACGATTTGTTTGCTATTGGAAGTGCACTCACCAGGAGCATCCTCAACTACCCCATGCTCGCCCACAATAATCTCCTCTTCTTCTTCATCGACATGTTCAGGCTCTTCATTAGCTTTTATCGTCTCAGGATTGCCTGGGGCAGTTTCCACCTCGAGGGTTACCGCAGAGGATTCTTCGAGTTGTACTGTAGTCCGGCGTTTGTTCAGTTTTTGGGAAGGCTTGGCTTCATCTGCAGTCCATTTTCGCTTTCCCGCCCTTGTAGCAGATACGTTGAGAAGGGTGAGGAGCTGCGTGGTTGTCTCTCCTCCGCGGTCGATGGCCATGGTGGTCGAAAAGTTGGGAACTTGAGAAAAGGGAAAGGCGCATCAATGCCGCCGATCAATACTATACCGGGCGCTTGCCTTTCTCGATCGTGCACGAGTAAGTACGGTACTTAGTTCCTATTTCACTTTCACTGGTCTGCAGTATATAAGTTACTCTCAGACACTGAGGCGAATGTTCTACAATTATCCAATTATCTGTGATGTCACGGCGCATGGTGGCGGTTGCGTCTGTCAACCTTCGCCTTTTCGTCTCAGGCTTTTGCAGTTACTATCCGAGTGGACGTGAACTTTACTACCCTCGAACACTAAGCTCGTCGACCGCTGACCCACGGCAGAATGACAATGATACCCTCAAATATATTTGAGAAATTTCACAAGCCCATCATTCCAGTTGCTTTAAAATTCGCACAAAGATATGGCATATACAGCTCTGGCAGTGTTGTTGACCATGGCAATCCGCCTGTGACCCCAACGAAGACTTTCACAGTAGTTGTGATATCCCACAGATGGGATGAGATGCCCTAGGGCTAGCCATTCTGGACCTTCAGTTGCAAGGAACATAACGTGAGATGCCTCAAAGGCGCATAATTCCTAAGGTCACAGGCATTCAGGTTCACCGGTTAAACGAGGCCGGGAGCATTGCAGCAGCAAACGGCCTACGAGTTCATCGGAAACACGGACGATCGGGGCTACGAATAAAGATGGAGGTAGTTTGCAAGGGTTTTACGCGGGGAAGTTATTGAAAGTCACAATCACTATTTGGTTCGCACACCTGTTCAACTGTCAGGATGAACAAGTATGTCTAAGATCAGACTCCCGACGATTCGGGTGTTATCCATGTGCCTTGGGGAACGAGTCGATAACACCGCAGTCCACTACCAACAACACGTCTGTCGGTCATGCATTCATGACACATTGAGCTTGGTATACGGGTTAACGCCTGCATAGATCAGTACACAGGTGGCTTCCCTGAGACAGAGATGCGACCTCTGTGCCTCAAGGCGCGGCATATCTCGTCTGACTATAGGGAGCGATCAAGATGGCACATCTCGGACGTTGTTCAGGGGGAGACCAATGAGAACAGGAAAGAGTTGTGAATCGCTGGCGCTTAGATTTTCTTCTCAAGTTATCTGCGAACGTGAACGGCTGCAGCTTTCCAGTTGCATCAACCTTCGACAGCACTAAACTTGGTTGGGTATATGTGTTCTGCATACATTGAAACTATTCAAAACTGACCATATATGCACGGAATTGTTAAAGCCTGCCTTCTGTCTATGTTCGAGCCGTAGTACCGATTAGTGATAATCGGTTCTGGCGACATGCGCTCGGGTTGCAATTGGATTGCTCCAAGATTCGCTGTGTCTGCGATAGACCAACCTCGAGCTGTCGGGTCCTTTCATGGCAACAGCTATAGGAAGCTGGAGGCCGCCACTGCACTTGAAGCCAGTCCTAGGAGCGGTCTTCCACAAACAATTGACTTGTTACAGACCTACCGGGGCTTTGTATCCCTCGGAAAGATCCAACATGACGAAGAACAGGTTAGGGTCGTAATGCAAGTAAGTAACATATGTGCTATCTCTTTCCCTCTACATTTCGCTGTCTAACATGTGGTGTTTCTTCAGCTTAGGCGCATACAGAAAGACTTGGATGGATATGCACCTCCCGTTCTTTCGACGCACTACATGAATTTTCCACAAGGGACACATGGTCAAGATTCCTCTGAGTTACAACCTTGGTGGCAGTCTCCCACATTAAAGACGACGGATGACGTGACTTCTGCCCAGATGGCCGTCGTCCGTCGGCGGAGTCATGCTGAAGAACTGGCAGAACTCACAACGCCAAAGGCAAGTACCTGAAGGTCGCCTGCTTTCGGGTCATATTCAAAATAATATGCATCATAGGGTCTACTCTTGACAGGTCCACCTGGAGCTGGGAAGAGTTTCATTGTTGACCTCTGGTTCAACAGTTTCCCAACGCCATTCAAAGCGCGGAAGCATTACAATCAACTCGTATTGGAGATTTATCGGGCGGTTTGGGAGGAAACTAAAATACGAATGGCCTCTGAAGAAGCTGTAGAGCAAGTGTCGGAGCCTCAACCATGGACAAGGTCTCTTCGAGATCAATGGAGGCAACTGGTTTCTACCGGATCCTTGCCGATAAAGTGGACACGCGCGGCACGCCAGAACACTAGCTTCATTGCCTCTCATGGATATACTCAACAGACTATTGCATTTGCGGTTGCGCAGCGTCTTATCCTCCGACATTGGCTTCTCGTTTTCGATGAGATTCAACTACTGGATGTCTCTAGTGCCACTTTACTTGCGGATGTCTTATCGTGGTTTTGGAGAATGGGTGGCGTCATCATCGGGACATCTAACAAAGTTCCCGATGATCTGTACATGAATGGTGTTCAACGTGAGCGGCTCGAGCCGTTTGTGGAAGCACTCAAAGTCAGATGTCCAGTCTATGTCATGCGATCTGAACGCGACTGGCGAGAAATCAAAGCAGGTGACGGTCTTGATAGAAGCTGGTTCACATATGAACAGAAGGCAGAATTCAAAGCCAAGCTTGCAGATGTCATTGTGGAAGGTACGCTATCCCGTTTCTGCATCCTCCCAAGTCTGCTGACCTATCATCATAGAGCCGACTGCCCGGAGCCTGAGTGTGTTTGGCAGAAGTTTGCACATTCCATGGGCTTCAGGTGGGATTTGCAAGTTTTACATTCTCACAGCTGTGCGATGAGGTATGAGAATGCCTTCTCTTCAAATGACTTCTCTTACGTTTTGCCTCAGTCCTTAGGGCCCGCGGACTACCTCACGCTATCATCCCACTTCCATACAATCGTCATCTCATCCATTCCTATCTTGAAACTCTCCGCCAAAAATCAAGCCCGACGTTTCATCTCGCTCATTGATGCCTTATACGAGTCTCGTTGTAGACTGATCTGCTTAGCTGACGCTGAGCCTGCCGAACTTTTCTTTCCCGACGCAAAAGCATCCCTGTCAGGAGAATTTCGTGAAGCCCGAGACATGGACGTCATGATGGCGGAAGCTGTTGCAGAGACACGAGATGTGTACAGACCCAATGTCTCTTCCTATGATGCACCTAACATGGCTGAGGCGCCCGAGGTCCCTACAGCGACTGTTCCATTAGAGACGCTATCTATTTTCTCAGGTAAGCATCTCTATTCGCGGTGCTCCTGAAATATACTCCACGTGGTACTCATGTTCTCATTCCTGCAGGCAAAGACGAACAATTCGCCTTCAAGCGCGCCCTGTCAAGATTACTAGAAATGACGAGCGAAAGCTATGGCAAAGAGGCGGAATGGACACCGCTTCCTGAAGATGCACGAAAGTGGGAACGCGCATCCGTCTCGGGAGTGTTCTCTGTTCAACCTCGGAACGATGTGAAGCACACTTCCCGCGAAGCCAGTGATACCGACTTCGCTTCGGCAGCGTCATACGAAGGCCATGCGAGGATAGCACAGCGTCCGGAAGCTCCTCGCTTTCGTGAACATCATGCATGGGGCATGCGCGAGAGGCAGTGAGATACGAAAGGCCCATTTTCACAAGTTCACACATCACTCTCGCGTTTCTCCGCTACTGGGACTTCACGCGTCAGAATTTATCGTTCACTTGGTCTCTTTCGCTTGTCCACCTGACTCGCATTGGCGGAATAATTTGTCGGGCGAGTGGCGAGTTTTTCTTACACGCTACTTGTAATCAGGAAACATGATTCTGACGCATTTCATCCGTGACTAGCTTCAAGCCTCAAGGGGTCCACGAAAATCATGGCACAAGTCGTGTCAATCGATGACCCTCAGTTTACATGAATTTGTCGAACCTGCTGGATCACAAGCCCGATGTATCAAGGAGTAACTCAGCGTTGCAAGCTGGTCATCATCCTGGATCAATCGATGTAACTTCCGCACAAATTTACCACCAAGCTGGTTGTCCTCTTCGGTCAGCGAAACTCTGCTTGAAGTTCACTATCAGTCTGAGTCCTGCGATTGTCAACTCCGGTCACGTTCTTGGCACTACTTCCACCGATGGCAGTACGCCCAAAGTTTATCTTCACACCTGCCTCATTGAGCTTTCTCCGCCTTCATATCGAAAGCGAGCTTCTTGAACTTCGTTCCTATCGATCGCCCTCTGCGGTCCGTATTTCCCCCCCTGTCGCTTCGATGGAAACGATGTCCTGGAGATAATACAATTCGCAATGCACATTCCCCCCTTTTTGCTTACACATCCAACAGAACTCAGCGTTCGCTTTTTCCAGGTTCTTCGTTCTCCGAGTTCGGTGCTTCTATGTACTTAATTGACCTCGAGCATGAGTTCGAATTCGGTCTGCCGATAATGATGATATCGGTACCGGTTGCGATGAGCCTTGAGGAATGTCTCGTCTGTCAGCCTTGGATGATAGGGATGATATATATTGAGATTGATATTGCGAAGAAACTCGTTGGTGAATTGTGAAGTTATGTGCCGAAGCAAGGGAGACTACACGTTAAACGAGCTAAGGGATAGTTCAGACCCCGCCCCCGGGGCATAAACACTCGCTGAAAAGGAACAGCGTGAAGGCATTTCAAAAGGGTATATTCTTACATACACAGCATGCTACATACAAAGGGTCACATCGAAAACAGCCAAACAGGTAGATGATAACGGCCAGCACAGTGTAAGCTGCAAAGCTGGGAGGGGTCAAACAACCTGTCAAAAGCAAAAAAAGGATGATCGAGGAACGGGCTGGTGGGGGAAATTAGGTAGAAGGCTGAAGTGAAGCAACAAATCCACGAAGGTTACGAAACGGAAATGGCAAAAAGGGACATGGATGACGGAGACTCAAGGAGGGCCTCACAACACCTTGAAGGAAGAAAGAAAATCCTCGACTGACAACTGACACCAGTGAGCACCGTCACCACGGGCCCTGGACGACACGGAATTCAGGTGGGATATTGTCTCAGTTGTTTCCCCCCCCCCCCCCCTCCTCCCCCTCAAATTTCAAAGCCCTGCGAAAGGCTCGAACGTCAATGATAAAGCTCCCCATAGCTCATATCGATCGGGGGCCGTCGTCGTCGTCGTCGTCGTAGTCATCGGGGGAGCGCATGAACACCGATCAAACATAGCAACCAGGGGGCGAGCTCATCTCCTCATCGTGCGACTCGCCCGATGATCATCGATTCACCCCTTGCAAGCAATAGAACATTTACTCCCGTTGGTTCCAGGTTCCTCACACTCGGTTCGCGACCACTTGGTTCTTAAATCCTATAATACCAAGCCCAATAACGGTTAAGCAACCACCTCATGCACCGTTCGAGACCCAATAATCCTAGTGCCATCGTCGCATAGATGCAAGAACGGTTTTGGCCGTTATAACGTCACATCAAAATTGGGTGATATCTGCCCCTCTATTTCTCCAGGAATCCCATAAGTAATCTCCTATAAATCCTATCATCCTGTTATCCACGACAATGGTCAAGGGGCAAGGGGGGCCATGGGTAGGAGGGCCTGAGCCCGCGATGCAAAAGTGAAAGGCTGAGAGTGTTTCAGCTAGACGCATGCATGTGCGCTATTCCAAATACCAGGGAATGACGCGATGACATGAACGTGAACGGCAACGGCAAAATTAAAACAGAATGCGCCCCTGCATATAGCGAGTCGGCGCCAGTAGCCCCGGCGGCCTTGCAAGTGATAGTTCAAGCTTGAAGCTGCGTAGTGAAGTTAGAGCCAGGAGTACGGAAGTACGTTGTATAGGACCAGCCAGTATAAGAATTGTTGCACTGAGTCTTCGAATTCGAGAGCTTTTGGGTGTGGTCAATTGAAGCTTGGAAGAAGCGGTCAGGTGAGGTAGGCGTTAAATACCAGGCTCTTTTCGAAGTCGAACGAGTGGAGTCGGACGTTCGTAAAACGAAACCCAAGTGGATATAGCTATAGCTTGTGACCTATGTTCGCCAAACGCGAACGCGAACGCCGCGCCTGACGGTGTGGGAAACTTGAAAAGCGCAGTTGTGACTGTCGTTGCAGAAGCAGCTAAGTGATTGTTGGTGGATACACATGGGTTTGAAAGTTCTTGTCTGTATAAAAGACGATGGGTGAAAAAAGAGCTATACACATTAATACGAGCAAGAAAAAGGATCTGCACGGAGTGGATATATAAAAGAACAACTGGCGTAGATGAAAATAAAAGACGAAAAACTACGCGGTTGACCGAGAATGAAAGAGGTCAAGGACAGGACGAAAAAAAAGGGAGGACTGTAAGAGCTGTAATGGGTGCTATGGCGATATGCGATGGACGAGAGTTGGTTTGCGAGCAAGCAAGCAGCGATAGGTGATGGTGGTGATGTAAAACAACAGGGCAGTGGAATATATGTTACGAGAGGGGGTGAGGACAAAAATTGTATAGCTACTGTGGGATAATGGGTGAGAACGAGATGGGCATTAGGGACCGAATATATACGGCTGGGAATACAATTCTTGGTGGCTGGGTGGATGATTGATTGGTTAGACACGAAGTCATAAAAGGAGGGTCATGAAACGTTGGAAATGTTATAAAATAAAGGAGGTCGCGCCAGGAGGAAGCTGCGCAAGGCAAATACTCCGATTCATGTGAGGCGTTGCCGTTAAGAATTGCGACATGTTCTTCCTGCGGGGTACTCCGTTTTGCTGTAAGTATGTGTATGGGTTGTGACCCTCGGATAGGGACTTCCGTATCCAAGCAAACACATTCTTCTTCTTTCATCTCCTCCCTCCTCACCTTCCTACTCTGCATCGTACAACAAACTTACCATCCAAGCGTTAACCAGCGCCGACGTCGGCCACCTGTGCGCCATTCCGAGCGTGAGACATTGTGCTTCGATCCAAGCGACATGAGCGTCCGGGTCGACTCCACGAGATGCACCCTAGGAACGCGGGGTCGTCCGTCACGAGGATATTTAAAAAAGTGGGGAAAAATGGAATTGAATTGACAGGCATTGAACCATGTCAATCGCGTGCACTGCTCCAATACGTCATGGGCGTCACCCGTCTGGGTACGATCACCCTGAGCGATTCGCCGTCGAACTCTGCGCGGACTTGAGACAGGTCCGCGTCGTACCCAAATGCAATGCGCCGTTCGAAATGTCCTGCAATACAAGATCAGTCAGATAAATGGTGAACATGTGGATGAAGCACGGGCAAGAGAAGACTAGAGGGTGGGGAATTGAATGGACGGAGCAGAATGGGGATCAGAAGGTATATGGGGCACGAGAGCAAACACGCGCGACGGAGGGAGAGGAGTCAAGCACAATAATGGATAGAATGACGTACCTCCTTCCGGTTCCCAAGAATCAGCCACCAAATGGAGGATTCGCCGCTTGCGCGTTGAAAGGGTTCTGATCCGGAACAAACGCAGAAATCAGCAAAACCATTCTAACCATCAAAAATATGCAGAAATGATGATAAAAAATGTAGAGAGAAAAGGACAAGATACTCACATCGCATCCCGTCTGTAACCTGGCAACCACACATGTAACCGATACTCCCTAGCCAACGTCTCCACAGCAATGTAGATCTCTCTCGACAGCGTACCATGACTCAGGAATGGCACATGAGGTGCCGACGGATCGCGCTCCGGTGGTGGCGGAGGCGTCAGGATTGTCGGAGGTGCAGGAGGCGGGTACGAAATGTCAGTATGGGAGGTATGACTTGAAGACGGTGACATCGAACGGGAAAATCCTGCGTATGGATGATGGGAATGTGGATGGGATTGGGCATGGGCATGGGGTGGAGAGGAAGAGCGAAGGACACTATCCGTGAATTGAGTCCAATCAGCTGACCAATTTGGTGGAGAACGCGCAGATTGACGGGGTGAGTGATGGGGACTGGGACTTCGATTAGTATTAGTATTTATGTTGATTCCCCAACCTCTACTGGGCCCTGCATGCGAGTTGGAGTCGAATGCAGCAGACGCAGAGGATGAGATATCCATCGCCTGACTGTCGAGTTCCCGGTCCTCGGTAATCGTAGGTCCGGAGAGCAAAGGCAACGTGTGATACGGCGTATGCATCGGTAGAGGCAAACTCGCAGTGGACGTGCGATCAGGTATCTCCGCTGCTCGTATAGGTCTCGGTGAGAATATCCCCGAGCCTGAAGCGTCCGGAGAAGAGAATGGGCGGGAGAAAGGATGGATTGGGCCAGTCGTCGCTCGTTGGCTGCGTTGGGGAGAAGGAGCGGAAAATTGCGTCGGGGCAGCGGAAGAGTCTTCGGAGGTGTCCATGTAGTACGGAGCAGGTGTAGACGAAGGCTTTAGGTCCGAGGAGGATGGGAAGGCAGAGGATGAGGCTGAACCAGCAGTCATGCTATTAGAATAGCCTTCCGAAGATGCATTGTTATCGATGTGATGGGTAGGGTCGAATGGGTGGCAGGTATCGGATCTGAGCACCAAGACGGGGCGGCGTGGTTGCTCGCCATCTTGGGAGGACGACGAGGAGACTGGAGGGAGGGCGTGGGACGGGTGGGAGGAGGAGGAGCGCTCCGGTACGCGAGAGGGCATGAATGGGAGAGGGACTTGTCTGGGAGAGTCTAAAGAAGCGTGCCGCTTTGAGAAAGAGGAATTGCGGTGAGGAAGAGATGGACGGATTTCGCTGCCAGCGGGCGGGGTTGAGGAGGAGAGAGCTGGAAAGAGGAATAGAGAGTCAACGTCTGGAGGAGAGAGGGGACGGGGATCAGATGAGAGATGGTTGTGGACGCATGTGTCTGAGCTAGCAAGGGATTGTCGAATTTGCCTCGTGTGTGGACCGGACTTCCGGATATTACGGCAACGCTTTCGGAAGCTTGTCCTCGCGACCATGTCCGGTTGCTTGGAGGCTCTCTCCGATCCCTGCCTTTCTCAGGAACACCAAGCCAAAAAGCCAATCCACGATCCCTCAGACGCGATCGCCCGCCGTTCCCCCGCCTTCTGACTGCTTCACTTATATATCACTCAATATTGTTGGTACTTCTCACTCATGTGGATGTGCACTTCCCGTGCAGGCACAACTCGGACACTTAGACACGCATATACGCAGACTCACCACTGGTTTCGCGGGTCCTTGCATCCCAACTGTCTTTCCGCTGCAACATGCCTTCCTCCGTATAAACCACACGGTCCTGCGCGTAAAGCTCTTGCAAATCGGGTATGTCTCCGTCTTCCTTGAATCCGTAAGGCAGTGGACGTCTCTCGTTGAGAGTAAGATGTCGAAAGGCAGTGTCTACCGACGAGTTGCCTGACGACGATCCGCTGCTGCTGGTCGACAGAGACGGACGTGACGAGGAGGGCGATAACGATGATTGGGCGTGGGATGGGGGAGATGGAGGACGTCTTTGAAGAGGCATGGTGGGTATGTGAACACCACTGGCGGTGTACTACTTAGAAAGACCTGCCAGTGGAGCCCCCAACTTGCGATAATAAAACATGCACATCCTCTCAAAAATGACCACCCAAAAATTACTGCCAAGCCACCTGACGGCACCGCTTGACGTCAATCGATGGCCTCTTACCCAATCATGGCACGTCGCTACCCCGTTTTGGCGACGGCGTTATGTATGCCGCCTCCCGGCTCCGGCACCGTCGCACAACCCCCGGCGCTTCCACAACGCCACCCTGGCGTTGCCTGATTGCCTCTGCTGTCGTGCTGTGGCTAGGTCTAGCAGTACTCAACGCTTTTGCCAGGAGCTCCTTCCGTTCTGCTTCATTCCCGGATCCTACCACCAAGTACTGTACCCGGATCCTCCTATCACTGTACTTGTGTCATCCTACCTACTGTACGCAGCAAATACGAATACGTGTTCTCCGGTGATGTTTCAAGGCGCCACCACAGCTCCCTAGTCCCCACCTCCTTGCTACGTTAAGCCTGTGCCATCAACAAATCATTCCTTGATGGACACCTACCGGCCTACCCTTAATGCTTATTTTCGTCTCCTCTGCGTCATTGTGCTTGCTGACAGCATTCATATATCCGACGTATTGCTGATTCATGCCGGGGGATAACTCTGTTCCTCCCAGCTAACTTTCGCCATACCACGCGCTGGCATGTTTATCATTACATCTCCCCTCGTCGGAGTGCGTTCAAGCCGTGCAAAGTGGTGAATAGCATGCCCCTGACAAGGCGCCTCAACCCCATGGGGTAGCAATAACATGGCAAAGTTGAATAAGACTTCTATTTCCCCCCTTGTATGCATAGCGATCTGGTGTCTTCTTGACGTAGCCCCCGCAAAGTATCTCCCCCGTCCTCCGCTCTGGATCAAGGCTTTCAACTGTCCTTGATTCTTCTTTAAGCTCCCAAAAAGAGTCGTTGCGGCTGCACTTGTATGGACGGACTCACCAAGTCACCACCTGAATAGTTTTTGGACTACTGGGCTGTCGAGACACCATTATGACGTATGGTTCAATTATCCGCAGCTTGTTCAAACTAATATCGCGAAATGTTTATCTAGAATGTTTGATGTCATCGGAATGGAATGCTCCAGTTGTCCTGAATTTATATGCCGGTGCCGCTCCACTAGACCGGTATCTATGCCCATGCGCGACTACGCCATTGCTGCGCCCAGGATCTGTACACCTTGGGTTGTTCCTCTTGCCATAGGCCCGTTTTTGGTGGAGGATGCTTTCCATGGCTGTGATCTACAACGAGAATACAGTTTCGACTGCTTACTTTCGATCACAAGGCAGTTGCGCAGATGAGGGTGTATTGGGCGGGACGAAGTATCATAACCCACCTTGCTTCGAAGAGTCAGCATCGCGCGAGACTTGAAGGCGTAGGTTGCTTTTGACCGGGACCATCTACTCAGTTAGCCGCCTGAGACCGTTTGCTCCCAGCTCAAGTTTTCTGTGGAGCAGCAATATCTTTTCCCTCTCAATATACCCTATGACGACTGGGTGTTCTCTGTATAGTGCCCTATTTATCCCATTACAGGATGACAAGAGTCGCATATCTGATCAAAATGCTTCAGCGCATACGGAAGTGTGGATTGCTTGTAATACCTCACACCTCAGGAACCGGCGCAACTTTGCGGAGCGATAGGCCATATTCACCAATAATATCGGTTGAATGCGGCATTGGCTCAGGCTCAGGATGGCTGAGATGCTGCAAGTCCTCGTGCTCCACGAACACTTCAAAATATGTTCGTGTCATTTTGAAAAGTACGTTTCGCTCTTCCCTCAAAGAAAAGCAGCTGTTCACGTATCATGCAGATTCCCACCCGTCCTCCCTCCCTCCTCCCTCCCCGGGGACTTTATTTGTTAACTGCCCCCAACGTTGGCTCGCGATCTTGTCTTGATAAGGTTCGTGGATTATCTTACACCCTTCTTGCCATTTTGCAGACAGACAGCTTGCACCCTCCGGTCTATGGACGTGTCCTCCACCGTTCCGCTTCGATACCCACCATTACCCTGAATACCATTACAAATTCAATACGGGAACGCGGTTATCGCACGTTTGTGAACCTCAACTTCCGTCAACGGTCTCCTGCTAAGCTCTTCTGCCGACCAGAGCCGTTTCAAGCGTTCGTCTGCATTCCGGGTGACCCTTGCCTCCTTCAACTCTCTTTCATAGCCGTTTGTGCTGTGGGGCTTCTATTCGCCGTTCACTATTTGGGATCGGTATTTCGCATACGAGGCGAATCTGGATTTCGTCTAGATGTGCAGCTGATTTCTATCGTGCGGCTTGAAGAGAGCTGCGACTTGGCAGGTCTATTCTTAGTCAAGGCTTTCTCGCACCAAGTACATGGTTCAGTTTGAAGCTTGTAGTGCCGAAAAGCATACTATGAAGCCGTTGATGAACACAATGCCTCTTTCCGCGCTCCGTTTGTCGTGATTTCATCCTCACTTTTCGATTTCCGGACTCTCGCACTCTCAGAACTGGACGGCGTAGCTTTATCACAAGATGCGTTATGGGTGCGCTTTGTGATATCCTTCGTGCAAGCAAAGCTGTTAGGCGATGATGTTTGGACTGTCCGCCCATAAAGACAGACCTGTTGATGTGCTATGTACAGTACCTATGTAAACCTCGTACTTGGCCGGCGAGACGCTATGTTATTGACTTTTCACTGCCCTCATGAACGGCAGCCACCTTGCAATGTGGCCAATGTGTTGTGCACCTGAAAGTGTTAAGTCTTCTTCATAGGTCTCTCAATAGTCGTTCTTCAGTATGAAAGAGCTGTGTTACAAGTATACTCAACTTTCACTCTTCAACCTTGCTCTAACCGCAAATACTGTACCTATTTTTAGTACAGTGCTCATGGCCAAGATGATTTCAATTACCATCATGACTGAAAGGGAAAGTCTTGGCGTTGTGACGTATAGAAACTGGTTCTCCACAAGCGAGAGGAATTGCTGAGGAAATTCAAGATGGTCGATAGTGAGGCTGGGCGTACGCGCCCGAGCACGACTCCTTTGTCTCTGTCTCTCATGTCGATCCCCTGTGCAGACTAAACATTGAAAAATGGTTGACGAAGTCCGCGATTTGCTCAAGCGGCAACATAACCCCGCACTTAGGCCGAGGATGATCTATTGACATATGCGAACAGGGAGAGCGTTGGGCATACATGGCCATACTCTTCACTTTATTTTCTCTTCTTGGGACAGGTTGGCAGCGTCTTCGCGCGCGCCGGCACGTGTACTGTCGGTTTACGCGCATTATTGATATGAATACGCGAAAGGCAGCCGCACACCTCACCATCCTCCGATCGTAGCACTGATCGATTCCCCAGGCCTTCCTTTTGAACCAGTATTTAACATACAGGTTTATTTTTCCCCACCAGTCAGCCTCCGCTGCTCGCCCACCATCCCGCCCGCTGTGCTTGTCCGCATACTACCACTATCACCTCACCTTATACAACCCACAAACCATTATACAGTCTACTCTGCGCCCTTTGCGCTACTTCAGTCTTTACACCCTCCTAACCTCTCCTAGTGTCTAGCCCGCCCGCCCTCGGGCTCTAGCTCTATTTCTCTCTTAACGGCCCTCGATATGTCCTCACCTTCGCTTCAGCGGGCGGCGTCTCTGTTCGTTTTGTCTCTAGTAGCATCCACGCTTGGACAGTCTACAACGGCGTCCGCACCCGGGCAACCTTTTCGCGCCGATGCTCCTGTAGGACAGTTCGACATCGTAGGAGACAGCATTGCCAGTGCTCAACAGGTAAGTCAATGAACCATCCTGTGCAAAAAGTCGTGTGCATCGTGTGGGGAAGCTCGTCGCTTCTCCTCGGTTGCTTCTGGCACATGGGCGTCTCCCGTGTTCGCATACCGGAACATTGGACGTGCTCCGTTACTGGCGCTGTCCCGAAGTGTCCCACTAACTTCCTATGCGCACATCGGGAGGCGACATGGGCAGATAGGATGCCTTTGTATGCGGGTGCTCCGCTCAGGCCGTAGCGCGGTCAACCAAGGCCGCCAACAAGTCTGTCCAGGCCTGCCCGTCCAAGTGTATCAGACGCGTGCTGTTCATTTTGGCAGTGAGGTGTTTCGCGTCTTTTGCGGCGCAAACTGTAATATGAAGGTTCTGCCCACACACGCGTTGAATAGCTTTTCCAATTCCATTATCGCTCAGATTTGTGATGGTGCGCTTACTGACCCGAACCTTTACCCATTTTTGCAGATCTTCCTTGGTACACCGAGCCGAGTATACGTAATTGACAAGACCGAGAACAACCCTACGCAGATCAAGGGTCACCCAGCATGGGCCGCCGAATACGATATCATTGCGAACAAGGGGCGGCCAATGGACATCGTGACTAATTCATTCTGTGCGGGTGGAAATGTTCTTGGGAATGGAACTTGGATCAACGTTGGTGGTAATCAAGGGGTTACGTATGGTGGTATTACGTCGAAAACACAAAATGGTGGTGGCCCTTACGATGACCCAGATGGTGGACAGTCGTACGTCCAATTCGTGTCCGGGTGGATATCTGGCTGACATTGGACCAATCGTTTATAGTGTCCGTTTGTTGGATCCTTGTGATGATGGCAATTGCGATTGGAGACTCGTTGCGCCCACGACAACTAGGCGGTGGTATCCGACTCTGTAAGTAATTTCCAATATCTCGGTCTTTTCGCATGAAATCGAACCTCTGTTCGCAGTGAGACCCTGGAAGATGGAAGCGTCATCGTTGTAAGCAGCGGCAGGATTCCTCTTTTTCTTCGCTTCTAACACTTGTCTAGATCGGTGGTTGCGAATGGGGTGGTTTCGTTAACAGCGCACAGCAAAACAACCCGACCTACGAGTTCTTCCCTTTGCCCAAGGACAACCCCGATCCCATCCAGTCTCCTATGCTCAGCAATACTCTCCCGGCCAACCTCTTCCCACTGACGTGGCTCCTCCCCTCCGGAAAAGTCATCATGCAAGCGAACTGGGGTACTGCTATGCTCGATTACAAGAATCGCAAAGAGTATAAACTCCCCGACATGATTCACGCCGTTCGGACTTACCCTGCTAGTGCCGGAACGGCTATGCTTCCATTGACACCTGCGAATAACTGGACCGCTACGATTATGTTCTGCGGTGGATCTAACCTGCAAGACGATCAGTGGAAGCCAAACTGGAACATCCCCGCATATGCCGCTTCCAAATCTTGTGTCTCCATTACACCTGATGTCTCAACGAACTACGTCGAGGAAGATGATCTTCCTGAGGGTCGGTCTATGGGTAACATGATCCTTCTGCCTAATGGAAAGATCCTCATGCTTAACGGTGCCGCGACCGGTGTGGCTGGTTATGGCAACGAGTCTATGGCGATTGGACAGAGTTATGCTGATAATCCAGTGTTGATGCCTGTGGTGTATGATCCTAGTGCACCCAAGGGTCAGAAGTGGAACCGGGATGGGCTGTCGGCAAGTAAGATCCCGAGGATGTATCACTCGAGTGCTGTTTTGCTTCCTGATGGCTCGGTGTTTGTCTCTGGTTCTAACCCTAATGCGGACTACAACACTAACGTCAAATTCGCCACCGAGTATCGGGTCGAGCGGTTCTATCCTTCGTACTTCAACAAGCGCAGGCCTCAACCTGAGGGTCTCCTCACGCAATACGCTTACGGTGGCCCATACTTCAATGTCACTCTTTCGAAGGATGACCTTTTTGGAAACTCGGATAACCTCAATAATACTGAGGTGGTCATTGTCCGGCCCGGATTCTCTACGCACGCGATGGTGAGTGGGGACTCTTTGTGTTTACTCGGATGAAGATTTGGAGGCTGACATCATATGTGATATGAAGAACATGGGCCAGAGGATGATCCAGCTGGAAAACTCGTACACGGGCAACAGCGATGGCACAGCTGTGTTACATGTCAGCCAACTTCCCCCCAACCCGGCCATCTTCGCTCCAGGACCTGCACGCACGTCCCCTCTTTCCTCCCCTTGATTGCCGCTGATTCTTACATTTGTTTTCGTTTCTTTATAGTGATCTTCGTTGTGGTTGATGGCGTACCCTCCATTGGTATCCAAGTAATGATCGGTTCTGGTCAACTTGGACCTCAGCCAACACTTGCCATCGCTGCCCTGCCAGCTTCCGCAACCGCAACCACTGGTAATAGCCACTCAACCGCTGGTGACGCTGGTGACGCTGGTTCTCGGAGTCAAGCAAGTTCTGCTCTGCGAACTCTGTCCGTTGGTTTCGACTCCTTGGCACAGGTGGTTTTGTTGCCGTTCCTTGCAGCATGGTCCATGGTTTCTTTGGCTATTCTTTAAGTGGACTCTTTGATTGCTGGACATTTCTTTTTACTCCACGTTTACGACATTTACGGACTCCTCATTTGCACATTTTATGGACCCTCTTCATGACAATCTACCCCTCGGGCACTCTTGTATCTTGGCAGCCCTCTATACCTCAACAAACCCATCATCCCATGATATTCTTGCCCACGATCCTCCTTACACTTATCCCATCCCACATCTTGCAATAGTAGCTACTGTACATCGGAATATACCGTCCCTTCCTTCACGATAAATTACTTCACCCTCTGTCTTTTTAGATGCGTAATAGCCTTACACTCTCACAGTGTATATTCCAACGCTTGTTGCAGATATCTTCTCCCCAACTTGTCTTGTTGCTTATAGATAGCCTGTTTGTACATAGGATACAATATTGATAGAGTACGTAGTAATCCTCTTCGTATTCAACATTTCCATCCTCATCTTGAATCCTGCGGACCACGCCCGATATATGTATGTTCTATAAGACACAAACTTCAAGACCTCAGATCCTGCTGCGCATCTTCTCCGCCGTGGCAACAAGTTTCTCCTTGTCGGCTTGACGAGCAGGCCAGCTAGCGTCGACGTCAAGGACCAAACCGTCCTGAGGAGTTGTCTTGGGGATGATATGGAAATGAACGTGGTCGACGTGCTAAGAGACAATGATAAGTTAGATGACATGATACTTCCACTTGAAGGCCTTTACGGAGGTCCTCACTTGGAATGCGAGCTTGCCATTGTTCTACGTGGAATAATCGATCAATGCGGTGACTCTATACACACATAAATGCGGGACCCTAGAATCACATACCTGAAGGACGTTGTATTGCTCGGCTCCTGTAGCAGCAGCGACCTTCTTCAGAGCCGGACCTATATCGGCAAGGTACTCATCGGGCATATCCCCCAAAGTCCTGGCATGATCTGAGAACGATCGAGTACGATCGTCCGTTCGTCAACTAGGCTCAATAACAGGTTCTCTGATACTGACATTTAGGGATAACTTGGGTATGTCCCTCGGAGACGGGTGATATGTCCAAGAAGGCAAGGCTAAAGAATCAAATGGGAGACTTGAGGAGGCTTTGTTCGAGAATATATGGTAAACATACGTATGTTCGGTCTCGTATACCTTAAATGCAGGGATAGCACCTGTATTATGGTTGGTGAGATGTGGCTGCAGTAGACCATATACTAGGACTTGCCTTTCACGATAGCGCAGAAGAGACATCTGAGAGACGATCTAGTAGTCAGAGACTATTTATAGTCCTTTCAAGCCAACGGACTGACTTGTCGTCGCTAGACATCTGGAAAGATATGGATACTCTTCGTGTTCCTGAGGGTGAAGAAGGGAAGAAGTTGTGTTTGCTCCCCTTATTAGCAATAATATAGCCCCGAAGTTGAGACTTTGGGACATCCCGTCGGATTGATGGAATCATTCATGAAACTTGTCTGGGTAATTTAAACCGCGTTTGACGGGAAGGAAAAATCATACTGAGTATCTATTTCTCATATTGAGTCGGCCCAGGATCGAACTGAGGACCTTCTGTGTGTTAGACAGATGCGATAACCAGCTACGCCACCGACCCAATGTTTGGGACAGAAAAAAAATCTTTTGCATCATGGATCAGGACCTCCCTACGTAATCCCAGCCAAATTCCAATAGTGCTTGTCTATCCCGGTTCCCAAGGCCACCGAAGACCAATTCCTCGACCAGGTGCATGCCCAGTACTCACTATACAACACGAACAGTATTTACTTTCGTATTATAAACCTTGAAGTTTGAAGCCTAGGATCCAGCTATTTATCCGACCAACATCCGACCAGACGACGATACCTATAGTCTGCGAACGGTTGATAGACCACCTGGCAGACCGAATGTCATAGCGCCAAGTCATTACCGCAGGAGTCGGGTGATGAGTTTATTGGAGCTAACTATGATGTTAAACGCGATGTTCCTCCACAACTGTCGTTCTCTACTTAAGCAACCGCTGTACGTTCCTGACTTTTTCAAACGTACCCTTGAGCATACCCACCCACCTCACTCGCTGCAACACTTAACCAATTCCTTCTCTCATCTTGTTGTCACAGCCCCTCGCTCGATTCTACTATCTTTCTAATATCCATACCCAATTCGTTGTTATATTGGTTCTACATCAAATAATGCATCCAGCTCAGATTCTCTGTCGTCCCCTCACCGTCCGTGTCATGAAGGGCGCCGCAGGTCGATACACGCACTACCCCAACAAACTTCACCAGCGTACTATCATCACCCTCAAGGACCACCTCGTATGTCTCACACTGTGAATTTGTATTTTGTCATATTCTGACGCCATTCATTGCTCAGTACTTCGCTAAGGCAACTGCAGGCGGTCCCGGCCGCAACGGTACAGTGCAGTCTAACGGCGACTCGCCTCTCGAAGTCAACATGTCCACGCCTAAGATTGCAGGAGGTAAGGGCGACGGCCCTAGTCCTGAACAGCTTTTAGCCATGGCATATTCTTGTACGTTCTACTCATATCTCTATAAAGGCATTCCTCGTTTCACGGATGTCGACAGCATGTTTTCTTGGTGCCCTCCAACTCGCAGCTTCTCGTGCCAACAAGAAAGAAATGGCCGAGAATGCTCAAGTACATACGTCAATTTTCTTAGGTCACCCTGAAGACCCCAACATGGACGGCTTCGGTCTTCGAGCGGAAGTCATTGTCGAGGGATGCCCCGACGATTCTATCATCTCTTCGGCTCACGAGGTTCGTTTGTTATTTCTCTACTTAATGCATACACTTACGACCTGTGTTCTTCCAGTTCTGTCCTTTCAGCCGCGCGTTGCAGTACGGAGCCGATGTTTCAGTCATGAAGACTTGATTGTTACTTCGCGTTCTACACCGGAGTGTCTGAATTCACCCTATAAGCTTGAACAGTCTACTGTAATCCTCTATTATGGACCATTGGATAGTGCGCTACCCTCTCATCATAACATGTCATACCAGTTGCACACTGTACATTTATATCTGTATCATACTGTATATACCCTCATAAGTGACGAATATACTGTACTGTATCTTTTTTTTTTCCCACTGTACGAGTCGAAATCGAATCGATGTAGCTTACTTTGTGCTCAACGGCTTGACGATGCGTACTTTCAAGCGAATTGTAAGCGTGCGAATTACAAATCTTTAGAGCTGTGTAAGGGTCCAAATTGAAGTCCAATCGCACCTTTTCCCTCCATCCTTCGATCGTTATCGATTCAGCCACCTTTGGTGGACCCATTAAAGTGTGTTGGCCGCATACCTGGAAGCAGCGACTATGTAGTTCAAACTGAGTATCTAATTTAATGGAACACTAGTTGACAAGGCTGTTGTGAACCCACCGTGTGTCATGCATGCCGTTTAACAAACTGTGCGTGTGACTCCAGTATATGCTAGTTATTCATTCCTTATAAGCTTGTACAGGTTACCCTCGTTCAGAAAATGCTTCGTCTTTGGTAGGTACAGTATCTACCAGTCTTACGGCAGACTGATATCCAGTGGGAAGGGGTTTGTCTTGACTGACTTTCACTGGGCTTGGTTTGCGTTCGTCCAGGATTGACGGCAGCCGATCATGGTACATACTCATGGCCACCAACGACCAATTCATTACACGATTAGGCAGGACTTATCCTATTGCACGAAGTACTACCCAATCAGGATAGGCCAACCAGGATAGGATCCAGCTATTTCTCCAACCGATCATCATCCAGCTCTACTCGTGGTTCATAGGCACCTGCTATGAAAATACGCAACTGTGGTTCCATCCTGTGGTTTAACGCCAACGGTTGAGGGAACATCCAGACTGAGCGCCATAGCGCCAAGCCCTTATCGCATTACATGGTGTCGGTAAGTGATGAAATTGGAGCGAGGTATGGTGCTAGAGAGAATGTTCCTCCACAACTGTCGTTCTCTACTTAAAACGGGTACCGACGTTCTTGATTTTCAAGCATAACCCACTTCACTCACTACAACACGTAGCCAATCCCTTCTCTCACCTTGTTGTCACGACCTTTGCACGATTTCTTACCTCCTGCCTAATATCCATATCCAATTCTCCATCATATTGACTCTACATCAATAATGCATCCAGCTCAAGTTCTTCGTCGCCCTCTCACCGCCCGTGTCATGAAGGGCGCTGTAGGCCGATACACACACTTCCCCAATAAATTCCACCAACGTAGTATCATCACTTTGAAAGACCACGTCGTATGCCTCTCATTGCCTATCTTCATTTCATCGTAGTCTGACGTCATACATTGCCCAGTACTTTAAGGCAACTGCAGGTGGTCCTGGCCGCAATGGCATAGTGAAGTCTTATGGCGACTCGCCCCTCGAACTCAAGATGTCTATGCCTAAGGTAGCCGGCGGTAAGGGCGATGGCCCTAATCCTGAACAGCTTTTAGCCATGGGATATTCTTGTGCGTTCTTTTTCTTAACTGTGTTTACAGCATTCGTCGTTTAATGAACACCCACAGCATGCTTTCTTGGCGCTCTCCAGCTCGCTGCTGCTCGCGCTAGTAAGAAAGAGATGGCCGAGAACGCTAAAGTGCACACAGTAGTTTTCCTTGGTCACCCTGACGCCCCCAACATGGACGGCTTCGGTCTTCGAGCAGAAGTTATTGTCGAAGGATGCCCCGACGATGCTATCATCGCTTCGGCCCATGAGGTCCGCATTCATCTCTCTGCTAACTACATACTCGCCCTTACCACCTGTGTTCTGCTAGTTCTGTCCTTACAGCCGCGCGCTGCAGTATGGGGCCGATGTTTCAGTTATGAAGGCATAATTCCGACTTTGATTTATACATGGGAGTCGTGAATTCATCATATTCTACAACCATACTAACAGGTAACTGTAATCCTTTATCATGGACTTTCGATGATATGCGAACCTCCTTTCATTGTAATATCTCATACCAAGTACTACACATCGTACATTTGTATTTCTGTCATATCCAGATACCCCTAGGTTACGAATAGACTGTGTTGTATCATGTTCATTTCCTGCTTGCGACAATTCGAAACCAGGACCAATGCAATTTTTAGCCTCACTTGATTGTAAGCGTGGGAAATTGAAGTGTACAGAGTCCATCCACCATTCTTTCTTCCTCACAAAGTACCGTAAATCCCTTTTTCCATCATCGTTCACTTGACTCTAGGGCTCCCAAAACGCATTACTGCATACCCTGTATCCCCGGACAGTACATTAGCCTATATCGGGTGTCTTCAATGAAATACTGCATTTGATTGACACTCGTCAAACTCTCCAGGCGGATCTGATATGACCAGCTGACTACTTCTTATTCATTTGTCGAGACCGCCCTCGTTCCAAGATCTACTTACCTTCGGGAGGTATGATATGCGCCTCTCTTCTCATCGCAAACTGACGGGCCACGGCCCTCAGCGGTGAGAGGAGGGAGAATTTCAGAACGCGGGGCTTCTCCGGATTGACTCTCGCTAGCATCATTCCGCGCTCGTTTATGGGTCCCTGGCCGAAGCTCGCTATTCTTGGAAGCTTGTTCCAAACGACCGAGACATTCTCCTTAGACTACAGGTGTCGGACTTCTCAAGATGCAACCATTCTTTCTACGACTGCCGTTTGACCTCACGTACCGTATATCAGGTTCGAATGCCAGTCTTTTACTCAGAGCCTCCAAGTATCCTTATCGTTCAACCTCGGCGAAACATTTGTTTTTAACTCAAGCGTAAGCTCAAGCGCGACCGCATCCACCGCTTAATGCCCGGCGAGGCATCTGATGGTACGCTTGTTTTTCAGCAATAACGCTGTGATATTCCACAATCGTACCCTACGCTGGTGCAAGCTGCCTTTAAGCTCTCCCTGATAATCATAGGTGTGGCACGATGACACCGGGCATTATTACCCTCGAACAGATAAAACCCCACGTCTCTCATCTACCCCAGTTCACTAGTCAGTTGATGGTCAGACCTTGTATGCCATGCCCTCCGTTGTAATTTTGGCATTCTCGCTTGTCGCGTTCACATGGATGCTCCATCGTTTGAGCAAGATCGGTTCAAGAGAACCAGGACTTCCACCTGGTCCTCCAACGCTCCCCCTCATCGGGAACTTACATCAGTTTGAAACCAAGCATACGTATCGCAAGTAAGCTTCCTCCCATCCCCCATAGTATTGGCCAAATTTCCGACGACCCACCAGATTTACCGAATGGGCCAAGACTTACGGTGACATTTACTCTGTAAGTTCTCATATATATGTTTATCTTTTCCATCAAGTCAGAAGCACTGAACGTTCTCTTAGATCAAAATGGGATCGACCACTGGCATCGTCATTTCGAGCCCGAAGCTGGCTCGTGAATATATCGATTTGCGTGGTGCAACCACGTCCGATCGTCCACCAGTTTACACTGATGAACTAATATCGGGAGGCTTAGAGCTTCCGCTGTCGCCATACGGTCGGTCTTCCTCATTCCGAATATCTCCAATGTATGTGCTTACTCGACCCTTTGTTGATTAGGACCGACCTGGAGAAGCATGCGTCGAGCGGCACATGATATGTTATCACCGAAAGCGTGTTTAAGACACTTGCCCATCCAACGCGCAGAATCGGCTCAACTTATGTTCGATTTACTAGAGAGTCCCCAGGTTCGTGTCTATCCTGAGGACCTCAAGATATCCGCTGATCTTACCAATTCGAACAGAGGTTCTACACACACACCAGTCGGTACTCAGGTTCGGTGATCACCTCTGTGCTTTATGGCATACACAGCCCAGTATATGAGAATGGCCTTGTCGAGAAGTTCGACAAATTCACGGAGAGACTCGAAAGCGCTCTCAAGCCTGGCAACAGCCCTCCAGTCGATATGTACCCCTTCATGAAATACCTCCCAGAGATTCTGGGTCCGACGCCTTGGAAAACTCGTTGCAAGGAAGTGCGAAAAGAACAACGGGAAATATTTTTCGGCCTTCTTGATCTGGTTGTGGAACGTATGGAGAAGAATCAGCGAAATGGATGTTTCATCGAGAGCGTTCTAGATCGCCAGGAGCAATATGGCCTGGATAGGGAGCTGATTGGGTATGGCACAACCTCCATTAACAAGGTGTAAACGTCACTCACATAAACCCCAAGCTACCTTGGTGGCTCTCTCTTACAAGCCGGAAATGACACAACAGCAGTCTTCCTACAGACATTATTGGTGTGCATTATCTCGCATCCAGCTGTTCAACGTCGTGCACAGCAGGAAATCGACAGCGTCATCGGACCTGACAGGCTTCCGGAATTTTCTGACTTTGATAACCTGCCATATCTCAAAGCGGTCATAAACGAGGTGGGTTGATCAAGACGTACTGTACATGTGAATTTGCGTAATTTGTTGACATTCTTATACAGGTTCATCGTTTCCGCCCTATTGTCCCTATAACCATACCTCATGCCTCCACCGCCGACGAAAGGGTTCGAATTGTTTTCTTATTTGTTCACCGTAACAGCGAATTGATTGCTTGTCCAGGCAGGGGATTACATGATTCCGAAAGGGTCTATCTTATTCATCAATGCCTGTATGTTCCTTTTCATTCACCCCCCGTTCTTTGATATTTAATCTTGTTCTTTGTGCAGGGGGTATATACCGACATGAGGACTATTACGAGAATCCTGATACTTTCGATCCGGACCGATTCCTGAAGAATCCACATGGAACTAAGCCAGGAGTTGACCCTACGGGTTGTCGCGGTGACTATGCATTTGGAGCAGGAAGGGTGTGTCCAGGTGTCTTGCTACTGGCTATATGTTGGTTGACAGGTGCTCTCAGCGAATTTGCCCCGGGTTGCATCTTGCGAATAACTCGATCGTACGTTAAAAGATTGTGCTTTCGACGCCGTTTGACGAGTTCGTTCGGTTTAGGCTCTCAATGCCATGAATTTGCTTTGGGCATTTGATTTCACGAAAGCCAAGGATCCTGTTACTGGTAACTTGATCGATATTGACATGAATGCACTCAAGGAGGAGGTGAGTTGCGTCTAGCTTTGCGTGCCAGAATCGAGGTACGACTGTGACTTTGCAGTCCGTTCTGTTGGTCCCCAAACCATTCCGTTGTGAAATTCAACCTCGAAGTGTAGAGAAGGCGAAGATGATCCGCATGCAGTTTGCAGCTGCCAGGGAGATCTTTGAGAACTTCGAACACCACATGTCACTGAAGAGTGGGGAGGTTCAATGAGTTCTGTGTTATCGTTCAATCTTTCAATATTCCCATAGTAGAGTACCGTGATCAGACAGCATTGAACGCATGAAGCGGTTCTTGCAGAAGTCAGTAGGGATGAAGATGATGAGGCTGCTGATACAATTGCGACGAATCGGTTTAGGGACTTCACTCTCCTCGCTCCACCGACGAGCGCAGCCGCAGGAGATGTTGCTGGTCCTAGTGATGACTATGTACGTGTATTTTGACGACACCCAATCATTGACCCCTTTTCCTTTCACGCCACTTCCCCATCGGGACTCTATGACGATTCAACTCATGACTCGTAGTACATACCGAAAGTATAACCCCGGTCTTCTTTCAATAAACATCTCATATTTCCTCTTCCTCTTCACCTTCGAGCTGCCTATATGCGGTATATACTAGCCTTGACTATGCAGATAAGTATGACATCTCAATAATAGGAACCGAGAAGACATCGGGATGTTTGTCTAGCCAGTATGTACATCGTTTATCTTCAGCTCCGAGACTGATAAATATACTATTGGTGACAATGATGTAGATGCATTTGACTCCCTGTGCAGGCCTGTCAAACAGTATCCTCAGTTGCATTTCTTTTTTCCGTCAAAAGCTTCAAACTCCCCAGCTCCTGCACCAGTCTATGTACGTACGACTGGTTCGCACTTGAAATCAATCTGTCGTTGGCGCCTCCAATGATCTTCAGATGTATGGCTGTCGCCGTTTTGAAAGGGCTCCGACTCCTATCACCCAAAAGCGGATATTCAGCATCGCCATGGCCGATGCGACGTCCGAATTATGGACGATCATCACCCGCACGTAGCCTCCACGTGGGTGAAATTCCAAAGGTGCATGCATATATAAGGTGCACTGGAGGCAGTTGTCAACCAGCCTTTTCAATCGTTCAGATGAATTTCCCATCTTCCGATGTGCTAGACGGGTTGTGGCTATCACAAGCTGAAGGGTACGTTATAGTAGCCTTTCTCACGGTCAGTATCAAATCTGAATCTCATCTAAAGCTGATGGTCACATTCTTTCTTTCGTAGCTTTGGACTTGGGAACTCCTCATATCCTTTGCAGATGATGTGGAAATGTTCACCGGACGGAGATTCGCTTTATACGATACAGTATATGTCTTGGCTCGGTTCGTTGCTCTTGGTTGGAAACAAAGGTGCCCGAACTTATCAACTGTGCAGGATGGCAACTGGGGGATTGCTCATGTCAACTCTGGGATTCTTAGGTAATTGATTCACCAGAAAGACAATATTCATTGAGCTGAAAGCGAAGTACACAGCACAATCTGGAACCGGTTGCGAACCAGTTCTAAAAGCTGTCGGCTGGTTCGAAGCCTTTTCTCTGATTTTGAATTCGCTTCTCTTTCTTTTCCGAGCATTAGCTGTATTTTCTTTATCACCAAAGATCAAGGCGCTCTTCAGCTTTCTGTGGCTGATAACGCTTACGGCGTTAACTATCCCGTTCAGTTCCACCCTTAATATCGGACCCGTTTGCAATATTGACGATGTCAAGCCGTTCATATCAGTATCCTTCGCCCTGGTTACAACATTTGACACCGCCGTCTTCGTCGCAATATCCTTAGAGGTGCTTAGATATAACTTGGTAGATACGAGAAGAAAGGGCTTCATCTCTTTCGTTTGTGGCCAGGGATTGGGTCAAGTGTCGAGGGCACTACTGCTGACGGGACAGTTGTATTACTTGTTCGTCATGTTCATTTAACTTCTTTGTTTGCCGTCATATGCTCATCTTTACTGCCGATGCTTTGTAGGACAATGATTCCAGTGAACACAATGGCTTTAATCGTCATTCTTTCGTCGAAATCTACGTTTCCTCCCATGTTTAAGGCTGGGTTTATGCTTGCCGCTTTTGCCACGCAGAACATCATGGCCTCCAAAGTGTTTCGTCTACTCAGACTTGGTCGTCTCCAAGAAAATGCCTCGCTGCTCCACACGTCTCAGGATGAAAGGACGCAGAGTATCCGTTTCGCTCACCAAAGCGAACATGTATGTTCTGGCGACTTTGTGTCGTCCGTGGTGGAAGGAGGCATAAATGCCTCCATGACCGCTGAACATGCACAAGCGAGCACAGAGCACGTGGTTGATCCCGACAACGAACCAGGAGGGACAAGCGGAATGTTCACAATCACTCAGTCCACTGCCTAGGTGATTTTATCCTTTTTCAACACTCTTCAAATGTGACTGAGATGTATCCAGCAGCCTTTCACTTCGTTCTCATCATGGTTGAAAGGTCGGTCAACTAAGATTCCTCGTTGGAAAAGACCGCTGGCATTGCTTACACTTAACCTTTTTGTAGCATTTTGATCTCGCCGTCGGTATACTGTATATTGCCTTTATCTTAACGATCTCGCATAATCAGAATAATTTATCAGTATAAACCACACTTGCTTCATGCGAGGCTTTTGCATTGATCCAATCTGACCGGCAGCGCAAAAAAAAATATTATTCTTAGGCACGTTATAAACCTGGCTCAAATCATGATACGTCACATTGTATGTACCGAATTTCCTACCTCTTGACTGGGATCGCTCCGTACGTCACTCCTCTTCACGTTCGCAAAACCAATTACTGGATCATATTTGCAAGATTCTAGTGCATCGATATAAGTTAAGATTTTGGCCTAAAGTGGGGTTGTTTGGCTACGCGACGTGATTTACAAAATCATCACGCTCAAGCTCAAGTGAATTATCATCGTTAATAGCATTGTTGCCCGCCAGAATAGGTTCCACAATGGCTGAAGACATGGGTGCGGGAAGGTGTATATTACGACAGAAGTTATGATTACAATTTTACCAAGTACAACACGTTATAATTTGAAGCAACCATACACTGCCTTGAAATGTGTTCCGGGTATGCGCTTGAAGGATGGATCTATGTAGAAGCCGCTGTACACGATGGCCAAGGCATGTGAAGCGGATTGCACATCTGGGAGAGTGCAGTCTCGCTGCTCACGTTGGTCACAAGAGGGAATTGTCCGTCCTCGCGAACATCTTTGCGTATTCCTCCCAATGGGGATTCGAAAGCAATACTTGCAAGGGACGGGCAAAACGTTGAGAAACGCTTGGCAATACTCTCTGGCTCGCACAAATGGTCAGCATCTCTGCGGCCCACTTGTTGCTCTTCTGGAAATCCTTCTTCAAAAAAACGAAGTGCTGAAGGTCCGTATTCATCGACATTCGTCTTGTAATTCCATGAAAACCGACGAAGACGAGTGAAATTGGCAAAATGCGGAGCATATTCCCAGGCGGCAAATGGCCAAGGGGTTTCCTTCGTACGATACTCTATGTCACTTTCTCTGTAGCAAAGCGTCAAGTATTCAACTTGGGGTAACGCGCTGGCGATTCGGTCGAGGATATCAGGTGCTGCGTACCGAAGGCCATCTAAGACCAAGAAACGTATAGACGAGCCGTTTAACACATCGAGGAGCGTGAAAAGGTTCTGTCGATGCAAGCCACCACTTGTCTCCAATTTAAAATGCGTGAGCCGGAGTACCGTGGACTCGTTGCCATCACGAGCGGATTGTATCCAGGCGTTGAGCCTTGGAATCCAACCTGGTGGGACCTGCAACATACTAAATCTTTGGAGCGTTTTGAAAGGAGTGAAGGCTGCCATGAGTTCAGGGGGAGGCATTATCAAGCCTGGTTCATCTCGATCGCAACTTGGTGACAGGATGAACAGGTTCTTGATATTCGGGCACATTCCGAGGAAAAGCCAGGAGCCGCGCTGTTCCTTGGTGTACATGAGCCGGAAGTTTAGGAGCGAGGGAAGCTTCGCAATAGTATAGGGGCAGCGCAATGTTGGAGTACATGAGGACAACGTCAAAGTACGAAGTCGCTCGAGACACCCAAGGCTTTGTGTCAGCTCTTTTGTGATGTGCCAGTGTTGCAATGTCAAGGACTGTAGATTTGGAAGGCATACGATAAGGTTACTGATCCCGCTGTATACCGGGGCGCAGAAGGAACGTCGATTCTCATCATTTCCAGCAACACTGGTTCTCGTCCATGTCCTGTGTACTTGCCACTCGTCATCCACGTAAACGTTATGCAATGCTATAAGGATATCTGGACGCGACTTAACAAAGTCGATATCGCTTAGGAGTTTCGATCGCGCCTGGGTAATCAGGGGGTCCAAGTATGTCGCCAGTGCATCGAACGAACGTAGAGAGTGGTAGTGATGCCATTGAATTCCGCAAGACAGATGAAAGCGGTGATCCTAATATAAACCAAGTCAGTAGATCGACACGTCTGGTAACCCACGACATTACCTTGAACATGTATGAGAAAGATATCTCTCTTAGCAAGCGACACGTAGTACCCAGCTTTCTTGCCAAGTCAATGCCAGCGATTTCTACGATATTATGGAGAAGTTCTGGAGGCAGATCATGGAGGCACAACGTCTGGAACCTGGGAGTAGGATTTTGTGTGAAGCAGTCTATTACACGATCTAGAACAATGCCGGTGATAAGAGAGGCTTAGAAAGCTGGTGACTAGATTAACAATGTCAGAAACATACCTCTCCAAGCAGAGAAATTATGCAATGAAAAGGAATCATGAGCGAGCCACTTGGCCAGAAACTGGTCCCAATTTTGGGGGGCCGCTGGTTTCATTTCTGTTTCCAAGACTTCTTTACTGTCTCTAACTCCGATTTCCCTAGGAGTCAAAGATGACTTTGCGTCCCGCAACAATTCTTCAAGGTCTGAAGAAAAATCATTCCAACGCAGGATGATGGAATCATATCGCCGTTGATGTCGACCCGTTAGATCCAAAGAACCCTAGCCCGTGTAAGAGGACCGTCGAGCAATGCGATCGCGACAGAATATGTCAGAATTCATGCTTACTGTATGAAAGCCTTCCACAGTCTCAAAGAAACGCATAATTCGATAACTCTTGATGGTACTTAGGATGGTCCGGGGAACATCATCCTTCGACTCCAAACCATGGCTCGCGATTGGGACAACACTTCTTCGGCAGTCATGTTGATCCCTTTGGTGGAAACGCATCTCAACACCAGATAAACCTCATCAGAGACAGTGTGAATGCCTGCCGCAGCCATTCGATAGTGTATTCCACATACCGTCTTCCCAATGATCTTTTGCTAACTCCCTCTCATCTTCCGAGTCCATTCTGAGTTTCAAGAACTAAGGACGCTCTCAGCCGTAATAAAAGGAGAAAAGCGAAGATAGGCCAGTCAGTTTTCTGAATCATATATCCTAGAGGGCACTGCTAGCACCCAGGATATTAACATTCAGCATTCGTGCAAAGGTGTTGGTTACCTTTTTGAGACAAGTATGTACAGTACTGTAACTCGAAAACGCCCATACCTAGTGGCACAATATTTACCTTACTCGGACCGCGACTACAACCAGCCTTGCCCTCTTGCACCGCACTTTCGTCTCCTGAATGTTAGAAGTGGAACAACGCAGATAATATATCTTTGTCCTCGTTTCTACGGCTTGCCAGGTCTATTTTAGCATTCCATTTTGTTTTTGAATGTGGGGAAATCTTATCTTATCTACAGTTGGCATGTAAACAAGCACAAACAGGTGGGCCGTCTGCTTTACCGAGCAAGGAACTTCACTGTTATTGCTACATACCACTGCCTAGAATTTGCTTATTCTAGGCTCATAAGCTACTTGTCCGGCACTCATAACCCATATACTCATAACTCGGTTTGAATCTAACACTATGGCCACCATTCATCCATCTCGCATGGGCCTTGTGCCGCAAAACCCCAAAGACACGTACTCATCTTCAGCTTATCCTCGCGGTCGTTCTCCATCTCCTCGCCAGCCGAGAAAGCGTACAACTTCTCGGTCACGCAGCAGAGAGAGACGGTATGCTGGTGAGGGCAGAGTAGAACAGAGCGGCAATCGAGACAGTGGGTATGGAGACCGGAGCAGGAGGCAGGAGAGGGCAAGAGCCGATGACTACTTTGATGAGAGTCGTGGAAGGAAACGCAGTCGAAGTCGCAGTCTAGACAAGGAGCGAGACAAGGAGAGAGTGGAAAGGCGAGATGACAGACGTGGTCGTCGTCCAAGCCCCGAATACACTGAGTACAAACGACCTTCCTCGAAGGAGAGGGAAGGTTCTGCTCCTGCATCATGGCGACAACAAGACAGCATGTATTCTGGCAGAAGGGATAGACCTCAAGCTTATCCTCAGGGTGGCTCCGACTTTTTGGACAGGTAAGTCGTACGTCAAATTCTCATATATTGCTGTCTAACGTCCCTTTGTTGCAGTCGACGCCAACAACGTGAGAAGAGCACATTCAGTATATGGCCGCCTTCACCCAAAGCTCCTACTCGATCGTACGTACAATATATGTAATTCCAATATCGTATTTCGTTACTAACCGCTTTGTGCTGTAGCTCCCCAAGTCCCGACTCAAAACGTCGCAAGAAATCTCGCAAGCACAAACGCGATGTATCTTCAGAGACATCGACCGATTCAGAAGAAGAGCGGCGCCATCGAGAACGAAAGGAGCGAAAGCGTGCTCGCAAAGAGAAAGAAAGGGAACGTGAGAAGGATAGGGAAAGACGGAGACACAAGTCAAGATCAAGGTCTGTGCGAGCTCATGGCGAGTCCGAAGACGAGAGGCGGGAGAGACGACACAGAAGAAGCCGAACGAGAGAGGAGAGTGAGGAGAGGTCGAGGAGCAGACATAGGATTTCTCCTCGAAGCAAGACGCGAACGAAGAGCCCAGAGCAGAAACCTCCTTCTAGCGAGGAAGTCGACGAGGACGAATGGGTCGAGAAGCCAGCTACGTCTAATATCTTCGCTGCAGCATCTAGTCATGCGAACGGCATCTCCTCCATGGGTCCCCCTCCCGTTCCCGCCTTAGCTTCGTCATTGAAGATGCCTGATGACGAGGAGTCCGATGAAGAAGTGGGACCGAAACCTCTCAAGGAAGTCACCACATCGAAGAAGATTGATGAACGACAATACGGAGGTGCGCTGCTCCGTGGTGAAGGTAGTGCCATGGCGGCCTTCCTTGTGGATGGCACGGACGTCCGTATTCCCCGTCGTGGTGAAATTGGTCTTTCGTCCGATGAAATCGCTTCCTATGAACAAGTCGGATATGTAATGAGCGGAAGCAGACATAGGCGGATGAATGCGGTTCGTATGAGGAAGGAGAACCAGGTTATCAGCGCGGAGGAGAAGAGAGGTATCTTGAAGCTACAGCAGGAGGAGAGGGAGAGGAGGGAGGCGATCTTACGGGAGGAGTTCCAGCAGCTGGTTGAGGAGCGGCTCAAGGGGTCTGGAAGTAGCAAACCCTCGTCGTAGGAGCAGTGTATCTGGTACCGAACATCGTCATTGACCTGTACTTTTATATCTTACTATGGCATTGCATCTGATTTGCTCCAGAATGTATCCCTTCATTCTTTTACAAGCTTAATCTTGACACCTCGAAGAACGGTGGAGACAAAGATAGATGCTGGCAATGCAGCAGAGTAATTTAACGTAAATGACATGCCGGTCTATATTGGTTATTCCTACATCGGCGTGAGGGTAGGCATACAACTATCACACCATAAAGGTATTAAGCCTACGTACTCTTGATTATTCGCTTTCATACCCGGTCAAGAGGTGTAGCAAGCTCTCCAGCGATAACAAGAGATCGCGATTTATCGAAGAATCTCTCTTCATCAGGTAATACAACCTTCTGGTACTCCGGATGATTGAAGACCTCAAAGATCTTCTCGAAAGACTCCCCTTCGAAGATGGCCATCCCGTAGTAAGGTACAGGAGCCATAACTGGGCCCCCTTCGGAGAGAAGTTGATTTGGTTTGGGGTCGAAGTGCATCTAGTGTGATAAGCTAATATGAGTCCTAACCGAAGGAGTCAAGGAGTGAAGAGCTCAAGCTTCAAGAGCTAGGAAGGGAACGCACCTGCTCGTATTTGAGGATGTTCTTATGCACTATTTCTAGCGACAGAAATAGAGGACCGTGTACCTCCAGCCAATATTTACTGAACTGCTCGAAAGACATGTCTTTCTTGGGATAGAAGAGCGCGATCAGGCGAACTCGGTCCTTGCGAATGGTTACTTGAGAACCTGACATCAATGCAACAGTGTCGCCTTTCAAAAGGTAGGGTTGCAGTGAAAGTGTGTAAATTGGCCTATCTAGCTATACCCTTCGTATGCAATATAGACCTGATCACAGTGACAGCCATGGGAATTGAGACTCCACAGACCCGGCAAGAGGTCCGGAAAACCCAATCCACACGACTGCGCTGGGGTCCATGTGTCGGTGGCAAATGCAGAGATCCCATGACAATAGGCTACGTGAGACCGACTGTGTGAAGCTAACGGTTCCAAAGTAAGATTTGCTTGGCAGGCAGACGCTTACCATATTGATTCATTGTCTCACCAGGTCGACACTTCGTGGTGGTGAGTCCGTTGGCGACTAAGCATCCATAGTCAATCATCTCCATTATAGATACACGGTATAGATGCGAGGACAGGGTATTTTGTACTCGGCCGCGGAGTCTGCTTATAGTTCCTTGTGTTTGGTCTTACTATCGAGACCAACCAACTCGACATCGAAGACGAGAGCAGAATTAGGAGGAATAACGCCACCAGCACCACGAGAGCCTAGGAAGCAATGAATGGGCAATGTGTATGGGACGCGATATTGACGTACCGTATGCCATGTTCGATGGAATAGTGAGGGTACGCTTCTCGTTCAAGCACATGCCGACGAGACCTTCGTCCCATCCGCGGATGACCTGACCGACACCGACTGAGGTACAAAGGACACGTTAGACACCAGGAAGACTGCGAAACGCTCTCAATAATACGACTTACGCGTGAGAGGCAGCGGTTGACCGCGGTCATAACTGAATACAACATAAGTATACAACTCGGTTGAGGCTTACAATGCGTTTTACCTCGAGTCAAACTTTTCTCCGTTCGAGAATAAAGTGCCGGTCTACAAAAGATAGTAGTTAAGTCACTTCAAACGATGACCTGTTGTGTTGTCACAACGCACGTAGTGAACACGGATGGAGTCTCCCTTCTGAGCAGTCACTGGACATTCCTCTGGCTTAGACGTAACATCAATTTTAAGCTCAGTGGGTGGCTCCTTGGCAGCAGAGACGACCCAAGCAAAGACCAGGACGGAAAGCCAGTTCAGCAAGTTCATTCTGCTCAGTCGATCGGAGACGTGTCGTTTCACAGCTGGCACATTTGCATTAGCGCCAAGTGAAACGTACATTTAGCAGCCGTGGGAGAAACTGCCGAGAAAGGCAGGATTTGTCAGAACTATACAGAGCAAACTCGTGCAAACCTTATTTTCCGCCCTCCTCAAACAACGACCCCGACGCCGTAGCCAACACCGAAGAACGATGGTATGTCGTCGTTGTGCATGAATTGAGGAGGCGAGAATGCTGATGGTGCTCTTGTTGTGAATTCTAGCCTTCCCAAAAGACTTTCCGCACGAAGCGCATCCTTGCTAAGGCTTCCCGCCAGAACCGGTTAGGATTCTTACTCCAGATGAGGGAGACGTGAAAACTGAACTGTTACTTGCTAGACCCATTCCCCAGTGGTTCCGCCTGAAGACGGACTCCAAGATCCAGGTACGTTTGCTTGCAGAATGATACCATGTCAGAAACTAATGATATGGTTGCAGTACAACGCAAAGCGTCGTCACTGGAGACGCACCAAGCTCAACATCTAATCTTCTCATCTTACGCCTTTGCTTTCGATGTTGGCTTTGTTGTATTGGAGAGAGGGAGCACCCGCAGAGCTGAGAGGAAGCTCGATCGTCACGACCATCCGCACTTCGCACCATGTATCGCCTCACTATGCGTCTATGGCATCCACGCTAAAATAATCGCATGCACTATGTCTTGCTCTGAATCCGCTGCCTGTCCACCCTAGTCAAACCTCATAGGAATTTTTGTGGACTGATAGCAGAAATGTTCTAGCTGCCCGTCTTATAGGAGAACAGCTGTCTCTATAGCGCCTGAAGCCGAGCCGACAGTTGCATGTCCGGTTGGTAAATGCGTAGGATATCACTCCTGATGTTTCAAGGCCGGTCTTAAGCACGTAACATTGGGTTACCGATGAGAACCTGCCTTCTACATGAATTTTGATGTTGCAAACGATATTCAAACCCAAACCTGCAATGCTGCACATCGCATTTAATCAAATATTAGCAGGATTCATTGCGCTCAAAAATGTAATGAAAGCAGCGGTCCTATGACCATGGGGGTTGGCCCAGGTTCCAACTGAGATGGGTGCGGTAACTAACTGCGCCGCCAACCTATGAACGTTTGAACTCCAGAATTTTGTCTGACACAGTGCATCGGATTTTTAATGTTGCGCATCCAAATATGGCAAACGCTTCTGAACCTAACATGGACAAATAGACACGCAGATACGCATGTCGGCGTCTATCTCGTACACCGAACTGACACTGGTGCACGCTGGCAGCGTATCCTCCCGAATCTGCAGTTTGGCTTTGTATTATTTTGATTTCTACGACTTTGTTACACGCAAAATGTCCTTGACCGTGACAATCTTCGTTCTTGTTTTTGTGACCGAACTCATCTCATGGACCGGGAAATCCTTCTTGCTCGAGCTTGTCAGTCACGTTGATCTTACTCTTGGTCTCTATATTGAAATGGCTCCGATCTTCAGGTATACGCGCTGTACTTGCGACTATTCTACTCTGCTAAAGTGGCAGAACAACGGAAGCTGAAGTCGGAGATACTCACCACGAAGAAGGAACTTCTGCAAACCAGTGCGCAGGACCATTTCGCGAAGTGGGCGAAGTTGAGGCGTAGTGTGGATAAGGGGCTCTCGGACTTGGAGAAGCTTAGTGAGTATCTTTTGATTTCCAAATGTAAAGGTGTTCGTGCTCTGCTACTGTTAACGATTAGCACTCGTCCACGCTGTGAATTGTACTTACCCTCTTCTCAGACAGCGAGCTTGCAAGCACCAGGACAGGATTCTCACTTAAGTTCAATTCTACCATCTGGATAAGCACGACTGGACTACAATTCATCGTTGGCTGGTGGTATCGCAAGTCTGCCGTATTCTTCCTCCCACCAAGCTGGTTCGGTCCGCTCACCTGGTGGCTTTCTTTCCCTTTCGCACCCGCGGGTTCTGTGAGTTGTGGGGTATGGCAGATGGCGTGTAGGAGGGTGATCAAGGTCGGGGAGCGTGTTGCGAAGGAACTGCTTTCAGGTGAGAATCTTCGTCGCCAAAGCTTTGATGTTGGAAAGCTAATGGTATTGCGGTTACTTGTCACCTTCCTTCTATCGTAGGATCATCACACCCCGACGCTGTTCCGTCAGAGCAGAAGGTTGGTTCTGATACTGATAAGAAGAGCGACTGACTTTCGTGTATATATTACTGTGACCACTTGTCCAAAAATAGCCTACAGTTGAACCTGATTCTGACATCATTTGGCTTTGCAATTCTAGCATTCTAATGGCCAACTTGGGATCCGGAAGTGTATGTACGGAGTAAGCAGGGAGTAAGTATGCGGTTTACACCACCCGCGGAATACCGTCCCCAGGATGCTATTTTAGATCCGACTCTCGGGTTCGGTTTTCGGTTCCAACTTCTCGCCAAGATCGCCCGTTATGGTTCCAAGTAGATTCCAACGACCTTCCCAGTCCTCAAATGAACGGAACACCGAGTGAAGACCTGAACTGTGGCTCGGAGAGGATACGGAGCAGCAAAGAGCAGCCTTAGGGGGAGTTCCGGGGTCCTCCGCTGGTTCCGAGGTCAATCGACACGTGAAATATCACAAGAATATGACGTCCGAACCAGAAAAGGAATACGGTATAGCGGAGAGCCGTAGCAAGTACAAATAGTTAATCCTGCTCCTCCTCCTAGCCCTCCTTCAACTCCAAACCATCACCTCTGGACCCTCTGCTTTTATTCACAATGGTTGCTGGCGTCCAAATTCACTCCCAAGAGGCCCAGAAGGCCCAGGCTGAGATCCTCACAGAGGGTGCTCTTCGCTTCATCGCTGCTTTGCACAGAACCTTCGAATCGACGCGTCAGAGTCTCCTTGTCGCCCGCGAGACTGTTCAACTGCGTCTTGATGCTGGTGCCCGACTTGATTTCCCTGCGGAGACCGCGCATATTCGCGCTGACCCTTCTTGGCTCTGTGCTCCGCCCGCCCCGGGTTTGGAGGACAGGCGGGTCGAGATTACCGGCCCCACGGACAGGAAGATGGTCATCAACGCTTTGAATAGCGGAACCAAGACGTTCATGGCCGATTTCGAAGGTACGTGAGCATGTCTTGGGATGTTCCCCTATTCTTAGCCTGCTCATTTTCTCATCTCAGATGCGAATTCCCCGACGTTCGCCAACATGCTTAACGGCCAGGTCAACCTGCGTGACGCCATCCGGCGACAGATTGACTTTGAGTCGGGAGGCAAGGCGTACAAGCTCGTTGAGAAGCCCGCCGTTCTCATCGTCAGGTATGACTTATAGCTACGTCATGTGTAGCCAAAGTATTGACATGTCATTTCCCAGACCCCGTGGATGGCATTTGGACGAGCCTCGCGTTACTGTCGATAATTCGCCTGTTTCCGCCTCCATCTTCGACTTCGCTCTGTACTTCTTCCACAATGCCAAGGAGTTGATTGCACGAGGATCTGGCCCCTATTTCTACCTCCCAAAGATGGAGCACTACCTTGAAGCGCGTCTTTGGAATGATATCTTCAACTTCTCTCAGTCGTATATCGGTATTCCCACGGGCACCGTTCGCGGCACTGTTCTCATCGAGACCCTGCCGGCTGCGTTCCAGATGGAGGAGATCTTGTTCGAGCTCAGGCAACATTCGTCTGGACTGAACTGCGGACGGTAAGTCGTTCTTGAGTGTTAATTTGTTGAACAATGTCTTGACAATACCATTCGCAGATGGGATTACATCTTTAGCTTCATTAAGCGCCGTCGCGCAGACAGGACAGCTGTTCTGCCCGACCGTAAGGACGTGACTATGGAGACTACGTTCATGGACTCCTACGTTCGTCTTCTCATCCAAACATGTCACAGGTAGGCCGACTCGATTTTTCGTCTCAAAAGGCTTAATCTGACTGTTGATGTCTCTAGGCGCAAAGTTGCGGCAATGGGTGGCATGTCAGCTCAGATCCCTATCAAGAACGACCCGCAAGCCAACGAGATTGCTATGAAGAAAGTCCGTGACGACAAGCTTCGTGAAGTCACGAATGGTCATGACGGTACTTGGATTGCTCACCCTCTCATTAACAAAATCGCTATGGACGTGTTCAATGAGTACATGCTCGGACCCAACCAGGTATGTGTATCTTTACAGTTTAGAATGCGTACCGAACTCATTTTGCATCAACAGTATCACGTCCGACGCGAAGATGTTCGTGTTGCAGCTGCAGATCTTCTCAACACCAACATCCCTGGAAAAGTCACCTCCGAAGGTGTACGTGGCAACGTCGCCACCTCACTCGCCTACAGTGCAGCCTGGCTCGGAGGCAACGGCTGCATTCCTCTCAACCACCTGATGGAGGATGCTGCTACCGCCGAAATCACCAGAATACAACTCTGGCAATGGGTGAAATACGGCATCCGCATCTCGGACACTGGGGAGCTCATCACTGCTGATCTCATCGACCGCCTCATCGATGAAGCTGTACCAACACTCACAAGTGCGTTGGTCAAAGCGCAGAATTTGGAGATTGTGGCTCGGTATTTGAAGAACCAGGTCAGACAGGCCTGGCCGAGTGAGTTCTTGACGAGCGACTTGATGCCATACCTTGCTATTGCCGACGGATGTCCTCCTCAATGGCAGCGCAGTGTTTTGTAGATTATCAGTGTCGGAAATCTTGATCCGTTACTCGTGTCGTCAGTGATTCTTGGCTCTTTCGTATGACAGTTTGGACTCTTGCAATGTATGTACTATAGCAACCTGTAATCGAATCATCTTGAATTCTCGTCGTCTGGTGGCCGTAGAGAGGTGTTGCCATCTGTCAAAGCTAAAACCCAGAAGTCAGGGGATCTACAAAAATACTCAACTGGCTTGATGATGATCATCCTTCTAGCGCTTCGAAGGAGTAGCGGCTATATTCTATAGACAGCGGCTGCACTGGATCTGTCCATATATACATTGTCCCAACACCGTCCGGTCTTTCACATCTTTGTTTCAACCACATCCACCCATCTAACCTTCCAACCTTCGTCTCTATCTACCTATGCGAGAGAGATGAACCACAACTGCCCTGACTGCGTCCCGCTTGCAGACCATGATGCCGCATTAGACGTCTTTAACCGCGAACGCGAAAGGAACAAGAAGGAGCGCGACGCTGCACGTTCTGAACTTACCCAACAGTACACAAAGGTTGCAGAACTTGAGATTGCGAACTCGAAGTTGCACACGGGGTTGCATGCTGCTGAGGAGTGCAATGAGGAGTTGAAATTGAAGTTACGCGATAGCGAGGAGAAGAACATGGCACTGTTGAAGCGACTGGATGAGATGGAGAGAAAGCGGAAGGAAGATGAGGCTGAATATGATAGGATGCTTGAGGAATTGAAGAGAAAGTTGAAGGTGGGTTGGTTCTGAGCCGCATATATGATGTCCTCACTATATGCGCTGTTGCAAAGGCCCTCTCTTCCCTACCTTCTCCTGACGTGACCTCTGTATCTTCCTCTTCGCCGTCGTCTGTGCAAGGTTCAGTATGCGCGGATGTGGATCCAACGGTAAGCCCTAAGATTCGTACTCGTCGGAGCTGATCTTCTGACGTCTTATATATCAGTTTCACAATTTACGAATGGATGAGGAGTCTCCTGCAGTTGCGGAACAAACGAAAGATCAGGTCGATTCCCTGCAAGTACTCACTTCATCTTTGGACACCCCACCTGTACATTCTGGGCCGACCAGCACCGAACTTCGTTCGTCGCAAGACGCTTTTCCTATAACACCAATCTCGCCTTCTCGAGCCAAACTTGCAACTTCTGTTCTTTCTCGAATGAAGGGGAGATTGACATCTGTCCAGCCTTCCTCGGAATCTACTACTCCTTCATCAGCGACCTCTGAGCAACCGAACGAGATTTCTGACGAGGTTAGTTACGATCTCGATTGTTCACGCACTGTGTTCATGTGTTGGTTACAGTCAAGTGGGATGTCCCACCCTGAGCAACTACCAATGGAACCTTCTCCAGAAATCGAGCTTCCATCTCGGATTGCCGAGCCTTCGGTTCCGACAAGTATGGAACAGTCTCTCCCCGTGCGTTGCTCCCGACAGAAGCTTGAAACCCTGGGATATAATACTAAACTAAACATAGATGCCTGGTTCTCTTTCAACGCCCAACAGATTAAGCACGACTGAGATACATACTCAATTGCCAAATGCCGATAAAGGCAACAATGACGAGACCGTTTCTGTACGTATCGCTGGTTTTATGATTCGATTCCAGTGCTAACTATCATGGCGGCGCATTTGCAGAAGTTAACAACTCCTTCCGTTCCTAATGGATCTAGCCCTATAAAGCCTATTTCTAAGCCTCGCAGAGGATCCCGCTTAGAAGTCAACAAAGTCACTAGGATAGTTCGGAGACCCTCCAGTTCCTCAAGCACACCAAGCTTCACTCAGGTAGGGACGGTCCCTTAACTTGGTACGATTTTCTTTTGCTCAAGCATTACAATAGGCGTTGAAAGTTGGACATCCTCGTGGACACAAGCCTTTTAACAGCTCAGCATACAAGAAGCCACTGTCTACTCAGCCTAGGGTATGCGTTTCTCGTTCGGTTTGAAGTGTCGACTGCTTGCTTACGTGTGTAGGTCGAACGTCCCCGCCCTCTTCAGAGCGCGCCGCTGAAACATTCCAAGTCGCATGCATCCCAGGTGAGATCTACAAACGTAAACTTCATAACTTCCTTCTCACGTGGGTTTGCCTGTAGTCAAATTTCGTCGCTTCGAAGTCAGATTCAAAGCCTCATTTTCAAATTCAGGCAGGCAGCAGCGTTACACCCGACATAACTGCGGCTCGGAATCCTCGACTTCCGCTGTCCAGAGCAAGTAAAGCTGCAGTGAGCATTAGGTATCCATCACTGCCTACTAGAATCTAACAAGAGCATAGCTCTCCAATGCATCTAAGGTCGTGGTCACAGACCTCGCTGTATCGCTCACTCACACCATGCAGGACAACGTCAATTCTACTTCATTGCATCCGGTGAAGCGCAAGGCGTTCCAGCTAGAACCCAGTTCGTCAATCCTCTTACACAAACGGCGCCGCACACGGAACAATGCATATGTTCTCGTGAACCATGCAGACCGATCCTGGGATGTCCATTCACTATCTGAACTCGGTCGCCCACCTGCAGATATTGACCTTACAGTTTCTGACGAGGAAAGTGATGAGGAACGGTCAGTACGGAAGGCGCTTACACCACGAGAACATGTTTGGAAGGAAGAGAGCTTTGAAACAGATGAACATGGTGGAAGGGTGAAGTCCACTGCGGAGAACTCAGAATCGTGCGAGAAGAGCTCGGCAGGCCCAACCGCCGTTCTGTCTCTTTTCGACGATTCCGAGTTGTCCGACCTAACTGACAGTGAGAACGGAGATGAAGACGCAGAAGGAGAACCTGATGTATTCCGGCCGTTGGATGAGCATCTGACCGGCGATTCTATGCCTGTTTGTATACCTCCTGGAACTTACGTAGTGATGTTATGCTGATGGTTTCTCGTCATGAAGGCGGGCGAATCCTTCTCGAATTTTACGTCGGGGGTTGCAGGAGATAACGGTAGCAATAGTGCGCGTAATAACATGGTGAGTATACACGTGTTGTCCTCGATGCACCGTGGAAATTCATTCTAGAATTATCACCTACAGGCCCCGCGAACCTGTCCGACTGCAACCAGGAACGTCAAGAGCGAGGTCAAACAAGAGGAAGTTGGACTCAACACACTTGATGAAACGAGTCGGGGACATCGCCTAGACGGCGTGGCCACCTTCCCAGTCCAGACTGAGGAGCACATCAGTTCGGTCACTGTTACTCGACAATTCTTGTCGACCAAATATGGCGGGTCGCCTCAGGGACTCTATCCAATCATCGACAGAAGGGCGCACAAACACAATTACCACTTGTTCTTCCCCACTCTACAGAACAACCCGGATGCGCCCAGGAAGCCCGGCGATGCAGGTTTACTCTATCGAACCATTCCGCAAGTACCATGGGGTAATCAAACACTGAAGATGTTCGTGAAGCTCAAGGCAAACAATTACCTGTACATGGGAGATTACCAGATTATACCCACGACACCACTTAGTCAGGAAGAGTTCCAACGTCTGCCTCTGAAGGTGGTTATGCTTAATTTATGCTTTGTCGCGGTAACTGATTTCTGTCTAGACAAAGCGTGCTTGGGCTCGATTGATCCTCTCGAGAAGTAAAGAGAGGAGGATTAGGGCTAGAATTCTCCTCCGCAAGAAGTTGGATCGCGAACCTACCCAGGGAGAAGTTTCGACATTTGTTTCTCAGTATCCAAGGGACCGTTTCGCCGTCAGTATTGATGATGCCGTTGATGCATATTCTTGTGGCCAAGAGGTGAAGCTCCTTACACCTCTTCTGAATAATCGTGGCTGAACTGGTTGTCAGACATTCTATATCTTTTTGCTTCAATGTGTTGGCTATGATGATGCGTTCCAACGTGAGTTGGCCAACACATTTCCTGCAAGAGCGCCCGCGTCTTCTGCACATCCACTGTCTGCAAAGAAGCCAAAATCGTCTGCAGTCTGTCAGAAACGACCTCGGCATGCCATGGAGGAAGACGATGATGATTCGGAGTACTCCCCATAGTTCCTCAGGAAACAAGTAACCCATCTGTTACGTCCACAGCAACACCATCCTAACTGTACTTATGACTATGTGGAGCGTATCTATACTCTTGTCTAGTTTCTTGCTTTTCCAACTTGGTTGTACTTTAAATTAGTCCTACATTGCTTATACGGGGATGATACCAGAGAGATACTGTACATTACTTACGGGATACTACTTCGATACACAACATTGGATGTAATGAGGTTGAGTGGGGATATATGCAAAATCGAAATCAGGGTATCTGTACAAGTCCGAACGAAATGACCAGGTCAAGAGTCCTCACATGCGCTCCTATAACTGTATAGGAACGTCCATCATATCCTCCTTGACAAGTCTCCTACGACCTTGATCCCATCGCTTCAAATACTGCGCACACCGCTCTCCAAATACTTCCAAACCGTCAAGAAATCCTTTGGGTAGCGCATCCTTTCTTTGCTCCCAAGGTTTGACGTCAACTAGCGCACATCGATCCAGACATACAAGTATCATGCCGAAGCTATACGCATCAGCGAGCAGCGGATCTTGACATTCGCCTCGTAAGACCTCTGGCGCAGAAAAGGGACGAGTACCAGGGTGGATTTGTTCCACCTTTCGTGTAGACGGAGGTGGCGGGGGCGGAATGATGGGAGATTTTCCAATGAAGCGAGAATTAGGACGGGGTCTTGGAGGGGGGATTGGGAACTCTTGTTGTTGGTAGATGTCTTCGTCAGGGGACGCGAATGTCGAATCTATAGATACAGATCGTCCGAAATCGAGGAGCTTTATGGTATCGGCGGAGAATGTGGCTTGAACATTTAGGAGAGAAAGGTCGCCGTGGCTCAGTCCGAATGAGTGTAGGTGTGTAAGACCATCGAGAAGTTGGTTGTGATAGTCAATTTTCTTCTCTATTGAAAACCCTGGACTTTCGCGTACTACATCCCAAAGCGTATGTCCATCGATATATTCGAGAACCATACCGACATTTTCGAGCGATCCGAGAAATGCAGTTATGTTCCTGTGGCGAGTCACTGTTGTGTATACGCGCAGTTCTGCCAGAAACTGCGTCGTCACATCATTGGCATTGGATTGCATTTCTCCATTGATTTCGAGCTGTACGACGTTCGGCTTTTTGACAATACATTTGAATAACTCTGAGGCAGATCCTGTCGCACAAGGTGCCAGATTCTGAGTGGGGTTTGGCGGAGCACTATAGGATGTTGGCGTAGGAAAGGAGAATATCGAGGTCGGCTGGTTTGGGGGAGTATAGATAGGAGCGGATGCGTGTGGCCCCGGCTCGTACGTTGTGATTCGATGTGTCCCAGTCACCGAAGGTCGCAGAACTTGGGGCTCGTTTACAGCAGTACTTTCAGATACAATGGCCGCGTGAGTCTGCGCGGGAGTACCTGCACCCTTATCCTCTTCATCGAGCTCGACTAAAGTATCTCCTGAGTGAACAGCATGTGAGAGGTCTGAAACAACACACCCATCCACCAGTTCTTCTTGGAAGTCAAGGTGACTCGCTTCACATGCATCATCGTGAATTCCCTTGCCAGATCGTTGTCAAGATGGTTTGATTACTGAATTATGCAGGCTAAGAAAGTGAGATCGTCATAAACGTGAACAAGATGAAACATCATCATGTTGATTTCTGGGATAGTCAGAAATTAGCACATTAGCTGAAAGCAAAGACACTTACTTGCCTTTGTAAGTCGATGACTAGAACGAAAAAGGCTCGAGCCGCAGATTGTAATAACGTTAGAAGGTAAGTTACTCAAAGAGTCAAAGAAAGGGAATTCAAAAAAAAAAGACGACTGCCAAAGGTAATTGAGTCGGCCCAGGTTCGAACTGAGGACCTTCTGTGTGTTAGACAGATGCGATAACCAACTACGCCACCGACCCTTAGGAATATTTATTATTTAAGAATTACAAATACTGATTCTCCGAGAGAATCGAAACGCGAACCTCTAGCCTTCTAGTACAGTACATTCTCTTTCACAAAACCATGACCAGTCCTGCCACACCAACAAGTACTGCTAACGCTGCGAACATCATAACTGCGCTAGGTGCAGCGTTCAAGAACCAGAATGGCGATCCACTCCCAGGAGAACGTATTGCTCAGCTACTCATTCAGAATATGGGACAACTATCCGAATTAGCCAAGCAAGGCAAACTAAACCAGCAACAAATCCTGCAGGTTTACCTCGTGTCTTTTCTATCATTGACATATTGACCAACACTATCCAATCTCGCAGCTAAAGGAGTATGCAGACAAGCATAAAGTCGCAGGTCCTACGCCCACACAGGTGCTTTCGTTCCCATCTGTCTTTCCATTTGATTCTGATAATTGCATATCAATGTCAAAGCCCGCCGCTACCACGTCTGCGTTCAAGACCTCGAATCCGAGTCCCTTCTTGAATCAATATACGACACAGACCGACACCTACCCTATTAGCCAGTCCATTACTCCGACCAGTACTGGAGCCGCTCCGTGGCCATCTGCTCAGCAGGGTAGACCGACACTTACCGGAGGCATTCCCAGTGGCCGTGTAGCTGGTACGACCCTTGTCGCGTCTCACCCTCTCTTGGTGCCACTTTGTTCTGACACGAACTTTCCTTACTTCAAGGTACACCCGCGCAGATTGCGAAGAACCCAGAAGATGTGAACATGACATTGGAGGATACACGAGCACGAAGAAAAAATGCACCTGCTGATCAGAGTATGCGGCGGTCGATCCAAGATTTGGTTGCGAGTATAGACCCCAATGTAAAGATTGAGCCCGAAGTGGAAGACGTGAGTGTTTCTTGTCATTTGCGACTAGCTTTGGCTCCTAATTATTTGAGATGCAGTTGCTCCTGGATGTCGCGGACGAGTTCATTGATTCCGTGACCAACTTTGGCTGCCGTCTTGCGAAACATAGAGGTGCGGATACACTCGAAATCAAGGATCTACAATTACATCTTGGTAAGTGACCTTTCGGACACTGCATACTATGTCATCTGGTCTCATTGGTTGGTGATGGACAGAACGTAATCACAACATTCGGATACCTGGCTTTGCCTCAGACGAGACCCGAATATCGATGTCTCAAACGGCGATTGCACCGGCAGTGCCTGCTCCTGCTGCAGGCAAGAAGGGGGTTCCGAGTACACAAACCTCGGGACGAACGCATCGTTTGGCGCAAGTCGCCCAAGCGAAGAGGGAGGCAAAGTTAATGTAGGCACCCTCGCGGTTTGACCGTCTAGTAGTCATCATCACTTCATATCCTTTCGTCATGTTTTCTGTTCTCATTGTTTCTGTACTTGGGACCTCACTGTATTTACTGTGTGTACTATTATATCAAGCATTGAATTACGATCTGACATCTATGGTATGCAATCCATGGTGATCTTAGATCTATAATTTAGAACCGGCTTGTGCCTTCTCTCCACGTCTCTTATTGACCTCCATGGGAACTAGCAGCGCCATCTGCGTTGAGACAGCCAGACAACGCTGTTTTTCCCGCCAATCCCCTTGTTCTGAACCTTCGCCAATATTGGACGGAGCAGTCCAAATTTCGATATATGTATCATGTCTTGCCTGTGGGTCATTTATGAACCTCCCAGAGGAATAAACGGCTACCGTACGAGGCGAATGATCTGGACTCGACGGTTTCGGTATCGGAAACTTGAACTCGATTGTCATGACCATGGTAGGTGCCCAGCTAGTATCAACGAAAGTGAGAAATGACGAAGATGATGTGTACAGAAGCTTTATAAGTATATCATACCTGACTCTGCGAACATCCTTATGGGAGGGCACGACCTGATGAAGAGCACGGAAAGTGTCCGTCGCAAAAGGAATTGCGGACGTAGTCCACTGCTCGCTTGGATCTGTCAGAGTGAGGTATAGGCCCCATTCCATGCCTTCCCTTGGAATTTCTGCGTTCTTGACATGCACCGGACAATGGGCAGTTTGTATATACTTGCTATATCCGAAACGCCATTCGGGTCGGTCAGGCGAGCATTTGGACGGATGCGTGTACAATGGGATCCGGCGGGCGTACGGAGACGGCGGTTCAACGGTGAGAGTGGGAGTGGTAGGATCTGAAGGAGAGGCGAGGACGCCAAAGACCATGTGTGTCATCACTTTGACTTCTCCCTGTCAAGCAAATCAAAAACTGCAAACAGGAGATGGGATGATCTAAACATACGTTCTGGACGAGATTTGCAGTTAGATTTGTGAAGCCTCTTCCCGCCTTTAAGATATGTATGTGCACTTCGAAAGTGCTAGTCGCCGCGGACCTCAAGAAATGGGCGGTGACATGTATAGGATCTGGGTGAGCTTTAGGGCTCTGATGCTTCACCGCAGCTTCCAGAATGAGACTTAGAACGTATCCTATAGTTTAGGATAATATCAGCAATCGCCAGGATACAGTTCATCAGCTTCAGACTGACCGCCATTGGGGACTCTAAAGATTAAGAATATGTAAATAGATAGACCACAGAAACATACAGATTCACTTACGCCCCGACTGTCCAATCAGGATCTACATTACCCTTGTAGACAAAGATGTCTCCAGGAAGGTTGTGCGAGAATTCGAGATGAATGGCTTGAACCAAGGGTGCCATGTCAGCACTTCACCTCACTTCAACGCCTACGAGAGATTCAAAAACGAGCTAGGATGACAAAGACATACCGAGGGGTATTTGAATGACAAAACTAAATCACGGCCCCGGCTGGTATGTTTCAATCTCGATGATGATGGGAGTGCTGAATTACCGGCTAGGGGTGCTCGTCCCGCTCGTCCGGCATCTTGGCTACGTAGTACGCGGTCAGGTGATGTATTACCGTATATAGAAAGTCTTGTATTCGCATGAGGCGGCGTTGTACCAGTTGGCTAGCGACAAGCCGGACGTTCCATTCCAAATTACCGTTGCAACCACCTTGAGCACTATTCGCTTATTCTCCAGTTGCTATGCCCTGGGTCTCCAGCTTGAACAGCACTGCACCGAAAGAACTGATGGCTGATCTCAAAGGCTCTCTTGCACCATCCACATCTTTCACAGTTGACAGAGAATGGCCATTGAACGGTTTACCGGACGACCTCCTCCTTCTCATTCTGAGCTTCACGGAAGTGATGGATATTATACGACTACGACAGGTATGTAACAGACTTTGTGGATGAATGATACACCTCATAAGTGTGCATGTCACAGACATGCAAACGTATGTACAAGCTCACCAAACTACGCTGGGTCTGGTCTACTGCAATCAGGCGCCTTGTTAACGAGAAGAGGCTAACCGTACCTGCACTGAATCACGACACCAAAGCCTTCTCCGTTAAGCACTTCGAGACACGTGCCGTACATGCTGTGAAGTTCCACGAGAACTGGCATTCCCCTCAGCCCTCGCCGCGGCATAGAATCCGAATACAGACCTTGGATAGCGCAATCAAGAAAGTCTTCTTTCTACCCGGGAGAAAGGGAGAGATACTAGTTACAGTTACAAATAGGACGATTGCTTGTTGGGAGGTTCCTCTGATGGGTTCCGAAGGGTTTTGCATTGCGAAGCTTGTTTCACCTGCAGACATATACGATGTCGTAATCAATGAAGTCCCCACACATGACACCCAGATAGTCTTCAACCATAGGGCACCACCCGGGTACGACTGATTGCATCGTCTTGTATAAGAGCGAATACTGACGATCGACTGCACCAGGTCATCAGATTGCACCGTGATTACTTGCCATCTGGATGAATTTCATGGCAGAATAGTCATGCTTCGCAGGTTCAGTATGCCTTATGGCGTTGGATTTTCCCTGTATACTTTGCGCGGCAACTGGCTTGTATCAGGCTCTATGCCATATGTTGTAAATGTAGTGGCTGAAGACAAGCCTGCAATGCCATTGAGTAACTTGGTAAGCCGAGTTTCATTTATTGATAAGTTACCTACCTAATGGCTCCATTACAGGAAGATGATACTATCCTCGCTGTCAAACTTGTTGGCAAATATGCTTTCATAGTCGCCACAAAGAACTTCCAACTCACACAATTCGAAAGCAATAATGGGGAGAAACCGTCTGTGAAGATCCTCCTGGGTGGCACGTTCCGATCACCACTACGGGGTGCCACGATATGGGCCCAAAGAACGACCGACGTGAAGGGTCCTAACAACTCGATGGCAGAAGCAGTTTCATTAGTGTTGCGATGTGCTGACGACGGATTCGAGACGATCAAGCAACTAGATTGGCTGTACGATCCAAATCACAAGTCTAGTCCGAGTCGCGTACCTTTCCTTCCACCGAAAACATACACACGCACCATGATGACCGCACCATCATCGTGCAATCTCGTTGTTGGTATGAACGGGAAGGGCGTATTCTTTGAAACAAAGACAATTACCACCTCAACTAGGTCTTCGTATACTGCGCGATGTATAGGAGGATTCGAGCTGGTGAGAACGGAGGGGAGACCAGTACAACGAGGAAAACTTGAGAGCGGTTCGCCTAGCAAGATTTGGCATCCCCCATGTGGACCGCCGAATTTTGTGGAGTGCAAGAAGGAGATCTATTCTCGGCGCTGCGATATGGGCGAGATATTGTACAGAAGGTACTCACTGACTTCGGTCGCTTTGGAGGATATGGTTGGTCGGATAGCGGTAGGTGACAGAAATGGCGTAGTGGAGGTCCTGGAGTATGCGTAAGATCTATTTTTGTTTGGACTGTTCACCACGATAATGCGGCCTACTATCTGGATCATCTTATCGGTTAGTAACTGTTCAATTTCCAGGATTACTTCGACCTTGTTCGTTCTTAGTTGTACTTTTCACGTAGCAATCGAACGGAATATCATACAGAGCTAAGCAGTGACCTGGTTGGACATGAGAGTAAGAAAGAAAGATGTGAATGTGCGTCTCGTAATGATCTTGAGAACAATAAGGAGATTGCCTTGGAGCGATGTTCCTAGTCGCCCAAATTCGGCGACACACACTCCCGCCGCATGCCATCAAAGTCTGCAAGCGCGGTCCTCCCTTACCCACTGATTTTCTCCTGCTCAAGCCTTTCAATTTCTACGACTCGACCACATTGTTATACCCGCATGAATGAGCATGGATAGTCTTCTCTCTATTGGCGTAGGCCTTGGACTCCGACCTGTAATCGACAACGTCACTCACAATCCGTACCGAGCTTCAGCACTCATTGGACTTTGGGAAGGAGTAGTCCTCAATCACTTTCTCGTCAAGTTCCCTCGCTCCGTTGACCCTTATGTCGCCTTCGGATTCAGGTTGTTCGTCGACTTCCTATTCACAGAATCTTTCCTAAGGATGACCATCATCGTTCTGTGGACGGGTTTGGGCTTGGTGTTTGCTGATCTGGGACGGGACTTGACAAATGATAGACGATTCCGGAGACTCTGGCGTCGCATTCGGCGATTGGTACTCAAGCCCACTTTGGGTCTTTTACCCGCTTCGTCGCTATCGCGAGTGAGGTTCTTGCAGGTACCCGCAGGTTCTACCTCGTCGGTCGTTTCACGATCGACAGCACGAAGTCCTACGTCGGCAACATCTTCGTTTTCCCTTCGGGTACCACTTCGCCCTTCGACTCGACCAGTTCCCGGTTCTTTTGACCAATGGTCAGAAGTGAGCACAGACATTGGACGAGATATACCACAACGTGCACCTTCACCACCACCTCGACCTGCTCAACGAGCCCCGCCACCACCTCTCACATTATACCCCCAACCCATGACACGACCTCGGCCAGAATCAGAAGCAGAACCATACCCATATCCCAGTCCTAGCCGATCCCCTTCCGAGCTAGAATATGTTGCCCTTCCAATGATACCTGACCAACCGTCAAGTCCACTCAATCGAAGGGACCATTACATGCGCTCAGGCTTGACCACGCCTAACAGTAATCCTACCTCGAACGAATACGACGAAGAAGACCGTCCGTATATTCATTCGGGACTCACAACTCCTTATAATCAACGTCGTCCGCTCACGAGCGAGGGCCTACCTCCCGTACGGATAATTGATGACGGTACCGAGTATACACCGACTCGAAGTCAAGTCGAACTTCCACCTATACCTATACGACCTCCACCACAAGGATCAAATTACGATACTGATGATAACGAACATATCGAGTTCCCCATTCCCCATCTGTCTGCACTTGGATTATCCGACCCTCAGCCAAGTCATGGTTTTGTCCCACCAATGTCAGAGATCCCCAATATCCCCACACAGGATGATCATCCTGAAGGTAAAGAAGGAGATGACGCCAATAAACGAGATACACTCGTTGACCCGCCTCCGAGATACGAATCGGTCGCGGAGGTCGAGCCGGTGGATGTTCCCGACCATGTCTCTGTGGCTGAGACGGAAGCTGATAGTGTCATAACTGAGGGTCCCAAAGACGCTGTCATCCAGCGCGCCGAGAGTCTCCGGAAGGATGCGCAGGCGAAGGAGAAGCAGAGGGATGAGTTGAGGCAAAAGATGTTGCAGGCACAGAAGGATGGAGAGTATTTCAAGGCGCTGAAGTATGAGGTAGAACTGGAGGAAGCACACACATCGGCGCAAAAACTACATGCGCAGGCTCGACGTCGTTTCTTCCTTGGTATGTGTAGCGCTCATCACTCATCATAATCTCGTTGAGTACTCATGATCTACTTACAGCTCATAACATGCAGCGAGAACCTCAAGAAATTGACGTTCATCGACTAAGTGTGGCAGAAGCTCTTGCAGCGGTGAAGACTGCTATCCGAGATGCATATGATACCAATGCACCAGAACTTCGAATAATCGTCGGAAAGGGCAAGCATTCGAAGAACAATATCCCTGTACTTAAGCTAGCTATCGTTGGAGAGCTTCAGAAGTAAGTTGCCAACTCAGATCCTTGGGTGGCATATATCCTAATTACGTTCTCGCAGACATCATATTGAAGCCGTTCCCCAACATAACAATGCTGGTGTACTTGTTATCACTTTAGATCGACCCTCTGATGAGGCTGGCCCATCGGACTCTGCTTCATAACACTTGCTTTGGAATCTTTTTGTCATCTCTGTATTCTATCCGCTGGTTGTAGGATCAGGCTGTACCTCTCTTCTTTGTCTTGTTGTCTTATGCTGTTATTCATGTACTACTTGCTCTCTATTTACTTACATCAATATAAAGCTTCCTTTCCTCTGTCTCTTTCGCGTGTCGTTACTTGGCTACCTAGCAGCGGCCCAACCACCCGTAGACAAAGACTCGGGCAATGAACCAGCGCAGCTATCTACCGACTCGCCATCTGGGACCAGTTCGATCACAATATTCGCACCCACTTTGAAGGTATCAAAGAAGTCGAAATGACACCTCGACTCGGTCTTGTTACCATTAATTGTGACTGAATTGACGTAGGCGGCCACGCCCTCCGGTATATTCTTCTTGACGGAACGAGCATCAAAGTTTTTAGCTGTCACAGTAGTGCTGACGTTCAAGAAGCTATTGTGGATTGTGTACTTCGGAGTGAAGGGCGAGAGGACGAGGAATTGCGTCGTTGAAGGGACTAGATGGGCGATTCTGAGCCAACGTACTTCGGAATGACAGACGGTCACGTACCTGGGTATAAGCCGAGAAGATGGAATACGACCAATGTAGCCATAGCAGCTTGGTCATCATTTCCCGGGAGTCCAGCCGGAGCTGAAATGGCAAGTTTATCACCGGGGAGCAGAGATAATCATAGGTATTATATACTCACAGACATCGAAGTTATTGAAAACAATTTGTCGTACTCGATCAATCGAGTGAGAAGGTCTGTTGGCGTAATGATATCCAATGGGAGTCTGAAAAGAACTTTCAGTTGCATTGGCTCGACATTCTGCGTTTGGGAGCCTACCTGGAAAGATGGCTCGTTACCGGCTAGATAGTAACCAGCCTTGAAGAAGTGGTCGAGTCGCTTGACAAAAGTGTTCTGAGTACGAGAGGTTAATTTTGAATTCCCTAGACACTGGTGTGACACGAACATTCCCACCCATCAACTGAATCAAGTGAGCTGTGTCGTGTGGTGCAAACCAGCTATATTCCCAAGATGATGATTCATAGAAGCCAACAACGTTGTCTCCTTGTAGGGAGCACTCGCGAGTGTCACCATGCTTATCGTTCGGCGAACAATCGACAGGATCGGTGAACGCGAAGGTTCCATTGGGGAATCGTTTCTGAGCAAATCCTATAAAGCGATTAAGAATAGGAAGCACACTACTTCGAGTCGATTATGAGTACCTTTGAAGCCATCGCTCGTAACGGTCGGATCCCATACGTTCCTGTACGACTGTCATGTTGATCAGTGCAACGCAGGGCGAGGAGTGAATGAAGTAAACCCCATACCAACGAACGGTTGGTGAATGTTGCTACATCATCGGTCTTATTGAGGAGCTGTTTCGCATTTCAGGAGAATCCGAATGACCAGCACCATGAGATCCACAAACCTGGGCTATTTGTCGAATCGCGAAGTCTTCGAAAGCATACTAGAATATATGTGGTCAGTATATGCCTAGAAGATACAGAGGAGCCAACCTCCAGAGTCCTACTGCCTTCGCGGGTCTGACGACCTGTACTAGATGTTTCTAGCACTGAGAAAGGGACGTATCCGTATTGCCTGCAGGAAGGGGTCAGTAAATTCCGGATACAATACCATAGAATGTGAAAATCGGCGTACTTATAAACGTTGACCTCTCTACCCATTACGTTCCATTCCGGAGGATTGAGTTCTCCATCAGCAAGCAAAGCCGAGTACAGCTCCTCTAGGTCGATACCAAGTTCCGCTGCCTCATTATGATAGTTAACGGCAAAGTGACCAACAATGTTGTCACCACTGGAACCTACAATGACGTGTCAGATGCATATTTACGTTTAACATAGACATGTACACTCGCCTCCTTGAGTCCAACCTGGCAGATTGTTCGCGCGACATTCAGGCATCCAACCAAGCTTACGCCACCCGTCAAGGTAGCTATCCACAATCTGTGCAAACTCGACAGGCGAGTGCAATGCCATGAGAGGGTAATATGTTCGGAACGTGTCCCAACTGGGAAAGGAATGAACTCCCGTGCGCCGGAAGTAAGGGTGGAAAGACGTACCTGCAATACAACGAGTCAAAGTAAGGATGCGGCGTTCCTGCAAATACGCCCTGCGTTTCACCAGTCGCATTGTTCTATCGACAATGTTAGCGATATCCGAATCCTACAGGAAGATTACGAACTCACAGGTGTCAAAGAGGCCCTGTACAGAGAAGAATACAACAACTCGGTGATATTCCTCGGCGTGTTCGGAACATCAATCTCAATCTTGCTCAACTTCTCGTTCCAGAGGGCCTTGGATTGTGCCACGATGTCTTCAAACGTTGCATCGCCAACCTCAGTCTCGGCATTCTGACATGCCTGATCAGTCGAAACGAAAGAAACGCCGACTCGGATGTTGACCACTCTACTCTTCCCGCTGAATGAGAAGAGGGCACCGGCTTCGTAATGATCACCGATGAGACTACGCGTCAAGTTGAGGTGAGTTTCGCCCAAGCCTTTGATGCTGAAGTTCGCCCTGCAAAGCCTTTAATCAGAACCGCATAAACAAGCAGCTTAAAGCACGCTTACGATGTACTTCCTGTCCATACGCCAAATTCATCCAAAATCTGTTTTCCACCATCGAGAAGGTCATAACAAGCAAAAGCTTGGTAGTTCAAGCTACCCGGACCGAAGCTGAACTTCGCGTAAGCTTCCGCCTTGGAGCACTTTTTTCAGTAAAATGATACCTAGAACCCCATAGTCCGCCAATTGTAATTCGACCTTTCTCCGGATCGATATCCATGGTACCCCCGGCGAATGAGTTTGGAAGATCGTTAGCAAGATCCAGTACGAAATAGGGTTTAGAACCCTTTGGGAAGGTGAAGCGTTCAAGACCGGCACGTCTAGTTGAAGTCGCTTCCATGAGAATCTCGTTATCTAGAGTTTGCGCGAAATAGCCGGGAGAGGCATCCTTTTATTCGTATTGAGCTCGGAAACTAAATACGTTGCGGAGTAGGGGGAAGCAACTGACGTCTGTGTTGTTCTTACGGAATCGTTCTCGTGTGGCAAGTGTTGTGTTGCATGTGTTGAATCCCCTAGGGCAAAGAGAGGGCATGATCTCGAAGTTACCATAAGTACCTGTAACGTCATAGCATGAACTTTGAAGGGGCTGAGATACGTTAGGGATGGTATCTACCCAGTGAGGAGCCCGTTCCACTGTCATGAAGAGGACTTAAACCACGAATCTTCTGCGTTGGGTCAGTCACATAGCCTGCAATGAAATATAACGAATTCAATGATGAAGGCCGGGACTAATGGTAATTATACTGTACCAGCAGGAGCGTATCCGGTCAAGTCTGTAGAGAATTTGACCTATATCACAAAAAGTTCGAACGAGAAAGACAGAATAGAATACGTCGAAATTGCGAACCATTCCAAATGGGACCGAGGCGCCTGGACTGCAAGGCATGTCTCAATCAATCATGATCGATCATAGCTGCCTCGCACCTACCAAACGTCTCCAAAATTGTCGGTTCCAATGAACACATTGACAAACTGGGTGTAGTCGATGTTGGTCGTGTTGGGCGTGACAGCCTTAATTGCCGCATTAATTCTCTTCTGGACTTTTGGCGAAGGTTGTGCGTGAACCACTTCGAACCAAGTAGTCCCCAAACTAGATAACAAGAGCCACGAGAGCGTCGAGAATTTCAAAATGTGTGGAATAGTCATATTGCGACACTACACCAGTACAGAGAGACTGAGGCGTCCTTGCTCTTACCCGACACTTATCCGACAGCTTTTGTACCCCGGGACCAGAGCGTCGATAGGCGGGATACCGCACATAATCGTGACCGTCGTAGCACATGCAGCGTACGACAAGAAGAGTTGGATATTGTGCAGGACCCGGCGCATGACCGCTGACCATGGCTTCGCGTTATTTACATATATTTGGAGATAACGGAAGGGTGATATTGGTCGACCAATTCCTTGCGCTGCCAGAGATGAAAACTGTGATGGAGCAAAATGAAGCGCATGGGAAGGAACAGCGAGCCTTCCACAGGAATAAGCAGACGATCCTGACCAGGTGGTCGAGGACGTTGTGACCGGTCTTCCTCGGAAACAACTCTCGTGACCAGCGTAAGTACAAAAGAGAACTGAAAATAGGTTGCAGAGTCAGCAGAGTAACCGAATTACATTGAAAGAAGCAAGGCGGCTACCTACGTAGAAGATGTCATGTCACTTGTGCCGGCTTTAGAGCGTCCTTGACAATTTTCTCGATAGCCTTCCAAGCGACCGCTGTACCTTGACCGTTCTCGCCCCAGTAATTGACTTCTTGCTCAGCAAGGCGGCCCAGAACATAGGCAGCAGCATCCACAGTGTTCTTTCCTATACCTACACGCAGACGATGAAAGTTGGGATTGTCGCCTAGCGCAGTAATGATGCTTCGTACGCCATTATGTCCGTTGGCAGACCCTCCGAACTTCGGGGAAATGACGTTCTGTTTGTGAGCCAGCGAGTCGTGTATGACGATCAGCGAAGAAGGTGGAGAGGATATGCTTCGAAGAGCATTTGCTACAGGTCGGCCAGATATGTTCATCAAGGCCTCTGAAAGGTGATGATGGGGTTCCATGTAAAAATAGACCGCTGAATAGGGTGCGAGAGTACTCACTGGGTTTCAATAAGGTTAAAGCGACCGAATTTTCTCCTATCACAACATTGGTGTGTGCTGCGAATCCGCCGAGACTTCTGTCTGCTACAAGATGCACACCCAGGCGAGATGCGAGCGAGTCTACCGCTAGATGTCCAACACTGGCGAATGAAAGACTTAGGTCAAAGGTCTATTTGCTTTTCTAATCCAGTTCTTTACCTGTGTCGCGTCAATGGATAAGGCAAGTTTCCAAGACCCACTATCAGAAATCTGGGAGAAGCTACGACCATGCAGAGGTAGGCGAAATTCTAATGACGATTGCACTTTTCGATTACTGAAAATTCTATGATAAGGAACGATGCAAAAGAAAGACAATAGAAAGTGTGGCTCGTGGTGGTGGTTATGAAGAGAATTGTATGTCGAGGATGAACGCAAAGGCTGACCCAAGAGCTGACCCTGATCTAGGGTTCGGGCATGGATTTCGGAATGAACTAGGCGCTACTAGCGCTGCATCCGACGCTCTAGGAGACCTTTAGTCGACGATATACACTAATCACTGATGCACGTTCCACCTTTCTCCTCTACCCTCTAGCACTCGACGTCCCCTCTCAGGCTCAGGCAGCGACCCCGCTTTCGTCTGTCTTTTTTAACCATGTCCGTTGCTTCGTTGACCACCGGAGTGATGATCAACTCGACAGCGGAGTCGCTGACCAGCCGACATCCAGTAGAACAGGATGATAGCGACGGTAGTTTCTCTTCTACCGCATCATGCCAGCCTTTGCCAACCACCATGGGTAATCTGGACTTCTCTTCTTCTTCGCTGGTTCCAACTCTTGCGTCTCTGAGAATCCAAGTGCTTTCTTACCTGGCCGATTTGGAAGCACGTCTGGCAGCCTTGGAATCGCCTGTATCAGCGGAACCGATGAAGTCAAAGCAGGAGAATACAATGGGGGATGCCAGAACATGTGTGCAGACTGCATTGGAGATGTTGCGAAGTATCCGTGAAGATGTGTGCTCGCACCTTCCGGATATACACTTGGACTTCGAGGAGTTTGTCAAATCGCACATGCCTGACAAACATACCCTGGACGAGATGCGTTCCCATGCGCCAACCATGCCCTCTGCCATGCGCTCACGACTCGATGACGTTCGTTCCCGGATATCCGACATAGACTTTCATAAACCCCTAGAATATATCCCGACGCTCTCTGAGCACTTGAATACCCTTCAGGCCCATTTGTCTTCTGTGGAGCTACCACACAGCTATTCTGAATCCGTTGCCAAGCTCAAACCTAGTGGGGTCTATGACCTGATCGACAAAGTTCTATCCTCGGAATTCGATGGTGAAGTCATTACGGAGAGTTTGGAGGGAGAGGACATGATTGAAAGGGCTGCCCGTGAGATTGCGAGAGCCATCAAGGTCTCCGTGAACGGCATTCGATTAGTCACATACGAAGATCTTCCTCACAAGTGGCAAAACAATCATTTTGTCTCTCGTGGCTACCGGTGAGTATTCCACATTCAGCATAAACATTTACATGATATTGAGCAATAATTCCGACAGCTTTATTCCTCTCGAGAACTGGCCTCGTCTCATCTTATCCTGGTTTACATGGCATAACGAGACCTGTATGTACCAAAGCTCGTCTCGTCTGTATTGCCTATTCTGACATTCGCCTTTACAGTAAACATTCACACTCATCTGATGCCATTCGCATACTGGTTCCTCACACTCGTCCCTATCATCCCCTCTCTTGCGTCTCCTCTATCTGTAGAGACTGAACTTCCAACAATAGCGTACATGACATTTGCTCTTCTTACTCTGTTCGCGAGTTCGATCTGGCATACAATGTCTGGATGTGCACATCTAAAGGGCATGGAACTATGTGCTCGTGCTGACTACATCAGTATCGGATGGTAAGCATTGACGCCGCGTCAGCGCGTAGTGACTTCGTGCAGTCCTGAGCCAAGTGCTGAATGTTGTTGAATCGGACAGGTTGATTAGTGCGAGTGTTGGCTCGGTGGTACACTACGGCTTTGGCTGTCAACCGCACTTACAACAAGCGTACCTCTCAATGTGTGCATTTTTCTGCGTCTCGGCTACAATCATGCCCTTCAGCAGTTGGTTCAACAACCGAGAATACAGGGTACGTCCTCCCGTCTTATTTTGCTATCTACATAACTGATGTACAGCCATAGCCATACCGACACGCATTCTTCATCGCTTTATTCATGTCATCTTGGGTGCCTCTAGCACATCTTTCCTACCTTCACTCCCCCGAAGAAATGTTCACATTCCTTCGTAAGTACACATCATTACCCGTTTTCAACATAATCTTTCATGACTAACCGAATTCTCTCGCAGGTCCAGTCACGTACTCCCTCTACTGGTACTTTGCCGGCTTCTTCTTCTACGCCTCCCACTTCCCCGAACGATTTTTCGTCAGGGCTGGCAACCCTCACTGGCTGGACTGGGTCGGCGGAGGCTCTCACGCTATCTGGCACATATGCGTTGTGCTTGGTGTTGTGTTCCATCGCGATGCACTTCAAGAACTCAAGAACGGTTTCATCCCGGGGCAAGCATGTGTTCTTTAACTTTAAAAGCTCTGACGGGCTTGTTAGAAGATACAAAGCAGCAAATGGTAATGACTTCATAGATAGTGTTGTGGGCCGGCGTGCTGACGGCCGTGCTTTATATTTGCGGGGTACTCCTGGTCATTGTTACCTGTATATAGTTTGATCATAACGACGCCATTCATACACTATACTACTCGTACATTCGTTGCTTTCGACGAGTATTAATCATGTAATTCTGCATATACCATGTCCCATATATGTTGCTTTGTGGTTGGTTAACGTTCAGTATGGCGGATGTCACTTCAGTTGCCCGCTCAGATCTCGCCAGGGCCAGGGGTTCAATGGAAATCTTATCATACATATAATGCATTAAACAACCGCGAATCAAACACATATCACTAGGAGCACCAAAGCCTCCATGCTGATTCCCACCCAAACCGAAAATCATGTACTATAGTCAGAATATAACATTAAGCAACGGAAGGGGGACCGCCGGACTTCGAGTGCTTGTCGTTGTGATTTAAGGTTGGTCGATGAGGTTCAGAAGCAGAGGACTTCCCTGCTGGGTTGGTCGGGGTCTGCTTTTCAGTGGTCGCCGCATCGCTGTCTGCAACAGTTTCCACCTGGGCTTCATTCCTAGTCGCGTCCTTCTCAACGACCTCGTCACCTTCAACCACAGTGTTCCCAGCTGGTGTGTTCTTCACGGCGGCTTTAGGTTCTTCTGCAGCGGAGTGAATCTTGGCAGTCTTGGCTGGGGCGTTAGAAGGATCTTCAGAGCTGGAGCTAACAAGATTGTTCGCTTCACCGATTGGAAGCCCGTTGACTGCAGAGCCGGCAGTTGAGGGGGCGGAGCCAACAGCGCCGAAACCGGTTGAAGCGAGTGCAACGGGAGAAGTGAGATCTCCTCCGGCTTGTGAGAGCTCTTTGGATGGAGGAATGTCTGGGGTTGAAGCACCGGGCACGGCGGGCACGCCAGGGAGGAGCCCGGCTTTCTCTTGTTGTCCGGGACGTTGATGAGCCTTGGGGCGTGGACGTCCAGATCGTGTTTGTGAAGGAGAAGACTCAAGCAGATCTCTGAATTGTATGGATTTAAGAGGAGGAAGAGAATCGCGTCGAGGTTCCATCTGCTCCCTCGGGAACTTATGAGATGCAGAGTGTTCCATGGGGGCAGCGGTAACCTGCGAGAGCAAACCAACGGCGGTCACAAGAGGGATGAGAGATATAAGGTGCATGATGATGATGATGATGTTCGTAAAGTAAAGAATGTGAGGTAAAAAGAGTGAGGGTTGTGCAAGGCGTCACCGAGCAAGTAGTGAAGAAACGAGATGGAAGAAGGAGAGAAAGATAGAACTGGCGGGAAAGACGAACAGAGCCCGTATTTATACCCAACCAAAGTGGCTGACACATCGATCAAGAAGCATCGTCAGCCTCAAAACCCTTCTCGACTGAAGGAGAGAATAAGACAGCAGAATCTGGAGTACAAAATACGCAGTACGCAAATATGTGCATAAACATACCATTCACATTAGTGTCGAGTTCCAAATCACGGAACCCGAAAACCATGAACCATGTTGGTCGATCTGGCACAAGCACTTGAAAAGTTACAAAGTAGAGAATGTCAGTGTGTATTCTCACCCGTCGACAAACGGCATAGAAATGGATGGAAGAGAGGGATATCGAAAGCTACCGTTCCGTGTATCCACCGTGGTGACCGTGGTGACTTGTCTCACGAATACAATTTCCAAATCCAGTATGTCAACCTTTAACCGATCAAATGATTTGCGACGAAGTTCAGGTTCAGCTGTTTGCAAACAAAAAGCCTCATAGACCTTGTGTTGACCACCATGACCTTTACTTGACTACTCAGTACTCAGTGTTGAGTATTACTGTTTCGCCTAATTCCTTTCAACTTGTTCTTTATTACGACAAGGCTCATGATGAATTCTGGTAAGCGTTAGTCCCCATTCTTGATATTCCTCCGACGCAGAAATTCTTCTAGATATGAACATTCCTACCGCAGTGTATGCGTCGTCCTCGAGAGACACTTCATGCATTGCACGTCTTCCGAACGAGCTGCTTGAGAAGGTCTTCATATGTCTTCGGGAAGAATTGCTTTACGGGGAACCGACTTACGGGTGTAGGACATCTCACTCCTGGGCAAGCGTCTGCCACGTATGTAGACATTGGAACCAAGTCGCAACACAATGCAGCGCCTTCTGGTCCCACATCATAAGCGTTCCTTGGCATGATAGCTCTGCAACCTACATGGAGGAGATGCTTCGGAGGAGCAAGCAACACCCGCTTTCCATACACGTTAGCTCGCAGTCACGGGCAACTTGCCTGGAGCTGTTGGAGACGTATGATGCATGCCAACGGCTCGCCGTGGCAACGTTCAGTCTCAATTATAACATCCCGGTGAATGCCCGCTACCAGGAGCTCGTTAAGCGGCACGCCAGCCTCGACGCACCGGCTTTGCAGGAACTCACGTTGACCTATGATTGGCCACGTTTGGGTGCCCTTGGGCCTCATCAACCTAAGCGAAGAATTCCTTTCTCCTTGGGAAATCTCCCTCGCATCTGGAGGCTCAATGTCTCTCGTGCACCCCTTTCAGAAATACAGTTTTTCTTCCGTTCCACGATAACTCACCTCAGTATGACTCACCTTCTCGAGCGAATTCCAACGGAACGGCTCTTTGACGTGCTGAATGCAATGCCACTCCTGGAAGATCTCATGCTCCAGAACGCATTAAGTTCCTTCAATGAACGAAATGCACAAAAGCATTGTTTCAACTATCTTCGCCGCCTTTCATTGACCGATTCCACCGAGAGCATCGCAAATTATCTTCTATGCTTCTCATTTCCTCCCTCCTCCTTACGTTTTGTGGAGATAGCGTGCGAGCCATTGACTTGCGATAAATGGCAGGACAGGACGATATTGGCCAAACGTCTCCCAGCCATTGCTGACCAGTTTCGTGGCGGTCTTGCCGAACCTCTCCGCTCATTCTCCATCCGTCACCGAGAACTTCCAAATAGCCAGATTGAAATTTCAGGATGGTCCGCCCCCACTTTTCCCACTTATCAAGCCATGATATCTCCAAGCATCAACCTGAAAATGCTGGAATGCGATGGGGTTGATCCCGTCCAGCTAATGACCACAGTATTGGATGAAGTCTCTTTGAAGGACGTTCGCACTTTATCCTTTGGAAATTTAGACCTCCCACACAGCCTGAAGGAACGTCGTACCCGAAGACCACCCTTTGCGCTCTCGCTCAAAGAGCATGGCGAAGTGTTTTGCAGATTCTCGTCCGTGGAGAACCTCGTTGTCGACCTGGACATTGGAAAACATCTGCGAGATCCCTTAATGATCAAGTATCCTTTGGATTGGGACGAGATTAGACTAAAATTGCCAGGCAAATATGAAAACGAGGAATTGGAAACAACCCTCAACGCGAGAAATGATGGCTTGGATAGGATAAAGTCTTCAGAGGGACGTTGTTTCTTGTTCCCTTCTTTGAAGACGCTGACAATTCAATGGCAACAAAACAATCCAAGACTGCGAGACGAGACTATAGATGGACTACGGAAACGTTTCATGGAGGTTTGCATGGTCCGGGACCACGAATTTGAACTTCGTCTCGACCCATTGCCTGGAACAGTACGAGATTTTGATTTCTGGTAAATCGATGTGTTATGTTGTCAACGTATTTTCCCTGCCTTTGGTTTGTAATCTGAGTAATTAGAGCAAATAATAATGACCAACTCCCGGATCGACGTGAGAACCAACTACTCTTCCTGTTCTGACGGAGGGAGGCTCTGCGATACGCCAGTAACCATCGTTATGATGTTTTCATGTTGTTACGTTGTCAAGTCCAACGTGGTTTGGCTCACTACTACGACGTTTGCAGCACGCCACATCGTCCAAATCACCCACCTTTCCTGCAAGTAGTAATTCTAATGATCATCATGATGCCGTAACTTTCTGACAGGCAGCTTCTCTTAGCAAGTAGGATCTCCATCTGGGATGGCAGTTGAAACGACCGATTCGTACCCTCGAGAAGGCTCGTGGATCTCGCGGTTGCCCAACGAGCTACTCGAAAAGATTTTCATGCATCTCCGGGACGCAACAATAATAAATCAATCGACACACGCTCGCGACGCTCATTCGTGGGTACGCGTATGTGGCGTATGCAGACTGTGGTGCGAGGTTGCACTTCAGTGCTCTGCATTGTGGAGTTACATTTCTGGGTACACCAAAACAGCCGACCAAATCGAGATGATGTTAAAGCGAAGCAAGCAAAGCCCTTTGACCGTCCACCTCAACTCACAGTCACTGGCAATAGGCGTAGAGCTGTTGGACAAACATGATGCTTTCCAGCGGCTTGCCGTTGCAGTACTCCGGCTCGACCACGAATCTGCAGGTGTCGAGGACGTCGAGATGGACAGAAGGCGTGCCGAGTTTGACGCAACCGCTTTACGTGACCTTACGCTGAATTATGACTGGCCTTCCGGAGACTGGTTGAGGCACCCTGCTAGGATGGCACCCTTTTCCTCCGGAAACCTCCCAAAGCTTTCTAGGCTTCAAGCCAAAGCAGCTCGTTTCCTCCACGTGCTGCCCTTTCTGCGTTCGACTGTAACGAATCTCAGCCTTTGTCTCATCGACCGCCCTTGTATGGCTCAATTTGTTGGGGCATTAAAAGCGATGCCCCTGTTGCAGGCCTTGTCTTTGAGCTTCGCCCTGCCGCTCCTCGATTCTGGGTATATTCTACCTCCATATCATTTCGAATATGTCCAGCATCTTACCTTAATCGATCTGACTGCCACTTGCGCACAACACCTTGCCAGCTTTTCCTTCCCGTCAAATTTGCTGCGAACTTTCCATGTCATTTGTAGACCATTCGACTGTTCGCGGAGGCAGGAGAAAGAACAACTGGAATACCTCCCTGAAGTTGCCTCCACAATGCGCAAGTATTTGGTGGAACCTCTACGCACGCTCTCCATTCGACGAGTTGCTTCCACAATGATCGAGCTCTGTGGATGGTCAAGCCCTCACCTTCCTACTTTGACATCGGAGACACCTCCCGTTCTCAGTCTGACATTCACTGGGTGTCAAGAAGTGGACGATGTACACCTGATCAAAATGCTGCTCGATCAGTTCTCCGTCGTGAACGTGAAATCCCTTCACGTGGGCAACTTGGACCTTCCTCATAGTCCCAGAGAACATTTCCACGTTCACAAATTACCGGGATTCACGCTCAGGGATTACGACGTCGTGTCTTCCAGATTCTCCAGGTTGGAGTACCTGGAGGTTGACCCAACCGTCGCGCTCGGCCTGTTGGATGCATTGATGTTGACGTACCCGCTGGACCAGAAAGAGGTTATGCTCAGAGTTCCGCACAGATACGAAGAATTTTGGGAGCACCAGCTCCGAGGCGTGCCAGATGAAGAACATCAAATTGTCGAGTCGAGGAAGCCTCAGCTGTTATTCCCTAATCTCAAGGCTCTCGCCATTGTTTGGGTCGAAAGCGATCCACTATTTCGTAATGAAGGCAGGGAAGAGTTTCACAAAGAATTCATGAAATGCGGCGCTGCACGAGAAATTCCGTTCGACGTTTACCTCAAAATCCTACCGGGGTGAGTTTCAGTGCGAGATGCTCAGTTGTACGAATAGAGGGACGTCTAGTGATATCAAGGAGAACTCTGTATACCCGCTCTTCTGCCACAAGTACTATAGTTACTTCGGCGGACTTGAAGACTTTTCAATATTAATGTGTAGAATGCACAAATCCACATCTTTCGGCTCAGGTTCTATGCCCTGAAAACAAATAGGAAAAGAAAGCAAGGCATCGCATTATACAAATGATAAAGCTACAAAGGATAGTTAGTCGTGATATGTACAAGGCTATAGATACAGCATGATGCGACTGTCCGACAATGAGAGAAGCATTAGGCTTGGTGATATATATAATAGAAGGTCGTGAAGAGAATAGCCTGTCATGCCGCTGCTGGCTGTCATATAGCCATTGCAATAAACGGATTAGTATGCCTTCTCTCAGAGGAGGCTGTAACCGGAGGTTCAGTCGGAGAAGATACGGCCACCCGATTCTCGTCATCAAAAGGCGTCACGAATGGATCCACCGGCTTGACTGGAGGTAGAGGATTTTTGCCAAGCTTAGGATGTTTTGGAGGCGGCGAGAGGTGAGTATCGTGATCCAGACCATACACAGGCGAGTTCATCGGAGGAGGCGTGGGGAATCTTACAACAGGCGGAACAGGTTTCTCAAACCCATGGTGAAGTGGAACAGCGAAACGCATTTCGGACTGAGGCATTGTCACATTGAAGGAATCGCGAATGGAATTGACGTCTGAAGGGACACTAGCAGTTCGCCGAGACTTGGGCTGGAAGGGAATTGACAAAGAACCCTTCTTAGACACCATGTTCTGCATCCAAGGGCGTTTAGGAGGAGGTCCCGGAGAGACCGACCACGCGGAGGAGGGCACAGGTTGTCCATGTGAGCTGCCTTGCCTGTCAATGGTCGGGAGGTTAGTCGATGGCGACGAGGCGTTGGTAGTGGAGATGGTAAGTTGAGGGCGTACGCGCTCTGTCGGAACAGGCTCTACGACATTCGAGACCTCATTATCGTTCACATTTTTCTTCCTCCAGAATGCACCTTGGACCCGTTGGAACCATGAGGATTCGCCCGCCTGGGCATCCCTTTCAACAAGATCTGTCTGAGAGTTGGAACTTTCCTTATCACCAATGAACCTCTCTCGCCCCTTCCTACTCAGTGCCACCAATTTCTGGGGTGCGCTGATCTTGAAGCTTTTAGATTGAGCTGGTGCAGTCTGGTCGGTGCTGGTGTTGGCCTGATCAAGGAAGCTATCCCAAGACTTCTCGTATGCAGGGTTCCGCATACTCAGCGGGTGAGGTTCCTTGTTCTGGAACGACGGGGAGCGAATAGAGGTAAAAAAGTTTGGCTTCGGATTGGGCAACGGAGAGAATGAAGGCAAGTCAGACTGCTTCTTCTCTGTGTCGACGCCTCCCACGCCTCCAGCGAAACCATCACCAGTTTCGCGGTCACGGAAAGGAACGACCATTCCTTCAGTACCACCCCTCTGCTCTTTCTGCCATTTCCGCTTCTTGTACGCCTTCATCCAATCTCTTCCATACGAATGCCAGAAGATAATGCACAGAGCGATAAGGACGACGAATCCCCAAAGACCCATGAAGATCCCGAACATGATTCTTTCCTTCTTGAGAGAACTGATATAAGCATTGATGAGACGGCCAACAAGACCACCATCGTCACTACCTTCGCCATTCCCACCTCCGATGGCGGCAAGAGCGACAGGTCGAGTGACTTCGTTAACATTGTCAGGGGAAAGAACGAGGACGGTTTCGTTCACACGGGGGATATCGACGTGGAGGTTGTCATGAAGGAAAGTCAAGGCGCTCTCGATGGCGTCAACTTTGGTACCGATGAAACACCGAATGAATTCCTGGACGGGGCTCTCGAGGATCGTTCCGCTGAATACGGTGTTAACGGCGTCTTGGATATCGGTGTAGAAGGCATTGATGGTATCGTTCAGAGTCGTAGTGGTACCATTGACCCAACCAAACAGACCATCGTTGATCGTGGACTGGATGCTGTCCACTCGCCCGTTCACATCAGCAGCGTAAGCAGACGACTGGTTGTACATGCTTTCGTTCATTGAGGTCGCAATTGTATTGCTGAAATCGTTCACGGACGCAACGGCTTGTTCGCTGTACTTGTGTGCTAGCGGCGAGACAGCCATCAGCTGAATCTGAACAGAGAGGAGGCCAAAGAAACCGATGAGGAAACAGGCAAGGGCGGGTGGGTGGAAGACGTAGTGGAAGAACCACTGGAGGTGAATGTGCTGCGACGGACTGAGGCGGAGTAAGGCTGTCATCTGGTTAGCAATCCTCGTGAGCAAAGGATGCTGCGAGGCTGCTTGCAACATGAGCAAATTGTGATCGGTCATAATGATAGTCGGTGCGGACTTGGAACCGGACTGGGATAGTGTCGGATCAGTCGTCCATGCTTCCCGAGTGTATTGGAGGTGCTGTTTCATACAACGCCACTTGTACCACTCCAACGCACAATGGGCTCCCAACAACAAGAGGGCGAGGATGACCAAGATGACGGTACCAATCTTGGCTATCTTGACGAGATCACTGCCGAGGTTATCAACGACGGAAGTATCCATGTCGTTGCAGAATACGACATTGTTCTGTTGAGGGACGGGGAGCGTGGACTGGTTGAAGGAGATTCCATTGAAGGTATCATTTATATCCTTCTTTAACAGCTCAAACGGCTTGTCAACACTGGAAGGCTGTTAGGATAAATGCAAAAAAAATATTGAAAGTGGAACTTACATAGACTCCACCTTGTCCTTCAGCTCTGCTATAGTCGGCAGGGAGTTGTTCAGTTTTATCAGCGCATCTTGGAAATCCGATGGAAGAGACACGTTCTGAAGTCCATCGAGACTCGGTACGTTGATCTGAGGAACGGATATATCACTGAACGGATTGACTTTGTTGACGGCATCGACAACGGTCTTGATCGCCGAGTTGGCTGCCGCCACATCGTTCTGAATGGAGGTCCGAAGACCACTGAAAGTACTCTGGATGAAGGAGTTGAACTGGAATTAAAGCCTTTAGTATCTCACCTACACCAAAAGCGTGAAGATATACCTCTTGCACAGCACCGATAATGAGGGAAAGACCACCCCGTACCACAAGCTCGAGGAAGCACAAGAAGGTCGAGCGGTAAATGTCAATGATAAAGTTAATGATAACTTCCATTATTGTCAATGCGAGGACAAGGGTTGCACGGGCTGCATTCAGAGTTCCGTTGACTGCGTCCGCGATTTGTGCATTGGAAGCAACGGCGAGATATCGAGGTATGCTGGCAGCGGATGTGGCAGCAGTCTCTGCGGCCTTGCAGCTGGTAAGAAGGTCATCCTTGGCGTTCGCCGCTGCATCTGCTGCCGCTGCAGATGATAACTGAAGTCTGAAGGCGACGAAGAGGAGAGAAATTATGGGATAAGCAAGCCACGTCAGAGACAAAATGTGAGATAGCTGGAGATAAGGTGTGAGAGTTGTGTACTGTGTTGGTGTTGAGTGAGTGTCGTAAACGGGTGGAGGAGACATCCAACGAGTATTAGGTGAGGTAGCCATGGGCAATAATGAAAGTCGACCGGCGACGTCGTAAAGATTGGTATCGGGGGTCGTTGACGGACGTTAGAAAGCAAAGCCAGAGAGCGAAAGACCCGAAGAAGAGTGGGAACGGACATTCCTCGCCCCCAGTATTTGAGAAAGAATTATCCATTGTGTTTACGTCGCTCGAGCAGGTCATTGTTCTCGAACCACCAAACAATAGAGTCTGCATTTGGCGTCTGATGGGCGCTCCGCCGGCTCAAGCACGGGTTGAAAAGGCAGACAGCAACGTCGGCTGTGCTACAATTGTATTGCTACGAGTCGTCAGGATGGACGTGAAATTTATACGAGAACGCAGCACATACATACCTCAACGTTGCAGGACGAACAAGGAGGTTGAAAGGCTGCAACACAATTGTTGATGGCAGTGATGGCCACCGATTAATTTCCATATAAGGCAGCTCTGGTAGTTCTCCCCGTCTCGACTCTCGCTCTGAGCCGGGAATTCATATGGGTTGCTTCCTCAGTCCAACGTGTACAAGCATGCACACAGCGCACAAGAAACTTATGCCTTGAGTATTTGCCCTTGATGAAAACACCCGGATAAATGATCAAGTTCTTAGGGCGAGGGTGGAGAGGGATGCAAGGGGTATGTGCTTTTCGATGTCAGCCGCTTCCAATGCTGACCATTCAAATACGAACGTGTTTGATTTTGAACCAGACACGTCTTTCTTTCTGCCTTCAAGGCTGCTGCCTCAACAGCCTTTCAAGCACCGCCGTACACAATATCTATAGCAACCCTCACGTTCTTTACCTTCACGAACATCACTACAAATGCATCCTCTCGTCCTCGTTCCGCTCCTAGCTACCTCTAACCTGCTCCTTCCTGTGCTCGCCGCCCCCATGGAATTCTCAACTCCAGTAGGAGTTCCAGGTGTCGGCGCAGCGACACTAGGAATTATTACGCCTACTGCCATTCCTAACTTGCCCGCCTTGCCTAAGCGTCCATTCCGACGTGACGAACATCTTCTGGAGTCCCGCCAGGTCATTGGCTATGGTCACAACCCCCCTGCTCCTACTCCTACTCTCATGACGAAGACTCGCAGAAACCTTTTAGATTCCGGTCCTTCTAACCAAACCCCAGGATCAGGAAGAACACGTCCTCATTCAAGCGGACAACAGGATAGCGCGGGACTTCTTCCTGGATTGCCCGCTGCCCCTGCAGCAGCCCCTCCCACTGAAGTCCAGCCAGAAACTAGCTCAAGCGGGAAAACTAGTGGTACCTTGTTATCTGGTCTTCCCGTTAGCCAGGCCGGTGGCCCTGCGGAGTCTGATACCGGTGATAGACCCAATATCCCACCTCCCAAGCCCCCGGCTGAAGTCCAGAAAGAAGCTAAAAAGGAACCAGAAGTCGTGTCTAGCGATGCCGCGGAGAAAGACATAGCCCAGGACGCCGTAGCGACAGAGGTCGTTGCTGAAGAGACAAAGGCAGACGAGCCGTTCAACCCCGCTCAGAAGTCTTCCAACCCCAAGTTCGATGCCTATGCAAAGCACACCGAGAGCCAGCAGAAATCTGAGCATAAGGCCCCTCCTCCCGTCGCCCGCCGTGCGTTCACATCTTACTACCACTCTGTCAAGAGCCGTGGTGTTACGGATAACAAGGCTCACTCTCTTGTCTTGGATACCGACCCCGTGGTGCCGCCTCAGAACAAGGACCCGGATCATGACGCTAGTATGGGCCTTCTCAACATTGATAGTAACCGCAAACCTGAGCCGGAAAAGAAGACGCCAAAGGTTCCGGTTCCCGTAGAGGCCCCACACAACACGACTATACCGGCGAACTGAGAATCATGTTGAGATGGACGCGGTGGGGAAGGTGTTGCATTGGACACTGTAATAGTTCTAGAGGGGACGGATATTGACTATGAAAGGGTGTATACTTACTATTCTTGAACAATGCCTTATATTCTTCGACTCTGAACAATCCTCTGCGAATCATCATGAAATATAGTCAGAAACGCAGCAACAGAAATCAACATCAGCCCCAGATTGAGTCGCAGTTAGGAACGCTATTCATTGAGAATAGAAATATCATCGTAGCACTAGAGATAGAAATAAAAGGACAGATAGATATACAAACAGATTCAAAGTCCAACATGATCGCGTCTAATGCTCCTGGGCATCGTTGATAAGACGAAGGATGTTGATGACTGCGCGAATACCGAAGTAAGTAGCTGAAATAATATGAAGGTAGTCTGACAAACTTACAGAGGTTGATGAAGCTAGAGACATTATAATCACGAAACATCAGCAAACCGCGGCGAACACTGTAAGATATAAAGCGACACGCACTCAAGATAAAGGCTGATAGATCCCATAATATACTCATCGGGGGAAAGTCGGGCGTTGATGATGTAGGTATCGTAGACAATGTATCCGCTGAACAACAAGCATCCGCCGGCTGCGAAGACGATATCCATGGTACGGCTGAAGGGAATGAATATTCCAACAAGACCGGTCATCACTAAGTGACAAAGATCACACGAGCCGTTAAGTACGAATAGGGGCGAATCAAACCCTAACTTACATAGCGCAACGAGGCCTCCAAACAACCAAGGTCCCATTCCAGAGAAGTCGTACTGATGATGGGTGAGCACATTTTGAGAAAGCAATAGTAAAAAACTACTCACTTTAGATTGGAAGGTGAATAGAGTCAGACCAAGGAATACTCCAAGAGTGATCAACCTATCCAACGACGTCAGTCAAATAAGAGACCTCAACCTGATAGTACTTACAACGCTTGCAGGACCACGACTTCATTAAAGAACGCAGTCATGACACCAAGAGTGAAGGCCTCCATGAGGGTGAATGTCCCCAGCAATATGAAGTTGAGCGGATGACTGTGTCGCTTCCAATAGAGAAGGAAGATATTGATGAGGGTGCCAAAGAGAGGGACATAGAAGGACCAGAGACTATAAAAGCACCTGTGTAAGCCAGGAGGCGAAGGGTAAAGCGATAGAGACACACTGTGTCTGAACCCAAGCGATGGTAGCATCTGATTGTGAGAGCGCCCCTCCCACGATGCAAGTCGCGAGCTAGGAACGGTGTTAGAAGCAGCAGCAAGGCGACAGCCACTTCAGCTTACTATTTGGATAACTGTGCATAAAATGGTAAGTCAATGTTTTGAGCGACGATACGAAGTGAACTCACAGAGGATAGTGTACACTTTGCGAACGAACGCATTCCTGATTTCTGGAGCGCTGTCAGCAACGCATGTCCCGTACTAATAAAATGACGTGTAAGATTTGAATTTAAGTACGCAGAAGAGCCAAGTACCTTGAAATCGTCAGGAAGGTCCCCTGGACGGGGTTCATCGAAATACCCTCCAGCGCTTGGTCCTGCAGCCGGATGAAGCAAAGGTCTTCCAGCCTCTTCGTCTGGGGGTACAGCACCAAGCCTGGTGTTAGGCCCGGCTGTCTGGTAGGAGGGAGGTGAAGTTGGATAAGTACTCATGGTGGAGGAGGTCGAGAGAGGTACAACGCTGCGATCAACTTACTGTCCTAATCATCTGTCAGATTACATCATAGGTTCCCACGCTTACAAGAGTCTCTATCAGTATTGACGGAATCGGAATCTGCTCGAACGTACTTTACACTAAGTTACCACTCACCATATTTCAAGGAATCATACGGTCCCGGCAGAATACAATGAGTAGAGGTCTCTAATCTTACCAATACCGCTTCAAGAGAGATCAGCCTATAGGCTGTCATGTTTCTTAAGGCCACAAACCCGAGCTGACGATACATTATACTCCTCAATTGAAAGAATTACTGTATGTGATTGATGTCAGACAGAAATATGACATTTCGCTGAGGTATTATCTCACCCCCCGACATTGCTAACATACGCGCTACAGGCATCCACCAGTACCATGGCTGCACCAATCGACCTTCATCTCCTCCCAGAAATACTGAGATATTATTATTATGTTGAGCCCAATCATGCCAGATGGTTGTGATCGTCTAGCCCCGTATCGTTGGATCGCTGTGACGCGAGTTCGTTGCTATTGAATTATAGCCCTCTTGTCCTCTCGTCTCTTTGCCATAATCCATGTGCCATTCCCCATCTGCGCATTTGACTATATCGTGCGAAGGATTCCCCTTGCACACAGTCTTCAACATTCCACCTACGGCGGATATTGAAGGACATAAACCTACTTACCTAGTAGGAGCTAATCACTTGTCTACCCCGCACACGTACCCTTCGACTTCGTGTGAATTTCGAATTGTATAAGTTCATCTTTAACTTCTTATAGCGCGGTTGCACTCATTTGACTTCGTTGGCATCTAGGATCGCTGTTTTCATACATAGTCCTCTTCCGCCCGTGCAGTTTCCACTCACGCTATACGAAACCCCTGGCAGAACCATTTACTTATCAGCAAGACGGATAAAGCGTGCTTTCTAGATTACCCCCACTGTCATAACGCGTTGTCAAGAGGGCGTATGACGCGGATGTGACACGGAAACCGACATTGCAGGGGGGAATCTTGTCAACTTGACTGCATCTTACAAATACGATGTAGGGAGAAGGGAACGGAGACTATATCTCTCTACCTGGAATTGAGACGCTTCGCTTGCTTGATATACTTTAGATCGTAGTTGGATCGTATCGTAGTATCTTTCACATTTTCATATCGCGGCGTCCAGAATACATTCTCCATAAGTGAGCAGATCCTCAAAAGTTTCAGAATGCGTACGACCTCGAGATACCAGCCTGAATGGCATCAGACTGGATACATAACATGAGTCTTAGAAAGAAGAGGGCTACTGCGATATACAGAATAATAACACCCAAGGTAATAGTAGAACTAGGCCTTTTCTGCTCTGCTTTTCTCAATGGTGTCATCCTCCTCTCCTATAGAGGATATTCGACTACCGCCTGCACCTTTTCGACGCTTCGTCGTTGAAGAAGTGGATGCAGATTTACGCTTGAGAATCTCAGCGTTGGCTGTGAATCGGGCGGCCATATGACTGGAGGTGTGTGCCAAACTGCTGTCATCGTTGAAATTGCGGGGCAGGCCCTCGAATTGGTCCAAATCGAGTTTGTCCGTTATCCAACTCGTCTTAGGCTTGCTGTCTGCGTCGTCTATAGCGCCTTTGAATACTTCAATAATTTTATCGTGGTTTTGCAAGGGTTTGGATTTAGAAACCATGCTGTTATCGCTAGATCCAGAGGGTAATTCCGCTTTGCGGGGTTCAGATGGAAGTACGGCTGAAGCTTCGCCCGGTGCGTCGGCACTTTCAATCACTCGACTGTCATAAGAGGATGGAGAACGTGCATTGCTCCCAATCTCCAGAGCTTCGCGAACAGGGGAAAGGCGAGAAGATGAGGGGGTCTGCGCAGGTGACGTGCTGACGGGTTGACTGTGGGGAGAAGGTCGAACGCGACGGTCGCTAGTCCGACCTAAGAACTCGTCAACTTTCGGTGAGGTCACAATCTGGAGATGTCGAGGAGGCGCAAACTTGGCGAGTTCATTCCAATCCAGGGACCTGTAGTGTTCGGCGCAGAGAGTTGATAACTTTGACCACAATGTCTGGAGACCTATGCTATTTTGATGAACATTAGGTTCGAAGCCATGTTTACCTGTCTCTACAGCAGTCAACTTCGCTCGTGTGCAGGTGTGATATCCACCTCGTTCGTGGAACGCCTCGTATGTGCGTCTTATATCAGCCATTTCCTGTGGCGTTAAGCCTGTTTCGTGGAAACGCAGAATCTCCCATGTCAGGACATGAAAGAAGGATTCGAGATCGTCGGCTACTTCATGGGGCTTTTTTGGATATGAGAGCAAGAGAGCGGACATGAATACCCAAGTTCCCTGATGTTCAGGTCAGAAGAAATCCGAATACCAACGAAGAGACAACTCACCGAGCGGTTCTTGTCAGATGCACCCGATTTTAACTCGTCACTATACTTACATAGATCCCAGTCGCACAACATGCCGTGTACGGTTGATCTACCACGCTTATCTTTTCCAAAGACGATGAGGATGTTGCCATCACTGATGTCGCGATGTAAGACCTCAGCGAATTCCCAGGCTTCATGATGAGCTGAAAGAGGACAATTCAGACAAACGCAAAAACAATAGGGTAAGGTTGCGCACCAAACAGTGCGTCCAGCAACACCTTGCAAAGCATCTGAGAGGTTCGGTACCTCTCAAGAGGGCAGCCGACTTGCTCAAGAACGATGCGGTAGTGAATCCGGGCGCAGTGTGGATTCTTTGCCATGTACTTCTGAGAACGCGTGCGTTGGGGAGGGCTCCCTACATCCCCTCCGCACAATGCAGTCGCTACAAAACGCACGTCATTGTCCTTGAGCTTCTTGTATACTTCGCATTCAGGGTGCGAGGATTGGGCATCTAGACGCCAGGTGTCTTTCAAGAAAACGGCTTTCTTTTCTCTCAAATCGTAGGCAATATATCCCCGTGTAGCGCGGCCAGTTGCTGACAAACCTCCTGCACGATGATAACCAATCAGGAAGTGTTCAATTCCCTTGTCTTTCTTGACCTCGACTTTGTAGATCCTCCCTATGCGTGGCTGTTTCATCTCATCCAACATGGCCTCCTCGAGAAATTCCCGAACATAGTCCACCTCCACAGTTGGAATGAAGGCAATTACTTCATCCATTTCCGACTGGCTTGCAAGAGAGACAGTAGGGTCGAAACCAAGTTGTTCAGGCGACATCTTGCCAAGGCGGCAGAAGAAGTTGAGAACTTTCCAGCCTTCTGTGAGAAGATCGATCTCTTCAGAAACGACGAGACTCGTCCGATCCCAGAAGAGGAGCCAAGCAGAGTTCTGATAAATCGAGACGCTGTAGAGGTGTTGACGATGTTGATGCAGTTGAATCTTGCCAGAGTATTCAGCAAGCTGGCCTAGGCTCTCCTTCGCCTTTTGGGCGGTGGAGATGAAAGCGGAATCACTTGAAGAAACTCCCGGTGTCACGGTTGATTCAGGCTGAGGGGTGGTAGGACCACGATTGGAAGAACCCCTTGACGTCTTCAATGCTTTCTTCGCCACAAAAGGTGAGGCACTGCGAGTCTTGACCTCCACGAAGGCCAGAACATCTGCCCATGAGAGTCGCGCAGCCCACGGTCTTCGAGATTTTCCGGGCTCGTTCTTCAGAGCACCACTATCGTCCTTCTCCTTTTCGGACAGATCGTGAGCAGACATATTGAGGTCAGAGGCGCGATAGAGGACGCCGTCGGTTCTACATTGGTTAGCAATATTCTTTTCGCACCACTCCCCGGTATCTCGGACTACAATCTGCTCATTGGGGAGCGCAGATTGCATGACTTTCCACTAGATGAATGTAAGAAATTTGCATACTACAAAAAGGTGGGAGAAAAAAACTCACCAGGTGTGGATACAGCACGTTTTCTTTGTCCAACCAGGCGTCCATTGGAATATGAGCAAAAGATGCGAACTGTTTCTTCTCGTCATCGGTGGGGTCTGTACCTGGAACAAGCTCCAGGAAGACTTCGTATGGTACCTCTATGCTTCTGTCCAACATTTCTGCTGCGTGACGGACGCGCAAGTTGTGTACTGTTTCGAGCTTGTCGTCAAGAGCTGAGGGCTTGTTACGAGGTGGTGTAGGATCAGGTTGACCAGATAAAATCTGACGTTCGGGTGTTTTCCGTCCAGTTTGATCTGGATCAACAGGGAACGGAGGGTCAACAGGGAGCGGAGGACCTCCAGATGCAGAGGGACTAGGACCAGGAGATAAGGCAAGGCCAGGAACAAGATTGGCGGCGACAGAAACCGCAGGAGACTCTTCAAGTATAGAGCGGCTGGATACGAGAGCAGGAGCAGGAGCAAGCATAGGATTAGCATCAGAGTGAGAAGCCATGATGAAAGCAGGTAACTTACTTTCACGAAAACAATGGAGTATCTTATATAGATCCTATAGAAACCACACTCGGTTTGCAAATCAGGCTAGGGACCACTCTCAGTCTAAAAATTGAGCTATGGCCATAACTCAGTTAGCCGAAGCGCATCGTGGTGTCCATTGTTCAATACATACACAGTGTGGTTTGGCGATCTCAGATACGGGTAAATTCTACGAGCGGCACGAGATTCAGTTTGCATGAAGCACAATAGAGCATCACCACGTACTTACGAATCAGGAATTTCTGCGATGACGTTCTTGGCCACTCGCTGCCCAACGTTGCGACGTTCAACGTTCCGCAATGTACGTGCGACGCCCAACTTGAACAACTACAACGCGATCACATGACCAATTCAATCTCCGATACCATGCGCGGAGTCATTTTACATTTTATTGGACGTCTCGAGTCGAAGTACTGTAGTAATTAATTGGACGCATCCGATTCCAGTCGCTAAGTGGTATTCTACTCAGTTCATTTCACCACTACCTCACATGCCAGCAATAACCATTCACTGTACCAACCTCACGTCAGTCGAGAATAGTTTCTGCTTGCCAGTGGATTTTTCAGCAGTTTGGTCACTTGGCCGTACCCATGGACGTTCGTTCAGCTCATCGTTTGTCCATCCAAACATATGTGAGGGCTCTCACTTTCAGACACCCGCACTCGCTACCTTCGTTAACCTACCACTAGCTCGACGCGTCCACCCATTAATTCTGCTACTCCTCGTGAGCTTTAGCTCGCTCAGTTTAGGGTTTGCGAGCAAGGGCTTGGGTGACATCTTGGACTATAGATGAGCAGTTACTATGTAATGGTAAGTGCCATGTAAACGTATTTCACCCATTAAATTGCAGCCTAATTTATGGGTGAACAAACGATGGCAGATTGGCGCAACATGAAGAGCCATGAACTGGCTGTGGGGTGTGCGTGAGAACGCACACAGCAGAGACGATTTCATCTGGTGTTACGCCAAGTTCAGACATTTCTAGGATTCTTTGGGACGTTAGAAATGAAGCCGAAGCCGAAATCCCAGCTCTGCTTTCTCCACTCGAGAGATTACGACTTATAAAGAGATGTCCGGTAAAAGTAAGCTGAACAGCCCGAACGAACAGATCAAGAGCTGATATTCCTGTTAGACTGCTCAAGATCTCCTCTCCTAAAAGTTGAACATAGGGCGGACCTGAATACATCTCCCGCCGGACGACAAAGAACGAGCGTTTCCAATTCAATGCAACTTTTGCTTCAGAGCTATTTGGCGTTGAACCTTCTTGTGTGGATGCAACGAGGATTTGATACGCTTCGTGGCGTTCTTGATTATTCCACTTTTGATGGCAAAGACGAGAGATGTTTGAGCTATCCAGCCAATTGAAGGGAGAAGCGCAGATCATACCAAATTGGCAAGCGGAACATCATCTATAGATGGAATGCTCAGCCTCGTCACCCCAATGGATCCCAGCGGCAGATTGGTACAACATTAGAATTGGGTCTAGTGCCGATGCTCGGACGTTGGATGCGAAACAATGCAATTGAAAGACCGTCCAAACCCATGTTAAGGAGAGGATTGCGCCCGAATCAGCTGAAGCTCCAAACACGATGGTGGCTCCGAAGGACGCCGGTCGAAACTGGCGACCGCATTAATCACCAGCAATGTATAATCGCCGCAGTTTCTAGCGACGTGAAAGGTGTCATAGCGATTCAAACGTACGACGAGACGGCAGGAAGCGGCCTACAAATTACAAGTGCTAGGCCGTCCACATGCACACCCAGTTTCTCCGAACGCATAAAGGGCGAGATTAAGGCCCCCGAACGACGAACGTCTCCCATGTCTAATGAGATGACCAGAAGAACGGAAGGCTCAAGTTGTATCCGCCGAGAAAACATGCTGTTCCAGTAGCAATTGAATCTTGAGAGTAGTGACGCGGGTATACCAAACAACCAGGTCCGGAGACACCACGAACATTCTTGTGCGTCAGGATATATGCGACTTCATAAGTAACCTCCAAGTTGCTGGCGACCATTGGGCCCCATTGCGTTGGAAATGTACTGTAAGTGGATCCCGATTCGAAGAGGTGCTCTGCCGGACGTCGAAGTAGCATAATAACATTAACACCCCTAGCATGGGATAGTCAGACCACTATTCACAGAGACATAAAAAGGAAGATGTGGTTGGCATCCATGACCAAGGTAGAGCAAGAAATGGTAAGAAGTCGACCAAAAAGGATATTAGGAACAACGGAAGGAATAACCATATATAGTACACCAGCATGCAAAGAGATTCCTCGTCCTCGACTAAACGACAACTAGCCTTTACCCGTGTCTTCGCTACGGTATGACCTGAGAGGGAGGAACTTGTTGAGAAACAAACTGCGACAGACTGATTGCGTGTATGGATCAGCTGTTGCAAAGGAAAGACAGCACCAACTGTCAGGATAGAGATTTTGAGCAGATCATGTTTCGGAGCCCGCTTGAGTCTTCACAAGGATGTGCAACACATTGTAAGATCAGATACATCATGATACAGTATTATTGACGGTGGATAGAAGGTCAAAGATTTTGCGGTGCTCCTCCGCCGCTGCGCTGCGCCAGCGGCTTCGTCGCAATGTTCTTGAAAGCGGCTTTATGACAATGCCATTATTTACCAAGTGTTTTTCAGAACTGAGGAAAAGTATCGTGTTCATGTTTCCCCTCTGTGATAAATATATGACCCCTGCAGTGTCCGGAATTTGAGAGAAAGAGGAAGAGGGTTAGAGTACAGTTCACGAAGTGAACATGAAAAGAACGAATGGAGTTAAGGCCGTCGGCGCTTAGAGAACCTGCCAGCCAATCAGAAGGCCAGATTGTCTACCCTTCCACGTGACCGGCCTCTTTTAACAGTAGGACTTGTTCAGCAATAGTACAAGCTATCTCGGGCAAGAGTATTCCTATCGAAAGTGGGAGCGAGGATATCGCGATAGAACTTGTCAGCAATGCCGCTAACGGATGCAACTACCTTGCCTCGTTCTTTGCACTATTCAATGACGATGGTCAGATATAACGGCATTAGAGCATTTCAACGATGAAACTCACCTCTTCACACCAGAACACATCGTCTCCGCAGGCCGTAAAACGTGTCATCCGGCCTTCCCCTTCCCAAGCGAAACAATAATAACATTGTCTCAATAGGCCCTCATCTGGTATCAACACCTCGAACTCGTAGCACGTAAACTCTTTCCCGTAGTCTCTAGGAGACTTGGATCGTTCGGTGCGTGTGCGCCCGGTAAGTTTGACAACAGGCGTTTCGGAATCAAGGAGGATGTGTATGCGAGACCCAATGAACCGTTCCTCACTGTCCTTCTCAGGGTCATAAGGCAGAGAGTCTGGGTCATAAAGCCAGAAGTGTCGACGCGCATATGCTTCATCAACGCTTGTGTCGGGGATATTGAGCATACTGTGGATGCGTTGGCCTTGCGGGGACGTCATACCGTACGGGCGCGGATAGGTGAGGAACCATTGGCGTCTGTACCGACTGAGGGCGAAAGGTAGAAAGGCGGAATGGCGAGAAACTAGGGTGACTACTTGATTTGGGTTTGCGGATGAGGACATCGTGGACTATGTGGGACTTGTTCTGACTATGAATAGGTGAGTTTGTGATGTTATGGGAGTCGCGTCCGAATGCATAGCATTCGCATAACACGCAAACGCAGGTGGTTGTGCTTGGAAGGATGTGATATATAGGAGCAAGACATATTGTCTCCGACGGATTCAATCATGATCTACAAGAAACGTGACTTGTGTTTACAGCAACATGATGGCCCTTCCTCAGAAATTACATTCGGGTCGGTAAGAGTTGGTACCGTCGGTCTTGTCTCACTAATAAAGAGTAGGGCGGCATGGCTGACTAGTGCTGCATTCCTCCCCTGGCATAGGTTCGCTAGCCCTCAGCATCACCGTTGCGTTGGCCGATCCTGGGCCTGATTTTTTTTCGCTGGGGCCTATCGTACTGTATGGTTCTAGCTCCTCATCCGCCAGCGCGGATATTTGCATCAGTCCCTGAACTAGTGCATTGAAACATGTGTGCAAGCGGCAGATACCCGAGGTCGCTGTAAACCGAGTTTTCGCTGTTCAAACACCTCCCATAAAGTCGTAAGGTGTGTTATATGCCTTTGGGGAGTACCAAACCGGAAGACGTTCTTTTTCAATGCACCCACGGTGTTAGCGCAGTGAGCGTTGAAGATGACTGCGTCCAAAGCTGCACCCCGTGAGCATTGACTTCACATCTGCTACTCACCATAAATCACGTCAGTCCGAGCTCAATACAGTTTTTCTCTTGGCTCCCGAATCGGAATGATACCGCACATTGTTTGAGATCTCACTGTCTTGGGTATCGAAATAGGCTACTCCAGAAGGTATAAAATGGGCGGACGAGTATCTCTTCAAACTGTGGTTGATCCATCACTACTTTTCCCCTTCATCCTTCCTGAGTTGCGACTGTGTCGCCTTTTATCATTCACTCCCTTCATCTTGACTATTCAATTCCTCATTAATCTTATACAGACGATCATCATGCGCACAAGCTCAGCTTTCATGAATTTGGTGTTGGCATTTTTTGCTGGACTCTGTCTTATGACGCTGGATGTGCTGGCCGTTCCGCTGGAAATCCGTGGCTCTATGGACATCCGTGGCTCTAATGTAAGTGGTCAAGAAATGAATCTCACCGCCCAGCATGGTCATGAGGTTCTGATATTGATCCTAAATTCCGTACCACAGTTCACTACAAGAGCATTATTCGGCGGTGCCCAAGGGGAATTTGTTGGCTTTCATGGGACGAATGGGGTGAGCGCATGTCTTCGCATGAAGACACACAGAGTTGTTGGCTTACATTACGCGATCAACTAGGCTAATGCACAGGTATATATGGCGAGGGGCAATGCAGCTGGTGGTGGTATTCCTGTCCCGTAAGCATTTCCGTGACAATGTCTTATCATGAAAATCCTGACCCATTATGGAACATAGCCCTGCTTTCAACGGAGCCGATGCAGAGCTCGGTCCGGGTCTCTATGTTTCTGACGACATCACTGTGTAAACATCTTGCTCTCTTTGTTAATTGGGAGTGTAGCTTATTGCGATCTTGCTTTCTCTTCACAAAATAGGGCTCAGATGTTTGCATCGGGATCTGCTGCTGGAAATCGGAACAGAGGTAACACATTAAACGGTGCCAACACCCCGTTCATCTGCGTGGTGACCGCAAATAATCAGAACGAGTGGCGAAACACAGTCAGGAAGGTTTGGGTCCCTGTGAATGAGATTGCGACGCTCGTTTCGGGTAGAAACGACGTTGGCAGACTTGCAGCTCAGGAACGGAGGATGGCAGCCATCGGAGGAACAAGAGACAACACCGTACGGTTCTCCATTTGTGAGTACCTCTGTCCTTCCCCCGGAAAACGTATCCTACGGTTTATAATGAATGCCTAATCATCCTATTACGATCCTATTAGTGGACAAGGATCGGCCTACTACACCACGTAACGGAAACCAGATGGTCCTGCCCGCTGGCGTACAATCTAAGTTCTCGTACGTCCCGTTATTTTCCATCCTATGGTGACTTTACTTAGGTATCCCATGTTCTCCAGCATCAAGATCTGTGCGCCCGTCAGCAGTACAATAAACAGGTTGTTGGCCGACTTGCGTAGTCCGTCATACCCCCAGTTCAGCTATCTCAATCTCAGGACGCCATGGCACATCTTTTGAACCAGCAGTGCCATGGAAACCTGCATACAAAGCGCTTTATGTCGGTCCTAGTTTGTACCCTCCTTTCGTACACTACAATAAAATCACCCCTCGCTTCCAAACAATGAGTATTAGGGGAAATTCACCAATGAGTAGCGGTCAGGTAGCATTCTGATCTCTTTCCTTGAGAGGACAAAGATGTGGGACCAAATGAGAGCTATCGTTTTTAGCACAAACCACTTCCAGCTTGCGAAGCTGATTCTATCGGTTCACCACCAGGTAGCGGCGATAACGATAGCGTAAGGATGGTTCTCTGTTTGACTTTGGCTGTTTGTCTTTCGATGTGTGCCTCCCATATCATGTTTGCGGGATAAACCACTATGGGCATGAAGATGAATTTCGTCGGTTTCCAACGCCCTAAATGCCTATGGTGTGCATGGGTTAGCATAGCCAGGGGGTCAATTACCCTAAGTCGCTTTGAAGGCATGCAGGTATTGATTAACAGTCTTATACTTGATGCCTTAGATAGGCGACTGCGAGTCGCGATTACGTAGCTGAGAGGTGTGTATATCCAAAGATATGGGAGAACTGGGGTTGGATCCTGCTGATCCACACCTCGGACGGTTTCACTAATGTCCTGAATACCTGCAAAGCATATGTATGATAGATCAACATCACAACTAGCCAGTCTCATTCCTTCGCTCGTCTCCAGGCAGCACTTAAGCAGCATTGAGAGCAAGTCCTGGTAGTGCGATCGAAGGGTCGAAATGAACACCATCTTGGTAAACATGTCTCAAATGCGTCGCCATAGGGTGTATAATCGAACGTAGAGTTGAAAGGATGGCGCTTGCCGTCATTTGAAGACTCCACGAACTGACGGCTCTAATCCGTCTATTGAAATTGGCCTGGGTGACGTGGTAAGCCATAGCTTCATAGACCTTCACAGCGATGGCGTCCATAAGGCCAGCTGTGAGACGAGGTCAGTACAAGATAATCAAGGTGTAAAGTCTCGGTACGTACTTTCCCACATCTATGACAAGCAACAGTCAGATACGAGTGGCATGGGCAAAAGAGAGGCGTACTGACCGTCCAAGCTCCATCGAAGTCACTGAGATCCCTCACAACGTGGCAGTGTATGGGAACCAGAGTCCGGTTAGCACTGTCCAACAGGTCAACTATAACTCCTGGCGATACAAAAGGATACCTACTTCATGAAAGCAACGATCGGTCTAATCAAAGCATTGTTGGTATATGAAAGGTCCTGTGTGAATATAGGCACGGCAGCCTTCAAATCCCTGAATCTCAAATCGATGTCTATGATAACTTTTGGCGAATCTTCTTCCTGTACGTCGGAATCGTCTGATGGTGCGCTAAGTGGGGGTTTCGCAAGTTCACGTTGTCCCGGGATACGGTCGGACACAGCAGAAGACGCTGCAGTCGTTATGGCGTCTGCGATCTCGCCGATCAAAGCGTTGAGCGGAAGGCCATCGTCGCGGTCGCGAGGGAACTTGATATCCAGTACTGCGTCTACTTTCCCTGAGGTTATCCAGGATATGGGGCCTTCCTGGGTTGTCATCGCCTGGAGGTGGTCAATGTTCACACCGTCGATGCGGAAGCGAGACTAGAAACTGGGTATAAGAATAATGGGACCGGAAGGTACAAGCCAATTTAATTCACCATTCGGGCCCACTGGCCGTCATTTAAATCCTGCTCTGTTGTTCTTCCTATGCTTTGGGGTCGGTGCAAGCTGAACAAACAATTATCGAATTGGCCAACTACGTTCTCCGCGGATAAGAAGTCGTAGAAAAGCCATTGTTTTCGGAAGGTCCGTATATCAGCCCGGAAAATTGAGGCCGTGTACGGCCGGAAGTCCCCAGGCTGGTAAACAGTGACAAGAACGTCTTCCAGTTGGAGTGACTCTAGCTCAAAGTCGCCTGGTTGGCTTACATGCCTATAAGCGGCAGGGTCGGCAGGATGGTCGGGATCCCAACGGACAGAGCGACGATCTAAAGAGCAGGTCAGATCGTGAGATGATTAGAGAATAGGATGAATATACCTAGAACGCCACGAACACCCTTGATGACTGCATCGGTGACGAGCCCTTTGCCTTGGAACCAACGAGCCAGTGACAGTGTAACATCAATGGAACCGACATTTAAGTCGAACATAGAGTAGTTGGTGTCTTCCTCAGACAAATCATCCGACATAGCTTCTTCCTCTTCGTCTTCAAATCTGTGGTAGGAAGGATGATTACTCAAATCGTAGCCCGCAGCTACACTATAGTCTGCGTTACGGTCTGAGCGTATGCGGTTTCGTTTGGGGCGTCGGGTGACGTAAACGTTTTTGAAAGATATCCGAGAGTCCTTCCATTTTGGTACGATAGCAGACTCGAAGATGATGGTTATACCAGTTTCGCCGGTCATATAGTCACTGATTGCACGAGCAACATATTCTGTTGTGGGTGTTAACAATGATAGAGTAAAAGAGGGCTTGAGACAGACCTTGGAGACGCAGACTATTTAAAAAAGCGAAGATCACTGAAAAGAATGTTGTACTGCATTTCAAATCAATATCAACTTGACGAACGTAGGTGACATAGAATTACTTACGTTCCAACGAATAGCCAAAGGGTTTGGCTCATGAAGAACCATGTCACGAAGGCAGAAATGTCGTCTACGTTATACCTCCTGAATGAGCGCAGGAATATCCACCTGAAACGAATACGAAGTCGTTGCCAGAAACCCCCTGCAGCGTTCAATAGATCATCCTTTGTCGGTCGGTGTAAGTGAGGTATTGACATCGCCAATCGTCGAAAGAAACGTGGATAATTGTCAAAGCGGTGTGGGTCATTCTCTGGTATAGGAGGGTGTTCTTTTTCAAGATCATGTGCTGCAGCTTGGTCGGCAACCGGTTTGGACGAGTTGTCGCCAAGAGGTCTTTCATGACGGCTCGGTGTAGTGAGGTGAAAAGGTCTACAGCAAGTCTTCCGCGCGAAGGACACAGAGATAGAAAGTAGGAGCCTGTGCTGCTCGTTGCTTCGGATGGGTGAGGCTGCGTGAGATGATGAACTTCGAAAGAAGGCTCGTATGGTACTGTATCGGTCGAATGCTGCAAATTCCACTCCTCTGCTCGTGCCAAGCGAAGATGACCTTCTCATCTGCATCAACACAGATTTACCCCTAGAACAGGCCATGGTCCCTCAATCTTAATAACGTCGTATGGTAGGTAATCAACTATGGAATGGTACAAAAAGTCGAGTTAGTATATCTGATTGAGCCCAGATGACGTTGCAAAGGACACATTATGCTCAGTACCGTGATGCAGGCGTTGTAACGTGAATAACCTCGTCATCTTCAACAGAAGACGACGACGAACATCCAAGACACTCACCGTAGGGGAGAAGAGTACACTAACTGTCTTCACTGCTTGCCATAGAAAGACCTTTTGAGAAGGCCCAAGATATGAGTCGTTGACAATGAACGAGCAGATGAAGGATTCAAAAAACTCCACAAACTCGCACACGACCAAAAAGAATTGGGCGCCAAATGACAACGATCATACTTACGCGTAGCGCGCACCTGTACTGTAGACCGACGCAATATCGATCTTGAAACGAGTACTTCGCATAATTTCCGAGAGAGAATACAGTTAATCTACGTTTGACGTATATATAATAATATATGTACAAGAAAAGGACCAATTTGTTCTTCAAAGAGCACGGTTCTGCTTTTAGAGTTCTGTCCCGCATTTTCGAGCCCAGTTCTCCCCCGTAAGTTTCAATCCTTCCTTACCCGATGCCACTCAATCGCCCCAACGTATATCATTTAGTATACGATCTGTGAGTACTGTGTCAATAATCTCCACATGACCTGACACCTCCTGCAACGCTCCGAGCTGCATAAGATACACATCTATCATGATCTGTGCATCTTGATGCCACATGCATTCCGTAACATCCAGCACCAAGTGCTTTAGCGGATGCTGTCTGGCCTGCCTCGCGCGCAGAATACTACAGAGTGCGATCAAGGTGGTGGATACGATATCCGAGCCTGCGGGTACACCTGACCAGACGATCCATAGTTTATTCAACTTGGGAAACACGATAGAATCTGTTGCGGAAGGAGAAAGCAGTTCATAAAGAGCATGATGGTCCCAACATAACTTGTATTGTAGAGATACAACGTTCTGTAGGCCGCTGGCAATTTTGTGAATTCCGATATTCAACTCGAGGTTACCGCGGACAGCAAGATCGATGACAAGATGGTCGACTTCAGATACGACTGGCGCGCAGGCGGTATGGAATGCTTCTGCCACGTTCGGGAGGTCGCTAATGCTTTGTGACTCCATAGGATGTTTAATATCGATCAAAACCTCGATTTCCCGAGGTTCTGTAAAGAAACCGCTTGTGCCGCCGATGCGAAATTTTTGTACCAGTGTTGATGCAGCGAATGCCAACAATCCAGGTGCGATTCGAGCATAAATCTCGCCTGTACGAAGGGGAAGAGGTGGGAATGAAAGCAAACGCAGCTGAAGCATACGAGCAAAGGGAGAAATCAAGTGCTTAGCGCTTTCAAGGCTTGCCTGAAAATCCAGCTCAAGTCTAATATTGTGTACCCACGACAGGTGTTGCAACAAGGAATAGCCGGGAATTATACCAAATCTCGTCAAGGTTAAACTTCCTAAACGTGGCAGTCTGACAATGGTCGGAACTGGCGCCGTTGAGAATGCGAAATCAGCAATACCAGAAAGCTCGAGGATCTCCAAAGCAGGCAGTGCCTCAAAGGTCAACAGCCAATCTCGCAGGGTACCAATGTGATCACTGTGCTCCTCGGTGATCTTGAGGATTCTGAGTGAAGCCGGAAGTAAATACTTCCCGCAACTCCTTTGAATCATCTTCATCCGCACATCCAAAGATTGCAAGTTTGGAAACGTACGATGAAAATCGATCGGTGTAGAATCGTCTAACTGAACGGGGAAAGATACTTCTTTCTCCCAAAAAAGCGAAATCATTTGAGGGCATGTCGGCCACTGAGTAGTGCAAACGGGACTTTTACTGATGATATAGATGTGGAGTGAGCGGATACGAGTGATCTCCGGAAAAATCTTCGGCCAAGCATAACCATAAGACTCCGCAATTCTAACGTCCAAAAGGGCTTGTTTCGAAAATCGAAGCCACGCATCAAGTTGCCCAGGGTCTTTAAGACGCACTACATCTATGCTGGAGAAGAGCGAAGGGGAAGCCAACGCAACCGCCCTCCAATATCGACATACATGGGCAACCTTGATCCAGGAGTAGCCGAAGGACATACGCATGCAGTGCATGAATATTTCAGACAGTAGCTCCGGAAGGAGTCGACCATTGATGAGGGCCATGGAATTACGCCGTGCATTGTACAGTGCCATAGTGAGATGGTGCTGCCTGACAGTTTCCTCGAATATCCTGGTATGTTCGGCAACTACTGCGTCAATCTGATTTTGAGTTTCATACGACATCACTTGGGCTCTGATGACATCGGAAGGAAATTCAAGACTGGGGAAAAATCAGTATGGGTCACAGGAATATGGTAAGGCGTAAGTTGTGCCATTACCTGATAGGAATCGAGTCCATATCTTAACGTTGAATATCACAGAGGTTTCGGCCTGAAGAATGTAACCAAACCTATGTGGCTGGGAAAATGATTAGAGATTGGTAAAATCCTGCCCAAATGAGATAGAGTACTAAATCTGAAATCCTGCGTGACGCTAAAAGAGATTCTCTTCAAGGGAAGATGGACGCATAAGCAGAAAATAGCGTAGTTTCCCTGAGTGGGGTAAGGTAGGGTACCGAAGACGAACCCTGCGTCCCGGTACTGGAGTAGAGTTCAGCTCCTAGGGTGACTTCAGCTGGCATCGGTTAAAGGAAGCGTGAGAAAGTCGACAATGGTAATTAATATTCGCTCGCCCCGATCGCGAGTACAACTAGAAATTCGTCCACCACAAATCGAGGACAGTGCAACTGGGAAGCTGCCAACAGCCCTTTAAATACTCACATGGACGCGTACACGATGTGTGCCCTCTCCTCCTGCCTTCAACATGAGCTTGAAAGTGCAAGTATTACAGGCTGGCTATACCCTGCTAGACAAGGTAAGCACCAAACTTTTGTTGCGCTTTAGTGATGATTAGGGAGCCTGACTTTCCCTTATCTCTTACATAGGGAATGATACCTGACTTTGTGTTAAGGGCGGTAATACGTTTATTGTGTCGTGAAAGAATTCGCGAGATCAATTTGGGCTCTTTTGAGCGAAACTCAGAGGCCAAAATGCAATGGATTGAGGCCGTGCGAGCAAGGACTGCCATTGCTGATTTCACGGAAAAGGCGAATGAACAGCACTACGAGGTTTGTCTATCATATGTTCCTACAGACCTGAATTCAACATTCAGTAGGTTTCGACGAACTTCATTTTGTCCTGCTTAGGTCATTATGGAAAGTATTCCTGCTGTTACTATCCAAAGGGTGACGAGACTCTTGACGAAGCAGAGATACTCATGATGGAGAACTATTGCGTCAGGGCAAAGCTCGCTGATGGCCAGCGCATATTAGACTTGGGATGTGGTACGAGTGAATTTGTCCTGTTGTTACCGTGCATTGAACTGTAACACAGGATGGGGAAGCCTGACTCTTTATCTGGCTGAGGTATTTCTTTTCTTTGTGATTAATCCGCTCATTGATGTTCCCGTTCATCGCAAGAAATACCCGAAAGCTCATATTACGAGTTTGTCCAACTCAGCAACCCAGAAAGCCCACATCGAGCGCATCGCCAAAGCGTGTGGTCTGAACAACATACAGGTACGAAATCGATCTAAATGTATTGTATCCTTTCAAGTCACGCGTCATCAGGTTATTACTGCCGACGTAAACAGTTTCGACTTCGATGAGCCCGTGCAGTACGTTATTGTGCTTCTCTTCATGATTCCCTGCAAATGAACAATTCTGCCCGTACATGCAGATTTGACCGCATTTTGTCAATCGAAGTTGGGAATCTTACATCAGACGCGTTTCTTCTACCCTGATTTGACTTATAGATGTTTGAGCACATGAAAAATTACAAGCTCCTCTTGGCCAAGGTTTCGTCCTGGCTTCGCCCTAGTTCTGATTTGGCCCCAGACGACGCCTTGTTGTTCATTCATATTTTCTGCCATCGCACTACGCCCTATCATTTTGAGGAGGGCGATGGGTGGATGGCAAAGACTTTCTTCTCTGGCGGAACGATGCTTTCTCACGATCTTCTTGTGCGTATAGCTGTTTTGACATGCCGCTTGTCAGATGTCTCATCCCTCGCTTTATTTCGCAGTTATATTTCCAAGATGACCTGAATCTCGTTCGGAGTTGGTATCTCAACGGGCAGCACTACGCGCGTACATCCGAGCACTGGCTGCAAAGACAGGATCAAAATGCTGCTCAAGGTCTTACCGAGTTGGAGAATGATGCAGAAGCCAAAGGGCTGAGTCGTGAGGAAGGCCGAAAGGCGTTCTATAGGTATGTACAGTTGGCATATCATTCCCTTCTGTCGAGTCAAGCCCCGGTATAGGTTTCGGGTGTTCTATTTGGCTTGTGCCGAGTTCTTCGGGTTGAACGGAGGCGAAGAGTAAGTGGATATTTCTTTATGATATATCGCCATTAATGTCATATTACCATAGATGGGGTGTCGGGCACTACTTGTTCAAGCGTAAAGACGCGATGTGAACAGTTGCAACATAGAGGATTACAGGGATAGTAAGCAATGATATAAAATACATAGGTTGCTCTTCCAGTCTATTATGCGCGCTTTCGAATCCGGACGAACACTTCCTCGCTTGGATACATCACGAAACTGGGAATAGTTCGCGTTGTATCGGCCTTCAAAGGGAGATCGTCAATAGACCTGCCGGATGAAGTCTCGGCCTTCATATCCAAGACTCTCAAGCAAAGGATGGCGAAGACCTTCATCTCGTACAATGCAAAGTCTCGGCCTTTGCACTACGAAAATCGTTTCAGAGAACACGCATGCAATTGTATAACAGAGAGGTACGTACCACATGTGTACCTCCTCCGAAACTCCCCAGCGGCAAAGTTCTCGACTTCCCTTCGTCCTCCTTCTCAGCGGTGCAGCCGACAAATCTGTCAATCTGGAACGTCTCAGGCTCTTCGAAGAAGTCGTCTGACATATTAATTGCACTACTATTTCCCATTACCAAGTCTCCCGGCCGCGCTACCATGAAGGTCTTCATATCTTCCGATGGAATCTCCGTGTCTTCGTTCACCTCACGTACCGTCACTGCAGCATACCACAACCGCAACGTCTCCATAATGGCTGACTCCAGCAACGGCAGTGATGACACACCCAGTCGCTGTGGCGGGACTAATAGCAGGGTATCCAAGTCGCCAAACTCAACGTCAATGGCATGGTCTATCTCTCGACGGAGTCGCAGATACGTTCTGGAATCGCTGAGGAGGTGGAGGAATAGCCATGCCACGATGCGGTGCGTATTGGCATGCAATCCAAAGAGGAAGACCAAGAGTGCCCCTTGCGCATCCTCGGGCGGCACGGTCGGACTGCACTCTTTCAATAAGCGAATCATCTCGGTGACGTTTGCTGGCGCTCCTTTCACGCCTAATTCTTCGTCCCAGCATTCCTGCATATAAGTCCCCAATTTGTTTTTCATGAGGTTGCGAGCTTGGCTAACCGCCCGAGGGACCAAGAATGCAGGGCCCAATAGGCGAGACATCTTCGCATCTATGGTATAGAACTCCTCATAAGTGTCCAACGGGAAGTGTGGTCCCCAGACTGAAACGGACACCGCGTCGTACAGTGCTTGTCCGACAAAGCGCTGTAGAGGTACCCGGTCGTTTGGTGAGTTTTCAGCCAAACTTCGGATATGACGGAAGAGATGTTGATTGAATGTATGAGAAAACTGTGGAATTCCTTTGTTGGAAAATGTTCTCGCGACATATGTAGTGAGGCGGTCGAGAAGCGTCATTGGTATGGTCCCCTTCACGTCCCCCAGTGATGCAAGCATCTGATGATTCGGCAGGTGAAGCGTCTTTTGAGTATCGCGCATGACACGCAGAATTCCATTGAGGTTTCCTGCAACGATGACTCTCTTCCCAGCAAGGCGAATTGCAAAGACAGAACCATGCTTTGTCCTGAAGAGATCAAAAGTATATGTGAGCCTTTCCGCATGGATGAGCTGAAGTACTTACTGCCGTTTTCTCAAGAAGCCAAGAGGATCCAGGCCGAACTGTATGGCGTTATCGAACCACGGTATGAAGATGCTTATGCTGGAAGGTATCTTGACTCTTGAGTGAACCCCATTGCGAAAATCTGCCCACAAGCTGAATGCGACGATGAAGAGGATGAGGACGACGGGAAACATGCTTGCAAAGTGGTACGACAATTCCAAGGCCGATCTAGCCCTAACCTCGCACCATGAGGTACTTAGCGTGATAGGATTTACAACCTTGGGATACATCATCAGTGAACCACGCCTCTGTCAGCCAGGAATGATTATCGCCTTACGATTTGCAAAGACAATGTCCAGGTTCGAGGGGTTTTTGCATGCGTTTCATTTAGACAAGATCTTGATGCCCTTTTCAATCATACTGCCTCAGACGCCCATCTCGCAAGGTACCGAAACTCTCCAGAACAACAATTGTGGCGAACTCCGTCGTGCAAGATGCGATGAATCAAGTGACTGTTGGCTATGCTTTGATCGTCAATGTTTTTGTTTCAACGGCAGAGTAAAGACTAGAGCACCAGATCAGAGATTGGTCATTGTAACTTCTCTACTCGGCTCTCGTTGCCGGGGGTGACATCTCTACATCGAGTGTAAAATGCTGACAGCGTCCCATTCTGCAAGCTGTTGTAATGATTAGTTATCATGCATTGCCCCTTCGTGCAAACTTCCGCCGTCTCGATATCGCAATCTTCATCCGGAGGTAAGGTGCATTATTGCCCAAAGAATCATTTGTGCTAACTCGTTCACTCAGCCAATCAGCGTAGCAGAATAACTCATTCTCGGAGACCGACGTCACCCTCGATGCCTTGATGTGGACGCCAGTGCTCAAGCAAAGTTCCTCGTACAGACTCATCACAGAACCCGCGTTCAAACCAAACCCTGAAGCTTGAAGTCGAAACCGAATGAATTCAATCGCGTCTTCACTAATTTGTCCGACATTTTGCTCTGATGGTCCGCTGTATTGATCGGTTGCCGACGTCTGTCACTGTCACAAGGGGAGGTTCACTGGGCAGGACATCTAAAAGATGGTGGCACAAAGTTCCTGACCGCATTCTCCATTAGACGTAGCTTCGCGCTGCCATCGACATCAGATCCCTGAGAAGTTACCAGTGAACTGCAGAAGGTTCAATTCACGTCACCCAAAACGGTTAGCACTGTCTAGTCTTCCTTGATGGAACGAATGACCTGTTCATTTAGAACGCCGAAAAGTCGCACGAGTGCGCCCAGAACCTCACGTTAGTGTTTCGGCTCCTATTGTAAGCTTCAGCTCGAACGTCCATTGCACAACTAGTTGGACTTTTTTGCAGTTGACGGACTTCAACACCCCATTCCCTCTTTGAGTATGCTGTCTTTTAGCGCAGCTTTCGCTCTAGCCCTTCTCGCACTTGTTATACGGCGAGCTTACAAAGTTTACACGGCCGTGAAGGTCGGTATTCAAATCTGGCTGTTCGTGTAACAAGTCTTAAATACGTTAATTTCTACTTCACAGTCATTCAAGGACATTCCGAGATATTACGTCCTGGTTGATCCATTGAATCCACTGTCCTTCCTGCTCCCGATTTTCTCATGGAACCCTGGGCTTGACCAGGCATGGAAGGAATGGGATACGCGTACGTGTCGTGTTTATATTGCAAGTACAATTTCTTGATGGTCATCAGCACAGTATACAGCAGATATAACACAGAAGCATTACTTTATGTTCCCTTACTCGCAGGTCACGTTTCCGTACACTGCTCATCACCAGAGGCCCTCCGAATGGTCTTGGGTGATGCATTCTTGTTCTCGAAACCGGAGAAAGTACTTGCTCTCAAGTAGGCGCTGAACCTTACTCCATGATAATGCCTGAGTTGAACCTTCCTCGTTGTTAGTTTCATGGGCTCAAACGTCGTTGCCTCCACTGGTGAGCAATGGCGCAGACATAGAAAGATCGCTGCTCCCGCGTTCGACAATCAATCGTGAGTGGGATAAGAACTCTTATCAATGCTCGGGAGTTTATGTGTCTCGCTCAGCTACGCCAATGTCTGGGAGGTGACGAGTCGCCTCTACCATGAAATGGTGATAAGTGAGGAGTGGAAATCCGATGACCGGCATTATTTTGCATCATTTAATCAATTCACGACAAGGGTGCGTACTTCGACGTGTCTCATTCCTTAGAGAGATTTACTTGAACTTATTCCCGTAGCTTGCCCTCCTTGTCATCTCCGCGTGTGGCTTTAACATGCATCTTCGTTGGGACGAGTCGCCAACTCGGAAAGAGCTCACCAATCCTATTGATTCCACTATTGTCATGGTCAGCAAAACTGTACAAGAGAAGGTCATTTTTCCTAATTGGGTTTTCCGTCTTCCCATTGAATTGTCAGTATGATGTTCCTCTGTGTCATTCACCGTAATCTGAAGTCGCATGCTGTATAGCTTGCAACGTATGCGAGTCGCTTTCGCTGATCTAGAGACGTTTCTACATAACGAGATTTCTGCCAAAAAGGCCGAGTTGAAGAACGACCTGCATTTCGATGGAAGCCTCAGCGAATCGAACAAGACAGTGTTCGGCCGTCTCGTTGCTGCAAGCCAGCAGGAGGGCGCAAAAGGACTTGATGATCGGGAGATTGCTGGCAATCTCTTCATTTTCTTCTTTGCAGGGGTAAGCACAATTACTTTCCTCATAATCTACTTGTACAGACGTCTACGATATAGCACGAGACCACTGCCCATACCCTCGTAGCCACGCTTGCCATGTTGGCTATCCACCAAGAAGAACAAAACAATGTATACAAGCATATCATGTCTGTACTAGGCGATGCGGAGCCGGTATGGATGTCCAGCTTATCACTCAGTTTGTCTCTTGACGAGCTGCTTCTAGACTTTTGAAGATTACAATTCTCTAGCACCTGTTTTGCATTGTTTCCATGAGACTATCCGGCTGTTTCGTATGTTTGTACTCTCTATTGTGATCCTACTTTCATGACGTCTGTCCTCGAACAGCTGCCGCATATGTGATGCTCCGTTCACCAAGCGAAGATACTGCAATATCCGCGTCGAAACTCACTCCCTCCAGTGATACAGTCGTCTTGCCCAAAGGCACCGAAATCGTTCTTGATATAATAGGAGCAGGTGCGTTTAATTTCACGATGTCACGACCAATGCACATGTTCCTCACTGTTATTCGCCTCGATTGCAGCCAGAAATCCGCGTATATATCCCGACCCAGCCTCATTCAAACCTTCTCGTTGGAATGCTCCTTCCGCTCTTGATAACTTCCTCGGTTTCTCTTCGGGACCAAGGGTCTGTCTTGGCAGAAAGTTTGCAACGGTTGAGGCGGTGTGCTTCCTCACTTGGCTACTGCGGGAATGGAAGGTTGATGTCAAACTGGACGCCGGGGAGACTTTGGGGTCTTGGCAGCAGAAGTACTTGAAGCCTACTCTAGGCATCACTCTCAAGACAGGTGACTTCTACGATTGCCTATTCCACTGATCGGCACACTCATGTAGTGATAATAGGTGATGTGCCGTTGCTCCTGACAAGACGGAGCGCTTGAGTGCCTGGTGCACCCTCAAACTGTGTCGGTGGTTTTGGGTCGTCCTCTGCTATAGACATCCGTATTGTCTTATGATTTGTCGCATCGAACATGATACATTAGATGCCTGGCGGTAGAGAATTCGCCTTCTTAGAGAACTCTGCGCGTGTATTGCGCACTGAAATGATTGGTCGTCCTACAAACACTGAAGTTCTATATGATAAAGTAGTAGTCTAGGTAAGTAAATACGTTCTCTCTCGGGGTTGAAGTAGTCTACATAAGGTGCGGCCCTGAAATGACTATAAACGGGAATCAAAAAAATCATAATACATACTCACATCGATGAGAATCTCATCCACATTCGTCTATCTATTAGGTACGAGTTGACTCTATGTAGTTAGTACTTAGGCTAGTACAGTGTCTAAGCTGTCGAATCACGGCGTTTCTGAATACGAACAAATAGCTCCTTAGGGAAGAACACAGGCGTGGGGTAGACATAGTCTGCTTTCGGAGACTGTCCTTCTGCGGAGGAGCCATCCGGGTTCTCAATCGAAATGTCCAAGAGTTTGAGGCACAAGATGGCAAACATTTTCATCTCGTACATAGCGAAGTCGCGACCTTTGCACTGTGAAATGAGGAAGAGTCTAAATCAAACGCGAGGTGAGGTGTATAACAGTTCTGACTCACCATGTGCGCCCCTCCACCAAAGGCGGAAACGGGAGCGGATTTGTGGCTTTCATTTTTCAGAAACCTGTCAACGCGGAATGAACAAGCATCTTCAAACACATCATCCTCCATGTTGATCGCACAACCATTGGCAAAGATATACTCCCCTTCGGTCACCTTCACGGAGTCTATGTCATTGACAGGGAGCTCGCAATTTTGTGTGACCCTCCGCATCAACACCGCCGCCACTGACAGACGTAACGCCTCTTTCAGCGCTGAGTCAAGTAACGGGAGTGTGTCGCCTCCGATGCGATGAGGCGGGGCAGAGAGGAGGGCCTCAAGGGATTCAAACTCGGTACCGATTGCAAGATCAACCTCATCACGCAGCCTTGCCCAGACACTTGTGTCGCACAAGAGGTAGGTCATGAACCACGTGGACATCCGAATGGAGTTGGAGTGAAGCGCGAACATAAAGCCAAGGAAGACACCCTGCTGATCAGAGGAGGGGAGATTTGAGCTGCGAATAATCTCGACGATCTCTGTCGCTCCGTAAACGTCCTCTTCGACCTCATCCTTGTCACCGAAGCTGGCTCGTTGAAGATATTTTCCCAACTCCGCCTTTAGGGATTTTCGCGCTTGTACAGCCTTCCTCGGTGGAAAGAGCATAGGCGAAAGGAGGCGTGATATGTTGGAATCGATGAGCTGAAAATCGGCAAAGCTGTCGATAGGAAAATGTGGTCCCCAAAGCGACATACAAACCGAATTGTACAAGCTTTGGCCAATGAAGTTCGTGAGTGATACGCGCTCTCTCCCGCCGCTAGACGAGAAAGAATTGAAATTACGCAAGAGTTGTCGATTGAAAACCGGTGCGAGGCGGGGAACATTTCGGTTGGAGAAGGTCCGTAGGGCAAGGGATGCTAGTTTCCCGAACAGCACCTGGTCGAAATGCTGCGGTATGATATCACCTGCAGCCTCCAGAATTGTCGTATTGAAATCGTTAGTGAGACTCTTCTGTGGGTCGCGCATAACGTGCGCTATTCCCTCAGCGTGAGACACCACAACAAATTCTCGCCCAACGATGTGTACTCGATATATAGGCCCGAGTTTGAACCTAGATAATCATTTGTCAATTACAATCATCTTCAGAGCGAAGACAACTAACCGCCACTTTCGGAGAAAACCTTGTGCATCCCAACAGAACTCAAAGAAGCTGCCCAGCCAGGGGACAAATGAATGGATGGTAGGGGCGGTTTTTGCGGACAGCTTATCCTGCTTGAGTCCTAGACTACTCGCAAGGAAGATGAAGGTTAGGAGAATACCGATGGTAGCAGCCGTGAGCATGGTATCGTGGTATTCTTGCGAAAAGGATGTCTACACACTGTATGGCTAGATCTCGAATAGTTTGAGTTCGAGATACACACCAAATGGCCTTTTATATCTTATTCTCTCATTCTGCGTTCCATGAAAAGATACAAAACCTGTGGCTGATACCATCAATAGATCCAGAATTCTATACAGACGGCAAGTTGTACAGGCTCTGAGGCCATGCACGGTGAAGAGTTGTATTGGTAAAGATCACGTGCATCGAGCATCCCCATAGGTTCCTAGATTAGCTCTTGGTAACATACAGGACGAACCTAACCTAGTTCCATAAAAAGGCGGTAAAGTTGATTTCAAATGAAAAAAAATGAAGTATCCGCTATTATCTTTGTTAAGAGGCAGGCGTGAGCGACCGATGGAGGGGAGGATTACGTGTTTGCAGGACAAAGCCGCTGTGGCGTTGACGAGTTCTCGCTGGCAGTAAAGATGTCCGTGTCCTCGCATTTGCTGGGCCAACTCGGAGAAGAAAACAAAGACCGAAGGGTCGTTAACTAGGTCTTAGGGTTTGATGTTAACCGCAGTCTGAGATCAGATCCAAGTTGAAGTCCACTCAGAGTCGTGTTTGTAGCCATCGATTTGATCGACGAATATCTATGCTCTTTATTCCGTCGGATACAGTATGGTCTACCGAGTTTGCATCAGGCAGTTTTGTATATTTCCACAAGATATTCTACATTCTTTCCGCCGGTGACAAGACTAAAGTTTTCGCAAGCCGGACATGGTTAGGTACTGTATCTCCTGCAGGCTTAATCAGATGTCTCTCTTGCTACCACCAAGGCTTGTCTAGAGGCACGGTCTCCCTTCGTCTGTCGAACTAATCGATGGGACTCTTCCAGAAGCTATGCAGGTGATGCGCTCAGGGCTCCCTTGCCATCGCTGATCTTTCATCTTCGTCCAGCCACTGTGTACTAGTGGCGTATCGGACCTAGCTTAGCATAGGCACCGGTGTAGCGTTTCCGATTTCATTTGTGGACCCAAAAGCAGAACTGTCGATTCAAGCGTCTTGATTGCCATCGGTGCCTTTGCCAGGATGGATGTATTCCATCGCACGCGACACATCGGCAACCACTCTCCACACAAGCGAGGGACTTCCCGTGAACTCATAGGAACTTCAAGTTCACAACTAGGAGAAGCTCATTCCCCACATCTGTCTCCTTGTTTCATGCAAACATGGCGTCCATGATGGACTTGAACGCTCTCTTCCTCTTCATGTCTGAAGATCGTACTAACAGATATCTCACTGGTGAGTTGTTCTGTTGAGCTGTCGGATCCCCTCGAACATTACTGATCATGAGGCCCTAACCTAGTCTCTGCCATTGTTTTCTTAATGTACGACATTGTTCTGAACTTCGCAAGAGAGGTCCGTATCAATACCATTTCCTGTCGTACAACACCATGACTCAGCATATGGCCGACTTCAGTATAAGTTTGTGTGGAGGTGCGTTTTAGCATAGTATTGCGGAACAGGATCATACTCAAAGAAGTACGGCAGGACACGATGGGGACTCGTCAAGACGTTGTATTATATTGCAAGATATTATGCATTAATCAACATCATGTGAGCTTTGCATTGTTCTGACTTCAAGCATCCTCAATTGTCATCTCTCCTTGTTTTCATTTAGATTTCTATTATGTGGTAAGTACTATCTAAATTCACATGTTCTGTGGGGTAAACTACACAATTACCGGTTGTAGTCCACCTCCAGTCTGCACCATCATATAAAGTCAGTAATCTAGGTCTTCTTCAGACAAAAATATTCTGATTCTCAATTTCCTAGCTGTGTGTGCCGCTTTCACGGGTTTTGGAAGTATCTGACGGTTAATTCCCGATAGTTGCGAAGTATATGCTTGGATTTACTCACTGTCAGTCTGCTTTTCTGCAGTTTTGCTCCATTACCTGATGTCCATCTAGGGCAGGTCCTGTCGTTTTCACAACGACTATCAATGTAATTTTCATCCTAAGAATACATGCGTTGTATGGCCAGAGTCGTAAAGGTAGATTTTGTTTGCTTCTGCGTCACGCAATCACTACTGATCGGCAGACGAAAGTCTTGATTAGCCTGGTCTTATTGGTTCTCGGTAAGGGCCTACGCCGACTCACATTAACTGTCGTTCTCATCCTATATTTTACAGCGGAGTTTGTGGTACGATACATCTCCCGAGTCGATATGACAAGAGAAAGCTGAATTAATCCAAGCTCGAGATGTACACGGATATAAGCTTCGTCCTCCATTCACAAATCACTCAACCCATCCCCGGTATGCCTTGGATGGTATGCCTAGCTGTTGCGACACAAGATGTGATCATCAAAACGCTTGCTGCATGGTGCGTGTTTCAGGTATTTAATTCTGCAATCTCTCGCGCTCTAACGTCTTCGAAGGATTCCCAACCTCCTTGTTACATGCGAGTCTACACCATCTTCAACCAAAGTCTTGCAACTGATCAGCTTCGGGATATCCAGGGATCTTCTTCGTCATGACCCTTTACAAATTCGCTATGTTGGTTCGCCGAAATGAGTACCGCTCGCTTAAACAATCGACATCACTTATGCACGTCTTCGTTAAGGATGGGACCATATATTTCTTTTTGTAAGCATGCCGTATTGTCCGTCAACTTTCCACCAATACTCAGCAGTCCAATCGGAATAGGACTTTCTGTGCGTCCTTGGGAAAATGTTTGCCTGTACTCCGTGACTGAGTTGCTCTAGGCATTGTACTCATATGTACCGTATTCGTCATGGTCGAAAGTCTGCAAGCTGAATCTGGGGGTCCGATAATGTAAGCCGAATCCCTGCATCCAATTTCATCGCTACTCCTCTAACCTTCCACTTCCCTTTTCTCAGTTGGCTCATGGCCATATATTCACTCGCGGTAAGTAGTATCCCTAACATTGATTCTTATTTCTCAGTTACTTTCATGGCACTCATAGGGGTCCCGACTCATCCTCAATCTACGATCAGCAGCCGAGGATCAGAAGCTGTCGTTCGGAGTGAGCGAATCAGAGGTATCTGCTATGAGAGCGGCCCCTGCAAGCGGCGGAACAACTCAATATGTGCATTCTGACATCGAGTTAGAAGCTTTGCCTGCAAGAACTCGGAAACAAGGTGGAAACGAAAGCTCAGACCGGAGAAGAAATCGAAGTTATGAAAGTACGGTGGTTGGAAGTCAAGTTTGACTCGTGCAAGTTCTGATAAATGAACCCTTGGATTGACACTTATTTATGTATCTCGTTCAAAAATCTCAATGTCTATGGAATCGTTGAGACCAACTACCAGACCTTCCCTTTGCGTCATCAGTGTAAAGCTGTTACTTGCGTTATTTAGCGCCGGTGAAGGAAATTCGACGAGCTGCCACTCAACTCCTCAGAGCCTTCCTCTAGAAGCTATTTCGGATTGATAGTTGATTGAAAACCTGTCCATGCTAACTCCATCTCGCATTGGAACGTTGTCCCCTCCACTAGTTTCGTAGGCGATGACCTTTTGATAATGAAGTTGATCTGCTACTAAGTTCTACTGCTAATAATCGAGATCGGGAACAAGGTACGTTCTCAACCTGATAGGTTGTCCAATGTTGCAATTACCTAGCCCGTTCATGTGTGATAGGATTCAGCTCCGTTCAGGGATATGATGTCTATCAATGCCGGCGTAACGATGCCTTGTCCACACAGTATGGTAATCCCGATGCCCAGCATGAAGGGGATGTGTACCTTCATATCGCCTTCTAGGTAATTCGGGTGCATCAGTGGCAACGTTCCGTCCAACTTGGTCAAAATATCAGATTTGGGTCATGTTAGACTCGGGGGTTTGTCTATATACCGGCTCGGACTCTGTTTGGCAGCCTTGGCCGCGGAATCCCTTGATAATCACTATGTATTCGGGAAGCTTTGCCAACCCGTTTAGCTTGATATCCCGCTGCCGCACAAACGGCGGTATCAAACTGTCTGTCATCGATATGAATCTCCTGGCCTTGTAATCCAACAGCGGCGTGTTTAGCCTGTGATTCTTCAGGCACTGTGTAGATCACAGGGTGCCTACGTACATTGCCACAACTGATCTTCATGTCTTCTCACACCAATGCATCGCCTAGCCGTCGACAGCACCGCCCTTCATGAAATGGAATCGGAAGAGCCTCACACATCACTTCGTCCCTTGTAACTTAGACGCTATGCGTCCTGCTCAGAGGTTCCTTCTTCTGTGCAGCCGCCTGACCCGATCTTGGGAAGTTTGATGAACAAGATCGAACCTCTGCAGCAACGCCGCTATGGCAAGATCCTAGGACTACTTCATTGATTATGCTATCCTTATTGTTATCGCATTGCGAACCCACCAAAATCGACATCCCCACTTCCTGCCATGTTCCAACGTTTCTTATCTAGGTCACCCTCAGGCTTCAACGGAAGCCTACCTTTCACTTTACCTCAAGCCGAACAACCTCCAGACTTTCATTTCTGCAGACTTTTTCCTGATGATGATTTGCCTATGTCCTTGGCTCGTCATGAGCATTACCTGTGTTCCCAACTTCGTTTGAAACCTGCAATGAAGGTTCTCCAAGTCGGTTGTGGCACTGGTCATGTCGCAGTCGAGTTGATTCGTTTTTCGAATGTTGAGGTCGTTGGCGTGGACGTAGATGAATCGAAGGTATGATTTTGTGACATCTCAGCGAGCGCATGGATTCCTAACACTGGAGTTTCCAGGTTAAGTCTGCAATCGCCCGGGCTGAGAAGCTACGCCTCACTGATAGACTCACTTTTATTCACGGTGTGGCGCAAAGAAGTTCTAGCTCTTGAATGATATTTCTCACTATGGACTTTCTATTCAGTGTCAGACTATAGCGACTTGAGCTCAGTACTCTCAGAGAAGTCCTTTGACGTCGTGTATGCAATAGAATCCCTCCGGGTATGTATCTTGACTTTCCTTTCATTTTTGCAACCTTTCAATGATCACGCCGGCATAGAACGCCCCCGATTTTGCCTCGATATATAGAGAACTATACTTTGCTCTCAGACCCGGCGGGAAGGTTCGTTCGTTTAACGACTGTTCCTACTATAGTCACTCATCTCATGCTAGCTTGGAGTATTTGAATGGTGTTGGGCTTCTTCCTTCGATGTCAACGACCCCGATCACTGTCGTTTAGCAATGCTCCTGCAATCAACTACGGGCATATCACCTCGGGAACCCATGGCCCGCTCGATATCAGCCGCTTCAGAGGGTTTGAAAGCTGCAGGCATGAATGTATTATTCTGCGAAGATCTTGGGGAAAGACATGATCGAATACCATGGTACTCACCATTGGAACGAGCTTTGTCAAATTCCAGGACACCTTGGCAGTCTCTGGAAGACTGTGACGTATTCGGTGGCTTGAGCCAGACGGCAGCTTCTGTCATCCTGGAAGCAGCTAAGCTGAACGTAAGTGTTGTTTCATAATTTATTCTGGATACATGTACTTATATTAATTGTTTGGCTTGCTGCAGCTCTTTACACCTATGGCGTTGTTCATAGCTGAAAAGCCGAAAAACTGAGTTGCACATCCCCCTCTCGTATACTACAAGTCGGACAGAGTACATTTATAAGAGTATCGCCAGTAGCTCTAACGACGGATACATGTGTATAGCTATATATATGAACCAAATGGTGAAGGGTATCCAAACCAAACAGAGATCTATCAATACATCCAATGTCCACAACATGTCCCCTATTACTTTTGAACCTGATACACAACCGTCACTCGTCATCCGAGAGCTTCCCACTGGCCTTTCCTAACCTCATCAGCTTGGAATGCGCATCTCGAATCATCTCTAGCTCCTCCGTGGCAGTGGTAAGATCGGTTTTCAAGTTCATCATCTCGTTTTCATCCAAGACATCCATGTCTATATCCGAATCCGTCGTCTCGTCATCCTTTGCCAGTAGCCTCTCAATGGTATCAACAGCGCTGACGTGTTTGGTATACAGCGTAATGTACGGTCTATACTTCGATTTGTACAGTTTCCGAAGTCCAGCTTCGTCATCTGGCAAGCTGAGAGGTTCTTTTTCACGAGATGTGCGTCCGGCCTTCTTTGCAGGCGGAGGAGGGTTCGCCGAATGAGATGCTGCCTCAGAGTTTCGAGCAGCAGGCTTAGGTGGTGGATCTTGCTCATCTTCCGAGGAAGTGTAGATCGGGGACCTTCGTTTGGGTTTCGAAGATCCGTTTCTAGTCGAAGGTTGACTAGACTGTCCCTGACGAGACTGAGCAGATGATGAAGAGGAGGCAGAAACAACGCGGTCTTGCGCGCTGACCTTACGAGTGGCGAGAGGTGAACGTGTAGGAGGGAGAGAAGAGTGCGTTGGCGGAAGAGGAGATCGTGGTAGAGGCGAACCGCCAAAAGGTGAAGCCTCCTTCTTGATCGCACGTGAGGCTGGACGGGGGGATGCATCGCCTATCGCTGTGGTTGGTTTGTTCGGAAGTGAAGGTATTCGATCATATGTCGGCCTGCTATTTTGGGTCTCATTTGTTTCGCCGATCTTTCGTCTCTTGAGCATAGGCTTAGGACGGTCTCTATCTGACATCTCCGCCTCTTGCTCTTCGCGCATAGCAGTCTTGCGCTTAAAACTAAGAGATGCCACATCGTTAGCTCGGCCTTCGTTTGTGTTAGAACTGGGTAGAGCATCTCTAGGTTTCGCGGAGGTTCGGTCAGTTCCTGAAGGAGTGCGACTCTGGGTCGGCAAGAAGTCTGGTTTCCGCGGTAGTGAAGAGGGGCCCACGCTAGAAATCTCGGGCGTAGAAGGAGATGGTGTAGTGCTACCCGCTTTGCTCTTATACCCTGAACCTGGCGGTTTCCTGGGTACAGCTCGGACGGTGGTACCACTGCCAGCGTTCACTGGAGGCTCAGCTTTGGATCTCGTTGATTGAACCCTTTCGTCCTTTGCGATGATAGTATCGTTACCTTTCTTGGAAGCGCCTATAGCAGCTTTCTTTTGTTTCGCCTCTCGCGTTGTGATTCCCTTCTTTGGTTCCGGTGCTGTACTCGCACCTGGGCGTGAATTTCCAGGGTCTCTGAATCGAGCATGTTCCCAGAGGGGATCCGACTCTGGGATTTTGAGCAACGCAAAGTTCCTTCGGCACTCTCGTGCCATCCTAGTACGTTCGGCGTCCGCGAGGTCATACTCGAACGGACGTACCTCTCTCCATGCATTCGCCAGAAGATACCACTTTGGCTTCGAATCCGGGCTCTGTGGTTCGGCTCGCCGGACAGCGCACTATAGCGGTGCATAAGATACTGTTTACTTAGCAAAGACAGTAAAGACTTACAGTTTTCAAGATCTGGAACAGTTCATTCTTTGTAGCTGCATCGCAATCTTTCCCTCCGACCATGTTTACAACCTCAATCGTATCACGAGGTTGTATAGCAAGACAGTGCACAAGCCGCCGTCTTGTGGATGGATCACCAATCACCTTATAGTTCTTCTCTTCCGCAGGCAAGCTGGGCGAGAAACTACGATCACGAGTGGTAGTCGATTTGACAGTCGTTACTGTAGTACCTGTCTTTCTGGTCTTCTTCGTACCAGCAGCCTCTTTTGCCTTCTTTGCACCTGGTTTGGACATTATAGGTGGCTCATCGAGTATTTGAATCTGACGTTCTTCCCGCTGTTTCTCGGCCGCTGCGGCGCTACCTCGTAGTTTGTTCTGTAGTCGCTGATCGAGCTCGCGGTTGACGACAAATTTGCCAATAATGTTGGCTTGAAGCTTGAGTGGCGCATTGGGCTTTGATGCGGTTGAGGTCCGGAGGTACAGTTCGTGCGGTGAATTCTCTGGTTGAGAGTTCATCGAGAAGAATTTGCCCGCAATCCATAAGCCCTTAAAGTAACGTAGGCACAAATGGTTGGACATTGCGAAAGATGCAACTACTTACGGGATTATCTTCGAGCTGGAGCTCGATATTAGGCTTTTGGAGGTTGTCCTGGAGTGCATCCAAAGTCTCTGGGGACATTCGGATAATCATGCCTTTCTTCGGCTCTGTTGTGGCGGTATCTCCAATTCGCGAATATCCATGAAGAGATAGTGTTCCATTGCCTGGAAGTGGCATGGTGAAGTGGCGTTCTGTATGTAGTTGTGGGGGTTACACCTTAATGGTAAAAGTGCTCGATATCGCAGCAGGTAGACTACTCGGAGATGGTGGTGGTAGTAAGAGTTTGAGAAAGGAATGGGCACGACGGACGTTGTGGCCAATCCGTTGGCCAACGCTGTGAATGTTGTCGGTCAAGAGACTCGAGGGCCCAAACCATTGTAACTGCTTCCGACCGGCCCGGTACTCAGCCCTTTCCTCAAACGCCCATGTAATGTTTGACCTCTTCAGCTTGCGGTTTAAATCGCTGAGTTATCTTTCTAACGATGGCCTTCACTTTTTGCCCATGTCTTTCTATTCTGGCCTTACCATATGTTCAGATGTGATAGTGAAGACTTGACGGAGATCGTCGTGCCATAAATATCGCGCAGCAGCAGCATCATTCATGCCGAAGAGCGCTGAACATATCCCGTTTCACCGAGAGAGTATCGCATCGATTACAGCTGGTAAGTGCATTCATTGCCTTTTGCCAAGAACAACGGCATTGACGACTGCGCACTGTCTTATGTACATCTCTGGTATAAGTTGTGGACGTGTTGCCTCCACTCGCAGTTACCCCACAGTGTAGTTCTCTATCTACTTATCGACGCAACCATCGATAGCACCGGGACACTGTCTACCCGCGTTTCAGACAATTCAACCAAAATGCTCAAAGTAGACACTCCATCCATAGCTTCCGGGGTAAGTCACTCCAGTCTGCTTGGTCGCCAGTCTAGTCACGGACTCGACAGCTTCAATGGAATGCATCTGTTATATCAGAGATGGCTGCTCCATCTCAAGTTAGAACGGCATTGACTGACACCTCCAAGGTGGTTCAAGCTAAGGGCGATAACGCTAGCGGCACGAGTACAGCACCAAGCGCCAATCCGAGTAACACCGGTGGGAGTCAGAGTGGAAGTGGAGCAGGCTCAGGTCAGACTCCAGGAGGGAACCAGGACGGATCTTCAGGCAAGAATACTGGCGGTAGTGGGAATAGCGGCAGCTCTGGAGAATCTCAAACTCCGGACACACCCGTCGCAGCCAAACCGAAGTTCAAGTTCTACCATGCCGATGCATCGTACAACATTCGTACAGGTCGTGCAACTATTCGCGAAGTGTACCCGGGGTGTCATGTCGTGGGCTGGATAGGCATGGAGAACAGCACGTTGACATTTACCAACATTGACGGAGGTCAATCCGGAGGTACACGGTTGGTACAAATCCACTACATTTGTGCAGGTGGCAGTCGCGATGCCTACCTTAGCGTGAATGGCGGGCCTGCGACTAAGATGACACTTCCGCCAACTGGAAAGGTAAATCTTATCGCCATAATTACACATACCGCTATTGAGCAGGGTTTACAGAAATGGGACGACTTCAGCTTCGATTTCAAAGTTTCGCTAGACGGCTTCGTTCCCGGACGCAAGAATACCGTCACTATATCGAACCCTGATGGCTGGTCTGCAGACTTCTGGCGCATCGGCGTGGAGCAGAAGTAACCGTAATCATCCTCTCCGTCGTCGATGTATCGTAGTGACTCCGTTACATCTCTCAAGGGGACGTATTCTGGATACTCTTTACCGAACAGGTATGGAGAATTCACATCCGTAGTATGACTGTGACGTTTGTTGACGGATTAAAGTATAGCATCTTGACAGTTGTGTGTGGTCTCGTCCCCAGACGCCCATTGCGGTGGTTGGGTGGAACGGCGTCTGGAGGCAAGACCAGTTATGTGCACCTTGAGAAATGACTAGATATCATGTATCTTTTACCGCTAAGTTTCAACACTTTTGTTTGTGCACCATCCTCCTTAGCTCTCGAGTTCGCCAGGCAATGTCCTTGGCACTGATATAGAGCACACAAGGATATTTGCTATCTTTTCCTGCAGAACGTCAGAGCGTGAGAACGTGCCCGTCCAGCTCGCCCCACACACGGGCCTTATCCTCTTGTACCAAGTGGTTCGATACTATGACGTGCTCTCGTCATGAAGTATTTCGCAGCCTGCGGAATCGTAAGTCTTGCACGCGTCAGTGAAGGAATGACTATTGACACCGCTTCTACAAGCTTAAAACAAGCTCATACTTTGGCCAATAAACTCCAAATGCAACACTTAGCATTCACCTATCATGGTAGGCGAAATATTGATGATACCAACGCCATGCAGCATATGATCCAATAACAAGGTGGGTACCCGTCTTTAATAAGGTTCCTGAGAGTCGGCTTGATGGTCTGTTCGACCGAAGCAACGTTTATTCCTTCGTCGGGTGCGGGCGTCCTAAGGCCATTAATGCTTAAATACGCTATGGTCTGATCCCTAACCTTCTTGTTGACAATCTCCAGTCATGCCCTCTACGTTGGTGTTGGGCTCTGCGTTGTTCCTCGTAGCATGGGTCATAATCCGCCTGAGCAAACTGGGCTCCAGAGAGCCTAGTCTTCCCCCCGGTCCGCCTACCATTCCACTCTTGGGGAACATGCTGGATTTCCCTAAGTCTAGGGTCCATCTCAAGTACGTTTTGCCTCGTTGAGAAACAAGTTTGAGATGTGATTCCCAATAAAATAACAGATTCACGGAATGGGCAAGACAATATGGTGATCTCTTCTCGGTAAACTATACTTTCCCTCGTGTAACTTTGTAGTCATTATGACCTCTCATAACCGTACAGCTTAAGATTGGTAACAGCACCATTGTCGTGGTGTCCAGTGCGAAGATGCTTCGCGAATGTATGGACTCTCGAGGTGCAACCATGTCGGATCGTCCCCACGTCTACGTTGCAGAACTTGTGAACGGCGGTCTAGACATGCCTTGGTCACATTATGGTAATTGAACTTTGCATCCTATTGACCTTGGATGCTGATAATGTCTCAAAGGTCCAACCTGGCGTAACCTGCGACGAGCTTCTCACGATATGCTTACGAAGAGTGCTTGTGATAAACACTTACCCATTCAACGCGCGGAGGCTACTCAACTCATGGCTGACTTCTTGGATACACCAGACGTAAGCATGGAAATCTCTGAGCGTTCAACTATCTTGACCCTTAAGCCCGTCTTTGGGTACAGCGCTTCTACACACACATTTTCCGCTACTCGGCATCTGTTATCCTTTCAGTAGTGTTCGGCGTTCACTGTGCTTCGTTCGAGGGCAGCTTCATTGAAGAATTTCATAAGAGTCAGCGCAATTGGGATAACCTGTTGCGACCTGGTGCATCACCACCTGTTGAAGTCTTCCCGATCCTCAAGTATATCCCGCGAAGATACGCTCCTTGGAAGGATAAGTGCGACCTTGTACGACAAGGTCAAACAGCCGTTTGGAGAGGTCTGTTGACGGAGTGCATCGAAAGAATGAACAACGGCAAACGAAACGAGGCCTTCCTCGAATACGTCATTGACCACAAGGAGAAGTATAACCTTGACGAGACCCTCATCGGGTACGTTATAGTTGCACTGCTAGAATCAATAAGCTAATCGGGTTTGGGTAGGTACCTTGGTTTCGCTTTGATCGAAGCTGGCGTGGATACCACGTCGATCTTCTTACAGTTCTTTGTACAACTCATGAGTCTACACCCAGACGTCAGACAAAGGGCTCAAAAGGAGATTGACGACGTAGTTGGCTCTAACAGGACCCCTACCATGGATGACTTAGAGCACCTGCCTTTCGTAAAGGCCATCATTAACGAGGTATTTCTATCAGTATCGAATATAACTTACCGGCTGAAATTTACGCTCGCGCAAGGTTAACCGCTATCGTCCGTTTGCACCCACTGGTGTGCCTCATGCAAGCACAGCGGACGAACACGTATGAGGCTGAGGCTTTCTTTGTTAGGTGCGCACTAACTTGTTTGCGTCATAGGTCGGCCAATACGTCGTACCTAAGGGAGCTACGGTATTCATGAACATGTGTAGGTATTCTCTTCATTGGTGTGATATGGATCATTCGTGATTGACCATGGCTGACTACTCTTCAAGGGGGGATTTTCCGCGACGAAGAGGTGTTCGAGAACCCTGAAGAGTTCAACCCTGACCGCTACATGAAGTCAAAGTTCGGGACGAAGCCTGGGGCTGATACTACAGGGTTCCGTGAGGATATCATTTTCGGAAGTGGAAGGGTACGTCTTGGCAGTTCATATTCGTTGGTGGCTGACTCATTGTGTCTATTTAGCGTATCTGTCCTGGAATGCATCTGGCATCAAACTCGATTGTAAGTCTCGTTTCCATATCGTTCGCGGGGCTGCCTCTGAAACTGAAAGGGACTAATTAGGCGTTGAACGTGATGAACCTTCTCTGGGCTTTCGACTTCAACCACGCAAAGGACCCCCTCAACGGGCAACCGATCCCGATCGATCCAAATGCTTTCAGTGATGTGAGTGTCCGAACTTGAGTAACCTAATTCGCGCTGGTGTAGTTGCCACTGATGGCTGCTGCTGCGGATGAGAACTTGGACCATCATTGACAAACATTTACCTCGTAGGGAATCGTATTGTCTCCAGAACCATTCAAGTGTGACATCCGTCCTCGGAGCCAGGCGAAGGCTGAGCTCATACGGAAGGAGTTGACGGACGCAAAGTCTGTATTCGAGCAGTTCGAACCAGCCAAGTCCAAAGTTTAGCCAAACGACCCTGTATTCCGTTTGCTTGAGGTGTAGATTAGCGTTATAATAGAGTTGAAGACGCCATAACTCAGAGGTCATTTCGATTCGTCTTACGCCAAGCTCGTAGTGGTAGGTATGAATGTCAATTGCGATCAAAAACGATACAAATACAGTAGAGACGACTAGTTCGTAGGAGAGAAAGAACGTTTAGGGAAGGGCAAGGAATCAAAAAAACGAACGGGAAAGAGTCAAAAGAGCGAACGGGAACGAATGGAAGTGAAAGGGTCTCGGAAACACTACGCGATACAAGTACAGTAGGAGAAACGGAAGATACGAATCAATGAGCGGAAGGGAAGCAAAACTGTTCGAGAAAGCGTCCAATGTCATCACAACAAGGAAGGAAATCAAAATCAAAACGTGTACGAAATGCAAGAGTTCTGTATGAGAATCGAAAGTCATAGTTCATAGTCTAAATCTTGGGAAGCGAAGACACCTGGGAGAGGGCAAGTGAGTATGTATAGGTCGAGATAGAGGAAGGGGACATACCAGTCGACGTCTATGTCCAGTCTGATGCCATGGCGTATTCACCTTCAAGTTTCTCCACCACCGCCTCCGCCCTCTGGGCCAGGAGTCTCTGGCTTGGGGGGTTCTGGCTTTGGAGGCTCTGGCTTCGGCGGCTCAGGCTTGGGAGGCTCAGGCTTGGGAGGCTCAGGCTTGGGGGGTTCGGGTTTGGGAGGTTCAGGTTTTGGGGGCTCTGGCTTTGGAGGCTCCGGCTTTGGAGGTTCTGGTTTTGGTGGTTCAGGCTTGGGGGGTTCGGGCTTTGGAGGCTCGGGTTTAGGTGGTTCAGGCTTAGGCGGCTCTGGCTTGGGGGGTTCTGGTTTGGGAGGCTCTGGTTTGGGGGGCTCCGGCTTTGGAGGCTCCGGCTTGGGGGGTTCAGGCTTTGGGGGTTCTGGTTTGGGGGGTTCGGGCTTTGGAGGCTCGGGTTTGGGTGGTTCAGGCTTGGGCGGCTCAGGCTTGGGAGGCTCTGGCTTTGGAGGCTCCGGTTTGGGAGGCTCCGGCTTGGGGGGTTCGGGTTTGGGAGGTTCAGGCTTCGGTGGTTCAGGCTTCGGGGGCTCTGGCTTTGGAGGCTCTGGTTTGGGGGGTTCTGGCTTTGGAGGCTCCGGTTTGGGAGGCTCCGGCTTGGGAGGCTCCGGCTTGGGGGGTTCGGGTTTGGGAGGTTCAGGCTTCGGTGGTTCAGGTTTCGGGGGCTCTGGCTTTGGAGGCTCTGGTTTGGGCGGTTCGGGTTTGGGCGGTTCAGGCTTGGGAGGTTCGGGTTTGGGAGGCTCTGGCTTCGGGGGCTCTGGTTTGGGGGGCTCTGGCTTTGGAGGCTCTGGTTTTGGAGGCTCCGGCTTCGGTGGTTCCGGCTTTGGCGGCTCAGGCTTTGGCGGCTCAGGCTTTGGAGGCTCCGGTTTCGGTGGTTCTGGTTTGGGAGGTTCAGGTTTGGGGGGCTCTGGCTTTGGAGGCTCCGGTTTGGGAGGCTCGGGCTTTGGAGGTTCAGGCTTGGGGGGTTGTGGTTTGGGAGGTTCCGGCTTTGGCGGTTCAGGCTTCGGTGGTTCAGGTTTTGGAGGCTCCGGCTTTGGAGGCTCAGGCTTGGGGGGTTCTGGTTTGGGCGGCTCTGGTTTGGGAACTTCGGGCTTTTGAGGCTGAGGCTTTGGCGGTTCAGGTTTCGGTGGATAGGGTTTGGGAGGCTCAGGCTTGGGGGGTTCGGGTTTGGGAGGTTCAGGCTTCGGGGGCTCTGGTTTGGGGGGCTCTGGTTTGGGAGGCTCCGGCTTTGGAGGTTCAGGCTTTGGAGGTTCAGGCTTGGGGGGTTGTGGTTTCGGTGGTTCAGGTTTGGGAGGCTCCGGCTTTGGTGGCTGAGGCTTGGGAGGTTCAGGCTTTGGAGGTTCTGGTTTTGGAGGCTCAGGCTTAGGCGGTTGGGGTTTGGGCGGTTCAGGCTTTGGCGGTTCAGGTTTGGGAGGCTCTGGTTTGGGAGGCTCGGGCTTGGGAGGCTCTGGTTTGGGCGGCTCGGGTTTGGGCGGTTCGGGTTTGGGCGGTTCGGGTTTGGGAGGTTCAGGCTTGGGAGGCTCTGGTTTGGGTGGTTCAGGCTTTGGCGGCTCAGGCTTGGGAGGCTCCGGTTTGGGCGGTTCGGGTTTGGGAGGCTCAGGCTTGGGGGGTTCTGGTTTGGGAGGTTCAGGCTTTGGAGGCTCCGGTTTAGGTGGTTCAGGTTTGGGTGGGTGGACAGGCGGCTTGGGCGGTTTCGGAGGTGGGTAAGGGTAACGAGGTGGACGCGGCTTTGAAGGCTGCGGCTCTGGCTTTGGAGGCTCCGGCTTTGGGGGTTCTGGTTTGGGGGGTTCGGGCTTAAGAGGCTCTGGTTTGGGTGGTTCAGGCTTTGGCGGCTCAGGCTTCGGAGGCTCCGGTTTGGGCGGTTCGGGTTTGGGAGGCTCCGGCTTGGGGGGTTCTGGTTTGGGTGGTTCAGGCTTTGGAGGCTCTGGCTTCGGAGGCTCCGGTTTAGGCGGTTCAGGCTTGGGGGGATCCGGCTTGGGGGACTCCGGCCTGGGGGGATCCGGCTTTGGAGGCTCTGGATTGGGACGAGGACGGTAGGGCTTATAGGGTTTGTATTGCTTGTATGGTCTGTAAGGCGCTTTAGGCCTGGGATAAGGATTATACGGTTTCGTGGCCTTCGGTTTGGGGCGGGGACGTTGCGCGGGTGGCTTGGGTTTGGAAGGGGGTTTAGGTGGAGGTTTAGGACGCACTGGGGGTTTGGGAGGAGGATGAGTAGGAGGTTTGGGAGAATGGGAAGGCGGCTTCGAAGGGGGCTTCGCTGGAGGACCTGGCTTATTGTTGCCGCCGCTGGGAGGGCCAGCGATGGGAGCAGGGAAAGCGTCTACGAAGGCCGCTAGAGCCACGGCAGCAATGATAGCGATTTTGAACTTCATTGCGCGCTAGGAGAATGGAGGAGCAAAGCTTGCTTTGTTAACGAAATGAGAACTACGTTTGAACGGGAGTGTATGAGCACTTCGTTGGGAATCTCGACCTCCTTGCTGGTGAGCTTTTATAGAAGTTCAGCCCACGCTAGAAGCCGAGCAGACAGAACCGATGAACGAGTGCAGGGTGAGCTCGTGATGACCCAAATATTCGGTTCAGGAACTTGGTGAAAAGGAGACTCCTGAACTAGATGGTAAAGTCGGGGCATAGGGTCCAATATTCTTCTTAGACGAAAGGCGTACCGGTCTAACTGTTCAACGTTTCGGTCCAGATCTTGGTCAGGAGGTATCACGTTGTGGCGACAACAGCAACACTGCTAACACGACACACCGCGAAATCCGGGCTTGCGGCGAACACATTGCACCGTGCGACCGCGACTTGAATTCGCCGCACGTGCATAAGTCCGCCCAGCACTTTCTTAACGCTAAAGAGCACTGCTGCACAACCCTGCGAGCACTGTGAGAGTCCAGCAACACGGTACTGGTCAGTGGACTTACAGCTGACCTTGGCTGACTCGTCTCGAGGCGGGTTGTGGACACCGATGGAAGATTTGAGATAGGTCATGATCGAAATGGCTAGACAACATCGAGTGAGTAAATGTTCTCCTGTGTGTCAAACACCAAGTCATGCCAATGCTTAGACGAAAGAGATTCGCTGAACGACTAATTAGTCGCTCAATCCTATCGTTATTTCGAACTGCTTGCACTCACGAAAATTATCCAGCTCTTGTCAGAAATCGTATTATGACCTAGATCTCTTTCGCCCGCTCGCTCTTTGGCTATGTCTTTCGTTGGATCCAGCTCTGGAGGTCAGAAACGCTCGCTATGGTACAAGAAGTTGGAGTGATCGGAGGTGCGATCGAAACGCATGAACGTCATGGGTCATGGCGCCTTGAATAGGAGACGAGCGTATTCAGTGCATACAGCCCGAAATTGAAATAGAAGAACCTAAAAGGAGAGCGCGTGCGCCAAGGATCGTAGTGGGAAAGGTTTGCAAATGAGAGGCCTGGGTCGCAAAAGGAGATGAATCTCACGAAAACCCACCTTTGAGAAGATTTTTTTGCGGTGACGCGAATTTGGGTAAGTTTACATTGACTGCGGGTGAGCAAGACGAAGAAACTCGATGTCCTTGAGTAATGGCCACATTGAGATATGGGAAACTGAACACGATTGCAGAAATCATGTAGAGACATCCTGTATTGCAGAAAGGTTCTCCACCAGGCGGATCCCAACTCATGGCCAGAGATTAAACACGATCGATCGAAGTGGATCATAGGTGGATAGTGCCCAAACAACTGCTCTCTCGGAGGCGTGATATGAATACGGAAAGATGTGCACCGCAAGCGAAAAATGCTTTCGGGTCGAGCGATGTTGTATGACGGATAAGTGAAGCATTTCCTGACGAAAACATGCTGTCTGAATGGGTTTGCCAAGATTAATTCCGGGCTGCCTAGGAGTTCCAATATCAAACCTTCAAGTCTGTAGTACAACTTAGGAGTTAAAGGGAATAACAAACGCACTAGTGCCAGGATTATGGGACGCCTCCTTGAACATGAACGATCAATCTCGGGCAGATTATGAACCATATAATAGCCTCGGGAGGGGCATATCGAAACCCAGTTCTATGGAATATTTCCCACGGTGAACAATTTCATCAGTCTTGACTCGGAGGCGCAGAGCCCGTCAATTGAAAGTTTAGCTCCACATGTGAATGTTACCGAGGGCTTCTTGAATCTGGTGACTGAATGTGTTTTGATCTAGGGCAGGCCAATACTGTAATCAAGCTCGTCATCGAAGATCCTGGTGTACAGACCCTTTATTGCTATCATCTAGGGGTCTTGACGTGAAGATTGAATGGCAATAGCACACCAACGATCGTCGGTGCAACTCGAGGACTCCGACCGTTCAATCCGGACATTGTAAGGGCCCGTGAAGCTCGTGGGTTAAAGATCGCTCCATGGTCTCGATCAGGTCCTCGAAGACTGAAGTCAGGCATCTCAATACAAGATCCGGTCTTGGATAAGTCAAAGCAATGTATCTTGCCGGGTCATTTGTCTCAAGCGGTCGACATTGGCTCCCTCGACACCCTGCTCTTGGTGAAGGACACGTCGTGGTCTCAGGTTGACGTTAAAGGGGCTCCTGATATAGAAGTGTTGGCGTGAAGGTTTAGACCTCGATCACTTGCACAGAGGATGCATGAATCAGACAGATATTTCTCTGATATGCCACATTGTAAGCTTACTGGATAGCAGTGGGTATCTCTAAATTAATGGTGTGCCGCTATTCTCCGTTGGATTTCCTTTGCAAAGTAGCCAGTAAACCCTCCTCGAACGAGCGTACTATCAGTGGTTTAAGCACCGACGAAACCCGCTTTGTTGAGACGTGCGATGAGGTAACAATGGGAGATCGGCGGTGCAAGGCGGGCTGACGTATTCTTCGTGGGCAGGTACGTGAAAAGGCATTCTAAGGCGAGAACGACGTCAGTATCAGAAGTGAGGTGGCTGGATTCGTTACAGAAGGCCTCAAAGTGATGGTTCGAAGCTAGAAAGAAGGCAACGGGTAGCCTCTACTCAAAGGTGAGAGATGTTAGATGTTGAGTCTGTGCGAAGCATAGAGCTGATGACCGCAGTAATAACCGGACATAAAGGTCTAGTTCAAGCAGCAATCAGCTGAATTGCTTTGGCCACGGTCACACCGTGATAAGTTACGCACCGCGGTTCATAGTATAGGAACGCAAGTATGATGTCAGTGCCTAGTTTGGTCTCTGAGGGCCGGAAACAATACGACCTGCAAATTCATCCCGACGCATAGTTTGAGGGAGAATGAACGTGCCGTGGAACAATCAAGAATGATGCGAAAGGATCTCCAATTTCGGATGGTGTATTAGCTGGGACGGGGACGAGGTCTCTATCGTGTGACTACAGACGTCTCGTAAACGTGTGTTGCCGGCTTTTAAGAGCAAAGAGTCGTGACTATTTGAAGGTGCTGAAAGTTTTGGACGGCGCTGGCAAGCGAAACCCTGTGGCACACATGATTCCTACGAAGAGCTTGAAACTTGAGAGGAGGTCGGAAGTTGGAGAATATCCTGAATATCAAATGGGAACTGGGATGAGATACCAGACTTCTTACACAGACTCTGAGGTAGGCCTGCGCTCGTGCGAGTCAAGGTTGAAGACAAGTTAAAGTTCGAAAATTCGAAACCGCGGCGCTCTGAAGCGCTCAATATTGAAGCGGCGCTAACGTGATTGTAGTAAGTACGTCCACGATCTCTACCATTCTGAATCGCGTTCATTCAAAGCGCTGCCGACAACTGGGATGTCTACCAAACTATCTAGTTCAGAGCCACGCAAGGTGAAGGCAAGCATGGTGCCGAGGCAACGCGTGCTCAAGTCAGAAAGTTGCCAGTCGCCTCAAAGGCATTCGCTATTTGCGCGCCCTTAGCAGTAAATTCGCACTTTGATATTGAGCCCAATGTGAGTTTGATGATTCTCTTCATTCAAGTCTTTGCCAACTTGAACATCATTATTGCATCGTTCGTTACAGATAAACCATACATTCGCTGTCCAAAGTCTTGGCCGACAATAACGCATACAAGTGGCCATACCTTCCTGTCGCCCTGTTCGACGGTGTTACCTCTGGCATCGGGAGAGACTGCCCAAGCGTTCGCAAAAGCAACCGGTGGGAATGCACATATCATCGTCTGTGGCCGTGACCGCTCTGCCGCAGAGTCCCTCATCGCCAGCTTTCCCAAGCCTACTTCACAGGATGCGAAGCACGAATTCGTACAATGCGACGTGACGCGTATGAAGAATGTCAAAGCCACGACCAGCTCCCTGCTTAGCCGTTTGCCCAAGTTGAACTACTTGGTCATCACATGTGGATTCACAGCCAAGCGTTTTCCTGGTACTGCATTTGTTCATACCACTCCTGGCATCGTCCGTACTCCTCTTTAACAGCGGTCTCATTCGGCTCTTCGTGCTATAGGCCCGGTGCTCAATTTCCTTCTGTATCCTATTCCTCGACGCTTCAGAATGCGGAGAGAATATGTTATGGTCACTGTTGCAGAGTGAGGCTGGCGCTAACAGGAGAACGAGAAGGGTGACGACATTGGTGACTCGCGGTATTACGGTTCGGAAGACATCGAGGCGAGGTTATGGGAGCATACCGAGGAAGAGATGAAGAGAGCACTCGCCTCATTAACTGTGAAAAGGTGACCTCAACTAGCTGCGCGGCATGGTGTGCGTACGGATATGATGCTTGTTCATAGATGCGATATAAATTTGTCGAATGGATTATGACGCTCCTCGAACTTTGCAATCAGATGCTTATCATTGGGTCAGCCCCGTAGCGCTAACATGTTACGCGCCCTGTTTAGGATATAGGACAACCCATATCGGCGAATTCCTTGGAGTTTCAATGACAGGTAAGCAGGAGCAAGGGGAATATTTGGTTTCTGGAAGCGTGTTTCTAATGGCGGATGCTACGTGCAAGGACCAGAAGATGAAGAAGTGAATGTTCTATGTAGACCGTCAGACGTGCGCCGCGAAGCTTAGGCGAGATAGGGTGGAACAAGGCGGCAGAACGATATGGCAGGTCACAATGCAGAGCGCATTCGTCATAGCTTTTGGAGAGGTGGTCGTGTTACAATGTGCGTGTAATGATGCATGCTATTATCCAATGATTGAGGGTGCGTACTAGTCATAAATTAGCAATTGAGGATATCAAGACCCATGACCTCCGAATGATATCAACTCGACTTCCCATTTTCAGGTGGCGGAGCACTCGACGACGATGAAGGTGGTGGAGGTGTTGTTGTTGTCTGCGAAGCTTCCGAAGCAGGCCCCGATGCTGCTTTTAGCTCGGCTTCGATTCGTTCCCTCGCTCGCACAACTTTTGATTGTAGGTAATGTGAGTATATAGACTGCGCATGTGGTCTGGTCCCAGGTTTTGGTTTCGCGGCTTTTGCATCAGCCGCCGGAGGAGAGTTTGCTTTGAAGAGGTGGTGGTAGTGCTACAGATGGCAAATGTCAGGTTTCGCGCAGGACAAAGCGTACAATGAACTCACTTGAGAGATCCTCTCCGCTGGGTCATCCTTTTTGACGTTAAGGATCAGACGAGCCTCATCCAATGTCATTCGGTGTTCTCGAGTTAGTTTGTCCGTTATAGAACCTGAGGTGGCACTTCGGAGACCCGCGACATCACCACCAATAACACTGTCTGGTGTGTGCTTCGCGTCTGAGAATTGCATATGGGTTAGAGCAATACACTGAACATCACAAGACAGCACTCACTTGCAAGTGCTTGTCTCCCTGCCGCTAGGAATGCCTTGCCGAGTATCTGTGCCCCAGCAATGGCTATCTGAACAATAATTTTGGGAGCTGACTGGAAGAAAGTTGTGTGTAAACATCAGCTTTCTCAAGTTCAAAGCGAGAGACATACCATTAGAAGGTTATTAAGAGGGATATCGATAGGAGGAAGACCAACGGTGGATGGGAGTTGCAAGCTCGCTCAGTGTAGTGAATCCTGCCGAAGCCGACGCGCTCAATGACTTTTGCCACGTGCGCGCCAAAAATTGCCTCGCGCGCAGACTCCGAAACACCTTTCTGGTTTTGCTGGAGATTACTCGAAATACTCCTAGTGGCATTTTGTGGCTTTGTTCTCTGGTTTTTGCAGTTATCTTTCTCTTTTAAGTCTTGTCTATATCATGCCTGAGCATGCCGTCTCGCAACACAAATTGAAGAAGCGCAAACACGCTACCGAAGCTGCTGGGGAGCCATCCGCGAAACGGTCGAAGACCGACAGCAAGAAGGATAAAGCTGCAAAGACGGAGAGGCGAAAGGAGAAGAAAAGGGATAAGGGCAAAGCTCGTGCAGACGATGGCCAGTTCAAAGTCATTCATGCAACTATGGCTGTATCCATTCCACCCGTCTTCGCAAATAATTTACGAGCCGGTGTGGAAGAAATGCTTGATTCAATGGTCATGAGGTTCGTCTGTTCTGAACATTGTAATATACACTCGCGTAATCGGAAGTTTTGTTGTAAACTAGATACATTCCTGCCGCGCAGGGGGTAGTCCTTGCACATGATAGTCTACAATTCGTTGACCCTGTTGCAAAGATAAAAGCGGATTGTCCATTTGCCAACTGTCGGATAGCGTTTGCTGCGACAGTCTGGAGTCCGCGGGTAGGCATGAAACTGGGTGCGTAGACAGTACTGTTTGACCGAATCATGCCTTCCTCACATGTGCTGTCAGTCGGCAAAGTGAATCTCTGTTCGCCAGACCATATATCATTGTTACTGCATCGGACGTTCAATGTATCGATACCCAGACACCATATACCAGCGGACCAGTGGGAATTCGAGTACGGTCCGGCAGAAAACGACCCAGAATTTGGGTCAGGAACGGTGGAGGAGACTACAGAGGAAGCTAAACAAGGTGACGGGAATATCGAAGGTGGTGGTCGATGGGTTCACAAGCTCACTGGAGAGCCTTTGGGAGGACCAGAGGGATACCTCGAATTCACTGTCATTGGGTATGTCTGTCCTTCTCACTTCATGTAGGTTCATATGCTCACAATGTTCATAGCCTGACAATAGCAAACCAGATGCTTTCGCTTGTAGGCTCAATACAGCTTGATCCGTTCTCGCTTGAGCACATCCCAGAACGCGCAACTCTTTCTTCAAGTGACGGTAAAGCACGCGAACTTCCGCAGAGCAACAGTGCGCAGGAGGTGGAGATGATGATAGCCCAGGATATGCTCGATGATTCTAGCGATAGCGAAGAGGTAGCACTATCGTCTCGCGTCAACGCTACCAATTCGGTACACTGGGATTCTGCAGCGAAGCCTGAACAGGATGTCACGAATGAGGCACCTGCGAAGGCCACTAATATGAAGTCGAAGGAAAAGAAGCGCAAACGATCGGACAAAAAGGATCCTATGGAACCGAGTGCTGATCATTCTTCGGAGGGGAAAAAGAGGAAGAAGGCTAGTTGACGTTCCATCAGTACTATGTATGACTGTCCGTTTCTCTTTAGCTTCTTCTCCAGCTTGTATACATGCATGGTATTGGGGCGGTCAAGGTGTTACTAAGTAGATCAATACGCAGTGTCATACTGTAAGGCATATTCAAGTGTATTCGGGAACGTATCGAGGCGGCGAAGAAGACAAAAAATGAAGGTCTAACCAGGATTCGAACCTGGGTTACCGGAATACTCTGGTAATCAGAATCCGATGTGATAACCGCTACACTATAAGACCTTAGCGTTGTAAAGCTTTTAAATATATCAATCGGTTTGAGCTTTGATTCGGCAAATCCGTTCTTTCGCATATTCTGGGCGCAGTCTACGCTGTTACGGTTACCGACACACTCTCTCGTCTCTTCGTTCTGATTTCCATGAAGATTGAACGTTAGGTAGGTCACTACGTCCTAGTACGCCTAAACCTTTACCCCCAGTTGTCGACCAGCAGCGCTGGATACTATCGACAGCTCAGGATCACTCATTCGTATTTCCCTCCGATAATTTCAACATCCTTCCTGTACTAGCAACCGACCGTCTACAAGACAACGGACAAGCTGATATCCACCCTGTTTCCGCTGTTAGGACGCCCGGGACGCTCGGGTTCTTAGGGTACCATGGCAGCTACCTCTACCCTTTCTGCCCCCGTGCTTGATCGGGCTAGTCACGCCCTCTTGGATCCTGCCATAATGGTGGAGAACAAAGTGTGTCCAGGATGCAAGAAGACTGTTGTTACGGAAGACGGAAGCGTGGTGGTTGCATTTGGGTATGTGTTACACCGGATATATGGTCATTTCTAACGTGATCATAGTCAATCCTTGTTCCACGTTGATTGCTTTAAATGCGCAAAATGCAACAACCAAGTAACTGCAGACACGAACCTTCTTTTACTTTCCGATGGTTCCCCCGTGTGTGCGGATTGTTCATACTGTTGCAATGTCTGTGGACAACCCATCCTGGACGAAGCCATCATGACTGGTGACGATGCTTACCATGCACACTGTTTCAACTGCAAGGTCTGCAAGAAACGTATAGACGAACTTGTATTTGCAAAGACCAGTCAAGGCATATACTGCATGGATTGTCACAATGAGCGCGTTGCCAGGAGTCGACGTCATCAGCAAAGGCGGGAGAAGGAGAAGGCACGCGAGAGAGCAGCAGGGGAAGCCAGTTCCGTAAAGGCGAGAGAGAATGTGGTTCGTGAAGGCTCACAAGATGTATGTTCACTGTATATCTGCTATCTCTCTTCTCCGAAATCTGCGATTTTGACAACAACCCATCAATCTAATGCTACAGGCATCCCGCAATAGTAGAGAAGGTAGTCTCAAATCGCGTTCTGGGAGTATACGCTCGAAGAATAGGCCTGGTACAAGTGACTCGGTTGATCAGGCATCAACCGGGTCCAGGGTAGAATTACGACGGGATTCAGCTTCCTCTCTGGGGGAACGATCATTGAAAGTTAAGAGCCCTCCGCAGATCCATCAATCCATTTCGCTACCGGCATCTTCTGCCGCTGCATCTGCACCTGCCACCACTGCTCCACCGCCGATTCGTAGCAAGAGATATTCAACTATGCTTTCGACATCCGCTTCATCGCCTCCGGAGTCAACTTCTGGGGATACTATCACCTCCACAGATCATGCGCGGTCGGCAACTCTCCCTGTATCTAGAGCCGATACGTTGACGGTGCCCTCAGACAACAAAACGTTGCAGAAGCGAAAGAGCTTCAACGACAGACCGCTCAATGTGTTGCTGAAGGAGACCACTAATGAACCGGTTCAAAATGACAATGCAAACGGCTTGCTTATACCTAACGGCGGGACATCCCGCAAAGACAAGCGTCGTTCGATCAACCCTACCTTTACTCTGTCCTACAATGGACTGCAAGAGCCTAGCCAGTCTCCCACTGCAACGTCCTTCGTTCGTTCGCAGACCCCGCCCGTACAAGATCGTCTTCAATCTCCACGACAGGACTATTTCCCGATCTCCAACGCACTTTCTCCTCCTCCTTTTACTGATAGTCCAAAGCTTAACGTCAACCCTCTTTCCCAACTCTCCCCGCAAACCGATGAGACTAATCGCCTCTACGGTCGAACGCGTTCGGCCTCCTCCGCCACTTATGACCCTTCTCGTGGAATGGACCAGAATGCTGCACTAAGACCTCGACCAAGTGTCACGCTTGATCGAGTTCCCGCTCGGTCTAGCAGTCGAATTGATTTATCAAGCCCTCAGCGACAGCCTGCGGGATACACGCCTGCGTCATCACCAGACGGTGGGCGGACAACACCTCAGTACTCAGAAGGTCGGATTTCACCGAGTACATTGAACATCCCCAACGGCGTCCTGCGAACGCAAAAATCGTTTGATGATCGGTATCGACCTAGTACATCATCACTCAGAAACAGCGGATCGACAATTGAGCTTGCCCCTGGGTCCGGGAATAGCTCTCGTCCGACCTCTCCCGCGCATCGTGCAGATGTACCTCATGGAATTGAGAGTGGGACGGATACTGAAGCCGAGGGGGAGGACACGAGGCGAACTCACAACGGCCGATACAACGATGATCGACCACCAGCACCTCCACCTAAGGAAGGTAAAGCTGGCAAGCGGCCCCCGGATCTCAAACTGAATACTGTGGTGGATAACAAGGACGACGCATCGGATGCTGGACAACTCGATAGTGAAGTCTCGTCTGAAGTTTCACATGAGTCTTCGCCCGTGGAGCAGACCTCACGTTCGACATTCATTGCGCCCGCTTTGCCGCCGATAAGGTTCTCGTTGGGTGCTGCAGATTTCTCGGATCTGCTTAAGTCTGTGGGGGGCCCTCAGTCGCTGAAGTCGCTTGCTGAGGCCAAGGAGGATCCTTCGACTACATTGAGTGCAGGCACTACAAGCACTGCAGCAAGCAAGACAAGCAATGGTCGGCCGTTGACGCCTACGAGCGAGATTACCGTTATTGATTCCGATTTGGGACATTCAGATGTTACTCCAGTTAAGCGGCGTGACCTCACAAACAGTCGTGATCCAGATATTACTATCCGTCGAGAACGATCTTCCTCTCGAAGTCAGTCTCCTTCACCTCTTTCCTCGAATTCATCCAATGGTCATTCGGCAACCCTTCCTCGAGCTGCCGGCGATTCAGTGAAACGTAGCTTGGATGGTTATGGTGATCGTACCAGTCGTACCTCTTTGGATATTCCTTATTCTCGTCAAAGGTCGTACTCCGCGTCTCGTAGCGATCAATCACCTCGACCATCCTTGGACAGTCGACTGACACATCAGAGAGAGATGACGGAACCTACGTTGTCTAATATTCTCCCCAGCACTCGCGTTACCTTGACGCCTGCTGAAAATAACCCCTCCGCATTGTCAAGACCAGACTCTGCTGACCTGATAAGGCGGCGACTGCAAGAAGCAGTAAATGATGCTAGTGCGAGAGGTTCAGAGCATGTGAAGCTCAACATGGAGTTCGTCAACGCCATTCTCATGCTGGTCGACCATCGCAGTCAAGAGTTCAATGACATGAAGCGAAGGCTAGATGGCATGAAGGTGAGAATACTTCTTTCTCTTTTTTACTTTACATGCTGATAGTTACTGGATGAATTAGAGAGCCAGCCAACAGTACATGGACGGTCTGACTGTCGCGCAAACTGAATATGACAGGGAGCTTCGTGCTAGGCGAGACGCTGAAGCAGAAGTCACTCGGCTCCGAATTCTATTATCAGGTCAAGCTGCCCGACTGACTGCTATTTCGGGTGATTCGCGACGACAAGAAGCTCAGAGGGCTCTATCGCGTGAGCTTAGCGATAGTTTGTCAATACTTGAGAAAGACCTGTCCAAACTAAAGGTCGAGCGAGATATGACCCTGGCGGAAGTCGAGGAGCTGTCTGCGACCAAGAGGTGAGGAATGTCGAGATCTCAACGGGACGCTAATATTGATTGTTTACAGTAACTCTACGATCGCTGATGAAGGTGGTGATACAACGATGAAAATCGGGCGCTCACTGTCCATGCGGTTCGACAATATCAAGAACCAATACGAGCATGAACTGCTTCCTCTCACTCAGAAGAGAGAGAACCTGTTCCGCGAAATCGAAGAACTCAAGGCTTCTCGCAACGCCTTCTTAGAGGAGACGACTATGTTGAACGCGCGAAATGAGGAACTTGCTCAGCTCAATGCCCAATACGCCCGCCGAATGGAAGCATCGGGAATGGATCCAAGTCATATCCCGGAGAGACTTAGTGAAGACAAGAATGAGCTCAAGTCCCAACTGACATCGTCAACGACTTCTTCGACCGTTGCTCTAACGGAAGAATCTGCAGACTCTAAGTTCATCAGGACCACCAAGCCCGACGTTCAAGAACAGCATACCCCTCAGTCAAGACCGAAGTTCATCAAATGGCCCGGAAAGGCTGCTAAGGAACTGTTTTGGCCTGATGCTAACAAGCAGAAGCCTCGCGCAGAGCATGCTTTCTTGCAAGTCAGTGTGTTGCGTGTTGCTCGATGCGATCACTGTGGAGACAAGATGTGGGGTTCCCAACTACGATGTTCGAGTATGCCTACCCCAGAACTGTCTTGACATCCTATCCTCATCATCTGCCTGTTTAGATTGTAGCATTGCCGTTCACACCCGCTGTGTACATCAGGTGCACTTGGCATGCTCACAGCAAGCCAATGGCCAGCGTGACGAAGCACCATCTGTCACTATCAATGCTCCAGGTAACGTCTCCAGTTCCCATGAAACATCTCCATCTGCTCACTACCTTCCGTCAGGCCCTTCACTATTTGGAAGAGATCTGACCGAACAAGTGAAGGCGGATTGGAAGGACGAGCAAAACTTTGTTCCGGTCATTGTGGAGAAGTGTATCGATGCTGTGGATCTTTTAGGTACGTTTCGCCAGGTGCTCTCAGTATCGCTGAGATATTCATATGTTTCTGAAGGCCTGGAATACGAGGGTATCTACCGTAAGACTGGCGGTTCTCGATTATCCAAGCTTATCACGCAGCTGTTCGAGAGCGGGGATTACGCATCCTTCGATCTTCGTGATACGGATCGTTTCAATGACATCTGTAGCATCACCTCCGTTCTCAAGACTTACTTCCGATCCTTGCCAAATCCGTTGTTGACTTTCGAGCTTCACGAAAACTTCATCTCAGCTGCTAATGTCAAGGATCCTGCTGTGAAGCTAACAATGATAAGCGAACTGGTACAGGAGTTACCACGAGAGCACTACCACACTTTGAGGTCGTTAATGCTCCATCTGCATCGGTTTGTCAATATGCATGCTTCGCGGTGTATCATTGCTGAACTGTACATATTCAGGGTATGTCAGAGGAGCGAGACGAACCTCATGCATGCAAGAAACCTCGGTGTGGTATTCGGACGTGAGTATTGTCTGTCTTTGATAACATTTTTTGTGCTGATTAACCCTTTGAATCCTCAGCAACTCTCATGCGCTCTCGTGATCCTAATGCCGAGTTCAGCGACATGGCTGGTAAAGCTCTATCCATCGAATGCCTGGTAGAGCACGCACCTACGGTGTTTTCGCCTCCGAGTTAACCCTCAATACTGGTGTTTATGCATACTTATTCTTTCTGGGTCTTCATGTTTTACAATCATTTCATTCGACTTTGGCTTTTCGCGGTGCTTATCTTTACTTTCGTTTCTTCTGTTATTGATCTGCTTAGAGGAACATCCATCATGTATAACAGCATGACATCACTGTATTCCTTTTTCATTCAGGTCTGTTCCTGTATTTCCATTTCCTCTCTTTTGCGTTTCTTACGTACATGAACCCCCTCCTTTTTCGGTTTCCTTTCTTTCATTCGGCATTTCTTACTTTGGGGAAGTCTGTGCTACAGTTTCTTTCGCATCGATATCACATCTATGAATACCTACATCCTATCCGTACACGTATACCCTGCCTTGCAGCTAGTTGAGGTCACGGATATGGACTGTAATCTTATTTAACTGCTCGCTCGAGATCAATCTTGGGCAATAGTATAGACAGAACAACATGTCTGTTTCTATGGTTCATGAAGCGAGTGCCCTCTTCATTTCCTCTTCGGTATGTTCCCACAACTTTGCCTCGATTTCTTCCGAACCATAATACCGCGAGTCCCCAATGTCATCACCCTTCTCGTTCCTCCTGTTAGCGCCTGCCTCACTCTGCAACAGCGACCATAACATATTCTCTCCGCATTCTGAAGCGGATCGAGAAAAAGGATAAAAGAGGACAGTGAGAACCGGGTTAATAGGACGAAGCGCCCAATGAGACTGTTGGAAGATGGAAGTACGGACCACGCCAGGAGTGGTGTGAACGAACGCGATGCCAGGATAACGCTTGGCTAGAGACTGCAGGAAGCCATCAACAATCAGATCATTCGATGATTACAGCATTCTGAAACAAAACGAGCAGGTACCTTGATCATGATGTCATTGTAAGAAGGCGCTTGAAGACCTGCAGCAGTCACACTGAAGTTCTTCTTCAGTCCAAGATCGTCAACATCAACCTTGCCGCCCATTCCAGCACCCAGCACCGTCAGCACCTTCGAGTCCTCACCAGACTCTTTGGCCTTCTGCAGGAGTGGACTGAGGTCGTTGATGAATTTCCATCTCCCATAGTAATGAACCGCAAGCTTCGTGTCGATCCCTTCCTCGGTCTCGTCCCGTCCTCGGAAGGCCATGAATCCACATGTGATGACCAAGTAGTTCAACTTGGGCAAACGGCTAAGGAGAGAGCTGGTGGCGGCCTGGACATTCTTCATGCGTGTCACGTCGCATTGTATGAATTCGTGTTTCGCGTCCTGTGAAGTAGGCTTGGGGAAGCTGGCGATAAGAGACTCTGCTGCAGAGCGGTCGCGGCCACAGATGATAATATGAGCATTTCCCTTGGTTGCTTTAGCGAAGGCTTGGGCAGTCCCTCTTCCAATGCCAGAGGTGCCACCCACGAATAGGGCAACAGGAAGGTATGCCCACTTGTACGCGTTATTGTCGGCCAAAACTTTAGACAGCGAAGGCATGGTTTAGTCTGTAATTATCTGTAACTGACGGTCCAGTAATAGCATTCATCATTGAACAGGATTCGTATGAAGAAGGTCATCGCACTCACAGTAGGGGAAATGTCAAAGTGCGTCGAAGGGCGCGCTCATAGCGGATGCTTTTATATTGGCTTTCGGACTGGAGCACGCGTTGTCTCGGCACCATCTCGCGTGCTCTCACCTTACGTGGACCTGAAACATAAAAGTTGGGCGGACAATCCAGTCGGCGTTTGAGATTTCCAGAGTTCTGTAGTAGCTGCACATTATTTGAAGTCGACTGATAAGTAACTTACAAGAAGCCTTCAAAGAGGCTTCAATCACTATAATGGGCGCTTGTATAAGTAGAAAGTCATCGGAGAAAGAGGGCCGCCCAGCCCGCTATTCTGCAACTTGAATTGTTTGAGACTTCACCATACACTCTATGTACGCTGCAGGTTGCTTGCGGAGGGTCTCTCTATGTTCTCATAGTCAAACTACTCTAACACGAACCCGTTTACCTGGCCGTGATATCACCCGATTTTCAATTATACGACATGCTGCGTCGACCGCTCATTTGCAACGCCGTCCTCAGGAGGAACCCGTAGACGTAGAGGAACAATCGCCAGAGGCCTCGAGATATGGAACCTCGCCTTCCAAGGCACAGAGTCATGAAAATATTCGCTCGTCGGATCCAGGGGAACTTGTACAGGATCCTGACGCATGGATGGCGCAAGGTCTCCAGGCAATCCAGACAACCCAGACAATGAGTCCGAGAGAGAGGCGGAGGCAGCTACGTAAGTATCGTTACATACTTCCGTTTTGCAATTGTCCTCATGAAGTTCTGAAGTTGGAAAGCCACTACCGCATTCTTCAAACTGGTATGAACCTGAGTCAAGCCCGTCGAAATATGACGGATCTCCGTTCAGAAGGGAAGACTATTTGGAACACCCGCTTCAACAAATACCTGAAAAGCCCAAATACCCTTGTCCTCATTTATCTGATGAAGAAGTCGAGACCTATCTGTTCCCGCTGTATGCTCGACTATGGTCTATTACTCAGTGTGACATCGAGTGGAACGGTGCTCTGCGAAAACCGCTCATGCTCTCCAAGACCATGGTGTTTCCAAGCTTCACCGCCGCTATGGGTTTTGCGAAGGATCTCGTCCATAAGATAGAGGCAGAAGAGGTACGTTCTACTAAAAAAGATCATTGAATGTGACAACATTGAACGACTGTGTATTGTAGCATCATCCGAGACTAACTATTGATAACAACCGTGTCACCGTTAGTACACATACACATTCAGCCATTATCCCAGGCATTTCTCCCGATGACAAGACGTCGCCATACCGGAAATTCCCAGGTGTCACGCTACGTGATGTGCGACTAGCCATTGAAATTGAACTTATCTACGAACGACATATCTTCATGGATAGTTCGATCGCTGCAGTTGCCATTCCATCAGGTCGATATCCTGCATCTCTGCATGATATATCTGGCTATCGCATTCCGTCTCCCACAAGCAGCTACCCAGGTGAAGAAGACGACGCTGTTCCATCGGAGGTAGAACACGGCCTCGCCACCGTCCCGCTTCATACCTTCGTCGATGCTGCACAATCCCACATATCGGAACTTCCATTAGACACCGGCAAATGGGAGTACAGAGTATGGGCGGGGGAGGTTATCGAGAAACCACTTGGCAAATTAAAGTGTCAGGCCTGTGGTGGCAAGCACGCTCTGCCAAATTGTCCTGTCCGCCATACGATTCCACCACCTGGACCCTGCACACTTTGCGATGGTGATCATTGGCTGGTTGATTGTATGCTTTACGAGAGAGGGAAGCCGAAGAAGTCCATCTGGTAGTCCTGCTTGCGACTCAATGAACCTAGGCTCTCCCAAGCCTCTTTCTAGGATGTGTCGTCGAGATAATTGGCGCGCAAACCATAGGCCACGGTCTTAATGCTAATCACCGTTCACTCCGTATGGGATGTATTTTTCTCTTGGAGATGAAGCTGCATCGTATACACTGTACGATATTATGAGAACATAACACGACCTCGTCCACCTACCCTACTCATGCTCAAATCAAACCGGTATGAAAACTTTACAGTGAAACTATTTAAAATACATTACTGGCGGGATCAGATCATATACTTTAGTAGGTTGACACTGTTTGCTGTGACTGATAGAGTGATAACTGCAAAGAAAGCTGCTCCTTCACGAGTTAATCCGTCATCTGTATTCCATTCATTAACGGTATCAGCCGTACATTACCATAAAAAGCAGGATCCATGCTGTTGCCTGCAGTGTTCAACTCTCAGATCTCAGCGTTCACCCCCGCTTCAGTGGCACGTCGTGATACTTATACGCTCAATTCTCTACGGGACCATGCAACTACTCTGCCCTAGTCCTTTCTCCAATCCTCCGCTATGCTTGAAATATCAGACGTCATGGGAGGATGAGGAGTCCGTGTTTAAATCGTACATGTCCTTGGTATCTTTGAAATGCAACATGGCAAGTACTGGGTCACAGGGCGTCTCAACATCCGCTCTCAACATCCGCTTCTCTTCTGTTTAATCTTCATATCATCCAGGTCGTAATTAACATACCTTCGTGAACGAATAATATGCAGGACGCCCATCACGGCGCTCGAAGTTTCGTATATAAAAGGTCTCCGATCAGATATATGTCATCTTAGGTCCTGCCATCCGTGGACCTTGCAGACGAACATGTTTTCCATACTTCTGTTCACCATACTGGCTGTCTCCTCTGCATGGCTTTGGCTTCGCTTAAGAAAAGTTGGGACAAGGGAGCTCGAGCTTCCTCCTGGTCCCCCGACGCTCCCCCTCCTTGGGAATATTCTCGAGCTTCCTACCGCGAAGGCATATTTAAAGTATGTACTTGACTGCACGTCGATTGAGCAACCAACTGAATGCGTGAAGATTCGCCGAATGGGCCAAGACATATGGCGATATCTTTTCGGTGCCATATCTTCCAATATGCCATGCATAATCTTTCCAGTAAACTCATTGTGGTCATTAGCTCAAGGTTGGTCCGGCGACTATCGTGGTGCTGTCAAGTCCCAAGGCTGTCCGAGAATGTCTTGATTTACATGGCACTACTACCTCCTCCCGACCCTTCTTTTATGTCAATGAACTCATTTCAAACAATTGCGAGATTGCCTTCATGGAATACGGTCTGTCTTGGTTTCAGCTCCCTTTATCATCCTCTTAATCGCACACGACATCTTCAGGTTCAAGATGGAGAAACTGGCGTCGCGCAGTTCACGACATACTCTCTCCCGATGCCTGCGCGAAGCACCAACCGATCCAGCGTGCTGAAGCAAGCAAGCTCATGTATGACTTGCTGGAAAACCCTAAGGCTCGTCCGGGTCTATCCAGTTTCACTAGTGCAGCCTAACCTTATGGATCTTCGTATCAGCAATTCTATACTCATATCTACCGCTATTCCGCATCGGTCATCTTCTCGGTCGTTTACGGCATACATTGTCCGGAATTCTCGAACACCTTCATTCAAGAATTCTTCGATGTCACGCGTCAATTTGATAGTGTACTCAAGCCTGGGTTCGCTCCACCGGTCGAATTGTTCCCCGCGCTAAGGAACATCCCTGAACGATGGGCGCCATGGAAGAGGACTTGCAAAGCCATTCGAACGCAACAGCGAAAACTCTTCTTTGGACTTCTAGATATATTTACCGAAGGTCTGAATAACGGCAAGCGTAACGGTTGCTTCATGGAACATGTCGTGGACCATCAGGATGCTTATGACTTCGACCGAGAATTTCTTGGGCATGTCATCAATTGTGTACTGTCAATTTCTCTGCTTCATCACTAAACTCGAGACTAGATACTTTGGCGGTGGAATGCTGGAGGCTGGTACGGACACCACCTCTGTATTCTTACAATCCTTCTTGGGTTGCATGCTGGCATGTCCTGATGTACAAGCACGCGCGCAAGCCGAGATCGACCACATTGTTGGACCTGACAGAACGCCAGAACTAGACGATATTGAGAATTTACCTTATCTACAGGCGATTATCAAAGAGGTAAGGCCTGTATATCGCGACCGCTTACCCCAGGCGAGTCTTAGCATATTTCATCCTTCCAGGTACATCGCTATTGTCCTGTGACACCGATGGCCATACCACACGCATCCCTGGCTGACGAACGAGCGAGTAACTTCATTATTCTTTCTATACTCTCCTAATTGCCCAGGTTTGCACAGGTTGGTCATTATTTGATTCCTAAGGGCGCCACCATTTTCATGAATCTGTGTGAGTTGGAACTCAGGAGCGTCTGCAATTTAGTGGCTTACGATACTCATGAACCAAGGGGCCCTGGGTCGGCATGAGGACTACTTCGACAATCCGAACGAATTTAATCCAGATCGGTACATGCGTTCAGAGTTCGGCACAAAACCTGGTGTTGACATTGAGGCTTTGCGACCCGATTTCGCCTTCGGCGCTGGAAGAGTATGTACATTTCCTTCTAGCTTAGCCCTTACTCATAACGTCCACTTCAGCGCCTATGCCCTGGAAGACATTTCGCAAGCGCTTCTATTGTGCGTGCGATACACGTTATGCTCAGTCATCGACACTTAGATATTTTGATAACAGCATCTCAATACCATGAACCTTCTCTGGGCGTTCAGCTTCATGCCTACCAAAGATCCCATCACAGGGAAACCCAAAGTCCTGGATTTGAACGATAGTGACGATGTAGGTAGATGCCGGCACTTTCACTTTTCGTGGTTGACCTTGAGCCGGATCCCAGGGGTTGTTTCTGAAGCTCAAGCCCTTCGAGTGCGAGATTGTACCGCGAAGTGCGAAAAGAGCTGAAATGATACGGGCTCAATTTGCAGCTGCGAAGTCTACGTTCGACTTGTTCGACCGTCCGGCCTCAATCACGACGGCCACTGACACAAGAGCATGAACTCAGATGTCTGATTGCAAGTATTGCAATTCTTCAATATCTGTTTCTCCCTATATATGATTTATCAATCATGTATGATCGCCTTTGCACCGACAGGGTTTATAGTATTACACATGTAGCGTGACAAAGGCTGGTGTATTTCTGCGAGAATGTACAAATGTTCAGCTCGAATTTGGCTTAGTCCGTCTGACATCCAATGGCTGATTGTGCGAGGCTCCAAACAAGGCTGGCTGATTGATCGAACCCATACATTGGGTTGGTTTGACCTAAGTCTCGTTATTGAGTCTCTAGTGATGCCAACGTACATGCTCGGGCTACAATATTCGAGTAGTCAGGCAAAGTTGATTACAATGGCAATGCATTGATAGTATCTTTTGTAATTCCAAAAGAACAAACAACATGAGTCCGTACGAGTCCATGCTTCTACCTTCAACGCAGCCGATGTGCTTTCAAGCACCCTCCTTAATTGTTACCTGCCACTAGCCTCGACTACGAACGAGACACGACTTTTCGAGAGCTGACTCGCAGACTCATCAGCTCTAACTTCCTGTTTACTCGAGTCGTCGGAAACCATCGTAAGAGTTGACGTGTCACTCTGCCGATAATTATTGGCGACTGAATTTTTTTGTGACTGAGCAGCGAAAACAACCATGTTAGCTAAGAAACAAATGCTGAAGAAGCCCTTCGAAGACACATACTTCTGCTTCATCTTCCCTTACAGTGCTCTCACTCACTTGTCGAGACAGTTGATGCAAATGAGTGGAGGATGGTGGTTCCCAATGTGCAGATCGCACGTCGAGAATTGATCTTTTGCTCCTACTCGCAAAGCCTTCCTCTTCAAAACCATCCGCGGTCATCCGCGTCTCTCCCATTGAGTTTTCCGCTGGGACATTCCAATCAAGATCCGGATGCCCTATTATTGAAGGCGTCGAAGTGTTCCTCATGTTGGAAGACGATGGGCAATCCTGAGGCGGCCCATGGAAGGATGAAGTTGGTAATGTACTGGCGAGTGAAGCTGAATCTCTCTCCGTCATACTTTGTGCATTCTTCGATATGGCTCGTCCCCCATAATAAGAGTTGTCGTGACTGTTGCCGTAATCGCCGACCGCAAGTAGTTCGTTTCGAGCGACGGATAACTGTGGGCGGAGACCTGTTCCGGACGTCACCCAGAATAATACACTAGCGTTAGCAATAACCTAGGCGACGTCAGTCCCGCGTCAGGAATTATCAAGGGGCGTGAAAGTATGGGATAACTAACATCAGCACCGCAGCTTGTAAGGCAGACCCAACCTAATTGCTGACCATCCATAATGGTAAGCAACAGGATGTTGATAGTTGAGGCTACCAGCGTGAGGAAGGATGCGATGACCGCTCGCTTGGCCACCTTACGGAGATAGACATTCTTGAACCGATGGCGGATGAGTGGCCATAAGAATAGCCCTGTGAGACCAACATTGATGGTCCTGTAACACTGTTGGGCTTAAGAAAATATAGAATATAAGAGATAACTTACATATCCCACGACAAAAGCAGTATGGTACCGAGGGCTTTGAGTCCTATGACACATGCGCCATCGTCTCGAAAGTACGAAACATGTTCTAGATACCGGTTAGTGGCATTGACAGATAGAAGCCTAAATCACATACGATAGACAAGTAGTGTACAAATACCAGCGTAGCCCATCACCATGAAGAAACAGACGAGATAAACAGGGCACTTGAAGCGGAACCGGGACTTGAATTGTGTCGAGGACCAAACAACATACACCTTCTCAGCTATCGGTGCCATTTAGTTGAGGAAATATCAAGTGCCAACTTAGCATACCGAGGAATAACCATATGAATATCTTTGACGTCGTATAGAATGCTATGCAGACAGCGATTGCTGCCGTGCAAATGCCCACACTGGACTCCAGACCTGCACCATGTATAAGAACTCCAGCTGAATACTTCATACGTCAGAACGACTCCTGCGGAACACTGCGAACGAGCACGCACTGGTAAATATGAACAACCAACTGTGGGGGAATCAGCAAGCGATTCCCGTATACAGAGATAGAATGCTCACGAGTCTGTAAATGTTAAAACAACGAGAAGCCTTGGCCAACTGATCTCTTTAATGCCGTGCAAGGACTTGAAGTCTTCGTAGCGTAGTCTCCTTGAGATGAAATAAGAGAGTATTGAGACTCCTGCTATACGCTCAGTATAATTCATGCTATCGTCATGGCATTAGAGCTGACCAATAAGCTGTACTATGGACGTGAGGACCCGAAGTCCCACCGATGGGAACTTCGTGGTCGTTGACATGCCAGTGGTGTAGCACAAGGAGGCAGACAGGCTAGGGAGGGAAACTGAAACGCAGTAAGGCATTATATCGGCGACTAGGTTGGCACATTGACAGCGGAAGTGCTACATGTAAGTTATGAGTTGTCACCTCGAAGCTTCCGCTCCCACCTTAAGGAATTCCGAAGTGATAAACCTCCCATATCAAGCATGGTCCATTCGGCCAGGCCAATCGATCCTGTAGCCACAAGCGCCAATAATGAACGACATTTGCGGAAGAAATAACCCTTTGCAGTTTTCCGAGCCGATCACAAACAGAATTTGGAGCATCCGCGGAGCAGGAGTGTGTGCAGCGTCCCAGTCCGAGTGAGTGCCATCTTCAGCTAAGAGCGGGTCTCGAAAACCTCTGTGCTGTTTTTTTTTTTTTTTTTTTGCTAAAGTGGCCTATCGTTCCGCAAGTAGCCGTGGTCAGGCATCATGTTTGTACTTCGAAACAAAGGCAAATATCGTTAGAAATATAATAACCAGAGATTAATGATATCAACGGCCACCTCAATGGTCAACCCTACGAGATCAGCAATATGGACACCAGGCTCAACGCAGCACCCGGCACTACAACGCATGCATCCGCAATCCACGCACCCAATCCGTATCAAGCATAACCGGTCATTCCCAACCCGTGCGCGAATCGATTCAGTCGTATCCGACCTTGCGACCTTCGCATGTGCGATGCAATTGCACCTGCATCCGCGAGGCCTGTGCCCTCGCAGTGCAGTAGTAAGTCCAGGCCATAATGGAAAAGATATCGATGTTCATCAGACAAGTGGACGCAGCTAAGCCTTCAGGTTCTCTTCAATATATGCGGCGAACTTGTCCGCTATACTCTTCTCACTCCAATCAACTGCTCCTTTTTCCACCGTGCCTAGTGTGATTGCCTTTTTGTGGACGGTGACAAATTGTCTTTTCATCCGTTGAAGTTCGGACAGGGTGATGCTACGAAAAGGCAGATCGATTCGAGGCTTCAGTGTTGGTGAGAGCGCAAGAGTGACTGGTCCACCCAGTCCTTGCGACGCCGCCTGTTCTGACATGATCGCACCTACCATCGTGGTGGTGGTATGCTCAAGCGTGCGCAGTGCGTCAGTCGGAGCTTTAGGTACCTATAAGAGAGAACCAATGGGTCTAGGTTCAACGGTATTAGAGTATTTGTGTACATACTGCTTGTGTACCCGCATTTGGCGGCTTTATGATACCCTCTGTAATGGCTTTCCAGATGTCGTCTGCTGGTACGTCTTTGTCCAACCAAGGAACTGTGAAGAGCGGAGAGTCCCATCGAACCATGGACGATGGCTCCTCGTATCGCAGCAGCAGGTTCTCAAAGCTAGAAACGTGCATCAGGAATCGTTGCCAACACAATCGAACCTCGACGCACGCTTCTGAGGGGTACGCCTTGCCATCCTGCCGGGTCTTGTTCCATTCGCGTGCCAGTTCCTGCGTGGCTACCACGAATATCTAGTTGGCTCAAACAATATGAGAGACATTTCAAGCGCGAGGATTGAACGGACTCACCGTGCACACTCTTAACTTCAGCTCCCTTGCAGCGCAATACATTTGATACCGAAACCCTTTAATATAATTCAACGAATCGACAATGAGAATCGTGTCCTGGCTCATTTGTCGCTGCATTGCCGTGAACAAGGCCGCACGGGCAGGCTTTTCTGACCGACTATCTTGATGCCCAAGACCATGTCAGGTAACTATTCAGCTGAGTTATCCTGGCGCATATACACACCACTGTAGACATTCCGATCAATATTTAGGTCATCATCAGATAGAATTTGGACCTTGAGCTTCGGGCCTGTGTAGCTTGGGTCTCGAAGACGTCTTTCAAGGTGGTTTTTGAGCTGAATAGCTCGTCGTGATTTACCTGAGGATGGGTAACCGGAAATAGTGATGAGAGCCATGCTGACTGTGTTCCTCACCCGATCAAAACTGACAAAATTTCACAAGTCCTGACTTCAATCGACCAACAGCTTTCAAAAGTACTTCAAGATCTCATTCTCACAATTGCATCAAGCACAACAGAAATAATAGTTTTGAACAAATTTATTCAGTTTTATTTCAACTCTACACTATACTTCACAAACAAAACTCTCAAACAAGGTTGTTATCACAGAGCTTTGAAGCGTAAAGGAGGGTTTTCCAAAAATTGCTGGAGGCCGAAGCCAACAGACGTGTTCGGATGTGTAATTTGCAATCAGCAAAAGACTGTGCCTCGGTAAAGACCTCACTGGCGACAGTACGTGCCCGAGCACAAGAATGAGAAAACAGAGAAAGGAAGGGAGCTGGCTTATATAGTGATCGTGATGCGCACGGACCACTCAGCGTGTGAAAATATTAGTAAGCGCATGTAAGCGCCCATTTCATACTTACAACTCACGCAACTGCCAGTGGGATAACCGTCACAAGTACAGTATTCCTTGATCTTTAGAGCTTTTCAAGCTTATTTTCATTGTATCATGTAGAGGTAGGTGTACAGCAGTACTATAATGTTATTGAGAATTTTTTAGATCTCATTAGCACACCCTATGCGTTTGAAGATGTGTGACTGGCACCTTGAATATATTCAAAGCACCGATCTCGATTCCGACAGAAACACAAAATCAAGTCATATACTCCTTCTATCAGATACATGCATCTATGTACAGAGACCTACCTAGGATAACTCTTGAGTAAGATCTATTCCGACATTTATTTGATTTCGATGATATGATGCTCGAAGAGTTCAAACGTTTCCCTTGCTGCTGCAAATTGCGCACGAATCAGGTTCGCCTTCGACTCACTGCGAGGAATGATATCGCATTTGTACGGGGTTGGGACCAGCAAGATCGCCTGTTGATAAAACACGGCGCATTAGCGTGATAGCATAGTAAAATCGAGAATGACACTCACCTCTCTCTTGGTATTCTCGAGACTGACTTCAATCACCTGGCCCGTCACCGGATCCTTGGCCTTCTTGAAGTCAAACGCCCAAAGTAAGTTCATGGTGTTTATAGCCTGCGTGGTTCGTCAGCACTTCATTTTCCCACACGGCTTCATGAAAGTGCGATCTTACGATCGAGTTATTGGCGAGGATGGAGCCGGGACAGCGACGCTATGGGCGACATGCAACATTAAGGACCTCATAGGATTCAAAATATTAGCAATGCACTCACTCTGCCCATCCCAAAAGCAAAGTCGTTTCGAACTCCCGTGGGATCGATACCAGCCTTGATGCCAAGCTCGTGCTTCACGTATCGATCGGGGTCAAAGACATCGGGATTCTCGTAGTAGTCTTCGTGTCGATACATTCCCCCTACGCGTGTAGGTATGAAGCATTATCGAGAGGTATTGATCGAGAAAGACACTTACAACTGTTGACGAAAATGATGGCGTCCTTGGGGATCATGTAGTCACCCATCTGAAGTTATCAATGTCAGTCAGCCAGTATAAGAGGGAAAGTTGGAACATACGCGCTGTTCCGTTGTGGACGCGTGAGGGATGGCCAAAGGTGCAGTAGGACAGAATCGATGGACCTGCCAACCAAGTGAATATTAGCGTGATCATGATCAACATTATGGACACTCCGATACTCGCCTCATTGACGACTGCTTTCAGATACGGCAAATCCTCAAAGTCTGCGAATTCAGGAGACCTGTCGTGACCGATAACCTTGTCGATTTCCTCCTGTGCTCGTTTCATGACATGAGGATATATGAGCATGCATAATATGAAGTTCTGGAGGAAGAACGCGGTGGTGTCGATGCCGGCTTGCAGCAGTGAACCACCCAAGTATCTAGTGAGACATCATCCAATGATCATCAGCACGGCATACACATGTAGATAGACGGCCAGAACCATACCCAAGTAATTCGCGATCCAGCTCGTAATGCTCCTTTCGCTCCACCACGTATTCCATGAAACACTCGTTCGTCTTGCCATTCTCGATCCGCTCGATGACCAAATCAAGCAAACCGAAGAATATCTCCCGTTGGTCCCTCCTGACTTCCTTGCATCTTACTTTCCACGGAGCCAAGAACTCTGGAATATATTTTAAGATGGGGAACATGTCAACGGGAGGGCTGTTGCCCGGCATCAAAGCCGCTTCGAGTCGTTGAGTGAACTTGTCGAATTTCTCGACAAAGGTGTTGTCGTATTCATTGCAATGAATGCCGTAGATCACGGATGTGATGACCGAGGCAGTGTACCGATAGAGATGAGTGTAGAATTTCTACAATTGCAGAAACGGTAGGAGTCATGAGAATTGAGAAGTAAAGAACGAGTAAAACAGGAGACATACCTCTGGACTTCCCACGAGGTCAAACATCAGTTGACTGGCTTCAGCCTGTTGTATGGGCAAATGCCGGTTGCACGCCTCTCGAGAAATCATGTCATGAGCAGCTCTGCGCATGAGTCTCCATTCGTCTCCTTCAAGTTCAACACCAACGAATGTCAATAAGTATGTCTAGCGTTGCTGGGATGCAGAGGAAACTGACCGTAATGAGTGAGAGGAAGTTCGAGGCCACCAGAGATCAGTTCGTCAACGTAGACTGGGGGACGGTCGGATGTAGTAGCACCATGTAAATCGACATATTCGCGAGCGAGCTTGGGGCTCGAGATGACAACGCCGGTCGCTGAACCGAACTTCAACTGCAAAAATCGACACTTTTTATCAGACGGGTGAAAGTGTGTGCCGTGGTGAAAGCGTACCGAGTAAATGTCTCCCCAGGTCTTAGCCCACTCAGTTAACCTGTAATGTGATAAGTTGATCAGGAAGGGTGAAAATGTTACAACGCGTCGTACTTGAGATATGGACGCCTTGTCTCGAAGACGTGAATATTTCCAAGAAGAGGAACGGTCGGAGGGCCGGGAGGTAGGCCATGCTCTCTCGAGCCAACCTTGCTCAACCGGTAGATGACCCATGTCAATGCCACAACGAGGGCTGTCCATGTCACCGATAAAGACATAGTGTAAAGCAGAGGCGTTCCTTAATGAGCGACCGGATTGGGCAGGAAAACCCTGAAGTTGTAATGAAGAACGCAAACGTGCATCTTATACGTCTGTCTTAAGAGGCAAGAACGCTCGTAATGCGCATCGTTCCACTGATTGTATTCCGAATGAGGGATAGCAGGATATTCGTGGGTACACCGGGAGTTTATGTCTGCACAGTGAAAGTTGGATGCTCAAGCTTTCAGCACGAGGCCTAACCATGATGAAATGTCACTTCCTGATATGCCCCATATCTGCCAAAGATACGGTTCTGCTGAGTTGCAACTTAATAACGAGATTGAGCAAACATTGGGTGTGACGACTTACATACAATCGATATCAACGGGCAGCTGGTCACTTAAAGAGAATGAGTAACGACGAGGAACGAATGCGACGCTACCATGAAGCATTAACAGGTACGTACCGCAGGTACAGGGTAGATGAGGAGACACGCAGGCTGCCAAAAACCCCGAAGCCCGAAGCCCGATGTGCATGGCTTTGTGGGCGTCGTCAAATGAGAGTTGCGTATTTCTAATACGCCTTGTATATATCCGATGAGTTTGAGTCGTTCAGAATGCCAACTTCGTACCAAGACATTGGGTCAGACCGGGCACATAAGCTTTAAGTTTAGTGACCAGTAATTGCAGCCGCGAGCTTGAAGTCAACTGTGAGCAATAAGGCGCACACATGTCCTCACTCGTCCTCTATTAGCTACTTATCGGTTTTGAAGTGATGCCAGCTATCCTCTGGTAATTTCGTTCCTAGCCTAGCCATGGAAGTCGTCGGTGTGGAAAGGCAGTTTGCCTGGATACGATGGATGCAGGCAGATGGTCAGGTATCAGCCTTTCGTTGGCCGTGTAATGTCCCCGAACGCGCACGGTCGAATGCGTGGTTTATAGCCTGTTATCGCTATTTTGGGGACAGCGTCACTTACCACTGTACTTGTGCATGATAAGCACCAGGAAGAGCCGCTGGGTTTATCCGCTACATATTCCATCCCAATCCAGCGGTGGGACTACCCATACATACACTTGGCCGGTAATTTCGTGGCTGCATCTACACCTAATATTCCGTATGATTAGATATTTCAATAATCGGGGAGGGTATAAGCACTCACCGAGAGACGATTCCGACAATTCCACTACAACACTATTTCACAGGCTCACAGTGGTACGACTCGACATAGGCGTCGAGCGCAGAAATAAACGGGACGATAACCTTATATAGCGATGTGCACAAGAGACGCGGCAGAGCAGAGTCCAGAAGGGAATCTAGAACATAGTTCACGCTTGAGATGCTGGACGGTGCAGCCGGAAGCCGGAAGCCGAAGGGAATTGGTTGGCCTCAAGGCAAATCTTTTTCTTTCGCTGGCCAAGCTTGTCATTCACTATGGCGCATTTGGCTGCGAATCGGGACACCTCCCTGATGTCCTCTTCAAGCTCAGTGGTCTTTTCGGGATCACCGGGAGTGCCAGAACATTGATAACGATGGGATCACCAGGAATCATGACATGGCCGTTGTCGAGGTAGCCAAACTTCCATGAGCAGGCATCATCGCGATCCCACAGGGTAACAAACTCATCGTAGCCTCCAGGAGTAGGCGTGCGGGCGTAACTGAATTTGGGCAATCAGAGAGTCAGGTTGTATTTGGCATATAGGCGGAGCTGGGCGAGGGAGTAGCGATAGGAGTGGTCATCGACGTCGAAAAGTGCGACACATTGCGTCTCCTTGAGACGAACGGCGTAGGCGTTTTGGAGGGGGTCGCTCAGAAGGAGAGGAAGCGCGGCATCTTGAAAGTCGCTCCAGGCTGCAAGTGAACGTACAGGATCCAAAGAGTATACAACGATACATTCCAGGCGTTCGCACCGGACAGGCACTCTTACTGTCGCGCCGTTCATTGGAATGAAGTCAGTCAATGTGCAAAGAGTCAACCACTTTGCACAGCCTTATAAGTGGGATATTTCGTCAATGCATACGAACGGAGGTCGGGTCACTCACTAGAACCGAATTCATTCAAATCGTGATGCAATGGTAGACATGAGTATATGGGCGAAGTGTGAGAATCGTATGCTTGACGAATAACGTGGCAAACATGAGCGTGTCTGCCATCCAGGCAGAGTCCATGCAGACCGGATGTCATTTTGGCAATATGTCAATGTATCTGTCTTGACGACAGGTTTAAACTCTGCAGGGTGAGTTGACCAATCAGCACCCAGAAACATAAGCATCCATCAAAAGTCTGCCTGGGGAACAGATAATAAGACATGTTGCCAAGACGTTCGTCAGTCTGCATCGCATCTGCACCAACCACAGAAGGTTTCTTGCGTGCCGTGATAGAGTTGGTTGTCGAACTAGGAGAAAAGAGAACGTATTATAGCAGATATGATACTCACTTAAACTTATTGCGTGGGGCAAATGAAACACAAATATTGTGTTTCTCGTCTCAAGGGACATTAGGGAGACTAATTTTAGTTACAGAAACTGTGCCACTCCATGAACTTGCAGAAGTCGTGTGTACAACATTTTGTCATCTATTACATGCGATAAATATTTCTGCCCATGGAAATGCCACTCACCAGGAAAAGTCTTAGACAGCACTCGCGTGCCAATATGCCATATTGCGGCCTTCCAACAGACTTCAACGCCGACCTCGTGATATCTTGCTTTGCCTGTTTCTTCGCACTATCCGTAATCGCTTCCATGTTCACTGCGGGATGTAAAGGCCGAATCTTGTGAAATATGGAGGACTCCAGGTTCATTCAAGCCACAGAAACAGAGCTCAACGAGGAAACCACAACTGCAATCAAGGAGCTCGGGCCGGGGGGTTGGAGGAGGTGGACATCATGCCAAGGTCGATCAGAATAGTGGAAATGCAGTTACGTAAAGTACAGTGAAATCAGAAGATGGCGAGTGTATTGTGGGGGTGCAGAGAGAAGCCGGCGGATGTGCACGAGAGCAAGAATATACCCTTGGGTGACTTCAATGAGGGAGACTAGGCTGGGTATGGTATCAGCAGAGACATCTCGTGAGGGTGGAGTGAGATGAAGATGGACGATATGAGAGAATCGATAGCAAAAGAGGATACGATGGTGAAGATCAAGAAGCGAGCATCGTGACTGCAGCGTGCCCATTCAGTTGAAAGACGTTATACGATGCGCTGATGGTGAGAGATCTGATAGCCGTCTGCATGCTGCTGGTACAATGCAAGTAAAGGGGGTTTGTTGGAGCTAAAGCCGAAAGATTTGAAGTCATTCTGAGTATGTTGTTGGGTACGTCGTGGAGGACGACGAGCAGGCTATCTACAGTAAGAGGCGCCTAGATCGCCCAGTGAACCGGGACCAACCGGCGGGCGCCCAAGCGCATGGACCCGGAGCCGGAAGCGGGCTGAGTGATTTTCGGACAAGTTTTGTGGTTGTGGTCGTAGTGGGCATTCGGTACTTGGGCTGTCCATTCTATCATCATTTCCTAGCTCAACATTCTCAACTGGGGACGATTGCAAGTCGTCCCCCTTTTCATCCTGTCGGCTACCCAGGACACTTACAGTAACCACACTCCATCGCCTCGAGGCATCGCCACACGACCTCGTTCAAAGAGGAGGTTTTCCCTCCTGCCTCTCAGCATGGCTTTAGGCGGGCTCAGTGCTGCCATGTTCAGTGGTTCTTCCGTACTCTGGTCATTTAACATGGCCTTGCGGAAGGTCGACCTCCAATCCATGTTCTTTGCATCCATGTTCGTCGTCGTTTTGGTCGTCCTCGGTGAGCACCATGCTTCTCGTGTGCTTTGAATATTTCTCATCCTTATCTTTCATTTCCGCCCTTGTTGTCCTTTTCGTGTCGCGATTGCTTGATCAGCCTATCTCACCAACCCCTCTGAAACCTCATTCCGGACTTATCTTACTGAACAGTCCTTCCGTCAACACCTCAGACGTCTCGACGATGACAATCAGGACGAATCGGATGATGGCGAAGACAACGGCGTACACTACACTCTGGCTCGCCGTTCTACTCCAAGCGCAAGCACACCCGGTCGGACGTACTCGGACTCTGGCTCCCCATTCCACTTTGTCAATCGTGCATCCGTCTCTCTGCGAACGCCAAAACACGTCTTTCACAGCTTTGGAATCTTCACTGTTGCTGCGATCGTCCCCAACGGCTCTCGATCGGACGGTGTTAAAGCGGACGGTTCTGGTCCACGGGTGTCGGACTCTTGGTACCTCGGTGCTTTTGGCAAATGGTGGCGTGGAGGGTACATGCAGTGTTGGTGGCTCGAGACGATCGCAAACACCAAGGATGCAGAACGCTGTAACTCGGGCATCCTCGATCTCAAAACTCTCGACAGCCTAGAATGTTACGACGGTATGCACGCTTTTCCATATCACTCACCCACAGGTGTTTGACGTAATACCATATCGTACATTAGGTCTACCTTATCCCGCCCCGGCCCTTCCACCTCACCTAACGAATAAAGAATCGACATCAAAATTGCGAGACTCTGCACGCTCAGGACATCGAACGGCCAACTCGTCGGCGCGCAGTTCGACGCCACCTCCATTGCCCAAAGGCGCTTCATTACCCTTGCACGCACCTCGGCCGCCCACGACGCCCAGCAAAAGCGATAAAGCGGTTGCGCCACGCCATTCACCGCCAACTCTGCAAGCTCCCACTACCAATGCTGCCCCCGTCGTCAATGTCAATGCCCCCGTTTTAAGTCCACAGCTTCAAAGTTCACCGTCTTCGCTCTTCGATCAATCTCCCGTGATTTCGGATATCTTGCGTCAGATCTCTGCATCGAATACTGTCGTGTGCGAGTTGCGCACTCAATTGACTGAGTTTCATTCCGCCGCAAACAAGTCACATAGTGCGATTCAGAACGACTTGGAGACTCATCGGGAACGCAAGCGAACGGAAGATGCTTCTCGCAACGAGCTTAAGACGCGCACCAAGACACTGGAAGACTCGAAGCGTTCTGCAGAAGCTGTCAAGCGAGAGGCAGAGAAGAAGCTGAAAGCGGCGGAAAGTGCACGTTCGAACGCGAGCGAGCGGATCGAGCGGTTGGACAAGGAGATTCTGCAGCTCAGAGACCGTATGAACGAAGACGAGCGCGCGATCGAGACTATAGCCTCAGAATCCACCAAGACCGAAACCGAGATCCAAAACGAACTCGAACTGAAGCGCAAAGAGATCAAGGTAGCCGAAGACGTCGTCGCGGCATTAAACACTCGCGCAAAGGAGTTAGAGGAAAAGATCGCAGCAGAGGAGGAGAGGCTTAAGAAGGCGAAGGAACAGGCAGAGTTGAGAAGACAGGATCGAGCGTTTTATCCGCTTCATGTTGTGCATTCTCAGCAGGCTTCTCCGACGATGAGCCCGTGGTCCCCGATCTCTGCTGCCACCCCGGAATCTCTGCCTTCTGTCCCTGTCCAGGATCCCCATGCGATTATTCATACTGACCGTTCGGCACATATCGACGTCTTCCCGCAGGCCCTTCAGATCCCCCATGCACATCCGCGTGTTGGGACGAGGAGTAGAGATGGTTCAGGGTCTTCGGGTAACAGTGGTCCTGTGGATTTCATTGCCTCTGCGTCTCCGAGACCTAGGAAGCTATCATTGGGCATTATATCCAACTTCAGGGAGCACTCTCGATCTAACGGCTCTGTCGCGAACGTGGATAACACTCTGGTCACCCATGCTGTCGGCACTCAAATTGGTATACGGCCTCCACCGAGTGGATTCCCCATGTTCGATGATGGCATGTCCGCTCATGGTCCTACGCGCTCTACACGGTTTTCACCTTTCGGCGATAATGAGGTTGAAGTCCCTCCTATGGTTATACACGACATCGGCGCACCTTCACCAATGAGTACTTCGTTGATTCCTACAAGCTTGATCCAATCACTCGAAGTGTCCAGCGGAGTCGAGGACCTTTCACGGTCTTTCCAATCCGACAGTGACGATTTCTTGGAACGCGATTGGCGCAAGGTGCACTCGTTCCCTGCTCATCCTGTTGTTGACAGTCCTGGTTTCAGTTCTTCACCTACCTCTTTGAATCATCCCGGGTTCGACGGCGTGGATAGAGAGGATCCTTTTGAGATCAGGCCTCCTCCTCCGTTGAGACATAGGATCACAGCGGAATCGTTGGATATGCACGCTCTCATGTTCCCGCATCCCAATCGGACTTCGTCGGACCCTCAACCATTGGTGCGTTCCAGGACCAGAGAATCGGAAGAGGAAAAAGCTGGTGGTGGCCATCGACGATGGTTCTCTTCTTCTCCCAAGGACCATCACAAGGAAAAGAAAGGACTCAACCCCGAAGCCAAAGTCTTCCAGCTCAAGAAATCACCTTCCCCTCTCGCCACTGGCAACATCATCTCTGCTCTAGAACGTCCTGAACAATACGATGTTGTCTCACCTCCGGTGCCTTCGATGCCTTCAGTCCCACCTGCCTCGCACATCAGCACTCATTCACACCCACTCCCACCACCGCCCTCCTCCTCGACAAACATGGACTCCATATTCTCGACACTCTCTATGCGCGCATTCGCACCTTCGCCTGCAGAGCGAGAGGCACTCACACGCGCGTTGGGGTCATCTACGAATACGAGTTTGGAGAGACTACCTACCTTGAGCGAAGTCTCCATCGCTAGCAGCATGCCTTCCTCTCCCTCCCATGCCCATGCCACCCAACGATCTCCTCCAATCCCAAAGGCGCATCATCGCGATCATCAGCATCAGCATACTGCTGCTGCTGCGATGGCGGGGATGGAGGGAGGGGTAGGTATGTTGGCAGCAGCTGTCAATGGGAGATCAGGGTTACCTCCTGGTTTGGCGTGGTTGCAGAGTTTACCAAGGATGCGGAAGCCGAAGTTTAGTCCGTGGGATGACGAGGAGCCGACGTCTACAGCTACGGGGACGATGAATCTCAATGGGCAGCAGCACACGAATTTCTGAGGTGGTTTGCGTTGGTGGTGGTGCTGGTGCGGGGTATGGGTGTATGGGTCAATCGTGTGCCGTGTATGATGATTTGAAGTGTAACTCAGGGCATTGGCGCGAGAGGTGTACAAAGAAGCTTTACAAAGTGGGTGCTGTGTGATTGAGCGGGGAGGGATGGGACAAGCAAAGGGGAAGCAAGCTGGCTGTGTGTGTTCTTATTCGAAGGCTAGGGCTTATTATAACAAATGCGACAGAGAATGATATGTGTGACGATTATGAAATGACATATTTATCCCTAGCCTCTCCGAGATGGTGGTGTCTCCATGAGTGCTGTGCTCAAGAAGCGTTCCAATTTCTTGGCCAGGTGCAGGTCTTATTCTTGGGCTAACCAATGGTGGTACTGCAGAAGTATCACACCCTCATGGATTTGACGGCTTTGCTGCGGTGGAGAACCTCCATCCGTCCTTCCGAGGCCGTGTGAGCTGTAGTGAACTAACTTTTACATTGTCCTATGATCCCGTCGGTTTAAATTTGGTCGACCGCAGTGGGAACCTTGGGCCTCTTTACAGCAACATCAAGAAGCCCGAGTTATAATACCACCCGATTGCAAGCCGACAACACATAACTTTACCGAATTCACCCCAAGATGGACCGACGTTCTAACGGCATCCGATGAGTTGGAATGATGACTGAAAGAGTACTTACCAGTTGAATACCCAGAACGTGGGAGCCAACCGACTTCAACCTCGGGAGGTGAAAAACGTCTCATCGTGCGCTCATACAGGGTTCGTGATATAAAGATAGCAAAGGAAGTGCACAAGGGGGGTAAAATGAGAACAGAGCTCTGACACAAATATAGCTTTGAGGGGGTATAACACGATACTGCAAGGATCCAGTCTGGCGTATGTAATGGTAAATGAGTACATGCATACGGTTGTCAAATTGTGGAGTATTTATGCTTACACAAGATGAGGGAAACTTTGATGGGTGACTCTGCTGAGCCTGAAGGAGTGTGGGAGTGCGTAGGCGATGTATCCATCTACTATGGCAGTGAAGGAAGGGGTAACCTATAGTGGCCTTCAGTACACCGAGCTGTCATCACAATGCACTCAGAGAGACTCACCTATTTTCGCGGGTATAGAAGAACCGAAGTGCCTCCGTCTTACACGGAGACAAGAGGCAAATATGACGGCGAGAGAAAGCATCCTGCGATGCATGTCTCGGCTAGTCATTTGCACTCTAACAAGAAGGAATGTCAAAGCTTGGAGGCAGAGCATTCGACAAGTACAGCTTGAAAGCTAGGCAGCGAGTATTCAGTTAGGCCCATCTACTCAAGCCCCGGGGACTGAGCACATGGTCGTAACTCGGAAGTTATAATGCTACACTGTTGGGTTGAGAATGCCCCGAACATCACTCGCCGCGCTAAGATCGGCGAGGAAAGGACACATGTCACCTAGCTCCGTGTCATGTATATCGCTGAACCATGATGATACGGGCACTGCGTTGTGTGGATGGAAGATGTAGGACGCAGGAGAGTTGTCTAGGATAATCGTATCTGCAACGGGACGGCCGAGTTGCGAGAGATCCTGGAAATGCCCTGTTGATTATCCGGGCACTAGGAATTGATGACCTTCAAACGAACCTTTACATAGTTCCCCCGATGGTTATAACAACTTTCTCGGAACAGTCGGTGAGCAACCGTCCGGTCGGGATCCAGCCTATCCAGTACAGGATCGGCGTACTGGAATCATAAAACAATCAGAGGGCAGTACTTCACCCAGCCACAAAGATCGAAGTTAAGTTATATACCTTGCTCAAGCTGGCCGTAAAGACCACGACCTCATATAACTCTCCCATCCTCCTTAGGAAACTGTCGACGCCGGGACGCTTGAGGACATAGAAATTGTGCCACGTGTACTCGATCTCTACTGGGACGATGTAGTCCGGAGATGGCACAGGCTGCACAGCGTTAGTGCAGCAAGGACGCAATGCCAGGATGGGGTACACGTACTCGTAGACTGCTGTGCACCAACGTCTCGTCGAGATCGAGTACAAGACACTTCCGACCCTCATACTTGGGTGATATTGGAGGAAGCAGAGGCTTTGGTTTTCCATCCTGCATAACAATCAGACGACATCCAACAACACACTTAAGCGGGGCAACTTACGGGACCAGTGGGTATGCCCGCGCCACCTTGCTTGATTAACCTTTGTTCATCGTCCTCCAAATCCTCCGACCGAAGACCTACGGTGAACACCTCATCGTCGGAATACGAACCATCCGACTCTTCACCTGTTTCAGACACAACCACATACTCCGTCTTGGTTTCCTCTCCTGTTGATCCTGGAGGTTGTACAGCACCAGACGTCAGTCCGTCCGTTTCGGATAGAGGTAACAGTTGTTTGGTAGGCGTAGGTGGCACAACGACCTCTTGGTCCGAGATTGCAGGCGGAGGAACGATGACAAGAGGTTTGGTCGTGGTCGTAGGGGAAGTGTCATCTATCACGAAAGGCGTTAGAGTGTGACAAAGATAAGGTGCGAGATATATCCACACCTGCAGGCGATGACGATGTTTCCCGAGTTGGCTGTGGTTCTGCCATCTCGACGTCCTTGGTAGAATGCTTCTCTGCGTCCTTCTGATCTGCGCGTCCGTGCGATGGGCCCTCATCTAGTTCAATAGCATGTGTACGGTGAGAAGGTATGACACAAGACGTGAATATTTGGGTGATCTTCGTGAGTAGTGAGGCCTTGGTTTTCTTTGTTTTTGGCTCGGCCTCTGACACGGACGGAGACCCTTCGGTTGTGTTCGACCCTGCGTACTTTCCCTCGGAAACGGATCTGTCACGACGCCGTGTGCGCTTGCGCAGAATGGGTACCGTCAATGACAAGGTTGCCGAAGACGATTCTTGATCCTTTTCTTCATGTGCCCCACTCGCATGCTCAACTTCCGAAGGTGCCGTGACGACGGATGTTATGGTTGCTGAGGGGGAACCTGTGGACGGTTGGTCAGTATGCGAGGGAGGGACCTGCCCTCCCTCGCCACCATCGGACTTGTCAGCATCTTTGCTGTCTTGAGCACCCTTGACCGGCTCTGAGGGGGTAGGCTGGTGCTCTACTGAAGCAGAAGCATCCTGAACATTGCCTTGAGAGTCCTGTACGCTTTCGCTGGCTTCTGTACTATGGCTGGCTTCCTGTATCTGAGTCATGGTGTCGCGTTATCAGGACCAAACGCCCGTTCGCACAGTGTAAGCATACCTGAGACGAAGTACTTGCGCCTGGAAGATCAGCGACGGCCATAGACGTCGAAAGGACCAACGAGAGGGTACGAAGAGGGTGTGAACAAGCACTCTGGGAAATGTTCACGATGGATGCGGACCAAATGGATCAATTTCTCCGGTTCCAGCATCGCTTCAACCTTGACCACGTTTCCTCATTGCTCGACAAACAACTTTTCACACGATCTACATAGAGCTACGCCATTGACTGAGGTTTGTATCTCTTCCTAATGACACTAACATCGTTTCGCAAGGAGACACTGTTAAGGGAACGCAAGTTGCAATATCGGATTATCTCTTGCCTCTGGTATTCGGGGTCTAGGGGTGTGCGGGGGACCCGCAGATGTTCTCAAGCAAGGCGAGTACTTTTGCGTAATCGTGTCAAGAGCGATGGAATGGTTCCGATAGAGCATAAGGTGTAAGATCCACTAGTATAGAAGCTTTTTGCAGAGACATTCCATTGGCGGACACTATTGGAATCGTAACAATAAACATACGACAGCAATTACCTAAAATGGATAGGTCGGGAAAGCCCGTTTATGTTTTCTGCGCGAGAAGCTGTTGCTGTTCCAAGGTTAGGCGTTCTGTCATAGAGCGATTGCCCGAATTCTGCAGTCTATATGTGTACTTATTATTTTCTCTTTGTGGAGTACGGCGTGTATGAGGCAAATTATTATCTCCAGGTTCGTGACACTGGCGCCGCCTACTCCCCCCCCGACCGAGCTGTCACCGAGACTTCTTACAGCAATAGCTAGAGGCGATTTTATAGCGGCGAGAGATATTTGCTTCATCATTATGGTACGATGCGTCAATCAACCTTTTTGCATATCTGTCTTAGACCCGACTCCATGTCATATTAAAGCAACGTTGGGATCTCGTCGACCCCTTGCTTACCTCGTTTCCTTCTCTGCCGCTATGCAGTCAGCTGTGCTACTTGGTTCAGTGTTAATATTCTGCGTTTGGGCCTTCCACCGTTTTCAAAAGGCTGGTTCCAGAGAGCCTGGCCTCCCCCCTGGACCTCCGACACTTCCTCTCATCGGCAACCTTCACATCTTTCCGAGTACTCGAGCACATCTGAAGTAATTCCACACATTACTTAGCTTAATATTCAACGGTATCCGACCAGAGCTTTCCCTTAGGTTCACGGAATGGGCCAAGGTCTACGGCGAAATATACTCTGTACGTCCATTCAATCATTACTTACTAACACGTCCTGACACCAACTATAGTTGAAGATTGGCACTGGCACTGCTGTCGTTTTGTCCAGTCCCAAGGCGGTGCGGGAATTACTCGATTTGCGCGGAGCTACTACATCTGATCGACCACCGATCCATGCTATTGAGCTCGTTTCAAGGGGCTATGAACTACCCCTCTCAAGATATGGTATAGCACATTGTCTCATGGACTCGCGATTTTTCTAACTCCAAATACCATTACTAGGGCCTCTGTGGAGAACCTTACGGCGCGCAGCACACGATATGCTCACCAAGGAGGCATGCATGCAACATCTGCCCATTCAACGTGCAGAAGCCTGTCAAGTGATGTATGACTTTCTAGAGCATCCTGAAGTAACTTTTGCCTCCTTCATCTCCTCTTTTCACTGCTGACATCGTTGCCTCGGCCATTCTAGCAATTCTACACACACATCCATCGTTATACAACATCAGTTGTCCTCTCTGTTATCTTCGGTATCCATTGTCAGAAATACGAAAACACTTTCGTCGAAGACTTCTACGACTCACAACGTCAGTTCGAACGCCTGCTTCGACCTGGCGGCATGCCTCCAGTCGATGTCTTTCCCATATTGAAGCACATCCCCGAGATATTGGCTCCGTGGAAGACACTTTGCAGGGACATCCGACACCGTCAACGGAAACTTTTCTTCGGTCTTGTCGATGTCTGCGTCGAACGAATCAAGCACGGAAAACGGAACGAGTGCTTCATGGAATATCTTCTCGATAATCAGGAGCGTTATAATCTAGATCACGAGATGTTGGGGTACGATTGCCTTTCTCCTGCTCGACACGTCGAGGTTAATATCTGAGTTGCAGTTACGTTGGCGGATCACTGCTGGAAGCCGGCTCGGATACCTCTGCCGTTTTCTTGCAGTTTTTCATCGCATGTATGGTTGCACGTCCAGACATCCAAGCCCGTGCTCAGCAGGAGATCGATGCCGTAGTCGGATTCAAGCGGATTCCGGAGTTGGAGGACTTCGAGAGTTTGCCGTTCTTAAATGCCATTCTTAACGAGGTTATATACTTTCAAGTCTTATCGATAATCTTCCTGATGTAAAGTTTTCAACAGGTTCACCGTTTCCGTCCGATCACGCCTACTGGTCTACCGCATGCAACCACTGAAGATGAAAGGGTAGGGGAGTATGTTATACCGAAGGGAACTACACTGTTCCTAAACTTATGTGAGTTGGTACTTCAGTCCTCATCATAGCTTATCATTGATACGCGGTCTGTTAGGGGGGATCTTCCAGAATGAGGAATACTATGAACGTCCGGGTGAATTCGATCCCGATCGTTTTCTTCGCTCAGAGTTTGGAACAAAGTCTGGCGCTGATCTTACAGGGATGAGAAACGACCTCATTTTCGGTGCAGGCAGGGTATGTTTGTTCGTGAAATCGGATATCTAGATATATTCGACTGATCCTTTCATAGCGTATTTGTCCAGGAATGCATCTTGCCGGAAATTCTATTGTGAGGATAGGCATGATTATTTCTAATCTCTATGCTTACGTCCAATTGGGGCCACATGTAACAGGCATTGAACACAATGAATTTCCTCTGGGCTTTCAATCTCACGCCGGCGAAAGATTCCAAAACCGGAGAAGTGATTCCTGTTGATCTCAATGAAACGACAGACGTGAGGAGACCGTTTTTATTGATTCGCACTTGAACGCTGACATGAGCCGTTTATAGGGCATTCTGTTGATCCCAAAGCCGTTCAAGTGCGGAATTCAACCGCGATCTGAAGCAAAGGCAGAGATGATACGAGCCCAATTCAAGGCTGCCCACTCTGTGTTTGAACTGTTTGAACAAGATGTCTCAATTTCCGCAAAATGAAGCGGCTTCTGAATTGCTAGGAATAACATGCTTTTGTCTATAGCCTCTGCATGACTATGTCCCAATCGTGGTGCGTTCTCAGTCGGCGAGCTGAATAGATATACTAGACTAGTTCCCGGCCTCGTTTGAAGCAATGGTGTCTGTTATAACAAGTGAGTACAACTGTAATATATTACTCGCTAAGCGACTACATCTTTCACTCCTCAAGCATTTTCCTCCTTTCACAGCTAGTATTATGGTCATCATGAAGGTAGACGGCTGAACCTTGACTGCTGATGTCTAATTTACTCGCAGTGAACGTCAATGTTTCGCTATTGTTGAACATGTACAGCGGCCCCGTCGCATCTGAAATGAGAAGCGGCGAGATTCTACTAATACTATGGTGAAACTCCGTGGCACCTGAATCTTCTCCGCCGGAGGCTTTCCACATCAATGGAGTTTATTCAGGAACAGATAACTTTGAGAGACTAGAAAGGTACGATCGTCAACACAGGTACCCTCGCCCAGCAGACAGCAGAGTGCTTTCTCTGTTCCAGTGCATTTGGGCTTGAGACCTCAATTGCAAACGACTAGGCCGATGATCTTTCTCTTTCAATAATTCAACCTGCTTTCAAGTTGATGATTCGTTGACATCGTTCCATGTAGGATTTGACCACAATAACCTTCCTCTGACCATTCAATTTTGCTAGAACCTCATAACCTACACCATGTCTCGCAGCGACTTGAAGCTGACCCTAATTCCTGCTCGGGAGACGTTGAAGGACAAGTTGAAGTTAGGGCATCTTGGCAGTTTCACCAGACTCAAATAGGCGGTGCATCAATTGCGTGGCTTTCGGTACGCTAGCTACTTAGAATGACTCAACTTTGTCCAGATTTAAGTTGCTCACTCCTGATCTTTTAGGTGTGCCCCTTCCCCATGTCGGCTTCCCGTGACGTGTCAGTGAATGTACAGAACTGCGCTAGTATGGTACGATACATTACTAGATCCACTTGTTGATGGCCAGTTTCTCACGTGCATTGCTTAGGCTGCGCTGCTTGTCCAGCTAAGTTCTACAAGTATGAAATTCCTGCATGCCCTCCTCCCTTGCGAGCTTGGCGTGAGTCAACTGTGGCATATTCTATCACGTCATCAGCCAGTGGCGTTTACAGGGTCAAAGGAATGGACATATATATGCCCAATATGCTTCTTCGTCCTATTCAATCCCTTTCTTGCGCTACTCTGTGTCCATAACTACAATGAATTTGCCTCTGCTTTCTGCTGTGCTGGTTCTGTGTCTCGTGTGGGTCTTCAATCAATTACGTAGGGTAGGCTCGAGGGAACATGGCCTCCCTCCTGGACCTCCTACCATTCCCCTCCTTGGAAACTTGCACATTTTTCCAACATCGTTCGCTCATGAGAAGTCCGTTCGTTCATTCTTCGTTGATATTTTGCTGATACGAGCCCATAGGTTCACTGAATGGGCGAAGACCTATGGCGGTATCTATTCGGTGCGTGTAGTACTTGGTGGGGCCCTTGGTCGCGATATTGAAAGGTATACGTGTACTGCAAGCTCAAACTGGCTTCTATGACTGCAGTGGTCATATCTGATCCCAAGCTACTCCGAGAATGTCTGGATTTGCAAGGCAGATTGACTTCTGACCGCCCTCCAATGTATGCTGCCGAGTTAATCTGGGAAGATGAAGAGCTTGTTATGACTCGATCTGGTCTGTTTATCTTCTCCATTGGGTAATTCAATCATTACGAGAGTTCATGATAGGTCCGCTGTGGAAGACCATGCGTCGTGCGGCGCATGACATCTTATCGCGAGATGCTTGCATGAAGCACTTACCGATACAGCGTGCTGAAGCCGTAAAGCTCATGTATGATCTCTTGGAACGACCAAAGGTATGTGAAAATTAACATTACACCATAGAGATGATGACCTGACAACCGTAAGCAATTCTATACCCATGTCTTCCGTTATGCTGCCTCAGTTATCCACTCGATGGTCTTTGGGATACACTGTCCTGAATTCGACAACAGCTTTCTCCAAGATTTCATATCTTCAATGGACATGGCCGTCAATTTAATCAAGCCGGGTGGACTGCCCCCAGTTGAGCTTATCCCTGCCTTGAAATATATTCCGGAGCGTTGGGCTCCATGGAAGCAACTTTGTAAAGAGGCACGTGGTCTACAGCGTAGGCTATGCTTTGGCTTGCTAGATGTTACTATCAACCGCATCAAAGATGGCAGGCGTACGGATTGCTTCATGGAATACTTACTGGACCATCAAGAACAATACGGTTTGGACTATGAAATATCAGCGTGCGTTCTTTACATACATGTCAATAACTTCGAGTTAAACATTTCCATTTCAGATATCTCGGCGGGTCCCTGCTGCAAGCTGGATCATTCACTACAACTGCCTATTTGCGGTTCTTCATTGCATGTATCACTACGGCTCCTGATGTCCTGGGACGAGCACAGGCGGAGATTGATCATATAGTGGGTCCTGATAAGCTACCAGAACTTGATGATCTGGAGAACCTGCCATACTTAAGGGCAGTTATCAATGAAGTGAGTGATCGACATACAGTCATTGAGCATTTAAATTAGAGAATAGTACTAGGTCCACCGGTTCCGGCCTATTGCACCAATTGCTGTTCCTCATGCCTCCACCACTGACGTACGGGTGAGTGTAGGATGCCCATTCATTTTGGCTTCCTTACATGACGATGGATCAGGTTGGCGAGTATATTATCCCCAAAGGATGCACCATCTTTATGAATACCTGTGAGCATGAGAACGAGAATTCATTGTTGTGCGGCTGACTGGTACTCAGGGGGCATTCACCACAATGAAGACTGTTTTTACACTCCGGAAGTATTCGATCCTGAAAGATACCTGCATTCGGAGTTTGGTACAAAGGCCGGTGTTGACACCACTGAATATCGAAATGACTTCATATTCGGAGCAGGACGAGTAAGTTTACTCCAGTACCGACGGCCGAAGCTGACAATGTGCACATAGCGAATTTGTCCCGGCTCATTGCTCGCATCAAATTCCATTGTGAGTCGTTTGCACCATCGTAACGACTATATGCCCTGATTATAAAATGTCAGGCCTTGAATGTCATGTACATGATCTGGGCTTTCAACTTCACGCCAACAAGAGACCCTATCAGTGGAGAACTGAAGCATATCGACTTAGGAAACATCATGGATGTGAGCAGAATACCGTGTGCTTAAATTGTGAATGTGCTCACCCCAGACAGGGAGTCGTCTTAGTCCCGAAGCCCTTCGAATGTGAGATACGTCCACGCAGCGCAGCCAAAGCCAGTTTGATATGCAGGGAATACGTACTTGCAACAGATACATTCAAGCTTTTCGAGCATCACACTTCGGTAGATTGTTAAGGGGTAAGATTATTTTGATTCATTCCTGGCCTTGACTCGTGCCTTGCTTAGAGGGGTCTCTGTATTGATCGGTTGAAGAGATTGAATGTAACACTTTGTTTCCTTCGAATAGTACATGTATATCTTCTGTAGCGTAACTGAAAGTATATCGTTGCACTTGAGCGGTAGACCATCATGATGGGCATCTTCCCAAGCACAATGTATACAATATCATGCACTCTCCCTTAGCATCTAGTTACTTTGACATGAAAGTACCGCGACAATTATCCTTGATCCGATAATGCTTTATCAAGCAATCGGACAGTATCGTCTTCTCTAAATCGTCAAATGTTGGTTGTACGAGATCATAGGCCTCGCTCTTTGGACCTCGTTTGGAAATCATTTTGCAGGGACAACAGGTCAACCAAATCAAGAAAGATACATTTCGATGATTGAAAGTGTACATCGCACCACACCACCCTTCCTCAGTTTCTGAAATGGTCCTCAATGAGAAGTCTTTCGATCCGCAAGACCACCTATCTTGTGCATCAATGAGGACTTCGTTCGTCCAATTTATACAAGGACTTACAATAGTCACCAGCGACTGCAAATTCAACCAATACGAGACGGCGTGCAGCAGCCTGAGGCAGGAAAGCATGTAGTACATTCTCCAGTTGTTCAGCATTCGCCTTGTCCCATTCATTGAAGACAAAGACAATGGACTAACTAAAGATAGGGCGCAAGAGAATAGCATCCACGGCCTCTAGTTCTGACTTGAGTGGCAACTTGCCGAAACACCGCATGACTATTCGACAAAGCTGAGACGAAGGTAACTTCGTCAAGAAGGACGACAGTTGATTTAAGTGTTCGACGGGTATGCCATCTGAGGAAAGTTAGAGATTATAAGGCTTGACATTACTCTAAGCCACTGAGATCTACGACAGACGTCAGTCAGTCTATCATCTCGTCTTGAGGGGTGTCAAAGCTCACCCGAATTATCCACGCTGCATCGAAGAGTAGTACTCAGACTGACGCGAAGATGTCGAAGCGTTCGGCCTGCCTTGGCTAGGATATAGTTTAAGATAACGCTAGCTGAAGCAGGGAGGCGTGTCAGCTCCAACACTTCCAGTGACTCGATGGATATGGACATGAGGAGCATTTTGGCACTGAGAACGCCCTGCGCTATCGTGAATGGCATATTGAAAACTGCTGTACTGATCTCCATATCGAGGGCGAATCGTTGTAGCTTGCATTTCGTTGCAATGGATGGTTTGGCGGGATCTGAGAGAGTTGGTAGCGAGATACGATCAAGTGATAAATCTCCGACGGATGACTCAGAGAGATTCGAAAATTTGTCTATTTCCAGGAGGAGATCATGAATGCTCTCAAACTGACACTGGGTGAACTTGAGCGTTTCCACGCGATGAGCGAGACCTGCAAGCGAGCGTGGATCTTGCCTGAAAAAGGTGCAGTTGTGAAACTCAAGTGGTTTGACTCCGTTCCAGTCGAATGTTTTTAGGAGTACAGCCACATTAGCACCGATGGAGGTTACAACTATCCGACGAAGATATTTTCGCAGAAGGGAGGAATTGTAGTATCAAAGAGGATACGCCCCGTAGCCTTCCTTAAGTACTACGCTTCCATGTAGATGGTATTGGCAGCGATACAGCCAATCGCGGGAGACTAGGGAGCAATGCATAAGCGTCGCTCGACCGTGCTGTAATTCGTCAATAATCTCTTCCACCAACTCTTGCGGTAGGCTGGACATCTGTCTACAGAAATGGAATGTATGAACTGAGCACCCTGTAACGGATAAAGTGACGTACGATTTGTTGTTAACCGGTTCTTATAGTCTCAGTATGAACGGGCCTCGACTGTAACGTCTCCAAGGTCCAAGCTTAGGTCAATAGTAGTACTACTTGGTAGTTCCGTTGAAGACAAGATATACGACAAAACACAGAGGTAAGGGCGATATCTTACTTATTGCTAGAAATGTTCTCTTTCAGAGAAGATCCCTGAGATTGACAACTACCAACAGCCACGGTGGTCGTAAATAAGGGGAGACCTGTCAGTGTCAAAGCGACACTGCCGTCAAGCGTATTGAGGTATGACATCTAATCTTATCTACGCGAAAAGTATTGACCCACTGCATGCTCCGACGGCGAACCGTTGCTAAGAATAGCCATTTCTCTGTTCAGCACACGACGATGATGTTTCCACCAATTGCTTTCTTTCAGGATTGCTGGAGTTGTAAGTTCAAGCACGATATCTGACTAGTCGTTCAACACGATCTTGTAGCTAATTTTATAAGCGTGATACGTTGCACAGTGCAGTTATACTATAGAACTATAGAATCCGTACGTGCGTACCTACGGATCCCTCTTACAACGTGTATAGCCTGACGCGCCCTGATCCGTTTGTAGTATATACCTCTGTGGTGCTTGTTTTGCATCTGTAAGCATTGTCAAGTAGCCACCTTGCATTTTCGGCCGCGTGGGAGTACACGGACGCTGCGTATAAATACTCGCAATAGTGATCTTCAGCCCAGCGGCAACCAGCAATGTCTCTCACTGACCGAGAGGCAAATCCTCAGAATGAACCACCGTCGAGAGCCGACTCCATGACTTTGGCTATAGCAGAGCCTGTTCAGCGGATGACAAACCACGATCCTCCTGAAGACGAAATTCACGAAAAGATCAGCACGAAGGACTTCGGTATTATACCCATCCCAAAACGATTGCAGCATGACCCCAAAAATCCTCACCAATGGACGCTACTTCTCAATATCGTATTTGGACTTTCCAGTACTTTCAGTATGTTACCTATCTTGGGCGTAGAATTCGTGGAACTGATTGTTTACTGCACATGCGAACAGTTGTGTCAAACTTGTACTACTGCCAACCACTTCTAAGTATGCGCCATTTCTTTTGGCGTTGCCATTGAGTTTTTGTTACTAATGATTTCTCAGTACAACTTGCGGAGTCCTTCGAAGTCTCGCACGATGAGGTGTCTCGTATTCCGACCCTCGTACAAACAGGGTGTGTATCGAGATGGCATTTGAAGTTGATCTCGGGACTTATACATCCTTGCACAGGTACGCTGTCGGCCTCCTGTTCATTTCTCCCTTGGGTGACTTGGTTCCACGTCGTTCACTAATTCTACTTCTCACTGCTGGGGCTGCGTCACTCTCCATTGGTCTACCGTTAACACAGTCGGTCACTACCTTTGAAGTACTCGAATTCCTCGTTGGAATATTTACCGTCGTACCACAAATTCTCATGCCTCTTGCGGCAGACTTAGCGCCTCCTCACAGGCGTGCATCGGCCCTCTCGATCGTTTTGGCCGGATTGCTTCTGGGCATTCTTATCGCCAGAGTATTGGCTGGCATCGTAGCCCAATTTGTCAGTTGGCGGGTCGTATATTGGATAGCAGTTGGCGTGCAATGGCTAGTCTTGATCATGATGTGGGCTACGATACCAGATTACCCCAGGCGAAACAAGGATTTGACATACCCTCAAGTCTTCGTTACAATGGGGAAGTTTCTGATAACGGAGCCAGTATTAGTTCAAGCGGTGCTCATCAATATAGCTAGTATGGGGACATTCACCAATTTCTGGGTAAGAGCTTTCCTTCTCCTGCTGTCCGCTACTATGCTTATATTCGTGCCGCAGGTCACTCTTACGTTCCTCCTTGGCGGGCCGCCATACAACTTCTCTACGTGAGCGAGCTATTGATCACAAGTTTAATAGTCTGACCCTATTTTTCAGTCTCGGGATCGGACTTTTTGGTCTCATTGGAATCGCGGGAGTTTGCTGCGCTCCATTTACTGGTCGTCTGGTAGACACGCTACATCCATACTTTTCGGTTCTCATCTCTACAATCCTTCTCCTCATCGTTTGGGCGATCGAGACAGGCGCAGGAGGCATCACTGTCGCTGCCGTGGTCATCACCTGCTTCGGAATTGACGTCTTTCGGCAAATGCAGCAAGTTAGCTTGACTAATTGGGTGTTCGGACTGGAGACTGATGCGAGGGCGCGACTGAATGCAATATTGCTGATTTCGGTAGACCCCTTCACATGGATACATTCAATGGCCGGAACTGATCGAAGTTTTCTTAGCTCTTCATTGGTCAGGTAATGGGCACTTCCGTCGGTTCTCTCGTATTCGTCAACCACGGGTGGAGACCAGCAGCGGGTCTGGGCCTCGGTTGGGAAGGATTTTGCTTACTCGTGCTTCTGGCTAGAGGTCCTAATGCTGGACGCTACACATGGATTGGATGGGAAGGTGGTTGGCGTAGGCTGCGGAGGCCGTCTAACACAACAGGGCCCGAAGACCTCGAACAGGCCAGCAACGGCATCGGTAAGGAGAACCCTGTAGAAGTCGATGAAAAGAAAGAGACAGTCGTTGATTCACATCAGGTCGATTCGAAGGGCCCAGAAAAGCAGGAATATTCACGAGGATAATTAATCCAAACCACCCCATTGTTAGCCGTGGTCGACTCGGAGGTTGGCGAGCGAGAAAGTCTGAGCCACTAGAGTTGCGTAGGACAGTCACGTCGCGAACGTTGACATTTCTTTAATCATGATATTTACGATGTATACCGATAGATGCAGACTAAGGAAATCACTCTGGAGCCTTTAAGAAATAAGTACGCCAACCTTTGTCCGGGCGAGCCGTACTGTGTGGGCGCTTCTCTTCGATCACTGTTTGAACTTTGAATGCAAATGAAGTTCAGTACCGTGATACTCGTAGTGCGCTCTTGAGTCTTGGTTCTACCACCATATTGTCCTCTAGCATCTGGCCAGTGATTTGATTTGATTCTTGTCTTGCACCTTTACTCTTTACATCAAGTCCATTACTATATGTCTTTCTTCTAATAGTCGCTCAATTTCAAGATGACCGTGAAACTATTCAACCCGTCTACGATCCAGCGGCCAAAACTGCTGTTCAAAGCCATGAGGTAGAGACATGGAGATACGTTTCTGCAGTAATTTTTGCCTACAAGATTGACCCCCCGCATTCTAGCAAAGCACGCCACGCTAATACGGAGGTTATTCGTGCTGCGCTTACAAGCGGATTTCAAGGTGTTGACATCTGTTCGTATCCAAGTTCAAGAATGACTGACATGACTTATCTGACTCCTTCACGATAGCGTGCTTCAGTTTGTGGTATGTGGTTTCATACACTCGATAGTTCCACACACCGAGTCTTTGTTAGGGAAAAGCGCGTAGCAGAGAGCATAAGGATGCTTGAAAGACGTCATGGTTATTCTAAGGGAGAATTTTATTTGCAGTCGAAGTGAGTACCGTTCTCAGATAATGTATTATTGTGGCCAGAATTCATTCATTAACCAGGTTTGTTCCATCCATTCATCAACCTTCTCCATTTCCCTTCACATATGATCCAATGGCAAGCATCGATGCACAAATACGGGATGCATTTTCGCACACTTTGAAGTTCTTTCGGGTTGACAGCATCGACTCATATCTCCTTTACTTGCCTTTGGAGCGAAATTCTCGCACCATATCCGCGTGGAAGACTCTTGCAGAACTTCAAGATGAAGGAAAGATTGGGCGTATCGGTGTCTGCATAGAACGTCCTAAAGAGGTGGATGCCCAAGTCATTCTTGACATGCTGGAACAAGAAGGCGGAAGAAAAGCACAAGTCCTCCAGCATCTATGGCCGTCTAGCAAGGTAGTCAAATATTGTCACGACAACAACATATCATTGCAGTAAGTCAACTACTTTTATAATTGTAATAACTGTGCAGAGGTTTACCATTGTTGTCGTAGGCGATTGCATGAAAGTCAATTCATCATCGTGCCAGGTCGTCCGGCACATCATGCGTTACGAATACTTGCGAAGCGAAAGGATTGGACTTTTCTTCAAGCTCGCCTTCTGTTATCCATAGCGAATGGGTCAACGCCCGTCGTAGCCATGCAAGAATTAGACCGCATTAAAGAAGCTGGGCAGGCCATCAGCATAAATCTAGATGGCGAAGACGAAAAGGAACTAAGACGAATTAGTACCTTACCTGGATTGGTTTAGTCACCCATGGTCTTCTCTCGGACACCACAGAGCGTTGACGAGCCTATGTGACGCCTGGAGAATGCCTCAACCAACCTGCTTCGTCCTTGACCTCGTCGACTTCGACTTCCAAATCTTGGACAGCTGTGACCAAGTCAACAGGACATACAGACAGCATGGTTAAGGTGAGCCTTCAGAGGCTGTGGGAAGCCGCATTCCATGTCTTGCAAGGCTCAGGGAGTCTCGAATGTTTTACCAGCGGCGATCGAGGAGGTCATTTGCATACCAGATGTAGTTCTTCATGTGGCACAAGTTACTGGATTGAATGTAGCCTCAATGCTCATGTTGATCTCATGAGATGTTTGAAGATATCCTTCAGCTCCTTACAATGGCTAACGATAGCAGGTTGTCCCAAGGGAAGGCTCTTCTTTGCTTGATAGCGTACAGCAACTAGCCCAACATACATTGCTCTACAGCATGACGATATGGAAACCTAACGCATATCCGTAGAGACTGACTCAGTAGAGAATAAACTTTACACAACGCTTCCAATGAAACCCGACTGTATAGTGACAAGCCCACAATCCCGTATGAACTGGACACCGTTGAGTCTATCTGAACCTCTAAGCTATTGTGCTCGTCACGATGCTTGGGAACGACGATACAACACCACTGCTGGCGGGGACCGACACAACGGAAAGAACGACTCCACTTCTAACCGGAACAGACACTACGGAGGAGACTAAACCGCTGCTGACTGGGACGGATGCAATGGACGATACGACGAGGTCGTTGAGGAGGGCCAAGGATAGTTACGCAGGCATTGCAGTAGCGATTTTAGCCAGAACCGCGAGTGTAGCAAAGGCGAGAGTGAACTGCATTGTAAGAAGAGAGAATGGACGAAGATCACTAGTGAGGTAGATTTGTTTTGATGTTTCAGCAGAGTTGGCCTGTATACTTTATATATGTTGCAGAAGTGCACCGAACAGCAGTTGATCATATGGCGATATGCCGACCCGGACAATCTGTGAGCAGAACAGCGTATGCTAGCCGTATGTATGTGCATTGAGTTTGAAGGCATCTATGGATAGCTTAGCTACCCGTAGAAATGTTGTATAGCAGATGCCCTCATGGACATGACAACGTCAGATGCGGTTTGAAAACGCCGTGGGTAAAACCACTGAGAAGCTCCATGGCAGTGTGAAGCTCCAAAACCGGGGTTGACAGTAAGTTGATCAGCGAGCTTGCCTGTAGCAAGACTGGCAATATAAAATACCATTGCTTTCTCTGTGGAAAAATAAAATAAGAGAGTTCGAAAAACATATCAATGGAAGATTCGGACTAACAAATAGGAAGAGCGATATACGAAATGGTTGGTGGTACCGCTACTGGGGAGGTGATGTTGCGCTGACCTGTTAACGGCTGCAAGATCTTAACGCAATGTGGTGATCCTGTCCCTATGAATACAGAGATCCATCCCACTGGCACGTGTCAACCAAAGCCAAAAATGACTCCTAAAGGCGGGGCGGGGTCACCATCTCACTAACGTTTTTGGCCTTCTTACGGGAGATCAACCTCTTCCAGAAGTGCATGTGTGGTCATAAACGTACCTGCCAGTAGTCATATGCAAATCGTGCCGATATGGAGCCCGACACGGACCTGATATACAAATATCTTCGTAGAACACTAGAAAACTTGACAGGTAGAGATGCCCGCTCTAGGGCTCGCCGCGTCCTAGCAAGCTCTGGCGGGGGAATCCTATGGTCGAAGTAAGTACGTAGGACAACAATTCTAGGCGCTATTTCCGTGGTTCCTGTATAACACCCCTTCATTCTGTAGCCAACACCTGCAACAACATGCTCAAAAACTGGGTGATTAGCCTGGATGTCTACTTGGCCTCTCACCTTGTAGAAGAGTGTCAACGCTAGCCTTGGTCGGACGACCTTCGTGAATTGTTCGTGAACAGCTTGAACTTAGCGGGAAGAACGGGCCGCAATCATCCAGCGTCAGTGAGTGTTTCAAGTAAAAGAGTTGGGAAAGATGAAGTTCCGTAAGTACCGTTACATGGTCAGCTACGTCCATGTCCACAAATCCGTCTCATATTCTCATCGCCCGTAACTCACGAGGACCTCATTCTAGTCCTTCCGCAGCACTCTCATCGCCCACTGAAACCCATGCCGCTGCGGCAGGCATATTCCGTTCGGCTGCTAATAGCACAATGCGATCAAACTCTCCACCATGGTATCTCGAAGAATGTGAAACTGACGACGAGGACTTGGTCTCAGATATGAGCACGGACGGCGATGATAATGATCCTATTGACCTCGATGAGACCTTCACCAGGAACTGCAAGTTTCCAGGCTCGGTAAAGATTGTAGTTGAGAGTACAACGTTCTGGTGAGCAGCAGCACGATGGCTATATTACGTCTGAAAGAGAGTCACGCTGAACATTACGTCCTTATTGAAAGGGCACATAAGGAAGTCCTCTACTTTGCTTCTCCATTCTTTCAGGCGGCTTTGAGTGGTCACTGGGCTGAGACCAGCTCAGGATCTAGTAACAGGCCGCAATCCATGTCATCAGTTGTTACCATCTCTCAGTCGCCATCGGCTATGCCTGGTGAGGCACCACATCCGGAAGGTCCTACTGAGATGACCTTTGCGCGAATGGAGAATGAGCCAGGAGATGGCGAGGCCAGTGCGAGCGAAAGCGAGTTTAGTGATGTCGGCGGCTCAAATGATCGTGACGTAGAAGCGCGAAAGAAAAGCCTTGACAGGTTGCGGAACTCTGCATCTCCGACAACAGAACGCAAGAGCGTTGAGTTAGATAAGGCTGGGCGGCGAAAGTTGGTTCCCCTGGATACCGATGTTGCGAAACCCAAGGAACAAAGAGCACAGGCTAAGGTGAAACGAAAACCGCATACTAATGGACCCGATGCAGTTATTGTGCTGAAGGAAGAAAAGGTACCGTTCTGCGCACTCTACCTTCGGATGAAATTCAGAGGTATCCTTTAACAGGCGAGCGGCTTCCATGATTTCCTGAAATTCGTTTATCCCCACCTCACTTGTACGATCACTTGGAACAATGTGGAATCCCTCATGAACATCTCTCACAAGCTCTCTGTTCCTTCCCTCCAACGAGAATGTCGCACATTCTTATTAACACACGCTGCCGGTCGTCCTATCAAAGCTATGCGAATTGCGGAGCTCTTCGAGGAGGAAGAACTATATCGTGAAGCCAGCCGGTTCGTATTGGATAACCCCGGCGGATGGACAGATAGTGAGATGAGCAGCTTGAGTCATGAGACGCTCCTTAAACTAGAGAAGAGGTAGGTTCCTAGGTGATCACCTGCTCTGCACAATGCTTATTTATGACAAGGCGAACGTGGTTCTTGGAACGGGTACTGAAACTTGGACTTGTTCAAATGGCAAAAGAGTATCAATGTGTGAGTTATTTCGTGCACTTGATTGAAATTTCTCTGTTCTCATAAAGTCCAGTGTCCAACTTGTCCGGATCCTGCAACTTGTGCTCGCTTGCTGGACGAGAAGTGGCGCCTTTCATACCACGCTATGTTCCGATTTGGTACGTCGTATGTTTTGACCGACAAGCAAGGTAGGCGATTCACAGTGCTTCATGTAGGTCCCTGCCAACCGTCAATGGTGTTCCGTTACCTTCGAATGCTTGAAGGAGTAAGCCCTCCTTTGCAACTTACGCATCTCAGTTGTCAAGCTACAGCAAAGGCATTTGCTGCTACATGTATGTCATACATCTCACTGTCATAGGACTTATAAAATCTGACTCTGACCTCATCCTTTCGCAGTGTTTGATCGGATGTTCAGTCTGGGAATGCGAGGCAATGACCCAGAATCAGCACCGATAGGCACACGCGTGGCTAGTGCCGTTGCAGGTGCTACACCCGGTCCTCGGAGACATTTCCTTTATTGCACGTTGAACTCGGAACATCAGAGGTCTAAGAAGGCGCGAGATGTATGAACTTTGGATTGCTGGATTTTTCTTCGCCTTTGGGTTCTTTTGCTATGTATATTTATCTGCTTTGCTTTCTTGTGCATGCATCGCCACATCTCGTTTCACTCACCTTTCCGCGTTCATTGTTTACTTGCTCATCCGGAATCTGATTATTCGAGATCACGAGCATCAACGTACCTTATACGAAATCTGTGTATCGTGAGTTGGGAAGGGTGCTAGGAGACGGAACAATCGGTTGCACCGAAAACCAATCTTTTTAGACTGAAGGTCTAGCGCTAAGTACCAAAGCCGGATATCTGGCATTCTCTTGACTACGGTCCTTCTGGTCCTAAACAATGCCATAAAACCGCGCATTTGCTCTTCTTTATCAGGATTCTCCGTTGTACTCTTCTCCAGAAGATTGAATACGTGAATTAATATCCTTTAGGATACCCTAAATGATTCTTGTCTTGGTACAAATGTCTGTTACTGCTCTGTCGGGATTGATCGAGCTAACATACATTGAAACACCCCCCCGTCCGTATACAGGGAGACAGCATATTGAACTACAGAGACGTCCGGTGCTCTAGAGCCATCGTAGATTAGAGGCGCGTTTTGAAGCTGCTCCTTCAATCCCCGGGAGTCAAAAATGTCCGAGTCTGACACTACAATTCAAGGTGCAAGGTCTGCAAGAAAAGCCATATAACGCTAATGATTCACGCACCCGCTTATGCGCAGAACAGATCAAAAGTAGCCTTTGCGTTCGCAAACTGGTTCCGTATCATCTCAGCCTTTCTGTTACTTCGAGGTACAATGTTACACTGAAACGGTTCTGGGCTCAAAAGCAAATTCTAGAGAATATCAGCAATAAATTATTTAGGTACTACCAGCACAAGCAGACTTACATCAGTGACGTGATGTGGGTCAACTGGAATGGGTCGACCAGTGTTAGGGTCTTTAGCCGCATTGAATTCGAATGCCCATAGGAGGTTCATGGCATTAAGTGCCTGAGTCGAAGCGTTGATACTATTTGCAAACCTAGATGATTCAGTAGAACGCACAATAGAGTTGGAAGCGAGGTGCATGTCAGGGAAAATCCGCTATATAAAAGGTCAACAACTTGACGAAATTGATAATTCAATTGTCAAACTGACCCTTCCACCGCCGAATATATAATCACTCCTTAAGCCCGTGAGATTGACACCGGGTTTCATACCGTACGGCGATTGAAGATATCGCTCGGGATTGAACCAGTCAGGATCTTCGAAGTATTCTTCGTTACGGTAGAGGCCCCCTTCACGAGGTTCAAGGTACATAAACGTCCAGCGGAAGACTGAAGTGAAAGCTTACATATATTAATGAAGATTGTAGTTCCCTTCGGGATAATGTAGTCGTCAATCTGAGAAAAACACGTTGTGAAATCACCCGGAGTGAACCGGATAGTGAAGGGCACACACATGTTCATCTGCCATAGGCGCATGCGGAAGGCCTGTTGGAGTGACAGGACAGAAACGGTGTATCTATAGTGGCTTGTCATTACATGTAACCTCCCGGAAATGCTCACCTCGTTGATCAGAGCTCTTAGGTACGGCAAATTCTCGATATCATCTTGTTGGGGTGTTCGGTTGAGGCCGATCACGTCGTCTATTTCCTTGCGTGTTCGAGCTTGCACCTCAGGGTATGCTAACATACAAGCAACGAAGAATTGCAGAAACATGGCAGTGGTGTCTATCCCAGCTTCAATGAGCGTCCCGCCAATGTATCTGTAACAAAACAGAATATCAGTATCTCTCATACAAGACACTGAAAGGAAATCCACATGCGCAGTCTGTTCACGGTCCAAGTTATAGCGATCTTGGTTGTCCAATATATACTCCATGAAGCAATCATTGCGCTTATCATTTATCATGCAATTTTGACACGTATCGAGTAATGAGAAGAGGAACTTGAGTTGCTTGGCGCGTAGATGTCTGCAGCGGGCTTTCCACGGCGCCACACACTCAGGAAGGTGCTTCAGAATCGGGATGATATCTACTGGTGGGACGCCGCCAGGCTTCACGAGCTGTTGGAACTCATCGGTAATGCAGCGAAGTTCATCCACTAATGAATCATGATATTATGGGCAATGGATCCCGTACACTACAGAGACAATCACAGAGGCCGTGTAGCGGTAAATGTGGGTGTAGAACAACTAGAAAAAGCGAGCTGATCAGCGTGATGGAAAGTACATGAAGTTGAAAGAACAGACCTCTGGGCTCTCTAGAAAGTCAAACATTAATTGACTAGCTTCCGCATGTTGGATGGGGAGGTGCCTCATGCAGGCCTGTTGTGACAAAATGTCATGCGCGGCCCAACGCACACCCCCCAGGCCAGCCCTGCCAGCTGCACGAAGAAGAATAGGATTCATTTGGAAGGATACCAACCATATTGTGTCAGTGTGAATTCCATATTGTTTGCGACCAATTCAATGACATGAAGCAAGGGTCGACTGGCTGTGGCAGCACCTTTCACATCAATGCAGTCACGGACCATCCTTGGACTGGAAAGGACTACGATGTTGGCCGAACCGGCTTTGGGCTAGACATCGACACTGTCAGCAACATGGAAGATACAACTGAGTGTGGCGCACCGAGTAGATCTCTCCATACACCTTCGCCCATTCGGTGAATCTAGTGCCGAACAAAATCAGTGTATGTAAACTTAGGGAAAGAGGAGAATGCAACTTCAGATACGTGCGAGTCTTCGGAAAGGGATGGAGATTGCCAAGAAGTGGAAGCGTCGGAGGGCCAGGGGGAAGGCCACATTGTCTACAACGGATTATTATCCAGGCAAGAAAAGCAAGTGCGAGATGAGTAGAAATATTGATAGACATTAGTGCTAAGTGAGCAAAGCTCTGCTCCCGGCAATAAGTGAAGGTTGGTCGGGAAACTGGGTATGAACAGCCCAATCACCGCATGCAAGCACAAGCTTTATACGTTCAAGAACTGTACATCAAGCGCTGAACAGACAACCCAGTCAATGGCGTCTGCGAGTTGAGATTGAGCAATCTTTTGACTCAGTTTTCGACCATGTTGCCGAAACGACTGCTTACTGTGAACTAACTGACGTGAGTTATGATCATGAGCCCGCAAATGAACACATTAACAATTTCATAGAAACCGTACCTCCGAGAATAGGACCATGGATATTATCATTTCACATTGGACTGTCTGTACTGGAAGCCGTTCCATAGGGGTTTAGGATAAAAAATAGCTGAAACGACCAAGGACGCGTGCTGGCCAAGGAGGCGTCAAGGGACGAGCGTTACCACAATGGAGAACATTGCATACCTTGACAGCGTTTTGCAAATGCCCGTGAAAATCGCTAGAACTCTTCCGCTATTTGTCCGGCTTTGATCCAACCAAATAGCTGAGCGACGTTTGTTACGTGGTGCCAGTGCACGACTGTATGTCACCTTGAATCCTAGCGGGGACTCGCGACCGTGACTTCTTTAATCCACTGCGCTTGAAGCTCGAGGCTCGAGGAGTCTGAAGAGCATTGCTCTCCACGTTCTGGTGGTCTACCCCGGACATCTTCCGGTACATTTCTGCATAAGACAACGCGCAGTCTTTGCCGTCCCCACATTGTTCGACCGTCGTCGAGGTATCAGAACATCATACATCCCTTCAAGTCCTTCAAGAGTGCTCGTGGCATGATTGTCATGGTGAATTGTAAGCAGCTCGTGAACATTTGAGCCTTTGCATCGGTATTTACTTTGGCAGTCTCGCAACGAAGTTGTGTGAAACAAACTGGGTCAAACAAAAGGAAAACCGTCAGCGGCGTTCATGGAATTATGCAAAGCACTGCAATCTACAAACGGGGGGTTTACTTTCCAGATTGTTATGCTTAAGCTATAGTAGGACGCCGTTGCTGCTCAGTGCGTGCAATGCTCGATCATCGTTGTGAATAGGCTGCAGATTGCCGAGGATGATCGAGGACCGGATATGGAAATATATTCACAGCACGAGACCCTTGCTCTTTGCGCGTTCTTGCTGGTTGGTTGTCCTCTTTTGTTATCCTGCGACGTGTTTTTGCTTGGGGGAAAAGCAAAGGGCTAGGAGCGTCCCCCTTGCCGCGCACCCGACTATCGCAGTGAGAGCAGCACATGATATCACTGCAAACCTTGAGTAAACCGGGAGTCCTTATATATTTGCTCTCCTCGGACTTGGGTTGAAGGCTCAAGATCTCGCGAAACACGTCCCATTTAAGGAATAAACGTCATTATGAAAAACAATCGTATTACCGACGACGACATCCAGACTTATTGCGGAACTGGGACCGGAACGTCCATCTTATCATCCACATTCAAGGCCTCCACGAATCGAGAAACAAGGTTGTACACCCCCACCGTCGCTACGGCATCGACCATCTGCTGATTGTTCAAGAACTTCTTCAAACCATCAAACACCGGTTGAGGCACGTTCACGTTCTTTGTCATGAAATCGGCGAGGAGCATGGCAGCGTTTTGCGAGCTATTGAGAGGTGTAGAAGGAAGTGCTTGGTGGGCGAAAGCTGGTCGAAAACGAATCTCCCGCAGTTGAGCGGTGGTGAAGCCAACAGAGCGAGCAACTGATTCGTGTTGTAGCCAGACGTAAGCGGCGTCATTAAGGACTCCCGTGCGGAGGATCTATAGTTTAGCAGGACGTTAAGAATAGCGTCATGAGTACTACAGATAGCAAGAGAATGGCTGAAAGTTCCCACGACTCACAAATAGCTCTCGCATGTTGGCGGGAATAGCATTTTGGTCTCTGATCATACCAGCAAGGTCGCTCCAAGTCGAGGCGAGGTTTTGGTCATTGAGTCTGGAATACCCATGCCAAACTCCGTCAGAAATAGCCCGGACCGATTAGAATCGTGGCAGAGACGCACAGGACACCATCGAGGTCAAGCAAGGTGCCATTCGTTCTGCGAGAACGGATCATATCTGCAACCTATACAAAGGGAAGGGTAAGTCTACTCAACTTCACAAATCGTACGTGCAAAATTCAACGTACCTTATCGGTACCGGGAGCGGGGAAGACATAAGGAACTCTAGCGGGAAGGTTGTCATCACGTTCAACGTGCAACGTCGATTTTCCGCAAGTGAAAGGCAGAGCGACGAGGACGGCGAACACAGCAAAAGCAAAGGCAAACTTAACCGCCGTAGGCATAATAGCAGGCATGTTGCACTACGAGACAACGAGAGACAACCTGGGTAGGCAGTCAAACGGAGGGCACAGAAGTCAACGAGGAATCTTCGTCCGAGAAGGGCATCATGCTTATATATGAAGAATTCGCTCTTCGCATAAGAACTTTAGCACGTTTCCCATAACCCGTCGTGCGATGACCCATTGATGCAAATGGTTTCCGGCTTAAGTGTTCTCGAGAGCCATGTGAGAAGGGGAGGTTACGGCTCACACGCAGCCCTCGAGGCCTTCGAGATCCAATTAAACGTCATGCGTCTATCCAGAGCGAATCAAAAGAACGTGAATAAACTTCCACTTGAAGCAAAGTAGAAGCATCGAAAGATACGGATCCGGAGACCGTGGGGTACGAACATGCTGCGGGATACTTCGAAGCCTGAACATTGAGAAGCATTTGACTGTTGTCAGTGTATTAACGGGATATCTGAGTAACTTGGCAAGGGAATCTATTGTATGGACAACAAAGTACGAAATACTCCCGTCAAGATCTCCCTGCAAATGAGTGGTAAGATTCGGAGGGAAAAGTTCACTTGAAACTGCGGAACCTGACGACGAAGAATTGACGAGGGAACAAACAGCCTGATAATGAATCGCGATCACATGCTGCTTCCCAGCTGCAGACGCGACGCGACACGTCTACCGCGCATTTCAACATGGCGTTTTGATCTGCTCTTGTGGGTACATAGGAAAGAATACATGATCATCGTCGATAAGTGATGACTTTCCTCAGGAGATTGGGCACACATTGCTCTCAGCTCATCCGCCCACACCACCACGAGAAATAATGCTTTAACGAGAATCCGTAGTCGCGCTAGAGTTCGAGTTATTGAACCTTTTTCTCTAGCATTTTGCCAAGAGACAAGGAGGCTTTATGCTATCTATTATCTAAATACGCATCTAAGCAATTAGGGTATTCTGGTATCATTCCGATTCGAGATTGAGAGAAAGTAAAAGAACGTGACTGCCAGATCAGGCAGGGGTATAGACACGAAGGGAATTGATTTCCCAGTACGCTTCAGAGAAGGCCTCATTATTGTTGTTGACAACTGGAGACGCTCTATCGTTAACTAGGATACGAAAGTGAGAAGAAGAGTCAAGACCCACAGTCAACACAATTGCCCCCGCAGCCGCTGTTAGGATAAGCAGAACCAGCCCAATCGCCCTAAAATGCAACAAAACTTAGCGTCTGTGTCATTCCGCACAACTCTGTGACTTACGCAAAAAGTCAGATCAAACACCATGCTATGAGCGTCGAAGTGACTATCATAATCACAATTGTCTCCAAGCGGGAAACTAGCCTCTGGCCTGCCCCAACTAGGACTCGGCGTAAGATCTGAAGGTCCATCTTGCGAATCCGAATCACAGATTTCTGGAGGCACATTAGGATCGTTTCGCGACCAGAACCAAATTCTTATGCCATCTTCAGGGGTACGGGCCATGACGAACCATCCACCACCCTGGGCGTTGAAGGGGTTACCATAGGATGCAGGTTTGGCGAAGGAGGCACCACAACCTTGATTGTAGTTTACGGACGAATCGCAGTTTGTTGACGTGGAAAATCTGATAGTCATTGAGTTAGGTGGCTCTCAACAACGGGGGTAGCCTGATGCTGACCCGGTCTGATCTCGATTTTGTGGCATCGTACACGATGGGGTTGTGTGAAGTGAGGCAAGATTCGCTTGATTGAGGTTGACACCTATTGCAAGGGTGAATATCTTGGATAATAAACTCGCGTAATCCGTGGGACATACCTTCTACAATATCAATCTCACCTCCGTTAGGCCATGGGCCTTTATGACTCAAAGTCCAAAAGGCAGGCCAGGTGCCGCATCCCTCTGGCATGTGAGCAAGATCGAGGACTATGACAGAATCGGCGTAGGCATCGTATGATGAGATGCGAACGCTGTCACGCCCTCGAGCATCCTGCGGAACGGTAGAGAAAGAGTCTGCTCGCATGACGAACTTTGTATCCGAGGCTGAATTCATTTGTTAAGACATTTAGCCAGCAGTTACAAATGATTCCACATGCCATATGAGAGGTTATTCTTTTTTGCAATTTCTTGGTCAACATAATTCGTACGTCCGTGTGTAGGATCGTCGAAGGTCTCCCACTTCCAACGAGAGAAAAAGTCTTCGCCAATAAATTCGTCCTTGAGGAGCATTCGTGCGCTAGCGGCAGGTATAAGGGCGGAGACGAGAGCAAGAGAAGTATAAGCATAACCAGTACGCATGATGGTGTGAGTCGTGTATTGTCTTGTAAGGACTGGTGGAATACGCCCAGATATAAGGCCGAATATAAAGGAGGGTAGAGAAGATGAAGAAACTGACAGTCGCCAGTGCGAGGACTACTGTAGACAGCCCTCGCTCGGAGGCGGCTGGCAGCTTCGACAGCTTAGCTGCAGCTGAGCTAGTTTGCCGATCATTGACTATTCGCTCTCGCGCCTCTTCAGATCTTGTAGAGTCGCGAATAGATTCGAAGTCGCGTTCGAATCCCATTCTTTCAAGTTTACGACTTGCAAATTGGCTTTTACTGCGTGTACTCAAAGGAGTGACCAGTCTAATCGAGATGAAGTAGAAGCTTCGTATCTGGTGACAACAAGTGGGCCCCACAGCTGAATCAATGAAAGCAATCGTCAACAGTTTGGCAGAATATCAAGCAATAGAGTGATTTTTCAAAAGGGCAGAGATGGTTGGTGGGAACGGGAGAAAAGGGACTCGAAATGGAGCAGTACTCAATGATTAGACACACGTGCATGCGGCTACTGGACGCCCACTCCCATAATTAAATCTGTCCCTCGACCTCCTCGACTTGTCTCCCCTCGAGCATTTTCCCTGTCACTTTGTCTGTCTGTCAACAGGCCGCTGTCCTACTTTATGCCCTGGATTGAGGTCTAGTCGATATTCGTATGGTCTTGCTGTTCACTAATCTTGCGCTTTAGGGTGTTGCATTGCTTTGTTCAGATTACGACTTGTACAAGGACCGTTTTGGCCAGCTTCTACATACACCTATGCCCTGTGTGAGCACGTTGTGGGATGAAACAATTGAATGCTTTCAAGGTCTATGATTACCCCAGAACCCACCATCAAGACTCGCTAAGCTTAGCTTTCCGAGGTCGCACATGGGCCTGTCTGTCTACTGTCTCTCGTCCATGCCGGGTGCCTGAAGCAAAGTTGCATATAAATGGCTTACCATATGGTCAGAAGATGCCAGCGATAACCGTACAATCTGTGTGGTTACTTGGCAGATATGTTCTCTTCTCTGCTTCTTTCAGGTTTCCTCATCGCTGTGCAACCGTCGACTTTGGGCCAACGGGCAGAGGTAGATAGCATCCTGCTTGATCCGTCCCTCCTCATTCCGGGTCGATCGAAATGCAACATTCTGAACGATATCAACCCTTTCATGCCGCTATCGTGTCATAACACGACGGTCCAAAAGAATTTGTGTTGTTTCAACGCTCCAGGAGGTCATTTTTTGCAGACCCAATTTTGGGACTACAAAAGCCCGGTTGCTTTTGCAGGACCCAATAACAGTTGGACTATTCATGGTACGTGGACAAGTCGATGTGTAAAGAAAGGCATGTTCGTACCTGAACTCGTGGATTGCGGTGATTGTGCTACTTAGGACTTTGGCCGGATCATTGTGATGGAACTTTTGACCAGTTTTGTGCACCGGATCGAGAAGTTCAGAACATCACCCAGATCCTTCAGTTGCATGGTGAGGGCGAGATTTTGGATTATATGCATACGTTCTGGAAAGACAACACTGGCAATGACGAGGTATGCTAATGCTCACTGTTTACGTCTGTCTTTTTCCTAATTTAGGTTCCACTGCTAGTCATTCTGGGAACATGAGTTCAATAAGCGTGAGGAGTCCGTTGGTTTGATTTCTTCAGCCATTTTTAACCCTTCGCAGACGCTACGTGCATTTCGACCTTGGAACCTGAGTGCATCCAGAATTTCAACAACCGGAACGATGTAGTAATCTTCATCAAACGTGTGATCTCTCTCTTCCAGATCCTCCCTACTTTCGAGTTCCTGAAACGAAAAGGGTATGTTTGTTCTCATCCTTGACTGAATTCATGTCTTGACTGTGGTGTCCAGGATTGTGCCTAGTTCTACTCAGACTTACAATTTCACCGATATTATGAATACTCTGAAGCAGGCTACTGGGAAGACACCCACCATCAACTGTAACGGGAGGAACAAACAGTTCCTGAATGAACTCTGGTACCAGTATGTATCCGTATTCACGTTTTCTGTAGATGTTTATCCCTGATAAGTTGACGACATAGCTTTGAAACTAAAGGAAGCGTGATTGACGGAATCTTCACTCACGCAGACGCAGACTCAGACTCGGGATGCGCAGATACTGTATTTTACTGGCCTAAAGGTCTTCCGACGCCTACACCTATCACTACCTCATCCGCACCTACACCAGCAAGTCCTCTTCTTTCTCTCATCCATTAAATCTCACATGCCACTTACAGACCTCAACCGAAGACAAGGGGATGATCCAGGTCTTCACGTCAGCCGGAGCAAACGTAGGCTGTATACTTTCCAAAGGCACTTGGTCGCAACAGACCTGTGCCACGTTCCGGCCGGTCGCAGGAAGTGTCCCTAGGTCTATCAAATTCACGTCTTCGAAGGGTCCTTGTGCTGTTGACGCCACCAATGGCACTTTGAGCTGCGGTTCGGATATTACACTTGCCTCGGATTTTACGAATGTAGGTCCTTTGTTTGGCTCAGTTGAGTGTGAATACTGATGTCAAAAACCTCAGAGTACGACGTCAAGCGGTAGCTTGTTGGCATACAACGGCAGTTCGTCGTTCTCGTCTGATGTTGTGCCCACTGGAATTGTGCAGAGTCCCGTATTTATCGGAGACGTGCATTCGCAGGTGATCACGCTAGTGTATACACGCACATAGCACCAAGCGGGCTTCTCATGAATGAATGACAGACTTCTTTGCATTATCTGAAATACCGAAGCCAAGACTGACAGAGAGAAGTCCGAGAAGGGCTAGCCAGCAGTGCGATCTTCGCGTGCCTGCTGTACGTTGAGTGTTACGTCTGATGTTCGCTTGTGCATGCTGTCTGCAACGTGTTCCCTGACTTCGACATCTAGAGCATATACCTTTCCTGGGTTCTGCGTCCAAGTGTATCTTGTTGAGAGATTTCGAACATAAGGAGTTGCCATTTTACGGAAGTTCGGCGTACTTGTAATGTGTGCCGGCTATCATACGCGAGTGCCGGCCGAAGCCGAGACGTAAATGCGGGCTGCAATTGTCCCCGGAAAGGCAGAAGATATTCCCACGGAATCCAAACACGAGGCAAACACGGAGGGGTTGTCAGTCGGACGTATGTTGGTGAACGACGACAACGTCGCGCTTTTATACCCGTACACCCTCTGCATTCGCCGCCAGACACATGGCCTCTCCTGAGTCTCCGCAACTACCAGTATCCCAGGTACAGTCTCCAACAATGAGCTCGGCGGGTCGCTAACTGACCTTGTATTACAGAGCTCAAAGGGAAAGGAACTCGAAGGAGAGTCTGCCAGTGCGCAGCCTGCAGAGGGGTTATCTGCCTTAGATAATACCTCTAGAGTTCCCGTTTCTCCTGCTCAGGATACACATACCTCAACTGCTGCATCCGACGTGCCAAATGGTCAAGCTACCACGTCCGGCACCGTGCCAGAGCCTTCCAAGCCAGAGCATGTTCCTTCGCCACCGGAACAGTCGACCTCGGCTACTGGAGACGTTGCTCCTCCGCCTACACCCAGTGCACCTTTGACCTCTTCATCTCCAGCAAAGGATAAGCCTGACGAACCCGACCGCACAAACGACGCGGAAAAGGACAAGGCGTCTCTGAATACCACCCTTACTGGCACACAGACTCATACCCATACTCAGACGCGACGCAAGGAAGGAAATACTGTCTCTGATGGTGCACATACTGCATCATCATCTCATGAAGAGAAGAAACGTCCCAAGTCACGGTCGAAAACCAAGAAAAAGGCCAAGAAGCCGTCTGTATTCTCCCGACTCTTCCACGTCTTCGTGCCTTGTATCGCTACCTCGGGTCGTTTCCACGATGCAGACATAGAGCTTAATAAAGCAGCACAGCCGACGTCAGAGCCTGCGCCTCTGACCGCCACACAGGAAGAGCCATCAGCAAAAGCCGCGGAGGAGCCAGCGCCCACAAAGCAGCCTACCGAACCTAATGGCAATGAGCACCTTGAGGCGAAACCAGAACCTGCGTTACCAGAAAACGAGAAACTACCTACGCCTCTACAGTCCATTGAAATCCCAGAAGCGGGAGAATCTGACATTGTTGTGCCTCCAACGCCTACGCGGTCACTACTGCCAAAGGAGGAAACTGAAGGTGTCACGTCAGGTGCGGTCGTACCGCCTGGTTCGACAGGTACTCCTGAGGAGACGCATCATGAACCTCCTACTCATACCCAGGATTCCGAAAACGAGTCTGACGGCTCCACGAGCTTCACGGAGGACGAGGACCTTGATGAGTCGTCACCGATGGATGAGATCGAGGACGACGAGGAACGTTTAATTATGCAGGGAGGTGCAGGGATTCCTGTAGGCCCCGTAAGTGTTTTCTGGCAACGTTATGTGGCGCTGTTACTAATGTTTTAGACAGGATGGCATGCCGAAGCCGCTTTTACCTCCTGTTTCACCAAAACATGTCGGTAGAAAATGTTTAGTGTTAGATCTTGACGAGACTTTGGTGCATAGTAGTTTCAAGGTATGTACTGAGCACATTGTCAGCGCCGAGTACTAACATATCTTTTGTCAGTCAATACAACAAGCTGACTACGTCGTTCCGGTCGAGATCGAATATCACTGGCATAACGTCTATGTGATCAAGCGACCAGGTGTGGATAGCTTTCTGAAGAAAATGGGTGAGATCTACGAGGTTGTCGTGTTCACGGCAAGTCTCAGCAAGGTGAGTGCAGTTCCTTCCAGTCGTCTCGCTCAGTAACTAAAACTTTGCCCAGTATGCCGACCCTGTCTTGGACAAGCTTGACATTCATCGCGTCGTGTCACATCGGCTGTTCCGAGAAAGCTGTTATAACCATAGGGGCAACTACGTGAAGGTGAGTTTCAATGCTCTGACCGATCGGGCGCTTGCTCATATTGATCGAAATTGCAGGATCTTTCGCAGCTTGGACGACCTATACAGGACACGATCATCATTGACAATTCCCCAGCTTCTTATATCTTCCATCCTAATAATGCCGTACCTGTGTCGTCTTGGTTCACTGACCCGCACGACCAGGAGCTGAGCGACCTTTGTCCCTTCCTTACGGACCTAGCGACTGTCGAAGATGTCCGAGGTGTTCTTGACGGAGGCCTGTAAAAGTACATCTGGCATTTTGACCATTCGGGCTTCGCCCTCCGTACCCCGAATATCCTGTGGCTTGCTTGTCTAGCATCTGTCCATACCATTGTACCTTGCAAGCTCTCTTCCTCTCACTTTCCGCTGACTCAAGTGTCACTGCTCGCATACACTGTCTGCGAAATCTGCTCGGCTAGCTTCTTTCGCTTGCCTGGTGCAGCGTTCATCTTCCTTTGCATGAGTCTGGGCTTCCCATCTCCCTTCTCCGCATATAATCAGCTTTCGTCCTATACCCACCTCGCAATATCCATCTCCGTTAGTCACACGCATACATCCGAATATATTCATCCAATCCTCCAATAGTGCTATTTGCTTTCCCTCGGACTTGCTTTCCTAAATATTGCATCGCTGTTTACCGTGCTTGAACCCTTCGCATGCTACACACGCAGGCATGCTGGGTTGAGTGTCGCCTCACGTTCGTTATTATTCCCTGTTCGTCGCTCTCGCATTTCATTATCCATTCGGTTTACCCATGCACGGGCGGATGATCGTTTATGGTCCAGGAACCTACCCCGGCTGCTTTATTCGATTTATTCTCGCTTCTTTATCCTGCTCTTCTTATTCTCACCTGCGTCCTCTTCTATTCATCTTCTTTTTGACGCGGGTTCTAATCGACATTCCGACCTATTTTTCCTTGTTTCCACTAGTCAACACGTCGTTCTTCACTTTGTATTATTATTCTCAGGCTTTCTCTTCCAATATCTGCTCTTTTTTGGTCAATTATTTTCTCTTTGTTATGATCACGGTTAAGTATGACTATATACATGTATTTCGACGACACCCAACTTCCCCTCCTCCTTTCACGCCACTTCTCCATTAGGACCCTATGATGATTCAACTCATGACTAGTAGTACATACCGAAAAGTATAACCCCGGTCTTCTTTCAATAAACATTTCATGTTTCTTCTTCACCTTCGAGCTGCATATATGCGGTATACTTATACTAACCTTGACTAGTCAGGCCGGTATGTACATCGCTTTATCTTCAGCTCCGAGACTGATAAATATTGTAATACAGTGACAATGATGTAGATGCATTTGACTGCCTGTGGATAGTATCCTCAGTTGCATTTCTTCTTTCCGTCAAAAGCTTCAAACTCCTCAGGTCCTGCATTTGTCTATGTACGACTTGTTGGTACTTGAAATCAATCTGTCGTTGGCGCTTCCAATGGTCTTCGGATGTATAGCCGCCGCCGCTTTGAAAGGGCTCCGACTCCTGTCACCTCGGACGTCGCATCTGCATTGTCAATGGACGATCATCACCCGTACGTAGCCTCCATGTGGGTGAGATTCCAAAGGTGCATGCGTATATAAGGTGCACTCCAGGCAGTTGTCAGCCATCCTTTTCAGTCGTTCAGATGGGTTTCCCATCTTCCGATGTGCTAGCCCCGTTTTATCTATCACAAGCTGAAGGGTATGTTATAGTAGCCTTTCTCACGGTCAGTATCAGATTTGAATCTCGTCTAAAGCTGATGGTCACATTTTTTCTTTCGTAGCTTTGGACCTGGGAGCTCCTCATATCCTTTGCAGATGATGTGGAAATGTTTACCGGACGGAGATTCGCTCTATACGATACAGTATATGTCTTGGCTCGGTTCGTTGCTTTTGGTTGGAAACAAAGATGCCCGAACTTATCAGCTGTGCAGGACGACAACTGGGGGATTGCTCATGTCGACTCTGGGATTCTTAGGTAAATGATTCACCAGGAAAGACGATATTCATTGAGCTGAAACCAAAGTACACAGCACAATCTGGAACCGGTCGTGAACCAGCCCTAAAAGCTGTCGCCTGGTTCGAAGCCTTCTCTTTGATTTTGAATTCACTTCTCTTTCTTTTCCGAGCATTAGCTGTATTTTCTTTATCACCAAAGATCAAGGCGGTCTTCGGCTTTCTGTGGCTGATAACGCTTACGGCGGCGTTAACTATGCCATTCAGTTCCACCCCTAACGTCAGGACGTTCGCATCAGTATCCTTCGCCCTCGTTACAGCATTTGATACTGCCGTCTTCGTCGCGATATCCTTAGAGGTGCTTAGATATAACTTGGTAGATACGAGAAGAAAGGGCTTCATCTCTTTCGTTTGTGGCCAGGGATTGGGTCAAGCATCGAGGGCACTGCTACTGACAGGACAGTTGTATTACTTGTTCGTCATGTGCATTTGACTTCTTTGTTTGCCATCATACGCTCATCGTTACTGCCGACGCTTTGTAGGACAATGATCCCAGTGAACACAATGGCTATAATCGTCATTTTTTCGTCGGAGTCTACGTTTCCTCCCATCTTGAAGTTCGCATTTGTCCTTGCCGCTCTTGCCATGCAGAACATCATGGCCTCCAAGGTGTTTCGTCTACTCAAATTCGGCCGTCTCCAAGAAAATGCCTCTCTGGTCCACATGTCTCAGGGTGAAAGGACGCAGAGTATCTGTTTCGCCCACCAAATCGAACCTGCATGTTCTGGTGATTTTGTGTCATCCGTGGTGGAAGGAGACATAAATGCTTCCATGACCGCTGAATATGCGCGAGCGAGCACAGAGCATGTGGTTGATCCCGACAACGGGCAGGGGGGGATGGCGGAATGTTCACAATCGCCCAGTCCATTGCATAGGTGATTTTACACTTTTTCAGCCACACTTTAAATCGGACTAAGATGTATCCAGCGCCTTTTCACTTCGTTCTCATCATTGCTGAAAGGTCGATCAATTCAAATTCCTCGTTGAAAAGACTGCTGGCGTTGCTTACAATTAACATTTTTGTAGCATCTTGATCTCGTCGTCGGTATATATTACCTTTACCTTAACGATCTCGCATAATCAGAATAATTGGTTGGTATTAATCACAATTGCTTCATGCGAGGCTTCTGCATTGATCCAACCTGACCAGCAGCGCAACAAAAACAAAGCATTCTTAGGCACGTTATAAACTTGGCTCGAATCATGACACTACACAGCTGATAATCAGTATGAACGAATGCACCTGCTGTATGTTGTGACTTTAACCGGTGCTTAAATATCCGAAATTTCACCGTAATCCGACACCAAAGCTCATCATAATTTGATGATCATCCTTTGCCACGGGCGACCGGAGCTACGTGAGTGTAGCTGCTGGAAGCCACCGTGTATATCGCCACGCCTGATCAAAAAGAAAATTCATCCTTCGCCAGGGCGCTTGTTTGGGGGATAGTACGTCCTCTCGATTTTTGAATTCAATTGTGGTGTCCATTGAAGACTTGATTAGACAGAACGGTAGACGAGTAGCCAACGGCATACACGTATTTGACAGATAAACCGATGCTGCCCTCAAGTTTTGGTTGCAGGACTGTCGATCCGAACTTAGAACAGCGTGCGGCCATGAAAAGCTAATCCCCACTTAGCATCATCGATGTCCTTGACCCCGCTGATCTACCTGTGCAGGTTGTGGGTTATTTCGGTCACAAAGGATTTGATTATCACTGGAAACCCTCTCAGCACCTTGTACGGCCTATACTCCAAGGTCTTGCGACAGATAGAGCAAGGAGTCATAACATCTGGCGACACGTTCAAGTTTCTCATGCGCAGCAGAAGCATATATCATATATTTCTCTCTCTATATCGAATGAGTTACGAGGGTCGAATGGGCGTTTGAAGTCAGCTTTGTGCATAGTAATCTCAAGTCGACTGACACTGGCATGATGCAATCTCTGAGGAACACATATATAGGACAACTGGTTTCCGCACTGTCAGCGCTCATCTTCAATGTCTACGCCGAGCCTCAATACCCTCGTCGATGCCCAGACAGCGAACTATCTTGTAGCCTCCGCAGCTGCGGTGAGTTTCTATTCTCCATATATGCGTAGCCAATCATGATCGGAAAACCTCTTAGCTTTGGGTCTGGGATGTAATCTCTTCATTCCCTGATGACGTGCAGGTTTTTGTTGGACGGAAGTTCACATTTACTGATGTTGCTTATGCACTTGCCCGGTAGGCCCTCCTACAACTTTCGTATTGCCCTTTTCTTACGGGAAGAGTGAACAGAGCAGCATCCGGCGGATTTCTGTTGGCATCCGTGAGGTATTCAGGCAAGTTATGAAGACGGTACAGCAAGCTCTCTTACTGAATCGCTTTCACAGCGGATCCCATTGGGCCAGGCTGCTTTGGAACCCTGACCTCTATGTCCTGGTTCGAACCCTCTGCGTTGGTCTTCAACGCTTTGCTCTTCCTCATTCGAGTCCGCGCTGTGTTCCTTGACTCAAGGAAGATAGTAGCTGCGTTCAGCTTGTTATGGCTGGCCACCCTCACAGCCTATACCCTTCCATTCAGCTCCGATTTAACCGCGCATAACTGCCAGTTTGTCGGCACTGTGAAGCCTCAGGGATCAGTAGGATTCATCGTGGTCGCGATCTTCGACACTGCCGTGTTCACTGCAATTTCTTACCACGTCCTCAAATTTAGCTTGGCCCTTACCTGGAAGGAGCGTTTTGCATCGTTCCTTGATGGTAGCGGGCTTGGACACGTATCTAGAGTACTTCTGCAAACGGGACAACTATATTACTTGTGAGTAATTGCCGTTTATTGTCAGGCTCCCAATTCAATAACCTCGCCTATACTCGCAGAGCAACTGTTGGGATGACCATTCTGAATTTGGTCACCTTCCTCTCGTCAGTACCACCAAGTTTCAAAGGTGGATCGACGTTGTTTAGCATTGCCATACAAAACATCATGGCTTGCAAAGTATTTCGCCTGCTCAGGCTTGGTCTACTTCGAGACGATACCCATTCATCTCGAACAACTCGCGCGCAGCAGTCACATAGCATACGCTTCACACCCGGAACCGACTACACCAGTGGAATTATGTTGTCTACTTTCCAAGGAGATACGAGCTTCTCCACCACAGATGACACACAGGCGACCAGGGACTAAGCGACGGAGAAAGCTGGCTCGGGGCTGCCTACGGGTGGACCTACAAATGAAGGTGTCGGAATTACTGTCTAGGTTGGTCGACTCCGTTATCCCCCCGTAGACTGTTATATACGCATACCTCATGCCATGGATGGAGAGGAATTGAAGGTGCGAACCGTGAAGGTCGATAGAGCGCGAGGGAAATTCCTACGATGTTTCCATTTTGTCGCTGTAGATGATAACATGAAAACTTCGATAGTGATCCTGTTCAATGAGTCAATGGGATAGGTATATGAGAAGGTGTATAAGTAATAGCCCTGTAATGATTTCGTTACCAATCAACACCTACAGTAAAATTACAAAAATCTGTCTTGCCACTGAGGTCGGGCTTTGCCGGATCTCTGCTTGAGAGTCTTTGAGAGTAACTTCACTTCGATTCACTCTCTAGCGAGGGCTGATATAAATGTCTGACGACATCGACTCTCCCCGCGTTCTGTTCATAGTATGTATGCGTGGGAATTCAAAACTAATTCACCACGTCTGCTGGAGTACGTCTATAAATTCGTCTATCTTAATCGTCGACGAGCCTTTCTGTCGGCGTGGCCTCACCAGTCGAACTTCATGAGAGTTTCATGAGTATGAGTGGGAGTATTCCTCATGTGGCCTCTCCTCGTCGTCTAATTCTGTTGAGATAGGCAACCAGGAACCCGTCCCCCTTGCCATCTATCATGGTTGGCGTCTGGTTTCGAGACTGCATGGTTGCTCTTGCGCGTCACGGTATGGGCAACTTCCTCGAATGAGTTTGAATACCCTGCAGCGGAGCTCCGTGTCACCGTAACCGCGAGTCGCCTTTCATCTTTACCCGGTGAGTCTTATGTTCTACCCTGCTCCATCTCCAAAAATGTTTACTCAAAAATTCAAAAACTCTGGGGATTCGTATTCATTCATGATTTACCGCCAGACGATGTCGGTCTCATGCTGTCATGTGAATGTGAATGCATCATGGATTGAAACCTTGCCTCTGGCAGGGAAGGTGATCCATATCCCTCTGTACGCGGAAAATTTCATTCTCGAAGTATTTGGGACATTGCTGAGTTGGCAGTCCCTGCATGGGCGGCGATGCGCTCAGACATACATATATTCTGGGTGGTGAGGTTTTGAGGCTTTGAGGCACTAGCTCTTCACTGCATCAATCTAATCTAAGCCTTGTCAATGGAGGCATTGAGCCCTCCTAGTATGTTGAACCTTATACAGGAAGGGCAGATTGAAGGTTACCTGGTAGTTGCCACAGCTACAGTGAGCTACCTAAGGACTAATCATGATCTAATCAGTTGTGGACATGGGACGCTACTCTGGCCACGGCAGACGAGGCGCGGATGTTTAGTGGACGCCGTTTCTCAGTAAATGATTTCGTATATTTGCTAGCTCGGTAAGCTTTGAAAATATGTCAGAGCTGTACAGCTGTGTTCGATCGCTGATCTTTTTTTCAGGACAGCATCGGGAGGATACATTCTATCTGCGCTTGGTTTCTTAGGTAACTCCATGTTTCCAATCATCGCTATGACCTGTGCTGTTCAAAGAATGATTACTTACGCAGTTGCATCCGGTGCCAATTGTCGCACTGTCATGACAGCGACGACATGGTTCGAGGCACTACCAACAATATTGAACTCCTTGCTGTTTCTCATCCGAATCAGAGGTGTTTTCTTTACATCGCGCTGGATAACCATTGTCTTCAGCCTTTTATGGTTATCCACGTTCAGTGCAATCATTAGTCCACTTCGTGCTGACTTGCGAGTCTCTGGGATCGTGCCGATCCGCCATATAGGCGACATGAAACCGTGGATCTCAACGGGTCTTATTACTGTTGCGATTTTTGACACCGCTGTGTTCGTGGCGATTTCCATACGGCTGCTTCATTATGGAATGGCCAAGATCTGGAGAGAACGATTAAGGTCTTTTGTTAATGGGCAAGGCATGGGTATGCTCGCCAGAGCATTATTGCAAACGGGACAGCTTTATTACCTGTGACTATTCTGAATGACTCTCACAACACCCTGTTCATATAACGATGATTCGGGTGGTTATAACTTGACAGTGCGAGTATTGGAGTCAACGTCTTCGCTCTTCTTGGCCTCGTTTCTACCGCGTTCTCTCCGGTGATCAGGGCAGGTCTAGCGCTTGTTAGCGTTGCACTGCAAAACATGATGGCTTGTACGGTATTCCGCCTTTTAAGGCTTGGTCAGATCCAAGAAGACCCGTCGGTGTACAGAGGTTCATTTGGTCAGCAATCATTGAGTCTGCGGTTCGCTCATCCGGTCGAGACAGAGACGGACAGTGGTAACGCAAGCGTGGCGGGATCGTTGAATGAAAGAATGGAGCGCGGTGACATGCCTTCATCTTCCACTTTGGACATACCCAGGATGGTACAGGTAGAGTCAACGATGCGGAAGATTTAGTCGCGGAATCTTTGTCATCAGGATCAGCTGGGTCCGGTATACGCTTGATGGTTAGATGTCATGCTGACTCCTGTTATGTCCAGTAGCATTCCGCCATACGGTTATTTTTGGTGTCACATGAAGATTATCAAAGGATGCGAGGGTGTCAGCTTGGTGAGTTTAGAGCACATCTCGTGGGCACTGAATACAGGTGGCCAGTGGATGCCTCTCCATAGGATTTAGTGCAAATTTTGAATATAAGGCGGGACTTGAAAGGGTTTACTGCCTTGGGTTTACAGGAGCTGTTAAACCATAGCATCGAGGATTGATAGTGTTGGAGATTGATTCGGATTGCTGTAAATGGGTGTGTCAGTAACTGGTCTTGCCACACAAGGAGCGTAAGTGAGCCGTCTCATCGCAAGGGCCAACAGGAAGACAGCGGGCTCGGCCAACAAGCGTCTGAGGAATTTTCGTACCAGTTTTCTTTGTTTAGAACACGATCTAAGTGGCTACGAAAAAGCATCCAGTAGCATGGACATTTCATGATTGGAAAGTTCGACTTTCACCAAACGTGGTGTATGACATCCATGGGATATCGCGTACACCAGCTTAGGTAGATAAATGCATCAGATCTAGATGCATACGGCGGATTACGAGAGCGAGTCGGGACCGCAGATCAAGGGTGGCCGGTGAATTGTCAGCAACTAGGCACAATGAATGGGAGGGAAAAGGCTGCGGGTTGAGTGGAACGCGTTGAAGATGCCGAGCCGCAACGAATCGGAAACGAAAGCTCAAGTATGGACGGGATGTGCAGGAACCTAGAGTCGGATCCGGACTGAGGGAATTCTTCGGTCAGCGGGAATGACGGAGAGATGGGCTGAAAATTGACATAGGCAGCTCAAACAGCGATTCCGAGATATTCGGATTTTTGCAGAAGACAGACGCGATTCGGGACTGTGTAGTACATATAAGCCAGACAATCTGGTGTTATGCTACGCTCATGGCCCGTGGCGTATTGTACCTGGCTTTCCTTCCATTGAAAGGCAAAACGGCGGTGTCAGGCTACGAATGATTGAAGAATCCAGTCAATTTCATTGGATTTCGCGTGTGACCGATAGACGCAGTTGACATCCGTTCTCGATCAACCGGTCGAGTTAAACGCAAGCCGATCAAGATCGTCATTCACCGACGGGTCGAGAATTGTGCGAGCTGAATACGTTTGTCATTCATAAATGTCAGTTTCGGATGGCATGTGGGAGGATTGGTCAGCGAGGCCGTAGGAAAGCGAATATATTATGGAGTCGGGCTAGGGTGCTCCCGTTGTTTACTTTCGCAAGGTAAGTCTACCAAATGACAGGAAGAAAGAATGAGATGGACTTAACACTATGTCTCCAGATGAATATCGATGCTATTCTGCGTTTGGATGAAGAAGAGGACCTGTGGAAGCGGGCGATCAACCACGTGGGAATATACAAAAAAGGCAAGGGTGAGCAGTAAATTTGGATCTCCGCCTGCACGCGCCTCTTACTAATACAAGCTGGGATTGTAACGACGTCGACTGGAATAACTCATGTTAGCTCATCCCCCCTTCCATCAGCAGCAGTCCCAATCAGCTCCGTCTCAGACGGTCGCGCCCACTACCACAGTCATCGCGCCAGATGCTACCACCCATCCCCCACCCCCGCCTGCTCCTCAACCACCAGGTACCTTTCAAACTCTGCGTCTGCGAGATGAGCCGCCACCGGTAACTCAGCCTTCATCTCGCACGTCGCGTAAACGTAAATCACCTCCAAACGTGAATCCTGACCCTCAACAATTACAACCACAACCACCTCCAGGAATGCATCAACCACCGCCAGGAATGCTACCTCCTGGTATGGTTCATCCCCCGCCACCCCATATGGGAGGACCCCCGCTTCCGCACCATGCATTCTCTTACATCCCTACCGATTACTCACCCGGCGGTATGCCTCCACCGCAACAGATGCCGCCAGGGCCGCCTCCAGGGCAACAGGCGGATGGACAACCAAGTCAGGCAGGCGGCGGTGGTTCGCGGGCATTGAGTCAGAGTAAACGGGCGGAACAGAATAGAAAAGCGCAGCGCGCATTCAGAGAAAGACGAGACCAGTAAGTCACACTCCCCCAAGATGCATTCACCTCTGTTCACTGGTGTTTCCCTTTTTCTTCTAGACACGTTAAAGCGTTGGAATCGCGTTCACAATTATTGGATGCCGCTTTGGCCTCTGCGGACGAAGCGAATCGGAGATGGGAGGAATGCAGAGCATTGGTGGATCAGCTACGCGTCGAGAACGCTGCTCTTCGAGCAGCCCTCAGTCAAGCGCAAATGATGAATGGTTCAGTCCCACACGGTACAGAACCTCTTCCTCCACTGCAAGAACAGACTAATGCTCCTCCTAAAGAGGTGTCAAACGCGGCCAACAACGAGAAACCTAATGAAAGTCAGCAGTAGCTAGTCATGTTACATTCGCATTCTATTTTTTTCTTGTCGCTGTCGCAGGGTTTCGGAGCTTTGGTTGCACGTCTTTACATATCCGTTAATTGTATCATTGATCCTTTTTTTTTCTTTATATATCTCAATGAAAGTTTGAGTTTGCATGCATATATCGGCTTCGCATCTATGACATCGTGTCGATCGTTGTGTCTGCGTATGTAAGAATCTTTGTCAGACAATGATAGAACTACCTTCCCCAATCCGCGGTAGTCGCCCCCTCACTGACACGTCTTGCTCAACGACAACGAGTCAAATCATTCATAGGAGGTCATGGCACAAATAGAGGAGGTTCATGAGCCAGCGAAGAAGGTTCCACGAAAGAAAAGTAGGGTTCACTTTGCGTTGGTTGTCCATACCAAACTGAACCAACCATCTACGTCTAGATGTACCAACATTCGTGAAGTACTACTTAATCCTCTATAATGCCCTCTCAGCCATAGCCTGGTCATACGTCTTGATCGGCACCCTGGTCCACCTCTTCGCGCTAGACAATTGGCGATCACCTTCGCTCCTGTCCACTCTCTCGCGCAAACGATCGTCAATACCTTACCTATCCTCTGCAGCTCCTTTCCTGGGGTTTGGGTCATCAAGGTTCACATGGATCGAGTCAAAACTCCCGGTGGCTTTGGTGCCTGTATTCCGAAGAGCGACGACGACGTATGCGAGGGTTGGATATCAGACAGCTATCATCCAGAGTTTCGCGATTCTGGAAGTCGTACATGCTTTGCTTGGATGGGTGGGGAGTGATCCGATGACTACGCTTATGCAAGTAGCATCGAGGTATATGTTGGTTTGGGGAATTGCTCCCCAGTACACCGCCGTACGTTCCCATCTTTTCCTTCTTCACATTTCCAGTTAGTTCATTCAAATATGTGGTTTGGAATGATAGGCACAAACGACTCCGTTCTATGCTTCGATGGTACTCTCATGGTCGATAACTGAAGTCATCCGATATGCACACTTCGCGATCACGTTATTGGGTTATGAACCTTACGTCTTGCTTTACCTGCGATACACGACTTTCTACTTGTTGTACCCTACCGGCGCGTCTTCAGAGGCTTTTTGCATGTATGCGACATTACCTTCTAGCGGTGAACCTTGGAGTCTGTATGATATCTTCCGGGCGGTGTTGTTTGGCATTTGGTGGCCTGGTGAGCGTCTTTTGTTTCTGCATTCCTTGTGACCTTTAGAGGAGCGGGCCTTGCATGAGGAAGTATGATGTGCTGATGATTGTGATTTGTGATAGGTTTGTATGTTATGTATATGCATATGGTCAAGAGACGGCGTAAAGTTCTCGGGGGCGGGAAAGGCCGAACACTCGGTGCTAAACCAAAATCTCTATAGAATTTGCAGGGTTGTGGAATAGATTATGTTCGTGTTTTCCTTTCGTATTGGAATTGTCGCTCTCTCTATCATCGTCCTGTAAAGTAGTGAAACGGAGAGACGCTCTGTCTTACTCAAGCTATAAGTATACGCCCTGCTGAATTTCTTAGGCTTCGAACTAGACTGGATCTGCGTTTGTGAAGGTAGGCAAAGTCTCTGTCATTCCTTTATGGCTTTCGCTGATGAGAACACATGTACAAGGCCGGTTACATTTCCCTAAGAACACATCTGACCAAGGCATGTAGGTTAAATGTATGTATTCACGTAAGTTAACAACAATCATTCCTGTATTCTAGCCGCATATTCCCGTTCGAACTTCAAAGGGTGAAAGGTTCCGGACTCACGTTATAGAGGCAGCTTCTAAACCTTATAATGCGCGGCGCTTCTGACATGTGGATCAGCCCGTAGCGTCGTAACGCCGTGCTATTTCAACCATTTGACTACTTGATAACAGCGAGCTTTCTTTTCCACTTCACTCTGGAGCGTTGCTGGACAGTCTTGTGTCTGTCTCTGAGCCAGTGTCTAATAATAAGGGCGACGCATATACTCAGGTGCGTGGTTGAAGTTGTCAAGGAAAAGGATATGCTTGCCGCTCACGCGACAGTAGTTCCACTCTCGCATTGCTCATCATCATGCTTGCCCTTCCAGGTCCACCCGGCTGGACTCCAGAGCCATTCTCTTACCATTACACTCCCGCACCTCCCATTTTTCCCGTCGAGGTCTTCGAACGCATCATCGACTTCTGCGCGCACCCAGCCAACCTCCCTAACGCCCTCAGCGATTCTCGAGCCACGCTCAGAATCTGGGCTCTCACTTGTACAGCTCTGCTTCGACGAAGTCGTTATCACCTCTGGCGGGAGATCCGTCTCAGGGATGCAGAAGAAGTGAACGCCCTCGTTCGAACGTTACGTAACAACACGCATATACACACATTCATACGGTTCCTCGACGTGTGGCTCGACGCGCCCTCCTCGATCTTTACCTCGCTTATGATCGCCAAACTTCCTCATCTGCAGTATATCCATATCAGCGGTGAACGACCGCTTCGTCATAAAGACTTCTTCCCAACTATGAAGCAATTCAAGACTGTGACTATGCTCTGGATCTCGTTTCGTATACAAGCCCAGCAGCTAATGAGGCTGCTGTGTTGTTTTCCGAATCTTCAGTTCCTGAGATTGGATGGGGAAGATGATTGTTACGCACCGATACCTCGAGCCAAACATTATGCACCCAAGTTCCAACTGGAGTGTCTACAGTTCAAGTTTTCCTCTCGTGAGAGTCAGATCAAGGCTTGGAGATACGTCCTTCGGTGTCTTGCGGATGCGCCTGGCTGCTTGAATTCATTGAAGATTTTGGATTTGGATTTCCATGATACCTGGGACGGCATGCATTTCGATATGGAGCGTATCTCGTTCATCCTGTCCGCTGCTCACGCGACACTTGTCGAAGTCGTAATTACACATTCGCATGACTGGAATACCGAGGACCAGGGAGAGAACTTTCCAAACGCAATCAGTGAGTGAGCGTATACATATCATTCCACACCTCCGACATATCTGATCCTCGAGCATGATAGACTTCCTATCGTTCAGTGACAACGCAGCCTTACGCCGACTTATCATCCGATTCGACTGGATTGGACAAAAGGACTTGTCTGGACTTTTGCAAGTCTTGGAAACCATCCCTGCTGGCGTTTTGGAATGTCTAGCCATGGAGTTTAGGAAGATGTCCCTGCTCGAGATCGATTCACTTTGGTGGCAAGATCTGGATAAGTTGTTATGCAGTGACCGCTTCAAGTCATTGCATTCAGTCGAATTGAGTTATTCTGATGGCAAATTCGCAGAAGTGTTGACTGGGTTGAAGGCAAAAGGGATTTTGAGACTTGCTCTGCCGTCTAATTTACCGTGAGCAGAATCGTTTTAACAGTTTGTTTTGCATCCAGCTAACATGGAATTTCTTAGGGTTGGTCGTTGGATGCGTCGTCGTGATTTCTGGTTGTGAGGTGCCGATGACCAGTACGTATATGTCACGACGAGTTGTCAATATAACATCTGTACCGTCAAGGGTCTCGTCATATTGATAAAGATGTATGACCATCACGAACAGAATGTAACTTTCCGAGTACATCTGTTCATTAGATCAGAGAAGCGTTGTAACCTGGAAAAGAACTCAAAACTAGCTCTGACTATACAGGAGCTATTCTAAGTTCGTTTCACACATATAAGCTATGTCCCTCGACGCTGCACCACGCGGTGCTCTTTCATCCCGCTCTCACTGCCATCCTGATACAAGTAAGGTTGTGGCTCTTTACATTTATCTACCTTTCTAATAATCGTCAATTATACATAGTCATAACGCGTCAATATACATCATGGCTATAGGCCATATTGCTGCACCAGCAACATCATGGAGGCCACCTAAACGGACGATCGTTTTCCCTGTGGAGGTGCTTGAACGAATCATCGATTTCTGCGCCCATCCAGACACTTTCCCCCTTGGCGGGATCGATGAGAGTCGTGATGCCCTCAGAGCATGGTCACTGACTCACAGAATTCTTCTTCGACGTTGTCGAATGCATCTCTGGCGAGAGATCATATTGAGGGACGAGCTCGGAGTCAACAACCTTCTCCAGGCACTTCGTAGCGACCTTCACATTTCCACATACATTCAATCCCTCACCGTTTGGTTTGAGACACCATCTTCTGTGTTTACGTCGCTCATGAATGCTCGACTGGCGCATTTGCGTTACATACGCCTGCATAGCGAGCCGGTGTTATTTCACAAGGTTTTCTTCAAAACCATGCAACAGTTCAAGAACATCACCGTACTATGGACATCCGGTCGTATGCAGGCACACCACCTTATGAGGTTACTCTGTTGCTTTCCCAACCTCCAGTTCCTACATATGGCTAATGCAGAAGAATGCTTAGCTCCCGTACCCCATGCGAAACATTATTCACCGAAGTTCAAGCTAGAATGTCTGCACTTGTACTTTGCTAATGCGGACAGTCAAATTGCCGCATGGCGGTACATTTCCCGCTGCCTCTCCAATACCCCAACGTCTGTCATGTCATTGAAGATCTTGGACATAATATTCGATCCTTGGTATGGGGTACAACATTATATGGAGACACTTTCATGGATCCTTTCTGCCGCTAATGCAAGTCTTAGTGACCTTCACTTGAGATACTGGCATGACAATGCTGACGAGAACGCTGCAACGATGATCAATGAGATCAGTAAGTCCGTTTACCTTCACGCTGATAGAATTTTGCCGTTGACGCGCTGTTTCCAAGCTTTTCCATCTTTGAGGGAATGTAGATCCCTTCGCCGGCTCTTCATTATTTTCAACTGGTCCATACAAAAGCGTTTGCCTGGCCTCCTCCACTTGCTAGAAACAATTTACCCGGAGCATTGGAGTCTCTGGCCATTTTTGCAGACTCTCCTCGTGCAGTTGACCTAGAATGGTGGAGGAACCTCGATGCTCTGCTTTCCACCGAACGTTTTCAATCTTTACAAACAGTTGAAGTATTCGATGATGTACAAACGACAGTGTACGCTGAGGAACTGACTAATCTCAAGTCCCGAGGCATCCTGAGAATTGGCGAGCTGAGATCGCTCCCGTGAGTTCTCTCCTCTTATGTAGTGGTCGATTGTCGAACGCTTAGTGCATCGTACTTGCAGTACATATGATTGGCTGCGTTCTCGGGACATCTGGTTTCGACTTTGGCATTCTTATCGTACTACTTCATGATGTGCAACCATCAAAATGCCAATATGGTACGTGGTGCTTTCTAGAAGGTCTATGTGTTATTTACACTAGGTGCAAGGCCGACCCGAGCACCAGTATAGTCATAGACCGAGTACCCTGTCAATCCGTTCAGTAAATCAGAGGTTACGCGAAGTAGGGCAGATATCTAAGGCGTGGTACATACATGATTTCAAGAAGATGTCACCTGTCAAAGACGAGGATAAGCAGATGGAACTAAGAAAGTTTCGTGATCACTCACCAATGATGGCCAGGTTCGAGGGAAAGCCGTCGCCGAGAGATACAATCCCTCCAAGGCATTCTCTGAAAACTATGGATGAATTCAGGAACTTGTTGGAAGCATAAGTCACGTACTCTCCATTATTTAAGATGGGACCCATATTGAAATCGTCTGTCCGGATTTCGAACTTTTGACCAGAAAACGACAGAGAGATAGAAAGTTTCGCCGAACATGGGAACACATAATAACCTGCACAAGCACAGTACGAATCAGCAATACGTCATCTTGTATCAAAGACGCATCGACTACCTGCTCCATATTCCATTTCTGCGCTTCTTGAGTCAGGAATCTGGTTGTTTATAATTATCGTCAATTATTTCATCTGTAGCCATTACAAACAGGAACCTAACCATTGCATAGAAATTCGTAGTGACATCGTCAGGAAGGTACACCATACTGGTCCCTGTGTCGATAGCCTGTGGAAACCTCATGTCAGTGATCAACCTTCGCTGTCTAAGAGATACTTTACAGCGATGAGCTCCGCCGAATGAAAGTGGTCGGCATCGGAAGCGATGCCATCCATCGCTATTGTCCAATACGTCTAGTGGACCAGCTACTTCAGCATAGGATTACTGCAATGGGGATGAATCACACTTTTGACTTTAACGGGAACCACGCAACGCGATCTGCAGTCTTCGTAAAATCGATACAACCAAAGCAAACCTGAGGATCAAAGTGAGTGATGTTTTTTTCAACGTCACGAAGCGATTCACCTCAGAGCCGTCAACTTGATTCCTGGTCAAGTGAATACCAAACAACGCGAATTCGAGTTGCTGCGATTTCAGGATATTCTCAAAGAATGTAGGTTGTCCAATTGTCGAAATGACCCCAAACGCTAGTCCCATCAGCCCGCTATTAGGATATTCGTAGAAGTTGTCAGATTCGTAGTTGACTGCGCCAAACGCTTGGTTCTGGACGCGGAGAGTCTTCATGGATACAACGTCGTGGACAATCTTCCCGCCAGCTTGTCCGATTCCCTGCAGATCTAGATATCAACAACACACGACGAGAAGAATAGTAAGGAAACCGTACGTAGTTTGCTGTAAACTTATGGCCGGTAGATTTGTATGTTGAACTAGACTTGGTCTTGTATTGCGGCAGAGTACAAGTTCCACAGTTCGAAGGTACCCAAAGGTCAGCAGACCCAGTGTCTACATCCACTGTCAGCGCTTGTCCAGGAGTGCCGAACTGGAGAGGACCATAGTAAAGCATGTCGTAACCTGCAGCATTATAGTCAGTCATAGGCATGGTGGTGAGCCCCGGTATCCCTGGCGTGAGGGTCGAGTCGTCAACAGCATCTGTAGATAAAAGACGTGTAACATTGCGCGTAGGGCCGTGAGACGAGGTATAATTGAGCCAGGCTGCAGTATCGTTGAATATTGGATAACCTGTCTCGGGGTGAGCGTTCGGGTTCAGACCAATGCCTTGCAAGAACTGAGACGCCAAAGCATATTTATTGAGCACGCGTTGTGCTTCCCATTTCTAATATAGTTTTGCGAGATCAGTGTAGCATTCAAGTCTGTACCTGTCGAAGAGATACGTACTGCTGAGCCTGCGTCAACCACATTTGATGTGAGATTGTCAGCCCTCGCCACTATTCGCTTTACAGAGAGCTTGACAGGAATACCGCCGGGTGAAGAGCTTCCGTGGTCTTCGAGCGGATGTGAACATACTCCCAGGACGAAAGCAAACAGAGCCAGATGGATCATCGCAAGGGGAAAAGAAGAGAAAAGATAACAATGCACCAGGCACAGATAGCAGACTAAGGAGAAATGTAAGATACATATTTCATGTAACTAGTACCACCCTGAAGTCGCTGTGCGGCTGACAGTGAACATCATGAGTCTTGCCATGTTAGCCTCGGTGGGGACTGGCAGGCCTGGCTTGAAGACAACCAGCAAGACGCGTGAAGAGCAAGAGTCTCGTGCTGGGAATATATTCCCATATCCGGTCCTCGATCATCCTTGCCGTTCCAATGACAAGTTGCAACCTATTCCGAAACTACCATCGAGAACTGAGATGAGGCAACGGCGTTTCTACTGTACTTTAAGTATAACAATGTGGAAGAAGAAGGGTACCCCTTCAAAATTCCAGTGATTTGCATAATTGCGTGAAGGTCGCTGACCTTTTTTCTTCCGCTTGACCCAGTTTGTTCAATCACCCAAACAGTGTTTGGACACTACCTAAATAAATGCCGATGCAGAGGTTCAGGCATTCGCAAGTTGCTTTACAGTTTACCTTGACGACCAGGGCAGCAAACACTCTCCAAAGACTTGAAGGAATGTATGACGTGATGATACTCCGACGATTATCAAACAGTGGAGAGGACGGTGAAAAGTGCCCGTTAGGCTATTGGTCTTGTGTTCAAGGTCCTAGGACAAAATGTGCCGAAAGATATCGATCTTCAGGGTATACGATATACGATCAGAATGTGCAGAGCGATGTTCTTCAGGCTCCTCGAGCCTCGAGCTTCAAGCGCAGTGAATTACAGAGGTCACGGTCGCGTAAAGTCGTGCACCACACGTAGCATAGGTCACTCAGCTATTTGGTGAGATCAAACCCGGACAAATGGAGGAAAAGTCTAGCGATTTTCACGGACATACGCAAGACGCTATGAAGGTATGCAATGTTCTTTATTGTGGTACCGCTCGCCCTTGACGCCTCATTGGTCAGCACGCGCCCTTGGTCGCTTCAGCTATTTTGTGTCCTAAATCCCTACGGAAAGGCATTCAATACAGGAATACTAATGTGCAATGATAGCATCGATGACTCTATTCTTGGAGGTATCATTTCTATGAAGTTATTGATGTGTTCATTTGCGGACTATAACTCACGTCAATTAGCTCATAATAAAGTAGGCGTAGCAGCGACGTTGCTGAAAACTGACTCGGAAGATTACTCAATGCCAACTCGCAGACGCCATTGACTGGGTTGTCCATTCAGCGCTTGATGTGGAGTTTCTGAACGTATAAAGCTTGTGCTTGCATGCGGCGATTGGGCTGCTCATACCCAATTTCCCAACCAACTTTGGCTTCTTGACAGGACCGAAGTTTAGCTCACTTAGCGCTAATGTCTACCAATATTTCTACTGGTGTCGCACTTGCCTTTCTTGCCTGGATAATAATCCGTTTGACCAAAGCTGGCACTAGACAGTCTGGCCTTCCCCCTGGCCCTCCGACGCTTCCGCTTCTTGGCAATCTCCATGTCTTCCCGAAGACTCGCGCATATCTGAAGTTGCATTCTCCTCTTTCCCTAAGTTTACATACACTGATTTTGTTCGGCACTAGGTTCACGGAATGGGCGAAGGTGTATGGAGAACTTTACTCGGTGGGGCAACACTCAGTTGTATCGTCCGTGTTGCTGACAGTGTCAATACTTAGCTCAAAGCCGGTCCAGCCAACGTTGTTATCCTTTCTAGTCCAAGGATGGTCCGTGAATGCATTGATGTGAAAGGTGCTGCCACAGCCAGTCGACCCCTGCTTCATGTCTCTGAATTGGTCTCAAACAATTTGGAATTCTCGTTGATACAATATGGTTAGTATTCTCCAAAGTAGATTTCATTCTTCCTCATGCAGCTAGCAGGGCCGACGTGGAGGAGTATGCGTCGGGCCGCGCATGACATTTTGTCACAACAGGCCTGCATGAGGCACCTCCCCATCCAACACGCGGAGGCTAGTCAATTAACGTTTGATTTCCTAGAGAGCCCAGAGGTCCGTTCTTTCAACTTCATGTACTTCCCATCACGCTGATCAGCTCGTTTTTCCTAGTTGTTCTACACCCACATCTACCGCTACACGGCCTCTGTGATTGTCTCTGTAGTGTACGGGATCCATTGCCCACGATACCATGATTCATTAGTCGACGAACTTCGCCAGATAACCAGAGAGTTCCAACAGCTCATCACGCCTGGCGGTACCCCACCGATAGATATCGTCCCGATTCTGAAGCACCTTCCTGAGCGCGTGGCACCGTGGAAAGCTCGCTGCAGACATCTACGCGCCAGGCAACTCAAGCTTCTCTTGTCACTACTCGATACATGTGAAAATCGTAGGAAGACTGATAAGCGCAATGGCTGCTTCATGGAATATATATTAGACAACCAAGACCGCTATAATTTGGACCGTGAACAGACTGCGCATGTAGATGCCCTTTCAATGTCCTGTATGAGAAATACTGACATTCTTTTTTTCTTTGTTACAGAGCCTTTGGTGGGTCAGTCATTGAAGCGGGGATAGACACCACTGCCATGTTTCTGCAATTTTTCGTTGCTTGTATGATAGCATACCCTGAGGTGCAAGCTCGAGCACGGAAGGATATAGACGACGTGATCGGCCTCAACCGAACACCCCAACAAGATGATATCGAGAATTTGCCTTACCTACGCGCTCTGATCAACGAGGTGAGCGTTGTCATTCCACTAGTGCTTTGACGAGTGCAAGAGAGTGCAGATAATGACAGGTCACCGCAGATACATCGTTTCTGTCCCATCGCGCCTATGGGTATTCCGCATGCGTCTACGGCAGATGAACGTGTGCGTACTCTTCACTATTTGATTCACTCCAGGTAATTTCACAACATGTTTTTTTCAGATTGGTGACTACATGATCCCGAAGGGAACTACGATCGTCATCAATATTTGTAGGTTTTCACTTCAATCTTCCGCTGGACGTTTATGTACCTTAAACTTCGTGAAGGGGGCCTCTACCGTAACGAAGAATACTTCGAAGATCCTGACGTGTTCAATCCCGAGCGATATCTTCAATCGCCGTACGGGATGAAACCCGGTGTCAATCTCACGGGCCTGAGGAGTGATTATATGTTTGGCGGTGGAAGGGTCAGTTTGGTAATTAAATTATCAATTTCATCAGGTTGCTAACATCTCACATAGCGGATTTGCCCCGGCATGCATCTCGCTTTTAATTCAATTGTGCGTTCTACTGAATCATCTAGGTTTGCGAATAGTACTAATACTTCGACTCAGACACTTAATACCATGAACCTCCTATGGGCATTCGAATTCAATACGGCTAAAGACCCTAACACTGGTCGACCCATTCCAGTTGACCCACATCACGTCACTGATGTAAGTCTGCTTGTGCTGGTAGTATCTACATAATTCATTGCTGATATTCTCTGTAGAATTTGCTTTTGAGCCCAGAACCGTTTCAATGTAACATTGTACCTCGAAGTGACAAAAAGGCTGAGATGATACGGAACCAGTTTGCGAACGCGAAGGCTACTTTTGATCTGTTCTGCGCATAAGCGGGTGCGCGAATCATTAGCGTTGTATGGCTTTTCTTGTAGACCCTGTATCTTGAATTGTAGTATCTAACTCAGAATTTTTCGATTCCCTGGGATTGAAGGAGCAGCTTCAAAATGCCTCTTGAGGCTTTATGCTGAACAATATCTAATGATCTATATAGGCACAGTCATGGTTACGAGGATTCGCCTCTATGCATACTGACGCGTCTAAAAAGGAATAGTAGTACCGTCATAGTTGAAGAAATGCACCCCATCTTCCATCTTCGCGTCCTGAATGACCTTAACGACACCCTTCGCACTGTCCTCGACAGTCAGAGGCTTTATGCCTGGGACCGCCGCTGTTAGCCAAGGTTCAATCGTTTGTCCAAGGTCCGTATCAACCCATCCAGGGTGTACTAAGACAGAGATGATACCCTCGCTCTTGTTAACGGCACCCCATTTACGAGCGAGCCTGAAGTGTCGCGATCGTCAGCCTCACTACCACGATAAATATCAGAGACATACATGTTGAGGGCAGCCTTGCTAATAGAATAAGCGTTGGCCAAGTTGGGCCTACCAGCTGCATCTTGAATGGATCCGAGGCTAGAAGTTATGAATAGCACTTTCTTCTCAGTGCTCTTGACGACGAGTGGCTTGAAAGCGCGAAGAATGCGAATGAGGGGAACGGTATTAAAAACAAGTTCCTCCTCGAAGAGCTTCAAGTCACTAGAAGGATCCATCGATGTGTGAGCTTATGCCATCACTACTACTGAAAAGACGTACAGGTCATCGAAAGTGGTCAGTGCCTGGTAGCTAATTCCGGCATTGTTGATCAAGTAATCCAAGCCTTTGGGAGCAAGTTGGTCAACCTCCTTGGCGGCGGCCTCAATCTGCTCGGGCTTCGAGACATCGAAAGTAACAAGAGCTAATCGGTCTTTAGGGTATTTCGACGCCAAGTCTTGAAGACCTTGAGAAGCACTTGGGTTGCGAGCAGATGCTATTACGAAGTTCTTTGGGTCCTTTAACTACACATGTGCGCATCAGCGCGGATTACGGAAGAATGAAAGAATTCGTCGCACCAATTCCACTACGATGGCAAAGCCAATTCCTCTGCTTGAACCAGTAATGAAGTACGAAGGCATCGCTGTAGATGTTATGAATGAGTTGAATTGTTCGTATGCTGATTCGATGCGCCTTCTTATAGGAAACGATTCCCATCACAGCCTCTTAAAGACCGCTGCACACGGTGTACAACGGACAGTCCCATTACTGAGAACTTGCGCGCAGAACATGGTACTTCTTTGACATGGCCTACGGCCTTAGATCATTGTTCTTCTGCTCGCAAGGTAGAGTATCGAGTGATATACACGTTGACGCAGCTCGTGAAGCGCTATACACATGAGTAAGACAGATATGAGGCTTGCGCGTCCCTAATGATGACAAACATCCACGGAGAGGTTGAAAGTGGCGATGAGGCAATGAATTGCAGGTCCTGCTTGTAATCGTTCAGCTAGAGATGCCCTTAGGTCAAATGTGCGTTAAGCTATGGGTGAATATGATACTCGCCGTGGTTCCATATGGTACTCTGTGTCTTTGATGAGTAAGTTTCGGGATAGTCGTCACTTTGTAGATATAAATAGTTAGCAAAGGCTCTGGTCGAAGTATGCTTCGCCGTCGGTGGTATCACAATAGCAGAAGTGACCCCGTCTCTTGTGGATATCCGCACGGTCGGTTGACATTCGAAATGTATGCATAGATCGCGTGGAAGAGACGGAATACAGCCCTTCATTGAGAAGATTGCCTGGCGTAGCATTGTCTAAGGCTGTGTGGTTTGACTCTTCGATCTTTGAGGGGGCGTCGATCGCAGCTACGGTCAACGAACAGTGTTGCTTCACGAAGATGACGTGGACATGGCGCTAGGACTGAGTTCAGAGAAACCAGACAACGTTGTCTACGCATTCCAAGTCGCACTGCATGGATGGGAATACGTTGACGTGGACTAGGATGATATAGCAAACTGAGAAATATTGTTAGTGGAGGCTCCAGCATAACATACACAAACAATCGAACGGTGACCATGATAAAACCTGAACTCAAGGCTATCTTGCTTCCTTGAGGCCTGCGAAAGAGACTGAAGACGGCATGTCTGTTAAGTCGTTTCACCGCGGGAAAAATAGGCAAACAGTGGGGAAAGTCTGTCAACGAGCTACTCCACGGCTCAGTTGTCGAAGTGGATGAAGCATATTACAAAACGACCTGGGCGAAGGAAAATCAAGCATGGAAATTAGTGAGGCAGGCTATATATCATAAATTTTGGGTCTAGACTGCTTCATAAAAATTCACCGTGCTCCAGCCTCCTCCGTTCCTCCGACTTATTAGATCGGTCTTTATTGTCATGCTCACCCCCACTAGCAATGAAGGAGTTAAGCCTGGATAGCATATGGTAGCCCTGCTCCAACATCTCATCTACAGCCAACTTGTATCTCGAGTCGCCGTTGCTAACACACTTGCGAATGATAGCTTCGTAGACAGTAAGGGGAGGCTTGAATCCGGCGGTCTTCATCTCTTCAAGATAGAAGAATGCGTCTTCGTATGTCGTCTGGGTAGCGCAGAGGATGATCAAACGCTCGTATGTCACCTCGTTCGGTTCAATATTTGCCTCCCGCATATCACTCAAGAGACGATCGCCCAGCTCGCGATGTCGGACGGCGATACATCCCGAAAGAAGCCAGTTGTAGGTATCCACTGTAGGCTTGACGCCAAAGTCGGGGAAGACCTTGTAGATTCCAATAGCACGTTGAAGGTCGCCAAGGGACGCTGCCGCATGAATGGCGGTATTCAGAGCAATAACATCGACAGGCTTGCCACCCGCATGTAAGTCCTCGAGAAGGGCCCAGGCCTCGTCAAGCGCCTCAACACTTTGGGCAATAACTTTGAATATGGGGATGCCAGACTCGGGGAGAGGTTCAATGCCGTTGGTACGCATGAGTTCAAGCAGGGCGAAAGCTTCCTTGAGGAGGCCAGCTCCAGCAAAACATTCAATGAGAGGTACAAAATGGTATTCCTCCCATGCGACACCGATAGACTGGAGAACGCGGAACACGTCCATTCCAAGGGAGGTAAGTTTGTGTCGTGCAACCGTATGCAAGACGGCGATGCAGCAACCTTCATCGGGCAACATATTCAGGTCATTGACGACCTTCTGCCAACATCTTGTGACGCCGTCAGCCTAGAAAAAAGGTTTAAGTCTAAAACGTAGGACCTGCGAGCGGAAAACTCACATAGAGAGCGTCTGCCGAAGCGCTGAGACATTCCATCCAAACTACCCCATCCAACCGTCGAACAGCGGTCTCCTCGAATGCGTCTGCAAGGTCAAGGGCTAATCGAGGAGAATCAAGTTTGCAGGCGAGCCGAATGATTGCCTCTGCAGTCTGAAGTGTTGGCGAAAGGCCAAGTTTGTTCATTTCAGCTAGTTGTTGCAATGCAGATTCCAAGTTGTCCGCTTCGCACATCCTAGAGATTATGAGTTCATATGTCTTGTTGTTTGGTGGGATGTCATATTGCTCCATCAGGTCTAGGATGATCCATGTATCCTTGATATCCCGCGTGAAGGCGGCCTAAAGGTATGGACGACGTCCTAAGTGAGATGGTATGCTACATTCCTCCAAGAAGCTTCACCTTACACGAATAAGATAGTGGAACACTTCACGTTCCGGATAAATGCCCATTGCCCGCATGTCCTCGAATATCGCCCATGCTTCTATTGGTGCCTGTATGGTAGCGCACAGCGAAAGTAGATGGTCGTAAGTGATATTGTCCGGTCTTATCCCGGCTACCTTCATCTCCTGGCATAATCGAAAGACAGAGATTGTCCTTTTCCTGTCGCACAATCGTCCTAGCTCGAGGTTTGCTTTGGCAGTTGGTGAGGCTGCAGCGGGTCGAGAGACCATACGTTCGGGACGGCGAGTCTCTATGTCACTGTCCTTCTTGGAGATGAAGTAAGGATTCTGAGAGTCTCTCGAGCGGAATCGGGTTGCCGTTCTGGCATGTTGTTGACCGCGACCTGCATGAAACAATTGAACAAGAAAGCACAGATCACGGTGTAGGATGCGAACCTTGGAGATATGCTACTGCAGGCACATTCCGTTCAATGATACATGGCGTCCGTAGACTTCCTTTCACAACATTTCGTGAGCAGGAAGCCAACATTGCACACCCCACGCAATGCCAGCAAGAATAAGACCGACTGAGCGAGTTAGAGTCGGAAAGGCAAGCTTCGCAAAACTTGAGAATATTGTGCCCGCTAGGTTAGGGTTACAACGGACGCCCAAATGCAGCGAGATTCGCACGCATCCTGTTCCAACCTCCTATCGTCCGTTTCGGCCTCTTCTTTAAGTTCTCTCGCGATACAACACGCGATACATCTTGTTCCTCGACCCAGAACCGACTCACAGTTGGAAGTCTGGAGATACCCACGACGTCCAGGCGATAACCCCACTTTCTTGACGTCAGCCTCGGGCGCGACGCGAACAAACGAACGCGCCTTGTTCTACCTTGCATACCCTCAGATATCTTGAATACTGAATACTCTATACCATGGTCGGTATTGCATCTCGTATATAAAGTGGAACTATGCTAATTTTTTGCATAGTTCTATTCCGAAGCTATATTGTCCCGCCGTGGGCCGTTAGCCAAGGTATGGCTGGCTGCTCACATGGAGCGAAAGCTCTCCAAAACACAAACACTGCAGACGGATATTGAACAGTCTGTTGGTATGTTCATGCGCTTGCTACTTGAATCTGAGTGCTTACTGAATTCGCTGCGTAAAGATGCCATCATGGATCAAGAGGTGGAAGTGATGGCTCTGCGACTCAGTGGCCAGCTGTTGCTGGGCGTTGTCCGGATCTATAGTCGAAAAGCTAAATATCTATTAGACGATTGCAATGAAGCTTTGCTAAAGATTAAGATGGTATGAGCAGTCCAGACGAGAACCCTCTGAGAGACATCCTGATTAACCGGATTCTAATAGGCTTTCAAACCTGGTATTGTCGACATGACAGAGGACCAGCTTGCTGTAAACCGGAATGCTATTACCCTGCAGGACCACAATCTCGATCTGGATGCTCTGCTTCCCGATATCAACTGGTCTGTGTTGAACTCATGACCGCCACTCAGATGTTGAATCACTAACATTTATACAGGAACGTCGACTTTGAAAATCGTGTAGTTCAACCGGGGGGACAACATATTGCTCGAACGGCAGATATTACCCTTACGACCGCCGACGACTTCCAGTATGACTTCGATGAGCCAAATTATGGATTTGATCTCGGTCCCTCAGATGGAATTGGTTCACAAGATTATGACATTGATCTTGGACTTGATTTCGGTGACGGACCTGCGAGTGCTGTCGGAGAGCAGGCTCGTACTCACGATGAAGACGAGAGCATGGATGTCGAATATGGTCGAGACGCCGCGTCAATGCGGCATCCACGAGAATCTTTGGAGTCACATATTCTAGGTCCACGAAGGCCTCAGGATTTGGATGTGCTCTCTTATCGCAGTCGAGAAGCGTCGGAACACCCTTTTGGTGATGACTTGGATTTTGGCCCTGCACTCGGTGAGGGCATGGAACTCGACCTAGGGTTGGACTTCGGTGACAGACCGGCAAGCGAGGCTCCCAAGACTCCTCAGCTTACACCTTCAAGACAATGTATGTACATTCTGAAACTCTTTCTCCAGTTGATATACTGATCGTGTCTGAGCTATTCAGCGAGTCCTCTCTCTGAGCCTCCCGTGACTCCACCACCTGAAGTAGAGCTCACCCCTCATGTCGATATTGAGACTGGCAAGGAGAAGAGAAAACCAAAAGAAAAGAAGCAGATCATTGATAGCGTAACTGAACTTGCCGATGGCCCTGGTGCTCGACTAGGGAGAGGTCGGGGCGCTGCTTCCCAGCCTACAGCAGATGTCAGCAACATCCTCACTGAACACCCATTTTTACCTCGATCTTCTCTTGTCATGCGACTCATGGAGATCCGAGAAGACCCATTATCTCACTTCCTCCCTACAAAGGTCACACCAAACGGAACTTTCTTCGTTGCTGCACCGCCGGGGTTGGCACCCGAGTTGACAGAGCTCTTCATGAGACCTGTTTCAAACTTGGCTGCCCAGAAACGTCGGGCATCCCCCGAGAAGAATCAGGAAGAGGTACAGAGCCCGAGCAAGCGGGCACGAATAGAAGGTAGTGTTATTGGTGATGAGGAAGAAATTGAGGAACCTCGAAGGGCAGGCAGCCGTGCACCAAGCATCGCCATAGGTAGCGAAGCGCTTGGTGGCCGTCCTAGCATTGGTCCAGGACTCGATTTTGCTGACAACACGGCTGGTTTGGAAGACTTCCAGATGGAGATACCTGAATTTGAGCTTCCAGCAGATATTGGACCCGAGGAGAGAGCACGCAGCAAGTCTGTTTTGTCGGCTTTGAGCCGGATGTCGACGCCCGCTCTCGAAGAAGGTCATGAGTCGTACGCGGATGTAAAATGTCCTATCGCAATTTTCGACGAACGAAGTTCGTCGTCGCAGGAGACGAGTGCCTCGAGCGATGATGGGTACAGTAGGAATACTGTAAAGGCTTTGTCCATCATCCGACGTGAGTTGCAGCCGACTGCAGAGGGGGAGGAGAAGGTGTTGAGCTTCAAGAAAATGGCCGAGAAGGTGAGCTTCTGAGTTCAGTTTTCTTATTACCCATCCTGACGTGGATGGGTTCAGGCATCGAAACGAGCCGCTGCTTCATTCTTCTTTGAGGTCCTCCTACTTAGCACGCGCGATGCTATCAAGGTGTCTCAGGATGGTCCCTTTGAGAATATCGAAATTCGAGCGAAGGATAAGCTTTGGGAGCGCCAACGTCATAGCTCTTTCGCTCCATCCACCTTCGCGGCCGAGTCGTCTCGTCTTGGATCCGTACGCCCTTCTCAAACACCTAGTAGACGTCAGGGATCTGTTACTCCATCTATTGCTTCTACGTTTGGTTTATAAGCTTATCGTTATCTTTCTTGGTTCTTGGAACCCTGAATAAGACATTGCTATCCAAATCGTTCTGTTGGTCTTCTTGCTTTCTACATCTGTTCCTGATTCTTGCATTATTCCTATTTGCGTACCTTTTTTTCCCATGACTAGTGGTGAAATGACTTGCAGCCCTTGTTTTAGCTTCCAGTTCACGATTTGTATAAGTAATTCAACCTAACCGATCCTTGATCCTGGACTTTGTTATAAGCGCTAGAACATCGCATTCAAGATGGCTTCGATTCCAAGTTGAACTAACTTGCACTTGAATATTTACTACCGCCAAGCCTTCACTTCATTGACGGAGACATGGCAAGTATCGCACCAGTCCCACAGAGTCGGGAAGGGGACTACGAACTTGGCAGGCATCTCAGCACTTCGTTAAAACACGAAAACGGGCACATCTGTGGCGTCGATTCTCCAGCGCATAATTATGAACACCAGCAGACCTGCGAGTTCGATCAGTTGGAGGATGAACGTTGCAACAGCGATATGGTCGTGCAGATGTCACCTCCACAGTCTTCCCAAAGCTCTACTCAGCTTGATTCAGATTATGCTGCTGAAGGTCCTTCCTCGGAGCGGTCAGATTTTACGGCGGAAACATACCACACTTCTTCTGCGGAAACCGGTACTGCCATTAGTATTGTAAATTATCTCTTCGTCTTATGTACTAAAATGCGTCTTCTAATCTGCCCTTTCCAGGATTCAAGTGGTGATAGCTTCTCCATGCTTCATCCGGCGTGGAAGGTGGCGTCGGAGTCAAGTATACGCACCGTAAGCGTAGCTGTCAGTATGCTTTATTTGTTGTAGTATTTATCACACCTGCCATCGGATTCTCATCGTAGGATTGTCAGTTTGAACCTGGGGAAGAAGAGACGAAGACAACGCCTCAAATTGCGTGGCGACGAATTGCCAAGATCGCTCGCGATCGTGATGAGGCCAAAATTAAAGATTGCAAAGAAGGTATTGATACTCTTCTAGTTTTTGTGAGTTTATGGTTTCGATGTAAGTTCTAGTTTGATTGAACTAAATTCCTCTGCTTTAGGCAGGCCTTTTCTCTGCCGTCCTCACTGCATTCGTGGTTGAATCATATCGACTACTTCAAGATCCCACAGATGTCTCTGTGCAATTATTACAGCGTATCTCACAGCAGCTGGGAGAGCTCACTACTTCCAATGCCAGTACCGCTGCTTCGATATCTGTCTCATCTTCCCCGTTCACAGCATCGTCCTCTGCAGTGAGAGTCAATGTCCTCTGGTTCGCTAGTCTGGTCTGCAGCCTAGTGACGGCTTCGCTAGGCATCCTAATCAAACAATGGCTTCATCAATACATGTCTCACGATAGCCTATCGCCCGACGGACAGCTGCGTATCCGACACCTCCGCAGAGAAGGGATGGTTCGCTGGCGGGTTTTCGAGATCATTGCCATGCTGCCAACCATGCTGCAGTGTGCTCTTGCTTTGTTCCTTTTAGGCCTCAGCGAGTTTCTTCGCACATTGCACCCTGTCGTGGGTGGCATCATCTCTGGCCTTATCCTCATCTGTGCCTTGTTCTTTGCGCTAGCAGCTATCGCACCTGCTTTTTCCTCCCAGTGCCCTTACAAGACACCCGTGCTCAATGGCTTGCTTCGACGCCTACGGCTTACTTTTTTTGTGGCGGGGGATTGTATACTCTACTGGAGACTTCACCTTGTCAGCGGCTTACGGCGCTTCTGTGTCCTTCACACTACGATTGGCATCAGGAATCTATTGCAATACCTCTCAAATCTATTACAATCTTCGTTGAACTGGATCGCATCCCGCATTCGATTATGCACTTCTCGTTGGGCTCTATTTGTCTCAAGATCTCGAGATCGACTAGCGTGTTGGTACGAGTTAGAAGTGCTGGGAGATGGACAAGTCAGAGTTCGACATGACAATCTGCCTATCGAAGAGAGCAGTATCCGTTCTATGCGTACCGCCAACGTACGGACACTCATTGGTTTGGATGCAGAGTTTCCAGATGACGAGTTCCTCGACCTTGCTACACGATGTCTTTCTGCCTCAGAAATAGGAATGGCCGAAGTACTGGATTGTGTCTCGCATATGATTAGTCATCGCTCTGGCCGAAAACCTGCCTTGTCTCTCAAGGAGCTTCCTCCCCATTGCAAAGACAAGTGTTCCAAGTTGCTCTATGGGACCATCATGGATGCAATGAATCGGAGCCTCAAGTGTCACGATAATTGGAATTTCCGTTGGTCAAGGATTGAGGGTGATGCGCTCCTTTTCTTGCTCAAATATCGGCAATGGTCTTTGAGGCATGAGGTCGATCTCAAAATGGTCATAGGACGGGCTTTGCAGGTAGGCTCGGAGGGTGCGGCATGGGTGCTCTATGGTGTAGATCGCAATATCGACTTGCTTCGCCTTTCATATACCGGTTGTAAGGGTCCTAGTCTTATTTCTATCCTTCCACCAACATATTTACTCATTCTGCTTAGATTTGCCTAGCGTGATTCAAGCGGCCCATCATCTGATATTGTGGGGTCACCCCGATCAGTACGGCGGCTGCAGAGTCTCACCTGGTATCAATACGAACGCCGTCTGTGAAGGCTGTTTGTGGCATGACGCACTGGGCATGCAAATCCACCGGTCAAAGCACACGAATGCCATGGAGCTTTGTGACGGTTCTCAGATCTGCCTCGTTTTACGACGGCTTGAACTGCTGTACCGGCTCACGTCGCTTCTTCATATCGTTCTGTTCTTGGTCACTCGAATGCCGGTCGAAGAGCTGCGTAACCACGCGATGGAGGTTCTCGATCTCCAACACGCATTTGCGAATAGGGTTCGTTTCCTTGCTCCTGAGTGCTTATGGACACGTCGGGTCGATCTGGTATTAACTGGAGGAACCGCACAAACATTCCTTGAGCATATTTCTCGCCACCTAGAACCCACGCTATATCATCTTGTAGAGCGGATGGAGAAACGATGCCCGGAGATTCTTTGCCGCGAGCTTCTGGAGCTGGTTCAGGAGCTACACGGGAAAGCTAACAGCGAATAGGCCATCATATTATCTTGCGCTCTCACTAGCTTTCTGCCGATTTGACTTGCCCTCGGTGACGTGTCCGAGCCATTTAGACACCGCTTTCCCCGATATGCCGAGAGGTAATCAAGTATATTGGTACCAGTGCTGGCGCCGAAGTGCGTTAGTATAAAGGAAATGGGACGATCCCCTAACACAGACTGTCTCTCAGTCGTCTTTCACATGAACGCACTCCTTACACTGAAATTTTATCAAAGGGATGCTGATTACTGCTTCGTTATTCGTATTTCTTGTTTGATTCTTATACTGCGTCAGGAAACTTGGCTCCAGACAACCAGGATTACCTCCTGGACCTCCCACGCTGCCTGTCATTGGCAATCTCCACATGCTCCCCAGCATGCATACTTACCTTCAATGTACGGTAGACATTCAGCAATGCTTAAGCGCTTAAACTCCGACTCTGTTGTACTGCTGTCCCTATTAGGAGAATTTCACGGAGGTGCTGAATAATAAACACAAACAAAGGGTGCCACAGCAAGAACGAAGATATCGAACGTCTATGCTGAAGCGACACGAAGCTGTTTATGATACAGGCAATTGTTAACTCATATACTCAATAACTCGATAGGTCATACAAGCGGGGCCAATAATACAGATCGGATAAGACTTCTGAGTCCTGCAACACGCGCTCACAAAATACATTCACTGATCTTCGTCATCTTCGAAACCGGACTCAAAGAGGTAATTCGCTGCGAGCTCCTCGTTCTTATCGCAAGCGAAGTACGCCTGAGCGGCGGCAGTCCTCGAGAAACCGAGAGCTTCCAACTATCACAGGGGTAATGTCAGCTTACGAAGGTGTATAGCGATAAGCAACGTACACGTTGGATAGCTGCTTGCTCCTCTGGTGTGACTTGGATAACTTGTTGACCACCACTGAGAAGCTGCATGAGCGCCTCCGGGTTTTGAGCGAACAGTTGGGCAAGCTGTGGGTTCTCAGTGGCCATTTGTTGCAACATGGGTTGGATCATAGCGGGGTTCTCAGCCATCGTTTGACGAAGTTGCTGGACACGGGGGTCGTTCTCGAGGGTGGCTAGATCAACACCACCCGGCGCAGCAGCAGCAGCGCGCTGGCCCTGAGGTTGACTCTGTTGTTGTTGCTGAGCAAGCTAGAAACTTCATCAGTATCGAACACCATAATGAAGACATGTAGACACACTTGGAAGAGGTTCTGAGGTTGGCCAGGTTGAGCCTGTGGTGCTGCAGGAGCTGCAGCTTGTGGTGCCGGTGCCGGCGCACCACCGGCCGCAGGGGCCTGTGCAGGTGCAGGTGCAGGTGCGGGAGCGTGTTCCTCCTCGAGATGAGCGGGGATACCCTGTAGCACGTAAGTAACTTTAAGGAAAATTCCACAGCAATATTGAAGATGACGTACACTAAACAGATATTCCACAGCACGATCCGGGTTATTGTAACTAGCCCTCAACGCTTTCATGACTTGTTCTCGCTCGAAACCCATCTCCATCATATTCTGGATCGTGGCTTGAAGTTCTGGTCCAGTCAAGAAAGTGCTCATATCGCCGAACGCGCGATCTTGGGCAGGGGCTACTGGTGCGGCTTGAGCGGGAGTAAGGATCGGTGCATTCGGGGGTTGAGGAGCTGCTGCTGGGGCCGCAGCAGGTGTTGACGGGGCAGGAGCAGGTGTAGATGGGGCAGCGACTGGTGCAGGTGCGGGTGTAATGGGGGCTGCAGGTGTCGCGGTGCTAGTTGAGGCGGCCGGTGTCGCAGTGGGCTTGGGCTATCACGAAAGTTCCGTTAGCATCGTGTGAAGACTTTGAGGTTGCGACGAGACGTACTTTTGAGACCATCAACACCAAAAAGTCTTTCTCCTTGATGTCGCATGATTCTATTGTCTTACTATCAGGGAGCACCTTGCCTGCGAATGATGAGACCTCCTGATGCTTAAGGACAAGAATTTGACATACCAGAGTAGATAATCTTCTGGTGTTCGATAGGATGTCCCTGACTTTCCAGGATCTTTTTCTTCAAATCGGCCACAGTGTCTGTAGGCTCTGTGTCGATCTAGATTGTGCCAATATGTAAGTCCATCTACGAACGATCCCTGAACTGATTCTAGACTGCTTACCACAAAAACCTTCTGTTGCAAAGTCTTGACTGTGACCTTCATGATGTGTGCTAATCAAAGAAAGTAGAAAACAGAGGTGATAGTTGATGGTGGTCGCGGATGAGAACAGAAGTCAATAGGACGCGTACCCTTACAATTCCACTTCGCTCGGCTGGCCCCGACCTCTCCGGCCCGGACCTACCCAATCCAGTGTCTGTCCCTGCAGGTGAGCACACTTCCTGCTTGCCGTTATCCACATTCACCTCTTCCTCGTCGTTGTCGTCGTCGAGCACGATGGAACCAGAACCTGGCGACGACTATATTCGACGCATAGCGACTCATATCCGCAACAACGAACAGGGTCTCGCAGCCGCTGGCCTCAATCCAAGGCGACGTCCGAAAGCGAACGCCAATGACAGCACTTCTGTGTTCAATCCTTTGGGCTGGTTTGCCACTGATACTAACCAGTCGACGCCATCTGTAAAGCCGGTGGTTCTCTCTTTCGACTCTCATCATCTATTCTACTTGCTTATGCGAATGGAGGCGATCGGGATCGACGTTGGTAGTTTAGACGTGAAAGTGGAGAATCCGTCGCGTCCGATGAATTATGTCAATGTATTACAAGGCTTGGATAAGTCGGACACGCTCTCCTTGATGTCCTTTGCTACCACATTCTCAGCCGTCTCTCGACTCTCGCTTGGTTCTGGTTGGTGGGGTCGACCCGCCCCTCCATCGCTCGATTCGGAACTCAAGTTCATTTATAGTAGCTTCACGAAGCTGCCAGCCCTTTCTCTCCACGCGCCAGAACCTCGCTTAATCGCTGAACTAGCGAATGAAGCACCAAACGAGAACGCCGTCCCTCTTGACGCGTTCAAGAATCTCCAGGTACTAGAATGCGTGGACATTGACCCACGCACTATACTCGGGTGGGACAGGCTGGCAGAAAGCCTGAAGAGTTTGACGATAAAGAGAAGTGGACTGGAGGATGTGTCTGATATTTTCATTGGTGCTGTTTTGGATGACCAGTCTAGAAGAGAAGGAAAGACGGGCAGTGAAAGGCTCAGGCGGATACCCAGGGCGCCTCCATCGAGGCAGAATTCCTTCTACTCTACTAGGCTTCCGAAATCCGTCCCCGAAGATCCAGAAGATATCCTTGCTGAGGAGAGTCTCAGTACTCCCAGCCCTGAAGATACCCCCAAACCCCCAGAGTTTATGCAACTCCCGTCCTTGAAATGGGCGTTCTTGCGACATCTATCTTTGGCAGACAATGCACTCACGTTTATCCCCTCATTTCCTCTTCCTTATCTCACTTCGGTAACTCATCTCGACATCTCCTCTAACCTCCTTGTGTCCGTTCCATCAGGTCTCTCCGCTCTTTACAATCTCGTCTCACTCAGTCTCGCCGACAACATGATTGACTCCGTATTAGGTATCTACACGATGCTTGGAAGTATCCTTTCTCTCAATCTCTCTCGCAATCGTTTGGAGAATATCTGCGGTCTGGAACGTCTCCTTGCCCTGCAGCGTGTGGATCTCCGGAATAACCTCATTGACGAGAGCGCCGAGATCGGCCGCCTCGCGACTCTTCCAAACATATCAGAAATTTGGGTGGAGGGTAACCCACTTTGCGACATCGAAGAAGCGTACCGAATACGGTGCTTTGACCTATTTTGGAAGGAGGGTAAAAGCATCACGTTGGATGGTTCACCACCGGGGTACTACGAGAAGAGGTACCTCAGTTCGCCGCCGCCAGAGCAGATGACTTCTTCGCGACCGGTGTCTGTTGCATTGACACCTCCGGCTGTCCCAGTCGGTAGTCCACCACCTGTTGCCAATGCTGCTACCGCTGGTCCGTCGAAGAGCAGCACACAACAATCATCACCGACTTCTTCACCTCCATCACATACAGCCTCTCCTCAGTTAGCAGCTGTGAGAGGGCGGAGGAAGAAGAATAAGCGAATTGTGGATCTAGACGGTGGGAGTGATGCTGGCAGTTCTCGAAGCGGCTCACATTCTCGCATTGCAACAGACGTTACTCCATCTCTTGCGGCTGCTCGTACAACGAGTCCTATCAAGGCTATGGCAGCGGAGTCATTTCCAAAGCTAAAGCCGGTCGCGGGACCATCCTCTGGAGCTATGACTGCTAGCGCATCAACCATGACTCCCGTACCACGACCCAAACCCATCTCTCGACATAGTCGACATCACACCGAACTTACACCACCCTCTCCATCTGTCAGCAAGGACGCTTATGACGGATTTCTACCGTCCGCATCGGACGACCTCCATACTCTTGGTCATCGTCGTTCAGCGACCATGTCTTCCAAGTCGGGGAAGCGGCGATCAAAAATTTCAGCTTCGGTGTTTGAACCAGCTTCAGACTTGGTTTCGAATGGGAAGGATAAGGAGGGGAAGCAATTTGCTGAGGCTGAGGCGTTCCGAGCGCGAATAGAGGCGTTGCGAGCGGATATGGGGGATGGGTGGTTGAAGGTGTTTAATCAGTCGCATTTGGGTTCGCCGGGTGTACCGTCGGGGTGACACATGCTTTGTTTTGTATATGGGTTTAATTTGTTTAGGTTCTTTCGTAGGCGTATGTGTACATGTCAAATACCACTCACCTTCTGTCTGAGGTTTTTGATTTGCAGAGGTCTAGACTCGAGGCTCTTCAGCACTTGATTTACAGTGACTGATTGGCTTATGCATGCGCTCTCGAACGTTGCACTCCTGAAACTTTGAAAGCTTAAGAGACCCGTTGATAAATCTGCTTGATGTTAGTTTGTTTTCACCTCGTCTAGGGTGTAGCGGTGCGAGGCCGGCGTCTTCGCCCTTCGCTTCTGATCAACTGTGACTAGGCAGGTGAATGAGCAAGAGAGTGCAGAAGCTGGTGAGATTTCATTTTCACCTTATTTTATCTTTGTAGTACTCAGAATCATGAGGAAACCATTTTCAATATTGCTGCTATAGCTGCTGAGGTTGTTGAGGTTTCTGAGAATATAGTCTAGATCCATCACACATTTTCTTCTCTTTATCTAGACTCTTGTTCATCTCACTAGTTTCTTCAGACCTTAGTAATTTATATTCTTCAACAACGGACACCCCATTCTTCATACTGACTACAGAGATTCCAACCTGAATGCTGCGGAGGCGAATGGAGGGAAGAATCATTAAACGTTCAGGAGTGGTCGGGGTCCGATCAGGAGGAGAGGTTGGGCAGGTTGAGACGGGGAAGGCGCCCTCGCACTTGTTTCCACTTCTCTTTGCTGGCCTCTCTTAACCTCCTGTCGTTCATTACTCTCACCACAGTCTTTAGCCATGGGTGCCAATCTTTCAAAGGCGTTGGGTGCGTACAACTCCTGCTCCTACTCAACGAACAGGTCCGCTCAAGGTGCCATCGCCTCTGCTACGCCGTTCCGACCACAGGAAAGATTTTTGGAAACAAGGAGATGAGATTGTTGATGCTGGGTCTCGATGCAGCTGGGAAGACGAGTGCGTATATGCAATTTACGGGGTGGCGTTATACGAAATGCTGAAATGGCGCGTGACAGCTATCCTGTACAAACTGAAGTTGAATCAGTCTGTGACAACCATTCCTACTGGTATGTTCCATTCCGCTAGCCTTCTCGACGTGTGCCGGCCAGGGATACCATCATTATGCGTTCTCACGCTTATCGCGATTCACAGTCGGCTTCAATGTCGAAACGGTTACATACAAGAATGTCAAGTTTAATGTGTGGGACGTTGGAGGACAAGACAAGATCCGACCTCTATGGAGGCATTACTATACCGGCACGCAGGGCCTTGTCTTCGTTGTTGATAGTCAGGATCGAGAGCGGATAGATGAAGCGAAACAGGAGCTTCACCGAATATTGAGCGATAGGGAAATGAAGGAATGTCTACTGCTTGTGTTCGCAAACAAGCAGGATCTACCGGGAGGTGAGTTTTGTCTTGTTATACATGTGGTTACGGATGCAAACGTCTCTCGCTCAGCCATGTCACCGGCGGAAGTTACTGAGAAGTTGGGATTACACCGAATGCGCGACCGGTCATGGTATGTGCATCCAAGGTACGTTCACAGTCCCACATGGCAGCGTCTGCCCTCCACGTTGAAACCGCATTTCCAGTTGTGCAACAACCGGAGAAGGTCTGTTCGAAGGCCTTCAATGGCTCTCTCAGAACGTCAAGAAGCGGCAGCAATAGATGCCTCAACTTCATCGGATGACCGCCATTTCACTTTCGACGTCTTTATATCTGTTTTACTTGCTAGATACCCTCCTCTTTTCTCCTTTGGTGGTATATCTTGTTTCCACTCCCTAATGGCCCGCATGACGCACGCACGCCCTCGTACGACGGACAATTTCGGTCCACACACGGTCTCAACTCTCTCCATTTGCTCGCTACCTAGTCCCTTTTCTCTTTGTTTCTGCGTTTTGGAAATAGCCATCTTACCCTCCTCTCGATGATACACATATGTACACGTCTTTTAATCTGATGGATATCCCTCTCATGGTGAAGGTTTTGGATAACATCTGACAAATAATCAACTTCCTCGAGTGTTCGTGTAAGACAGCATCAACAGAGTCCGAAGTTTGAACATGATTTACAAGACATGCATTCGGGCGTCGGCCGTGAGATAAAATTCAGTTGCATGTACACTCTTGCTCATGATGACGCCTTGCGAAAGTGCTCGGAAATCTGTAGGCACAACGGTGTCCTCTGAACTTGTTCCCATACTTCCATGATGCAGGCTTCCCTCCTAGGAAAGGCCTTCTCGCGAGGATTTACCTCCAGAGCTGTTGACGGATTCACTGGTGCCATCGGGAACACACCGCTGGTACGTTCAGATAAAACTGATATTTCATGCTGTTCGTCTATAGTTTTGCGAAACTTCAATGTAGATTTACTTGAAGAAGTGGTCAGAAAAGACTGGATGTAACATCGTTGCCAAGGCGGAGTTCCAGAATCCTGGAGGAAGCGTAAAAGATCGTGCTGCACTTGGCGTTATACGGGATGCTGAGGAACGAGGTCTGTAAGTACGCCGCATTGGATTTTCAAACATGCTGTTCGTCTTTTGACCTGTGTTTCCCTCTATACAGTCTGAAACCAGGAGGAACAGTCGTTGAGGGAACCGCAGGAAACACTGGTATCGGTCTCGCCCACGTTTGCAGAGCTCGTGGTTATGACTGCGTGATCTTCATGCCGAACACACAAGTACGCCACTATCTCGCTCATTTTCGAATCACGCTGAATTGTTGTTTTCAGAGTCAAGAGAAGATCGACCTACTTCGTATGCTCGGAGCCCAAGTCTACCCCGTCCCAGCCGTAGCCTACGATAACCCAGCCAATTACAACCATCAAGCACGAGACTTTGCAAAGAACCTTCCGAATGCTGTCTGGACAGACCAATTCGATAACGTTGCCAATGCGAAAGCGCATTACCTTACTACGGGACCAGAGATTTGGGAACAGACAGATGGGAAAGTTGATGCGTTCATTTGTGCGACTGGGACTGGGGGTACACTTGCTGGTGCGGGGAAGTACCTGAAGGAAAAGAGTGATGGGAAGACGCAGATTTGGCTGGCGGATCCTCCAGGCAGTGTTCTGCATAGTTATATCCAAAGCGGTGGGAAGCTCGTTGAGAGGACTGGAAGTTCCATCACCGAAGGTGAGTTACTTTCGAGGAGTGTGTCCCCCAACTCACCTTAGATTCATCCTTCACCTTTAATACAGGTATTGGCCAGGGAAGAATTACGAACAACTTGGCAACACTCGTGAACGATATTGACGGCTCACTGAATATACCCGACGAGAAGTCTATCTCTGTCCTCTATGACCTTCTAGATACGGAGGGTTTATATCTCGGAGCTAGTTCATCACTTAACGTTGTTGCTGCTATCGAACTCGCACAGAAGCTGGGACCAGGTAAGCCTCCTTGGATACACGTATCTGTCTACTTAATTCAAATGTCTTCGATGCGCAGGGAAAACTATTGCGACAATCCTCTGCGACGGCGCTTACCGCTACCAGAGCCGACTCTTCTCGAAGAAGTGGCTACAATCCAAGGGTCTTCAGGACGCAATACCCGACCACCTGAAGCATTACGCAGTTTTGGATTGATCGTCCCTCGCTTTTTAGTTCTTTCATCTTTATATGCTTTTACCTCGCCATACAAAACACATATAGAAATAAAAACAGAAATGAAACAAATCAAGCAATGTCACGGTGGGGGTATAAGTATATCACAGGAATCAGTCCCTTGTTACAGAATCTCGTCAACGGTCATATCGCCCTCCTTGTACTCCGCCTCTGGCATGCTCGCAAGCTTTCCAGTCCCACTTGCAGACCTGCTGGTACTGGTGGACTTGACGTTCATGTTCTGCATTCCCAGGGGAATCCGGGTGACCCGGGTGATCGTCGTCTTGGGCTTATCATCAGGATGAACAGCGACGGACTTATAAAGAAACAGTTCATGTCGCAAGGCATCGTTCTCGTTGATGACTGCATCTCGGTCTCGCGTGGTCATTAGGAGGTCCTGTCAATAGATCGTGTCAGCAAACGTGAAATTTGACAGTCACGAAGCGGCTTCACTTGTTTAGTCTCGAATAACTCTCGTCGAATCCGGTCGACGTACATGATCCTCTGCGCAGGATTATGATGGCCCAAGATCTCAGCATTGAATCTGCTGACACGTTGAGCTTCATCCTCAGCAAGTGCGTTCCGTTGTATAAGCGCGTCAACCTCTTCGACCAAGGACGTATACGCTTCTTGGTATCTCTCGGCTTCGGCCAAGTCCGCAGTCAACCTTGCAAGCGCATTTATCAAAACCACCCGCGAATGGGATGTGACAGACCAAGATGACTTACTGTTCGATATCAGCTACGAGAGCTGCCTCAGCGGCTTTGGCTTCTTGGACACTGATTGCGAGCTTCTGAGCAATCTGTTTCTCCTGGGCTGCCATGCGCTGCAGTTTCTCTCTCTCTGCCTTAGCAGATGCCTCGGTTTCTTCAAGTCGCTGTTTGAGGCGCAATGACCCACTCTGAGCTACTGCCAAAGCTGATACGGTCTCCGAGAGTTGTGTTTGGAGGCGTTCTTGCTCGGTATGCAAAGACGAAATGGTATGCTGGAGTTCTCCTTGTCGAGCTGCGGAGACAGAGAGTTGCTTGGATTGAGCCTTTAGTTGAGCATCGCGGTCGTCTACATGCTTCAACAGTGAAGAGGAGTGTAAGAGGAGTTCCTCAACCCTAAGTCGGTCCAAGTGCGACCACGACACAAGAACGTTCGCGATTGCTTGCTGTGTTTCCAAATCATCTTTCTGGAGTTCCGAGCGGCAAGATGCTAGTTCCTCGTACAAGGACGCGTCGAACGGCGCGTTCGGGGGTACATCTCGCGCGTCCTTCAACAACGAAGAGTAGACACCAATTTCGTATTGGGCTTCGCGAAGCTGCTGAGACAAGAAGACATTATCGTCTTTTGTCGTCCTGATGAGGTGAGCGAGTTCGGTGACTTGGCCCTCCGAGTTGGCTAACTTGCGCTCCAGACGAACGATGCGGAGTTGCTTCACAGCGCTCTCTGATACGAGTTGATCGTATTTGATCTTCGAGACAGTGGAGGAGGCCAGACGACCGTATTCTTCAGCGACACGCGAGAGCACAAGTCGATGCTGCTCGAGCTGAGTAAGGAGCTCGTCTTCTGTGTCAGCTGCCTGATCTTGCAATGCGGTTAAAGTTGATTTCGCCTTCTGAGCTTCTGCTTTGGTCTCTTTGAGCTCTACCTCCAACAACTTGGTTGCATCTTTCGCAGCCTGCAACTCAGAGTCTGTCTTCGCATTGATTCCGAAAAGCTTCGTTTCCAGTAGTTCACGTTTCTTCTTCTCGGCTGCGACTGCTTTCTCCAGTTCTGCTACCTTCCTATCCCTTTCGCGAAGCTCGTCACGGCGTTTCGAATCCAGAGCTTGCAAAGCTTTCTTTGTTTCTCCTAGATCGCCTTGTTTAGAAGCTAGCTGGTTACGCTCGTGCTCGGATATGCGTAACTTTGCACGGAGATCTTTAATTTCGAATTGTCCTGAGTCGTGCGCTTTCTTGGTCTCTTGGAGACGGGATTCCAGAGATTCGTTCTGCTTCTTGAATTTGTCCAGGCGGTCTGAGTGTTCAGCATTGGTTCTCTGGACGCGACTGAGCTCCGACTTTAGACGATCAACTTCCAAGGCATGCTGGTGGTACAGATGTTAGACAAAACAGTTTCTAAATCAAGGAGAACTTCTCACCGACTTCTTGCCCTCCGCGTACAACCTCTCTAACTCCTCTACTTTCCTTTGCAGAACCGCATAACGATCAGAGGATGTCTTGGTATTCGAAAATAATTTTGCTGCGGTCATTTTGGTCTCCGTATTATACGCATCTGGTCCTAGAATAACTCTGTCAGTTTCACCGCTGGCAGGGGTTTGTATTCCGGTAGTACCTACCTGGAACATCTGAACCCTTGGCTTTGAAACGGTCGGTCTTCTCTAGAAATGCACCGCGTTTGTAAGTGTCATATTCTGGGTCTATATCATAAAGCCATTGGCATCTCAGAGATACACGTGGATTTTGTATACTCACCGTGAACATCGTATGCGTTGGGACCCGGCACCTGAGACGCTGTTATCATGCTAAGATACCACAGTTTAGGTGGACATGTGTATTGTGAGCTCACGTTTTGCGGGCGGAAAACGATTCCCCTTGGGAAACATTTCGAAATGGTCACGGTTACGGTGGTAAAACTTGGAAGAGACGAATTATTTCGAACAAGGCAGTCACGTTACCGCGTCTGTTTGCTCATGTTTGGCAACGTCTTCAATCGACTTTGCCAAATCCGAATCCGTGCTGATCCTTCGTTCTTTCACCTTCATTCTCCTCCTCGATGACCGAAATGTGCGTTCGTCACAGCACAGCGCATTATTATGGATTTTATCTCGGAATGGCTTTTAGACCTCCGCAGGAGCTGAATGTCGACAATAATTACCTCCACGATGACAAAAGCAGCTTGAAGTCTTGTTCACTTTTTCGAGGCGATGGCTTCCGAGCAATCTATATCTCTCCCTCTATAGCTCTCTTTTCACTCCTTTCTCTGGAGGGTCTATGGACTTCGCTCTCTGTTCGCAGAACAGCATAGAGCTCGGATTTCCCATTCGAAGACTTATTCTCAGGGGAATTTACGATCTTGGTTTGGTGTAAGATGTTTATTGTTGCCTCCCATGATGAAAGGTCACATCCCCTATTCACAAGATCTGCAGAAGTACCTTGTACCATTCTGTATGTCTCCATACTCTTGCGCTGAATAGCATTCGAACAGACCTGTAGTTCGACAGTTACAACACTAAACAACTTTCCCAAATCGTAGCATTGATCTGGCCGCCGGAGGCTTCCCACACAAATTTTATCCTCAAAGCTCCTACTATTCATCAGACCATACATGAGGTGTACGCGTTTGTATACCCCTACATTCTATCTTACATCTACAATTGTCTAACGACTCCCAGGTAATATTCCGTGGAACTAAAATTGTCAGGGGTATGGCTTCTCCAACGTCCTTTAGGCAAAGTCGGAGTCTGCGAGAAATTATATCTAGTGATTTGCTTCAGACTTTGAAATTGAATACGCACCATCAAAACAATCGCCGCAACCTATAGATAGTGAGTGAATGATTAGCTACGGCACATAGCATAGTAAAGTTAAAGCTGACCATTTCCGTTGCTCAAGCAAACACCATGTCTGTCCGCGAAGAAGTCGAGACCATTGATCTTGTTGGCACCCGTGTCGCCGCATCCTAGAAGGCCTTGGGCTTCGGTCCTGGTCTGCTCTTTGTCCGGATTATCGGAACGCGCGACGTACACGCAACCTGCAGAAGGTCAGGTTATTCACAACGCCAATGAATTGAAGACCGACTCGAACTCACAATTGCCGTGGCATGCGACGTTGTGAGCCACGGCATCTATCTCGAGGGAGATTGGGTTGGTATAGCTGTATTGTGAATGAGTATAAGTATGAGCGCTCTCTATGCAGGCGATTTAACGCTTACTGGCAAACATTGGATGTGCCCGCCCATGCACCATTCCATGTTCCAGGGTCAACAAGGGCCTGGCAGTCGGATAGAGTCGCGTCTTCCGTCGTCCCACAATGAACACCGACTTGCGTGAGCACGGATGGAGCGGCGATCAGGGCAGTAAGGGCAGAGATGATGGAGAAACGCATGGTGAAGTTTCAGTAAGTTCACAGTAAAGGGCTTGAAGTGGCTGATATGTGACTAGTTATCGAACGGGTTGATTGAGGAGTAGAGGAAGACCAGGTGGGCATTTATACCTTTCTGACCTCTGACTGCGGCGCGCCTGGATCCAAACACTGCTGACTTCGTAGCTGGTCAGAAGGGTCGCCGCTGTCCGAAAACTGGTGACCAGAAGTTTTCTTATTTGACATTGAGGCACTGAAGAGGGCTACTGTTGAGGAGCTCAATAGTTCTCTTCTGTTGGTAGTTTGGCACTTGCTCCAAACTCGGATCTCGGCAGTCTTTGAAAGGGAATAGCCTGTCTTACTCCAGTGACTAACACAAATTCAACCCCTACTTTCTTGCTATACTTAGGGTTGACCGATGCTTGGCGTTCATTGCTTCTCCAACATCCAGCGGCGACATATCGGCAGGATACTGTGCCGATCCATCGTCGGGTTAAAGGTCAAGGCTGTAACCCTAACGCACGGTATGATAAAAGGATACTACTTTTAATAGCATGATGGATTTCGTTATTGACCCTGCGGGAACATGAGACTCTGACTCGATCATGTCAACTTATCAGTGGAGCTGCAAATTCTTCCCAGAGAGCTGCATAGTGGATATATCCACTTCATTTGCAAGTCTGCGATACCTGCATATGGTTGTCGGAGGTAACGTGGTTCATCGTCACCTGTGCTTCGGACCCAAATGTGTCATGCAGTTTGGCCATTCCAAGCTTCGGCTTCATTAGAGGATTCCTCAAAGCTCCTGTTGGTTCGAGATTAGAGGCTCAAGCTGAATTCTACTTAGGCCAGTGCATTGCAGTCATATAGCTTTGCGCGCCGCGTTGAACGTGAGAGCTGGCGATTTTGCATCAGGAGTTTCGACTCTGTGGCTACTGACAGTTTCAAGGATCTGATCATGGATTGGGCTTATAAAACAGCGATGACACTGTACAGGTCTTTTATGATGCTCCAGCATATGCCAGATTGTACTTCATACTGTGTCTGCGTAAATTGAGGGCCGACGTCATGTACGGGCCATTTTGCCCATTTATTACTTGACGGTGAGAGGATTCCTATATGCAAAGCTCGGCTCGTCGGCCCCATTTTGAGCTGGGGACAGCACTGAAAGATTCTTTAGCTGCCGGGATACCGACAACAGTAAGATCAAGCGTCTCGACATCGCCGCTGAAAATAGTTCGAACCTGTGGCTCAGCAATGGTCACGGCCAGTTCAACATTTCAATTATGATATTGATTCAGATGGGGTTGTACTACTTACGTTGATTTGCTTTCGGATTCGTGCCTTGCGGCGACTGCTTTGATCATGAGTGATCAAGTGCCCCGACTTTTGCAGATGCGCACTGATTCTGGCTTCTGCCTGCAGACAGCGACCAGCGACCTTTCTGTTACATGCTAGATAATTTGGAGGTTTTCAGATCATAAGGGCCAAAGTGAGGGCCAGTCAGTCGCAACATGATTCCGGTATGCACGTACTTGTAAATGTTGATGAACATTTATAGTACATCTGCCGGCTCCATTCCGACTGAGTCCAGACTTTGCTGCCGTGACACCGTCCGTTTCGTTTCCAAAGAGAACAACGTTATGTATGTAGGCAGAAGACGGACCATGTCCAAGTAGTGTGCTTATTATTCCTTTAAAACTCGAGCTGCATATCAGTTAATGGGTGCAGAGAGGAGAAGAAATACTGTCATAAGAAATTGATGTTCAATTCAACAGAAACAGAAGCTACCCCGCTCTAATTGAAGTATGTCACACATGCTACGATTCCTCGTGATGTGTGACTACTCGCGTGCGTGACCATCTAGCTTGCATTTGACGACCACGAAGTCTCATAGTTAAATTGAACTGTCAGGCTCCAAAATTCTACTTCCTCCAGACGATACTTCGTGAATCAACTTGCATGATATCTTAACACGATGTCCAACTCTATTCCCTCACCCTGGATCGCCAACTATCTCACTAGTGTTGCAGAGACATATGGCGGCAATCTCTCCAGCGTAAAACCAGATTCGAAAGCGAGGAAAGCCCAGCTCATTAAGGTAGCTACTTCCTCCTCATGGTCCGCATAATATGTGGTAATTTATTTCCCCCAGTTTCTCACTCACCAGCGACCCAACCCAGAGTCGTGGGTATGGGCAATCATATCCGATAAAGTGCACCATATCCCAGTTCGATTCAGCAAAGAGACGATCCAAACATACATGAAGTGCGTATGACTTCTCCTGCTCTTTTTTTGTGGCAATGATTATAAACACACAAACATTTGCAGCGACCCATCGCGCATGGCTGAGCTGTTCACTGACCACAGAACTGTCTTTGTCACTGTGAAGAACATTCGACCGATGTTTACCCGCGTACCGATCGGCGATGGCAAGGGCTTGGATCCTCGCGAACGAATCGCCTTGGACGTGGATTCTGTGAATGTTAAAGGTGCATTCGGCGACGACCCATGGGGCCGTCCGAAAGATGTCGAGACCGTTGAAGACATTCAGTCATGGTCCAAGGGGCTCTCAGATCCGCACGGGGGTGGGTATGTGTTGTGATCTGGTGAGATGACACCATTGACTAATCCATTAATTCAGTGGTAATATTCTGAAGCTTCGGAAACAACAACAAGCAGATTCTTCGAATCCCCCAAAGCCCCTGGCAGAGCAGACAACACTGGTGCAACTGCAAGCCTTCACCACGAATTTTGCACACAAATCAACTACTAAAGACTCTGGCAGCTCAGCTCGTCAAGGGCCTGTGATTCCGGCAATGCCTCCTGTTCACATGAATGCCAAGAAGCAGCACATCCGGCGCTGGAAGGTTCGTCAACTATGTATTTGAGAAGCTCTGACTCACGTTCGCAGGTAATAGCCGAGAATCTTACTCACCATTTGCCTGATGACGAAATATATAGGACGGTAAAGACTACACCATGTACGTCTATGTTTACCTTTACGTGCCAACTCATATCCCTCATGTTGTTCCGTAGTCAGTCGTGGCGAGGCCGATCAACCTATAACGGAAGCAGGGCATACAGATTTTCACCGGGAGGCTGATTCCCCCAAGTTGCCTCATCGGAAAGGCGAGTCTGAATTCTTGCAACAAGTGCTCTTATTTGACAGCGACGCTAGTCCTTCATGCCCTTGATATCACGTCAAGCCCGCCAGCATCACCCAGGAGCAACTGGGATGGCGAACCGTCACCCCCAGCCACTCCATCACACTGGTCCCCTTCGATCAGGGGTAGTCAGAGGCATTCTTCTCCTGAGGTGGATAATGATGAGATAGAACTGCCTTCGCACAATAAGGCATATGACGATAATCTCCGTTCGCGCTCTAACAGTGCCATGCTGGTCGACGTCAAACAAGAAGAGAACCTCCGAGGTCCCTCACCCATTCAGAATGCGGGTAGAAGCTCAGTCCCTCCCTCTCCCATGTCTTCTGTACCGGCTGCACCTACGCCTGCACAAGGCCCCAAGCCACCACCACCCACGGCCTCAGATCAGTTAATGGATCGTGAAACGCCCAATCGCATAAAGGACGTTCCATCCACCTTTGGTTCTATGTATCCTCCGACTTCACCCTTCAGTCCAATGAGTCGCGAACAGGGTACGCCTCCGAGGCAGGACATAAAGACAAATCTCGGGGACAGGTCCTTCCATCCGTACCTGTCAGGCCCAGGCAGGATTCTAGTCCCAAATTCAGACTCCTCTGGGACTGCATCGCAGCCGCAGGGTCGATCGCAGTCTTTACCAGCAGTCTTTTCAAGCCAAAACCAACCGTTATCGCAAGTTCGAACATCGCAATCACTCCCGAACATTTTGGACTCGCAAAGCTTGATTGTACAGGATTCTCAGTCACAACCACAGGGGCGCTCGCAGCTTCGAAACGAAATTATGCCTTCTTCCGACCAGGTTGAGCCACCAGCGTCTTCTCGCATCGATGTAAAAGAGCCAGCTACCCCTTCCCCGGTGGATTACATTCCCTCTACGCCAGCACACGCCCCGCCTGTCTCTCAGGTTTCGGTTATCGAGACTTGGCCGTCATCTGAAATTCGTCGCAATAACAGACGACCTCCGACCTCCCCGATTGAACCCGCTGACTCGCCATTTAAAACGCAAAAACTGACTGGAAACGAGAGCAAAAGGGAGACAGGAGATGCAGACGATGTTGAGGCCAGGGTTGCTGCCGAATATGCATTGAACGATGAAGACAAGAGTGCAGAAGCTGATGATGAAGCCGCATCGAACGCCTCGACTGACGATCCTGATTCGCATGCTCTGGAGGAAGAACCCGAGTACGTCGATGATGTCGAAGTTGATCAGCTTGACTCGGACGATGAGATCACAGACGTCATGGTTCGTCAGTCGGAAGTTGCGGTTCTCGCTGAAGACTTAGAACAACCAGTTAAACGTGCTGTCGATGGTGACAAGAGTGACGATATCATTCCTCATGATGTTCCAATGCTCTCTTCGTCAAGGGCGTCCTCTGTAAAATCCACGACAAAGCAGACCAAATCGGTTTCTCGAACATATAGCTCGGATTTGCCAGCGATGCCATCTAGTCCGGATGTGTTCCTCAGCGAGGCATCGTTTCGACAGGAATCACAACTTCACAGCAACCCTCGTTCAGTGTCAGAAAGGCGGTCCCAGAAGTCTTCCCAAACACCACCTGTATCATCTGAAGAACCCGTTCGCGGTCTGCCAGAACAAACTGCTCAAATTCCTTCACCCACGGTTACGCAGATGAACAAGACTGTTCAGATTTCGCAGAATCAGGATTTCACACAAATATCCGCCGCCCACCACGAGAAGTCGGTCGCGCCAGTGCCTACGACTCCGATGGCAGGTCCCTCAACAGGAAATCACGATGTTGATGCTTGGCGTGCACCCAGCTTTATGCGTCAACAGGAACAGGGCAAGGTCGATGCACGCCCGGGGACATCCGTACCCGTAGTGACGAGGAAAGCAAAACGTCCAATTTCTGTTATCTCGGTGTCCTCTTCATCAGAAAGAGATGAACCACCCCCAGCGAAGAAACGAAAGGTTGCGCCTCAGCAAGTGATAGAGATCGAGAGTTCACCTGAGCCTAGTCCGCCGCGTATTCTAGCTCCTCCCGCAGGCAGGGCCGATGCCAAAGGAAAAGGAAAAGACGTCCTCAAAGCCGACCTAGTGAAGCACTCAACACCCAGACTTCCGCATATTGACCTCCGTCGAAGTGCTTCAATTTTGTCTACGAGGTCTCGGGGGTCAAAGAAAAGAACAAGTGATCGTTCTGTCGAATCAACTTTGAAACCAAATGCGTCATCAGCCAGTATGGCCGATGTCTCTCGACCGACTTCGTCTGCAAGTCCAGTGAGAGAAATCGACTTCCGTGTTCTCTCTAGGACATCGTCGACATCCGCCAGGGATTCCTCGCGCAATCCTAGGGAGCCCGGTGATTCTGGTCCCAGAATGACCGAACCTGTTAATGTAGAGCCGGTATTGAGCTCACGACCTCCCTCTACGAAGGAATCTAACGCCTCACAATCTCCGGAGAATGCTCTCAAGACTTCTTCACGCAGCCGCAAAGGGAAGGAGGTAGATCGTGGCGGCGGTGGGTCTCCCTTTGCTTCATCGTCTGCTATTCCAACAGCAAGTACTGGTGAAGGGAAGTCTCGCGATGTCAGAGGGAAGGGCTTCAAAATAGACGCGGACGTCAGACAAGTGAATGGACTACCACCCGTGACCTGGGGCGTTCTAAAAGATATTCTACTACGCACTGGTCGTGCGAGGTTCAAGCAACAGCAAAAGCAGAAAAAAGGAGATCCAGGTCCCTAACCTTACCATGAGCCCTGGGCCCTCCTCCCGATACTATTACTTATTGTCATTCTAGTCTCTTATGTATGCGTGTTGTACCTGTTGTGCTAGATATCGGTATTCTGATACAGTTTTCCAGCTTCTCTTTTCTTTCTGTTATGTCCTGAGAACAAGCTGCGTGCTTGAACAGGCTTGAACATTCGCCTCCATCGTGCCGACACGGAAACACGGTCACGTGTAGGTACGCGTCTCATTCGTGAGCGCGTCGGTTCGATTCTTGATCATCACCCTCCATTACCAGGCAGCAATTTCCAACACGGTTGCAATCCCCATTTTTTCTTTCTGTATCTTTATCTGTACCTTATCCTCATTCCACGTTCTTGCATAGCGGCTCCGAGAAACATGGATCCCAGGTATTCCTACACTCCAATCGAGGACCAGGTCGCTCGCTTGCGAAACGCTTCAGCGGGTCCAAGCCATGGGCAATCCTTGACACCCGTTCCTGAAGAGATGACTGACGAAGAGGAAAGCGTCGCATACTCAGAGGATCATACACACCACTATGCTGGAGGAAGTCATCGCTCGAGTATGCACCAGCAACAAGCGCCTATCTACCAACCTCTGCCTGCAATAGATTCAGGTGAACCGCTGCAATGGGACTCTTTCAATCCACCTCAAACAGAAGACCCTTTTAGAGATTCGTATGCTCTAGCCCAACAACAGTATACCGGTGACGACCACTACGCTTATGACGATGAAGACTACACATCAGATGAATATGCCTCTCCTGAAAGACCAGGGATACGTCAATTACAATCAAGGCCTGTTTCCGCTTACTCTGTGGATCCCTCCTCTGCACATTCAAGCTACACTGGACACACAAATCCCGCCTCTCTCCCTCATAGTTATACAGGATATACTGCGACATCTTCCGTGCCAGCACAATCTACCGGATATAGCTACTACACGTACCAAACCGAAATGCAGACTGGAACGACGGACTATCATACTATTGACCACTTTAGACACGATACTGAGGCATACGCCTCGGGTGCGTACTCACGCGGGTCCTCAAACCCCCCACGATCACGATCACCTACTCCCGCTGTTGACGAGGAGGACTACCATATTGTAGGAAATGATAGTGTCCATTATACTGGGAACTCACCCCTGCGTCATTCTTACCATGGTGACGCAGAAAAAGCAGCAGTGCAGGATGATATCGGGACCGAGGGGGCTTATGAGCTTTTCCGCCAAACCGGTCTCAGCTGGAATCCTTCCAAAGATCCAGAGAAAACCTCGCTATCAACTGCGGGTTCACATTCACACCTCGAACCGGGTACACCAGTGACGACAAGGCACTTCGGTCCTGCACCAGCTGGTCGCATACATCGCCGACACAAACTCAAGAAACGCGTACAACTTACAAATGGTAACCTGGTAGTCGATCTTGATGTACCGCCTAAAATGGTACTGCCTCGACGAGGGGACCCGGAAATGATGAAGACCAGGTACACAGCTGTGACCTGTGACCCGGACGAGTTTGAGAAGAAAGGGTTCTTCTTGAGACAGAATGAGTGGGGCCGTTCGACAGAGTTGTTCATTGTCATTACGATGTATAACGTAGGTATCCAATTCATTCATGATGACCGACTTCGTTGCGTGATGAAGATGCTCAATCATATTTACTCGCAGGAAGACGAAGTATTATTTTGCCGTACACTCTATGGCGTAATGCGTAACATCTCGCATCTATGCTCTCGTAAAGGTTCGAGAACATGGGGTCAGGATGCATGGAAAAAGGTCTATCCTCACTATTTTACGTTCTTGCCTTTCACTTCTTGACACCTGTTCTAGGTTGTTGTATGCATCGTAGCAGATGGGCGCAAGAAGGTCCATCCCCGTGTGCTCGATTGCCTGACCCTCCTCGGTGTCTACCAACCGGGAGACCATATGAAGAACATGGTTAACAACAAACCTGTCACCGCCCATCTATTCGAATACACAGCATCTTTTGGTTTGGATCCAAACATACGATTTGTTTACCCTGATAAGGGGATTGTCCCCTGCCAAATCTTGCTATGCATCAAGGAAAAGAATCAGAAGAAGATTAATAGTCATCGGTGGTTCTTTAATGCATTTGGTCCACTTCTGCAAGTGAGTCACTGTATGCTATCAGATTCTTTCGAGGATCGCTGACGATTCTTAGCCAAATGTATGCGTGCTCTTGGATGTCGGGACGATGCCCCAGAAGAAGAGTATTTATCATCTTTGGAAAGCGTTTGACGTTAACTCAAACGTAGCTGGCGCATGTGGAGAAATCGCTGCGTATAAAGGAAAGAATTGGCGCTCCCTGTTGAATCCTCTAGGTACGTATCTGAAATAATGCATGCGAGCCAGCGTTGACGATTCACTATGTAGTCGCTGCTCAAAACTTTGAGTATAAAATAACAAATATCTTGGACAAACCTACCGAGTCTCTCTTCGGCTATATTAGCGTCTTGGTACGTTTTGGTAATATCGAAGAGGTTCAAGGATGACTGACTCTTCTTTGTAGCCTGGTGCTTTCTCAGCATATCGGTAATTGTTTCATGCATTCGTTCTGAATTGGTCTGACGGTTTCGGGTAGGTATATCGCACTTCAAAACGACAAGATGGGTGTCGGTCCTCTAGCGTCTTACTTCAAGGGGGAAGTCCTGCATGGTCGAGACACTGACATTTTCACATCGAATATGTGTAAGTCCCTTAAATTATGTCCCACTTGACTACCCTGACCATCATTGATTCGAAGATCTGGCCGAGGACGTGAGTACACATCGCTCAACCGGTGTTTTGCGATTCTGACTTGGGTGATAGCGTATATTATGCTTCGAACTAGTTGCAAAGGCCAACTCTAATTGGTGCGTGCTCTTTCCTTTGCGAATTTATGTACTCAGTTATGGCTTATGATTGTACTTAGGGTCCTGAAATACGTCAAGAGCGCTACTGGAGAGACTGACGTACCAGACGCCTTGCCAGAATTCATTAGCCAACGTCGTCGATGGCTGAACGGATCCTTCTTCGCCGCAACTTACGCTATTGCTCATGCAGGACAGATTCTGCGTTCCGGACATAGCTTTGGACGTAAGTGCGCATTGATGGCTGAGACTCTGTACAACGTCATCAATTTGATTGCTTCCTGGTTCGCAATTGTATGTGGTTCAGAATTGAGGTGTTCTGCATGTGTTACTGATACTATCGTCGCACAGGGCAATTTCTACCTCCTATTCGTAAGTTCAGTGCTTGAGGACTCCAGGAAAACACCCACTATAACCTTTTATGTATCCAGGTCATCTTGACCTCTTCATTAGAGAACCCGGCCATTGGTGCGCCGGCCGTGCGTTACCTGAATGCGGTGATCCAGGTAGCCCGATATGATTGTCCCTTGTTTTCGCGGAACTGAAATCACAAACCGACTAGTATGCTATGGCAGGGATCGTTGTAGCATGTCTTCTATTTTCAATGGGTCATAAACCACATGCGTACGTTGAGGTTATCTTCCGTAATTCACCGATTCTCACGTCACCATCACACAGAGCACGACTGAAGTACAAATTGCTCGCGATCTTTCTGGCCATCTTGATGTGCTATATGATCTTTTGCGCGGTCATCTGTGCTATTCAGGCAGGTAATCAGGGAGGTAATGTCTACCGGATCATGATCTTCAGTTTAATCTGCACATATGGAGGTGCGAATCTTTGCGATTTTGTTTTCAATGTTGACTCATCCGGTTTTAGTCTATCTTTGCTCCAGTTTCCTCGCTTTCGATCCTTGGCACATGTTCACTAGTTTCATGCCCTATCTGCTCTTCTCTCCGACCTACATCAATATTCTGAATATGTGAGCTGCTACTCATCTCTCTCCTCGGGATTAATTGCTAAATATTTTTGCCCCTCAGTTATGCCTTCGCGAACCTGGACGATGTAAGTATACGTTTTAATCGGCATGGAACTTCACACTAATCTCCGCCTCCTTAGATATCGTGGGGTACAAAACAAGATAGCGAAGTCGAAATAGATCTCGGAGCTGTAGTGCAGAATAGCAATTCTCAAGTTGACGTCGAAGTTCTTGCAGACATAGCGGATGTCAACGGAATGTACGAAGAATCGCTTCTCAATCTCAAGGATCGAAAGCCCGTGATCAGGTCCAGCAACCATCAAAGTGCTGCAGAGAAAGAACAGGCCGCTCGGAATTATTATGCCGGTGTTCGCACTAATGTATGTTATACTCATACTCGGTGCCCAAATTCTTTTACTGACTGACGCTACCTTGCTCGCAGGTGTTGCTTGCATGGGTTTTATCGAATGTAGGCGACTCGCGACTTTCCTCTCAGATTAAGTTGACAGAATTTCTAGGGCGTACTATTAGCCGCTATTCTTGGTGGCGGAGACTCTTCCCTGACATTCGCTCCGAACGACACCTTTAGTCGGACGAAGGCTTATATGACCTTCATTCTTGCCTTTGTGGCGATTACAAGTATTGTTGTGAGTTTTCGACCACTCAATTTGCCACTAGATATCGTTAACAAGTATGCCTCTAGCGATTCTCCGGCTCTACTATGTACCTCATCATACGCGTATTTACTGGATGAACACTTTTCCTTAACGCTATGCCGATGGACTTTATGTATTCATGTATCTTTATGTTAGAACGGATTAGAGGACCACCGATTCTCGAACATGGTAGATTCTCAGACCATTGCATTTATCCTACATCACAATTTCCACTCACAATCTAGAGCTGATCGACAGGGTTCGCATGACCCATGATCGACCGACTGGGTTTCGGATAGTCATGGGAGGAATGGCGATAGATTCTTCTGCATCACTTAGATACCCGATTTAAGAAGGGAAAAATCATCACCTTTTCTTATCCATTCCTGACGGGACCCTTTACGCCAAGCAGGGCGATGTAACTTTCTAATCCCTATATCCTGAACGAACTTTGGTTGTTGAAGACCGATCGAAACAAGCGTCACGAACAAATTTCCTGGATTGAAAGGTATGTATATATACGTACCGATCACCTCTCGATCTCTCTGAAAAGGAGAGCATTAGGCCACTCACCAGAGCATTAAGATTTATCTGATCTCACATGTTTTCTTACGTTTGGTATACCACGGGATTTGTCTTTGACTTGATCTTCTAATCGTCGTTTTGCAAACGCACCCATCTGACATGTGCTTGAAACGTGAGTAGATTCCTTCTTCGCCAAAGTACGAAATCCGGAGACAATTGAGACCAAGGTGTCTATTTAGTTATATATATCCCAGAGGGTATGAACAGTCATCGTTTGTTTAATCGCAGTACAATCCACCATTGACATTGATTGTTTGTCCTGTAACATGATATGTGAGCCTGCCCCATTCGGGTAGTAAGCTGCCTTACCAGTAGTAAAATGTGCCTCGGGACTGATCAGATACGCCACCAGACCAGCGATGACATCAGGTTCTGCGCCTTGAAGGTCTGCTGGCATATTTGCGGCCTAGATTCATCAAGAATCAGACCTGAACGGAACCATCAGCAAGACTGCACCCACCATCTTGGCTACGGATCCGAGACCACCGTACTTGTCGTCATCCGGATGCGCATCTACAATTGAGTAAGTCTTAGTGAATCTTAAAGGAGGTGGATGTATGCGTGTATGCGTGAATGCGTACTCATTGGTGTCAAGATGAACCCTGGAGCATAGCTGTTGACTGTGATGTTATGTTTCCGCAATTCCGATGCTGTTCGAAATACTGAATGTCAATGTCTCCAGTCAGGTTTCACGCGAATCGTGCATACATGTGGCTTGCGTTAAGCCGCGAACTGCGAACTTGGATGCGCTGTAGACTGCCATATTGTGGATGCCTAGATATCGGATCAAGTACTTAGATTTGGAAATCCACAATCTTAGATAGCGATGAAGAGATTGGGGATACCTTGTTTCCCCGCTCCGGAGCTGGCACCTGTGGCGTGTCAGGTTCATCTATGTAATTAAGAAATGTGAGGTGAATAAATTTCTTATACGTACCGATAATCCTTCCACCTCGACCTTGCTTGATCATCTGTCTGGCGGCATACTGGAAGCAAAGTGTTACACCGAGGACATTGACGGACATGAGTTTGTGGAAGTCCTCTACGGTAGCTATTGCAAGAGGAGATCTCAGTCAGAATCGAAGAGTACAGGTGAGAAGCACGGCAGAGCGCACTTTCGAGGAAGGGCTTGAAGAGCGTAATGCCTGCGTTTGCAACCATCTAAGAAGGTGTGAAGGTAAGCACTTCTAAGCTAAGCACAGCAAACAACTTGAAGGGAAAAGAAACCTACGATATCAAGCCCACCAAAGACCTCCACCGTCTTATCAACTACATTCTTCACTACCTCCTCAACTGAGACGTCACCGGCTATGCATATCGCCTTCCTGCCCTTCGCTTCGACCTGTTTTACAACATTCTCTAGCTGACCCTCTTTGCCCTTTACATCGAGTAAAGTGAAGTTGATATCTTCATTCGCAAGGCGAATCGCGATGGCTTCGCCTATTCCTTGGGCAGCACCTGTAATGATCGCAACACGAGCAGTAGACATCTTCAGATAATCGATCTAGAGAGAGGCTTTGTGCAGTCCCGTTCAAACCAAAGGGATTATGAACAGCGTGAAGGGAGAGGTGCAGCATCTCGCGACTCCTGGTGTCTGATTGCTATATCTATGTTATAGCGCGCACCAACCCAGGGCGGTCCGACAGCAAAGTCTTTTAGTGAGCCATTAGTCGCCGGATGATTGAGCACGATGTACAGTATATATGGGAGAAGCCCTTGGCGGACTGTCTCATATGGAGTTGTGGCTTCATGCGCTGCATATCCCCACGCTATTTTCGAGATCAGACTTCCTGGTCCACGGAGAAAGCATCAGACCTTAAGTGACAGAAAGCGTCATGTGCGAGCACAAATTATGTTTCAGAGCAAGATGAGAGATACGTTCAGGAGGTCATGGTTGTGGCCAACGGGTTGAGTTCGCAGTTCGACTTCATTTTCCGAATTTGCAATTTTGATGGTTAAATAGACGAGCCTTAGAAGAAAAGTATCTTCGATACAAAAGACCTTCGGACGTGCATGTAAATGTCGAACTCCGACATATATAGAGTCTTCGTATATTTACAGTATCGCTTCTTCTATTCTTTATACAAATATACAGAAGTTAAGAATAAATTGAAACATCATTAAATCATAAGGAAATGAAGAACGAAACAGGGTCTCAAATATCATAGCCGTTTCCCATACCATCTCTTCACGAGAAAAGATACTCATGGAATGATCGCCTGATGGAGGGTTCTACAGTCCTAGGCGGGTCTATGCAAGGATGAATTCTGGGAGGCGTTCTTCTAGCAGGCGATCGGGAAGGTGACGAAGCCGAACGTCGTTGACGTTCCCAGAATCGTGAGCGCAAAGGCAGCTGGCGAATTCCTTGCGACTCCACGATTGGGATTCCATGTTCGTTCAAGGATAACGAGCCAACGCTGCTCGCTATGTCACTGGGTGCTTCATCTCCCGCCTCTCCCTCGCTATCACCAATGACAGACCATTCGTCTGAGTCTTGAGCTATCAGAGTGGCGTCAAGTGCAGGTGACGCTGGGAGGCTTTCAGCGATAGCTGACAGTGCTGCTGCAACACTTGGAGGAGGAGCGCCTTCGAAATCAGAGTCAGCTCCGGCGTCTGACCTGTCTGAAACCAAGTCGGATTCAGAGGCATATTCGAAGGCTGAAAGTTCTGATTCATCCGTTGGAGGAGGCGTATCCAATGCGCGCGGAGCAAGAAAGTCGGGACGAGTTACGTTGGGACGAAGAAGGTACGTGAGACGCTGTCTGGAAGTATCCTTGCCTGTATCGCAAGGTCAGGCAAAGCTTATTGAAAAAGCTGTATATACTTACTGAAACTGACAATACTGTGATAGCGAGCACAGCAGTGAACGACATAACGGGCAAACGCGTCATCTGCAGTGGACCAGACAAGTTGGAGGGGGGTTCTTGACACTTCGCTAATAACGCCAAGGGTGCCTACAGGTGACCCATGAATATTCGAGTCATGAATGACATCCGGGTTCAGTAGGACGCCGCCATGTCTGAGCCAAGAGACGATCTCGTCCTCTACCTCCTTAACCAAGACTTCCGTTCTCGGACCTGACCTGCGTAGCTCCCGCCTCATACCCTTGAGACTCATAGAGAAACGACCCGCATTAGCAGAGATAGGTTCGCGTGCAGTTGGAACGGCAGAAGGTATAGCATTGTTACGTGAAAGGTAGGCGGGCAACGGTTCCGGGAAAGTGGCCCGGGTGCTTGGAAGGTCAACGTGGAAATCCTTCTTCGAAGCAGCGACTATATGCGGATTTCCAACGAACCGAGCTAGAATTCAGGGTCATGTAACTCAATTTCAGGCAAACTTGAGTGGACAAATTGTAGCAACACACCGTTCTCCTTGCGCCGAATCCAACGTTTCCCCTCCTTCTCATCCCTCCTACTCTTCTTAGTAGTCGGATAGGGACTTGATGCTAAAGAAACGGACTTCCCAGTACCAATTCTAAGGTGTGCAAACCTATCTGTTATTCCAGAATCCCGCAGGATTGCTGGGAATGACATGGGTACCGGTCCCTTATCATCGATGGTGGTGGATGTTGGTGGTACTGCGACCGGTGCTATGGTAGTCTCCATGATGTCGAGTATGAGGAGCACAGAAGCAAACAATCCTTGGTACAAGAGTCAGAAGATCCAACGTTGAAGAAGCAGTGGTGAATCGAGTCCGAGTCAAGCACAGTCAAAGCGGGGAAGCTCGCTTAGTAGAGCAGGGCGCAACCGACACTGCCATATACGGATTGTCCTGGCCCAATAAAGCAAGTACCACCCCATATACGGCGAGTCTCAATGAAACTTCCGCGTGTGTTCACACGTTGTTAAGTCGTACCATGATATGTTGGCCAGACTCTCGTTGTCAATTCCATGATGGAACATAACTCGGAAGAAACTGTACAAGATGTAGAATTGTATGTAAAATACAACACTTAGACCGCATATGCCAATCGAAGGCTGGAGAAAAGGCAGTCACATTCTCTAATTGAAACCACTGGAAGGGTGGAAGAAGGACAATGACTGCAAATAGGGCCCTGCATGAAACGTCGTCTCAGCAACCAGATAGAGCTATCACGAGCATGTGACGTACTAGTGCCGTAATTGGGCCCAGTCCCGTTCGCAACATAACCCGCGACGGCGAGGACTGTTCCAGTGACATTGAATGGCTTTCCTGGAACCCTCGCTTGAGTAGAGAAAGGCCCTTGTAATACAAGTCGGCATAAGTGGAAGTTACTAATAATCAATGAATACATGCGTACCTTCGATACGAACGCTTCCTTTGGTCTTGTCAGCGATAACGAATTGGAGTTTCTGAATGCTATCACCATGGCCATTGAGCTAGTGTACAGTATAAATGACAGCGAGAAAGGACGTACTTGGTGGCTCCAAAGTCGGTCGCAACATGGCCATATTCGCCATAGACACCAACAACGAACTCGGAGGCTGCAAACACAACAGAAAATTCCATTTCAGTAACAAGTGGTGAATCCGAAATTGGAGTCGTACCGCTGAGAGCGATGTTGTGTTGGTAACTTCCACCGGGACCGCCGTGCTCTTGCGTCACGGGCGCAGCCCCGTTCTTGCTATCATAAGTGACCTTGATATAGTCGACGATCTCTCCATAGCGAACGAAGATGTTAGAAATCTTGCTGAAGTTCTGAGTACTGGGCCATCCCGCAACTGCAAAGAGGAAACAGAGACCAGCTTCAGTATAAGCAAATCGGGAATGATATAATAATGATTTGGACTGACTGGTAATATCGTTGAAGGCGTCACCTTGGTTGCTACCATAGAGAGCGGACTGGGTGATGGTTTCGGACATGGCGGATAGGGAGGAGCAAGGATTCAAACTATTATGTTGATGAAAGCTGAGTGTTAGCAGTAGTGAACTGTTATTGACTGTCCCAGCTTTTATAGCGAAATGGGTTGCATAGGATTCCGGCTTCATGAACCCACCGGTTGAGAATGAACTCACTCTAGTCATTTGAGGACCACCGTGTCGGTCAGGTGAGGGTGCCGTGAGTACCTTTACTACGTGATTTGAATGTGATAGGATACAGATGTCAATTCAAGCGCTTGGAAGCATGGAAAGCCATCTGAGAAAGTTACATGACTCAAGGTCCTAACATAACCGACGTCGTAGAAAGGCATGGTATTGTGGCGGCGCGGTATTTGATAATCGTTCATCGTCTTTGGACGAAACAGAAGCATATAAGTGAAAATAAAAAGACTTCCCCGATGTTGTTTTAGGCGGCACAAGGGTACTGGCCAACTCTTGTTCAACTCGTCCTGAAAAGTGTCGCGCTTGCGTTTCAGACGGAGGTAGTCGTGAATGCGCGATAGCGTCAAGTGATATCGTTGAGTATACTATAGCCAAGACGAAAATGAATCAGGGGGATCGTTGCAGTAGAGATCAACGGACACAAACCAAAGCAGCCATTTCAGGGCATGTTTGTACCCAGGCAACGCATGGAACAAGAGCGCACTAGAAGAATTCGGTTGAGTTAATACGGCCGTTCCTTGATTTGAGGGTGACAGCGGGAATTCAGAGTCTACTGAAGACTGCCGCTGACCTGTGGAAGAATGGCATAAAGAACGTAAATGTGTATCACGAGAATACTCAGGAAGCAGGCGTTTTCGCATACTGGTCGGCGTACAGTACCGCCGATCACGAGAAATATTGATATGTCTCGTTGCTCCGTACTCCTGACAAAAAGAATTGTCCGTACTGCAGCAGGAAAACCAACATACCGTGAGAGAACGTGCATTAGTACACCACGTTCCGACCTACCCACTGCGATAACGATAGGGCGAAAATCCCTGGAGACACTTAAATAGATAATGTAGGCATGTCGACAAGATGAACGACTTGGAAAACTGTCATGTGCGCAAAAGCAAATACTGGAGGCGGGTGGAAGGTTATCAGTGCAAGGTAATCAATGGTACATACACAGTGGGTGGAAGATCCAGAACACAAATGCGGAAGTGCACGTCAAGAGACAAGCGGGAATAGAGCGACGGAACTTGTTTGTGCCTGCAACTTTTGTGTATATAGATCTGAGTGGTTTCGCATTCGTACTTTCTAGTTAGGAGAAGAGAGCTGTTGATTGTATGAGTAACGAGAATATCAAGAACTAAACGTCTTTCGGGCAGAGATCGTCGTGACACAGTTACAGTGCAAAAAGACCAACGGCAGAGCTTGCGGCATGGCCGAATCTAGGGTATGCAACGAGGCTCCTGCCAAATAATGCCAAACATCACCGTAGACTACTTATTGGCCGCGCCAAGGCTTCTCCCACGTTAGCTGACATCAATAATGAATCTGCCAGCCATTGTGTTCTCACTGTTTGCGTATACCTTGATTACTGCATGCTCACGTCTTGAGTTCCGTTTAGTCAGCTTGAAGTTTGACCTAGCAGGGTATGAAGGCGACCCATTTATCTCCCTCACTAGAACTGATATCAGATCATATTGGATTGGTAACTTCTCTCGTGACGAGCCCGGAACTGACCAACCACCGGAGGGACATGTTCTTTGAAGAAGCACCGCATCGTGAACAGACCCCTTGACATGTCATTATTCCATGCTTTCACACACCATCTGTCGTTCTATGTCAGGAAGGCATTTCAGGAGCCCCGCTATCTAACACGAGGGACCGGCGAATTTTCGACGCCGGAGTCCCTTACGCTTCAAGACTGTTATATCTACAGGTCGTCAACAGAATCTAAGTTTACCACCATATTCACCATGTCTGGTACCATCACTCAGACCCCTCTCTACGGCGGTAACCAAGGCGATGCTTTTAATGATATGAACAGTCTGTTTCTGTCTATATTTCCTTTACTGTGCCCTCAGTCTTAACTCACCCGCACAGTTTCTGGTTGGCCGGCTACACAGACGATCGATAAGATCTCCGAGATTGTCGTCCGCCACGGAGGCATTGTTGACAATGTTACCGTCACCTGTACTCGCACAGGCGGGCTTGCTCCCGAAACTCGATCGCACGGCGGAACTGGTGGGAATGCAACTACTGTTACCCTCAGTGGTAAGCCACTGCGCTATACCTGATTACTTTGAACTTGAACCCATGCCTTACGTAGACACTGAGTTTCTTGTTGGCGTCTACGGTCAGTATGGCTTCGTGCGTGAGGATTGGGGTCCTTGCAGGTGTGCCATTCTCTATCGTGACGTTTTCTTTCTTAATACCTACGCGTAACAATAGCATTCATAAACTGCAACTTGTGATTCTTGACAAGGCACGAGGAAGTGTTCGTGTTGAAGGTATGCATCAACTTGATGAGGTTTGTGCCAGTACGGCAACTGACTGCTTCTGGTAGGCCCCTTCTCGCAAGGCACAGGCATAGTAGGAACTCCCTTCTGTGTCACTGGCGAAGTGCTTGCCCTCGCCGGTTATGATAAGGAGAGCACTGCTCGCCCTCGTATGTGGTATCCTATCTATATCTATCAGTCTACTCACATATAACCCCGCAGAACGTTACCTCCAATCCTTGTCGTTCTTTGGCCCTTCCAACGACTTCGACTAATCTGGAAGCTGTTCGACGTTCAAGCTTTCTGTCACGTTTTCACTGGGTGACAGAGCCATGACAATATCATGATGTCAAGACTGAATATAGAATGCACCTATGCATCGTACCTGTAATTGCGTGTTTGTCTTAACAATTGATCACAAGTGCTTGTGTTCATGATGAGAGATCGTGAAATTTTAGAGTACTTAAGATCAATATTGACTTGATAATCGTCATGCCTGTGATCTTCATTGCGAACCAATGTCTTTAAACTAAGGTCTTCAGGTATGAATCGATATTTCTTGTCAGTCGAATACTGTAGCTTATTTGATTTATTTCAAGCTGATTGTTGATTTCATCTTCCTCTGATTCGAAAACTGGCTCTGATTCATCTTCGTCACCCTTTATAGAGCCTAGATACTCTTTATTAGGTTGATATCAAGCGCAGTCTGAGTCTTTCCAACCAGGCTGAGCAGACTGGTGCGGAGAATTTCGCACCTGTCAGCGGCATCGCCGCCTTGACGAACCCAAGGCAACCTAGACCATACTGCAACGTACAGTGTGTCAGAAATCGCTTGTCCTTCTAATGATAGCTGCATCGGAAATAAGGAGGAGCTGAGCAGCTTCCTTGTATATTGAAAGTAGTGAAAGACACGAACGCCTGGCATGACGTAGAGGGACCTTGTTTGTGGCTCATGACAAGTATCTGAGTAATAGGTTGTGAGCATATAACGGCGCTGAATTGGCCTCTTCTCTGCCTAGCCTGGGCCGCGAACAGCCTACCGAGAATATCTGCGTCATTTGGAAGCGATCTTGATCGAAACTGCCTCGGTCATTATCGAACGCTTGGCGTAGATCAGGCGGCTCTTGCTGTCGGCCTTACGAAACGGTGTCTTGGGCAACATTGAACAAGAATACTGTAGTACCAATGTCAGCTGAGAATCGGGCCCTGAAATTCATTTTACCAATGGGATCCGAGACAATTGAGTAACCTGAACCGCCTGCTGTGAGCAGAATGAACGCGGAATACTTTCACTGCCTGCCGCACGGCTGGCAACCCGTCGAAGTGGCGTACCTGTTCGAAAGAGCCAAAGACCACCCAAAGAAAACAGCCGGCATAAAGTAGATTGGACTAGATGATTCTTACATGTTCCATAGTAATTCTTTGATGAAGCTGTACCTTCCAGATATACAGCAGACCTCAGACAACAGGCTAGTTGTAAAGGTTTAGAGTCCTGTGGGGCCTAGGGTTTTCCAGTCGGATATATTGACACAAAGACACCGAGGGAAAAGATACCCGAAATCAGTAGCTGCGCACGAGCGACTTGAGCCGTAGCGGCGCAGATATAGATATAGTTTACTTTGATACCTCTAACAGACTCAGTCGAGTTCAAGCTAGACTCTTATCCTTTCCAAATGCCCCTGATTGATGATGAAAGTCCGATGTCATGTTCCTTGGGAACAGGACTACAATGACAGTGAGATGCACGCCAGAAGATGTTATAGGCCTGCCTGTCGAGTGGGAGCAGTGCATGCGAGGCATTAAGTTCACACGCCTTCCATATATGACTTGTTGATCAGGCTCTTGTCAAATATGACCAAACAAGCTACATGCATTCCTCTGACAGACCACCTCGACCTTCGTCCACTGGATATCTAGCACTCAGGAGTCAGAGTCAGGCTTTCCATGCAGTACATCTCTTCTCAAATGATAGCATTCGAATGATGCGCAAAATGCAGTTCTCTACTATGAATAGCGGTGTTAGCCGGCGATCGTTACTCGCTTTTGGGGGTGTTGTGACTTGGCTTCCAGTCCGCAAAGCCTCCGAACAATTTGAAGCGACCTAGATGTGCCTCATCTCTTGCTGAAGGAGGGTTTCCATTCACATGGCAGGCTCCTATTTCACGTCGGTATTTGTATGGTCACAGTGTGATCCAGGCTTTCAAATACACTCAGTGAACGTGCCTTGCACGAGTACTCTTGAAGAAGAACAGTACGCCCTACTTCCATTCTTTAATTTTTAGGGCTCTTCTAAAAATGGAGGCAAACACTGCTATGCCATCATTCGTTGGGGCGATTAGCTGCTTCTTACAAGCACAATTCTTACGCAGCGCGAAGCATCACAGATTCATACCAATGGTGCGTCACCCCCAAGCCTTGCTGCAGCTTGTCTAGACATTTTCGAGGCATCTCGCGCCTACTGACCACTGGGCAAGTCTCCGACGCCTAGATTTGTAGTAGGAGGTTCGGGCGAGGTATAAAAACGATTACATCACATCTTGAACGGTACAGTAACCTACTACAGTATCTTTTCACCTCTCACAAACGCAATTCCAGATCATGTCAACCATGTCAATGACCATCACCCAATCTGCCCTTTTCGGTGGCAACCAGGGCGACGTTTTCAACGACATCAACGGTCAGTCCATCTGTACTTTTCATTAAACTTGCTTTCTGTACTAACCGACACTATGCTATATAGTTGCTGGCTGGCCCGCTACTCAGAACATCAGGAAAATATCCAAGATCGTTGTCCGCCATGGCGAGATCGTCGATAACATTGCCGTCACGTATGAACGCACTGGCGGCCTTGGCCCCGACACTCAGTCCCATGGCGGTGCTGGTGGAACTCGCGTGAACACCATCAATCTCAGTGGTAAATACCTGCTGTTTATGACTTGCGATGTACGTGGGCGAATTGCTGTTATTGATTCAATAGAGAGCGAGTTTCTCGTCGGGGTTTGCGGTCAGTGCGGCCCCGTCGTAGCCGATTACGGTCCTACAAGGTATCCTGCCTTTCTCTTGAAGCGCTCACGGTCACGCTGACTTGGCGGCGATAGCATCCAGAAGCTTCAATTCATGATTGTTGACAAGGCCCGCGGAGCTTTCCGCGTCGAAGGTACTTATTATCTCAAGATGCTAGCTAACCTGACTGACGTTCTTTTCTTCAGGCCCTTTCGCAAACGAGGCTAGGACGGGAGGAACTCCTTTCTGCGTCGTTGGCACCATCATGGCCTTAGCCGGGAGGACTATGGTTGTGACAAGCCAGGACCAAGGCACTCGTACGTGGGATACTCTGTTAGCTGATACGATGACTCATGTCACTGTGTAGAACGCTTCATGCAATCCTTGTCCTTCTTCACTCCTTCTAATGGCTTCGACTAAGTGATTATCCTTGCTTGTAGTGCTCCTCGGCCTAGTATTGAAGTGTGATTGTTTATCGTGAATCTTCATGTAACAATATCAATTGATCCGCGTACAACAAGTAGTTAACTTGCTCGATCGACGTGATTTGTGTTTCCAAGCGAGTATTACCTGGCCTGAGGGTACATGCCTTTCTGATTTCATCCGAAGCTAGCGTCGTTGAGATTTAGAACTTTTTACAGAGTCGAAAAGTGTCTCGTTACAGTGCGAAACCTCAAGGTGAATGCAACACATCCACGGCGAACGCCGATATTTGCGCTTGTTGTGCAAGAGCCTCGTCACACCGAATTCGGATTTGCTGTCCTTCCACTTCAACGACGATGTAGCGACAACTGTCAAGTGCCATGTAGATCCTGAAGAACCGTCTAAGCTTTCGTTTTACTCCAGTGCCAGTCCTTATCTTCGTGATGGTCTTCGGTATGCTGAGCGCTCGATCGGAAAACTTCGATGCGGCACTTCCGAAATACTTACGAGGGGTGGTCGTCCATCACATACTACTTATTTCCCGGCCCCGATATCAAACAGTGCAGTTTGAACGCACAGAGCCATGATGGTTTTGTTTGTCAGGGTGGATGCTGACAGCTGATGATTTTAGCAGCGATTTTGAAACTTTCGTAGAGATCGCAGAATGTTCCAAATGCTTTAGCTCGCTATACCTGTTGTGGGTAATGTCATAATGATTTCTGCAATATCAGTGGCCTGCAGAAGTTATTTGGTCATGAGGCTGGCGATGGCTCAGCCAGGGTTATCTAGTGACATCACTGTGAGTTGTGTCATTGTCCTTTCCGACATTATGCGCAGCAGTTGCACCAGGCAGCACGATCTCAAAAACTGTGCTAACAGAGTTCTACTCAGATGCGGATTTTACGTATTATGCGCAAGGCTTTACCGACTACGAAAGGAAAGCCTTGCCCTCAACGCTCACGTCCTGACTATCGAACAGCCTGGAACGTATCCTCGCCATTGAAGCCAATGGCTTTCGATCGGTTCCACATAGTCCGTGTGACAATAGATAAAAATAACAATGCGATAATCAGGGTTCCTCAAACAGAAGCTTGACGTCGGAATTTTACAGAATCCGAACGCTATGCCTTACACTCACTCCGGTACCTCAATTCCCGGTCGTATGAAGATTCGGATCTTTTGAAGCACTATGTGAAGTACGCCATGTAGCAGAATGGGCCGATTACTGAGTGCCGAATGAAGTGGTGAACGTTCTTCGTGTCTAGGGATGCGAGCTTGGAGGGCCATATGAGGAAAGTGACTCCATTCAATCGCCGTGCGGCGATCGTGCGGCCTCCGCTAGTAAAACTTCTTGTCTTAAATGTGAACCATAATACCTTTTGAATCTCGGCCTTAAGACGTCTAGGGGATGCATCTATCTTTGGTCTTGTTGCTTTGTTCTGATAGTGGCATGCGTACCCCAAATCTATTACAGGAAGACCATTTCACGTACAAGGTACGTTTTCCTTCCTCAACTCCAGGTAGCTGACTGCTATTGTAGCAGAGAAAACTGCTCTCTTACGTGTCAGAAATCCTGGAGATTTCTATGAAACATTGCCACCAGTTATCGAGGTAACTGCGGCACCACGATTAGGTGCTCCACGCCCCAGCCTAGAATCAGATTCTGCATTCGTATCTACATATACGTTGTTTAATGTCTTCTATCGCAGAAATCACCCAACGCTTCACACAACAGTGGTGAGCCTTCTCCAAATGTGGACTGTGGACTGTCAGAATGACCGTCAACAATCCTTCCATGTTACCCATCTAATCGGCGAGCTGATGAAGCGTCAATCGGTATGCAAGGGTTTGGCCATATAAAAGCGGCTGCTCTGGACAATTCACAGTAAGCAAACACCTTCTGACTTCAACTACTCACTACAGTTCTTCACTTGTACCATGTCCCCCAGCATCGTTCAAACACCCACTTGGGGCAGCGCAGGCGGCGTTGCTTTCAATAATCTCAATGGTCATTCCTACTCCCCTTTATTCTGACAACGAGATATCTCATTGCCTATGTTCGCTGACACGCACTGTTGTAGATATCGGTCAGCAGAATGTCAACAAGATCTCGCAAATTGTTATCCGCCATGGTGTTGTTATTGACAACATCGCGGCGACCTATCAACGCTCAGGCGGGCTTGCGCCCGTCACCCTGGAAAATGGCGGCACTGGTGGAAATGTGACCACTATCAATCTCAGCGGCAAGTTTCTTTTTTTCCATTTGTATGTTGATGGTCATTGTGATATTTCTTAAACTTCCACCAGGTGACGAGTTCGTCATTGCAGTCACTGCCGCTCAACGTTTTGTCTCTACCGGATATGGTCCTACGAGGTACATCATAAAATTCTCAAGTCAAGACATGCTTGACGAATGAACTGACCCGGCCGAATACCAATAGCGTTCAGAATTTGAGGATCTTCATTCTCAACAAATCCACCAATGTCACTCGTATCGAAGGTCTGTCTCTCTGAAGTCACACAATCTATTTTCTCATTTTCTCAATTCAAAACTCTGCTCGATAGGTCCTTTTGCTCCCGGATCTGGAACCGAGTTCGTTGCCACTGGTACGGTCGTCGCTTTTGCCGGGAACATCGCCACCGTTGGTACTCGTACGTCATGTCTCCCGTACCATTCAAAAAAATAATTCCCATACCGTGTTGCAGGTTTCATCCAGGCCTTGTCCTTCTTCATCAGCCCTACCCCTATCCCCGTCTAGTGATTCGAAGGTTCTCGATCCTGCAGGCTTGAGCTCCATACGGCCTGTGGTTGATGCCGCTGTTCAATCTGTTCAAATGTGGTTGGGTGGTGGCATGAGCGCGAATGATCTGTGTAACAATAGTACCGAACAATGTGTTATCGTTGAATAGTTACTGTCATGATACGTTGTGCAATCGAAATATGTGTGCTTTTGACTCAATGGCTGACTTGCAAGATATTTATGTCCCGCTGGCACGAAGGTGAGCTTTAGGTTCGAGTTGCTCACCTGTAGAACCCGCCGCAGTTGTTCGCTGACCTCTCACTTACATAGGATATTACATCCATATGTGATTAGAAAGTCTGCGAATTGACTACGGCACCCAGCGAGCCGATAGACTACGTTGACCAGCACAGACGACGAGCTTAAGATTACAACTAGGACAAAGTAAACTAAGAAAATGATCCTTACTAGAGGATGGCACTTACGGTCCATCCATGACTAAGATCTCTCTCCCTGGAATCTCTCATACTGCACTTCCAGGAGTTCCGACCCCATACACTGTGGGAATATCTTTCCTAGAGCCTCCAAAATACCATCCAAAGGAAAGTGACGACGATGAGACTGACGCAAAATCATTTTCATGAGCGGAAATTCGTCCCCATGAGTCATCTTCTTGTCAATCAGAAACTCATCGAGAGGGGCGTATGTCTCAATGGTATCATTCACATAGTCTTTGAAAAAAAAGGTGATTCCTGCGAGTCTGATGACGATTTCATCCAAGGAATCAAATATGACGTCAGAGAACAGATCCTGCACCCAGTGTGCGTTATGTGCAAATGTCACATCAAACTCGACTCGACAGAGCTGTTTGTAGTCACCGAAACTGACTATGTGGCCAACATAGAAATTTTAACGGGGGTGGGGGGTACGAATACATACGGGGTTTTTGTGCCTCTCTTGCTACGATGATCCCTGATGGACAGCGATCTTAACGTGCCTCTGGTATGCACAGACATCCTTCGCGAACACTGTCTCCTGGGCCGCCAGCTCGCGACGGGGGCCTCTACCATCCCAGAGTATCCGCACGTGTGAGACTGGTGGTTTCACCGGAAGGTTCTCGACGAATTTGATAAAACCCACAGATCCCAGTCCCATATCAGTCTCCAGATGACGGAGACGTATCAGGACGCTGATCGGCACAGTCTGCCGGATTCCTTCTTCACCAGAGTCATGAGATTCAGGGGGAACCTTATGAAGAGAAAGGGATGATAGACGAGGGAAGAACATTATGAGAGAAAGCAACTCGTCTAATGAGATATCAGAGTTCAAGAGTGATGTCAAGGATGGGAAGCGCCTCTTGAAGTAGCACTCCTCTGTATGTGGGAGATTGAACGATCCGATTCCGAGGCCGGAAGCTCGGGGGAACTGGGCATCAAGGAGTGAGCTGTAAGAGAGTCCTACAGTGTCATAGCCATGCCATCTGTCACGCCACATTGGCTGTGGCACGTTGATCGACAGCGTCTGAGCACATTCCAAGAGGTCTGGATGGTCGATATAATGCCTGAGCATTTCTATAGACCTGCGTGCCCCGAGAAAGTCAAATCTAGAATACAATAAGTCTCTGCTCGGAGATTACCAAGCGCCGGCGATTAACGCGTACGAAGAGAATCGATGTTGGGGTAGACATGGCTGATGATCTGTTCGACAATATCCTGGGGAAGAATAGCATTCATGATGGACTGTGGTCGCTGAGAAAAGAGATCTGCGGTCCGGCTGCAACTTGTCGCTGGCAACACTCGGCATATCTACATATAACCGGATAAGGATGATCAACGAAGCTGTTGCCAAACAATGCCAAAGCCAATTTGCACCCTTGATTGGCCCCAATCGTGATGATCTTGACCCTTAAGTGGGCCCCGACCTCATGCATACCTCAGGCTATCGATTATCAACTGTTCAATCATTTGCACACCATAACTACATCTGTATCTGCCACTCGACAACTTCTTCACATGCATTCATTGCATGCTGTTTCCCCCGCCGATGGATAAAATTACGTTTTCGATCGGTCGGTCTTCAGATGGAGTCGACGTAAGTCGACGTTACGTAGGGTTTTCCTGTGGAAGGAGCTCTGTATCTGTGCGGATTCGTGTTGTCCATCAAGCAGAAATCCAAACAATCAAAATTGTGTAGGAGATATGTTTCAATTTCATATTCTGTTTTAGGCAGATATCCTTCTTCGTCGAAGTTTAGATCTTAGATCTTAGAGTCTTTCGGTGAGTGTAGTATGACCTCAGGATCGGTTCTTATTCCTTCATCGTAACAGAATGAACTGTTAAAATATTCAAGCGTACAAGGTTATCATGGCCTCTCTGAAGGGGCGACGATGAACTCTCCCGAGCAATTTAATTCTCTTTGGATCTCCCTCGACGCAACTAGAGTATACATATATGATGGCTGTGCGCGGATTCGTCCTTTGGAATGTCTATTTATGTCTGCTCTACAGCGCCACTCTCACTTCTATAGTATTCAGAGGGCTCATTCGGGAACTAACCAGTTGGTAAGTCATTCCACACCTTTCCAGGTGAATGATTCTCTCGAGTACTTACCAGGATTGCGGTATTAGGACAACTTTCACGTTGGTAGCACATGCGCCCAATGGGATATGAACTTCTGAGTGGTCACCTGTACATCGTGGAATCTTCCGGCTTTCGCAGAGATCCCAATTTCGTTTGCTGCGCTGCCACCAAACAAAGTTAAGGTTCGAGAGCCAAGATCAGGAAGGGAACATGAAATGCCAGTTTGTACACTCATTCTGTTCTTCGAAGAAGCAGTATTTCTTGGCTGCGCAAAGAGGGTTGATATATATGGGACAACATGCATATTACGTGAGTCGTGAGTAAAATTAAGTCTTTCGATCAGAGATGCACAGAAGCGCTAGACAGTTTTGTGGTCTTGTTTTCCAAATATCTCAATGTCCTCGAAGACCCGAGCTCTTAGGACGCTTCTAAAGGGGCTGCATGCAGGTATTTGGCTATTTTTGTAGGGATCTCTAGCGTATCAGCAATATTGATGACTCGTATCATGATAGAACATTTCCATATTGTCACCATCCGTCAAACTAATTCCAGAATCCAACGCGACTGTTCCATGCTCCTGTTGAGCCTTGGATGCATGCATGGTGTTCGTCTCTGAATGTACGTCCAGCTAAGTCATCTAACACAGAGAGGGGTCAAGGTTTGATAAAACAAGGAAACCCTGGCTCCAAATGTATTTCATGAACAGTCAGAATTACGTTCAGAAGCCGTCGAAGTTCTTCCATGCGGCCCCTGCAATCGGCGAGCGTCAGCTCATATGTATGAGCGCAGGGCTACAAAAGCGGCCTCTCAGGATGGTTCACGGTAAGCAAACAACTTACGTCTACTACTCCCATTCAACTTACAGTATACGACATGTCTGTCCACGTCAATGAAACTCCCACTTGGGGTGTCACCACGAGTGGTCAACCCTTCAATGATCTCAACAGTACGCCCTGCTCTTTGCGCTGCGTTTCTGACCGTATAACTGATGAGCAGCCATCTTCATTTTTTGCAGCTATCGGAACGTCGAACGTCAACAAGATCTCCAAGATTGTCATCGGTCATGGTCAGGTCATCGACAGCATTACCCTTACCTATGATCGCAACGATGGGTCTGCTCCGCTCGTCCAGTCCCACGGAGGTACTGGTGGAAATATAACGACCATCGAGCTTAGCAGTGAGTTTCCAGCTTTCTTGCAGGTACCCCGCAATGGGGCAGCAGTCTTAAATAGTACCCACCAGGCGATGAGTTCCTCACTGGAGTTACCGGTAGGTACGGCTTTGTCTCGACCGCCTATGGGCCTTCAAGGTATGTCATTCGTTGCTGAAACAATTCTAAGACATTGATGACATATGCTGCAATTCAACAGCTTTCAAAGTCTCCAGCTCGGATTCGTCAACAGAGCCACAGGCGAAATGCGTCTCGCAGGCCAGCATGTCTCAAATGAGCCTTGCCTCGTTGAAGCTGATCAAACACCTTTCCATAGGTCCATTTTCCCCTGGTTCTGGGACTCCATTCATCGCCATTGACACGGTGGTCGCTATTGCTGGAAACGTCTCCACGATTGGCACTCGTACGTTACCGCTCCTATGCTACCTGTGTCAGCCATTCATATGTGGCATTGTAGAATACATACAGGCGCTGTCCTTCTTCACCACTCGCACCCCCGTTATCTAACGGGTCTAGTCTAAAGTTTCTCGAGCCCGCGGGCATGTCCTATCAGTGGTTGATACTGCTGCTCGATCTGGTTCAAGTATGGTTGGGTGGCATGAATGTGAATGATCTTTGTAACAATAGTACCGAACGAAGTGTTGTTCTTGAACAGTTGCTGTCATGATGCGTTGCGAAACCGAACTGTGCCTAGATTTATGGATGAGAGATTTATATTGAAGCGGCACGAGCACAAGTTACCAGCCAGATATGCTTGTTTAGACTGAATCGTGAATTAACTGTGATTGTCATTCAGATATAATATTCTGTCGAAGTATCATTCGAAGCTCTCGAGATGACTACAGCTCGCCATCAGGCTAAGATCATGCCATCAACCGCCCCGCAGGCGATGCATAGAAATATTGCGACGGTGACGCAAGACCACATTTATGAACGGAAGGCGTGGCCACGAGTCCTCTTCTTGCCCATCAGAAATTCATCGAGAAGGGGCGGTATCGTTTTTTTTTTTGTGCAAATGAATGAAGACCACTTTGAGCTCTATGATAATTTCATCCAAGGTGACAAAGATCGAGATGAGCGAGCACCACATCAAATGGTATTCAGAGTCGCCAAAACCAAGATTCGCGATGGGAATAACGTAAAGCACATTGACAAAGGCAAAACACATGAAAACGTACCCAAATCCGCCACGGTTCTTTTCGGTAGAGCAACCTCTAAGTAATAGCGTTCTGACTGCGGCTCTAATGCATGCAAACAAATCCTTCGCGAACGTTGTCTCCTGCTCTCTCAACTTTCGTATCCATAGTGAGATAGGAGTTCAGGACATGAGGAAAGTAATTTGAAACTTACCTTGAAAGAACGGAGGATATCGACACTATCCGCACCTTACAATGGAATGCATTGAAACTTCAGCAGTAAGCTGTGAAAGATAAAAGATTTCTACTGTGTCATAGCCACATTAACTATCACATTAGAGTGGTCAACGTTTGCGAATCGACAACGTCCAAACACATTCAATAAGGGAAGGGCGGTCGGTGAAGCCTAATAGATTAGGGGATGCCACTTACCCTCCATCCATGACTAACGTCTCTCTCGTTAAACCCTTTCATACTGTACTTCCAGGAGTTCCGACCCCAGACACTGTGGGAATATCTTTCCTAGAGCCTCCAAAATACCATCCAAAGGAAAGTGACGACGGTGAGAGTGACGTAGAATGATTTTCATCACTGGAAAGTCATCTCCAAGAGTCCTCTTCTTGGCAATCAGAAACTCATCGAGAGGGGCATAAGTTTCGATGATATCGTTCACGTAGTTGTTAGAAAGAACACTGATGCCTCTAAGCCTGATGACGATTTCATCCAATGAGTCAAAGATGAGGTCAGAGAGTATATCCTGCACCCAGTGTGCAGTATGTGCGAATGTCACACCAAGCTCGACTCGACAGAGCTGCTTGCAGTCGCCGAGACCGACTGTGGGTCCAACATGAGCATTTCACCAGGACGGAAAATACAAAATCATACTGGAGTTTTTGATGTCTCCCTTGTTGCGATGATCTCTGATGGAAAGCGATCTAAGTGTGCCTCTCGTACATGCAAAGACATCCTTCGTGAATGATGCCTCCCGCAACATCAAGTTGCGACGCGAGCCTCTACCGTCCCAGTATATCCGCACATGTGAGATTGGTGGTTTCACCGGAAGATTCTCGATGAGCTTGATAAAAACTGATCCCGCTCCCATATCAGTCTCCAGATGGCGGAGGCGCATCAGGGTGCCGATCGGCATAGCCTGTCCGATTCTGCCCCCATTAGAATCCTCAGATTCAGACGACACCTTATGGATGGAAAGGGATGATAGACGAGGGAAGGATGTTATGAGAGAATTCAACTCGTGTGATGGGATATCGGAGTTCTGGATTGAGAGTGATGTCAAGAATGGAAGGCATGTCTTGAAGTAACTGAGGATCTCGGCATTCTCTGCACGTCCGTGATTGAAAAATCTGATTTCGCGCGTGGAAACTCGGGGAAAGTGCGCGTCAAGAAGTGAACTGAAAGAAAATTCTACAGTGTCATGGCCATGCCATCTGTCACGCCACACTGGCTGTGGCACGTTGATCGACAGCGTCTGAACACATTCCAAAAGGTCTGGATGGTCGATGTAATACCTGAGCCTTTCTATAGACCTGTGTGTCCCTACAAAATCAAATCTGGAATGCAATAAGATCCTGCTTGGAAGATACCAAGCGTTGGCGATTAACGCGCATGTGCGAAGGGAATTGATGTTCGGGTAGACATGGCTTATGATCTGCTCGACAATATCTTGAGGAAGAATAACAGTCATGATATCAATCGTGGTCGCTGAATGCAGGTGCCGGTGAGGGTCCTGCGGCAGTGTTGAGACCGTACGTCATCGGCAACGCGCGGCATATCTATAATTGGATTGGAGTACGAGGCTCTTGCCAAACATCGCCAAAGCTAATCTGAACCCGCGGCGCGCTAGAGCCATTACTGATGATCTTAGGACATTCCATGCATGCTTATTGTCTGCTCAAACGTTCTCACATCATGTCGGCCGTACCCATACATATACACCTCTCGATGGAATTCCTAACTCCCGGACTGGTCGTCATGCAGGACATTGTCATGTGTCCAAGTCCGAGTCGCTGCCAGCGCCAGTGCTTACTTACATGTTCCTTTGAACGCTACCCAGATTTCCTCATTTACTTTCACAAACGCACCAGACAGTGGATCCAGGTATATCACGGGAATGTTTATTTTGAAATCCCTTGGACTCCAAGTTGGTATTTTAGCGAAATCGGAACCTTGAAACCGAGCAGTGGAACTTTCTTGGCCGCACCCAGTGAAGTCATGCTCCATTCTTCCTAATGACACCTGCCCCAAACTGTAGAAAATGAGGTCAAGATGCAGAGTCTCATGAGTGTACAGTTCTGCGGCACCTTTCCATGCATTCGCAGAACATGCATCAAGTCGCGTCGCGGAGATTTCGCATGAGGCTAAGTTCGCACCTCGATGAGCCCTGATTGCGTGACTCCGGGTCTCTTTGGACTATAAAACGCGGTGTTCTGAAGGTGAGCATCATCCACCCAGCACACATACGACCCATACCAGCTCCACCCAATCTCACTGTTATACACACCATGGCCGACGTCACTCAGACTCCTCTCTACGGAAGCAGCGAAGGCGATGCCTTCGACGACATCAAAGATCAGCTTATATCTTTTTTTTTCTTTTCAACTTCACTCCCGTGGCAATTGACTCTCGTGTCTTGTTTACAGTAACGCTGGCTGGCCGGCTGCTCAAAAGATCTCCCAGATCGTTATCCGCTTTGAAAACATCATAGACAACATTACTGTCACTTATGCATGCACCGGTGGACTTGCTCCAGAAACCCAGTCCCATGGCGGAACTGGTGGAAATGCAACCACCATCACTTTCAGTGGTAAGTGTTTCCTTTCCGATTTGTCACGTAAGATCAACATCTCTAATATCCAGTCTATTGGTATCCTAGATACTGAGTTTCTTTTCAGCCCGTTTACGGTCAGGCTGGACTTGTAGGAGACGTCTATGGCCCTTCGAGGTGCGTCACAACCTTCTACATCTTCTCATGCACCCCCGCCCCACATTGATGCAAATGCAATCATAATAGTATATTCAAGCTCCAGTTCGTAATCCTCGACAAAGCAACTGGAACATTCGGATTGAAATTATAAATAACTATCTTCAAGTCAAAGTTAGATTTTTCTTACTGACATATCTGTTTGCCAGGCCCTTTCGTAAATGCTCACGCAGGAACTCCATTCGCCGCTACCGGAGAAATAATTGCTATTGCAGGATACGACAGACAGAGTACTGCCCGTCCTCGTACATGCCTTTTTATTTTCAAACATTCCATATATGAAAATTCCATTGACACGTCCCTCCGCAGAGCGCTATCTCCAGTCCTCGTCACCCACATGCGTTCATTCTGATATTCCAAGATTAGAATTGGTCTTATTCTTCTGTTCCTTTTCGTGTCCAAGCATCCGACTAGTTAATGTCTGTGTGCAAGAACGACCTGCAAGTGACGAGTATTATAAGTAATCTCGAACATTGTATATGTCTATGTCACATAGAAAATTGAATACGAGCTCAGATCTGTGTTTCAAAGTGACCAGCCGTAGAGCATATCGTGAATAAATATGAGAAGCACCAGCGGAGGAGACTCACAGCCGCGAACAGCTACCACTTTGAAAGCCCTTGCACAACAAGCGCAAACAAAAGCCAGCAGACTTCGGTACCGGTATACCGCACCCATAATAAGATTCCCCGCTAACTACATGGAGGTTCCGCTGTTCGGTCACTCCGCGAATTCTTGCCCCACGGTATGATGATTTTTTTCACGCTCCTGTTGTGACATTGCAGGTGACCTCAACCATATTAGGCTGCCAACAAACCCAGTTCTACCATTTCTCTTCGGCTCCAATCTGACATCACACGTCATCACGACAACTGGAGCCATGATGGCGACTCCTCTGGTTTGTTCATTGATGGTCACGACCGAATTAAACCAGCAGGCTCCCAAGCCAACCCTCACAGTTATCGCGCCCTTGAACAGTCACCCTCGAATACATGCGTCGTGAGTTGGGTTCGTAGATCCTCGGTCAGTGTTTCTACCGAGAACATTAGATCCGATGATTGGGGCTCTATGGGCAGTCTCGAATCCTCCCGAAAGTGACAGAATGATTGTCGTTCACGCGCAGGAGTTGATGGCAGCTGGGAACGAGATGTCCTAATAGAGCGAGGTACATTGAAGCAGTCGTTCTGGCTCGATCCTCTGTTCTTTCTCTGCATTGTGCTGACCAATCGGCCACCTACGGCTTGTGGAACGTTTTCACTCAACTCTCAAGACGGAGTATCATTGTAGGATCTTTAGGCTTGTGTCTTGCTCCTTGTCAACTGCAACCGAACAGACGCGAAGGGATAGAAGGTCTAGGCTGGGTCGTGAGAAGGAGACACATTTTTTCTTGGCCATATGATGTTGTGGCGCGAAATGCGGTTTTCATAACAGATTCATAATCCGATTCTAGCAGGGGTATGTCTATCTAGGCAGAGCCCATCACCTCTTTGATCACGGTCGACGTGTTGACGTTATTCGCCTCAGACACGACGATAACATCAATGAAATACTTCCATTGCGATTTGTGATCCTTTCAATGCAAGCACATTTTGGTGTTTCGTCACTGGCAGATGACGAAAGGTGTGTACATTGAAGGGTATAAGTACCTCGCTCAAAATCTGTTCGTCCCTCAATCGAACTTCGCACAGTCTACTCTACAATGTCACTCGAGCCTGGCAATTACGAGATCACCTCGGCCATTGATGGCAACCCTATCGTTGCCCGCCATCCTATTGAGGATCATTCAGGGAATCCAAAGACCGTTTTCGCCCTCCCTCTTGGAATTCGCCCTCTAGGGGTTCGTATCACCTTCATTTCACCTTTCATCTCCTTCCGTACATATTGTATTTCTAATGCACATCTTCAATAGCCTTGGACCGTCGAAAAGGCCAGCGGCGACAAATACATCTTGAAAGCGTTTGGATCTCCTACGGCCGCCATCGATAAAAAGCTCTTCGCTATCCTGAATGATCTCTATCCTGCACAGGAGTGGGTCGTGACTAGAATTCCTCAGGCCGGTGAAGACGCATACACGTACACACAGTGCTATTCTTCACATAACTCTTCGCTAATATATCACATCACCAGCGTCAGGAAGCCCGATAGCCCCGAAGGCTGGTTCACCGCCGAAACCGATGAGCAGGCGAGTTATTGCTCATATGCCTCCTGACGTTTGGACTGATACTACTGCTACATACTCTCAGATTAAGGTTCAGCATTTGATAGTCGGCCCCAGCGAGCCCCCTTTCCATCCTCCTGGAAACGTCTTCATCTTCAAGCTCTTGCTCGAGGATTAGGCAATGTAGTTGGGATACAAAGCTATGGATGGTGAACAAATGTGTTGCATGATGGAGACCTTTGCCATTGGCTATTTGATATTCAGGCGTTTGAATCTCTAAACTGTATTTGTACCTCACTAGCTTGATGATTGACTGATGATTGACCGAAAATGGGGAGGCCCTTAAGCTCGCGATGTACAAATCAGTTTTAAAATCATAAAGATCGAGCCTCCACTGGCATATGAGAGAATCGGCCCATCGTGTTTGTCCCCCTTGAGGCTACGGTGAACGCCGATATTTGCGCTTGTTGCGCAAAGGCCTCAACACATCCGATTCAGATTTCTGTCCCACTCCAACTTCGACCGTGACAATGTACTAGTGACAACTGTACAGTACATCAAGCACCGTGCAGGTTCTGTAGAACCACCTAACCCTTGCTTTATTTCTCTGTCTTGCATCTTTCCTTGTCTTGATGATTATCTTCGGTATGCTCAGCGCTCAATCTGGAAGCTTCGATTTGGCGGTTCCGGAAGACTGTCAGTCACATACTACTCATTTTCTAGACTTAATAATAAAAGTGTTGAATGCACCAAATGCACCACGACACACCATTGCTATTTTTCAAGGTGAGTGTGACGGTTATATATCGCTTCAAATGCTTCAGCCTACTCGACTTGTCGTGGACACGGTTGATTTCTACAATATCAATGGCAAGCAGAAGATGCGCTAGTAATGAGGTCGGCGATGGCTAAGCCAGGATCATCTCTTGACACCACTGTCGGTTGTGACATTATGTGCAGCAGTCGTAAAAGGCAGCACGGTGTCAATTGTCCCAGGAACTGTGCTAACAGACTTCTATTCGCATCCAGGTTCTACGTAACCTGCGCAAGACAATACTGACTACCAAGGGAAGACCTTACCTTCAATGTTCATGGCGTCCTGACTGTCGAACAGCCAAGAACGTATGCTCGCCACTGGAACCTCTGGCCTTCGATTGGCTTCCGCATAGTCTATGTGAGGGGATATTAGTATAACATTGCGATAGCCTGTGTTTCTCAACAGAAGCTCGACATCGGGAGTTCGCAATATCCGAGCAAGGTGCATTTCATTCACGCGGGTACCTCAGTTCTTGGTCATATGAGGATCTAGGTCTTATGGATCGCACTGTGGATCGCGCCATGTAACAGAAGGGACCGAATATCAAGCGTTTAATGAAGCGGCAAACGTTCTTCGTGTCTAGGGATGCGAGCTAGGAGGCCACATGAGGAAGATGAATCCATTCAATCTCCATGCCTCAATCGTTCTGCTAACGTCGGCAGATATTCTTATCTCAGATGTTAATCATGCCGCCTGTTTAAGCCTCAACTCTAACGAGGTCAAGTCGATTGATTTATGTTTGGTTCGTGTTTTATTGTTCTGATAATGCAATGCATACCCAAGATCTCTGAGACCAACACCGCTCCATGTATGAGCTCCATCCCAGTCGACCCTACTAACAGGTTGCAGATTTCTATTGCGGCGGTAAACTCTGCTCTGTTACGTCCAGGCAATAACGGTGATTTTTGTGAGAGATTTGCCACCATCTGTCAAGGTAACTGCAATGCCACCGTTGCATGCACCACACTCTGCATTTGGTATCCGTCTCTACATATACGTCGAATGGTGTCATTTATCACATAAATTTCTCAGGTTCTGACATGACAGTGGTGCATTAGCTCGAAAGGTATACAGCAAATGGTCGGAATGAGGTGTCGCCGGCGTCGCATGCATTTAACGGCGAGCTGATGAAGCGTCAGTCGATATGCAGGAGTTTGGGCATATAAAAAGGGCTACTATGGACGATTCAAAGTAAGCAAACAGCTCCTCATTCCAGCTTCTCACTACAGTTCTTCATCAAACCATGTCTTCCAACATCACCCAGACTTCCACTTTCGGTGTCACCACAGGCGGCACTGCTTTCAACGATCTCAATGGTCAGTCCTACTTGCCTTCACTCTTTCAAACGATGAAAGATCATCAGTTCATTTCACTCATACACATTGTTTCTGTTCTTAGTCATCGGCGGCGTGCAGAATGTTAATAGGATTTCGCGGATTGTTATCCGTCATGGTGAAATTGTTGACGCCATCACGACGACCTATCAACGCTCACGTGGACTTTCACCCATCACCCGGTCTAACGGTGGTACTGGTGGAAATCTGGCTACCGTCGATCTCAGCGGCAAGTTCTTGTTTTTCATCCATCTCTCAATCATCAATCAATCTGACCTCTGAACTGCCATCAGCTACTGAGTCCGTCATTACAATCACTGGCACGTTCCGTTCCGTCTCTGCTCAATATGGTCCTTCAAGGTGCATCATAGCATTCTCAATTAAAGACGTGATTAAGAGTTGAACTGACTATATTGAGCACCAACAGCGTTCAAAACCTGAACTTCGTCATTTTGAACAGCTCCACGGGGGCCGTTCGTGTCGCAGGTCCGTCTGAAGCTGGAGAGACCATCTCATTAATTGAAAACTCTGCTTCATAGGTCCTTTTGCTCCTGCCTCTGGAGGAACTCCATTCAGGGTCTACGGCACGCTCGTTGCATTTGCCGGGACCATCTCCACCCGCGGCACTCGTACGTCACGTTGCAGTACTACTATGCATATAACTCACTGGCAGTGTCGCAGGCTTCATTCAGGCCTTGTCCTTCTTCATCATTCCTACCCGAGCCGCTGTTCAGCCTGATATTGCTGCTGCTACCACTGACGATATCACTGATGATGCCGCTGATGATATTACCGCACCTGCCTAGTGATCTAAAGGCTCTTGATCCCTCAATTCGGCTTGTGGTTCATGTCACTCCCCGATCTGGTCAAATGTGGTTGGACGGCGTGAACACGAGTGATGTGTAACAATAGCACCGAACGATATGTGTCATTTTTGAATAGTTTCCGCCTTGATACGTTGTGGAATCAAATTATGCGTGCAACTGTATCACTGACTGACTTGCAAGATATTCATGTTCCGGCGGCACGAAAGCAAACTTGGGCTTGAGTTCCCCAACATTCAGAATCGTCACAGTTTGCTGTCAAGACATGCTCTTAAAGTCTGCGAGTTGACCATATATAACACCAAGTGAGCCAATAGACTGTGTTAGCCACCCGAGAAACAGCGAGCTCAAGTTTACAACTAGAACAGGACAAACTTAGGGAACTAAGAAAGTGATTTTGACTGGGGTATGCGACTTCCCCTCCACGACTAATGTCTCTCTCACTGCAATCTCTCATACTGCACTTCCAGAAGTTCGGAGAACATACACTGTGGGAATATCATTCATAGAACCTCCAAAATACAATACCATCCGAAAGAAAGGGGCGAAGGTGAGACTGACATAGAAATGACTTTGATCATCAGAAAGTCGTCCCCAAGAGTCTTGAAAATCAGAAATTCATCGAGAGGGGCATGGGTCCCAATGGCATCATTCACGTAGTCTTTGAAAAGAACGGTGATTCCTCTGAACCTGATTTCATCCGAGGGATCAAGGATGGGGTCAGAGAGCAGATCCTGCACCCAGTGTGCGTTGTGTGCGATTGTCACATCAATCTTGAATCGACAGAGCTGTCTGCACCCACCGAGACCGACCATGCGGCCAACGTGAGCATTTGAACGAGAACGGAAAGCATGAATACATACGGAAGTTTTTGAGGTCTCTTTTGCTACGGCGATCTCTGATGGACAGTGTGCCTCTCGTACATGCAGACATCCTTCAAAATGATGTCTCCCCCACCATCAAGTTGTGACGCAGGCCTCTACCGTCCCAGTATATGCGCATGCGTAAGATTAGTGGTTTCACCTGAAGGTTGCTGATGAATTTGACAAGGGCCACAGATCCCGCTCCTATATTAATATCTGGATGTCGGAGATGCATCGGGGCGTTGATCGGCGCAGTCTACTCTGATTCCATCCTCACTAGAGGCTTCAGAGTCAGCAGACACCTTACGAAGAAAAAGAGAAGATAGACGAGGGAAGGACATTATGAGAGAATTCAACTCGTCTAATAAGATATCGGAGCCCCTGATTGAGAGTGATGTCAAGGATGGAAAGCGCGTCTTGAAGTAACAGAGGAACTCTGGCTTCTCTGTATGTGGGAGATTGGATGACCTGATTTCGAGGCTGAAATTTGGGGAAATGCACGTCAAGGAGTGAGTTATAAGAGAGTTCTGCCATAGCCATGCCATCTGTCGCGCTGTGGCACGATGATCGACAGCATCTGAACACATTCCAAGAGGCCTGGATGGTCGACATAATACCTGAGCCTTTGTTTTGACCTGAATGTCCTGAGATAGTCCGGTCTAGAATGCAATGGGTCCCTGCTTAGAAAATATCAAGCATGAGCGATTAACGCGCCTTTGTACAGAGAGAATCATGTTCGGGTAGACACATCTGATGATCTGTTCGACAAAATCTTGAGGAAGAACAGCATTCATGATGAGTTGTGGTCACTGACGAGGGATCTGTGACTGCAGATTACTTATACGTTGTCGACTCCAACATGGGCGGACCTATAATTGGATAAAGGATATGTACGAGGCTGTTGCCAAACAATGCCAAAGCCAGTTTGAACCCTTTGCCCCTTTTACTTTCGTTTTCACACCGGTTACTTATACTTGGATCTATCTTACGGCTGCTTGCACGACGGACATGAATATTTTGCTCCTCTCCTTAATATTTTCTCATCGCTTACATTTCAAGTGTGACTCTTCTTCCGGAAATCGCACGCCAAACTTCGCATCACACCTTTTCGACGGTTCACATGCTCACGGTCCAGCCTTGCCCTTAAAAGTGCTTTATTGACCTTAACGAGCGATGTCAAATTATGTTTGGTCGGGGAATTTCTGGCAGTCACATTTTCTCTGAGGAGTCTGGCACCATATTGTCATAGAGATCACCTTGACTTTTTAACTTGCCAAATTACTGGGTGAGCAAAGCTAGCGACCGTCCTTTTATGATCATGTACTCTAATAGTAATCATTATCACATGTGCCCTAGTATCAGCTTTCACCCTGTTCCGAACAGTTGTGAAAGCAATCCAATTATCGATAGAACACGATGCCGAAAGGTTTTCCCATGCATGTTGAACGACTTACCCACACATCACTACCTCTACCGAGGTCGAAAGTCTCCCCATGGGAGTCTCTGGCCTTTTCCGTACCTCATGTGATAACGTATAAAAAGAACCATCGGTGTTTCTTAACAAAGAGGAGCTTGACGTCGGAAATCCGGAGTTTCCGAACATCATATTTCCACTCTGTTACCTCAGTTCCTGGCCGTATGACAAGCTGGACATTTGTATGTGCGTCAGGATGTTTCTGTGATGCCAAGTGTGCCGTGCAGCGCACAAGCCGATGATCGAAATGACATGGTGAATGTTTTTCGTGACTAGGTAGGCGAGGTTATCTCAAGAAGGTGAGTCCATTCAATCACCGCGTGCTAATCGTATCGTCTCTTTAACACCAGAATTCGAAGGGTATATAGAATGAATTTATCCTTACGTCCCAGGTATATTCCTCTTTTATCTTTTGGAGAAGTATATGTCTTGACCGTACCTACAGGTAGTTCACCGTTATTGTAGAGCTTTGTAGTGCATCAGCAGTGTTGGTGATTTCTATTGCTATGGGTGATTTTCACATTGCCATCATCCGCAAAGTAATTCCGGAATCAACGCCACTGTTCCATGCTCTATTCTGAACCCTGGCATCAGACTCGGCATTCGTCTTTGTGAACGTCATGTATCTCGGAGAGAGGTCAAGCTTTGATAAAACAAGGATACGCCGGCTCCAACTGTATCCCGTGAACTGTCAGAACCACACTCGGAACTTATCGAAGTTCTTCCATGCAACTCATCCAATCAGAATACGTCAGTCCATATGCACGAGCTTAGGACTATAAAAAGCGGACTCTCTGGATGGTTCACAGTAAGCAAACAGCTTCTCGCCTCTAGTTGTCCTATCTAGCTCACAGTATACAACATGTCTGCCGGCATCAATCAAACTCCCACTTGGGGTGTCACCACGAGTGGTCAACCTTTCAACGATCTTGACAGTATGCCCAACCCTTTCTGATACATCTGGTACTTACGAGCGGCCGTCTGCATTCGTTGCAGCCGTCGGAGCAACGAATCTCAACAAAATATCCAAGGTTGTCATCGGTCATGGGGAGGTCATTGACAGCATTACCATTACCTATGATCGCAATGACGGGCTTGCTCCGCTCGTCCAGTCCCACGGAGGTACTGGCGGAAATATAACGACTATCGAACTCGACAGTGAGTCTCCAGCTTTCCTGCAGGTATCAGGCCATGGGGCAGCAATCTTAAACACCCGCCAGGCAACGAAGTCATCGTTGGAGTTTCCGGTAGGTACGGCTTTGTCTCCTCCATCTATGGGCGTTCGAGGTATGTCATTCGTTGCTGAAACAATCCCGAGACGTTGATGGCACGTGCTGAATTCCAATAGCATTCAGAGTCTCGAGTTTGCGCTCCTCAACCAAGCCACAGGCGAAATGCGTATCGAAGGTAAGCATGTCTGAATTCAACCGAGCCCCGTTGAGAGCTATCAAACATCTTTCGATAGGTCCCTTTGCCCCTGGTTCCGGGACTCCGTTCAGCGTCATCGACACGGTCGTCGCTGTTGCCGGATACGTCTCCACGTCTGGCACTCGTACGTTACCATTCCTGTATTACCTCTGTATGGCAACCACTCACATGTGGCATTGCAGATTACATCCAGGCCTTGTCCTTCTTCACCACTCACACCCCCGTTGTCTGATAGTCTAGAGTCTCTCGCTCCTGCGAGCATGTCCCATTCGGTCTGTGGTTGATATTACTGCGGCCAGGCGGCGTGAACGTGACTGAGCTTTGTAAGAATAGTACCCAACGATGTGTTCTTCTTGAATAGTTTCCGTTGCGATACACTGTACAATCGAAATATATGTGTGCCTGAATTTACGAGCGGGATATTTGTGTTCCAGCGGCACGAAGGCAAATTACCAGTCAGTTCCGTAGGTTGAGACTCCGCCACGATTTGGCTCTGATCGTCATTCAGATATAGTATCATTTCGAAACCCGCGAGTTAGAATCATATCGTCGACTAACCAGAAACGGCTGGTTCAAGAGTCTAATCAGAACAGGATGGAGCGGAATCAGGAAGTGCTTCTGACTGGAGTATATGACTCACTCGCTGGGATTCTGCTCCCATCTATCGCTAGAACCTCCCCAAGCCTTCCATCCAAAGAGACATAGCGACGGCAATGACGCAAGATGATCTTTTTGAGCGGAAAGTGTCGCATAAGTCTTGTGCTTGGCAATCAGAAAATCATTAAGAGGGGCGGTATCATCTACAGGTCTTTGCAATTCAACGATGATTGCTCTGAGCCTTACGGTAATTCCATCTACAGTGTCAAAGATTAATTCAAAGAGGGTGTGTGTGAGTACCACATTAAATGTTGTTCATATTCGCCAAAACCAAGGTCCTCAATATAAACAACATAAGCATGTTGACGAAGGCAAAGCACATAAAAACATACGGAAACAATCCCGTTTCTTCCATTAAAACATCTCTAATTGGTAGCGTCGTGGGTAAGTCTCCGGTACATGCATAGAAATCCTTCACGAACTTTATGTCCCGCGCTGTCAACCTACACGCAGCCTCTATCAACCTAGTGAGCCGGCAGGGGTTTTACATGCTAAATATAACAAAATACAAAGATTCTGCTGTAAGATCAGTTTCAAAGTGCGGAATATGCGGAAGAACGCACTAGAAATTTACATTCTCTTCACGATAGCCCTCGGATCTAAGTTAGTGTAGGAGAGATGAATGATAGACAAGGAAGGAAATGATGAGGGAACATAGCACGTCCAATGCGCCATCGGAGTTCCGTATCGTAGCCGCATTAAGTATCACATTAGAATGGAGAACGTTTGTCCACCGACAACGTCCGGATACATTCCATCAGGTAAGGTCGGTGAAACCTAACACCGGGGTCTGTCTGTAAACCTCTCCGTCCCCAGAAAACCCAATCTAGAATGCAACGGAGTCCCAAAACACAAGCTGTCAGTACATGTGCTCGCAGCGACTTGGTGGTCGAGTCGACATCGCAATGGTCTCTTCAAAACTTTATCTTGGGGATGAACGTTAACAGTGGTCATCAGTGATCACGGTCGGTGACAGTGACGCGAGTTTGATCGGGGTCCAACAACTCTCGGCATGCCCATAATTAGGTATGCTGATGAGGCTCTTGCCAAACAAAGCCAAATCCAATGCGGACAAATTGATCAGTCACTAGGCCATTATCTCTTAGTATTCTCACATCAGCTCTATCGGTATGCCAGTACTTATTGAAATACACGTCGCGCGGGAGGAAAGCGAGTCGGTACGTTTGACCTCGTTGAGCTCTGAGGCAAACGGATGGGGGTACATACAAAGTAAGTAACTACTTTTATACAAAGAACTGCCAAGCACGCGGGACTCCGTCCCACTCCTCTCATCCTTGCGCATAGCGACGCTCGCCGCTTCATCCATATTCCAACAGTACTTTCGTGTCTCCTTGGCACTTTGCGTTGCCTGTTTCTCTTGCTCGCAATTTTTCAACGCTGCGACAATGCACCTTTCGAAATGGGCTGCGCTATCCGCTCTTTTGGTTTTCTCATACCGCGATCCTCAATGCTTATACGTGCCATCGACATGCTATTGATGAAATGACGGTGTTTCCGCTCAAGTATGGCTCGCGCTAACCATGCTGAACAATGTGATATTAATGAAGGACCGCTTCTGCAATACATGTTGCAACCTGGATAGTTCCATTTGACTCATGTGAGTTTGTTGCGAGAAAAGTTTGAACTTCAGTCGCAGACTCACCATGGTCTCACGCATCTCCGAGCTCAGTAGTGTAGCGTTTACATGACAGCGATTGACATACAAGTAAGCCATTCGGGCTTCTCACTGGCACGCTTCACTAGGCGCGGACGAGAGGCAAGTCCCTTCCCACACAATGCCTTGGAATCGTGTCAATTCCGAAAGAGCTTATTGCGTTCGGTGGGAACAAACAATATCGCTCCATAGAAAACATAAGCACCCAGTTCGGAGCAAAGGGCTAGCGCGGCTAGCTGACAGATGACCAACCATAACCTTGGATCTTTATGTCTCCCGCGATGCCGACTCCACCAAACGAGGTGGAGCTCTATCCAATAAGCTCTATCACAGCTATTTGCGGAACGATAGGCCACCTTGGAAAAAAATCCAGGACAGAGGGTTTCAAGATCCGCTCTCGGCTGAAAGTGGCACTCACTCAGGCTGAGACGCTCCAAGCTCTCTTGCTCCACGAATACTCCAAATTCTGTTCGTGATTGGCTCAGACACCTGCAATCAGCCTTCGGGGATTGAAACTCCTGTGCTGGCTTTTTTCGAAAGGTGGCCTATCGTTCCGCAAATAGCTGCAAATGGACGAAGACGCGTCGCTTTCTTATCGCCGTCTCCGGAGCCGGCGGCGCAGTTTCTTTACCTTCTGAAAAGGTACTACCATAAATTATAATCAATTTTGGCGTTGGAGCGAATATCAGAGAACACCAGACTGTAAATCTACCTGTTCGGTTTCCCGGAACGAAACGCCGCACTAGAGCAATGCACTATATTGGTTCTCGGATCCGTCGTCTGAATGCTGCACAGTACGATCTCCGTTTAAGTCCGGAGAGTGGATCGCTAGACTTTGTGTGTCCTGCTGTCCGCCACCCCAGTTGTCTCTCTTCAGACATTTGGATTAGCTCCTCTCAAGGAAGGAAGACGATCCCTGTGTCTATATATTACTAAAGCGATTAGATATAGAGGGTCGCGATCGTTCGACCGGCGAATTCTACGTATAGGCTCCGAGTAGAACCTTGAATGATTTGTATATTAGCACGATACATATCTCTAGAACCTTATGATCATTTAATTTCTGTTACGCTCAAGTTACACTCTATCAAGCAGCGTTTAGCTTGAACTTCGGATCCTGACATGTACCATCCGGGTAATAACAGACGACATTTCCCAGTCTGGCAATGAAGTTCTGGATATGGTAGCGCTGTCTCCAAAGATGGGCATCTTCCATCTTCCATTGACGCCACCATCGTCTTCTGCTCTCGACTGGTCTGTGTGCGTTCCGTCCTCGATCGAGGTACGTTGTCTCCTTCTGTTCATCTGCTTTCCAACTAACGACTCTCTTCGTTTACTCGTCGTTCTTTCGATCTTCTTTTCATCTGGTATTGTGCTCTTGTACGCGCGTCGTCGTCGGCTAACGTGTGGTTCTGGATCTGTCGAATCTTAAATCGATCCTGTCTGATGTTCAATGTCAACTCAGCGCAATCAATCGACTCACGCTTCTCCCTCCCTGCCTTGCCCACGCTTCTAGCTTCTAGCTGCCACTGCCACGGTCACTGTCACTGAAGCTTGCACTTCCTCGGCTCGCTCCACAGACCCAACCTCGACCGCAATTGCACTCAGCAATTGGACTCTTCGTTTCCTCTTCCTCCTCCAACTCGCTCTGTCTCGCCCATCACGTTGGTCACGCATGCCTTCAACTTTCACCAACAACCTCGGTACAGAGCTGAAATCTGGTGCCTACTTTATCACTACTGCCCTGCCCTCGAATGCTTTTATCGGTCGGAAACTGGTAGACGACAAAGCTGTCGCGGAAGGCTTGTACGCGTCACATGCTCGTAAACTTCTTCCTGTGGTTAGGCTTCCCGAGGATAGTCAGGATATCGCCGTGAGTGGCCAATCTCTATCACTTTCTTCCCCGTTCTCTTTCGCTTCTGTTTTGTTCGCTTCCCCGCTCCCCAAATCCTTGCTCTCTTGATTTTGTTTCTACCAGCCCCCGCTGCAGTCGTTCGGGCGACTGGCGGTGATTATTGTTCCGAATACCATTTAGCCTTACATATGACGTATTGACTGACCTCATCCTGCGCCCTCTCACAGTGGGACTTCCAAGAACTCGAGAGGCGCAAGTTCATCCTAAGGAGTCGTGGTGCACCAACAACTATTGTGGACGGAGGCGTGGGTGCGTTGATTGTAGCTTCACCGCCACCTACGCTGTGGACGATATCGCCGGCGATTGGGAATGGGGACGGTATGTTTGTGTGAGTGGATTTGTCTTTTTTATTATTATGCTGGAGTAGTTTATTCCCGAATTTGCTATTTCGTATTGTGTATGCGCTTTATGTGCCCCTTTTCGCACCTGCTTATCTATTCGACTTACATGATCATGTATGCTGATGTATGCGTGTGGGTTCGATGTAGGATCCAAACAGAGGACGGAACCGGAGGATGGGTCGTGACAGGAGACGAGCCAGATTCGCCAGTGCGTGTCTCCCTTTCAATTCAATCTTACCCTCAATCTCATCTCCAATCTCGACTGTACCTTTATTTTCACTTTTCACCTTGTACATTCATCTTCGTTCAACCCTTCGAACGCCATCACGTTGATTTAGGTTGAGCTCCACCCTCTCACCCCAAGCAAGACCCAACCACCAGTCTACCCGCCTAACCAAGTGTTCAAATTCACACTTGTCCGCTGACAATTACAGGAGTGCTGGCATTTCTGATTGTTGGCTCTCTCAAGAAAGTGTATGTACTGTGTGTATCAGTAATTTTGTCTATTGTTCTGTGTTTTTTTTTTGGTGTTATCGTCGCCCGAACGTTGTTGCGCCGATTTTTCTTTCCTTGGGTGTGTATAGGTTATATCGTATATGGCGTACCGGGTTTTAAACAGGGAGGCGTAACCGGTTGTTTTGATTGAACTATGTTGGGTATATGTAGGGTGTTTGGGTTTAAAGTGTTATCAGCCGCATACGTTGGGGGTGTATCGAGTACATCCTTTTTTCTCATTACATACATAGCAAGTAGACCATTACAAGTAAGCAAGTTTATGCACTACTTACATCATCGGATTCCAGGAATCGGGAATGATCCATCATGATGGGGTCAACTCTAACTTCCGGTCAATTCGCCACACTGTCTACTGAGATGCCCGACATATTGTAATGGAGCTGTCAATTAGGTTGTCGTCGTCCCTGCACCTTACCGACATCGACGGACCAGAAACTAGGCGTTCAACGATTCCAACATTGATCAGGCGTTGAAGATTTCATTGAAGTTGGTAATGCAATTTGAAATGCAAACGACTAAAGCTTACAAACAGTACGACCGAACTCCGGAGGTCGAGGATTCGAAGTGGCGAAGCTTCTTAATCATGATAGATGATGGGTTTTGAGGGCGTTCCGTCAAAAGACCGTTAAATGGAAGGAGCGGGGATATAGTAAGTAGCAGACATCTTAGAAAGCATTGTTGTCAGGGCCGACTTCCGAGGTAGACCGGGATGCATACATGTCTCCTAAATAGCGAGAACATTTCCAGTTCTTGCAAAGGTCAAGATGATGTTAACGATGACGGCTCGGCTGTTGGCCACGTTCACCGACCATCGAATATCAACGACTAAGACTCGGCTAGGCCGTATGCGTTATCCGAGCGACCGAGCCAAGCTTGTCGGTGAACTGCAATTTACCGGCAACCAGACTCGGCCGGCTAAAATAAGCCGGACGTGGGGGCGGGGGCCACCATCAGAAATAAGGGGCGGCCTATATGATAGACTTGCGCCGGCGGCCTCATTGTTTTCTCTCTATACGACATCACCTGTGCTTTGGATCGTCCCAGAGTATATGTGGTGGGAGTTGCCAAGTGGGGTGAGGCATGGAGAGTATACAGATGGAGAGACGCCAGGGCAGTTGAGGGGCATGATGATGTGCGAGACGGTCGGACACCTAAGCAGGGCAAGGCAGAGTCAGGAGTCAGGAGGGGGGGCCAGTGGGAGAAGGAATCAGGAAGCGTGACAACCAAATACCCGCGTTAGTATTTAGAGGGTGATGTGAATTGGAAAGGGGAACCGAAAGCCGAGTGAGCGAATGGATGGCCGGGAGCGGAAAGGCCTAGGAGGAGCGTGAGGATGGGTGCGGAGGCTATTGTGTGTTGGGAAGAATGGGTCAAGGACGGCCATAAGAGTTCCATATCGACCCAAGTTTCGCCGTTGGCTATTGATATGCCCGGTTCAGGAGGGCAAGGTTTGAAGGCGTGAGTGAATGACCACCAGTGACATCTTGGCGTCTCGATTTACCCCCGCATTTCTCAGCTGCAGCGGGAGCAGACCCCGCTAGTGTGAAGCCAGAACGCAGAAGAAAAAAACTCGGCGAGAAAGCAAAGCAAAGGGCAGAAAAGGACGACGCTTGGCTCGCTTGGAGGGAATTGACCGGAGACGGACCGAGCGTCTGGCGATATAGCCGAAAGCGGAGATGCCGATGGGAGCACAGAGCCGGTGTCCAAAACAAACGCAGCCATCTCCCTGCCAGTTTTCCGACGCCTGCCTTCCTCCTTTCCTCCAACCGCCATGTTCTCTGACCATCCCCTCCCTCCTCCGCCCCCCATGCTCGAACGTCCCCCTCCCCCTCAGAAACCTCCCGTCGTCCGAGGGGCCCGTGCTTGCACCGTTTGCAGGCTCGCAAAGATGAAATGCGTCGGTGGTGAGGAGGGTGTTAAGCCCTGTCAGCGTTGCAAGCGTTCCGGCGCAGACTGCATCTTTGAAAAACATCGCAGGGGCCGCAAGCCTGGCTCCAAACTCTCAGAAGCATCCAGGGTTCTCCGACATCTCGAGAAGGGTCTCCCTGGTGCGAAGGCGAAAGTCGATCCGACCTGTACGTCACAGTCGCCCGTCGCTGAACAAGATAGTCACCTTTCCATCGGGCGCTTTCCGAATAACGAACTTCCCCCGCTCAAAATTCCCCCCGACTTCGAACTTCCCCTCCCCCGTGCTTCTGACCCTACTTCCTCTCGTATGCCCATAGACTTTGACCAGGACCAGGACGAGAAAAAGCCAGAGTCCGAGACCATGTATCCTGCTAACCTTATTCGTCGTGAAGGTGAACGTTCTTCCTCTTTCTTCAAGACCATCCTCAACCCGCAACCGGAGGCACCATCAATACGTTTTAAAGAGTCTAGCAGCCCGTCTCCACAGCTTCATTCCCCTGTCGTCCCTCTCACATCGTCTATCAATGTCACAGTCGCTTCGGAGTTGAGAGATCCTATCGAAGCCGGTTTCATTGACGAGAAGCAAGCTGACACCTTGTTCCAACTGCTCTTCCTTCGCTTGAATCCCTTCATTAACCTCTTCGATCCTCACCTCCACACAGTCCCATATGTCCGTAACCGATCTCGCTTCCTCTTCTCTACCCTCATTATGGCTTGCTGCAAGTTTTTCAAGCCCGAGTTTTATCCACAGGCACAGAAAATTGCCAACGAGTTTGCCGTTCGTGCCTTCGCCGATGGTCAGAAAAGCGTTGAGGTCGCACAAGCCTTCGCTTGTATGACCTACTGGAAAGAGCCGGAGGACACTCGGACATTCTCATACATTGGGTACGCTTGTCGTATGGCTGTCGAGCTTGGCTTGAACACCCTTGTCCGTCGTCGCCCACTCGATGAGAGTGACTACCAGCTTCTCGAACGTCGTAATCGCGAGAGGACCTATCTCGTTTTGTTTGTTCACGATCGGAGTCTAAGCGTTCAGACTGGTCGACTGTGGATGCTACCCGAGGACGATTTCATTCGGCACTCCGTGAGCTGGCATTCTGACCATCCTATGGCTCCGCGTCCCGAGGATACCATTATCGCCGCATTCACGCAACTCCAGAGGATCGCTTCGGACACTACGGATACCTTCAATGCTCAGAAAGATAATCCGCCCGCGCATATTGACGGTCATAACCATGACGCACTACTGAGGACATGTAATGGCAGGTTGACGCAGTGGATGGATACTTGGCATCATGAGATGCGGCGTGCTGCAGGGGACAAGTTCCATATGGCGTTCCTCAACATTTTCAGGCTACATGTCCGACTTTTCCTCAATAGCTTTGGGATCCAGAGTGCTATGGCGAGCTCTTCAAAGGCTGTCCTCAACCTACAAGCTCTTTCTGCATGTTACAACTCTGCCATCGAGATCCTCCAGATCGTTGTGGACGATTTCGCCGCTCCGAGTATGTTGCGACACGCTCAGGAATCAATCACCGTCATGACGGCCTACGCTGCTGTATTCCTACTCAAGCTCCTTCGAAGTCCGAACACGATGTCACAGTTGCATGAAGGTGCGACAGATGAGATTTACACGCATATATCGAGAGTTGCAGAGGCGTATGATCAGATCTCCAGGTTGTCGGAGGTAATGACTAGTGCAGCACACCATGCGAGGTTTTTGAGGGGCTTGGTGGAACATGATATCGCTAGGTCGAAGCAGATGGAGCAACAGAGGAGACAGCAACAACAAGCGGTTAGTGTTAGATCATGCTTGCATACCCTTAATTCCTTCTGATGTCGCTATTAGTCCGCGGACTACTATCGTAGGAACGCCGCTTCGAGCTCCTCTGGTTCTTCAGACCTTTATCGTTACCCATCGTCCGGCGCTGCCGGGACTACGCGACTCCCACCCGTCCAAGTCGCCTTATCGTCTGCCTACATGCATCGAAGCGGCGAGTCAGAGTACGCGTCTCCTACTACGTATTCGCCCAATTACAGTGGTGCTTACGTCTCGTCGCATGGGTACCCTAGTCCGTCACCTAGTAGTCAGGGACAAGCTGAATCAAACCTCCCTCCCCTTCATTCTCAAGCACGAAACGCCAGTAGTGATGCGAGTGGAAGTGGTGATTCGACGATGGGCGAAGGCTCTGAGTCGGCATATCGGACGAATATGTTGAAGAACCTGGGGTATAAAGATGACTTGTACCTGCCCCCTCCGTCAGCTTCGATGTCTTCTTCCACCGCGTCTACTTCAAATGCGACAGCTGGGCCGTCGTATGGAGACAGGTATCCTGCAGCATCGAGTTCGAATATGGCGAGAAGTTCGGGGTATACACATGATGGGAGAGGAGGATATGGGTACTCCAGTCAGGCTAACGACTATTCTCGACACTCGCAATATGGCGGCTTTTAATCGTCGTTTTATGGGTTATAGGGAGAAGACGGTAGGCTCCCGTCGGTCGGTTTTCTTTGGCCTTCCATTTGACTGGTGTCAGTACACCAGTTGAGCCAAGGTCCAACACGTCTTCATTTTCGTTGTGCAATATCATCATCAAGCCTTAATTGCCTCGTTATCGCCTGACAGTAGTTTCCTGCTCGTCGTTGCTGCTCGGATTTTGGACTGTCTCGGTCACCCACCCACCATATGCACACCTCAATCTTCATTCGATATTCAAGCTTTCGACGTACACTTCTTGGGCATCGTACCATACGTATCTTATCTTCATATCATCAATCATCACCGTTTTTCGTCATCTGTCGCTCTTCCCATCTTGTCATCCTCGTCACCTCACCTTTTCTGCTCTTTCGCTGTCACTCGTCCGCTTCCCGTATGATATTGGATCTAAGTTATGCTGCAGAAATACCTTTGAACGATGTACTCTCGTGTTGTACATGTATCATAGGTTGTGTAGTCCCTCAAGTACTCTCTCTTTTCTTTACTCTCTCCTTCGTCTTCGGCTCGCAACTTGCTATCCTTTTCCATTTTCTTCTTCTCTAGTTCCGTAGTAATCGCTTATCGGTCTGCTAATAGAGTATCTTCAACAGTGTCTTCTGAACTCCACTTACTACTCGCTTGCTGAATTATGTAGATCATACACGATGAATACGTAACTCACTTATCAAGATCAAGATCAGGATACGCTCAGATTTAGTGTGCTGGCGAGGTGGGGTAAGAATTCGCCGATTGACCGAACAAGCGGAATCTCCATATGGTTAGTGGTAAATATAAGTAAATGCGGTACCGGCGGTACCGAAGTCTGCTGGCTATATAATATTGTTTGTGGTTGTTGTGCAGTGGCTTCGGTAGTAGCCACTGTATAAGGACCTCAGGCCTCGGTGTTTGCGGCTGTGAGTCTCAGCAGGTGTCTGTGATATTTCTTTCCGATGAACTAGCTTTGAGACACGGTGTTCATATTCAATTTTCTACGCAACATACTGTACTTTTACGACCGTAGCGGACGGCCGATTTTTTGTGACACCTACCATCCACTGGGGACGAGCGGACAACCCTTATGTGAGGTGTGACAGTGTCCGCTTAGATTGGTGTCTGAAGATTTTCTTGCGACAAAAAAGGCTGACTCCCCTACTTCAATGATTGATAGCAGCTTTTTGTACCTACGCCATTTATTTACACCGTTCTACACCGTTCTGCGCCGCAGGCAGAGAAAAATATTGATTTTGTGCATTTTCTAAAAGCCTGTCACACAGCGGACGAACCCTTTGTGAGCTGTGACAGAGGCAGTAAATAGCGGACATTTCGGCCTCTGTGACATGTGACGTCCGCTACGGTCGTAAAAGTATAGTATTTGTTCTATTTCCAAACCCTATACATCAAGTACTCGACACTATAACATTCTTCATCAGCAGGCCATTCGTTGCACGCGGACGCCTGGACGCATACGGACGGAATTAGTCGTCAAAGTAGAACGACAAGGACTGGAGGTAGCGCTCTGTGGAGTTGCATGTCAATGGAAATTCCGTATGTACGTGGAATGTTTGCAGAGGGAATAATGAAATATACGTACGAGGACGAGAGGTACTCTGCCTATCATATCCTGCGATACCAATTACTTCGCCGGTGGCGGCGAATGGAGTTCCTGTGTGAGCGTTTACGAAAGGGCCTGATAAACAGAGACATCAGTAAGGAAAAGTAAAATTCGTCCGACAAATAGTTATTTATACCTTCAAGCCGAACACTTCCTGTTGCTTTGTCAAGGATGACGAACTGGAGCTTGAATATACTATTTTTATTACATTCATATCAATGCGGGGCAGGGATGTATGAGTGAAAAGATGTAGAAGATAGTAACGCACCTCGAAGGGCCATAATCGTTCCTTACAAATCCACTCTGGCCGTAAACGCCAATAAGAAACTCAGTGTCTAGCATATCAATAGAATAAATTTAAGATGCATTGATTTTGGGTGATGAGTGGGGAACGAAACACTTGCCACTGAGAGTGATGGTGGTTGCATTTCCACCAGTTCCTCCATGGGACTGGGTTTCTGGAGCAACTCCACCGGTGCGTGCATACGTGATAGTAATGTTGTCGACGATGTTCCCATAGCGCACAACGATCTGGGAGATCTTGTTGATCGATTGTGTAGCGGGCCAGCCAGCGACGGCTGTTAATAAGAAATGACAGATTGGGAAATTGATTAGTATGAGAGTCGGGTTACGCATAAAGAGAAACTGACATTTTATATCGTCGAAAGCATCACCTTGGGCACTTCCGTAGAGAGGGGTCTGAGTGATATCGGACATGGTGAGTATAGCAGTGAGACTGTGCGGGGGTGGGTTCTGTAGAGGTGCTGGTTGGATGATACTCACCTCAGAGAGACCGTGTTTTATAGTGAAAGAGACCCGGAATCACGCAATCAGGGCTCATCGAGGTGCGAACTTGGCCTCATGCCAAATCTCCGCGACACCACTTGATGCATGTTGTGTGAAAGCATGGAAATGTGCTGAAGAATGATGCACTCATTGGACTCTGCTTCTTGACCTCGTTTCATGTTGTTTGGGGTACGTTTCGTCAGGAGGAATGTAACATGACTCCACAGGGTGCGACCAAGAAAAGCTCCTCACCGCTCGGTTGAACGATTCCGATTCTGGCACCGAAATGTCGTATATCAAGTCTATGAAATCACACACCCATTCCTGTAGCAGACCTTCATCCGCAGTATGGCGCAGTTTCGAAAGTAAGTGGCGAAGTATTGCTGGGGTCAAGAGGAATACCTAAACGAGCAGCACAAAGTTGGCACATGGCAACGTCCCGCATGGCGGTCAGTCCGGGAGTTGGGAATTCCGTAGACCAGTTCATATAGATATAGTTGATGTGATGCGCGAACGTTTGAACGTTCGATAAGCATGCATGGAATTCGAATGTCCCACTGAGATCATTGATATCATTCCAGCGTCTTGAAATTCGAGGGTTCAAATTAGCTTTGGCATTATTTGGCAGGAGCCTCATCCTCCTTTCCGATTATAGACGTAAGCTGCGTGTTGCCGATGACCGTTATATTCCTCAGTGCAGCACTGTAGATCTCGAGTCAGCGACCGCAATTCATCATGACTACTATTCCTCGATATTTTGCCGAGCTGGTCATCAGGCACGTTTACCCGAACATCGATTCTCTTCACACATGCGCGTTGATCGCTCGTGCTTGGTATCTTCCAAGCAGAGACTTATTGCATGCTAGATTTAACTTTATCGGGACACGTAGGTCTACAGAAAGGTTCAGGTATGACATCAATTAACTTGACCTCTCGGAATATGCTCGTACGTTGTCAATCGACAAGCCACAGCCAATATGGCGTGACACATGGCATGGCTATGACACTGTAGAACTTGAAGTCTCTTACAGTTCACTTTTTGAAGCGCAGTTTCCCCGAGTTTCCAAGCTCGAAATCAGATCATTCGATTCCGCACGTACAGAGAAGTCTGAGCTCCTCTGCTACTTCAAGGCGCACTTTTTCGCGCCTTCCATTCTTGATCCGGAACTCCGATATCTCATCAGTCGATTTGCACACTCTCGTAACGACTTTTTCTCGTCTATCATCCCTTGCCCTCCGTAAGGTATTTCCTGAATCTGAGGACTCTTATGAGGAAGGAATCAAGCAGACTGTACCCATCAGCACCCTGATGCATCTCTGTCATCTGGGGAGCGGGATCTGTCGCATTTTTCAAATTCATCGAGAGCTTTCTGGTGAAACCACCGGTCTCACAGGTGCGGATATACTGGGACGGTAGAGGCCCGCATCGCAACTTCACGGCGCGGGAGACATCGTTCACGGAAGATGTATGTGCATGTACGAGAGGCACATTCAGATCGCTGTCCACCAGAGATCATCGTAGCAAAAGAGACATAAAAACCACCCGTACGTTTTTGTACTTTCCGTCCTCGTTGAAATGCCCATGAGTGCAGACAGCTCTCTTAGGAAGGACTTTCCGGCGATCAAAATCGTTCTGCGTCACTCTCACCGTCGTCACTTTCCTTTGGATCGTATTTTGGAGGCCCTAGGAAGGATATTACCGCAATGTATGACTTCGGACCTCCTACGATTGCGGTATGAAGGAGCCCATCGAGAGAGATGTTAGTCATGGATGGGGTGTAAGTGGCATTCTCTGGTCTATTAGATTTCACTGACTGCCCTTACCTTATTGAATGTGTTTGGAGGTGGTCGGTTCACAAATGTTGGTCATTCTAATGTGATAGTTAGTGCGGTTATAAGACAGTAGAAATATCTCACAACTCAGTGCCAAGATGCGCTTCCTCAAAGTTGATGTCGATGTCCTTCGTTCTTCCTAAGTAAGTCTCAAATTAGTCCTTATATGTTGAACTCCGATCTCGCATTGGATCCGAAAAGATAAGTTTTTGAGGTGGACGGAAGAACAGAAACGCAGCGAGTGAGTCTCATACTCTAGTCAGAAACACTTTCCGACTTCACATCGTCCTATTCTAGTTCAACTGAACTCTTAAGCTCGTCCCTTCTGGGGTGGTGGTTGATGACACGATTCTAGCCCGATGGCGAGCTGTAGTCAACTCGCGGGTTTCGAATGATACTTCGACAGAACAACATAGGCCGCCCCCCCCGCCACTATCCGACTGACCATCAGAGCCAAATCATGGTGCAGTCTGAACAAGCAGCCAGTGGCTACTAAGTTGCCTTCGTGCCACTGGAATACAAAATCTCTCACTCGTAAATTCAGGCACACATATGTTTCATTTCGTTCGTACTATTGTTACAAAGATCGTTCACATTCATGCCACGCAACCACACTTGGAACAGATCAAGCAGCTGAGTATCAGCCACAGGCCGGATGGAACATGCCCGCGAGATTGAGAGACTCTAGACCATTAGACGACGGGGGTGTGAGTGGTGAAGAAGGACAAGGCCTGGATGTAATCTGAAATGCCACATGTGAATAGTTAGCATAGGTAGTACAGGAGTGGTAACATACGAGTGCCAGACGTGGAGACGTTTCCGGCAACAGCGACGACCGTGTCGATGACGCTGAACGGAGTCCCGGAACCAGGGGCAAAGGGACCTATCGAAAGATGTTTGACAGCTCTCAACGAGGCGAGGTTGGATTCAGACATGCTCACCTTCGAGACGCATTTCGCCCGTGGCTCTGTTGAGGAGCACCAACTGGAGACTCTGAAAGCTATTGGATTACAGCACGTATCATCAGTGTCCCAGGATTGTTTCAGCAACGAATTACATACCTCGAAGGTCCAAAGGCAGTGGAAACCCTGCGGTACACGCCGGAAACGCCAACGATGAATTCATCACCTGGTGGGTGTTAAGACTGTCGCCCCGCTACGTGATATCCGCCTGAAAGCTGGAGACTCACTGTCGAGTTCGATAGTCGTTATATTTCCACCAGTACCTCCGTGGGACTGGACGAGCGGAGCAAGCCCGTCATTGCGATCATAGGTAATGGTAATGCTGTCAATGACCTGACCATGACCGATGACAACCTTGGAGATCTTATTGATATTTGTTGCTCCAACGGCTGCAACGCATGCAGATGGCTGCTCGTAAGTAGCAGACGTAGCACAAAGGGTATGGCATACTGTCAAGATCATTGAAGGGTTGACCACTCGTGGTGACACCCCAAGTGGGAGTTTGATTGATGCCGGCAGACATGTTGTATAGTGCGAGCTAGATAGGACAACTAGAGGCGAGAAGCTGTTTGCTTACTGTGAACCATCCAGAGAGTCCGCTTTTTGTAGTCCTAAGCTCATGCATATGGACTGACGTTTTCTGATTGGATGGGTTGCATGGAAGAACTTCGATAAGTTCCGAGTGTGGTTCTGACAGTTCACGGGATACAGTTGGAGCCGGCGCATCCTTGTTTTATCAAAGCTTGACCTCTCTCCGTGATACATGACGTTCACAAAGACGAATGCCGAGTCTGGCTCCAGGGTTCAGAATAGAGCATGTAACAGTGGCGTTGATTCCGGAATTACTTTAACGGATGATGGCAATGTGGAAATCACCCACAGCAATAGAAATCACCAACACTGCTGATGCACTAGAGAGCTCTACAATAACAGTGAACTACCTTTAGGTACAGTCAAGACATATACTTCTCCAAAAGATAAAAGAGGAGCACACCTGGGACGTAAAGATAAAATCACTCTATAGGCCCTTCGAATCATCGTGTTAAAGAGACATACGATCAGTACACGGCGATTGAATGGACTCACCTTCTTGGGATAACCTCGCCTGTCTAGTCACCGAGAATATTCACCATGCCATTTCGATCATCGGCTTGTATGCTGCACGGCACACCTGGCATCACAGAAACGTCCTGACGCACATACAGATGTCCAGCTTCTCATACAACCAGGGACCGAGGTAACAAGGTGGAAACATAATGTTCGGAAACTCCGGACTTCCGACGTCAAACCTCTCTTTGTTAAGAAATACCGAGTGTTCTTTTTATATGTTATCACATGAGCTACGCAAAAGGCCAGAGACTCCCATGGGGGTGCTTTCGGTCTCGCAAGAGGTAGTGACATGTGGGCAAGGCATTGAACATGTATGGGAAAAGGATTTGGGCATCATGTGTTCTGTGGCTATCAATAAATGGATCGCTTTCACAACTGTTGTTCGGAACGAAGGGAAAGCTGATACTGTGGCACATGCCACGATAATTCCTAGTAGGATAGATGATCATGAACTTAAATGGGAAATCACTGGCTTTACTCACCCAGTTATTGAAGTTAAAAAAGTCAAAGTGATCACGATGGCAGCATTGTTGCCAGACTCTTCAGAGAAGGTGTGACTGCCGGAAGTTTCCCGACATTCCCGACCAAACGTCATTAGCATCGCTCATTAAGTTCCATAAAGTATTTCGTAAGAGCAAGGCTGGACCGTGAGCAGCGGTGTGAACCGTTGAAAAGATATGATACGAAGTCTGGCGTCCGATTTCCGGAAGCAGAGTCACACTTGAAATGCCGCCGACGAAAGAATATTGAGAAGAGGAACAGAATATTCATGTCGATTGTGCAAGCAGCTGTGAGGTAGGTCCAAGTATAAGTAACCAATTAATGCGAGAGTAAAAGAGTCATGGGCTTCAACTTATTGGGCTTTGGCATTGTTTGGCAACAGCTTCGTACATATGCTTTATCCAATTATAGATACGCCCATGTTATCGATGACGTTTAATCTGCAGTCACGAATCCCTCGTCAGCGACCACACTTCGTCATGAATGCTGTTCTTCCTCAAGATATTGTCGAACAGATCATCAGACGTGTCTACCCGAACATGATTCTCTCCGTACATACGCGCGTTAATCGCTCATGGTTGGTATTTTCTAAGTAGCGACCCATTGCATTCTAGACTGGACTATCTCGGGACACGCAGGTCAAAACCAAAGGCTCAGGTATTATGTCGACCATCCAGACCTCTTGGAATGTGTTCAGATGCTGTCGATCAACGTGCCACAGCGTGACAGATGGCATGGCTATGGCAGAACTCTCTTATAACTCACTCCTTCACGTACAGTTCCCCCGAATTTCCAGCTTCGAAATCAGATCATTTAATCTCCCACATACAGAGAAGGACGAGCTGCTCTGTTACTTGAGGACGCGCTTTCCCTTCTTGACATCACTCTCAATCAGGGACTCCGGTATCTCATTAGACGAGTTGAATTCTCTCATAAAGTCCTTCCCTTGTCTATCTTCCCTTTTTCTCCGTAAGGGGCCTGCTGACTCTGAAGACTCGAGCCGACTGCGCCGATCAACGCCCTGATGCATCTCCGACATCCAGATATTATTATAGGAGCGGGATCTGTAGCCCTCGTCAAATTCATCAGCAACATTCAGGTGAAACCACCAATCTCACACGTGCGCATATACCGAGACAGTAGAGGCCCGCGTCGCAACTTGACGGCGGGGGAGACATCATTTGCGAAAGATGTCCATGCATGTATGAGAGGCACACTAAGATCGCTGTCCATCAGAGATCACCGTAGTAACAGAGACCTCAAAAACTTCCGTATGTATTCATGCCTTCCGTTCTCGTTCAGATGCTCACGTTGGCCGCATGGTCTGTCTCGGTGAGTGCGGGCAGCTCTGTCGAGTCGAGATTGATGCGACATTCGCACATCACGCACACTGGGTTCAGGATCTGCTCTCTGACCCTATCTTTGATTTTTTGGATGAAATCGTCATCAGGTTCGGAGGAATCACCGTTCTTTTCAGGGACTATGTGAATGATATCATCGAGACCTTCATCTCTCTCTACGAGTTTCTGAAAACTCTTACTGATGACTTTCCGGTAATCAAAGTCATTCAGTGTCAGTCTCACCGTCACCACTTTCCTTTGGATGGTATTTTGAAGGCTCTAGGAAAGATATTCCCGCAGTGTATGTCCTCGGAACTACAGGAAGTGCAGTATGAGGGATTCCAGCGAGAGACATTAGTCGTGGACGGAGAGGGTAAGTCACATACTCTAGTCAGAATCACTTTGTTAGTTCCCTTTGTCCTGTTCTAGTTGTAATCTTGAGCTCGATAGTCAATGTGGTCTATTGGCTCACTAAGTGCCGTAGTCAACTCGCAGACTTGAAGATCAAATCTTGATACCAAACTGTGACAGATTCTAAATGTGGGGAACTTGAGCCCAAGCTTGCTTTCGTACCACTGGAGCGTAAACTCTTGCAAGTCAGGCATTGATTGAGTTGCACACATAATTTGATTCCACAACGTATCAAGGCGGAAACTATTCAAAAATGACACATATCGTTCGGTACTATTGTTACACATCACTCGTGTTCATGCCGCCCAACCACATTTGACCAGATCGGGGAGTGACATGAACCACAAGCCGAATTGAGGGATCAAGAGCCTTTAGATCACTAGGCAGGTGCGGTAATATCATCAGCGATATCGTCAGCGATATCGTCAGCAGTAGCAGCAACGATATCAGACCGAACAGCGGCCCGGGTAGGAATGATGAAGAAGGACAAGGCCTGAATGAAACCTGAGACACTGCCGGTGAGTTATATGCATAGTAGTACTATAACGTGACGTACGAGTGCCGCGGGTGGAGATGGTCCCGGCAAATGCAACGAGCGTGCCGTAGACCCTGAATGGAGTTCCTCCAGAGGCAGGAGCAAAAGGACCTATGAAGCAGAGTTTTCAATTAATGAGATGGTCTCTCCAGCTTCAGACGGACCTGCAACACGAACGACCCCCGTGGAGCTGTTCAAAATGACGAAGTTCAGATCTTGAATGCTGTTGGCGCTCAATATAGTCAGTTCAACTCTTGACCACGTCTTGAATTGAGAATGCTATGATGCACCTTGAAGGACCATACTGGCCAGAGACGGAACGGAACGTGCCAGTGATTGTAATGACGGACTCAGTAGCTGATGGCAGTTCAGAGGTCAGATTGATTGATGATTGAGAGATGGATGAAAAACAAGAACTTGCCGCTGAGATCGACGGTAGCCAGATTTCCACCAGTACCACCGTTAGACCGGGTGATGGATGCAAGTCCACGTGAGCGTTGATAGGTCGTCGTGATGGCGTCAACAATTTCACCATGACGGATAACAATCCGCGAAATCCTGTTAACATTCTGCACGCCGCCGATGACTAAGAACAGAAACAATGTTTATGAGTGAAACGAACTGATAATCTTTCATCGTTTGAAAGAGTGAAGGCAAGTAGGACTGACCATTGAGATCGTTGAAAGCAGTGCCGCCTGTGGTGACACCGAAAGTGGAAGTCTGGGTGATGTTGGAAGACATGGTTTGATGAAGAACTGTAGTGAGAAGCTGGAATGAGGAGCTGTTTGCTTACTTTGAATCGTCCAGAGTAGCCCTTTTTATATGCCCAAACTCCTGCATATCGACTGACGCTTCATCAGCTCGCCGTTACATGCATGCGACGCCGGCGACACCTCATTCCGACCATTCACCGTATACCTTTCGAGCTAATGCACCACTGCCATGTCAGAACCTGAGACATTTATGTGATAAATGACACCATTCGACGTATATGTAGAGACGGATACCAAATGCAGAGTGTGGTGCATGCAACGGTGGCATTGCAGTTACCTTGACAGATGGTGGCAAATCTCTCACAAAAATCACCCTTACCGCCTAGACATAACAGAGCACAGTTTACCGCCGCGGTAGAAATCCGCTACCTGTTAGTAGGGTCGATGGAGACAGTCACTCCAAAGATTAGGATGAGAACGTAGCTCATACATGGAGCGGTGTTGGTCTCAGAGATCCTGGATATGCATTGTATTATCAGAACAATAAAACACGAGCCAAAGATAAATCAATCGACTTGACCTCGTTAGAGTTGAGGCTTAAACAGGCAGCATGATTAACGTCTGAAATAAGAATAGCTGCCGACGTTAGCAGAACGATTAAGGCATGGTGATTGAATGGATTCACCTTCTTCATGTGACCTCTTAGCTCGCATCCCTAGACACGAAGAACGATCGCCGCTTCATTGAACGCTTGATATTCGGTCCCTTCTGTTACATGGCGCGATCCACAGCGCGATCCACAAGAGCTAGATCCTCATATGACCAAGAACTGAGGTACTAGCGTGAATGATATGCACCTTGCTCGGATATTGCGAACTCCCGATGTCGAGCTTCTGTCGAGAAATGCCAGCTATCGCAATTTTATCTCAATATCTCGTCACATAGACTATGCGGAAGCCGACCGAAGGCCAGAGGTCCCAGTGACTAGCATATGTTCTTGGCTGTTCGACAGTTAGGACGCCATGAACATTGAAGATAACGTCTTCCCTTGGTAGTCAGTATTGTCTTGCGCAGGTTACGTAGAACCTGGATGCGAATAGAAGTCTGTTAGCACAGTTCCTGGGACAATTGACACCGTGCTGCCTTTTACAACGGCTGCACATAATGTCAAAAAGAACAATGTCACAACTGACAGTGATGTCAACAGATGACCCTGGCTTAGACATCGCTGACCTCATCACTAGAACATCATCTGCTTGCCATTGATACTGTAGAAATCAACAGTGTCGCCGGGCCTCCACGACAAGTTGAGTAGGCTGAAGCATTCGAAGCGATATATAACTGTCACACTTACCTTGAGAAATAAGAATGGTGTGTCTTGGTGCGTACAAAACAAGTTTTGATATCAAAGCTAGAAAATAAGTAGTATGTGACTGACAGCCATCCCTTGTACTTATTCCGGAACCGCTGAATCGAAGCTTTCAAATCGAGCGCTGAGCATACCGAAGATAATCATCAAGACAAGGGAGGACGCAAGACAGAGAAATAAAGCAAGGGTTGGGTGGTTCTACAGAACCTGCACGGTGCTTGATGTACAGTTGTCACTAGTACATTGTCACGGTCGAAGTTGGAGTGGGACAGAAATCTAAATCGGATGTGTTGAGGTGTTGAGGCCTTTGCACAACAAGCGCAAATATCGGCGTTCACCGTAGCCTCAAGGGGGGCAAACACGATGCCAGTGGAGGCTCGATCTTTATGACTTTCAAACTGATTTGTACATTGCCAGCTTGAGGGACTCCCCATTGTCAGTCAATCATCAGTCAATCATCGAGCTACTGAGGTACAAATACAATTTAGACATTCAAACGCCTGACTATCAAACAGCCAATGGCAAAGGTCTCCATCATGCAACACATTTGTTCACCATCCATAGCTTTGCATCCCCAGGACATTGCCTAGTCCTCGAGCAGGCACTTGAAGATAAAGATGTTTCCAGGAGGATGGAAAGGGGGCTCGCTGAGACCGACTATCAAACGCTGAACATGAATCTGAGAGTAAATAACATTAGTATCAGTCCGAATATCAGCAGGCATATGAACAAGTTTTTCACCTGCTTATCGGTTTCGGCAGTGAACCAGCCTTCGCCGCTGTCGGACTTCAGGACGCTGGTGATGTAATATATTAGCGAAGAGTTATGTGAAGAAAATCATTGTGTGTACGTGTATGCATCTTCACCAGCCTGAGGAATTCTAGTCACGACCCACTCCTGTGCAGGATAGAGATCGTTCAGGATAGCGAAGAGCTTTTCATCGATGGCAGCCGTAGGAGACCCAAAGGCTTTCAAGATGTATTTGTCGCCGCTGACCTTTTCGACGGTCCAAGGCTATTGAAGGTATGCATTATAAATACAACATGTACGGAAGGTGAAACGAAGGTAATACGAACCCCCAGGGGGCGAATTCCAGGAGGGAGGGCGAAAACGGGCTTTGGGTTCCCTGAACGATCCTCGATAGGGTGGCGGGCAACGATAGGGTTGCCATCAATGGCGGAGGTGATCTCGTAGTTGCCGGGCTTGAGTGACATTGTAGAGTAAACTATGTGAAGTTCGGTTGGGGAATGAACAGATTTTTAGTGAGGTACTTATACCTTTCAACGTATACACCTTTCGTCATCTGACAAAATACCAAAATGTGATTGCATTGCAAAGATCGCAAATCGCAATGGAAGCATTTCATTGATGTTATCGTCGTGTCTGAAGCGAATAACGTCAACACGTCAGCCATGATCAAAGAAGCGATGGACTCTGCCGAGACAGACATATCCCTGCTAGAAGCAGATTATGAACCTATTATGAAAACCGCATTTCGCACCACAACAGTCTACGACCAAGGGGAACTGTGTGTCTCCTTCTCATGACCCAGGCTAGACCACCTTTCTCTACGCGTCTATTCGGTTGCAGTTGACAAGGAGCAGGGCACAAGCCTAAAGATCTTACAATGGTACTCCGTCTCGAGAGTTAAGTGAAAAAGTTCCGAAAGCCGTAGGTGGCCGATTGGTCAGGACGACGCAGAGAAAGAACAGATGATCGAGCCGGAATGACTGCTTCAATGTACCTCCCTCTATTAGGATGTCTCGTTCCCAGCTGCCATCAACTCCTGCGCGCGAGCAACAACCTGATGGTGAAAGTGGCATATCCGCAACTCGATTTTGCGAAAGTCACAAGATTGCGTAGCGTCGCTTCTGCCAATCATTCTGTCATTTTTTGGGGGCATCCAAGACTGCCCATAGGACCCCAGTCATCGGAACGAATGTTCTTGGTGGAAACGCGACCGATGATCTACGAGCCCAGGTCATGATGCGTGTATTTGAGGGTGACTGTTCAAGCGCACAAGTACTGCGAGGGTTGGCTTGGGATCCTGGTTTAGTTTCCTCGTGACCATCGATGAACGAACGTGAGCGACTCGGAGGAGCCGCCATCATGGCTCACATCGTCATAATGACATGTGAGGTCAGATTGGAGGCGAAGAGAAACGGTAGGACCAGGTCTGTTTGGCAACCTGATATGGTTGACGTCATCTGCAACATCACAACAGGATGTACTCAGTCGGCGCAATCCAAAGAAGCGTGAAAGAGATCATCATACCGGCTGAGGACGTGAGTCATAGAATCTCAAGGTGACTATGATGGGTCACACTATGCTTTTCCGACATAGATGATAGAAGATCGGAAGACTCTTGCCTCGTCTTTGCTGCCTTACTGCGAATGCATGAAAGAGTTGCATTCAAACCGATAGAATGGGTGGTTGAGATCACTACGTAGCAATATGAGGGGCATTCGTCATTTTCCGAGTGTTGAAAAACATGGAATGCCTGAATTGCAACATGCGGTCTTCGAATGCATTGAGGGAATCTGTCATGCTTTCAGCCGTCTGAACACAAGCGAAAGATTGATGAAGAAGATAAGGTATTGATAGACACTCGAGGTTATCAGGCCCGGGGCAATCTGAGGTCCCATAAGGCACATAATTGAGGGGTATCGGCGCAAGAGAGCACAGAGACGTGTAGAGGATAGAGCCGAACGATATAACAAGTAGACGAGGTCATGCAGAGCCAGTTGACCAATCACCGTCCAGAGAGCTATTAATAGCATCCATGGAACAGCTGCATGGAACAACCGGCGGTAGGACACAGCGCCAAATACTTGTCCCTCTGAGCCTCAGGCTACACCGCATCTGCAGAGCAAAATTTCTTGCATCCCGTACGTCCTGTGCTTACGAAAACAAGGAAATAGACATGATCTGCAATTACGGGCTTTGGCGTTTTCAGTCAACCCCCACTCATTTTGAAACATCAGTATTACAATGTGATTTCAAGTCAATCAACAGTCGTCCTACGACAGACCTCGAATAGAACGATCTTCCACTGTACTATGTGACGTTTCTCTACTCTCCGTTAATAGTTGATCCCTATGATGAAGGACTCACGGGTCTGAAGATGAAAATGTTGCCACCGTCAGCCTGAGGGTCATCCCGTGCAGTGACCAGAAAAACAAAACCTAACTGTGGTCAGCCGGAAGTCAGGCTAGACAGGATATCGTCGCATTGCTCCACAAACTGTACTTGTGACGTAGTGTTATTAGGCAACGTGTAAACTCTGTTTCGGCCGAGACGGCTCCAGCGCTGAGCAGGGTCGAAAATTCAAGGTTCATGCACGTCTCCTGCGCAATTTTGCTTTGAGAGTTGGGAACTTGAAGTATAAGGGCCTCTTCACAGCATATTCGAAGGTCAACGGACATACAGTCCGCGCCCAAAACCCCGACCCAAGCGTAGTGCACGAAAAGCACAGCTGTGGTCTTATCTCTATGCCTCAATTCATATCAATAGGAAGTGATAGACGAACCAATAGTACTTCTTTGGAGTGATTCTGTGGAAAACAAGCTGTAGAGGGAGATTGGTTCAGCCATCGCCTAGAAAACAAGATGCCCAAGCTGCCCTTCATTAGTTTACGTTGCTCCCAGCCGATATATTGCCGTAAACGAACAACGTTCTGACGAGATATCTGTCTATCTCAGTCTACCCATGTACGAAAGTCGCCAGATGATTGAGCACCTCTCTATGTTTTCCAATTTTTATGGGAGAGAAGTTATATAAGCCGGGTCCGATATTGTGTCTCGCATCAAATCTACGCTTCATAGTTCAATAGTCAGTGACAAATATACTGTGTTCCAAAAGTACGTGCACGTCGTGAAGAGAGTTTAATTGGGGCGTGTTACCCCTCTAAAAGCCGAACAGTAAACCTTAAAGTTCATTAAAGACGAACGTGCAATATATACTTCCCATGACACAGACCTGCTTGCCATATCTCTGGAATGTGATCAGTCATGAGCGAAGGTATAGACAATCGAGTGCTTACATCGTCATCATATGATGTGAGCATGGCGGAATTCATCCGATCATATGGACCGAGTCGATAGACACAGCACAAAGCCAGCAGCATAACAGAGTATCATTTTTACGTTTTTAGCCGATGGTATGCGACCACATAGGAGAGCAAGTGAATTGAGAATCAATTTCGTTTACCTTTGAAGTGATTCATTAGACCGAGTGTCTGGACGTGCTTGCTGTCGTAGCCCCCGACTTACAAAGTTTCCACAAAAAAAAAGAAACCCTCGTCAGATGCGACAGATTGACATTGGACGGTGAGGGTTGAAGGAAAGAAGTGCTGACTTCGAACTCGGAGATGGCTTTGCCATTTTGGCTCATTTATCGCTCGATTTAGAAGTCAAAAGGTTACAACGTTCAGTACCATTCTGCTACTAACGTCATGCTATTAGGAGTTTTATGGTCTTCTATGGTACAACACGTACATCGCGAAATCCCCGGCCAGATTATAATGCTTGTAAACGTCGTGGGAATAAATTACGATCAGAAGCGCCTCCCTGTCTGAAAGAACTTTGCAAGAGCGTTGTGAGCGAGTTATGAGCCGCTTGCAACTTCATGCCATACTTGGCACTCCTTCTAACCGTGTTGAAGTCTGATATATAGTCAGAAGCAGCTGAGGATCATGACGGGTATTTCATTCATGGTTGTATTTGTGTTTTAGTTCTATCTCCACCCGCTCAAAATATTTCAGCGTTCTCATACACCATTGGTAGCGTCGTCACGATCGATGCTCTCGGTGTCGAGGTCGGCTCCTTCAGACCGACGGACGAGTCTCTCTTCGCTGATGCGGCCGATACCGTCCTTCATCGATATATCGATAGGGCCCGCACGATGCCTGCCTGATACATAAAAGCACAAGACTCCCTCTGGCCTTTGCGTGTGCTGTTTTCCCTCCACTTCATTCATGTACTTCCGCACAAGATACCCACTCCCACTTGCATGGTCATTGTTGGCAATGGCATGCCCGTTTGCCCTTCTATTCCCGGTGCGAGCATTCTCCCCCAGAATTATGACGCAGAAGTGATGGTTGTCTAGAATTCCAAGTCGCTGCTCCTCTATGTAGCGTACGTCAAGCTAGCTCGGGTCTCTGCTCGCACTGTGCTGCCTCCCCATCTTCGGACTGTGTTGCCTCCCCATCTTCGGACTGTGTTGCCTCCCCATCTTCGGACTGTGTTCTCGACGGCTATCTTTCTCTGCACTGTCTGGTCACTCCCCTGCCTCAGACTTGGTGCTCCTGCCGGTGTATCTTATAATCTGAATAAGATTCTTATCCTTGTGTTCTTGTTCTAGAGGCCTCGCACCTGGACTGATTGGAACCCCCGGTTTTTTTTTCACACCATACTTGACAATCTCTGACTTCTGGGCAGTATGCCGCCTTTATGCATATTTAGGTGCACCATTATGATATATAGCATGACAGCGATGTAGACATGGTCCTCCGAAATGTCCCTAGGATTAGTTTGAATAAATTTGCATTTAAACTTCTAAAAATTCTTTTATTACACAACAATGATGGTAAACTGAAATGAACCGATCTGAGGGAATAGCGGCGCGAGGTGGTATGTCAGCCCCTTGAAGCCCTCTCATATGAACTCACAACTTGATGACATGTTGCTTCCAAGTTGCTTCCACCCGTGTCACGACTGACCCCGGTACGTTGTGATGATTTCGCGTCTTACAACCATTACATATATTGTGAGTGACTTATGATCGATTACAACGGCTTACAAGCGTTTAAAATTTCGGTGGGAATTTGCCGATGTAGACAATCACGTCATCGTACCAAGAAGAAAAGGGGAGGCGGAACTAGTCGCACAAACACTTGATGCTGGGAGGATAGAAAATGCGGTAGCTGCCAGTGCTTCCGACGAATAAGGTGTTGTGCGCAATCTATTCGGGAATAAATAAACTGCTGCAGTACACAATTTCAACAATTCTTCCACGATGTTTCATCTGCTCTGTCGTAGTGATGAAACAACCCTTGCTGCGCGATCACAGATCTCGACGCTACGGAAGAAGATAGGTTGTAGATAACACAGACGGAAACACGGAAGGGGCTGCACTTACGTGTACGCATTCTCACCAGCCTCAGGAATGTGAGTGATGGCCAATTCCTCGGCACACTATGATGGTGCGTTAAATCGAAGTGTGACCTTTAATGGATAATTTCAATCACTCGGTCTAGTAATATCATTACTATTCTAAGTCGAATCCTTTCCATCGGGTTAATCGACACAAGTAAGGTATGCGCCTTGCCTTCTGACTTGCGGAGATCTTTACGGTTACCAGTTCAGCAAGTGTTCCCAAGCAAGATCGGAGATACAGAAGAACTGGTCTTCATGAGTTCGAAGAATCTAAGAAGGCAAATCTATTTGAGGTGCTTCAGCTACCTGCACCACAGACAATGGAGACACTACATGCAGTTAACAAACAAGTGACTAGTCTAATAAGACGGGCTTAATGATGAACACCTGGTTAGGAGGATAGAAGGGAGGATAGCTCGGCCCCACAATCAAGGGGCGAACTACAACCTGTAGATAAAGTTTCAACCAATGAACCGCAAGAGAGGTGGATAAAGAATAACCTGGGTGCGCTCTTCAACATCTGGGATGACCCAACCAGCTTGACGATCTTTCTTCTCAATGCTACAGTGCATCAAATTGACACGTCAGAAGACCGATCAAACATTGAGAGTTTTCTTCACATACATGTATGCGTCTTCGCCACTCTGGGGGACGGCAGTGATGAGCCATTCCTCAGCAGGAGGAACATCCAAAAGCACAGCGAACACCTTATCATCGATGATAGCGGTCGGCGCATCCGTAGCCTTCAAGATGTACCTATCGTCCTCAACCTTCTGCACGACCCAAGGCTAGTAGAACGATAAGAATGACAACGCAATATCAGATACTAGAAATGCTTACCCGAGGAGCTTGTGAAGACGTCGGAATGGTTATGATGCGTTTGGGCATCAATGATAAATCCTCCACCCAATCGCGACCGACGAAAGGCTTGTCACCCCACGCGGAGGTAATTTGGTAGAGACCGGATTCGAGAGACATGGTTCAGGATGTGAATATGTGTTAGCGGTTCTGAAGAATACGTGAGTTTTGGGGGGATATTTATACGAAAGCATTCCGCCTCGTGCCATTCTTGACGTGACGCCCTGTGGAGATAAATACATACGAATTACACAATATCCTCCACAGGGGAGCGGAGAAGGATAGTTGATATCCGCAAAGATGAGTGCGTGAGAGGTAGCACCATCGGAGACAACGAAGACAAGCCGAAAGCACCTTGGGTTGACTACTCTGCATCCTTAGCGCATGTTGGCAATGACGCCAATTTCCAACTAAACCTACGGAAGATGCATTTCCAGACATGGTTGGACGACTGCAATACCACCCAGCGCACATTCCCATTGCCAACAATCGACGGGCGCACCCGATTCACCTCTGAGTGATGGAATGTTTCACGCCGATCTGCAAGCAACGAGGAGCATGTGATGAAGTGAGCTGACAGGCAGTGGAAATGTATCCAAGTGCATGACTATGTGGCGCAGAAGTTATCATTGTGTTTGGAAGGAAACAAGATATTTGTGTGCAGCGTGCGGATCGGTTCTACCAGACAAGGTTCACCACGACAGCAGGGAAGGTCGCTGAGACGTAACACCGACTGTCAATAAGAACGTATCAAGGGTGCGCGATGGACGGAAGGCGCACTTAAGTAATGGCGATATATTTGGCTATTTCAAGACTCTCGGACATTGATAATGCCGAAATAATAAGCGTAATTGAACGAGCAGGGAGAGATAGCAAGACGTACCCACTATTGCACCTTCTTTATGCCATAAATAAGCATGGTAGCGCGTTTTCTTAAAGAAAGTACACGTAAAGATGATGTATTCTAAGATTCAAGGGGTAGGGTACTTCATCGGCCTCTACCTCTGCGTAATAATTTCTTGGAAGGGCCGTGTTTCCGCGGAGAGGGTCGGACAGACGTCGAGCGTCTTGAGTTCGACGAGGAGGACGCCTCAACCTGAGCCTCCATGATTGCTCCCTTGCTCAAACAAAAATCGATATGAGCGTTGAACGCAGTATTGTCCATCTCCATCGTCCGAGAGCATATAGGACAGATTTGAGATTGGACTTCCCCTCCAGGTTCTGCAGCACGGGATGGAGGTTTGGTGCAGTGTTTAGACGGGGAAGGTTTTTCTGGTGATGTAGATCGGGATGGACCTGTGGAAAAATCTCGTTTCGCAGTTAATCTTGACATTGAAGTAGGCTTTGATGACATTTTCGAGCCAGACGCAACAGGAGTGGCGAACGTGGATGCTGATGATATCGGTTTACCCCCAGGCGGATGCTCCAAATAGTCGATATCGTCTTCGTCTTCTAGCTCTTCCTCATCTTCATCATGAAATCCGGGCATAGCCTCCTCGTAGCCATCTTGTGACAGCCGAGGCCCTTCATCCTGGTGGACGTCAACTTTTCTCTTCTTCCGCGGAGAACTGGATGCACTGGTAGATTCAAAGAACTGAACAAGGATGAGAACAGAGAAAAGCGAGTGAGGAACCTTGCAAAACAAATTGAGGAAGTTGAAGACCAACCCGTTTGATGCCACCTGGTTTCGAATCAGCGTCTTCCCGAAGATCTTTGAGTTTGGTCACGCGAAGTCCTATGAGTCGGATCCTAAGAGGAAGTTCCGGTAACAAAAGTTCTTTGCCGATCTGGATGGAGTTGACTGTCAAATCACGTTATGATGGTTAAAGCACAGAAGGCATTACGCACCGCGAATAGGTCCTCCTTCTTGGTTGATATCCAACGATCGAAAGATTTGGCACGAGTGTACACTAGCGCATCGCGTCACTTCGTGCACATCTAGCAGGCACAGAATCTTTCGAACACACCTTTGTACGTATCCAACTTATATTTCAAAGTGACGGTCTTCCCGGTCCATCCACGATTCTCCATATCATCCTCCAACTCAGCAGCTACTTCCTCGAGCTTCTTAAATATCTTCTCCTTCTCGCTGATAGCAGAGAACGTTCTACCGCGAGTAAAATGAATAAGAACTGGGCCATAGAACGAAGGTATTGAGAAATTACCTTTCAGCACCTATGCTCTTTCGCTCGTCACGATGATAAGGCTCAACATGATTTGATGCGATTCCCAGATAAGTCTGTAGGAGGTAGTGTAAACCAAACTGCTTATCCATAAGAGAAAGTGCGGCACGGTGGGTGTAGATGTCGCCACACGTCTATCAGGACAATACGAATTTAGAAATTCTACGTCAAATATCATGAGAGTCAAAACTACTTGCCCTAATGCCAATGGACTCTAGCAGACGTTCGTTGACACGCCCGATGCCAGGAACTTTACGAATTGAAAGATCTTGCATGAAGGCTTTGACAGCCTGAGGATTGAAATCGAGCTTGAACTGGCCATTTGGTTTGTTCTAAACTGGCTTGTTAGACAAGTATAACGATTACGCGGCAAACACCAACCCTGTCGGAACATATCTGTCTCGAAGTCAGCCCCAGTTGATCTGACGTATAGACCAATAGTCACCTTAGCAAGCATCTACAGGAATTCAGTGCTTCTATGATATAATGACGGGCGTAAAACGCACCTTATTAGGGGCAATCCCTGCGCTCACTGTCAGCCTTGTCTCCATTTCTACAGTTTGGCGCATTTGCTGAACACACTCTTCTGCTGTCAGAACATGTTCTTCGCAATAATGGGTGATACTGCAAGGGGTGTTAGACTCAATCGAAGGCCTCTGACTGGCATTCCATTAATCGTCGCTCACTTGAGATAGCCTTCATCCACGCTTGCAGCACACATGTTAGGGTCGTACCTACGGAAGATGTCCATGACTTTCTTTGACATCTCGCTGTATCGACCGAAGTTACATGGGAGGACTACAAGATCTGGATATAATTTCTTGGCGATATATTCTGTCATAGGTTCAATCGATATACTTTCAAGATGACGAAGTTGAAAGTCGAACATACCTGGCATTCCCGACCGGATCCCGAACTTCCGAGCTTCATACGATGCAGTCGTGAGTACACCATGGCCAACCTGCAGAACTAAGGGACTGTACGAAGGGGGACGGAGCGAAGAGACTCACAGCAAAAATAGTTCCCTTGAGGCGAGGGTTATCCAGAAGCTCTACATTGGCATAGAATGCGTCCATGTCGACATGCACAATGATCTGACTAAGGTCTCGCTGAGCCTCCATCTTGGCGAGCTGATGTGATAGGTTATAACGGGATTCAATGCAACTACGGGGCGATCTTACTAGCTGATCAACGCTGTGCTCTACATGAGCTGTGACAAAGTGCGGTAAATCTATCCAGTCGCAAGATGATCAGGTGGAAACGCGTACCTATGTCCACACCTTTCCGAGCCTCGTCACGCTGTTTTAATATCCTTTCGATCTTCTTAGTAAGATCTTTATCCTTCCGTTTCTCGTTCTAACGATGTTGTTTCAGAATATCAATTAGACCGCAGAGAAGTTGAGAGGATGGCACCTCGTAGAATTTGGAGCCTTTGGACGCCTCCGCAATGACGCGATTAATATCAGTCTGATCCGTAGCAAGACTGAGGTTCACATCAGAGGGGAATCAAGCTGGCAATTGAGAATAGACATACCCTGCCTTAGTCGTCGAAGGTCCCGCCAGTCGTCTCAGGAGACTATCAGTAGCTTGGGACTGAGGTGGGACGTTCAGTGAATCGGCCATAAACTATAAATAAGTGTTGCAGACACAACAGTTGTGCAAAGGAGTTTATTTCCATTCAGCCACGGCGGACATGGGGGTAAGAGTGCAAGAGCATAATGGGCGTGGCGCCCAAAACAAGTCATGCGCGTCAAAGCGTATCGCGTCGCGTCGCGTCAATCAATACTTACGTCTAGGCAGGATACTTACTCATTTCCGTACAGGTTGAGCTCCATCCTCTCATCGTCGGGATGATATTCCCACCTTCCTGTATTCTCAACATGTCTATCTTCAGTCGTTTGAGCGATCAATGGTCAACGTGGTATTTTAACTGAAGTGAAATACCATATCTCCCGTCATACCAGACAGATATCGACCTATTGTTCAACATAATCGTTGCGTGGCGGAATAATAGTTCTGTATACTCCAGACCAATGCTCCAGACTGTCGTTTACCAATTGGGTTATTGAATCGAGCGATAGTTGGCTGACTATGGCAAGGGCCTGTGAGACTAGTGCTACTTAGTACCAGGCCCAGGACTTCCGAAATGTATAATAGGTGTTCCATTGCAATTTACCTTCAATAATAATTCATAACCATGCCTAAGTATCCGAAAAAAGGACAGGTCAAAACTTTCATTCCACATTCTATATACACCTTGCATATAATGGCTCTTCATAAGCCTGCATAATTGCATTGGATAGGAACATCGTGCAAAGATATCAGCATAATCAAATGACCCCGGAGAGTAGACGAATAAACTTCTCTGGTTCTTCCCAGTGGGCCTAGGTACCTGGTGGTGAGTATCAATTCGGTTGTAGGGAAGAAATGCAGACGTACGCAATGATTGAAGTCCCTCCAGACGTGGAACGACGCCTGCCTCCGATTCTCCATCTTTTTCAAGATCTGATTTTCCAAAAGCATTCTCTGAATCTTGTATACTCCGAAGACGACAACGGCGATAGTTCTGCTACAGACCATGACCTCTACTCGGACATTTGGAAACGCACCACCTTGAATAGCTCGTATGCAGTAGTTGTGATAGAGCTCTGGGCTGAGACACACGGTGGGGACCATCGAGCGGTCAAATACTTCAAGCGGCTCCGTGATTTTTGAGAAAAGCTCGGATGGGATGCGGTCTGATGTCGGATTTGGGTCGCTCGAAGGCGTATAAGCAAGAGCGTTATACACCTGTTCATCATCGGTAAATTTGTTCATGGTGGGTGATTCGAGGTAGTCGATCAAAGAGGGGTCGTGGTCGCAATAACTACTGACAATCGGCGCAAATGTATCATATGTCATTGTGGTACCACTGACGGCAGGAGGAACGGCGATACCCATAGCAACATTGGCCGGATCTAATAATTGTATTTAATACCAAATTTGGAGGCAAGTGAGAACCTACCATATAAAATGACCGAACGGATATATCTACGCAGAATATCCTTCTGTTCATTGTCGTCCATTACTTCCTCCGTGAGTGCGAGGAATGGAAGGATAAGACAGTTGCCGCACGACCAGCCTACAAGAGCAATTCCACCCCCGTCAACGTTTCCCGACCTATTGGCAGGAATATCTTCCTGCACAATAAGCCAAGTGAGAAAGTTCCCTAGCTCGCGAACACGATCTCGGACGAAACCGTCCTGCTTGTCCTTATCGCCGCTCTTTAAGCCTTTTAACTCGTCCTTGTTGAACGGAGTTGAATGACGATAGTCTCGCTGGTTTATCAGGATGATTCGGGAGGCATTCTCATCTGCAAAAGGTATAATGGGTCTGAATATGCCTGATGGCGAAGTAAAGAGATAGTGGTGTAACCCAAGAGTTTGCGGAAGAGCTGAGGTTCGTACCACAATTAAACAATGTCCCGTGGAGGATGACTATTGTTTTGTAGTTGGTTGGCATAGTCGCAGGAACACCACTATCTTCATAGTAAAGCTCGGTTCCCTTGCTATCAACAGGACCGAAGGGCATGTAAGTCTGCAAGACGTGAATATTCGCAATGAAAAGTGCGTCTGCCGACAGCTATTCAGGAGTAGCGAGATTTGCCCACCTCGATACTGACACTCAAAAATATATCCGTACCCGGACGATCTACTTATCATAGACTGTGTGTCCTTGCGACGTGTTTGGAGCATTGCAATGACGATGCCACTCGTGTTTCCTTTGTTGCCCCTAAATAAGCTGAATGGTCTAACCTCTTTCCGGCAGGTTACGAGCTGACGGACGTCAGAGTGTTCGTGATACACCTACGACACGCGTGCTGTCCCTCAGAATCGGACGTTTCATGACGGCGCCTATCTGACCTCCTTATTCGGATTCAGATTACAGCTACAAAGCTCGCTACCAATCAACAAGCATATAACCATAACGTTTCACTTGCGACGTGCTATGCAGGTCCTTGACATAGCCAGTCGGTGATTACTAGCGTAGTTCGTCGAACTCTACTACTACTACTTGTACTAAGTACCTGGACGTCAATGTTGAATATTCGTGCTTCACACGCCGTTACTTTCTAGTCTCCGGTTTCTGCCATTCATAACCTTTTGTGATGAGTGATGTGAGGGACGAATAAAGAAGGATATTATCATTAGCGTAGATATCATTATATCATTGCATTACAGAAGCAACATTCGTCAAAGTCCGCAAATCTAATGAAGAAGCCAGTTCCTCAATCTCCCTTACAGTTATATACGAACACTCACGAAGAGTCATCCTTTCCAGGCGTATATTGAATTTGATGCGCCTGTGAATGGCTGTCAGGAGATTACGTTCTATCCGAGGGACCTCCCGACCAAGGGTCGGCCAAACAATGCCCCGAGCATAAACATCTGTCAAGGCAGGGAATACCAAACCAGTGACCCTCAAGCTCTTGGAATCTCCGTTAGGTTCGGTGTGTACAGGCTCCAGTAATGAGGCAAGTTCGTGTTGTCTGAACCCACGTACGGCTAGCGTAGTGAGTTGTTTACATTGACCAAAGGTACGCCGAATCGATGCCCTGAGACAAGCCCAAATGTCCGCATTGTCTACGTCCGAGTTCCTAGATATATGAAGGGTCTTGAGCCCAGAGAGCCGTAGCTGTTTCCACATCTCTTGCACCCAGTCTTCAATTTCAGCGGGGACAGTGCGTACTCTGAAAGTGACCATGGGTGTATCAGGGTGAAAATCACTCATGAGCTTCTCGGCAGACAACAATGTTGTCCATCCTCGGAGACAAACGTGATGCATGCCATAGTGAATGGAAAAGGTCGTCATGGGATCGGGAGGTCCTTGTTCAGCAGTAGGGTAGAGTTTCAAACGGATGGAATCGATGAGCGCGTTCGCATTCCAGACCGTCAAGAGCTGATTTGACGATGGCCAAAACGAATCCAGAACGAGAGAAACTTGACGCGATGGCCGCAGACAATCCAGTAAGACCCTGCAGTCGTCTACCGCGCCAGAAAGCCAGACCAGAATGAGCTTCTTGAGAATGACTACGCGAATGTCGGAAGGTACGCGAATGAGGCGGAAATCAGGTACTCTCAGTTTGAGAATTGTCAAAGAAGGTACCGTGGAGAGAAGACATAGGAGTTCAATGAGTGTTGTTTGAGAGCTCAGGGTTAAGGAGAGACGAGAAAGAGTGGGTCGGAGGAGAGTGTTCATATTCTCAGGCCTGAACGCATCAAAGTGAAGAGAGTGGAGAGCGTTCATGTTCTGAATGCGTGGGCTAGACGAGTCGAGGCAGAGATGAGGATAGACCGAACAGCATCCACCGATACTTAGGGAGTGGCACGTACTTTTGTTCAACCATACGCCAGAATGCCCCGGCCGAATCCCCGAATAGCGCAAGACTCTTGATACGGTTGGAGACCTTCAAAATCTCCATCGCGGCCGGATAATCAAACCGCACGTTCTTTCGGCACTCGACGAACAGCGGGACATCTTGTGTCCGCTTCAAAATGGTCATGAACCTACCTTGAGGGGCACAGGGGACGATCGTACTCCAAAGAAGTGGATAGGCAAGAGCAGCTTGACGCCAGTGTCGGCAAACATGGGTGATGCCAACCCAGGAGTAGGGATTTGAGTCTTCACTGTATTCACACTGTGCTTTGCAGATCGCAATATAATGACAGAAGACTTCCATGAGAAGCTCTGCTGGAAGCTTGTTGATAGGGTGACGGTTATGGATTTGATTCCTCTGGGAGACGTGCCTGACGCTCGAGGATGGGGTACTGCAAGGAGTATACGAAGTTCCAGCTCGCCGAAGGGTTGACATATTTGTATACATAAACTGATCATTGGTTAGTGCGATTGGACGAATTCAGGCGTTCAGAAGCAGACATACCTAAAAGTAAGAGATATCGTAGTTTGGGAGACAAAGGGCTATGAGGGCGGCGAGTATTTATAATTAAGGAGAAACACCGCCGGCCACACTCGCTGGACACTTTGGTCAGATTTGGTCAGGATGGTCCTTTGTCTCGGTCAAGCGTTTGGCCACAAAGAAACAAAAAATATCGCAGACACATATTGGTTCCGTCGTCGATGCCCTGAGGGAGAAGATGTGTTGATCATACACCAGATATAAACGGTTGAGCACTAAAAAGGACGTACCAAACGTTAACTCCTCTTACCGACGTCGAATTAGTTAATGTAGCCACACATATATCTGACTACAGCGGATATCAAAAACCGCCGGGCGTAGACGGCGAGAGGCACCACGTATGAGCCCGGACCATGCCTAAAAAAGCGGGTATGGAATAATATACAAATCCTTGTGAAGAGGAAAGGTCCGTCGAATAGCACTGCGCTACCCATGTTATGCAATAAATTTCATTTGGAAAAGAATTGCATGCTAGAAAGAGAATCCGATGCGTTATGCAGTGGACGCAGAATAGTATGTTGCAAGAAATACATACATAGGCACATCTGGCTCAACGTCACCAGAACTCGGCAAGGGTTTACTGGAAATCAATGGCGGCGGCTTCGTACGTTCAACTGCCCCTTTCACTCAGCCTAAGAGTTCAAGGTACACTCCGCCCTCTTCACAACAAAACGATGCTACGCTGCTTGTATTCAGAGAACCATCGAGCTCTAGTCCTCAGCCTGTCCATCGTGAGATCGATTCGGCATAGTCATCACAATATCTGGCATCTGTTAAAGCAGGCAAAATAGCACCAGTTCCGAGAATGAAGTATGAGAGTATGCAGAAGGAAATGAAATCCGGAACAGCTAGATAATATGCTAGCTATCTGAAAAATATTATCAAGTGAGCTATAGGCTGTTGGTTGAGGACGTGAGAACCTACTGGTGTGGTCCGAAGCCTTTCATTTTGCCCTATCCCCTTCGCGGCCAATTGCAATGTTCTGCAGCCGCTTACAGTCGGTCTTCTTGAGTACTTCAGAGACAAGTGGGTTTCGTACCTCCGTATGGGCCTGTAAGTTCATGGTCGCTGGTAACCAGATGCCTACGGCTCGTTAAAGCTACTGTTAGAGGAAAGGGGGTTTACGTAAACGAGGTGAAAGAGGTATGAGAGGATACGCGAATTGTCATTGTAAGAGTGGGAGGCTCTTGTTAAGCAAATCACAGACTGAAGCTCGACGTAATATGTGTAAAAGGAGGAATGGAGCATTTGATACGGCCGTGGTTAGATACTCACGACATATGTATACCCCTGAAAATGCTATCAATAACCTCTTCGACCACGCCTACGTACGCTGGGAAGGGACAGTCATCCGGCGGAGGACAGTCACTCGCCGGTTGATAGCTGCGAGATGCGCTGGGGTGACGCCGACTAGTGTATAGCCCGATATATGATGAGTGAACGCACTTAAAGTCGTCTGAAAGTATTATACTCAGAGTGGTCAAGATGCAATAATGTGATAAAGCACGAAGATTATGATCGAGAAGAGAGACAGTCGTCGGCGCCTATTATTCCACCATAGGTCCATATTAGATTCTCCGAGAATCGTGACTACAGTACACCTTTCACTTCGCCGCTTTCCTCATTCTTTCGCTCGTGTTCTACCTTTATCATGAGCGAATACTGGGTTTCTCATAAGAAATATTTCTGCAAGTACTGTAATATCTACATCGCGGATGATGCACCATCCCGAAGGCAACACGAGACTGGCCTGCGCCATAAAGGCAATGTAGAACGATTCGTGCGGGGCCTTTACAAGGCTGGAGAGAAGCGAAAGCAGGATCTAGAGGAAGAAAAGAGGGAAATGGTTAGGGTGGATCAGGTACGTTTCGTTGTGAAGTTCTCTTCCAGAACATTAATAATGGTGTGTCGTTACAGGCCGCTCAAGCAGCATACGCTCAGGACGTTAGTGCTGGCCTCGTCAAGCCAGGCAGTAGCAGTACGTCTATTGCACTGAAGCCTGCTGTACTACCCAAACCTGCTGCGCGGTCTTCCGACCCTTATGCCAACTACACGACGGCGCAGTCATTAGGAATAACAGACCCAGATGAGGAGAGAGCAAAAGCAGAAGCTGAGCGAAGGCGGACTGAGGGTGTAGCCGGGGAATGGCAGTTTGTTCCTGTTGAAACAACACCTCCAGTGGAGGAAGTTCCATCGGCTGCATCGACCTCGTCGGCGACAGAGCCGACAGAGCTCAGACTTAAAAGAGAGGCGCCAGTAATCGTTGACGAAGAAGATACCCGCTCATTCCGTTTCAAAAAGAAGAGGCTTGGTGCCGGATTAGGAGAAATATACGATCCAGGTCCCATTCCGATTAAACTGAAAACGAAGAAGGAAGAATCTCCTTCGAATGAAGGTCTAGCCGGCTTGGGGTCTGTCGATGCAGGTCCCTCCGGGCCTATCACACCTGCCACGAGTGTACCCAGATGGTCAGCAAGAGGTTGGAAGAAACCCACGGATCGTGAAACGACCAGCACTGTAACAAACGGCACAACGACCGTCAAGGAAGAGGTTTCCGATTCTAGCTCTCAAGTGAAGGGCGAGCCTCTAGAACAATCGGAGCCTGCGTTGTCACATATCTCAACTTCGTCTTCGAAAGATATTCCTTCTGGTGATATAAAGGTAGAAGATGTCAAAAGTGAAGAAATCGAACCGCCTTCAACATCGTCAGCATCGTTCGGAGGACTATTCAAAAAGCGCAAGATTCGTGCAGGGGGCAACGCAGGGAATAGAGGGAGGAGGTTGTGATGAGGCTGCCTTGGTAGAGGAAAACATGTCGTTTCTGGTTATCAGGTGAATCAATGAATCTGATACTTACTCCTACGTTGTGTTAACAGGCATGAACTTAGTATAATCCTGATTTTACGCCATTCCAGTCCATTTGTGCCTGTGTTGGAGGCGGATTTCATGTTGTTCCCGAGTAGGCCGCTATTGGAATGCGCAGAGTAGAAGAAAATGACCTTAAAAAGCCGAAGTGAGACGCAACCATAGATCCAAGTGACTTGATAATTCTATGCTCCGCCACCCTTAGCGTCCCCGCCAATAGACGCGCTTACATTGCCTGCACAATCTCTTCGACCAGTGAGGTTAGTCAATGGGTCGATACTGCAGAGGAAAATAACCTACTCGCCCCAGCTCCCTTGATGACCGTCCGACCTTCGTTCTGCACAGAACTACCATTGGCATTGCCACATTCGTCGGACTTCGGATGGCCGCTGTTTCCTTTACCTCCCTTTGCTGCCAGTTGCGCTACCGCCTCCTGTAAAACTGCTATCTCCAGCTTGGTCACAGGGATTAGCTATCAGCTTCTTCCTTCTATCGGATAGCTCTTACACTCGCCGGGTGCATGGCCGTTCCAGATCACATCACCTTGGTTGGAAATGCTGCTGCCATTTGTGCTGCCGGAGTTTCCGGACTGCGCGTTTCCGCCTTTGCCCTTTGGTCTGGCTCTAGACTTCGTGGGGTTACTGTGATGAAGTTGGGATCTGGGCAAGACGGGCGGATGACATTTGTTCGCTCTGTTGCAGTAGGCATATCTTGACAGAAGGATCGGTATTGCCAGCAATGTCTGTCAAGACTAATTCTAGCATTGGGAAAGCCGAATGGGGTTCAATAGCACTTACGGGCTTTGCAGCCGTTCACAATGGTTCCGCTAGAGTTATAGATGGCGTCTCCGTTCGCGTTGTCAGAGTCACTAAAGAGCAGCTCCGTGTCCGTCAGGATCCTTTCCACCTACAGGTGCACTGGACTTCGTGTTACCATTGTTGTCGGCCTTGTCTGTATGACGTCTACATCAAAACTGGATTCATGGTGATAATGAAGCGGAATTCACTATCACCGAAGGACCCATTGAAGACGTCCCAGCTTTTGTTGACGGCACCGCTGTCACTCGCGACGCATCGTGTGACTGGTGCGTTGTATGCGAGGACAGCAATCGTGCCTCTTCAGGCGAGAGGGGAAACCTACAGCCGTTTTTGAGAATCGAAAGTAGCCTTCCTAATCAATCGACAGTCAAAGCCGGACGATAAGTAGTTTCCGTTACATTGTTGTTCAACATGTGAGCGCATGCTGTAAGACGCACTGTAAGCTCGGCAGTTTAATCTGGGGTCGGAACTCAGACCGGTCGCTTGGGCTTAGGGACTATGAACTCTGTCAGCGTCCTAACATTGCATACAGAATCATGGTGCTCGTGTTTCCTATACCGATCCACTCAATGTCCACAGGGATGTCTATCCATACAACCAGGACTTTCACAGGTGGCAAAGTTAATAGAAAATTTACAAGAATCCGAGTGCCTACCTACATGAACGTTAGATTGAACCTGCCGTATGTAGTGCATCACGAGATATGCTCGTCATTGTGATAGTCGAATGACAAGACATGACTCTGTGCTCTGCCACAACACGAGAGACGAAGTGTACATTCTGGATTTCCCAGAATCTTCAATTCATACGCAGGATTTGCGTCATTTGTTTACAGAATCGGTATGGAGCTAGATGTATGTCGGAAGTCATTGCCTTATTTGGTAGCCATTCTTCCCAATGGGATAATCATGCTACCAGAAGAGAGTTTCCAGACATCTTAACTGATATCTGGTACAATGGTATAAAGAATAATTATACACTACATACATTGCGTTAAATGTCCACAGCCGATAATTCAAAGACTAAATTACATGTTATACGGGTATAAGTGACTATCGGGGTATGTGTGGGAGGTGAAAGAGAACGAAGAGCTGCTCATAGATAAGGCTTGAAAGATCCCCTGCTGACCTTACCGCCTGCGCACGACTGTGACACATGAAACAATAGAATCCCATAAATCTTGGCTCGATGACTTCTCAATCGATCTACCAGATGTGGGTGAGAACATAGGGGTGCTCGAGGAAACAGCACCTTGCTCGATAGACGTCATTGGAGTGAAGACAGATGATACGAAAAGCTTCAGAAATCCCGCGCCAGTGTCGGCACCCTCAGTGAGACTGAAAGATAAGGCTTCGGAGTCGGTCGTTCCAGAACCGATGACGAGGTCAGAATGTTTGCGGAGAGGAGGCCTCGAGCTGGTGGCGTCAGGATGGTATACCATGCTAATGCCATAACCACTGGAATCCATATACGCAAGGTATGGCCAGAGGTCGGTATCGGAGTAGTTATGAAGGACTACGGCATAAATGGCATTTTTTTCATCATCGACAATCTCTGCACGGCCGTCTACCAGGAGATTGCCATTTATGCGCGACCAGGACGAAGGGTCCAGACGGTACAGCTCCATGGTCACCATGCCCAAAAGAGGCCTCTGAGGATTTCGACGATGGAGATGAAGATGGAAACGAGCAGCAGCATCAAGGACTCTGAGGTCAGTGTTAGTCTGCTCGCTGGACAAGTGAATGATTCTGCGACAATTGGCTGCAATTAACCCATCGTGCCGCTCCAGTACGATCTCACGCCGACGAAGTTTGACAGACACATCGGACTGCGATGAATTCTTGACTCGGACCATGTTGACACCAGGGCGTGGTTGGACAGCATCCGTCTTGGAGGGGAGACAACGCCGAAGGCGAAGTCGGCGAAAGAATGAAAAGAAAGACTTTCGGAAGTGGACACGGAAAGGTGTGCGATTGTTCCAACGTGTAATGCGCGCCCATCCATCTCGGATGGCTGCCTTTCCACGGGATCGACTGCGCACTAGACACCAGGTAGGATGCACCTCGACTGCGGAAAAGGAAGCGAGGACAGGGTTGAGCGAGCCTCGACAGTTATGTTTGTGTACACTGAACTCGGTACCCTCAGTGACACCATGGATAGCGCCAGCATCCACGCGAAGCTTTTCGTCATCGTAAAAGTCGATTGGTACATAGCGAGTATCCGCGATGAAAGGAATTCCGTTGAACAGAGCTCGTTGTTTCCTCAGACCAACGCAAATGGGATGCTGGTCCTCGACTCGGTTTTCGATGTTACGAAGAAGGTCACTGTACGACATGCGATGGATCGACTTTGAATTCTTGACAGCAAGTAGCGCTAGGGTGAGGTTCCCGCCGCTCTTACTCTCGTTCGCACTCTCCCCTTGCCTGCAAGCTGCAAGGATGATATGAGTGTCGCAAGCAATACCAGCGAAACCGCGACACGGCGATTTGGCGGAATAGCCCAGTGCACTCCGCCAGAGCCCAGCATCAAGATCTTCAGGGGTGGCTTTGGACGTGGGCGTCCAGCGAGCATGCCGGCGATCGCGGAGAGCCAGTCGTGACGTGGGGGAAGAGAATGAACAGTCGAGTATTAGGGTTATATTGTCACCCTTAGCCGCAGCGAGGTCCCTCATCATCGCATTAAGCGACCGATCAGAGATGCCTGCGATTCTGCCAGCAGGACACTTCGTGTCATGGTCATATGGGCAAAGGATCTCGACAGTTTTTGAGTTATGACCGAACCACCCGCGAGGTGCACGCAAACTGCTCCCATGGCCAGCAAAGTAGACTAGGATGGCATCACCATGCTCGATGGCGGCGTTGTTGACGAGGTGGCTCATGAAATTGTCCTCGATGTTACGCTGCGTGGCTTGTTTGTCTGTTAAGAGGCACACCTGCTCACGAGGAACGTGCAGGTCGTGCGTGAGCCAGCGCTTTATGCTGTGGGCATCATTGACACAGGTCTCCAGATCCCAAATATTACCAGACTTGTACTTGTCGAGACCAATGACGAGAGCGAATAGCTTTGTGGCCATAGCGCATACTATCGAATGTCGTCAGTGATAACTTGATCGAGACTGATTGACTTGGACTTACTGAATGGTGCCTAACAAGAAACCCAATCTCGAGAAAGTGCGGGTGCGGTTAGAGCAGCTGTTGAAAGAGAGTAGACCTACTCATCGTCTTATATGATCATGAGAAGGACGTCCCGTGGTCAACATGCGACTAAGAACTTTCTTTCTTCACGGCATGAGATACACGAGGACCGAAGATCCACACGCGATCAACATGTCCATTGCATACGACCAATCCAAGCTCATACATTGGGCCGACTGACGATAAAACAGATTGGAGAGAATCAAAGCCCCTGGAGCGAAATTGGTGCGTCACAGGACACTTACCAAACATTCTTGTCGAGGTAACGCGCAGTCTTCTCAGCGAGGATGTAAAACCTTCTTGGGTTTCAGACAGTACACAAAGCCAAAGGTTTAACTCACGAGTTAAACCTCGATGTGATGTCGGGGTACGATGTTAGAGTTCTGTCAATACCTTCGACGAGACAAGAAGATCCGCGTCAGTATATGACATACTACCACATACGTATAGAACTCGCTGGCACTGCATGTTAGACGTCCAAATTTAATGACGGACAGATGTAAAACACTAGAGAAAATATCTGTTGTGTAACAGCTTTGGCGAGTTGGCGAATCTCGATAGCTGAGGACGGTAGTGAAGAGCAATCATAGTAAAGCTGATTCCTATCAATCAACTCGACTGAGTACAAGCACATTTCAGCTTACAGTAAGCGAAAAGACAAGCGTCAAGGTTAGACAAGCTCAAGCGGAGGAGGAAGGGATAAAAGAGAAACTCCCAAAATTGACGCTTAAATGAATTCATATATGGGCGCCTAGCAAGCTAATATCTCTTACTCTTGACCACCACGATCTGGTTTCGCTTTTCCTCCGTGACCTTGTCTTTGGGCATCGGGTTTGGTATACCCATTTGTACACTAATCAATTCATGATTCAAGTCTGATATCGCAAGCAAATCGTGCTCAACGTTATCAATAAAGCGACCTTGACTACTTATAGTACATCCTCGTGCATACCCAATATTAGCAACATGACTTTCGTGTGCCAACAGTGCAAGCACCCATTGCAAGTAGGTTCGCATGCATGGCCCATCCTGAAGTACTCATGCTGAATTACTGCCGATAGCTTGATTCTTCTTTGGTTGATCTTTCGCCTTCGACTTATGACATGATAGCTGCATCATTGCCGCCAGCTTCTTCTTCGTCTTCCCGACTGCCGCACAACTCTGAGAAGATAGGTCTTATTCCTTCCTCCGCCAAAGCACCTCGGCAACCGCGCGCTACAAAGGGGAATCCCTCTTCTCCCCCACCTCGGGATCGAGATCTTGGAAGGCATGTGCAGACGAACCGAGGATTTGGGGCACCCAATGAGTCTTTCGTGCTCCTTCAGGACTCCATTATACGAAACATACCTTCTCCAGTACCCTCTCCTACGCCACTCCAGAAGGGCTCTACACCTAAATCTCGGCAGAATATACCGTCATCGACGCAGTCTCCCGCTTCACAAGAGGAAATTCAGCCAAATCCTTCTCCGCTCTCCCATCACCTGCGTTCTACCACTCGTCTCTTTAATTTGCTCTCGAGCCGCACTGAAGTCGATCATCCCCTCTGTTCAGAGTGTACGCACATCCTGCTGACGAATCTGTCGAGGCAACTAGAAGAGATCAAGAAAGAGCGAGATGGATATATCGCATTCGAGAAAGAGGTACGCAAGGAGAAGGAACGCGATAAGGACAGTGCTGGCAAGGCAGCCGACGCCGAACGAAAGATTGAGAAACTCAAAGAAGAAGAGCGATTTGCAATTGAGCAGCTCAAAGCTGCTGAAGACGAACATGCACAACTGGAGAATGAACTCAAAGGCCTGGAACTCGAAGAGAAAGCACTAGAAGAGGAAGAAGCTGAGTTAGTACAAGATTTCGTCTCGTGGCCTCGGGGCCGTTAACCTCGTCATGCAGGTTCTGGCGTGTACACAATGCGCACCAATTAAAGGCTGCCGAGCAAGCTTCTCAGCTGGCCGCTCTCAGGGCAGCCTACGCTGCAGATTCAGCGATTCTTGAGAAGCTTGAGCGTACAAATGTCTACAATGACGCTTTCTGTATCGGCCATGACGGTGTGTTTGGAACTATTAATGGCCTACGCTTGGGCAGGGTTCCTGGAGTACCAGTAAGCTTCCCTCGTGGTTTGTAATGCTTCTGTGTCTCATTGTTTGCAGGTGGAATGGGCGGAAATCAATGCTGCTTGGGGGCAGACGCTCCTGTTGCTTTACACTATCGCGCGGAAGCTTGATTTTACATTTGAGAAGTATGTCCTGACTTTGGTGCACAATGCGTTTGCTGATTTCTAAGAATACACTAGCTACCGGCTTGTACCAATGGGATCATTTTCCAGGATTGAAAGAACAACAGGAGACAAGGCCACATATGAACTGTATGGTTCAGGTGACCTGCACTTGGGTCGTTTGCTGCACAATCGGAGATTCGACTTTGCCATGGTCGCTTTTCTTGATTGTTTGCAACAGATTATAGACTACGTGAAATCTCAGGACCCTCATGTGGAGTTCCCACATCAGTACGTTATTCCTCGTGTTAGATAGCCATGTGTGAGATAGTTCACTAACGGCTGCCATTCATTTGGTTTCCAGGATCCTGAAAGACAAGATTGGTGAGGCGTCCGTGAAACTTCAATTCAGTCAAGAAGAGATATGGACTCGTGCGCTACGGCATGTGCTCTTGGCCGTGAAGATTCTCCTGAAGTGGGCGACGAATGGTAGCAATGGCTAGTGATAGCTACTCATGCAGCGATCGAAGGGAATCTTTGCCACATAAACTCTCTACAGGTTCGGCATCCACAGATGTATTCGAATACGCTTGCTTGCGTCATTCTGCTTGTAGGTGTCGCGGAACGTTCTTTTACGTACATCACTGTCTGTATTGACAAACCCGAGAGCTTACATGGAAATTCGATTACTTTCTTGAGAAGTTGAACAGATCAATCTCGAGACTTCTTATACAATCTTCTGCTGCTCTGCCGTGACCATCCGTGAACGATTGCATAAAAGACTCTCGTATGTACCTGAAGTATGCGAATGGAGCTGAGAATATGAGAACGGATCTGGCGGACCGGATTGATTTAAAGAGATGGCGAAGCAGTTGCGAACAATTTGGCTGAGTAAGTTTAGATCAGGCTTGTTTCTTCTTTCTCCGTCTTATAGTCAGCAATATTTCCAGGCCTCATAGTGTCTCTCGGGATACTACCACCACGACTCTACCCCTTGCCATGGGTCTGCTATCCCTTGGGACACCTCTAGCCTGGGATGACGCCAAAAAGTACGCCGATCACGTCAGGACGCACGGCATCGCTCAGTTCTTGCATATATGGGACCGTCTCAAGGACAGAGCAGGAGACGAATTGCTGTGGGGGGATGAGGTATCGTCCTCTGGGCGGCACTGCTCGATATGCAATTTTCTCTGATTTTGAACGGGTTTTCTTCCGTTAGGTAGAATATATGGTGGTCACCTTCGACAACGGGAAGAAGCACGCAAAATTGTCTTTACGCCAGACGGAGATTCTAGAGAAACTTCAAACGATCACAAATGACATGGCATCTGATCGTGGCGAGACGTATGTTCGCCCCACAACCCACACTATCTGAGCCTTGGCGAATAATGGCTTTGCAGGGATTCTGTTCCTACTTTCCACCCGGAGTATGGCCGTTTCATGCTGGAGTCGACACCAGGGTCACCGTACACCGGTAGTATACCAGACCTCTTGTCAGTCGAAGGGGACATGCGGTATCGGTGAGTGACATACGGCATGACTCCACCCACTCACTTCTCTGCAATGTCTAATCAACCGCCTAAAGCCGTCGCCTAGCGCGCAAGTATCTCAAGCCTCACGAGATTCCAATGACAATGACCTCGTTCCCTCGACTGGGCACCCCCGGCGTGTTCACAGAACCATATTACGATCCCGCCGACGCTGTTTCGAGTCACAGTCTCTTCGTGCCTGAAGAGATAACAAACCCTCATGCACGTTTCCCGTTGGTGGTCCTTTCTTTCAGGGACTGTCATGATCTCAACCGTGAATATTCTTTTTCAGAACTCTTACGGCGAACATTAGACGAAGGCGAGGATCCAAGGTCGCCATTAATCTGCCATTATATATTGACGATCGGACACCTCGTCCCTTTGTTGATCCTACAATTCCGTGGCAACGGAACATATACCCCGAAGATCCAGGTATGTTGTATGTTCTCTTTTGGAACGTTATTATAACGTCGGATCATCAGAGGCAAAACAGGGTGCCGCATTAATAGACCATGTATACATGGATGCCATGGGATTCGGAATGGGCTGCAGTTGCTTACAGCTGACATTCCAAGCGTGTAATGTTGCTGAGGCGAGACGTTTATATGACCTGCTGGTACCTGTGGCGCCCATCATGGTGAGTCTCTTCTCTTCGACACCCAGTTTTTATTGCTCACCCTGCGGCTCTAGCTCGCCCTCACCGCTGCTAGTCCTCTATGGCGGGGATATATCGCTGATGTAGATTGTCGATGGGACGTTGTAGCAGCCAGCGTTGATGATCGCACAGAGGAGGAACGTGGTCTGAAGGTAGACTGCCTCATGTTTAGCTCGTCTTCTTATAGCTGACCCATGATATCGTAGCCTTTGAAGGAGAGCCGCTTCCAGATTCCGAAGTCACGCTATGGCAGTGTCAGCCTATATATTTCCGACGAGTGGTTGAATAGACCGGAATACAGCGACATCGAGGCTCCCTTTGACCCCGCGATTTTTGAACGGTTAAAGGATCATGGTCAGTGTGTTCATGCTACGTACTGAACGTCGCTGACGCCGGCCGGCGGGATTGTAGGCATCGACCCCATTCTTGCGAAACACATGGCACATTTATTTATTCGGGATCCCCTAGTAATCTTTTCAGAAATGATAGACCAAGACGATACTACCAGCAATGACCACTTTGAAGTACGTGTCATTCCCACCGTGTGAAGTAATTTATCAGTCTGACATACATTCATCTAGAACATTCAATCAACCAACTGGCAAACCCTACGTTTCAAGCCTCCTCCAGTAAACTCACCTATCGGCTGGCGAGTAGAGTTCCGATCCATGGAAGTTCAGCCCACCGACTTCGAGAACGCCGCATTCGCGGTGTTCGTTGTTCTCCTTTCTCGCGCTATCCTTAACTATAATATGAACCTTTATATACCCATATCCAAGGTGAGCCGGCATTGTCTACATATACTCATCTCCTTAACGTATGGACGACGACATAGGTTGACGAGAACATGGCTCGTGCGCAACGCCGTGACGCTATCCACACCCAGAAATTCTACTTCCGTAAAGACGTCTTCGCACCCGGTCAACCATCACCTATCTCTACCCCTGCTTCGTCTGGCACGAGCTCACCCATAGATCCTACCGCAACAAACGGCATACCGCTTCATAAGGAGAGAAAAATGAGGAACTGTTTCCCTCCACCGCTCAAACCTGAGACGTGGCATCCGCAAAACCCTATTGAGGACGAGTACGATGAATATACTTTGGATGAGATCATCAATGGCAAGGTAAGCTCAGTTCATGCCAGATTCGAAGACATACCTTTGAGGTTGACTCTCCATGTCTGCAAAGAACGATCACTTTCCCGGCTTGCTGAAGTTGATCTATGCATATCTCGATACACTGGATATGTGCGAGCATGAGCAAGTCAGAATCACCCAGTATCTAGATTTGGTCAGGCGCAGAGCGAACGGTAAGTTTTGTCTTTTATTATGGTAAAGTAAAACCCTCGGTCTGACGTGAACTGTCAAAAAGGTTCCCTCATCACTCCGGCGACATGGATCCGAAACTTTGTACGGTCCCATCCAGCGTACAAATTTGACTCGGTTGTCAATCAGGAGATTAACTATGACCTCATGGTCGCGGTGGATGAGATGTATGTCTTTGTCTTCTTTTCGATAGATGTTAGAACTCATAGTCTTCCATAGTGAGCGCGGTATCAGGGAGGCTCCAGAGTTCCTTCCTCCACATCTCTGTCGTAATGCAGACCTCAACGGCATCTGAATGATCCCGCGTCTGGAGCTTTTCTTGGTTTATGAGTGGATTCAAAATCCAACGGACTGGAGGATGAATTGAAAGGACATCGAAGTATTTCTTGCATCACAGCACGCTAAGCACAGAGAACGAGATATAACATCCATACAGCACAGACCGCTATCAACCACCATTTGTATCCTAGACATAACATATGTATTCATTTTCAAGAGGCTTTTGTTGAATCCTTATTGTCGTATTGTCGTACCTGCAGCTTAAGTTTCACGGTAAACATTGTATGAAACGATTCTGAGTTTCTATCTCCTCTATTGTATATCCACATTTCCCGAGTCTACTTGCCTCGATGCTTCTTGAACGAAGCTTGTACGCCCATCCCCAATCGGATATCCTGCATACACTTCTCATCCACCTCCCTTCCTTTAGCAGCTAATTCTAACACCTTCGAGATCAGATCCTGTGGAACGCACACAACTCCATCTTCGTCTGCTACCATCCAATCGCCGGGGTGCACATCCACAGGAGGGAATGATCCACCGTCTGAACCAGTCAGAGGACTCCAGGCCTTGATGCTCAAGGGAACGTTTATAGCGGAGGGTCGGGTGAATGGCGATTGACCAAGAGTAGAATGTCCCTTCGCAAAGACAGGGAAGTTGGCGCTACGATGTTCGGCGAGGTCTCTGCAGCGTCCTGAGATGATTACGCCGAGCGCGCCGCGAGCTTGAGCACCGGCGGTCATGAGTCCACCCCATACAGCGTTCTTGACCTCTGCTCAGCAAAATCCAGTTCATGCAAGACAGCAGTTGGAAGCACAGATGTAAAAGACAGCAGGATGCAGAACATAAGACGTTTCAGCGGAGTTTATGCGGGAATAATATGAGAGCCCACTGAACCAGGAGGAGCGTCGATGACAACCACAGACCCGTCGGGCACCGTGTCAACAAAATGGTTGGGAAGTTTGGGCGCGGACTTTTCAGATGCTAGGACCATCTGTACAGTATACGCAGGTCCGCAAAGTCGCGTGTCCGAAGTCTGAGACGGCGAGTACATCTGAATGTCTGGAATGTGACCTCCGTGAGGCAGTCCGAGCTTGATGAGAGCATCAGATATCTCGCAGGATGAGAAATTGGACAGAGATGAGGCTGAAGAACTAGACATTGCGCGGACCACCTGTGTAGGTCTGTGCAGTGGGCGCATGAGATGGTGGTAGTGCGTCTTGAACGGAAAGCCGAAGGAGAAAGTAGGAGAAATGTCGCCGTAAGCACGCTGACACAAGCGTTTGCCTGACGCAAAGCCCATGCACAGCGGGAGCTTATACAACTTCCCTTCGTTCTACTCTGCTGGCATCACTATATTCACTCTCTGAACTGGTTCTGAGACTCTTTCTTTAACAAAGTACTAGGCAGCCTGATCCAAACAACTGCGAGGGGGTTCAGACGCGCTCGCCACATATCCTATGTGCACCGATGTCTACGTCTGAATCACGATGGGGCCGGTCCACAAAGAAACTGCGAAAATCGTTTCGCAAAGCAAACAAGGCTGTCATGCGATCGTATCACTTTCGAATACCGGTGTATGATATGCCAGTCCGACTACGACCTGTAAGCTCCTTTCAGTGGAATAACATATAACTGAAATCTGAATGAACGCACCCCATCTCAGTGGTTCCTCTTGTTTACTTTGTTGATCATGGCGTTGCTCGCTTTCTTGGGATTCACGAACTTCTCCCGTTCTTTACCTCTGAATGACAAGCTGCTGCATTTCTTCTGCTTGATGCTCGCCACCGCCGTGTTCTACTTTATATTTGATATAGAAGAGTGAGTTTATTGAATAGGAAATCCTTTATGAAGATTGAATCTTAATGACACGATTTTGTGGTTTATAGGGATGCAAGGAGAATATGGTTTTGGCGACATGCTCCCCTAATATTCACTGGCGTTGTATGCTTCTTTCTCGGAGGGATTGTCAGCGAATTTGTACAATCGATGCTTCCTGTGAGTTTCTACTGCATTGTGTTTGGATTATACTGTCTCAATATTATTGCCAAATAGTACAAGGAGTTTCAATTTGGAGATGTAGTCGTAAGTGCGACCCTAGAAAAGTTGTTCGCCACTAACCCCTCCACCGATCAGGCAAACTTGTTGGGGTCTGCAATAGGGTTGTATATCGCGTACAACCTTGAGCGGTATTACCGAAGTAGAAGAGAGGTATGTTACCACCACACTTGGGAATAACCGTTGCTAAACCCGTCGCAACCAGATATCGCGTCTATACCGACCACTGGATACGGACTATCTCTCGTCAGAAGACGAAGACGATTTGGAATCCGGCGTTCAACTCCTTCCTACGCATCACGATAATCGAGCGGCGACTAACGGACCCAAGTCTCCCGCAAAGTCTTCGCGTTTAGCGGATGTCTGGGACACAAGGGAAGACCTGTTTGACATTGGTGAAGAGAGCGATGAAGAGGATAGTCTACGACCGGGTCCTGCGGCATCTGGTCCGCCAATGCCTAATCCTAAAATCTTGGTGACGAGTTCGGAGTGACATTGCTTGCCCGGCTACCAGATGTACTCTTGGATGTTTGACCTAGACTTATCATAATTGTAATCACAGGGACATTTCACAATGTATAACTACACATCCATCCTGGTTTGAGAACTCTATATCTTGCCGTCCTCGATTGACCTCGATTTCTCACTCGTAGGGAATGCCGATGGCGAGGCTGTACAGATCCGAGCAATCCATGTGAGTCCTTCAAAAGTAAAGTCAGTTCCCTAGATGGTACTTGGTTGTCTTTATAGATTCAAGTTTCGAAACCAGTACTTGACACTTGATCCGCAAGTTCATCGGCAACGGAGTTGTAGTAACGTACCGTACTCATGCCCCATGATTGCTAATTCGGACACAACCTACTCCCGGCTCTTCTACGGGCGCAGGAACACCCGCTGTATAACGTCGGCTGGCATGTGCTCCTGAATACCCATGCTTAGAGTGTTTCCCTGACTTACGAACTCTACTGCACTGCCGGAAAACGTGAGTTAAAAGGGCAGCTCTCAGGGTGCCATCTTTCAAAAGTCCACTTGACGATACAATGAAGAACTATACACGATATGGCTGATCATCTTACAGTAAGTCATCGCACATTTTGGATGTCCCAAGGCTGACGAGTGCTGCCATCAAGTATCCTACTGGGCTGCTCTGTAGCTGAAGCGGTTTTCAACATTCTGTACGGTATAAAAGCCGAACTCCACTCACAAGATGCGCTATGCATCCTTGCCTCACGTTTCGTGTCGGTCTCTATCATGGTCTGGTTAACAATTATGTTTCATTAAGTGATCCTTGCATGGGTGACGTTGGCTTGGTCGATAATTACTTTATGCTGGGTCACTACTCTGTCAGAATTTACGCCCTCGTCTGAAGGAAAATTATCAACCTGTGTCATGTAGACTCATCTCCTTCAACCGGCCTCACTCTACCAGCCCCCTGTGCAAAGTCAAAGTGCACTGGGTCTCTCTTCTCGTATCGGCTTTTACATGGGCAGGTACGTTCCTTGAGTCTTCTTTCACAATAATAGTAACTCATTACCCATTCCCTGAAATAGCACTAGCCATAGTAATCTACGCGTACACTGGAGCAATCAATGTTTGTTCGAGTTCAGACCGATTGCAATGCGGGGCCCCAGTAGCGATGGCCATTTTCGCAACCTTCCTTTGTGCACAATGTACGTGTTTTTACCTTCTACCTTGAGGGCCAGGCTTTTCATTGTCGATATTGCCTTGACTAGCGATTACTCTGGGAACTGTTACCTTCGCCCGTGGCAAGAGAATGGGCATTAGCGATAACGTTGCAGCCCTAGGCTAACCTAAACACTCTGAACAATCTGTTCGAGTCTGACAATCAGTATTCCTCGTGCCCAGCTGTGTTCTGTAGACTTGTTGTTCCAATATTATCGCTCCGCAGGAGTGTGTACTCCACAAAATACTTTCATCGGCCGCCAACTGTCAGTCACAGACCGAATCAGAAGGTCACCACGCGATGCAATTGCCGATAGTTCCGGGTCGATTGTTGTAGGACAAATAGCTTTCTCGCCTGTGAAGAAACATGATGTCTTGTGTAGCCTTGGTGCTTGACTCAACCCGCAGTCCTCCGTGATTAAATCTCCATATTATAGCCCAGTAACCCCAAGTGAAAATGGGCGTTCTTTACTATCATACGTGATCAGTTGGAAGTCCGCACCTTGTCCACTTTCAAATGAACGTACGTTGCCATCGTACAGCTGACGGGGGGATCAGCCTGAGGCGTCAAGCAACGAAGCGTGACGTCTGAACAGTCCCGGCACAATGAGGAATTACGGCCGCTATGGGAATTTCTCTTACAGTAAGTACGTTCTGGTGATTAGCAAGTGGATTCTGACCTACAACGCACGACGATGCCATCTAGCTGCACTTATATTCTGCTCTGTGGCGCAGATAGTCATGAGCATTTTATACGCATTACATAGCGACGGCGACGCGTCCCAGGGTTAGTTTCAGAACCCATCGTGAACATTCAGATACAGCTACGAAGTTATGCGAGCTCAGAGAATCTTCTACAGTCATCTTAGGCTGGGTGACAATGGGATGGTCGCTCATCACCTTAGCCTGGGTCACCATCCTGTAAGTCCAGTATCAGTTTTTTCTTTCGTCCTTGCCAAATTGTGTTGACAAGTGCGTCAAGTCTAGTGTTCTTTAACAGGCCGCGTTCAACAAGTTTCCTATCTCAGGTCATGTTACACTACATGTCCTTATTTTTTCTCAGTGGAACATGGGCAGGTCTGTTTCAATAACCTGCCCTTTGTATAGGAACATTCACTGAACCCTGAGATATAGCACTGGCCGTACTTCTGTATACGAACATCGGACACACTTGTTCCGCTCGCCGCAATAATGATACCCTGGGCTGTGGCTTTTTGGTGACTGCAAGTGTTCTCGCAACCATTCTCTGTGCACAACGTACGTATCGAATCCCTACGCTACAAATTATAAACTTAATGTTGTGTCATTTGCACCCTCCAGCCCTGTCGTTCGGGAGCAGGACCTTCGTTCGTGGTCGGCGGTTGGGTATCAGTAATAATATTGCGTTGCTGAGGTAGCACATCATAGCAATCCGGATGCTATATAATATATAAATACTCTAGTACCTTGGAAGTTGCTCAGAGTAGCCTCAGATTAACCTTTGGTTCCCAAAATGTGAACATCTGAATTAAATGCTACAAACTGTTTCGCTAGCCGCCCGTGTCCGAAAGTCTATCCTGCTTCACCCATGCCATCATGCACCCGCTCTCCACTCAACAGCCTCACACTCGTTAGGCCTAAAACTCTACAGAATATACTTTACAGTCGCAACTCATTACCGAGACATGCATTTCGAAGAATACGAAGGCACACATCCACGGCGGTCACGATGAAATCTACGCGGAACCTTCCGTCCCAACCTACTATCCCGGAGACATTGACTGCTCTGCACAAAACTGCTGCCTTCTTGCCTAGAATACTGCCCAGGAGACCTGAGGCTGTTTCCGAGACTCAGGCAGTGGAATTCTGGAACGAGGTGTTAGATACCACAAGGGATGGTTTGAATCTTGCTGGTGGAGAGCGTGTTGCGCGTATTGTCGGTATGGATGAAATGACAACTTTCGGAAGGAGGAAATGCTTACTTTGTTTTCAGTATACGGGTCTGACGAGCACTCTGGTGCGCGGGAACTGGTGACCGCGTTATTGGAAGACCCGTTTGCGTCGGAAGCACTGAAGCAATCTGTTCGTGAACGGTGGAAGTCAGGCGACGATAATTCTGGTTTATTTATTCGGTGCGATATTTTTTCGCCATAAAGTAGATGGCTAAGTTGATATCTTTCTCAAGCCATGATCCACCACCCTCCAGTGGTTCAATGAATACCTTGACACTGCAGTCTTCATGGCTTCAGCAATTCCTCATACCAATCGAGGTCCACGAGTTACCTAGCACTCCCGGATCCCAGCTTAAGGCCATTATTCCCCTGTTTGCGGCAGATATACCAATCATAGTCTGCAACCCCGTCACAACACCGTTAAAAGGGATATTCTCTGATCACGGCCTTCCTATACATCATCCGAACGCTATCCTTGTCATTACTTCTTCTTCAGCGACGCACCAGAGCGTTGAAGATATTTACCCCGTTCCACCATCCCTAAGGATATTATTCGTGGACCCTACACGCGCGTTACAAGGTTTACAGGCCTTGAGCTCAGATCCTGGATCCGCAGTGGCAGTTCAGCGGTACCAGGACGACTTTACCGAGTCTGGTGTTATAGACGTCACTTCGTCTATCTCGAATATACTGTCAAACTCAGAGTCCGACCTACTAGCCTCCTTACGAACTCAGACTGCTCTTCACGCCGTACTCGCAGCGTTATCTGCATGTCGGTTTGTTCTTGCAGATGCAAAGAACGAAACAGACGGCGTGCATATTGGTATCTGCGATCTGCGAGACGGGGTGGCGGAACTCGAAGCTAGAATTGGCATTGAGGTTCTTGGTACAGATGAGAGCAACGAAGTGAAGGAGGCAGTGACACAAGCAAAGCAGGAAATCAAGGTCGTCATGGATCGTTTAACGTGGTGGAGACTTCTATGGAAGGTCGATGACATCGCTGAAATCGTGACTACAAGTGTTCACACAACGTGGTGTCGAAACCTTGAGGACAAGGTATGAGATTACCAGCTATATGATTCTTACTGGCATCCTGATACTTGTTTGCATAGTTGATTTACCATGCCGGACGCCTTGCTGTAATGCAGAAGTCACTAGGGACTGCAGCACACACTCTACTACGTTCCTATGCCCAATCCTCGCCCTTTCATTCCCCTGTGCTTCATAATACAGTCGCTCAGATCGAAACATCCCCGTCATATACCGTCAAACCAAGCGCCCTCACGGGACCAATCCACTTTCGACGAAATCAACTCTCATATCCTACTAACATGTTACACGCCAGTGCTCAGCGGATAACGATTGGTATGGGTAGTAGCGTCCTTGGCGGATTTGGTATAGCTTGGGCAGGATGGGCAGGCGAGCTAGGTATTCTTGGTGCTTATGGGCCAGGGTTGTCGACAGAAACTGCTGCAGGGTTGGGCATGTTTGGGGCTGTACTTGGAGTGCGGTGGGCTGTTGGTCGGTGGGAAAAGGCGAAGAAAAAGTGGTGGCAAGATTGGGATCGAGTCGGGGAAGGGCTCGAGAGGGATCTCAAGGTCAGCATTAGTCCGTATCATCATATTCGGGAATTCTCCTTTTGATGTCATCCGTTTCCAGGCCACCCTGAAACATACCGTTGAAAAACAAGTGACTGTCGTCCCGGAAACTGTTTGTGAAGGATTGACCAAGCTAGTGACTCAACGGGAAGAGGAGGTTGAAGCGTTAGATGATGAGTTATGTACGCTCGAAGGTCAGGCACAGTTGACTCGGACTAGTTCGTAGTCGTGCATCCTGAGAAAGTACCATATGCCTGCTCTTGTTTCTTCCCTAGAACATAGGGGTAATATGAGACTTTTCGCCATGTAATGAATTCCAATGTATTGCTACGACTTAGTGAATCTCAGGGCATCTCGGAAGGGTGAATATTCACTGACGGGGAGTTGAAGTGGTCAATATTCCAATTCGCCTACCTCTAGATCACTCACGCCGATCAGTGATGGCTATGCCAGATGGCTGCGAACGATCGTTCAATGCGGCTTTAACAAGAGCTAACACTTCACTATACCTGGAGCTCGACAGATACCATGAGCTCCTACCTCTACGAGATCCCAACAACGGGGGCAATATCGTTCTCGGACTTTTGCTATGATCAGACCGCTTCGTATGTTGCGGAGGTGGCGGATACTACCGAAGCTCGGGCAAACCTCCGTGCTGCTTTGAAGGAATTTAAGCGAGCAGAGGATGATGAGAGGGATTATCTGAAACTTGTGAAAGTAAGTTTAGTACTTGGGTTGTCCTCAAACCCTTCTGTTAACGGCGTTTCGGCGTAGGTTCTTGACGATTATATACCGAAACTTTACGGTATAACCGTCTGCGTGGACAGCGGCGATCTAACAATCAGGTCGGAACCCAGTGCGTCTTACACCGTGCATTTTTGTGGCTCGTATGCAACTGAGCTGTCTAGTCTTTAGCTGGCGGACGACGCTCTCGTCTAACCTTTTCCACACCTCACCTCGTCTTTCCCTTCCTTCTCTGCCCACTGAGATCGCTTTCACCTTGCTAACGTACGGATTTGCTCTCTCAAACCTTGCAAGAGCTATTGTTGCTTCGCTCGGTATCTACGAGACCGAACGTGCGATATCTGATACAGATCGTAAAGCCAAGGACGAACGGCTACATTTCGCAACAACTCTGCTTTGCAAGGCTGCAGGCGTTTTCGAGTTTATAGCCAAGGAAGTTCTTTCACAATGGGACTCCGCAAGAGAACGCGCTCTAGCTGCAGGAATGTCGTGTCCACGACCACCCGACCTAAGTCGTGAAGTTCTTATCGGACTCAGCAAGTGAATATTCAATCCTTTCACGCTTGTCATAACTCTCCAGCTTCTGATGCTTGTCTCGCCGACAGGATGGCTCTAGCGGATGCGCAGGCCCTCGCCATTCGCAAACATCTTTCCAAGGCAGCATTCGACAGTACTCTTACCCCAGGACCACCGCTTCCCAAATCCCACCCTTCCCCCGCACTCGCCGCTAAACTCCACCTCGAATGCGTTGCGCTCTATTCAAGCGGTCGAGCGCTTGCCAAAACACCCGGAGCATCCCGTCCAAACCTGACATCTTCTTCAAAGTCTAAATTCAAATTAAGCCTGGGTAGGAAGGATAAAGACAGGGACGGAGAAGGCTCAGAGATGAGTTTGCCTAGAGAAGAAGCGGGCGAAGACGTCTCACCAGAATTGGGGAGATATCTAGCAGATGAGATCGCGTACCATAATGCGTTGGCGCATAAGTGGCTTGGTGTTGACGCTGGTGAGAACGGCGCGACGAGCGAAGGTGGGCGGGCGGTTGGTTTCCTCGTATGGGCAAAGAAAGAGCTCGAGGAATTGAAGAGTGGTGGTCTTGGACATGGAGGTGTCGTGGGTATTGGTACGACGGATCGAGAACGCGTAATGCGCGAGGCAAGAAGAGCAAGAGTACAGGTAGAACTGGAAAGCGTCAATGTATTCCTGAAAGGGTATAAGCGTATGAACGATTCGGTAAGTCTCCGTGCTATTTTCAATATGAGAGAATGAGGCGTGTCTCAATTAAAATTGTATAGCTTGCATTTCAACCAGTCCCTCCACAATCAGACCTTCAAGCATCTGTACCAACTGGACGTTCCGCTGTCACGATTAGGCCCTACTCTCAGCCGACACCCGCCTTTGGACCGGGCTCGGTTGAGTATGCTAGGAAACAAGCAGAAGCCTTGGAATTGTTGGATGACTCTTCGAATAAGGAACCAGTGAGTTCCAGGCCAGAATATGCCGGCGCTGGCGCATATTATTGAAAGGGCAAATGAACTGGTGTCGAGAGGGATGTGTACATATGTGTCTCTACGTCATTATTTATGTCTAATACTTGGATGTATTGCCTGTAAGATAAGCTGTCCATTACTGTCCTCTGCGATCATCTTTAACTAAAGATCTCGGTCGGCTAATCAATCAATAAAACCAATCCTTTTCCCTTCTGCCACTCGACTTATCTGCGCCTGTTTCAGCTCGCCGCAGGCATCCATTGTGATTCCATCAATACGGTCCAGAAGTTGGGAGAATGAAGGGTGTGCAAGGATCTCATACGAAGTACTCCACTACAATTCATATGGAGATCGAGCCAAAAGAATGATAATGGTGTCCTTTATATGAATAGAGGCCTGCATGCCAGGGAAACTATCATCTTGGTATCCGCCACCATTGTCGGGACTAAGCCATCGCTTTAACAATTTAGTGGCATAGAAGGATATGTCGCGCCAAAGGGTTTCATCTACACCAGATAGGTCAAGTGTTGTCTGAAGATCGGTGGACGGAATATCTTCTCTACCAAGGTTATTTCGAAGGATCCGCAACATGAATGATATTATTGCGGATGCAGATGGCGGAGATCCATCGAATGACTCCCAGAACATGTCCAAGAGGGTCCCATCCAGAGCATCAGAGTGATCAACTGCCCTTTGAGCCCATTGCAACACGAGACTCTCGGAACGGATAGATGAAGGGAAACTCGACCCTACAACAAAATCCTGGAGTAGTGCATATAAGGACTTTTCAGCGAGTTCTTTCAATGAGGTATCAAAATGATATAGCATCGTCCCATCGCAGTTAGGATGTGAGAGGTTGTATGCTATAAATACTTTGACAAACTCGGTGAAGTTAGAATCCAGGCACTTGCACAAGGTGCGATGGGCCAAGCTCGAAGGACCCATTGGGGTCAACAACTCAGACAGGAGTGACTCCGTGAAGCTATGGATCCAGAGGGGCCATGGTTGTTCTTTGAATTGTTCTGCAAGGGTGTCGATATCGAGCATGAGTGTTTGTGCCAGGATCATCTGTGCATCAGGTCGGAGAGATGGTTCATGATGCCAGCAATCTCGTATAATTGCCCAATCCGCCAAGTTCAGACCCATCCTGGGATCGTCGGTTGGGCTTGGCCACTGAGGTCCGATGTTACGCAACTTTTGAGCGAGTACTTGGATATCTGACAGCTCGTGCATTGGAGGTCGAAGGGTATATATCTGGTAACACTCGTACGTCAGCATGTTCTGACCCGGTTACGACTTGTTAACACAAACCTCTAACCAGACACATCCATATGCATAAATGTCACTCGTATACGATGCCCTCGAGCCGTTCAGCACTTCTGGTGCTAACCAACGAGCTGCACCACCGTGGTGAGATCCTATACTAGCACTGCTGGTATCCGCGAATCGAGCCAGCCCAAAGTCCCCAAGCCGTATGTGTTGCTCCGCATCGATTAGGATATTGGCCTACAGACATGTAACCCTTGTTTTCAGAATGAACCGGACGCAAACATCACAGGAAAGTGCTCACACCGCGGAGATCAGCATGAACTATATGCTCACTATGGAGATATCCTAATCCCTCTGCTATTTCGCGAAACTGGTCGATTTGAAGGGACGTCAGGGAGCTGCCGACGGCATACAACGAGAAATGACGCACCCATCTCGTGAGAGGCAAGGGATCTGAGCTTGGAGAGATCAATACTTTGCCATTCATATATTGGATAATGTTTCCATTATTCATCCACGGAGATATGATGGAATAGTATGGCGAAAATGTAGAGTGGTCAATGCCTAGGAAAGGCAAAATGAAAGGATGATGAAGTTGCTGCCAGACCAAGGCCTCGCGTAGAAGGTTCTAAACCAGTCCATGTTTAAGGCTGCGCAACATGAAAGGGACAGACTATAGATTCTGTACCGAATGACTTTCGCCTGGATCAGGATCGGTTTTGAACACTCGCAATCTCTTCAAGGCGACTGATGCTGAGTGCAAGGTCCCTCGAAATATGTCTGCATATGCACCACCGGCGATTGCATTCCTTTCCTTGCAATCAACTCCGACAATGTACAAGGATGAGGGAACATGATTGGAAGCCTTAGATAACTGAATCAGTAGACGTCGCAAGGTAAATCGTCTTGTCCTTTCCACGGTGGGACTATTGGCATTCAATCCATCGAGTTTCTACGGCTTCATGTCAGAAGCTCGTCTCTATACGTAATTAGAAATTGGAGGCAATCCTACAGCTAGTATGCTATCCATACAGTGGACAGCGGGTGCATCTCGGAGGGAGAGGACATATCCCTTTGCAGATTGTGATATTAACGCCTGTGCAATCAGAGAGTCCATAGATAAATCTTCGAAAGCTTGTAGAACTCCCTCATCCTTTGCGGAGGGAGCCAAGTGAACCAATTTATCCATACCAGTTCATTGTGGTAGTTACAAGTAGACCACTAACTCAGGAAAGTGGCTGAGGCACGTACGGTGTGGACATGTCGGAGCCACGTGGAATTTCACGCTGAGTTTGCGATCAACCATATGCAAGGCGAACTTTCAAAGGCCTGATAACACTCGTTATTGACCTTGATTTCCCTCTCTACTAGATAGCCTACGGTGAAATGCCACTTGTTCTACCCGAAGAGTTTTCGCACGAAATCCTGGGGCTTGTCGACTTGGATGTGGCTGTTAGAGGCACCGAAGGCTCTTGCAAAGGGCCGAGTCAGGAAGGCGCTTGACCGATTACATCCACCACGGTGGTACCACCTCTTTCTTTCTTACACTAAAGTGTCTTCCACAGGTGACGAGACCGATTCCCTGTGCCATAGTCGCGTTGTGTGCTCCTTTTTGCAGTTATAAGGCATCCGTACAGTAGCTGCATAACCTATCCATGGATCCTTTCGAAAGACTCACAAATCTAACTGCGATTGCCGAAGAAGCGGATCTCATTTCTCTCACTGAGGTCACGCCTTCGGTTCGCTCAGGGACTACCATTGGTCTCGGCACCTTGTCCGGACGAGTAATTATGGCTGTAGGTGAATACGCTGTTAAGGGTATAGAAAATGTGAATATTCGTCGAAAATTGGGGATTGCTTCCTTACAGCTGCGCCGGACAGGCGCAGTTCCGGAGCAGGTTATCGATGACCTTCTTGAGCTTCAGAGGTATGTTCAGGACGCACTTCCGCTGACTAGCACTTAAACATGATTATCCCTTCAGGATGGGATTATATTCCACATCTGTTCGCGAGAGAGCCTGCGATCTTCTGATGGCTGTGTTTATAAAACAAGGACCTGAGGAGACAATCCAGATACTCAAACAATGATCCACAGTCGAAATACGATTCTTCTTGAGGCAGTTTGCTGCATTCATGTTAACAAGGTGGTGGGTTGCATGCATGTGTTGCGTGGCGACGACGACCTACATAGTTTCAGGAACACTTCCGGAGACGAGTCACTCGCTACAGGCGATCTAGCCGCAACCACCGTCTGCGTGAGGTTAATCCAAGCAGTCTTGGATGAAGATGCTACGATCATACACGACACCTTCGACCTAGATGAAATCTGTCTCCTCTTGACAACGCAACGTGCACGGCAGTATGAAGGAGAGTATCGCGACCCATTCATATGTTTCGTGGATACCGGGCTTGCCAGTGATACTGATTGCGAAATGGCTCGACTGTCCCTTGCCGCTGTGACTCTTGCTCAATTCGTGCGCAGGGACCTCCAGATCAATTGCAGTTTATGCTGGAGAGGTTGCGCTCCTATCACTGGTCGCTGCTATCCAAATTTATTACCCCGGGTTCAAGTTCTCTCACTCCCAACAGCATGTTACCAAAGAGACTGAGTTACATGAAGAAATCAATGATCATCTCCTACTACTATCTACTCATGCCCATAGAGCCTTCCCGAAAACAGCGATATCTTGTGGAGGCGAGTAATGAAACTTTAACTGTACTGGCAAATATCATCTTATTGACATTTTACCATCCCTTCGGCATCTGATGATGGCAGTCAATGACACGGAGAATGCACGTCTTGACCGGCTCAGGCAGGATTTGCAGTGGCGAAGTGTTGAAAGACAAAGTGAACAAGGATCGGGGGCGGGCAGAAAGCAGAGCAACCGTCAAGGGCATCAGGAAAAGGGGACAATCCTGAGACCCTTGAGAACCTTGATGAAGTGCAGATCGAGACTTTTGGCTTACAGTGAAAGCGGGCCCCTCAGGTGACTATTTACCATCAAGGTTTATAGATTTCATCACCCCAGCTTGACTCTTGACTGCACTGTGATTTATGGAGTACTGAGAGCTGAGCCTACTCATTCTCATTCTGCTTCATTCTGCTGAGTAGTTGTCACCGTCCTGAAGAGATGTATGTGCTCCGGTAGGTACACCGCTCGTGGTACGCCGTCTCTTCAATATCTCCGATGGCGAGTTTAATCTTTGACGTGGTTTTCTGTAGGAATCGTTTCTGCATATATATCTATCCCGGGGTCTTTCTGTCATCGTATGTGTCGTTCATTCCGGTTGTAGCGGAACAGGTAATTGCTTTTTATTTCCAGGATACCTCTTTGAAATACGACTTGTATGTCATCCGTTGTGCACAAACAACATAACTTTTCCCATGTTTCATACAACAGACGTGGAAGATACCATCAATGTAAGACCAACCCTCGGCTTTTCTCCCGGCTCCCTGAGGACGATTGATCGAATCACGGTCTTGTCGTTGCACGAATGTTCGACCGATGTCCACCACCACAGGATCTGTCCAGGTCATTTGACATTTGCAGATGTCGTTCGCGTACTTCATCATTCATAACTGTTGATGCCTGACAGTATCAAGGTCAGCTGTGCAGTTAGAGAGGATCATGGAAATATTTGCTCATTGGACTTGCATGGCAGCATTCTGTAACAGGTTCATCCAGGGGACAGCACTTGGTGGCCTGATCTTGGTGGCGTTACAGGCCACCGAAGCCGAAAGTTTAGTTGGATTCTTGCAGTTGTTTTGGCCAAGCTTACCCATGATCCCTTGTTCGGGGGGCGAATAAGGCCGTACTTAAGGGACTGTCAAGTGGTCCTCTGACCAAGAATCCTACGTTCTACCTGTTCCCAGCGTGTCCAGAAAGCTGACACACTTATCAAGCCGCCATGGCCGACCCATCTACTTCTGTCCCTCCTTTGTCAGTTCCCCAACTATTAGGTGGAGAGTTCGTGGCGATCTGCCTTGCTTTCATGTGGGTAGCTTTGCCACGCGATTGACGTGGAAAGATGATTCTAATACTTCCAGTCGGCTATAGATTGTATGGGGTAGCCACTGCGCAGGCATACGTATACTTACACAGCTGCAAGAAGGATTCCCGGTGGTTGAAATCGTTAGTAGGAGCAGTATGGTCAGTGTCATCGCTCATTTGGACCTTGCCTCATCACACCGTGAGCGTAATAATAGGATCTTTGAAACGGCGCAGAGTGCCTTCGTCCTTAGGTATGTATACGCTGTAGCGATCATCGGGTTTGGTGACTATGTCGCTATATCCAAAATCGACTGGTGAGCCTGCCTGTCGTTGCATGACCTGTGTTACCTGAAAAAGAAATTGTCGATTGCAGGAGCATGGGTGTAAGTCGCGCAACTATTAATCTGTACATATGACCTCATCCTCTTCATGTCTCTGAAGCTTGTGATCTTTACGGAGGTATGCCACCATACGAGGTTCCTGTCTTATTATACCCGTTTGATTTCCGTTTAGACAGCGATCATTGCACTAGTCGAAGGGTCTGTCTAGCCACAATATTCACTCCGTTAATGCTGAATGCCACAAATCCTTCACGTCAGGTATTACATTTGGCGTATCTGGATTCGTGAGTCCCTGCTTGGCGGTAAGAGCTGTACTCATCTGAACCTGTCAGTTAGTGACAGATCACGCGTCCTCACGGCTCTTCTTGTATGTTCAAAGCTCCTTCACCTTTTGTGCAATGCTCATCCCAAATTTCAGACCATTCTTCTGGTCGGCCGACTGGGTAAGCAAATCACTCACGGATGTAATGAATATGCTCACGAGTCCTTTGTGATTCACCAGGTTTTACAACGGGTGAGCTTTGCTTCACTTTGAGATTGCCTATGAGTACTGACTTATATCGATTATGTTTGGAACAGCCACAGGCATCTTTTGGTTCGTTCCTACTCTTTCATTTGATGATTCCTGTGTCAATTGGATTTCTCATTCCTTTTCCAGCCTTCTGATGGGAACTTGGATCAAGTTTGAAGCCACCTGGGTGTCCTCGGTACGTCCATGACACTAGGTATCTGTGGAATCATGACATATATCATCAAACGACACCTATCATCCACCAGTTCTCGGTATTAATGACGAACAGCCTCTCTGCTGTCGTTGACGGACTGATGGCAATATCAATGATTGTTTTACTGCGACGTGCAAAAGTGGGATTCAACGAGTGGGTATACGTTATTCCTTTTTTCCTTACCCTTCGAGACTAAATATTGAACATCATGTGTAGCAAGCTGGACGGCGTCCTTAGATGGATCATGATGTATGCCGTCAACACAGGCGCTATCAGCATGTAAGTGTTTCCTCGCACATGCCTTACTTGATACGATGCTAAGGCTACGTTGAAAGGTGTGTGTCAATCGCCGTTGTAATCACGGTAGATACACATTCCTTACTTAACGCGATGACGCTACTTATTCATGGTCGTGGACAGTACAAGACATTGAAGAACAATCTCGTGTTTGGTGGACTAGCCATACTGACAGGAGAACGTAAGTCGCTTCTCTCATCGCAACAAAGATGGGTGCACTAAGAGCTCTTTCCCACTAGTTTATGGCAATGCGTTACTCGGCATGTAAGTCAACATGTATATCCTCTCAGAGGCAGCTTTATAAGACAACGTTCCAGGCTTAATGCAAGACACCTCATGCGCAACAGAATGACAATGAGTGTAAACCCCGAAGAGCTCAAATTCAATCCCACTTCTGCAGGTTCAAGGGCTCCGTCGGTAGTGACTTTCAAGACTATGGACCAGAGGATGCCCAAAAGTCTTCAATCGGATGTATGTTGTACTGTCGTAGTCAAAATTGAATGTGTTTACTGACCGCCGTAGGCAAGATCCATCACTCCTGAACATGATCCTATCGAAATGCCTTCATTACCCAAGTTAACTGCAGTTCGGCATTCCAGATGTCAGAGTCATGGGGATGTCAATGCGGTGTAGGATTGCTGCACATTTTGTATGCCTGTAGTTGCCAGTTTCATCTCACAAACACCGTTACTCCGAGATGGAGGAAGAAATCGATGCATTCGCTGAGAAAATAACGGGTCATGTTTATGATGTTACATGAGTTCTGAATAGCAAGCAGGTGATTGGACAGGAATGAACACGACGAAGGGAGATTCAAGCTAGCTTCCTTTAGAAGTTCACGCACTCTCCAGGAACTTGATAATCTCGTCCTTGATAAATTTGTCATCAATGTCGTTGGAACCTCCGCCGGCTACAAGTAAATCAGTGAAATGGGGGTGATGACTGCTGCGAAGAAAAACATACCCATGTGTCCCCAGTCCGACGGAATGACAACGAGTTTAGCATCAGTGTTCTTCATAGCCGCAACTTCATTCTCGCTATCTTCAGGCTACAAACAAATCACTAACATGTCCAAGAATTCTCTCTTGGACGAGACTTACTGGGAAATACAAGTCGGTCTTGCAAGGCATGATCAAAGCCTTCGCCTTGATCCTCCCCAAGACACCGACCAAATCCCCATCACCACCCGTCAGAGAACCTCCCTCCCTAGTCAAACTACTATCCAAAGTCGAAAGACAGTCGAGTTTGGAGACATCACCAAATTGCCACGTCTCAAGAAGCGTGAGAAGGTCGTTCGCATCCCAGATAGCCAGGAATCCATCCTCCCACTCGGCGTGAAGCCAGTTGTTGAGGTCGGAGTATTTGCCGTCATAGAGGTAGCCCTTGCGACGGAACCACGTTTGACCATATGCCCATGCACTATAGACGCGACCGAATGCCCGAATGCCGAATTGAGGGGTGGAGGTGTAGTGACCGCCGTTGAAATCTTTGGACGCTAGGAGAGCGGACTTCGGTCCTTCCAAGAAGCTGGGGATTGGAAAAGACCGTAAAAGTTGATGATTTTCTCCGACCAAAGGAATGCATACCATTGATTGTGCGGGCTAGTTCGAGCCGAGCCGCAAATAGGTATGAACCTGATTGATGATTAGATGGATCTACGCCGGGGAAAGTGTGAGCATACTTCTCGATGTAGTCAGGGTACATGACAGGCCAATAGTATGCCTGAATTGTGTTCGATTAAGCACTAGAAAGTCAATCGTTCATTATACAGAGTATTACCTGCTGTGCGCCCATGGAGAATCCGACGACGCAAAATACTTTCTTGACGTTAAGTGCCTTCGTCAAAACTGCATATTGTGCACGGCTACGTGATACTCGAGTCAACCGAACCCGTTTAGGGGTAAAGCAACTTACATATTATCCTCATATGTGACACGCGGGAAGTAAGGCCCGTTATATGGAACAGGCTGATAATGTTCAGTCGCCCTGACATCCAGTTCAAGGAAGCAAGCTCACCGTGTTCGATGGAGAGGATGACTGATGTACCTTATCAATATCTTGAGCGATATGTACGAAGATCGACTTACTTCTCCGTTAGAGAACAATGCGAAAGTGACAATGTAGTATTTGGTGGGATCCAGGGCTTTGTCTGGCCCTATCATATAGTCCTGACCTAGCAAACCAACATCTTGTAACGACTCTATCTAGATCGCATTTCAGATGTTGACCGATACGTACTATCAAGACGACCACCATAACATGTAGGAAATACGATGCACGGGTTGCTAGGATCGCCATAGGTTTGATATGCAGTGATAGCGTCTGGAAGTATTCCACCAGAGAGAGCAAAACGGCCATGATGATAGTACTTAATCCCTGACTTGGTCGGCATGGTGAGAAAGATAGTCTGGCCACCACCTCGTTAGGAGCTCGAAGTTTATGAAGGATCTCATGACAAGTATATATAGCTAGTGCAATCAGCGTTCCATTCTCAGACGTGGGTCAGCAGAACAAGCTGTGAGAGAAACCAAGGAGCCACCATGCTTTCTAAAGGCATCCTGAGAGATTTACAAGATAGCGTCTTAGTCACAGGAGGGCCAACAAAGGACATACGGCTGCACGAATGGTCAATGGCGGAGAGCAAGCCTAAACGAGACACGTCAGCGCGAGGGAACGCGTAGTGAACGCCAGTCACGTGCTGGGAAAGCGGAGTTGGAACTGTACAATTTTGCGATTAGAGTTTCGGGGCGAGCAAGCGTCTGTCTCCTGCTATCGTCGCTGTCCACTAACCTCCTCAAGAATGGGCTGTATGTCGTCCTGCTGCTCGTATTCTGCATGAATATACCATGTCTGACGATCTCTTGAATAGCCAACAAACCCCGTGGACTTCAGGCTGCGCGCAAATTGCGCAACGACCGACGTGAAAACCGTTGGGTCAGTGAAAAGTCTGGGCTCTGAGATCCTGAACTGCCCTATTAACTGTCTTGCTTTTACATTCCGATTACATTCGATTAGGCCGACAAATCCTACAAGAAGCGCGCCCTCGGTAACTTCTACAAGACTTCCCCCACTGGAGGTTCATCACACGCCAAGGGCATCGTCCTTGAGAAAGTCGGTGTTGAGGCCAAGCAGCCCAACTCTGCTATCCGCAAGTGTGTTCGTGTCCAACTGATCAAGAACGGAAAGAAGGTCACCGCTTTCGTCCCCGTAAGTTCTTGCATTTATCCGAGGATAAATGACGTTATCTCATGCAACTGATCTGGCAGAACGATGGTTGCTTAAACTTCGTCGATGAGAACGATGAAGTCCTCATCTCTGGTTTCGGTCGTAGCGGAAAGGCCAAGGGTGATATTCCCGGTGTCCGTTTCAAGGTCGTCAAGGTGTCCGGCGTCGGTCTCCTTGCCTTGTGGAAGGAGAAGAAGGTCTGTCGCCCTCTTATCTTCCCCTCATTTCAACACGATAACTTACCATTCGTTTACCCTATCTATAGGAGAAGCCTCGATCATAATTTATTCGGCCCATTCTCCTTGATGTTATTCGTCGAGTCCATTCTGCTATCTTTCATGTGATCATGCTGTACCCAATATGCCGCACCGCTACCCAATGACATGTAGGCTTCATCCCCAAGAAAGTATTGTATGCATTCATTCCCGACTATTCAATTCATCCTCATTTTCGTGACAAGATACATTGAGTATGACGTAGGCGTACCACGTTCGACAGCTTCGGTCTCGCACTTCGACGTTGGGACGATAGAGAGACACTAGTGTTTTCTGGATGTTTGAACTTCAGATCAACCAATAGTATAGAGTGTATTAAAATGAGCTTGCAACCATGGGTATCAAAGCAAACAGACAACGACGACAGAATAAAAGACTCGATATACAGTATGTATAACCATACTCATAACTACCCAAGTGAATACTATTCGTCCCAGTCATATGAATCACATTAGCATCATTAGAGTAAACGAAAGTACTTTCGACAAGAGTGCCGTCGTCCTGAGTTGAGTCAGGCACGGTCACCGAGGGGCATGAGGGACCAGGTTCGAGAACTTCTGGCAGGCTCAAAAGACTCACACCAAGGGCCTAGACGTTCACACGGATGCCCTGACCCTCGAGATATCTCTTCAAATCGGCAATGAGCTCCATCTGCTCGTGGAACGTCAAGCCGTTGACGATGGTTTGCAACACTGAACCGACAGTGACGTGAGTCTCCCTGATGAGGTTGCTGTAGTAGACATAGGTGAAGACACCCATGAGGAACCTACACACATCGGTTCTCATTAGCACCACCCTAACACATGCAAATGGAAGATATGGAAGTACGCACTGGCAGTCCATGCGATCAGTCATACCGCCATGGCCTGGGATACTGTGACCAAAGTCCTTGATGTTAAATGCACGCTTGAACCCAGAAGCAAAGAACCCTCCGAAGGGTGCTACGAGCGATGCAAAGCAGGCCATGAAGAAGAGGTGAATTTGGTAAGGAGCGTAAGGGATGGACGTAATTGCACGTCCGAGCTATGAAAAAAACATAAGCATACATCAGTGCCCTTTCCTTAACTCCAAAGAGACAGGCATAAGACGCACCAAAGTAGACAAGAGCGCGCTCAAAGGCGCTGGAATGTTCCAATCCCTCCATACGAACACCGGATTCGGCTTGCAATGCACAGTGGTATCAAACGCACTAACACCCAGTTCCCGTACCGGGCAAATCATATAGTCGAAGCGCATGAAGAATGTACCCCAGATGATACCGAAGACAACGGTGCTAAAGAAGGCGCCAACGAAACCTTCGACTGTTTTCTTTGGTGAGAGCTTGATAAGGGGCGTGCGCCCGAGAGTGATCCCCCAGATGTAGGCGAAGACGTCGTTGCAGATGACTAGTGAGGCTGGGACCCAGAACCAGATCATGCCTTCGAGGATATTGTTCACGATGAAATGGCTATAAGTAATATAGTCAGCATTGAACACAACTCAAAGGGAGAGGAAAACTGACCTTGACACGACGATGAGAAGCAGGGTCATGTGTACCCAGCAGAACAAACCGAATTGTTGCTTGAGGTACCCCCGCTGAAGAGACATGACAAAGCCAACGAAACCAATCGTGTAAAGCGCGAAGCTAATCATGCGGTGGTTCGTCGCAAATGGCGCCAGTTGTGCATCGGAGAACACAACATGCTATATGATTATATGGTCAATACCGAGTGAGCGTCTTTGTGCGGGGTAGCTTACCTTGAAGTAATGAATGATGCTTTCCCCGTAAAGGAAGTAGTTGGTAACAGCAAAGAAATACCAGTTCAATGTCTTGCTCCATGGATCACGTCCTGGTGTTTCCCCAGTGTCGCCCTTCCGTTTCAGCGAGAATAATGAGGTGACCTCTCGGTACACCAGGGTCTGGCAAAGCATTACTAGGATAATCATATAGACGTGGCCCATGGCAAGAAGCCCTAGAATTACGAAGCATGTTTAACGACAAATAAGGGTACCTGTAGACAAAACAGACTTACCAAGGAAACCACCAATCATGATGACCGTCCAGACTGTTCTTGTCAACGCATTTTGCAACTTCTTGGACTTCTCCGCTTGTGCAAGATCCATCTGCTTATTTTCTACAACAGGAGCATAGGCATGCCCATTTTGCACGTTTTGAACACTTAATTGCGAAGGTGTTTTCTTCTCCTCGACCGGTGCTGAAGGCGGGGGAATAGGCTGCTCTTCTGGAACAGGTGTGAGTTCATGTTCCAGTGGTTTTGATTCCTCTTGAACGTGTCCATTTGCCTTAGACTGGACAATTTCGGAGGAAGGCGGTTTAGAGCTGCTCGCCCGCTCCAACTCCTCTTCTGCAGGCGCTGGTGGTGGTGCTTGACCATTCACAGTACGTGTCTCAGTAGACACATGCTTTACGGTACCATTCGGTCGATGAGCTTGACGAGGAAGCTCATCGACTGACGAAGCCAGGTCATCGGTAAGCGTTGGTGTGACTTGAGCAGACCGAGCTTTTGCTCGTTCCTGTTTACGTCGTTCTATACGAGCTAGAGTTTTGGCCTTCTTCAAGGCACTCTTCGTTGGTTTCGGAGGTTCTAAGCTATATACATGTCAAACATTGCGTAGGAACTGAGACAATATGAAGCTAACCTCTGTTGATCTAACACGGACTCCTGAACGGACTCCTCATCTGTCTCCTCACCAGATTCGACGCCCAGCGCGTCGAATGTGGTCTTTGATGTCCATGAAGGTTGTGAAGTCTGAGAGACTGGCCTGCTCATTGTTCACGACGGTGTTGAAGGAGGGAAAGGTAAAGTGGTAAACGCAGCCACAGTGGTCGTATGAGGACCTACGTAGCGTTACCCACGTGAAATCCGATTATTCGTGTCCCCTCGGCTGGAGGCGCCCTCCCCAACGCAAACATATATGTCGACAACAGAAAATGAGGTATAAATTGAGTATAATATTATGTGGGGTCCATTCATACATATCTATAGACAGGCAGGCGGGAGCTACAGGCGAATGGTAATATGAGAGTCACAATGCAGGTATGGTGACAATGCGAAGCAGCGTGCATGTGTGCGTCCGATGAAAATGCGAGGTTTGCAAACAACCAAAAATCTAAGGTCTAGAACTTCCAACCGTCATCTACTTCCATAGCCCAGGGGACTGTAACAGAGTTAGGGATACAACACAAGAGGGAGAAGCTGCAAAATACATACACTTCGCCAGCAGCGTCTTCGAGAAAATCTTCTCGATGGGGACTTCGTGCTTCTTGCACCAGGCCGCGGTAATTCTTTGTGGGAGTCCGTCAGCATGAAGAAGGCGCGAAAATAATCTCACAACATACCTTGGATCCAAATAGTTGATTTTACTGCACGCACAACACGGTAAGCAATGACAAAGACAGAATGAAGCATGCGCTTACCTCGTGCCCAAGGCAACCTCTTTACCAGCCTCTCGGTCCTCCATTTGAAGCTTGAACGTCTTGATCTTCTCTTCGAGCTTATCAATAGCATCCTCGATCTTTTCAGTGGCTCGTTCCCTCTTCAGCTCATGCTTGCCGGTGCCACGTTCTTTCTTGAGCTTCTTGAATTCGGCTTCGATGTCCTTGAGCTTATCCTTGAGAACAGATTCAGGTTGAGGGGATTTGCCTTCGGCCGCAAGCTTTTCATTGTCTTTCTGGAACTTCTTCTCGGCCTTCTCGATCTCTTTGGCTCTGTGATTCTCTTCGTGTTCGGCAATGGCGTCGTCGTCAAGATCAGACTCGTCCTGCGAGTACTTCTTATTCTTCTTGAACTTGGCATCGTTGGCGAACAACGCATGTCGGAGCTTCATACGTTCATACTTGAATGCTCGAAGCTAGATGAATATCATTCAAATTTGAGTACAACACTCGCAAGGGTCTCGTTTCCCCACGAGAACCTACCTTCTCTCGCATCTTGCCCATAGACTGCTCGTGCGTCTTGGGCACAGCACGTTGATGGTTACACAAGATGGCCACCATGCGGTTGGCGTGATTGTAGGCGTTCAGCTTCTCCTGCACCGTCCCCTTTTCAGGCGTACCTTGATCTAATTGTTCTTGAAAAGTGATCGATGCATTATAGGTACGGAACACCTTCGCCGTCAGACCCTTCATGTACGATGCCAGATGCTTGTTGAGCGGAGCAGTCTAACCGAAGATGGGTCAGTCAATGGACCAACGATACATCCGATGCAAGACTCACATCGACACGGTCGAATAGGTCATCATCATCATTCTTGTTCTCCTTGAACAACTTGATGTTCTTGAAGACCTGCTCATCGACTGGTACCCGGTTGTAGTATCGAATGGAATCTTTACCCAAGAAATCGAAGATGAGGTAGTTGGGTGGCTCCAATGTGACGTGCTCGCATCGCAACGAGCAACAACCTACGGTATCCGCCTCATCATCGCCTTTCTCATTACCGGCTCGGAGTGCGAGACGATCGATGAAGTACATCGCGGTAGCACGTTGACGATCCTTCATGACTTTCGTCTTGAGATCTGCAGTGTAGTCTTTACGAATGACGTCGACGTAGCTCTGTGGTCCACGCGTAAGTGAAAACATAATTATTGAGGAGAATTGAATTCACCTTAAGCTCACGGGCTTTCTCGAACTTCGACATGTCGCTCTGCCCCTTGATCGAACTACCCGCGGCTAGGAAAACATACTTGTAGTTACCGTTAACGTTCTCCGTCCAGTTGGCGAGCCATGTGACAGTTTGGTCATGGATGACCTTCTTCCACTGGCCCGGAACATTGGGTTGAGGTGTAGGAAGGCCTTCGCCGATATTGATGGTAATATCTTCAGGGCGAACACGAAGCTAGTGTAATATCAGTCCCTGTCTCCGACGACAGATAGGATCAAAGTTTCTCACTTTCAATGCACCCTTCTTAGGATGATCACCACGACCTCTGAAAAGACCAGGAGGTTCGACCCTGAAGTTACCCACTTTCTCCTTCCGGCCATCAAGCACACAATGCGTGTATGGAGCTTCCAGCTTGTCCTTCGCCGCCTTCAGCTCCTTTTTCTCAGCGGCTGATAAGGCTTTCTTCTTCGCCTTCTCGTCCTCGAAATACTCAAATATAGGTCTAAAATCGCACTTGGCGAACTCCTCGATCTTCATCCCATCCACCTACGGAGGATTCAGCACGAATGTCGAAAGGTAGGAAGGATAGGGACATACTGGAGGGTGCTCCTTAAGAATCTCGAGGAAGTCTTTAAAGAAGTTGCTGTTGAATGTCTTGTCCTGAGCATGTTCGGTCTCAAGTAGGGCTGCATAGAAACCAGCAACCTCTTCTGATTCCGGAGGAAGATCAATAGGTTTGCCTGTTCAAATGCGGACAGATGAGAAAACGATAGATTGAAACTGGTCAGGTCGACGCACCATTATACTTCATTCTGACATTCTTTGGGAGAGCCTCATACGGTGGAGGGAAATAGACACCGTTATGCTCCAAAGTGTTCCACTTGATAGACCCATCGCCATTGGGATCTTGATTCTCCCACCAACGGAAGATCTCCTTCTCCTCCTCCTCTTCCTTCTTTTTCTTGCTCTTCTTCGCAGGCTCTTCGCTGTCCTCCTTCTTCGCCTTGCCCTTCTTGGATTTGGGGGCTACGCCATTCGTTTCCTCCTTCTTCGCCCTCTTCGCAGGAGCTTTCTTTGCCTTTAAAGGCTGCTCGTCACCAGAACTCTCTGCTTTGGCCTCCTGCTCCTGCTGCTTGGCTTTGCGTTTCTTCGGCGCAGTCTTCTTCACGATGGGCGTTTCATCTTCGCTCCCCACATCTGATTCCTCCTTCTTTACTCGCTTCTTCGGAGGTGGACGCTGCGCTTTGACCGGACGTTTCTTTGGCTGGGGCGTATCCTCCTCGTAGTCGCTTTCTTCGACCTTAACAGCCTTCTTCGCTCGACCGTTGCCATTGACAGCGGAGGCGGGAAGAGTGGTGGCCTTCATAGCGCCCGGCATACGGACAGCGGTTGACTTGGCCTTAGTAGCCCGGAGAGGTGTTGACGCGAGGGGGGTATCATCATCACTACTGGAGGAGTAGACCGGCGCCTGCTTTCGCTTTCTCGAGCGTACTTCGGGGGTCATAGGTTCCGACTTCGTGCGCGTCGTCTGGGACTGTAAATTAGTTATTAAATCCAATTGAAGACATATTAGTGACGCCCGTGGCGAGACGTATATGAGGGAACATACGAGCGGTAGATCATCGTCGTCAGACATGAGGGAGTCGCTGTCGACCCTGCCATTGCCGTTGCCGTTGGCTGCGGCGTGGCCATTGGGCTTACTGGGGCCCGGACGTGGCGCGAGTGGTGTGTCCTCGTCAGACGACATTGAGATATCGGCGGACATAATGGACAGGGACGACAGACAGAGAGTTGGCGTTCGAAAGCAGGATGGTGGTGGTTAGAGATGAAGGGGGGAACAATGATATACCCAAGATATACCTGACAGAGGTGCTCAGGCTGATGTGACAGTCAAGGGAAAAGTTCAAGTTTAATCGGGCCTGCCCTAAACACCCCCCACAGACGCTGAGCTGGAGCTTCCGCCCTGAACCACCACCAACTCGGCGGTGTTCGACAAATGTGTGTATCTCCTACCTCACTCTTCACGGAAGGTTTCTGATAGTTGAGAACATGGTGGACAGATGGCAAACCCCCCACCAACACCCCCCATGTACCGCGATCCTTGGGCGAAGAAGGAGGCGTGGAGAAAACACCCGGTCTTCGCGAGGCGCGCATTGCTGGGAAGCATGTTTCCAGGTTTCGGCGTAGCTGTTGTCGCATTTACAACTTACGTTGTCATCGATAATTTCTTTTTGCAACAACAGGAGTCAGAACACAAACACTAGAATGTAAGTGAACTCGGGTTGCTCGTGGACGGCACTAACACACCTCAACCAGAACTCGTCCAGCTATTCTCGTGTATATATTGACTTAATACGAGTTCCTCACAATCATCTCCTATCTCACTGTCTCAGGAATTTGGCTATGCACGCAGCTATTCGTGGCAACGTATCACATCTGTCAACGTGCCCTCTTCTGCTCCGCACTCAGCTAATTGATTATTTACCTTTGCTGATATACAAAGCCACAAGTCCTTCATAGATCCGAAACACTGTCTGCGCCTCAGCTACGCTACATCTCTGGATTCCCTTACTTCCGGTTGTGACTTGCCGATTTTACAAACTACGTTCAATCACAAGCAATCGTTCTTATCTTTGCCGATGCCTTGCCAGCGTGTCATCGTGGAACCTGTCAAGGCTTTGTTATAATTGAAATGCTTCAGTCGATGTTGAAATGCTGTAGGCACTTCAGTTATGACGGACAGACTTCACATCTACAAATGGCCCAGGCGTCTTGTCGGTACTGCTCAATTTTTTTTTCCAGATATGAAGGCAGTGGCCTTGGATATGGCGTAAGCCCGGAGTTCAAACTTCAATGCCGACAGGATCAGGCGCACACAGGAGCAGGTAATGTCCTTCATCTCTTACAAATACTCACCCTATGTTTATGAGAAATCGTAGAAGGCAAGCGCGTTTCGATCCAAGATGTCTTATCAACGATAGTCGGGCTCATGAGTGTACAATCTCTTTTTCTTTGCGCTCACGGCTTACCCTGCATCTCTTCTCTGCGAGACCTCATGGCACCGGCGACTCCCAGTGTTGCCGTTCAAAACACAGTCTCTTCTACATACGCGAACCTGCGTATTTTTTTCCAGGCACTGGACAGCGCACTAAGCCACTGTCAGCTTCAGCAACGATTTGGACTCTCCGAATTTATTCATGCTTACATATACATCATGATTGATGTGGTTGGAAGAGGAGCCCGGTATAAAACATCGTCGTCTATCTGTCAGCCGTAGACATCCGCGGATGTTTAACTAGGCGACGGGTTACTGAATGATCTTTACACAGGATCCAGTGCAGTCATGGGACCGGTTGTCTTACGAGGCTGCTTTTCATTCGGCAGAGTCGTCACAGTAGAGCCACTCCCCGCGTGCACCTTCGTTGTCTTGTCCTTCGTGATAAGAGGCCCGGGTTCAAGCAAACAAGAACTCCATACCGTGAATAGATTACGCTGAGAGTTCAAAATAATTGGAGGGTCTCTGAAGATATAGTTATCACCGGTAGAAACAACTGGGCTCTCCTAAACGCATAATATGTTTGCCATACAAAATGAGGAGCAGGTTCGAAGTTAGGACTACATAAGCGCTAGCCTACGTCAAGTGCGCCTTAGGCTGCAAGTTCCCACCGCATCTCTCGAACTAAACTCATGCAGTCGTGGATACTGGGAGGTTTGAGAGCAAGTATTGCCACGTATTTCTTGGTAAGTTCATACCCCTTCCAATATACGAATTCTAAACAACCTCCGATCATCTTATTACGAACAGAACGTTTTGAACGAACCAGCGGTTCATAACGACGTCGGCAGAGGACAGGATGCCAACATATTTTGAGTTCCCGGCCGCTCAAAGGATAGCATGCGGCACCAGGAACAGCATTGCCTGCCTTCCTGCAGATGTCGTGCTTGAAATCTTGGCGCTACTCACGGGGCCAGAACTGGTGAATCTTGCTTGCACGAGCAAGACCTTCTATTATTATCTGAACGAGAACTCCTTGTGGAGGGGACATTGTGCTAGATATGGGCTGCACGATCTCACCTATTTCCCTGAAATGTCATTCCGGACCGCGTATACCAATTTGCTCTATCCATATGGATCTCTTATTGGCCTTTGGGCCAACGATCACCCTTACCGCGGAAACATCTTGCAATTTCGTTTACTTACAGGAAATGCAAAAGAGCCGGGAGGTATTGTGGGCAGCATCTGGCGGCTTCCTGGAAGCCTTCCAATCTCGCCTCAATGCATTCGTGTACTGAAGATTCAGTTCGCCATCCACGCACATTCGAGCTGGAACGGCGCGGTGGAGGATGTCATAATAACCTGTGAACATCATACTTCAGACATTCCCCCTCAAACGATTCATCCTGTGTCTCTACAAGTTGTTCGTGGCTCGAACAGAGCCATATTTCATCAGGCCTATCGTCGTACTATTCCTCATCCAGACTTTCCGGGCACAAGCGCTGTCTGGTATGATCATTGTCGCAGGTTGCCTAGACTTCGACCTACGTCCCCCGATGAAGAAGTTACGAATCAACACCCACTAGCATCGCTTTATCCTGCAGTGCGACTCCCGATCCTCTTCACGGCACCATCGCACGAACAATATGTTCCGCTTTCCGGGCTCTCTGTCTACTGTCGACACAACGCTTGTTCGATGTTACACCGGCCTCCAATCCAATATGAATCCATACTTCCATTTTCGCCCCTATATTATCCCGTTAGACCGCCTCCAGCACATGGATGCGATGGTTCTGCTTCGATATCGAGTGGGATTTGGTTCACTCAAACCTTAGACCCTCTTTGTCTGTACATCGGGTGGCAACAATCTGGTGGGACACTTGGGTCGGGGTGTGATGCTGATATTCGCCTGAGAAGTTGGGTCCTGCTGGGAAATTCGTCCACAGCTCGCGGAGAGATACTTTGGGACGTCAAACGTGTATCAGTTGGAGAATCGTTCGAATTTGAAGGTCATTATCTTCGGATAACGAATGTCATGGGCAAGTTGTGAGTCGTCGATGCGGCACTTCCTTATGTGCATTCAAAATTGACGTCTCATGACATGAACCTTGACTAGGATCAAAACCTCAGTAGCCGTTTCAGTGAGATTGGAATCGTCGGATGTTATTGTGATCGACTTTCCGGATATGCGACCCATGCGCTGTCTCAAGTACGATGGCGCTTTCAGTCGAAGTACCGACGACGGGGTTGGCCATGACACGCTGAGACAACCTGAATAAGGGCCGCTTCTTACATTTGCAGCTGGACACCGTTCTGTCCCTTCGGTTGCTGCTGGGTACAACCTGTCAAACACAGCATTCAGTAGTCAGTACTGTCAGGTCGCACTGCGCCCAGACAGGACCGCGTCCACGGTGATGCAACAAGCAAGTGCAAGGATGGTGCCTGGTCCAACGATTCATGCAGGAATTTAGATTTCATCTGTTCATGGCTACATAGAGCAGAGGCGAACGTGTACGTCTGAAGCGAATCAATCAAACTGGACTACAGATACTCTAGTAGTTCCACCAATGCAATCGAAGCATGGAACTTGGAAATCCTTCATTCTTCCATCCGGTCCACGTCTACGTCTCCATCACCATTGAGTGCAACACATCCTGGCTCACGCCATGGCTCAGCCCACTTGGGGTACACTCGCTTATACAACGACATACAAACCGTATCCATCTGACTGATCGGACCATCGAAGTGTGCTTTGAAGTATCCATGGGTACCCAGCGACTCTTTGATATGGCCAGAGCGGCCATGTTTGGTGTGCAGTTGAATTGGCTTGAAGTAATTGACGTCGTCTATTAAGTGGCATCGTGAGCTTCTTGCCGTAGGGAGTCAACTGAAGTACACGTACCTGAGTTGAAGAACATGTATCGGACAGTAGCGGTCTTGCGATGAACCTTGAATGGATGTCCGCTGAGGACGACCCTCTTCGCAATGATCCTTGTCGTAGCCGCATCCCTGAAAGTACCCATGGCTACAAGATCAGGTGCTTGAGGATTCTCAGTTTCCCTTAGGAGAGTGCAGGGCTGGTTGCCAAAGACAACGGGTCCGTACACTGTGGCGACGTTAGTTGTGCCATGTCGAAGGTATCGTTCGAACTTGTGGGTGTTGTTGGCCCCTTTACCGCCACCACGAGTATGTTGACTGTAAATTGGGTTGACGCGGAAACGCCGCGGGCCAACGCAGAGAATGAGCGGATCCTAAGTTGCATAAATTAAGAGGGGCAGTAGAGCAGTCTCGCAAAAAAAACGAATACCTTCGAGCGGACTGATCCATCGTACTCCGTATTCCGCTGTACAGTGAAGTTAAGGACCGACTTTTTATGTTCGTGTTGAAGCAAGCTGAAGATGGCGAAAGGATAGCCATGCCCTTGAGCTGCATCCTGAGGGACATCCTTGAGGTACACAGTCACACGAGTTCCGGGCTGCCAGCCTTGTCAAATTCAAACGATAGATGTTAATCCGAAAGTACGTACCTCAATACCATAGCCTTCCTCCCCGGCTCGTCGTCGAACATTTCGTTCTGTACGTTTGTAATCCTCAAACTGGAATATTCTCGCGTAGTCTCTAGGCAGGTTCTCATAGGGGTCCCAAGGACTAGTTCGGAAGGATCGCAGCCCGCGATAGCGTTGGAAACGAGTGCGAGCCGTGACATCCATTGGTGTGTCGATCTCATCAGGGAACGCGAGGTCATCGTCTTCCTCCCGTTTGCGACCCCGCCATGTTTTCAACCTGGGAGTGACTGTTAGAATCACCAGGTATAAGAAGCGGTTGTACCACGTACTGTTTATCTTCCTCCTCCATGTCAAGATCTTGGAACGCGACGCTTCGCCTGCCGTCCGTTCCCATTTCAGTATCGTCTTCATCTCGGATAGGCATATCTACCATCTCTTCCTCCTCTTCCATCTCCTCAGGGCCTTCTTTACTCTCCTCACCCTCCTCATCGTCAGTCTCGTCTATGATCCAAGAAGCCTGGTATTCACTCATTCCCTTAGGTATCTTCTTAACGGCTTTTGGGGTGGTACCTTTTGATGCCTCTGGGACAGCATCATCACCTATCTCGGAATCACCGGGTGCACCTCGCATTTCTTCCTCTGTTGGCCATGTTTGTTCATTGGCCATATCATCAGGGTCGTTGCTTGACACAAGGGAGTCCGCCGATTCCTCGTCGGGTTCGGCGAGTAGAGTAGGCTCAACGTCCATGCCACCAACGTGACCGCCTTTGGAGTGCTTTCGTAATGGTGCAGACATAATCTATCGACGACGTAAATTTGGAGTCAAGGCCATCACCTTTACTATCAACATACCTTGGAAATTTGGAAATCACCATAATTAGGAAGATGGACAAGCCGATTTGCAGACAATGGGGCGCCGCGTACAACACCAGTGACGCTGAGTGTCCCGTCGTCCCACTGAACGCTCTCTCCGAGAAGGTGTGTCCGACCTTCTCTCCATCTGACGTCCTCTGGCTTGCCCTCGCAAAGAGCACGGACGGCGTTGAGTTTATCCGAACTTGCGTGCAAGTCGAAAACTCTAGTTTGGCTTGGCACAAAGTATTGAATGAATGAAAGCAGCGACTTCATGATACCCGGTTTTGATTTCGTATCCATAGGAGAAGGAGATGAAACGACTGTGACAACTTCTGGCAATCCTTGGGCTTGCAAGGCACGCAAGAGTGTGTCTCCCCAAGGGCCAACCTCGACTTCTGAGGACAAAGCGAAGACGACATAGTCGGCGACTTTGCAAGCGTCCAAGGCAGAGTAGAATCTATTATATGGAACAGTTACGAACTGCAGTGAGGTCTTGAATCGGTCGGCACTGATTATTGAAGATTAGACAAATCTATAGGGATATGCTCGATGATATGACGTACCTCAGCCTCCATATGCCGCTATCCGGTATGTCATTGGTGGGGACGTCGAGGGATTCTTGCAGTGAGACAGCAGTATTTCGTGGATCAACGTCTTGTGTAAGGGGCACGATAGCGACAACTCTAGGTGCCCCGTCTACACCATTGAATATGCGGGTAGCGGAGACCAAAGCGTGGCGTTTGTGTGTCTGCGCTTGTTTTAACTGGTTGCGCCTGTTCTGACGCAGCTGAGATGCTGTACTTGTAGCAGACAACTGTTTTGGAGTCGTATTTGCCAAGCGGCCTGACCAGAATTTTAAATACTAGAAGCAATGCAGCAAGGACGTGCATGGACACACCTTTTGCCGCCTCTTTTAGTGAGCCTTTTGACGCATGTTTAGATTTAAACGGCTTGTTTTGCTACGAGAATGCATGTTAGTATCCAGAATTACTCATTTCTTTTCATAAGGGATTGCGCACCTGCTTGAGGGTAGGTCGGTGATGATGAACAGCCTGAACCATGTTTATGATCGGCGAAATAGAAGAGTCGATCAAGCTTGTACGACGATTCCCAAGCTCCGACAGAGGTCAAACGCAGTAGATGAATCTTTAAAGCGTCCCAACACGAGATACGAGAAGAAACAAAGTCAGAAAGTTATTTGAGGAAGTTGCAGACACTGAGCCTCGTTTCCACTTCAAAACTTCCTAAAACGCACTCCTTAGCTTAGTCAGCTAAAGTGTTTATCCGGTTTTGGCATTTATACTTGTTTCAAGTTCTTACCCCTTCCACTATCATCACGAGGTCCTACTCCATCGAGGTGTCAGAGAACACGGGCAATTAACACAAAGATAAATCTGAATCTTGGGCCGCCCATTTCAACTGCTTCACTCTAACGCTAGGGCCCACTCTGTCGTCCACAGCTGCTGCGATGACTTCAACGAGTGTAGTGTGCTTAATACCTTTCAGTTGTAAAGTTAAAGCTGATTGAGGGGTCTTCAGTTTCCGGTCCAGGTTCTTCCGTCGATGGAGTCTTTACCTGAGGACTCTCCTCTTCGGAAGGCTTACCCAGTCGATATCTATACCAATGGTATGCCTACACCGTAAACTACGTTCATTTGTCTCACAGTATGCAGGGGGCTACTTCCCTTCTCCCAATGGCAGAGTCCGATACTGGGTTGTCGGGCCACAGAGTGGCGACAAGGTATGGATGGTGACCACTTATTGGACACGTATCCTTAATCGGTCTGTGAAAGGTTGCTTTGATCCATGGTATATCGGTACCCAGCATTGCCTATCAGAAGGTGGCTCAACACCTTGTGGATAAGGGGTTCCAAGTTCTTCTATATGGTGATTACTCACATGGCAGATCCATTCTTGATCACTAATCAATGTCTATTTACAGATCTGCATGGACGGGGATACTCTGAAGCTCCTGGAAGAGTGCTCGAATCCAGCGACTATGCCATCCAGCTTGCTCTTCTTCTACAGTACGTCGGATGGAATGCAGCAAAGATTGTCGGTTTCTCGATGGTACTAGCTAAGGACGTTTTGCGTTGATGTTGCTGGATCAGCTAATGGTGTCTTAGGGAGGAGGAGTTGCGGCTGCTTTTGCTTCTCTATTTCCTCACCTTGTCAATGGAAAAGTCGTATTCATTTCCTCCGCTGGTTTGATTGAAGTGAGTGAATTGTTGTGGTTTTATAACCAGCAGGACTCACTATTGCATTGACGAGGTCAGCTACCAACAGACGAGAACGGCATCGTGAGTGCTGCAAATCTCCGATATAATACGTACTCATTGTGACATCGAACAGAGACAACCCACACAACCACGCAGATCTGACAATCCGGATAGCCTCGCTGTAGAGGTGCAATTCCATTACATTTCAGCTCGACGTTCGTGTTTGCTGACTTTGCTTGGTTGCCTTTGAGTAAAGTTACGCCAACTTCAGGGCGAGTTGTTGCCTGGGTTCAAGAAGATCTTAGGTGACGACATGCAGTATGGGCCAATTGCTGGCCTTGATTGGGCATTCAAAAAACTGTCCGGCCTACAAACTAACGCAGGCACTCTTCAAATCCTCATCATCCACGTAATGCGCCTGCCGTTCATTTAATTATAGACGCATTAACCTATTAGCTATACGATAGGGTACAGACGATGACATCGTCCCATTCACGGAGGCGATTAAGATCCACCGGCATATTCCAGAGGCTAAATTGGCCAAGATAGAGGGTGCCACTCATTACCTTGTGGTTGAGGAGGAACATTGGTTGACAGTCGCTGAGAATATTTCTGGCTTTCTATGACGTCCTTTCGGAGCTATAAATATTATTGATGTACCTACCGTATAGTCACTATGCGATAGCAAGTTACGTCACCCCGTCCGTGTTGAAGCAGTTGTTCAAACGTTCGAGCAGCCGATTGCTTGACTGAGCGTGGGAACTTTCTGTATTTCTTTACCGCTTGGGAAGAGCGGTGGGATGCTCTCACTGTCCTCTTCTCACTTCCCTCTAACTTCCAGTAAGTATTCTTAGAAAATGCACACCTCTATAAACCGCATTGTTTATCTATCTTCGAGTCAGACGAACTGTCCGTGACGACACGAGGCCCCGAATATTATCGTGCTTTAGGCCCCACGAGGTATAGCCTTTCGGCGTCACTCATACACGTTATAAGCAGCGGTGCATCCGTCAATATAAAATGGCTCATCGTGGCCGTAAGCGACCCTCTGCAGGTTCCTGTGAGTACACTCTTTTTTCTGCCCGTGTCTCAGGAAGTAGCAGATGATCATCGTGTCGAAGCACTGGCAGTATCGCGACTCCCCGGATCTTCTTGTGGCCTCACTGTCGCGGACTCTTTTTGGTTTCGTTCATTCTCACCACGCAGTCACTGATTGCGCCACACAGCAATGAACCCGATCCCGGTGAATATTCGTCATATGTTGCACGGTGAAGGGTCCCCCCAGAGTATTTTGCATGCCCTGGACGCAGGTTCACTAGCTGTGCCTGCGCCTATTGGCGAAGTGGTTAACTATGACCCTAAGGCAGAAGACGGCACGAAGGAGGAAGAAATCGCTAAAGGTGATACGGGAAGTGTCCTTGAGGTGAAGCATATCGACGAAGTATATGATATGTTCACTGGACAATGGAGCGTGAAGTCTACGCCACCGTCCGCTGTTCAATCCTCTACAAAAGAGGGCGGGAAGTACGATGCGTACGCATTCACGGTCATCAGAAAATTCCAGCCTACTACTATGAGCCGCGATAACAAGGCTACTTCCTACAATGTCACAAAGCAGCTTGAGATTCACAGTGACCACTTGAAGAGCATTGGCCAAGATGTAATTGGACATGTTCAGGGCATATCGTGGACTGCCAAACCGTTGCGGGTGAGTGGTATCTGTATCGGGTCTGAAAACGGTTCTGTGCTGAGTACATTCGTAGGTCGACCCTCAAGCTGTCCTCGGCTGGCTTCAGGAGTTGCAAGCTTATGCTTCGAAACTCTCCGCAGAAGCGATAGGTGCTCCTGAGGACTCACCCGTCCATTTGAAGATGGAACATCTCAACCACTTCCTGAATTATCTGACAAACTCTTATGAATCTACGCTCACAACCCTAAGCTCGCTCACAATTCATGGTGAGATCACATTCGACTTGCTTTGGGCACTTTTTGTACCCAACAAGACCATCCTTTACTTGCTCTGCCCAACGACCAACGAGCCACGCGCTGTACGTCTTGTTCATGCCGAGAAGTGTCAAAAACCGGACCAACATGGTGGCATGAGCGCTGCTTATGACCCTTCGGGGTTGACAGTGGGCGGGGATGGCGGTAATGAGTTCTCCAAGCTGATGTGGCGCCTCGTTGTCGAGTACGTCGAGGTTGATGTGGGCACACGGAAAGAGCCGGGCGTTGGTACCGTTGGGTTTGGTTACGCCGGTTTAGGCTCCGTGATAGACATTGCAGGGTTTGCCGGTGCAAAGAAGATCTCAAGCTTGGGTGTGTTCCCTTTTGAGTATTATGCCGGTCCTGGCGGACCTGAAGGTCTAAAGAAGCGACTCATTGAACGAGGAAAGAGATGGACGAGCATGGCTGGTGGTGTTCATCATCTTGCCTACCAGGGTATTGCATATCAATGGAAACGGAACGCCATGGGAAGTGGCTCATATATCAAGTGCAATGTGAGTTTACTTTAATTCACCCTCACTGCCTATCAAATAATTGCTTGACCAGGTTAACTCTCGAGTGATGATAGACCGCAGTACGTTGCGTCGCTTTATATTCTCATCGCCAGGATTTTGACCTGTACGTGTTTTAGAAACATTTTCGGAGACAGTTCCGAACTACGAGAAATTTCCGATTGTAACGAAGACGCTGTCAAATGTAGACATAGATCGACACGTCCTTCGACTCAGCACTGGAACATCTCAACAGGAAGAGATTGTAGAAGCAAAAGACCTTACAGATGAACAACTCATGCTCACAACGCCTATTCTATACGGTTTCAGCTTGTCAGATAAAATATGGCGTAAGTCTCTCACTGCCGTTGTTCTTATTCAAGTATCATGTTTTCTTTACTAACGGTTTTTCGTGTCGAAGTCGAATTTACATCGGACTTCGTCCAACCGTTCGAATGGAACAATGAGGCGTACGCCAATCTGGTGATACCTGCCGAGCAGAAGTTGCTCCTCACGACTCTCGTAGAAGTTCACAACTCTAGTCCGGCCGCGAAGTTTGATGATTTCGTGGAAGGCAAGGGATTGGGTTTAGTGATCAACCTATTTGGTAACCCGGGAACAGGTACGTTAAAATTCTTCGTTGATGGAATATACATATCTGATAATTGGGTGATAGGCAAAAGTTTGACTGCTGAAGCCATGAGTGAATGTAAGTCTGAAAAGATTCATTATATGACAGAGTTCCGGCTGAGCTGATCACATACTCAGACCTCAAGAGTGAGTATAGTATCTCATCCGAATTTTCGTTCAACTAGCTTGACGCTTGATGCCAGAACCGCTATATGTAGTTGGAGCTGGCGACCTGGGTACTTCTGCTGATCGAGTTGACTCTGCTTTAAGTGTCATTTTGAAGATATCGGCTACTTGGGGTGCCGTAGTACTGATTGACGAAGCGGACGTCTTTTTGGAAGAGCGATCTCTACAGTTCCTAGAGCGAAACGCTATGGTTGCAGTTTTCCTGCGACATCTTGAGTAGGTCTCACGGTTCCATGCTTCTTTTAACGATAATCATGATTGATGTTCATGACAGATACTTCCGTGGCATCCTTTTTCTGACCACCAATCGTGTTCGTGTCTTCGATGAGGCATTCCAGTCTCGCATTCACGTATCGCTCCGCTACCAAGACCTCAAGCCAGATGCCCGACGCCAGATCTGGGTGGCATTCCTTCAGAAAGCAAACGGAAACATACCTAATGGAGGTTTGAACGCTGAGGAACTGCGGCATCTTGGCGAAAAGAAGATCAACGGGCGGCAGATTAAGAATGTCGTTCGCACCGCTGGGGCCTTGGCTTATGGGAAGAATGAGAGATTGGGCTATAGTCATCTGGTCCAAGTGTTGGACATGATGGACCAATTCGATGCAAGGTGGGTAATTTAATTCTCCTTATTTAATTCGGTGACCCTGATCCCGATTCTGTTAATAGTCAATCCATGTACCAGTAGTTCTTTTGCTCTCCTGTATCTCGGATAAATGTACATAGAGTCTGCTATACCATTGAGAATGAAACATTATTCGCTTTTAACCGCGACTTAAACGTGGGTTAGGCATTGTGGCGTTGCAAGTTAGCGAACATGATCGCGGGGGTTGACGCCAGACCACCAGACCAAAGTGTCCTCTCAATTGTCATGATCCCTGATATCCCTGCTCATTAATGATAAGGATGCACCTTTCTCTCTTACCACGACATTGAAAGCAACTTGAACCTGCCCGCCGCGTACGGATCGTTCGCGGGAACACTTTACTGGGACGCCAGACAGGATCAAGAAGATGCAGTTAGGAGGAACACAAGCGAGATCAATACCTATTGCTTGTAGATTTGGTATGCAAACGCTTCCTAAAAGACTATACGTCGCCCTCAAAGTGCTTCACAGTATCAACTGACCAATGGCTCACGACGCATGTCACCACAACCTGGACGGTCGGAGAGGTCAAGTCATGGCTGCTCACCAAGTTTCTACCCTCATCATTCACCTCTGTCCCATACATTCCAAGGGCTAGGCCGTCACGTAAACGCAGACCAATGTCGCCAATTAGGTTTGCCGCAAGACAGCAAACTCAATTCAAGTCGAAACGTACAGCGGAAGAGTATTACCAGGAGGACGACTACGACCAGGACGAGGATGACCTCGAAGAAGACTTCCTGGAGGCACAGAAATTTGTTGCTCCTCGTCAATCTGCCTCCCTCACTCATTTGATACCCAAGCAGAGTGTTTCATCGGAGCTATCCTCTCAAGGAAGGGAACCGAACTGTGTGGATCCCGCATCCTACAGCCTCGTTTCCTTCTCGACCGGCCAGCTCTTAGAAGATCGCTGTGCCCTTGACTTATACTCCATACAACCTTACGAGCTGCTCGAGCTTCACAATCAGCCTTTCATAGTGAGGTTGCCTAGAGAGGTTCCTGGACAATATATTGAGCCATACTATGAAGCTCGAGTACGGGCTTTGAAATGTGTAGGCAAAGCTACGGAGGAACCTGACCCATCTATTCAACGAATGGATCCTGAGGGCAGGGTTTCGCATCAAGAACCTTCAGGCGAACCCTCAACAGCCCGGCGAGACAGGTCCCATCGAAAGCGTCGTTCTAAGCTTGAATGGCACGAACGTTGGGTTCTAATACATCAGGGTCTATTCCATTTATGCAGAGGACGTAGCGTGAGTGTGCACGAGCCATTCCTTTCTTCTGTTACCTTGGAGTTGAACACAGTGCTCACCCGGCGAAGCTATTCTTACGAGTGGAAGAAATACTTCATGTTGTCTGATTTCGTTTTATTATGACGGGTCCACGACGAACGAATGCACTGTGATGGACACCGTAAAACATGTCTATTATTTGCTGTGATCTGCTCCATTGGGTCTCACGAATTGGACTAACAACACTTCCGTCATACAGGGCTACAAATCTTCTCACACATCGTCTTTATCTTCTCTTCTCGCCGTTATGGGTCGCGAGCAACTTCAAAATATCGAGCGTACATCAAGCAGCAAGCCTGCGTCTTTATCACAATTGCAATTTTCCTCTTCTCCGAGTCTCACTACTCCGGACACAGAACAGACAGAGTCATCTGAAGCCAAGTCTAATTGGGTCGTGTGTCTCAAATTCCACACGAAGGACAAGCACATTCGAAATGCGAAGCCGAAACCGAGCCTACCGGAGGTGGGCTGGTGGCGACGAGGGTCGAGAGATGCTAACTCGGGCTGGAGTGATCCTCCTGCTGAGGGATGGGGGAACTCAAGGCAGGGTGGTCCTGAAGATGAACCTCTAGATGATGCCAAAGAGAAAGACAAGGAAGATAGTGTTATTTGGATCATGTTGGACATGCTCAACGAAGACGGTATGTATCGTTCGCTTCTCCCCATTGCCGTTATTGACGAGTCTTGCTAGCCTTTGAGAATATCCTTCGCCTTTTGCACAGGGAGGCACCACCACTGACATCGTCCACCTTTCTGTCGGACATTAACCTTGACGACGAAGATGACATACCGCCGTCACCCATCTTATTTGCTCCCAGATACTCCAGAAGACGTTCAACGTCTGAATCCCCACCTCCACCGGAGTCTTCGCCACCACGTTCCTTACGCCCTGAACCTGACCCACCCTCGAAGCCGGTACCATATCCTGCATGGCGCATTAACCTACTGAACCGTGCCAGGCGCGCGGGGTTGGGTGATGTGGGGAAAGCGATGGAGTGTATGCTCTTTGACTGGCACAACGATGAAGATGAGTCAACGGTCGAGCCGGGCACCTTTACACGAGGCCGACAACCTGGGAAGACTAAGTATGTCAGCGAACGGGAACACAAAAATGTCAAGTACCAGCAGGGAGTCGTCCTTGACGATGATAGCAGCGGGAGCTCAGAAGAGAGTGCGAGTGAGCAAGAATGGCTGGGATGGCTAACAGAGGCGAACCGGAGGCGCAAAGCGGAAATGGAAAGGGCTCATGAAGGGGATAGTGGGATTCAATGGGAGACGACATGGAACTCGCGTAACAACTTGGCGCCGCAAGGCGACAGTGGGTCTCATACGCAGGAGTCAGGAGCAAGTTCGCCGAGGACCGATTTGCTCAATCTGGACGGCGTGGACTCAATGTTGGCAGCTGATACAAGCCCTCATCTTGCCACCTACTCGTCTGTTGATTCATTAGTGAAGCGTACTGTCAAGCGGTCTGACTCAAAGAACAGGCCCTCATCTCCTCAAGGTATACCGCGCATCAGACCTCGTTCACCTCTATCGGTGGAGTTGGATGACGATGTACATATCGAATACGAAGAAGAGGAAGGTGCTCCTAATAACTACGTGTCTTATAACTCCAACTTCACCTACCCCGAGTCGCACACACTTCGGACACAGCAATCGGAACCGGTTCTCGCGCATTCTAAACCTTTTATACATCCTCCTCCGCAGAGGATGCCCATGCCGATATCGATGGCCATGACCCAAATTACCAGTAGCACCGTCAGTGTAGGACCTGCTGCTAGAGCAGAATCCAGCCGAAAGGGACGACGAAGAAGCACGTTGATGCCTGTGAAAATGCCAGGTACATCTAATACAGAGAAATCATCTAGTCGCAATGCAACGGTAAAGGACGAAAAACTAAAAGCACAGTCTACGTCCTTTGGTAACTTGCTTCGACCCAAGCTAAGGCTCCCGGCACCGTTCGCGTCAGGTGGTACGCCTTACTCGAGAGTCACGCCTGTGTCACCCAAGAGCTCAGAGAGTTATGACAGCTTGAAATTTGCTACACCTCCAGGAAGTGATGATTAGAAGGGATATTATGAGTAGGGATGGAGACCCGACTTAATAGGTGACCGTCGCAGGCGCGGGAGTCCGTGTATATACGTTCAATCGTTCGCAGTGTATTCTTTTGTAGATCTTGGTTTAGTTTATCCGTCCGTTTGTAATTAGTATATGTAGTAATACACGTTTTGGTATATAATCTGTTACTCTGCTGCTCTTCATACAGGGGACGCCCTAACTCATGATGTCCTTTGACACCTGCGTCGAAACAGGCAAAGAGAGGCGTCAGAAACTCCTGCAGCAGACAAGGAGTAGCTGTGTACATCTAGGTAAGAAAAGGAGCAGAAAAGGTTAGGAAATGTCACAATCAGGCTTCGGTAGTATATGGTCCGCGTGTCTGAACGGTAAAGAATGCTTTTCACCAACTTCCTGTAAGCTCTGACTTGAACTCCAGTGAGAGTTCGCGGGCGAGGGTGAATCGATTTATATTTCATTAATTGTGAAGTCTGAGAGTTTGATAAGAACATCACCGACCAACTCGGGAGCCATGATTATTTTCATGCAATTGCCAGTGGGTGAGCAAAGCTGTAGTGGGCCCTTGAACTGGCCCTACCCGTCGCGCCCCATTTCGCGGGGAAGGCGGTTGGACATGGGGCTCAAGGTGATGATGAGCATCGGCGAATTGAGTTATAAGTCGAAGATCGATGGTTATGTCGTCCAGAGCTGTACAGTAGTGGCTAGTGCAATGCAAAGATTGTGGCAACCCCCAAACATTCGTCGAATCGAGCATAGGAAGAAAACCGCTATCCTGTCGGCTGGCCGGAGATTCATGTACATGGAGAGCGTAGCCTTCTTCGATTCAATTGTAATGACGAATACGGAAGAGCGCCGAACAAGAGGAAAATAAATAGTAATCAAGCTCACGCACGAAGACCACCTGGCAACTTAATCTTCAGTATAAAACGGATATCTTTCTAAGACACCACTGACAGGTATGAAGAACAGGCTGCTACACCTGCATGTTATCCAATTGAGATACTCCAGTAAGGGACATACGATGGAGGTTTGACAGTCTACTTGACTGATTGAACACAAGTCAACGTAAAGTGCTTGGATCCTTTCCTTTCATCGCTCTCTCGCCGAGATACCTCCATGTTGAATAGTGCATGAGGAACACTGCTGCGGGGCCTAACAATAGACCACAATGAGCGCGGGGCCTCCTTCCTGAATTGAAGATAGCACAAGCCAGCCGCGGCAGAATAGACCCGTGGGGTTTCGTTTAAAGACTTTATCATGGCAACCTATGGAAACGACGTCGTTCGTGACAGTAAGCAGGCGGCCATTGAAAGCGAGCGACCGTTGCATTCAACCTGCCCGAATTGCCGCCCTTCATGTTGGGTCTCTGACCCTTTGCGTGGTCGGCACTTTCAAGGTACATGCCGGGAAGGTTTACCACACGTACCAGCCGAAGTGTGACGAACCTGATGTATGATACCGCCATGCGGACAAGAAGGTTTAATGTGCCTGGAACAGACCTTCATGTGCAGATCGTAACGCGCAGATTGTTGTGATTCCGAAGGAGGTCGGCATGAGTCTATGAGGTGTCGAGGCGGCTCATACACGGGTCCGAAACGTCCTTGATCCATTTGGTAAGTAATGGAAGACATGCCTCGGCGCGCTGAGTGGAGAATGTCCAAGAGATAACCTAAGGTGGAAGATGTAGGTTTGTCATCGGAGGATGTCGATGAGGCCGCTAGATAGGCCAGCAACGATATGTCAGGAAATGCATTTTAGTAGAACGCGAGCGTGGGAATAAAATACTGCGTTTGAAACAGCTTCCTGAAATGGTTTTCACCGGGTTGAGAAATTATGAACTGTAACGCTGGGATCCGTGAGTGAAAGTTCCAAATCCACGATAGGTACACACCGACTACCGGTATATTGAGGGTACAGCTTGAATTGGCTGTAGACGACTAGAATACGCAGGCTGATTTGTATTGTCGAATCTCGGAATGAACACGCGTGAACAGTGACCAAGGGATACATTTCGCCGCATACAAGCCCGCAGAAGCGATAATACTGAAACAGACAATAGCTGAGAGAATAATACAGCGGTGAATACTATACTGCAACATGGAAATCACGAAAACGCAACAAGAACTTTTAGCTGTGCACAAAGGGCAGCTTCTGCTAGATGGATCTTCTCCATTTCTTCAATGCATCTCCTCGTCCTCGCCCTCTCCCTCACCAGGCTTCAAGCCGGCCTTGGCCAATGCCTCGGCGGAGGTGTAGTCGACGCGGACCCCGCGAGTGCGGCGGGATCGAATGGCAGAAGGGTCAATCTCCTCCAGGCTATCTTCCTAATGTAGCGAATAGGATCGCAAAGTGAAACGGACGCGTTAGAATCGCATACACGGAGGCAGAACGAACATGACCGACTGACCTCCATCTCCTCATCCTCCTCCTCTTCTCCTTCTTCCTCTTCCTCCTCCTCCTCCTCTTCCTCCTCCTCTTCTTCCTCTTCCTCCTCTTCCTCTTCCTCAGCTACCTCTTCTTGTACATCCTTTCCTTTGCCCTTGTTGGAAGGGGATGCGTTGGTAGGTTCATGGGTCACGCCATTTTTGTTGGTCCTAAAAAAATCCATCAGCGACATGTTCCCGAATAAGTGCAGAGGATTGCACTGACGCGCTGCCGGTCGAGGTTGCGTTGGTCGACATGGTGATTAAAGTACAAACAGCGGGGAATACAGGAGAGTGATGACTGAAAGGGCCGTGGGTGAAGGAGAGAGAGATGAACGCGTCGCGACTCGCTTGCTTGGCCATGTTTAGATGCACGGCACTTGCCGAGATCTAATATTCCCACGTTTGTGGGCGGACGTTTATTGTCTCCGAATTGCTTGAAAGTGCTCGGAGGTCATTACGTGAACAATTGCTACAGGTGCTGGTACTCAAATACACGCTGTTCATGAATGCAGCTAGATTTCAACGACCGAGATACTAGGGGAGTGATTCAGGGACGCCGAGAAGCATTCACAGAAGGCTCACACATGGCTTGGTTGCCCAGTCATGCGTCTACGTGGGCGCTGTTTCCGAGGAACCACGATTTCCTTTACGAGATAGCTACATTGGATAGTTACAGAGCCCAGAACTCAGGGGAAGACCGTCAGATCAGTACCACTACGCCAGCTCGAAAGCTGATTTTGAAGAGAAGCTAAGATGATGAGGATCCGCAACCAAACAAAGTGCGGGTGGAACGGACACAATCATAAGCGTCTGTGTGTTGATGCGCCGATACAGCACCTTACATAAGCAGCATCCTCATACACGCCTGAAATCCATCCACCGCGAGGGAGACCTTGTCCTTCCCTTCTTCCACCATGGTGAAGGCGTCCCTTGCCCCCTTTCTTTCCAGGAGCAAGTCTGTCGCGAATGTGGATGACATTGGTGAAGCGAGCAGCTCTCGATCCCAACCAAGACCTTCCAGTTCCTCGTCTGTGTTTCCGTCCTTGCTTAAGCTCGATACAAGTTCCAATTCTAGCAAACAATCCTCTTCTCGTATCTCTAGCGTTCCTCCCAGTGCTCTCGCATCGCAATCAAGTCGACCCGTTCCACTCCTCAGCTTGAAGCTGACTGCACCATCGTTCCTGGACGTGGTCGTTCGCGACCGCGAGAATAAGGAACCTGTATATATCATCGAAACAGTTCGAGACAGTACTTCTATTTATCGCCTCAACTCAGAGACAGATGAGGCTATCAAGGTCTCCACTGTTCAATGGCCTAACACCATTACACGGAGCAAACTCAAATCGGGTCGCACTGTGCAGATGGCAAACGACCGCTGGCGGGAAGCAGAAGAATTTCTCAAATTAGGCCCGCTTGGCAGTATTGGGTATGGTTTGACTTCCCACTATGCGCCAGTCTGCTAGACTTCTTCGCTTTTTAGGACTCGCAAGTTCAACATTCCACATTACCCTCATAGCTTCAAGTGGAAGCTAATTCCGGGCGGTCACTTCTACGTAAGTGTTTGTCTCTTTCGGTTCCCTTGGCGAGCTCATTTTAAGCACATGTTGTCCTAGTGTTCGACAGCGGGCGCGAACGGACCGTTCGCTATTCTAGACTCATCCGTTCTCAGTGCCCCTGCACGGCTTAGCATTTTCCACAATTGCCTGGAAGATGACGAGTCACGCACGCAAGAAAACTACAAGGGTATCCCTGTACTTCTATTGGACTATTTGATCACGACCTCTCTCCTACTTGTGACTGAAGTACAGGAGTGGTTGGACAGACAACAGAGTCCTTCAGGCACGGTGCGAATTCCTGGCAGTTCCATCCCGGCTGTAAAGAAGTGGCTGGCTATCATCCACAATACACCATTGCCACCGAGTCAGGCAACGTCTCCTTCAGATACTGCGTCCAGTGCAAATATTTGGGGCTCTTCGGACAGGAGGACATCTACTTCATCTTCGCCACCCACCTCAGTTGCCTCACCAACACCCTCCGTGCCCGGGACTTCTTTAGACTCTATTCTCCATCGGCCGAGCAGTGAAGAAATTCCACCTGTCCCTCCACTGCCTCAGTCATCATCACTCGCCGATCCGTCTCAGGTCATAACACCCTTCCCGCATTCTTTTGCATCCTCATCCACACCTCATTTGCCCTCTCTGCCTGCACCTTCTATCTCGTCGTCGATGCGTGCACCACGTAGGCTGCCGAAGCCACCCATACTCTCTCTTAGCCAACCAGGTGAGCGAGTACCGTGGCAAACACCTGAGCCACTCGGGTCCAATGACCCTTTGATTTCACCTCTTCCCGACACTCAGCGCTCGCCTAGCCCGTCGGGCCAATCTAGTAGCTCGGGGAGTGCGGTGTCCATGCACTCACGTAATCGCAGTTCTCGAGGTTCAATGGGTCGACTCGTGGCGCCTCCATCAGCACCACCGCCAGCCACGAATTTGCCACTCCCGCCGAAACTTGCGCAAGAGCTCGCTACCTCTCCCCCTGGTCGGCAGCGCACTTCTCAAACTTTTACTGCTTCACCGCTTGGTCAGTCATCGTCCGGGCTACAGGCGATGAACCCTGATCCTCTTGATCCGGAGGAAGAAGCGCAAGTACGGAACGTCACAAGGCAGATGTTGGCTCTGCATACTTCGAGCCCGAGGCAACCTGCCGGCACACTGGTTGGCAGTCCGCCAGGCGCGTCGACGATGTTGACGATGGAGGGTTCTGCTGGATTCAGCGGCGTCCATTTGGATGCCGGAGGTGTGAGGATGCGAGACGCCGCTGCGAGACACTCGTATGCGGAGACCGTGTATGAGATGCCTCCGCCTGCTTATGATGCGATCGACTTTTCGCTACCACGAATGCGCCTACAGTCTAATAATGGACGGTGACATTGAACGTCAATTGGCTTTTTCACTGTTCGTCGATTTCGTGGACTGGAATCACATGCATAGCCGCAATCGATGCCCTCGCGCCTCTCCTACATTCACTTCCAAGTCTCACTCTAATGGCGAATCTCAACTTCGCCGCTTTTAACTTGCATTCGTAAGTGGTCGGCTTGCCCTGCCTATCGAATTTTCAATGGACAATACTCAACCAAAAGGCGCACATGAAGCTTTGGATCTTCAATCGCTTTCAATTTTTGCTCACGTATGTTTACACTAACGCTGTTTTCTGTCTTACGATATCCACTGCATTTAATACCCGCCCCCTCCTCCTCCTGGAATCGATTTCTCCTTTCACGTCTTTTCTACATCGAAGCTTGTTTCCATAGTTGCTTTATCGATTTACGCATGTTTTCTCTCAACAGTCATTCTTTCTCATCGTGTTTCCTTTTTCTCCTTCACTTCCATATCACACTGGGTCCTCTCTTGTATTCCTGGCATAGCAAGACCGACTTCCTTACTTTCTTTTCGTCCTTTGAATTTTTGTGTCGTGTCCTGATTAGATCCAACCGAATTAGTGTACCTTTCGTTATTGTATACCACCCTCGTCAATACCACCCTCCAATGTACAGCCGGATTCAAAATTTTGCAATACATCCCCTTCTCTTCCTCTATCCCCTGGAATTCATGTTCAACTGGTCATTGGCCAAGGAGATATATTATTCCTAGCTCCGTAGTTGACCCGCTACCTCCGGACCGAATTGCGGGGTATGATGCATAGTCATACATTATTGACCATATATACAATACATCCCTCGGGGAAATTTTGGGGCCCTTCAAAGTTGTCAATACCACTCTGCGTGACACATACTACTCCCAATGCCAACCACGAACGGACACGCACACCCTAATGAAGGAGAAAGGAAGCCGATATTGATCATTGTGATGGTACGTGCAAAACTCGAAAACGCATACAATCATCTCCCAGCCCTTGGGTTTCTCATCTCGATATGTACTCTGCAGGGAGTAGCGGGCACGGGAAAGACCACACTTGCGAAAGCTCTGAACAAAGTACTCGATCTGCCATACATCGAAGGGGACGACCTCCATCCAAAATCTAACGTCGAGAAGATGTCCAACGGCCAACCTCTAACCGATGAAGATCGTGAACCATGGCTAGCCCTCATCCGTACCACAGCAGAACATAAGATCGCAGAACAACAAGCCGACCCATCGTTTACACAGCGGAAAGGCGTTATGGTGACATCGTCTGCGCTCAAGCGATATTATCGGGACATTCTTCGGGGGAAACGAAAAGTCGGGGCGACTGAGGACGTGCCGGAACCTTTGTTGCCCAGTGAGGCTGAGACGCTTCCGACGTATTTTGTGTATATCAAGGAAGAGGAGAAGGTGTTGAGGGATCGGATAGCGAAGAGGGAAGGTCATTTTATGAAGCCGAGTATGCTGGATAGTCAATTGGCGACATTGGAGAGTCCGGAAGGCGAGGAAGGCGTTGTCGTGGTTCCATTGGATGCTACGACAGAGGAACAAGTCCAGAAGGCATTAGAGGGATTGAGCGCATTGGTGGGACCGTTATAGAAGTGATTCTCGAGGCATTGTATCAATTATTCATATCTTATTCACCAATTGCCCGGGTCTATTTTGTAGTACGATTGGTATCACTAGATAAACAGTGGAATACACATAGATGAGCTTTTAGGTCTCTTGCAGTGGTATCACAGACGATCCCAACTGTGCGATTTCAAGAAATGAATTTGTCGTGAAGCTGTCGGCTAACCATAACCCTAATAACCATCGGCAATGTCCGAAGACGCGTATGCAAGGGGACGCGTCGTTCATTGAGCTTGCCTCATCCCTCCAGTAGACATTCTTACCACCGACTCCTTGCCCTCTACAACACCATGGTGAGCCTTGTTCTGGTACTGATTATGGGGAACATTGCTTAAGCTCTTGATAGGCCAGACGTTATGATAGTACGTCTGTTAATTAAATGAATGTAGATCGGAGAGTTGACGTACTCCGCTTTTGCTAGGTCGCACCACGATCTTCTCGCCAGAAGGTAAACATAAGCCCTTTGCTCTCGTGAACTCGTGTTTATATGCTTGTCCTAAATTACAGGGCGATTGTACCAAAGTGGGCAGAAAACCTTGTTACCGCTGTGATTATACTCATTTAGCATTGCAGTCGAATATGCCATGGAGGCGATCTCACACGCCGGTACTGTTCTTGGCGTTCTAGCAAAAGACGGTATCGTCCTTGCAGCAGAGAAGAAGGTTACCGGAAAGCTTCTCGATCTCTCTAGTGCCAAGCAAGGTGGTTATGGTGGTAGTGGCGAGAAGATCTTCCTTTTGAATTCGTGCGTCATAACCAATACGCTGACCTCGATTTCCTCACTGAACCTCGGATTATCTAATCCGTAGGAATGTTGTTGCGGGCGTGGCTGGAATTACTGCTGATGCGAACTCCCTCGTCAACTATGCACGTCAAGCAGCCCAACGGCACTTATACCTATACAATGAAGATATCCCCGTCGAACTCCTTGCGCAGAGATTATGTGATCTAAAGCAGGGATACACGCAATATGGAGGTCCGTAATCGTCATTGAGCAGCTCCCGTGAATTCATGTATTGATTGGCATGGTCAAAAATAGGTCTCCGTCCTTTCGGTGTATCCTTGCTGTACGCTGGCTACGACCCTCATTATCACTTCCAACTATACCATTCCGATCCTTCCGGTAACTACTCCGGCTGGAAGGCGACTTGCATCGGTGCAAACAATGGGACAGCACAGAGTCTGTTGAAGCAAGAATACAAGGACGATATCACCATGGAAGATGCCATTGGTCTCGTTCTCAGGGTGATGAGCAAGACCATGGATAGCACGACGTTGGGTAGCGAGAAGCGTGAGTATCTCTTCGTGTTATGATGCGATAACGGATCTTACAATCTTTCTTTCGTTTCTTTACAGTTGAGTTTGCCACACTGACCCTCGATCCTGCGACAAAGACGCCTAAAGCAAAGGTCTACAGACCGGCGGAGGTTGATGCGCTGCTAGAGAAGCAAGGATTGGGGAAGAAGGATGAGGATACTGAGATGAGGGCTACATGATACTACAACGTCCTTTGCATGTCATTTTTTGTACTACATATGCTTGTCGAGCATGTCCCTCAGAAAGGCCCATCAATGGAAGTGAAATGGGCGTCTGACACCGTCCAGACCTCGAGCGCAGCCATGTCCTGGCGTGTCCGGAACGTCAACCGTAGTAACCTACACTCATCATTCGTAGGGACGACTGACCAGTTCTTACAACGTACGAGTGAAAAGCTATTATATATATGCGTTCATTTCAAAATTGACACCACTTACGCATTCAGTTGTGCAACATGGATCACGGTGACCACGGCGGACACGGTGGACACGAAATGCCCAGTATGCCAACGCGAAGGTGTTCGATGAACATGTTATGGTATGTCCTCATCAACACCCTTAGATTCCCTTCCCTCAATCAAAGACATTTCAACGACAGGAACACCCAAATCGAAGACACATGTATCGTCTTCCGCTCCTGGCACATTTCAAGCACAACCGCATTCGTCTTTTCATGCCTCATCGTAGTGGCACTTGGAGTCCTATACGAATGGCTCCGCCGAGCGCAGAGTAACCTTGATGTCAAGATCGCTGCAAGCTTGAGCGCACAAGGGAAGGGCAAAGGTCGAAGTGGGGTGAGTGGACGAAGCAGCCCTGAAGTCGATAGTGAAGAGGCGGGTTTGTTGACTGGTTTGCGGGTGGTTAAGGAACATACTGGGTGAGTGGTTTATGGGTTAAGTTGTCTTGTAGGTCAAAGGAATTGAGTTCGAACTGGTTTGTAGAACGACTGTTCCCCTCACTGCTCGGTTAACGCGAGCTTTCTTATATGGCTTGACAGTCTTCCTGTCATTCTTCCTCATGCTGGTGTTCATGACATATAACGTGAGTGGAACTGTCTTTGGTTGTACTGTGTATTTGTTTCATTAATCACCCCGTGTTGCGTATCTCAGGCATATCTCATTCTGGCCGTTGTCGTCGGGGCCGCTATCGGGCATTTCGTATTCAACCCTCAGATGGACGTGGAAGGTATCCTAGCAGGATCATCCGCTTCCGGAAAGGGTATGGCTTGTCACTGAGAGGGTTTCTGTATTATTTAGATATACTGGTCGGATGGTTTGATACCTTGTATCAATGCTCTCTCGGTTTCTTCAAAGTTGCTTTCAGTATGATTACCATTTAAACAGTCGCGCTATGTCAGAGCACCATGCCCAAAAGATTGCAGAAGATGACAATATTACATACAATACAATCTACACGTAAAGCAGGAATGTAACGCGCGTAGAGCTCCACCTGCTGCACATTGTGAGCGACGTACGACGAAAGGAATGTTGAAGACTAACGGAAAGAGGAGACTGGTTTTGTGACAGGGGGGGAGAACGCGTCCTTCCTTCATCGTCTGATGCCTCGTGCTGCAGGTACGCCACGACCACGCCGCGCTGCATAAGATATCATATCGTCAGTAATCATACAAACCGAAGAAAAAATAGGAGTGACCAACCATTTGCTACAGAAAGAATATTGGTCAGCACTAGATAAGTTCGAGGACAACTAATGACATACCTCGCATGATCGTAGCCCTTCCACGCGCCGTACCGATACCCCTTCCCTTCATTGCATTCGGTCCTACTCGTTTGAACCTATCGACATGAAACATTAGCACTGCAGCAAGATCGAACCTGTCGGGCAACTTACATAGGTGCATTTTGCAACATGTCCGGTACGATGAAAAAGCGAACCATGCTCCCTCGGATGTAAACTTGATCGAGTTGTGAGATACGACCATCTCGCTGTGTCACAGTAATGTCTTTCAAGGAAATGTTCAAGTTATCCTCGGCTGTGATGAGGGAAGAGGAATCTAGGTTAGATTGGAACTGCAGTGATTGGTGCTTATGGGCTTACCTTCTGCGAGTTTGCCACGGTAGAGCTGTCCCGTTTTCAGCTCAACAGTAATGACATGTCCGAGGGACTCGTGGAGAAGTTTAACGGGGATACCAAGACCGGAGGTAGTCATGATGTTATGAAGAGAAGAGAGTAAGGAGAAAGACCTTGGACTTGGCTTAGCTCGTGAGTGTAGGTAAGCGTTTAGTACAGCCAGACAAATGAGGCAGGTTGTTCCCACAATGCTTCCAAATTGGAAATCGCTGGCGCTTACTACACGTAAAACGCACTAGTGGCTCGTTCAAACAGCTTTAACGTTCGACTTGCATTCAGAGTGACTTCCTTAATCTTTCATACGTGCCTCCTCTGCAGATTCTCATCATGTGCGATACATTCACTCCCCCGCATTTGGGGCAACGGTCTTTTGTACACAAGGAAGGTTCCAAAGGCGCTCGGCGCAGTGTGTGCTGAGCGCCCCTGGAATCTTCCCTGTGAGTGGCACTGACAGTTAAATATCCTAGGGCACTTGGAAGGTTGCATCTGCCTGTCAACCTCTGTACGTGCCTTGTACACGCACTGATTATATCCATAACTGTAATAACAGGTAGTAAACCATTAAGCGCATGCATACCTCATGTCATCCTTCCTTTGAGCCTGCTCAGAGAAGTCGTCGACTCTCGTTGATTGCTGACCGCCTTGCCCCCCTCTATTCGAAATCTTCCAGTAAATGCGAAGCCAACTAATAGCTACCCTTCGTAACATCCGCGGTATGGTCGTTGTTTCTCTCACTGCGCGCTTCGCTTACCGTCGCCACTACCAGAATGTCTGTGTATCGATGTGGATGAACATGATCAACATGCGTTCGACACTGTCGCAGCCATAGCACAAGAGGATTTGGCATCAGGGCCGAATGCTCTTCTGACAACAACAACAGTAGAGCCTTACACCGCGCCTAAAGTCTCTCCTCAAACAGAAGATTCGTCTAATGTTGCGGAAATCACAGTTCGTGCTGCTTATCATCCTTCAAGCTCCATATGTTGATGCTTTGACAGCCTGGGCTGCACTCCAGCCCGCCTCAGAGCGACAGACCGGTGCCTGTCTATGGAGGTCAGCAGACTTCAGTAACGACTATAGTATGTGCTCTATACTTCCTAGTGAATATCCGGATACTATAATTTGGCCACCGTAGCCTCGTGTGATTAGTCCCGAAGAGGTCTGTAAGAATGCCCTCAAAGCAAGCTTTATTGAATAATCTAATCCATTTGTCATCAGTGTGCTACGATTCCATTTCCCGTGCACCGAGGGTACAAATTGTCGACAGTGGAACTCGAGGGCGCCACCCTCGATATATTGCCGGTGTCCACTCCTTGTACCTTTCGACTAATGGACTGCAGACGCTTTGCAAAGGAGCGCACCTTGACCATATATGAAACATATTGCATACCGACGGTCCCATACATGACGATTTCGTACCCCTGGGTCGGCATCGTATGCAATGAACAGGTCCTACATGAGGGAAAGACTTTCAAAGTATACACCGCGGAAACTGGTATCAATGGCGACCCAATCAGCACGTCCATCCTCAATAGAATCTGCTTTCTCGCTATGGTAGACGACATAAACTTCCTATGGATCGACCGGTTATGTATACGTCAAGGAGATCCCGTCGACAAAAAGTGGCAAATGGAGCGAATGTGTAACGTTTTCAGACAGTGTCATGTGTGTTTGGTGATCCCAGGTGGCTTGCAACGTTTAGCAAATGTCTATGAAGAGACGCCATGGATTACGAGGGCGTGGACTCTTCCAGAAGTCCTTGCTGCTCCAACTGCGCAGATTATGACTACCTTCGCTCCGACATCTCTAAATGAGTTCTTGTGGGGGTCCACGGACCCACTGTATGGCATGCGACTCTTCGGACGCCAACGCCATCGATCCTTCCTGGTAGATGCCCTGTCACTGAGAAGTCGCAGTTCCACGGACAAACAGAAGTATTACCGAAACTTGACAATATGGAAATGCGCACTCATCCGGGCGGCGTCGAACATCGAGGACCTCTTGCCGAGTGTTATAGGTCTTTTTGAAACATCTGAGGAAGGGCTTCAATTGGAGAGCCTGATAACGCAGTTCAAGAAGGAGGTCTGCGACCCGTATTCCAGGGATCTTCGTGTAATAGCGTTCAGAGATGCCGTCTTCCTTTCAGGCATCAACATTTCCGCCCAGTGGCAAGAGCTCATACGATCTATTCCAGCCCTGGCATTGCCAGAGGAGGAAAAGTGGCAGACATCACAGGTGCGCCCCGCCATCATAAGTTACTTGCAATACTCAGCTGAGACATATACTACGGAAGCCATGCATAATTCCCAATTATCAAGTAAGTGTGTACCGCAATCATATCGTTCCATATTCACACCCACACAGTCACCTTGGGAACGCTTCCCGATTAGCAATGCATATAAGATCGCGTTGTCGGAGCTGCAGAATACCGTGCATGATATTTCGTCAGTCTCGACCCCGTGCGCCTTCAGGCTCCTCGACTGCAAGAGGTACATCGAAGAACACACTGTCGTCATCTATGAAACTCCCGATATTCCCAATGTCCCTTATGCAGCTATATCGTACCCTTGGGTGGGAGCTCCCTGCCATTACTTCGCTCCTACTAGCAGCACGTTCAAAGTGATCCAAGATACCGGTCGGTTAGGTGACCCAATATGTACCGAAGTGGTACACTTGGCGTGCACTTTGTCAATTCGGGAAGGTGCGGACTTCCTCTGGGTGGACAGGCTCTGCATCCGGCAGATGGATTCCAAGGACAAAGCATGGCAGATCAGCCGCATGTGCGATGTATATAGACTGTGTCACACATGCATCATATTCCCTGGCGGGTTGCAACGCTTGGTTGGATTGGATGAAGAAACGCCGTGGGTTACGCGCATGTGGACCTTGCAAGAAGCCATTGTTCCTTCTAGAGCGTTGGTCCTTTACTTTTCGACTGACTCTCAGTCCTCACAGAATTCCATGCTTCCACCGCCTCACGCGAAAGCGCTCACATCGACTAATTTAGTTTACTACAGTCCGTTGGAAGACCTTTTGCCGACAACTATGACGAAGAAAGACAGTGAAATACGGCTGTTTGGCCATGTGTCTCATGGCTATGCTCTTCTTTTACGTGACGCTATATCCTTGCAAGGCCAGGATGTCACTTACGAACAGAGATATCAACGATACCTTGCCACATGGCGGAGCGCTGTTACACGCAGTTCCGATCGCCCTCAGGATTTATTACTCAGCACCATGGGCCTCTTCGGCATCTCACTTTCGGAAGGTGAACAACGCTCCTCGGCGACCATTATTGCGGCATTTGTCAATGAGTTTCAGAATCATGGTATTGCCGATGTTCGCGTTGTCGCATTTAGGGATGCTGTACGTCGAGCAGAGACAACACTTACAATGCATTGGAGACAACTCATAGAAGAGTTCGATCGTTCTCTTCCTCTCCTGCACAACGGGATTGCTCCCACTTCCGATCATCAACTCCCTCTCGATCGAATTGGCAAACCGGTAGTGCACGATGGCTTTGGACAAGACGTCTTCCTTGGTTCTGCACTCCTAATCACAGGAGCGGAGCATTCCTTACATCCTTGTAAGATCGTACTTTCCAGCTCGGGCGCTTTCTCGCCTCTTGTTCCGTTTGATGGTCACGAGAAAGAACACGAGGGCCGATGGGAACTCCAACCATTCCTTCCAGAGCGGATGGAATGGGTTGACAGCGCTCATGGTGAAGTCCCTCTAGGAAGAGAACCTGTTGAAGGAGGCTATGAAAAGGATGCACGGTACAGACGACAAAGAAGCTTGTATTATGCTTTAGCCACCGTCATAGACGATGAGGGTCGACAGGAACAGGTCCCTGGAAAGACAGGTCTTCACTTGGTGCGCATTCTTCATGTATAAATAATGCTTTGGTTGATACTTCATGCACAAAGGGTGGCTGTTGCGTCGGTTTTGGTGGTAAGGAGCATTTTATACGTGAGGATTACATGATTCTGTACGCCCCCTACTTGTTGCAGGAGCAGGTTGCTCATGATGACGTTACTCTCTCATCTAGATGTTGGAAAGAAAGTGCCCAGGTTGCAATGAAGACGGCTGTTAATGCTAAGTTGGATGATGAATTGTTTTGGGGCAGGCCAAATTTACCCATGGTATCGGGTCTGCCAGTCATCCAGGCGGATCGATGAAGCAACGTGGTTGTCCATGGTGGTCACAGTGTCAGACACATTGTACGGTCTGGTACTTTCAGCACAATGTTTAGTCGAGAGACAGCCTACAGATCCCCAGATGCCGAAGGCAGCGTTTAGGTGGGCGGTGGGAGCAATATAAATGAGATCCCTTGACCTTCGTCGTCTGTGTGCGGGTCTAGTGTGATATTTTTGTTACGTCCTTGTTCAGTGACGGACCATCGGCCGAATTTCAGCGTCTAGAGACTTGCCAGGACGCTCTCGTTCATTCAATTCTCACGAGAATACACTTATACGATCAGTGTGGTCAACAGTCTAGGTCATGCATGCTCAACTGCAATGACTTCCCTCCGCTCCCAGTCGGTTGCCCATCTCAAGGGTGACGGTGAAGCATGCCCGGACGCCTTTCAAGTCGCCCATTTCTCTACCGGACCGTGTCGCATGACGTATACGAAATCAAATTTAACGGGACTACCGAATCTTTTGCTCCCTGCTCTCTGCGACTAGTCGAGTGAGAACTCATTTGTTGTAGTTTGGATAGGTTCGGGAGCCCGTTAGGACTTGGCTGTCAATATTCATGTCAATAACCTATCGGTCCGAATACTCTGATGTCTGGCTGTTTTTCTCGTTGAAGCTCTATCCTTCGCGCTGAAAGCCGGCTATCCGAGATGTGAAAGTCAACCTGGACGGGTCTAGTGGTGCAACTGAGAGGTATAAAGGTCGCTCGAAAGTGCCTTTCATGACCCCATTCACACTCCTCGCATCCACATTTGCAAACATCCCTCAAGCCTCATCATACAAGACAAGACTTCGCGATGCTGCGAACTTTGTTCTTGCTTGCCCTCTTCCCTGCTGCGATACTATGCGCAGCGGTTGATTCCGAAACTCTCTCGTTCTGCGAGTCTCCCACCGTTGTTTCTCAAACATACATCGGCAAAGACAAGAACGTGAAGATCGAGGGCATTCACTGTGCTAATGACGTCTCCGCCCTTTTCGATTTAGAGAAGAGGCAAACTCCACCTGTAAACGTCTGTGGCGCCCAATGTAAGTCCCATTTTGCCACTTCTGTACTTACGCTGAACCCCGTTAATTTTGGAAGGTAATACAAATTGCTTCATACCTTCTGGCGGAGGACCCGATCCTAACGAATGTCACGTCATCTCGGATGCATTGTTATATGACAGTCAAAACATCGGTGAGTCTACAGGACTGTCTGCAGTTTGTGTTCGAGCTTGACTCACACTATTCTTAGGTGCCATCTTTACTATCCCAGCCAACGCCAATGTAATCACCATGCAATTCCGCTCGTGCTTGAGCTTTTTCGTCAACCAGGCTGGTATTGACGAACAATACTGCCGCACTGACTGGGTACGTATATTCCTGATTTCGAGTTACAATAATGATGATTGACTCGTCGTTCTTATCTTTGTTGTAGGCCGCAGTTCTCGATTGGGTTGCGTTTAATTGTCAAGCTCAGCAGAACGCTCACGGTGGTAACTGCGTTGCGGCTGACCAGAGGTGGTTCATACAGTACGTTATCTCCTGCCTCTAAGGCGAACTCCGAACTAACCCATCTTATCTTCCGTAGAGTCCAGCATGTCTGAACCAACCATGACATGACCCGCTCCCTTTCTGTTTCTGTTGGACTTTTCTGAATGGACTATTAATGGACTTAGGAAACTATTCATGGACTGAACGCTATCCGTCGTACCTGTAAAGTGTGTTTATTTGGACGGTTTGATCTTGAAAGACCTTAAATTCGTCCTATGTTACCGGTCGTCAAATGGCCACGCTGAGTCGTGTTTCCCATCCTGGACCTGTACTTTTTCTGCTGAATACCTGTGAGCCGTGAGAGTCTCCCAGGATGAAGATTCTGTGCAGACAATCTCAGCCGACTGAGCGATGACCCTAGTAGCTGGTATCAACTCACGCATTTCAGACCTTTGAATCATACTTAAAAGTGAACAGGACATTGCATTTCGGCCAGATATAGCGATCTCCAGCTATTTTCGATTTTGTTCGTTCCCTGCTATGCCACCTCGGGTTTTACGGCTGACTACGACTCATACTCCTACCCAATCACCTGCTGAGCCAAGTTCAGCACAGATCGCTCGATGGCGTCGACAGATGAAGACATCTCCAATGCTGGTCGGAGACACACTGTATAGGCTGCATGTAGATCGACACCCTCATCGTTCCGCTTTTGCTCGGGAGCTCGCTAGCGAGATGAGGGAGTGTCAGTCGGAAGCCCAATGGAACGGGTTCCGCGAACACTCTTACCCAAATACCCTCCCCACATGGAATGCGATAATACTCAAGAACAGCTTTGGAATCTCGTCAGTCAGGTTTATCCCTCTCTTGGACATGCCCATGGTGGCATAGGACACGCAGCCTTCCAGTGCTGGCGTGCCTGTGTAGCCGATTCGGATTCGCACTTTGGCCTACCAGCCTGATGGTCCTAAAAACATCTATCTTGAGCTGCCGAGATTGCTGAATTCCGTGAAAAATTATTGGTTGATGAGACTTGGGCGGCGACCAGCACAATCCTTGCAGCTCTGGCTGGGACAGTGGAACAGGTCATCTGCGACGATCCGATCGCGGTAGCCCTTAGCATAACTTACTCGTTGGTTCAACATACGGAGATACGGAAGATCAGGGCAGCTTGGGGTGGTCTGTTGCCCGCAATCAAACGGACCCTTCAAAGACAGCTTTGTTCAGGTTCGGACGAGTTCACTTGGAAGGTCCTTAGTCCGGGTTTCGCTCATCTGACGTCAGTTTCCCCTTCTTGAATGCGCTCGCAGTGACTGGATTGATTTGTATATGATTTTCAGTGACATTCTTATGAATGATTGGAAGCCGCCACAATCCGCCAAGGATCTTCAGGTCTTGTTTCATCCCAGAGAGCTTACTTTGATTGCGAGCAGCGCTGCATACGCCGTTCAACAAAAAGATATATGGGCCATAAGTGAGCGTAGTACATCTGCATGATAGTATCGCACTTCCTTGATGAAAGCTTTTAGACGGCTTCCGCGGATTTTTGAAGGCATACATAATGGATTCTCAACGCATATCTGGATATATTACCAACTTCTATGCCCAAATGGCCAGCCTTATTGCATCATGGTGGTATCCGCTTCTTTCTGGACTCAATTCTCTCGATTCTGCCATCGCTCCTTTGCGTCAAGTGGTGCTGCAAGCTATGGTGGAGTTTGGTTCGCACTTTGGACTCACGTTCAATGTAATCCCTGCGGACTTCGATGAACATGCACAAATCAAACCTTACGCGAGGGTGTGCCACTGGTCACTGTGTCCCTGTCGATACCACTATGATCCGTTTACACGGTCGCACCTGCATTCCATACGCGTGTGTAAAGGTTGCTGGTCGGTATTCTATTGTTCTCGGAAATGCCAATCTCAGTGCGTTGTTCTTGTACTTCTGTTTTCTTCAGTTCGACTGATCTCCACCTCTCTGCTATTGTAGAGATTGGTCTACGCACAAGGCAGCATGTCTCAAGTCACGATCCTAAGCGGGTACGTCACTTCTGTATATATAGATCAAAGATGTTATCGTTACCATGGACGGTATGTATTTCGCTATGTAAACACTCTCACTAGAGCACCCACAGATATCTGTGCGGGAATCCGTAGGTGTTGAAAGGGAAGAGTCGTGGTGTGACCAGAAGTCAGATAAGTTTCCAACTTTGACCAGCTCCGCCGTCCGAAGACGCATTCGGTGTTGCCAAATACGATGAATCGGAACTAACGGAACCGATGTCAGATGCTCAGGATACGGAATTGAGTTCGGAAGTTTCGCTATGATGACAGACGTCAGTTCTAGAAAACACCGGGAAAAGCGTAGTTGAACTTGCAGTGTATCGGACTAACACGATTGCATCTTCACTGACCATAACACCTTCATAGCGCTCTTCGGTTTTGGACGATAAAGTACACGTTCTTGATCGGAATGGCAATGAAGTCGTCACAGGGCCCTGGAATAGGTCCGATGACACGGCCTCCGTGATGTGTACAGCAGTTTGCAGAGGTTGTCCTTCGACTGTTCCCTTCCGAGCAGCCACTTGGTTGAAGTCGGCGAAGAATAACCTGATGCACCCTGACTCGTCCGTGTTTTTGTCTTCCAATTCAACAAATCGTGTACCGTATACGTTACGAATCCATATGTTTGAATATCCGGGGCAGAGGGGGGATACTTGACAGCCGGTTGGACCCCATTCATCCCAGTCTATTCGGAACCTATCATCCGTGTGACTTGGGAGTGCTTCAAGATGACGCAGTAACGTGGAGGCTGGGATCATGAATCGATCCAATCCAACTCTCCATCGACTCGTTACGCCGGTAAGATAAACTACAAGGAGGAAATCCTCCTGTGAGATATGAAACGGAGCAAGGCGAGATGCGTTAGGAACAGCTGGGCCGTACCGCATAGAAACGTTGATGTCTTGCGAATGCGGATTTACGGGAGGAAGCCCAAAGGCGCAGTCGTACTCGATGTCGTCCACAGCAGTCAATGTAGAGGAGGCGAGCCTGAAGTTGATCGCGATAAGATCGACCCTAGTTTCATGGTACCGCGGGATCAGGACATGGTCGTCGGAAAGAAATGCGAATGTTAGATGGTGGCCCTTCAAAGCCTGACCGATCCACCAATTAATTGCGCACCTCATGCAACTCGACGTCAAGATATGCTTACCATTTGGAGTACCCCAGATTTCCAGTTCCAGATGGACAATAGTTTCCCACTCCAGCAAATTGCTACATGATCCCCGGAAATCCGAATGTTATGTGAATGTCCAATATAATCGTGACCGTATGCTAGGATTACATTGGAAGCGCGTGGATGAGTATCACCACTTGACAATGTGCGCAGGTGGATGTTGGCAGGTGCACTACGCCAGATAGAGATGCATGTCTCAATTTGTCGAAACCCGACATTGCTCATGATCATTACTTACCTACCGTCAGCTCGTTCCCCCGCAATCACCAGGAGATCCTGAGAAGGATCGATGCAATAATCGGCCACAACGACATCGAGATTATCCAATGTCCATGTTCTCTTTTGGATGTGACGAAGCTGAGAAGGGATCTGCGTAAAGACCAATGTTCTCTCATCCCTCGCTTGGGTCAGGACACCTCCTTGAAGTTCCCACACGCAGTTTGCTGGTGTGTTCATATCCACAATCTCATCCTGCGTAAACCGTAGTTTGCCCCAGTCATCACCATGTTCCTTAAGAGTGCGCAGGCGTTCGACTACGTTCATACTGCTGGAATTGCTATCTTCCATTCCGTTGACGGCGAGATGGACCTTGTATATTAGGCTCGTGTCGCCTTGGATGAGAAGATCCCATTGTTTGCATATCTAACCCGAAAACTATCAGCTGGCAGGCATGGCCCGAATCGTGATGTCGTACCTGTCTACATTTGAGCAACCCCTTGTAATCGAGAATGTTGAGAATCTGTATAATCAGTTCTATTGGCAGTGTTGGAACCCCAGGCATGTCAATATGAGCGTTTTATCGAAGTTCAGACCATTATCTTTACGTCTTTGCCACTTGTGAGGTTGACGCCAGCGCCCAATGATGCTAAACGCTCCTGTAAGATTTTCTAAGGTTGCCTTTTCAAGCCTGTTTCACAGATGAGTTGAGCGCTTGTCTCGACTTCATTCCGGACTCTTTGGCGACGTACCCGCATGGAGGGCCGGGGTTCAAGTGAACATATCTAGTTTTCTTCTCTCTACCACATACTAATCCTTATACCACAAACGCGCCGCGAAGTCGGCGTTCAGACAGCACCACCCTATACCAGCTAAACAAACGTGCGCGTCCGGTGCTCAGGCTGCCGTTCCTGCTCCATTTGAGCTGATCTGCCTCCCCGTCGGTCACCAGAATATAGATCATTCGTGTAATATCTGTTGTATCTCCCTTTTCATTCTCAGGATGCCTTTAAATAGCCTGCGAAGGACTTTATCCAACGCTTCATTCCGTGGTGGAGAAAGGGAGGAACAGCCTTCTGGACCGCTCAGTCCTCCATCCGACACGACCTGGCGTCGTCAACGCCTACTTCACATTGGAGAGGAAGACTCATCCATGAATGAGACTGCTACCTTGCGTCCGAGCGTTACTCAAAATACATCATATGGAACACTACCCAGTTTTCCTCCCACAAAGAAGACGAGTTCCAGTCTCAGCGTTCGTCGTGGCTTGATATCGCTGCCTGGTCTCTCTATACCCCTTTTCTCAGCATCGACGACACATTCGCCAGTCTCAACCCCTCCTCATACGGCCCGCGGTGAACCCTCCCACTTTCGATCACGGCCTATCTCTGCTTACGACCAGCCAATAGGAGCAACTCAACCTGAACCCCCAGAAGCTGAAGTGGATGTCCAGACGAATGGTATCCGCGTCTGGTATTCGTCCTTCACCTCCATCGATTGGCTCCACGACGCCATCAAGGATTCTGCACGTCGTGCGCGGCTTAGAAGGAGACGTTCTCGACGTGGGCGCTTCCTCAGGCAACTAGATCGAAGTATTGGCTGGGTTATCGTCATCATCGTTGGCTTCCTGACGGCTGTCATAGCCTTTTTGATTGCGCGTGGCGAGCAATGGCTCTTTGACCTCAAGGACGGCTACTGCGGTTCTGCTTGGTATAAGGCCAAGCGATTTTGTTGTCCTCAGTACGACGAACAGGACTATATTTTGGCGGCTTTCACGTCTTTATCTTTGCATGAGAGCGAAACCTGTGCCTCCTGGCGATCTTGGGCCCAGGTTTTCAGCCCTGTCGCAGACGCAAGTGACTGGATCTACTTTGAGGCTGAGGCCTTTGAGTATATTGTATATGCTGTCCTAGCTGTGCGTGCTCCGCGATCGAATCAAACTCTATCTCATTGATAACGTGCCATGTTGCAGCTCGTCATGGCAATTACCTCCTCACTACTTACGATCTATCTAACTGCATCAACCTCTTTCATTACACGCAAGGATTCTGGTGTGCTCTCCGAGACATTCGCGGAGGATGACGACAATGGCAAGGTCGATCCTCCCGTCCCAGGATCCGAACAAAAACGCAGGGTCCTATACTATGTACGTACGCCTGTTAAAACATTATCTTTGTCTTAAGGAACCGCTCTGTGTTAGGCTGCCGGAAGTGGCATACCTGAGATCAAAACTATACTTTCTGGTATGACGCCATTAACATTACGTGCTCATGCCGGTCATCTGATAAGTGATAAGGTTTCGTTATTCATGGGTACCTTGGAGGAAGGACACTGTTCACTAAAGCTGTTGGTCTAACACTATCTGTCGCAGCTGGTCTGTCACTTGGTACGCTCACGTTCTCGCGGCTAAGAGGCGGGCTTTTGATTAATGCGTTATGTTCAGGCAAGGAAGGGCCTTTTGTTCACATTGCTTCTTGTGTCGGCAATATTGTCAGCAGGCGCGTGACCTGCCATCGCTTCAATCCTGATCTCGTAATGATTGTTCATTTCGTTGATTAGGTTCTTCAGCAAGTACGAGAACAATGAAGGTACGTAATGTACTTCTAGTTTCTCAGGCATTCATCTCTCATGGTCATATAGGCAAACGCAGAGAGGTACTCAGCGCAGCGAGTGCAGCGGGCGTCGCTGTCGCTTTTGGCGCCCCGATTGGCGGTGTCTTGTTCAGCTTGGAGGAGGTCTCGTATTTCTTTCCTGCTAAGGTCATGTGGCGGAGGTAGTACATTGGCTTATCTTCTCTTAACCTTGTATGCGGTCTGCTGACCATTGTTTGCCACAGTTTCTTCTGCGCTATGGTTGCCGCCATGACGTTGAAGTTCCTTGACCCATTTGGGAGCGGCAAGCTCGTGTTGTTCCAGGTGACATATGACAAGGTCTGTGTCAATCGCTGGCCACAATATAGCTGTGCATCTTATCCGATATTCGTAGGACTGGCATGCATACGAGTTGATCTTCTTCCTCTTTCTTGGTGTCTTCGGGGTACGTCTGAGCACTTCCGAAATGATGAGTATGCTTGAATGGTTTTCATCTATTCAGGGCCTATGGGGTGCTTATTTCTCCAAGCTGAACTATCGCTGGAGCCGTGACGTTCGGAATAAAACCTGGCTCAAAGCTCATCCTCTTCTCGAAGTTTGTCTGGTACGCTCTCCTTAGGGTCTTCCTTTAGGATCGAGCACTCACACTTATTTCCATGTCAGGTAACATCTGTTACGACTCTTCTCTGTTTCCTCAACCCATATACCCGCATGGGAGGCACTGAGTTGGTATACAATCTCTTCGCCGAATGCCGGACAGGAAGCACGAATACCCACTCAGGTCTTTGCGTAGTCAACCCCTCCACGCAAGCCTGGCCTGTCATTCGCGCGATCTTCACCGCTCTGGTCGTGAAGAGCGTGCTTACTTTGATAACATTCGGTATCAAAGTCCCTGCTGGAATCTTCATCCCAACCCTAGGAGGTGGGCAATCAATTTTTTTCGCCACTGCGTGTGGATGTATGTCTGATTTGTGCTATGTCATTTATAGCTGGAGCTTGTGCTGGTCGTATTGTCGGTATTCTGATTCAGTGGATGCAACACTCGTACCCCAATAGCCCTATTTTTGCCTCGTGCCGCGGTGACCTTGACTGTGTCATTCCAGGGTTGTACGCAATGGTCGGCGCTGCTTCTACGCTTTCTGGCGTCACTGTAAGACCTTCAGCTGCTTTTACGCCTGTTAACATATTGATAACATATTTTGTAGAGAACTACTGTTTCGCTTGCTGTGATCATGTTCGAACTCACTGACACTCTTACTTACGCCGTGCCTGTCATGCTTTCCGTTCTGGTTGCTAAAACTGTGGCTGACGCCGTGGAGCCAAAGGGTATATACGACTTAGTTATCGAGTAAGTTCCACAATCACAACTGTCACCTTTTATTGACGTCCCTTCCCAGCCTTTCCCAGCTTCCCTACCTCAATCCTAAGCGAGACTATATATGGGGTTCATATCAGATCAACGATGTGGTAAGTTGAATCATAAAGACCCGCATTTCTGCGTTTACCTTTCATTACAGACCGAGCGCGATGTGGATGTTATCCGTGTTGATGAGTCCAATACTGTGAAGAGCCTACGAGACAAGCTTCAGTCATTGCTCAACTCTGGCAACGATGATAGCGGATTCCCCATTCTGCGCCCAGACGACAGGGAATCTCGATTGGTTGGATATATTGGTGCTAGCGAGTTGGAACATGCCCTCAGTACATTCTTCTCATCACTTTTTAATGAGCGGTATGTTTTACTAACCCTTTCTCAGCTATCGTGGCTGAAGACGCAAATCAGACCATCTCATTCCACCCGACGGCTCCTTACGGTCACAGTCAAATGACTTCTTCAATATCTTCCCTTGAGGCTGGCTCACATATACACCACAACGATCCCTCGGACTTCAGCTGTTATATGGACCAGGTATCTTGTCCTTCCTTACTACATCTTACAGAGTTGTATTGTGATCACTCCTACAGGCACCTCTGACTGTACAGTCAAATTCTCCCCTGGAACTCGTTCAACAGCTGTTCGCCAAACTAGGTGCGAGATATGTCGTCGTAACGGATACGGATGGGTATTGTGAGTGATTTATGTTACGTTGCGGTTTGGAGGAATATGACTAATATATGCTTAGACGAGGGTGTGATCGACAAGAAGACTTGGTTGACCTTCTTAGACCAACTTGAGTCAAAACGATGATCTCTTTCTCTCCCAAACAAGCATGCATTCAATTTGTACGCAATTACCTAAAATTCAACGGACACGGCCCATCTACTCTACCTGCTGGCATAGCGATCCAAAGTATTAGTTTGCTTCTCTTCATAAATGCAAAACATTTGGGTAAGTGCAATCCCCTGTCGGCGATAACCTTCAGGCAAAGCCGTATAATGGTAACGGTTCGCCTCCTACTGAAGATCAGAAGGATGTGTGACTGACAGAATTACATTCCATTGATACAACTTCTTTCAACGAGTGACGTACAACAACTCACTACTATTCGTATCATACAGTTCATTACCATTGTTAACATTAGGAGATTTATCGCTCTTTTAGCGAAATTAAGGATTCAGGTTAGAAAGTCGTAGAAAACGGTTGGGGCTGGAGGGTTTATAGATGAAAAGGGCATGGATGAAGATGATGAATCGAGATGCATATAGTAAATTCCAAGTCGCATGTCATGGGGGTATACGGAAGACAGCTAACCCCCAGATGGATCAGGAGCAGGTGAGCTGCTTCGGCTTCCAACCGGGCTAGGAATAGGCGTGACACCTCTACTGGGAGGAGGTTCTTTGGTGGTGTCGTACACTCTGTTCAGTGCGAGTTTGCCCAACTTCATCGATGCTTCACCCAGGTTGAAATCATTGCCGGTCCGAAAACGTTGCGCGACGACTGCCGTATCGGCGCGCACGGTAATCAGAGCGACAGTAAGCGTCCAGACGTCCATGCATCGCAGCGGCGCATAGTCTCGTCATGATGGTCAACGTTCTATGCAATGTGCGGAATCTCAAACTCCGCCATCTTCACCTGCGCATAGCTCCAACTTCCGAATTTCTTGTCATACATCGGGAAGGGACAACGTGGCGAGCAACTCAGCATGAGAGGCTACGTCGGTGGTCGTGAGTTATGACTGCCCCACATTGAGTAAATGTCACGGCTGCCAATCACATTTCCGCCCCTAGGTGCATGGAAGGACAACTTTGTGGAGTTTAATGTCTTTCGCCTATCCCGCTCATTGAGCCATGGTATTTGGCTTGCAATCACTCCCTCATGGGATCCTCATTGCCTGCATGGAATTTGGAACAAACAGCGACCCTTGAGGCGTATCGAAAATGAAACTACAGGTGCTATTGTCCCTCACCTAGAAATGCTTGCATCCACCTGGCTCGACCCGGATTGTGTGGCTGCCGTGAGAATTTCATCTACCTTATATTTGGTGAATGCTGGCTCTCATCCTCCTCGTGTCTTCATACTGAGTACTTTCGTCCCCCAGAGAAAGCCATATCACTTGAGGATCAGTGACGTTGATCCAGATCCTTTTACAATTGACTTGACTGCTTTGAAACTCATTATTGGCCATGTTGAACACGTTGCGCAAATGCATGTCTCGGATTGGAGAGAACGCTTCACATTGGCCAACGGAACGTTCTTTCACCTTGCGTGGGGCCAAGATGAAGAAATGGCTGCCCAGAAACACACCAAAAATATCCTCGATGTGGGCCTTCGAGATAGACGTCATGTCGCTGCCATAATCCGCCTGATGAGAACGCCGGGACCTTTTGAAGGCGGATCGGACTATATTTTCGAAAAGTACATGAAAGTTGCAGTCTCGCTGTTATACGAGAATGGCGACATCCATTTCATTGAGTCTGTACCAACGCTCGCTCTAAATGCCTGGTTATCTGAATGTTGGCCTTAGAGGTACTGATTGCCTGACAAATGATCGTCTAACTTCTCCTTTGCCGTTGTTGATAGCAGGTGAGTATCTTTCCCTTCATGTTCCCCTTTTATCCACGCAGGACTTCTTTATAGGTGGAAGCTCTGACCTCTCAAAGAAGGTCCAAGCATCTTTCGCCGCGGCGGCACGCAACACATTGGTGAAACTCGTTCGTAACCACAATGAAGCGGGACCTTCGGCACTGGCACTTCCGGAGGAGTTCATTGTTTATGGACTGCATTGGTCAAACGCTAGGCTTCATATTCTGGCGCATTTTGTGACGAACATTGACAGCGATGATCCAGACAAATGGAAATTTTGCCAGGTTTTGGTTGCTCAGCACTGGATAACTCTCGAGGAGGTTGATCACCGTAACCCTATTGGTAGTTTCAGACATTACGCGGAGTTTGACATGCTTCTGGATCGCTGGAGAGTTGTAGTCTCCTTGTTTATGATTCGTGCACATGTGCAGAGATTGAAACAGTGCCTACAAACAGGCGATACCGCAGGATACCCTTCATCGGAGATGGGATTTGTTCAATCGTCCGAGGCATATTTAGGTTCAAGCTTGCCTATTGATATTGGGATTGCGTGGCGTCAACCATTGCATGAATACGTGTGCGAGCTTCATGGATTCTGGCGCGGCTCACGAATTTATGTCCCCGCTGAATGGATAGTATGGTCATTCCTCATTTACTCGCGTCCCTAACGGTTAACATATTGCTCAGCCAGCGGAACATGAACAGCTCGATCTTGACATTGACGACTTCGAGGAGAATGTACGACCCTTGATGGTCTCCTTAGCAAAGTTGGCCTTGTCCCCGCTCCGTCCTCTTCTGGCTCCTATGGACAAGGAGACTGTAGTCCAAAATGATCAACGAATGGATTACAAGGGTCCACGGTACACCCACTCTTTGCAAGTTCCGCGTTCAATGTTCTTCTGGCGCAGACTAAACCTGGATCTGAAAGCCAACACGCAACCTCATTTAGTGCTCCTATACGATCTCCTCATGATGGCGACAACGTCCTGGGACGACATCAACATTTTTTTCGCCAATACTTTTGCAAACTTTTCAACATATGCTGTTCGATGGTATGATGCACCACCAATGTTCCATTAAGAACTCGTTTTGACGACCTCATGCAGGGACCCTTGTATATGCTACCCCTTCGAAGTACAAACAGACGATTCTATATTCATCATGGACTTCGCGCTTGCGGTACAGACGATTCCTCCGACCACACCGAGCATGATAAAGAGGGCATATTATTTACCTTTGTCGATCTCTTCTCCCGCGGTACTGATCGGCTTGCGTTCAAACGACATGGAGGGAAAAGGGCGTGTACTCTCAGATTCGGACTTACGTGCCGTCAGAGGCATTATGCTTCCGCACCTCCGAATGGTCGACTTGGGCTTCAACAACGACAAGGAAAAGGATACGCGCGACGTCGGTTGGCCTTCCTGGGCAATCCTCTTCTGTATCATAGTCAAACCAGGCTTTGTGCACATTGTCGGCTCAACATTAAGTTCTATGGGCGACGATCATCAGGTTGAACTTCATCTCGTGGATAGTCTACCGATTACTATGTTTGCTCATGATATCAGCGATTTCGAAGATCGCTTACGCCTTGCGACGGCCCTGTTCACGCTTCAAACGCATGTTGTCCGCTTCGCCGAACAATGGGCTAGTATTTGCTGGCCCGACGAACTATTGATCGAGGAACATGAAGCTATCGTGGATGTGGCAGAGCAAGACACGCCTTCACCTTCTGAAGACGCGCCTCCACAGCCGGAACAAGAATGGGGCGTAACGCGGTCAATTGAGGACGGGGACTCGAGAGACAGTGAGAACACTGATAAGCCGCGAGGGGAGAACCTGAGCCAGGTGCGCGAGACAGTGGAGATTTGGCTGAAGAAACTACGGCTTCATCAGCCTCTCGATATTGCTACGACTGAGGTATAGAGTAGCCTAAAGTTCTGGTTCCGGAAGCCAAATTGCAACATCACTTAATGCTCCTGTACGATCTTCTCACAATGACAACAACGTTCCGAGACGACATCAAAATTTGTATCGCCGAAGTATTTGCCAACTTCCCAGGTTATGCTGTCCCGCCGTACAGAAGGGACAAGCCTCTCATGGACCTTTGTAAGAATGTACGGTTGCATATTCATAATATCCAGGACTGGGCTCTCATCTTATCGTTATGTCGGGAATGCACAAAGCGAATCGAATACATGAATTTGATAGACCAATTTAAAGGGACAAGCTCTCTATTATACCAATCTGAACCTTTATGCTATTCATTACAATGGCCGTGTCTCACAGTGAGGGTGGCTACACACATCGTATGACCCTGCCTCTACAATAGGTTCGTAAGGTTCATGCATTGAGAGCCAAACGCCTATCTCGTCTCGAATTTCTTCAACTCGTTCTTCTCCTGCCATAGCCGTGTTTCGGCTATCTCTCCCACTGTCTAAACTATGGTGGCTGATTGCAGGATCTACCGGCTTTGATGGTGGGACCGTTGCGAACCTGGAAGCCGAAGGCGTACATATTCCTGTTTCCTGGAGAATCGCTTCATGTTCGTCTGCTAGAGTGGAAGGTGACCATGGCAAGGATGCCCAATGGGTGCAATATCGGATCACATGTCGCTGGAGGCTAAACAATGCGATTGCCAACCGCAGCCGGTCATGAAGATCTTCTATGCCCTCAGCAATCTTCATTACTGGCAATGTGTCTATGAAGGTGACTTGAGTCTCCAAACTAACAGCTTGAAGAGTAAATGCAAAAATATGAATGTACCCCGGTTTAAGGTAGGTACAGAGAAGAGTTCTGCAGCTCGCATTAGCATCGTGCACACTAATGGCCATGCGATCCCGTAGTATTTGGAGATGAGGCTTCATGAGGAGCTTGAGTTCGTCTAGCTCCGAGGAGGCAACAGCACTGGCGCTGCTGGTATCCCTCTCCGTCATAGCACGAACACCGAGGAGGACGGCCGGGGAATATATAGTGATAGGTACGGATGGTGCACGTGCAATAGTTTCCGGCATACCAGGGGGTATGAATTGTTCAGCCAACACAAAGTCACAGACTATGTTCTTGGACGAGTTCAAAGTCGCATCGAAAGGATAGTGAACTGCAGGTTGCCTTTGAGCAGAAGATCAATGTATATCCCGAGCGTCCATATGAACAACATCGCAACACACCATCGTACAGCATAAGAGGAAAATCCGGCTAATGTATTTGCAAGGAAAATTTGTATGTCGTGCCAGGTAAGTGCTGCCATACTAAGAAGATCATAGGTGCGATGCAGATAAGGGCCGGTATCGCTGCCTAGGTATTCAATTTGCATTGCAGCCCACTCGAATGCTGAGCGGGGAACATTCGGACGATGGATGAAATCCGGGCCATAGTCTTCGTACTTTTGGAAAGGCATGTCTCCTCTACCGTGGCTTTGTCTCTCATCAGCATCAATAGCATGAGTACTCTCTATCATCGGTTTGTCCAAGAGAGAGACTTTATCACGGATCGCATTGAAATATACCTTCGCCAAAAATCGCATTGCTTTGTTGACTTTATCGTAGCGTCTATAAGCCGGATTGTTGTCTTTGGTCACAAGATATTCCCCTAATGTCGGCTGATTGACAATGAGTTATGATCCGTACAAGAGAAGTGGGTCAACTCACAACCCATTCTCTGGGGATACCAAGCTTTACGCCTCTCCAAGCTTGACGCATTGCCTGCAAGTATGAGGAGCCGACTGACTGGACAGCTATTGTAGAGAGTCCAGTTGTAGCAAGACGTTCCGTGTGAGATGTACTCCAATTCTGTACGTGAGAACTCGAGAAATCTACTTTCAGATGATGGAAGTAGTGTTGCAGTCGTTGAACATGTGCACGAATGAAAAACAGTGCTATAGTCAACCGCCAACGATTCAGAAGCTGATCATCTTGAGTGGCTGCACCGACAGCTGCGTGTTCCTGTACGGTCCGTTCGGCCAGAGCAACCCAATGTTCCGCGGCCAAAACTTGACAGAACTTCCACTTCTTGCCAGCTTGATCAACAGGTATGGGGAAGTGAATTAAAATGGATAATCGGGATTTTGACCAGTGTATCCCAAACACAAAACAGTGCTCTGGAAGTGATGAAGACCCGTCGGCATTGAGTCTGATAAAAGTACGCAACGTGGGCTGCAAAGCGAGTGCTATGGATTGTTTGATTTCGTTCGTTAGATCGCCGAGAGTGCAGCCTGTATAAAATATATGAGGTTAATCAAGAAATAGTATCTTAGTGTAATCAGAAGAGATTTACAGGTCACCAGGAGTGGATTAGCATACATCGACGGAGCATCATTTCTGAAAGGACACATAAATTAGTCACGAGTAAGTTTTCCAGTATCTGATCACTCACGGAAGTGATAGAACTGGTTGAGAATCGAAAATGAGCCCGATGGCGATAGTTAAATACTTCTCGAAAGTGTACTCGGCCATACCCTCATATAGACCGGGAAACCGCATGAGGCGCATGAAGCCAGCGACGCATGTGCGTAACTGAAAAAAGGACCAGAAAAATGAGCCAGGGCTAGTGTTTACTGTATCGTCTCCTGCCCAGTTGAGGTGAGACTGCTTCGGATCCTTGCCATTACGTTTCCAGTAGCGACGCAGATGCACTTCTGCAACTTGAGTAACGTACTCAAAAATCAACCTCGCTGATACAGATTCTACATCTGCAAGTGTTGGTCGCTCCTGCACTTGCACAGTATGATCATCCTGGTTGAGAGTTGGAGGAATTACTACACCGCCATTATTTGAATTGACAAAGATGCTCACCAAAGACATAGATAATGGAACATCTACAGAGTGAATACTCTCGGCATCCAACCATTTGCATAATTCGTTTTCAATATGTGAAATAACTTTCTCCGCGCCGATATTATTGACTTTCTGCAGAGGGTTTGTTACGTGCCATATAGCCCCAAGCTCGTTTGCAGCATTAAGCAGAGGGGTGACCCAAGTCCAATCAGTGCCATCGGGCATTGTTGGAGTCTCGACCCTAAACTGAACATTTTTGGACAGATAACGTCCTTAAAAGAAACAAATCGATGTGCGAGTTTGAATAATGAGTGAGTAAGGCGTTCCCTACCTGGTTTGTTATAACTTCTCATGATTATGCAGGAACGATTGTGTAATGGTGATTAGAATCGCGAGATGCCAACTTGCGGCGACGTTAAAGGTCAAGACAGTGGCTGAATGAGCGTCACTTACATAGCCACAGACGTGCATGCTTGGTTATTACATAACGAAGACGAAGATGAAACGTAAAGCCTTCAGGCCTTAAGTCCACAACCGATAAACCAGACAGATGGCCAGAGTTGGAAGGAGAACAACAAAACAGCAAGCCTGAGAGGACAACCCAGTAATCAGATCGTCCGGGTAGCACGGCGATGCCAAGCTGCGATTGATATGCCTCGAGCAGCCAGTAGCAGCCAGGAGGATGGTCGAACGCAGTGAATCACTTACGCTAATATTAGGATGGACAAACTACAGAGGCACGATGAGCTCTTCATGGCTACTGTGATTCTACCACTACCTTACCGCTTCGGTCCTTCAGGGATGTTCTTGTAGTTTGTTTGGACGTCCTCCAGAAGTTCCGAAAGCCTAAATGGAAGCAATTGCCATTTATGGATGCCAGACACCGATTCAGGAATCAGAGGAATATATGATGCACCTGCTATCGCATTTAATAGCTCGTTGCTCCAATGTTCCGGAATGTCTTTATCGGCGACCTACTAGAATAAATACTTGATCTCAAACGACACGGCCATGCGTTAAGCCCAGAGGCTTGCATATTGCATCAATATTTATTTATAGTTTCATAAGTGAACAAGTTGAAGGCGGTCAAGTTTCAGTGCCAAAGGCAAGTCTTCCTCGAGGCCGTCTAACACATTTATCAGTATCTCACCTCGAGCAATACTCGTATCATTGCTATCCCTCTCCACCTCATCCTCATCTCCATATTGTCCTACTTGTTTCATAATTGTCCTTGGGTCTCTAGGTCCATCGGAGCAACTCGATGGCTTCGGGCGTGAAGGAATGGCCGTCACATAAAGTATAGCATGCCAATGCCGCTCTTCGCCCAACAAGGTATCATTCTAGACAACATCCCCCCAATGCGTAGAGAACCGGACGACACGTCTTTGGAGAGTAAAGAGCGCGACGGCGAGACGCAAGCGGTCTTCCAGATCCTTGAAGTCATTCATCATGATCATAATTGGGAGATTGTCCACGACACAGGCATTCATAACAGGACCACCTTCCGCGCGGAGCAATGTAAATGCTATCATGTGCACCACTCGCGCCTTCAGGAAGATTGCGAACAGCGTTGCCCAAGTTGGCAATATTGCATCTTCATCGTTACCGCCACCCCCGAACACCATACTTACCAGTCGCAGGTGAGGCGCCATCAGAATCTTGAGATCATCCAGCTCGCGATTGGTGATCGCTGAACCATCGCAGTCAAAGGTCCTCGATCGCACGCCAGGTATTACCGCAGGACTGGATAATGTGAGGGGAAGCTGAGAGGCACGTTTGATCGTTAACACTGTCGTCGGGGCCTGAGAGGTGGTACTCGGCTACTTGTTTGGTGGCATCGAGCAAAATCTTCAGGTTATCCAATTCGAGGTCAGCGATTGTGGGAAGAGATGCGTTCTGTAAAACTAGAGAATGGTCTTGCTGCTACGAGTGAATAGCACATTGCTGATTATACAGATTCTGAGACTTACCAATGATAAACGTGACGACACTGTCATTGGCTCCACGCAGTCATAAAGTAACCACTCGCGCGTATCAGACAAAATGCGAGAGATAACTTTTGGAATCAATTTGTTATCAACCTTGCGCAAAGGATTTTGATTATGACAAATGCCCGGCAAGAGACAGGCAACGTCGATCTTAGGAGTAATGAAGGCCCATCTTCCATTGGTAGCTAGGTCTACACGGCGGAAGTTGTAATGCATGGAGGGGAGACCCGGAAGGTCTGGTTACAGTCGTCGGTGATTAGCACGGCACATACCCAAAGGACACGACTTACATCGACCATCAAAAAACCTCATTTTGGAGTTGACTACGTTAGAATGGCTCAGATGTAGAGAACCAGAACCTTTGTGAAAGCGTGACGCAGGAGGAAAGGACGTATATAAATGCGATACGTCTACCCATCTTGCTGCTCGCAAGTCGGCCAGCAACTTTCCCCGGAACGGAAACGTTGAGGCCTGATGGAACTTGCATTCGGTCGGTAGAGCCTATAACCCGAACCTCGTTGAACGTGAACGTGGCTGAGCAGAGTTGTAAGTCGTTGGATATTACGTTTGTATTATGATCCCCCTGCAGACATGTGTCCCGCCTCGTGCTTTATCGCATAGTGCCGCATTAAACACTGAGTGTGCGACCGCTAAGCCGAGTGCAGAGTGAGTGTGAATTGTACGGTCTTCTATTGAAGGATCGGTCTCTTTGGCTGCAATGCTATCTGCATCCACATACTGACCCACCACATGCATTCGCTCGCAAATACTGGTATGTTGATTACTGGCCTGACGCTTTGTCCGTCAGTGTGAAACGTATGATAACGGGTAAATCAAGATATGTGTATGCCCTCTGGTATATCGCGTCGATACAATGTGTGATGTCCCATATGTACGACTACGACGGCGGCATTGAGTCCCTTCTAACGGCGAAACTAACAAACCGCCGGAAGTCCGTAAACTTTGAAGTATGATCCGTTCTTGGAGGCGTGTCAGATCCACTAGGAGTTGACAAAGGAGGAGAGCCCAACGCTGCCAAAATTCCTTCACCAGCGCCACCAGATAGAAGTGATACTCGACTGCTGGGAGGGCTGGTTAGACTTGCAGCCTGTCCAGGATCCATATCAAGAGATGATAGAAACGAGGTGCTTTCAAGGTTAGTTTTCGTGCTCGTAATTGTGAGAAAGGAATCCATGAGGTCGTTCTGTTCAGCTGGAGGTGTTCCTTTGAGATCAAGAATCTGATACGATTAAAGCGTCAGACACCATCTAATCATATAAACATAACTGCGTACCTTCTGGAAGTTCGAGAACGAAGCATCGCCGATGAGAAGGGTGTAATTCAGGATGAAACCCTCAGCAGGATCCTAAGGTACCACTAAATGATTATTTCATTAAACATAAAGAGAAACCTACCGCTGGAGTTACGATAACCTTGAGCAACGCCTCTAACCGGGTTGTGTTCTTGGTGACGCTACGAGTATAACTGGATCGGCATAAGTATGATCCAGAGTTTCGAAATTTAATTGATCTCACTTGGTAGTCGAGAGCGACTCTCCAGGAAGCCGCAGCAGAGAAGCCTTCAGAGCTTGCAAGTCAATGAGAAGCTAAAGAATGATTTAGAACTGCTTTAGACAGGCTAAGCTCGATGTGTGTACCTGTTCTGCTCCAATCTCTTTCAGAGGACGACTCTTGACTAACGCGTTCGTGAACTTGGCAAATACCACGCTAACGAATTGTCTTAGTGACGGTTGGAATGGACGCCGGAGGTAAAAACTGACCTTGCGGCTTTGTCGAAGAAGTTACGCAGATACTTCTTCTGTTCGATCAATGGCTTAATGATATCGACGACTTGCTCCATAGCCTTGGTCAACTCGTCCACATAGCCCGATTGGCCACTAACAAGATCTAGTGTGGACCACGCAGTCCGGCTCATGTTGATAAAGGCAGGATCGCATGCAGCTTCGAACTCTCGGACGAGCACTTGGATAGCGGAAGATATAACTCTATAATTTAATCACTAATGAGTATGAGGTGAACCAGAGAAGTAAAGCTACTTACCCTACGAAGATATCACATTCTTCTTGAAGTGAGACACGTTCTTTGAAATCAGCGTTGATCTTCTCCCGGATCTTTTCCTCGAGCTAAAGAAGAATGAATCTCGAAGTCAACCGGCGTCTCACTGCATGCTTACCTCCAATGCTGTAGCGTGGCAATAGTCTGCCGTGTTGACTAACTTACAAGCATTCCTTAATTCACTCGGCTCGAATCGAGTTTCTATTGACTTCCTGGAAGTTACGGATGGCCTAGACAGAGAGTTATCAACACAATGATACGTAAAAGTTTTCAGTCACATACCGCTTCATACTAGCAACTAGGACGTCCTCTACATTACATCAGTAGTCAGTTTGTATTTCTGGATCGCGCATTGAAGCCAAACGTACCTGCATAAATACGAAGCCATTTCTTGTACAAATTACAGAGATCGAACAAGGGTTGCCCAGTAAAGAGGGTAGCACATTGGTCCAAGATCTGTGCATAGACATAGAACAATTCCGTTGAGCTTGGAAGAACTAGGACTGGTGTAGATGAGTCATCCCCCGGGGATGGCGCCGCGGCTTCCAATGACGGGCGAGACTTCGCACCACGATATTGTGACAACATGTCCGATAGAACTCTAGATTTCATCTCTAGGTTAAGATTGCATCCATTAAGAGACTGCAGTGACTCAACTTGTCTTGGGCATCGATGAATACGCCCATATGAGGCTCAAAAGCAGACGATATTGTACGCGACGGTCGAGTTGCGACGGCCGGTTGAGTTGTCTTCAGAATATCTTCGAACTGAAACGAGATCCATCATCCTTCGACTCAGCGAAGTGAGAACATTGTCCTACCGGAGTGGCATATCGTTGCCGAATAGAGTTTTCGAACTCTAGTGTTTCCTGCAATGTATCGAGAAGCTGTTTCACTGTCAACTTCGAACCTGCTTTTGATAATAACACAGTCATGTCATCCCTATGCATCAACATGATCAGCGTCGTCGGCTTAAATCCCACTACTGAGAAACCGAGCACGAACCTGGTAATTTCAGCAAACTTGGCAACTAGATACCAAGCCGCCCTCCATTCTGCAGGGAAGACTCTGCCAGTCTCATTCTCATGAGTCTGTAGTAATCTCCTGAACCATGCGAACCGACGAGATAGATTATCCAGTTGGCCTGCTTCATCAGTGGCACGGAATATCCGCCGATATTCTTTGAGTTCCAACGCGACATAACGGTCGACAAACTGAGCGCGAATGTCGCTTCCGATGACATCAATGACTTGACATGCCGCTGCCACGGTGGATGGCTTGACGGGTCTGGCGGGATCTTGCGCATAGCTACTAGCATATCAGCCAAACTCAGATATATGACTAATGACGGCAAACTAACAATTTCTCCCATTCCATGTCGATCTTGGATTTCAGTTCCGACTGTAGCTCTTGGACACGTCTCCGAATCTGCGAAATTCGTGGTACGGACATGTACGGCTTGAATGAATCGCAGATTTGCTTGACTGCCTTATCGATCTGGCATGAACTCCTGAATATCCACAAGATCATGAACTACTTACTGCCAATGACTGGGCAATGTCCGCATACTGGCTGCTCTTGACTTGACCCTCGAGTTGGCTGAATGCGCTCACTATGATGTGACGAGAAGACTCAGTTTGCATCATAAAGGCGCAAGAATGCAATTTACCTAGCATTTGCAGTCGTTTTAACGTGGTCATGGAAAGTATCAGATTCTTCTTGGCCAAATCGAGTACTTGTATCTCTTTCGTGATACTCCGCACTACCGCCTCAGATTCTGTAGCCTTTTCTCGTATACGCGATATTTGTCCAAGAAGATCCTAGTAGCAATAACAGATTCGGGTCACTGCGTCATACAAACATAAGGAAGACGAAATGCTAACTGAGATCATTTCTTGTATGAGCTGCATCCGGTTAGGGTCTTGGTCCGTACGGAGTTCTTGCTGGAGCTCATCTATCTGCTTTTGAAGCTCTCGTTCCTTGTCCGCAAGCCCAGATTGTACTGACTCCAATTGTCCAAGCGAAGCCTCTACCACGTAGTATGTCAATTGAAGATACACCTGAATCAGCAGTTGAATGTACCGTCAGGGAAGTACGAGTTCAGAATCGTCACGGTGTCAAGCTCGCCAGAAGCAGCTTCAAATGAAACCTCATCCTTAGCAGCCTGTGCGTCCAGTATTCGCTGAATTGAAAGAAACAATTCAGGTGGCAACACGTTGACGTCGTGACGCGTCTGGTAATTGAAAGACGTTGCGTCCTTCGAGATCGACATGATTCCTGGTTACCAGTTTTCAATGTGGAGACAAGGCGTGAATAATCAAGGGTAGACCAGGAGAGATTTTGTGCGAATAGTAGAGAATGAGGTTGAGACAGCGAACTTAAAGCAACCCAGGTCACGGTGACGGAAGTTGAATGAAGTGGCTTCGGCGCTCAGGTACGTCTTTCATATTATGGGCGCTTCGTGTCGATATTTTGTCGAAGTCCTTGAACTGTCCATTCCTTCAGGTTCAACTTGCATGTGAGTGAACGTTCCAATGGTGAAACATTGTATTGAGCAGGAACTCACACGTCTAAAGTTGTCTTTTACATGTACTCTATAGGCCTTAGTCTCTGAAATGACAAGCGGGCCACCACCAACCGAAGCCGGGCCTTCCAAAAGTGCCTCCTCGCAGTCATGGCCGGCTGCAACAAACTCAGTTAACGGAGGCTGGGCAAACGCAAGTAGCAGATCAACCTATACTGGTAGCTTCCAAACGTATTCCAACGTTGACCCATATTACGCCCACATTCCTCCCAATCAACCTCAAGCGTATGGTCCATGGAAGCAAGAGAACGGACAACAAAGTTACGCCTACTATGGTGGTTACCCTCAGGCTTGGAATGGAAACTGGCCACCAGGCTATTCTTACCCTGCTGTTGGGTCTTATGTCTCCTCACAACCCGTCGCCCCTCCCGTTGTCACCGACATGACAGAATCGACTCAGGCTCCAGCTCTTGGTACTACGGAGCCCTTCGTCAAACCCGACACACCTCCTCCGTTACCTTCAAAGAAGCACTGGGATGAAATTATCATATCCTTTCTCAAGTCAGCCGGGCTTATACAGGCCCTTCGTGGCTTTGAAGCTGATATGCTACTCATGAACCCGGAGTTTGAGCTTAAAACGCTCCCTTCCGCCGTAGAAAAGTTAAGAGAGGACCTCGAAGTGCGTGATGAGTCTAGGTTTTCTTCAATATTCACAGATTGATTGGTTGCGCTAGCTGATACATCAAGCTAAGGCTACGAATTCAGAATGCATAAACCAACATTCGGGAGACCGGCCATTGGAGAAACGTAAACTGGACTACATTCACCTTGCCAATGGAGTCGAACCCCGTTCGCCGACGTCAGTAAGTCCTCGCCATCAATCTTTGTTGCTGAAACTTACATTGCATCTCAGGTCACAAAATCAATCTCAAGCTTTCTCGCGCAGAATCGTGCCAGAAATGATGCCTCTAATCGCCAAGAATTTCTCTTGAGCCTACCTGAGAAGCGCCAGCGTCTCAATGAAGATGGAGATTCGACGACACCTATACCTTCATGTGCTCGTACTGATGCAAAGACGCAGAATCGGGATCTACAGATGAAGTATGATATAGCGAAGAACGAAGATGGACCTTTGCGGAAGACGATGAAGACCTCGCATGAAGGTTCTGCGCCGAGTTTGAGCAAACCTCGTCCAGCCACTCAGGATGAAGCTGCGGCTCCTACGTCAGAACGGTACCCAGCTCTTGATGAGCGGGTGAAGAACATTGAAACGCACGCAGCAGTGCGATACGGTGTGCATTGCCCCACGTTTCTGGCTGTGTGCCGTACTGACCACAAACGCTATAGTACCCTCACCTCCACTTTCTTTGCTTGATCGACTACGATTCCTTGAAGATCATCTTGTTCATTTGGAAAAGGAGTACCCTCCATGGGCTGCGCTACACTTCAACCAGCCAAACCGTGGTGTACGTTTCAATCTACTTGTCTTTGAGCAAAATACTCATCTACATCAATCATCCCAGTGGCCTCCTCCACCACGACCAACCCCTATCATCGTCCCTTCACACCTGACCTCCACATCAACGACTGCATCTACCGATACTGCAGAGTCACTGAGACCGGCTACACCAGTCGCTCCCGAAGATTCAGAACCGGCCGCCTCAAGTACGAAGCAGACCAAAGGGAAATCAGGCGGACGGCAGAAATCCAGCTTGCATCGGGCTGTGATGGAACGTCTGGAAGTTCAGAAGGCGATGAAGGATTTGGCCAGTGGTGAGAGTACTCATGGAGATGCAGGGGCGGAATGATTATAATACCCTTGGATGTATCTCATACTGCCTGTCATGACCATGTCTCAAAGGGAATGCAGCATTATTGACTTCAAGATCCCCTACCGCCACTCATTGAGGTATATGATTCGCAGGTAAACTTCAGTAAAATAGGACAACTAATGACATTGTTTCTAAAGACAGGTATCACTGATGACAGTCCACAAAAGATTGGTAGTGATAGTAGATAATCACACATTGTGAGTACGCCTGGTAGCAATAACAGGCAACCGTCCCTTCTTCACAACAAACATATCCTCGATATCCCGAATCCAATCCTCCGGATCATACCCATCTGCGAAACGCAAATCCAAGTTCTGCAAAAAGCTACACAGGACCGTACGCATTTCTTGTAAGGCCAGATTCTTGCCGACACAGTTGTAAGGTCCGAATGAGAAAGGGGTGAATGCAGTTGGATTATGTTTGAAGTCCTTGGGAGCGGGCATATCACCTTCGGCAACGATCCATCGATCAGGCCAGAATGATTCGGGATGGGGAGAGAAGTTTCGAGGGTCGCGTTGGACGGAATAGAAATGAACTCGTGCGTGAGTACCTTCGGGAAGATAGCTGATGGAGAATGGTCAGAAGTTCGCTTTAAGCATCACAGGAAGTGAATACTCACTAAGGTCCAATAGCTTTGCCGCCTGAGCCAGGGGAGGCCGCTCGCTGACTACCACTTGGAACAGCAGGAAGCAATCGCAAAGCCTCATTACTGTATGACAAAATAAACTTGAGAAATGATGAAGAAAGGTTATGCAGGTTCTACTCACATCACCGCCTCGAGGAACACCATCTTGGTATGATTCTTAGTGTTAGTAGCATCCTCGCCAGGCGGGTAGTAGAGATCGACTTCTTGTTGCAATCTCTTATATGTTGTCGGTTCGAGGAGAAGGTAATAGACGATGTTGGACAAGACACTAGCAGTAGTATCGGAACCAGCTATGATGGCAAGATTACCGTCTGAAACGACCTGCTCCTTCGCGGGTGGTTCGGGCTCAGCACCGTCATCGTTGTTCTGATAATCAGAAGTCAATAAGGAGCAGGAGGTCGAGGTAGGGTATTGCGTACGAGGTAGTAGAAGAGATCCTTGGTCTTGGATCCTTGTTGGTACCGCTCATCTGCACGTGCGAGGCTAAAAGCACGCTGTTTCTTGACCGCCCCAGAGGCGATGCCTAGTTTTTGCACCCAGTAAGTAACCCACGGGATATGTTCAAAGAAGAGTGTTGCGCTGTATCGAAAATAGTCAGATTTTTAGACTTCGCTAGTTAATTTTGGCACATGCCGCAAGCTGTCCTCCATGGCTTTCCATCGACCATCTGCGTCCCCATCACGCAACATTTCATACCAGCCACCGAAACTGCAAAACAACGTTAGTAAGTAGATGAATACTTATTTAAACAGGGTCTTACGCCATATCACCCATGAAATCATAACTGAGAAATTACACTCAGTGACAAGGGCATGAATCAGACGAAATTATTACACGTACGTGAAATAGCCAATAAACTTGGCAATATCGACCACACCCTTGTCGGAAGCTATCTTTCCGACGAGTTGATTCACGCGCTTCGCGACCAACGGTTCATACTCCTTCAACGCAGCGGTGCTGAAAGCTCTGTTCCAGGGTCTGCGTCGGCGGTGATGTTCCACTGGGTTACGAACCATGATCATGGCATCCATGGGTTCCGGCCCCATCCAGCGCACCCCGAACAAATCTTAAATACGACATTAGAATATTTTCGAGAACTCAAACATGGCGTCAACTGACTGGGTCCCTTGGGCCAACCGGTTGTGCCCATCAAAGGGTTAATGGCGGAGGCGTCACGGATAGACACCTCATTAGGGCCTACCGCAGATATGTCAGGAAGATTAAGCTGTAAGTAAACAGAGCGCGTACCGATCCGAACAATGTCACCATATTTCTCGTGAAGTCGTTGGATATAGACATGTCTTTTTCCCTTCATAGCAACGTTGATCATCCAAAACTGACTGATTTTGTTTGGAATAGGACCAGGGTACCGAGCGAGAGGGTGGAGCGGTGAGAGACGGTAAAGCCCGACAGAAGTGCAGAGCGTGGCGTAATACGTGAGGAACGTCAAGGGAACCGCTGCAAAAACAGATACATGTGTGGCGACAAAGATCGATAACACGAAAGGAACGACTGCGAGCAAGAAAAACTGGAACGTGACGTTCGCAGGCTCCCACCGGTTGTAGATGTAATGGGTAGTCTACGCAAGGAGCCTCGAGTCAACTGCGTGTCGGATAGACGATAGAGCGGGCTCACCAAGCTCAACGCTGCCACCGTGAAGAGGGTGTCCCTCAGAGTCGATGTGAGGGCAGTCTGTAGCAAATTGGGCAACATGTTGAAGAGAGCTGTGGGGGATAGAATCAACGCAGAGACCCATATAAGTAGTGTCGTTATTACGTGGCATGCATAAAAGAATCATCGGAAACGATTCACAGAAATACCAAGTCATCAACATTTCAACAGATTAGGTGCATGTTCTGTAAGCTTCACCGTCACCGACCCTCTTCGACCGATCCACAAATCACCTGCTCGTCCACCACGTATCGTGAATTATCAAACAGCGAAGAAGTTAAGACGACTGCATGTTACTAACCTTGGCGTCATTGCTCATTGGTCGTCTCGAACATGGCCTCGTGTTCGTGGGCCGGCAAGAAATAGCTAGGAATATGGGGCGATTGCTTCTACTGTGTGAAAGTTGCAAGAGACTATTGTCCGTAAGCTAGACTTTCCTTCTCGGAGCATTGAAGTAGGGAAGGCATGTATTTATGCGCGATGCATAGTTAGAAGAAGTGCACACTACCACCCGGGTTTGAGCAAGGGTGCTATAAGCATATACTGCACACTAGCCTTTATGAGGTTGATCGTTTTTACGATCGTCCTGGGAGCAGCGATCTCTGGTGCTTGTGTCAAGCAAATACTGCGTAGACCTGCAATGAAAGGGCAAGCTGACAAACAAACTGTCTGTAAAGCTCCGTCGCCGTGAAAAGAAGCAAGGATCGGAATTGATGAGAACATGGCGTAGACGGTCTACATACTGCCTATATTCCTGAGAAGTGGATGACAACAACTACCGATCCCGAATCTTCGCCGCATGAAACCATGAGATAGCCTAGAGGTATTCATACCGAGCTACGTCGGAACCTTTGAACTCACAACGAAAGTGAAAGCTGTAGGGCATATTATACGTGAATTTTGGTGAACTTCAGTGAACAAGTATGCCGGCAGTGATCAAAGCAATGAAGTATGTTGGACGGTTTTAATTTGAAATTGTGCTAAATCCCGAGAAAGCTGGGCGTTTTGGATGATCCTCCTCGAGACGCACGGCAAACATAAGCATGTCTGCCGTCTAGACAGAGTCCATGCAGATTGGTTGACATTTTGGCAATATGTCAATGTATCTGTCTTGACGACAGATTTAAACTCTGCAGGGTAAGTTGACCAATCAGTGCCCAGAAACGTAAGCATCCATCAAAAGTCTGCCTGGGGAATAGACAATAAGACATGTTGCCAAGGTGTTCGTCACTCTGCATCGTACCTGTACCAACCACAGACGGTTCCTTGGGTGCCGTGACGGAACACTAACCCATCCCAAGGGTGCCCCCAAAAGGTCGCCGGTTTAAGCACCCGGCGGCAATTAGATGAAGTGAACAATCTATGCTGAAATATTTATCGTGTAAGTTAGCAGGTGCTCATCCATCTCAAGTTGCCTATCATATATGTGTACTTAGTCTCTGAAATGACAAGAGGGCCACCACCAACCGGAGCCTGGCCTTCCAAAAGTGCCTCCTCATAATCACTGTCGGCTGCAACGGACTCGGGCAATGGAGGTTGCACAAACGCAAGTGCGGGATCAACCCATACTGGTAGCGTCCAGACGTATTCCAACGTTGGTTCTTATCATCCCTCAGGCGTACGGTCACGAGAGGATGGACAACAAAACTGCACTGCACCTACTATGGTTGCTCTCAGGCTTGGAATGACAACTGGCTTCCAGGCTATTCTTACCTTCCTTTGGGTCTTATGCATAATCACCACCTGCCGTCCCTCCCGCTGTCACCAACACGATAGAATTCAATCGACTCAGGCTCCGCCTCTTGCTACTCCGGAACCCATCGCAGAACCAGACACGCTTCCCCCGTTACTTTTAAATAAATCCTGGGATGAAGCCATGGTACCTTTTCCTAAATCCGCCGGACTCACACAAGCTCTTCTTAGTTATAAAGTTAAACATCTTACTCATACCACGGAGTTTGAGCGCAAATCGCTCCCTGCATCTCGGGGTGCGTGACGAATGTTCTTTTTGTTCACAGACCAATTGGTTGCTACACGAAGCTAATGCTACGAATTCAGAGCATGACCCAACATTCCACCGGAAACCGGCCATTGGAGAAACGTAAACTAGACTACGTTCATCTTGCCAATGGAGCCGAACCCCGTTCGCCGATGTCAGTAAGTCCTCGTCATCGATTCTCATGACCCAAACTTCCATCGCTTCTTCAGGTTACGAAGTCAATTTCTCAGAATCATGCTAGAAATGAGGCTTCGATAATACCGCGAATCTCTTTTGAGCCTATCTGAAACCCCCCAATGTCTCAATGAGGATGGAGATACGACAACCTCTATCCTTCGTGTGCTCATATGGATGCCAAGACGCAAAATCGAGATGTACAGATGGAGCATGATCTAGCGAAGAACGAAGATTGACCTTTGCGGAAGGCTGTGAAGAACTCTCATGCAGCTTGTGCTCTGAGCTTGAGCAACCCTCGTCTCGCAGCTCAGGATGAAGCTGCTGTCCTTACTTCAGACCGACACCCAGGCCTTAACGAGCAACTCAAAAACATTGAAACACATGCAGCAGTGAGATATGGTATGCATTTCTCCGCTTTTCCAGTTGATTATCGTGCTGATCAGGCTTGCTGTCGTACCTTCACCTCCGCTTTCTCTGCCCGATCGACTACGATTCTCAAAGATCAATCTGTTATTTGGAAAAGAAGGGCTATTCTACCCTTTAATAAGCCAAACCGCGGTCTACGTTCGATATACTTGTCTCTGTAGCAGAATACTCATGAATATCAATCATGGTAGTGGCCTCCGCCGCCACATCCAACCCGTGACATCGTCCCTTCACACCTGACCTCCACATCTACGATTACATCTACTGCTTCTGCCGAGTCTCCCAACCCGGCTAGTCCAGTCGGTCCCGACGTTTCAGAAATGACCGTTTTAAGTGCGAAGCCGACTAAAGGCAAGTCAGGCGTACGACAGAAATCTGGAAGTTGAAAAGGGCGATGAATGGCTTGGCCGGCGGTGAAAGCAGTAATGGAGATACAGGGGCGGAGTAATTATGGTACTCTTCGAGGTATTTCCTGAAAGAGAATGCAGCTTTCCTGACTTCGACTCGCCCTATCGTTGGCCATGATCATCGGAGAAGTTTTACTGAAATAGGAATACGAATGACATTCCTTCCAAAGACCAGTGTAAGTAACGAGAGTGCGCAAAGAACTAGTAGTGGTAATGAAGTATCACGAATGGTGAGTACGCCTGGTAGCAATAACAGGCAACCGTCCCTTCTTCACAACGAACATATCCTCGATATCCCGAATCCAATCCTCCGGATCATACCCATCCGCGAAACGCAAATCCAAGTTCTGCAAAAAGCTACACAGAACAGTACGCATTTCCTGCAACGCAAGGTTCTTGCCGACGCAGTTGTAAGGTCCGAATGAGAAAGGGGTGAATGCAGCTGGGTTATGTTTGAAGTCCTTAGGAGCAGGTATATCACCTTCGGCAACGATCCATCGATCAGGCCAGAATGATTCGGGATGGGGAGAGAAGTTTCGAGGGTCGCGTTGGACGGAGTAGAAGTGGATCCGAGCATGAGTACCTTCGGGAAGATAGCTGATGAAGCATTCAATGGTGAGAGCTCGCTCTAAAAGTGACAGGAGGTGTACTTACTAAGGTCCAATAGCCTTGCCTCCTGAACCGGGGTAGGCCGCTCGCTGACTACCACTTGGAACAGCAGGAAGCAATCGCAAAGCCTCATTACTGTAACATGGAAAATCAGAGATGATACAGAAAGGTTATCTAGGTCCTACTCACATCACGGCCTCGAGGAACACCATTTTAGTGTGATTCTTAGTTTCAGTGGCATCCTCACCAGGCGGGTAGTAAAGGTCGACTTCTTGTTGCAACCTCTTGTATGCCGTCGGCTCGCGGAGAAGATAATAGATAATGTTGGCCAGAACGCTAGCAGTAGTATCGGAACCAGCGATAATGGCAAGATTACCGTCTGAGATGACCTGCGCCTTTGCGGGGGGTTCGGGCTCGGCACCGTCATCGTTGTTCTGATACACGAGAAGTTAGCAACGAGCTGGACGTTAAAGCAAAAGATTGCGTACGAGGTAGTAGAAGAGATCCTTGGTCTTAGACCCTTGCTTGTACCGCTCATCCGCACGCGCAAGGGCAAAAGAACGCTGCTTCTGGATCACCTCAGCGCCGACACCCAACTTCTGCATCCAGTAAGTAATCCACGGGATATGCTCAAGGAAGACGGTTGCGCTGTATCAAAATTAGCCGGATTTCCATACTTAGATAGTTATTTGGGCACGTACCGCAAGCTGTCCTCCATGGCTTTCCATCGACCATCTGCGTCACCATCACGCAACATTTCATACCAGCCACCGAAACTGCCGAACAATGTTAGTAAGAAGATAAATACTTATTTAAACAGGGTCTTACGCCATATCACCCATGAAGTCGTAACTGGGAGATTATACTCAGTCACAAGGATATAAACCAGAAGGAGCTACTACATACGTGAAGTAGCCAATATATTTGGCGATGTCGACCACACCCTTGTCGGAAGCTATCTTTTCGACGAGTTGATTCACGCGCTTCGCGACCAATGGTTCGTACTCTTTCAACGCAGCGGTGCTGAAAGCTCTGTTCCAGGGTCTGCGTCGGCGGTGATGTTCCGCTGTGTTACGAATCATGATCATGGCCTGCATGGGTTGCGGCCCCATCGAGCGCCCAAGGAAATCTTAGATACGACATTAGGGAATCGTTGGCAACCCGAATGCGACGTTGGCTCACTGGGACCCTTGGGCCAACCGTTTGTACCCATCAAAGGGTTGATAGCAGAGGGGTCACGTATGGACACCTCGTTAGGACCTAATGGAGATATGTCGGATCAATTCAACTCGGAAGAGTAGACAGAATGCTTACCGATCCGAACGATATCACCATACTTCTCGTGAAGTCGTTGGATGTAAAGATGCCTTTTTCCCTTCATGGAAATGTTGGTCATCCAAAACTGACTGATCTTGCATGGAATAGGACCAGGGTATCGAGCGAGAGGGTGAAATGGTGAGAGACGGTAGAGCACAACGGAGGTGCAGAGTGTGGCGTAATATGTGAGGAATGTCAAGGGAACCGCTGCAAGAATAGAAACATGCGTGCCGACAAAGATCGACAACACCAAAGGAACGACTGCGAGTAGGAAAAACTGGAATGTGACATTGGTAGGCTCCCATCGGTTGTAAATATAATGGGTAGTCTATACAAGCAGCCTCGAGTCAATTGCACGTTGAGACAGAAGATAGGGCGGGCTCACCAAGCTCAACGCTGCCACCGTGAGGAGAGAATCCCTCAGACTGGATGTGAGCGCAGTCTGTAGCAGACTGGGCGACATCCTGAAGAAAAGATGTAGGCGAATAGAATCACCCCGGTGACCTATATAAGTAACAAACTACGTAGCCCGGAAATAGAACATCGGAAACGATCGACGGAAGTAAGGCCATCAACAGATTTAGGGGCCACATGTACATGTGCTGCGACGGCACAAGGTTCACCGACTCTCTTGTCCGATCTACAAATCACGGACTCGTCCAACCACGTATCCCGCAATTGCCAAAATGCGAAACAGGGCAAGCGAATTCATGCTTTGGCACGTCCGATGGCACCTCGGACTTGCCTATGTCCACAAAGACATCATATACGAGGCAAGCTCTCTAATGTGCCTGCACGTTTTCTCTCATGGCTCTTGAAGCTGAGTGAAGAACATCAGTCGGCAAATCGTATCTCCTCGAATCTCGTCCTTGATGCCTTTGCCTTTTGAGGACGATTTGCTGATCTTGGCGCTGTTGCTTGTCATCTTCATTGATCGTCTCGAACATGGCTGGAGGATGGCAACAGATTGCAGAAGGGGGACAGCTTCTACTACCTATGTGAACGTTGCAAGCAACCCTTGTCCGCAAGCTTCAGGTTCGATTCTCCTTCTCGGAGTGCTGAAATAAAGCTAGAAAGCATGTACTTACACGTTCATGCATAGCTACAGTAGGTGAAGTGCACACTACCACTCTCCCTCGGTCTTCGGCGTTGAGTCAAGACGCTACACACATAACACTGCGTTGCCTCTCATATAGCAGCCTTGATGCGACTTGATCGTCTTTTCGATCGTTCTGGGAGCAGCTCTGTTTGGCCCTCGTGTCAGTACTGCATAAACCCGCATTGCAAGGGAACGCTGACGCAGAAAATATCTGTAACGCTCGGTCGCTTTGAAAAGAAGCAAGCTTCGGAACTGATGAGAACATAGAAAGATAGCTTGCGAAGGGTCTACTTACTGTCTGCGTTCCTGAGAAGTAGTTGATAACGACAGCCGACCCGAATGTTCGCTTGACCGTGAGAACTCATAGGCACTCACATCTCCCAGAGCTACATCGAAGTGAAAACCTATAGGGCATACAGACTGAACATTGGTAAATAAGTATACTGGTGAAGCAATGAAGCTTGAAGCGTAAAGCTTGTTTGTCGGAGGGTCATCACAATTTGAAATTCCTAGGAAGGCCGAGATGCCTCTCTGACAACATTCAAGCTAAATTCAGGATTGCACTAGATTGAAATACATTTCTGATTACTCTGTTTCGTTAAGGTATAACTCTACAACATTCCGATGGTATAATGGTACTACAGATCATGTACTACAGCTACAGTGTATACCAATAGCAAAAGAGCGAGCGGGGATTAGGATATAAATAAGAGGTGTAAAGAGCATTCCAACCCAAATTCCACAGTCCACAGTCCCAAAAACGATGGCAAAACTCGAGCAGACGCAACCATCAGTCCGCCGAGCCAATGAAAGCAAGCTTCTATTGAGACTCAACATCCTTCTTCTGCTCTTCAACCACGATCTCCGGAGGTGTTGGCGCAAACTTTGAATGCCTCCTCAAGACATGTCCATATTTGAATAACACGAACGGTATTGGTGCCATCAAAGTGGAAAGAAGTCCCAACAGTGTTGAAGCCCATCTCGGATTGAGGCCTTCGTACATCTGTGTGGCGAACAATGGGAAGCTAGCACCGAAACATGATCGCATGACGGTACTTCCTGCGAGTGCACTGGCGGCGACGAAAAGGTATGCATCAATGATGTAATTGAACAATCCAAGGAATATCCAGATGATGGAAAAGCCCATGACGAGCCCTGCCATCATCGGTGCCCAATACGATACGCTCGGATATGATGTCCATCCGAACCAGAAGAACGATATCGCAAAAAGAGGTGCTGCCGCCATGCATTGTTCCAAACGGTATTCTGGAGGCACAGGGTTGGGCTTAAACTGCTCTACTGCTTTGACGTAACGAGGATTCCAAATGAGGAGGTAGCAGATGACGCCAGATACACCGCCGACGAGGATAGGTAGGAACATCAATCCAGAGATACCTGGATTGAAGTGATGGCCATCGGTGAAGACAACAGGGTACGCTTCGAAAAGGAGGTATAGGCAACCGTATACGAACTATGCGTGGCATATGAATATCGTGAACTGAACGAAAAGATTGAAGACTTACACTCATGTAGAGGCTGATAGCAAGGAGCATGGGCTCAGTGAACAAGATTTTGAACGGCCTGTACACAACGTCCTTCGCACGTCTTACGAATCCAACGTGTTGCCTTTCCAGAGGTGCCCAATATCGCGAGTCTCCAGTGTCCTTCCTTAGCTTCTCCGCTTTCCGGACCAACAGGATAGGGCTGGAAATGATTGCATAAGATACGTATGGGATGCGTAGAGATGGGGCTACTTACGTATAGGTTTCCGGCAGTGTGAAGAACACAATCACAAGGCACGCACCAGCGAAGAAAGCCAAAAGCCAGAATATCCATCTCCATGAGACACCAGCGACAGCCATGAATCCGCTAATGAGAGGCGAGACGGATGGCCCAGCAAAGGGTCCTAAAGTAAAGACACCAAGAGCCTTCCCTCTTGTATCCGGATCCCACAAATCAGATATGAGCGCACTACGATAAAAACACTTGAGTTGCGAAAAGTGAGTAAAGACCGAGATGCACCTACCCGCTATTTGTGAGAGGCGCAGCTGCGAAAACACCTCCGAGGAACCGAAAGATGAGGATGGCCGCCGTATTGGGTGAAAGTGCACAACCCACTTGGAAGCACGTGTAAACGAAAAATGTGATTAAGAATATCGGCCTTCGACCGTATTGCTCGGATAGCGGTCCCCACAATAATGGTCCGACGCAATAACCCGCAACGAAGAGTGCGATGAGAAGGGTACCAACTTCTCGTCCGAAACCGAAGTGTTCCTCCAGTTGAACAATCATACCTGAGGGCGCCGAGCTCGCAAAGGTGCTGTCGACCAAAATGAAATAACGTCACAAAAGAAAGTACAAGGAAGGCGACATACGCGTTCAGAACCAGAAGGCCTGCGACCGAAGTCATATACCAACGCTTCGCTCGCGACCAGTTGTGTGGGTTCGCCAATTCGTCCGGTTCGAATCGCACTTCGAACTTATCCCAGCCTTCCTCTCCTGGCTGAGGACCATATGCCTCGTGACGAAACTCCGATTGCACGTCCTCATCTCCTTCTCGATCGAGGGTCGAAGACGCCACAAATGTCACAGAATCTCGTGCAGAGCTACTCGGATGGCTGAGGTTGTGATCTGGTTTAAGGAGCACAGGCTCCGGTGGTGTCAGGGACATAATTGAAGGATATTACGAGCTGTGGAGATAGTGGGAGATAGTGGGGGGCTCGAAAAGCAGCTCGCGAAACTTTTGAGTTCTGACCATGGGCTGAATCTTCATTATATACTAGTCCATCAAGAATGTGGCAGGGCTGACAAACTTACACCACAGGGCTTACCCATAGCACGGTCTGCCTGCCCATTTCGTACGCGCAGAGACTCGCCGTGTCATGACGCGAGAGCGATGGGAGCGGATGCTCTCCATATACGGTAACGCGCCAACGCTGACCTATCGAGGCTTGGTCAGCCGAATATGCTGGCGTACCTCGACATCTCAGGTGGATCCAGACCATTGTACCTTGCGAATACTGAATCTTCAATGGCATAGTCATTTGAAGATGTTGGCGATTGAGGGTGTAAGAAGCTGAGCGAAGGTGGGTACGCAACATCGTTTCAAGCGCTATTGCATGACAAGCCGCTCGCGACGGAGACGCAATAGAAACCCACATAGATTGAAATGGTAGTGCCTCTGCGAAGTTTGGCCATATTTGACCATGCAAAAGATTCCAGAACTGCAAAATGTCACGGTGTGCAAGGGTGCGAGTAAGCACTACGAGTCCGATGTGCACCACAAGTGCGTCCGATCCGACTTGAAGCATTCATATACCCTTTGCATCCGTTGACCCCTTAACTGGATAGATGCAAGATTACCGAGTCCGAAAATTCTGGGTGACCGAGGATGAATGTATAGCAATCACTCACTATACGGAAGCCTTAAAAATGTCTCGCCTACGGGAAACGTAGCAACCAATGTTGTGACGACCTGCGAAGTTCGATGTATGCACTCCGTATAGTAGATGAGCAACTTAGACCTATTCGACAGCAACACACGGAAGACTTATCAATCAAGCAGTAAAGGCATTCGAGGCTGGTGCTTACATGCTGTAGCTTGTTCTGTGAGTGCCTTTAAGGACAAAATGATGCCCGGCCCTTTATGAGCACGAGTAGATAACTAGATTTCATGCCATATAAAGCATGAACGGACAGTAAACAGCTCAAAGAAAGACGGCGGGGCATCCAGGACGCGTCGCGTCTGTGGCTGAGCGTTCAGACTCCGCTTTGCTGGGTTGAAGCTTACTCCGCCTTCCTATATTTGTCTTTCTTCGTTTACCAACTTCAAAGATACGCTTGAATTGTATCCGACGTTTCCCATCCACACATTCTCCGAAGACGACTCTCTGAACTCACATCACAATCCGATACATCGTTCTTTATGAGTCTTGTGGTATCGCTGTAACTTATGACGCAAATTAACTGCGACACCAAATCTGAAGTCATCTCCACTTTTCATGGTCACCCTGTATTCGAATGTGCAACGTGTTCCGCTGTCATTGCTAGTAGCTTGCGTGCCGATTACACTGCGCTCCAGACTAACCAGTTTTTCAGGCTCTGCAAGATGAGCTTATAAGCAAATCATTCTCCGGGCGAGATGGCCGCGGCTAGTATGTGTCAAGATCAATCGTTAAGAGTAGACCTCATACGTTTCTAGTCTCATGCATTCTGCTATAAATATCAAGGCAGGGAGAAGAGAGGACCGCCCACTGCTGTCAGTCATTTCAATATTTAATCCTCGAGTCGCCCGTTGAAGTCTTACTGTATCCGCAGAACTGGCGTACACACTGTGGAAGACGTCTACTGCAAAGGGTGCAATGAGCGACTGGGTTGGAAATACGTGAAAGCTTCTGACAATTCGCAGAAGTACAAGGAAGGTCTGTCAACGGTCCTTCCTCCCTTTCATTATTCGGTGCTCACAAGGTTTCCTTCATAGGAAAGTTTCTCCTGGAAAGAGAGAAATTGGTGAAGAATAACTCTTGGACGTTGGACTCATGATCCTCGCTGGCTGGCTCGTTTGATTACTGGTTTGTTCTGTGTCTTATGCTTTGAGTAAGTTGTGTTTACTTCTGACCGAATCACGATGACTGTACCAGTATGCGTCTGTCTTGTCTTCCACTACTATTGGTCCTCGTTTATCCGCAGCTGATACTGTTCGCAACCTCATTGACGGTTTCCATGATGACTGGTGGTCGGTGACATGTCTTTGAGTCGTGTAACGCCTCTTCACGCTTTGAAATACTAAAGACTAGCCTCATGAAGATGCCTAATACACCAGCATGACCCGATGCTGAGATTTCCCTGCACCGGCCTTTCTTGGTTTTGTTTAGATTGGTTAAACATGACTGACAGGTTTCATTTCCGTGTGGGATAACATGTCGATCGCATACATTTGCGCGGTCATGGCATAGGGACCTCCGTGCAAACGACTTCGCGAAACACCAGGTACGCCCTCGAAGCAGGCTCTGGAATGTGGACAATCGTGCCTAGATGCAGACTTCCGTTAGACTTTTGATAACCATTTCCTCAAATGAGGAAGGCTCATGGTTGACTCGGTCGACATCTGGGGCGGTTACAGGACAGGCATGATAATGGCTGTCTCTCGTTGGGCATTCTAATGAACATAAGTCAATGAGCACCCTTTCGTCGATCAATTTCGCGGAGCGTCTTATGGCGATTTTATTCGATTCCAGTCCTTCATTAGTCACACATCATTGTTATCGGACTCTCAAGAGAATGAAACCTATTTTGCGGGTAAATACGCTCAGATGCGCAGTGCCATGGAAGCTGATAGGTGTGCTTATGGGTCCACTATGTATGAGAGCTTAACGAAAGCTGCTGTCACTACTTGGCGAGATGTCAATGACTGGTGGTCATGATTGACGTGGTGCCCGAAATCATCGCCTGCAAGAACTATGTTGTACATAATAACGTTTGAAAATGCCAGCGATATTGCTTTTGAGGGTGAGTCGAAACAGGCACATGCTCGATGTAGTCTCAGGTCTCTGGATGTCCAAGCAAAGTTTTAGGACCGAGGGGCACTGCACTGATCAAGAACTCGCCCAAGACTGTACGACAGTCTAGCCATGTTACAAGTTGGCCGTAGAGTCAACAACTGAACTCCCACCACATGCCAGGCTTCTTTAAACTGAGTCGAGTAACGCATGAGCAGGTATCGGGTCGTATCGTGAAACGGGTATACAAGTACAAGGAGTCTTGTTGTAAGATGCAATGGACGAAAGCAATGGGACTCGATTAAAACAACAGTATACAACATATCCTAGTAGTTCAAGAACAGTGTCATCTCGGTTGCATTCGGAAACTCTGCGCAGATGCTGGAGGTGTGAAAGTAGCGTTCGTAGGACTTTGACCAGCATCTCCTCGTGAAGGCCCTGCAGTGCCAAACCCAGGTGTGATAGGGCTCGAATACGGTGTACTTGGCCCAGAACCCGCAGGAGCCATGCCTAATAGCTTCTGTACGATGAATGGTTTCGGTTCGGCCTGCGCCGCTGTCGGAGATCCCGGCAGTGGTGGATGTGGAGATCGCTGAATACCGCTCAATCGATTTGCACTCGCTCTCCGTGACTCACTGGACAGGTCGATGGTGGAATAGGATGAGTGTCGGAAGTGGATGTCGGAAACGGTATAAGGTATCGATTCCGTGGGCGAAGGTAGGAAGTCCAAAGTTTGAGTATTTGCTTCGGGATCTAATGGAGACGACGCATCTTCAGGGATACCGGAAGTTGGTACTTGGGGTGACGAGGAAGAGGGCAGAGAGATGGGCTGAAGTGATATGTTCGGACTAAGAGAGGGACGACTGGACGTGGGTCCGCCACCAATAGCCATCGAAAGTCCGAGAGATATCCGATGATCTAAGGGTAACGATGCGTAGTCCACCGTAATGTTGTCATATCGTGATTTTGAGGAGCTTCGGGTTGAGTTGGATCGCGATTGTCGTGTTGATCGTGCATCACTCCTCAACGATGCTGATGCGGACGAATCCAAATCGAGGAAAGAAAGATGAGGATCTTGAGATGCAAAAACCACAGGGGAAATGGGAGTAATAGGGGTGATAGGAGTTACTGGTGTGCTATGGGTGACAGTAACATTCGGCACAGCGGGCATGGTGTCGTAGTTCGGTACATGACCAAAAGATAGTGCAAGCCTCAAAGACTGGGGCAGTGAGACGGCGCCCGCGCTAGCATGACGCCCTTCCCGCCGCTGCAGTGTGGTTTCATACGGCTCGTCCTCGAAATTCACCCGTAGTGGACTAAGGTGATCCGATTCCCGTCGCTCTCTTGTGGCTGCCGCACCATCTGGCTCTGGCTCTGACTCTTCTACAGCTGCCCGATAGAGTTCCGCTAACAGCATTCCTCGGCTACTGTCACGCTGATGAATTGGTAGTGAGGAATGCATGCTTCGGGGACCACGGGGTTTGGTCGGTGGTGAGGAGACAGGGGAACCCCTGCGAGGACTTGGAACAGGGGAAGCTGGTTGACTTTGCGACGAGCGGCCGTGAACATGTCCTTTCTGAGGAAGCTCAGGTAGGTCGATTGAGAAACTACCGTCGGAGTTCTTCGACGCATGTCTGACCTGAGTGACCTCTTGGATCCCTCTCGCTACTTCAATATCATCAACATACTCCTCTATATCCTTTGAGGCACGGATATCGAGAACGCCACCTTCCATTCTATCATGGGCTTTGGAGCTGAAATGTATGTCCTTTTCTCCCTCCGCAGAATGAACTGAGCGACCTGAGCGACCCGAACGTATTGACCGAGCAAGGAAGGAAAGACGACGCATAGGGCCCAACCGTGGGTTAACGATGAGCTCTTCTTTGCGTCTGTGAGCACGCCTCCGCCGTCGAGCACAGTGTATGACTAGAGCAATGATAGCGAGGAATGCCACTGATGCAGCAACGGCAATACCGGCGATAGCGCCACGCGACAGGTGTGACGAGGACATAGTCCTACATGCACAAGGAGGGGGTAGAGTGCACCATAAGTTGAAAGACAGTGAACAATGAACGGATTTAAAGCGTGAAGAAGAGAAACTCACGTGCCCGTATCTCCCCCAACGGCTGTCACATCAACGCTCCCCATTGCAAAGAAGCCAGAATTCTCGTCATTTGGCGCGCCGACGTTGACTATGCCAAGTTGGTGCATGACAGAGGGGTCAAGACCAGTCCGGTAGTAGAGTACGGTGGGGGTCGTAACGTTGAATGATGACTTCGCAGAGAGGGTCACAGGAGCGTCTCCATTGAGAGTGATATTATATGAACCAGACACTGTAGTCGTGAGGCCAGAAATACTGATAGCCGTACCTGCGCTCGTGTAACGATACGCGATGCCAATAAGGAGTCAATCATAAATGCAGAATGAAACGCCGAAGGTGAAAGCGTGAGATATAACTGATGTGACGCAGAAAGAAGCACAGCCAAGAAGTGAAACATACCATTAAATGACAATAAAGCCCGATCGCCTACGTTCTTGCTGGTATGGAAGGTGTCATTGTGGCCTGGAAGTAGATCTGGCTCGAATGACCACTGTCCTCGGAACGATATGCCGTCATCAGGAAACAAACTTGTCGTTGGTGATATTTCTGAAGACCTGAAAGCGCAGAAATGGTCAGCACGTGTAGAACATAAGGCCGAAGGATATCAGAGATCAAAAGTCGGCAAATATAAATGTAACGTATTGTGAATGAAAGGTTCACATGAAAGCAGTCAGTGAGAAATCGACGAGAATCAGACAGGAGCAAAGTGATAACAAAGCTTGCGCTCGGGAATGGCACATGGCACTAGAAAGCCATCGGAAGCAGGAAGGCGGTTAATGAATGACACCCCACAACACATGTTATTTGTTTTGAAGCACTTGCCCGATTACCTCGGCCAACACAGCATATTGTGCGGGATGAAGAAGAGGAACAAGGCTGAAAAAGAGTGGGAGAAAGCACGGACGACACTTACCCCGATGTCGCTTCATCCCAGAACGCAGGCGGCACGCCGCTCGTGAGGACAGCACGATCAAACTGCAAAAGCACAGATCCATCCGAGACTTGTTCCGGATTATGCATTACGAGCTCAATAGTATGTAGGCCGTAAGTAAGATTGGCGAATGAGGCGAGGATGTTATTTGCGTAGTCCGATGGGGAAGAAAAGAATGAACCATAATTGGTTGTAGGGGTACCGTCGAGAGAGATTGAATAAGTCACGGAATCCACTTGTTGTGCGCCATTGTTTGAAAGGGTGAGCTCGCCATAAAGGGAAATCGCTGTACCTGCACTCGTAAGAGTCAGATTGATAGAATGACGTCGAAATGGTCATCGAAAGCAAACGAAATACATGACTGCAAAACCAAATTTCTATTCCAATGATATTAGTTTACCTACGGCAGCGCGGATAAAGCAAATTGTCGATATCCACATGGCCGGTCTCAAACTCAGCCAGTTACGAGTGAAATAGCGACGTTAATGTCATCGTGAATGCAGAGGCAAATTCCAATCGTGCAGGTAAAGTCATCCCTCAAGAGAATTAGACTCACCGTTCCATCGAACAATCAGTGATGCCCCGTCGAGGGAAGTGACATGAAGGCTTTTTCCATCACTAGTAGCAGGTTCATCACTAATCCTGGAGTCCAAAATGTACCCTATCCACCCGTTGGAAGAGTTAATATCTTGAGCTGGTGTGTATGAGATGGTGGGTGAAGTATCGTCGATATTGATGATGAAACTGTTGGCGGTGTTGGAAACAGAATCACGATCTGCCATGCATACAGAGAATCAATAGCTATCCGCAGAGCACAATCAAGCATCAAGTTGTTGGAGTATCAAAGAGATTGACGGGCCAAGGTGCAGCTGAGGGGGAGAGAACCTGCTCGTTGACGGGGTATGGCTGAAGAAGCATAAAAAGACACGCGCTTCGAGGCAGGAATCCTGGCGCAGATGGTGGTCGTCAGCGGCACAAAGCAGGGAATAGAAGTAAGCGAGAAGAGGCAGTATGGGGGCAAAACACGGGGCATTGAGCGCTCCCTCTGCTATACAGTAGATCGATAGTCATTCCGGATTCCGAGAGTCCTCTGAAAACAGCTGGTCCAAAGACGCTTGGCGTATTGACGCTAATGTTCGGCTGCCCGGATGATTTGCAGCCCACCATTCTAGGGATACAGTTGGGAGACATTGTCATGTCGACCAGATGCCCACCGAGTACGGATATATCAACCAATCAGTGTGGTCAAACCTCGACGCTGACCGAATGCATCACAGATTACCTCCTAGAATGCAACAACTTCGCTGTCAAGACCCTGAATGGAGGAGTTTCTGGATAGATACTCCCATGAAGCTCCTCAGAATGGTGCATGGTCAAGGTGCATGAACTGACCTGGCCAATTTGACCCACGATGCATCGGCCCGTCGGCTGATTTTGCCATCAAATGCCAATCCGATTTTGGTATTCAAGTTCAGTCCATTGGCGTCACATTCCACCTCGCAAGTGTATCGCAGCAGTGAGAAGACTTTCATCTGCCTCTCTTGAAGTGCTATTGCGCGAATTTCTACTCAATGTTATTTTTTCGCGTTTTTAGCCTTGCAGGCGCATGACTTCCCATCATGTCCACCGCGTCATGTCCGAGCTCTGACAGTGGTAACCATCCGCATCGCCTCGAAGCTTGATAGGAGCTCAGTGCTCACTCTCCATACGAGCGTTGACCGCAATATTTAGCTTCGTTCGGTGGTATTGTGTTGCACTCTATCGTGTTTTCACTGGATCTCAGCGTATAAAGCCATGACTTAGACTCACTCTTCTTCTTCATTATAGGTCTGCCGTGATAATCGATCTTTCGGAATTATATGCAAGAGACTGCCCATGAGGCTTTCACGGAAAAGCAGGCTTGCCTTGGCGGCTCTTTACTGATTAGGTTGGCGTTCCTCGACTCGCGGGATCAGGTCATTCAGGCTCTTGCGGCAAACCTATCTCTCCGACGTTAGTGGTGTCTCAGCACCGTAACCAATGTCTGTGAGAATGGCTCTGTTGTGTGGAGTATCGTTTACCAGGCTTTAGGCCTTAGGACCTGTCATAAGCATTACCTCCTCATGTAGCTCAAAACACGAGTGCGCATTCCAATCTATACATGACACTCGAACGACGCCACCATCATTACTCCTTTCATACATCATTGCGAGACGCCGTTAAGGCAAGCTATCGCCAGATATAACCCATCGAGGATCTCAGGGGCGACAACGTCCTCCGACTTCGGATGTGATTCGGACTTGGCGATTGCAATGATTGTGAAATGTCATGGGTAAGCTTCATATTTCCCAATGGTCCTATCTACATCAAGTGGATAGATTTCTCGTATTGAGAGGGATACAAATGACGATAAATCGTAGGGGAAGGGTGGATCACACGGAGATTATTTGAAGCGGTCATCGATGAACATGGAAAACCAAAGTACTCGCTGCCATCTCTGCATTCCATTGAATACGTATTATCGAAAACTATACAACTCGCTGGCTCTCTCAAGGCTTCTCGGATCACTGTGGTTTATCCAACTCCAAGCCGCCACAATCAGTAAATTATATCGTGACAGTTGCATCAATCATTCGTACCGGGCTAGTTTGTTCTGGTTTATATTCTAATGTGCTTCTGGCTCAGAAAATTCACGTAAGACGTTTTGAAGGTTAGAGCTACCGGCCCGCTTTTGACTGCACTCCTCTAGTACTTAGTTCAAACATGACAGTACAGCACTTTGGTATATTTGGCAAGCACTCGGAGGTATCAAGTTGGCTTGTTGATACGTACTAGGTTCATTCGCAATTACTCAGTATTTATTTTCATTCAATACGTGCTAGTGAACGCGAACGTGGCACATATTTCGCTACTCGACGCGTCCCACACGTGGTGGGAAAATCGGCTCGATCATATCAAGGCGACTCGATCACAGAGGTCTGACAGGCGTCTCCCCACACTGCGCGTCGAAATCAGGGTTCATAGGTTCACGAATAATTCCTCACAACAAGCATCGTGTCCAACAACAGACGAACCTCGGGGTCGTTTACTCCTAAGAGTTTAACCTCCGAGGACACCTTGAATGATGGCAACGGAACCCTACGGCACTGCAGGATATTTTCCCTCCCTGCTCTCACAAATTCACGACGCTTATCCTGACATTCCCATTGACACTGTGATTTTTCAGGCTATTTTGCTATGCCTTGTTGCTGGAAAGTCCTCTACAGATGCATTAACTGACCCCGGTGCACAGACTTCTTGTGGGAGTAAATATCTGCTGCTGCGCACCCGCGAGGAAGACGTGAGCATGGTGGCCAATATCGTCGTTACGGTGAGTTTTGATTCCGGATATTGGTTGCATACATTACCGTATGTGGAATGATTGGATACATTGTGGAGATAGAAAGCCCCCCTCTCTCCCACTCGGACCTGCTTGTAGCGGTTGAGAACGAGCCACCAATTTTCTTCTTCATCCGGTGTTTGACACCGTTTCACACTGTGTGATCCTCCCAGTGCTGAAACTGTATGGGTTAACCACGTTCATATTCATGACAGGCTTGACTCAATAGAATATAGCAGGTTTGTTGCTTTACAAAGCCAGCTAGGTGTGGTTTCCGACACCCTCTTCCGGGAACCCCGATGGGCTTATATGCAATACCTCGTGTACTATGTCCAAGGTGTCGTGCATATGAAACATGCGACTGGCTCTAAGAGCGCGATTTGCTGTGTTCAGGAGATGAAGTTTATGCTTTCTTTCTCAGCAGGGTCTGTGATATGATATTGTCTCGTATCTTCGCCATCTCTTTCCACCTTGGGTTTCTTCCGATCTAACTTTAAATTCTTTGCATCACCTGCAGACTCTAACCACTGTCTTCGGCCTCCCGAGTAACAAATCTCGGATCAAACCTACGACAGCTGCTAGTCTAGGCGCAGCCTCAGCTTCAAGTTCACGCGTAACCTCTTCATCCAGTGCTAAGCGTTTCACAGCACAGACAGCAGTCCCACAATCGGATCAGTTCCTCCGCTCGTTGTTCTTCCGACCCCAAAGACATTCACGGGTAGAGTCAATCCTTACGAGTGAGCGAGACCGTAGGAACAGCTCTAGTCGCAGGTCTGCTCGGCATTTCAAGAGAAGGTCGGCGACTTTGCCTCCTGAGAACGTCTTGCACGATAATTCCGCGTTGGGCGTAGGTTTACTTGCGCCGAGTGTTACCAGTCATTTGAAGGATACAACGGATGAAAGTTTTTATGATGCGGCATCGATGGCTTCTTCAAGAAGGCCTCTCTTGCCTGATGGCAGAACACCGGCTTCGACATTGAGGAGTATCCGTCCTCAAGCTCCGAGGTTACAAACAGACCCTACACCCCTCATTTCCATATTCCAGCCTCCCTCAGTGAGCAATGCTAGTGCTAAAGCGGCACCATCTATCGGGCATACATCTTCAGCAAGTATATCAGGAATTGTTCTGCCAAAGGCTTTGGTCGTTTCTGGATTAGAGCATACTGAGATATCTGCACAGCGGGCGTTGACGCAGGTCCTTACGGAGAGAAGGCTTGTATTGGAGAATGAGCAGGAGCACGACAACGGTGAAGTTTGGAACCTGCCAGAGGACTTCATTTTCGTATATGTCTGTCCCTCGGATGCGAGTGATAGACCGCCTATCCTACCAGGACTGGTACGTGAATTCTAAGCCGTTGCTGACAGCGTATCTTTAACTACTCATCATACGATAGCTCGACAAGTTCTCTATGAGTGTAGATGTCACCATTTCCCCAACGGTCCGTCAAACATACAATGCGTATCGTGCACTACAAGCCCCCTCCTTCCACTCCCCCTCCCCCCGATCACCAACATCTCCACTGAAACCACTGACTCCTTCATCCGAAATCACACTACCAACCGTGAATACAAGGCCGAACTTCATACGTCCAGCGTCAGCCGGCCCACCACCCAATAAAACCCCTATCATCACATCTTCAGAACTCGCGAGGCTCAGGGCCTTGACGAACTCTCCACCGCTGGGGTTATCGGAGTTGGGTAAAAGGACGCAAGATGCATATACATCGATCCATCCTTCATTGAACATGTATCTCGCGGATCTCTTCTCTGCAACTCGCCACCATCCAGAATTGGACAGTTCACTCCTAACGCTGCGTGCACATCGAGATGCTGCAGACCTCGTACGCGCATTCCGAGTGATTAGCGGAGACTCCTTGGGTACTGAGCTCATCTCGTCTATCTCTTCGAATGCCTTTGCCAATGGGTTGCGAGTAAGTGACGAGATGAATAGGACAATAACGAGTACAGAGGGAGACGCGGAGAGCTCGAGAGCATTGAGCAAGGCGGACGATGAGAGTCTCGGTTGGGGCGGAATGGATGATGGGGACGAAGTGCTCATGAACCTTCACGGACATGAACATGCAAAGAGCATGGTAGCTGTTCACGTTCAGGCACCCGATGCCTCCTCAAGCCAGGACATGCCTTTCGTTATTGGCGATCTAGGATTGATAGAGGGGCCGGAAGTAAAGTTTCCAGAGCCTCCTCCAGAGATATGGGACGTGAGCGAAGTAGATATTGCGAGGATATTCCCGAGAGTCGTCTCGCATAGGTTGAAAGTTAGGGAAGGGCCGGATGATGAGATCTTGGGGAGTTTGATGTTCCCCGCGGCGGAGGAACCGAAGAGGTGGAAAGCTGCTGGGCAGGAGAGGACGTCGACCAGGAGAAGTGTGAAGGAGATTCTTGTCGAAATATTGTCAGATGTATAGATAATTTGCGCGATACTCATCGGATTCATATTGTAGTAAGGAATGGTAATACCAATATGAAGTTGCCCGAAGCGAAGAGACTACTCGAAAAGACGTTCATTTCCCCGGAAGATGACATGCCCAACTTTGCGTTCAAATAATGGTGCCAACCGGGATCGTCGACGTTTCTTCCTAGGTACATTGACAATGGACTCCGGGGTGACCGTAGCTTTAGACCCACTGTCGATGGCCATAGCATCCTCGCCAGCCGCTTGGGTGGGCGCAGATGAAGCAACGAGCGCTTCTGCATCCTGTGGCGACAGAACGGGAGGGGCAGGAATACGTCGCCAGTTCTTGCATGACAGGCAAGTGTACACGACAGCATTTCCGTGTGCTTGGGAAGCTGTGCAGTAAAAAGTTGGGTCATGGGGACTGAGGGACTGCGGAGTATGACTTACTGTTGACACGGATACTCGCAGTTGATCCTGGGATTAGGACAATGTTGCACTTCTTGCATAAGGTCCGTTTAACAGTGGGATCACTATTGTGGCCGATTAGGACGGGAATCACAGAGGAAAACGAGACAATGTACAGTCTAACGGTGGTTTTGAGACCAATTGCCTTCATTGATTGGATATAGTTCCTAGACAAATCTTCACACGAATTTGGGTGCCGTTTCCGAGAACGATCCTGTTTCTTTGCTTTTCTTGAGAGCTTCGCGGTAGGATGATTGCTTGCAGCCGGCGGTTCAGGCGATTCGGTGGGTAACTTGGAGGAACCCGCTTCGATATGGTTCAACAGAGCACCGGCCTGATACAAAAAATTCATCCGCTGTAGAATCTCTCTATTAGTGACATTATTTGGGTTTGGCACGTCGTCTTTCTGTTTCTTGGCCATGGTAGCTTGAGTCGAAGGCTGCCCTGTATTTTAGCGCTTAAAATACGAAGTACAGATGCTAATACTGCAGGTCAGTGGTGTAAGCTGCCTTGGGGTTGGTGAATCAAATTTTACAAAAGGCGTTCTGAATACGAAGTCAACCAATATCTGAGGTTGCACGTGAAGATTCGGCATCTGAACAGCCTAGACATTCCATATAGGGTATGTTTTGCTATCCCGTAGCATTTCAAATTGTGAGTTACGTAAGCAAGGGATACGTGGAAGGTCGACGTGTCCGCAGAGCTGCTCATCTTTCCTCACGACCACCACGTACGCCCTACGCCTCTCATATCAGGCAGCCTTTCTTTCTCTTTCTCTCTCTTCTCCACGTAACCTCAACGTACTCTTTTCATCATGAAACGTTCAGCGGATGCAACATTTGACATCGCAGAGTCATCATCATCTTCTATCACCCTTCCCTCACCTCAAGCTCAATCACCTGCATCGTCATCATGTTCTGATTCTCAACCAGCAGGTCCCTCGCGCAAGCGTGCTCGTGGAGATATTACTCCTGAGGAGCGTAAGGAGGCTCGTGCCCACAGGAACCGCATCGCAGCGCAGAACTCCCGCGATAGGCGGAAGGCGCAGTTCGTATTCCTCGAGCGACGGGTGGCTGAGCTCGAGGAGGAGAACAGGCAACTCAAAGCTGGCATGGGTCTCACTGAGCTTCGTAACACCACGTCTGACAACATAACCAACGAGCAGCGCGAGCGGGAGAAGGCGAAAGAGAAGGAGAACGAAGAGCTTAGAGAAAGAATTAAAACTCTTGAGAACGGCTGGGACGCTGTGGTAAAGGCTTTAGCGGCCTCTGGTCTTCCCCTCCAAATTCCTTCCCCTTCCGCCCCGAATTCCCTCCAATCCGAATCGTCGTCTACACCTTCCCACCCGTCGATTTCGTTTCCGGCAATGGTTCAGCCATCACCGGTATTCCCCCTGACGCCCGCGTCCTCTACACCAACCTCTTCCCCGAACTCCGAAGTTGAGCTTGACGACTTCGAGACCACTTGCCACCTAGCACGGGTGGTGAGCACCGATGCCCCTCTTTTATCGTCGGTGCCCCGGCAGCGGGTGGTCTCGCAACGAATCAGCTCCAACTCGAGTTCATCTCCTCTTCCTCCTCTCATCCCCTCCCGTCATCAGCAACATCGCCAGCAGCTCACCATCTCCAAGGCGAGGCAGCCACTTCTTCAGCCGACGAGGCTCTCATGGAAGACCTGTTCCGCGAGATCCTTGCGCCAAGTCCCAGCGTCACGCCGTCAGCTCTGCCTGCTCCTACTGCCACAGGCAAAGTCACTTCCCCGTCGATCTTCTCGGCCTCCACCATGGCCTCAGCGTCGCCGCCGGTGACAACGACGATGACGGGTAGTATGGAGACTTGGGATGGTGACGCAGAAATGCAGAAACTTCTGGACATGCTCCCGCTTGTTCAGCCGGATTCCAATGGGGATAATGTCGGCGGTGAATTGAACACTTCTTCTGTCGACTTCCCCTCGTCTCTCGATCTGGAGATGTGTGGATGGGATATGGGTCAGTACATTCAACAGCCACCATCATCAATACCCACGGTTGGCGCGTTTTAAATACCCCATTATCTCCATATCTATTCGCTCACATCTTAGTTTCTTCATTGGATCATATCGCATTTCTGTTGGTTTCCGTCACAGTATCTCTTCATCCCAAGGTTATCTATGTTGTCCCGTTTTTCTATTTTTTTTTTTTCGGAGACACTAATTTCGTCACATTCCCGACACCTTATCACTCGACTCCTACTTTCGTTTCGTTGGTACACTTATTGTCTTCTTGTTTCTGACTTCGGGCTTGCATTTGATTGCTGTCTCCTGATTGTTTGCTCAGGCTTTTTCTCCCCCTCGGGGTTGATGAATTGGTCTGGGTCGATGGTGAGTGAGCGCTCAAGTGTAGAGTTTCGCGGTCGGTATCGTTGATTATTGTAGTAGTACCGGTTCCTGCTGTATGGAGAAGTGAAATTGATTCAATGAATTGTGACAGACATTCTAGAATACCTTAAGCCCGCGCGACTGAGCTCCTTTCGTTGGTATAATTTCGTTTATAAAACTCAACTTTTTTCTTGAACGGGCACAACCATGACAGGTCCCTTTTCTCTCAAGAATTTAAGTAATCGCGAGCAAACTGCTCAAGAGAACATACGTATACGGCAGCTGGTCGAATTCCACAGTTACGGTGCCAGTGAGCGTCTCAAATGGATAGCCTTCATCGAACAGCATTGAACTGGGCTCACAGTTGTCACTAAGTGGCCATGCAACGCCTCATCCATGCAAGGCTATATATTGTGGAACCACTTCCTCCAGACATTCACATAGTCGATAATGTGTTTTATAGATAACCATGCTTTGGTGCATAAACTGTGCGTATCCGTCTATGTATTGAATTACTATACTACTGCTAACCTGTGACCACGACGACATTCGTTATAAAACAGCTTCACTAGACTCTTCCTGACGGCGAGGCAATTCTACAATGCAACTGTGATAGGCAGCTATTATTGCCTTCGTCTTGAATTTATTCGGCGTAAGTGGCCACGAATTTGGGACTCTACATTAGCGACGAATATGCAACCGCGCAAACTGGACTCCTGCATAACATGGCTTCAAAAAGCGGTCGCTGTCACCCCGGAGGGATACTGGTTTTACCGTTGGAGACTTTTCGTGTTAGCGCATTTTCTTCGATCTCGTTCGTCAATGAATCAAAATCAAGAAGAGCTCAAAGAGGCCATCGCCCTGTTTCGCACTGTGGTCGAGTCCCTGCAGGAGACTGATCGTTTACCAGGCCCAGGTGAATGCCGTTATCAGCTAAGCAAAGCTCTCCTTCTTTACTACGAGCATTGGGGTGATATCGAGAGCCTTCATTTTGGCACAATGTATGCTCGTCAAGCCGTGGATTCGGTATCTGAGCATAATCCCAGCTATCCTACCTTCCTTCAGCAACTTGCATCATCATTGAAGGCCCGCGCCCGCTTAACAGGTCACCGATATGATCTACTCGATTCGGTTTCCTTGATGCGGCATGCGGTAAAACTTGCCCCTCGGCGAGCAGATGTGCTTTTCACGTGCGCCACCACACTGAAGGCGGCTTCCATGTGGCTGGACGACCGTCAGTACATCGAAGAGATACTGGATGTGCTATATAAGGGCATGGAGATTGACTCAGGCAGATATCGGGAACGGTTTCACTCTGAATGGCTCACCGTATTGGGTCATACGTATGCTTTTCGCGGAGAAGGGGACGACTTGGACCACGCCGCATCTCTACTAACTCAAGCAGAAGCCATGAGCACCCAAGAGCCCTGTGTTAGCCGTGCTTGGATACTACTGCATCGAGCGGAGGTGGAAGCCCAAAGGGGAAGGGGTGGCCTTTCTGATGCCCTCGATTTGGTGGGAGATGCTATGGAATTATTAGCCCCCAACCATCGACTCCGTATTGAAGGCGTGGCTGATACCATGGTGAACATTCTAACTGGGCCAGGTGATTCCAAATTGCCGCTTTGGCTGCTCCAACGTAGTATCGATATACTAGCTTGGGCAGCTCAGTCTCCATCCATCTCACCACATGCACGTTTCAGGGCGGCCGTTTGCTGGGCAAGATATTGCGAGGAAGGATTGCGCACCGATGCCGCAGAAGCATTTTCTATTGCTTTAGAATTACTACCCCGCCTGACCTCCGTAGGTCTCGACATCGATTCACGTCACCAGATGCTTGCGTCTGAAGCTCTGGGTTTGGCATCTGATGCTGCTGCCTCTATCATGGCGTTTATACCGGAAACTGGTTTAGAGAAATCAGTCGAGATGTTGGAAGTTGGACGAGCAGTGTTTTGGGCACAAGCGTTGCAGCTACGCACGTCTTTCGACGCCCTCGCAACGCAGGAGCCTGATCTTGCGGACGAACTGGCTCAAGTTTCCAAGGAACTTGAAGCCAGAAGTTTTCGTATATTGCCGACGAATGTCCAAGGTCGATTCTCCGCGGAGACCTTAGCTGCGAATGCGCATAACCATCATTTATCTCAGCGATGGGAGGAATTGTTGTCCAGATGTCGAAGCGTCCCGGGATTCGAGGACTTCCTACAGCCCAAGCGCTTTTCGGATCTATGTGCGTCAGCCAATGGTGGTGCAGTGATCATCGTGAATGCCAGTCGCTCTTACTGTGATGCCTTAATTATAAGGTCTTCCCCACCATCCGTAGAATGCGTACCCTTGCCTATCAAGTATGCTGAAGTTGCTGAGATGGCGGAAGCCTGGCGATCATTGTTGGAACATTATGGACGATCCTGCCGATCCACCAGAAGCGCTCAAGAAAGGCAGGAATCGCAACGCGGCGGTCGAGTACGATTACCTCCCGAATACAAGTCTAGTAAAGATGTGCTCGCCGCTCTTTGGTCTCGAATAGTACAACCGATATTGGAAACCCTGAATCCACCGGTGCGTTACTTCCCACGAAGAGAACTGAGCGTTGTGTAATAATGCTACATGATAGACTACAGAGCCTCTCATGCGCTTATGGTGGTGTGCTACCGGCCCCTTCGCTTCCCTCCCATTACATGCTGCGGGAAAATTCGAAGGCCAAGCTCAGGAGTGTTTAATGGATGTAGCGATATCGTCGTATACTCCAACACTGACAGCACTTCTTACCGAGCCACGTAGTCCCGATGGAGAACTACAACTTCTAGCGGTAGCACAAGAAGAGACACCGGATATGTCACCCTTGCCCAATACGAAGCAAGAGCTACACTACATACGGGATCTAGCCACCTCAGTTATGACTGTCAACAGTCTCACAAACAAGGCAGCCGATGTCACAAGTGTGTCTGCCGGTATCAGGAAATGTAACTGGCTTCACTTGGCTTGCCATGGTCTGCAGCCGGGTTCCAAACCCCTCAACAGCGCATTCCTGCTCCACGATGGAAGACTGACGCTGTCGAACATTATGCAAATACCGACTCCTCACGCTCAGTTCGCGTTTCTATCTGCCTGCGAAACCGCGTTAGGTGATGCAGACGTGCCAGACGAAGGCATACACCTTGCTGGAGCAATGCTTTTCGCCGGCTTCCCCAGCGTTATTGCGACCTCGTGGTCGATCGAGGATGAGGATGGTCCGATTGTGGCGAGAGACGTCTACGAACATCTCCTGAAGGGTGGGAAGCCTGATGCGTCTGAAGCTGCTTTAGCATTGCATAATGCTGTTTGCAAACTCCGTGCCCAGGGTGCATCTGTCCTACGATGGGCTCCGTTCATACACCTCGGTCGTTGAATTGCTCTGTAGATATTCTTCGTGTGGAGTGGTATCCGGATAGCAATCATGTAAGTCTGCATAGTACAATTACATACAATTTGCGTGGGCAAACTAATACAGCCTATCGAGAGTCGATCCTTAGTGAAGTATGGGTGAAGTCGAAGAGTCTAGACAAATCGGCGTCGCCGAATCCAAGGAAGTCCAAATGTTTAACGTCTGCTGGCGAAGGACGCAACTTATGTATCGCATAGTTGGAAAAGGCGGCATTGTGAAATGCAAGGAAGAGATACAAATTTGAAAGATCAGTCCTTGTTTGCAAAGTCATAGTTTCCGCTAAATCAAATACTTAGGACTCGAAATCTGGTCGTTTGATACTTGAAAAAAGTGAAAGTCGGTTTTATACTTGGGCTGACTCGGAATGGCTTTTGAGTTACCTGCTACGCCATAATTACAACCGCGTCCTCACTAAGTATCACGCCATGATAAGACTCATTGGCGTCATGGTGATAGGTCCACTGTCTGCACAGGAATGGCAGAGAAGTGCCACTGGTCAGTGTCACAAAACACGTTACTCCTGTCAAGGACAGTCTCATCGTTGTGCAATGAGAGGGAATGATCTCGTTGTTTAACTTCTTCAATATTTTGTTCTCCCAAGGTCTTCCGAACCAGCAGAGGATTGAAGTCGGCGAAGAGAACGGTCAAAACGCCAGGTTCTGACTTGAGTTGAACGTGTTGAAGTTCGACGATTTCTGTGCCGGATACATCGCAAAGGCATTCGTCATCAGACCTAGCGAGCGCTTAGGGCCTTGATCTCGAGTGGACTGACTCGAGAGCATGTTCAACATCTGACAGCTCGTAGTCCAAGATCTGAATCTCCTTTGATGCTTTGACCATTCCTTCCTTCTCCCTTCACACACCCGTTATTCTTGATACAGCTGTGTACTGCCCCCAGAACCACTTAAGAACGCTTTCTGTCAACATTTGCTTCTATGCAATCCTATAGAATAGGTCCTTTGCCGATATACCATTGTCTGAAGCTGCGAGGTTCTCACCTTTGTCTCATCAAGATGAGGTACAACTTGTTATTTGTAGGTCTCACGACTTGTGTACTCGCCCCCTTCTAAAGTCCTCCGTCACGGTAAGACGTCCCCGCGTGGATACTCTGATCTTGCAGCGCCTTCGCGCGTTTCTGGTATCCACATATACAGTCGAACTCCCAGGCATGTGTAAGAAGAGACCTGCGTATTCTTCCTCCGTAACTTGACCACCCTGAGCGACGACAAGAGCTATCCAGACTACGCAGCAATGTTCGATTCGGGCCAGGTTATCTTGGAGAACGTGTTTAGATTTGCTTCAGTCATAGAAGACTCGTAAGTTAGCGATGTTCAAACGCGTCAAAATGATAGCACTGAGTATGATTTCTAGAGACTGGGAAGATATCCTTCTGATTCCGGCCTACATAATGGCGATCTCATGCGTGATACTAGTCGGGCAAGCCATCTACCATACCTTTGCCCATTCGAAGGAACGAGCACTGTCGCCTGTCGACGCTGACGACCAGGGTGTACATATTGCCAACCCTAGTCATTTGTCGCGTCTTCGAGCGCATATAGACGAACTTGGAGGTCTCCAGCTTTTCTTTTTCAGGTTAATTCACTTGCTCGCGTGTCTTGCGCTAGTCGTACTCTCCATAGCTACAAACCTACAGCAACTCACTGCGACCTATGTAAGATATTTAAACTTTTTCCAGCTGTAACTGATCGAGAAATTTGTTCCCCCTGAAGACATATGCGTCGTGTCTGTCCTTATTCTCACTTTCGGCTAAATCACCATGGAATAGAATTGCTAAGAATCACCTTCACGTTGTGCTAATAGCTTCATTCGCCCTCTTCGCCTACCGCGATCTTTGGCCACTTGCGACTTACACATTGACACCCGCCGATGGAGCGGAAGGATGGCTGCTTTGGACGGAGGTCGGTGTACTTTCTTTCGCAGCTGTCTTCATTCCTCTGGTTTCGCCTAGGCAATATGTACCCGTTGATCCTGAGGTGAGATTAGGTTCTCTTTATACCGTGTATGGAATTTTCTAAATGACCAGCGTAGGACGGTAATGAACCAACCCCGGAACAAACCGCATCTTGGCTATCACGGCTATTCTACATTTACTGTGATCCAGTGGTTCTGAAAGCATTCCGAGTGCCCCATATGAAAATTGACGATTTACCGCTTTTGAGTGACTTCAATCGGACGAAGTATCTAGTCAAAGAAAGCTTCCAGGTGTGTAAATTCTTGACCGATGATTTCTAATTGCTGATCATTTGATGCAGCATCTCGATCCACTTCTTTCTCCCAGTAGAACGCACATCGGCCTGAAGTTGACATTCAAGGTCTTTCGTATGTTCCTTTCTGATACAGCGTCTTACGATTTCGGGACTAAATATATCATGTTTTATAGCTGTCGAACATGTGAGGATGGCGCTTGCATTGATTGCCTATGTATGATATTTCATTATTGTATTCATGCATTTTTGCTGATGACCGTGAAGAGTGGATTGACCATGGCAGGTCCAATTGCCATCAACCGACTTTTGGCGTATGTTTTAGCCTCTAAGCATCTTCACCCCCTGTCTGACGTTCAACCAGCTATCTTGAAACTGGAGGTACAGATGAATTCATCCAACCCTGGTTCTGGGTGTTATGGATCCTCTTCGGCGACACATTGGCTTCTATTGCAATAAATTACTACAATTATCAGGCAGTCAGTTTTAACCATACTTTATTCTTTGTTATTTATGTATTGACCAATGTTAATTTAGACAACAGTTTTTGTTCAATGTCAAGCCATTTTGACACAGCTCATCTTTGATCATGCACTTCGTATCCGTGTCAAGGCTGAAGTCTCCAAACCTTCCCCTACTGCTAGTAATGACACCACTGCTGTCTCCACTCCTGATACTGCATCAGTAGCTGAGGGTGAAGGTCCATCTACATTCTCAGAGTCTTCTGCTGCTAGTACTGCATCTTGCACTGCATCAAGTTCTACCAAAGGTAAGAACACAGGACCTGAGGCTGACAAGGCAAAAGAACCTATAGGAGTTGAGAAGCATAACCTGACTGGAAGACTAAACAATCTTGTAACAAGTGATGTGGACAGTCTTGTGAATGGTCAGCAGTGGATGATGATAGGTAAGCACTTGGCTGTTGATGTAAGCTTAGTTGGTTATATTGTCTGTTGATTACTTTCTTGTAGCATTTTTCTTGCCAATGCAGCTTGTGTTTAATATCTGGTTTCTGTATATATTGTTGGGATGGGGGTATGTCAATGTGTTTATTCAATTCTGTGTCTGAAGGCTAACATTGGTTCTCTATGTGCAGTGTGCTACCAGGTTTCAGTGCAATGATCTTGATGTCACCTCTGCCTGGACTCATTGCCAAGCTGATTAACAATACTCAAGTACAAAAGATGAAAAAGGTTTGTTACCCCAGTGTATCATTGTTGAGACTACAATTGAATGAAATCATGTACTCCAGAGTGATGCACGGGTACAGAATGTCACTGAAAGTAAGTGTAATGTATGTGCATAATTAGCTATGATATTCAACCCTGCTTGTGCCATGCAGTCTTGAATGTGATCAGGATGGTAAAGCTTTTTGGTTGGGAGACAAGCATGGGCAAGCAGATTGCTCAGAAGTGAGATGAAGAGCTAGTATTTGTCCAAAAGCTCAAATTCCTCCAGTTAGGAAATGATTTTATCAAGTAAGGTCTAGTCTCTAAGTTGGAACATTTAAGCTCACCCAGTGTAGCTCTGCCCTCCCAATTGTGATGACCCTCACCTCTTATGGCATCTATGTAAGAGACTCCAATAGCCACTTGTCCAGGGGCTAATGTTCTTATTCTATTCAGACTCTGGTTATGAAACAGCCTCTTACAGGTATTGAATAACTGGGTTGTACTCATACTCTCACAAAGCTTTGTCTCACATAGCATCTCGAATCTTTGCATCTGTCACATGTCTGTATATCTCAGAGTTGATCTCACAGAGTATTACTCACAATTCTTCATCAGTATTCCGACTTCTTGAAGGAAATTTGCACATGATGTTCATGTTTGTGCCTGGAATCATTGAAGGTATGGCTCTTGTGCAAGCTTGGCCTATTACTATCTGAGTCCGTTCTAGGCAAAGTTGCCTTGGACCGTATGAATGAGTTCATCCAAGAGGTATATTTGAAGGACCATAGCGTGCATCGTGTCATGCAAAGCTGACGGCGAATCTAGACAGAGCTCCTAGACAAGTATACAAGTGACATTCAGGCTACAGTCCCGACTTCTCAAGATGAGGTCTCCTCAGTCGGTATCGGCCAATCCTCCTTCACTTGGATGAGCGAAGAACATGCCTGCGATACTACTCCATCATCAACCCGGCCCGCATTTACGCTCCGAATTGACGATGAGGTATCGTTCAAACCCGGATGCATCAACCTGGTAATCGGACAAACGGGCTCTGGGAAGACGTCACTTTTGATGGCTTTACTAGGTAGATTCGTCTATCGGTAGGGTTGGCCCTTGCTCACTGACGATATCTGATCAGGGGAGATGCACCGTATTCCCACTGGGCCACACTCTTTTCTCAACCTTCCAAGGCAAGGCGGTGTTGCGTATCACGCGCAAGAGTCATGGGTTTTAAACGAGACAATCCGGGTATGTTTCAACTGCCCGATTTTCCAAACTTCAACTGACCGGCGTTAGGATAATATATTGTTCGGTGCTCCATATGACGAGCATCGTTACAATACAGGTATGTATGTCTTGAATTATCTTTTTACCTAGGAATAGTACGGCTAAATCAAACCGATAGTGCTCGAACAATGTGCCCTCAAGCATGACATCGAGCTTTTCCAAGCGGGCGATCAGACTGAGGTTGGAGAAAAAGGCCTGACCCTGAGGTACGGTCTTCATTCTATTGCTACACAGCTCGACTCCTTGACTAACCATTTAACAGCGGCGGACAAAAGGTACTCGCAAAGACCTTATACAAGATATTATAGTATCTGAACTATTAATAGGCTCGCGTCACCCTCGCTCGGGCGGTGTATTCTTCGGCAGAAATTCTCCTCCTCGACGACGTGAGTTGCTGATATGTAGATGATCCCCAACTCATTTTCATCACTCACTCGAACAGGTTCTTGCTGCATTAGACGTACACACTGCTCGGTGGATTGTCGACAAATGTTTTCAAGGAGATTTGGTACGAGGACGCACTGTCATTCTCGTGGTACGTATTTGACTTAGTTGCTGAGCGATAAATATTATTGACATCGATGATAGACACACAACGTCGCAATGATGGCACCTGTGGCGGATTTTGTTGTGTCCCTGGGCCTCAACGGTCAGATTCTAAGCCAAGGAACTCTGTCCAACGCTTTAGCAAAAGACGAAACACTGTTAGCTGAAGTAGACAGAGACGCCAAGGCAATTGAGAAGGCCGAACACGATGTTATAGAAGCTCCTCCGGACACAGATCCGACAACTAAATCCGGGAAATTGATAGTCGAGGAAGAGGTTTCTGAAGGTCACCTTGGCTGGTCCGCTCGTACGCTCCTCTCTTCCAATAGATTCTCATGTGGGATACTCATTAAAGTTCTATAGTCAAACTTCTAGTTGTTAATATGGCAGGAAAAGGCGGCACGTTCGTGTTCTGGCTTTCCTTTATCGGAGTCTGCGTGGCCACAAGAGCTAGTGATAATATGGAAATATGGGTACTTACTCTGTGGGCCAGTCGTTATGAGGACCCAGATTCTTCTGACGTGCCAATCATCCCGTGAGCAACTGTTCTTTGTTGACTTTTGGATTCGGTGCTCATTGCAAGCAGCTACCTAGCGCTATATACTGGTGTCTACTTCTTCACAGTTCTGCTAATGGTCGTGGGGTCCGTTGTATGGTTTTTCGGGTCCCTACGAGCGTCGCGCAGGATCCATGAACTTCTGGTCAAATCTGTTCTTGGCAGCAGCTTGAGGTATGCTTCAGCTATGACTTTCTTCGGTCTCTCACTTCACCTATCTTCCCTAGGTGGTTAGATCGAACACCAGTTTCTCGAATCATTACTCGATGCACTCAAGACATCCAGCAGAGTAAGCTTTCATCGATGGCTATTGGGGTTGCTGAATACTCATAGCAGTTTCAGTCGACTCAGGTTTACCTAGCATTATAAATGCATTGATAGATTATACTGCGTCGATCGTTCTCAAGTTCACAGCTGTTCTCCTCATTTCGCCTATCTTCATCATACCTGGCCTAATTCTAATCGTCGTTGGCGTGTCTATTGGCAACGTCTATATGAAGGCGCAGTTACCAGTCAAGCGTGAAGGCAGCAATGCGAGAGCTCCTGTCCTTGGGCACTTCGGATCGGCGGTTTCAGGGATTGGTAATGTTTGGGTTTGCATAACTTTGCTGTCTTTCTCACATATTCCTAGTTTCGATTCGTGCATACGGCGCTCAAGATGCGTTTAGAAAAGAATCATACCGTCGTATTGACCAATATACACGAGCGCAGAGACAGTTCTGGGACTTGAACAGGTTAGTCCTATAGTATCCTATGCATGTCCTCTCGTTCCAATATCTATATCCCAGATGGATCAATGTCCGCATGAATCTACTTGCGTCGCTGTTTGCATCTAGTTTGGCGGCGTATTTGACATATGGCACAAGTATTACAGCTTCAAAGGCTGGCTTCTCCCTGAATATGGCTGGTATGAATATGTCAATCCGATTGTATAATGGCTACTCATATTCCTTGCAGTCGGATTCAGCAGCATGATTTTATGGTGGGTTCGCTTTTTAAACATGGTTGAAACTAGAGGTACGTAGCTGTGCAATTGCGCTATCCGAATCGTATTGATGTTGTGCATAAATATTTATAGGCAATAGGTATGTTCTTTTCGGAGAGTACTATCGAAATATTATATAACCTTCCGCAGTTTGGAACGAATTCAGCAATACATTGAAATAGAGCACGAACCCAAGTCAGCCAAAGAAGGGGTTCCTCCGGCATATTGGCCAGCCAGCGGAGACTTGCGGGTCGAGAACTTGTCTGCTCGCTATTCACCTGTAACTTGCATCGATTATTCTTCCATTCATTGTGCTCATGGCTATTCAGGATGGACCCAAGGTCTTGCATGAGATATCTTTCCACATCGTACCCGGAGAACGCATTGGCATCGGTAAGCAACATGTTATTCTTAGCATGTACACGTCAATCTGATCAACTGGAGTAGTGGGTCGCACTGGAAGCGGAAAGGTAAACATTCTCGGTCTTCAGCTACGAACATAGTGTGACAGGTTATCGTCGCAGAGCTCCTTGACTTTGGCACTGCTGCGAGCCATCATTACCGAAGGGAAGATGTACTACGACGGCATTGCAACTGATACATTGAACCTCGATGCATTGCGTTCCAATATCACCATCATACCGCAAGTGGTGCGTCTCTAACTTGCGGCCATGTACATCTTACCCCTTCTGACCTACGTTCTCAGCCTGAGCTGCTCAGCGGAACGCTACGCCAGAATCTGGATCCCCTTTCTCAACATGATGACGCGGTATTGAACTCTGCACTGTGCTCGGCTGGCCTCTTTTCCCTTCAGAATGCGAATACTGAGAGCCGTCTTGCTTTGGATTCCCAAATTTCTGGAGGCGGAAGTAATCTTTCAGTTGGTCAGAGGCAGATACTTGCGCTCGCGCGGGCCCTCGTGCGGCAAAGTAAGATTCTCATCCTGGACGAAGGTATGTACTTGTTTCTTGGAAGCACCCAGACAGTCACTTACAACGTCTTCGTCTGTAGCTACTTCTGCTATTGGTAAATTTTCGTCTGATATGGATATTTCAGATTGTGCTGAATGCTTTTTAAGACTACGAGACCGATGCTGTCATTCAGAAGTCGCTCAGGAGTGAACTCGGAAAGGACGTGACGCTCCTTACCGTTGCTCATCGTCTTCAAACCATTATGGATTCCGACAAGATTGTATGACTATTTCCTCTTCGCCCTTTACCACGAATGTTCATGTCGTGTTTTTGTCTGTAGATGGTACTAGATGCTGGACGACTCGTGAGTGTATCTAATATAGCGCGTCGAGTGCAACTCATTTTGTTTTCTTCATCCAGGTCGAATTTGATAAGCCCACCGAGCTTCTCAAGAATGAGAAGAGCTATTTCCGCGCCTTGATCGAAGAGAGTGGCGACAAGGAAGCTCTCTTGGCCATGATCAACTGAAGTTCCCCGATCCATAGATCAGAATTTGGTTTTCACTTTTGTTACTTGCATGGACCTTTGTAGTGTGCTGCACGTCATGTGAATGGCTCTATAGACAAGAACGATGTGTGGGGTACTTATGATACAATGAAGCTGCAATCGATCAATATATAGCTACAAGTGATGAATCCACCAGATGCGATGGGAAAGCCAAGAAAGAGACGTCACGGAAGGGGTAAGCATGCAATGATGATCATGCAACATGTATCGTGAGCAGCCATAAACGTTGGGATGACTGAACTGGAATGAGTAGTGATCGTGCCACATGTATCGTGAGATCTAGTGCACTCGCTGAGAATCTCATTGTCGGCTATTCTTCGTCTCGATCTTCACATAATCGCTTTCATCTGGAACGCCATCCTCGTCCTTTTCGACAGAAAGATAGGCATCACCAAGAATTTGCATGGCCACGGCACGGAAATGGTCTTTGCATCGTGGGACTGAGGGATCTTCCAGGACGCGGTCACATGTCTCTCGAAGGACGGACTCAACCTCCAATGTCGTTCCCTACAAAGAAAAAGGACAATATGGTGAGGCTAAGGACGCTGGACCGGACACTGCTTCGGGAGGACGGAAGAACAACTTTGAACAACGTCCGGAGACCTTTCCCAGACGCTTGTTCCTCGAGACGTCTTTTCTCTTCAGGCGACAAACTACCAGCACGCTCGGCAGCTTGGATCTACTCAAAGACACTCTTGAGTTCAATAGCAGACCGTAACGTCGATACTTTGTGTGACATAAATAGTTTCATTGTCTACATGTTACTCAGTGGGGAGTCCTGACAACGAAGACGCACGTTTCGCTGAAGACATGATATTTGCCTTGCACATTGTGCAACCATCCGCCTACGCCCAAGAACGTCTGGTTAATAGCCAGATGCTGCTTGGCTGTCGAGACATAAAGAACCCGGTGGCGTGTGGAAGGTCTGCGCCATAGGATTCTTTCTTGAGCTGCCTACGAAATGGGGATGAGTACCTAAGCGAAGGAAACCTTAGGGGATACAGTAAAGTGATCCCTTAGTCTGCTTCGAGCTGACATATCGTCCTGTAACTTTCGATGACTTGAGGATCATTGGGTCCAGTAGCGGACTCGGTGAGGATACCGAGCTTCCTTTCAAGGTTCTTGACGAGTTTTTGCACTCGTTCCGTACGATCAGCTGCTTTCTGTGAATAAAGCTTAGAAGCATGAGCGTTGTTCGTTGTTAACTCAACACAGACCATAAATACCTCAGCAGCGACCTTTTTGCTTTTTCCTCCCTTCTAGCCTTTTCCTCAGGTGACAAGCCCTCACGTCCTTTCGCATCCCTCTGCACATTTTTGTTCTCTACTCCCAACTCATCGGCCCCCTGCAGAGCCTTCTTCAAGTCTTTGGCGAAACTGATATGTCCAATAATAGGTACGAATCTTTCGCCACCAAATATTGTGCCAAAGACCTCTTTGGGATCGACAAATCTGCCATCAGGTGCGCTTCCTTTAGGTCCGAATTCATTATACTTCTCAGTGCGGAGAACAGGGTCAGAGAGGGTTTGATACGCTACGGTAATCTCTTTGAAGCGTTCTTCGGCGTTTGGGTCGTCACGATTTTTGTCCGGGTGGAATTTGACAGCGAGTCGTCCTACAATTTAGGTGTATGTAGTTGTGAGCAGGAGACAAAGGGTCGTTGGGTGAACGTACGGCATGCCTTCTTTGATATCATCAGTCGTAGCATCTATCGAGACTCCGAACAAGTCATGATACTAGTCTCCCTAAGGCAGAGTAGATAGAGACGCAAACCTTCGTGCCTCAGGATATCTCTGTCTGACCATGATACCCAGTCTCTAATGGTCGCTCATCGATCAACGTCGATCTTCTTCCCTCTCCTTGCCCCATTAGAACTCGAACCAAACCCTATACTACCTGAGTTTTGCATTATACCACTCTGTGATGATCTACGCGCACCGACATTAGGCACTTGATCAGAATAGAATGCATGGTTGAACATCGTTGAACGATTGAAACATTGAACATTGAGTAACGCTGCCAGGGCGCGGCGTGGGTGTGGATCGTGGATCACTAGGGCACGTACTAATCATCATATGTTCATTTTGAGGTTCGTGTCTTATGCCCACATCTAGATGGCACATAGCGAGAATCCCCACGTTGGGTTTTGCATCGGAAGGTACATACATCTTCTATCTTCTAAAACCATGTCAAGGTTTTGGGTCACCGGTGTTGTTGCGTCGGGCGATTGGTTGAATTGAGCTGTGCTTACGTGAGCCAGTGGCGTTGTTCACAATGATCAGCACTGATCATCGATCATCATCAGAGCACCCCGACGTCCGTAGTAGAATGTTTCAAGCTGGGAAGTTCCTGCATGGTTAACACAGCCCACGAGTGCTAGTGATGCACCGGCAGGTACCGATCCACCGTGCGGTAAAGAGGATCAAGGTAGGCTGTCAAGGCGTAAGGTTCAGTTATCCACAGGTACGCAGCAAACCTACATACTGTACGCTGATCCTCTAATGATCTAACCCTCGTCTAAATAGACCAGTAATTCCTGCTCTGCCTAGGGAATACGGCCTACTTAAGATTGGTTGAACCAACACCGAAACCCGCATCTACTGCTGAAGATAGATCAAACCACATTTACCAACAGGTCAAAGTCACGATCACTATGACTAGTAGTGCCACATTCAGATATAAACTCGCTCCTTATGGCGAAGCAATGATTGGACAGGGTGCTTTTGTGAGTTCAAGAGTCGAATCTGTTCCCATCTCTCTCATGGCTCATCTTGAACAAACAACAGAGCGTCGTGTACAAAGCAACTGAACAAGAGTCTGGAAGACAGGTGGCTATCAAGAAATCGCGTGTCTCCAAGCCGGTGAAGCGACCCACTCTCCAGCACGAGATCCGCGTCTTGCAATTTCTGAGGGGTCATGCCGCTATTCCCGCCGTGTATGGGTACGGCCGGCTAGAGCATTTCGAATGCATGTCTATGGAGCTTTTGGGCCGCAACCTTGAGGAACAGCAGGAAAATGGCGCTGGTCTTCTACTGAAGACTGTCATTCGAGTTGTGGATCAAGCAGTACGTAGAATATGGATCCAGGTTTCACCGATTCTAGAAATATCTGAATAATGCACATAGCTTGCTGCACTACAGCACATCCACTCGTTCGGTATTGTACATCGCGACATCAAGCGTGAGAACTTCCTTTGCGTGCTTGACGATCCTTCCACAATCAAAATCGTTGACTTCGGTATCTCGAAACCCTTTGCTCATGGTCAACCTAGCAAGTACAATCCGCTCAAGGATCGCCGACACATTGTCGGAAGTCTTGCCTGGGCAAGTTTGAATTCTCATAATGGAGTAGGTCAGTGTATATCATGCTTTCTAGCAGTAACGTCATTCGTCGGTATTTTTATTCAACATATCATAGATCTTGGCCCGCGTGACGATCTAGAATCTTTAGCTTACACTGCCCTTTTCCTTCTCCGCGGAAACCTCCCATGGAGACCTCGTCCGCGCACAGAGCCTCCGGTGCGTTCGCAGGAGATCGTCCGACTCATGAAATCAGGTTGCTCAGGTTCGGCCTTGTCTACCGGCTTTCCCGACGAATTCGGCGAGCTGCTCACCTACAGTCGCTCCCTAAAATTCGATCAGCTTCCCGATTACGGGGCCATCGGGCGTTCATTTACAAGTATGGCTGACAGGATGGGCTGCTTCGACAGTGGGCCACTCGACTGGACGCCTTGCTATCCGAAAACTACGGGCACTCTTGCGGACGAACCCGAGGTGTCAATTCCTAATGAGGGTGAGGACAATGGTAGTGGCGGTAACAAGCTTGGTGAGGATAGCTATTACGGGTGGGATATTGACATATGGGAACGCCAAGGGGAGCGAGACATGGACGTGACCTTACCTGCAAAGCAGGAATTCGAACTCGATGGTTTGATTCCGCTTATTCTAGATGTTCAAGAGAATTAAAAGCACCTCAATGTGTGGAAGTTTGGGTTCGTACCAAAGTGTACATAGCCCATCTTCTAGCTGCTGTCTAGCCACAAGTCAGTGGAGGTGCACGAATTTCTAACATCTATCGAATTCTATGACTTGAAAGCTTGTTTGGACTGCCAATGCGGTAGAGCAGAAGATTGTATTCTTCTCTATGTCAACTCTAGTCACGCCAAAGTTTCTAAGAATTTCTTGCAACCATCCTCTACTTCCTGGATCGGTGTCTGGCTTCCATAAATGGCAACTACTGCTGCTCAGGCTCTCTGAAATTCAGAATACGTCCTCCTCACACTTCATGTCTCTATCACGATGTGACTCCATTATCATTTTCCAACTTCATTCTTCCAGGAATGTTCGCTTGATTGTTGGTCCATCCTACTAGTATTCCATTTATATACATGGTGAGTAATTCCCCGTTCAACCAACCCGATTTATCATCGAGTTCTATCTGTCATAATGAGCTCAATCATTCGTAGTCCAGATTCCTCATCGCAGCCTACCAAAGGAGTTCACTTTGTTGCTGGTTCGCAGAGTGCTATTGCCAAATGCATCCAATTGCACACCTCATCACCACTACGCATGCATTGTCTTGCAATCGCTAGACAACCCAACACTGTTTGATACTATTGACACGAGGCGAACAATCCTTGGGCGAGAATGCGAGAATGTGAACATAACCTGCATCGTGATACGTGCGGAAAGTTTCAGCCTTGAGAGGGACGCTAATCTTTAGTTTATCTTCTACTGTAGGGAATAATGGTTGAAAGTCTTTCAATCTTCAAGCTTTGGGACAACAGATCTGTCTTCATGCAGAATGTGCGTATTTCTGCCCTGGATGAATCAAAGGTTGTCGGGAAGCGGTTACTATGATTGCTCTAATTGTGGCCGAAATTCTTCGGAGAGCTGGCGCGAAACCGAATGCCAGATACACACGGAACAATTTCTACCTCCGCAACTATTTCTAGGAAAGAGTTATGATAGATGAATGGGTTGGATTAATATACCAACAGAAACAGATCATACAGATGCTGATTCATCCGTTTGCGAGGGAAAGAAATCTATTCCGCCGAGATCTTTACTCGATATACAGGTCATTCTACACCTCCGCAAGATCATCTAGTTCCGGTGCTAAAGACAAGTCTGCCTCTAGGCCGTCCAACCAGTGATTCACTTTATCAATCACATCCACCAGTATCTCATCTCGAGCAATATTGGTACCATTGCTATCCCTCTCCGCCTCATCCTCATCTCTGTATTGTCCTAATTGTTGCGTAATTGTCCTTGGGTCTCTAGATTCAGAGTCCGAGCAACTCGATGACTCCCGGCGTGAGGGGATCCCCGTCACATAAAGTATAGCCTGCCGCTCCTCGCCCAACAAGGTGTCACTCCAGACAATATCTGCCCAATGCGCAGAAAATCGGACGACATGTGTTTGGAGAGTGAAGAGTGCAATTGTGAGACGCAAACGATCTTCAAGATCCTTCAAGTCATTCATGATCATCGTAATTGGCAGACTATCCACGACACATGCATCGATAACAGGGCCACCTTCCGCGCGGAGCAAAGTGAATCCTATGATGTGCACCACTCCCGCCTTCAGGAAGATTGCGAAGAGAGTTGCCCACGTTGGCAATAATGTATACTCGTCGTTGCCATCACCACCGAATGCCATACTTACCACTCGCAGGTGAGGCGCCATCAGAATCTTGAGATCGTTTAGCTCGCGATTGGTGATCGCTGAACCATTGCAATCCAAGGTCGTTGATCGCATGCCAAGTACCACGGCTGGGCTAGATAATGAGAGGGGAAGCTGAGAAGCACGCTTGATCGTTAACACTGTCGTCGGGGCGACTGTTTGCACTGCAAGAGCAAAATCGAGGACTACATTCGTGGACGGAGTCTGCATCTCAAAAGGATACCGGGCTTGCGGATGCCTGGTTGTGACGACGTTTAGCCCTATATATGAAAATTCAAGCTGTGGAACTCACCAGCGAACAGCATACAAGGAGAAGCCGGTGAAAACATTGGCTAGGAAGATGCTGACGTCCACCCAACACGCCGTGCTCATCGTTAGAAGGTCATACAGCCGGGCTAGATGTGGTTCCGTGTTCTCGCCGAGATCCACCTTCAATATTTTCCAACTAAAATTCGACCTAGGGACATGGAGTGAATGCAGGAAATCTGGACCAACGTGACTATCGGCGAAACGACGTGCAGACATGGTGTCCTTGGAAAGTGGCAGGAGCAAGTGGCGCAAGGGATGAAGCATAACCTTGGAAAGCGAAAATAATAGGGTGTTGACAATAACGAGAGCACCTGATCTTGTAACGGTCGGGACAACCGTGACAACTTCTTCCCCGGCTGGCTACTCTTCATGTGAGACATGCGAGAGGTAGGAGTAGATAACGTATGTGGACTCACTATCCACTCTTGAGGCACCTCGATTTGGCGGTCTCTCCAAAATTGCCGCATGGTGTGAACATATTGAATCACCGACGAAAACCGAGGTTCAAATTGAGCGAGTGTTTGATCAATCTCAGCGGAGTCGGGTTGTCTATAATGCAGAGGAATGTCACAGGAAAGGATAGGGATTCATTCAAAACTTACGGTTGCGCCTGTGGTATCATTTCTTCTGTGTTGATATCAGTCAAGAGCTGCTCCAACTCGTGGACGCGAGCCCGGATGGCAAAAAGCGCAACAGTCATTCGCCAACGATCCAGGAACAAGGTATCTTGAGAATTCCGATGAGTTGAGACCTGGTCGGGCTTAATTTGCTCCAGTGCTGCCCAATGTTGTGCCGCTACTGCTTGACAGAACTTCCAGTCTGCAGGGTTTTCACCAATCGTTTTAATAGGAAAATGAACGAAAATACGTAAGTGAGTTCTCGACCAGTGAAAACCGTAGAGGACACAATGTTTAGGAAGTGTAGTCCCGCCTGTCGTCTGTTGACTATGTCGATGTGCGTGGACCAGATGGACTAACGTAGGTCGTAGAATTCTAGCCATCTCACTCCGCACTTGATCAATATCGAGACCCCCACCTGACAACGCGGATCATCAGTCCGCAGTGACTTACGCCGAGAGGGAATGCGCACACCTGCAACAACGAGCGGGAAACGGTCCTGTGAAGAATACATAGGAGGATCTTGTACGTAGTCGTCGCAGCTGAAGAAGCATCATAAATCACAAATTCTATATCGAGAGCACTGGTGCAAACCTCAGAAGGACCAAGCGGTCGCTATCAAACAACAATGAAATGGCAACCTTTAAGTATTTCTCGAAGAGAAAGTCTGCCCCGCCATCATATGGTCCTGGTGCCCTCATGATCCGTAGCAGCGATGCACGATGAGCCCTCCGTTCAAGTATAGTATTGATGAATACCGAAAGCGGATCTGTAAGTCGCACAGATTCAATCTCACCCTCATCTATCCATTCTATATGGAAAGTCCGGTGCCTATGAGTTTCGTTCCACTCTGAGAGGTGGTACCTGGCTACTTGTTCGGTGGCATCGAGCAAGACCTTCAGGGTGTCCAGTTCGAGATCAATGATGGTCGGAAAAGAGGTGGTGTCCTGCAAAGCCAGAGAGTGGTCTTGCTGCCATGAGTAGTCAGCATATTGGCTATGACATGGCTTATGATACTTACCAATGATGAACATGACGATACTTTCACTGGCTTCACACAGTCAAGTAGCAACCATTTGCGTGTATCCGATAGAATGCGAGAGATGACTTGTGTAGTCTCCTCGTTCTTGACCTTGCCCAACGGATATGTCGTATGACAAATGCCCGGCAGGAAATAGACACTGTCGATCTTGGGAGTAATGAGGGTCCATATGCCATTAGTAGCTAAGTCTACGTCGTAAAAATCGAAACGCGTGGAGATGAGGTCTGGAAGGTCTAATTGCAACCATTGGCGATCAGCACAAGATATAGACAATAGATGAGACTTACATCGACCACGAAAAAACCTCATTGTAACGTTTGCTAAAATGTGATTACCGCTACCTGAGCAGGAGTGCAATTGCGGAGCAGACGTGTGTCTCTGGGGCCTAAAAATGGATGTTCCGCGCTGTGGCAGGGATTGTGCGGCTGCATGGTCGGCACGGCTAGATTATAATGATTTGCGTACATGAAGGTGTTTTGTGAAACGCGACTGGTGCACGGCGAGAAGGAAGAAACTTTGACATAACGAATGCGTAAAGAAGCGCTACGTTATGAAAAATCCAAATGTCGGGCAGATGAAATGATTAGATCTGACCTCGCTGTAGTATGATGACGAGAACAATATGCCACCTCTGGAAGTTTTCGGTCCTCAAGGCTATCGACAACTCTGGTCTTCAAACAAGGCTGCGGTATTAGTTCCTCGCGCATACGTAAGGTATAACATCCATATCAGTGGTGAGTTATATATATCGATAGTTCTCATCCCTGTATCGAATGCTTGATGGCTTCTTGAATACACAAAAGAAAATGGAGGCTGCCTGTGCACTTTTAGGACAAGACTGCCAGATCCAGATTGATAGGTCCTTCGTCAACACGTACATTAAGCCTTGTCGAAGCTGGGTACATCTTGTTAATGTCAGAAAGAGACCGAAAAAATAATAGCACTCTAGGAAAAGGTTTAGACGATGTGCTCTAAATGAAGTTGACAGAGACCAGGCTGTCTGTAGCGAATTTTGCAACACCGGGGTCACAGATCGACCCAAGACATGCCCAGAGTCGATCGATCACTATCTCAACTCCTTATGTACAGAATGACCTTACTGCCTTACGGAAACGATGTATGCCTTCCTCTTCGGTATCCCTTTCTCCACAGTTTTCCTCCCATTAGTATGTCACGTCACATTCTATACGCCAGTTGTCTACTCTTGCACCAAGAGAATCTGATTTCGCCTCTTGCTCGTTGGCCTCCATCTCACTTGTGTAATATGACCGGTATTCGTTATCGCTGTCATCGCTGTCGTCGCTATCTTCAGAGCTGCTAGGAATGGCAACATCGAGATAGTCCGCATCAGTATCCAAAATCCGAGCTTGTTCAATCAGTCGCATCATCAGTCTACGCTTTCGCTTCGTCTCCCCTTCGGCTGGAACATCGCAGTATGACGGACTCGGTGTGCTGATACCGGTGACCTGTACGACAGCTTCGTGCTCCTCAATGAGACCATCCTGCGCCCACGTTGGATCATCCCAGTGAGTGCACACGCGAACAACGTGGCGTTGCAGGGTGAAGAGCGCCATTGCTAGACGCATGCGATCCTCCAACTGTTCGTTGTCTCTACATTGTCTTGCAATCGGGAGGCGATCCACCAAGGTCGTGATAACGCTGAATTGAGGCGAGCAATCCTCGGGAGAGAACGCAAAGACATGGACATAGCCTGCTTTGAGATAAGTACAGAACAATATAGCCCATGGAGGGAGGTGGACTTCAGTCCCGTCTCGCCGAGAACAGTAGCGAAGAAACATAGTTAGGATTTGGAGATGAGGCCTCATGACGGCTTCAAGTCTTTGAATTTCATTCTGCGAGACAGTGTTTCCATCCTCGTTCATGTTCAACGAACGTAGGCCGACTAGTATCCCTGGGCTGGATGCAGTCAAAGGTAGACGAGACGCACGTTCCATAGTTGGCTTAATTGTGGCCGGGATCTTTTGGAGAGCCAGCGCGAAGTCAACCTGTATATTGGTCACGCGTTGGATACCGACCTGAGGAGGATATCGTATCTTTGGAGCCCTATACGATATGATCAGCCTAATATCAATGCTATGAAAAAGAGGACAAACCATTGAACAGAATATTCGGAGAAACTAGCGAACATACTTGCTATAAAGAGATTGATCTCTAGCCAGTGCGTAGTCGACATCATGAGTAGGTCGTATAGTCGATTCAAGTGTGGCACGGTGTCCTCCTGGTGGTCATCTACTTCCAACCACTTGATGTTATCCACATCACGACGAGGGGTATGGAGTCTGTGAAGGAAGTCGGGTCCACAGTAGTCTTTATCTAAGTGATTAGATCTCAGGTCGTCCGCCGACAGGGGGATCAGAGTGCGCCGCAGAGGATATAGGTAGATGGACGCCAGGTGTCTAGTTAATAAAGCAACTATGTCCATGTCCCAGACTGCTGGGCGATCCGAGGAAATAATACAACCATCTGCAGGCTTGTACACCATGAGTCATAGTGACAGAACATATTTGTTGAGACATAACCTACGATCCAAGTGGCAGGAACAGGGAATTGAGCTCCACGCCAGTGTTCACGCATTCCGGTGAAGTAGAAATCATGAGGCGATATTTTGGGACTGGGGCGAACAGCATTTGCTGGCTCTGCCCTGTCAACTTCATAACAAGTAACTAAAACGATCGTCAAGAAGACCTTTTCAACAAGAGCTTACCTGAAACATCACGGAGACAGCAAGCAGAGTCGCGAGAACGCTGCATCAGTGAATTAGACAGGTGATCCTCGAGTATCCGAACGTGAGTCCGAATTGTGAATAAGGCAACAAGGAGCTGCCAACGGTCGAAGAATCGGTCATCTTGATATTCATAGTATTTCTCATCGGAGAACGGGGCGACTCTATGTTGCGCAATGAGAATCTGTCGACACTCCGTCAGGCGAAGGTCTCCAGCGTATGAAGAAACAGCACATGGAAGGTGGACAAATATTGACAGCATTGTCTTCGACACATGTAGCCCATAGACGAAGTACGATTTTGGTAGCTGTGCATCTTGATGACCATGTAATTTGACGAGCTTTTCGAGTGTGGAGTGCGCCAGCTCAGCCATCTGCGTCCTTACATCTCCGTTCAAGTCAGAACAACCTCCGATAGAAATCAGATTTCTTGGTGTACAGGGAGCTTCGGAAACCACATACCTGCCATTACCAACGAGTATAGCCCTGGGATATCTGAGCTACTAGATTCCATGCTATCTGTTCCGCTGGATATATGACAGAGCATGAATAGAACGAAAACAAGGAAGATTAGTAGCACTTACGGGACACATCCAATTGAACAAGAATGAAACAGCATGCCAATTGAAGACATGATGCGGCGTTCGAAAACGTAGTCTGTGCCTGCCTCATGGGGACCCACATGTCTCAAGAGCCCCAAAATAGCAGCGATATCATGATGTGACGGGCTATTGTGCGAGAGAGCAAAATAAGGCGTGGGGTATTCGACTGAGGGGACATTTTCAGGCGTCCATAGAATGAGTCGCGAGGAGCATTCGTCGCTGATACCGACCTGCACAACGTAGTCAAGGATAACCCTTAACGCCGCGATACTTTGCGAGAATGGCGAAGTACATGCAAGCTCAAGGTCAAGATTGTGCGCCTCATCCTAAACGTATGCAGTCAGTCAAAGTAAGCCAATACATTCGTAGTTAGCGCCACGTACGAGGGATAGCCATGATGATAGTTGAACGGGATGGATTATGTCACCGTGTAGCCACACTTGGAGCTCGTGCTTAATGTGGTCTATTATCTTGGCCGCGGCAGAATTGTATATAGATCGCAATGGTTCTGAATAGTGCCAGATGGTTGGAAGCAGCAGGCCCTGTTTGCCAACGACGATAGTGGTTGAGAGCCAGCTACACCTTCCCGTTGACGTCGTGCGGAGGGTGCTGGTCGCAAAGGAGATTCTTTCGGAGCTGAAGGTGGCTGCTGGATGTTTAGACCAGTGAATTACGACTACAGTGGTTGAACTCACTGCCGCCGACTCCGCGATTTCTCATGGTTGAATTATGTGATACCTTCACATCCGTTCAGCTGCTGCCTATAAATACAGCAGCCGAGAAGTACGTACAAATGGAAAGGGTAGTTACTCAGTTGATACATTCATAGGATATCTGATACGAAGCGTGTTTCCGGCGTTGTCGCTTGCGAGGAACGGAGACGTTTGCCAGGAACAAAGATCCTTTCCTTTCTTGTCGATTGCATCTACCCACGCCACGATCCTTCACGTCATCAGACCATCTTGTCCTGATCATCGCACTACTTCCACAAAAAAGAAACCCTGCTGCAAGGGCAGGGCGGCCGGCCGTATGCAAAAAAAATCGGAGGACAATAATATCGCTACACCTCCATTCTCCTTCTGATCGGTATATTGATAATCATACAGAATGCATTCATGCCAGGTGTCACTAGTAACTACAATTGACAGGGAGCCCAACATGACCGAGGGACGAGAACGAATGACTGGCTACATTCTTCGGTGAGTTGTCTGGTACAATCTCACATGTCACGTAATGGCGTGCGTTAAGTTTATCTGCATAGTCGCACTATTTTTATCACAAAAGATGTCCGCTTCGGTCACCTTTTTCTTCTGACATTTGGATGAACCAAGCTTCCCGAAGGCCCTGACTACAGAAGACCCTGATTACGGAAGTTTGACACAGACGACCCTTCTCTTCTTTTGTTCGGTGCATTTACTCTCTAGTAAATGACCATGACCAGGAGCCCAGTGTCTCCATTCAACAAGAATGTATGGTAATATCCCTGTATCGCGCTTATGCCAGCTGCCGCGGATTAATCGACAATATCCTGTCCCGCTCATTTTCACATAATAGGAAGTATCATGAGTCGTTGAAACCTGACTTGATATCGAGCTGACAATAGAGCTTCGGACTCCTCTTAGTCGCGTATGACATCTTCAGCTAGACTCTACACGTTGATCATATTGTCTGATAGATCTACTGCCAGGGACCAGCTTCACGGCAACAAGACTTGGCGAAGAATGCAGAAATGTCTGGAACGTGCAAATCGATTGTATTCCGTATAGCCATCTTGATTGTCTCTATATCGGTTTGAGCATAAATAGAGAACATACCCCACCGTTGTCTACAGCAACTTCACATCTTCACAGACACAATTACATGATGGCGAACCTGATCGACACACTCTCTAAGTTGGGAATGATATCTCCTTCTGCTCGTACTACTCAGCTCAAGGACAAGACCGCAAGGTGAGTCGAAGTTACCATACCATTTCGTGTTTGTAGCTCTTGCATTGACTTATTTACACCGTTAATTATACTTCAGCAAATTGACCTTCAAGGACGGCGAGCGTGTCGGCTTCAAGTGCCTTAAGAATTTCAACGACGATGAATTGTCCACTTATCGATTACCTCGCTCTGGGGCCGTAGACATTGTATCATATCTCCAGAAACACTGGCTCTACATGAATGATCCTACGAAATGGGGGGACCAAAAGTGGTTGGAGACAAAGCTGCGCCCCAGTCATGCTAACAATCTTCAAGTCGTGTTAAACATAAAAGTGCGGACGTTTGATTATTCATGGAAACATTATCATATTGACCCATTTTTGCAGAATCGAGATGATAAAGAAGACATCGAGAACCGTTATGATCTGATTAATTTCTACAACCGAGAAGTTGTTCGCTTGATCACTACCAATGCACACGATTCCAGCGGCTACGAGAGTCTCTACCGAGTCCAAGTTCTCACTGACAAAGACAAAGTCCAACAGCAGGAAAACTATGCACCCGGGACCTTCCCCACTCGTCTTGAAATTCTCAAGAACAACTCCGATCCGGCTGCGGCTCTCCGTGCTCAGTCTTGGGGAGACCTGTTGAATTTAACGAGTGTGAAAGAGGTGAGTTCGGAGATGGAGGTACAGCATGTCATTGGATCTGTCATTCGGAAGATCTTTCAACTGCCTGGTCGCAGCGTATCTAGGTTCGTCCGTATTTTGTAATGGTGCATTATAAGGGTCGTCTCATCTCAATATTTATCTCAGTGATGCGGCAATGAGGTTCCCTGATGTACTTCAGATGTCTCCAGGCCATCATCCGAAGCCAGACTTTGTGACCCGCCGTCAGATAGATATACCGAGTGAAGACCTCAGAGGACTCTGGCCCGCGTTAATCGTGGGCGAGGCGAAACAGCAGCGCACTGGCACTGGCAAATCAGGCGATGCGTCGGCATCGTTTCAAGTGCAAATGCAGGCAGCAGTCTACCCAACTCTCTGCATCCTTCTCTTGATGCATTATCAAAGGAACCGTGAACGGCATGCAACAACGCGACTACCCGAGAATTTTTTCCTCTATGGAATTTACATGGACGAGTCCGAGGTCAGGATATATGCCCATTTCCCCTACTACGACAATGCAAGATGGGGCTTTGCCCAGGTCATGATGGCGAGCTATGAAATCCCCGATTCTCTTGATATATCAACGAAGGCTGCGAACGCTAACCTCCACATGGCTATTGGCTTGCACACCGCTAGAGCACATGCAGAGAGCCTAGATCAAGCATTTGCTGACCAGTGGCAAGCCGAGTGGGTGGCTGTCAGGGAAATGCTTGAACCACAGTGGAGAGAAGACGTCATTGCGGCGGCGAAGAAGGCTGAGGAAAAACGCCGCGAGAAGGCCGAGGCGAAGCAACTGACGCAAGCAGACCAACAGGAAACCGAGAAGCCCAAGAAAGAGGGCGGCAACAAAGATGGTAGTCGGCAGACAGGGACGAAGCCACAGGGTTCCCAACCGAAACTCACTTCCTTGGGGAAAGATCTTGCCAAATTGAAGATAAAAGAGAAAGAAGAAGAAGAGAGAATCGCAGCGCAGAAGAGAGAGCGAGAGGAGAGGTATATGAACAGGGATGAGAAGAAGGCAAGCTCGGAACCCCGCTCTACGACCTAGAGTCGTATCGTTTATGGAGGGCTTGGAAATGAACTGTGAAGGGTAACCTAAGGAGGAGATGATTCGGAAATCAACGCTAATCAACGACTGGTGGGACTGGGTTCTGAAATTGAATGTTATGGATTTGTATTATGTAAGATGTATTCTTGTAGTCCTCAGAGTAGCAAATGAAATATCCGTTGTCCGGCCTGATTTCTGAGTATGATCCAGTGGCAAGTACCGGCAAAAATTCCGAACTACGAGAATCATTACTCTCAGCCCATACGACGAAATGGGCCAGAATGCACAGCTAGTTATTCGATCAATCAAAACCACAAATAACTCAGTCTGCTCTAGGTCTCGTGCTTTGGAATGTGACCGAATGAATTAAACCAATGAACCTTCCGCCAGAGTGACAAAGTACTCTCTGATCTCAACGGTGAATTTGTGATTTCCACCTGCGGTGAAGAGGCGTATAAACAAGGGAGACCTATTGCCACCCCGCAGTGATTAGAGCTGAAGCTTTCAGATAATACCTCATTTGGTAAACGAACCGTATCATTAATGGACACTTTGAATTGACTTTTATGCAGACTAAGCATTCTGCTTTACCTGAAATACTGAAAACCTCCCGATTCAAGCAGCATTGGTATCGCAACCCTCATACACTTCCCGAACATATACTCGCAAATACTCCGCGGTCCCGTCGTACGGATGTGGGGCCTTCAAACGCACGATGGCGGTGTTGAGACATAGTTACCTTGCCAAAGTACGCTCCAAATCTCAAGCATTTCCAAGTGTTGCAACGGAAAATTGAAAGATACAACTGCAGCATAGTGTAAGGGATAGCAGGAACATGACATAGCTATCTTTCACTCGCCTATATTCACGTCATGATCTCACATACGTCCTATTTGGTCTGACTGCAACAAAGCGACACGCGACATACTCGACCATCAAGTGTCGTTCATTTGTGAGCAGGGGCAGACACCAAGACCGGGACTGTAACGTTGACGTTGAAGGAGAAGTACGCACTCGGCTAAAGTCGGTACAGACAGATATCCATGTTGTGAATATTACGTTTCTATTGGTACGTATCCCTGTACACGCAGGTAACCTTGGAAGGATATTTTCATGAAAAGTACGGAAACCGCGTTACAACACGAGACTATGATCAGAAAGTCGTGTAGTATTTCTGAGTCGTGCGCGTGAATGTTACGTATCTATTAGCATTCCTTTGCATGCAACCTCGCGAGGATGTTTCGTCGCGAAGTATGCAAGCCACATTACAAAACGAGAGTACGACCAGAAAGTCGAGTACAGATGAGAGCTAGGTAGATGAGAGTAGCGAGCAAGAAGCGAGGCCCAATAAGGCACCACGTGTTTACGTGAAGCACACGCAGGATCGATAGCTTGAGTTGCTTCAGCTCTTCCATCCTTACCGTCACCTACACTTCCTACACTAGTCTCGGCATGCACGCGATCCAGGTGCGTTTTCTCGAATTCCTCTCTTTATTACACATTTCTGACTAAAGACGCGTTTAGCAACAATATTGGGCAGTCCGCGACTACCTCAGTCCGGTATGCTCTCTCGCCACAATCTGTCGATCGAGACGATGAGGCTGAAGTGTTATGATGATTATAGGTTCTGAAGGAGAGTAAATTCAAGGAACATGGGCGTATCACTCCCGGTATGTCTAGCTACTTTGTGGAGCGCCTTTCGTTCATTGATCGGGTACTCTAGAGGAGTTTGTCGCTGCCGGCGATTTCTTGACCTACAAATTTCCTGTATGGACATGGTGAGTAGCATATCCCACGTCATCCGCCTTAGATACCAACTGCTTGAATTGAACCTAACAGGGAGAAAGGCGACGCGTCCAAACAACGAGACTACCTCCCAACCGATAAGCAATACCTCATGACCCGAGGAGTCCCTTGCCTACGTCGAGCCACTGCACTAGCCTATACCGACGCGGACGAAGACGCAGAACGTCTCCTCTCTTTCGGTGACTTGTCCTCTACAGGAGACGAAGCAGACGAATGGGTCGAAACGCATGCTGGACGGTCCTCTGCTCACGATAATGGGACGGAAACGGGGGAGATGGATGAGATACCGGATGTGGATGACGGAGTGTTGCATTCAATGGGTGGCCTTTCAATTGGTGCTGGGGGAGCAGTCAAAGGTGAGAGTGCGGAGGATATCCCGGATATAGATGAAATTCCGGACATGGAGGAGGAGGATTTGGAAGACGGGGATGATGAGGCTACCGCTGCACCCAAGGCTTCAACTCCCCCTGTCATTGAATCAAGGTGCGTTTGAGATGTTGTGGTTTCGGCGTTTTGGAGGTTGACTTTCGATTCCGATATTGCAGTCAAGTGGAAGTCGCCAAGGGCAACCTTTTGCAAGTACGGACGTACGATGTCATGATCACATATGACAAGTACTACCAAACACCAAGAATCTGGTTGATCGGTTATGACGAAGTATGTAGCTCCCTCCTCACTACCTGTATTATCCACTTACACGGCCCATCTATACGTATTAGAACCGAACCCCACTAACACCCTCCCAAATCTTCCAAGACGTCTCAGCAGACCACGCCTTCAAAACGGTTACCATCGAAGCCTTCCCACACAGCACAACCCTCCAAGCCGCCTCCGTTCATCCATGTAAACACGCCAGCGTGATGAAGAAAGTCATCGAACGGATGAACGCGGGCGTCATTGAGGAACAACAAGCTCTCAAAACTAAAGGACCGTCATCGGGAACAGCCACACCCAAGGACAAGCAAAAGAAATGGTTGTTCAGGAAGACGAGTGGGACGGGTAAGGATGATAAGGTCGTTGGAGGGAATGGAAATGGAGAGGAAGACGTGGAGGGTATGAGAGTTGATTTCTATCTGGTCGTGTTTTTGAAGTTCATCGCGTCGATCGTGCCGACGATCGAGGTGGATTCAACCACTTCTTTCTAAACCTCCAGCTTCGCATTTTCTTATCGTCACTTACACCCCCATGTTTGGGGGTGTTTGAGGAGGGCTCTTCGATTGGGCTTTATAGTGATCGGCATCGGGGCGGAGGGTTGTATTAATTAACTACTATCAAGTGTAAGTGACTACCATTTAGAAGACTTATACCACAGATCGATTTTCCTTTTCCTTTTCATTCTCATTTCGACATTCACTTGTCCAAGTTTTCCTTTTCTTTTTCTTACGTTTCAAGTTGCTGACGTGCTCATGACATTCGTTCTTTCGGAAATTTGTACTGGTATTGTCAAGACTCGCTTTCCCTCCTGTGTAAACGTAGAATTCTGGAATTGCTCATCATCATGGATCTCTAAACATGACCTTCCTACGAACAAGGTCGAACTGGCAATATTGACGCAGACTATCTCGATGCTTGTCGTTTCTTTAAACATAGCAATGGGAGGAAATTTGTGAACACTGAGATACCGAAGACCAAAACGTTGATTATTGAATTCCCTAATGCTACTTATGCGAACAGCACGTTCTCGCGCTCTGGCCGATTGAACCTTTGGTGATTCGTCTTCAGCTCAGTTACTAGCCATCGATCTTCAAGACGTAAATCTACTTAAGTAAATACGTGATCCGGCGTTACTGGCAGTTCTTACTCTTAACACTCATCTACCTAGCACTCAAGTACTCACTCTGCACTCGACTCTCTGACCATACCATCGGCTTATAACGCAGTTTGCTTTGTATTTTGCGATCTGTTTGATAAAATGGTGGAAACGCGATACCTTCACAAATGCGCATGTCTGATTAACCTACGATAAACGGAGATATCTCGTCTTGGATACATGTGTTCGGCCCGTCTTCCCCCATAAGTGCCCATAAATACAACGACGTAACAACACCATGTCCCCAAAATCTCAAGCATGCGATGTCGACGGGGCATTCACACTGGTGAATCAGGATATGCACGCTTATATCCACTGACGCTGACATATTTGTAGCCTCGAGTGCACAATTTGTCACCGTCGTCCTTGACCTCTCGAGACCCAGCTACACATGGCTCTCGACGATTCCTGTTATTGGTGATGACCGTGAACGTTTATCAATCCTCCCAGATGTGTGGCATGGTGGGCCATTACAGTCTGCACACAACGCGCTCACAGCCGATATCATAAAGCACATACAATCCGACTTGCAATGTTGGCTAGATGGCAATGTGACTCATCCGGTTCAGATGCCATCTTGGCTCTCGCTGGTATGTCTAGCATATCACTACGCTGAATTTGACCATTTACCCTTACTAGGACGAGACTCATTCTATAAACTTAGAGGAGGCGTGTATCTCGCCGGCCTCTCGGAATATTTTATCCCTGAGGTTGATCTTGGACTATGTTGTTCAGAACAGACACTACAGTGAAAAACCTTTTCACGCTATTAATTGGGTCTCTGGATCTTGCTCTGCCCTCGAATACCCAATTCCCTATTTTGAGCTCTCGCAAGATTGTCCTTCCCACCAGGATATTGCAGCAATAATCGGCATCACGAGACATGAAGGGCCATACGAGGGTGGCACTGATTATCTACTCCAGCGGCGCATCAAGACAGCAATATCCCTTTTGTTTAGCTCCTTCGATGTCGATTACATTCCGTACGTTGTTCCTACCGTTTGGAATGATGAGGTTCATCGTTGGGTTGATTCAGTGGGACGGATTGCTTGGATGCGCCAAATTCAGGACCCTCAGATAGATGTCCATTGCTTATTGCAGGTAAGTGCATACAATACCCATCTAAGACAAGCAATTATGACTGATGTCATTTAGGAGGATGTTCTGAACTCACGGAAACTGTCAGGTCCAAGATGGCTGCGAGTGCGCAACGTACCCTGGAGTTGATGTTCAAGTTACGTGATCCTACCTCCGCTTCCCTACCGAAATACTTCTTTATATACGGGTTACACTGGTCGACAACAGTCTTTTCAATCTTTGTACACTTTCCCTCTCATATTCCTCCAACAGATACCGCCACGACTCGCCCAGCTGAATTCCGCCAATTCCTAGTCGTTCAGCATCGACTGATACCTGAAGTAAGTGCAAGCCAAGGCGAGGCCCAAGACGATCGATTTTTCGATCGCTGGCGACTGCTCGTCGCGTTGTTCTCGGTTCGGTCGCATGTTCGAAAGCTCCACGAGTGGTTAAACGACACGCAGAAAATATATCCTAATTTTCCGGCTGACATGCGGGGTAGTGCCGGTAAGAAGCATGCCCAGGCTGCGCTCTATGACACTGCTAATCATCCATCTCCGTCTTAGAGCAATCCAGACGCGTTCTTCAAGGCCGTCCATCTCAACGATTGTTGCTATACCTGACTGGCGTTCGGGACAACTGGCGTGCAAATCGTTTCCCCGTTCCAGAAACTTGGATTGTAAGCTGCTCTCATATGATGCATGTTTAGGTCATTTAGATTTTCTACAGCCTGCCGATGCATCGGTGATAGTTGCCACTCATGTCTCAGATTGGGACAACGACTTAGTGGTATTGGAAACTAGACAACTAGCTTCCATCCACATATATCCTCTTCGTGGTACCTTTATACCTCTTTCAAAGGATGCCCTCCGATCTAGGCATCTTGATGAAGATAACCTTGGACCCGACTTCATACATCGCGTTCATACTCCTCGCATTGATGCTCTTCCTGAATGGCTAGATGTTGAAGACCACCTGGAGGACACTGCGCCCCATCTCAATCGACTTTATGACTTACTTGTTATGTCGACACTAGGCTGGCCCGATGTCAACCTGTTCATAGCCAGTGCCTTCTCTAGTTTCTCTGAGTACTCGGTTCAATGGTTTGTCCATTTTAATGTGTTTACTGTAACGCGAAGACAGTGTTTACAATCTTCGTTAGGAACCCGAAGGTTCGATACCCGTATGCTATGATCGACTATCCACAACATGGAATGATCGTCGACTTCGCATTGGCTATGCAAAAGATTCCGGCCTCAACTGAACGCACAATCGAGCGCGCCCCTTTCCTGCCTTTGACGGCGTCTACTCCGGCGATCCTACTCGGATTTCGCTCGTCAAATTTGAATGAAGACGGTTCACATGTCTCAGAAGAAGAACTTCGGAAGCTTACTCTTGTTATGGCGCCTCACCTACAACTTCTCGCAATGTTCCTCTGTTTCTGCGCTACACGAGGGCGAAAATTCAATGGTATACCCTCTTGGGCGACCCTATTCTGCACGTATCTGAAAGCAGGCTATGTTCATATACTCGCATTCTCCCCAGATGATTGTTCCCCTGGATTCAGGACTATCACAACCCATGTAGACTGTTTGCCAATTGCAAGACAATGTCGTGACAATGAAGACCTACAGGATCGCGTGCGTCTCGCAATGGCGCTCTTCACCCTCCAGCGTCACATCATTCGCGTTTGCACTCATTGGGATGACACGATGTGGGCGCGGGACGGCCTCACCGAGGAGCATGAAGCTATTGTGCAGGCCACAGGTATCAGCACTGAGGATGTGTCGAACCGCGTTGTTCCAGTTGAAGGGGATACGATGCGAAAACGCAAAATTGTAAAACGACTGCTTGCCCGCGGACTGATTGAGGACATTGATGCAGAATATGTGAATATTCTTCCTTCAAGTGATTCCGAAGACAGCAGCGCAAGCGCCGAATATGACGAGGAAAACACCTATGATATTAGCGATACCCGGATTTCCAAGAAGGAGAAGAAGCTCCTTAAGAAACGAGTGATGGACTGGCGTATGAAATGTGGTGTTGCATCTGGAGACGAGGAACACTGAGGTGGCTAAGTTGCAGTGCATACATTGTCAGGCTCTTGTATATATCATGGAGCCGAAGCTTAGAGTTCCTTTTAACGACGGACGATCGATCCTGCCTGATCCTGCGTGCTTCAAAGCAAACGCATTGTTCCATATTCGGGACGCGCGTCTTGCTCTTTGCCCTCATCTAAGACCTCGAGTTCGCACTTGTCCGACACTCTGCACTCGAACTTTTGGTCATCGTGTCGTGTGGTAACATGCAACTGTGCGAGACGGGAACCATGATTGCAAGGGGATCATAATAGAAACGTAATATCCAACGATTTAGAATTCTACGCGGCCACGTTCACGTTCAGCGGGGCTCGAGTTGTCTTTACTGATCGAATGCGAGCTCCATCAGGCTTCAGTATTACAGTTCCGGGCGGAATATACTGTTCGACGTGCAAGCGAGCGGCAAGATGGCTGGACATTTCGTCTTTATCTTCGTCTTTCCTCCTCCGTTGCGTTCTCACGAAGTTGTTTATATCCCTGAACCATTACATCTCAGCCAACGTCCAATGAGGTTCTATTATGGTCGATGTAAGTTTTGCCCCTTGGATATGCGTCGTGCTGATTACCAGCGACTGCAATTTAGACCTTCAAGAACTTCTCTCCGTGCATTACGATTTCCGCGATTTAGACTTAACTACTGGCGGAACGTGGACCCTCATTACTCCTGAGATGAATTGTCTCCATATCCTGCCGGGCATCTGTCATAAGTCATACCCCTTGGGCAAGGTCAAGAATGAAGAGACTGCAAAAGTTGTCTCTCGCATTGAATCTGATACGCGCAAATGGTTGCTTCTGGACTGTGTGAAGCCAGTAAAAATGGCATCACGCTTATCGTTGGTAAGTAGCAGAATCCATAAAATCAGCAATATGCCATTTACTCGTATTAGCGAGACCATTCCCTGACTTTGCAGAATACCACATTTTCTCCGTCAATCGCTGACCTCGAGCTGGATACCATGAGAGTTTTGCTCGATGCCTCCAAACAAGTCGCCGAGTACCACCTCTCATGGTGGAATAAAACTCACAAGCACCGGACTTTCCATATAGACTGGATAGAAGAGGGAGAGATTGAATCTGTGAGACTCACAGATCCACTCTCGGTATTCATTAATACTATACTTGAGCGGAGGGCGCATCGTGCATCGTTGGTACGGCTGATGAGGGCGCCAGGACCATACGATGGCGGGGCAGACTTTGTTTTTGAGAAATACATGAAGGTTGCCATTTCATTGTTGTTTGATACCGACCACTTGGTCCTCCTAAGGTGTGTCCCAGAGCTCTCGATACAGAATTAGTGAATCATATCTCTTCTCCAGCTGCGAAGGCCAAGTACAGGATCTTCCTCCGTGTTCATCCCAGAACTGTTTCCCGCTCGTTGTTGCAGGTGGGGGTCCCGATATGGACTCGGTGCGGAGTGAGATGGCTAGAATCCTACGACCTACATTAGTCCATCTGGTCCAGAAACACCGGCATAGTCAAGAGACGACAAGTGAGACCGCACTTCCAAAACACTGTGTCCTGTATGGTCTTCACTGGTCGAGAACTCACTTACGGATTTTCGTTCATTTTCCTATCTGTACAATGGGTGAAGACCCTACAGGCTGGAAATTTGGTCAAGCACTTGCGGCACAACATTGGGTCGCACTGGAACAGGTTCATCCCGAACGGGTCTCATCTCATTGTAATTCTCAAGATACCTTTTTCCTGGGTCGTTGGCGAATGACTGTTGCACTCTTTGCCATTCGGGCTCGCATCCACGAGTTGGAACAGCTCTTGACTGATATCCATATGCCGAAAATGATACCACAAATGCAATCGTAAGTCCTGAACGACCCCCTGTACTTTCCTCTGACGTTCCTCTACATCATAGACAGCCCGCCTCCCCCGGTTCTGATCAAACGCTCGCTAAATTTGAACCTCGGTCTTCGTCAATAAGTCATTATGTTCACGCCATGCGACGATTTTGGAGAGACCGTCAAATCGAGGTACCTGAAGAGTGGATAGTGAGTCTAGATATCTACACCTACCTCTCGCATGCGCTCACATGCGGAATAGCCGGCCGAGGAAGAAGTTGTCGCAGTCGTCCCCACTGTGAGAAAACCAGGTAATATCGTTGTTGTCAATACCCTATTATTTTCGCTTTCAGAGGTAATGCTTCATCCATTGCGCCACTTGCTGGCTCCGCTTTCCAAGGAGACCATGTCTGCACACCGCTTCGCTGACAATCATGTTGGTCCGAATTTCCTGCATTCACTCCATGTCCCTAGGTCACATTTCGATTGGAAAGTGTTGAAGGTAGATCTCGGGGAGAACACGAGACCACATCTAGCTCGGCTGTACGACCTGCTAACTATGAGTGCGACGTGTTGGGAAGATGTCAGCATTTTCTTGGCCAATGTTTTCGCCGGCTTCTCCTCTTATGCTGTTCGCTGGTGAGTTCCACAGACTGAACTCTCGTGTATGGGATTGAGTATTATGGCGAGCAGGCATCCACAAACCCGGTATCCCTTCGAGATGCAGACTCCGACCACAGATCTAGTCCTTGATTTTGCTCTTGCAGTACAAATAGTCGCCCCAACGATGATGTTAACCATCAAGCGTGCTTCTCAACTTCCCCTCACACTATCCAGTCCAGGGATAGTACTTGGCATGCGGTCGACAACCTTGGATTGCAATGGTACAGCGATCACCAACCGCGAACTGGATGATCTCAAGATTCTGATGGCGCCCCACCTGCGAGCGGTAAATATGGCGGTCAGTGGCGACAATAACGACGAGGATACATTATTGCCGATTTGGGCAAATCTGTTCGCAATCTTCTTCAAGGCGGGAGTGGTGCACATCATAGCATTTACTTTGCTCCACGCGGAAGGTGGTCCTGTTATCGATGCGTGTGTCGTGGATAGTGTTACGATCACATTCATTTCGGATCTACGGACACACCTTTCCCTCACATTATTTATTTGTAACCACTTATTAAAACCTACCCAAACACACTCATTGATCCATGCTCGAACCTGACCGATACCGTAAGGATATACGAACACATTGATACTGCATGTATTTAGATAATAGTTGTATATATACGCCAGACAAACTTCGGATTAACTCCAAGTTTCGAATGGTTTTACACTGCTCATTTCTAGTTTGATTTGAGTCCTATCATAATTTGAAACTTGCCCCTTCACACTCTCTCGACAGGCATTGCCTCATCTTTCACCCACACTTCACCTCACTCAAAGTCCGTTGTACTCGACGGCAACCACCTTGTTCCTCATCCCACTCTGCTTTACTCTTACTCGTTCAAGACCTCATTCGGAGGGATCCGAATTCCACATTCCTAGTCACTTTTCTATCGCACTCCACTCCTCCACCTGGGTAATCACATGACTACAACTGTAGATTGCAACCCTTGTATTCCCTTAGTACATAAATCATTACTCTCACCTGGTAGTCTGCTCTTAAAGCAACCAGGAAGTAGGTGGTGCTGTAACCTTCTTGACAGAGGGGCCGTTGAAAAATCCTACCAGAATTTACCCTGCTCAGACCTAAACGACTGAGTGTATGGCAGGAGGTTTTGAACCTTGCTGGTATTCTTTGACTCTCTCGCACGCTGAAAAGCAATTACCGCAGAGATCAACTTCTCTTTTTGCGCCTTCAAAGGCCAAACCATTTTACGTAGTTACTATATCTACCTACTTCGTGTGTCTGGATTGGCTATTGGCCGGAACACTTTGAAGGAGTACCTTTACCTTGGATCTATACTCGTCTAAGTACCAGAACAGGGTCGTGCGCCCGGTACAAGACACTATTGTTCACACATCACATCTTCATTTGAATTTTCTGACTCCATACCTATCTACCAATTCTATGAATGCCGATCACAACCTCCTCTCTTACCTCCATCACACTCATCTTTCACACACTCCACACCACCATCACCATTATCAGAAATGGGTTCCACTGAAGCCGGAACTGGTGATCTGGAACAAAACTCAAACCCACCTAGACAACTGCCACCAGTACCACCACAGCCAAACACAAAGGCATCTGGAGCGAAACCTTCAGATTTTGATGGAAGCAAAGACAAATTCCTTTCTTTCAAAAGGCAATTGATACTATGGTACTGTACACCCAAGAACATTGGTCTCACCGATGAGCAAAAAATCGATATGACTCTTTCGTACATGAAGGGTCCAAAGGTTGACGATTGGGTCAACAACTACTTCGACAACAAATTCGATGTCGACACAAACAGCTGGAAAATGGATTTTCGTCAGCTAATACTCAACCTACATGAAGCATTCCTCGATGTAAATCAAGTCAAACAAGCAGTTATCCAAATGGATAACTTGACCCAAGGCAACAGGACGGCGCAGGAATATTTCCAGAAATTGGAAATGTACATCACGCAGGCAGGCAGGCAAAGGAAAGATAAACACACTATTGACCTTGTCCGACTCAACTGCAATGAGTCCATCATAGACAGGGCTCTTGACAGAGATACACGACTAGCCACATATGCACAGTGGAAGGAAGCGATCATTGATATTGATTCCTCGCGAAGGCAGCGGGAAGAAGAGAAGCGATTGAAGAAGATCAGATATCGACCATACCGATCAAACCAGAACTATGGGCAGAAGTACCCTGCCTATCAACAACAGACCCAAGGATCGGGTCAGAACCAGAGTCAGACTCTGAAGAAGGACTATGGAGAAAAGAAGGATGGAACCGGGACAACGTTCACAGGGCGTGGACAGCCCATGAACTTGGATAGGAATTGCCTTAAATGTAAGGCTAAGCAATCAGAAAAGGGCACTTGTGGAAGTGAATGGCACGTCCCTAATTGATCAGGACCTTTCATGAACACTCAACATGTTTGAAAAAATGAAACAAAGACAGAGTCAAAGATCAAGGAGATCCCTGACTCAGATGATGATGACAATGACAAGATGATCGCCATGGTTCACCGATGGATGGAGAAGAACCCAGAGAAGGTGAAGAAGCTGAATTTTGGCTCAGGCAAGGCTTAAATGCACAAAGTAACTTGCCAGATATGAACAATGACTCTGATAAACCCCTGGAGGATTCTATGAAACCATCTTCAATACATGCCTGTAGTACATCGATCAGACAGTCCCCTTTTGTAAATATTTCATCTAACGCAGAGGCGTCTTCTACCAAGAAGTGCAGCAGGGTGAAACCTGTGCTTGATTCCTCTAAACAAAATACAAAAAAATTTGAAGATAAACCGAGTGCGTCGGATAAAAGCATCACAGACATCGGACCACCATTACTCCGAGTTGTCAAAGGACTTGGAAGAGGAAAACAAATGGACCTACCGGTCACCGTGATCATCCCGGAAACAGAAAGAATTCATGATACAGTAGCCTTAGTTGACACCGGTAGCACCGGGTCATGCATAAATTATAATTTCATTAAAAGACACGGAATTGAAACCTCTAGATTCGATCAACCGATCCAAGTCTATAACACGGATAACAGCGAGAATTCTCAGGGACCGATCACAGAATATGTTTGACTCACACTTCAAATTGGCGATCACCAGGAAAACATCATGCTTCTAGTTACCGATCTGGGGAAGTCAGACATATTCCTCGGATATGAATGGATTGAATATCATAATCCATCAATAGACTTTAAACTACAACTTGTTGACTTTAACCGATGTCCGCACACATGCATCACTATAAGACAACAAGAAATCGAAGAAGGAGACACTGTATATTTACTTAATACCAATGCCTGGTATAAAGAACGGGGAGAATATATCCAAAGAATGCACGTAACAGCCATGGACATAGCAATTGAACAAAGTAAACAGAAAAAGAAAAAGACCTTTGAAGAAATAGTTTCCAAACAGTATCGTGAATTCACAGACGTATTCACTGAAGATACCTTTGATGTTCTTCCAGAAAGAAAACCATGGGATCATGCAATAGAGTTGTTACCAGATTCATCACCGTATGCAGGCAAGGTGTATTCTATGACCATTGAAGAACAAAAAATTCTAGACAGTTTTCTTGAAGAAAATCTAAAGACGGGTAGAATCCGACCATCGAAGTCTCCCTGGGGAGCACCTTTCTTCTTTGTCAAAAAGAAAGATGGCAAATTGAGACCGGTACAGGATTACTGAAAACTCAATAATATGACCAAGAAAAACAAATATCCTTTACTATTGATATCAGAGCTTATTGATAAGCTTAAGAGTGCCAAATATTTCACAAAACTAGACATTCGCTGGGGATACAACAATATTCGTATGAAAGAAGGAGATGAAGAGAAAGCTGCATTCATCACGAATAGAGGACTATACAAACCAACTGTCATGTTCTTTGGATTGACGAATAGTCCTGCTACATTCCAAATGATGATGAATGATATTTTCTGTAATCTCATTCTCAAAGGAAAAGTAATCATATATCTTGACGATATACTCATATTTTCCGAATCCCTGGAGGAACATCGCCGTATTGTGAAAGAAGTTCTTAAAATATTACGAGAAAATAAATTAACCTGCAAACCAGAAAAATGTGAGTTTGAAACTCAAGAAACAGAATATCTCAGACATATTATCTCACAAGGAACTGTAAAGATGGACCCTGCCAAAGTCGACGGAGTTATGCAATGGCCAATACCAAAAGCCAAAAAGGAATTACAGTCATTCCTTGGATTCGCCAATTTCTATCGATGATTCATCAAAGACTTTTCCAAAATCGCCACTCCCTTGAATAAATTAACCGGACAAGTAGAATGGACCTGGGGTCCAGAACAGTAGAAAGCTTTTGAACTTCTAAAGACAACCATTACCACGGCACCAGTATTGGGCATTCTGAACAATGAAGATCAGTTCAAAGTTGAATGCAATGCATCAAAATATGCTATTGGGGCTGAACTTGCACAGAAGCAAGATGGACAATGGCACACCATTGCCTTCTTATCGAAAAGCCTTTCACCAGCTGAAAGAAACTATGAGATCTACGATCGAGAGATGCTAGCCATCATGATCTCATTAGAAGAATAGTGTCACTTCTTGATAGGAGCTGTGCAGAAATTCAAAATTTATTCCGATCACAAGAACCTTGGTTATTTCAAAAAGCCCCAGAAGTTGAATCATCGCCAAGCGCGATGGATCCAAGAATTACAACAATATGATTTCAATTTGATCCACAAACCTGGAAACACAATAATGAAGGGTGATCTTTTATCGCGACAGACCCATCACGATATCGGCAATAGTCATAATGAAAATATTACATTGTTAAAACCAGAATGGTTCCGAGCCAATGAAATTCTCGGATCATCAGCTTTACGGGAGAAAATCATAAAAAACACTGAAAAATATGAGAACAATATATGACTAAAATTATTGACAAAAGATGCTGATTTCAATGAGACCGAGGATGGTCTTATCTGGAGAAGAGGAAAGATTGTTATCTCTTTTGATAAGGAACTCAGAGGAGAAATTATTCATTCGCATCATGATTCGATTAGTGCTGGTCATTCTGGACAAGTGAAAACACAAGAACTAATCTATCTATCGTACTGGTGGCCTTCGATCAAAAAAGATGTAAAAACATATGTAAAAGGCTGCGAGACTTGTCAAAAAACCAAGATTAACCATCAACCGAAGAATGCTCCATTGCACCCAAATGCAATTCCGGAACACAATTGGGAATATCAATCAGTAGATATGATTACACACTTACCAGAGTCGCAAGGGCATAATGCAATCATAGTAGTTGTGGACATGAAATCAAAAGACTATATTGAAATACCAACTACGGAGCAATTGACATCAGAAGGATGGGCTAATCTCTATATCAAAAATGTATATCCGTTGCACGGATTACCAAAAAAGATGACATCAGACCGTGGACCGCAATTTGTATCCAGCTTTATAAAAGATTTATACAAGAAACTAGGAATTTAGGGAAATTCTAGTGCAGCATACCATCTACAAACAGACGGACAAACAGAATGAATCAGTCAAGAAATTGAAAATTATCTATGAATCTTTATCAATCATCGACAGACTGATTAGCCAGAATGGTTGCCACTAGCAACATTTGCATATCGAAACAGAGTCCACTCTGTGACTGGATTTTCACCATTTTATATGAATCACAGACGAGAAGCCTATACTAGTGTAGAAACCAAAAAAGAAATTCATAATAAAACTGCCGAGCAGTTTGTAGCATGAATGAAGAAAATCCAAGAGGAAGCATCGGCATCATTGACACTTGCACAAGATGTTATGAAAAGACAATATGACAAACATAAAGGCGAAGCCACAAATTATAAAGATGGAGATTTAGTGTGGCTTGAAGCTATGCATATATGCACAGATAGATCAAATTGAAAATTAGATGATAAAAGATACGGATCATTTCTGATTATCAAGAAAATTGGAGCTAGCGCATACAAGCTCAAATTACCAAAATCATGGAAAGGCATACATCCTGTATTCAATGAAACCTTATTATTGCCATATCACGCACCAGAATTCCCTAATCAGAAAACACAGAAAAACATTCCAATAATTATTGATATTTTAGAAGACAAAGCTGAATCTGTACTAGACTCTAAGATGGCACATGGAGGCCTTCAATATCTAATCAAGTGGGCTGGAAAACCACATTCTGAAAATACATGGGAACCATATCATAAAATTATTAAAAACATAGACAAAAAGATAATTGACAAATTCCATAAAGATTATCCCGATGCGCCAAAAGCACCCATGAGAATATTGTTAAAGGCACAAATTATGGAACAGTCATTTCCTAGAGAAGCAACACAAGAAGAATGGGATTATTGGGATCAGAAAGTACAGCGATGGGCAGAACATCGTAAAAAAGAAAAAGCAATGATATCTGTGGATCCAGATTCGACTAAATTATTTGAAAATCGAAGGAAAGCACAAATCATATCTAATCAGCATTACCTGAATGCCGGTGAGTTATGGATCATCAATGAGCAGACGCTCAAACTGACACACGTGGCAATCACATCCGCGCCTACAAAAGTCAAACTCGAATGGCAATACCCCATTCTTTCCTTCTACCAACTCATCGAACCAATATCAATCCCAAGTATGGATTCCCCTATTCTAGAACAATCATTCACTCAACCAATGAAAGCTCTTTGGTAGAAATGGACAAAGACGGAATCATCATCCTTAGTGTCTTTGGCGGCATAATCCTATGCACTGTTGGAGTGATACTCTGGGTTGTATGGTATAGAGAACGGGAGTGAGAAAACTCGGAAGAATGGATCATCATGGTATGATTGAACAATTTCATACTCTATCATAATTAATCATGAGGACATGATTCTAGAGGAGGGGGTAATGTTATGATCACATTCATTTCGGATCTACGGACACACCTTTCCCTCACATTATTTATTTGTAACCACTTATTAAAACCTACCCAAACACACTCATTGATCCATGCTCGAACCTGACCGATACCATAAGGATATACGAACACATTGATACCGCATGTATTTAGATAATAGTTGTATATATACGCCAGACAAACTTCGGATTAACTCCAAGTTTCGAATGGTTTTACACTGCTCATTTCTAGTTTGATTTGAGTCCTATCAGATAGTCTCCCAATTACGACGATCATGAATGACTTGAAGGATCTTGAAGATCGCTTGCGTCTCACGGTGGCACTGTTTACTCTGCAAACACATGTCGTCCGCTTTTCTAAGCATTGGGCAGATGTTGTCTGGAGTGATAGCCTACTGAGCGAAGAGCGGCAGGCTATTCTTTGTGTGACCGGGGTCCCTTCACACCCAGAATCGTCGAGTTGTTCCGATGGGCCTACAGACCCGAGGACAATCATGGCACAATCAAGCAATATAGAGACGAAGACGAGGTGGAGAGGGATAGCAGTGATACGAGTATTGCTCGAGATGAAGTATTGATGGATGTGATTGATAAAGTGTATCAGTGGTTGGACGGCCTTGAGGCAGACTTGCCCTTCGCACCGGAACTAGATGAGCTTGTTGATGTGTAGAATGACCGTAGCATTATAAAGTACCGCGATATTGCACCAGTCGACTGCTCCCTCGGGCTCATTTCATCATACACACGCACCCATTCGCATGCACAGAGCACCTCCGATAGATACCGCGCAGAACGATAAGGAGATAATAGATCTAGGTCGTAAAGATTGGTCACGTCAATCCAAGTCAAAGAGAACAAGCACACCGGTGGCTCCAAGAGAAGTGGAGAATGCAGGAAGGCTCCAGAGGGTTCATCCTTAGCATACTAAGTAAAGAATGATTGAATACGAACTGACTGTGACTGGCCTGCAATTTGGTAGTAACTGCTCGTACAGGAGAAAATTCCGTGGGTAGGATACCAGAAATCAAGAGACTCGGAAGCCTCTTTGTGTCAATGAATTTTAGCATATCTGGACGATCGATCCTGCCTAATCCTGCGTACTTCGAATGAACGCGTGGTTCGATGGGCCTTATCAGGATACGCGTCTTGCTCTTCATCCTCATCTAAGGCTTAGTAGGGCTGAGCTCGTGCTTGTCATTCTGTACTCGACTCTTTGGTCACAGTATTGTGTAATAACATGCAACTGTGCGATCAAGCACCCTCACGAGGTGGGCTGCATGGTCCCACTTTGGGGAATGATGTAGGGCTGATGATAGAAACGTAATATTCAACGACTTGGAATTCTGCCCGGCCACGTTCACCTTCAACGAGGCTCGAGCTGTCCGTACCGCCGTGACCCCATGCAAGCCCCATCAGGATTTAATCTTACGGCTGGGGGCGGAATTGGTGTTCTCTTTGCAACCGAGTAGCAAAATGGTCGCACATATTACATTTATCTTCATCTTTGCCTCCTCCGCTGTGCTCTCACGAAGGTGGTCGCGCTCTATGTTCTGTCTTGTCCAACGTCAAAATGAGGTTCTTTTACGGGCAGTGTAAGTCTTGTCCCTATGGTCTATACGTCCCGATCATTAATAGTTGTAATTAGACCTTCGAAAACTCTCCTCCGTGCGTTATGATTTTCGCGAAGTAGACTTAGCTGCCAATGGAACATGGACCTTCATTACTCCTGAGATCGACTCTCTCTCTATCTTGCCGGGCATATGCCATGGTTCTTATCCCTTGGGCAAACTCGAGAATGAAGAGACTAAAAACGTTATCAGTCGTATTCAATCTGATGCGCGCAACTGGTTGCAACTTGACTGTGTGATACCAGTGAAAATATCATCACGTTTAATGTTGGTAAGTATCACAAGCCATGTAGTGAGCAAGGTGCTGATTACTCGCAGCAGCAAGACCATTCTCTAGCTTTGCAGAATACCACACCTCTTCCGACAATCATTGACCTCGAACTGGATACCCTGAAGGTCTTGCTCGATGCCACCGAACAAATAGCCAGGTATCACTTCTCACAGTGGCACCACGCCGCTAAGAACTCGAAATTCCATATGGAGTGGGCGGAGGCCAGCGAAATCGAATCTTTGCAACTTACAGATCCCCTCTCTGTATTCATCAATACGATACTTGAACGGCGGGCTCACCGTGCATCATTGCTACGGATCATGAGGGCACCAGGACCATACGATGGCGGGGCTGACCTTCTCTTTGAGAGATACATCAAGGTTGCCATTTCGTTGTTGTTCGATAACAACCACTTGGTCCTTCTGAGGCATGCATGCGCGCTCTCGATATGGAATTCATGATTTACGCCGCCTCTCTAGCTGCGATAACCATGTAAAAGACCCTCCTACGTATTCACCACAGGACCGTTTGCCTCTTGTTGTTGCAGGTGTGTGCATTTCCTCTCGGCGTAAGTCACTGCTGACTGATCATTCGCATTACCAGGTGGGGCTCCCGATATTGAATTGGTGCGGAGCGAGATGGCTAGAATCCTACGACCTACGTTAGTCCATTTGGTTCGGGCACATCGGGGTGGTCAAGAGGCGACAAGTGGGACTGTACTTCCTGATCATTGTGTCCTGTATGGTCTTCACTGGTCGAGAACTCACTTACGGATTTTCGCTCATTTTCCGATCCGTACAATCGGTGACAGCTCTGCCGACTGGAAGTTCGGTCAAGCGCTTGCGGTACAACATTGGGTATCTGTAGAAGAACATCTTCCTGAGTATATTCGCTCCAATTGGACTGGTCAGGATGATATGTTCTTGGATCGTTGGCGAGTGGCCGTTGCGCTCTTTGCCATCCGGGCTCGCGTCCAGGAGCTGGAGCAACTCTTGAAAGATATCAATACACCGGAAATGATACCACGACCACAATCGTAAGTCTTCTGGATCACATTCCTTTTGCTTTTCTCTGATGTTGCTTCGCATCACAGACCACTTGCCTCCGGGTCTGATCAAACACTCGCTAGATTTCAGCCTCGGTCTACGTTAGTGCTTCAATATGTTCACGCCATGCGACGATTTTGGAGAGACCATCAAATCGAGGTGCCTCAAGAGTGGATAGTGAGTCCAGATGTCTATTCCCTGTCGCATATGCTCACACGTGGAATAGCCAGCCGAGGAAGAAGTTGTCACAATACTTCCTACCGTTGTTGAAGACTCTGATGAGCTCGTTATTGTCAATAACCTATTATTTTCGCTTTCCAAGATAATGCTTCACCCATTGCGCCACTTGCTGGTTCCGCTTTCCAAGGAGACCATGTCTGCATACCGTTTCGCCGACAGTCACATTGGTCCAAATTTCCTGCATTCACTCCATGTCCCTAGGTCGCATTTCGATTGGAAGGTGTTGGAGGTAGATCTGGGGGAGAATACAAGACCACATCTAGCCCGGCTGTACGACCTTCTAATCATGAGTGCAACGTGTTGGGAGGATGTCAGCATCTTCCTGGCCAATGTTTTCGCCGGCTTCTCTTCCTATGCCGTTCGCTGGTGAGTTCAACAGACTCAATTATCATGTATGGGCTGAGTGTGAGCCTGAGCAGGCATCCGCGAGCCCGGTATCCCTTCGAGATGCAGGCTCCGTCTATAGATATAGTCCTCGATTTTGCTCTTGCAGTGCAGACAGTTGCACCGACGACGTTGTTAACGATCAAACGTGCTTCTCAGCTTCCCCTCTCATTATCTAGTCCAGCCGTGGTACTTGGCATCCGGTCGACAACTTTTGACTGCAATGGTTCAGCGATCACCCTTCACGAGCTGGATGATCTCAAGGTTCTAATGGCGCCTCACCTGCGAGTGGTAAGTATGGCATTCGGTGGTGATGGCAACGACGAGGATACATTATTGCCAACGTGGGCAACTCTCTTCGCAATCTTCCTCAAGGCAAAAGTGGTGCACATCATAGCATTCACTTTGCTCCGTGCAGAAGGCGGTCCTATTATCGATGCTTGTGTCGTGGATAGTCTCCCAATTACGATGATCATGAATAACTTGAAGGATCTTGAAGATCGCTTGCGTCTCACCATGGCGCTGTTTGCTATCCAAACACATGTCGTGCGTTTTTCTACGCATTGGGCAGATATTGTCTGGAGTGATACCTTGTTGGGCGAAGAGCGGGAGGCTATACTTTGCGTGACCGGGGTTCCTTCACGCCCAGAGACATCGAGTTGCTCGGACTCTGAATCTAGAGACCCAAGGACAATTATGGAACAATTGGGACAATACAGAGATGACATTGAAGACGAAGCAGAGATGGATAGCAACGATACGAGTATTGCTCGAGGCGAGGTACTGATGGATGTCATTGATAAAGTGAATCAGTGGCTGGACGATCAGACAGAGATATCCTGAGGTACGAAGGTTGCGTTTCTGTCTACACGGCTTTTAGGCCGATTTAGATGACCTTGTAAACATGTAGGAATGATTCTACCATTATAAAGTACTGTGATAATGAACCAGTCGACTGCGCCGTCGAGCTCATTTCAGCATACACCTGCACCCATTCGCATCAACAGAGCACATCCAATAGATGCCGCGCAAGACGATAAGCAGATAGTACATCTAGATCGTAAAGAATGGTCACATCAATCTAAATGCAAGGGAACAAGCACACCGGTGTTAAGAGAGAAATCTAGTGAAGGATCGAAAGAAAAAAAAAGGACGTCACGATCAGGAAGCCTCAACCGCGTCCGTCTTCCTCTTCTTCTCCTTTTTCTCCTTCTTGCTCTTCTTCCCCTCAATCTCTTCGCCATTCAAGGTGTTTTCAGCTTTCCGTTTCTTCGATTTCCCATTCACCTCCTCGACCCCCTCCGATCCCAGGGCCTTCTCCTTCTTCCTATCTTTCTTCTCCTTCTTACTCTTCTTTTCGCCCTCCGGTAGAGTCACCTCCCCGTTCGTCGCTACAGGTTCAGACTCAACCTCTTTCCCCTTCTTGCTCTTCTTCTCTTTCTTCTCTTTCTTTTCCGACTTCCCTTCAGCGGGCGTCGAAATTAATGTGGAAGGTTCGGTGGGTGCGGAAGTTGAGTCAGCTACGGAGGCGTCCTTTGTCTTCTTGTCCTTCTTGGACTTTTTGTCCCCCGAGTCTTTCGACGAGTCAGCTGAAGATGAGGGGCCTGGTTCTACAGCCGACAAAGTAGAGACCTCGACTTTGGCTTTCTTGACCTTTTGCGTTGAGTTGGTTTCCTGTATTGACAACAACGAAACATCATGAAGCCTTTGAGCGTTTTGATGACGATAAACCAAATACAAAACGTACCTCAGGCGCAACTTTGCGCTTTTTCTCCTCCCCGTTCATCTTCGTCCCCTTATCTTTTCCATTCACACCATTCACCTTCGAAGGACTCGGTTCACCCGCTTCAGGTGGTGTCGGAACTTCATATGAGTATGGGGACATCCGAAGGGGTGTACCCAGAGGAGTACCGTTAGCACCCGTTGCTTCTTGTCGGACGTATCTTCCTCCACCCCATGCGCCTCCTCCGCCTCCTCGACCGGCACCGGCACCCTGCCACGAAGGCCGAGCAATATTGCCAGCACCGTTGGAGTTGCGGGAGTAGTTGTTGTTGTTCGACTGAAACTTACCCGTTGATGGTGTTGCGTTGGTATCGGAGTTAGCATTGGAAGTGTTATTTGAGTCGTTGGTGTTATTAGCGTTACCGCGTGGACCACCGTTTTGTTTCTGAAGCGGGGTGAACATGTTAAGGTGAAGTGGACGATACGGAGAAGAATAGAGACGTACAGTGCCCTTGGGACCCTTGTACAAGCCTTTTTGATATTTTTCCGCTTCCGAGATACACGAGGTATGACCTTTGTATTCTGCAGGACTACCAAATGTTTTGCTGCAATCGATACATGTAAAGGAAGAGTGACATTGCGCTCTGTGATTATCGAGCTTTGGCTTTTTCACGACGTCCGAGCATCCTGATGAAATGAAAATACGTGAGATGCGACTCGGATGGAGAGCCCAAGCAAGTCATTCTGACCATCACACCTAAGACACCGAGTTAGTAATGAGAGGGAATATGTAATGAGCTGACTACGCACTGAAAAGAAACCATTCTGCCTGGAGAGGATGGAAGCAAAGAGTACACTAGCGAACGACCGCAAGAGTCTCACGGACCAATCAGAGCTCAGAATCTCCAAAAATGGGCTCACGTGCTCTGCTTAGGTAATGGAGCGTCTGCTTAGAGAATGGTGGTCCGTGATTGGCTGGGCTAGAGTGATCTCGGTCAAGTGTGGGGAAATGGTTTCATGGTTGAGTAACGTGAGCGCATGGCTAAGCTGGCTATGCCGCCATCATAAGAGCTGCCTCACCATTTAGAGAGGGGGCCTCGTAGTCCTCCTCAACGTCCACCATGTCGTTCGCTGTACTGCGAGCTTCCTTCCGTAAGAGCGCTGCCCCCGCCAATTTCGCCAGGCGCAGCGTAAATACTCGATTCAGAGTACCCGCTTTCAGGAGGTTCTCAACAGAGACTCCCCCACCACCACCGCCTGAGCCTCCGAAGAAGTCCAATACAGCCCTCTATGCCGGCCTCGGTGCCGCTGCTGTGGGAGGTGTCGCTTTCTGGATCTACTATTCCCAGTCGGACGCAGCGAGGACGGCTGGAACTGCCGTCAAGTCCGGTGTTCAGTCCGCGAAGGCTGCAACCAACTTCGTGCCTTCCAAGAACGACTACGTCAAGGTGCGACCATCAGCTGATATACTTTAACCTTTATGTACTCAATTGAAATATGCGATCTATTTGTTACCGTTCACACCTATTCATTCGATTAGGTCTATAATAAGATTGTGGATATCATGGACTCGGCTTCAGACAAGGAATATGATGGTAGGCTGTCCTTATGACATTGACCCCGTGCGCTTCCCTTTCTCACGTCTCCGCTCTTGTGTTTGCAGACGGCTCCTACGGCCCTGTCCTTTTGCGACTCGCCTGGCACTCTTCTGGTACATATGACAAGGAATCGAAGACGGGCGGCAGGTCAGTGCTCTCCCTCTCTGTCCCCACTACCATCCTAATCATACCTCTTTTCCTGCAGCAACTATGCGACAATGCGCTTCGAACCCGAAGCCCGTCACGATGCCAATGCCGGTTTGAACGTCGCTCGTGACGTGTTGGAAGAGGCCAAGAAGGAATTCCCTTGGATCTCATACGGTGATCTCTGGACTTTGGCTGGCGTCGCTGCTGTTCAAGAAATGGGCGGTCCTCATATCCCTTGGAGACCTGGACGTATAGATGGTTTTGCTGCTCAAGCTACCCCAGATGGCCGTTTACCCGACGCTACTCAAGGTGCCGACCACTTGCGCAACGTCAGTATCCTCAGATCTACTTTCTTTAATGGTTCGTGTTAGGCTTATTTTGGCTGTATGTAGATCTTTTACCGTATGGGGTTCAATGACCAAGAGATCGTCGCACTCTCTGGCGCACACGCTCTTGGTCGGTGCCACCGTGATAGATCCGGCTTCGAAGGTCCCTGGACGTTCTCTCCTACCACTGTGACGAATGATTATTTCCGGCTTTTGTTCGATGAGTCTTGGGTTTGGAAGAAGTGGGATGGTCCTAAGCAGCTGGAGGATAAGAAGACCAGGAGTTTGATGATGTTACCGTACGTCTCCTTTTTGCTTTGCTGATACGCAAGAGGTATCTGTGTACTGACGATTGGATGTCTTTTTCTTTGTAGAACCGATTATGTGTTGGTTCAGGATAAGAGCTTCAAGAAGTACGCCAAGCTATATGCCGATAATCAAGACTTGTGGTTCAAGGAGTACGTAGTCTCTGAATCCAATTTCGGTACTAGTATCTTCATTCTGACACCCACCCCTCCCAATCCTTAGCTTCTCCAAAGCTGTTGCCACGCTTTTCGAACTCGGCATTCCTACTTCTCAATTTGTCACTGCCGAGCCTTGGATTATGCCTACCCAGGATGAACAGACGGAATCTCAAGAGGCTGAGAAGAAGTAATCTTATTACTGCTTCCTCTCTACTCGTGCCGCCGATCTACTAGAGGTTCCCGACTTCCTTTCTGTTGTCTTGAATTTGTCGTGTGCTAGAGCGATAGACCTTATCGTACTGGTCATCACAACTAAGTGTCTCTTAGATGAGGTTACATTACTTCAGTCTCTTTTCTTTTTTCCTATGACTTGTTGAAATTCTGGACTCGGTTTTCCTTCCTTTTTTTTTCTCCTTTCCTCTTTGTTTCTCTCTGTTTATCAAAGTTTTGGAGTTGATCTTCTGCTTTTATCATCTGCCTATCTAAAATTGTCATTGCGTTGGTGCTTCTTGCTAGTGTTTTGTTTCTGTGTAACGTTACTGTCTTGTGTCGAATATTTTGTGTACAACATGTTGATCGTGGCGTATGGCATGTGAAACGAACCTTCCATCTAAGTTTCGGCGGTATCCATATTCTTCACAATTTTGTCCAACGTCAACGTCGTTCAATGGAATACCATCTACAGGACTTTCAGCGTTATCTGGAACTTGTTGAACGTCTCTTCCAACACCCTTATCAGTAGCGTCATTCATCTCATCCCCACTCTCAAAGTCAACCTACACGATATATATTGAGAAGACAGTATTATCATGAACAACTTGCAATAGTTGTGATACTAAGCCATCGAAGCGAAAGGACAAAGTGCGAAGACTTCCTTATTGGGCGGATTTCCATCCTAATGCGGTAACGGCTTCTGAGCTGAGGCCATAATAAATCTCGTCAAATTCAACAGGGAAAGGCATACATTTTACGAATGGAGGTTATGTATAAGTATTCTAATCCCACGGCTCGTAAATTTCACCCCAAGGCAAATTGTAGACAAGTCTGGCAAGGAGATCGTGGTGGTATCCATAGAAAACCATCGGACTCATATTAGATTTGCAAGCTTCGTCGAACGAGATCAATCTCCAGCGGTGGATACGCTGCGTGAAGGGTGAAGGTAAGGAAGGCAAGGGATTGTCAGGACCTGGCGCTTGAAGAATATTGTAATAACGGATATCGCAGTGGTCGACGCCGAGCTGTGCGAGATCAGCATAAAGAGCTTCTAGCGTTCCCCTGCATGATTTGGATGTCAGTAATCTGGTGAACCGGAAATTAGAGGTACACATACTGAATCCCAGCTGGCAGAGGTTTACCCAAAGGCAAACGACCTCCCACACGCTCTAAAATCAGTATACTAACCATAGTTGGAGTTGGAAGCTCCTCTTCGTCAGATGAATACACTTCAGAATCTTCAGAGTCCTCGTCATCCTTGTCTTTATCGCTGTCGTCGTCACAGTCGGACTCTGAATCAGATTCAGAACCTGGGTCCGAGTCATCTTTGTCGCTGTAATCTCCGTGACATCCTGGACTTCGATTGACTTTATCATGAGCCCAGGGTAAGAATTCCATCGAGGGCTGGATCACAGTCTGATACAAGCCGTAGTATCTTGGGATAACGCAACCTTGCAGACATTCCATTTCCTCGTAATAGTAAGCTTCTCGAGCGAGCCGTTTCGCATCGTGTCGACGTGAGATCTTGACCACAAGTGGAGGAAGTACCATGTTGGACAATTCGGGACTCGATTTTGTAAGGTCAACGGTAGCCTCATAGACTCGGCCAACACGGCCACGACCAATCTTGTTTCCGAGAGTGAGATGGAGTGATAAGTTGCCAAGGTGGAAGTTTGGATGGAAGACGTTTGGGAGGTCGTTTTCCTGTGATAGCTTCCTTGGGCGCATCATCATCAAGCAGGTAGGGTTTATTGGGACGCGGCACCCCGCGATTGAGAACGAGAGACGTGCCGTCCGGAGTGGCGCCTGAAAGGGTAACTTAACGAAGGCATTCGCAGGCTATGCATGCGAAGATGTCAGAGGAGCGAAAGAGCTCGAAAGTGCAGATGCTTACGACTGCATTTGGAGGATCCATGGTAGCAGAAGGTGGTTGAATTACGAACACCTGGGACCCACTGGCACGATGATATATATGCGATTCGATCACCGTCAATCATCCGAAGGCCTGACCACAGTCAAATCTGGTAAGGGCCACAATGAGTTCGTTGTGCCCCCCTAGTTGCGCCCTATTGTGTCTTCCTTCACTGGATCTCTGCGCCCTGACGCACTCGGCTGACAATCATTTTGCGAGACATATTCATCCTTGCCAAGCGACACTAGCTTTCCCATGGGCCTACCGAGCTGTCATTGTGAGTTTTCCGTCCCTTGAACGTACTGTGTGTGGCATATGTTAAACGAGGTAGCGGACCTCCCTACACTCCGGAACACTCTTTTGATGGGAAAGGGGTGGATTATCGATGGGTGGATTCCAATGCCGCCGCCAGCGGAAAACCAGCAAATCCGCTCAGCAGACGCTCAGAGCTGGGATTCCAGTGTCGGGACACCTGAGAACCAGCAAAACTACTTTGTGGGTTGACTTCACAACATAAATCATCCGGAGACGTAAACTCTCTGAGAATTGCCTTATTGAGATTTTCTCTTTCTGTTCTTTTTTCCTTTTCTCCATTTTCCCTATGCGCATACTGCAGTTCAGCTACATCATTTCATGTTACAACTAGTCTATGTCTGATATATGTGTACAATACTAGAGTGTAGTTCTGGCATCTAAGTCTCCAAGGGCATCCATATTGAGTTCACCATCAAGATCGTCACTCCGACTGGCATCCATGCCATCCCCCGCGCCATTCGCAGTGACACGATCCATTGTTGTGAGTGCCACAGGCTTAGGAGTGAGAGACAAGAGCTGAGGCGCCGGCTGAGATGTCGGCATATTCAACAGAAGTGTAGACGGCGAGTTTGACATCGCTGCCATCATTACCGGGGTTGTCGGACTACATAGCAACATTACCTGAGCGACTAGCCGACGAAGGTGTGTATGATGAAAAGACGTCAGGCTCTGAGTGAGGGATGGCATTCTGCTGTTCAGCGACTTCCCACCTTGAGCCTGGCTCAAATCAGAGCGATCTTTGCACACTGAATTATGTTCACTGCTGAACGATGCAAAGGGCGAGAGTGGCACATCGCTGGAAGTTCCTGGTGATGATGGATGTCCCTGTGCGTAAGGTGAAAAGCATTGATTCTGTGCAAGCGAGGATGGAGCATGGCCCAGTGGTACAGCTGGAAGGGGAGAACTCTGAGGAAAGGAACCAAATTAATGAGTCAGAAGATATGTTGGAGTAACTCGGAAAGAGCCGCCGAACATGGCTGGCGGCCGTGCACAAAGTTAACTTGCTGGGAGTTGGGTGGGTGGACACTGCAAATCCACCTGAAACTGCGCGCAAGCAGATTTGCTGGTATATCACTGTCGAGACACCCCATTCCCACCCATTGATCGCCTGGTTGGCTAGTTGTGATGCTGGTGACCGTAGAGGGAACACTCGCATCACATGGGAGAGAAGAGTCACACCAAAAGGGACAGGTTATAAGACTGATTCTTTGGTGTAAGCTAAGGGATCTACAGCTACGAAACAAGCTACTTAAATACTAATCTAAGTGCTGCGGAATAGCTGCAGACAAGAACAGATTTCCATAGATAAATGATCCTAAAAGTGGATTAACCAAAATCTGACCATAAATCTCTGTTAGACTGCCTAATCTGGTACATTGTAGCATCCACCACTACATGCGCCCTTCTAGGATGTTCGTCACAACATCCTACACCTTGGTAGTCTCCGCGTCTTTCATACGAACGTCCTCGCCATCTGCTGCCCTCTCGCCACCTTTGTCTTTAGAGCCCTCGCCGCCAGCATGGTCTGTGGATGCGCCCTCCAGGTGAGTGTTGTCATCCAATAGGGCTAACGTTGGATCATTTATAGGATTGAGTGGAGGAATGGATCTGCGAATGGATTCGGGAGGAACTGACCCACGAAGGGATTCAGTTTCAGTGCGAGGAGTGACTGCACGACTCTGACGTCCAGAACGAAGTCCACGCTTGAACTGCTGGATGGTGCAGCTGGAAGCTGAAGGGAATTGTTTTGCCTCGAGGCAAATCTTCTTCTTCCGCTCGCCAGCCTTGTCGTTCACTATGGCGCATTTGGCGATGAAACGGGACATCTCCCTGAGGTCGTCCTCAAGCTCAGCGGCCTTTTCGGGATCACTGGAAGTGGGCGGTGCCAGAACGTGAATAGTGATGGGGTCACCAGGAACCACAACCTGGCCATCATCGAGGTAGGCAAACTTCCATGGGCAGGCGTAATCGCGATTCCACAGGGTGATGAATTTGTCGTAGCCTCCAGGAGTAGGCGTGCGGGTGTAGTTGAATTTAGGTGATCGAAGGGTCAGGTTGTACTTGGTGTATAGGCAGAGCTGGGAGAGGGAGTAACGGTAGGAGTGGTTGTCAATGTCGAAGAGCGCGACACATTGTATCTCCTTGAGATGAACGGCATAGGCATTTTGGAGGGGGTCAGTCATATGGAGGGAAGGAGGTAAGTGGGTAGGAAGAGTTTCGTGCGACAAATGGCAAGAGAGGGAATGACTGACATTGTCTACAGCATAGGTCATTGGGCTCATCGTGTGATGAATGCCCTCCTTTATGTACGCTGGGCCTGCTGAAACTTCTAGCAAGCCAAGAAACAGCTGAGGATCATTCGTAGGAGGATTACCTGACCCTGGCGGTAAGTCCTTTATGCCATCTACTCCTACTAGTTCTAAATAGTTTTTCAGGGCATCGAGACCAGCAACCATGGCATAGGGTACCCACGTGTGGTCACCGGATTTCCATACCATCTCAAAGATAGTGTTTTCACCTGAACCGGCATGCGCGACGATCTTATCGATGGCCCACTCTTCTTCTTGGCCCTCAATTTCCACCACCTGTGTATCAAGCTGACCCGGAAATAGTCAGTCATCATTAGGCTCATGAATTCGCAGCAGCGACGAGTGGAACACATCATGTACTCCTCGTTGTCTTAACCGGGAAGGCAACTCTAGCCTATAGGAATTATTCCCAAAGTCCGTAAGGATCTTATATGGTCCAATGAACTTGGGGATCAGCTTTCGAGTGAGACCCTTGGGCAGGGAGATATTCTTAGTAGATAAATAGACCAAATCTCCCCTTTCGAATGGAACTGGATGGCAATGACGATTAGCATCTCGTGTCTGCTTCACTCATGCAGCTATAATACTGTCATGTGCAGATATTATAGCATACTTTACTTTTTGTGCATAGGTTCGCACTGCAGGGTACTCGTCAACTCCAGGATTATTCCAGATCATGGAATGAGGCATGCGACCGGTGTTAAGGAAGAATGGTGCATAGCCAGTGCTATCAGAACATGCTAGGTTAATAGCAAACTCGATAGCTGGTAACTTTGTAACCCAGTCTTTCTGAGTAGGGCCTATACACTGTCGCAACATTTGAGTAACAGTCCGATTAGCTCGTTCAGTTGAACCATCCGACTCTGGGTGATAAGCACTGGACATACGAAGCTCGGTGCCCATAAGCTTATGCAGATGAGACCAAAAGATGCTTGTAAAAACATCTCAGTCACTAATGATTGCCTTCAGTATTCCATGGTGTTTATAGACTTCCAAAAACACTAACTCAGCTACCTGTTTAGTGCTATGATTAGTGTGATTCAGTACCAGGTGAACCATGCAAGTCAGTAAGTCAATTATGACTGCAATTGAGTCATAAGTACCATTCCGATCCTTCAATTCAGGCAGTGGACCGACGAAGTCTATTCCGATGGCTTCCCAAGGTACATTAGGCACAGCGAGCGAATTCAACAAGCCGTATGGTTGTTGATTATTTGGCTTGCTGCGCTTACAGGTCATGCAGGTATCACAATATTTCTGCACATCTTTTCCCATCGTCTTCCACCACACATGGTCCCGTAGAAGACCAAGTGTCTTGTATGAGCCCAGGTGTGTGAGAAGGGAATGTGCGTGAAGTATTATTACTTCTCGCGCACTCCTGTCATTCACACGAATGTCAGGGATGCATAACAAGTCCCGGCCTTGTTCTCTTAACAAGACCAAACCACCATCTACCAGGAAATTCTTGAAATGCTTGGGGTTGTCCAGGATGGCCTTGAAGAAAGGGTCCTCACCGTAACGGCCCTTCAGGATGGTAAGCAAATCTATTCCATCTGTGGACTCGCTTACATACTCAACAAAACAACTCGTTGAGTCATTTCTAGCTGGGTGGTCAGTTGAACCATCGGAACAGCTTGTTGAGCCATCCTCAACCATGTTGCCATGGCGACCTATTGGGTCATCTTCAATGTTCCCCGCTGGATGACTCATCGAGTCATTTCCAACGTCAACGCGCAGTGACGTGGCATCGGGGCTCACTGAGTCACCTGCAATACTGGTGCGCCGTGCCTTGTCATTCGCGCCCTCCAGTCCAGCAACTGAATGGTTAAAACCTGCTGGGGAGGAGGGTGGATTGGAGTGGTTAGCAGAAGGTAAGTCCTGCTGCCATTCATCTGATGGTATCTGAGGTATGTTCTCCTCAGACCCGCCCTCCTGTCGTCATTCACGAGGACCGTGCAACACGACATGTCGAATCTGCTTTGTGAATTCCTTCGACATCTCTGGACATCTGGTTTCAGCCGGCACTGCAGGTGTTCGAACATGCCGTGCATGCGGCTTGAGAATATTAATGTCTCCCACTGCAGGGGACGATTTGATTCATCCTTGCAATGGGGCGCGATGCACTGGCAGTCGAATATGCAGGGAAGACTGGGGTGCATGTGTAGGGTGATTGGCAGACTCACCAGAGCGCTTGGTGTAGGCAGAGGACTCGGGGGGCAATTTGCCTTTTGAGTGATGAGCCTGGGGGTCCGAACCTACATCGTCACGCTTCTGTGTGATGTTTGCTGCAGCCTGAGCACGTGTTTTACTTCGCATCATCTGAGGCTGTATTGCCGCTGCCTCAATGCCCACATACACCGGCTGGGAAACTGGTAAAGTTTCCATCAAGCGAGGTAAGTGTTCGTCGTCATCATACTGAGTGTATTCTGATGACGCGCGGATCGTCCCAGCAGCATCATTTGAGTAGATGCGTGAAAGTGCGTCTGTGAGTATGTTGTCCATGCCGGGCATGTACTCGACTCGAAAATCATATTCTGAGATCTTTTCAAGCCAGCGAGCCTGTCATCCTGACAGGTTCTTCTGCTTTAACAGGTGGGTAAGCCCCTTATGGTCTGTTATCCATGTGAATGAGCACCTGAGGAGTATATCTCGGTGCCATAACATGGCTTCAATGCCTGCTAACATCTCTATTTCATGCACAGGGTAGTTACTTTGGGCAGCCGTGAGCTTCGCTGAGAAGAACGCGGCGACATGACCAGTTTTCCAGGAGTCACCTTGAAGTATGATGCCTGCAATTCCACCAATCGAGCCATCGGTTACCAACCAAATTGGTGGTGCACCCTTTGAATAATCAAGGAGCATGCGACGATGTTCGCGATGCTGGTGCATGAGACATTTGATCTCTTCGAACGCTCGTTGGTGAGTTGGCTCCCACTTGAAACAAGAATCGGAACCTGTTAATGATGAGAGGATTCCCATAGGGATTCGGACAGTTGCAATATCATCGGCGAGGTATCCTACCGAACCAAGGAAACCCCACAAGAGCTCCTTACTGGTTGGGACTTTCCAGTTCAAGACTGAATCGACTTTATTGGGGTCCATCCGAATACCTTGGTCATCAATGATATGACCGAGGACCTTCATTTCGCGAGCAAGAAAGTGGAGCTTTGTTGCACTTAGGTACAAGTTTTCTCGCTGAAGAATATCAATCACCATCTTGCAGTGTTTAATATATTCTTCTAGAGTGTCCGAGTAAATAATGATGTTGTCCAAGTATACATCCATGAAGACACCAATGTAAGGGCCGAAAATGTAATTCATTAGTGTCTGGTAAGTTGCGACTGCATTGCAATCACCCTGTTGCATAATGAGACTGACCATGTTTCCATCAGGTGTAGTCATCACCGTGCATTTGACATGTTCAGGCATAACCCGAATATGCTCGTATGCATCTTTACCATCAATAATGGTATGATACTTCTTACGTGAAACCCGCCGCAAGATGCCCTCCATGTCAGGAAGTGGAGAAGTCATCTTGATGGTATTTGCATTTCTCTCTCGTAAGTCAGCTATGACTCGAAGACGAGGTGGAATGCCATTAACGCCTGTTCCAGGTTTCATCAGAAGTAGCATAGGAGAAGTGTTCCAAGCTGAGGTCATCTTCCAATGACCAGACTTCAGGTAAGCATTACGCTTTTCACACCAACTTGCACGATGCGCATCGGGACACTTACTAGGCCTCCAGGAGTAGATCTAATTGGGATCTTTCAGAGGAATGGTATGATTGATTGCATGCAATGGTGGCAATGGTGCATCACTCACTTCGCGACATATCGGAGCTGCATATTCACAAAGTAATTTTCTAGCATCTTCTAGCATCTCATCGAAAAGTTCCGCTGCTCGCGATTCGATAACACGAATGTGCTTCCCTTTGATGGGTAAAGCTGTAGGGCTGCCAATCACAACAGTGATTGGATTCATGCCCACTACGACCTGATGCTGGAATAGAAAAGGCATCCCCAGTATTAGGTCATAGTTCAGTAAGTTGATGATGTCAAAATATCATTGTTCGTCGACTGACTGGTATGCCAGATGGGCTTTACATCCAACATTTATCTTTGCATGAGAACCCTGAACTGCTAGATGCATAGGTAAGGGCTTCTCAAGCTCAAATGTCTTCACACCCAACTGATGAGTGAGTTTTGAAGACATAAAGTCAGAAAGTGAACCGGAATCCAGCAATGCGCATGCTGGATGCCCATTTATATTAACAACTATTACAATGGGCTCGGGAATGACCCGTCGAAAGTTGCGAGGTGTGGCAGCATTACGCTGCAGTGCAGGAAGTGATTCTGGCCATGAACGATTAGGTACATTCACAGCATTTGCCTCAATAGCATGCAGACTGGCACTGACAGAAGCCTGACCATTGTCTGCAGAAAAGAACGAGAAGAGCTCGCCCTCCAAATCATCGAGACTGAAGGGTGTGCACTCAGCGAGTATAAGAGCACGATATGCCCTCAAGGCATAAGCATTCCACAAGTCGAAGTGTGGGTTCTCGAGGTAGTATCGCAGAATGTCAAATGTAAGTGTGAGGTATGTATCATGTATACGAATGCACTCAGGGTCTGGCCCCAAATATAGGAACCGATGCCCATTCGTAGCACCCCAAGGTGCTCCATCGCCCAGATGATGAAGCCCATCCTGCAAGACTTGCTCTACAACAATACTCGCAGCATCACCCATGGACTCGCATGTTCGATCGTGGCAGCACTGGCATCGACAATGGCATGGCTTCCCTTGCATGAGTAGGTTTCGATACCAATAAGGGAGGTCAAAATCTGGATCTCGCAGCAAGGCAGAGTCCATGACAACATCTTCTAGTAGGTGCTCATTCATTATGATGTGCTGTGTCTCGCTAATCTGATAAACACAGAATTCGCCTTCCACTATGCTACCAAAGTCAGCACCCAATGGTCCATAGCAATAAGGGCCATTCTTTCGCAGGACCTCTTCGGCGCATTTAGCATAAACATCACCTAGATGAGAATGCCGTACTGGTGAACTAGAGTACCGAGATGGACAGAGAAGGCCAAGACGAGGCCAAAAATATCTGTAGTACTCTTCCAAGTCCTTGGCGACTTGATCCTCTGACACTGGTCTGCCTATCCAAGACCAGGGATCTTGTCTAGTGAGTCGCATCATCATCCAATCGTAAATGCGATTTCGCTGATTCACACTTAACACTTCTAGAATGTCATCAATGGGTTTGGCTAGTGAATTGTCGAGAACCTCCCAGCTGTCTAGCGAAGATGACAATACCTCAAACTGGCTGTCTGGTAAGTCCCCCCACTCACTGTCAGAGTCGGAAACTGACTGAAGTGAAGGTATTGAATCGCCACTGTCACTTGCAGTCTCAATTTCAACAGCATTCAGCTCAAGTTGCTCTGTCATATTGGATGATTCAGCAAGGCTATGCAGGGCCTCCACATTGTCGAAGTCAGGCTCAACACTGAATGACAAGACACCTGGTGCTTTGCCCTTATGATCCGACTTCACTCAGTTTGCAGATGGACAATTTTGGGCAATATGCCCAGTCTCTTCACAGACATAACATTTGCCAGCTGCCTGAAGGTCAGCCTTCTTTTGGTCGGATAGTGGCTGACGAGCTGGCATTCCTCCCTGCGAGCGTGATGAACTGGCTCGATTGGGCTGTTGTGAAGGTCGAGTCGATACTGCGCTTGAGTGAGCGGGTCGATTACTTGAGCTGGATCCTCCATTAGGCCGTGAAGAAGGACCTGAGTGGTTTTCATTTGGATGGCGATCACCACCTCAGTCGCGATGGTCACGTCTTTGGTGATCACTCTTTCGCCCTCCATTTCCACTCCCTTTTGAGCCTGAAGGTCCAGCACCACTAGAACGATCACCATTCTGTTGACGCATTCCTTCTTTCACATGTCGGGAGGCTTCAATGAACTCAGCCTCTCGCACGACTTCATCCCAAGTACTGGTAAGTGGTGACAACTTGTGGTCCCATAGGACTTCCTGAATCGACAGGTTGAGTCCTCGCCACAGTCACATGACTGATTCTTGGTCATCGACTGAGTGACCAGCCAGCCTTAAGAGGCTTCGCCACTCATGTGCATAGTCTCGCACTGTTCGGTCATACTGACGGAACTTTTCTAGTTTCGCGTGAATCTGAAGATGGAAATCCATTGGGAAGCAATAGTTGAACAACCCAATGAAGATATCCCTCAATCTTGTCCAACGGTGAGGATCTTCTGCCATCGTGTTGGCATAGAAGTCATACGCTCGACCAGTCAAGTAATTTGCGATAGTCGAGGGAATCATATGGCAGGGTATGTTATACCCATTAATCATTTCTGTTGCTTGTCTAACAAAGCGATGGAATGCCTCAGCATCAGCATGGCCATCATAAGGTTGAGGTGGAACTGGCTTCCATAGGGGCCGTTTGTCCTTCTTGGACTTACGACGATGGTGTGCCTTGTGATGCCGTTGACGATGCTTATGATGCCGATGAGCCCCACCAGAACTTGATGAGCTAGAACTCGAAGAGTCCGAGCTAGAAGATGACGAGTGGAAGGGACCAGAAGGGCTCAAATACCCTGAGTCTGTAGAGTCTGTGTCATGAAAAGACGGTACCAATGTTGATGACATGGAGCTCAGAGATCTTCATCGTAACTGCGATCCTGTTGCACTACTTATAGCTAAACCTAGATAGCTACTTGGATCAATTTGTCCAGCTGGCACTGAAGGATCGCGAGGATCGGCAGAAGGCCTCTCGTGTTCTTTACCCTTCCTTGTAGTGGCTTCGACAGCAGTCTTCTGCTTAACGTTGCTAACAGAAGACATTACTGCATCAACAATAGTATCTGCTGGGGCGTAGATGACTTCTGTATGGATGGGCTTAGGAGATACTTCCCTAGCCCTACCTTTTTTCTTTGAAATAGATGGTTTCTTATCCACCTCATTGTCTGAAGTCTCGGTCGCATCAAACTTGACTTCGCACTTTGGAAGCTTACTAGGTAAAGTCGAAGCACTAGCCTGCAACTTGTTCTTAGCCACGGGTTCTTTACTCATTGACTGAGTATCCTTAGGAGGCTCATGTCATTGAGCCTTCAAATCATGCCAGTAGGACAACAACTGGTCCTGGGCACTCAAGTCAAAGTCAGGGTCGTTCATCAGAACCCGAAGTATATTGAGCTGTCTATCTGAGTACAACTCTAACTGACGGCATTGAGCTTCTGGATTAAGCTCCTCTGCTGGTATATCTACTCCGCTGGGCTGTCGACCAGCGTACATGTCTAGAATGCGGCATTGAGCTTCAAGGTCCAGCTCCTCTGCCGGTATACTGGCTGCACCCCACTCTCGTGGGTCAACAGTCTTACCTTTACAACTCGAGGACCCCTCCTCGAAGACGTCAGGTGAACGAGGACAGCGATGGGCCCTGCCATCATCATGTACAACACTCATCCGACGTTGGACAAGGTCTTGTTCCACGGGAGTCAGCCATGCCTCAGCTGCTTGGACCGTCTGATGTTGAGGGTCCGTAAGAGAGGCTCATCGCTCCCCTTGTGCACTAGAGGGAGCTGCCTGTTGATCGTTCATATGTGGTGACTTGCTGCGACCACGTTTGTGCGATACCGGTATCCAAGGACCTTGACCGTCATCTTCTGGCTTGATGGTCAGGGTCACTGGGCAGCTAACAGAACTGCCATGAACATCATCAGCATTGGTCTGATGCTGACGGTCCACTGCGTTGTCAGGACTGACTGACACAGGGTTCACCTCCCGAGCAACTGGCTCAAGGGAGGGGCTACGTGAAGCTACAACCTGGCTGTATAACAGCCTAGGGACCGCCTCGGAAGACATCCATGAGGACAATGTCAGAGACACATCCGTCAGCGTTAACGACATCAATGCTGCAGAAAGAGAATCAATATTCAGTGCGCTAGAGGTTTGGAATGCACCTGGGATTATTCCACTAGTTGGCGAAGTACACTCAGGGGCTGAACCAGAGCGAAGACAGTTACAGAGAGGGTAACGCACAGCCATACCAGATAGTGGAACTTTTTAAAGAGCAAAGAGGTTTTAGGAAGAGTTGAGTTTTTAGAGTGAAAGCGCAAGAGCAAGAGTCGACAGTTGGAAAGCCCAAGATGATCAGTCTTGAGGGGAGCCCAGAAGTTGGCACTTTATAGAGAGAAGAAGTTCGAGAAAGTTCCGAAGAAAGTTCGAGAGTCGCTGTCAAAAATATGTGACGCTGGTGACCGTAGAGGGAATACTCATGTCACATGGGAGAGAAGAGTCACACCAAAAGGGACAGGTTATAAGACTGATTCTTTGGTGTAAGCTAAGGGATCTACAGCTACGAAACAAGCTACTTAAATACTAATCTAAGTGCTGCGGAATAGCTGCAGACAAGAACAGATTTCCGTAGATAAATGATCCTAAAAGTGGATTAACCAAAATCCGACCGTAAATCTCCGTTAGACTGCCTAATCCGGTACATTGTAGCGCCCACCGCTACACTAGTGTCACCGCAAACCACATCATTCCCATTAAATCAGTGTTTTGGAGTGTACCGGGCCCGTCTACCCGAATTTGGCAACGGCTTCCGATGCGACAACAAATCATCATTGAATTCGACAGAGTGGAGAGACAATATGGAGCACGGAAAACTTACTGATGTCGTACTGTACAGAGGGATATATGCAGGTCGCGCATACCTACTCTAATCCCATGGCTCGAAGATTACACCCCAAGGCAAATTATAGACAAGTCTAGCAATAACATCATGATGGTATCCATAGAAAACCATCGGATTCATGTTAGACTTGCAAGCGTTGTCGAAGTCGATCAAGCGCCATCCATATGTACGTTGCGTGAAAGGTGACGGGAGGGAAGGCAACGGACTGTTAGCAGGAGAGGGTGCAGAAAGCATGTTGTAATAACGAATATCGCAGTGGTCTACGCCAAGCTGCGCAAGATCGGAATATATAGTCTCTAGTTCTTCTCTACATTGTCTGCATGTCAGCAATCGGGTCCGCACAAAATAAAAAGTACACGTACTGGATCCCAGCAGGCAGAGGTTTACGCAAAGGCAAACGATCGCCCAAGCGCTCTAGAATCAGAATACTGACCACAGTTGGTGCCGCAGGTTCCTCCTCATCAGAAGAGTAAACTTCAGACTCTTGGTCGTCATCATTGTCTTCTTCATCATCGTCGTCATTACTAGCAGCTTTTGAGGCTTCCTCTGAATCCGAATCCGAGCCCGATTCGTCACTATAGTCACCATGACGACCCGGTCGCCGATTGACTTTATCATGAGTCCAAGGCAAGAAGTCCGTGGTGGGTTGAATCGTGGTCTGATATAAACCGTAATATCTGGGAATCACAGAACCTTGCAAACACTCCATCTCCTCGTAATAGTAGGCTTCTCGTTGAAGTTTCTTGGCATCGTGACGGCGTGAAACCTTCACAACGAGCGGAGGAAGCACCATCTTGGACAATTCAGGGCTCGATTTCGTAAGGTCAATGGTGGCCTCGTAGACTCGCCCAACCCGGCCACGACCAATCTTGTTGCCGAGGGCGAGATGAAATTTCAGGTTGCCAGGAGGCGGAAGCTTGGATGGCAGACGTTTACGAGGTCGCTTTCCTGTGATAGCAATCTTGGGCGCACCATCGAGCAGGTAAGGCTTGTTGGGACGCGGTACTCCGCGGTTAAGGATGAGAGGAGTGGCGTCCTTGGTGACACCTGAGAGCGTGACGTTGACGAAGGCATTAGCAGCCTATAAGAAAAGTACATTGCATGAGATGCATTGGGAAATTTACAAAGGATAAAGTGTAATCTTACGACGGCATTTGGGGGGTCCATGATGGCAGAGAGTAAAGAGCAACTAAGTGTGTTAAGCGAGACCCGTGGACAATCAACCATGGTCACCTGATTGCATTTCATTGGCTCTGTAACACGCAGCATCTTAGGGCTCGAAGTCCAACCTTCCCATGAAGTCATCAGTCCCATGAAGTCATCCGGTCCCTTTGTGTTGCAGCCAGACCTCTTCTATACAATAATCACGATGACATTAGAGCTGCATATGTCCTAATGACCTCACCCCTTAATGAGCCGGTACTTGTAGATATTTCATTAGGAATTGGTGGAACAGTTTTGTTGCGAAGTGGACATGATGAGAAAGACGACTAAAAATGTTTGTACTGACTCGTCGCTTCTGTCCCAATTTGGCAACGGCTTCCAACTTCCGCAGGAATGATCAACTTCGTCAAATTCTATTTCAACGTGGAATCTAGTTTGAGAACATGATCCGGAATATCGTAAGTGTTGCATAAGAATCCTAGTGTACAGAAACAGCATTCAGACAAGCAGCTCAATCGCAAGTACACTATTCCCATGGCTCATAAATCTCACCCCACGGCAAGTTAGTCAGAAGTCTAACAAGGAGACCATGATGGTAACCCCGGAAAAAATCTGCATTCATGTTGGACTTGCACGCGTTGTCAAAGTCAACAACCCGCCAGTTGTATGTGCGCTGAGTGAATGGCGACGGCAAGGAAGGCAATGGACTTTCGGAAGAAGAGGGCGCACGAAGAATGTTGAAGTATCGGATATCGCAATGGTCAACACCGAGTCGGCCGAAATCAGCATAAATGGTGTGTATATCTTCGCTGGATAAAGGGAAGCGTGTCAATTTTATTCGGCATGAAAGAAAAGGCACACGTACTGGACATCATCCGATAGAGGTTTGCGCAGAGGTATACGACCTCCCACACGCTCTAGGATCAAAATACTGAGTATCGTTGGCGTTGGGAGTTCTTCCTCATCAGATGAGTACACTTGAGAATCGGCGTCTTCATCTTCAGCATCGTCATCGTCATCCTTGTCACTGGACTTCGACTCGGGTTCTGATTCTGATTCTGAGTCCGATTCGTCACTGTAGTCTCCGTGGCGACCTGGACGTCTATTGACTTTGTCGTGTGTCCAAGGCAAGAAGTCTGTCGCGGGCGGGATGGTGGTCTGGTACAAGCCGTAATATCTGGGAATAGCGCAACCTTGCAGGCATTCCATCTCCTCATAGTAGAATGCTTCTCGCGCAAGTCTCTTAGCGTCGTGCCGACGTGACACTTTAACAACTAGCGGGGGAAGTACCATGTTGGTCAATTCTGGACTGGACTGCTTCAGGTCGACCGTGGCCTCATAAACTCTGCCAACGCGGCCGCGGCCAATTTTAGTACCGAGGGACAAGTGAAGTGTCATGTCGCCAGGGGGTGGAAGTTTAGATGGCAGTCGCTTAGGCGGTCGCTTCCCTATGACAGCATCTGACAGACCATCGAGAAGAAAGGGTTTGTTGGGACGGGGCACTCCGCGTTGGAGATGAATAGGAACACCGTTCTTGGTGGCACCCGATAGTGTGACATTGACGAACGCATTGGCAGGCTACATACATGTTAGACAAATGGAAGGATCAGATATTGAATACACTTACGACGGTGTCTGGAGGATTCATGACTGTAGAGGAAAGTTGGTTGAAGTTCGAACGTTCGGAACCCGAGGGTGGCATATATACCATTTTGATCACCGACAATTATCCGATCAACCACAATCCACTGTCGGATTAGGAAAGTGCCACAATGATTCTCTGACTTCCGCGCCAACATTGCCCATCATTGTGGTCATGGCCGACCCATGGCCAGGCCGCAGGACAATATCTGATGCATATGTTTTTCTACTCAGCATCCACTTATTTTTTCATAGGAGGTGTATGGCACCTTTATGTGGCTAGATAGCTCGATTACGAGGTCGTATATTCAAAGCTCGTACTTACTAGGCCCTGAAATAGGTTTTCGAGAGAAGGCCATGGTCTTGTTGTGCTACTCGTTGCTTGTAGAATATCGGCTAGCACAACACAATAGCCTTTTCCCACAATGATTGTCCTAGGCAGCCACATTGAAAACCACATATAAGACGTGAGTTTCTTTTACGGTCACCGCTCCGTTCTTTACCCCTTCCTCTGTTTACTATGCCTAGTCCAGCTCCCGACCCGGATGAACTTGGAAAAGAGGTCCTTTACCTCCCTATATCTCTGCACAAGAGCTCTAGAAACCGGCTGAGTGCTGAAGACTTCCCGTTCTCTTCTTCAGACGGTATCAAGGGCCCCCTGCCAGATCCTATCCGACGAAATGGGATTGAATACCCGGCTGAACTCAGATGCAAACCTCTCCATAGAGCACCTATCTCTACCAAGCCTACCAGCTCAACCAAAACTGCACACAAAGTCAAGATTCTCACAGTCAGCAATCAACTCACGAGGATGAGGCGATCGCATACGCTATGGCAAAACCTGAAAGCCTACGCAGCTCGTGGCATCTATATGGGCCCCAACGCAAACCCCTCATTTTTTCGTGAAGACGTCGATCACAAAGGATGGTTCAATACTTGGACAGCAAGAGGCAATCGATCCGTCCCTCCAATGAAACAACAGGCCGATGCGGTGAATGCTATTTCTGCTTGGCTCGGTACTCACATTAATAGCCCAGAGCCAATTGTCAACTGCGAGGATTCAGTTCAAGATCAGATTCAACTACAACTTATGCAGCCATTGGGGTACATCTTACAGGTATAGTTTTGAGTTCCTCATGGGCGTGCGTTACTGATGTATAATGTCCCAGACTCGATATCGCAATACTGTTATGGACCCGCTACGTGGAACGTCCGACGACCAAACTTGGCACCATGAAGTCCCGAAGAAGGATACAAAGAAGAATGCGAAGAAGGTCTCGGATGATCAAATTTCTACCGGCGATCAAGTCGTGGACCAGGATTCTTCAACCAGCGGTCAAGACCACGAAGATGCCCACAACCGACATGATAAGTCTGAAGAGGAAGGGGCCCATTCTAATACCCAGGGAGCTGACCAGAGTGATAATGATGACAAGGACAAACAGAGCGATCTTCGTTCAGACATCCCAGCACGGGGAGCACCACCGGCTGCGTTTATGCCTTTCTGGGGGCGCAGCACGTACGCTGCCCATAAGAATGCAAAGAAAATGGCTCTTGCACATCATAAAGGAGGTCTTGCTGGTTTTCCCGATTTCTTAATGATGGGCAGCGGTAGTCATCAAGATCACGGTGGTATCGGCGAAGGGAAAACGAGTTGGGGAGTCTCGAATGATGTTCTTCAAAATGATCTGTTTGACAAATCCATGGCGCCTAAAGGCAAATTTCTTTGGACATCCAAGGGCCAAATGCCAAACCTTGTTCGCCAGGTCAGCATATCTCAGCATTTTTGTTTTCCAGGAATCTAATATTTCTTCCTGCAGATCTGGGGCGAATTGGAGTTTTTCTCTTCGCAATGGGGGTTCTTCACCAATGGAAGTCTCATTATGGTGTTCGTCAAGACGTCAAAGAATGAGCTTGTTTTCTCGGACTTCCAACCCTGGGAGCAAGATGACGTCCTTCAAGCCTTGGCCGGCTTGTCCTTTGCCGCATATGATACTGTTAAGGAGGAACTGTTTCAAGAGACTGATTTGAACCTGATTGAAATGCTCTGCCCTGAGAATAGTCGTGTTATGGACTGGTAAATTTTTGTGGATCAGTATTCTCGGGGCAATGTAAGAAATGTGCCCTATGTATGTACCGTCTGGTTGCGAAACATGCTCAGTGAATATATTTGGGAGTCATAATACTAAAGCGAGATTTTGCCTTCCGCATATGGCATGAGCTTCCACTAGCGCACACGATGAGCTCACGGATGCACGTACAGTACTCTCTGTCCGATCCTTTCATGATCATACCCTCATCACAGCTCTTTCGATCATTGAATCGGTTTCATATACCCTGTGTACTCTAGAGCACAACATTGCATCGTCTCCTAGGTGCCCACAACATTGAAGGGTGCCGTCCAATCTGCATTTAGCTTGTGGGAATGGAGTTCCCTCCTACTGTTCCTATTACCTACTCCATTGCGGGATGCTCAGAACACAGTGGAAAATATGTTGCAGAAAACATTCGTGTGGATAAACCTTTGGACCAATCAAGTCGGTGGAGTGGTGCGTACCAGGCAGGGAACGTGAAGCAATGGATGTTGCTCAAGACGGAAGAGCTATGTGTGCTCAGTTGAGTAGACTAAAGCTTTCATCTATTTATGTACTGATAGATATTGTATAGAGAGCGTGACATTTGGAAAGGTGAGTATCTGTGCCATCGATCGGACTGCGTGTTGACCAGTATGGCTAGTTTCACAGAGGTTTGTCCGTCGTGATGTTGGGATTAGCGTTAGCGACTTACACAAATATTAGCCCATCCTTGCAACATGAAAGAATTCAAATTGCTTGTGGGCCTCACCGAATCAAATATGACTGAAGTGCTGCATGCTGGACTGAAGAATGACTCTGTTCCGGAGACATTTCTGATACGCTACACGAACAGTGATGCCGTACCATTTCCCACCAGATATTTGAAGATTGTACCTTTGTCGTATGTTTAACATGTCCTTCCACAGTGATAGTATTCTTGACAGGTTTTTCAGTGCTCACGGCCAGAGTTTTCATACATCGATCTGGTATGTTAGCCTGAGTGGTATTGTAGATCAGCCTTTTGTGGAGCAAGTTCACTTAAGACACGAGGAGGTGTGTACATCGACCATGTTGATTCGAACACGACATTGATCCTTCCCGATAGCATCAAGAAACCGTCATTCTTCGATATATCCTCAAGCACCTTCGACAACGTCGCCTGCTCACACCGTACCAGGAGATAATCTCACGAGCATTCCCCGAGACATCGTCGTCGGCATCATCGCCGTATCTTTCTACAAATCCGTTTGAGCATCCTACGCTCACCCAGCTACACAAGTCACTTGTCCTTCAGGGTGATTACCCCGTGGCGGAAACTTTACTTTCTTCCTGTGCCTCCCAGGGACTGCTTTCTGAAGCCATACTACAATTCCAACCCTCGGCCGAATGGTCGCGTATTGACTCAGATGCGCTCAAGGAGGAGTTCATGCAGACCGATGAGGTAAATGAACACCCCACTCCACGTATCAAGCCCAGTCCGAGAGGGGGTCATGCTATGTGTCTAGATCGCGCCAATGGTCTGATTTATATGTTTGGTGGCTGGGATGGTCGAAAGAGCCTAGATGATTTCTGGGTAATGAACGTACGCGAAAGACAATGGAGGCTCATATCCACTAGTCGTAATTCATCGGGTGATATTCATCCCGGACCTCGTGCATGCCACAAAATGGTGTTCGACGATAACACGGGTGACATTTATCTCTTCGGACGATTGGATGAAGGCGTCAGCGTTGACCCTCCAGCACCACACACCACGATTACTACCACTGCTGCGTCACGACTCTCTGAAGGGGCATCCCCAGCTTCGCTTCCACTTCCTGGTAGTCCTCCGTCAGGTAATGGGAGCTCACCACCTCCCGCAGGTAATCCCAGCCCTGCTATATATCCATGGAGTACTCCGTGGTCGGCCGAGTTCTTCCGTTATCACACCAGGGGGGGACAAAGTGGCAAGTGGGAGCTGATTTCCCGGAATACATCTGTACGTCGCTCGTGTCCGCCCGTTATCGTTATGTTGACTAACTTTGGAGTAGGCAGAGCATGGGCCGCCGCTCATATTTGATCACCAAATGGTCATCGATACAACGTCTCAGATGATCTATGTATACGGTGGTAGAGTGGTTGATGGTGACTGGGAATCGATCAAGTATTCTGGCTTGTATTCATATGATATTAAGACTGGCCGATGGAAGATGCTCAAGTGAGTCTTTCCTCAAACTCATGTAGAGATTATCCTCATTTCGCCCGCAGCTCCCCCGATAACTCAAGTACACACCCTTTCATACCTTCGAGGTTCGGCCACTCCATGGTACTTGAACCGAGCACCCAGACGTTATTCATCTTTGCGGGCCAACGAGACGACGGATACCTCTCCGATATGTACACTTACCATATACCCTCAAACACCGTCACCGAACTCTTCTCGAACTTTACTACAGCGGGTGGACCCGATGCTTGCTTCACTCAGAGGGCGTTGATCGACACCGACCTCCGAGAAATATACGTGTAAATAGCCTTTGTGGCAAGGATTGTATTGATAACTAACTTCAGTCTACAGGCTATGTGGCTTGACGAAAGGTCCTCCCGGCGCACTAAGCGTCCTAGAGAAAGACTCGCCATATTGGATATACCGCTACAAGCGTCCGGACCAACCAGGCAAATGGACAAAGATTCTTTCTCTTTCTAGTCCACCTAACAAACCAGAACCGACTGTTGGTCCTGCGCCTCTTCCGCGTTACGCACATCAAGCTGTGTATGATAACGAGACAAAGACGATCTACATGCATGGCGGGAATGCCGGGCTGGAAAAGGATACTGAGGACGTTGTTCGGTCGGGCGGAGATGGTGATGATGATTCAAGGCAGAGTGCTCCCCCTGCTACAAGAGATATCGGTGTCGGAACGGATGCACGTAGGGAAGAACGGCATGTCGTGGGCGGTGATGGTGAAGAGAATAGATTGGATGATTTCTGGAGTTTACGGCTCAAGCGGTAACGAGATCTTATCTCTGGCCCTCATCGTATCCGAACTGATTTCATCACTGCAGACCTGATTCAATAGATATCGTTCGTCGAGGGAAGTATATCATCCGTCAACAGCGGTACGTTGGTAGTCTTTTCGAAAAGTTCCTTTATTGACCTCATGCATTTATAGATTCCGCGAGTTGTGCGAAGATGATGTACCAGTCAAAGCTCTGAGCTATCTCAAAACGGAGGTTTCCGCTGTTGTGAACCATTCAGATCCAGATGAAGGGTCACTTTTCAGATCACTTCTCTCACATCTTCTCACGCCATCATTTGCGAAGCAACATGATGCCTCCTCAAGCCTTGCATCGGGTCCATCAGCAGCAAAAGGGAGATCGAGGCCGGATACACCGTCAAACGGGATTGATGAGGACGCAACCATGACCGATAGTGACGCAGAACCTTCGAGCTCAGGAGTCACTACACCTATATCATCATCGGTACTTCTAACCCTGAGGTTATTTGAGGAAGATCCGAGCGAAACTAGGGCGCAAGGTGAAGTACCCCCACCTTCCGCTGCCAGGTACAGGCAGCGGACACAAGTGTTCGAAGAGTTGCTCCAGTTCGTCAATGAAGACGTAAGGCAACCAGACAGGGACCTTCTCGAGTTAATCAACATTGATCAGATGGGACAGGAGATTTAGGCTCGAGAGGACTCCAAGGATGTTGTACAACACTGTTAAATTAGCACATCGGGTATAGGGTACTCTCGTCTCGCAGTAGTCAAGTTCACTCATCCAAATTGATTGTTGCTTTGCCGAATTTTGCATACAAAACAGCTTTGAGCTCTTCCATCTCCTTCTGACATTCCTCCACCTTTGACAAAGTGTGTGACAACTCCGCATCAAGGCTCGCTTTATCCTTCTCAAGCCGTTTCATAGCTCGCGAATGAGGCATATGAACGAATGCTTCGCCAATGCGGTACCTGTGAAGCAAATCATTGATTAAAAGTAAGCTACGGAAAGACGCAATAACATATACGTACATTATAGGTTCATCTTCGTCTGCAAGCTCCAACTCCATGGAAAGATCATCCAATGCCTCCGTCTCTTGCTAAACCGCAGCATTATAAGTTCCCTACCTATTATAACCAGAGAAAGTGCACACCTTCAGAATCTCTATCTTCTCCTTGAAGTTACCTGCCCGGGCATTCAGCTTCGAGAAAGTATTGATGCTCGACTGGTCCTCTAGTTACGGTAGTGCGCCATGTCAGGATGCCGATCACCGTAATACGTCGAAGTTGACTGGTTGCTTACCCCAGGTCACCTCGGTGTTGTCATCGGTCTCTTCTGCCTGGGACAACTAGCATATCATCGATATATACCCAAGACACAAGCGTCACAAAGCAAGACTCACCATGCGCATGGTGGAAACTTGAAAGGGGACTAACGCCCTGAGCGCTTCTGCGCAGAGTACCGTAATGGCATTGAACTTGATCATAGGCTCCTGCGGTTTGAATAATCTCTCATCCCTTATGAGACAATATGCAGAATGTGATAGTATCTGAAGTGTGTGCCTATGTTCTCGCTATTTCATACTGATTATACCATCCGAATAGCATCGCCGTCGAGAAACATGTTCAAGTTCGGCCAGGACTGTAAACTCTTGTTGGTCTTCAAGGCTTTGCTCGACCCGTCGATGTCCGTGGTGATGTTTTTAAGCCATTCTCTGCTACCTGAAGGTGAAGACAGATCTGCTGCGTGCTTATGTCTGCATTGGCTATCAAGAAGATCAGGTCATTGACAAAAATCCTGATCCTTGCCGTCTCGTCTGGGAGGCCGATATCTTGGGTCTGCTTCACGTCTCCGCCATTATAATCATCAAGCCAGACTGTAGTGAATGACGTCTAGAGTGTTACTGAGGTTGAAGTCACCCCCATCATTGCTCCGATTAGTGTCGCCCCAAAACTCAGGCTATTATTGTGCCGCTTACTGTCGTTGAATTTGAGGCAGGTTTGCCCGTACAGTAGGTCCACTCTGCTCTACTGTGCTTCGTCCAACCCAACACCATCGTTCAATGCATCAACATAATTGTCGAGCCTCTTATCAATAGGAGCTACGAAGTCAAGTCTACCCGCTGTGATCCTGCTCATGATTTGATTTCCGTAGGTGGGCAGTTACCTGGCGAACTTGAACACCATTATTCCCCATGGGACCAGCTATGATCAAGCAGAAAAGGATATGCTTGAATTAAGTGAATCCCGGTTGTATCGCAATTATCGCCGACGTCTAAAGAGCCGTGGTGGGTCTCGGATGGTCACTGCCAGGGAGCACTACACCTACTGGGAGGATGTCAATCCTGTTTCTGCGGACCGGTTCACAACCAGTAATGCGAGTATTGCGTATTTCTAGTTTCGTATTGGTCTAACTGATCTTACAGCAGTCCGTCGTGATCCATGACCACGTCTCCTACAGTCTTGTTTTTGTGAACAAAAATCGTACAGCATCTCGAGCTTCGTCTGTTGTGAGAATACCTATCGGTTTATAAGGCCATTAATGGGATTGCCCTTTGGCCGTGCTTGTTAGGACTATGTTCACCACGAATTGGTATGTCCCTCCCTTGGGCTACCTTCCAGGATCATCTTCGCTTTCTTAGAGTTTCCTCTTCCCTCCCTGCTAAGATCATCTCTGCAGTTGTAAGTGGATCTAGGAAACGGAGGTTCATCTAAATATTACTACGCTTGCTACAATAGCTCTCCGTTAAGAATGATCGTTGATTTCATGATCGACTCTAAGCGCCGTCTATGCCTGTCTTCACGGACTTCATGAGAATGATTGTAGTAATTAGAATCATAATGCCAGCTCTGTATGACCGTCTATTCCTCTCTGATACCTTAACAACTTTTCGACCAACATTTTCACGAGCCTATATCTAAAATACAGCAAGTGTGCCCCAGTAGGAGAAAAGGTGTTCCCAATTTGGCACACTACGGCGGCGAAGCCTGTGATTCTTGTTGTCAACACAATACGGCGAACTGTGGATTCAAGTTGCAGTCGCCCTTTCTCTTGATATTTTTACCATGACGAGCCAGGCCCTTCTGCAGAAGACGAAGCGAGCTCTGAGTCTCAACTCCCCTTTGGATATATTCAAGACGCTCTTATTGTTTTATGTCGTATTTACTCGCGCTCTTAAGATCCAGAGACATTTGCGTGCAAGGGGCGTCATTCCTACTTTGCGAGATGGTTGGACGTGGACGGTCCAGGTGCGTTCCAAAACTCCTATATTTGTGCATTCGTACTCATCTCCTTGACGCATAGCAAGTATTGCTCCTAGCCATTCGCCTGCCGTCCACTCGGAAAAAGGTTGAGACGGAACTTGGGAAAGCCAGACTACAGATCGAGGACAGACTGGTTCCTAAGGGTGAGGCAGTCATACGCCATCTTGCTCTTCCGGAACATGGCAATTCGCCAGAATGGATCCTTGACGAAATGGCCAAAATGGACGAGGAGTCCATGGGGCACACCGATTGGAAGCATGGGAAGGTATCAGGCGCTGTATATCGTACGTCACCATGATTTTTCGAGGATTTTTTGCGTGTTTATTTGATGTGCAATGCGTCAGACGGTGGAGAGGACTTGCAGAAAGTCATTGTGGCCGCTTTCGAACGTTACTGCGTCTCGAATCCACTACATCCAGATGTGTTCCCTGCAGTGCGCAAGATGGAGGCAGAAGTTGTCGCAATGTGTTTGCGAATATACAATAACCCCAATGGTGCCGGTGCAACGACCTCCGGCGGTACAGAGTCGATTATCATGTCGGTGAAAACTCATCGCGACTGGGCAAGAGCAACGAAGGGGATCACTGAGCCTGAGATGTAAGGCTATTTGTGTTCACTATGGGCGCTGTTGACTCTAATGGAATATGATTTCGACAGGGTTGTGCCGGCTTCTGCTCATGCAGCCTTCGACAAGGGTGCTGCTTACCTCGGTATCAAAGTCCATACGATTCCCGTGGACCCCGTTACGCGGCAAGTCCCCTTGAAGCGAGTCTCACGAGCCATGTGAGTTTATTAGGCTATTCAATGGTGTCGTCAACTGAGACAATATACTGCAGCAATGTCAACACCATCATGGTAAGTCATGTTCTCTGCCTTTGCGGTTTCGCATCAGTTTAACTATGGTTCAGATTGTCGGTTCCGCGATCAACTTCCCAGACGGGTGTCAAGACGACATTGTCGCTCTTGGCAAACTAGCAAAGAAATACAACGTCGGCCTTCACGTTGACTGTTGCTTGGGCAGCTTCATCATGCCTTTCCTCGAAAAGGCTGGATACCCGGTCGAGCCATTCGATTTCCGTGTGGAAGGTGTCACTGCTATTAGTTGTGATACTCATAAGGTGGGTTATTACACTCCTCAGTCCAAACCAGCATGGTGTTTATCGTGTTGTGTTTGTATTCAGTACGGTTTTGCACCCAAAGGCAATTCGGTCATCATGTACCGAGATGCAAGTCTTCGACAGCATCAATACTATGTTAACCCCACCTGGATGGGCGGCGTATACGCGAGTCCAAGTATCGCTGGTTCACGGTACGTCTTCTCCAGGACACAGTATTTCCTGTGAACAAACCTCTGATGTTATGGCGGTCCTCAGGCCCGGTGCTCTTATCGCAGGAACATGGGCTGCAATGCAATACATGGGCTACGAGTGAGTTCATACCTCGCTTCATCACTCAACGCCACTTCTTACGTATCTTCCAGTGGTTATCTTGAATCATGTCGTTCAATCGTGGGTGCAGCCAAATCCATTGCATCGAAAATCAAAGCCGAGATTCCAGAACTCTACATCCTTGGAAACCCGCCAGCGTCCGTCGTAGCATTTGCATCCCGTCATCCTGATGTCAAGACCTACGAAGTTGGAGATGTGATGAGCCACAAAGGCTGGCATTTGAACGCCTTGAATGACCCTCCTGCGCTGCATATCGCTGTTACGGTGAGGATGCCTCGTCTCTGGGTTCGGTTCGTTTGGCGGGGGCTGACGTCAAATTGTGGACTTCCGTTTGCGTGTAGCGGCTGACCGTGTCGCACGTCGATGAATTCATTGCGGATCTTAAGGATGCCGTGCGGGAGGCGAAGTTGAGGCCTTCTGGGAAGGGCACTATGGTGACGCTTTACGGTACGCCGAATCTTCCATCTATGTGCGCTCTATGTCCCATGATCCTAATGGTCGACTTTTTTTTAGGACTTGGCCAGTCAAATGCCGTAGGTCCTACGATGGTCGGTCAGGTAGCCACTGCGTTCTTGGATACGCTGTACAAAGCATGAAGCAATGTAACTTCATTTTTTTGTGCGCGATACCATGATATCCATGTGGCGTTCCTTGCTCGCTAGTTCCAGCCTGCCTGTTGTTCACAAGACAGACGGCGGACGTCCGTTCTTAATATAGCACCACTTACCGAGTGCCATAGGGAACTTCATCTGCTCTATAATGCATGACGCCACCAACATGTGTTTTTCGGCTGTACAAGTTCGATTATGCAGCATTGCATGCGCCTTCGCCGCGGTCCGCTGACAACTGAAACACAGTTCATCGCAGCGAGCAGAACTTGCTTTCCAATCACATTCATTGAAAGTATCATGTGTCCCTCAATATTTCGCTGACTTTTGCTTGCATGTTTCGTGCTGCATGACTCCTCTGAGTGTCTGACAGGAGGAACTCCGACTCTCCTCCCTACGGTCGCCGAACCCGGCATTCTCGAGGCGAGCCGGCGTTCTAGCTTATTTGAGTTTTCGGAGGGTCGCTTTGGTACGAGAACGTCCTCCGGTTATTTACCGCCGCCGGGAGGAATAGGATCTGCAGGAGCGAGATCTTACCCGATATGGATGTTTTTGGACCAATATGGAAAAGTCGGACGCCCTTGGGAGGGACCGATCGTTTACTTACACTCACTGTACTGTACTGTACAGTTCAACTTGCAGTTCAAGTAACTTTATCCATCAGTTCAGTGATTTCACCAACTCTCGACAACTCCGAGTAAGGGAATTTCCATCGGGCATGAGCTCTGAACGTTGAATTGCCAACGTTGGCCTTACTAGATGCTGCCGTAACGACGCATGGCGATGGTGTTGGCTATCCAATCTTCCTGTAGGCTCATTCGCTGATGCTGGGAAAACATCCAGCTCGCCAAGGTAGAAGAATGCAAAACACACTTATTGTTTGCGCATGTCTTCTCAGCATCGGCGAATGCTTTTAGCACACAAGTTCAGGACCAGCTGGCACAAGTCAACTGCACCGATGTTACGTACAGTTCAACTGCCAGGGTCAGATCTATTTTCTTTCTTTCCGCGATTCTGTTCTAGCTGTATAGCAATGAGGAGCTGGTTCGACTTCGCGATTGGTCAGAGTGCTGTGATGAATTTCCGGAATGCAAGTGGAACAGAATGAAGTGATAAGCACATCTTATTGACAGGGCTTCATCAGGCTTCTTCCAAGGTTTGATGTAGGGGCTAGTTAGATGGAAGGCTTGTCAACTTGATACGAACTCGACGGACTCACATCGCTGGTTAGTTATGTAGCTTTGATCCCACAAATCACCAGGAACGTTTCTCGATTGGACAACGTTAGTACAGTATCATTGATACGAGCGGTCCTCCTGTCAGATTTTCAAACCATCAAACCGTATACGACGATATCGGCAATATCACGGACGTCTCTGAAGGCATTGTCGGCGATTTCCTGACATGAAGCACTGAGAATACATACACTCTCAGGGCGAGAAAACATACCGTTGAGAACGAATGTTCCTATATGTTCGTGGCAGGGCTTAGATGACCCGAGGACTCGCCAGTGGAAGATAGACAAAAACATCCGAACGGCGGAAATAACCTCTCGTGGGTTTTCTTGCAGCTGCTTGGAGACAGGGTATATCGGTGAGACTCTGTAACTTACGTATCTAGATATCGTGAAGAGCATCCACTTAAGCTTTATGGTGCCCTACATACCATGTGCAGGAGGGTAACGGCACTTCGAATCGACCGGTCGACTACCAACATGCCATATTCTTTGTAAACTCGGCTCTTGCCGCATTGCCTCCAGACATTGTCTGGAGCTCAAGATAATTGTGCCTTGAGAGGTAAATTATTGACTGCAATTCGGAATGTGGTAACTTACGGTGTGTGATTCCGCCATCTTGACCTTTGAAAAATCCATGAATAAGCAGGAGTGCGAACTGAATGAATATCTATAAGCATAACGACGGCCCTCTGGAGCCTAGTCGTCTCGCGACTTAGTTCTAGGGTAAAGATTGTGAAATTCGGCTAGGTGCTTTAGAAATCATCAGAATGTTAGCTAAAACAAAAAGAATCTGAGTTTCCATACATTCCTTTAGAAAAAGCGGCTGATGTATCTTACCATGTTATGGCCCTGACTGCGTGCTAAATGGGAAATGCCGTCGGTGGTAAGCTTCTACGATGCTTGCGGCAGGAACAACGTTATAGTTGGTCCGACGACTCGCCGATAGAACAGCAACCGAGTGCAAGAACCTCGTCTGGAAGGCAGTAAGATTGCTAATGTGCAGGGACATCTAGATGTTGAGAAGGACTTCGAACCTTCGACAACGGCATTGTGGCGTTCTGCCCCTTTTGGAGCTTGTAGAGAAGTCTAGAAGTCTATGCTATTAGCCTTTGTGCCCTAATATGAAGGATGTTCGTAGAAGTTGCGTTGTTCCTCTGAGTACCCTGGAAGATTTTCATGCTGAGAATAGATGAGATGTCCAGGAAACAAAAGAAAATGATTGTCGGTGGAGAAAGGGTTTCCAACAGTTTCCATCGACGCATGTGTGGGCCGGAGAGTCGTGGCAGAAAACAGACGATAATCAGGAGGATTTAATACCCAGTCGAATGTCGCGACCGCCATCGATATGTGTTGGAAACTGGCATAATATTGAAATGCAGACGATAAGGCCTGGAACCGATAGAGGAGATTGAGGTGCCGTCCGGCGGATGATACACCATTCAAGGTGAGGTCCAGAATGACGCAACGAGGCCGAAGAATGTTCGCGATAACTCTTGCATCCACACTCACGCCACGACATTTACGGGAGGTTGGGTTTTGGAGATGGAACATAAAATCGCAAAGTAAAACATACGAAGCTGACGGTGTCTGTACACTGACAGGACCTGACATGGTTCATCCGAAAGGAGGCCGAGGAAGAGGAAGGGTGAAGCCGGGGACAGGACCGAGGCCCGGGTAATCGAGATGGGAGCACGTGGCGGGATCGGTTCGGGCAGGTGGCAGAAGCGAAGAGTTCCTTTCCGTTGCACCGTTTCACCCGCCAAAATGGCTGGCACAAATGCCATTATTTATCTCTTGCCTTCTCCCGTACCCCTGCTGCTTTCCTTTTCGTCTCTTCCCCTCACCACGCGCATACATCCACCCTCTTCTCCCTCACAATTGGCAAACATACTTGTCTAGGCTCTCCCCTCCAGGAGGCCGAGATCGACCGTCTCAGCTAGTCAGCACGCAACACCTGTCCATATTCGTTCTTCTCTTTTGTCGACATGTCCTTCATCTGGTCCCATCCGCTGCCCACGCGCGAGCAGCCCGAGGATGACTCGCTTACTGCTGCCCTTCATGCTGCATTTGCTTCATTAAGCGGCGGCAACTCCAACCATCCCCCCACCCACTCCAACCAGCACCACGACCACGATATGCACAGAGAAAAGTCCAAGAGTGAACCCTCCCTCGAGATCTTGGTCAACTCCGACGTCTTGTGCCTCAGAGGCACCGGCGTGGACGTCAACCCCGCTCTGCTCAGCGGGAACGTCGTTCTTCATCTGCATGAGCCTACCTCGCTCAAGCAGATCGTTCTCCAGTTCAAGGGAAAGGCTAGGATACCTGCGTCCGCTACTGAATCGTGAGTATGCTCCTCAATCTAGCCCGTGCAATGCCGTCGACTTCTTTTCGTCGAGGCCCGTGACCATCGTCCATCCTCTTTCAGCGCGATCGTTCGCGCACGGCATCATTAACGCAGAATGAGACGCGTTAACGCCTCCTGGTCGAGAATAGGATGGTCATGGGTCTCTTCATTTACGAAGTCATCAGTTTGACATACACTGCGCGTTACACGACTGGGGGAAACGCAGCAGGCGCGTTCAATTGAGATCAGCAATCATATTGTCATGTTTTCCCATGTGACATGGGAAATCACTTTGCTTACCCTTGAGTGGCTGTGTAATATGCATTCATTGCGCGCCACCCATTGACATGGGTATGCCTTTTGCTTTTTGCGCCAAGTGAAGGCGTGGATCCCTCGCATGTTTTCTGCAAGCACTTGTGGTACCCGGACATGTGGTACCCCACTGTTGGCGTTCATACGAAGTGCTTGCTCTATCAGTTCACTCACCTTCGATTTTTTTTTCTATGTGCACTGAGAATCTGTACTGACCAAACATCTCTCAGAATATCGATTCAATCCAACCATATCGTGTACCTCGTCTGCAACCACGAATGGACCTTCCTTGAAGGCGCAAAAGGACATTCACACACTCTTAAAGCCGGTCGCCACCTCTTCCCCTTCCAGCTGCACCTTGGCGGTTCCCTCCCCTCTAGCATCAGCACGACTGCTCTAGGTGGCGCGTCAGTAAACTACAAGCTTCGCGCAACTGCTGTCCGGTCTGGGTTCTTTGCTCACAGAGACATCACTGCGAATTGCCCGGTGTACGTTTTGCGTGGTCTGAGTAACGAGGCGCTCGAGTATCAGCAAACACTCGAGATCGAGAATACCTGGCCAGAGAAGTTGATGTATTCTATTATGCTACCACATAAAGCCTGGGCGGCAGGAGAGAAGGTCATTGCAGTGGTCAAGTTCTCACCATTGGTCAAGGGCGCGAGGGTGTTGAACGTCACAACGACAATCAACGAGACGATAAAGCTGTACGGGCGGGCTGGCTGTCAGGAAGCCAACCGTGTGGTTGCGACGACGAAGCATGATATTGTGGATGGAAAGGCAGTATTGTCAGAGGAGCATCATCATCGTTATAGGATACCCTTAATTTCTGGCACGCAGACGCCCTTGTCTCCTCGACACTCGAGTGGCGCGACTGGCGTTACCTCCCCTGGAAGTTATTTCCCTTCACAACCAACCTCCACCCGTTCGTCTGGTGACCTGACGCCGCTCACGACCTCCGCTACGAACGCTTCGATGACAAGCGTCGCTCTTGCTGGTCCTAGCAATCGTCCTTCAACGTCGTCTGATCCTCAACCACGAACGTCTGCTTTAAGCTCCATATCCCAAGCCGCGTCAACGAGTACTTCTCCTCCTCAGCCAACGCATTTTGTCAACGGGGTCGAACTACCAGCTGAACTTGAAGCGGAGGCCACCGCTGACGTCGTGACTACGCTTCATATCACGATACCGGAGCACGCTACGCCGAGTCATGGATTGGAGGTACGTTATGGTATACGTACATTCTTCAAATACATATTGATGTTCTCTCTTGAAGCCTGTCCAAGTGTCACACCGCATTCGATGGTCTATCCTCATCGGGAACAGCGACGGTCACACTTCCGAGCTTCGTTGCTCCCTTCCCCTACTTGTCCTCGATAACAAACTCATTGAAGAAGCACGTGTAGCCACACTGGCAACTCGTCGTCTACTCTTAGGTGGTCAAGACATCGAAGGCGGTATGGCCGCTGGAACAAATGGCGAATCCAGTGATAACGAAGACGAAATGGAGTTACCAAGTTACTCATCGCACGTACGCGATCGAGTTGCAAATGCATACCTTCCTGATCAGGGTATCATGCGTGTCGCGAACCCTTGGATAGCACAAGGTGTTAGTCCTGTGTTACCCGAATCGTGTGGATCGTCTGGTGCGACTTCGCCGGTTCCGTTAGAGGCGTACCCATTGGGTACACATAATGACGCCAGGAGTCAACTTCCACAAGTTCCTCCTCCAGGTTCTCAGCCACTGGATTGGGTGAATTCTGAACTTCTTCTCAGTCTGACTCAGAACCCTGAGACTCCGGCTCATCTTCGATCTACGTCACCACCGACACGTACCCCTCCCGAACCTGTGACCACGCATACAGGTCGATTGCCGAGCCGTACACACAGTCGCACGCACAGTCGTGGTCCCAGTCCAGAAAGACATTCGAGAGGTGGACATGCTCACGTTCAAGGTAACGGTATTCATCCTCCTCAGGGACACGGACCTGCCGGAGAGACCTTTGTGCATAGTAACAGTACTGCTAGCAGACATTTGCATGGTCTCTTCCACATGTCTATGAAGCCTTTCAGCGGTTTGACCAGCGGATTCTCCATCGGCTCTCGGAACCCCAGTCGTTCTGACCTTCAACACCACTTTCCTCATGGCCATTCACACCTCGCAACATCCACTGGCTCTGCTGCGCGCCCTGACGCCGACCGTCGTGAGCGTTCTGGCTCCGGTTCCGCCTCACCCTCACCGACATCATCAACCTCCGCTCTTGTTTCACCTTCTGCTTCCACAGTCCACATTAGCCCTCTAAGCACTACAGCCCGACCGATAACAGCAGACCCGGTGACAGGTCCTATGCTCCTCCATCGCGCTTTCACTGAGACGCCGGATTATGAGGTGGCTAGTAGGGGATTCCTTGGAGGCGGTGTTCCGCCTTTGGAAAGTTTGCGTGGGTTGCCGAGTTATGAGGAGGCTGCTGGAGAGAGGAATGCTAGCGCTGCTTTGCCGAGGAGTAGGAGTGTGCCTGAGATCGCTATCGCTGGGAGCAACCTGGTTAGGAGCAACTTGATTGGGAGGATGACTACGTTGACTCTTCCTGCGACTAGGACTCAGGCTTCGCCTGGACCGCCTCTGTCTGCGAGGTAGACTCTCATCATCCTCCAGCGCCACTCGTTATTATGGACGGACTTTGTTACTTGTTCATTTCTGATCATCGACTCACCTCTCAAATATCAACATCCCACATATCACCCTTTGTATCATCATCATTGACCCTGTTGTGTTTTGCATCTCAGATACTCATTTTAGACTTCCTACTCTTTTTTTTCGTTTCGTCTTTCATCTTTTTCCTGGTCTTTAACATGAAGTAATGTAATCCCTCATTTATTTTTTAGACGCAACCTCTCCTCTCTCAAACTCCATTTCGCTTTCTCCTTTTTCTTGATTATATTGTTACTCGTTGTACTTGTAGTTGTCATCCTTTCGGTTATGTGGTTTACGTGTCTGGCTTTTCTTGGTTCGGTCTCTTGCTATAACCTTAGGTGGAATTCAAAATGAAATGATGTCGTGCTTCATCCTCGCTATGCGAGAGATTCAAGACGTCTGTTGCTGAACATACTGGTGAGGCAAAACATCTTGATCGTGTCGTCCTGCCTCATGCAGGGTCTACAGAACGGTTAGCCTGGTTGGTTCCTGACACCATGTCTGCCTAGTTGGAAAAAAAAACGTTAGTAACATGATGGTCAAACCCGGGCTCGGAGAAATCTCGGCGCTCGACGATGGTTGATATATAAGTAAATGTATCCTCCAACGATTTCAATGAACAACTTTCAACGAACATGCCCACCTCCGATAACCAACGCAAAGTGGTCGTGAGTATTAGCTCTCGCTCAATAAGTGTCATGCTTACTGTGATGTTGTAGCCCGCCAACGCCTTCTCCAACGTCGTCCTCTCTGGAGTGGCCAAAGACGTACCTTCATCCACTCCTCGCGACATAATCTTGACCGGGGGTAAGCCTCGCCCCAACAAACCTTTCATGCTCGATGGTTATACATCACGACCTCCCAAACGCTTACCGTCTAGACTTCCTCCTCCTGGCAACATGAAATTACACTTAGCTATTGGCAACAAGATTGGTCGTGGGCGTGTCGCACGCGTTTTCGAGGCCACTGTCGATCTAGACAAATCCAGTCCAGAGTTAGCTAGCATGGCGTTACCACCTCTGGTTGTGAAGATATCACGACGCGAAGATGCCAAGAAACTGGCTAGGGAAGCGTACTATTATGAAGAGATGGAGTGCTTACAGGGTTCTGTTATCCCTCGATTTTATGGCTTGTTCGAAGCTACTATTCCCCCTGAGGTCGAATTTGTTCCCTGGGTTTACGACAAGTTCAACCCCACCACCCGTCGTTACGACGATTCAGGATCTGAAAGCGAAGAAGAACGCGAAGATACTAGCGACGATGACAGCGATGATGACGACGGAGGGTCTTTCGAGGACGACAACAATGATGACGATAAGAGCAATGCTGACCCCGACGGCGATGATGATAGCGAAGACTATCACTCAGACTCGGACGATGACGACGAGCGCAACCGTGACAACGATCCTCCAGTTGTTCCACGTCCTACCCTCGTGAGTATCCTTGTTCTGGAACGTGTAGGCGGACGGATGCCTATCGGCCAAAGACTCCCCCCTGCTTTACTGTGAGTAGTTCATGTCTGATTCGCTATCTTGTTATGTTAACGTTTGTATAGTGAGGAGCTCGATGAGATGTATTCGGATCTGGCAAAACTCGGTGTCGATCACGTTGACATTCGTTACTTTAACATTCTTCGCGCCCCGGAGCCTCTTCCTGACTTGCCATCTTTACCTTCGCCTTTCACACAGCGCACTTACAATTGGAGGCTTGTGGACTTCGACAACTCGTTCAAGACCAATCGGCCACTTAACATGTGGTTTGGGTATTACCACTGTGTCCTTGACAGGCTTCTTGCAAACTTGCCCTATGGCGACATATACGAGCCATGGGAATAATGTTCTGCTTTCTCTAAACCTTTTGCATTCGGTGTGAAGCTATCGTGTTCTGTATAACGCCAGAGCTTTCATGTACAGGCTACTTTCTTTTGTGACAATACAAAGTAAATGTGTGATATACGGTGCTGGATATAGAAATTTTAGAGCCTCACGGCGCGCAAGGTAGTATGGCCACATTCGAAACATTTATGTACCTTCTCAGAAGCTCATTCGAACTTTAGTTGTCTTTCAACTCAAATTACCATGTCCACTTTGGCCGCGACTGATCCCAATACTGTCATATGTGAAATACTAAGAACATAAATGATTCACTTGTTTAACCAATGGTTTTCTGCTTTTGAGATTCTTGTTGAGGATCTGGCACTTCGCCGAGCAACGCTATGGTTTTGACCGAAACGCGATCAGGTGACCGTGTTTTGCCATATCGAAGGTGCAACGTGTGCTGAAAATTTAGGTTGCCCACAGTTTATCCTCTACCACCATGGACCCTCCCAACGCCGTTGTAAGTTCCGTGCAATGTAATCATGTCGGACTGTGTAACATGAAATCCTTTCCCATAGCCTGCCAATGCCTTTATGAATGTCACTCTCTCAAGTGTCATGAAAGATTCCACTTCTCTCGTTCTGGATCGTGGACAACCCCGCCCCAACAAGCCGTATCTCCTTGATGGTGGCCCTGATTTCAACGTAGGAAAGCGTCCTCCTAAACGTCTGCCATCCAAACTCCCTCCTGCAGGCAACCTGCATCTTCATCTTTCCGTTGGTGCTAAGATCGGACGTGGCCGAGTTGGCCGAGTGTATAAGGCTACCATTGACCTTACGAATTCGAGTCCGGAATTGTCCAACATGGTACTTCCTCCACTTGTGGTCAAGATCTCACGTCGCCATGATGCGAAACGACTTGCTCGAGAAGCTTATTATTACGAAGAAATGGAATGTCTGCAAGGTTGCGCTATCCCAAGATACTACGGCTTATATCAGACTGTGATCCAGCCCTCGATGGACTTTTTACCCTGGGTTCATGACAAAGTCAATCGACGTCCGGGGTGTCACGGAGACTGCAGTGACAAAGACGATTCGGACACGGATTCTGAATCTTCTGAATGTGACGACGACGGCGATAAAGACACAGAGGACGAGGACTCTGAAGATTCTGAAGTGTATTCATCTGATGAAGAGGAGCCTCCAACTCCAACTTTGGTCAGTATTCTTATCCTAGAGCGCATCGGAGGTCGCCTGCCGCTAGGCAAATCTTTGCCGCCTGGTATCAAGTAAGAATCTTAATCCCCTCCGGCCAATAAGATTATTGATGCATTCCCTGTACAGGGAAGAGTTAGAGACAATCTACGCTGATCTCGCCCGACTCGGTGTCGACCATTGCGATATTCGGTATTTTAATATTCTTCGTGCTCCTAAAAACCGTTCATTGCATTCCTTGCCTTCGCCCTTTACACAACGTACCTACGGCTGGAGAATAGTCTCTTTTGACAATGCTTGCAAATCCAACATGAATGCAGGTTTTTTCTGGGGCTATCATCACGATCTCCTTAACAGACTTCTACTTAACCTGCCTTGGGGAGATATTTACGAGCCGTGGGATTAGTGTACATCCGTTATGTAACCGCGGCGACCTGACATACCGCCCGCACAATACATTCTGGGGAAGTTGAATTTGACGAAACCCACTTCGAATTCCATTATCATGATGGAAGCCGTTGCCAGATTAGGACGCTTTTGACCAATAAGGTAGTGCTCACCTCTCGTGCCTTCATTGACACGCCTCGGCGCTTTACTCGCGCTTGTCTTTTGCCCCATGATTGTCAACTGGTAAGAGGACGGTTCTTTCGATGGCTGATAATCAACTGCCTACAACCACGGATCCAAAGCAAGACCGTACCCAGCTACGACCAGGTGAAGTTTTCTGGCGTGATCATCAACAATGGTTGCAGGAAAGAGGTTACATGCTTCGGCCACGCTATCGACCGGGATGGGTAGCGTCATGGAAAGACAAAGATCCTATGTATTGGAACTACGAGGACTCTAAATGGCTCAAGGTCAGACATTTTGTGTGTACCATGGGTGTGAAATGATTACGAGCAGCTTGAACTTGAAGGCGGACCACGTCATTGATGCAACCCGGATCTCTGACGGCGAACTGGTCGTGCTCAAACGCGTTTCTCATGCTGAACATCCTTATGAAAAAGAAATCAGTCTCTTTTTCTCTCAAGAGCCGATCGCATCTCATCCTCACAATCACTGTGTTCCGATCTACGATGTACTCGATCTTCCGGAAGACGACGATTACTTTATTCTTGTGATGCCCTTGTTGCGAGAGTACGACAATCCACGGATAAAGTCCATAGGTGAAGCTGTCGAGTTCTTCCGGCAGTTATTCGAGGTGCGTGTTAGCCTTTTTGTCAACTCTTCGATTCTGCTGGACGACACTTGTCTAGGGCCTGCAATTTATGCACCATTGCTGTGTCGCTCACAGGTGAGTTTCTGTAGTTATGTCTGAGCATGCCGCTCATAATGTATGCAGAGATTGTATGAACCTTAATATCATGATGGATCCCAAGCCTCTGTTCCCTCAGATGTTCCATCCACGAGACGATCGAAGAACATTGGACTTCAAGGGAACGGCGAAATACTACACTCGGACGGCCCGTCCTACAAAGTACTTCTTCATAGACTTTGGTCTGTCTCGAAAGTACCATCCAGGGGACATGCCCCCTGTTGAACCTGTCATTTTCGGAGGTGACAAGACAGTACCTGAGTTCACGGAACCCTATGATCCTGTCAACCCGTTCCCAACAGACATTTACTATGTGGGTAACCTGATACGCGAGGACTTCTTACAGGTGAGTAGGACGACATCTGGCGATGCTAAGGGAACGTTGTTCTAATGTATACCAAAGAAGACAACTGGACTGGAGTTCATGGGGCCGCTTGTCGCTGACATGGTGCAGGATGATCCATCGGAACGGCCCAATATTGACGAGGTTATTCGACGCTTCGAACAAATTCGTCGTTCGCTAAGTTGGTGGACGCTAAGATCCAGAATTGTCGAGAACGATGAAGCTCGAGGCGACCGTGTCGCTCGAGCTGTCCATCACTTCATTCGGACTTTGGTTCATGTTGTCCGGTTTAGAAATCCCGTGCCTACTCCCTGATCCGTCTCACACGACGCAAGGGTTTTGCCGGCATTCCTACTATGCCTACTCATTCCATAATTTCATGGTAATATCGACGACACTTCATGATCTGCATGTGACGTGCATGTTGAATTCTTGCATCTAGTACCAAGTACATACCAGGACCGGAGTTTCAATGGCCGGTATCCTGTCGTTCGTGGTCGCGCAAGTACTAGAGCAACCTGTTCAGTCAACTAGATTTGAGCATTCTTCTGGCTCATCTGGCTGACCTTCGCAAAGGGACTTCGGTATGCTCGCTCCCCGTGCTTCGCATATTGACCGGTCGTGGATCCTGACCAACACAGAACACCACAATCTTCGAATGTCTATGAAGCCACTTATGCTGCACATACTTCAGGTTGATCTTTCAAGACGGCCGATCCGTGACGTGGAGTTTTCCAAGGGAACTTACGGTCGTGACGGACTCCGTGATATCAAATTGTCCATAACAGTGAAGCTGAATATTGGTATAACTATCTGACCAACCCATCGCTATCTCAGGATGAGTGCTTACTTTTACGTTTTCAAGACAGCCATTTTCAGTCCGCACAATTGAAGGGCTTCATTGGCCTTATTCTGTACGTCTTTCTATTACATTAACTCTCGCTATCGTATGTATGCCTTGCGGCTTTGTCGAACGTTCGCGCGCGCATCGCTCTCTCGGGCCCCAGGTATTGTCCTCTCATTCGGTAACATGAAGCCTGCACCTGAGAAGAGCCAGGTTCACGGATCTCTTCGGCGACGTTTATCGATATAGCTTCTCTCGTGTCTCAGACAAGAACTTCCATACCGAATCTTCTGCTCCTTTGTGACTTCTAGCTCCTTGTCTCATCACGCACCCAAGGTATGGCGGCGTGAACTATATCATGACTTCTAGCGAACATCGCAGGGGCTGTCTCATACAGCCCTGACGTTCTATTCGCCGGTTATCAGGGAATCATGTACTCCTTCACAACTAACATTCGCAGAATTCTTCCGAAGGACAATACAGCAAATGCGTCTTTGTAATTGTTCTTTCAGATGAACGACTTTTCAGGTACCGTAGTCACATCAAGGTGCTTCGTTCGAAGCTTCATTGTTCGCAGAGCCCACCTGACTTCGGTGTTATCTTTCATTTCATTCGGCTAGTATTGGCCATTATTTCATTGACACATATACAACAGACTGATGTCGTAACAGCGTCGTGGCTGGAGATGTTCATCAAGGATCTGATCTTCCTCAAGGCCATGGTTACTTCACGAGGCCTTTTAACACTACCATCATAACTGTCCTAGAACTCAAATCTTCTGTAGAAAATGGTACGACAAAGGCATTTATTGTAACACGTTACATAGAGCGATTATTACTTCACGAAACTGAGCCTTTGTCATGAGCCACTCTCGATAAATACATGTCCGGGATAGATAACTGTCAGAACATGAAAGGTGCCGAGCTAATCGTTGTCGAAAGAATCATGCACTAATGACGTTGCCAGCTGCCAATAAAGCCTCACCTACAGCGACAATTTACATCAGGGATATATCAAACAGTTTGGTTTACAACCCACCGATGTCATTTTCCAGTTCATTCACTCTGTCGTCATCTGTCAGACCTGGTTCATTCACGTTGAAATGAGAATCGAATGGTGATTCATCAAGTAATTCATTAGTGTTGTCTGCGAACAAAGCATGAAGTTAGCAAGGAGGGCTTCAATTACAAACGAAATATGGTCACCGACCTAACGCAACTCCATTGACCGAAGCTGATTCGTCTTCAAGAATGCGTAGCAGTGCCTGATCTGAAGTTCTCTATACGGTAATAATTACGCTCAGAACTGGATATAGCTTGCAGATGAAGACATACAATTGCCGTCTTTCGGAATTTCTCTGCTTTGTTGAGATAACTGAACCCTTCAGAACGAAGCTTGTGTTTCTCAACAATTCGCCGGTGGAATCGGTAGTGAGAAATTCTGTCTAGTTTGGCTTCCAAACCATCTCCTACTTCGTGTCCTCTGCAGAATAAGATCAGTATCGTTAGAGTGACGTGCAAATCAAAAGAGGTAAGCACACATACGATCTGTATTCCTTCATCAACGCCTTCTTGTCATCCAACAATATGATGTCCCTTTTGCCATGTACTTCTCGAAGACCTGCAGACAATGCAGCATCCCCAGCCTCAGCGGATTTCTTCGGTGAACCATCGCTGTACCACTTCAAGAGAGTCAGACCGCCTTTGCCAATGATAGTTATATCAGAACCGATGTCAGTCATGATAGAGACTTGTAAGGTAATGTGAAAGATGTGAGATAAGTGGTAAAGATTGATTGTTAGAGTCGGTGTGCACTTGCATGGGTTCTTATAGCCCAATTCCTCATTCCCTACTAAGCGGCGAGCGTCTCTGGTAGATAACCCGGACATAGAACAAAGACGGTGTAAATCAAGCAACACGGCAACATGCATAGACATCACATGAAGACAATAGCTGCTAGGGAAACACGAGATGATGGATAGGAAAACAAAAAAAAGCGGTTGAGCAACAAGTTTCCTCGGCGCCGTGTTGTTTTCAAGCTTCGCACATATGCACCCACAACCGAGAACGTGGGAGTGTGGCTGTGTAGTTCAAGGGCACGCAAGCCAGTCGTAACAACGGTTTATTGTTCCACACGGTATGGATCCAAAGTACTTCTTCCTTGTGTCCTCTCACTTCCTCTCAAGTGAACGTTGATGGATTCCCAACCTCTTTCCAGCGGAAGATCAGTGCCTGATAGCCATGTAACACACACTCTCGAGGAGCTCAGTGCCGACGAGATTTACTGGAGGGATCATCAAGTATGGCTGGAGGCACAAGGCTACATGCTTCGACCTCGATATCGCCCTAACTGGGTACCTTCGTGGAAGGGCGAACCAAATCCAGACTTTTTCCGCATTGAAGATAGTCAAACCCTTGGCGTAAGCTAGCCGCCATTGGACAGACATCGATTAACCCAATACTTGTCAATATAGGCTAGACACCTCATTGATGCCACCAGGATTTCTGATAATCAGATGGTCATGCTCAAGCGAGTATCGATCCACGCACATCCCTTCGAAGTCGAAATAACCAAGTACTTCTCAACCGAACCTCTATCCTCACATCCGAGAAACCACTCCGTCCCACTTATTGATATCCTTCGAACACCGGATGAAGATGACATTGCCATTCTTGTGATACCCCTTCTGCACACATACGATGCGCCTCGTTTTCTAACCGTTGGCGAGAGTGTCGAGTTCTTTAGGCAGATTTTTGAGGTGTGGATTCACTTCGATGAGGCGTAGCATAATCATCGTGACTCGTGTTTCTCTCCTTTAGGGTCTACAATTTATGCACCAATGCCACGTCGCACACAGGTGATTGTGATCTATTGTTTCGTCTCCCCCCTCTATTAATGCGTATGCAGAGACTGCATGAACCTCAACATCATGATGGACCCAAAACCTTTATTTCCGGACATGTATCACCCCATATCTGTTCGAATGAAGAAGGACCTTTCTGGCGTCGCAAAACACTATACACGGACTGCGCGTCCGGTCAAGTACTACTTCATTGATTTTGGAATTTCGCGCAAATACAGTCCAGTTAATCCTCATCCGTTGGAGCCTCCCATTCGAGGCGGGGACAAGACAGTACCTGAATTCCAGCGTTCACACCAACCTCGAGACCCGTTTCCGACCGATATTTATTACTTGGGCAATCTTATCAGGGAAGATTTTTTGGAGGTATGGATGCTCTTTCTAGACGTGACGGTATATGTAATCATTGTTATGCAGAAGACCATTGGTGTCGAATTTATGGCACCTTTGGTGGCCGATATGGTGCAAGCCGATCCATCAAAGCGACCTACTATCGACGAGGTTGTCCAGCGCTTTGAAGACATATGTCGCTCACTACGGTGGTGGAAGTTACGGTCTCGTCTGATAGAGAAAAGAGAGCTTGGATATCTCATCACCTTCAGATCCGTTAAGCATTACATCCGAACTGTAGCTCACGTTCTCACTCTCAAGAGCGCAGTCCCCACTCCTCGTACCTGGCCTTCGTATCTATAGTTAGCTCGTTCTCGCTTCTACCTTCACATCTATATTACTTTCGTTGCTTGTATACCCTCTTGCTTCATACGGAACTTGTGTATTACCCGGACCCGTGTCCGCTGATCTGTATTCATTGTGAATCCTTCTTTTGTCCTGATCAATGGATCTTTTCTTGGTCGCAGTCATTTCCGCATCAACCATGCGGCAACTTGAGTATCTTGGAGTCGTGTCCAATGCCAGAGAAGTCTTCGGGTGTTTCGCCCTTGAACCATATCTCGCCATTCTGCTTAGTAATCTTAGTTGATGACATCCTGCTCCATCCCGTCCCTACCAACTGCTAGGCACGCACTGCCCGCTCAGAGGATGCGATATCACTGCATTCTGGACCGCAGTTTTAACCACCCGGTATCCTGTCGTTCATGGTCGTACAAGTACTGGAGCAACCTATTTGCTCGGTTAGCTTCTAGCGTTCTTCAAGGACAAGCATTCCTCTCTTGAAACCAATTATAGCCTCAATTGGAGGCATCTATACAACAATGAAAGACTAAGGGTTAACTACTATGATACTGAGAGTGACGTGAAAGCAGGAATGTCCCGTTCACCATGTAGCAGGCGAAGCACATGTCCGGCATGTTATCAGCGGAGAATGTATGGAACTCAAGAACTTTCGGCCCACGCTGCAGCGATATCAACCTCCTGTAGCATAGACATTATCTCTCCCTGCGCCGAAGCATTGACTTCAGAAATGGAAAGGCTTGCGTTTTCTGAGCCATCGACCTGGGTAGAGCCCGCGACATCGCCGTCTTTAAATGGATTATTGTCATCACAAGATGGCGTGTTGCTACCGGACAAGTTCATGTCTGGTGCCCATTTCCTGAGTCTGAGTATGTGGTGCTGTACGATTGCAAGTACAACTCACCGTCGCTATCCTCGTAAATCGCCTCAAGCAGCTCAGCCATAGCCTTGCGTGCTCTCTCCGATCGCGTATACCGGTGTACATTTCCATCATTGATGGCACCCTGTTGTTGCCCAGTCGTATTGTTGCCTGAAACAAGTGAACACGTGCGCACGGTAAGCTGCAAGTTAGCTAAAGTAAATAGTTGCTGTCCTACTTTCAATTGATTGGAGCTCACGACTCATTTCGGCTGATTTAGCGTTCGCAGATGATCTCTATATGGTGCTACAGTGAGATTACGTTACAATCATTTCAACTGCAATATCGTACATACCTTGGCCGCGGCATTGAAGCTGCGACTTTCAGATTTGAAGGCAGCAGCGTCATTTCGTAACTTTAAGTCAAATTTCTTGAGAAGTTGAATGAATATGGCACGTTCTGTAATCTCTGGAGCTTCTTGAGAACTTGGTCTCCGTCGTTCACATGTCTGAAAAGAACTGTGGCTTAGAAACTGCGATGGCCGTCATAGAATATGTTAAGACAAACTCATTGTATTCAGCATGCAGATCTCGGAGCTCGGCCAGAGGTATGCGTCGACGATTCAAGAAGAGGGTAGAGAAGCCATCCTCTAAACCATCCAAACCCCGTGAGTATGACCTGATGGCAGATCCGGCATTATACCATTTGGCACCAGCGATAAGGCCCTTAGCAATGAGGACGCCAGGGATAACGTTAGTGGGATCAATGTCGGACAAGGCAGCGATTAATTCTGTCTCGTCTGCCATATATTGGTTGTTAGAGTCGATGACAGAAGTGAAGTTAAAAGTAGGAGATGTGCGCTTGTAAGACAATCGAGTGTACATCTTTTATACCAGGGAACAAAGCACGTAAGCCTGTTTGACCTTACTCTGCTATGACAAGATGCCAGATACGAAACAAGTATAATTGAAGCGAAGCGGGATAACAGCTGTTGGTAGGCATGGCAGCAAGAACAATGAAGAAGTCGACCTAGGATGAGAATACAAAGCCATGAACGCTTTGGTGGTGGAGTTGCCGGTCTCAAGCAGGCACTTTACATACTCATCCACATGACAAGGGCTGTGCAGCCAAATAGGCGCCTGTATCGAAGTTTGCTTCACGAATCACCGTGTCTACCGTGACTAAATCCTGCTGCCAGCTACTATTGCGAGGTCTTTAGTCTTAACTTCTGCCGGAGATACTAGGATAAGCTGTCTCTTTGGGAATTCTAGCTCGTCCTTGTTGATGAAGTGGAATTTAACATTGCCATGACCTCCAAGCTTGGGGACAGCGAAACGCCTTCTCGGAGTCGAGGTAAAACCACCCTCCCCAATCTCCTGAACCGTGAGCTATTCTGGCGAGATCACTATGAATGGTTGAAAGAACAAGGGTATCTTCTTCGCCCTCGATATCGTCCAGACTGGGTTCCTTCCTGGAGTAATGCGTCAGATACCATGAGGTTTGATCATGAAGATAGCTATCATAACGTACGTTCTGCATCTACAGCATGTGCACGTTAGAGCATAATTCAGTATGTTATAGCGAGGTAGCATATTGGATGCAACTAGGATGTCTGACAATGAAACAGTAGTACTCAAAAAGATATCCACCCAAGTTCATCCGTTCGAGGCCGAAATAACCAAGTCTTTTTCCACCGAGCCGATTTCTTCCCATCCGAGAAACCGTTGTATCCCTCTTCTCGATGTCATCTCGGTCCCTGACATTGAGGACACGGTTCTCCTCATTCTTCCGCTTCTTCGCTCGTACGATGATCCTCGCTTTAAGTCTGTTGGTGAAGCGGTAGCATTCTTCACGCAAATCTTTGAGGTGCTATTTCTTTGACGTCCACATTATTCCCTCTAATACTATCTTCAGGGCCTACAGTTCATCCATCAATGTCACATTGCGCATAGGTAGGCCTCGATTCATAACATATCCTGATAGTCCTCGAACCTTGCGCAGAGACTGCATGAATCTTAATATCATGATGGACCCTAAACCAATATTCCCGAAGTTGTATCATCCTGCTGCTAACCGTCGAACAAAAGATTTCTCAGGGCGTGCTAAGTACTATACACGCACAGTTCGTCCAGTGAAGTACTACTTCATCGACTTTGGGATTTCTCGCCAGTACTCCCCAGATGATGTACACCCTCTGGAAGACCCGATTCTGGGTGGAGATAAGACGGTTCCTGAATTCCAGAACTCGAACGCGCCTTGTGACCCGTTCGCAACGAACATCTATTACCTGGGGAACCTGATCAGGGAAGACTTCTTCGAGGTAGGATCTTATTGTTCCTCACTGCTGTTGTGGACGTGCTCTCTAAACCAAATGATTTTTCAGAGAACAAAAGGCCTCGATTTCATGGAACCTCTTGTCGCCGATATGGTACAAGATGACCCTTCCAAGCGCCCCAAGATTGATGAAGTAGTCAAACGCTTTGAGAAAATATGTTGTTCGCTCCATTGGTGGACTCTACGTTCTCGCTTGGTTGAAAGGGAGGAAGATGACTCTGCGTTTGGTCCCAGTATCAGGGCAATTCATCACTTCTTCCGGACCACGACTCACGTTCTGACATTCAAACGCGCAATTCCTACTCCTCGTCATTGATACTCCTTCTGGATGGACTCATCCTTTTCATATTGGCCCGGTGTTTTGTAATGCTGCTATTATCGCTTCTATACCCCAGCTCATGTCCTAACCTGTTGCTTTTCTCAGCTACCCTTATATGCTCACTGTTTTTGGAAAAGCATGATGCAAGTACCCTGGTACCCTCTGTATAAATTGTCTTCACACGCAATGTTCTCCGTTCCCCCGGCTTAGAGAAGGGACCTTTCTCAAGACAATGTGCGAACAGTCCGATAATATCTCCAAATCAGGGTATGTGAGCTAAGTAATCATACACAATTGACACATTGAATGTTGTTCAACATAGCTAGCCTAACTCTGCACAGTACAAGCCAGTGTCATTCCAAGGCTCAACGCAGCACAATGTACCATTCACTTCAAAAAGCATGTTGCTTGTGGTTCTGCCAGGGATTTGCTTCTAGTTGCTCGGTATTGTATGTCGATAAGCTCGCCAAACCAAGGTCTTGCTCTTGTTGAACAGAAGGTGGTGCTTGATCCGATTCGTCGTTCAGCACGATGACATGGAGATCTATGGCAATTTCAAAACACGTACCTGTTTCCAACTGATGATCATCGCTGTGCGACGATTCTGCGTACGAAGGCGGCATCTGAACCTGCTGGGTTTCATTCTGCTCCGTCTCGGGGGATGGCAGATGATCTAGACACGACTTAACCCGACAGAAACTCTGGAAAGCAGAAGCACAACATACCTTCAGGCCCCTGTCCTAGCCGTCGAGACCTTGCACAAGCAGAAGATCTCTATGATGGAGGTCAACAATATCCCAGGTGATAGCTTGTAGCAAAGCTTACTTTTGCCTTCGTTGACCACTCTACCGTCTCCGCCTCAAACTTCCTGGCCTCCTTCTTAATCGCCCTATTTCGGAATACATTCTTGACACCTAAGCCCTTGCGGCGTGCACTAGTGAGTTTCTCATCGACATCCCGACCAATGACTTGCAGTCTGCTCCAACAATCCAGCGATCGTTAATGTATATGGCCAACCCAGGGAAGACAGGCAGAAGACCAACCGATCGTGAGTCCGGCGAAGATCTAATGCTTCGGATTGGTCTATGATTTCCCGGACACTGTCCAGCTTCTCCATGCCTATGCTAAGGTTGTCAATACCTCGTTTGTAAGATATCGCGGAAGACGATTCATGAGCACGGTCGAAGAGGGAGTAAACGCCCTTCGTCGTGGTAACGACATTTGCAGTTGTCGCCAACGTGGTCATGAGGGCTGCCATAATAATAACCTTCAGGTCCAGCCTGAGCTACTAGGAAGTGGGGAGTGCATAGTTCTAGTAGCCAATCTACCCAGTATTTATGCATTTGAGAAAACGCACAAAGTCGTTAGCGGGCAGAAAAACAAAGCAGTCAGGGAAGACGGCATCTTGATTGATAGCGGAAACGTAAGGTACACGTTCTTTCATACACAAACACCCATGACCCTCAATTGGAACGCTTGCTTGATGGCAACAGTCAAAAAATACAAGAGCGTGAGAAGCACAGCCACTATTGTTGACCCATTTTGTTCCTCCAGCTCGGGCTGTCGCGCCTCCGAGAGCTCGTCAGGAAATCCATCTAAGTATTGTTTCCACCGGGGACCCCACAACCTCATGGCTTTCTCCTCTCACCACGGCGGACGTCACTACCATGCATCTCTGGAGTTGCAGACAGTTAGTGAACCTTCCATATCAAGGCCTGCGGGATCTTCAACAGGCGTAAAGTCTCGTCAAGACTATACCGTACTCCTACCACATGAAGTATTCTGGCGAGATCATCAGCAGTGGCTTGCAGAGAGGGGATACATGCTCAGGCCTCGTTACCGGCCGGATTGGGTTGCATCGTACAAGGACAAACAGGACTACCCATGGGATTGCGAAGACTCTGTAGCTTCATTAGTGAGTACGATAGGTGGCGTTTTCTTGTCGCAAACTGATGTGAAGACTTTGTGTTAGCATAGCTTCCTCCTTGATGCTACGCGCATCTCCGATGGAGAGGTTGTCATTCTGAAGAAAGTATTCCGTCAGCGCAATCCATATGAGATTGATATGAACAGGTGCTTCTCGAGTGAACCGTTCAAATCCCATCCTCGCAATCATTGTGTTCAAATTATCGATGTCTTGGCCGTGCCTGATGATGAAGACATATCCATCATGGTCATGCCTCTCCTGCGTCGTTGCGACGATCCTCGATTCGAAACCATAGGGGAAGTCATGGAATTTCTCAGACAAGTGTTTGAGGTCGGTAGAATTTTCTCATAGAGGCCGCATTCTAATGTTTGCTCAGGGTATGCAATTTCTGCATCAATGTCACGTTGCGCATTGGTAAGCTATTGTATTCCATCGTGCGCACGTACTGATGTTACTCTAGCGACTGTATGGACCTCAACATCATGATGGACCCCAAACCTATGTTTCCTGACTTGTATCATCCTATGTCGAAAACTATGAGTCGCGAATTTACTGACGAGGCTAAGAAGCCTTACACTCGCACTGCGCGACCACCGAAGTACTACATAATCGACTTCGGTTTGTCCCTTCGATTCTCCCCAGACGATATGAATCCTCTCGCTGAGCCGGTGCAGGGTGGCGACAGGACTGTACCCGAGTTTCAGAACTCTGACGGACCTCAAAATCCTTTCCCTACCGATATCTACTACCTGGGTAATATGGTTCGGGAGACCTTCTTAGAGGTGACTTCTTTCATTCCGCACACTAGATCTATCCTGACGCCTGTTTGCAGAAAACTATGGGCCTCGAATTCTTGAAGCCGCTCGTTGACGACATGGTGCAAGACGATCCGACCAAGCGGCCTACAATTGATGAAGTTGTAGAACGGTTTGGAAAAGTTCTCCGGTCATTGCATTGGTGGAATCTTCGTAAACGACTGGTTGAGAATATTGAGGCAGAAGACGCGATGAAGCGGTTCAGACGCAGATGGCGACACTTTTTCCGCACAGTGGGATATACCCTAACGTTCAAAAGTCCTTTACCGGTGCCACGCTACTGATCAACCATTGCGGTCAGATATACCCGGTTCGTCGCCGCCTCTACATATACTTTTATTTTATGTCTTTTGTTGGATTCCCGGAGGATCTCTTCTAGTTGGGGTTGTTGATTGGATAGTTTAGATAGGCCAACCCATACGACATTCACATTTGAGTCATGCTGGGCACGCTCGCAAATAAGCACTCGATGCGCAATGCTTACAAGAGCGTAAGGTCATTGTCAAATTATTTGATAGCACAAATGATCGGAAAGAACTGAACGCCGCAACTAGGGAAATCTAGGGTCTGTTGCCTTCCCGGCGACGCTAACGCAAGGGAACGCTGACATGCACGAGTTATCAGAGGAAATTTCGATCCATCCCTTGATGGACGTCGGCAGCCATGCGATACTTTACGACATCCATTTATTGAGCGCATTCTTGGGAACATCCAGTACATTATAAAAGGCCGAACATAGGTGTTACGCCAAGGAGCAATTCCTATGATCATAACAATAGTGATGTAGGCGTTCGGAAACCTTTCATTAGGAACAAACGTCAAAGCAAGAACAAAAGCAGTGATGGTCGCAAAGCAGCAGACTCGGGGCTACATGAGGCATTCAAGTTCTAACGTAATGGCAACAGAGACCAAGGACATGCCTACCGGCTTCTGCCTTCGTTCGAAAAAGTCGTCCAGTGGCCCAGATACCGAGATAGCTACCGGCCCCCGCTAGCTCTTGTAGGAACCTAGGGCCGAACGTTGCTTCCAGTCTCTACCCTCCTCCCGAGTCGAGTGCACAGTATTCGCCTTGTGCTCAGCCGGACCTTAGACCTGTTCAATGCCCTGTCAGTACAAGCATGAGCATCATACAACGAGGATATACATACCGTCGAGATAATCAGAGGAGTTTCTCCCGTATTGATAGACTGTGAACAGTTTATGATATAGCAATCTGGGACATAGAGAACGTAAACGTACATTATGTTGAGCTCCTGCGGGGACAATGACAACATCCCCAGGCGCAACGACCTCCGTCTTGCCGTTAACGATTGCCTTACCAGTACCAGAGTGGAAGCTCAGGTGCTGGTCGACAGTATGAATTTCCTCTCCAATTTCACCGCCAACAGGGATTGTCATGATGACGAGCTGATAAACCATGTCGCTCTTTAGTTGAGCACTGATACAGTGACTTCACTTCAGCAGACCTGACTGTTTCGTCCAGTCCACAGGACTCGTCGAAACTTGCCACTCTCCAGCGAAGTGGCAAGTCAAGCTGAACAGAACGGTTTCTACATGGTCAGGGGCTGTGGAGTCATGCTTTGATGTTCAGGTTTGCCTGGTGGATTTTGATTTTGGTTCCGCATGCCATCAAGGTGGTCCCTCGTTAGACATCTGTTCTCCTCTTCCGAAATGCTTCATCAGACTTCCGTAATAGACCATCTTCAAGTTGTCGTACAGTCAATAACGACTATCATCCCAACTGTTGACCGAAACGATTACGAGCTCGGACGATTCGGAAGTCATCTCGGAAACTCTGATGCACATATTGGGTGTCGAAGAACTCCATATTCGCATTGTCCGTATCTTCTGGCGCATGCGGACTTGGTCGACATCGCTTCATCTGTCATACGCCATCAGTGAAAGAGCATGAATAGTACGATCCAAGGAGCAACATGAACAGCGGTAAGTATGTACGACGCCAGGTCGTATGGTATCCTACAGAAAAACAAGAGAAAGAAACGAGTTGTGCGTTTCTACGTCTTTGGGGTTGGAATAGGATCTAAACCCTTGAGCATGTAGCTAGCGGTTCGGATTATATGTGCCCCGGATCTGAAAAGCCCTGCAACACTCCACTCAATGTGCCTCTTGAGTCTCGAGCGCAATTTCCACTTCGAGAGATTGCCTACAATCTTGTCGAAGCGAGCCACAACTAGATCTATCGTGGGTCGTTTCTCTGCATCGTCCTGCATCATATCGGCAACGAGTGGAGAAATGAAATCCAATCCTTGGTATACCTACTCAGCTCACTTAGTCAGGATTTTCGAAGCAGACACAATTGAAACCGTACGTCGAGGAAATGCTCGCGAATAACGTTCGCTATGAGGTATATGTCTGTTGGAAAGGGGTTACACAGCTCATCCTTGAGGTTCTCTGGGACCGTTCTGTCTGCCGACATGATAGGCGGCTCTAGAGGTGGCATATCTTCGGGTCTGTATCGACGCGAGATACCGAAGTCGATGATAATATATTTGGTGGGATGCGTGGTTCGCGAATAGTGTCTCGCTTTGTCCTTCCAGTCACGAGATCGTTCTGGGTCTGCAGGGTGAAACATGTTGGGGTAAAGCGGCTTTGGGTCCACCATGATGTTCAGGGACATGCAATCCCTACTACATTATCAGTTCATCGCACTCGACCCGATCACGTACTACATACCGATGTGCGATGAGATGGTCATGTAAAAACTTTATACCCTATACATGGGTTGAGTATACGAGACAGAAAAGTACTCGAATAATATCGACGAACCTCGAACATTTGTTGCATGAAATCGACCGCCTCGCCAATGGTCATGAATGCCAGCTTGTAAAATGGTAACAATAACGGGAGGACGAGAATTACAAGGTCCGGATCGTCTGGTGGATGTAATACATCTAACAACGTAATGCAGTGGTTATGAGGTTCTGAAGCCAATGGTCCAGAGCCAAGGTATCGTGTTAGGTCCTCTTCGAATGGGTGTTCTGATATCTTGATTTTCTTGAGAATAACCTGCTCCCCGTCCGACACTCTGACTGCATCAATGACTGCGGGACGCTAAGTTGCAGTAAACGTTTCGCGTGGTACCAAGCAACATAGAAGGGAGTCAAAGGCACATACCAGGAGAATCTTTGCATCTTCATAGCTCACACCGAACTCCCCCAATCCAGTCCACGAGGGTTTCCAACCGGGGCGAAATCTAGAACGTAGCAAATAGCCCTGGCCCTTGAGCCATTCACACCGGTCTCGCCACCATATTTCTGGATCTATGAGCTGGGCTGCGGGTCTTTCAGCCGGAAGCGGTGGAAGTGACGAAGGGGACATTCACGGTGGAGGTTCTCCTATGATCAGGCTCTGGCAAAGAAAGACTACGGAGATTTCAATGGAAGCACGACCCCATGCACAATACAATAGAGACAATAACCTGAGAGATGCTTTGACCGATATGGGTACATATGTATCGTTGCCAAATAAATACCAACAAAGTGAACGTAAGTGTTAGCGCCAGGTTACTTCTACCATTGCCGCTGACCGTGACTCTACAAGCTTCAAGCTTGAATTCTTGAAGGAAGTCAGGCGGACACTTGCATCCATGCACTTCACTCCTACAGGACTCATTGATGCATAGTAAGGTCGACATATTCTCAGCCATTCGTATTCAGCTTTGGTAGGGCATCCATAGTACGTGTATTTAGGTGTCATCAGCATTTTGTGACGCACGGAAGATCCCTGAGGCCTGAGGCATCAGGCCAAGGGCTTCATGTCAGGCATAGACGACCATCAGTCTTGCGGCATTTCCTCTCACGGTGTCAAAGTTCCCTTGAATTATAATTGTTGTCATCTTGTTCTTTCCTCCCGCCGTGTCAGGCCTGTCAACATTGGTCGCACAGAAGCATTCACGTAAGTTAGGGCACGTAGGCTGGTTACGTTAGAATGTTCCAAGTGGGTTATTATTGTATTCCTCCGTTGCGACTTAGTATTTTGTTGATCGCTTAGTACATCCCCACTTCTATATAAATCCTCTATACTGTCTGACTGGCTAACTGCAACACCTCTCTAAACATACCTCTTTTGCTCTTGTATATTACAACATCCTTCCTGCTCAATAGACATGGAAACTGGTGTCACCATCGCCGCAAACCTTGCCGGGATTGCATTGAAGCCTATCATTGAGGAGATGAAGGACTGGTGGCCCGAACATTGTCTGAAGGAAGGCGACCAACTGATTTTTGAAGTCGAAGAGATCGTACGGACCAGGGGCCAGTACATCCCAGCAGCGGAAAGGAAGACCCTGCAAACGCTAATCAATGAGTATGATCATAAATGCTGAATCTTCCGAGTATGACACTAAGATTGCTCTAGGGCCCGTACAGCACAGCTGCAACTCCAACATAAAAGTGGAAAGTCTCTTCTCTTGAGCCCCATTCTGTACATCCGGAAAGCTAGGGAATTCAGGCAGACCAGCGAGTATGCTCATGCTACAGCTCGTGTGAGTTCTCTTTTTGTTTCAACGGGTCACCTGCTCTTACTGGAGACATCCTCCTCCAGAAATCAGCTATAGACTCATCCTTGGCCTTTCATTTGAATGGTGGTATGGCAGAACACATACAGATAACATGTGGTATACAACTTCACATTCAGCTAGTAATGTAGCTCTCACTGATATCCCATGTCAGGTACCGAAGCTCATCAGACTTCGTCGGGTAATTCGACAGTGATGATATCTAATACCAATGTTCAAGAGTCAGGAGAAGCTATATGTAAGCTGTTTTTCTATTCAGAGCCTTTGTATACATCATGGGGGGTTTTTTTTTCATATGAACAGTGACTGTATCGAGTGACGTTCTTGACGGTTCGCACCATTGTGATACCTTCAGTTTATATTTTACTGATGCTCGCAAACTCCGACAACAGGGAGATCTGGCCCCGTGACTATAAACAACATGAATACTGCCAAGAATGGCTCCGCTGTTCGTAAGTGAGATATCAGTTATAGTGTCAAATAGTTATCTGATTTCCTATAAACAGTTGAACTCGAATGTCCTGCTTCTGGCGGAGGTGTGTCAGGAAAGATCATTATCAACAACTGCAACAGTGCAGAGGGTGGGTCTGCACGCGGTGAGTTTGCTGTGTTGTAATGCATGTCAATAGAATCTCACTGTAACACCGATTACCAGTGGTGGTGAAAGGTCAACCGAGACTCCTTCGACGTATAGCAACGCTATCATTCCGGCGGAGGCATGTTTCCGGCAAGTCATGGCGTAGTCACTGTAGCCGTTCATATCTAATCTTATAGCGGAAACCAGATGATACTACAATCAGTGATACCGTCTCAGAAACACCACAGCTGTGTCGAAAGGCCAGTATGACGGAGAGCATAATCTCTGATAGTGCCTCTTTCCGTACGTTTATCCCTGCCGTAAATCAATATCAACAATCTTCTGAAAACCTGAACCCTACTGGACAGATACTGCATGTGAAGGCAATGTTGATGCTGACTCCGACTCTGACGAAGCCACACTCAATGGAGGCGATGACGGTCCGCAAGACATTACTGGAAATGACCTTGCGGGAATAGACCTCCACATCTTCGAGAGCAACCCAGCTGAGTAAACCGGAGCTGTTGATTTGGCAGATTGGATCTCCACCGTCGACATATGTAGTTACTGGTATACCCACTAGTTCTATTTATATTTGTTTTTGCCTAAATATTCTTGCATTGTAGTCGCTAGTTGGCTGTCTAATACTGAAGATGTTCTTTCGTATACAGTTCATCTCTTACTGCTATTGGGAAGATCCTACAACCTTATGCCTTCGTCCCCAACAGAGTGGACATGCCATCACCGCGACACTACTAGTGTCGCGTAGTAATGCAAGCGAACGCTGACATGCACGAGCTATCAGAGAAAAATCCACTACATCCCTTGACCGACGTCAGCAGCCACGCGATACTTTACGACATCCATTTGTTGAGCGCATTCTTGAGAATAAAGTCCATGCAACACATTAAAGAAGGCCGAACATAGGTGTTACAGCAAGGGGCAATTCCTATGATCATAACAATAGTGATAAAGTCGTTCGGAATCTTTTCATTAGGAACAAACGTCAAAGCAAAGACAAAAGGAGTGATGGTCGCAAAGCAGCAGACTCGAGCTACATGAGGCGTTCAAGTTCTAACGTAATGATAACAGAGACCCAGGACACGTCTACCGGGCTGTTGCCTTCGTGAGAAGAAGTCGTCCAGTGGCCCAGACACCGAGATAGCTGCCGCCCCCCGCTAGCTCTTGTAGGGACCTAGGGCCGAGCGTTGCCCTCATCAAGGGTGCGGTTGTAATGGCTAAACCAACAGCATAGCTATTGCCCATAATGCCAGGAATGTATCTAAGCCACCTTTCTTAATGCCGTGATCAACCAAAACCTGAATTCCTTTGCAGCATGAACGAAAGAAGGATCCTGAGTACAAAGCAAAAATGGAGGGCGGAGGGTAGCATAGCTCAAAGACCTGGGAATATTTCGTTATTTGCAGTTTGAACGCCGTTGGACCCTTGATGACCCTGCACACGCCCATAATGATGATAAAGCGGAATGGAAAACCGATGTATCTCAAGCGGGTACTTTACGGGCAATGGGCTCTTCGACAACACATGGCGAGGCACGGAAATGCGCGAGTGAGAGTAATCTTGCTTCGCCGCGTTCGCTAAGATTGTTCCAGCCTTCTCTTCTGTTTGGACGCTTTGTAGAATACAAGGCGTGCAGAGGGAACAATGAAGAGCCTCAGCAACGAGGAAGCCTATGAACCGGTAGTATACGCCGAATCTGTCCGTGTCAAAATACGTCTCAGAGAAAGCAAGAATTCCACAATCGAACAAACCTGACGAGAGAGTATCAAACGGAAATGGTTACTGTCAGCGGACAAGAAGACTCACCTGATGAATTTGCTCGCATGATCCGCTTTGAAGGACCTCGTTAAACAACTGAGTACCATGCCAACGTCCCATCCCTATTGACTGCAGGCAAACACTGCTCGCCCCATGGGGTGCAACAATGAGATTCCTGATCGACAACATATTCAATTAGAAATACAGGGTAACTTCAAACAATCCTGAACCGCAGCGTGCTTGATAAAAAAAACCAAGGAATGAAGGAACAGCGAATTTCAATCTTTCGATGTTAGAATCTCTGGGATCTGACGGAGCTTACACTACCACCTAGTCTTTGTCACCCTTGTGCAGATCTAAAGCCCATTCAGGCGGTTCATCCTTCCCTTCTGCTTCCAGCCTCTCGCCTTCCTCCCGAGTCGAGTGCACAGTATCCGCCTTGTGCTCAGCCGGAGCGTAGACCTGGTTGACGCCCTGTCAGTACAAGCATGCACATCATACAACGAGAATATACATACAGTTGAGATAATGAGAGGAGTCTCGCTCGTATTGACAAACTACGAGAACTTTATGATATAGCAGAGTGGAACATAGCGAATAGGGACGCACATTGTGTTGAGCTCCTGCGGGGACAATGACAACATCCCCAGGCGCGACGACCTCCGTCTTGCCGTTAACGATTGCCTTGCCTGTACCAGAGTGGAAGCTCAGATGTTGGTCGACAGTATGAATTTCTTCTCCAATTTCACCGCCGACAGGGATTGTCATGATGACGAGCTGATAAACCACGACGCTGTTTAGTTGAGCACTGATACAGTGACTTCACTTCAGCAGACCTGACTGTTTCGTCCAGTCCACAGGACTCGTCGAAACTTGCCGCTCTCCGAAGCGATCTTCGCCAAGTTGTTGAAAACCGCCATCTCTTTTGGAGGCTCTGTGTTCGGTTTGTAGTGGAAAGACATGACTGAATACTTAGATAGAGGTGCAAGACTAGTACGCGAGTGGTGGGCGGTGAGAAAGAGAGATCGTACAGTAGAACGGGCAAAGACAGGGCGGAGCATTCTGAAAGAGGACGAGCGAGAGCGGTCTAGTTATATGGCCAAGACTTCGCGATCTGTCCCCTCGTTCATGATGCCGAACTGTTGTACGAGCACGCCGAAGGGCGGGAATACCTGAATAGGAGCTTTCTTCGATGCTACGTTCATCCTCTGATGTCATGGAGAAGTAGAGTTCTCCTCCTCAGCGACCCTCAAGATCATGATGGATGAAAGTACAAGTCCCAGCGAACATCTTGGAACGTATACAGAGGTTGTAAACCTCAAGGCCTCACCAGTTAGTCTAGGAGAGGATTGCAGAATGTGCTCCATCTGCCAGTGCAAGAGAAATTGCACATTATGAAGTCTGAATTGGTAGGCCAAGTTACCAGAGATATTTTAGGTAGAAAGATCGTAAGGAGTAGTGAAACATTTGCTCAGTTGAAGGAGAGGACAGGTAGTTTCTGTTAACGATGCTACCTACATAGCAAGCTGAAGTCGCTGAGCTGAAGCGGTCCGATGTGACCCGGGATACATAAACGCCCATACATTTGCTGTGACGCTGGTGTCCGGATTTGGGACACTCGCGGCACACGGAAGAGTCGGACTCAAGAGAGACAGGTTAAAATACTGGGATTCTCCAGAGTAGACTAGGGAACTAGCTACTCAAACGTCTTCTCTTTTATACTACGGGAGGTGCTGCGGAACGACTGCGATCGATAATAGGAAAAAGAATATCTACCGCCCAACCCTAACCTCGAAGCCTGTGCCTTCAATTAAGGGAGTAGCGCGCATCGCTACACGCGCCCTCCTAGGACGTCGACCACGACGTTCTACTTCTTGCCACCGTCCGTATCCTTCGCAGCTCCAGCTCCAACGTCAGCCTCGGTATGCTCAACGGGATCAATGGGAGCATCCTCAAAAATGTCCATACCAGGAAGAGGGTCATCGATGAAATTGTCGTTGGGAGGAAGACCGAGGTTGTCGAGCATGGGGTTGTCTAACTGGGGTGTATTAGGAGCCGTGGGGTGAGTACTAGTGGTGCCCTTGGAGAGCCGAGCTAACCCCTTCCCTTCGAGACGGGCCTTCTTGCCGCGTTCGTTACGACGTTCCTCCTCGATGGCACGTTTGGCGAGAAGCCACGCTAACTCGTCCGCGGTTTTGGCGCGTTCGACGGAGATCTTGTTATGGTCTGCCGGAATGAGTAAACTGAATGGCGCAGGGTTGCGAACGATAACGGGAGTGCCGAAGATGGGGTCAAGGTAGGAAAAGCCGTAAGAGGAGGTAGGATCGACGTTCCACGCTTCGGCGAAGTCCCTATAGCCACCGGGTTTGGGGCGATTGCCCTTGAGTGCGGTGCCGGCGCGAATATCACGGTCGTATTTAAGGTAAAGGATGACTTGGTCGACGGCATACCGAAAGGGGTGGTGGCTGTCACTAGGGTCGCGTAAAGCAAGGTCTCCGGATACGGGGAGGCGAGATGCGTTGACGTTACGAAGGTCGTCGGACATGGTGTAAGAGTGTGGTGAGCAAAGGTAGGAAAGATGTGAGGATGAGGTGAGTGTGGTTATGAGAATATGTGCGTAAGGACTAATGAACGACTGTGGTGGGGCAGTCGGACACCGTCGCAAGCACTCACCGACCCTTCTTATAGGTGCGGGCCACTCTGCCAAGACTTCTAGCAGGCCAACGAAAACCTGTGGATTGTCTTTGGGCGGAAGCCCTGATCCTGCTTTTAGATCGGAAATTCTTTCAATCCCTACCAGTTCTAGATAGGCAGATAGGCACTCAAGGCCAGCTACTGTAGAATATGGTACCCATGTTATGTCACCGGATTTCCATACTACTTCAAAAATGGCACTTTCGCCAGATCCAGTGTGTGACTTGATGTGGCTAATTGCCCACTCCTCGTCCTGTACCTCTAATTCAGCTACCTGAGTGTCAAGACGACCTGGAAATAGTCTGTCATCATTAGGCTCATGTATCCGTAACAGTGAGGCATGGAATACATCATGTATTCCCCTCTGCTTCAAATGAGAAGGTAGCTCCAGTTTGTAAGAGTTGTTACGGAAATCCTTGAGGATTTTGTAAGGTCCTATGAATTTCGGAATAAGCTTCCGAGCTAATCCTTTGGGTAAGCTCATATTCTTAGTGGAGACATATACTAAGTCATTCTGTTCAAAGGGGGCTGGTCGCCTCCTTCGGTTAGCATCCCGGGTCTGTTTAATTCTTGCCGCAATAATACTATCATGTGCTGACATCACTGCATACTTAATTTTCTGAGCATAGGCTCGAACCGCAGGGTACTCATCAGTTCCGGGATTATTCCATATCATTGATCGGGGCATACGACCGGTATTCAGGAAAAATGGTGCGTATCCAGTGGAATCTGAACGTGCCAGGTTGATGGCAAATTCAATTGCCGGTAGCTTTGATACCCAATCCTTCTGCGAAGGACCTATACATTGTCGCAACATCTGGGTAATAGTCCGATTGGCCCTTTCTGTCGAGCCGTCCGACTCAGGGTGGTATGCACTGGACATTCGCAATTCTGTCCCCATGAGTTTGTGCAAATGCGACCAGAAGATACTGGTGAATATTACATCTCGGTCACTCACAATAGCCTTAGGCATTCCGTGGTGTTTATATACTTCCGAAAACACTAACTCAGCCACTTGCTTTGCAGTATAGTTGATCCGACTTGGCACAAGATGCACCATGCTTGTGAGTAAATCAATAATCACTGTAATGGAATCATAACTTCCGTTGCGATCTTTGGACTCAGGAAGAGGTCCGACAAAGTCAATTCCCATGATTTCCCAAGGTACATGTGGGACCGATAATGAATTGAGCAAGCCGTACGGCTTTTGATTATTAGGTTTACTCCGCTTGCACGTCATGCAAGTTTCGCAGTATGACTGCACGTCTCGCACCATTGTCTTCCACCAGACGTGATCACGCAGAAGACCGAGCGTTTTAGATGGTCCGAGGTGAGCCAATAGCGAATGAGCGTGAAGAATGATGATCTCACGCGCACTTCGTTCATTCACACGAATGTCAGGTATACAGAGCAAATCGCGCCCTTGTTCTCTTACTACAACCAACCCAGCTTCAAGGCGGAAGTTCTTGAAATGCTTGGGGTTTTCTAGGATAGCCTTGAAGAAGGCATCCTCGCCATACCGGCCCTTCAAGGTATTCAGTAAGTCAACACCTTCTGTTGACTCACTAATGTGTTCCAGAAATCGACTTCTGGAGTCCTGATGTGCTGGCACAGTACTCGCGCCCTCCAGAACACCGTTGGAGTCCTCGCGGTTGTCGTTCGTCGAGAACGACTCGTTTTCGACCATTGTTGGTGAGTTCCCCTTTTGGGAATGTTGAGTTTCGAGCTGTCGTTGATCCTCTGTAGGATTCCCGCCCTCCTGTCGTTGCTCACGGGGTCCGTGAAGCACGACACGCTTTATCCTTTTGGCGAACTCCTTCGCCGTCTCTGGTCTGCCTGTCTCCGCTGGAAGAACCGGCGCGCGAGCACGTCGAACCCTTATAACGGTTTTGCCATTATGGGACGATGGTGGTGATGACGGCGAGCGTCGTCGTGATGTGGCAGGTGCGTGTTCGCGCTTATGGTTTGCTACTGGCCTAGGGCCAGGCAGTGGCAGTGGAGATGGAGGTGTTATGTGGACCAGAGGGGTTACTAGAGGTGGGACCAAGGTCGACGCCTTTGCAGCGTCATCAGCAGTCTTGGCTGCTGCGACAGCAGCACGCGTTTGACGCCGCGCACGTCCAGTTTCGCCCATGGGTAGTGGAATACTCGCAGGCCTGGAAGGGGTGCGGGATTCTGGGGGCAAGGTGTGTGCCAGTGTCGGCGTTGCTTCAATGTCATCAGCAGCGTTAGCTGCTGCGACAGCTGCACGCATCTGACTACGTGTCATGCGAGGCTGTATAGCGGCCGCTTCAATCCCTACAAGGACAGGCTGGGATATGGGCAGTGCTTCAATCAAAGCAGGTAAGTTCTCGTTATCGTCATGTTGTGTATATTCTGATGACGTTCGTACTGTTCCAGGTGAGTCATTTGAATACATACGAGACAACGCATCTGCGAGAACATTATCCACGCCAGGGACGTAGACGACACGGAAGTCATATTCGGCGATCTTCTCAAGCCAGCGTGCCTGTCGCCCTGATAGATTCTTCTGTTGCATAAGGTGAGTAAGGCCTTTATGATCTGTTATCCAGGTGAAGGAGCATCCGAGGAGGATGTCTCGATGCCTCAGCATCGACTCGACGCCAGCTAACATCTCAATTTCATGCACAGGATAATTCGCTTGCGCGGCCGTGAGCTTGGCTGAGAAGAATGCTGCAACGTGTCCCTTGTTCCAGCTAGGGCCTTGGAGAACGACTCCTGCAACACCGCCAATTGAACCGTCTGTGACCAACCAAATTGGCGGCGCATTCTTGGAATAGTCTAAGGGAACACGCCGATGCTCCTGGTGCTGATGCACCAATCGTTTGACGTCGTCAAATGCACGTTGGTGAGTGGGTTGCCATTGAAAGCAAGAATCAGACCCCGTTAATGAGGACAGAATGCCCATAGGTATCCGTACCGTGGCAATGTCATCAGCAAGGTAACCGACTGAACCAAGAAATCCACGCAAAAGTTCCTTGTTCGTCGGGACTTTCCAGTTCAGAACTGAGTCGACTTTACTAGGGTCCATGCGAATACCTTGGTCGTCGATAATCCGACCAAGAATCTTCATTTCTGATGCGAGGAAGTGAAGTTTCGTTGCGCTAAGGTAAAGCTTTTCACGCTTCAGAATATCAATAATCAGCTTACAGTGTTTGATATGATCCTCCAGGGTGTCCGAGTAGATCACAATGTCATCAAGATAAACATCCATGAAGACTCCAATATAGGGCCCAAAGATGTGATTCATCAAGGTTTGGTACGTTGCGACTGCATTACAATCTCCTTGTTGCATCACCAGACTAACCATGTTTCCATCAGGAGTAGTCATTGCTGTTCGCTCGACATGTTCTGGGACAACGCGAATGTGTTCATACGCATCCTTGCCATCGATCAGTGAACGGTATTGTTTTCGCGAGACACGTCGTAATATGCTTTCCATGTCTGGGAGCGGCGATGTCAGCTTTGTCGTATTGGCATTGCGTTCTCGTAAGTCTGCCACTACGCGCAGTCGTGGTGGGATTCCATTAACACCAGTACCAGGTTTCGTCAGCAGCATCATTGGAGATGTGTTGCGTGCCGAGGTCATTTTCCAACGCCCGGACTTTAGGTATGCATCGCGTTTCTCACACCAGCTTGCGCGGTGCGCATCTGGGCACTTACTGGGACGCCAGGAATAGATTTTATTTACATCCTTCAGTGGGATGGTGTGGTTAACAGCTCGCAATGGAGGTAGAGGTGCGTCGCTCACTTCTCGGCAAATCGGTGAAGCATATTCACGAAGCACTCGTCTGGCCTTCTCCAGTTTAGTTTCAACGAGCTCAGCGGCTCGCGATTCAACAACGCGCGTCCGTTTACCTTTGATTGGTAACGCGACAGGACTGCCTACTTCAATGGTGGTCGGATTCATCCCGATGACCACTCTATGCTGAAAGAAGAATGGCGTACCCAGGATCAAATCATAGCTAAGTATATTGATAATATCAAAGTACCGTTGCTCGCTAATCGTTTGATACGCAAACTGTGCTTTACAGCCAAGATTAATCTTCGTTCGAGAGCCCTGGACGGCGAGTTGCACAGGTAACGGTTTTTCCAATTCAAAGGCTTTCACGCTGAGTTGGTGAGCTAATCTTGCAGACATGAAATCCGCAAGGGAACCGGAGTCCAGTAATGCTCGCGCTGGGTGTCCATCAATGTGAACAACAATAACAACTGCTTCGGGAATTATTCGACGAAAATCTCGTGGAGCGGCCGCATTTCGTTGTAATGCTGCGATAGGTTCTGGCTTAGGGCCAGATTGACAAGGTGTGTTAACACCATTTAGTTCGATAGCATCTAACGCGAACTGAGGCAATGTTACTGATGGCAGAATCTCCGGTGCTGAAAACCAAGAGGAGAATTCATCTTCGAGGTCGTCAAGTTTGAATGGTACACACTCATTGAGTAAGAGTGTCCGGTATGCTGAGACTGCATAGGCATTCCACAAATCGAAATGATCATTGTGGAGTATTGTCCGAGGCAAGTCTACAGTGATGTCGAGATAAGCATCATGAATACTAATGCAATCTCCCTCTGTTTCCAGATACAGAAAACGGTGCTCGTTGGTCGCGCTCCAAGGTGCTCCATCACCCAAGGAACTAAGTCCTTGTGTCAGGATTCATTCAACCATTATACTTGCCGCATCATGCATAGGTTCTCGGGCACGATCGCGGCAACATTTCTGTTTTCGGTGCTTGGGTTTGTCTTGAATGAGTCGTTTTTGATACCAATGAGGGAGATCAAAATCTGGGTCCTGTAGTAGAGTGGATTCTATCAGTATGTCCTCCAGGACATATTCATTCATGATAACATGGTGAGCATCACTAATGCGATACACGCAGAAGGTGCCCATCACAACAGACCCGAAATCGGCTCCAAGGAGTCCACAGCAGTAAGGTCCATTCTTGCGAAGGATCTCTTCTGCATGTTGTGCATAGACGTCACCTAGGCGTGAGTGCCGCATATGTAAATCTGAGAATCGAGATGGCGGGAGGAGACCCAAACGAGGCCAGAGATAGGTATAGTATTCCTCGAGATTTTCCGAAATAGCTGACATCTCTTCGACAGGATATTCATACCCATGTTCTTTCCTATCAACCCAAGGTCCAGGATCTTGTCCGGTAAGCCGCATCATTAACCAGTCGTAAACACGGTTACGCTGATCAACCTCGAGTTCATCTAGGATATCGGTAGTAGGTTCTGGATCATGATCATCAACAACCTCCCAGTCACTAAAGGTCATTGAACGAGTGCCAATCGAAGATTTTGGTAAGTCTGCTCCTTCACTATCTGAGTCAGAAACTGTCTGAAGCGATGGTATAGAATTACCGCCATCGCTCAGAAGTTCAAACTCGGCCATGTGAAGCTCAAGGTGATCCAGGGTCGCGGTCGACTCAGCGAGACCCCTCAGTTCATCGGTATTGTGAAAACTGGGTTCCACGCTGAAGGATGCCATGCCGGGAGCTTTGCCTTTCCGATCAGACTGAACGCGATTCGACGATGGGCAGTTACGAGCCATATGGCCGGGTTCTTCACAAATATAGCATTTTCCAGCCGCCTGCAGTTCTGCTTTCTTTTGGTCAGTCATACGAGGCCGTGATGGTGCCCCGCCTTGTTGACGAGATGGACCTGCCTGGTTGAAATTGTTTGCAGGGCGACGGAAAGTGCTTGATGGCCCAGCTCTATTGGAGCCGAAGTTACCAGGATGTGGAGGACGATGTGATGGATGGCTTCCACGTGAACGGCCATTATTATCATGCCGGTCATGCCTGTTGCGTCCAGTTTCTCGTGCATTTCCGCCACTGCTGCCATGGCCATTGCCATTTCGACGGTTGGGTCCAGAGGGACCGCCTCCATTGGAACGGTCATCAGTGCGTTGTCGCATGCTTTCCTTAACGCGTCGTGAGGCCTCAATGAACTCAGCATCACGAATAACTTCATCCCATGAGCTAACGAGAGGTGAGAGTTTATGGTCCCACAAGACTTCCTGGATTGATATGTTCAATCCATTCCAAAGTCGCATAACTGATTCCTGATCATCTACAGAATGTCCCGCAAGCCGTAGGAGACTTCGAAGACCATGTGCGTAATCACGCACAGTTCGGTCGTACTGGCGAAACTTCTCTAGCTTCGTTCGAATCTGCAAACGAAAATCCATGGGAAAACAATAGTTGAACAAACCAATGAAGATATCTCTCAGTCTCGTCCAACGACGAGGATTCTCAGCAACAGTATTTGCATAGAAGTCGTATGCTCGGCCAGTTAGATAATTGGCAATAGTAGAAGGTATCATTTCCCGCTCTATGTCATAGCCATTTATTAACTCAGTACACTGTCTGACAAATCGGTGAAAAACTTCAGGGTCTGGTCGTCCATCATATGGTGTAGGCGGAACAGGTTTCCAGGCTGGCCGTTTTGTTCGACGGGACTTTCGACGAAGGTTTGTTGAGTGATGGCGCCGGCGACGATGTCTTCCTCGTCGACCATTCGACGGGCTAGAGGTTGAACTGGCGTCTGAGTCCTCTGGTGATGAACTCGGAGGAGATCCAGATGAACCGTCACCACTGGAGCCGTTTAGCGAAGGGGCAGTTGATGACGATGAAGATGAGCTCGTTGAAGCTCGTCGCCTGCGACGCGAGTAGCTATTAGCTGCATCATCCATTGCGTGCCCTAGATAGCTGGCTGGTGCAATTTGGCCAGCAGGTACCGAAGCATCACTGGGGTCTGCGGATGGACGTTCGGGCTCTTTTCCCTTGCGAGAGGTGGCCTTTAGCTTAGAATCTTTCTTAGCATTACCAACGGAAGACATAACTTCATCGACAATAATTTCTGCAGGAGCATAGATGACTTCTGTGCGGATAGGCTGAGGAGATACCTCTCTAGCTTTACCCTTATCCTTACGAATAGATTTCTTGTCGTCAGTTTTGTCTGAAGTGGGGTCTGGCATAAACTTGACTTCCCTCTGCTTATGATGAACAGTAGAGATGCTTGAAGATGGTTCAATAGACTGGCTATGGGTCTTAGCCCGTTGAGCCTTCAAACTGTTCCAATAGGCCAGTATAGCGGCTTGAGCCTCTTCGTCACACTCAGGGTCATTCTGGATAATATCATATATTGTAGCTGTTCTACCAGAGTACATGTCTAGCTCGCGTTGTTGAGCTTCTAAGTCCAGCTCAGTGGCTGGTATACTAGCTGCACCCCACTCATGTGGGTCAACAGTCTTACCCTTACGTCTAGAGGAACCTTCCTCAAAGACGTCAGGGCTGCGAGGACGGCTATGGGCCCTACCATCGTCGCGGACGACACTCATTCGGCGTTGAACGAGGTCTTGTTCTGCAGAGGTCATGCACTGTTCAGCTGCTTGGATTACCTGACGTTGGGTATCCGTGACCTGGGCATGTCGTTCACCCGTGTGAACCGCCCGTTGAGTAGCATGACGTGGCGACATACTTCGCTCACGTCGGTATGAAACCGGAATCCAAGGAGCTCCGTCGCTACCTTCTTGGTCGACGACGGAGGCCCTTGAGCGATCACCATAGGTGTCGCTTTTGGTGCCATCCAAAGGAGGCGGAGAAGAATGCTTCGCCGAGTCATCGTTGGTAAGACGAGACTCGGGGGTCGCCTCTCGAGCCACAGGCTCAGGGGAGGGAGTACGCGATGCGACTACCTGGCTGAATAACAGACCAGGTACCACTTCGGAAGACGTGCGTTCAGACGACGAGTCCAGGGTCAACGCAGTCAAGGCTGAAGACAACGAGTCAACAGTCACGACATTAGAAATGCGATACGCACCTGGTACCGCAGCGCTGCCCGGGGTGATAGGCTCTGGCGCAGAGCCAGAACGCACGCGGTTACGAAGAGGATAGCGAGAGGCCATCGCGATTGTCCTGAGGTCCAAAGTGAGGCAAGAGGGGCGAGTATAGGAGTTTTGTTGTTGAAGGTTTTGAGAATGAGAGAGAGAGAGAAAGGAAAAGTCGACCGATGGAGGTTCGAGTTGATCAGACTCGAAGAAACCCAGAGGTCGTCCTTATATAAAGGTTGAAGCGCGGAAGTTTTCGGAAGACGTTTGAGAGTAAAGTGTAGCTGTCAAAAATATGTGACGCTGGTGTCCGGATTTGGGACACTCGCGGCACACGGAAGAGTCGGACTCAAGAGAGACAGGTTAAAATACTGGGATTCTCCAGAGTAGACTAGGGAACTAGCTACTCAAACGTCTTCTCTTTTATACTACGGGAGGTGCTGCGGAACGACTGCGATCGATAATAGGAAAAAGAATATCTACCGCCCAACCCTAACCTCGAAGCCTGTGCCTTCAATTAAGGGAGTAGCGCGCATCGCTACATTTGCCCAAGTTCAAGATTCGGAGCCTCTCTTCCACTTACCTCTCTTGCTCAGATTTACTTTGTCGGCCATCGTATGTTCCCTTACTCTGGCATACCGCATTCTGGAAATTTATCACAAGAAGTCACAATAGTCTGAGTAGATTGTCGGGGTTCTCACTCTCGAGGAAACATCATCACGCTGATACTTATCACCGAAAGCAAGAACCTACTACTGAGGCGTCAGAAGCCATGTGCGCGTCAGAATCGTCAGAACAACAGCGGTTGTGAAACGTGGAACGGTGGAAGTCCAAGTTGTCATTCAGGATGATATCTTCATGGCCTGACTACTAGCCCTCGTCGTATCTTAAGCCATAAGGAAAGCCTCTCTGCGGACTTGCTTCACGACATAGCAGCATCCACCAGCACAGATCTCCAAGAACATTTCACCGAGGCTGCTGGCACTGCACCTTCCGAACCAGGCCCAACAAACGCACACGATGTCAGCGTATTGTTACCTCGCGAGGTCTTTTGGCGTGAACATTACAACTGGTTGGAAGAAAGAGGATACAGGTTAAGACCCCGCTACAAGCCAGGCTGGGTTGTGTCTTGTAAAGCCACGAACGGTGACCCTTGGATCCGAGAAGATGGAGTATATCAGAAGGTGAGAATGTACATTCGCAGCAGGCAGACCCGCGTCCAATGTTGCCGCACACTCTAGTGTGGTTATCTACTTGACATGACACGAACGTTGGACGGGCAAACTGTGATGTGAAAACGAATTTCTCGCGAGTTGCACCCACATGAGACGAACATCAGCATATTTCTCTCATCAGAACCTTTAAAGTCCCATCCTCGGAATCATTCTGTCCCAATCTACGAGGTACTGGATGTTCCCGATGACGATGATTTATCTATTCTTGTTATGCCTCTACTTCGTATATATAATGAGCCAAGATTTAGTACCGTAGGGGAAGCGGTCCAGTTCTTCAGGCAAGTGTATAAGGTACGTCGTCCGAATCGCGGCTCGCTACCATCGTTAGCTAAATAATTTCGTCATTAATCGGACCCTACAGGGCTTGCAATTCATGCACCAGTGCCGTATTGCACATCGGTAGGTCTATCCAAACGGTCTTCAGATCGAATCGCTGAATGTCGTTTCAGGTATGAACCACAATGTTATGATGGATTCAAAAGCCATTATATCCGCATGGGTATCGTCCCATGTCTCCCACATGGGACCGTAAACTCACTGGTTCAGCGAAGGAACCCAACACACGGACAGCCAGAGCAACAAAATACTATTTCATCGACTTTGGCATCGCCCGCCAGTGTTCACACGATGTTAAGCACCCCCGCGAGGATATAATTCTCGGCGGCGACAAGACTGTCCCTGAATTCCAGAACACTTTGGACCCTCAAGACCCTTTCCCCACCGATATCTACTACATTGGTAACATGATGAGGGAAGATTTGTTGCAGGTATTTTCCTCTATATCCTTTTCGAAAGTATTAGTTTCACGAACGTTCTCATTCAGCAAACAAGAGGTCTCGAGTTCATGAGACCTCTCGTTGACAATGTGGTGCAGGACGACCCTACTAGGCGACCTACCATAGATGAAGTAGTCGTTCATTACAGGGAAATTCTGCGTTCATTGCATTGGTGGAAACTTCGCTCGCGCCTTGTCGAGAACATCGAGTCTTTCAAACGCGTTATGCGGCCTTTGGGCGATTTCATCCGAAAAGTTGGATATGTATTGACTTTCAAAAGGGCCATACCTGCTCCACGATACTAGACTGCCTATATGTGCTTTTTATCCCGGGCTTCACGCTCGCTTGGATACCCCAAATACTCTCTTCTTCCAGCTGTCCTTTTGTTCCGCCTTGTTAGGTAGCAGTCATCACTAGCTACACAGTAATCTGGCTGGATCATAGTCCGGTCTACAACAACAGCATCACAGTTGTCGGGGCTCTTTCCTTGTCTTCTCTCCCATGCGAACCCCTTAGTTCTTTCTGCTGCTGTGTTCCAGATACGAATTATCACAATGCACCCTTGGGGGTGGTTGGTCGCGTGAATGATTGTTCCCGCTCTATCATTCCTACACACCTGTCGGGTTGTTGTAGACGGAAGGCAATTTATTTGATATGCGCGGGGCCTCACGTACATTCGTTTGTCCGTCTTTCGCTTCCATATGAAAGGGTCAAGCTCGATGAAATTGGACGGGTTTAGAACGACCTTCTGGGAGTTGAATGCGGATGAATGTTTTGTTTAGCCTTTGGTTTCATAGCTAAGACACTGATTTGTGTCCGACAGTTCCGAGTCCTCATTTTGACTGAAACGGGTATATCAGAAGAAGCCTTTTATTTTGCGTCCACCTTCCTGTCATTTTACCAAGGCCACCAGACATCGTGAGTTGTCGCCTTACGGAAGAACGCAAGCGTGGATTGATGTCTTAACAGATCCCGCGTGGTGAAGCGTTATTGACGTGGACAGGTAGCACAGAACGCGTTCAATTCATATCCGTCTTGTACGCTGGTGCTATAGCGGTCATACGCTGACCATGGGTGGATGTCCCGTATTCGGTGTCATTCCCATGCAAAGGTCGCCATAGTCAAAACAAGTTTGATTAGATGTGCATACGTGCGCTGGAGCGTCCTCAGGATCGCTCAGAACCGATTTCCAACAATTGGTCATCCAAGGCGTCGAACATCACAAGCAGAAACAATAGCTCCGAAATAGGGCAATTTGAACATAACAGGGTCCACATATATCTTGTACACCGCTTGGCGAATATCTCATAACAGCTCCTGCAAGACCAACAATGGACGAAGTGGCAACATATGGTCACTCTGGTGATCGGAGATCCAGAGCAGCTGAATTCATCGCGGGAGAGGATCCCGTCAAGGTAAATATATTCTTTTCCAGACGATAGAGCACTACTTACCTGCCTAATTAACGCCTTGTTATGAACAAGCTATCTGCATTAGTTGCACAAGTTTCTGTAGGAAATCCCTCGGATATCATAATGCCTGCGCTGTCCACGAAAGTTATGTTACATATTCCACAACGTCAGAATGACAATTGGACTCGGGTAACAACCATGATTTATTGCGTCACTTCAGTAAGGCCCATCCACGAACAGATGCGATCAAGGATCTGTTCATCCTTGTTGTCCAGCTCGACGTTCTCGATAGCAACATCCTGCTGCATATGCGTTTCCTGAGTAGTACCTGAGAGAGGAGTAATGCCTCGGCTCTGAGCGAGTCGGAAAAGTGCTTGAGCAGGCGTCCAACCTTTCCGTTGAGCGAATGATTGTAGATCGGGATGGGCCAGTAAGCTAGGAGATCCCGATAATGTCCAGAAAGACCTAAAGCAGAATAATGAATCAGAAATTATGAACAAATATATGTAAAATGGACTTACTGGTACTGAACTCCGTTCTTCAGACAGTAACTGAGTACCTCCTTGTCCCACTGATTTCCCTCGAACCATCTATTTTGAACAACTTGCACCTTCCTCCCGCCATCGCGCTCCAGAGCTTCCAGGATAGCAACGTCATATGTGTTGCTTACCCCAATGAATTTGACCTTGCCAGAGTCTTGCAACGCCATGAGTGTCCTCCAAGCAGTGATAGTCTGGGCGATGGTATTTAGAGGTGAGTGGAGAAGAAGGCTATCGAGGTAGCTTGTACGAAGATTCGCCAATGATTTCTGGAACGAAGCATTGATCTGAGTCTCGAGGCGAGTGGAAGGGTCGTATGGCAGCGGCTTGTTCCGATCTTGACCGCCAATTGGAGTGTATCTTTCGAAACGCCACGTGAGCAAAACGGGACATACGGTATATGGCGCATAATGACCTACTTTGTCTGAAGGAAAAGGTCTTCGCGTGTTATGCCATGTTTCTCTTGAAGAATCTGTAGTGCTTCTCCGACGAGATCCTCCCTTCAAAGCAGATGAACGACGTCATCGAAAGAGTACAACACTTCGAGCGTACCGATAGTGCTTCGGTTGACAAGCTGTGTAAATATAAACGTTTATTCTACCTGATGATTAGCACCTCGGATTCACTCACCTGTGTCAATGGCCCTGAATCCATTCAACACTGCACTGATAACCAGTGCAGTCGTTCGCTCTTTCTTCCTGCATATTCATGAGTTATGCAACCGGCATAACGGTCTCTGGTCAATACCAGGCTGTTCCGTATATGATCCTCTGTGTTGCCATTAGGGAACGTACTCCCTGAAAGCTGGTCCCTTCAGTGGATACCAATAAGCGTGGTAGTAGTCGAGATCAAGATGCTGCGCGAGTAAGCGCCCAACGTCACATCATTTCGTTCCTCATTGATTCAGGCAAGGTTCAGGTATGATTTTGATGACTCGAGGGAATTGAGAGTTTGAATGGAAATTATATTGAACAGACGTACACGCACATGCTACAGATTTTGCAGTTGGTAATGAACGTTGACAAATAAGAGGTGGGAGATATGGCAAAACACGACCAAGACGACGAGGAAACTTGACCAAAAACACAATTGCTTGAGCAGAGACACAAACGGGGGGAGCGACCGAGAGACACACAAAATGAAAGACTAGAATATAGGCGATAAAAAGGAGGTGTATTCCACAAGTGCAGTGAGTGGAGAACGGTGAAGAAATAAACAATGTTTGGTACAAGAAGACGGATCTATTTACAAGTTTAAATAAATGCGAAAATATAGACAACGTTCAATGTGAAGAAGAATATGCAGGAGGTAGAGTATGTGGAAGGCATTCCATGATACTCAGGAACAATCACCGAGATGAGTCGGGGAAGACTGGCGGAGGTCGAGGAGGTTGTGGTTCCTTCGGAGGCTTGACACGGAACTCGCCAACTATGCACAAGTGACTGAAGTCAAGAGTGGTCAGAATAACAGCATATACACATCAATAAAAGAAGACACGTACTCTGAAGGGAAATGGGCATTCGGGAATCCGACAACCTTCGACAGATACGACTTGTCAACCTCTCCAAGTACTGAATTCACAGCCAAGTTTGACGTCGAGTACCAGATGTAATCGATGACACCCTGGAAACTTGGCGTGAAATTCGTTAACGGCAGCTCCCCCGCAACAGAATATGCGCTCTTCAACCCTAACCGATGCCTCAAGCCATCCGACGTATACTTTCCGTACTTGTGAGACATGAAGTCAGGATGATTCGATGGCACGGTCCCCGTCGATAAGAACTCGTATACTCCGCTGTCAAGTATGGAGTTGAAGTCACCACAGACGATCAAAGGGATTTTGGTGCCATCGGCGTATGTTGGTGGTGGTCTTGATGAAGCATTCTTCTCTTCCGCTGAAGTTCCGTTCGCGGTAGAAGCGGCTGATGGGAGCATGAGACGTGGTGGATATCTCGCGAAGCTATCGGCAATCTTCTCGACTTCCTCGATCAAAAGAGCCACTTGGACCAGCTTAACATCTCGGTATTGTGGGTCCCAGTGTATGTGTGCATTGACGATGACTAGCCGAGTGCCGGTTTCCTTGTTCTCGAAAAGGCAGACAACGGCGATATGGTCTTTGCCTAAGACACGGTTGAACATGTCGTCCGTCTTCTTGAAATCGGAACGCTGCATTGCGACGGTGCTGAATTCGATGAGTTGCTTCTCTACGAGCGTATACCTGTAAACACAGGGTCAGTTTAAATCAAACTCACAATAAATCAGTTTCACTTACTTGTTACGCTTATAGAAAATAGCGCAACCGTCCACCATCCGTCGATCCGCATCACTCATCGTCTTATACCTCGACTTCGGCCAATATACGCCCTCATACTCCTGATCTGACAAGTGCTCCAGGAAGAATTCTTCGTACTGAGAACTATCCACCTCTTGCAAACAGACAAAGTCGGCATCACGACTCTTCACTTCCTCCAGGATAAGATCCTTCCGGTACTTCCATGCGAGCGCCCACGAGGGCGTGTACCCATACATTCGCTCCGTTGCGGCCTTCTCACAAAGGATGTTATAACATAAGACGCTGAATGTTTCCACATTCGGGTCATTCTGCATGGCTTCTCGCTCCACTTGTGTAACTGCATGTTGCCAAGTACGAGGCGGAGGAGGAACGGGTGCAGGACATGAATCTCGTAAGTAGGCGATGAGCGAGGGTGTGCCCTGTTCTTGAATCATACTTTTTAAAGACTGATCCAGAGGGTTTCCTTCGATACCCAGCGTCCGCAGCTGGTGCAGACTGCCAAGCTCGGGCGGAAGTGTCGTAATTTGATTATCGAACATATACAACTCCTTCAGCGACGTGAGCATACCAAGCTCGGGGGGTACAGAAGCAATGTTATTGCCTGAAAGATCGAGTAACTCCAGATGTCGTAGTCGTGTGATCTCAGGAGGTATGCTAATCAATGCATTGTGGTTGAGGTAGAGGTTGATGAGGAATGTGAATGTGAATAAGCCAGATGTGGAGGGAATGTTTCTGATGTGTACGCCACCCATATCTAGCGAGTTCCAGGTGTTTTCTGGAGGTTTGGGGGCGGTAGGTCTCGGTGCCTCGGCAATGGGTGCGACTGTCGATGAGGGGTGGCTGACGGCTACTGCACCTGCTACGCTTGGTGATGAACCAGTAGCGTTTGATGGAGTTGCCGGTGATTCTGACTCGCCCTCCTTTGGTGTACCATTCGTCTCCGCAGGCTTGACCGCATTTGGGTTCTGGATCGGGATAGCCGCCTTTTGAACTGTACGAGCAGCCATAGCACTTGCTCTAGCACGATGATGAGGCGATCTTGAAGCCCTGACCATCTAAGGGGAAGCGAAGTTCAGAAACACTTACAGAAAAGGCGATATAAGAACTACGTACCTCGCACTTCATCAACTGATTCTGCCAGTGAGGAGTAATAGGTGGCATTGCAACACCATTCCCTGGAGACCCGGTCTGGACGATCCCCCCTTGCATGCCGTTTCCGTTTGGTGGAGATTGATAATGTGGATGTGAAAGGGAATTCTGGTGATGGTGGTGGGTCAATGGTCCCGGCATGTGAGGGTGAGCATGATGCTGGAGCGTATTCATTGCGCTATGGGGTTGGAAGAGGGGGTATGCAGGGGACGTAGGAACCTGAGCATGGTTTGGTGGTCCAAGCACTGGATGGTGTCCAGTACGAGCCCACGGTGACTGGTCGTGTACTTGCCCTGGGTGTTGGTGACCAGCCAGCTTTGGTATGCCTGGTGACTGTTGAGGGTAGTACATCGCATTTGGCTGAGGATAATGCACGATTGTCGAAACCAGTGTGCCGGAAAGCAAGAGCAAGCTCTTGAACGATCGAACGAGTGCAAAGTCAGAGGGAAGAACGCAGTAAATAGACGAGTAGTAGCAGAGGGAAGGAACGCGGAGAGTTATAAACGGTGAAGAAGCGTAAGGTCGTGTTCGTCGTCGGCGACGGTGAAGAAGTAGTCGTGGTCGCTGTGCAAGATGACGAGGACCACAACACAAAAGCGGAGTCCGATATGACTAAGCGGCGGTTCTGCTGACTAAGCTAATGAACCGAACCGGGCAAGATCTCGAGATGAGATCTTGCGATACACTGTGTTTTCCGAGATCGTACCAGGCGTTATTGAATTTATACCCTCGCATACAAAAGTCGCCCAATTCCTGCCCGACTGGAAACACATCTTAACCTCCTACTACTACCATCGCATTCTCCACGCATAATTCTACCAGTATGTCCGTGTATCAAGCAACCGCTTCGGCACCAGTGAACATCGCCTGTATCAAGTCTGTATTCTGCATCCATGTCAATCCGAGAAGCCTGACATATTGACATGTTAGGTACTGGGGAAAGCGAGACACAAAGTTGATTCTGCCAACCAACTCGTCTCTTTCTGTAACTCTCGATCAAGATCATTTACGGTCTACCACAACCTCTCGCGCGGACCCTTCATTTGAGAAGGATCGGTTATGGTTGAACGGACAGGAAGAGGAAATCAAGGAAGGCGGCCGCCTAGCAACTTGTATCAAGGAGGTGAAGCGTCTGCGACGTGAGGTGGAGGAGAAGAATCCCAATGAACCAAAGGTATGCCTTCTCCGATCATGCCTACAGAAATGTCTCAGTTATTGACCCCCATGCTGTAGCTTTCAACATACGCAGTTCACATTGCATCCAAGAACAACTTCCCTACCGCAGCCGGTCTTGCATCGTCAGCATCCGGCTTTGCTGCCCTTGTATCTTCCCTTGCCGCGCTCTACGCTCTCCCCGCATCTCCCTCTCAGCTTTCACTGATCGCTCGACAAGGCTCAGGCTCAGCATGTCGATCTCTCTTCGGAGGGTATGTCGCATGGGAGATGGGCTCGTCACCTGATGGTAGCGACTCCCTTGCGATTGAAGTTGCACCACAATCCCACTGGCCAGATATTCACGCACTCATCTGTGTCGTGTCTGATGACAAGAAGGGCACTAGCTCTACATCGGGAATGCAACGCACAGTCGAGACGTCTACTCTGCTGCAACATCGTATCAAACACGTCGTGCCTGAACGTATGAAAGCCATCAAAGAAGCCATCCTCGTTCGTGATTTCGACTCTTTCGCTCGTATCACCATGCAGGACTCCAACCAATTCCACGCAGTCGCACTCGACACTGACCCACCAATTTTCTACATGAACGATGTCTCCAGATCTATTATCGCTCTCATTGTCGAGTATAACCGCGTCTCAATTGAGAATGGTGGAAAGATCAAGGCTGCGTATACTTACGACGCAGGACCAAACGCCGTCATCTATGCACCGAAGGAGAACTTGAAGGAGATCATTTCGTTAATCGTCAAGTACTTCCCTCAAGCTGAGCCATTCAAGGATCCTTTCGGTCTTTTTGGCGCTCAAGGCGTTGGTTCTGGTGCTGTAGTGCCGGGCTTCAATGAGGCTGTCGCAAAACCGTTCCCTGTGGGAGCCGTGAAAGGTTTAATTCACAGCAAAGTCGGAGACGGTCCCAGAGTTCTTTCTCCTCAGGAAGCACTGCTTGGTGCTAACGGCTTGCCCAAGGATTTGGCATAGACTATTTAACAATCACTTAGAGATTTCGGGATTGGGATGCTTCATTGATACAACATATTTACTTACAAGTGCAAATGGAAACGAGCAGTAGTGATACGTGTAATACTATTTAGACGATGATACCAAGTTCTATTTCGCTTCTAGTCGCATCTCATGCTGGAGCCTGAACGCCGACAATAGGACTTAGCCAGCTCTCGAAGTCCTCTTCCTTCGTACGGTCACCAGTGACTTTCAGGGCACGGAGAAGGATGCGGTACGAGCCATTAGGCACGGTAGTGCCATTGGCGAAGACATTTTCAATTGCGAACGGGTTGAAACCAGTTCCATCCTAAAAGCGATACACCTTTAGACAAAGAATGTAGTCAGGCAAGAAAACGACTCACATTTACATCAGAGTTCCTAGGAACGAAGTCAAATTCGAGCAGCGGCCCAAGAGTCTTCACTTGCGCGAAAGTTCCTGACTTCGCGGTGCTCGGGAACGTGATCAACGGTTCCCTGTCTCTCTTGTTCAAACTCGTCTTCAACTGAATGTCTTGATCCACAAGGTCGACGAGGAGGAGCGGAGTACCAAAGTCCAACCGCATGACCAAGGTTGGGAAGTCATCTCCTACGAACGTAAAATTCCTAGGATCCAAGACGAAGTTCCCATCCGAGTCACCCAAAGCTGGTAAGTTGACACCAAAGAAGAAGTCAGAGGTGTCGACGACGGGCACGTCCTTGAGACTAGCTGCAACACCGAGGTAAGAGACGTGGAATGTCTCATTGGCGTTAGAAATGTCGATGAATCCGGAGTAGATGGGAAGAAGAGATGAGTTGACGCCTGCTGGTGGTGTGAAGTGTGCTGTCAGCTTTTGAGTTTGGCCGGATTGGACTGTGAAGGACGTCTCGCTAAATGTGACTGTTGCAGTCTGGGAGAGGAAAGGTACCGGAGCATCTTGGAAGAAGGCAGTTCCCTAGGCAGACGTGCATACAACTCAGATGAGACGAGATTGTTTAAAACATGAATGGACATACCGGTTGAAATGCTTGTAGAGTTCCAGCCGGGACGTGCGATACCTTAAAAGACTTGGCGGTCGTTCCAGTATTCTTCACACTGAAAGTTTGCCTGCCAGATCACGATTAGCACGCGCCTTAGTATCAAATCAAATTGTTCACACTCACGAGCTTTTGAAATTGGCGGTATCATTAAGCAGGAACTCGCCTGGGCTCACGACGATGTCTGAATGAATTGCATCGAACGCATTCACCAATCCAGCACCTTGCATGGCAACGCTCTGCAACGGATCACCATCCGTATGGCTAGAGCTAACCCGTTGTGCAGTAGTTTCGAACAGGGTTCTAGCAGTCGTCCCGACACTGGCGCCGTTCCCTTTAACACCAAAAAGCAGAGCGGAGACTCCCGCGATGAAAGGCGTAGCCATGGAAGTACCAGACTCAACACCGAAGCTACCTAGAGGAACCGGAAGTGTGGATAAGATGTTGCCACCGGGAGCTGCGATGGCCGGCTTGAAGAACATGTCGTTTGTTGGGCCGATGGAGGAGAAGGACGAGATAAGACCACCTGCTGCATCTGGGAACTGGAAGCTTGAGCCTTCTTGTGGGAAAGAGATGGAGACATTGGTGCCTTTGGCGAATTCGTTGACAAGCTAAACATTGTATGGTGGTAAATGATGGTACAAGTAAACTTCCTTAATGTTACTCACGAAAACGCCATCGGCTTGTTGGATAAGAGTAGCAGTGAAGTTGCCAACGTCGATGGCAGTAAAGCCGGTCCCATTGCTGTTCACACCTTGATCAACCTGACCTCCAAGCCTAAAAGACCCATTACTCACTCATAGATAAGAGCCACCTTTCCTCCCTTAGCTCCGACGTTCGTCATCTTCTGGACCTACAAGAGTGTTCTGCATCAGTCTTCGCTACCTGAAAGTCATTACTACCCCAGGTACTCACAAATGTGCAGGTGCCTCGGCGAATGATGACCAGAAACCCACTGAGATCAGGCGTATCGTCAGGAAGAGGGTCGCAGGCGTCGTCAACTACAGTTGGATCCGTGCTTGTTGCAAATATCGGCAGAGTGGCGTTGACTGGGAAGGGGAACGTGCTGAAGTAGGTGATATGATCGTGCGTGACGCCAACAACCGTCGCGTTCTGTAACGGGATAACGGTGTTGTCGAGGGACGCGACAGAGATTGCGGAGATCGCATTTCCGGGGGAAGAGCTGAAAAAGGCACCAACAGCGCCATCGTTACCTGTAAGTGATTAGATGATGACAAGCAGTCAGCAGGCACCTGAGACCAAGTAAGGTTGGAAGTATACCTGCGGCAATCGTAACAACTTTTCCTGAATCTGCGATTCTGCTAGAGACAACGGCAGAGGATGTTTCGGTCCATCCGGAGCTCCCGCCGAGAGACATGGTCAAGATATCTTGACCTTCTGAGACTCCACGAAGGAGTGCTTCAATGAGAACTGTTGAAAGTCGCGCTTTGAGTTCGTTGATCTGAACATGTATCTTAAGATAGAAGACATGCCGTCATCAGTAACTCCACCGGTGCAGCCAAAGACTCTGTACGAAGTTAGAGATGCCCCAAAAGCCACGCCGCTGATATTAAATGCGTTGTCGGGATCGGCTCCGATGATTCCCTACGTAAGTACGCTGTGAAGGGGAAATCGCTACCATGAAGTGAGTGTGCACTTACAGCGACGTGAGTTCCGTGGCCGTTACACTGATCCAGTGGGTCTGAATCCGGGACAGGCGTATTCGAACCTGCAGAAGAGAGTGAATACATCGATATATACCTGGAAAGCATAGTAGTCGACGGGTATCCCTACCATCATAGTCATCACCAACAAAGTCGAACCCGCCAATGATCTTGTGCCCTGGACCAATCGCGCCACCGAGAACAGGATGAGTATAGTCAATCCCGGTGTCAATACTATAAACGAGGTGAGAAAAGGGTCACTATATAGAAATCAAAGATAGAATCTTATAGACTTACATGCCGATCTTAACGCCACTTCCGGTGATGCCCTGAGCGTGGAGCTTGTCGACACCCTGTAGAGATCAAAGTTGCATAAGGGACTTCGCTCAAAGGAGGTGCAAGACGGATGAAACGTACAGTGAGAACGTGAGTGGACTCCGAATCAGGTGGAACAGCAGGGTCTGAAGGGTCTTTCACAACCTTGACGCTCACAGGCCTGCGACAGTCGTGATCAAACAACTCATCCATGTGCACGCAAAACTAGAAACTCACTTGGGTGCAGGAATAAACACGACTGGCCTAACGGCCTTAACACCTGAGATATCTAAGACCTTCGCCCTGTCCTGTGAACATCCGAGGGATGAGCGGAAGAAGTTAAAACATATTTGATCCGGCTCGTACTTTCGCATCCTGATGTCGACCAGTTTGGGTAAGTCAAGATCGGCATGGGCTGGTGAGATTAACTTACTGTTAAGGTCACAGCTGCGCCAACAAATAGACCCTTGGAGTTAAATTCCTTGTCGACCTTGAAGCCGACATCGCGTTTGCGCAGGGAGTCATAGAGTGACTCGTGCGCCTAGTAATATAGATGAGCTCGGGTACCTTGTGAACGAATGTAACCAATCGTAGAAGTGTACCTCACGAGAAACGAGGCCGGTATCGCGCTTGCCAGGAATACTTGAGGCATCTTCCACCTCTACAATGAACTTGTTTGGCACAATATTACCAGGTGTGCTAGCATCCTTGATGCTTGACGGAGGGAACTTAGAACCCCAGACCTGAACGTGGCTAAGAAGACAGACAAAGCTGAAGAGCCTTAAGGAGGAGGAGATCTTCATCTTTTGTGTGTGAGATGAAGAACTGTTGTCTGGGAGACTTTCCTAGAGACACTTTATATAGATGTCCAAAACTCAGGATAACCAAGGCCGCAAAGAATTCGGACGATAAGGAGGAGCAAGAATATCCTGAGCGAGTCCCAAGACCATGGCATTCCCGAGCGTAAAGAGGACAGATGCCTCTGTCGACAACATGCGTGCGCGAGAACTCGCAAGGGAAGCGAACATAAACGCGATTGCCCACTCTCTCAGTTGTTTGGGAAGCATAGCTACATGAGCCATGTGGACGTGCGAGTGGAGTCTGTATTTCCGACCTGACGCTGATTTAGTCAAGTAGCAGCATGGTGAGCTAGATATACTCACGTTCGACCTCGGTGAGAACGGATAAGCTGAGCGGTTGTTTCCCCGTTCTGTTTTGGAAGGCTTCTTTTTATTCCGGTAACTACCCGCCGGGAAGAGGGAAGACGTGGGACTGAGAATAGGTTGCTTCCTCTCCCAGACGAGCTTCAGGAATTGAAACAACGTACTATGCTATCTGAGTGACAGCATAGCGATATGTCTGTGCCTTAAACCACCTAATCTTCACTTGGACGATGGGCTCAACAGGTGATAGAGTCGTAGGAAATGACCATATGCAAAGGTTTCTGAGGGGTGGAAAATATGGGAGGTTTGTAACTTCATCGGAACCAGCGATAGTGATAGACCTGGCCCGCGTGAGAAGGAACCAGTTAACCTGCACTGTAACGGCTCAGCAAAGCAGGATAATGCAAGGATTAGTGACGAGAGACTTCGATCAAGGGTACTTATTCGTCGATACTGAGATCTGAGCGCTGAGCCCAGGCGGGCATGGTTACTAAAGTACCAAACCTCTGACTTCATTACTTTGAAGATCAAATTATCGAACAAGCTGAAACCTCGAAACCATGTGGAGCTACCCAAATTTCTGGGACATTCTTGTGATAGAGTGCAATGATACGGTATACCGTGATAGGGGAAAATACGATGAGCGACGAAGCAAATTTGAGGAGCAAACGAGGTACTGTAAAGAAATAAAGAAAAGAGGCTCTGGCAGAACATCGAATTCGTGGTCCAACAGGGGCGCCTAGGGATGCCGGTCAGCCCCGGTCCTCGGACCGCAGAGCAACCGGATACGTTTGGCTCAGCTTCAGCTTCAGCTCAAGCTTAAGTTACATCGTTAACTGAAGCTAGCGCTATATCTTGTCCTCTCCGAGTCCTGCAATGTTCCCAATAGTACTAACGGATCTGAAACTCCTACTAAATAACCATCGTTCTTAAATATTTCTTGCGGCTTGGCCTACGAAACTTGCAATCTCTCACAGTCTAAGTGCAAAGTCCTGAAATCGTCTCCTGGACTAAATGGTGAGGCCTTGAGGTTTACAACCTCTGTATACGTTCCAAGATGTTCTCCGGGACTTGTACTGCCATCCATCATGACCTTGAGCGTCGCTGAGGAGGAGAACTCTACTTCTCCATGACATCAGAGGATGAACGTGGCATCGAGGAAAACTCCTATTCAGGTATTCCCGCCCTTCGGCGTGCTCGTACAACATAGTTCGGCATGATGAACGAAGGGGATAGATCGCGAAGTCTTGGCCATATAACTAGACCGCTCTCGCTCGTCCTCATTCAGAATGCTCCGCCCTCTCTTCTCTACCCGTTCTACTGCACGATCTCATTTTCTCACCGCCCACCACTCGCGTACTAGTCTTGCACCTCTATCTAAGGTTTCAGTCATGTCTTTCCACTACAGACCAAACACAGAGCCTCCAAAAGAGATGGCTGTTTTCAACAACTTGGCCAAGATCGCTTCGGAGAGTGGCAAGTTTCGACGAGTCCTGTGGACTGGACGAAACAGTCAGGTCTGCTGAAATGAAGTCAGTGCTCAACTAAACAGCGTCGTGGTTTATCAGCTCGTCATCATGACAATCCCTGTCGGCGGTGAAATTGGAGAAGAAATTCATACTGTCGACCAGCATCTGAGCTTCCACTCTGGTACAGGCAAGGCAATCGTCAACGGCAAGACGGAGGTCGTCGCGCCTGGGGATGTTGTCATTGTCCCCGCAGGAGCCCAACATAATGTACGTTCATATTCGCTATCTTCCACTCTACTATGTCATAAACTATCCGTAGTTTATCAATACGAGCGAGACTCCTCTCATTATCTCAACTGTATGTATATTCTCGTTGTATGATGTGCATGCTTGTACTGACAGGGCGTCAACCAGGTCTATGCTCCGGCTGAGCACAAGGCGGATACTGTGCACTCGACTCGGGAGGAAGGCGAGAGACTGGAAGCAGGGGGGGGCCTCCCGGGTGGGCTTTGGATTTGCACAAGATTGACAAAGACTAGGTGGTGATGTAAGCGTCAAGTCCTAGAGATCCTAACATTGGAAGATTGAAATTCGCTGTTTCTTCATTCCTTGGTTTGTTATCAAGGATGCTGTGGTTCAGGATGTTCTCAAAGTTATCCTGTATCTCTAATTGAATATGTTGTCAATCAGGAATCTTATCGTCGCACCCGCTGGCGCGAGCAAGGTTTGTCTGCAGTCAATAGGTCATGGGACGTGGCAGGGTGTACCTGAGTTGTTTAACGAGGTCCTCCAAAGCGGATCATGCAAGCAAATTCATGAGGTGAGTATTCTTGTCCGCTGACAGCAACCATCTCCGTTTGATACTCTCTCGTCAGGTCTATTCGATTGCAGAATTCTTGCTTTCTCTGATACATACTATGACACGGACAGATTCGGTGTATACCACCGGTTCACTGTGAAGGCTTCCTCGTTGCGGAGGCTCTTCGTTTTTGCTTCCGCACAGCCTTGTGTTTTACAAAGCATCCAAAGAGAAGAGAAAGCCGAGACAACCTTAGCGAACACGGTTATTGTCCTCACTCACGCATTTCCGTGCCTCGCCATGTGTCGTTGGAGAGCCTGTGGCCCGTGAAGTACCCGCTCGACATACATCAGTCTTCCATTCCGCTTTATCATTATTATGGGCGTGTGCAGGGTCATCAAGGGTCCAACGGCGTTCAAAATGCAAATGACAAAATATCCCCAGCCCTTCGAGTTACGCTGGCCTCCGTTCTCCATTTCCCCCTTGTCCTCAGGGTCCTTCTTCTGTTCATGCTGCAAAGGAATATAGGTTTCGAATGATCACGGCATCAACACAAGGTGTCTTAGATACATCTCTGGCGTTACGGGCAATAGCTATGCTTTTGGTTTAGCCATTACGACCGCACCCTTGATGAGGGCAACGCTCGGCCCTAGGTCCCTACAAGAGCTAGCGGGGGCCGGCAGCTATCTCGATGTCTTGGGCCACTGGACCACTTCTTCAAATGTCTCTGTTGTCATTACGTTAGAACTTGAATGTCTCGTGTAGTTCTCCTGCTTTGCGACCATCACTGCTTTTGTTTTTGCTTTGACGTTTGTTCCTAATGAAAGGTCTCCGAACGACTACACCACTATTGTTATGATTATAGGAATTGCTCCTTGCTGTAACACCTATGTTCGGCCTTCTTTGATGTGTTGCGTGGAATTTATTCTCAAGAATGCGCTCAACAAATGGATGTCGTAAATATCGCGTGGTTGCTGACGTCCATCAAGGGATGGGTTGAATTTTCTCTGATAGTTCGTGCATGTATTATGTCAGCGTTCCCTTGCGTTAGTGTCGCCGTGAAAGCAACAGACCCTAGATCGCCCCAGTTGCTGCGTTCGGTCCTTTCTGACAATTTGTACTATCAAATAGTCTGACAATGGCCGTATATTGCTCTGGTGGTCATTGCGCACCAAATGCTCATTACCACGGGCGCCCAGCGTACAATGACTCGAACTGTCAATGTCGTACGGGTTGGCCTATCTAAACTATCAAATCAACAACTCACTAAAAGAGATCCTCCGGGAATCCAACGAAAGACAGAGAATAAAAGTATATGTAGATGCGGCGGCGAACCAAGTATATATGACCGCAAGGGTTGATCAGTAGCGTGGCACCGGTAAAGGACTTCTGAAAGTTAGGGTATATCCGACGGTGCGGAAGAAATGTCGCCATCTGCGTCTGAACCGCTTCATCGCGTCTTCTGCCTCAATATTCTCAACCAATCGTTTACGAAGATTCCACCAGTGTAGTGATCGGAGAATTTTGCCAAACCGTTCTACAATTTCATCAATTGTAGGCCGTTTCGTCGGATCATCTTGTACCATGTCGTCTACGAGCGGCTTCAAAAATCTAAGGCCCATGGTTTTCTGCAAACAGACATCAGAATATATCGGGTGTGCATGAAGTAAAGGAAATCACCTCCAAAAAACTCTCCCGGATCATATTACCCAGGTAGTAGATATCAGTGGGGAACGGATTCCGAGGCTCATCAGAGTTCTGGAACTCGGGTACAGTCCTGTCGCCACCCTCCACTGGATCAGCGAGAGGGTTGGTATCATCTGGGGAGAATCGAAGAGACAAGCCGAAGTCGATTATGTAGTACTTCGGTGGTCGCGCAGTGCGAGTGTAAGGTTCCTTGGCCTCCCCAGTGAAATCGCGATTCTTAGTGTCCGACATAGGGTGATATAAGTCAGGAAACATGGGCTTGGGGTCCATCATGATGTTGAGGTCCATACAGTCACTAGAATAAGGTCAGTACATGCGCAAGATAGAATGCAATAGCCTACCGATGAGCAACATGACATTGATGCAGAAATTGCATGCCCTGAGCAAACATTAGAATGCGGCCTCTATGAGAAAATTTTACCGACCTCAAACACTTGTCTGAGAAATTCCATGACTTCCCCTATGGTTTCGAATCGAGGATCGTCGCAAGGACGCAAGAGAGGCATGACCATGATGGATACATCCTCATCATCGGGCACAGCCAAGACATCGATAATTTGAACACAGTGGTTGCGAGGATGGGATTTGAGTGGTTCACTCGAGAAGTACCTGTTCATATCAATCTCGTATGGATTGCACTGACGGGATACTTTCTTCAGAATGACAACCTCTCCATCGGAAATGCGTGTAGCATCAAGGAGGAAGCTATGCTAGCACGACGCCTTCACATCAGTTGTCGACAACGAAGCCACCTATCGTACTCACTAATGAAGCTACACCATCTTCGCGGTCCCACGGGTGGTCTGGCTTGTCCTTGTAAGAGGCGACCCAGCCCGGCCGGTAACGAGGCCTGAGCATGTATCCCTTCTCTGCAAGCCATGGCTGGTGATCGCGCCAGAATAATTCGTGAGTCCGGAGTACAGTATAGTCTCGACGCGATTTTCTGTCTGTTGAGGATTCTGCAGGCCTTGATACGGAGGGCTCAACACCTGCCTGCACCTCGAGAGATGCACGATCGCGACGTCCGCTGTGGTCCGTGAACAAAGACATGAGGTTGTAGGAGGTTCCTTGTGGAAACAATAGATGGGCATCCAGGCTGGAGGCAAGCTGTCTGAATGATAGAAGTTGAATGGGTGGACGTTGAACAATAGTGGCTGTGCTTCCCACGAGGTCGTCCTTGTATTATTTGACTGTTGCCATCAAGCAAGCGTTCTAATTGAGGGTCATGGGTGTTTGTGTATGAAGGAACGTGTATCTTACGTTTCCGCCATTATGAAAAGTACCGTGTTCCCTGGCTGCCTTGTTTTCCGCCTGGTAACAGCTTTGCGCGTTTCCTTCATGCATAAATACTATGTAGATTGACCACTTGAACTATACTATATACAACCCACTTCCTAGTAGCTCAGGCTGGGCCTGAAGGTTATAATCACAATGGCCGCCGTCTTGACCACGCTGTCGACAGTTGCGAATGTCGTTACCACAATCAAGGGCATCCACTCCCTCGTCGACCGCGCTCATGAATCATCTTCCGATAAACACTACCAACGAGGTGTCCACAACCTGACCAAGGGCATGGAGAAGTTGAACAATGTCCGAGACATACTAAAGCCTTCTGAAGTATTAGAACTTACCCAAACTCACGATGAGTGAGTTCCTCTGTCTTCCCCAGATCGGCCATGTACACTAACAGACACCGGATTGTTGGAACAGACTGCACGACCTTGCTGTGGATGTCGAACAGAAAATCGACAATGCGCGTAGCGACGCAGCCTTAGGTGTCAAGAATCCATTCCGTAATGAGGGTGTCAAAGGGGATGCCAAGAAGTTTGAGAAGGACACGAAACGGTGGTCAACGAAGGCAAAAGTCAGTTTCACTACATGCCATCATCCAGAACATCGTTACTGACCTTCGCCACAGAGATCCTCAGCTCGTGCAATGTCTCAACGACTGCGACAGCAGTACGAAAGTATGTGCTTGCGCTTTCCTGAGTTTCTGCTGGGATTAATTTGTGTCTAGATCGTCTGCCACCTCCCGACACGGTGCAGGGTGAAACCCAGGAGGTTCAGATGCCGCCTTCATATGCAGACTCATCGCACAGTGATGATCATCAGGTGGAAACAGGTGTGTGTTTTGAAATCGCTACAGATCTTCATGTCATCATGCTGAACGACGAATCAGATCAAGCACCACCTTCTGTTCAGCAAGAGCAAGACCTTGGTTTGGCGAGCTTATCGACGCGCAATGCCGAGCAACCAGAAGCAAATCCCTTGCCGGACCACAAGCAACATGCTTTTTGAAGTGGATGGTACATTGTGCTGCGTTGAGCCTTGGAATGACACTGGCTTGTACTGCGCGGAGTTAGGCTAGCTTTGTCGAACGATATTCAAATGCGTCAATTGTGTATGATTAGCTCGCATACCCTGATTTGGAGATGTTATTAGACTGTTGGCACATTGTATTCCCTAAGCCTGGGGAACAAAGAACATTGAGTGTGAAAACGGTCTGGACACAGGATACCGTGCTTTCCAAAAACAGTGAGCAAACAAGGGTAGTCGAGAAAAGCAACAGGTCAGGACATGAGCGAAGCGCTGGAGTATAGAAGCGATAACAGCAGCATTGCAAAACACCAAGCCAATACGAAAAGGACGAGTCTAGAAGGAATATCAATAACGAGGAATGAGAATTGCGCACTTGAACGAAGGATCCACCAATAGAGCGAACAGCGTGTTTCCTCAAAGCGTTTGACCACTTCATCAATCTTGGGGCGCGTGGAACGGCCCCCATATCGGCGACAAGAGGTTCCATGAACCCGAGGCCTTTTGTTCTCTGAAAGATCATAAACTCAAAGTTCAGAGAGCACGTCCACAGCAGCGGTAAACAATAATAAGATCCTACCCGGAGGAAGTCTTCAAGTTCCCTGATGAAGTTTCCATGTCAAGCACGGCTGCAGTTCAGGATGTTCTCAAAGTTACCCTATATTTCCAATTGAATGTATCGTTGCGTTATGGATGAGGAATGCAGTGATCATCGCATCCGAGTCTGGAGCGGGCAGTGCGTGCCTGGCAGTTGGTAGGGACGGGATGGAGCAGGATATCATTAACGAAGTCGTCCTCCCAAGATTACTAAGTAGAATGACGAGATATGGGTATTTCCGATTCCACCACTTCTGACCGTATACCGAGCTTCTGATGTTTAAGGGCGAAATACCCGAAGACTTCTCTGGCATTGGACACGACTCCAAGACACTCAAGTTGCTGCATGGTTGATGCGGAAATGATTGCGACCATTGATCGAGACAAAAGATGGATTCACGATGAATACAGATCAGTGGATAAGGGCCCGGGTAATACGCGAGTCCCGTACGAAGCAAGAGGGTATACAAGCAATGAAAGCAATATAGATGCGAAGGTAGAAGCGAGAACAAGCTAACTATATATACGAAGGCCAGGTACGAGGAGTGGGGACTGCGCTCTTGAGAGTGAGAACGTAAGCTACAGTTCGGATGTAATGCTTAACGGATCTGAAGGTGATGAGATATCCAAGCTCTCGTTTCTCTATCAGACGAGACCGTAACTTCCACCAGCGTAGCGAGCGACGTATGTCTTCAAAGCGCTGGACAACCTCGTCGATAGTAGGTCGCTTTGATGGATCGGCTTGCATCATATCAGCCACCAAAGGTGCCATAAATTCGACACCAATGGTCTTCTGTATAACAATAATTATACATGATGTCACGTCTAGAAAGAGCATCCATACCTCCAGAAAATCTTCCCTAATAAGGTTGCCCAAGTAATAGATATCGGTCGGAAACGGGTCTCGAGGTTGGTGTGAACGCTGGAATTCAGGTACTGTCTTGTCCCCGCCTCGAATGGGAGGCTCCAACGGATGAGGATTATCTGGACTGTATTTGCGCGAGATGCCAAAATCAATGAAGTAGTACTTGACCGGATGCGCAGTCCGCGTATAGTGCTTTGCGGTACCAGACAGGTCCTTCTTCATTCGAACAGATATGGGGTGATACATGTCCGGAAATAAAGGTTTTGGGTCCATCATGATGTTGAGGTTCATGCAGTCTCTGCATACGCATTAATAGAGGGGGCAGACGAAACAATAGATCATAATTACCTGTGTGCGACGTGGCATTGGTGCATAAATTGTAGACCCTAAAGGAGAGAAACATGAGTCACGATGATTAAGTATGCTACGCCTCATCAAAGTGAACCCATACCTCAAAGATCTGCCTAAAGAACTCGACACACTCGCCAACTGTTAGAAAACGAGGTGTTTCATATCTATGCAGAAGGGGCATCACTAGAATTACAGTGTCATCTTCATCAGGTACTCGAAGAACATCGATAAGCGGGACAGAATGGTTTCTCGGATGTGAGGATAGAGGTTCGGTGGAGAAGTATTTGGTTATTTCGACTTCAAAGGGATGTGCTTGGGTTGATATTCGCTTTAGCATGACCATCTGGCCATCAGAAATCCTGGTGGCATCAATAACGCGATCACCTTTCTGTATTAGCAAGCATTGGATCAATCAATGTCTGTCGAATAGTGGCTAACTTACGCCAAGTGTTCGACTATCTTCAATGCGGAAAAGGTCAGGATTCGATTTGTCTTTCCACGAAGGAACCCAATTAGGGTGGTATCGAGGCCGAAGCATGTAGCCTTGTGCCTCCAGCCATACTTGACGATCCCTCCAGTAGACCTCTGCGAGACCAAGCTGGTCGCGAGTATGCGTGATATGGGTTTCCGACACTGATGTTCCGCTGGACGTAGTTTGAGTATCCGGCAACATTGGATTGGGAATCAGTGAGGGGACACAAGTAAGAGATCCTTTGGATCCATACTGTGGAACAATAAACCTTTGTTACGGTTGGCTTGCATGCACTTGAACTACACAGCCACACTCCCACGTCCTCGGTTGTGGGTGCATATGTACAGTGGCGGCCAAAAATACTGTCAGTGGTAGGCGCCGGCGCTTTTCTCACGCACCGGAAAAATTTGAGTAAAACTTTCGCTATAGTGACTATGTAGAACTTTGCAGCATAGTATGTAGTATACATGGTCAAAAAATGAGAGTGAAAAAAAATGAACTCGGAGAGATTTTTGAATAAGAGTGCAAAAAGGGTGTGGGAACTTACATCTCTGGTGAGGCATACCCTGACTTCAAGTCATGTTCTTTCCACGCATATGAAGCTTCAACCAAAAGAATTTGTGTTATTATTTAGTACTTGGTATACAGTCCCTTAGCATTCTGGAGTGCCTTCAGTCTACGAGGAATAGAGTGGTATAAAGCCCGAATCTCCTCAACGTCTATCTTCTCCCATTCCTCCTTCAATGCCTCCCACAACTCATCCAAATTCTGGGGGAAAATGTGACGGTGATGAAGTCTGCGGTCCAGGGTATTCCATACATTCTCAATGATGTTCATATCAGGGGAGGAGGCTGGCCAAGGTAGGACTTTGATGTTGTTATCCCTGAACCACTTGCATGAAAGTTTCGATTTGTGCTTGGGATCATTGTCCTGCTGGAAGACATAGCTCCTGCGCCTGATCCCATGGTCCTTCAGAGTGCCCAGAAATGATTCGGAGAGGATTTGGGTGAACTGAACTGAATCCATATTCCCTGTGATGCGATGAAGCCTCCCAGTGCCATTCCAAGAAATACATCCCCACACCATCACACTCCCCCCTCCATGTTTGACCTGACCAGTCACATTACATGGAAGATACTCCTCTCCTGGCCTCCTCCTACAATACCTGCGACCATCCGAGCCAATCAAATTGAACTTGGACTCATCTGAAAAGATCACCCGTTTCCACATCCAGAACAACCATTTGACTGCCAAACCAACCCAGACTTTGCGCTGCTTCACATGCCATTTGGTAAGCAAAGGCTTCCTTCGGTGTACACATCCATTTAGACCAAGTCTGGCTAGGACTCGCCTAATGGTACGGGAGCTGGCATTAGGGAAAAGCTGACAATGAACATCTTCAGCATCGTGCCCATTGCCACTAGTGATGAAACGAGCAGCTCGACGCTCTGAACAGGGCCCAACAATTCATGGTCGGCCAGGATGGGGGACCTTGAAATATGGGTCAGGGTTTTGGGCCATTCTGGCAATACGCCGATAGATGGTACGCTCAGAAAGTCCCACCACAGCTCCAATTTTGTCTGCTCTCTTTCCTTGGCCATGAAGCAGCCAGATACGGGCATTTTTGGTTGGAGTACATTTTGTCATAGTAGATGAGAAGTCTCTCTAAGCCCAGAGAGCAGGAATAATGAAGTTACTGCATGTGGTGGTGGTGGAATGAGAGAAGAAACATGCCGGGTGGGCAAGGTGGGGGTATGACATCAGAGGGTTCCCACGCTTTTTTGCACTCTTATTCAAAAATCTCTCCGAGTTCATTTTTTTTCACTCTCATTTTTTGACCATGTATACTACATACTATGCTGCAAAGTTCTACATAGTCACTATAGCGAAAGTTTTACTCAAATTTTTCCGGTGCGTGAGAAAAGCGCCGGCGCCTACCACTGACAGTATTTTTGGCCGCCACTGTAGCTAGGAAAGACGAGGAATCCTATTGTTTCACCCTTGTCTTCTGCTTTCGTATCCATCACGTCATGTTTCCGTAGTGACTGAGTATCGTCTTGCTCTGGTGTCTATACATTTGCCAAGTTGCTTGATCGCCGCTGTCTTTGTTCTATATCTGGGCTATCTGTCAGAAACGCCGCTCATTGCTTGAGAATGAGCTACGCTAGCCTCCGCTCTCCATTTTTGCTTTGTACTCAGGGTGCTTTTTTTTGTTGATGCTGCAAAGGAATTCAGATTTCGAATGATCACGGCATTAAGAAAAGGTGGCTTAGATACATTCCTGGCATTATGGGCAATAGCTATGCTTTTGGTTTAGCCATTACGACCGCACCCTTGATGAGGGCAACGCTCGGCCCTAGGTCCCTACAAGAGCTAGCGGGGACCGGCAGCTATCTCGGTGTCTGGGCCACTGGTCGACTTCTTCGAATGAAGGCAGAAGCCTGGTAGGCATGTCCTGGATTTCTGTTGCCATTACATTAGAACTTGAATGCCTGGTGTAGTTCTGCTGCGTTGCGACCGTCACTGCTTTTGTTTTTGCCTTGATGTTTGTTCCTAATGAAAGCTTTCCGAATGACTACACCACAATTGTTTTTATTATAGGAATTGCTCCTTGGTATAACACCTATGTTCAGCATGTCTTTTATGTATTGGATATGCTTTATTCTTAAGACGTAAAGTACCGTGTGGCTGCTGGCGTCCATCAGACATGGATTGAAATTTTCAATACGATTGCTCGCGGTTATTTTGTGTTGGTGTCAGCTGGAAAGCGATAAAGGCTACATTGTTCCAGCTGCGGCATTCAGGTCCTTCCAACACTGTGCTATTGTTAAACCTGACAATGTCCCTAAGTACTAGCTCTCATAATTGTTGTGCAGAAACCAAGGCAAAGAAGGGCATGATAGACCACACAATTCACGTCATGCATTTTCGTAAGGCTCTTGGTTCTTTCAAGCTTTCAAAAAATGGACCATAGCATTGGTGAACGGTAATTCATTCTGTCATGGATGCCAGCATTGCATGAACAAATCAAAATGAATCTAAAAACATATATCCATATTCTTACGGTATAATAAGTAACTAGGTCATAGAATAAATTATGATATTTAAAGGTATCAATGCCACAACCGTGTCGCAGAAAGAAGAGAGAACAGTTTAATTCAGCATACCCGATCCGTTTATGAGTGCTTACTATGACATGAAACCAGCATGGAATGACTCAAATATTAGCATCATCTGGGTTGACCTGGGCCGTAATATCAACTTCCAACATTACAGATGTGTCGTTAACTGCACGTGCTTCTGCTGCAGTTGAGTCTGCGGTGTTCCGGTCTCTGAATGGATCACTGGGAATGGCATTATCTGGAAATGAAAGGAAAGGTTACAGGACATTCATAAGTCAATTCCGCGAGACCAACCATCATAAGTTTCTAAAATCTTCTTGAAGAAAGCGACGAATTCTCGCAGATTCTTCTCTGACAGTAGATCCTTGTCATTCTCGCGACCTTCATGTTGCATCCGGACATCATGCCCAGCAGTAAGAAATGAGTCAACAAAATTCAACTCAGTTCGACAGAACAAATTACTCACAGGAAGCCCGAGCCAGATCGAATGAGACAAGGTTCTGGGATATATTCTGCTTCTTCGCAGCAGTAGATGTTCTCTGTCAAATTCTGAGCTCAAACGCATGCTACTGCATGCTACATAAGCACTGACCTCTACATCATCGAAGAATTCGCGAGCCACCGCCTCGAACTCAGCACCAATATCTCGCAATTTGAAATTCTTCCAGATCCTAACTCTCCAAGGATATTTCTCGTTTGTATCCAACTTTGCGGTTAAAGAATCTTCTACTGTCGAAGCACTGCATGGTAGGAGACAGATATAATTCATGCCGGCAGAGTCGTAATCTAACAGAGACGTACCGTTCAAACTGATCAAGTAGTTCCTTCAACTCCTGACGAGGAATCAGTTTTTGCTCAAGGAACAGTGTTCCTATGCCTGATTTCAGGCTGAAATGCCCGCGCTGGAGACATGCAACAGCAGTATTGGCGTTATACCATTTATAACCAGTTTTCAAGAGGTAAACACTAGGTGCGGCGACCTTATGCAATCCATCCACCAAGGAGTCCGCGATTGTATAAAGCTCATCGCCAGCATCAGCCATAGAACTAGCGTATAGTAGAGCGTGGCAGAAATTATTGTGACTAAGAATCGGGAAGGTTGTTGAGCTCCGAAACATCATAGGTGCTTTTATATCAGGTAATCCTAGATCACCGCCGCTTGGTTCGAGGGGTTGAGCAATCAATGATGGTAGAAGGCCAACGAAACAAGGAAACGACACCTTGTGGCAGCATACCAACCGGGACAATAACATGGGAACAGACTCTATACATACAATTGAAAATACAAGGAAAGAAAGCCGTTGCTTTAGTTACATACACACCCACAGGTACAGAGTGTGAGAAAAAGCTACAGGTTGCCAAGCGCGCAGTGTGAAGATCTTCGAAATACGTTCCATTCTGATCATCCATGAACACCCACTCACATACTTCCACGGATTAACTGGACAAAGCGCGACTATAGCTCTCATGACTGCAAAGCCCAACACGAATAAACGCGTCGTGGACCAGAGTATCTTCCTGAAGCTTCGCAGTACAGAGACGTTCTGGAGGGACCACTATATTTGGCTGAAAGAGCAAGGATATCTCCTCCGACCCCGCTACTGTCCAGACTGGGTTCCTTCGTGGAAGGATCAATTCGATCCTGATTTGACGAGATACGAAGATAGTTATTCTAGTCGCGTATGTTCATTACATCAAGTGGTTGAACCTGATTAACAACTGAAACTGTGAAGCGTCGCAATATCTTGGATGCTACAAGGATTTCCGATAGCCAGATGGTGACACTTAAATGCATATCGACCCAAGTTCACCCTTTTGAGGTCGAAATCACTCGATTCTTCTCTACCGAACCGATCTCATCACACCCGCGGAATCACTGTATATCCCTCCATAGTGTTCTTAATGTCCCTGATGTAGAAAACACGGTTATTCTCGTACTGCCTTTCCTGCGGGAATACAAGAGGCCTCGCTTCAAGTCAGTCGGTGAAGCTGTAGAGTTTTTTAGGCAGATCTTTGAGGTAATGTCCATCTTTGGAATGGTAGATCCTGCATTAACCATCCTCTGCAGGGGCTGCAGTTTATTCATCAATGCCACGTCGCACATAGGTAGGTGCTGACAATATGATGTCTTGCTGTTTTAACTCACATGAACGAAGGGATTGCATGGATCTCAATATTATGATGGATCCAAAACCGATGTTCCCTGACCTCTATCATCCCATTGCTACCCGTCGTAAGAAGGATATATCTGGGAGAGCAAAGTACTACACACGCACCGCCCGTCCCGTGAAGTACTACATCATCGACTTCGGCATCTCTCGCAAATACTCTCCTGATGATCCGAGTCCCTTGGAAGATCCTATCGTCGGTGGAGACAAGACGGTCCCTGAGTTTCAGAACTCGGATGCAGCTTGCAACCCATTTCCTACTGACATCTATTACCTCGGAAATCTGATCAGAAAAGATTTCTTAGAGGTACGTCCTTTGTACTCGTTAAGTCATACACACTAAAGAATGTTACACCATGACTTGTATAGAAAACAAAAGGTGTCGAATTCATGGAGCCTCTTGTCGCTGACATGGTACAAGCTGATCCCTCCAAACGACCGACGATTGATGAAGTCGTTGAGCGTTTTGACAAGATCAGTCGATCACTACACTGGTGGACCCTACGTTCTCGCCTTGTAGAGCTGCAGGAGGGCGACTACATTTTTGATCCTATCATTAGGCCAATTCACCATTTCTTCCGAACTGTTGCTCATGTTCTTACTTTTAAGAGCGCAGTTCCCACACCTCGTATCTGATTGTTTTTGCTGTTGCTTCATGTATCCACATTTCCCGTTGCTGTCGTTCATATATCCTCCCTCGTATACATATCTACATTACCGCTTTATCTTCATGTTTGCTTTTTATGTACTTCGGCTCGGATTCTTACGAGGACTTTATGATATTTGGTCGCTACTAGTTGCCAGGATATTGTCGAGAGCGCCCAGGAGTAATGTACCCTCCGTTGCAACATCTGAGCATAGCGACATGGCAGGTTCCGCTCAGAATAAATCAATGAAGGGCTCAGAAGATGTGCACGTTCCCAGGTATGCTTCACTCATCCTCACCCCAAAGTCGCCGTCAAGACACTCTTGTCACAAAGGATGGGTACGGAATACAGAGGGGAAGTGACTGTGCTCCGCATAGTGCATCGACAATGCAAGTTCGCCCAGTCAGAGAGGAAGACATGTTACTAGGCACGGACGCAATCAAAATGTCAGTTTTATTCGCTTCGATTGTTGAAGTTGATTTCAGTAATATTCTCACGGGCGGCTACTCCTTCGCTGTCCACCACGTACAACTGAGTTGGACTGCTTGTCCTTGAACGACATACGCTGGTTACGAAACAATGGGGTCCTAGCCGTAGGTGGAACAAAATATGATTGGCAGGAATCTTGAAGCATCTAACTGCGTCTCTTACAGTCAGGTCGCCTCCCGGCAACGTACTACTCAGCAAGATATTCGCCATGTAGAGTAACTGTCAAGACTCACATTGATCCCTTCGACCGAGGCCTCATTATACACCTCGTCGGAGAGATCCCCCGAATCTTCTGTGATATACGATGCAGGGAGGTCGCCGTCAGTCGTCCAAGCGGCCCTGTCCAGCCTCTTCTATTCCGCGTGTACCACACTACCTATCTCCGATTCCAAAGAGAGTCGGTGGTATTCCGTGTTGGTGATGATTCACGACTGGTCAATATGCCAAGCAAGGGAACGGGCTTACCGACTTTGCTTCGCGAAGGTGAGCCGGATAAGTCAGAAGGATGCGTGAAGCTAAGCGACTAGACAGGTTGCTCCACTACTCGCATGACCATGAACAATAGGATACTGGAGATCAAAACCGCGCCCTTGGTCATGTATTTGTACTAGATACAGGGAATTAGCATGCACGTCGCATGCAGCTCATGGATGACATCGTCGTTACCATGAAATCATAGAATGAATAGGCATGTTAGGGATGTCGGTGAAATCATTGCATCATATGAGACATATCAGGGAATAGGAACAGGACCTCTAAACCGAACAACGATGGAAAGCTCGAGCGACAGGATCGCCTCGAGCTTCATCGGTTCTCGATAATTCTTGAGCTTAGTGTCCACCAGCTTAGCGAACGACGGATTTGTTCGAAGCGTCGAATAACCTCATCAATATTGGGCCGCTCTGATGGATCATCCTGCACCACGTCAGCGACAAGCGGCTCCATGAACTCCAGTCCAGTTGTCTTCTTTAATATATATTGGAACAATAATTCGTGAATATCGCCACCTATCGTCCTGCTCACCTGTAAGAAGTCCTCGCGTATCAGGTTACCCACATAGTAAATGTCTGTAGGGGGCGGATTGACAGGATCGTAGGGCTCCGTGGACTCAGGTACTGTCTTGTCACCTCCGAATATGACAGGTTCAACGGGGGGCATGTCCCCTGGGTAGTACTTTCGAGACAGACCAAAGTCTATGAAGAAGTACTTTGTAGGACGAGCCGTCCGAGTATAGTATTTCGCCGTTCCCTTGAAGTCCAACGTCCTTCGATCGTCTCGTGGATGGAACATGTGAGGAAACAGAGGCCTGGGATCCATCATGATATTGAGGTTCATGCAATCTCTGCATAGATTGTGAAAAGCATACTCAAACATAACTTCAGAAATTCACCTGTGAGCGGCACAGCATTTGCGCAAAAATTGCAGGCCCTAGACAAGTGTCGTCCAGCAGAATCGAAGAGTTGACAAAAAGGCCAACACGCACCTCGCATAACTGCCGGAAGAACTCGACAGCTTCACCTATGGACTTCATCCGCAGGTTATTGTACTCTCGCAACAAGGGCATTACAAGAATAAAAGGATCGTCGTCTTCCCGAAGATCGAGTACATCGTAGATCGGAACACAGTGATTGTGAGGATGAGATGCAATTGGCTCCTGAGAGAAAAATGAATAATTTCCCCTTCACAAGGATGCCCAGAATGACAAATCCGTTTGAGCATGACCAGTTCGCCGTCGAATATCCCTGTTGCACCAATGACGTGGTCCGCTTCAGGTTCAAGCTGCTCATAATCACTTCATACCCATGATACAAACAAAATGTCTGACCTTAAGCCACTCGGAGCCTCAGTAGTTCCAATACATAGGATTCTTGTGTTTCCATGACGCTACCCATCCCGGTCGATAGCGTGGCCGAAGCATGTAACCTTTTTCCTGCAACCATTGTTGGTGATCACGCCAGAAAACTTCGCCTGGTCGTAGCTGAGTGCGGTCTTGCTTTGAATCCGTGCTTGTCGATGGTTGATGATAAGACGTGGAAAGAACCGTCTTCTTATGCGTTGACAATCATGGGGCAAAAGACAAGCGCGAGTAAAGCGCCGACGTCAATGAAGGCAGGAGCACTACCTTATTTGTCAAATCTGTTCTGATCTGGCAACTACTTCCAAGACGATAATGAAATTCCACTGAGCTAGGGGGAATTCGTCCAAGTCAACTTGAACAACGTGTTAGTCCTTAGATACGTCTAACGTATTACCACATCCGATAAGGAGAACGTCGGACTGCTTTGAGAAGGTGCAGACACTGAATGTGAGATCTTGTTTGTACGGGCCGCGGCTGGGGCTGCTCAGTGGCAAGGCGTTGAACCCATGTATTTTAATCCAGAATCCTAGCGTCGAAGCTTTCCGTAGAAACATACACAGTCACAGTCAACCTTCAAGTTATGATACGTGAGATGGGTGGCTTCTCCTCGTTGGGTAAGAAATTTCTTCGTGGCTTAATGATAGCCTGGTGCTATATTCTATTATACCGTAACAGTAGGGCTTCCGATACCCACGACACCATTAACGGTGGCCAGAGCGAGTCATTTAATGTTATTGCATAGCAGAAGATGAAGTGTCATGCATGTTGCCCGTAGGCGAAACCCTGAACTACATATGTACTCTGTTTCTTTGACGCAGTGATGTTAGGACGACTGACGAAACACTTACTAATGGAAGAACTGTAGCGATTTTACGGCATTTATATTCTAGAGGGGGTGTCTACATTTCCCATGGCTCATATATATCGCCGTAGGGTAAGTTCATGAGGAGTCTAGAGAGCAGGCAACGATGATAACCATACCAAAGCGCAGGCCCCCTGTTACTTTTGTACGAATTGTCAAAGTCGACTAAACGATAGTTGTAGACACGCTGGCTTAGCGGGGATGGCAGGAACGGCAACTCAGGAAGGGGTGGTGGCGCATAGAGAATGTTGAAGTAGCGAATGTCAACGTGGTCGACGCCGAGCTTTGACAGATCCAAGTACATTGAGTCAAGTTCCTCACTACGGCACATATGAGCATAAAGATACAACAAAAGACATGGCAGGTACTTACCGTAGACCATCGGGCAGCATCTCACCCAGAGGCAATCGGCCTCCCACACGCTCCATAATAAGTATACTCACTTTAGTAGGAGTCACGACCATGGGAGGCGTATCGTCGTCGCTGTCCGAGTATCTTTCGCCATTTTCATCTACTTCTTCAAGGTCCGAACCGTCTTCCTCGAAATTCGAGTCTGTATCATATTCAGATTCAGAAAGGTCGCTCGAAGCATCGTATCGGTGAGAGGATCGGGTCAGCTTGTCGTGAGCCCAAGGTGTGAATTCGATATTAGGTGGAATGGTAGCCTCAAAGAAGCCATAATACCTCGGGATCACGGATCCCTGCAAACACTCCATTTCATCGTAATAGAACGCCTCGCGAGCAATCTTGTTGGCGTCCTGGCGGCGGGACACTTTTACCACAAGAGGAGGCATAAGCATATCAGCGAGCTCTGGGCTGGACCGGTGAAGATCAATAGTAGCTTCGAAGACTCTCCCGACCCGACCACGGCCAATCTTCTTCCCAAGTGTCAAATGCAGGTTCATGTTGCCCGGTGAGGGAAGTTTGGAAGGTAGCCGTTTGGGAGGACGAGGCCCGGTGATGACACCAGGAGTATCAACGATCAAGGGCCTGTTCTCTCGAGGTTTACCCCGAGTCAGAACGACATCGAGGGGAGCGGAAGATTGCAAATCTTGGGTGACCCCAGAAAGGGTGACGCTGGAGAAGGCGTTGGCGAACTAGATGATATGGTGAGTGAACAAGTTGATTAAGAGACAAACAGTACGTACGACGGTTTTAGGTTCTCTGTTCGAGATGGACATGTTAGGGAAGATGCTGGGAATGATTTTAAGTAGCCATCAACCCTTCTTATACCTCGATCCCGGGTCGATCTCCGATGATGCTCCGATCGGGTATGGTCAGTCCAACCACATTGCGTGCGGCGTCCTCCACCCATTCTATTGTGTGCATTAATACTCATTATGGTCATCGAGTGTGATGCATTAGGCTGGGCATTCTAAATATTGAACAATTGGGGTGCTTTGTAGTAAGATGTTGTCGGAGTTCATAAAGAAAGACACTTTGGCCATTCCTCGTGGGCCACGCTGAACAAAGATTTGCCAAAACCCCATGATCTCTTTACTGCCTTGTACGCACTATTACTCACGTCCTTGTATGCCATAATCATATCCCAGGGTCACCTGTGTGATACTGTTGTCTACTGGTGCATCTTTGCCGTGTTCCCCTCGAAAGGAGGGTGTGTCACTTGTGGCGGCCGCACGTTTGACAGATGTTGGTCAAACCTAAACGCGTCTGGATTCCGTGGACAATCAGGCGTATTTTCCTAAACTCAGAACGAAAAAAAATCGCGATCATTCTGTACTGGTGCAGTCAATGCTTAGTTCTCTCTCGCATACATCAACTCACCAACAGCGAGAACAGATCGGGTACAAAAGCGACATTCTCCGGGCGTCCAATCAATCAAATGAAGGAGCGACACAGGGTTCAATAGCAGGGTACTGGTAAAGCGCTTTTGAACGTTAGAAGGTGCTGATGGTATGAACGAGCCAGAGGATAGATCGCGCGCGTCGCTTGATAGGATCCCTAGCCTCAACATTCTCCTTGATTCTCGTTCAAAGTTTCCACCAAGACAATGACCTGATGAGTTTCTTATACTCGGTCGCTACTTCGTCCATCGTTGGCGTTTTTTCGGATCGGTCTGCACCATGTTGTCAACAAGCGGTTTAGGAAACTCAAGTCCAGAGCATCTCTGGTGCAAGAATCAGTTAGAGATGTCCTGACAGCGCAGAGGGGATGATATGCATACCGCCAGAAAATCATGCTTGGTAACATTTCCAAGGTAGTAAATGTCGATTGGGAATGGGTCCTGAGGATTGAGAGTATTCTGAAATTGTAGGACAGTCTTATCGCCGCCCGTGATAATATCCTCCAGCAGATACTCTTCCTCACGCGAGTACTGTCAGACCGAAGTCAATCAGGTCATACTTCGAGGGACGTGCTGTGTGTGTAAGGTTACTTAGCTGGACTCGTAAAATCGCGGTTCCACGTCGTGGCCATCGGATGGCAGGACTGCGGAAACATAGGGTGGGGATCCATCATGATATTGAGCGTCATGCAATCCCTGTAATACTTAGTTCACGAGAGTAAAAGTATGATGAGAGTAAAGACGTACCTGTGCGCCACACGGCACTGAAGCATGAACTGAAGGCCCTATATTGGATGGACGAATTGAATCGTATTCTATACAAGCATCATACATACGGCAAGGGAACTCACCTCGATAACTTGTCTGAAGCATTCGAAAACCTCGCCAACTGTTTGGGAACAGGGATCATTGTAGGAGCGAAGCAAAGTCAACGGGAGAATGGGAATACTCTGGTCCTCTGATAGATCAAGTACCTCGTACAGCGGGACACAATGATTCCGAGGATGAAATCGTAGAGGCTCAGAGGAGAATAGCACGCTGAGTTCTTTCTCGTGGGGATGAACAAGATGTGAGATTCGTTTCAACATCACTATCTCTCCGTCCGATATTCGAGTGGCATCGAGAATATGTCCATGCAATGTCCTCCACAGTAAGTTCTGAGTTCATACCTACGCACTAGAAGCGAAGAGGGCACGTACTTCAATATACACAGCGTCCTCACAGTCCATGAAGCTCTTGTTGGTACCCTTCCAGGAAGCAACCCAGTCCGGCTTATAACGTGGTCATAGCATATACCCTTTCTACGCAAGCCATTTCTGATGGTCCCGCCAAAACAGCTCATCAGGCTGGAGGATAACCCATTGGTCTTGCTCTTCAGTGTGTTCAACCCCCCGCCGCGTGATCGATGTAGACACGACGTTCGCCAACATTCTTTGAGGAAGAAAAGGACAGTTGAAGGAGAAGCTCCGGGGAAACCAGCTGACCCACACTTCTGATCACTTGCAACTTTCAGCCAACGTGAATGAATAAGTACGTGTCGAAATCTGCAGCCATCGTAGAACAAAGATAACGGAAGCAACTAAGATGTATTTCGCACGAGTGTAAGTCACATCACATATTCTTTTTGTTTTCCCAAAGCGTCTCACGGCGCTTCCGGTGGGTGATTCAGTTTCTTTGCTACTCTTAGGCAAAAAAATATCGTGCACAACTTGAGGTTAGACAAAGCAGCACCACAGTCTACGTAACCCGTAGCAACCGTATGTTTTCAGGACACATGCAAGGATTTATTCCGATTAGTAGCAGCGCCCTATCTAGACCCTCCGGGCATCCAACGACGGAGACAAACAACGAAAGCGTATGTAGATTCAGTGATGATCCGGGTATATATGACTGCAATATATGATCAGTAGTGTGGTACCGGTAAAGGACTTTTGAACGTTAGAGTATATCCCACTGTGCGGAAAAAGTGTCGCCATCTGCGTCTAAACCGCTTCATCGCGTCTTCTGCCTCAATATTCTCAACCAATCGTTTACGAAGATTCCACCAGTGTAGTGATCGGAGAACTTTACTCAAACGTTCTACAACTTCATCGATTGTGGGCCGTTTTGTCATATCATCTTGCACCATGTCGTCAACGAGCGGCTTCAAGAACTCAAGGCCCGTGGTTTTCTGCAAACAGACGTCAGAATAGATCCAGTCTGCATGAAGTAAAGGAAGTCACCTCTAAGAAGGTCTCCCGAATCAGATTACCCAGGTAGTAGATATCAGTGGGGAACGGATTCCGAGGCTCATCAGAGTTCTGGAACTCGGGTACAGTCCTGTCGCCACCCTCCACTGGATCAGCGAGAGGATTGGTATCATCTGGGGAGAACCGAAGAGACAAGCCGAAGTCGATTATGTAGTACTTCGGTGGTCGCGCAGTGCGAGTGTAAGGCTTCTTGGCCTCGTCGGTGAATTCGCGACTCATAGTGTCCGACATAGGGTGATACAAGTCAGGAAACATAGGCTTGGGGTCCATCATGATGTTGAGGTCCATACAGTCACTAGAATAAGGTCAGCACGTGCGTACAATAGAATGCAATAGCTTACCGATGCGCAACACGACACTGATGCAGGAATTGCATACCCTGAGCACATGTTAGAATATATCGTCCATGAGAGAGATTTACCAACCTCAAACACTTGTCTGAGAAACTCCATGACCTCCCCTATGGTTTCGAATCGGGGATCGTCGCAAGGACGCAAGAGAGGCATGACCATGATGAATATGTCTTCATCATCGGGCACAGCCAAGACATCGTAAATTTGAATGCAATGATTGCGAGGATGAGATTTGAGTGGTTCACTCGAGAAGTACCTGTTCATATCAATCTCGTATGGATTACGCTGACGGAATACTTTCTTCAGAATGACAACCTCTCCATCGGAGATGCGCGTAGCATCAAGGAGGAAGCTATGCTAGCACGACACCTTCACATCAGTTGTCGATAAGGAAAAGCGACCTATCATACTCACTAACGGAACTACACCATCTTCGCTGTCCCATGGGTAGTCTGGCGTGTCCTTGTAAGATGCAACCCAGTCGGGATGGTAACGAGGCCTGAGCATGTATCCCCTCTCTGCAAGCCATGGCTGATGGTCTCTCCAGAATAATTCAGAAGGCCAGAGTACGGTATAGTCTTGACGAAACTTTCCATCTGTTGTTGGTTCCGTAGGCCTTGCTACGGAGGGTTCAACAACTGCCTGCAACTCGAGAGATGCACGGTCGCGACATCCGGTGTGGTCGATTGACGAAGACATGGGGTAGTAGGAGCTGGCGAATGGACACAAGGGATAGATTTGTTAAATATCTCTCGGAGACTTCACAATCCAGGCTGGAGGAAGTTTTCCAAACAATTAATGGGTCGAACAATAGTGGCTGTGCTCACAAGGTCGCCCTTGTATTATTTGACTGTCACCATCAAGCAGGCATTCCGATGCAAGATCATGGGTGTTTTTGCATGAACGAACATCTGAATATTTGATAGCTAATCAGCAACAGCGATCCAAGAAACTTTACATCTGAAAGAGAAAGACGTCAATGGATGAGGCCCGAGAGATCTTCGGCGTGTCTTGAAATGCTGATACCTCAAGGCAAGGATAGCCCAACAAAGCTAAAGAGATGAGAACATGTCGATCTGAGTTCCTTCAAGACTTGTACAATAATACTTGCCCACAACGGCCCTAGGCTAAGTACAAGCAATCCGGCGCTACGGCAACATTTATCTTTACTCTGTTGGCGTTTGTTTGGCAACGGTATCTTCCTAAGTACCCGTATCAGTCGAACCTGCTTCAATCCTGAATGTTGAGCATTGTACGTCCATAGTCACAGTGCTCTGAACTATTCACTCCATGAGGCATTCTATACTCCTAGTTTCCTCGTCCCTCTCGCCCTCAGCAGACCTGTCGCGTATCGGAGACTAGGTTTCTTCATACATATTGTATGTAGACCTCCGAGAACAATAATTACCAAGTTCATCAGGGTTCAGAGCAACCAGCTGGTTATTGTTCTTCGGGCGTTCCCACTGGTTGTATCACGCCTGTTCGTAGATGACCCTTCTCTCCAGCGAGACACTGCACTTACAGTTCGATACCAATGAGGTCTGCCAGTCTTCCTAAAGAAAGACCTGCGGCGCGGCTGGCTGTGCCAGAAATCTGGTGGCGAGACCTGTCTGTATGGCTCGGGAAACAGGGATATTTACTCCGGCCTCGATATCGTCCAGGTTGGAAACCCTCTTGGACTGGGATGGGAAATTTTGGAGTTGATTACGAGGATGCGAGAATACTTGGGGTACGTATCTCTTCATCTCGCAGGGCATCAACCGACGCCTATGTCTAATAGCGTGCCCCAATAATGGATGCTACGAGGATATCTGACGGAGAACTTGTTGTCCTCAAAAAGATCGACAAGTCTGTACACCCATACGAGGAAGAACTAACGCGATATCTTGGTTCTGTACCTCTAGCTTTAGAACCTCAGAATCATTGCATCCCTTTGCTCGAGGTATTGCATCCACCAAATGAACCTGATGTCATTATCCTTGTACTACCATTGTTGCTGCCGTTCTACGAGCCTCGTTTCCGGACATTTGGCGAGGCTATCGATTTCATGCAACAAGCTTTCGAGGTTCGTTCACTTTGTGCTCTAGATAAATCCATCCATTAATGTCTCGTGCAGGGCATCAAGTTTCTGCACGATCACCTCATAGCCCACAGGTATGGCTTTATCTCTCTGATATTAAGCAACCTGTTCACGGCGAGAAAGGGACTGCATGTTTATGAACATTATGATGGATCCAAAGCCTCTTTATCCCAATATGTTTCATCCTGTTGATCCACACAAGTCACGAGATTGGAAAGGCGGGGCAAAACACTATTCAAGAATGACACACCCCACCAAATACATCTTAATCGACTTTGGTATCTCACGTCGCTACAGGCCGGAGGATATGCCACCTCTGGAGGCTCCGATTTGGTCAGCAGACCGCACGGTTCCAGAGAACATAAAGGAAGAGCGGTGCAACCCCTTCCCCACCGATATCTACCTCATAGCGAATGTCATTCGCCTGTATTTTCTCAATGTATGTCTTACGTTCTCTTGTTTTAGCGCTTTCTAAGTATTCGGAACGGACAGCTGTATGACGGCTTTGACTTCATATCTCCGCTCATTACCGATATGATGCAAGACGACGCAGAGAAGCGACCCACGATAGATGTAGTTACAGCTCGCTTCGACCAGATCGTAGGCAACCTCTCGAAGTGGAAATTGCGCGCAAGGCTCAAGAAGCGCATCGAGTGGAGTGTTGCAGGGCTTTTCAGATCCGGGGCACATATAATCAGAACTACTAGCTACATGCTCAGGGGGTTGGATCCTATTCCAACCCGGAGGACATAGAATCGCAAGACTCCCTTCCTTCTCGTGTTTTCTCGTAGGATACCATACGGCCTGGCGTCGCACATACTTACGGCTGCTCATGTTTCTCCTTGGATTGTACTATTCGTGCGCTTTCACTTTCACTGATGGCGTATGATGCATGAAACGACGTCGACCAACTCCGCATGCACCAGAAGGTACGGACAATGCGAATGTGGGGATATCATCGACGCCTAGTAAGTGCATCAGGGCTTCCGAGTCCCGAATCGTCCAAGTATCATAATTGTTTCGGTCTGCAGCTGGGATCATGGTCGCTACTGACTGTACAACAAGATGGTCTATCATGGAAGCCTGATGAAATGTTGCCACAAGGGAGAACAAAAGTCTTCGGACACGTATCGAGGGGCCATTTGACGGTGCACGGAACGAAAATCGAAATCCACGAGGCAAACTGAACCTCGAAGCATGAAATGGACGCCACAAATCAGAGACAAGGGACAGTTTCCACCGCCCCGGACCACCACAGAAGTACTAAATGAGAAGCTAAGGATACCGAGACAAAAGGCTCCTTTCTGAGAAAAGGGTCCAGACGCTTCGCCATCAATTCTTTCAATCTAAAGCACAATGATAAGTACACATGTCCCTGCTACTAAGACGTAAGCATGCAGAGAAATGATTATCAGGTCGACGTTTACGGAATTGAAAGTTCCAAGCATCAGAGAATAGCAGGTCGACCCTGGTGAGTACTTGCAGGGTCCAATGATGGTGAGAGATTTGATGCATTGATGTTGGAAGACAAAAGCACGGCTTGAACAAAGGTTGCCGTAGAGCAACGGAAAGCATCTTCTGATGTCGCAGGCTGTAATAGCACTGTATTGAGATATGAAGTCCTTGAGCCACGAATGTCGCTCGCCGTGTACCCCAACTCGATAGTATTGGATGGACAAAATACTTCCACAGTTGTTTTCATAAGCGACGGAGGATGTATCTCCATAATATCAACATAACCAGAATATTCTCTGCCAGAGAAACGAAGTAACGGAAAAAATCGGGCTTTGCTTATTATGTGTAGACGCGGCCAGCAGCAATGTTCCAGAAAGCGTTAACGAATGCGCTTGGATTCTCGTCCACGAAGGCTGAAATGAATACACATGAGCAAAGGATAGGTGAAACGAAGTCGGGACTACTGACTGATGCAGTCACCAGGGCATCCGGCACCGTTGAATACGCTCGAATGACCAGCCCAATCTTCACCTGAAAAGGTGTATCTCGTGAGTCCTATCGTTTCGAGAAAAAGAAGCTAACTCAAAGAATGTCAGGTTAATAACGATCTCGTTGGGCCCGAAATGTGAGTTGATGTCACATTGGGAGTTAGGGAAGAAAGTGGTGGGTGTGCCCAACGTCGTGACTTTAGAGAGCGACTAAGGCGCAAAACAGATGATGCTACCTATTTATGCATCAGTGTTGACTGAACCACCTCCGTTTCTGACGTCCGAAGGCACATTTCTAGAGTTATGACCCCAGAACCAAACCTTGATGAACGTTGTTGTTCTCTCCATAGCGTACCAACCCCCGCCAATTGCATTGAACGCCGGGCCGTAACTGTCAGCAGTCGGTGCTTGTACGCCACACCCTGTGTTGCCGCTTGTGTTAACATTACAGTTGTTTCCTGTAGGCGTGACGGTTTCGTCATCGGGGGCAGGCATATTGCTGTTCGCACTGGTGTGCAGGATCATTGTATTTGGAAACTGATCGTTGACGCCTTCGAGCCTATCGGTTGAATCTTCGAGTAAGTCATGGCACTGGTACAGAGCATAGATGATGTACTCGCTCTGGATGAACAATGAGCCCGAAACGTGCTGGCTAAGAGTCCCATTCTACTACAAAATCTTGATTCGAGACTCACAATATCAGCCTCACCCAAATTAGGCCAATCGTCCCCGACTTCCCATGCGGCTGACCAGGTACCGCAACCCTGAGGCATATGACGAATATCAGACCTATGTATTTGTAAGTCGCCGAGGAGTTCTAGCAGCAGGAAAAGCGAAGCTTATACCGTATAGTATGCCTTGACACTGCGGATTCGGACGCTCTTTCTTCCAGGGTCAGATGGGGCAAGTCTGGTAGTAGAATCTGCTCGCATGATCAGTGTGTCGCCTGAAGCGAAGGTGAGGTTCTGAGCAACGGCAGTTGCTTGATCGACATATGTACTAGACACACTGTCAGCAACTTGTAGTTCCAGATTGTCACAAAATACGCTGACACTCGGCCATGTGTAGGGTCGGCTATAGCTTCATGGACGAAAGAGGATAGAAAATCCGACCCCACGTGGTTATCTGAAAGCTGATAGTTCACTGCAAATACACTGCAGATGAACGACGTGAATAGTAATGCACAGATATGTACAGAATACATAGCTGAAGAGTAGGTGGATGAGGCCATAGCTAATCACCACGTAAACGTCGATATCGCCCTGTTTTATGCTCTCCGGAGCTGAGCCTATATGGCGTACTTTCATTTCCTTAGCTCCCGTCTCGGGCAAACCGGGATCTGCTGTTCAGCCACATCGCAATGTCTGTCTCGCTTCAAAGGAAAACGAGGGATGAGGCACTTGGCATAATGCTTTTCAAAAAATGGAGTCTGAGCTGCTGAACTGGACTTTGCAGAGCAACATTGACGAACAATGAATCTCCGCATTAGAGATTGTGAAGGGAAAGATAGGCAGTTGCATCATACGCATATGCGTGGTCTAGAAAAACCGTTCTCGAAAGATAGTCTCATGACCTAAGCGTTTGGATTAGCCATCTTTCTAGTAGACCTTGAGAGAAAGAAGTTAAATGGATGGGTGCAACCATGACAACACACCGATTTGAGGGAAGCATCCTAGTGTTCCTTCTGTGTCATCCAAGGAAAGACGATATTTGAGATCATGGCAGGCAGGGACGTAAGTAATGCGAGGATCCACATGCCATCCGACCACTCATTGCTAAGGTGAGAGGATGTAAGAGGTCGCGAAGAAGGTTCCGCCACACAGTAGTCGATCTAGCACACAAAGGGAATTACTACAATTCTCGGGCGTCGAGACTCTTCAGCAAGCTGTAGAATCGATTACAAGCAAGCCTGCCAACCCGGCGCTAACGTTTAAATTCATGCTGTTGGTGTCTGTTTGGCAATAGACTCTCAGACAAATGTACCCATATCGGTCAAAAGCAGCTGGAGCTCTTGGCAAGTTATTGTTTTTTGTTTTATTGTATCATACATGGGCTCGTCACTGGGCCATTTAAGTCCCGGTACTCTTTATTTTTTGATGAGCCTATTCATAGGAAGATCTGCACCATACCTTACTCTTACGCCGCAGGCCTGAATGTCCTCTTCGTCACTTCCGCCGCTTCCAGCTGAAAGACCCGCAGCCCACCTCGTAGATGCAGAAATATGGTGGCGAGACCAGTGTGAATGGCTCAAAGCCCAGGGCTATTTGCTACGTCCTAGATTTCGCCCCGGTTGGAAACCCTCGTGGACTGGATTGGGGGAGTTCGGTGTGAGCTACGAAGATGCAAAGATTCTCCTGGTATGTGCCTTTGACTCTCTTCTATGTTGCTTGGTACCACGCGAAACGTTTACTGCAACTTAGCGTCCCGCAGTCATTGATGCAGTCAGAGTGTCGGACGGGGAGCAGGTTATTCTCAAGAAAATCAAGATATCAGAACACCCGTTCGAAGAGGACCTTACACGATACCTTGGCTCTGGACCATTGGCTTCAGAACCTCATAACCACTGCATTACGTTGTTAGATGTATTACATCCACCAGACGATCCGGACCTTGTAATTCTCGTCCTCCCGTTATTGTTACCGTTTTACAAGCTGGCGTTCATGACCATTGGCGAGGCGGTCGATTTCATGCAACAAATGTTCGAGGTTCGTCGATATTACTCAACTGTTTTTTCTGTCTCATAGACTCAACCCATGTATAGGGTATAAAGTTTTTACATGACCATCTCATCGCACATCGGTATGTAGTATGCGATCGGGTCGAGTGCGATGAACTGATAACGTAGTAGGGATTGCATGTCCCTGAACATCATGGTGGACCCAAAGCCGCTTTACCCCAACATGTTTCATCCTGCAGACCCAGAACGATCTCGTGACTGGAAGGGCAAAGCGAGACACCATTCGCGAACCACGCATCCCACCAAATATATTATCATCGACTTCGGTATTTCGCGTCGATACAGACCCGAAGATATGCCAGCTCTAGAGCCGCCTATCATGTCGGCAGACAGAACAGTCCCAGAGAATCTCAAGGATGAGCTGTGCAACCCCTTTCCAACAGACATATACCTCATAGCGAACGTTATTCGCGAGCATTTCCTCGATGTATGCTTTCAATTGTGTCTGCTCGGAACCTTCTGACTAAGTGAGCTGAGTAGGTATACCAAGGGTTTGACTTCATTTCTCCACTTGTTGCCGATATGATGCAGGACGATGCAGAGAAACGACCGACGATAGATGTAGTTGTGGCTCGCTTCGACAAAACTGTAGGCAACCTCTCGAAGTGGAAATTGCGCTCGAGACTCAAGAAGCACATTGAGTGGAGTGTTGCAGGCCTTTTCAGATCCGGGGCACATTTAATCCGAACCGCTAGCTACATGCTTAAGGGGTTGGATCCTATTCCAACCCTAAAGTTGAAGGCGTAGGATCACAGACCTCCTTTTCTTCCCTCAACTTGTCGCAGGATATGACGCGACTCAGTGCCGCACATCCGAAATACTCACAACTGCTTCTGCTGCTCCTTGGATTCTCTTATTTATGCTTTTTAGGCTATATATACGTGTGGTGTATGACGCGTGAAGCAATGTCGACCCCCTCCGCGTGCATCACTCGAAGGCGGACAATGTCAGTACGAGGATGTGATGTTCGACGCCACTAATATGTGCATTAGATCTGAATCTTATACTCATCGGGTTTGTAGCCAGTGCCTTGACGCTAAAGAAGAATTCCGATTGTTGACATCGCAGAGCAATGGACAATAGACACTCGGCCGTTTTACCGTGATTGAATGTAAGCAGACCCGACCATCCCAACAAAGCGTTGATCAACCAACTCACTGTACTGATCTTCGTATCATTGCACAACAAGGTCATCTGATCATGAAAGCCTGAGGGAACATCGCAGAAAAGGATGACAAAAATGTTTCAGGCATACGAGCGTCGATAGCCTAAAATCGAAATCTGCGGGGCAAATTGAAGCGCGAAGCATGAAATGAATTTCACGAATCAAAGCCTGTGTGACCACCAACTCAGATCGAGAAACAAAAAGCCTGTTTCCGTAGTCACTGCACTCTGAACGATAAGGCGTTCTATGCCTCTGAGATCTTCTGTAGATCTGAAGACAATAGTTACCAAGTTCATTAAGGTTCAAAATAACCAGCTGGCTATTGTTCTTCTGGTTGTTCCCACCGGTTAATTGCATCGTTCCCGTTCGTATAGAACCCATATCGCCGGTGAGCCACTGCACAGGCCCACAACTCGATCCCAATGAGCTCTGCCACTCCTCCTAAAGAAGACCCCGCAGTGCGACTGGCTCCGCCAGAAATATGGTGGCGGGACCAGTCTGTATGGCTCGGGAAACAGGGATACGTTCTCCGGCCTCGATATCGTCCGGGTTGGAAACCCTCTTGGACTGGGATAGAGCTTGGGGTTGATCATGAGGATGCGAGAATACTTGGGGTATGTACAGTATCTTTCTTCGTGTCGCAGGCCATCAACCGATGCTCATTTTCCAACAGTTTTCTGCAATACTTGATGCTACGAGGATAGCTGACGGCGAACTTGTTGTCCTCAAAAGGATTGACAACTCAGATGATCCGTATGAGGAAGAGCTAACACGATATCTTGGTTCTGGCCCTCTAGCCTTAGAACCTCAGAATCATTGCATCCCTCTGCTCGATGTATTGCATCCACCAGATGAACCTAACATCATCATCCTTGTACTGCCACTGTTGCTGCCATTTAACAAGCCTCGTTTCCGGACATTTGGCGAAGCTATCGATTTCATGCGACAAGCTTTCGAGGTTCGTTCACTTTGCACTTTGCGCGTTCGATAAATCCGTTTATCAATCCTTGATGCAGGGCATCAAATTCCTGCATGATCACCTCATCGCCCACAGGTATGGCTTTATTTGTCCGATGTTAAGCAACAAATTCACAGAGTGAAAGGGACTGTGCGCATTTGAACATTATGAAGGAGCCAAAGCCTCTTTTTCCCGACATGTTTCATCCTCTTGATCCAGAGAAGTCACGAGATTGGAAAGGCCGGGCAAAACACTATTCACGAACAACACACCCCACCAAATACATCTTGATCGACTTCGGTATCTCATGTCGATACAGACCAGAGGATATGCCACCCCTAGAGCCTCCCGTTTACTCAGCAGACAGTACGGTTCCAGAGAACATAAGGCACGAGCCTTGCAACCCTTTCCCTACCGACATCTACCTCATAGCGAATGTCATTCGCTTGTATTTTCTCAATGTATGTCTCACGTTCTCTTGTTTTAGCCTTTCTAACTATTCGGAACGGACAGCTATATGACGGCTTTGACTTCATTTCTCCACTCATTACCGATATGATGCAAGACGATGCAGAGAAGCGACCCACGGTAGATGTAGTCATAGCCCGCTTCGACAAGATCGTAGGTGACCTCTCCAAGTGGAAATTGCGCTCACGACTCAAGAAGCACATCGAGTGGAATGTTGCAGGCCTTTTCAGATCCGGGGCACATTTAATCCGGACTGCTAGCTACATGCTCAAGGGGTTGGATCCTATTCCAACCTTAAAAGCGTAGGATTGCACAACTCCTTCCCCCCCTCGGTTTGTCGCAAGATACCACCCCGGCAAAGCGTTCATTAATCAACCTATACTTGTTTTCATTCCGCTGTACAATAAAATTGTCTAATAATCACGAAAGCCTTGGGGGGGACCATTGCGGAGAACAAGGACAAAGGCCTTCGGACGTACGAACGTCGAAAGGAGAAAATCAAAAACCACGGGCAAATTGAAGAGCGAAGCATGTCAAAATGAACCCCACGCATCAAAGTCTGTGCGACAGTAATTCATATTGAGAAACAAAGCCTGTTTATGTCCGTACTCACCGTTTTCTGAACTATTCATGTGAGGCATCCTGTTCCCTTGGTTTCTTCGTACGTGTTGTATATAGAACAACAATAGTTACCTAGTTCGTCAGGGTTTATTGTCAGATGTGGCGCTGCACTGTGGGTGCCAGCTTTACAGCAGACATGATCCTTGTACTTACCGGAGTCCCTCCTAGGCCCAACATCTCTCTTTCACTCTCCTGTGCATCAGCAATCAGTTTGCAGTTCCTTATCCCCCATGTTAGAACTGCCCGAGTCACTGGCAGCTATACTAGACGGTGAGGAAGACGATGGTGAAGGCCTACTCCCAGGGGAGGTTTTCTGGCGCGACCACTACATGTGGTTAAACGAATGCGGGTACTTGCTCCGACCTCGCTATCGACCTGATTGGGTTCCTTCATGGACTAAGACCAAGAAATGGCCCGAATCTTGCGAAGACGGACTACTACAACTTGTATGCACATTTCTGTCTGGTGTCTGCGGTCTTAATATTTTCAGCATGTAATAGGACAGTGACCTTATGGATGGCGAAAGGAAATCTGACGGGAAGGTAGTAGTCTTCAAGAAAATATCGAAATCCAGGCATCCGTACGAGGAGGAAATAGGCCGGTTCCTATCTTCCGGGCCTCTTGCATCGGACCCTCATAATCACTGCGTACCTATTATCGACGTCTTGCAAGTACCAGATGATGATGACCTCACCATCTTGGTGATGCCGTTACTGCGTAAATTTAAGGACCCTCCATTTGACACTATTGGCGAGGTGCTCGAATTTTTCCGACAAATCTTTGAGGTATGGCCGTCTCACTGTGTACCGCAGAGCCCTGTCACCTCTTCCCTCGTAGGGTTTACAATTCATGCATCATCACCTCGTAGCTCACCGGTATGTTGTCGTTCTCTCTGGTTTATCAACAACCCATTCACGAAATCGATAGTGATTGCATGGTGTTGAACTACATGATGGACCCGACGGCGTTGTATCCAAGACATTTTCATCCCGTCGAAACTGACCGAAGCAGGGATTTTAAGTCCAAGGCCAAACACTACAGACGCACTAGCCATCCAGTGTCGTACGTGATAATTGATTTCGGTATTTCTCGTCGTTACCAGTCGTCGGAGATGCCGCCGCTGGAGCCGCCGATCCTAGGCGGAGACAAGTCAGCCCCAGAATTTAAGAAATCCGCCGAACCTTGCAATCCGTTCCCGACAGATGTTTACTATGTAGGCAATTTTATTCGAACATGTTTCTTGGAGGTAATCTTCCTTTGCGCATCTTTCGCGGTGAGTCGTGTTGACAAACGGCGATAGGTATACCATGGACTAGAATTCATGCGTCCTTTTGTTATGGACATGGTCCAGGATGATCCTGAGAAGAGGCCTGATATGGATGCAGTTGTCGACCGTTATGCAGAACTTCTCACTTCGAGACGCACACGAAGTTTGCGAGGTCGTCTGGCGAAGAAGAGAGAAAATCCTGTTGCCGGTATTTTCAGAAGGGTCAGCCATTCTATTCGAACCTGCATTTATATTGCTCGCGGTTATAATCCTTTGCCTACCCCAAGAGCATTATAATCTTCGACACTTCCTAAAGTCGCCCTACTTTGCGCAGTACTTGATACCCCGGTTTCATATGGCTTTTGTCATTGTCATATAGTTTTGTTCCTATCTCTCCGCCAATGTGCAAGTGTTGGGGGTATCTTTGGCCTTCTTCCATCACCCGATATAACATTCAGCTTGAAGTCAGGGCTTGCAGCGCAACTGGCTTAGGAAGATATCAGTATGAATGGAACTCCAGGATTGTCTATCACTGGACAGACTGCACCCTGAGTGGTGGCACTGTCATTGAATGGAATCCTCGTTTGCTATTAGACGGCTGTCACCCTCAGGCTCACTAACCGTAGGACGCCTCTGAACCCCTCCCTCCCCATCGAAGCACGAATAGCCCGCATTGATTACGAAGACGTAAACATAGTGGTTCTTCTATTCGAAAGACAACAAGGTTAATAAGTATCGCAATGGTAACACGAGAACCACGAGCACGACACCTTATTCATTCAGAGCTGACTGATCGAAAAGCTGCCGTACGTCAAGCAACGGGACATAAAAATACCTTCTGAAATTGCACGAAAAGGGACTGGGTGCTTTCCTCTCTCGGCTCAAAGCCATATCAACCGATAGATCCCCACCAACAAGACGTAAGCATGCAGGGAAATGGTCATTGAGTCGGAAGTGAAGTTCCCAAGTGTGCAGGGTCCAATGATGGTGAGAGGCTCAATCGGAGAAAACAACAGACTTCATTGAGTGAGAGGTAGTATCCTAAAGACAAAGGCGTATCCCAAGGCCTGCCGAGCTGAGACTCTCTGGCCATGGGCGAAGCATTGAATGTCGACCACGAGGAGACAATCAGAAACATTTCGGCCACTTAGAAGCTAACCACCTTCTTAGGTTTTACTACAGTTGGACCAAACGACTTCACGACGCCTGAATGTGCTCCAACCTTGACATTGCGCATCTTCTTCAGCTTTTCCTCGACTTTCTCTTCATGGCTTACTTCGGCTGTCCGCCGCTTAAACGTGTGGAAATCGTCCTCGTCTGCACCGGCTTCCCTACCAGTACCAAAGAATGCAGTCGATGGGGTGATGTCTGAAGAATAATACGATTCGTGAACATAGCTTTAAGCATCGAGGATTCAGCACTCACCCTTTTCCCTCATCTCACAGTTCTTCGCAAGATGTGTTGTTTCACCGCAGAGCTTACAGCACCCTCCATTGGGGTATACACCCTTGGCTTGATTTTGTGGACACGACGATGCGAGATGACCTTTTCCGGAGCATACGAAACAGGAAGCAAAGCGTAACGGATTTGTAGGGTCAACGGAGGAGTTGCATCTCGCGAGGGTGTGTCTCTTGGAACCACAACTAGTGATAATGACAGCTTAGTATCGAGGTATGCTTCTAAGAAGAGTGGTAAACTCACCGATAGCAGATACCCACAGCTCTCGCAGCGGGCTTCCCTGATTTACCCTCCTTCACAGGATCCGATGGGTCGTTGCCAAGCGTAGCAGGACAGTCTCGTGCAGCGTGACCAGTTTCCCGGCATGCATAACACGTAGTATTTACGTGACGATCGTCTTGTCGTTTCAGTCGTCTTCGCTCCGACGCGAGCTTTCTAGTCGCTGCATCTGTATATATCTAGTATGAATGATAGAACAGATGGCGCATCCATTGCTGTAGACAAACCTTTTGCTCGTCTCTCCCTTAATTTCTTCTTTCCGGACTTCGACATAGGTCCCTTCGATCCGGCTGACTGACCATCTAAAGTCTGCGCTGAAGCGACTTCTGAAGCTCGCGAACCATCTTCTTCCGTCTCCCCAGGAATTTCGCCGGTATCACGTTGTTTCTTGTTTCTGCTGCGTTTGCGCTTTTTCTTCACTACTTCCGAAGTCAGTTCGTTTGACGAGCTTGCTATCGCTTCTGATGCGTCTTCATGAACCACAGGGCAGGCAACAGCAGAAACCTGAGCAGGGATTTCCGCCGTCAGATTATCTTCGTTACTGAAGCCTGCTTCAACGTATGTACGTTTGCGTGCTATATTCGTATATCGGGTCATCGTAAGTAGCCAGCAGAGTCTGATAAGACGAGACCAGAGGGTTCAGATGGTAGGTAAAATCTGTATGCTCAGTGTGGAGCTGTACGGAATCGTGTGGTCCGAGTCGTAATAGAAATGGTAAAAACTAAATGGCGCCGATTCAGCAATACAAAGGAAACAGAAACAGCTTTAGATTAATATTCCCACGGTTCCCACCTACACGGATTTAAGAGTCTGACCCTCTCTATCCGATTGAGCTAAGCGGGCAGTGGTACTTCACGTAAAAATACAAAAGCGGTTACAAATTCAGTGTAGTCCCCAAACGCAAAGTTTCAATTGTAAAACTGTCAAGCCGCGAAGGGTTTCGAGCATATCTCTTGCTGCAGTCAGCAAGAGAATAGAAGCAAGACATGCATCGTAGTACTGCATATGCACATGAAGGAAACGAGGAAGCGTAGACATCCATCCAATAACCGCAAAGTCACGATTCCGGAACTTCATCACAGGAATAAGAGCAGCGTAAATACGATTACTCCTTCACAAACGTAGTCATTCCCTGTAAGTTGTTCGCATCTAATAGATGTGTCAATGAGTAGTCCGGCACGACCGTCAGAGTAGATACTCACTCAATGTCAAGTTCGCCTGCTTCGCAGCAAAGTCGAAGCTGAAAGAACCAAGGCTGGTAGCATTGCCGGAAGCGTGCAGGGACATGACGTCGATAGAAGTTGCGCCGGCGGCCAATATGTACAAGAAACTATATGATTTATTAGCACCACGCAGTGAGCAAAACCAAATATGAAAACAAACTCTTTGCCATTGATCTGAGCCACATCGTTATCAATCGTCGCAGAGTTATTCAGCTGGGGATATTGCTATAGATCATTGTCAGTGTATAAGCGGTAGGAAGGAACATGTTGGCACATGCCTTGACAATTGTTCCCTTCAAGTCCTTGTCGACATTAACTTCAGTGACAGTCGAAGTTCCAACGTCGGTGAGATAGAAATTTCCGGTCTCGTTGCTGAAACTCGACCAGCACGTCGCCATCTGTCCCTCAATAGGCACCACAGAATTCTTAGCAGACGTTTGGTTCCCCCCGTCCTGGGCGTTCTTGACAGTTGAGAAATCAAAGATATCAAACCCGACACCAGCATCAGTGGCGAGGACAGCATTCATGCCATTGATATTGGTCAATGAGAAGGGAAGGAGACCGCCAGCCGCAGGAGCAATCGATGTGAAGTCTTTGGAGAGCGTACCGTCCTCGGCAACGTCCCAGACAGCAAGGAAACCAGGCTGGTTGGGTGGTGTACCCTTAACGGAAGCGATTAGCTTGGTGCCGTCTTCGTTGAAGATGACATGACTGGGAGTGTTAGCAGGACCAGCGGGAGGAGTCGTTTGGTTGAGACCCAAAGAACGAGTCGTGTCCGCCTGCGCAACAAGTCCGTTGGAACTATCGACTTGGTAACAGCTACACCACATGTTCGATTAGCAAGTAATCGTCGAGGAAGATAAACGCAACACTTACTTGACACCGTTCACCTTCCCGCTGTTCAAAACACACAGTTGGGTAGCATCCTTGTTGAAAGCAACGGATACAGGGAACTCTCCACCACTACTCTGAGGAGTACCGATCATCTTGATATCAACGGGATTCTTGGGATCGATCGAGAAAAGAGAAACGGTGTTGTCTCCCGGCTGTAGGAAAAAATCCGTCATAACTCTGAGTGGCAAATAAAATACATGGCTCACTACTTACATTGACAGCTGCGAGCTTCTGGCCTTTGGCGGAAGCTTTGATGGCACCCTGCGAGAACAGTGGGTCAGGACCAATTGGGTCGCTCACACCATGAGCACCCTGTCCACCAGTTGATACCGCTCGGTTGGGAACCTTCCAAGACGTGAGCGACTCTAACTTCAACAAATGAGTGAAAGTGGATGCGTACCACAGCGCCATTATCCTGGACTTCTCCAACGACGACAAAGTTACCTGAGGGCTCATTGCTGATGACTATATAGGTTATAAGCGGCAGAAAGAAGAAGTCAACAAGGGACAATAAGGTGATGCTTACAATACACAGCTCCAGCTTGTTCACTGACGAAGTTGGGAGTGTTCAACATGATAACTTGAGACGAAGCAGTTGTATTGTCTGTGCGGTAGAAGATGGGAGCAGCAGATGCAAGAGTGACGGCGCTGAGGACTGAGACCAATAGACTGTGCATGGTCTTCATGATGGTGCGTGAAGAAAGGGGGATATAGGTCAATGTTACGGGGTGCCGGATACGTGTGGAAAGGAAGGTAGATGAGAGCTCAGCTCAAGGAACGGAAGTGTTGGAAGATAAGTTCTGAAATGCTGGAAAGTTATAAGCAAAAAAATAGATCGGCCTGTCGAAGGCTAGGAGAGAGCCGTGAGGACCGGGGGGGAAAGAAGTAAGGAAAAAAAGCCAAAAGACGAAGAGATGCGTGGCTTTGAGTTTGACGACAGCCCTTTTGTACGCGCCAAGTCCGTGATAGGAGCTGTATCATGTCCCACCATCAAAGCACGCGCGTAAGAATAACTTGATGACTGCGAGCTGGCACTCATGCTATAGACCTAGGTGAAACGGTAACTTGAATGGTGTATGGCGTCCGCCGATTTCTGGTGTTACCAATCCGAATTGGCAACGACTTTGAAGATGGATATCATCAATCTCGAAGCTCTTCCATGCTCAAGATGATGATTGCGTCGAACAGAGCGTGGAGATTCTGATAATACTTGGTCAGCATAGACGTTTGGTTGCCACGTACTTTACCAAGCTTGAGTTGCGTGGTCCTCGAATAGAACATGATTTCATTTTTCATGGATGAGAGGCTGTGACAGGTGTAGAAGCGCAGACGGGAAAGGTATCTTGTGAGAGATTACTAGGGAAGATCAGTATCCAACTTGACAGCATCCTGGTATCGAACATCGCCTTTTACACGCCCAAGAAATATGCAGCGCTAAGTATCATATCCCCGCGTCGGGCCAGGGATTACGTGGAAACGTCGAAAATGCCCTACTTAGGCATTGAATATTGAGAGTTGAGAATAGTGGAAGAATTCAGAATACGACAAATTCACAGCTAAATCCACGATACTCCGTTAGCAGACCTATTCTTGACAGGACGGTGTGGAATGGATGATTAGTAGTGGGACGTACCAATCCAAAATCCCCATCTCCAATGCTACGGAATCATCTGTTAGTGATGTGGCGTCCATTGGAAAGCAACGCCACGGAGGCTCAGGAACGTAGCAGCCATGTGAGAAGCACGCGAGCAGGTTCAGGATCTCAGGCTTGAGAAGATCCGTCAAAGCTGTATACGTCGCGCTCGCAGGCCGAACTGCATTGTACACCATCGAGATGGGACCTCATTCAAAGCAACTTCTCTTTTAGTGATAACAGGATGGATGACTGAGTCGCCGAATTCCCCTGCAGATAGCTGACCAGGCGTACGGTAAAATATCGAATAGTAGCTATCTGCAGATGGACGTCAGGCGTTCCATGGTGGTCGCCATCCACAATGTCACTGTTTCTACAGCCATAGCTACATTTTACCGGGACAAACGGACTGCTCAGTACAGTCGAGGGAGTTCGAGAACGTGAAGCTTCTTTCATCTCCAGCCTCAAGTACTGGATATTAGGAATTAGCAAGAGCAATGCAATCGGGATCCGAGTCGGCAGCCACCATAAGAGCCCGACGTTCACAGTCATGTGTGAAACGACGAGTCGCAAGAGTTTCAGTCTTCGAAGGCTGATTACAATTTTACGAGCCGGTTACAAACAGACTTGGCCGCCGTCTTTGGAGTGTTCGTGGGCCAGGTGTGTTTGCAGCGTCTCAGCCGTCCTGGGCTCCAAAGCCTCTATGCCGTATAGTAGCTGATGTGGCCTAATTTAATACCGGTCCACAAACAGCCGCAAGTTAGGAAAGAGGCTTCATAGTTTCGCACAGGATTTGTGTCGAATCACGGCTGGTATACAGGGGCCAACAGGGCAGTGTTTTGAGACGAGTTCAAAACTCAGATGGTAGTCAAAGCGAAAGGAGTCGAGCGAGCGTCTGACATTTCCCAAGCTGGGCTGAGTTAGGTCGAAGAGTGGACAAATATACTTAACGCATGCAGCTTGCGGTGATAATCAATAGTGAACTGAAAAGTACGCAAAGGTAACGGAAAAGTCCAAGACCTTGTCCGTACGAATCCCAAAGGCGACCATTCAATCTCTCTTCGACCCAGCAACGACACCTCCCGTAAGCACGCTCGGCAACTCCACACTTCCAACACCAGCCAACAAAGCCACGCTCCCAACAATCATCACAATCAGCCCAACGACCGTACCCACAATCAGAACAAAGTCCCCACTGACGTCCTTTCTCTCACACTTATCCCCAGCCCACCTAATGGTCTTCTTCGCATTCGTACCCTTGCCTTTGCCAGTTTCGATCGTAGTCACTTCACATGCACACACGAAACAAGTTTTGCCTGCTTTGCTGGCACTGATGCAGGAACCGTGGCCGCTGCAACTAGAGGTCGCGTTCGTACATGTGGCTTCGGAGTTGTAGCAAGTGGAGATGGCTCCAATGGGTTCGGCCGGGTGAGGAAGAGGTGGTGGGAAGGGTGATTGTGGGGGTTGTTGACGCTTTGAACGAGAATGCCCGGTGGCGCGTCTTGGAAGAAGTTGAGACTTGGGGACGGAGAAGAGGACGAGCCTGAGGTTAGGTTCGGATATAGCCTTGCTGAGAGTCGCTTTGATGACATTGGTCGCCATATTGTACGCTTCTGAATCCCGGCCGACGCTCTTTGTGAGGTTATTCAGGCTTCGAGAGAGGTCGAAGGCGCCGAAATGAGAGTCTGAGTCGTCGAGGTCATTGGTGAAGTCGACGAGAGATGAAAGGTCTGCTAGGAAGGTAGCCGACTCGGCGGTAGCAGGAAGGGAGAAGATGTCAAGGAGTCGTTGCGGTTTCTCAGGCTGTGATGATGGAGAGTAGGTATGCGAAAGAGAGGGTGAACGTGACACTTCGGTGTAAATGGATTCCGCTTGTTGGACATATTGCGGCAACAGAGTCAATGGTGCGACATCCACAGAAAGTGTCCTCGTAAGTTCTGGCGGTACAATGTCTATTTGTGCACCAATAATGCCTCAGAAAAAGATGCAATAATCGGTAGACCTTGAGTGACGCACCTGGGATCTCTTCTTCACTGATGCTAAGCACAACGGCATTGTCCAACCCTTTTCCAACAAACCCACCCTCACTCTGGGTATACGCCTCCAAATTCTCTGTCAGACCTTCACCTTGAAGCCATTGAAAGCGTTCAAGCCCAAGGTACTGCGCAAGCAGTTGGTTCGCTTCCTGCGAGGATAGTTCTGATGAACTTGTCAGCGATGCAGGGACGGGATGTAGATATACATCTGTTGCAGATGCTAAGAGTCCATATAATGAGAATATGAGGAGAGAAAGAGCTTGTTTCATTGCATGTGAGTGAGGTCGAGCACTTCGACCAGCTTAACGAGATGAACGCGGTCAGTGAGCTACGACGATTAGACGCCGCTGAATGAAGTATAATGATTAGCGCCGTCATTAACTAAGGTTGATACAATTTGAAAGACGATCCGATTTTGAGGGAAAAGGTATATGTAAACCGCATTAAAATTTCACAGTAACATTAACGTAGTTACTAAGGTAGTACGTAGTACATGGCAGCGCCAGTCGTGAAGCAAAGTGTGTAGTGATGAACGGACAACGAGTGCGGTAACAACTCAGCCGTGACGTCCCAAACCGCGTGCACTCTTGCTGACAGTCTTTGCCTCAGCCTGTTTCGCCTTAGCACGGCGAGCGCTGGAGAAAGAATGGCATACGTTACACGAAGGTATCGCTAATCACAGCGACTACTTACTCTTCTAATGCTTCGCGTTCGAGGATTCGGACATGCTCGCGAGCCTCCCTGACTGAGTTTCGAGCTTGACCCAAAGCTCTATCTGCCTCATGCTCGCTAGCCTCAGCTTGAGAGACTTTCTGACGAGCAGCAGCAATGGTAGGGTCCTTCTTGAGGTCGCGGTGGCCATTCGAGTCTGAACTCGAGGAAGAACGGCGGCGAGAGAAAAAACCACCGTTACTACCTGCAGAGTTGCTATTGGTATTGTTTGAGTAGTCCTCGGGAGAAGACGAGCGACGGCGAGAGAAAAAGCCGTTACGACTATTGGTCGAAGATGTATTATTGGTATACTCGGGAGACGTAGAACGGTTGCGAGAGAAAAGAGAGCGTGAACGATTGGGAGGGTTGCTCTGAGCTTGGGGAGGGTGTGAAGTAGCTTGCTTCGAGTGGAACAAAGGCATCTGACTTATACAAATGAGCATGTAGACTTGCATTTAGACAGCTTTGAACATACCTTTACGCAGTGATTGCAGATGGTATATCGAGGTATAGGCCGGAGTATGCTTTGATGAGTATCACACCTGGTAAGCTCACCTTATAACCGGTAGAATGCGCTTGACATCAGTGGGGCTTTCGCAGCCACGACAGCATTCTTGCGGGGCTGCAGGGGAGACAAATGAGATGTGCGCGCCCTGTTGGAGTGAGTACGACAGATTAGTGGGTTACCCATTGATATGAATGAATGATACAAGCATAAATGACAATACAGTATCTTCAGAGCTGCAGCTCTACGGGTGACATCACCTGGCCTGTGCGTGGGAATGCCTGCAAGCGAAGTGTCCGTCGGAGAGTGAAGCGGAGTTGGAATGGACATGGCTTGTGCAGCAGTCCCAACGATGTATTTATACCCCCAACCCCTCTCATCGTTTTCCCTCCCTGCGCGGGCCCCCTTCGTCGTCGTCCCTGTCGTCGTCGTTGTGCTCGTTTTCAAGGTTGCTCGAGTTGAGCATTGGTCTTTCCGTTGAAAGAGAGCAGGAATCATGTCAAATAAAATAGTGGTGAGCTGCTCACCGCGAGTTTGTCTCGTAGTAGTGCATCCAGTAACTGAGTTTTGTCGTGTCTTGTCTTCGTGCGTCCTCATAATCTCCGTCGCTGCTGTGTGAAGCCCTCCGTGTATCGTGCCGTCATTGACGATGTCATTGCCAATATAAAACCCGAGTTCGATGAATTTGGCATTGGCGAGGACGTTCTCGCCGAATTGCAGCATGTAAGTATATCCCTACCCTAACCTCTTAGTAAACAAGCCAATGCTCTTTGCGACGTAGAAATGGGAGGCCAAGGTGATCCAGTCGCATGTAGCAGACTTCGAACCCCCTCCCCCAGCTCCTCAGCAGACGGCTCCGCCGCCTCCCCATCCGTCTGTGCCTCAACATCCAGCATACCCACCGCATCCAATGCATATGCAGCATCACTATCCTCCGCATGCAGCATACAACCTTCAACCACCCCCCGGTCCTCACATTCCTGTCCATACACCTGTGCACGTCAAGGCAGAACCTGTAGACCCGAGGTATCTGCTGAATTCGAGCATGCAGCAGCATCCATATGGCCTCCCATCTCTTGCAGGTCCGCAGCTAGGGAGACCTAATGTAGCGCCGACGTACCCCTCTCCAGGGACACCTCAAGCACGACCATCCAGTACTGGTCCCGCACCACCTGCTCCTACTGCCCGTTATCCAAATGGCGTCCCTCAGCCACCTCAGCAGTCTTCAACTCCATCCATACCTACACCCCCTGCGCCAACTCGTATACCTCAGGTAGACGGGCCGTCTTCGTCATCATCAGAATCATCCTCGTCGCCACCGAGTTATGCACCTAGGGCGAACCACCCATCATTACCTCAACCCGCTGGTTCACCTGCCAATGGCGAACAGAAAGTTAACGACGATGAGGAAGCGATCAATAGTGATTTGGACGATTCAGATTCAGATAACGAGCGAGATATCGAGTCTGGCGGAGGGGCTGATACGGATATCGTCTTCTGTACTTATGACAAGGTATATTTAGTCATCTTCGTTATACCACAGGGAGTCGCTGACTTTGCACTTAAGGTTGCGAGAGTGAAGAACAAGTGGAAGTGCATCCTCAAAGACGGTATGATCCACGTGAACGGGCGTGATTACCTTTTCGCCAAGTGCACAGGGTGAGTTCTGCTCTCGTTCCTTACCGTTTGAATGGTACTGAACGTCGCACAGTGAATTCGAATGGTAATCACCACCGTGCTCTCAGCATTACATCCATCATATTCTTCGGTCCTGGGTATATATATCTTCCGACGCTTCAATTAAGGTTCCTCAACTTACTCTCAGTCTTGGATCAACTCGCTCACTCAATGGCAAATCTCCTCGCACGCTCTGTATTTAGATAAAATCCTCAAGAAATTTCATCTCATCAGTTTCGACCCTCTTACGGTTCCCAATGCTCCTCATCGCCTTGTCACGTCACCATATATCGATCATGCATCATCCATCTTCCATGTGTTATTCCATATACATTACTCATTGTCATATCCATCCATTAGCTCGTAGTACACCGTCGCCCTGATTTAGTATCCGTCGCATCCCACTGCGTATACATATATTGTTTACCTTTTGCGCCGACGTCCTTGATGTCGTACCTCGATACATTTTGCATAATCGAATATGGTGTCAATTGAGGGATACAATAATATAAATTTGGCGCGATATGTTTACATCGGATTCTGATACAAAGCCAATTTCAAGGTTTCCGATAACCCAGGTTCGAGCCCTGGTAGTGCCTTGACGTGGTTCAAACGTTACCTGATTAGAAACTAGGACCCATTCACTCAGATAGTAAACTAGCCCTGTTCTCCTTTCTGCGGAACCTTGTACTGAATGAATATCCTACGTCTTTCTCGTGCATTGCTCTTGCTGTGATGTCCTGTTTGGCAACAGCGTCGTTCCTGATAAGTGTTTCTGTCTAGCGCCCAGGGGATTTCAAAACCTGCACAACTCCGAGTCGAATGCTAATTTTGACACCCGGCTAAAACACTTTGGATAAAAGCCAGCACGAAACGTTCCAGGCTGTGAGATTCGGCCGCGTCACAACCCTTGGAGTGACCCATCTTCTGCTGCGAGGTTTCCGGACTACGACCCACTTCTCCTCGGATAAGTATGTTTGTTGAATCCAATTAACTTTAGATGTGCCAGCTTGTAAACCAGTTACTAAAGAAGCTCTGAAAAGTGTATGGACTCTTCGTAACTCATCTTTAAAGCCCCTTCCACTCACTCACAAAGACGTGTAGACCAATCCCTTAGATCCTGTATATACCACGCGGCCAAGACATGGGCAGAGCGCTCTGTATGGGAGTTCGCCGATGATCATTCCCATATCGAAGTGACCACAAGTGAGTACGTCTTCCTCCGTTTCAGCATACATTTCACCTTAACAACGTATGGTTCCCCGTTATCTTCGCAACCTCGTATGGGACCGTTTTGACAAACCGTCGATTCGTTCCACAGCTTCTGTCTCTGTCACTCACTCTCCATTACCCGACGTTCCTCTTCATACTCGTAATGATCCTGTTATGAATGACACTCTTCGCATACACTCTTTGCTTTTCAAGATTGTATCAGGTATCAATGTTGACCGCTTTCAATATCTGCTACAAGACCATCCCAATCAACCCTTTGTTTTGTCAGTATGCCGACCTCTTCGTGAGGGTTTCTGGCCATGGGCTGTGTCCGATGACAAACCCGCGGGCTATCCTCTTACTTGGGATGCTGCTAAACCTTCCCCTCGATATCGCAAACCCAATGCCAATCTCGGAGCCCTGAGCTCCCTCATGCTGATCTGTTGGCTATGCAATCCCGATGGACCTACACTGGTTGGATCCCATGCTGTCGACCGCCGGGACGTTGCTAAAATGGTCGTCGCTTCACTCACCGCACTTCCTACCCCCCAAGTAGGCCGTAAGCAGATTATCGTCAATGTAGATTGGTTCAATGGCCGGAACGCTGTAGATATTATTGCTCGTCATCGACCCGAACTGAAGCCTCATTTGTCCAGACAAGCTTTGGCAGAGGAACCGCATGGAGAGCATTATGTTGCTGATCGGTCGAGGGCCAGAGAAGTTCTTAGGCTCACGGAGTATACCATGGGAGGAGACTGTGTTGGGTTCTCTCGACAGCGTTCTGAAGCTGCAGGACGAACGGAATGCCAAAGGGTTGACTCCCATCCCCGCTGATCCAACGACTTTTCCGCCTGCTTGATGCCTGGAGTGGGCGGCCTAGTACGGTGTTACTTCAACGCTTTGTTCTTGCTATTGAGGCTGAAGTATTCTGGACCCAAATACGATGGACCCAAATACGATGGACCTGGATACGACTGTAGCTATGAACATATAGATGCCATCCAGTATATGTATGATAGTCACGCTTGCTTGAGACATATGGCTTTCCTGTCGATTCGAGACGTTGTATTGACAAACGAATGTATGGTAGAGAATTTAACAGATAATATGTTTGTCCTACAAGCTTACATCCAGATCACAAAGATGAAGAATGTTTGATGATCGATACCCAGTTTGGTGACAACGCAATGACATACATCGCAGAAACTCCTTAGCGTGGCTAGCCTCGGAGTCGGTATGAAGATGTCATGATTTAGTCTCCCCGATTACAAGTCCACTTCTTCCGCGTTTCCTCGAACCAGAAGGATGCCTTCAATAGTCATCGTAGAGCCACAAAACGCCTTCCCCATCCAGTAGATCCATATTAGCTTCATCGAATCTTTCCATCCACCAAATGACGATATCCTTCGTATTGAAGTCCGTAGACCCCTCGACTAAAAATCCGATTGTTTGCACCTTGCGAAGTGACGGCAAGAGATCAGTGCCACCTTCTCGTAAATTGAGTAATGCAACAAGATGAGTCTGAGAATGGCATGGCTTCGACGGATAGAGATGCGAGACCTCCAAACCTCGAATGCCGATTTGACGAAGGGAAGTATGAGAGTGGGACATTAAAGTCGGCTTGGAGGGTATGGGGATTGGTAGCACAGTATCTGGAGCGACAGCAACTGGCGTCGACGGACGTGATGTAAGCAGATCCGGAGGTGTAGGAGTGTCCGATTCCCGTAGATAATACTGTTTTTCGGGGCTAACTGCGAAGTCGAACGCTACGGGGAACACCATACATCGTTCTCTACAGTCATACACCAGGCTTTGGAGATTTGGACATACCCCGGGCTGTAAGAAGAACCCAGGAGATATGGGAAACGGACTCGGCACGTAAGCTCCCTTAACACTACTTATTGCAGTGGCATCATCACTAGATAAATGTTGTTTCGAAGTCGGTGGTATAAGTTCCAGTGAAGTGATGGAGGAGCCATGAGCAGCGAGAAACTGAAGTAATGTATACGTCAATGGTGAGGTTTCGCTAGTCGAGATTGCGGGCGGATTGATCTCCCCAACATCGCTTGATGAACTGCTGGAATCGATGATGAGAGTGTGAAGAGCAGGGAGCGAAACCGTCGACAGAAATGCGAGCAAGGCCGGTGCAGGCGCGATACACAACGTCGAGACATATGGTAAAGTCATTTTGGGTTGAGAAACTACAGGTGTCGCTTGAATCAGAGCCTGTTCCTTGTCATCGTCCCTTTCGACGGCATCCATTGGCAATGCATGTTTCGCAAATACTCGCAGATCCAATATCTTCAGATTCTCGAGAATATCGAGAAGACCTGGGTTGCAGAACGAGTTGTTTGTCTCCCCGCTGAGGCTGAACGAGTACGTAGGTTGCGTCCAGGAGAAACCTTGCAATGTTTTCTTGTGTCGTTCGAAAATGACGTTCAGAAACTCTTTTGGAGGAGTATGGATCCAGGCACCCGAGAAGACTTGTAGGTTGAGACATTTGGAGGCGATAAGAGCGATACTTGTCAGGAATGAACGCTTTCCCGAAGCACGAATACTAACATAAACCTCAAGGTGACGAACCCATCTGCCGTGTCCCCGTGGAAAGTCATCCTCTTCCAGCGCGTTGCCCTTGTCCACCCGAGCGCCGGGAACGATGTTGCCTGTATTGCTGCATAAGCTGCGGTACACCAGATTTGCCTTGCGCTGGCTGTTGATCACAACGTGTTCGTACAGGAGCTCGGTAGCTAGCATCCTCCACTCTTTGCATACGAGCACCAATACGCATTTGGTCCGCATAGATAGGACGGGCGTGTTCACATGCCAAGCAAAATTGTGTGGTGTTTCAGGTGCGAATGGGTCGGAGGGAGTGAGAGCTCGGGAGCGCGGCACGTAAGTGGCATAACGAAAAATCTCGAGCAACAGTTCTGATGGTAAAGAAATGTAAGAAGCTTTTGACGTTTTGGGAGCCGTTTCAAGAGGCGTTGTATGCCCCGTGGTTTTCACTAAAGGATCTTGAGGTGTCTGATTGGAACCTGAATGATGGTGTTTCAACTGGGCAGTATCTTGTGGAATCAACGTGGTATTGCCGCAAGCCACGCTCTGTTCCGAGAAAGGCGCATCCGGAAGTAACGTGTTTACACCATGCATGTTGTCAATGGGGTCAGGTTGTTCCATACCCATCAAGCTCGGTAAAAGTACCGATGAACGCGCTAGGAACAACGATTGACGTCTTGGTCGGAAGTCCTCTAAAATCGATTAGGTGGTCTTTGGCAGCCCCAAGGCAGTCAAACACGGAGTATCCTCCTGAGAATTGAAAAGAGGAGGATTAACGCGAATTCGGTCTCACGAGGGTGAGGAGTGGCTGGTCAACAAGAACTAGCCCTTTGCAAGACAAGACACGTTCTACACAAAGGACCAGCCAGGCACCTCTGCCAATATATGGAATATGTGCCTCCTGATATGAGGGTATTTCAAAAGACTCACCTGTTTTCAACTCGCACTTCAAAAAGTAGGTGGCCAATCTAAAGTTCAGTCTCTGTTAAACGCCAAACAAAAAGCTTTGTGTCAACTAGTTTGCGCGATCCGGTACCAGTGTGTTGTTAGTTAGAGCGTAAAGTTAAGTCAGAATACCGCAAGATTTAAACGAGGTCAAGCTTCTAGGTGGTGGCACCATGGCAAAGGCATAACGGCGTCGGTATGGCGCTAACGCAAGGCGCTAATTACCATCATTGTCGCCTTTGGATCCAGATTTGGCAGCTATCCTTGTTGACCATGAACTTGTCGGAGCGCTGATGTGATGCAAGCCCTTCATTATCTTGTTGTCTTGTTCCTTCCAGGTCACGTCATACTACCAAAAGCACTAGCTATACTACCGACTATTTCCCGCTGATGCAAGAATGGTATGTCTGCTTGGCCTTACTACCTACTCCACCCGCCAAAAATGATTATGCAGCGGTTGCGCCCACAAAGTGGACCCGTTTAGTAAGTTCAAAGTCAGCACCACCGAACAGAACCGTTGCTTTGATCTGGTATGATACAGGGCCGTGAGCGACTCACCTACTAGTCAGGACAAGATTAAATTATGTGTTCCTGGACGAGAAGCTCGCCCGCACACCGTTCCAGATTCTCGTATTCTGATTCGCCATTTCTCGATTTGATATCATCGCCGTTCTTCTCATTCCCGCCGGGCCTTTTTGGGCTAATATACAAATGTCTCAAGAACTTCTGAAAGTCTTATCCGTTTGTAATACAAGCGATTTCTACTCTTTTCGAACACTAAAAAGGCCCGAGCGATCGAACTTCGATGGAGACGGTGTCTAGAAACTGATGCATCAACGTTTTGGAAACGCGATGGCAATAAGGTTGGCAGGCACTTTCGGGTGGGATAAGTATAGGAATGAACTCCGAAGGTTGTTTTCAATTACTACCTTTGGTGAGATTCTTCCTGGTGGCCGCGTTGATAGCGTGGTGACGAGGTCTCACAGTCTAAAGTCTGCAGGCAAAATGCATCGCGGATACGTTGATTCAACGAGGAGGCAGGGCCCACGATTCAGGAACCTTGCGATTCTTGGTTATAGTCTGATTCGCAGTGGGAAATTGGGAATTACATCCAGGCAGGTAATGATTACGGAGAAAACGTGCGCCGTTGGTAAGGCGTTCTGTCACCTGCTGCCATGTGTGGTTTGTCATTCCTAACTAATCGGTTCTGTATGGATAAAGCCTCCGAAGCATCTGACGTTGGATGTGATGCGGAAATAAAAGGTCTGGACTGCTCTACATCCAGCAGACGAATAGACACGCAGGCAACACGAAGGCGATCAAATCAACGTCGTGCAAGTGGCCTCCATTTTCTATCGTCCTTTCGTTCGTTAAGATGATATAGCAGTGCAACAGATAGAAAGGTATGTCTCAATACGAACTGATTAAGCCCAGGGCCATCGTCGGACTGTCAACCTGACCGAGGAAAGAATGTTATCCGAGCGGTGTTCTTTCACGTCTCATGCACCAATAAAAGGTTAGACTCGATGCTTTCATCAAACATAGAAAGTGGCAACTACGCTCGGGTAGCTCTACCTTCCTAAGGTGGCACTATGCATTCATTTCAACCTCCTGCTTTCCAAAACGGTCACGCTCGGGTTGCTTGACTGGCGAGCGCAGGCATTAGGTCATTTGCCAGCCTCGGATAACGGGCAAGCCTGGTAACGGAATTTCTGGGGTGGAACAGATAGTGTCAGATGCACCCTGGCGCAGATTGAATTCTTGGTGTTCTTGGTGAGCAAATGAATTAGACTCTGTTTCCGAGCGCGCACGATCAAGCGGGAATATCGGACAGCCCGAAGGCAGGCAATTTAATGTGAACTGCGGAACGATCATGGAATGCTTACTGTCAGACGTTCAAGCTTAGAGCTTGGTGATAGTACTCGGTACGAAGAAAATCACGTAAAAATGACTTACTTGTTTTTGTTGTACAGGTAAGTTACTAAGTTAGGCTACCGATGAACATGATGACATGGAGAAGGAAACGTGGATAGTCATATGGTTGACAACCAGTTGTCAAGCGTCTGAATATGCTGACCGTCCCAAATCTCAAGTTTATGACTCGGAATAATGGAACACGACTTGAAAACACTACCGGTTCAACCCTATTCGAATCTTATGCCCTTCTTGTGAACTATAGTTCGTACAAGTCGGATATCATCATATTGGCCTTCAAAAAGCTACAGCTACATATTGATGCGAGTGGTATGTGGTATGACAGATTACCCAATCGACGCCCAAACGACTCCGACTGGGTAAACCGTAATACTAGGGGAATACTATGTGCAGGTCACGTACTGTATATGTTCCATCTTTCGCCTTGGAAGAAACATACCCAATGAAGAAAGAAAAGAAGGGAACCTCGAATGAAATGCCGACAGGAAAAGCGACCCTGCCGACGGTATGAGTGTAGGTCTAAAGCCAATGATGTAGTCAATGACGTCCCCGTAATCTCTGTGAGAAACCCGAGAAAACGAGAAGACGCGAACCTGAAGGTAAAAGACACAAATAGGAAATAAAGGAAGAACAGAACGTCTGAACGTGCCGGGGGTTGTTACTGAGTGATCATGTCGACTGGCCATGAGATTCCAACAGCCGATTGGAAATGAAGTCCTGCACCCGTTGCCATTGGGCGAAGTCGAACGCTAAGTGAAAGCGGAAACCCCTCCCGCGAAGCAATCAGACTTAGCATAGCTTCGATTCGAGAAGCGAATTGTGCGTATAAGTGTGCGTGCGTGCATGCATGCAGGGTCGACCTAATCTCCACGAAGGAAGCGTCGCTGCACCTCGTGCGTTCGTCTCCGTCCTCTCGTTTCTCCGCCCTCCGAGTCTGTCTCCGACGGTATCCAGTGTGAAGGATGGGAACTGGGAGAGTGAGGTTGCCCAATGCGAGAGATGCAAGTGATGAGAAATGATCAGAGCCAGTGAGAAAAACGAAGCAAAGAAGCAAGTTTAAGCTCTCGCTGACAGAGAGCAAAGGATGAAGAACCACAGTCGGGAGAGAGAGACAGAGAGAAAGAGAGAAATTTAGAAGCCTGTTGAAGACTGAAGATCCAGGAGCAGATGTCAGGTGTCCGGTATCCGTCGTCTCGTCCATGATACCGATACATAGGAAGAACGCGATAGATGAATGATGATATATGATGCGAAAAGATGATGTATAATACAAGTGTTCATGTCTTCTCAGATGTGTGCAGTGTGTGATGCGTAATGTGTAATGTGGGATGTCCAACATAAGTCGATGTGCGATAGAGTTCGGAGGAAGAAGTGGGGCAAATAGAGCATGCTGGGTAATAAGTGTGTGCTGGGTAATATTCAAACCAGTGTCAATGTAGATGTGAGATGGGGGACACCGGCTAAGAAATATGCATGATATGATGGGCGTCGTTGCCCAAGGGAAAAGAAGGGAAAAAATTAGAAAAGACCCCAAATCTCAGAAAAGATAACAAAGTCGCGCGTGGCGACCGCAATGACGAATGCCTAGTGTAACAAAGGCCATTCACCACCTCAACCGCGCATGGAAGCCTCGGAGTCGCGTGATCTTGGAGTTATACGATCATGTGCGTGTACGAACTTCCGGATGTACTGAATGTATAGCGCCTTCGCGAAATAGGCGTCGGAGGAGTCGGAATGCCGGAACGAGGACATTGAATTGTTAAGTTCAAGTTCCACGAGCCCAAACCCGAATCGGCTAGGTTCAACGTAGGAAGGGAGTGTATGACGCCTCTTGTACAAGGTTCGACAAATAGGATCGATGTACCAGGGGTTCCGAATGCCCGAGTGTCGAATAGTGAAGGTCGGGCGTCGGCAGCTCCAGTACGTGGGAGTTCGGGACGCAGGGGCGTTGAATGGCGAGGATCGTCCAAGGTGTCCAAGTAGCCCAGGTTGTCCAATCATCCAATTCGAAGCGAAAGTTGAAGTGTTCAAGTCAGGAGCTCCAGCACGTAAAGTGAACGAAAACATCAAGCAGAAGGACCCAACATCCTCAAAGCCTTATCATCCACCAACCACCTCCTATACGGATGATTCCTCTGCAACGACCTAAGCGGCGCAAGCGCCACCACCCTCGCAGCAGCAGAAGAAGACCCTCCACCAGCACCACCAGCACCATCCTCACTACTCCTCCCTCCAGCACTTCTCCCACTCTCACTCATATTATCATCTCCCCTCCCAGAAGAAGAATTTCCACTGCGATGTCCATGAAGATTCGAATCATCATGCTCACCCGATGAATAATCATCAAGGTGCAGGTCTGGCAGGTGAGGAGGTGATCTCGAATGATGAGAATGCGCAAGGTGGGAATCAGGATCGTCCATAGTAAAAGACGCATTGGAATGTTCGAGAATGAAAGGCGGGGGCGCAGGTACGTACCCACTCAAATCTTCTTCATCATCCTCCTCAACCCTCATCCCACCTAACCCACTCCCAACCCCACCTAACCCACCCATACCCATACCCATAGGAACAGAAATACTATACGGCGAGCTCGAACTCGAGCTATGACTGGTATCCGAAAGTGCTGGGGTGTGAGTGTGGTGTCTGTGTCGGTTGAAATGGTTGAGGTGGAGGTGTGATTGAGAGGCGTTTGGGTGATCTGGATGGTGTGCGAATGGGGTGTGGATGTGAGCGTACGGGTGGGAATGGGTGTATTGGTTTGAAAGGGAGGACCGATGTGAGGGTTGTTGGTGGTGTTGATGCCACGACCCCGAAGAATATTCAGACATGGGTGAAGGTGAAGGTTCAGATGACCCGTAACCAGATCCAGGGTTCGTCTGACCACCTTCTTCGTAGGTCTGAGTTTGCGAGGAGGCAGAGGGAAGTTGGGACGCGTATGAAGCGTAGTTCGGATATCCAGAGCTCGCCTGCATGTACGCCGATTCCGCCTCGGGAGACACATACCCTGGCAAATGCACTACATTCACAATCGCATTCAAACTCGTCGTCGGCTGATGCGAAGGTGGCACCGTTACTGTCGGTAGACTCGAAGCATCTTCACTAGACGAAGTCATCTTGATATCTGGATCCTGTTGGAATACCACAGATCCCGGGCCTTGTCCACTAGGATACACAGGATACGTCTGCGTCATCGACATCGACTGCGAAGGCCTCGTCGAGGGATGACTACTAGGAAAAGCTGCATAAATCCTCTCTTTCTGCGTCCCTTGCACGCCTCCCGTCTTGCCGGCGCCCGTTCTCTCTGCTCCAGAAGCGTCCTTTCCAAGCTCCCCAGCCTTCTTTACGTTTTTCGGAGTAGAACGAGCGGTTTTGTATAGACCTTCTGGAACGATGAGTCCTCGTAACTCGGGAATATCGTCGATGGTACGGAGTTCGCCTTCGGTGTGTTTGGTAAAGTACGCGTCTGAAGGGTTTGAGAGGGAGATGTGTGTGGAGGGACGGTAGCGTGTGTTAGAAGGTAAACTTGAACGGGATATTCACAGCGGGGACGGAGAACTCACTGAGATGCCACTTCCGGGGCTTCCTGGTGTCCTTTTCGTGTGATTTCGAGGACGAAGGGAGGGACGAAGATGAAGAAGCGGCAGAGGCATCTGAAGGGTCGGAACGATATGCGGAGTAGGTCAACTTGACAAAGGTATCGCGTTCGCCCTCGCGAACGACGTGGTCTTCCATCGATCTAGAAAGAGTTGAATATGTTGATCATGTTTGCGAGGGGTAACGTATTGCGCACCTGGGGGTGTCCTCGATCTTCTCGCTCTTACCCTTCTTCTTGGTGGGCTTTTCGTAGTACATGAGGAAATCCTAATGATCAAGGGTGAACACATGGACGTAGCTAGACCCAGACCATACGTACGTCTCTACGGAGGGAACGATGTTAGAGAGGATCGAGGGGGATTAGAGGGCATTGCAGACGTACCTTACTCGGGACGGTGTCCAGGCCTTTCCCTCTGTGAACCTCTCCATCGTAACGGCGTAATTGTCAGCGTTCGGAGGCTTTTCCTCCCAAACATAGACATTCCCCGGACGCAAGGCGGCGCGTTCATGTGCGTCGAGACGTTTCTCTATTTTGGGCAACATCCCGAGCTCGACGGCGTAGAATAGTTTGTGGGCATCGTCTGTGGTGCGGACATGGACGTTGGCGAGAGTGGGCTGCTGCATTGGGTAGATGGGGAGAGGGTGTGAAAGAGGGCCTCGAGAATTAAAGGAGGGAGATGTAGTAGTGTGCAGGGTGAAGCGGGAGAAGGGGAAATGATATGAGCACTCGGAAGGGGAATATATAGGAAGCAGAGCTGGAGTGAATGGCTGGGTGCTGGAAACCAATTCGGGCAGAGTGAGCAGGGAGAGGGCTCTGACCTGAGTCTGAGCATGCGACTGTCGGCTCTCCCACCAAGTTGCAAGCTGGGCCTCAATTCCTGCTGTCAGCCGATCCGACAACAGCTGCCCCAGTACACCGGATACCAACAGATCCCAACCTTATCGAGATTCCCCTTGATCATTTCTCTCCCGATGCCAGACCTCTCTCTCTCCCCGGCCGCCCTCCATGGCCGCGCGTTAGCTACAACCTCGTTCTTGTGATCCAGCTGCAGCCCAACTGCCAAACGTCCACAAAGGCTAGATTCCCTCTCTCGCGCTCAACGCCCCTCCCAGCCGATCCGACCCATCTCAGGGCATCCACCACTCACTCCTCTGCCATCTAGATCTCCGCGCTGCATTCCCCACCCTCTTCGTCATCATCGTCGCTTCCCTTTCTTGCAAGTATACATGGGCCCAGGTCCTCACTTTCTCTCCACCCACCGCCGCATGCCCCCTCGGCTTCCCACAGTCACTTGTTCAGATTCCAGATAGCTGGTCCATGAACTGCACGAGTACCATGACGTTACCGTCCACAAGCTGTGCGTTCTTCTTTTTCCTTCCCCCCACATCTCATTCAGTTCTCCATTTCTCACCATTTGCCCGCCAATGATGGTGCTCCCCTCGCTCGGTCCCTCGCTAGCCTTTCTACTGTACCATTCGTCGTACCAACCCATTGGGCTGTGGCTTGTCTCCGGTGCGACGCATCGTGTCCTATTCTCATTCACTTCTATAGATCGTAGAGGAAAGCAGTTACAGGGTGTTGGTCATAAGACTATAAGCAACGCTCGGTATGTACCGGCGTTCAGAAGTGATCTCGATCAAAGAATTATAACACCGGCGCCACACAACAAATTCAAAAAGGAAAACCCAAAATAACCTGCATACCTACCATATAAGGTTTATTTGCACACCGGCATCTAGCGGCTCGCTAAATTACTGCACAATATTATGTAGTTGGCTTCAAAAGTTTATCCATACCGCCAGCTCATGAGGAAGAGTGCTTTCTTGGCTGGAACTTTCGCTCTCGATCTCTGAGTCTCAGTCTGTGAGAACAATTGCTGTATACGCGTCGGGTGGGTATTTCTTTTCTCTTCGATTTGAAGCGTCCATGTTACCAGGGTCGTAGTTATCTCCGTTGGGGGCCACCAGTGAGTGAACGCTGGCATGCTCACGCTTATGAGACGCGTTTCTTTTTCCCCCCTTACAAAAAGGACTGAGTCGGTCGCGTTCTATTCTTATCACTTACCGCCGACGCTCACCAGGTGTTGTACCGGTCCACGTACTACGCTAGAACTTCTGCCTTGCTGACCACCGAAAAGCACGTCTACTGATTCCCTAAAGGTTGATTCGCGACGTACGTCGGCGGTACCGAAAGCCCTTCCAGAAACCCTCAGGCTTAGGCCGCGCAACAGAAGCACAATCCAGGGCTCCATTCTCCACTTAATCACTCGCCAAGTACATATCTTCTCGCTACTCAACCAGAACACTCATTCGAACTCCAAGGCCCGAAAGAACGCGTCGCGCTTTGCCGGTACGCCTCACTCAGGGCACTCATCCACTCGGCTACTCAGCACCCCTTCAAAAAAGAATTCCAAGCGAATCCCGGCTAATAAGTAAGTAACGTATAAGTACATTGGTTCAACACCATTTTTCTTTCGGTGTTGAGCGCGAGCATTCTTCATTGGCATCAGTTCCATCATTTTAAGTAATGTCGAGGAAGGGGAAGGGGAGGAGAACCCGTTTGTGTTTTTCTGACAGAACACGAGGGTACGAATCTACGAGCGAGTTGAGGCGAGTTTCTTCTTCTTTATTCTTCTTTTTGAAATTTTGCCCAATCATATAGAAGGTATTTTATTATCTTTTGATCAAAAATTGATGATTAAACAGGGTGACCCCTTATCAACACGTCTTCCAACTAATCGTTCTCCCGAATTCTCCGAGTCGCGCACGGATCCTCCCCTCCAAGTCAGCCTGAGCGTCGAAGTTTATCGTTCTGTTTACATTCAAGTTCTAGTACCGCATTGGGTAAAGATGCCACATTTATGTTGTCATCTTATTTAAACTCTTCTTTTAGCGTGAGTGCCTTGAGTACCCAAAAGCTTAGGTGCCTCTCGAGTCTGGACCAGTTCTCGCCCAACGCTATGTAGTAGTCCACCGGTGATTGGTCATCTCGGCGGAGGCTGAGAGCTCGAGGTCTATGGTCAGCTGCGTATGCGTAACTGCGATACTTAGATCTTATTGACCGTGACCGTGTGTGGAATGGTCGTTTGGGTTTGGGTTTGATGTTTAATGTCTAGGCCTTTGGGAATTGGGAATGGAATGGAATCGCCGCGTTAGCAAGGTTTTATTGCGATGCGGGGACCGGGGCAGGGCGTGAAGAAACTGGCAGCCGGTGACACCCAAGTTGCGGACAGGAATGAAGGCGTTTGGAATCTATGCAGTCAAACCGTCTTCGAACGCCAGCAAGCAAGAGACACGACGGGACGGAAGGAGACGAGGACGAGGACGACGCGAAGAATGGGATGACTAGCAAGATCACGTCATTCACGTTCACAAGAATCACCAGCGTAAGTGGTTCGAGGCGAGGCACTTTGTTCGTACCTGTTCAAACTGTTCAAACTTTAACCTTCATTCGTCCATTCTGACCGACCATCTCAGTACGTACGTTCCTATTTTATGATCGGGATGGTGTTAAGCTGGATACGAAGAACAAGATTTTATTGACATCGTTCGCAGTCGATCATCCCCCCACCCCTGCTGTTCGGTCCCACCCCTACACCATTCTCACTGGCAAAAAGTGTTGGAAGACCATCTGAAGGTCCGTCCGAATCAAGTAAGCGAATATCTTTATTTGCGGTCCGTCTCACAGCAGTAACGCACCTCATAGAATGCATCCCACTTCTTTTTACGGATTGCGAACAAAACGATGGGCCCCTCGTCAATACCGTTTTAGTCTAGCGACGTCAGGTACGTCTCGCTATTACCAGCCGACTTGCGGGGAGGGCGCGGAGAACGAAGGGACAAAAGGACGTACTAAGTATTGGCGACAGTCACAGCGGAAGCTGTACGCGAAGCAGCCGAGGTGGACAAAAACAATGTTGGTGAGAGGCCTAGTATCGTTATGCGCTAAGCTGTAACCGAATTAGAGCATCCTCTTGTTCCTGTTACACTTTCACTTTCACTCCAGTTTAAGCCGAACTACCTGGTCCCGTGTGCACCTTGGGGTGTCCACCACCCGAACAAATCAGTTGAACAAACTGGATGTCATTGTCAGCTCCGACAGATTCTCTCAATGTCATGCATGCCCCCTGATGCAGACGTTGGATCCTTAATCGTGTCCGAGTCACTCGCCGACGGATCAATGGTCAATGGTCAAACGAATACTCGGATCCTCAACTGAATGACCCTCTTTTGTCTAGTTGAGTCGATGTTGAGATTATGTGGTTGTTATGTTAACTTCATAATTCAGTTTCTGTCGACGGAAGTGTGTTTTGATTCAGGTACATATCACGCATTCCATTCATAACGAGAGATTTCGAAGCTGGACATTGACCTTTCTCAACCCTGCTACTTTTTTGGGAGCGTTGCAGGGCAGCGCCTGCAAAGAGACCTACTACGTCTTGTAAGTCCCTGAAACATTCTGCCTGCCGCCCAATCTAAATCAATCGACCCGAATCTATCGCGCCTTACACCTCGCGAAATAATTGAATAGCTCTGGCGTCGTCAGTTGAACTGAGGGTAAGTTGAACCTTAGTTCAGCTGACGGACCGGAAGGCCAGAACGGACTATACAGCGGAAATGAAGAGTACGCGCTTCAAACGAGAGACTCTCCTGAACACCTGACATTAAATTCTAAAAGTATCGCACTATATCCGAGTCGCTCGTAGATGGCCGATAATGACCAAAGAAATCTATCGATAAACGGTTACTCGGACCTCATACGAAAAGTCCCTCATTTTCGTTGGCTCGATCCTTCCTCGCATCCTCGTTCGCCGCTACCCTCGACTTCAATGCATCGAAGAGCTTTATCCGAGCCAATCCGAGCCTGTACACTGCATATGACATACGCTGCTTCATTGAATACTGCGAAACGATCGGCGCAACAACTTGACAACGTTCGTACCGAACAGCCATCCGTACCTCAATATACACCAATATGCAATTACCTCTCAAGCCCCCACGCGAGATCGATGCAAACACTCAAACGTAAAGCAAATACTCCTTCCCCAGTTCCCGTCGCTCAGCGTGGTATACGTAAACGCGTAAACCTAAACAGACTATTACCTTTCAAGATCTTCTCTCTCGATCTGGCTTCTCTGGTCCTGAGTCCCGACTCTTGATAGTTGTGACTTGCTGTGACTTGCCCTAGGAGGGACAGGATTGCACATGGATGCTAGCCCATTCTCTGGCGTAACTGTAATTTCTCCACATATTCCCCACTAGGGTGGGCACACGGCGTTTCTGTGCGAGTCTTGCTTGATATGGCCATATTTGCTTCCAGGCCCATAGTCTCCCGTGTCCTGAAGTCCACGATGATACATGTGTTGGAGAAGGATGTCCGTTCTCACACCTGGTTGATGCTGGAATCTGTGTTCAGTCTGGTTGCGAGGTGCTTAACAGCCAGATGATACTGGATCTCACTTGCTGTTTGCGTCGCGGGCACGTTCTTCTCCCTGCATTTGTTCATGGGCGCATTATCAGGATGATCGCGATTGGATGATTGTTGTTGATGAGTTGTACGAACTCCTGCCTGGGGGGAAACTGGTGCGTTCCCAGCTTTGCTCTTGTTGAGCAATTGTTCTGAACTTGTCGAATCATCAATACACTGATAAGTCGAACCCTGCCTCCGGGTGTCAATGATCTATCGCGTTCCCCACACATCACTGAGGTCTTTTGAAACAATGATGTCTTTCGAATGCCGATCTTTACATCCCGGTGGCTGTCCCACTGCCAAATGATTTCTGAGAAAGAAATTCGTCATAGCCATGATGATGACAATACAAAATGTCTCTGAAGGGATGTGCATTCAGTGGACTTCTCTCTTTCGTTCGTCCCACTCTTGTTCTTTCCTTTTTTTCCTTCGTTTTCGTTATGATGAATCCATTCCTTTATTTCTTACTTATATCGCTGTGCGATATGACCTATGGGCTATCAATACCTGTCAAGGGGCCGTCGGCGGGTTCTCTCGCTTTGACAGACCGGAAGGATGAACCTGGTGTTCGTATGCAGAAGAGATTTTCAATCAAGGAGAACATCTACAATGACAATGAGATATTTGTGAGTCTTCGAATATGTGATTGTGGTGCTATCAACTAATTGACAGCAAAGTATTCGGTCAATATCACCCTTGGAGGGAAAGGTGAGATGCTATGATTCGGTCAGAACGATATCTCAATTCGTTTCGTTTCACACAGAGTTCCCTGTGCAGATTGACACAGGCGCATCCGATTTCTGGATCAAACCTCCCTTCGATGTCAAATTCACGAACGTCACCAAGGTCCAGAGTGTCCTGCAATTTGCAGGCGGTGCCGTATTAGGCAATATCTCCTTTGCAGACATGACCTTAGGACCGATCCGCGTCAAGTCACAAGGTAATTGTCCTCTTCGTATCGTCGTTGGTATCCCAGAGTAACCCTTTTCATATTAGCTCTTGTGCACGTCATTGAGCAGAGAAACTTTGATAATCTTTTCAATCGTAGCATCTTCGGTATATTGGGGCTCAGTTTCCCCCAATCATCTCAGATCTTGCATGACAGTGAACAACTATTCGGCGCGAACAGTACAAAAGGTCGTACATTCCTAGGCAATGTTTTCGCTCAGAATAAGTCGACACCTAATTTCTTCACTGTCCTGCTGGGCCGCCAGGACGATCTCAAGGGCCCGAGGGATGGAGTGTTCACCATTAGTGAATATGACTCTCAGTATGGGAATATAACTTCGCAACCGAAGTTATTTCACCCTTCGAACAAGTCCAAAAACGATAATGCGCTTCCGCTCTGGTCTGTTCCAATGGACAAGATGTTTGTCAACGGCAAAGAGTTCAAATTCAACAAGTCGAGCGTTCCAGGTCTGGAAAGCGGGAAAACGGCAATGCTCTTGGACACGGGTTTCACACTCTCATACATTCCCGGAGCTGCTGTCGATTTCATATACAAAAGCATCTCCGGTGCGAAGTTTGACAAGAAGAATCAGCTATGGGAGGTGCCGTGTGAAAATACAACCCAGTTAGACTTTGTATTCGGGTTCGTGTACATATACTGTCGAGTTCCCTCTTTCTGACCTAGTTCCCTTGACGTAGGGGCAAGAACTTTTCCATTCATCCCCTTGATATCACCCGCGTGAAGACTGTTGGTCATGAGACCGTTTGTCAGAGCACGTTCAGGTGCGCAAATGCTATATCGCCACATTGAATCAATGTTCTTAAGCTCACATATACATATAGGGCGATGCAACCTAACCCTGCTTTAGCTCTCGACGGTATTTTAGGAGTCCCGTTCATGAAGAATGTCTACGCTGCGTAAATAATTGAAATTGTCGCAGTTTGAATACTCGCTGACGAGATCTGATGTCGACAGCTTTGACTTCGGCGACAAGTCTTCCAAAATTGCTCCTAATGTGCCCTTTGTAAGGATGATTTCTACCACAGATGCAAAGGCCGCGAGCCCAGAATTCAAGACAGTACGCTCTAGACAAGTGTCTATTTCAGAAAAGTTTGCTGCGGAAGGTTTCGCGAAGTTCCAAGCTGCCCAGAAATCGCAGAAATCAGGTGCTCTGGATCTTGACAGTGATCTGCACGCTTCTCACCTGCCTAGCACATTCGCCGACGAAACGCCACTTTCTCGAAGGTCTGGAAGCACGACAGCCCACGCTCCCACGACGCCTGCAGCTCAACGTCAGGCTAGCCTTCCCGCAGGACAGCTGCATCGTGAAGTCGTCGAAATCCTTTCCGGAACCCGCGCTAGCCCTACCCGGCTTACTGTTTTGGCCGGTACCACTTTCGTCTTCATGGGTCTATGTGTAATGGGCGTCTGCATGGAGGTGCGAAGACACATGCGCAAACGTCTGGTGGCAGAAGAGGGTTGCAGATTCATCCATGAACAGACAGGCTAGGCCTTGACACGTTTATGATGTAGAAATGTTACTCGAGAGGATTTCTGGCATTCGATCTCTTGTTTAGCCTTCAGCGATTGCTTGGCGGTCCATAACTCCAATGAAGGCACTTGTATGAACGTATTTGGTACTGCCTAGGTTCGCCTGTAGAGCGAAATGGATTCAATCAATCTCTCACGGAAACAGCAGCAGACGATGACCTACAATAAGCCAGCTCCCCACGGTTGAGATTCGACTCAATGAAAGACGTGAGATCAATTTGCATTTCATCTAAGCAGGCTTCAGCATGCTGGACTTTGCAGGCGGCACGATTCTGATCGAAGACAGTGGCACCCTTGATAGGTGGGGTTAGAGTTGAATAGAACAGGACCAGCTGCCGTTCAAGGGATGGATAGTTTCAGATTGGCGTGAGGAACAAGGAATGCAACGAGACGAGAAGGTCCGACAAGGCAGAAGCTTGTGTCACAAGGGAATGCCGCAATTCAACGGCAGGTAGAGCGTATATCAACATGAAGGCGTGCTTCTTGCGATCGGATTTCCCTAAGTTTAATGTAATGTCTATTCAATGGGCCCTGTCGTGTGACCCTGTCAGGTACATCGCTGTAGGGCTTCCATCCCACTGGTGGAGCGTTTAAACTAAGCTTGAATACAGTAGTTTGAGATTCTGGATGCCGCAAGGCGTTGAGAAGGGTGGAGTGTGAGTCCGCTGCCCTTCAATCGATTAGAAGCAGGATCGGAAGTAGACGAGGCATACCATGGGACCCGGAAAGGCGAGAATGCGATCAGGGGAGACACAGGGAAGGTGACTTGACTCCCATATGACGCGCCGTGTAGATGGATTTGTTGATTTCCCAATGTACATACTGTGAAAGGCATGCATTGTCAGATGATGTTTTACATGACAAGTTGACAGGACCTGGAACGCAGAAACAAGCCAGTGGCGTCCGGCCAGACCACGCATCGGAGAATGGCATACATCCGCCCATCATGAAGCTAGAGGATGCACGGTGTGAGTGGTGGAGCAATCCACTGGTAAATAGAACGGTTCCCGGTCAATAGTGTGCGATAGGAGCTTCGTTTGCGTTGGAAGAAGGAAACTTCCTGACATGACATTTGGACTGCCTCGTTCGACCAATTGTCAATAGCAACATTTGCCCCAAAACTTCAGCACCAAACAATTGACGCTAATGTGTGAACGGCTCCTTTGGCATAGAAGACACGCCGCAAAAAGACCCTTTTCTACCCTGCCGTCAGTGGACAAAAGTAGACAAACACAAGAGTCAATACCATCCAACGGCTTTCAAACTTCCTCACTAGTATCTAGTGGCATTGTTGGTTCAGCAGTGTCCCAGGGCAACCAGCTGATGAGGTTTTGTTCCCTTCTTCAACCTGATGTCTCGGCGACTGCGATCGCCGTACGACGGAATGATCCTACTTCCGAGCTCTCTGTCTAGAGATGAACCACTAGAGAAATTTAAATCAGTATGACATACTCTCCAGATCGACCACTCATTAGTCGAATGAGAGTGCCTCGAAGGCAGGCACTTGAACTTCTGTCTTCGAAAGTCAGGCACAAGTCACGCCCTGCCGCATGAGGGCGCTAAAGCCTGAAGCCTGAAGCCCGAAGTCAGTTGGTTGTTACACTAAATACTGTATGCGAGGGAAAGATACTGCAACAAACGATCACGGGTCGTTTGATCTTCATCTACGCAGCGCTTGTACTGTCGCTCTCCTTCAGGTGTACTGCTGAAGTGACGGGATTCGGGATTCTCGCCGCGTGCGTTAGCCAACAGAGAATGCTCAGTTATCACACTTAGTATCAGAGTTTCTGGTGCATCGATATCCCGTGGACCCGAGCAGTCGCCGCAGACATGATCGATTGGATGTTTGTCTCGGCTGTTCAGATAATCAACATCATGATCTCAAAGGTAAATTCATTCTTACCCACCTGAAAGCGTGTATCTGGTAGTAAATAAGCTGTGATATCGGTATGACTTACCGCTTAGTACTTTTTCATAACCACGGCATCGTTTGGGGAGATAGCGAGCCCTCGCGGGAAGGATACTGAACGTTACGAGTTGTTGTTTACATCACGGGGTAGCCCTTGACCACTGACGTTATCATCGTAATTCTAGAAGTGAGTGGATCTGATGATCCGAAAACGCGGTCGCTATTCAACAGCGATGTCTTTGAGATTGAAGCCGACCTAGCATTTCTCAGTAGTGAAGGAAACAAAAAGATAGGATTAAATGATCAAGAAATTGTCCCATACATACGTTGCAGGCAGGTTCATTTACTCGAGAGCAATGCTGGACAAAACACCTTTCAAGGTATGACGAACAGTGGCGAGGCTAAATAACGTGACGGCAGTGATGCAGCGACAAGGAGCTTCAAATCAAGATTACGAAGACACGAGAAAAGAATGCCCATAGTACCCCAGGAACTTTCATATTGTCCACGAAACTGTGTCAAACGCACGCAGTGTGTCGACGTCGAACGGGTGTCGGGCTTGGTATGGCGAATCTTTCATGTACACCAAGGGGGCGAGTTCCAATGATGCTTCATCCAACACTCGTCGATGGGGCATCTCGTAAATGTTAAAAACTGCAACACAGTTCTCCAGGACCCACTTTGGATCGGGAGGCTGAAATAGGGGTGGCATCTCGAAGGTTGACGACATGGGTGAGATCGGTGTTGAAACCACCTCATGAGCATCATCAGAGTCTGCATCTTGATCCCAAGACGCCGGCGCCAATTCAGGCGTTGGGGAAGATTGTTGAGGTGGGAGCGGTAATGATGTGTAGAACGATCGATTTGAGGGAACCTTTGGCATGGCAGACGAAGAGGCCTCAACAACATCAGATTCAACTCGGGCACGTCCTCTTGATGTCCGGGCCGGCTGATATGCGCTACGAGGCACCGAGTTACGAAGTGAGGCCAACAGTGGAATGTCATCAACGGAAGGAAGATAATCGCGAGTTTCTGGGGTGTAGTATGCGACTACAGAGGCGCAGTATTGCTCAGTCGAAACATACCATGACGAGCACTATTTGTTCATACCTAGATGCCACTTTCTGCGACCCACTGGAGTCTGAACATGGACCGAGTAGGTCTGCTTAACCAACTGATTCGGACGCCTGAAGTTAAGAATGTTTAGTCACGATGCGCATTATCAGGTCACATTTCACGTACATCGCTGCAGCGATGTACTCGTCATTCACATCTGGAAGCTTTTCTTGGTAGAATAAGAAATCCTGAAAATTTCTGTAAATTCACAAAAGAAAATGAAGCAAGGCGACCACGTACCAGCTTCACTTTGGAACAACTCCATCTTCTACCATCGGTCCAGCGCTCAATTCCGTCCTAAGGTAGGCCGTAAGACCGGTCAAATGTGGCGCAACAAAGAAAAGCCCACACACCCCAGTAGCCTCTATCGATGAGCTTCTTTCTTCCCAAACGAAGACACAGCCAGTATGTATAGCTCGTCTCTCCTCTACAGTCAGTCTACGAGTATAAAGCTGAAGGTGACCTAACGCCACAGCGTGAAAAATCCTGTTGGCGTCGTCCGTGTGGCGTATACGAATGCCAGTGCAAGTTGGTGCTTGAGGCAACATATGGAGTTTCGAGAGGATAGCACAGGGTGAGTGTAGTGGATGAGTCGAAGAATGTTATGCGCGAGGCTCTTGTATGGCTTTAAGCAGTACGAGACTCGCTAATTGACCGAGATACCGGGATTCCTTCTGTATTTGATGGGCGTGTGAGAAGAAGTCTGAGAAGACGTCTGCCGACAAACCATCACTAACAAGGGCTATTATGCCTGTCACGGACTGATCCTGGAACAGGCCACGATGGTTGCGCTCGACACAAGTCCAGTTTCCCCACCCGATGAAGACGTGTTCATTGGATTATGGACATCTGCTTCAAACCTTCAATGCTTACCGGACACTGGCAGCATCAACCAAAGGGTAAATTAACAATTGTAAGAGGCTGAATAATCCACGATAAGGTTCAACAAAGCCTCAGGCTGGCGCTGATCATCGTCAATGTTACAAGGTGTTAGATTCATCTTCGTCGCGGACAACTACAAGGTGTTACCAACGTTTTGATCTTGCTCGTAACATGATGTGAAGGGGGGCAGAAGGTCAGAAAGACAAGGCCTGAAATACCCAAGAGATTGATCAACCAGGCAATCATACCACATGCCGATCGGTCAATATGGCGTGAATGCCAGGGCTTTGGCCAGGGCATCCGATATACAAGCAAAGCCCGTTTGAATGACAAATAGATTAATATGACACCGATCATTCCGCGCTTTGTTTATCAGATTTCTTACTCCTACCTGCGGGCGATTCGGTGGTTTCCAACTGTGTCACAGCCGTCGCTCTATCTGCACGAGAATCATGTTCTTCCAGACCGAGTACTTGTGTCTATGATTTTGTGGGCCGCAGCTGAAGCATTCAACGATGGGCGTGACTGCCATTACATACTGGACCCCGCATAGTAATCCATAGGATCTCTTGAATCAATTTACTGCACAACCTTCGTGCAGTCTTCGAGATTGGCTTTTCAATCTGAGTTAGATCTTCATTGGTTAGTAATTCATCACAATGGCAGCCATTCTAAGTCTCCTTTTTCCACATGTAGTGAAACGGTTCAAATACCTATTTTGAGGGATTGACCGTCCAGCCAATGTCTACATTGGTTACCTGGAACGCTCTCGAACACTCGAACAAACTACGGAGCAGACGTCTACTACCTCCTGGGCGATGGCTACTGTCAATCTTCAACGTCCGTCGCAATACTTCCCGTGGAAACAGCACTTTATTGAATGTGTAAGACTTATTGGTGCCTTTTCAACGACCTTAAAGCAGCACTGCTGTTTACATCCAGTATATCTACTAGGCGTAATTCGGTCGAAGGGCGGCGATGAGAAGGGGAATTTGATGGTCTGCTCAGTGCTGTCTTTCGGTCCCACTTCGCCCTTAGAGCGATCAGCTGTAATCTAGTTGTGACTTCGTTCAAGACGCAGTACTAAAGCACTTCATAAATCATGTGGGAACATGGCGACAGTCTTGATGTTCCCCGGATAAAGAAGATGCTCTCGTAGCCCATGATTTAATCTTCCAGATCATTACTCAGGTCAGTATCTGCATGTGGTTTTTGTACTAGAAAGGATCTATTAACTTCTGGCCAGGTCCTTATAACGCCAAGTCCTGATTATAATGGTTTATTGGGCTCGGAAGCAAGTATAACCTTCATTAGATGGACCGTAGAATGGGGTAAAGGCATCCGAGTCGCTTTCAGTTCTGGCCTAGTATGTCCCGAGTCGGAGATCATACTGTAAGGTGAGTACAAACTCATTGCATTTGTTGTCACTCTCCCAGTATGATATATACCCTCCGAAACAGAATATTTCTGTAAAGTGAATTCCTGTGCCAAGCCTGGATCTCCAGTCCGAGCTGGCAAGCTGAGCCCACGAATGCAGTTCACCTCCGAGCGCTAGGCACCAAAATTAGCAATACGCACAGCTTGTCGGGGCAGTTGCAGCTTGTGTCGGCCAGATCGCTCACGATCTATTGGCGCTTCCAAGTTTGAGACCACTCTGTTGCCAGCCGGCGCAATGCAGTGAAATGTGTATAAAATGCGTTTGTCGAGATGCTGTGATTTAGTAATCCTTCTTCTTCTCTTCTTACTCTCTTCTTTACCTTTTCTTTCATATTAGAACGTAATGGCTGTTGTCAAGCTGTCAAGCGTCTTCCTTGCATTTTCTTTCTCGTTATGTTCGCAAGCAATCCGAATCCCCTCGCAAGATCTCGTTCGACGTCAGGATGTGGCCGGTCTCAATTTTCTGAATGAAACGAAAGGCGATGTCATCTTCACGGACAAGGAGCAGGATTATTTCTACACTTTTGTAACAGTTGATGATTCTTCAGTAGCTGCTGCCGTCGACACGACTGTGTACGTTGCTTTTAGTCCGACGTGCGAAATTGACCTGACGCGTTTGATGTACAGCGGGGACCTTGGAGTGTCTGGTGGCCTATCTAATGTTCAGACAACAGGCGAATCTGCTCCCTGGAAGTACGCAGGAATCCAGTCTGTGCAAGGTAAGTCGGAGAATGTTCACGACTGAGCATGTTCTCACCGTGCGCTTCTGTACTAGCGAATGTGGCAAAAGCTCATATAGGGCTTGCTGGTGCTAATTTAACGGATCAGCAATATTGTATGTATTTTTCATGGGGATTTTAAATCACATTCTTGACATCCTTGCTGCAGTGTGGACCTCCAATGATCCGCAAGGCTTCCCGTACACCATCGGCGACAAGTTACCTCATGGTGTGCTCGGACTTGGACCTTCATCAACTTCTGCTATCAAGTCAAATGATTCATCGGCCTTGAGTCCATTGGACAGCTGGGTGGCCAGTTATGGTGGCAATTCTCCCTATGTGACCATCCTCTATTCCAAGAACGAGCTCGATAAAGGCAATGATTACGCCTTCGCCGGTTTCATCAGTTACGGAGAGATCATAGACCTTCCGAAGTATTTCGGCGTGGCGCCCGAACAGTTGGAACCTTTCGGGCTTCCTGATCTGAGCGCCATATCAAATATGCCCGTTGTCCCTATCAGCAGTTCGCAGACCATCTTCATTGACGATGTTCGCGTGGGGAACATTTCTCTGGCCATTAACTCCTCAATTTCTGGTGTTCCGTCTGGCAAAGTGGCGGCTCAAGTGCAATCGGCCAATCCTTATATTGTTCTTCCTAAGCAATACGTGGATGCTATCTACGGATCCGTGAGCGGAGCTATCTACTCCGCTGATGACCAAGTTTACTATCTCCCTTGCACGACGGAGATCTCTGTCACAATTGTCATTCGAGAGAAGGAGTACCTGATCAGCCCGTTGAATACTGTGGCCCTTTCCGATAAAGACGGGATCTGCATTGGCAAGGTCTGTTGTGAATTCTACCCTCCTGTGGTATGATTCTCATATGATATGTATGAGCAGTTCAAGGTGTCAAGCGGCTTGAGCTATCAATATGATATAGCCCTCGGCAACCCATTCCGTGAGCGTTGCGGTTCTTCACTCTTTTGATGAGAATCTAACCCTTCATCTTCAGTCGAGAACGCGTACGCTGTGTATGGCTACCAGAACGTTACCGATGGTCAGGGTCAAAGCCCTTACTGGAAGTTCTTGAGCATCACGGACGCTAACGATACCGCCCAGCAGTTTAGTGAATACCGGAAAGGCAACAGCACAACTACCGGTTCTGCTTCTACCATAGTTTTCCCCGCTGTCACCTCTGCCGGTCTCTCTTCCACAATCTCTTTTATCCCCACGTCGACATCACCTCCCATATCCTCTACAATCGTCTTCGCCCCCCCAGTGGCTCCCGTCTCCTCGTCTTACTCGTCGTCACCTACTATCGAGTTCTCATCTATCGTCACTTCTTCAATAGAGTCTATCTCAACAAGTAGCGACAGTGCTGCTCAAACTATTTCCACGCCAGCGACTACCAGGTTTATGACTGTTACCGTCACTCCTACACCTGCGACCACAAACCTTGGTGGATCATCGCTGGCTTCTCCCTCGCAGGATAAGACCGGTTTGACCCTTGCTGGTAATCTCGAAACTGACAGTGACGGTGACAATGAGTCTATTGCCAGCGTTCTGGGCCAGGTATGTAGCGAAATGCCTCCTTCCATTTCAACCATTCTGACTTATGTACTCGTCATTAGATCAAGTACTGGGTTCCGTCCATAATCGTTGGCCTTGCCGTCCTGCTCATTATCTCGATAGTGGGAATCATCTTCATAGTTGTCAACCGCCGTCACAACAGAACACATACCAAACCGTCTGCATACAGGAGTCTGCATGAGAGCTCTGGTCCAGTCAACGTTCCCTTGTATGGCGCAGAGGAGGAGCAAGGTCATGCTGGATACTCTGATCCTTATACCGACAAGCCGTAAAAGGCTGTCGTTGGATGATCGCTTAAGCAACCTGGGGGCGATGATTGTATTGCTTACTGTAATTTCGTCCTGTTTATACATTACCTTCATTCGTAATTGCGTGTACCATGATGCACTTTTAACAGACGCTTTCAGTAGTATAGTCTGTGTCGTATTTAAATACCTTCATTGTACGGTCATGATCTATCTGCCTGACTGAGCCGTTTTGGCGAACTTCTGATCAAAGATTTTTTGTCATATTCGTCATGCACTATGAGGATGTTCAGACAACTCGAGGACCAAAGCATCTAACACGGACCTCGTGCTGAATATTACTTTCATCTCGTTAGCTGAATATTCGTGAACTTTAAGGCAATGAGATTTAATGTACCTCATAAGTCCAGAGAGTCTTGTTCATGTTTTGAAATATATTCCTTCTCTTAGCACGCACCAGAGTCCTTCCAACTATCACTGCAGCCGTTTCCGGTCATCGAGAGGTCTTTTCAAATATTGACAGGACACAGCAACGCCGCTGGCTCGACCAATAATAACCTGACTTCTCCAATTGGCAATCGAGCTCTCCACGTGGCAATTCTTCTTCAATCTATGATCGAGTCAAGCTCGAGGTTGGAGATATCGCGGTGAATGTTTCTTCGTCTCCCTCATCGTTCTCCTCTGTCTCGTCATTACCTTTCCACTCGTGCATTTTGTATATCTACTGTGGAAAAGCCTGTAAAGGGAACTATGTCTGTGCAGCAACCGGTATGGACGCCACCCGTACGCAGGAAGGAGATTCCTGTCCTCAAAGTCTACAATTCGCTCACTCGAAGTAAAGTCTGTTGCTTCGAGTACTTCCGACCCCTCAATATTTACCTGAGACGATATACTCTAGACCGAATTTGTGCCAATTAACGGGAACCTCGTCAAGTGGTACAACTGTGGACCAACGGTATACGATGCTTCACACATGGGACATGCCAGGTGCGAGCACATCCTGCCATCTTCGTCGTATCCATACCTTCTGAAAGCTATCCTTAGGAGTTATGTGACTCAGGATATTCTAAGAAGAATCATGACGGACTATTTTGGTTACGATGTCCATTTCGTCATGAACATTACCGACATAGACGACAAGGTCAGTTTACCGATTCATGAACGATTCCCCAACGTCATAGATGACATGTCCTTGCAGATTATTCTCCGTGCTCGTCAAAACTACCTATTCGACAACTTCCGTGCCAAGCATACCACCTTAACTCCAGAACTCGTAGATCTCGTCGTCACTGCATGGACAGACTACGTCCAGTTGAAAGTCTCGAAGGGTCTTCCCGAATCTGACAAAATTCAAGTAGGCCAGGAACAAACTGCTTGGACATCAATAGCCGCTCGATTCCAAGACAGAGCTTGGAGGCAGGAATGCCTCAAACGAGATGAGAAATTCGAGATGCATTTCTCCGCAGCGGTTAGTCAACCTGTGGTCATCATCGCGATTTTCATTTACCCTTCTCTTGCCAGAATAAGACTCTGGCTGCGATCGAGGAAGCAGAGAAGTCGTTGGGGAACCAGACAGGCGCCGACGTCACCCTAAAGTTCATTGATGCATCGAAAGACGTCCTTGCACCTGCTCTGGACAAGAAGGTATTTTCCTAAGGCATCGATTTCCTTTCTCCGAGTAACCAAAGGTGTTTATCCGTGTATCAGGAAGGTTCAACGGTCACTGACCCATCTATCTCCCGTGCTACGGCCACTTATTGGGAGGCTGAGTTCTTCAAGGACATGCGTCGATTGCGGGTGCGCGAGCCAGACACGCTTACACGTGTAACGGAGTATGTTCCGGAAGTTGTCTCCTTTGTGGAAGGCATTGTCAAGAACGGATTTGCATATGAGGTCGATGGAAGCATTTACTTCGATACTCGCGCCTTCGACAAATCAGAAGGTCACGATTACGCTAAACTTGAGCCGTGGAGCAAAGGGAACCGGGAATTGCTTGAAGAAGGCGAAGGTGCGTCTTCCGATGTCGTCTTCCATGTCCCGCTGAACCTCAGCTGACTGATCTCTAGGTGCCCTCTCCGCTGGAAGCGCACGCCGCTCAGCAGCAGATTTCGCATTGTGGAAAGCATCGAAACCCGGGGAGCCATCTTGGCCCTCGCCATGGGGTCCCGGACGCCCAGGGTGGCACATTGAGTGCTCTGTCATGGCGTCAGCAATCTTCGGTGACAGTATGGACATCCACTCGGGTGGCATCGATCTGGCGTTTCCTCACCATGACAATGAAATGGCGCAGTCTGAGGTCTGCTTATGGTCATTCTGTTTTTTGTAATGTTGGTTCCTGAATTCGGCATCTCTAGGCATACCATAATTGTTCGGCATGGGTGAACTACTTTATCCATACTGGGCACTTGCATATCGAGGGTTTGAAGATGAGCAAGTCGCTCAAGAACTTTATCACCATCGATGTGAGGCTATTTCCTGCTTTTGGTCACTGAAGTGCTTAACCTCCGTTGCAGGAGATCTTACAAAAGTACTCGGCACGCCAATTGCGACTAGCCTTCTTAACACAACTCTGGAATGCCAAAATTGACTTCTCTGAGTCACTGATGACAGGCGACGTTCGTACCATCGAAACTTCGTTGAACGTAAGTCCGTTTGCAACACAAACATCACTTCACATTCTTACACACGTTCCAGAATTTCTTTGCCAATGTCAAAGCATTGCTCAATCAAGCGCAAGTAGACGGCCATCCGCTGGACGCACAACATCGCTTCCGCGATGTGGAGCGGGAGCTTACTGACAGGTTAGAAGATGCCCACCCTAACTGTTTGCCTGGCCGTTCATATGGTTCTTATGATATTGTGCGAACAGATTGCATCATAGCCAAAGCGCCTTCCGCGCCGCTCTCTGCGACTCATTCAATACCCCGGAGGCCTTGAACATTCTCAGAGAACTAGTTTCGCGCACCAACGTGTACATCAATACACGAGGTCCCAACCTTGATCTCGGCGTCATAGAGAGAATAGCCAGATGGCTGGGTCGTATGCTCCGCATGTTTGGTTTAGGTGAAGGTGAGACTTCGGAGATTGGTTGGGGTCAGGAGCAGTCATATGAAGATGGAAGCGTTAACGTACGTCCGCTTTACTCTCTTATCCGGTCCCGCAATAATAAGATTCGATATCATTGTTGTCCATTCATAGCGTGAGGAGATACTCATGCCATACATTCGAGCCTTATCTTCCTTCCGAGATGGTGTCCGGAAGGTTGCTATCGCGAAAGGCGAGAATGCTCTGAAAGATATCCTGGCGCTCTGCGACAGGCTCCGTGATACGGATCTAGTCCCTTTAGGTGTCGCGTTGGACGATGTAGAAGGTAAGCCACAACAAATAGCGTTAGCCTTTACCCTTCCATGCCGTTATTGATTTACTTTAATAGATGGGAAGGCTCTCGTAAAGCTGGTGCCCCCTGCTGAGCTAATAAAAGCCCGTGAGGAGAAACGTGCACAGGCCGAGGCCAAGGCCGCAAAGAAGGCGGTGGCGATTGAAGCCGAACGACAGGCCAAACTCGTTAAACTGGAGAAAGGACGCACATCTCCTCAAGAGTTATTCAGACCTCCGAACGTGCCGGAGGGCACTTACACCACCTGGGACGAGAATGGCATACCCCTTACGGACGGAGAGGGCAAAGAACTGAGCAAGAATCAAGCGAAGAAGGTTCAGAAGGCGTATTCAGATCAGAAGAAACGTCACGAGGAATTCCTAGCATGGCAGAGGGAACAGGGAAACTGATCTATATTCACATGTACTACGTCTTGCTGTATACATACACATTCATTGAGTTCTCCGTTCAAACACCGTCTGAATGTTTGAGATCATTCGTCCAGGTCACCAATCGCATGCATTGACCACCAAATCTGCTATTCTGTTCAATCCCTTCACGTCATGTTCATCAAACCCTCCCGGAGCCAAGCAATCAAGATCCAGCACCCCTACAACGACGTTATTTTCACCCTGGCGGCGCAAGATCAAGGGGCAAACGATCTCGCTCTTGGTCTGTCCGTCGCAAGCGATGTGCCCCGGATAGGCCTCGACATCTGGAACTAGTTTTGTTTGGGCCTGGAGGAAGGCATCTGCGCAGACCCCTCGAGCCTTTCCAGGAGTCACGTTTATGAGTTGACACGCTGGTTTACCGCAGAATGGAGCCAGAAGCAGTTTTCTAGCAGTTGGCTGGGGTTGTTGTCCCGGGTCTACTTGGACGTATCGCGGAGTAGGGAACAATGGAGAGTCTACATAGAAACCTGCAAGCGTACTAGTGAGTACCGCGAATATCGCAGAAAAGTAATTTTTACCGACCACACCAGTTGACAGCCCTTTCGCCATCACCAAAATGGGGCGTGTATGCAAGAAGCGAACTGTAGATTAAAGACGATGCATTCGCCAGGTTCGTGACCTACCCGTCAATTTATTGGGAGATAAGTAAGAGTCTGTGTGATGTAAACTTACCCAACTACGTTGGCCCTCTAAAAGAGCGGCAAGTTGCTCATAAATATGCTGCCAAAACTGCTGTTTTGACAACCCAGAAGGCACGTAGGCCGCATCCGCGTGTGGCATGTTTAACGAGCTTCAGCTTCAAAGTTCGCATAAGAAATTAGAGGCGTAGCCAATATTGATTAGATTAGATCGCGTGTGTAGCCGCTCGCTCGCTTGTATAGATGATCTACAGGCGAGTGCCACTGGGTGGAAGCTGCGACCTGCCAGCTGTCTACGACCTTCATCTAGAGCACTTCGTCTGACCATGGCACCGTATCTTGAAACCGTTAAGGTACAGCGACATTGGTGATGATAGGGTGTTCAAATTGAATAGCTCTTTCCTCTCAGTCGTTCGCAGATGTCCCGATCACCGACGCTGGCGTCGACACTGTTGCATTTCTAGAGGCTGCACAGGGCGTGGTTGGGCTGTTTGGTACGTGGCATATTCATCGTGAATGCAACTAGTCTTAGCGTCCTGCAGACCTACTCGGTTCGGCTGCCTTTACGCCCGTACAAGCCGACTTGAAGGGCAACATCATTGTAAGCATGCTCCTTGCAGCTTTCTCTGCTGGGGCTTAGAATATCTGTAGAAAGTTCGCGCAAGATATAACGCCCATCCTGAGCTCTCGACTACTCTCGAACAGCTGGTAGAGAATGAGAAGAATGAGAAGAAACGTGTCGCAACCGAAGGATTGCTCTGGTTGCTCCGTGGCCTTTCCTTCACTTGCAAAGCCCTCCAGATCGCGCAGGCTAATCACACGGAGGAACTTGCCTCTGCGTTTGGCAAGTCATATGAGTCGACCTTAAAGAAGTTCCATAACTTCGTCGTTAAGGGAATCTTTGCAGTAAGCGGTACTTCGTCACATTGGCCTGACAAACCGCTTATCTCTTCTCATAGGTAGCAATGAAGGCGTGCCCGTACAAGGCGGACTTCTATGCCAAACTTGCTGCCGACCCTGCTGGCGGACCTCCGATTTCCCAGGACAAGCTGAACGAGGAACTCAATACGTGGCTGGCTGCACTTGATGCTATTGTTACGAGAATGCAAACATTCTATGAGACTGGCGGACATAACAAAGGATTATAAATTAGCAAGTAATATTACCAACATACATACCCATGAAGAAGTTGCTTCATAGCTTTTGAACAAACTTGCGGGTGCCGTATGGCAAAATTCAGTCATTGACGTAACGTGCAGATAATTCAATGTCATGCCGACTTGACTTAGTGTTTCTCGAAGTTCATCATGTGGACTGGGGATGCAGTAGTAAGGGAGTAACATGGCTAGTATTGTATTGCATGCATGTACCACATACCAGGACCCGGCTTAATGGAGTTTGCCAAGAAGTTGAGAATATGTGTCTTATGTCGCATCCGGAAGAACACAAAGGTGAGCAGCAGACAGATGGTCAGGAGACTCGCAGGCGTTAGGTTGAGCAGTTCCAGGGTTCGAAGCAGAAGGATGAACTCGGCCCTGCATTCTGCATGCGCATTGTATGTTGCAGACTTCTAGGAAGCAATGCAGTGGGGCCGAACATTCTGTAAACAAGCTGCCTCAAGATTCAATACGTAACTGAGCTTGTCACGACACTACGCCGATGCGCAGATTGCGCAGATACGCTCGATTAACCTTGTTAACGTTATCCGAATCTCTATCATGATGAGAAGAAGAAGCAAGTGACTTACTAGCGAACAGACGGTCAATACCCCAAAGCTAATTTCGTTGTATGAGAGTCGGCAACAGGGCATTCCAAGGTTTCGTAGTGGACCACGATGATCAGCAAAGATTACAGTCACAGAAGACGAAATGGGTGCCTGAGTACTAAGGGAAGGAATCAGCTTGCCTTACAGAGTGAATTATACCATACCTCGCAAACTGTGGGGACGTAACTTCCGAGAATCGTTTATGGGGCATCAAAAGTTCCGGGCGAGGGTAAGAATATATTTTGAGTTACCCCCACGTTATAGTGGTCAATGCTGCTATCGCCGTACATGGAGCCTCCAATACTCGTGGAATATGATAGCGCGGTTAATACGGCTCACAGTCAGGCGATACACGGGGGCAAATAGGTGGAATGGTGAGTTTGTAGAAGGACAGCGTGCTTCGGGTACCGTGCCGCGATCCACCAAGCATCGAAAGGAAACACACCGCAATCTGGCGACTGTGAATCTCAAGCCTTACACCAATATTCCAACCGTCCAGGAACGCTGAAATCCACATCAGAAACTCTGCAGGAATGCATAGAAGCGGAGACGAAGATCCGTAGCCAGACGCTGAGGCAACCGCGATATCATCTAGACCATGCATGTCTGTATAGGAGATATCATCCGTCAAAACGATAGCCTACGGAGCTTCTCGAAAACAAAACTAAGAATGGATCATCGTGGTCGTAATGGATCCATGCAAGAGCGACCGAACAACCCACATTTGTAACGGGTCATGAAAACCCAACCTTCTGTACATACATTCTCCACCTGATACAGTAGGAGATTGACTTGGGGGATTAACATAGGGAACCTCTCCATGTAGACATACCGTGTATCTATGCAAGCGTCCTCAACAGGTGGCTGTGAACATGAAACTCGCGCTGACAAGTAATTGTTGCCGTGTCACTCGGACAATTGAAAGGCAGTACGCAAGTGGAAAAGTCCTGCAGTGAAAACAATGGAGATGACCTTCCAGGTCTAGAAAACTACGTCAATTGATTCCGACTGCAATACGCCATTGCGATTCATAGAGCACGTCTGGAGAGTGTTCCTAAACAATTCCACCGAGATGCAAAAGTGTTCCAAACATAGAGACCTTCAATATCCGGGTTTAGCTGCGAGGAGTCACAGTGGCTATCAGAGGGTTCCGAAATATCGGTTTAAAGCCCCGGGACGGAATGCGAGTCTTCAAGCCTAGCCAAGGTAGCTCATGACACGAACCTAGACTCAAAGCAAGGCTGTTCTCATTCTAGTCCGCTATGCGAGTATGAACGATGACCATCAGAAGGGATTCCAAAGACATTCGAGAAGGTACGCCTTGAGGTAACTTCCAACTGACTTTCTGAAACCTTTGGCACGATGGATTTACAGCGTGAATGAAAGATACGATCTCACGGAGGCATAGGGGAGTCTCATCTGAGAAGCTTGGCGAAAATCCCTCGCACCTATCCCGGAGAAATTGACGATTGTTGGAGGCCTCTTTCAGGCCCTAGCGGGGGTGAAGTTCGCACAGGCTGGTCGCTTGCGGGATCTAGAACACCACCAGTACACACTCTTTTCTGACGTGCCCTGAAAACGACACGAATAAAGATGATTCGGGGATTGAGAGGGAATACTGGGAGTAAAATGGTCCCATGTAACCGTTGTTCGAGACCAATGAGCGCTTTGAGATTGCAATTTTGGGTAAAGTCACTATGGCAAGAAACAATCATGCCGCCGTACCTGGTGAACATGTCCGGCATATGTAGCCTTGCCCTCCCTTGTAGGCGAGGCTTGGATAGTACACATGCTTTCATACCAGACATAGCGCATCGGCAAGTGAGGCCACGATGAAAGCTTCTGTCTAAACCATGGATGAATTGAGCAGTCGTCGTTCAGTATTAGTTCGTTTACCAATCGCGCCATTTAGTCTCGGCAGGCGGACCCGGATCGGCGACCAAAACGCGCTTCAGGGTTGGGCGGGATGGAACACGATTCCCGCGAATGCTGCTGTCTGTGCTGGTCTGATCCATGGACCTTAGAACATACTCGCACCCGGGTGAACGAAGTGGTGTTTGCAATACCGCCGTTCTAAAATGCTTTTATAAAGGTGGGTGGAGCATTATTGCGTCAGCCATCGTATTGACACCAACGTGAACAGCAGATTTGGAGACCGTCCGGGTCTTTCGCGTATAATGAAAGAAATACACCTACAGTTGTACCGATAACAGAGAAGACGGGGTCATAAAACGGCCCAGAGGAAGTAGATGTTGAATACCATGAGTGTGCACTCCTGTTCCGAAGTTCAAAGATCACTATTGGCCAGAGCCATGCTGTGTATCTTTGGCAGGATCGAATAACGTAGATATATAAAAACTCACTGATTGGGCAGACGTGACGTCGAAGGCGATTATTTGTAATCGAGACCTGTCGAGAACGACCGAGGTTTACAATGAGAGAGAATATTTGACGTACAGATGACCCCTTCACTGGCGTGAGTAAACTCGGCTGGAAAATAATTCCTCCCAATCAGGAAGCGACTGGATTCGTTGAACGGCAGAATATGCTGATCTCGATATTCTCGCGTTCAGTTCCCAACCGCAGCACAGGGTCTACCATGAGAAAGATCGCTCTTCGCAGACTCGTGCGTGCGCGTCGGTGTTCCGGAAACAGTTAGAAGCAAGATGATATCAAATGGACCTTCTACCGCTGGGACCGAGCAGTCAATTCGATTTCCTTCTTGCTGCGAGAAGGCCCGAGAAAGCCAGTATGGCAACTTGCTGCCCCTGCATAGAGCCGCATTTGCGGGGCGCTGCAGATTCATCACAGCGTCAGGAGCATGTGAGTAGCGAGATTAGGTTCAGATGAAATTAGAGTCTGCCTTTGACTACAATCTCGTAACATCCGGTCCCCCCAACCTTAGACATCGTCGCCTGCTTAAACTTGACATTGCCAGGTGCGCGGCTGACAAGTCTTCACGGCGCCCTTCCGATCCAAACTTTCGGATATGTCATTGGACACGGTGATAACATGCGTGCGGATTCTAGCCTCGCTACCCTTTGTACCTGTATAAATACTCCTTCGTTGGTCAGCCTATTCCTCCATCATCTCTCTCCACAGATATGCAACACCCAACCTGTATCAATCTGCGTATTCGAAACGTTGCCGATGCCAATCCGTTTGTTCCTTCACCAATCCCATTTCTCCCCGCTACTGACCTAGAACGGCCCAGGGTCCTTCACGCGGTCCGCCTTAACATCCTGCCCATGGTTCATCGCCGACTGGATGACCAGGAACGTCTCGCTTTGCGTCCCGGCTCCGTTTACGTCTGGGAGGAGCGCAGCAACAACCCCCTTGAAGCTACCGGTCAGGAAATCCAGCGCTTTACGGAGGGTACGTGAATGAGACCATTATTCCGCAATTTGAGAATCCTGACTGTGACCGTAGGTCGCTGTTGGGGCCCTAGTCGAGCTCGGTACGCTTTCGCTCAGATTGGTTTTATGACAATTCGGCTAATATCTGCCTATTAATAGAGAGGTGATGTTCAACGTTACTCGTAAGAACCTTCCGGACTAAGACAATGTCCCCTTTAGGACTTCTTGTTATATTACGAGAAGGAAGCTACCAATAAATCATCGATTCTGCAGAGAATTGGAAGTCTCAGGTAGGTTGCCTGCCAACAAATCAATGCTCGTACTAATCCCTTTTGAGCAGCGAGCCTCTTATCAAGCAAACGTACTCAGTGTACATCAACGGGTCTAGGAGTGGCCCGAAGTGGCATCTCAGTGCGTAACGCAGTGACTTCGATGGATTCGCTCCTGATGATCTTGGATCAGATGCATACTACACGCACGAAACCGCTGACCAACTCCGAACAGTCGACCAGATACCCGCACTCCGAAATATCCAGGTCCCTGATAGTTTGTACATTCCATCTCGCTCAACTGCTGCTCGCAGAAGCTCGAGACCAAGCGGCGGCCAGCGATCGTCATTGGACGAAGGTACCGTCCGCGAACCCCAAAATAGCCGTTCTTCAGACCCTCCGCCGCAAGCTCATCGCCTTCCTCAGTCCTCTTCATCCTTCGGGCCAACATTGCGCCCTATTCGACCGGCGGCAAAGCCTACTGACGATGAAGAAGACTTCCCTCGGTTGGCCCCGTTGGAGTACCTTGAGAATATATCCCCTCCAAGACGCCACAATATCGACGACGACTATCTTAGGCAGTTTCGAAATGTCTCCTGCATTTAGGTTGTCAGGGATTCCATAAAGGTTTACGCTTATGACTCGACATCGTTAAACGTGCTAGATTACACATGCCTTCTTCTAGTCTATGGTATCTCTATTCCTGTATATTATACAATTGACAACGAGCGAACCCGAACGCCACTATACACATCGCTTCGAGAGTATTCAATTGAAGCCTTTTAAGCGGGGGGATCATGCGTGCCTTGAGTTTCAGAATTGAGGGCATAAGTAGCGTACTTACATGAACCGATTAGAATCTGCGCAAACCGGGAGAACAAGTTGCCAGTACGAACAAAGAAAACGGGCACGACAGGACGGGGGCTGACACTTTATAGCCTTGACGATAACACTGACGTTAATAGTGACATCACAGGTAAATAGCACATGTATTCACCAAGGCAGCCCATCACGTCTGCCGTCGTCAAAAAGTCTGTTTCATGATGCTTGATGTGCTCGAGGAAACGAGATTGGAAATTCATTCTACAAACCTACAGAAGGTCCACACTAGATGACAAAACTTGACCAATGAACGACAATGACCCGCCATGCATGAATAATCATTGAATAGCTAGCGCTGCAACCGTAATTCGGATTGTACACGTTGGCAAGCGTGCCGAGGAAACTATTTGAAGAAGTGACAGCAGGCACCGCGCCCGGTGCCGGAAACGAACTGAAAGATAACTATTGAACCTGCTTTTTTGTCAAGAAGGTATGCGACACGGGGTCGCCAAAGGCTCCGGCAACTTCCGCGGGGTGGATGAAACGGTGGTGGGCTAATAGTAGACTGTGTGGACGTCGTTGCACCCACTAGGGATGATTCCGATAACAAGGTGGACGTTCGCAGGGTCCATCGTGAGTAGTGTAACTAGAGGTAATCAGCAGACTCTCAAGATCGGCGCAAGGTGAAAACAATCACTGAAAGTGGAAATCGGCAAGACGATAAGTTCAGTCCCCGATAAGACTTTTTTGTTCAAATTCGCATGATCCTCGACATTCCGTCATATTGTATATGAGGGGCCCTACGCTGAGAACTAGGTCAACCGATACCGATGATCATGTGTACGGCTGTTCCGATTGGCCAGCCGCAGACAGTCCCGCAATGTTGTCAGATGTGACAACGATTAACTATGTGAAGAAATCGATCAAGTGGTCCAAGCATCCACAAGCTGTACACAAACGACGGTATTTGATCGGGGCTTCTTGACGATACTTATTCTGTCCGATGGTTGAGCCAGCCGGCCCCCCGAGAGTCAGGTAACTCATAATGGTTGTCTCCGAGCAAGATGCTGTAACACGAAATGCAGCTTTAGTATGGTCCAATGCTACACAGCGACTGCATTGCACGCACTGAAAGATCTGCGGGATCGTCATCGGGGTTGTGGTCAAGAAGTGAGATATGGGCGTCAAGCCTGGCATTCTTCTATTATGTCTTAGCAGTTTGAGTTTGAAGCCGGCAGTTCACGACTAAAGAAAGATGCCTCACTTATTATCGTTGAAACTACCGCATAGCTTGAGAGCCGAAGCGTTTTTGAAGTAGGGTATGTTTTACATGTTGAGCGGTCTTTGGGTGGTAATTGTGAAGTCATAAGAGGATATTATGACGACTGTCTATGCAAGCATCCTGAGGGACTTCGCAAAATCTAGAGAAATGAGTAGCTTCTCTCCGAAAGCCCCCGATCCCCCCTCACCACTCAGCACATGCGAATCCGGGAGTAGGGATACGCAGGGAGTACAGCTGGCTGGTACGCAGAAACCGACTTTGTGCATAGTTGAAGTGACTCGGTGGCGACAAATTAGAGGTGGTGAAATTCTTGTATACAGGGGTTGGTTGCGCATTCAATGCTGTTCTTGAATAGCTAGCTACATATGGAAAGGAGCCACGCTTCAGCAATGCCGCACCCTGCCAGTGGCTACATCGTGGAACTAGAACTCAAAACCTTCCGTAGGATTGGCAGACCAGATGCCAAAGTCAGAAGAACTGCGTGTATTTTTCGAGCGCCGCGTACCTTACACGACTCAAGTACACCCTTTGTGGTGCCAATAAACTTCATTAAAATCGCTCACTGATTCGGTAACCTATCCGACCTGATATCCAGAATAACGAAAAACGTGTGCGGCGTGAGCCTGGCAGACTAAGAGAAGCTGCACAAAGGCCGGATGGAAGATCGGCGGGGGACTTGGCTTGTTCCTGGAGTCAATGACTGGAGTTATCCTTCTTCAAATCAACGCACGGTATCTGGCACGCGCGGCCAAGATATCCCATCACTAGAATGATCCAGAATGATCTAAGAATATCCGCAACAGTGGGTTTGGTGAAAGCAAATATGATGTTGTAATGGAAGAGACTATGGGACTAGGGCTTTTTTCCGCCGGACGACGGCACCTTTGAATCTGGTAACCCGATACCACAAACACCGTTTCAACTGGGAAAAGAGAATTGATACAGGGACGAGGACCGAAGATACATGCTACTCACGGGATCTCCATGCAGCTGTGAAGAAGAACGACCACGGGTGATCCAGAACACTCCGGCAGTCGTCGCGAGACGGGCTATTAGTAGGCCGATACATGCATCTGCGCAGTTTCCTTTGCCTTGGTAGCCTTATTGAGAGCACATTGTCCGAATATTGGCTATTGTACCCTCAAAGAACTACCGGAGCATTAGTTGAGCAGCTCACAAATCAACGTCAAATGAAACCCCAACGAGGTATGCACACCTCCGTGGGTCCCAAGGAAGTGCCAAGTATGGCATCTATTATGAACAGGTAGTTCGAAGACTGAATGCAGAGGTAGGTCTTGGAAGTCCGGTTTCGGACATGGTATGTGCAAAGCCGTTAAGCACGTCCAAGGCTCATTATGAATACCAGCCGAAAAGACCTGGTCCCCATGGCGGAACTCTATAGGGTACTTACCACATCAATGAGTTAGTACGTCGAACTCTTGCAGTCAAGAGCATCACTCACTAATTTACGGAAGGGCGAAAGCGTGTTGTTGACAGCCATCATATAGCGCCTTCTACAAACATCTAGAATATTCTGATCTGAGACATCAACGCAGGCTTGTGCTGGAAAGAAGACTCGACCACCGGTGAAATGAATGGACGAGTACGACTATGTTGCGCCCTTGGCGCCTCGAAAAAGCTTCACGGAGGCCGGAAATGCTCTCTAACTCAGCTCCGGTCAGTACCAGAAACCGTACCCAGTTTAGCCATCGGTATCCTTTCTTGGTCTCAATGGGAGTTGCATTACAGGAGAGGGTTCTAACTGGGCGGTCCGCACAGCCTCGTTTCGGACAAGCGGAGGCTCGGTGTTAAGATACTTTGCTACCTGACCACTATGGGGGGTCAGTGGTCGACTAAGTATGAGACGGTGATTAACAGGTGGTTGAGATTGCGCTAGAGAGGTCGTTGGATTGAATGGATGCATCTCTACAGCTTCATGCTGCCCACGGTTGTCATCTCGATCGATAATCCGCGATGTCTGCCGGTCACGGGAATGGACAGATGAACGTGAACCTTCACTAACGTCCTCCAGTTCATGATCCTGCTCCTCACTGAATTGAGAAGGTGTCGAAGCTCCGGAATCATGCGAAAGGCGGGAAACGATGGTATCGCGAGTGGATGCTGCGATAGGAAGGGAATTAAAAAAGGAAGCAATGTGCGACCGAAAAGGTGTTGAGGCAGAGTGTGAACCTTCAGAAGGTGTGTGTGTGCTATGCGAGGTATACGTGCTGGACAGAGAATGTCCGGAAGGCAGGGTTTCCCGGACGTCTCTGTCAGAAGATTGTCGGGATCTGTAGGAACGAGGTAAAGTGAGAAAGGAAGGGCCAGCTTCTGGAAATGTGTCGGAGTTGGTGGGAAAGAATGAAAGGTATGAAGCAGGAATGCGGCGAATGGTTAAGTCCTGCTCTGGAAACTTGTGTTCCATGACAGTGGATGAACTCGACCCAGATTTGGGAGATGATTGTGCTTCATCTGTCTCAGACAACATGAGCATGATCTCCTTAGCCCGATTTGATTTCTCCAGAGGTATGTAGAGAATCTTTCGTAGGTGAATAGAATCCGAAATCCACATCTGGTTGGACCGTCGCAAATCCGCAAGCGATATGCCATACTTCAGGGCTACAGCAGCGAGAGAATCCTTAGGAGCCACCTGCAGATCCGTCACATTAGAATTAAGCCGTAAAGATACACCAGAGCGATATGCATACCTCATGCACGATGACGATCTTCTCACCACCTCTATCTGACAGTGCAGATGATCGTCCACTCTGAAATATGGATGATGAACCAGAGCCACTTGGGGATGGCTCCGAGCTATTCAGTAGACGATTCAGACGTGGTCGAGTGCCATAGAAGGAGGTCTGACTACTGCTTGAAGTTGATGTTCGAAGATTGTGAGCCAGAGGGTGTCCATTAGCGCTAGCGGTGCTGGCAAAGGCGTAATCCACGGTCTTCGACCTCACATGTGAGTTGTTTCCAGGGAGTTCCTCCTCTTCATTCCACGGTACATGATTGTTCCTCTCCCATATGGTAGCGCTTTCTGATCCCCGCCGTCTGAATTTTGGTCTAGCTTCAGCACGACCCTCTTGGGGTCTAACGGCGGAAGTAAAGGACGATTCCGAATGACCCGCAAACGGATGATAGTAAAGACTTTGAGGACTGTAGTCTCTCGAGCCTGAAGCTAGAGGCTCGAGGCCGTTTCCTGGCTGCATAAGTTATGCAGGGTATGTGAGTGTTCAATTCAAGCTTACTTCAAGCAACACCGAACTTGTGAGCGCCGAATATTCGACGTTGATTCGGCGGCAGTGATCATGCGCGTCTGTGCAACCAACGATCGACGAGTTCGATTCCTACTCAGGCAAAGAAGAAAAAGACATCATCGACATCGTCAGCAAGAGGAAGTTGAGTTTATTTAGTTGTCTCAAGAAAACGAGGACGTGGCTTTTAAAAGGTCCGGAGCCAGCAGAGTATCTCATAATTCGTAAATAATTGAGCTGATGATACATGGTCGAGCAGGATTCTTCATACACCGATACGTCTACAGAAAGGATGCGGCGCAGTGTTGAACGCGATACAAGGGCGAAAAACATTATGTCAATAGGAAGGAGTGCAAGGAGTGACACGGTCAGAATGCCCCCACAAGTGATAACCAAGTAAGTCCTCAACCACAAAATGCGTCAAGCAGTTGGATCCGGATCCGACTCGTCTCGAGATCGCTTCGTGCCTGGAGCTGTTACGGCTGCGTGTTGCTGCTGCTGGACGGCACCTGCACCAGTCACACCAACAACAAGTCCCTTCAACCAGCCATTCTCCCTCCGCAAAGCCTCGCACTCCTTCTCCAACTCCGAAACACGAACCTCAAGCTCCTTCGCCTTTTTCTCTAAGGCAGCTTCGCGTTCCTTCTTCTTCAACCGGAATCGTGCAGACGCAGCAGTATTCCGCCGACGCTTATCCTCAGCGGCGTTGAGAGGTGTCGAATTCGACTTATCGTCAGACTCCGGGGAGAGAGGACTCTCAGGTGATCCTTGCTCGGACACTGAAACTGACAAGCGAGCAGTGCGTGCACGCTTTGGTGCTGAAGGGTTTGCAGGGGTAGGATTAGTCGACTCTAAATGTGTAGATTGCTGGACATTAGAAGTCTGAGAAGGGCGGAGTGACGATGCGTGCAGCGAGAGGAGTTGGGCAAGCGAAGGAGACACCTGTGAAGGTTGTTGAGGGACAGGTGGAAGCTGGAATGGATCAATGCCAAAACCAGCAAGAAGGGTACCGATATCGAGGGGAGGTTGCAAAGGAAGACCTTGCAAGTTAAGAAGAGGCTGATTACCGGAATTGTTATTGTTTGGAGGAAGCACAGTCCCCGTTACGACGTTTTCATGAGCATGGGCCTCCGCGATTTTTCCAATGTCTTGGAGTTCCTCCTCCGGCATGTTGTATCTGTCTGCATCTTTTTCCCCGCTGGAAAAAGAGCCTTTACCCTTCTCATCGAAGCTGTCTCTCCTATCCTCACGAGAGACTAGCGGCTCGTCAGATTGGAAGTTAAGATTGGTCCATAGGTCGAGCTGAGCGCTAAGATCAGGGAAGGGCGGTACAGCGAGCAGGTCCTGGTCAGACAGGTATGGGTTTTGCGGCTGGGGAGGGTGCACGATGTTAAGGCCCTGCAAGTTTGATGGCGCCATAGTAACTAATGGTGAGATTTTCTGTGCGCTTTGACTGATACACAGTCGGTGCTAATTACGCTTTCTGAAGGAACCATGAGTGAGAAAAACATGCCATGGGAAGAGCAATAACGGTGACAGTACACACCACCTGGAGAAAAATGAAAAAGTCAGTGCTTAAGTGGACGAGGTCGGAGAGAACGTCGAGGAGGAGAGAGCTCTTCACCGTGTAGATAAGCTCGTGCTGACTAAGCTCGGCTACCCGGCCCTGGGTACATATTGGTGCTAAAAGCATCTACCGCTCCCAAAAAACTGTCCGACTGGAGCCCGAGCGATCTTATTCAGAAATATGATGTAGCTTACTCGTTCATGCAGCACTACTTTTATGCATTGACTCCGTTCTGAATGACAAGGCTATCTATCACCAGTCGAACCATACTGTCCACCACTACATAGTCCCACCCAGAGGCACACAGATGCGGCATTGGCGGATTTGAAACAGCAGGTATGAAAAAGGCACGAAAATTTATTGATTTGATCGTTGTGGCACCTCGATCATGAACGCCAAGCACATGATTGACAACGTTCGGTGCCAGTCGGTGCCCCGGCGGGACACAGTCAGAAAAAAATGAAACGTATAATGAGCAAGGAATATGAATCCATACAATGACAGCTAAGTTCTTGCGGATGTCTTTGTCATACCCAGAGTACGTCACCGACGAACAATACAGGATCCACAGACGGAGGCTTAAGTGTGATGTGAAGATAGAACGCCTGACCTAGATCTGTAAGCAAGCCGTCTCCCAGGTTTCCCAACTTTCCCCTTTGGTAGAACACAGTGCATGTCCTGGTGTGCGAAAACATACATTAGAACAGCGTACCTTGGGAAAATCAAAGGTCACCAGGTCACTAAGCATGCTTCCAAAACTCCGCAACATGGAAGTTGCGACCATTATAGCCCTCCAATACTGATGACACCTTAGCGTTTTCGCGAGGGTGTTGAACTGACGAAGAGGTACGAGAGTCCCTCATTGCATACAGAACAGCGGAACGTACTGTAGGTTTGGTTGACGCAAGGAGTGTCCCGGAGCCAGGGGAAAAACTTAAAACTTGAGTAAAAGATACATACGCGCCGTCCAATGCCAGCTCGACAATTCGAGCATGACCTAGGATGCTCAAGCCCGGCTCAAGTCAAGACCATCGCTGGCCTATGGGCCCCAATCATGTGTTTTCGGATGGAAAGAACAATAAGACCTGAAAAGCCTGATAGGTTGAATCAACAGACAAGTAGAAAAATACCGACAATGCATATATAGCCCCTATAGCTAGTAATTTCCAGAAGGCATATCTTCATATTATGTTATAGCACATAAGCACAAAGATTTTGACGAACACAAGCATCTCAAGCAAGAGCAGTTGCGGCTTTGAGGGCCAACGTGGGAATATCAATTTCGGGGAATCATGACTAAGCGATCGGCGGCCCGACGCTTACCTTACATAGGTTGCAAACCGATCGGTAGCAGGTGCACCTTCACTTACGACCTCCACTCAAATCCTCGACCCTTGCTCTCGTTGCACAATCTTTCTGTCTTAATATTTCAACAATGGCATCTGCGGAAGTAAATGTTCCATTCTTCAAAAAGAAAGGGAGAGGAAGACCAACCACTAGTCGGAAACGCTCTACGTCTCCTCAACCTACAGCTCTCGCCGTTCCTGTTCCATCGTCCTCGAAATCAGAGGTAGTCCTTCCCTCGCGCAAGGCTGCGGCAAATATTCTTAGTGCTGGCACAAAGCGTACATCTTCACAGCGTCAGAGGGACGACTTGAACGACGAGGAACCGACAAGAGAGGGCCCTGACGTGAAGTGGACAGCGCAAGGATCCCATTCTCATGCTGCCTTGGAGATACTCGCTGGAGACGAGGCCGAGGAAATGCTTAGGAAAAGACAGAAGAAGGGTGACGCTGAGGATGAGGAGGGTCCAGACGATAATCTTTATAGAGGGCAGAAGGCGTACAAGAGCCACATAAAGAAGAACACTGAGGTGCCGAAAGCTATGCGCGTTGGTCCTCAGAGGTCGTCGAATAGCACCATCCGTACAGTCACTATTGTGGACTATCAACCTGATGTGTGCAAAGATTACAAAGGTGTGTAAGTTTCGCATGTGTATTGTGAGTAGAACTGACCAATGATCTTTACAGAAACTGGTTATTGTGGTTTCGGTGATACATGCAAGTTCTTGCATGATCGTGGTACCTGTGAGTATTCGTGTCATTTCCTATGATACTCTAACTAATTCTCACACCTGTAGATCTCGCCGGATGGCAGCTCGATAAATTGGCAGAGAACCCTCAAAAACAAGTAGAGGATGAGTCAGATTCTGACTCGGACGAAGACATCCCCTTCGCCTGTCTGATTTGTCGGAAACCATACACCGACCCTGTCGTCACCCGCTGTGGTCATTACTTCGATTCGGCATGTGCAATCAAACGTTTCGCAAAGACACCGAAGTGTGCAGCATGCGGAGCGCCGACCGGCGGTATATTCAATCGGGCAGATAAGGTGATTGAGAAGATGAAAAAGAAGAGAGAGGAGGACGATGCTGAGGTTGCTGGAACCGGCAACGAACCTGGAGGTGACAGTGGAGGTGTGCAGATCGAAGGTCTTAACAACGAAAGTGACGATGAGAGTGATGAGGAGTGATGGATGCTCGCGTACTAGGTTCGGCTTCTTGGACAATGGCTTCTTGCATCGCTGACTTATTTGACTTTTCGTGTACTTTACATATTATTTTACGTGCACAACGCAGGACCGGTATCATACAGGGTCTCCACTATGCAATTAGTCGGTAATCAGTATTGCGATCAATACGGCGTAAGTGACACGAACAATATGTGTACCCATAGGCACACCGATCATCTGGTTATGTCCTCGGTCTCACCTCCTTCTCCTTTGTGTGTTCCAGGAGACAGCCGTCAACGTACGTCCTGCGAATGACGGAAAGACCAAGATGAACCTGGGATGTTTGACCAATCTGCTTGCCTAACCCCGTCAGGTGATAGAACCCCCTTGACTTCCGTGTTTCAGGTGATTCTTCCTCAAGGTAATTCTCAGGTTATTGCTTGTGTTGCTATGCAACCCCAACTATATGGTTGACGTAGAAGCCAGCGCACGTAAGCAGGACGTCCATTAGAGTATGTGTATTTCATTTCCCGTAAAATGAGCGGCCGGAGCGCACTGACTCCATAGGTAATGTATCGCAGCTCCTCGACGACTTCCATATTCTGTGTACCAAGTTCACCGCGATTTCCGAAGTTAGGTTTATGGTCCGTGACTCGGAACAATTGTATGCGCAAAAGGCTTCTGCCAGTAATGGCATTTCTGTCAGCAGAACTGGCAGGTCAAGACGTTTTTGAGGTTGTGGATGGTACTCCCCGCACTCAAGCTCATTTAGCCTATAATCAAAGGCAAGTACTACCTATCTCTTCGCCGCTCGAAATAGGCACATGAATCATAGGGTGCGTCACAGCGCGCATCATGAGATCTGGAACGGAGTCCTAGTTCGGTTCCCATGCAATACCGTGTGTCTTTCATTTTTTGAATTGCTTTTGGTTTACTCTTCAAATGTCAGACATGTATCATTACAGGTAGCTTTGCTGGGAAGCTGCTTGTTTCAGGCACCGAGATTCCCTGAGTGACGCCTCCCTTGAATATTTGCTCACCAACAGCCTGCTTTGCCCTTCGCCATCGCGCAAGTACTACGACCGAGGATCATGATGTGAGCTTTTGCAAGAAGTCCATAATAACGTTTCGTGCTTGAGTAGATGCATCGAAAGATCGGGCCAGACGCTGGTATCCACGAGACGCTTGACTTTGAACAGTCATTCACGAGCATCTAGGCACATGAATCTCCTTTCGTGGACGGCTTCCCCAAAGGATGTTGACGCAGGCGATGATGCGCGCAACGAAGCTACCTAATTTCTAATCGTATTCCTGGCTTGGCTATGCATCTGCATCACAGTAGCACTGAGGCAATCGGGGATCCAATCCCCGATAAGTCTTCCGTAGCAGGAACCCACAGCGAAGTGATTGCCTTTGGCTCTCGCCTGGATCTGACCTGGAGCTCGATGTACGTACGCAGTCAGTTTTTAGCATCACCATGGACACACATACATGGACAACGTTAACTACGCAACACATATGTTGTCCCGATGATGTGTGACAAGGAATGGGATATACGATTAATGAGTTACTCAGCTGCCCTCCCCCCACGAATGCCATTCCTGTATGCCGATTCGGTGATGCGTGGATTTCGAACTTCTTCCATTTCTGTCCCTGAATGAAGCAGAAGCTTTTCGAAGCTGAGAAGCCTACACGGATCTATCTCGCTCATGAATTATGCACCCTCCGGTAGCCTCTGAAGCCGTCGGTAACTTCTGGCTTGAAGTCAAGCTTCATGGCGTCCGAAACGAAAGGAGATATACTTGCAGATAACGAGCAGTTCTTCACAGGAGGTGTCGGAATCTCCGCCTGTACATGGGAACGAAGGCACCCATGGTATTATGAAATTCCCAAATATAATTCACGTCTATTAGCATAGAGTACAACAACGAAACTGGTGGACGAAGGTCCATGAGAGCAATTGGGTACGCTGACATCAAGAAAAACCTATCAAGATGTAACATCATTAAAAAAGCAACGATAGAAAGATACTGTACAGAACAAGGGAAATGGACTGTTCTCGAGATAGTAAGTACATCAAGCGCTCCTGGCTCCTGGACTAGACCTCACGCCGCAGGTCCTAACGGCGATCAAACGTTTACGTTCGACGGGTCCTTCTCGCATCCGTTGTCAATGTGACGCTTGAGGGAATCCGCTCTGGCGAATTCCTTCCTGCAGAAATGGCACTTGTGAGATGGCGGGTTTGCAGCATGGTGCGTATCGAAGTGGCGTTTGCGGTCGTGAGCGCGAGTGAAAGTCTTACTGCACCGGTCGCATGGGTAACGTTCGATACCTGGCGAAGGTGAAGGGATGGGTGCGGAAGACGTCGCATGACCGTGAGGATAAGCCTGAGCCAACTGAGAAGATGAGGGAAGATATTGAGCGGCGGGATGGGGAGGGTGTGATTGCTGAGGAGACATAGCGTTGTATTGCGGGTTTGTATACACGGGTTGTTGTTGATATTGGGTGTATTGTCCCTGTGGCATTTGGCCGTACCCACTGTAAGTCGGGTTACCCGGAACACTTGCGGAACGAGACGCCGTCATTTGCTGAGGTACTGCGTTTCGACCTAAGATCAAGTTTGGTTAGGATCGGCGTTCCTCGCAACAGCTTCAGCAACACCTACTCATGGCACCCGGAAACGAGGCACTCGTGGAGACAGGTTGAGATCCCTGTCCGTACGAAGGATAGCCGGGATACATCTGCTGATAGTCCTGCTATGGAGAAATGAGATGTGGCGACAGGATATAAGATGCGGCGTAGCATACGGGATTAACCTGCGATTGAGAGTAGGGGTATTGAGATGGATCAGTCGTTGATGACAGTGAGTTGGTCTGTTGGCCCTGGCCCTGGTTGTAGTATTGGGATGGATCCATATTGTCAATGTGGGATTGAGGGGGGAAGGTTTGTGCACTGAGCTACATCATGAACCATCTGCTCTTTAAATATTTGTCGAGAATATGACAACTTCCTGTACCGCAGAAGTCTTGAGACGCGCATCCGAGCAGCGGGAGAATCCTGACATGTCATTTGGGTTTTGCCCCGTCTCAGCTTGTGGGCTATGTCATTACCTGGCAGGCAAGTCAGTCCCGGCTATCCTGGGACGATTTCCCGATATGCGGACCTCGAACATTTCAACTATCCAAGACTTATTGGGTTAGACAACGATCAACAAGGGGATTTGATAGACAGACGTTAGCTGGAATGGAAAACGGTGCTTCCGAACAGGCTTCGATTCAATGGCTTTCTGCGTCGCGCTCCGACGCGATCGTGACGTTCCGAGATGAAAGACGTTCAGTCTTTGCTCTCTGGTTGTAAGTTACCCGTACGAAGTCGGATGTCCTGTTGCTCCGTCGCAAGCACACGAGCCTCCTCAGGCGTCTTACTCATCTTCAATCTCGTACTAGTTGGCGTTCGGAATGTCTCTTAGGCCTGGACTTGTTGCGAGACGAGAAGGCTGCGGAAAGACAACAAAATTTGGACGCCGATAGCATCATACACCGGCAAATACCGCTACCCGGGAAATCTCCCCATAAGCGCGAAGTAATTGCTGCAGTGCAGCAACTAAACTCCCGAGGAGCACGTATGTAGTTTGGTAGGTACTTAAGAGCAATTAGAATGACGACGTAACAATCATGGGGTAAGTTTCGAATAGGAATCTTCGATCTACAACATCTTTGACCGGCAAACGACACTAGAAGCAGATATAGAAAGAAGCATGATACATTCAACCGAGCATCTCAAACACCTTAGCGGCCAAGATTGGACGTGCCACCGTAACAGCAAAGTGATCCGGGCAGTACAGCACCGTGCAGTTTGACGTAGTATATAGACGTCGGCCAATGGCTCCAAGGAATCCATAACATGTGGGTTCTCATGTCAAGCACAGTACAATACTACGGATAACCGGGACCCATATGTATTAGCTCGACTGCGCATTCAAGATCAAGGAAGTACTTACATGTAGTCACATGAAGTTCGGACAGCCGAGTCCTTCTTCTTCAGGGAAGACGCAAGATGTCAATGTCTGAGACTCCCATCCCCCAATCTACAAATGACATTAGACAATGAGAGTCGATAAATCTATCGTAGTTGCAGTTATGTGTCATATGATGGCATATGCACGATGTCTCGGAACGGATGCTTAATGATTAATACAAACACTAGCTTTCGATTCCAGCCCCCAGATCGATGTACTATCCAGTGGGGCCTAATATCGAGATCATCAGACCTAAGGGCGTTCATGCGGAGAAAAATGAAGCTTGGTACGGCTACTGGAGGCGTCAGACTATCACGGCAGAGGAGCAGCAAAACAGCTCCTATTGAGAATTTTTACAAGTGTACGGACCGTAAAACATTGCGATCGACTACTTGCGGTCAATGCGGTGAGAAGACCGAGCACTGAGAGGTGCATGGAAGGCACTTCCCCTCCGACCATCAAGGTCAAAGTATTAGTCTCCATGGTTAGGAAGGTCCCAACATTGAAATGCACTGCTGTTAGTTCCGTTCGGTGTTCCTGCAGCACGCGGTGAACAGCCAATGTCGAGATGGCGGCGGCCAAGGTGATCCAATAGTGATCCTCGCGATTACACGAAGGCGTTCCCTTGCACATCGGAGAGAAAACAACAACAGCCAAGATTCGCAAGGATTACATGCGGGTGAGGCAGAATCACCACATCGTGGTGTGGCAAATGCACTGGAAAGCGGAGAAGCTGAAGACCAGTGGCAGGCGGTGAAAAGTCGCTGTAAACAAGGAACGTTCAGTGCCATATCTAGGAGCCATCTTTCCGCTTCGGGAATTATTGCTGACAAATACGTTCATTATTTGAGAAATGTTTACCAGGCGGCGGTGACTCCGAAAATCTGAAGCACTCTCATGGCACCGTTCGATCTCGACGCATGTATAGAGCAATTACTCCGGAAACAACTTCTACACGAGGCCTTGTTACGAGAAATATGCGAGAAAACAAAGGAGGTTCTCATGCGGGAGTCGAATGTCGTGCATGTTAGTGCACCTGTCACGGTAGTTGGAGACATTCATGGGTAAGCAGGCTGTTATTCGTCCTGTGAATACATTCTGAGTAATCATTCAAGACAGTTTTACGATTTGATTGAGATATTCCGAATAGGTGGCTACGCGCCACATACCAATTACTTGTTCTTGGGTGAGTGACACGCAATGCGCGGATACATCGGTGCTCAGCTGCTTTCCTGCAGGAGACTACGTCGATCGGGGACTGTTCAGTGTCGAGACAATTTCCCTCCTAACATGTTTGAAGTTACGATACCCGGACAGAGTCCAGCTAATTCGAGGAAACCACGAATCGAGAGCAGTCACCCAGGTCAGACGACGCTCAATGTTGTCTCACAAACAAACTCATATCACTCTGTACAGACTTATGGCTTCTACACGGAATGTGTCCGTAAATACGGCTCTTCGCATGTTTGGACGTACTTTACGGACATGTTCGACTTCTTGACGTTGTCAGTCGTGATCGATGACCGGATATTCTGCGTACATGGCGGTAGGTAGGTCCTTCAATCAGGGCGGGATAGGATGGCTCAACCCGGTTCCGTCCAGGTTTATCGCCTTCAATACATTCCATTGACCAGATCAAAGTTGTCGATCGATTTCGAGGTACGGTTATCATGGCTCTACGCCGCTCGAGGGCAAGTCTAAAGCTACTTTCTATAGAGATCCCCCATGAAGGTCCTATGGCCGACCTCGTGTGGTCCGATCCAGACCCGGAGAAAGAAGACTTTGCAATTTCACCTCGGTACCAATGTCCGTCCTTGTATGTCTCTATGGGTGTCTAACACGTTTCATAGGGGTGCGGGATACACATTCGGCTCCGGTGTTGTGTACAAGTTCCTGGAGACCAACAACATGTCGCATATCCTGCGTGCACATCAGCTGTGCATGGAGGGTTTCTCCTCACTATTTGACGGTCATCTTTCGACTGTCTGGTCCGCCCCGAATTATTGTTATCGATGTGGCAACTCCGCGAGTATCCTTGAGGTACGTCCGGATGGCGAGAAATTCTTCAACGTATTCCAAGCGGCACCAGAGAACGAGAGGGATGGTCCTAGTCAACAGGCTGCTCAAAATGCAGGCGGAAAGGTACGCAAGGTTCCTTCCATACTGTCGAAGTTGTTCACATGAACTGAGCCCCATGTGACTGTAGCTTCCGGAATATTTCCTGTAACTTATTGCAATTTCGATGTATACTTAGATTCCGTCAGATACCTCATGTATGTTTAGCAGGTTGAATATCCCCGTTTAGTTAACGCGATTCGACATGGACCTTAGCGCATCATGATCATTCCTCGATGATGGTCTACACCAGAAGATGGTGCATACAATCAATCTGTATGACTTCGTGAGGGAACTCATAAAGAAGTCAGTATGGGAGCGGCCCGTTATCGCACTCTAGCACCCCTGACTTCCGAAGGTGAACCTGTCAAGCAAGGTACCGAGCAGACTCTTGAGGATGTCGATGATCAGGAACATCGAAGTCGTCGGCGTCGAGTAAACTATCGACGCCCAACTCCAGTAGGCTAGAACGCGATCCGCTAAAGCTACCAACCTCGACTCTGACATATGGTCCATAAATTGAATTTCAGATGCATGAAATACAGCTAACAGCTATCGAATGTCAGCTAAGCACACCCGGGTGCATTCACTGGCACATGTCGAACACAGTTCACTGTGCACAAGCTATTTGACCAAATCCAACTGCCATCATTGGGAATCGAGGAATCGGCCTGTAACCGAACTGACAAACAAAATGCACCCATGGGGCAGTATGGAAGACGCAATAGTAGTCTAAAATGTGATATAATTCATCAGGACAAATATGATGGAAGAGTAATCTGGTATATCTATCTTCTACGATTCGACAGCAAGGCCAGAAGAGAAAGAGAAAGGAGTTCTCTACTACTCGAGCTAGTTGATTGGGATAGCCACGTTCCATAGCGTACCCGCCCCGACAGAAGGCGGGAGCTGGAGAATAACGCCTAGTAGCGCTGACGCACTTGATATTGGCCACCGCCATCGCCTCATCCATGTGACCTTGCGAAGAACGGCGATTGTAAGAAAAACTAAGAGACAGAAGAAACTTGCGGTCAAATGTCTTCTCCATCGCATCCAGAAGAGTCGCAGGAGAGTGCGAAACAAGTCCCGCTTTCGTCGACGGCCGTAATAGAGAGTAGGCGCAGCTGCATCGGAGATCATGGCTGGATAGCCAAAATACGGGTTGAGGAGCGAGAAAGGAGAAATTGCTTCTTGCGTGCTGGTGCTTTCTTTTACTTCAGTTGGACAAACAGGTGTTTCCGGATTTATGACGGTGTCCTTGTGATTTGCCGCACTTCTGCTGATATGTAGATGTAAAGGGTCTGGGAGGTCTATTAGAGTGGGTAACTCCCCTCCATAATCTAATAGAAGCCCGGATCAGGGCTCGAGAACGGCCAATAGACAATCAAACCAACCTTGGGGAAGCGACGACGCTGAGAAGTACTCTAGAAGCTCTTGTTCGGTGGGAAAGAACACTCTGGAAAGGGCAGCCCTCGGAAGAGTGCGCCTAAAGGGCGCAATGAGAATCGACCATTCAGAACAAACCATGAAGAATGTGATTACCTTGACAGATTCCATAATCCCGAGTGGGTCCAGCCAAAGTTAATCACAAAAACTGCGAAGGAATCAGAGATTGGTCTGCGACATTACTGCAATATCTGGGAAGCAGCATACCGGCGGCAAGCATTCCAGGGAAATGGGGGAGCATCTCGCTCATGCACCATGCCAACAAGTCAATTTTTGCCTAGAGAATGTCCATCAATTGTCATTCAAAGATACTTTGCCACAGGAACAACATACAACGCTACTTAGAGAGACACCCTTGATGTCAAGCAATGCGACGTATTGCAAAATGGGAGCGGTGCCTTTCGACTTGTTCAGCGCTGCAAGGTTCAGTCGCAACAACTCGGTGTTACGTAGCAGTACGGGACGCAGGTCATGCCCTGTTTCACTTATTCCAGCTAGCTGGACCACTACTATTGGCCGATCAAATGGGTCCCAACATTTTGCAGGGAGACAGTGGATAAAGGGGGATGGCGGCGCAATATCGAGTGGAGGCAATGAACGTATACGCCAGATGAGCGTGGTCCGTAATGCTTCCAGAGCAAAAGATGTGGTAAATTTGTGCCTCTAAAGGTAGTTGCTTGAGTAGAGGGGAAATAGAGCAGGAAAACATACCTACCTTGAACGTCCGGAAGACCGACGCTACGGAAAGCGATGAGAACCCTAAAGATCTGAACGTAAAGTAAGTAGTAGACGTACGGGTATCTTGAAGCCACTCCTCGGCTTTTCTTTGTTCCTCCTCATCCAAGTCCAATTCATCAACCAAGCTTGGGAGTATTTCGTCTGTCAATGTTCGTTGAAGCGACTTGACAGCTTCTAAATTTTCCTCGTAAATCTTCTGCAGATTGTCCACATACTCTTGCAGTACTATTGAGATACTCATGGCTGCGGTTCAGTGCAGAAGAGCGGGAAAGATGGCGGAACTACACATACTGGTGACATCTGCATGTGAATCGACACAGGAAGGCCACCCATAGACGCCCATAATGGATCGACAGCATGGGAAGCGCCCACCCGCCTTGCCCCTGCCAAAAAGTTTTGGCAGTGAGGAGATTCCACAAGTTCATACTTTACAGCCTTCCGCCCATTCTTCGGGAAAACTCAAACGTTGAACAGTACCAGATCCTGTCAATGGCTGACCCCGACACAACATCGGCTTTCGTGGCTTGGTTCAAAGATCATAATGGAGCTCTTGACGCTTCGTCAATGCAACTTTCCGATATTCCAGGACATGGAAAAGGCGCACTCGCCGTCAGAGATATCCCGGTATGACTCAGCTTTTGTCCTTGTGGTCGTATGAGTAAGCTGGATTTTTGTTGTCAAGGATGGACATACCCTCTTCGAAATCCCCCGCGACCTGACCTTGTCTACACGTACATCCTCACTACCCGAAAGGTTTGGTAGGACAGCGTGGAAGAATTATGGCCTCGATAAAGGCTGGGTGGGGCTAATCCTTTGCATGATATGGGAAGAATCACTGGGCAACACCTCCAAATGGTCTGGGTATCTCAGTACGTATTCACTCAGGGTCGTTCCGTTCCGCCTCTTACATGCAACTTGAAGATATCCTACCATCAACCTTTATTACCCCAATGTTTTGGACCGATGATGATCTAAACGAACTCAAGGGAACTGCCGTGGTAGGTCGGTCTTCTATCTATCCTCACTCTAAACCGGTGCTAAAATCACCACAGACAAAATCGGTCGAGAGGATGCTGAACGAGACTATAATGAAAAGTTGATTCCTGCAATCCAGGTGAGCTTTAGGACGGCGTGACGTTTCCTTAACAGTGCTAAGCACAGCAATCAGAGTCGTCCAGATCTTTTTCCTCCGAGCACGCACTCGACTTGCTTCTCCGTAGAGCGATACCATGTAATGGGCAGTCGAATCCTCTCCCGAAGCTTTCACGTTGAACCATGGACGAACGAAGACCTAGAGGAGGACCACGACCATGGCGAGGAAGACGGAAGCGATGATCAGGAAAATCTTGAAGCAAATGTCAGCCAGAGCAGCGCAATGGATGTCGACGAGCCATCCGAGAACGCCGAACCTCCCCAAGAACAAACTCAGAAAATGGACGAAGATGGCGAGGACGAAGAGGACATCGACAATCCCGCCGACATCGCTATGGTTCCGATGGCTGACATGCTCAATGCTCGTTTCGAATCAGAAAATGTACGCACGTTGTTTACCGTCCGGCCTTCATGATGTAATTCTTACGGAGCCTGTCACACAGGCGAAGCTATTTTACGAGGAGAATATTCTTAGAATGGTCACGACCAAACCGATCAAACGCGGTGAACAGATAGTAAGTCCTGACGTATTTTGCTCTCACAACATCCGACTGATCGTTGTTTTATCCAGTGGAACACTTATGGCGATCCACCGAACTCATACCTTCTACGTCGCTACGGTCACGTTGACGTCGTTCCTTTACGTCCACCACTGAAAGGCGAAGGAAATCCTGCAGACGTCGTTGAGATTAGGGCCGACCTTGTAGTCGCTGCGGCATCGCATCGTTCCAAAGGGGACATGCAAGAGCGCGTCGATTGGTGGCTCGAGCTCGCAGATGACGAGTAAGTTGCATCTTCACGATTCCCTTGATGACAAACTCAAATGTGTCACTAGTACGTTTGTCGTAGAGACCGATTGCGAGGTTCCTAAAGAGCTCATATCGTTGATCCATCTGCTCCTGCTGTCTCGAGCGGATTGGCAGAAGCTACAAGCAAAAGAGAAGCTACCTAAGGCCAAGTTGACGTCAGATATTATACCCATCGCTATCGAAGTGTTCCGCAAACGATTGGAAGAATATTCTACATCTCTCAAGGTGAGCTATTCGCTTTCTGATCTCTATAGTGCATCAACCTGATTGATGTCTAGGAGGATGAGAGGTTATTAGAAGATCCTGCATTGTCTCTGAATAAGCGCAATGCGGTCATTGTGAGGCTGGGAGAGAAACGGATCTTGAAATGCACTTTGGAACGGTTGCAATCCTTGAAAACGACCGTCGGGAGAGGTAACACTAACAAGCGGAAGGACATGCAACCCAGCGAAAAGTCAGGTCAGGGAAAGAAGGCTAGGCGATGATGTTGAATTACACAAAGCGTGCATCATTACAGATAATCCGAGCTGGTATAACGACAACACATTGAACGAGGCTAGTGAACTAAGTGGACGAAAGGCGAGGCCATGGCTGGCGGTGCCGCCGCAGTGACAGCGGAGAATTCGTTTGCTTGACCAATCATAAGTAGACCAACTGACGCAGGACGTCAGCAATTATGGAAGTGCGCCGGACGGTAGAACGCTTACCAATCAATCCGAAGAGACCCATGATGCTGCCAAACACCTCAACAATGAGAATCTTGACGAAAAGGTTGGGATCTGCAGCATCTGCAAGTGCTGCGGTTGAGCCTGTGATGCCTACGCAGAGACCGCAAAGGAGATTGCATGCTCCGACTGTCAGTCCTCCCCAGAAGATTGCGAAGCCTGCAATGAACGGTAAACAAAGGCGGGGTCTGAGGGCATGTTCGATTTACGAACCTGTAAAGTAGTTCTCTCTTGTATAGAGGCTAGCTTCAGGAATGACAGCAACTTTGGAAGAGTAGACAATGCCAATGATCTGTGAAATGCTCAATTTCAGGCACATGTTGCTTTCCAAGAGATAACCGAGCAACATACGACACCGTAGATGGCTACAACTTCACAGAAAATGATACTGATCAAATTCTTGGTTCGTATCCTTGGAGCTCGTACACCTCCACCAAGAATGGACGCGCCAGTAATGAAGATACCCCTGGAACAGGTTTTCAGATTGCAACTGTTGAGACATAACTTATGAACGTACCATCCAGCTCCAAGTACACTCAGACCTATACAGAGGCCAATTCCTACAGATGCCCATGCATATGGACTTGTCTCTTCCAGGAACCGACCAACATTGAATGCTTCCCCAGAATCTGTACGTCACGATGTAAGCTCAGTACATTTGCCGCAACTCCACTCTAAGCATACCAGTGAAGAGCAAGTATAAGGTAATGACAATCACGAGAAATGAAGGTAGCCCATAGGCATAGTAAGATGAATATAAGCCCATGGCTTCAGATGATTGTTGCGGTCGAAACTCTGGGGGTTGTCACAGATCCTTCAGAACCCTAACCAGAACGCGTCTACCACGTTTAGGGTAATGGCGACGCCTTTCCCTTTTCTGACCACCATGTACCATCTTCTGAAGGGATTTCATGAATATCTTACAAGGTAAATATCACTTTGATTTCATTGATATTTGCGCTGAACGTTTGTCAGAAAGGAGGAATTCTCCGTCATTATTGTCGGTTTAGATGGTGCTGGCAAGACTGTCAGTCAGTAGATCCTTCTCTCAAGCGGAATGTAGTTCTGAATGCAACATAGACCCTTCTGGAGAAGATCAAGACACTATACAATGATACTCCTGGACTTTCTCCTGACAAGATTGCTCCCACAGTAGGCCAAAACAGTACGTATGACATGTTTGCAGCTTGACCTCGGCTCATTCGCTTCAGCCGGCAAGATCACATTGCCCTCTACTATTCTGCAATTTTGGGACCTGGGTGGTCAGCGGGGCATACGATCTATATGGCACAAGTACTACGATGATTGTCATGCTGTAGTCTTTGTCATCGATGCGGAAGACCGTGAACGTTTGGGCGAGGGCTGGGAAGTCTTTGGTACGTCCCTTCCGACGATTGTGAATTCTATGAATAATCGCTGACTAGGCCCAAGGGCTTTAAGATAGTGTGCTCTCCGCTCCGCAAATTCTTGGAGTACCTCTTCTTCTGCTAGCAAATAAGCAGGATAGTCCGCAGAGTCTGACCGTCGAGGAGATTCGAAATAGCTACGAGGATTGGTTTAGGAATAAGGAAGAGAGTTCCCGGAGACGATATGGCGAGGATGATGTTCACGATCGTCGGAGAGAGCGTATCGCTAGCTTGGATGTCATGGGTATTTCTGCTCTTGAGGGGTGAGTAGTCAGTCATTGGCCGGGACGGGAGTTATACTGACCTTCCAATACAGAACTGGGGTTCGTGCCGCTGTTGACTGGCTATTTATACGCGTGCAGAATAGTAGACGGAGGTCAGTGTTTCCATTAGTTCTGCTTCATCTTTTCTGACTGAGTATATCTGCATAGAGAAGAGCAGAACAGCGGTTCATGAGCGTCAGGACGATGTGTCCTGAGGTTCAACGGTTCGCTACTCTCGCGTCTTTTTATTTCTACTGTATTGCTATTCGTCGTAGTGTATTATTACTCTACACTCTGAAATTGACCTTGATACTCATGAGTTGATATACGCGAGACTCTTTTGTGACCACTCTCAGCTTTGACGTTGCAAGCGCCCATTAATCGCTCCGCGCAGCCACATACACGCGCGCTGGGAGGGTGCTTGCCATGAACTGTCACTTGATGTATGCCTATGGCCAATTCAAGCTCTGGAATGCAGGGCAACGGATACAATGAACCTGAGCATATCAAGTTAGTGGACTTCACGAAGGATCCAGAGGTTGCATACTGAATTGTTTCCCAGGCGTTATGCGGATTTTACAACCATAGGTCTGACGCGTATGAATACACGCTATTTGACCATTCTCATCTGTGTATCGTCTTCGTAGACTGGGTACAGGATTCTATTATCGAACGGAACAGACGTATACGAAAGTCTAGGACACGTTACCACACACATAGAGGACATGATGGTCGTGGTATGCTTATTTGGATTTGGGCACAATTCAAGAAGCTAGCAGATGCAGGACAGAGTTGGTTCATCGTTAGCCTAGTAGGTGAGATTTAGCTTAAACCTTGCTGAAGACGCCAGCTTCATTGAAGGTATACAGGCGCATGCATTGGAGTGAATGCGGCTCTGATATCCATTGTCACGGAATGGCTTTCGGACATCAAAATGGGTTACTGTGCGGATGGCTGGTGGTTGAACCAGCAGTTCTGTTGCTGGGAAATTGAAGGGGATGATGCCCTTTGTGATTCCTGGCATCCATGGAGTAACGTCACTGCCGCTCGCTGGACCATCTATATCATTTTTGCTGTAAGTCACTATGCTTTATTCTTCACTTCTTTTCAGTCTAACTATTTTCAGTCGGCCTTCTCATTCATCGCTGCGCACTTGGTCAAATCACTTGCGAAGTATGCTGCTGGCTCCGGTATATCCGAGGTCAAGTGCATTTTGGCTGGATTCGTTATGAAGGATTTTCTTGGGTTCTCGACGTGGATTATCAAGAGCATCACGCTGGTATGACTTAACTTTTATTCGCGGTATTCTTGATCCATCAACAAAGCGTAGCCATTAGTTATTGCGTCAGGTCTCTCCGTTGGAAAGGAAGGGCCGTCCGTGCATGTAGCCTGTTGTACAGGATATGTGATGGCAAGGTTGTTTCGCCAGTTCTCCAGGAGTCAAGGTAGATATTTATGCTTAGGTTCGATGTGTGCGCTCTCTTAACAAGATCTTTTAGGCAAAATGCGAGAAATTCTCACTGCGTCTAGCGCTGCCGGCGTCGCAGTAGCTTTTGGTGCCCCCATTGGTGGCGTACTCTTCTCTATCGAGGTTGGTATTATGCACAACTATACCTTTGGAGGTTGAAGCTGAGTCCGTCGCAGGAAATGACTAGTAATTTCAGCATTAAAACCATGTGGCGAAGTTTCTTCTGCGCTTTAGTAGCCACGGTGACACTTTCGGTGAGCCCTTATTTACTTTGACATGTGAGGATCAGCTTATGATTGGTCTGATCAGGCTATGAATCCATACCGGAGTGGGAAACTCGTACTTTTCCAAGTCACCTATGACCGTGATTGGCATTTCTTTGAGATTCTGTTCTTTATCATCCTGGGCATATTTGGAGTACGTCTGATTTCATTTATGGAGGCGAACCGTGTCTGAGTTCTGCTAGGGTCTATATGGTGCATTCGTCGTCAAGTTCAACATGCAGTGGTCCGCGTTCCGAAGGAAACACCTCTCAAACTATCCCGTAGTGGAAGCAGTAACGCTGGCAACCCTCACAGCTGTCGTAGGTTATTGGAATCGCTTTTTGCGTATCGACATGACGGAAAGCATGGCTATTCTATTCCGAGAATGTGACAGCGGAGGGGACTATGACCATCTTTGCCAGTACGTTCTTGCGGGGTAGTCGTTGGGTGATAATCTCACCCCCATTCTAGGACTTCATTCCAATGGACTATGGCGACCTCGCTGTTTGTGGCCACAGTTATTCGGATAGGCTTCGTTGTCATTTCATATGGATGCAAAGTTCCTGCAGGTATCTTCGTCCCCTCGATGGCCATTGGCGCAACATTCGGTCGAATGATCGGGATCATGGTGAAGGCGTTGTATCTGTAGGCACCTTCCTTTGCTGCCATCATCATGTCTTCTAATTCAGATCTTCTAGTGCGTTTCCAAAGTCTGGCATGTTCGCCGTCTGCCAGCCGGACGTTCAATGCATCACTCCCGGTACATATGCCTTCCTCGGCGCTGCCGCCGCTCTCAGGTACTGTGTTCGACTTGCCCGAGTTCTCGCAGACTATCTGACTGCTTTGCAGTGGTGTCATGAGGATAACTGTTACAGTTGTCGTGATCATGTTCGAGCTCACAGGTGCCCTGACATATATCCTGCCGACTATGGTCCGTATATCCGATGGTGTCTGCCTCGAATGGTCACTCACAAATGCCTTATTGTAGATAGTCCTACTGGTGACCAAGGCTGTAGGCGACTTTCTTGGAACAACAGGTATTGCAGATGAAGCAATCAGATTGAATGGCTACCCGTATCTAGACAAGGATGATCATGCCTACAACGTTGCAGGTATGATTTGTCCGATTTCCTCCCGGTTCTTTTCTGATTTGTATCACAGTCTCAAGTGTCATGAAAACGAATTTGTATACGGTCTCTGCGACTGGTATGACTATTCATCAGATAGGTAGTATCTCACCGCCTACTATCGTAAAGCGACTCTAACACCGGCACAGAGGAGTTGCTCAAGGCAACGCAGGTCAAAGGATTCCCAATCGTATCTTCAGGCTCGAATCCAATATTAGTGGGATTCATTGATAGGATCGACCTTCGTCATGTCATCGGTAGGTGTATCCCTCTCTGTCTTTATTTGTGCTCAAACTCTTGTCTACAGATAAGGTGCGATTAATACATGACCTCACGCTTGATACACCATGTTCCTTTGTGCGGGACTCAGAGGATCAGGAAGGCTTCGAGTTTGCTGATATCGTTACCGATCCTGGCATGGGCTTGGATGAAGATACCCTGATGGAGATTATCGAAAACACTGCTACACAGAGCGTCGTAAAGTTCTGGCCTTGGGTCAACCAGGTGTGTTTCAATTGTTTCGAACATTTGGGATGCATACCTGATTCAACCTCATACAGACACCACTAACAGTCTCTCCCGAGCTACCGCTGGAGATAGTGGTGCAACTATTCAAACGAATGGGGTGAGTGAACCTATCGACTACTACGTGTCTTTTCACTCATACCTGAGCCCAGACCTCGAGTTGTACTCATCGAAGATCACGGTGCTCTTGTGGGATTGGTCACGGTCAAGGATGTGTTGCATTTTACATTAGCTGAAGGGCATGAACCTCGCAGCGCATGGAATCCAAAGGACTTTGAGGGCTTTGTAGAAGAAGCGTGGACCTGGATCACCAACTTTATGACCTCCCTCACGTCAAGGGCACGCCGACTTATTCGACGATAACTTATTTGCTTTGATTGGAATTTTGTATTCGTTACTTACGCTTGCATATAATAGCTGTCCATTCAGTTTAGAAGTTTGCAAACTAGTGGATGTTGCAAGTAACAAGCGACCTGATCGCCTGATTACTAGTAGTCATATATTGCTTACCTCGTATTGCGTCAAGTCGCAGCGGTAGCGTGCGGAGCGGCCGTCGATCGCCTATGAACTTCCAGATTTGTAACCTCTACCTTTCTTTACTTTATTGCGTTCGCTGTTCACTTGAGAGCTACAGTATACTAGGTGTACTTTATTACCTTGACTTTTTGGAAGTCTTTGTACACAAAACCTTGAAACGCGTTTCTTGGGACTCGAACCCACGGCGATATTGCTACTCGTCTTGTATGTCTTAATTACGGACGATACACGTTGGGACTACGACCAAGCACGCTTGCTACCTTCCTCTTGCGACGGAAAGGGTATGAACTTGGCCTTGATTGGGCTGACTGTTCCTATGATTTAGTGAATACTTTATGAAAAAGATTTGGATGTTCACATAGCAACTTGACGCAGCGGTAGCGTGCGGGGCCCATACTAGCTGAGAAACCCCGAAGTCCCTGGATCGAGACCAGGAGTTGCTAATTTTATGAAGTCTTTTGTCGCTCACCCGCGCGAAGCGGAAATTCCGTCTCTGCCAGAGACCTTCGCTAATCTTCATTTCTTTCCTTGCATGCGGTAAATGATGTTCATTATTTGCCATGGATGCAAGGATATACTTCTCACCCTAATAAAGCAATTGCCATCATGCTCTTATACAATATGAACAAATACAGCACAGGCTGCTGAGCGATTGGCTCGTTGAGTCCCTGTATAAGTATTGTGCATTTGATTGGTGACAGTAAACATGTTCAGTTTCAAGCTGTGGTAGAGAGAAATATCCTTTGCTTACCAGAAAGACCTTATATGCACTTTGTCAAATTCTCTTCACCTCTTATTCCCTTTCATTGTTTCCTTCATATCTGACAATAACTCATTTTTGCTTATTTTCATTTCATGCTTTTTCTTTCATTTCTCTCCAACAGATCTCATTCTCACATTCTCAAAGCTATGCGGAACTCTAAAAAGAAGAATCTGTGACATACTGTCATTGTTTATCCCTCCACAATACTTGGGCAATGTCTGCGCATGTAAATAGAGGATGGACGTCTTCAAATTCTGGACGATTCCTTCTGAGTAACCAATCATCGATAAAGTGTTGGGGTCTTTTCATCACAAAACACAACAAATTGACAACATTCTCTTATACATATAGAGGCAATGTCTATTTATGATAGTTCTTCTATTCTCCTCTCCTTTGTAACATTTCCTGTCACCACTGTTTCTTCTTTTTCTCTTTGCATCATTTCCCAACATCTCCAGAGCTTCCAACCAATAGAACAGTTCAAGGAAGTCTTCTCAATAACTGTATCCTATAAATATACATCCCGAGGCACAAATGATGATCTATCCTTTTTTCCACTGTCACTCTCCTCGAAACTACTGTCTCTCATGGAAACAATGGTTCAGTCAGTAAACTTTATTTCTTCATATTTAGCAACTTCCTTCATGTCATATTGGGGTCTCAGTCAAACATTGTTCAATAAATTCATCAAAGTCATCACTTAAACATGATAATTCAATTCAGCTGAGTACTCTTTCATCTTCTTCTCGATTCAATTGTCTATTATATGGCCACCATATACCCTTTATATTGTTCTTGCATTTGGAGAGAGATGAAGAAGGTCTTCTATTAGAATGACCCAGTGTTGGGTTGTCTTATGAGCACAGGCCATAGGATATACACTACTGATAGTTGAAACGGTCAGAAGGCACAGGTTGTAACTACCCCCTGTGGTAGTCATCACTGTGATGATAGGATTTGGGTTGGTAGCAAAACAATAGAGAGATTCTGACCAACTGAAGAGGTCAATAGACCTAGGAAGAGAAGACACAAAGAAAGTGGGACCAAAAATGTACTATAACTAATGTAACAATCTCGAGAATAATGAGAGAATACTAATTTCAAGAAGTGATTACTCAGCTGTTATTCTGAGACTAGTCATGACAACCAGACTCCTTGAACTTCTTCAATTAATTGTTCAAACTCGATACAATATGAGTAGGGACAACTAATACTGATTTCTTATACAGTGATGATGTAGATGAGACTTGAGGGTAAAGAGATAATGACAGTTTCAGGGAGAACTTGAGAGAAAGAGAAGATAATTGTCTTAGAGAATTTATTGTATTTATATATGATGAGACTCTCTCTCAAGCTGTACTATTGGCTGGGAGTTTCGGGGAATTGAGAAAGCAGTTTTTAAGTAAAAAAAAAAGAAGAGAGTGATATGACAGAAAATATTACAATCGAGAGAGTTGCCTAATTGAGCTATCATCTTTATGCAAAAAAGAAAATAAGGGAATATGGTTTTGTCTTGTGGAGAAAAATCTGAATGCTATAGTTCTGATTGGTCATCTGAGAGATATCTAGATTTTCAGGAAGTCCACCCTTAATTTATATATGCAGACATTGCCCAAGTGTCATGAAGGCATGAATGATCTTCCATTATAGATGAAATCCTGAAGACTTCCGCGCAAGCTCAAAAACATAAAGGTGGAAGGAGAATATGGAACTGAATACTAAAAAGTGAAAAAGAAATGGCTCAGGAATTCGATTGTCAGGTATGAGAAGTTGAGAGAGGAGGAAAATCTATTTGTAAGGGTCTACCTCTGCCTCCCCTCGATGTGGTCTGGTATCTGTAAGATAAGATCTATGCAAAGGTTGATAAGCAGTAATAGTTTCATGTCTACTACCACAGTGGTCTCATGTTTAAAGTCTTGACTATGAGACAGCGGTCAAATTGAAAAAGGGTAGGAGAAGAAAATGATGGTATGTCACTAATATGGATGATACTCATGTAGTGAATGAATAACTTGATGCATGATGTTGGTCTGCAGAATGAGTCAATTTTCAATAATGTCATAGAATTCACCATCATTGTCATCGATTTTATGGTGACAGAAGCATTCATTGTAAAGATAGACAGGATCTCGCTAGATATTAGTCATCTCTCCCTATAGGTCTATTGACCTCACTAGTTGATCTGTATATTCCTTGTCTTCTATATCTCCTTCCGATTCTTTCTCCACAAAGGTCAGTTTATACTAATTTGAACCCTCTCTTTGAAGCCTTCAGTTCTGATTTTTCTGCAAAATCTAGGCCGCCCAATATGAATATCCTCCCTATGGAGCAGCACTGCCAAGTCAATGAACTGCTGATATCAGATGACAACTCACATAATAAGACTCAAATCAAACTAGAAATGAGTAGGTAAAAACTATTCAAAACTTGGAGTTAATTCAAAGTTCATCTAGTGTATATATACAACTATTATCTAAATACATGCATTAACAATGTGCTAAAGAATACATGTGATATTGGTCAGGTTCAAGCATGAATCAATGAATGTGTTTGAGTAGATTTTAATAAGTGGTTACAAATAAATAATATGAGAAAAAGGTGTGTTTGTAGATCTGAAATAAATGTGATCATAATATTATCCCCTTCTCTAGAATTATGTCCTCACAATTAATTATGATAGATATGGACTTGTTCAATTGTACCATGATGATCCATTCTTCTGAATTTTCTTCTTCTCAAAGTCACATTTGGTAGACGTAAAGGCAGATGGCGATGATCATCAGATAGGCGCTACCTATAGAGATGAATATAATGATGGCATCATTGAGCATTTCTATCAGAGGGCTTTCATTGGTTGAGTAAATAATTGTTCGAGAATAGGGGATTCCATACTTGAGATTGTGATTGGTTTAATGAGTTGGTAAAAGGAAAGAATGGGGCATTGCCATTTGAGTTTGACTTTCGTAGGTGCAGATGTGATTGCCATATGTGTCAATTTGAGCATCTGCTCATTGATAATCCATAACTCGCCAGCATTCAGATAATGTTAATTAGATATGATCTGTGCTTTTCTCCAATTTTTAAATAATTTAATTGAATCTGAGTCTACAGATATTATTGCTTTTTTCTTTTTACGACATTCTGTCCATCTCTGTACTTTCTGATTCCAATAATCTCATTCTTCTTGTGATGCTTCTCAAGGATATAATCATTCCATAATTTGTACTTTTAGCAATATTCTTATAAGTGCTTTCAGCATATTGGGATGGTCTTTATAGAATTTATCAATAATCTTTTTATCTATATTTTTAATAATTTTATGATGAGGTTTCCATGTGTTCTCAGAATGTGATTTTTCAACCCACTTGATTAGATATTGAAGGCCTCTCCATATCATCTTGGAGTCTAATACAGATTCAACTTTATTCTCTAAGATATCAATAATTATTGAAATGTTTTTGTGTGTTTTCTGATTTGGGAATTTGGGAATTTGGGTGCATGATATGGCAATAATAGTGCTTCATTAAATACAGGATGTACGCCTTTCCATGATTTTGGTAATTTGAGCTTGTATGCACTAGCTCCAATTTTCTTGATAATCAGAAATGGTCTGTATCTTTTATCATCTAGTTTTTGATTCAATCTGTCTATTTGTATATATGTAGCTTTGAGCCACACTAGATCTCCATCTTTATAATTTACAGCTTCTCCTTTATGCTTATCGTACTATCTTTTTATAACATCCTGTGCTAATGTTAATAATGTCAATGCTTCTTCTTGGATTTTCTTTATTCGTGCTATAAACTGCTCAGCAGTTTTATTACAAATTTTCTTTTTGGTTTCTACATCAGTGTAGGCTTCTTATCTGTGATTCATATAGAATGGTGAAAATCCAGTCACAGAGTGGACTCTGTTTCGATATGCAAATGTTGCTAATGGCAATCATTCTGGCCAGTCAGTTTGTTGATAATTGATAAAGATTTATAGATAGTTTTCAATTTTCTGATTGATTCATTCTGTTTATCCATCTATTTGTAGGTGATATGCTATACTAGAATTTTTCTGAATTCCTAGTTTCTTATATAGATCTTTGATAAAACTGGATACAAATTGTGGACCATAATCTGATGTCATCTTTTTTGATAATCTGTGCAACGGATATACATTTTTGATATAAAGATTAGCCTATCCTTTTGATGTCAATTACTCTGTAGTTGAGATTTCAATGTAGTCTTTTGATTTGATATCCATAACTACTATGATCACATCATGTCCTTGCGACTCTGATAAATGTGTAATTATATCTATAGATTGATATTTTCAATTGTGTTCTGGAATTGCATTTAAATGCAATGGAGTATTCTTTAGTTGATGATTAATCTTGGTTTTTTGACAAGTCTCACAGCCTTTTATATAGGTTTTTACATCTTTTTTGATCGAAGGTCACCAGTATGATC